AAGCACGCTGTATAGGCTAAATTGGAGCTCAAGGTCCAAAAGAGGCTCTACCCCACAATTTCTCCGAAAGGAATAGTACATACAGTAGTCAAAACCACATGGATAGCCCTTCTTGGCAATTACTGGGCGAGCAATCAGTCAGGCTGTTGATTATCAACGGGTTTGCGGATAGTGAAGCCGCTTAAAAAGAGGGGATTTGCATCTCCATGTCGATCAAAGCTTTAATGAATATTAACCACATGCTATGCCTGACTACTAGATTGACATGTTTGTAACTTGCACGCTTTTCCCGGCAAGCTTAACTAGTAAAGTGGCTGAGATTAAAATCAAACCAAGTAAACGCTCTCTCAAGCTCGGCTAATGCTGAACCCTCCACTTGCCGGCGGTAACTCTGTAAGTTTCGACCTCCAGTTAAACCCAGTTAAGCTAACGTTAAGTTAATCGTCCTCTTACCAAATAAGGTCTAGCTGGACTAGGCAGCCCCTCTCAGGCCCCCGCAAGTGTCTACCGCTAACCCTAAGTCTCCCAAGTCTCCACCCCCAGTCCCCCACAGCCTGCAGGGTCTGGAGTATGCACCGCCAAGGTATGAAGAATCATGGACCCAAGAGATAGCGCGTCAAGGATACGAGCATACCAAGAAAATGCCAATATTTTCGGTAAAATGCAGAACAGGCAAATATAACCCTTGGCCAGCTCAAGCTACTCGCTAACACTAAATGGGGTGGCAACATATCGTGACAAGCCCGGTTGGGGACAATACAGCCGGGAATCGATCAAGCCACCCTCTGTACGGAGGACAAGGGTTGTCAAGCTCATGGCTGTCTCGAAATTCATAAGAGGGGGCCTTTTCAAAGCTCCCTTTCATCCCCGACTGCAGTGAGAAGTGGACTCATTAACTCATTACACCTCTTTTGCCTTTCTCATCTTCACCTACATCCAGTCCAGCATACGCTACAGCAGTCATGGCGTTGCGATTCCGGCCCCCGAAGCCGAGCCAGAAGATCCTACCGGTTAAGCCGACAAAGGGACACTTCTTTTTCGCGCACCAGGAGTTCGAGCGCGTACCATGGTGGAAGAGGAAGAACATGCGGACCCTGTATATCTACATCGTCATCCTGATCATGACCAACACCGCGAACGGTTTCGACGGTTCCATGATGAACGGTCTCCAAACTCTTTCCTACTGGCAGGAATACTTTGGGCACCCTCACGGCTCGCTTCTGGGTCTCTTTAATGCCTCCATGAGTCTTGGTTCTCTGCTCGGTCTGTTCGTTGTGCCTTACATGATTGATGCCTGGGGCCGTAGACTGGGTTGTTTCGTTGGATGTCTTATTATGTTACTTGCTGTTGGTTTGCAGTCTGGCGCTACTGGCTTTGGCATGTTCATTGCTGCTCGTCTGCTTATTGGATTTGGTGATTGTCTTGTTCTTGGTAGTGCTCCGCTTTTGATTGCGGAGATCGCGCATCCTCAAGATCGGGCCGTTCTTGTCACGCTTAGTGGTGCTTCTTATCACTCTGGTGCATTCATTGCTAGCTGGGTGACATTGGGTACATTGAAAATTCAGGTAAGTATCATCGCCAAACAGCTACCGTGGATATACTTGTTCTCGACTGATACTCTTCCTTCCATAGAGCGACTGGTCGTGGCGTCTGCCCAGCCTGTTGCAAGCTATTTGCACCATTGTCATCGTTTGCGGTATCTGGCTCATGCCAGAAAGCCCCCGTTGGCTAATGAGCAAGGGAAGACACGATGAAGCCATGCGAATTCTCGTCAAGTACCATGGCGAGGGAGACCAGGATGACGCATTTGTGCACCTGGAGTATGCCGAGATCAAGGCCGCCATCGATCTGGACAAGGAGATTGACCAAACTCGCTGGGTTGACTTCTTGAAGACCAAGGGCAACCGCAAGCGAATTGGTCTGATCACCGCTCTGGGTCTCTTCAGTCAATGGAGTGGCAATGGTTTGATCTCTTACTATCTCAAGCAAGTTATGGACAGTGTTGGTATCACCAAGGCCTCTACGCAGCTTGGAATCAACGCTGGTATCAAGTCTGAGGCCTTGATTACCAACTTAACCCTGGCCTTCTTCATCGATAGGTTGGGACGACGACCGGTCTACATGGTTTCGACGGTTGGCACGTTCGTGGTCTTCAATGCATGGACTATCGTGTCAGCTCGCTATGCGATCGCGGCTAATCAGGCGCTGGGATACATCTTCGTCGTCCTGACTGTTCTCTACGGATTATTTTACGATATAAAGTAAGTTCTCATTCTCATCTAACAAAGTCTTATACCAACAGTCGCTAAAATTTGGTTTCCTCTCAGATCCGGTCTGATGGCAACCTACACCACCGAAATTCTCCCCTACGGTCTCCGTGCCAAGGGTTTCACCTGGCTGAACTTCTGCGTCACCGCGGCCCTCTTCTTCAACCAGTACATCAACGCGATTGCCCTCGACGCCATTGGCTGGAAGTATTACATTGTATACTGCGTCTTCCTTGGAGCGGAGGTCTTCGTTATCTACACCTTCTTGATCGAAACCCGGTATACTCCCATGGAGGAAATCGCCAAGTACTTCGATGGCGATGACGCGGTTGATATTGGTGAGATTGCTGTTGCGGATATGAAGGAGCAAGCCAGGGAGTCGGAGGGCAAGGTGGCTACTGTTCATGTTGAAGTGAAGGAGTAAGCTGATACACAAGGCATATTGGAGATCTGTTTGGAAGGCTTTGTGGATGCTTTAATGATTTTTTGATATAACTTTGGTTCGCTACGCCTAGAGCTCTTGCTAGGAATTAACCCTGGGAACCTATCAGACTACACATTATTTTGTGCACGTTTTGTAAGCTATCTTCACTGATTAGCTCTTTATTAGGTTCCTAGGAGCCATCTGAGTTGATCAAAATTGACGACCTGGATTCATCATAATAAACAAGCTGAAAGACCACAATTGTCGGGCAAAGTTGACTCGCATAATTGGCCTAAATTTTAAACACTAAGCCATGCACTAGTGATTGTATTGAGTAATAGGAGCGTGTTCGAACCAGGCACGAATATCAGAGCTTTGTTATCTGGAATAAAGAGGGACTGGATTTTTCGGGGTAGAAAATGTGGGTTGGAGTAAGAGAGTAAATTGTTATTGCTGGTTACAGTCATCTAGCCATCTTTTTATAGCTCGTGCCTGATACACCAAGTGGATTGACTCCCACAACTAGACCAGTCAGATGTCGCATTTAAATTTATGGTGCTTTTGATTCCCAGGAGCTCCAGAGATCCTGGTAATGACTCCAAACACCTTCATCTATGATGAACAGCCCTTAGCCCGGAGTCGCGCTTTCCTAGAGCACCATTTTGAATTGCCTGGCCACACAAAGGCTGGTTCCGTTTCAAATTCTTTGGTCTCCTCGTTGTATTTCTGCTGTAGTAGTTGAGTCGTAAGTTCCAATACAGCCCTTATCTCTTGTGTTATCTCGGACGATATTTCTCGTATCGCAGAAGTAACATAGTTCATGATTATTTTAAAATATTGGCGTGTGTTTTGGATCAGTCTTTTGCTAACTGACTGCTTCTCTGAAGGTAAGAAGGGGCTTTTCCCTTGTTCCTTGCTCATAGGTTAATCCTCTTCGAAAGCTCCCTGGAGGGGGTACGAAACTCTTATCCTCTTTCCACTCTCCCGTAGTGAAGACTGCGTATAATTAATCGCCATCTTATGCCCTATTCTCTGAGATATAATTATATTGTTTTCTGTTGAGATACGCTCTGGTATCTGAGTTTCTTCTAGGCAGGCCACTAAGGTGGTAACTGAGGTGGCTGCAGAATTGGAATCCAAACATTCCAAGCCACTGTTATTCTTTTTAATTTCTTCGTAAATAAACGGATATATAGTGTTATCAGGATTGAAAATTGTGTGATACCTAGAATCTACTTTGACAGACAAAATTAGCAAGAGTCGTACGGATCAATAAACCGGAAGCTATCAAGATTCACACCTTTACTCTCTGCCGAAACTATACTGATTCATTCACGTGGCTTGAACACTTTGAAAGATTGTATTTGTTTAAATTTTGAATATCTTGAAGGAGATGTGTGGTTATTGTGAACCAAGAGACCGAATAAAATCAGATATAGTAGTGCGGCACTGCTAGGGGAGAGGTTTCAATTTATTCTATAGGGAGGTGTGGTTTTAAAATAATTGATATATCCTGTTTAGAGGAGAGAATTGAAATATATAGAGTTCATAATTGAGGACTCCAAGTTATATATATGTATTGAATATGGCTTCTGATGCGTGGCTTTTTTATAGGCCCTTAAGATAACCACGAGGCTTATTGTACCCTCTTAGCTCCCAGGATCCGTGATCAGTAGAAGTAGGCGAAAAAAAGTGAAAACCAAAATCAAAATTCAAGCTCCTAGGAGCAGCAAAGCGTTATAACCCTATTTCCTGCTGATTGGCCACTACCAGCAATCTTGCCCTATGCCTGATCGGCCGAGTTGTAGGATTAATTGTCCTACGAGATCATTCTCGTGAGTAGCATTTAGCTACAAAGAGGCTATTGCATTACTACAAACTACTCCTCTATTGAATGATTCCAACACATATAGATCTAATTGAAAGTTGTAGAAGATGAGCTCCCTATGCTTTCTGGCCTTTGACCAGTGAGAAGCAGCATACCAAGACAAACTAGATAAATTGTTCCCAGGAGCCTGCAGATTGCAGCCAAAATTTCATAGGATAATGAGGTGAGCTGTTCTGTGTGTTTGCTCCTAGGAAATAGTATTGCCACGCAATTTTGCGGCTGTTTAATGCGTAACTTTTTTTTGATGGAGCATTCGAGCGTTCTAAAATAAGAGAAAGACATTTGTGAGGGGTATCTGTGCCTTTCAGTGCCCCCCCCACCACCTTCGGGATGGGGGTGCACCACACCGTAAACCCAATTCACACCGTAAGCCCAATTTTGAAGCTATTTATTTTTTCCACGTTATTCCCACCAAACCACCATGCCGAAGGCGCCTAAAATAGACGAATCTCGTGTACTCGAGGCCTGCGAAGCCGCCCAGCGCGAAAAAAAACCGAATCCAGCGAAGATCGCGCGGGAATATGATGTTTCGTACGAAATACTGCGCGGTCGCATTCGCCGGGGTCAACAGGCTCGTAGCGCCCGTATACCTAAAAACAAAGCTCTTGATGAGTATCAGGAGAAAGCTCTAGTCTAGTGGATCATTCGTATGCGTGATTTATATCTCCCCGTCACCCCTGAGATGCTCACAGAGTGGGCGAATCGGGCTCTCGTGCGTGCTGGTTCAAATCATGAAGTCAGTAAGATGTGGGCGTATCGTTTCGAGAAAAGACTCCCACCACACCTTATGTTGGGCCTTATGACACAGAGAACGAAGGATAAAAAACGACTTGAAGCAGAAGATGTAGGATACCTACAGCACTGGTATAATCAGCTTGCAAATGTGCTTAAAGGTCTCCCATCACACTTGATCTATAACTTTGACGAATGCGGCTTCCAACCTGGCTAAGGAAAAGCTCGAAAGGTTATTGGGACGAAGGGAAGATGCCCTGATCTCGCTGAGTTCGATCATGCTGAGAATATCACGGCGATCGAGTGTATCGCTGCTGATGGGTGGATCGTGGAGCCGCTATTCATTTTCAAAGGCGAGAAGTTTATGGAAAGTTGGTATGATCACCCTGATCTACCACACTTTTGGACCGCTGTTTCGCCTAAAGGATATATTAATGATTTCCTTGCTATTGGATGGCTTTAAAAATTTCATTTAGCTATAAAAGATCGGGTTAAGAGGGGTGAAAAACGTATGTTAATATTCGATGGTCATAAGTCCCATAAGACCGTTGAATTTCTACAACTCTACGAGGATTACAGTATTATCCCTTTTTGTTTTCGGCCTCATACGACTCATATTTGCCGACCTCTTGATGGCAAGCCTTTTCTTGCTTATAAACAACATTTTCGCAAGCAAAATAACCTCATTTCTCAGTGGGGTGGAATCCCCGCGGGGAAGGCGGATTTCCTTAAGGATATCGTGAGCGATACAATTAGTCGAATGAGGGAGATATAGGCCCCTCGGAAGCGACAAATCACTAAAAGAGAGATTCCTAAGATCGGAGACTCTGGTATACTCAGTACAAAAGATGCGATTCGATCAATGAAGATCAGGAGAGAGAAAGAAGCTATACAAGAGAAGAAGAGGTTGGAAAAACAGTGGACAAAATTGTACGGCCGACCGCCACCCAAGTCGCCTACTGGGGAGAGTTTTATGTTGTCAGATAGTGTGGTGGCTGCGCAGCAGGGAGGGGAGTCTTTTTGGATAGATACTCAGGGTGAAAAGCAGTAGTTAATGTGAATGGCTTCAAAATTGGGCTTACGGTGTGAATTGGGTTTACGGTGTGGTGCACCCCCATCCCGAAGGCGGTGGGGGGGGCACTGGAAGGCACAGATAGCGTGTTGCATTTTATTGGGGTGGTCAAGTCAGGCCGCTGGCTCTCATGTAAGCAATACTCAGAGAGCAAATCAGAGTGCTCAGATCAGGCTCACTGAGCAGATCAGAGGGATCAGAGAGTCGCTCAGCGTAGTCACGTGATGATCACTGATCAGGTCGGCGTGCTCAGAGACGTGCTCAGATCTACTCAGTGAGCAAAAGCGGCGCTCACTGAGCACTAAAACGGAAGGGGAAAGCCAAGACTTTGCATGGGAAATCCGGTACGTAGGTATGTAATTCCAGGCTCTCTCAACAAGCTATAGCTACGTAATACCTAACACCTAGGTGTATCTGCATATAAGTCAGCCGATAGAAATACCTACATATGTAGCGAGAAATACTTCGCCTACCTCTTGTTTCTTGTCTCATTTCATGGCCCCTAGTATCGATGCACTTTTATGCGGCTTACTATTCAACAAATAAAAATTTACGAATAAAAAGCACGCCCAAATTTCAGTCTCGTTCATTTGGTCCTTTAAGGCTACTAAGCTCTACTGTAGCCTCTGATGTTTAATTTGAGGATTTATTGCTTAGAACCCGAGTAAGCTTCGCTGAGCTATGATACAGAGCTTAGTTTTCAGAGAAACTCCGAAATACAGGCTCATAAACCCTCACGAAAAGATGAACTAAATTTGACTACTTTATTCAACTGAAGACACAGTCGATCCACACTATGACAAATGAAGAAAATGTACATTATTGCTAGCTGAATGACCTCGCCCGCCAGGCGATCATATAAGATTAGTAATAGCATATTCGACACAAATGATGAGAAGTATAGAGTTGAAAGAAGTCTGGGGTTTCGGGGAGATAGCGTAATATAAAATCCCCGAACAAAATTGGCGATCCAGTTGTGGCACCATTTATGTGATGATTTCATCAGCCTCGGCATTTAGGCTGATCACCATATCAAGCAATATTTTATAAATAATTCCATTGCATGAAATGCAGAGCTTATTTCAAATCGCTCCATATGTAGCTTTAATTCGTTCACAATATTTTGTCATCGCTTAGGTCGGCCCACCAACAGCGTTCAGATCATGACGTGACACGGGTCGATTATAATCTACTTCACGAGATTATAGATCAGTAAAATGGAGTGTTACAAATTAAAATCGCTGATATAAAGAACAGTCCACATCATGTTGTGTCTGCCATCAATCAACAAAACAGTCCCACCATCGTAGCTCCGACACAACATCCGCAGAAGGTCTCTAACAAAATGTCGAAAGGATTAATTTTCATTACCGGAGCCACAGGTTTCATCGGTAGCGCCACAGCAGTGGAAGCCCTCAAGTCAGGGTACCGATTGCGGATCTGCGTTCGCAAACCTTCTCAGCAGCTGGAAACTTTGCTTTCAGAATACACCAACCAGCTTGAGTTTGTCATCGTTCCAGACCTCACCGATGAGACGGCCTTCGATGGTAAATTGGATGGAGTGGACTACGTGCTTCACCTTGCATCTCCGCTCCCTCATGGAACCAACAAGGAATCGTACTTCAATCCAGCTGTGAAGGGAACTACTGCCGTGCTGAAAGCAGCTGAAAAAGTCCCGAGCATCAAGAAAGTTGTGGTAACTGCTTCGATTGCTTCTTTGATCCCATTAGGTGGTATTCCAGAGGGTGGTGTGATTAAAGGTAGTGCATCCCATACATCCCCAGTGGCTTTGCAATGGCAAAGAGTACTGACCAAGGGTATAGAGGACAATGATTGGGACTTCTCAGTTGACGAGAACGGATCTTTCGAGGATCCTCAAAATCCAGCTGCAACACCAATGAAACTGTATTTAGCCTCGAAGCTCCTCTCAAACAACGCAGCCTGGGAATTTCGGGCAGCTACTAAGCCGCACTTTGCGTTGGTGACCTTGCACCCTGCATTTGTGTACGGACACAATCTTGTGCAGACTTCTGCTGAAGGAGTCAAGTATGGTTCGAACGGGAATTTGTGGAGTCTCATCATGCAAGCCAACCCCAACGCGAGTACTACAGGTGTACATATCCAAGATGTGGCCGAGGCTCATATCAAAGCGCTTGATCCGAAGATTGTGGATGGCTCAAAGTATCTGCTGGCCGGTCCGAAGACGACTGGATCGGAGATTGCACGCATTGTGCACAAATTATATCCCGATTCTGGTGCATTGATCAATGAGGATTCCCAGGGGTTTGCGATGCCAAATGATACCACCAAGGCGGAGACTGAGCTTGGGATGAAATGGCGCTCCGTCGAGACCATGGTACGGGAGGTTATGGATCAACAGCTCGGATTTTTGCAAGGAAATTAGAATCCGATGAGAATTTATTCATTGTAACTTAATTGACCGATCGATCTTGTTCTGTCTGAGTGGTGAACTTCGATCTCTTGGCATTGGTCGTGATTTCACTACATAAGCCTTTTGTTTCTTGTGATTAAAGGTACACAGCCCTAAAACTTTGTATAAGATAATCAGATGGAAAGAAACGATTTTCTCGTTTGTTACTTTGTGAGTGAGGAATGAGGCCCGCGGCGGGAGGCGATATGACAAATGCAAACAAATCAAATTTATTTATTAGCCTGATTTCTAAGGCGAAGCCCGGAGAACCTCTTAGACATCTTCGCAACCTGCATCTCAATCACTTCTTGGCCATTCTTTTACTGAGTACAATTGATCCCAATTATATAAGGAACTTCTGGTATTTCATAATTGTGGCCTGCCAAGTGTCCGTTTAAATTGGGAGCCAGCAATCAACAAAAACCTCCCGCTCAGACTCGCGACGACTATTGATTCTTTCTTAACCTTGCGCCTCCCACTCAAGGTACGAAGAATATGGCTACCGACTTCCAACGCGCAGCTGCACATGTCATATCAGCCGAGCCGACAAGGGATCCCAGCTACAATGAATTCACTTTCATGCCCTTTCTTCGGAAGAGCTTCGGCTTCGGACTCGCTAGCGACGTGCCCGTCTGCAAAGCCTACAGCGAGGGACACTGTCCTCTTGGGCCTGCTTGCCCAGACCGTCATCCCACTCCGTCTCGCGTGACGACTTCGACCACAACAGCATCTGGAATGGCACCATCCACAACACATGGGTCGCTAGTTTGCAAGCATTTCCTCAAGGGCCTGTGTAAGAAAGGATTGAAATGCGAATACCTCCACGAATACAACCTCCGACGTATGCCGGAATGCCAGTCCTTCTCTCGATCCGGATACTGCACCAACGGTGATGATTGCCTCTACCAACACGTCCGCGAAGAGGCACGTTTACCGCCATGCGAACACTACGACCGAGGATACTGTGAACTGGGACCCCTGTGTGCGAAAAGACATGTGCGTCGGCGTTTGTGTACCTTCTATCTGGCTGGTTTCTGTCCCGAAGGAAAAGGATGTGCGAATGCCCACCCTCGATGGACAGAGAACCTACCACGACCTACAATGCGCGCTGAGAAGACAGAAGAAGAACTAGAGCATGAGCGGACACTCATTCGGGAAGAACAAGAGCGGGAAAAGGAGCGGGAGAGAGAATGGCGGAACGAACGTGGACGGGGTGGAGGATTTGGGCGTGGACGTTTCCGGGGACGAGGAAGGGGTTAGCTTGCTACACCGATTCTTTTATGGCGACATTGCATGGCATGGAGTGGTGGTTTCCAGCAAGGGGTCTAATTTTTGTTTCATTTTTGGTTCTTGTTGGGATGGCCCTGAGATACCCCCATTGGATTTGGCGCGAAAGTATTCAGCACGATTTTTTTTTTCTTTATCCCATCAACAGTTCCATTTTTTGCTTGATATCGGGCCCTTAAAATCGGGCCACCGCTCTTTTTATCATTCATAAATCCCCTCCCGTCTTCCACTATGGCGTTTCCGGAATATGGTCCCATAGCGCCTGTAGTGCCGCACAACCAAAGTCCCTTTTAGGGGAACTATCAGCCAACCACAATTGTACATACACGCCAAAGTCAGCTTACTGATCCAGCTAAACCAATATGGGCGTTAGTGAAATTTTAAAATTTTAAAGCAAAAACCGTAGCCATCCAAAAATGAATGCTTTGTGATCAAAGTCCATGACATCATGATAATAATCCTGTCGGACGTACAAAAAAACAGTATATATCCTTTCGCAAGGTTATTTCCGTAGAATTAGAGAGAAATCCCTCCTCCGAAGGGTCTCAATAATAATTTGACCTGCATTAGTTACATGAAGGTACTGACTAGAGTGATGCCCGCTTGGCACATAAATTTTTTCATTTGTCAGTTCTCAGTAAGAATTACCGAAGAGAGCTATATCCGTGTGGATACTAGCCAGCCAATCATATTATACATTGGATCTGTCATCGATGACTGATTGATTGTGAAGCTTTATTGCGCTTGTTAATTGCAAATGGTACTTGGGTTCCCATAATGGTTACTATGGTGAACAAGGTACCTAGAACATTCCTCCTGGCGGGGGAGGTGAAATAGTATAATTAGGCTCCCTTCCCCCCGCCCTTCATCGCTTAACCAATTTCTCTCCCATCCCCAAATAATCACTCTCAATACCGTCACAATGGCTCCCAAGGTCGCTATCGTCTACGTAAGTTGTTCAATGGCAATCAATCTCTCTCCTACCTTGCTTGCTAATAACATCATTAGTACTCCACATGGGGTCACATCCTGAAATTGGCCGAGGCCGAGAAGAAGGGCATTGAGTCTGCCGGTGGTCAGGCCGATATCTTCCAGTTGGTCACACTGATCTTGCTCTCGAATGCAAATTTACTGACACTCAATTTTCTAGGATCGCCGAGACCCTCAGTGATGAAGTCCTGGCCAAGATGTACGCTCCTGCCAAGGCCAATTACCCTGTTATTGAGCCCTCTGAACTCCTTGCATACGATGCCGTTCTGTTCGGTATCCCTACCCGTTACGGTAACTTCCCTGCCCAGTGGAAGACTTTCTGGGACAAGACCGGTGGCATCTGGGCCTCCGGTGGCTACTGGGGCAAGTACGCTGGTCTCTTCGTCTCCACCGGTACCCAAGGTGGTGGCCAGGAGTCTACTGCTCTTGCTTCCATGAGCACTCTCGCTCATCACGGCTTCATCTACGTTCCCCTCGGCTACAAGACTGTCTTCAGCCAACTCAGCAACCTCAACGAAGTCCACGGTGGTAGTGCCTGGGGTGCTGGTACCTTCGCTGTAAGTTTACTCAACAGACATTGACGAGCTCCACCTTTCTGACCTTTATCTACAGGGTGCCGATGGTTCCCGCCAGCCCAGTGAGCTTGAGCTCGAGGTCGCCACTGCCCAGGGCAAGGCCTTCTACGAGACCATCTCCAAGGTCCAGTGACTGCATGGCAGTGCCGAGTCGAAGCCGGAGAGCTCGACCCCTGCAGCTGCGCCCGTTCAGGAGGCTGAGCAAGCTCCCCAGCAGCAGGGTTCTCAGGAGCCAGCCAAGAAAGAGAAAAGCAATGAAGGGCCTTGCGGCCTGCCTAAGAAGTGTGTGATTCAGTGATCGAGTCCATGTTTCTGTTTGCTTTTTTATTCTTGGTTCTCCCTGGGGCGTTCTCTGGCGTTTCTTCTACTGATAACAGACATGACCTTTCCATTCCCCAATAGTTTAATGGAATATTCCAAATACTCTTCAAGAAATCAGCTTGTCAAACATGTAGTAACTATAAATTGTAAATGATCATCCCTTAAAGCAGTACCGTACTGCGTGCCCTTCGCTATAGTTCACCTTCTTACCAATTTCATCTTGGCTTCTTCCTCATCTATGCTGAGAACTTTTCGGTCATATTTCATCACTGTTACTTGGTATTTGAGAGCTCATTTCGAAGAAAAAATTGTTAACCTCTAAGCGCGTACAGATCTATATGAATGGTAATTGTTTTACCAAAGCTTCGCCGATAAATTGCAGTTCAATTGCGGGGTGTTTTGTCATACTATTACCATACCGCCCGCCGGCTGTGACGTGACCAAGCAAGCTTCGAGTTAAGCTCGGTTTCATCTCTCAACTGTCTGTCTTCTTTTCGAATGAACCTATGGAACTTTGAAGTCTGGTTATAATCGCTTTATAATCTCCTTTAACCAGTCTCATACCTCTTGCAGGTACCAAAATGGGCTCTATTCTATTGCGATTTGAGAGTCGGAATGGCCAGTTTCGACTCACGGTCAGTCCGCAGGAACTGTTCCCATCGCTCAACCAAAAGGTACTTGACTGTTCCTCGTGATTACGGAACTCAAAAGCAACCTACAAAGCTTTGCTAAACTTCACTGACAGATCCTGGAACACCTCCCGGCAAACGTCGAACCTTCATCCATCGCCCTTTCAAATAAACCGATCGGCACAGGTGGCGAGGAAAGGCAATTAGCAACACTACAAGGCGTCTCCTTGCAACAGGTTGGCCTCAAGTGAGTTATTGAGTGATATGGCAACTTACATAGAAGAGATTACTCACGCGCGCTGGCTTCCAGGCATGGTGATAAGCTTTTTGTTGGGTACAAGGAAAAGGCACAGCACAATGGAGTTTCAAACGGCACCAGCTCCACCAAATCAGAACACCGTCTCAATGGCGCACCTATTCCCGAACAACAGACGGTCCCGATCCGCCCACAGCCCACTCTATCTAGTGCCGCTAAAGCTTCTATCAAGAACCCGTGGGACCAAGTGCAACAATCCCCATTAGACAACTTGCTGGACAAGAAAGATGGAAAGATCAAGCGTGGAATGGATTACAAGATGTGCAAGCATGGCCCACGAGGCATGTGCGACTACTGCATGCCACTTGAGCCATATGACAAGAACTATATGGCAGAGAAAAAGATCAAACACCTTTCCTTCCATTCATACCTACGGAAAATCAACGCAGCGACCAACAAACCCGAGCTGGGCACCTCATTCATGCCCCCTCTCAACGAACCATACTACCGAGTGCGACCCGACTGTCCCTCAGGGCATTCCCCTTGGCCGGAAGGCATTTGCACCAAGTGTCAACCAAGTGCAATCAGCTTGCAACCCCAGGAGTTCCGCATGGTAGACCATGTTGAGTTCGCCTCACCGGATCTGATCAACTCTCTGCTTGACTTCTGGCGAAAGTCGGGTGCGCAGCGACTGGGATTCTTATATGGCACTTACGAGGAGTACACCGAAGTACCGCTTGGTGTGAAGGCTGTTGTGCAAGCAATTTATGAGCCCCCACAGGTGGGTGAAGTTGATGGCATTACACTTCATGAATGGCACAATGAACATGAAGTGGACGAGGTGGCCCGTCTGTGTGGGTTGCAGAAGGTTGGTGTAATTTATACTGACCTGCTTGATGCCGGCCGTGGAGACGGGTCAGTGGTATGCAAGCGACACATTGACTCTTACTTCTTGTCTTCACTCGAAATCGCCTTTTCTGCCAGACTTCAAGCACAAAACCCAAAGTCCACAAAATGGAGTCGCACGGGTCAATTTGGTTCGGACTTTGTAACATGTGTGCTCAGTGGAGACGATGCAGGTGCAATTGCTATCAGCTCGTACCAAGCGTCCGTGTCTGCTGTTGAGATGGTTCGAGGAGACATCATCGAGCCCTCCGCAGACCCATCCGTTATGCTGGTACAATCGGAGCATGATGAAGATATCGGAAGCAGAACCAGATACATCCCGGAAGTCTTCTACCGACGAATTAATGAGTACGGCGCAAGCGTCCAGGAGAATGCCGAGCCGAGTTTCCCAGTCGATTTCTTGCTAGTGACCCTCACCCACGGATTCCCAACAGAATCATCCCCGATATTCACCAACAGCCGATTCCCCATTGAAAACAGAGAAGTCATCGGCGAGAGCCAGGAGCTTCGACACGTCGCACAGAAACTCATGTCCCATGGTGACACCGACAAGGCCATCCAAGGCGTCTCCGACTTCCACATCTTGTGCTTCTTGCATGGACTTAGCACATTCAACAAGGTCAGTTCTTTACTGCAACTTTCGCACTCGTGTAGATGACGCTAACTCAATTTACTTCAAAAGGACGAGGAGTCGCTACTCTGCCGCGTCGCACGAACCAAATCTCCCGCCGAAGGAATCCAGCTTGTGAATACGCCAGGATGGGCAACGTTGATGACAATTCTTCAGGAGAGTGGTGAGCGCCCCCTAAGCGCCCCTGGCCCACCCCGGCCGAGCCTTCTCGGTCATCTTCCCAGGATTCCCAAATCCGCAAACGTCGCAATCCCCAACCCTCCACACTACCCCGCTCCATATCTCCCAGTCCCGAGAGTGAGCAGCTTGCTAAGAGGTTTAAGGGAGCTAGTCTAGAGTGACGGATTTCGTCTTTCCGCCGTCCGTTTTTCATCGTCCCTATATTCGATTCCGCTTTTCGCGTCATGTTACCCGGGTAGGAAGGATTTAAATTTTGAATCGTCGTTCCTGTCTCCGAGATATTTCGATCCCGAGGTTGAGGTGGGTCTGCGTCGAATTAGGGGTGGAATTGGCATGGCCTAGTCCATCAAGTTATCTCAAAACAGCATCTAGAGACTAGCACCAATGCATTACTGATGAAATTCCAACTCGGTTGTAGTTTTCTTCAATAACATATAGTACACAGCCTATCCTTTGAGTAAGTACTTTCCTTCCTATTTTTTCTGTGTTATACCGATCTCGGGAGTCTGATTTGGAATAGAACTGCATGATAATAATGATAATAATATTACGTCCATAATCGTGTGTCATATCTGCTTGAATCGTTACAAAACATGCCGAACGCTCGAAAACAAATACTTAGTGTCAAGACTAAAACGCTTCGCTCTCTTGAACAAGATCCTTCAAGCGTCTTTCCAAGATCTCCCGACCTTGTCCAGTCGACCATACTTCATGCGGTGCATCCTCTGCCACATCCCAGGAGAGAAGGTTGTTTGTAATATGAGACAGATCCTCTTGTCGCTTTGACCAGAGAGAATCCTTTCGAACCTCCTGGCCAGAGCTCACAACAACCACGGGGACATTGCCCATCTGGACATGTCGAGCAGTCTGTACCTCTGCTGCAGTCATTGTAACAGCAACGAGACTCTCCTGAAGCTTGGCTTTGATGTACTTTCCAGTCTGGTAGGCCGAGCGACCCATAACACGATCTTCGCGAGAGCGGCCTCGTAGGATGGCGCCAGCAAGTCTATCGAGTCCCAGCGGGGAGACGATACCTCGGAGCCACAGCAAGAAGCCACGGCCAGGTCGCCCGAGATCGCCCAGGTATGCTTCGTGAAGTGGGTCGATCATGAAGATACCGCGAACCTCGAGGGTGTTGCGACTAGCAAACAGTCTAGAATAGAGACTTCCAACTCCCGCGGAGACAACTACCCAAGGACCGGTCTCTTCTGCAAGAGCCAAAGCCTCTGCCAGCACATCTGCTGACATACCCGCTGAATGAGGTGAAGGGGCATTGTCAGACCACCCGAATCCTGGCCGATCCCAATAACAGTATCGGCTGATAGATCCTCTGTTATAGACATCGTCGATGAAAGGCTGCAGGGTATGCTCGACGGGTCCATGCCCACCTTCGAGAAGAATCGTTGGAGAATTCGAATTGGTGGCAGTCTTGTTTCCAACACAAGCGAGGTGAACTTGATAAGAGTCTCCATGAACCAAATACCTCTCACCGCGAGGCTCCAACCCAGCATCAAAAGCGCGCAGAACAAGCGTCGCCGTGAACAACACCGCAGCAATTGCCATAACGGCCAACAAAATCGTCTCGGCGAAAACAGCAACCCACTCCAACAACGAGCGCCTCGTCTCCTCACGACCAGTAAGGCGCTCCTCTTCCTCCTTTTTCCCCCAAGCGACCGCCCGATTCTGTACAACCTGATAGATAGAAATCAGCGTCACCCAAACAACAGAGGCAATGCCGACCCAGCCCTCCTCGAGGCGAATACGAGGCACAGCAAGGATGATAATCATATCGACGAGCAGTAGAACGGCTAGCGTTATGCCCCAAATGGTCATGGGCTTCGATGGTACAGAGAAGAACATCAGGCCTAAGACTAGGTATCCTGTTGCCAGAGTTGTGTATGAGAAAGCGAAGAATCCCGATCCGCGCGTGTGGATCATCGGTGGACTGACGAAGATCGACACCAGAAGGAAGGTCCACCATATGAAGCTGGCCGCTAGAGCTATAATCGATACGCCGCGCAGGGCGCGCACGCTCCATAGATTGTAGGGCGATACCTACATTGATTTTTCATTAGCTTGAATACCGTAAGATGGATATAATGAACATACCGCCGGATCATCAGGGCTCAGGTATCCCTCATTATTATCAGGAAGTAATCTCGAGCGTTCGGTGGGTTCAGATCTATGCTGGGCATCTGGATCACCATGAATAGCAGACCCGGACTCGTCCAGGCTATTTCTTTTGATCCAGGGCGACATAAAGATGTTGATGTTGCGAATCTGAAATAGATTAAATCTTAATCAAGATCAACTAGACGGGCATCGATCGAATTATATTTCAAGTAGATCGAGATCAGGTATGACATCATGCATTCTGCAGGTGTTCCCGGTTATCTACTATAGCTCTGTACTCCATAGTTGTCTTACAAGTAGGCAGGCGAGTTTATGTTCGAATGTTCTATCAAATGAATATGATTAAAATGTACACTTAGTGAATTTTAAAAAATGCTCTAAAAAGGATCTAGCAAAAATATATTGTTGGAAAAGTCATACTTCAACTACTTATACGATAACTTTGACATTGAATTTACAGTGAACTCCAATCAACCCAGTTAGAGACTTCAAGATTACAACTAGAATATGAGGACCTGTCGGATTGACGCCGAAAAATGACCGCTTTTGAGGCCAGAAACGGCTGCCTTTCCACCAGTAACTTTGGACGTCTACATAGCCGCCCCTTGACCGCGTACTGCCCCATGACACCACTATTCTGCACCCGCCTAACACTGTTAGTCATCCTCCGGTCCTGATGTTGACGCTCTCGACTTGTATAATTGTTCCCCTCGTTTCCTCTGGGAACTCGGGGGAAACCTCTAGTTATGTGTCCAAGACCCACGAGTTTTGGCTACCATACAAAAACAGAGCAAAGAAGAACACACCGCTATCCTCCTTCCTCCCTTGCGTTTCCCTACCTCCCGTAGCCCAGGCTGAAATCTCCGTTTAACATGTCTTTTTTTCAAAGTTGAGCAGGCGTTGCCACGGACGGATAGAGGCGTCGGTCAGTTTTCCCTTACGTTTCAGATGGGAATTGATGCATGTAGATCAAGGCACTTATGCCTGCATTTCTTGTCGGCGCATCCGTCTACAACATCTAAATTCCCAAATACTAGAACACCCTAACAAATATTGACTAACACAAGTAGGCCTAGAGTCACTTGGCTCATCCCCTTGGAATTGATGTCCAATCTCGCACCCGGCACAGCTCTGTTAGGACCAGTGCAACTTGTCAATCCGTTGATAGTAGCTGGCGTCCATCTCTTTATCTTCCTTTGGTGTGTCGAGAGCCTTCGAGCAAAGAGGGTGGGATATGCCGATGGCATTAGTCAGCATTTGGTCACACTCGTTGTCAACCCTATAGTGGTGGCAGATTCGACAGTTGCCATTTGACTGCCGTATGCAGTCTTGGGCGGAGTGACAGCCAAAATCGTAGCAGAACCTAGCCCCGCTTCGTGTGTGCATTGCCTAGGTCGTAGGTCACCTCCCAATCGCCGGCGGGCTCATGCTCAGGCAGTTTGAGCTCCGGGTTGTGCCTGTTCATTCCCTTTGCAAACAGCACCCTGGCATAGGCGGGGTCAAACACGAATGTCGTTTCGCCGGTCACACGGTTTTTCAATTCCGCCGTAGCCAAAACCTCGTCTATGGCGACGTACTCATCCAGCCTCGGTATACTTGCCTTCTCAATTTGTTCCTTTATGTGCTTTGCAGTCTCAGTATCGAACCGGGTGTCGATGAAGTATAACTTGTCTGAACCGGCCGCTGCCACGTAGGGAGTATCCGGCGCCACAACCTGGAAGTCAAATTCTGTTTTGATAACCTTTGGTACGTAGTTGCCCCGATACTCCTCTTCGAAGATTGGGGAACCCTCGCATGGTTTAAACGGGCTCAGAAGCATGGTGACTAATAATAGAAAGAGCATAGTGGTATAGGGACAAGTTGACTATGTATTCTGAGTATGTTGTCTCTGCGTATGTTGTTTCTCTTAAATAACCTGTCGAGGACTTGCGGTCATGCCACGCGCTAAAGTTGACATCAATTTGACATTCGAAACATGAGTAACTATTGGCCACCGCATTGCTATCACAATGCTACCGTTGCAGACAGACCCCTGCACAATCCTTGACATTGAGAATCTGCTGGGCTGGGTGTGGGAGGGTTAGCGAGGTTCAGAATATGGTGCGGTTGCTGCAGCGGTATTGATATGTATATTATGATTCCAGGAGACGGGGTTGCCAATATTAAATCGATATAAAACAGGTCACCAATATAATCAAAACTAATGTGATTGTATGCATTTATTATGCACTTTCATGGGTACTTAGGGTACCCGTGAGCTTTTTGCGAAACTCACGGGCAGGTGAGGAAAAATGAAAACCCGCTACTGACGTGGCTATTACGGACATGCCCGATCTATCTGTCATTAGATCAAGAGCATGATCCGCCCTGATCAGACCTTCCCGGCAGGGGTTTTCCTGTACATATGTGCTGTCATAGGTTACATGACGGCGTATTTGAGGCGCATTATCCAAAAGGCAAAGCTAACCCGATACAGTAATTCACAGGTCCGCCGTTTACAGGTGTGCCCGGCTATTTGGCCGATATATACGTTGTAGCCCTGTACTCCCCGATCTATGTACTCCACAGTTTCTTACGAGTATGCCGGCAAAATTTCTTATATCAAATAAATCAAGCAAAACAAGTTGCTGTACAGGCCAAATTTCAGCTACTTATTTTAAAGCTGGCGGTGTGAGTGTGCTGCGACACGATTATTGACTATTGAATTTCACAACGAACTACTCTGATGTTTAGGTAGAGACTTCAATAGGACATATTCGAATTTTTTCTTGTTTAAGACCAGTTCTGCTTATATCATTTAAAAAGATGCTCGATAATAGAGAATATCTAAGCTACCAACCCGCCGAGACGTGTGAACAGCTCTACTTCCATCCTGTCAGCGGCATCTGGCTGCTCAAGAATTTGACCCATATCATCGCTACCGAGATCATCCTCCCACAATGGCGGAGGCTCAGCATTTGCTTTCATATTTCGGTAAACACACATTCTCAGGTGCCAACGCAGAAGATCTGGACTAACGCGGTTGGTTTGGTTGGTGCCGTTCCTTGCTGAGTCTTTGAGACATGTCCCTCCAAGTCCAATTATGTCTTGGCCGAAAACAACGATTTTGTAGCCAGCCTGAGTTCATAAGACGTTAGTTCCCGAGCATATATAGAGACAAACAAAAGATTCTTACGTCAGGATCCACGCCTAACAAGAAATCATCAAATACATCGTGAGCATTCTTGCTGAGCAGAAGCCCATTTTGAGGAGAGTACAGGCCACTGTCTCCAATATCGACTGCGGGGCTAGTATCGGTAATGTAGCGTCTGTAATGGTTTCGGTTCCACTGTGCGAGCTGGCTTACAGGGAAAACATGGGCGGCTTCCAAACCTCGGTATTTGCGGTCGGGGCTTGTTACGAAGGCGGAAATGGTGTTCATTGCGCAAACGGTGTCCCTCTCACAAAGGCTTCTTCGGAGGTGCAATTGCTGTTAAACCCTATTAGCTATGCCATTATGCAAGCCTTTAAACCGTATAGTCAGCTTACCAACCGGTCTCTCTCCTTGGTCCCTTGGGTTCTAGTGGTGTAGTCATTGGTCCTGACACGACGCGGTGCTTCCTCGCTAGTGAGCTGGACGGAGATCTGTTTTTGATCTAATCAAAGTTAGAGGCTTCAGTATCTAGACATGCAACACACTTACCCGAGTCACGAAGAACGATATAATTGCCTGGTCTCAGCAGGGTTTGGCGATCATGGTGAAGCACACGGCCTGGTAACCCATCTTGTAGCAACGGAAATAGGGACCATACCTCCTGGCTATGGATAATGAAAATCATGCTGCAGTAGCGGTATATCATCTCATATGTTATATAACCATGAGGAGATGCGACTGGTAATGCTGTGTTTGCGTGATATTCATTATCAGTATTGTTCGGTTCCTGTTCAGCTTCTTGTGAGTTTTACTTACAAGCCAACAAGATTCCACACTGAGCATATATGCGCACATTGTGCGTGGCGATCCTCGGTTCTTGGAGTCTGTGTTCCATTCTAGTGGAGAGAAGATGCGCACGAGATCTCGTTTGAGAGGTAGACAGAGGTTGATGTGAGGTGATCAAGACATCGAGGACGAAGTGAAGCGATTGGATGAAAGCGAGTATGAATGGTAGACAGAATGCAGAAGGCGATCAGAAGATTGAGGAAGAACTGAAGTGAATGAATGAAAGGATGAATGCATATGAGGGCAATTCTAGATGGTAAGCAGGTCTTAGAAATTCCAGAAATTAAGAGATAAGAATGAAGAAAAAGTGAATATGTATGGCCGCATCTATGGAAGTATGTAATTATGAACACAGCTGTGTATGCCTTAGGGTTCGGGCATGGACGCCAACTCCATGTAACTACGTAACTACCCAAAGGGAAGTTTGGTTTCTCAACTACACGATCGTTATCTTGCGATTAAGCTGTAAATTTCATGTTTCAAATTTTCTATCGAGTGAAACTAGTCAAAAAATGAAGGATTGAAAAATGCCTAAGAAAGATTTTAGCAAAATGAGATTGCCCAAAAGCCCAAATAAATTTGCAAGACAAGAGAGTTGTAAAAGTCTTGGATGGTATGTTTGTATGTTTGAAGACTACCTATGCGATACCTGCAGAAACAATTAACCATATCTCACACTCTTCGACCCATCACCGAACCAGTCATCGGCGGCCAGTGACTCCTCGGTAGACGCAAAGTTCATGATAGTGCTTTTCGTAGTGGTATACGCATGATAAGCCTCGATCCCATTCTCGCTTCCAACTCCACTGGCATTTGTAGCACCTCCCCATGGGCTGCTAGGGTCGTTTCGGTGATGAGTGTTGACCCAAGTGATACCAGCTTCCATCCGCTCGGAGACCCGGAAAGCCTGAGAAAGATCCTGTGTCCAGATGCCAGCGCCCAATCCAAACTCGGTGTCATTTGCCAAGGCAATGGCTTCCTCTTCATCCCGGAAGGTGACAACGACAATCACGGGACCAAAGGCCTCTTCCTGCCAAATGGATGTTTGGGTGATCTTGTTGTTTTTGGTGGATATCAAAACTGTTGGTTCGTAGAAATACCCCTTTGAGAAGTTGAATCCGTCGAGACTGCTTTGATCCAACATCCGATTTCCACCTACCAGAGGAAGTGCCTCGTTTAGCCGTTGTGCGTCACCAACTAGACGTTCCACGCGTTCGATCTGCTTCGAAGAGATCAAAGGGCCCATCATCGATTCCGGATTCATGGGGTCTCCCATTCGTTTGGCGATACTTTCGACTTTGTCTTTGAGCTTTGATAGCAGCTCTTCCTTGATGGTATCCTGCACAATGATTCGAGTGCTTGCTACGCATGTCTGTCCACTCGCAATGAAGCTTCCAAAGACAATTCCGTTAACGGCCATATCGATATCTGCTTGCTCAAACACAATCAAAGGCGCCTTTCCACCTAGCTCCGCTGTATACTTCGCGAGATTACCGCCAACGATCTTGCCAATCGCTCTACCGGCTTCAGTGCCCCCAGTCACGTCCACCTTTCTGACCAAAGGATGCTCAACCAGGGCTTTCCCAGTGATAGCTCCATAACCAGGCAACACACTCAACACACCATCAGGGATACCCGCCTCTTTCAAAATCTTGGCAAGCAACAGCGTCGTCAGGGGCGTAAGCTCACTGGGCTTGATAATAACACTATTACCAGCCGCCAACGCAGGAGCCAATTTCTTCACGGCAATCAAAAGCGGATGATTGAACGGCGTAATCTGAACGACCACACCGAGGGGCACGCGATCAACAAAATTATGCAACTTGCCAATGGTCGGAAGAACAGAGCGCTCTTCGACACGAAGCAGCGAGGCATAGTACTTGAACCACCTGGTGAGGGACGGAACCTGTGCGTTCATTTCTCGAATGACGCGTCCTGTCTGCTTCGACTCCAACGGGATAAGCTGTGGAAGGGCTTCGGCGAGAAGTACTGCGCACTTCTCGAGCACATCTGCGCGATGATGACGACTTGCGCGCGACCATGTGCCGGATTTGTATGCTTGGTGAGCGGCTGTGATTGCGGCGTCTACATCTTCTGGAGAGGCCGCGTGGCATCTGATAATTGTGAGAGAGAGTATACAGTTTTGAAAAGGAGAATGGCTTACTGGGCAAAAATTTCTCCTGTCGCCGGATCTTCGATGGGAATGCTGGTGACTTGTCAACGCTATCATCCTGAGATCGGCTTGGAAGTTCTATACGCACCAGTCTTCGTGGCCCTCTTGCTCTTTACCAGCCAGCCAAAGAAGGTGAGACTCCATATTGTTTGATATTATGCTAGGGATGTGTTTGCGAACTTGTTGCAAAGTGGCTTATCAAAGGCAAGTGAGGGGTATAATCGATCACCCTAGTCCTTCCTTTGCTTTCCCTTCACATTTAGTAATTACTGTTGTGCATCCTTTATTTTTATCAGACAACAGTCTACTGCTTGACTACGTAGACAGTAAATTGTCATAATTTTAATTAGCACCTATCACTTCGTGGAGGCAGAGCAATAGGAAATATTAGTAAAAGTCTTTCCTTATTGTCTATAGTCATATGTTTCAACTTTGCGACACAATCTAGTAAATTCAAAAGAGAAAAGTTGGTACTTCTGAGTGAACGTATGGGTGTGTACGACTTGCTAAACTAAATCATGGCTCGCTACTACGCTAAATTTGTTCTCAATTGCACAAAGCATCTTGCATTTCGATATGATGAAGCCTCTAGTAAGCAGGAACTTCAGAAGTGATGAATTGATTGATCGTCTATAGATACTGTACGACAAAAACATTAAGCTAATGTATGGCTTGCATAAGAAGTGATTGGGATCTCAACTATTGGCCGAAGGGGGGTACACAATATCACTTGGCATATTAGTTTATTGCCCGACCTTCTTGCTCGATGGCTGCATCTGTATGTATTTTGAATGCGATCGAAGTATGGCCATCAATGGAACCCCGCCAAATGACATCCATCCTCTTCTCGTATTTCCACCCTTAGCGTGGTTCTCAACTTCAGCTCTGCGCTCCAGTCAGCTTCTCGTTACAATCAGCGAATGAATTCTTCCTACCCGAGCCGAATGGTGACCGATTTTACTTTGGTCTTCTCTCATGCATTGGGCGGTCCTTAATAATGGGCAAAAATTACCTTCTACTGCACGATCTGTGCGGGTCCCTTGTACAACTGGGAGCAACGTAAGGCCTCCATGATGCAGCCCGGCGATAACCGATATCTTTATTTCGACGATGCTTGCGAGTGTGGATATGAGGAGAATGAAACCGACGGCCGTGTAGAAGAAAAAAACAGTGAAGTAGATCTTCTCAAACACGATGAATATTGTAACTATAGACAGGGATATTGGAGTGACATTCTATCCGAACTTGACATCGCGGTATGTATAACTTTGAGACCAATCGGATATTCACCTAACATCTGATCTAGTGGCTATCAGAAGCCAGGATGCTGCGCATGCGGTCGGATTCTGAAGCGAGTGAAAGTGCAATCAATACCAGATGATGGGAGTCCATGCTATTTAACGTCAAGCGTAAGGAGCGTGACATTCTTCTCCAAGTTTTCGGCACGAAGCTTATATTTTGTAGGGCGTGTACGACCTCTGCGATGGATTCATACTTCCAGTTTCGGATGACGACAGTCTTTGGCCGAATCAAGATGGGTTTTTGGTGCATGATGCATGCTGGAAGATGCTGCTCCTGGTACATGAAACCACAAGGCCTACTCAGGCACTGCTCAGTCCGAGTCGTGTCTACCAGGCCATGCAATCTAAACTTCTTGAAGAGAACGATACTTATATCTACTGGGATGATGCACGGTTATATGGGGGAACAGAACAGTTCGCAGAGCAGGAGTGGGTGCCTGTTCCAGGTTACGAGGTGCGCATCCCCTATAGTCCACCCACCTTTGCTGACCACCTCACCAGTGGCTAGTTGCAAACCCAATGAAGGAAACTGACCTTTCTGGGCTTGTCGAGAAATCGACTAAGTTGGAGCTCAAACCCCGAAATGGCTGTCCAACGAGTGGCACTGTACTGGCGGATCCGTTTGCAAGGCTCCCCATCGAAGTTCATTACATGATATTGGAGTTGCTTCCATCAAGTTCGATTTTGTCTCTCCTTCTGAGCAGCCGGGCATTTTGCGCAGCCTCCATCAATCCACCACCGTCGTTTTGCAAATCTCGAATTCTTAAGGACACACCATGGTTTGAAGGAACTTCATTACATGAGACTTTGTCAAAAGAGACCGCAAAGATTGACCATGAAAATCTTTTGTCTGTACTGAAAAACGCCAGTTATAGTCTCCCAGATGGCAGAAATACCCGATATGAGATCTATCTCTCCTTGAAAAACCGCCGGCGAATATGGACCTGCTGTGAAGGTATACTCGACATAATGGAGCAACAGAGCAAAGATTCAAATATCACCGAGACTATCTAAACAAAATACTAAATCAACGAAACGCATAATTTGTATCAGTTTCAAAATAATTAAATTCAACAAGAGATAATTCTGTACGGCCCCCAAATCCACAAATATCCGGTCGCAGGTCTGGGGCCATTAAATGGGGGCGGTCCACGTCGATCACTTGACGTTTCCCAACCTCGGTTCATCTTCAACCCACCATCAACATGTCTGTCTATTCGGCCCTCATTTCAGCTCCCACGCCAGTAAATAAAGGAGTCAAGAAACTGGATCATCCTGTTGGAATCCGACCAGAACATATTGCCAAAGATGAAACCCTACTATATCTCAAACCTAAATATGACCACCGCTCGCCCAATGAATACACCATAAAGAACTACTGGGATGACTCCACCGTATTCACAATCACCGGGCACAAATACGGCGATACTCCAGCTCGCGAATTCCGCGATTCATCGGGTCTTCCGATGTTCCACTCTCGCGCGACGTCACTCGCATGGCGAAGACCGTTGCGCGTGCGATTACCCGGCAATGAGCAGGACGAACTGGTGGATTTCAGAATACAGTCGAACAATGTGTGCAAACTTTCGTTTCGCAATTCTATGGCGCCTGAGATTGAAGATAAAAGCTATAATATCGTTAATGTCGAAGTGCGCGATACGGACAATGCCCTGTGTTCAGGCTGCTCGGCTACAGTGAAAGGCCAGAAAGTACTCGATGTTCGTGAGAGCATCACGATGAACAAGACTTTGCCCAGGTGGCGGGTACAAGGTGATGTCTCCTTGATGCCTCGGCAGGTCCTTGAGGTACTTGTAGCTGAGGGGTTTGACATGTCACTCGTGAGTAACCTTTTTCGCTAAGGTTGACAAAACTGACCAGTTCGTTGAGGCTGCTCTGATTGCTGTACACATGGCGGATACGAAATTTAGCACAGCTCCTCCTCCTCGACGCTGAGAATATATTATATGTGCAGGCTTTGGTTCAACCTTCATATTTGTACAAAGAGCTATTATAGTTTCATCTTCTCTTCCAAGGGGAGCCTTTTGACTACATCGCTGATGGCATCAGCCACCCATTCGATGTTTTGTGCATTTACTATGAATCCTTAGTGTTGTCATTTAAAGATAGGAGGATAAGCAACATACGTCCAGGAAGCGAAATTCGGCCGGTGGACATTATATAAACGTGATAATCTTCGCGTAAAAGATCGACGTGTTGCTTGGACAAACTAGTACGAGCAAATATACCTCTCTATCGTCATGCGGAGTTCTGTTAGCAACTGCCAGTCTTCTTTCATTCTGGAACATACCTGGATGAGAAGATATTCCCAATTTCCCGGAATTCTCCTCTTGATCAGTTCGTTATATAGCCCCAGTCTCAATTTCTGGATACGATCAGTCATAGTCTTTAGGTCAGAACGCCACGCCCTGTAGAGATCTTCCGAAGTCAAGATCATAGATACAATGTTAGCCCCATATGTAGGAGGGGTCGAAACAAGACCACGCTGATAATAACACAATCTATCAACCACCGCTTCGCGGTGATCTGAAGAATCAAGAACAGCATGGAAGCATCCAACTCGCTCGCCATATAACCCAAAGTTCTTCGAAAAAGACTGTGCAACGCATAACTCCAGTCCCTGTTGTATAAAACACCGAATAGGCCATACATCTGCATCTGGATCCCCCGATGCAAATCCTTGATAAGCACAATCAAAAAATGGAACGATGCCCTTCCTCTGACAAAGCTCGCTAAGTTCAATCCATTGCCTCGGTGTGGGATCAATACCACTGGGATCATGAGCACAAACTTGAATAATAATGATGTCGTTCCTTCGGGATTGGGTACTCAAGACGGACATCATACGCTCAAAGTCGATTCCCGATCGACCGGGGAGAGTATAGGGATATGTGCACCGCTGAACACCGCCTACCAAATCCCAGATAGCATGGTGACTTGCAGAGGTTGGATCTGACATCCAGACGGTATTTGGTTTTGACGCATCACATAGAAGCCGTGCGCCGATTTGATATGCCCCTGTTCCGGAAACTGTTTGGATGGAAGCGAGTCTATTGCGTAATTCCGGCGGCGGGTTCCCAAATAGCATATTCTGGGCGGCTTTGATGAAAACTTCATTACCATACAAACTTGAGGTTTTATGTGTCAAAGAAGAGTCCATAATTAATTCAAGCTCGGCCTGGGGGATCATGGTCAGTAATGCATTAATGTTGGAATATGTTGGCGACAATAACTACCTGTCGCACCACTGGGAGAACCCATTGTTCGCCGTTTCTGTCTTTGTATTCTTCAGGAGTCAGATTTACTTTCTTCTCGCATAAGTCCACATCGTAGAGTTTTGTTAATGTGGATTGTTCATCTTCAGGTGGCGACGGTAGATCAGCGAATGCGGATAATGGACAGAAGGAACCCATTTTGCGATATCGACATTGAAGTTAGAATCTCAACGGAAGGGAAAGAGGGGGTATATATGTATATATATACATCGATGTACTCGGTTATACCCGGTCGAGAGCTTTGCGGCTGCATTGAGGTCAGTTGACCTCATGATGTGGATTTTTTGGTGACATAATGCATTTTACTCCCATTGCATCCTGTAACAAGTTCGATTGTAAATACATCATTATTCAAAAATATCAGTGTCAAATCCTTCAACTAATTATTATATATTGTTGTGGCCTTGAGTCTGCTGGATATTAATTTACAACACAACTTGACAGTCATCCAGGGCTCCTAATCCCGATATATCTGGCACCCAACCACTCAGCAATGCGTCCTGATAAGACTTCCAAATTAGATCCGATGAAAAATCGGTGAAATCTCGATACGCCTTTAATGTAACCGAGTCCAAAGACTTCGGCCTTGACAAAACCGCCTGTCTCTGAGGTCGAAGAGCCACCCCATGTGCCATAATATCCGCATCGGGATCATACAGCTCAGGATACTTCTGGAAAAATGCCGGGTCCATCATATACTGCGAAACTCCATGGTCCATGCGCAACTTCTGAAAGACCAAGCGGGCAGTTCCCGGCGACTCGAAGATTGCCCGAGCGTTCGATGCAGGAAGCTTTGCGACATCACTTGGTTTCGATTTCTCATCCATAGCTTTAATGAGATCGAGTACACGGACATGCACAGGAAGAACAGAGGCACCTTCAACGAGTTCTGACATATATGTTTGAACAACGTATCCACTCACCGCATCACAGAAGATATCGTCGACGTTGGGATTTCCGGAATGCAGAAGAATCATCTTATCTCGAATAGAAGGGAAGGGGATCCAATCAACGATTGAAGGATAAGTATTTGTCGATTGAACATGTGTAAGGCGATAAAGCGGATGGACCTTCTGCGCCGCCTGTTCTGTCGGGTTCAAGAGTGAGACTGTCAAATCGACGATATGGTAGAACCGTGTCCTTGCATACCAAGTCATAGCATCCGGTCTGGAAATACTATTGAACATGGAGAGAACTGTCGAGACAGATTGATAAAACCTAGATGTTTCAGAAACTGACCCTTTGATCCTGGACCCTTCATAACGCTTACAGATCAGGGTAGGACTCGGGGCTTCGACCCATTCCGTCCCACTTTTCTCGGAGAATGTTCTTCAGCGCACTTACGTGCTCTGAGAATGGCGAATTCGAGGGCGTCCAGTCAATTTTCAGCTGCTCGGCTATTGCTTCATTGGCACCAAGTGCATCAACATATGGCGCTGGACCCATCTGGTATTGGTATGTCCAGATATTCGGTAGTGGCGATACAATCCTCGGTTCCGGTTGATGTATCAATTCAGAGAAAGAAAAGTCCGGGGTTTTTGGCAATTCGAAAGTAACGAGCTTCATACTCTCTGTGGAGGTATTGGGCAAACCATCGTCGAATGATGATTCAAGCCCGAGTTTCGGGATTTCCTTTTCTGCTGTTATATCGGATACTGTGGAAAAGGGATCCGGGGAGGGCTCCTCTATTAACTCGACACTTTCATTGCTTGTTGTCGACTTGCTTCTTGGTTTTCTTGTTTGATCCTGGAAAAGCGTTACAAACGGTGTACCAGGTAAATTCATGTATGATAGGAGCACACTTACTGTTCCATCCAAAGCCTGAGATATGCCATCACCAAGAGTGCATATGGTTGCGCGCAGACTCTCCAATTTCGTATGACAGTGAATCAAACTTTCACGAAGAGTTTGATTCTCTTTCTCTAATTCAATAATGCGTTCGTTATCTGGTTTGTGTTCTTTGGCTTTCTGCTCAAGCTGCTTAATATACTCAGATTGGCGGCGGCGGAATGCCTGTTGAGAGACCCGATTACGAAGTTTTCTAGATATGGTCAACACCGTATGCGTGGAGACCATTGGAAACGAGCTCACTTAGTTTCTGCATCCCGGCTCTCGGTATTTTTGCTTTTCGGTGGCATTTTCCAGTGTGTTTGTTAGTCGCTACCAGCCAATTGAGGGCTTTAAAACGGATAATGAAAGCCGATCAGCTGATTGAAGTCTTTGAGTCAATGTACGATGTCGAATCCGAAATTTCAACGCCGTTCTCCGATAAGGTGCGGGGATTTGAAAAGTTACGATACTAAGTATGATACGGTATTTTGCGATACGGGGTTGTGTTCTACCCTTACCCGCAGGCCAGCCCTAGAAGACTGTCTATGAGGTTGGCTAGTGAGGAAGATGACAATAAACTGATGCTCAATAAGAGTTTCGTCGAACATCGTAAATGGAATGTATGTACCACATAGGTACATTCACGTGCACCGAGTTAATCAAGTCGTTATTTGTTCAAATCACCGGAATCTAGAAATTTTGATACTCTCGAGAATATAGCTGAACCATGAAGGGCACGAAAGGCATGAAGGGCTATCTTGGATGATAGATAGACGCTCTATTTCCAAATTATCTCCCACCACGCACATTTGAGTTTATCTGCTGCCACGCGACTTTACCTGTGTCTTGTAGCTCTAGATTGGCCCAATGGATCTATAAAAGGCCTTGATATCTGTGACGAGAGCTCCTGAGCTAGCATTTTCATGCCGTCGAGCTATCTCATAAAGAGCCTAGACCGTCGAAAACAAAAACTTCCGATTAGCTGTGGTCCACATACTCGGGCCTTGCATCCGAAGAATCCAGCGTGCCGTCCCTGAGAATGCCCTAGACCTTGGCTCTCATTTAACTGCGGCTGCAACTTGGCAGAATTTCCTTCATGCGAGTAATAAGGTGATAGAAGCCCACGAGTTGTAATCTTGAAACCTGGTGCCATTACGCAGTAGGAGATGGGTATTACAAAAGAAAGAAACAAGGAACATTCCTCACAAAAAGGGGCCCCGTGTAGAATTCGATGTATTTTAAGCCATTATCTCATAGACAGGGGCACCACACTCTTTATGGGCCAGGTAATTCCATAGCTTTTATATGAATTTGGATATCCCAACCCTAGCCTTGATGATCACCTCACAGCTTACGACGAGTATCAAGCGAGTATGCCGATCATGGTAGATCGCTTTAAGCTGAACTCACTCACTCTACATTATGCCTATTTTATTCTGACACCTATGATCGTCAGTGTCGTATTCTATCTTTCTGCGCATCATGATGATCTTCACTATATCGATGCATTGTTCATGTGTTTCTGTGCTATTACGGGCACTGGATTGAACGTGGTGCGTCCAAGAATGAAACGTTCAAAATAAGAGGAATACTCATATGTTGTGCAGGTGAACCTGTCAACACTAAATGCATTGCAGCAAGGCATTCTTTTCACCCTCCTCATCTTGGGTCACTCCATTCCCATCTTCGGGGTCCGCTCCTTGGTTCGAGCATGGAAGCTTCGCTCTGCGTTGAAAATAGACTCGGAAAGCCAAAATGTGGAGGAAATGGCAGAAGATAAGAGCAAACCAAAGACAACGGCCACCGTAATGGAGTTGCCACAGTGCCTTCCATCTCCAAATGAGTCAGATTCGCTACAAAAAGACTACGGTTTTATTACTTCCGTTGATGGAACAAATCCAGTCTATACTGAGCGGGCGATCCCAAGCCCCATGGATGGCAGCGAAACTCCTACATCGAATGCAAAAATTTGCAATGTTCGGGTGGCCACCAGATTAAGGAGTACGATACGATTGGCAGGAAACCTTATTAAGTCACGAGGTTCAATCGACTATGATCAATCAGGTGGGCTAGAGTATCTAGCTGTTTGCTTGATATCAGCATTTGTTATTATTTACTTCATCTCCTTCCTTTGTTTGGGAATTATGGGTGTTGGTATCTGGTCCCATGTCTTCCGGCCAGATATTGCACACGCAGATGGAGTTTCTGCTTTCTGGGGAGGAGCCTTTCTCGCTGCGTCCGCATTCTCCAACAATGGCATGTCGCTCATCACCACCAATATGGGCCCTTTTCAAAGAGAGTGGGTCATTCTGCAACACTCATCGCTGAGAAGTCATTTCTGATGCCGAACCAAACAGGGCTTTTCCACTTCTGGTCTCTGGTTTTTTAGTTCTCGCTGGCAACACGCTTTTCCCATGTCTACTGCGTCTTTTCATCTGGACTACCAGAAAAGCTTTGCCAGATCAACCCAGCTGGCAGTCATGGCGCGGAGCTCTCGATTATACTCTTGCCCAATCTCACAATGTGAGTTATCCCAATTTTCTCTCTACAAAGTTGAGGCTTACAAGACCAAAGATATGCGATTATTTGTATCCTACTTGGCACACGTTGTTTCTGTTAGGGACAGTCGTTTCCCTCAATTGCATCATGTGGGGTGCATTTGAACTTTCTGCGATTCACAATGAGGAGATTGCAGCTCTTCCTCCTAAATATCGAGTGCTTGATGGGCTTTTCCAAGCTTTATGTGGGTTTATCCCACCGTTGCATCTCTAATCAATTTGACTCACAAATTCAAGCTGTGCGTGGTGGTGGATTTTCTATCGTGGCGTTTGATAGATTGCCACAAGCTTTGCTTATTCTATATGGTAAGTTCTGTTCTAACCTAAAAATCATGTGCCCTGAAGAAATGGCTGACTAGAACATTCAATAGCACTCATGATGGTAAGAGTCCAGATTACCTTAACGCAATGCATTACTAACGATACTTTTAGTATCTGTCTGCTTTTCCAGTATCGACAGCCATCAGGTATGCCCTATTGTCACTATTTACTTGCACTGATTCTAACGCCTTGACAGCAGCCTCGAAGTATACAAAAGGTCGTGCATCAAGACATTCAGTAACAAGACTGACTCCCATGAGGATGATTTCCATTCTTCGAATTCAGCAGCCGGTCCACGCCTCTCACGCCTTGCGCGAGGTCGCTTCGTGTACCAACAGATCAGCTCTCAATTCAACAACGATATGTGGTGGCTTTGCCTTGCCGTTCTTCTGATCACCGTCGCTGAATCCAATAATTACAAATCCGATCCCATGGCATTCTCTACATTTAACATCATTTTCGAGGTAGTATCTGCATACAGTTGTGTCGGAGAGAGTATCGGATATCCCGGGAAAAGCTATGCTTTCTGTGGCGAGTGGCACACATTCAGCAAATTATTGCTGATTGCAGTTTCGTTACGAGGCAAAATCCGCAGTTTGCCGATTCCCATTGAGAGCAATGCCATTCTCCAGGACGAAGCCCTTCAAAATTCGACGCAAAATTCGACGTCGAAGGTGTAAGGCTGATGATACTCAGTTGTGGGAATATTGTGATAGTTCCCACCAGTTGCTCCGACTAGCAACTGGATAATATATACAGTACTCGGGGCTCTGAGTGTTACATGGGCTTTGAGCTGTTTCCGCTGGCTGCATTGATGAAAGGTATCTTGGATGCCATTTTACTTTCAGGCTCCTTGAGATGCACTACTCTCTAGTGTGCCCCAACGCTGCTCCGTCGCTGCCGGTTGAGCCGGTCGTTGATCTAGTCTCGGGATATGTCCGCTGCGCCAAGCCAACCAATGCGCTCAAACCCATCTTGGCAGGGCGTTGGTCACATTTTAGCGTGGCCACCGGTGCGCTCCTCGGAGAACCGTTTGGCTCATTGGTTTCCCAAAGCTTCCAGAAATGAGCTCTCCTCGGCTTTCTGCCGCTCATCGAGCCTTACCTCTTCTAGCCTCCATCTGAATCCACCCGTGGATGAGAGTGATCAAAACACGAAGCGTCTTATCTAGGTCTGTTGGCTTGTCTACATGCATCAACTGAACCTCATAACCGAGAAATAAATCTCTCAGTTGGAGACAATATATCCATCCTGTGTATAAGATATGGAAATGTTCGAACATCAACTTTAACATCATTTTATACGTGTGCACAGGTCCTCTGCCCCTGGACTCTCCAAAAATACAAAACACTTGGTTAAACTGTTCTCTGGGTGTGGTTCCCGAATTATACATCTATCACCAAGGCCCGCTGTCTCAAGACTCAACATGTATGCTCGGCTTCAAATTCACCGGAATTCCGTCACGAGGACCAAGCCCTGATTAGACACAATAGTTTTGCGACCTGAAACATCCCATGGCCTTCTACCCGAAAGGGAGACCGTTAGATCTTCCTCAAATCACATAAAAAGAGCAGCAGCAACCGCAGCGCCACCCATCACCATTCCCCTGGCCGGAACAACCGACACAGCCGCATTTGGGGTGGAAGTCGCAGATCCCGAAGTCGCAGACCCCGAAGTCGCAGATGCCGAAGTCGCAGATGCCGAAGTCGCAGATGCCGAAGTTACAGATGCCAAGTTCGAAGTTCCTGATCCCGAGTTCGTGCTCGTGGAAGTGGCATTGCTGGCCGAAGAAGCTGTTTGTGAAGCAGCAACACTCATCGACGCCAACGACACCTGACTAGAATAATCGGTAGCTGTGAAAGGGATTTTCGTGAGACAGGTAATAGTGGAGGGCGTGTAAGTTGTAGACGTGGCAGTTTCAAAGAAACTGGCTGTCGCATAAGCGCCATCCACGTCCCAAATACAGCAGTAGGCATCTGTGTCGATGATCTGCATGTCACCGTAGCAGCATCTAGCTCCATTGAAATGGTTGAGGCCCCAGTGCTCAGGACAGGCTTCTTCCGCCCATGTGTTAGCAACGAGGGAGAGGACTGCTGAAGCGAGGAGGGGTTTGAAGGAATGCATGTTGTAAAATATTGATAAAGAAGTATCTCACAGTAGCTTGAATCGTGGGGAAAGAGCTGGGTTTTGTAGACAGCATGCCAAGAAGGCTTGAAGGCTGATTCAAGGTTGAGTGTGACTCTCCGCACAAGAATAGGTTAGTTTCCTTTTCGATTCGAGCAATTAGATCAAAGGGTTTCCTTGATTGTCCAAACCCCGGAGCTTGGCTCGAGCACAAAATCAGGGGTCCAAGAGAAATTACCTGGGTCTGAATCTTGGCGAGAAATTGTTTGGCTCTGGAAAAAGGGGCCAAGTCAGTGTTCATACTGGCAGGCTTGATAGCTTTCGTCTAGTGAAGGACTACGTGCTAAATGCTGAAAATACATTTTTTAATGATCAAACAACAATCAAATAAAAACAACGAGAATCGCATTGTAATAAATTGGGAGGGTTTTTGGAGTGGCTGTGGTGCCGTGAGCGGAATAACTGGACTGCCAGGACCACCACTGAACGGAACAGGTGGAGGAAGGGGATGGAGAGGTATCTTGAAGAGAGAGGCGTTAGTAATGGTCTTACTAGAGAGGTCCACGGGTAGAAGATGAAAGGCTTACCTAGGAGCGCCAAAGCGCCCACCGAGGACGACCGGCCTTGGCCACCTCAGCAGCCTCTCTGCTGCTGCTATCTATATAAATCATGACAGAACTCTTTTCTGTAACAGGGTGAGAGACTAGGATATCAGTTCCTACCTCTTCCTTGAGCATCTTTCCAAATCTTGCAATTTTTTGGCCCGCTGGGCCTTTGTTGGTGATTTCTATGCCAAATTTTAGCACTAAGACACATCAAACAGACGTGTCAGGAAACAAACAAAGAGTAAGAGACATAGCTCTCAAAGCAAACTTACCCTGGCTCTTTTTTCTTGTTCTACACAAGAGCCCTTGTGAATGTTGTTACGAAAACAAACGGGTGGTTTGAGCTATCCTAGTGCGAAGACGTGTTAAGAAGCAACCAGAAGTGCTCAAATAACGAGACGAATCTTGCTGGATACCGGTTATTCAACCACGCCAAATGAATGCGAAGATTCGTAACCAGCTGGCCGCTCATGACTGTGACCCACTACTTTGCCAGTCAGAGCGAAAATGTCACAACGTTTGCCACCTTCCAAATCTTGAACACGGACCGGTCACGGGAGGTTCACTGCAATGTGACAAACCCGCTCACTACATGGCCCCTCAACGGGGAGAAGGACGCCTCCGGAAATGTGAAAGTGAGGCCTGCCACTCTCATTTTCTCTTCACCTTTACAATCTTGAATACGTCACTTCTCTCACTCCATATTTACTTTCACTTAGCACGATGGCAAAGCGGACAAACTTACACAACAGCGAAATCCAAAAAGACCACAAGGAAAAGCGCGTGACCTGGGTGTTGTTGACTCTAGTTCAGTCGTGCAAGGTCTACGCACGCCTGTAAGACGTTGACTTGACAACGGGACTAGGAACTCGGCGGCACGACTGGATCTCGCTGAGAGGTTCCACGTGGAGATTGCAAGCGGGGAATACGAGGTTCGCTTTTCGAGTTCTGGCAAGACCGAAAAGAAACGGCGCTCGAGGCATACAATCGAGCCTGGGAGGTCCTCCGATATCTCGCCGAGTCGGTCCCCCCCCCCCTCTCATAGATCGGGGACACTCTAACGCCAAATCAAGGTAAATGGGGAGTAGCGGATGAGATTAACGGCTGCTATGGACAGAGAGTTTGCAGTTCAGCAGAGCAATATCCCCACTTGGATGCAAAAACCGAAAGACTCGATGCTCAATGTACGCTTGGGCCAGGGCCAATCTGAGACCGAGGATCGGCCGCCAGAGGTGCAGCTTCACGTCTACTGAGAAGAGGAACGTGATTTCGAAGACGCAGATATGGCTGCGAAACTTATCACCGCGCCAAGGCACAGAGAATCCCTATCTCTCCGGAACAAAGCATCGTGAAGGAAAACCCTTTGGGGCTCCCCTCTGGTGAGCATTTCCGTGACGCTATTCAAACTATGTCAAACTGTCAATCCATCGGTCTGGTGGTTTCTGATTCCACACTAAGATGGCTGAATTCCGAGAAAGAAAGCGTAAGATGGATGCACGAAGAGTCAAACAGTATGAATTTGAAAACTTCGGTCGGTCATAGTGCAAAGAGAGAAGTGAGAGAGAAGTGAGAGAGAAGTTAATCTTTCAAGCTTTGATTCTATCATTACGCAAGAAGGCTTTACTCATTATATGATATAGATGACGATTCCGACAGAAGCTACCTCGAGTTTGGACAGCTCTATAGTGCTATGAACAAATAAACTTCGGGGCGAAGCAAACTCAAGGCTCATATCCTTTCCCCACTTTCTATCTCTCCTACTGACTGAATTCAATGTCGATAATGCCCTTAACGCTATGTTGGCCCAGAAAAAGAAGTAAAATAATGATTGTGCGAGGTTGACATTATTTCTTACAACTCCAACGGCCTTATGGATGCTTTCTAACCTTTTATACCTGACTTGGGGATATATTAATCATCAGACATAAATATAGCGTGATTTTAGGCATTTGATAAATTGCGGGGGAAACAATGGTGCAAAAGTACTACCCACTACCAAAATGGCAGCTAATTTGCAAACTAGAACTTGTTTCCTAGGTACCTACATCTGACTATCATTCCTCTCTAAAAGTCTCTTCTTTTGATTTCTGCTTATTGTCTCGAAGGATTTCAAAACTCCGACATTCCCAACCATTTAGAGTACTGTTCACATCACATGCCCCGCATTCGTTCCAATAATGGCATCCCCCACCCCAATTACAATCAATTTCATCACTGGAAATAAGCACAAGCTTCGAGAAACAAAGGCAATTCTGGGTAATATGGTGCAAATTTCAAACCAAAGGGTCAATACCACCGAAATTCAGGGTTCTCTTGAAGAAATTGCGACAGACAAGTGTCGAAAAGCAGCTATAGCAGTATGTCGATTCGAGACTACTCTTGACATTTTAGCAATATGACTGAATTTATTTTCATTTCCCATAGGTCAACGGACCCGTCTTGATAGAGGATAGTGCCCTTGAATTCAGGGCACTCAAGGGTTTCCCTGGACCATATATGTGTGTTCACGACATCTGTTGCTTCTACCGTTCTTATTAACACTTCATAGACGACCGTTCTTCTCGGCGTTAGGCAATGACGGTCTGCACAAGCTACTAACGGCTTATGAGGACAAAGCAGCAAGGGCTGTATGCACATTCGCCTTCTCCGCCGGCCCTCGATCTGAACCTATTCTTTTCCAGGGATACACCGAAGGCATGATCGTCCCTAAAAGAGGGCAGGGGGGCTTTGGTACGTTTTAAGATAACATACGCCCTCTTAAGTAATCACGACTGAGATTTCTTTAGCGTTCGATCCTATCTTTGAATTTGAAGGCAAGACATACGCAGAGATGACCTTTGATTACAAGGTTAGTTGAATTGATATGCATATTTCGTCAATCCGCCTAACGCTCATTTCAAATGGACAGAATACAGTTTCAGAGAGATTCAAGGCGCTGGAGAAATTCAAAAGCTGGCTACAGGATAGCTATGGCATTGCGGGACTATAGACAAGACTAAACTTAGCATTGCTTTAACATGGCTCTTAAGGCAAATCACCTCTTGAAAATACACAAAGCCCTGTGGCTTCTGGTTATGATAGACGTACTAAAAAGCGAATATCTTTAAACGTTACTGAAGTGATCTGAATTATGTGTATGCAGTGATTTTTATATATTTGACAACCTCTGCATATGGAAGGTTGGCACTAGTCAATCATGGTGAGAATCCCGAGGTCTACATCATTTTCTGTGATAAAGACTCGTTTGTTTGGACACGCAAAGTTTTTGATGTCTGATTTTCTAAAAGCGAGTGCAAACCCTCTGCTCTAAGAGCCTTTGTACTGGATTATCAACAACAAATATATATTTAGCTCAGTTCCAAAATTGATCCATTATATATGTACAATTCCACCGATACGAACACAGTAATGGGTTGCGCAAAGACATAACGTGAATATCACCTCCACTTATATACATATATGTTATATACAGCTCTCTACATGATATTGTTTTTCTGACGATAAAAAGCTTAGACCCACCAGGACAACAACTCATTCACCCGCACCACAAAGCGACTCTTCGATATTCTCGAACCCTACCTTTACAAGTACCTAGGTAGAATATGAGGACCTGTGGAATTGACGCCGAAAATGACCGCTTTTGACGCCAGAAACGGCTGCCTATCCACCCGTAACTTTGGACGTCTAGCAGATGTAGCAACGGAGGATACTGATAGTGGGCTCTACCTTCTCATGAATGCTACGGAGGCTAGAACGGCATCCAACTGCAATTGCTTCACCCCCGTCGACCTGTCTTACTCTGACGGTATGATTTGGATCTCCCCCATCGAGATAATACTAATCAAATGCTATTATACACTTGCGACGACATCATTTACAGTTACAGCCTGATCATGGACGACCTTGTGTCCTGGAAGAGCTGGCTGGAAGGAGACTGTGACACTGCGCTCTATGCCAACCTAAATGCCACGGATGACTGCGCCATCTGTATTGGTGTCGGGTCTGCAGCTGCAACGACTACAACCAGTGGAACTGCCACCCAAACCCCTACCACCACCACCTCCTCCTCCATTGGGCCCACTCCAATCGACACTGTGTCGGGATGTGAGAAGTTCTACACCACTACAAAGGGCGACGACTGTCACCACAGTCGAGACCAAGTTCAGCATCACCTTTGCTTAATTCTATTAGTAGAACCCCAGTGTCGGCTCTACTTGTACTAATTTGTGGCTAGAAAAAGCATACTGTGTTAAGGGACCGGCATCGACGACCAGCGCAACAGCAAGTGCAGCCACTCGGACGGGAATCGCGTCGAACTACAACCAGTATTACACGGTGGTGTCGAATGATTCGTGCGCCAAGATCGAGACCGCGTATGGTATTGCTTTTGCTGAACTATACAAGTGGAATCCTGCGATTGAATCAGACTGTGAGTATCTAGGAATCGGGTACTTGGTGTGTGGGGGGGGGTTTCTTTATAGATGCGTATGTATGAAGTTAGTGTGGTGTAAGTCGACAGGACATCATGCCAAGGTGCAACTGCCTAGTCTTGTGGGTAAGATTGCGACTAAATGATCAGAGTATCCACGGTAGAAGAAATTGCTCTTGATTTATGACCATAGCGCGCGTATCGAACTTATTTCGAGCCGCCCGATAACACGGACCCTTCCCGGGCCGGCCCTCCAAGGCTCCGATCACTTCTCCACTTCTCACTTCTCCCCTAGCCCAGACGGGCGTAGTGTTTCATCATCCTGGGAACCCGAGATTTGAGCAGTTAAAGCGTTTGAATACTCGCATCTCCACTTTAAATCTCTGCAAACTTAAGAGATCCTGCTTGCCCCTACATCATACCCCCTAGCCCCTATCTCTTTCCCTTACGTATCCTCATCTCAACAGAACCAAGGCCTGTATTCGCACTCATGACTGCTAGGAGGATACTTCAAACTGCAGGCCATCTACCGATCTACAGCCAATTCGCCCGCCCAAGCGTTACTCGCCCGACCTTCTTTCGCTTTCCACTCGAGCATCCCCTACGTCTCGCAAACTCCTTATCTACATCACATTTCAACACAATCAGGACTCTCTCAACATACACCACAATGGCCTCTCGCTCAAAACGCGATCCTACAATGTATTCTTCTATGAATGAAGCTGATCTAGTCGAGAAACTTCTTAAGGAGGATTGATTCACAACCTGGGGCTTCGTGATCTTTCGTTGTACGTACCATAAAGACTCTGACTGGGAGAACTTTATAGCTCGTATAGTCGGCGCCGTCTCAGAAGACCTTAAGGAAGACAGTGGCCTTGATCTCCTCGATAAATTTGCCCCAACGGTTTTAGAAGACCCCTCCTTTGAGGGTGCCACGGTTGCCACCCTACGCGAGCACTTCTATCAGTGGAAGAAGACTGCAATGAGAGAGGAACAGGGCGTAAGCGAAGACTACACTCCCAACGAGCGGTCGATACCGCTTCTTTATTACCGTGGACCAGGAGGCTATGGAGTCCGTTCTAAACACCCCCTTAGGAGGGTTCGAAGAATTTAGATTAGGGCATGTCCGCATGGTTGATGCTGAATGGAAATGGACACATGTGCCTGAAGAGGACTCTGAGGACGAGAATATATCAGAGCCTGAGGAGTTCGAGCCCCTTGAAGGGTGTACTGAGGATGACGTGGGCTGGATGAACATACGCTGGCGTATTGTGCAGCTTCCGGGATTCCACAAGATGACTGAGATTGATGACTGGCAGGCGTATTATGTCCGGTATCCGGGGATCGCAGACATAAATTGATATCCACCCGTGCTAGAAGCAAGATTTGGTATACCTAGTACTATTAATCAGTTTCTTAAATCGCGTTTGGGTTGAATGAGCTAGTAGCCTGGGCGCCGCGCTAGAGCGCGGCTCAGGAAGAAGTGAGTATCAAAGAGATGGCAAATAAAGATATGATAAAAGATAGCTGAAAAGACTCAGGAATGACCACCAAAAAACCCCATCCTTGACGGCTTCTGAATCCTCGAAGCTTTTTGTACGCTCAATAACTCAATATATGATGTTTGTATTCCATTCAAGGCATTTTATGTCACACACCAATGACATCGACCATGTCCGTGTGGAAATGGCCCTATAAGCAATGATAGCTGATAGCTTGTATCTATCCCGGGCAAACAAAACCAAGCAGAGATGGGAGCCAACAACAAACTCTTGTCTCAATTTTCATGCACTACTTCTCTGGTTTAATTCGTGGTGGCTTATTAGTGCCATTCATAGTTCTGGTGTGTCTTGATAAAGAGTGGCCATCACACTATACAACCAGTTAATACTCTTTTTTCCATACAAAAAAGAAAAATATCGCTCAAAACACTCACGCAGGATGATACCGAGAACCTTCAATTTCAGCCTTCTCTGCCAGCTCACGGATGGTTTGCACTTCTTCTTGGGTCAACTGAAGCAGCGCAGATGCCGCATTCTCATCCATCTTGGCCGTGGATTTAGTGCCTGGTATCGGGATTATTTCTGGTCCTTGTGCCAATAACCATGCAATAGCGATCTGTGCTGGAGTGCTCGCATGGGCATCGGCCACATCCCTGATACCTTGCACCAGCTCTGCGATGGCAGGTGCGTTTGTGTCCGCGTACTTAGGGTATTGGTGGCGAGTGTCAGTCTCTGGGAGGTCTCTGTGAGAGGTAAAATGGCCTGTCAGAACGCCACGTCCCATGGGACAGAAGGCTATAAGAGTCACCCCTAATTCGCGACAGGTGCTCAGGATATTCGATTCGGGCGATTCTATATCTAGTGTGAAAAGGCTGTATTCCCATTGAAGAGCATCAATCGGGTGAATGGCATGTGCTCGACGCAACGTTGCTGCTGAGATACCAGACAAACCGATATACCGAATCTTGCCTTCTCTGTAATATCGAGGGATTAGGTATTGCTGTATTCTTTGGCAATTACATCACTCACTTCTTCAATTGCACCATAGCTTCCACGGTCTTTTCAATGGGCGTGACTCCATCGACTGCATGGCAATAGTAGAGGTCAATGGTGTTGACCCCAAGTCTTTGTAGACTTTTCTCGCATGCCTCTTTCACATAATCAGGATCAGAGCGAAAAACATGGATGCCACTCGGCCGGCGAATAAGTGAGAACTTAGTGCCTATGAAGACATCCTCGCGTTTTCCCGATCGCTTGATCCATTCACCAACAACTTCCTCGGAGTCACCATAGATGTCAGAAAGATCCCAGAAGCGTAGCCCAGCGGCGTGGGCATGGTCGAGAAGAGCCACTTTATCATCGAAGGTTCCAGCCGGTCCGTAAAACCCACCGATACTTCCGAAACCGAGACCAACTGGGGAAATCGGGGGGCCATCTCGGCCTAGCTTCCGAAGGGGAAGAGACATGTTGAAATTTCGGAATGAGATAAAATGCTGGTCGTCAGAAAACGCCCCATTTTGACCTATCTCTTATATATGCATTCAGTGCAAGGATTCCCGCCGTCGAGAATAGAATGCAGATCCTTGTCAGCACTAAATGGCGAGTCATGAAGAGTCATGTCGACGCTATACCCGTTTGGTTGCCCGATATCTATATTCAGAATGTCACAAGAATTTATATCATACAAAGCTAAATTTGTTCATTTATTGTAAAATAGTCTTATTTATATTCTCTAGAAAATCTAACGGTCATAGGGTATGCTTGCCGTGAAACGTCTCCACTCTAATAATCATCACCCGTCGACCCATACAGATGTGTCCCCCGTTCAAGCACTTCAATCTCATCACCGACTTGAACATACAATCCGATTTTCTGCTCTTCGGCCATTTTTAAGGTCCAATCCTCAGGAACACAATGCATTCCAAGATACCCAAGCGCCGCTTTATTTCCAGTCTCAACGGTCCTATACTGCACTAAAGTGGTGCTTGGCTGCGGCTTGCCTCGTTTCTTCTCAGGAGGCGGAATGTCTGCGTCAAAAGTCCCCTTCCCGGGGTCAACGTTGGGCATTGTACATCGAGAGGTGCGACACACGACCGAGAATGCCGGTGCTACACTGGCTCGTGGCTGTGTGCTGCCACTCTTTGGAAGGATGGCGTAGCGTTTCCATGTTTCTTCTTCGAATGCAGGCGCGCCTGTGATCCATATATTTGCGCGGAAACGCAGAGCATCCATGGGCTGATTTTCGATAGGAAGAAGTGCTGATACAGCATGGACTGATGATAGACTGTTTATGTTGATGGGCTGTTGGTCTGTGTAGCCATGCAGAGCTGGTGTGCCGATGTGTTTTAGTGGTGCAAGGTTCTTATCCGTGCGAGTTAAGGTGTCTGGAGTGCATCTGAAAAGCGTGAGGCTTTGGCCTTCCGGTATTCTCAAGAATCTCTTCAGCTTAGGCAAAGCGGCTGTAATAGAAGGGACGCCGCCAAGATCGAGACCCATTGCATCGCGGGAGTGAATGCCAAATGTTTTGAGTTTGGTTTGGGATTCTTCGATCTGGGTAGCCGTCATATGGAGAGGGATGATGAAGGAGACCTGTGGCTTTGCGAACACATCCCATGTATGGAAGAATGTCTCCACTCGATTGGCCCAATTCGGGATGTCTGGATCTTCGAATGTCATGACCACACATCCACGCGATTGAACTAGCGGGTCATATGGATTGCTTTCCTTGTGTGGAAGCCATAGCTCTGTCTTTATCAGGGACATCATAGGCTTGGTGCGTTGGCTGATGAAACTCCATTTTGAGGCTGCGGGATTATCTCTGTTGATAGTTTCCGTCGCAAGGGCAAAACATCTGTCATACATAAATCCCGTCTTGGTAAGCAAGGCTCTATCTACCTCGATGGGCCCGCAAGACTTGACAGGATGAAGATATAGTGATTTGATGCGCACTGGTCCGTCATTGGCAGTGTTCGGTGGTAGGCCGAATTTTGAGTCATATTGATCTGTCATGTTGCTGGTGATTGATCCGAGTCTTTCGAGGTGCCTTAACCTCCTGTGCGCTGTTTGAACATTTCCAAACTGTATGACAACGGCCAGGCCAATGCCCAGCACAATGATGGAGACTAGAGCAATGCGAATAAGAGCATCGCTGAGGGATATATCAAATGATCGCAAAAGTTGCAGAAGCATTTTTGGGGGATCTATCAGAGCTTGTAGAGATCATAGATGTGAATAGTCCGATCATAGCAAATCTGTTCAATTCGCGGAGAATGCGGCTTTACCACTTTAGGAAGTTAACAGGAGCGGATCCACTCGGGCGAATCTGTGAGTCATTGCTAACTAATTGTTACGAAGTTTGAGTTGTTGTGAGACCTGAAGGTTATTGAATGTTTATTGTTACTCACGCTACTATCTGTATATAACGCTGTTGTTTAAGATATAAACCTTGGCGGGGGTTGATCTGGACCCAGTGGAGACCCCTGAGCATGCATAGTTAACTACATTTAATACCGTAAATAGATCCACAATGTACGAGTTATATAGCTTTGAACCTAAGGATTTGTATCGTCATCGGCTGTGGGCAAAGAAGCGGTGTCGAGGCAGGGTAGCACAGCATGTATAACCCACCACCAATGAGAGTAACAAAAACTGTATATCATATGCACCCTCCACAATGCATGAAGAGAGTCATTTTTATTGTCATCTCTTTGGCCACCACTATGATTGACACTGAATAAACCAAATTAAAAGATCCAAGTAGCTTTGACATGGCAGCAAACTATTTAAAGTAGAAACCCCATGCACCGAGAATTTCCTCTCGGCTGTCAAAGTACAAGTGCTGACCTCAGACACTCGCTGATAACCATAACCATGCAGGCCTACATGGCAAGTCTCCCAATCTTCTATCTTCCAGGTCAATTTCGGAGCCTGACTCCAATAGATTACCGTCAAGCCGGACTCAACCGATGATGAGATCAAAGAGTATGTATTTCTTCCATTTTAGTCGTTTCAATGCGAATGAGAGTATCAGTCTCTAAACTCGTACGTAGTGTCAAGAGCCAGATCCTGCAAAATGGGGGCACTATAGACTATGACTACCATCTGATCAAATCATTCTTGTGTGTATTCCAAAGCTGCTCTCTTGATGTTACTAATACCCCCCTTTTTCTAGGGCGACTATGCCAGAGGTTTACGCAACATCCCTCGCAGATCATCCCAATGTCGATAATGTCGAGAAAGATGAGTAATCAACACAGCTTGTCTATTGGGGATAGTATGTAGCTGCCATACATATGCATTATCCCCCGACGAAAGGCACATACAGTTGAAATTAATATGTTGCGACCCATCGCATTTATCTCGGTTTTTTTTTGTGCATTCATTGCAGTTGATCTCCTCCTAGTCTTCAATGGTTACATCTAGTTGACTACTTGTTCTTAAACATCCGACAGGACCTCACTGTCAAGCTCTAAGCCAGATGCTATCCGGCAATGTCGTGGTGTGAAAATTGCTGAAAGCTGATAGTGATGTAAATATAAAATATGTGCTGAGATGGAAGATGTACTGGTGGATTGTATGCTGGAGCCTATCTATACGATATAGTGAAGGCTATACAATATTCGATAGAAATATTTCTACCAATAGAAACCAAATGAAGAAGACAAGTTTCAAGATTCCTGTATTAGTTAGGGTTGCTATAGTATACTATGCAGGTATAGTATAGGCAGAGAGTAAATACTCTCCGCATGCCAAGAGCTTCAGGACACCTTGCCTGATGCTCTGTTTTAGATCCTTTGAACCCTTCGGACCTGTCTATTCTCTGCTCATCACTTTTGGTGAAATTGGTGAAAATTACTACTTAGTCGTTGAGTCGATCTAAAACTCATCATGTTGACCAGCGCAAGCCTTCTGTTTGTCGCGTCGCTCTTCGCGGCACTACCTGTTAACGCCGATGGAATATACACCAAGAATTCACCGGTGCTTCAGTTGAACCCCAAGACTTACAACTCGCTTATTGCGAACTCGAATCATACTTCGGTGAGTTTATTTAGAATTGAACATGAAAGTCTGGCATAATTGACTAACGCTTGGCTACAAAGATCGTCGAGTAAGCTCCCGCATCATAGCTACCTGGCCCGCTACCGAGGTCCTAAACTTCACAACGTACTCACATATTGTCTTGCTAGATTTTACGCCCCCTGGTGCGGCCACTGCCAGAACCTCAAACCTGCCTACGAGAAAGCCGCCAAGAACCTCGACGGTCTCGCGAAAGTCGCCGCGATCAACTGTGACGATGACGAAAACAAACCCTTCTGCGGGCAGATGGGCGTGCAGGGTTTCCCGACCCTGAAGATCGTGACACCCTCCAAGAAACCCGGAAAGCCTCGCGTCGAAGATTACCAAGGTGCACGAACCGCCAAAGGCATCGTCGACGCGGTCGTCGACCGCATCCCCAACCACGTTACGCGCGCCTCAGACAAGGACCTGGACAAATGGCTCGGAAAGAATGAAGACAGACCCAAGGCCATCCTCTTCACCGAGAAGGGCACAACCGGCGCACTAATCCGCGCCCTGGCGATCGATTTCCTTGGTGCAATTGACATCGCCCAAGTCCGCAACAAGGAAACTGCCTCGGTCAAGAAATTCGGCGTAACAGATCTCCCTGCGCTCGTCCTCATCCCTGGCCCGGACGCTGAGCCCAAGATCTACGAAGGCGATCTGAAGAAAGCCCCCATCACCGAGTTCCTCAGCCAGGCTGCAAAGCCTAATCCCGACGCCTCAGGTCGCGCAGCCCCAGACTCAAAGCCAAAGCCAAAGCCGAAGGCCAAGTCTGCGTCCAAGCCCGCCTCAAAGCCTACTCCCGTCGCCGACGAAGACGCCGGCCCCACTGATTCCCAAGACCGAGACGCAGACTCCAAACCAGTCAACGTGCCAGCACCCGCACCCCCCATCCCAACACTCTCCACCACCGAGTCTCTCGAAACCGCCTGCCTGTCCCCGAAATCAGGCACCTGTGTCCTTGCCTTCCTCCCAAAGCTAAGCAACCCCGACGCCACCCCTGAACCAGCTGTCTCCCAGGCCCTCGAGAGTCTCGCGGAACTGCGACACAAGCATGTCCAGCGCGGAGCCCATCTGTTCCCGATCTACGCGGTTCCTGATCCTACCTCTGTCTCTGAGCAAGTGCGCGCTGCGTTCGGCTTGGGCGATCCGGAGTCTCAGGTTCTTCGGGTTGTTGTGCTGAATGCTCGGCGCGGATGGTGGTCTTCATATGTTGCGTCGGATTATGATGCTGTCGCTGTTGAATCTTGGGTTGATGATATCCGCCTTGGGGCTATTGTCAAGCAGAAGTTGTCTGAGGGCATCGTTGGTGGTTCTGAGCCTAAGGCCGAGGCCGAGCCCGAAGCCGAGCCCGTTGAGCCTGAGACTGAGAAAGCAGACGAGAATACCGTCGAGCATGATGAGTTGTAAAAAAGCTAGTTTGCGATTGCTCAATGCTATGTAGCTTTCTTAGCGACCTCATAGTTTCAATAGTAAAGCGCGTATTATGTAGTGAATACATTAAGCTGTCATTTTACTATCGCATGTTCTCTACAATATTCAATGGAGAGGATTGACGTGATAAACACATGACTCATATATACAAGGACGAGCATCCTGTTGGATACATGAACCCTGAAGAGTACAGACAGATAGTAGACACAAGAAGGCATTTATACCCAAACCGAACACCGTACACAAATGCAGAAAGAAACAACTGTCCAGAAAACTACATTTAACGCTTTTTGCGGCCCTCGGTGCCCTTCTTGATGATCTTCTGTCTCTTCGAGTCGATCTCCTTATCGTAGATGTCGCGCGCAGTCTCGACCTTCTTGCGCTTAGACGGCTTAGAGTTGTCCGGTGCTTCGCTGGAGGCTGAAATCAGTTATTGTTGTTCGGACAGATGGGATAATTCGCGTGAAACTTACGAGTTCTCGATCATGGCACGCTGCTTGGCGCGCATCTCCTCGTCGACTTGCTTGCCGCCCTCGCGGAGCTCGTCTTCCAAGCTAACGGTCAGGGGCTGCTGGAGCTTGGTCTCTGGCTCGTCATCGTGGGCAGATGAGGTAACGAGGGGCACCTTCTTGGCAGGGAGAGTTTCCTCGATGCTCTTCTCAAGCAAGGCACGGAAGTGGGTTGAGATCTTGCGGACGATCTTGAGGAACATAGCGAGGAGTTGGGAGGAGGGGAGGTTCAGCTCCTTCTCCAGGTCCTCCAAGCTCTTGTGCTGCAGACCGATGGCGAGCAGGATGGACTGCTGGACACCAGAGAGGCTGACCTTGCCGTCCAGACGGTTGCTGAAATAGTACTCAGACAGAGTGGGCACTAAGTCGAGGATGACGTGGTAATCCAGAAGGTTGTTGGCGTAGCTGTCGAGACGCTTGAGATCGAAGGGCGAGAACGCCTCGTCCAGATCGAGCTTCTTCAACAGGCGAGGCTTGAACTTCGGGTCCTTCTTGGCACCGGCGTTGGCGGACTCGCAAATGCTAAGAGAGAGGACAGATGGGAACTGGCCGAATTGGTAGGACAACAGCGAGAGGAATCGCTTGTGGAAGTCGCGCGTGTACGCGCTGAGCCAGACGTCGTCGGCTTCAGCAGTGGCCAGGGTGCGAACCATGACGCATGAATGTTCGCCAGTCAGTTCGTTGGGAGTCTGGCGCAGGTACACGGGGTGGAAAGAGCCGCGCTTCCAGAACTTGTGAAGGGATGGAGTGAGACCGTAGCTAACACCAATGTAGTCCAGAGCATCGGGACGACGTTCGGTAAGCTTGCCGAACAGAGGTGGCATCGTGCGAATGTCACGAACGTGGACGTTGTCGTCCAAAAGGCTAGAGCCAGCGAGCTCTTCATCGGTAACGCGGACCATTTCTTCCTCGGCGGAGGTGCTGTTCTCGTCCAGGTTTGTGAATTTGCCCTCGAAGAAGTCGACAAGGAGCTCCATAGCCCTGGAACCGTATCCCATACCCACGTATTCGGGGTTGGTAGCAATACGGACAACGCGAGCACCGGACAGACTAGCAAAGTTCTCATCCTGGAACTGCTGGCTGACCAACCACGGGATCAAATCACCTCCAGCACGCTGACCACGGCTGAGACTGTTAAGGACGCTCTGGCGACTGATGCGACCCTCAAGGGCGACTTGAATCACGCAAAGGGGCTCGGGGAGCTTGGTGGCCTCTTCGTCGATAGGTGGGACAAGGACATAGAGTTGGTGGGCGGGAGCATCACTCATGAGCTGCAAGTCGTTGGGGGTGTTCTTGTAATGACTGGCAACATAGAGAGCCATCATCTGCTGCAAGAACTTCTCTGAAACAGGGTGGAAAGAGAACAGGGTATCACGGTTGACTTGGAGCAGCTGGCATTTGGAGGGGTGAGGGCAGCCTTGTGTGTTCATGCGAGACTTGGGAAGAGTAGCGTCAAGGCAAAGGACCTTGTTGAGCCACTTCTCGACAGAATCACCGGGCGCATAACGAATAGGCTCTGCGAGAGTGATCTCCCTCAAGCTTCGGCCAGTGAGATTCTTGTCCGCAGACTTCGCCGATTTGCCTGTGCTGCGGTCTGCAACGTCAGTATCATCGATCTTGGCTCCACTTCGGGATTGCTCCCGCAGCTGCTGGATCAGCTTCAGAGACAGGGACCGGCCCGTGCCTTCGTATCCGTTGATAGTGGATGACATGAACACCAAGTAAGGTCCCATAAGCTTGCGTACCAAGGGAAGGGGGATGGCAGCAGCCTCATCAATGACGAGAAGCTCGGCTTGGCCCAGAACGTGCGCATCCTGAGGCTGGATGTACTGGATGGTTTGACGGTGGTTGCGGTGAATGTTCACACGCACAACGGCCTTGTTGAAGTCGGGGTTGGTTGACTGCAAAATGGTGTAATCGACGTGATCAAGGTAGCCAAGAGCATCAAAGCCCTTGAAGATGAACTCAAACAGTGTCTTCAAGTTCTCCGGACTGGGAGAAGTGATGAAAATGTTACTGTAGCCATGAGCGATGGCGGCGGCGATAGAAACACCGAGAGCAGCAGACTTTCCTCGTCCACGGCCAGCAGTCAGAGCGACGGTACTCTTCAGAGTCTTCTCGGCGATGGCATCAACAAATGTGAGGAGCGCCTTGGCTTGATCGGTGGTGCGGGCCAAGCTGAGCAGAGGGCCCACGGGTTGTGAGTCAGCCAGACTCTCCTTGATTTCCTTCAATTCCTTCTTGCTGCCAGTGGCGGAGTCATCGGTAGATTCAGGGGCGGGAAGAGGCTTCACGGTCTTGCCGCCGGAAATGGGGAGCACGTTCAATTCGTCGTCGACAACGAGGCACGAATCGCAGCTTCCCAGTGACAGAATGAAGCGTTCGTTGAAACGAGCAACCACATCGTCGTGGGCCTCAGTTCGGTATCGGGAGTGGATGTCCATCGACATGGTGTAAAGCTGCTTCAGACTGGTCATGCTCTTCAGCAACAGGATAACCAAACCTCCACCTTCGACGGTCTCAACAGTTCGCGCAAGCAAATTGGGAGTCATGGCCTCGAAATCCTGCAGCACACACATTCCGTAGGTGTTACCCAGAATCTTCTCGGTTTCCTTGTAGTAAACATAGCGGATTTGGTTGAGGGTGATGAAAAGCTCGAATGGGTCTTCTTGGTTGGCTTCGCGGATGCCTCGTTTGACCTCGTTCTTGATCTTCTGCTCGCGCTTCTTCCGGTGACTTGTGAAACCAAGTAAATCCTTCTTGTACGCCCACAAAACTGACTTGTTCTGCTTCACGTCCACACTGGACATAATATAGTGAAGGTGGACAATCACATCCTTGGCATGGTCACCAACAACCACAAAGAAGCTGCGCTTCTTCTCTTGTACACCATTGCGAATAAGAGCGGGAATCCGCGAGTCAATCGCCTTGCGAGGCATGGCGAAATCCGGACTGGTGTTGATTGGCAAAACACTTGTCTTGCTTGCGACCAAAAAAAACTACGGCGGTTAGAAAAAAATGATATTGCTGATTGACACCGCCTGAGAGCAGTCACCGCCTTGAATTATCTAATATATGAGTCACATGACTTAGATACTGCCTATCAACACCGCCCAGACCCTTGTCCGTACACGTGATATGCAATCGGCCATTCCATTGCCTCTTTCGTAAATGAAGGGAGTCTCTTGCATGACGCTAGTCCAGACCCATCCTAGTATATGAGATTTTCCTCCATTCAGCATGTCGCTTTCCGCTAAACCATGGGTCCTCTGGCCATCTTTATTTCAACATAGCAGAGCCTTCCAAGCTTTCTTGGCTTTATGACGCGTGTACTTGCTCTTGGCCACTACATTGTATTCTGTCTTCGATAAAACTGGGCTTCAGAGGGGCTCACACTACAACCTATGGCTGAGCATAGCATATTATATCCTATTCGAATGGCCGCAGTCGTGACGTTTATGGTACACTATGTGGGTCGGGAGGCCGACCAAGGCTTGATTCTGGACACTAATCGGCCCGGCATTTCTTGCTGACCAGCCCTGTTATTCCCCAGAGCCAGTGCAATTAATGGACTACGAGAGGCTAACAGATCTCGGCAACGGTGGCTGGAGTTGTTCCACTCCTGTTATTGGCCAAAGATATCAAATCCGAGCTATTATATCAATGCAAGGCCCGTGGTTGTGCGCAGAATTAATATTGTCCAGAAGCTAGCCCGCGTTGACGCAACCCAAATGGATCAGCACTCCGGATGACTCTGATTAGCTGCCAATGAATCTCAGGGCCCTCCCAGCCTACCCTGATTTTTGCCATGTTTCGAGCAATGTCAATCCCCTGATCCACACGAGGCTGTTTCTATTCATGTCGTCGATTTTTTTCTTCTTTCAATAGCATTCAATCAATCTACACGATGGCCTGGGACACTGTGCAGGTATAGAATCGGGCGTAAAATGGTCCAATTATCTCCTGACCTCGGGTTGAAGGTCTGTGTGGGGTGAGTTTCCGCGCGGCTGTTCCTTGTATCATTTTGGACCTCAAGCTCATCGTCGCAATTTTTCAATAGAACATTCCTTCTCAGCTCATTATTCCTGACAACCTCTTACAACACGACATTCGCTTTTGGTTCGTCACCGCGAAGTGGCTTGATCTACTCGAACTGACTTATGGGCCTTTCCAGATCGACCGATCAGCACATCTGTCCTTGTCTGTTTCCTTACAGGACTAGTTTTCTTGATATGGAGTCGCTTTATCCCATTATTAGGGTCGGCGCCGTCGTCGCCGACAAGCAAACGACCAGGAATTCCTCTCGCGGAGCAATTTGAGCTTCCTTCTCGGGCGTCGAGCTCATCCTTCCCACTCGGTGATTTCGAAACTCGACCTAGAATGCGATTCCAATCTTGGTGGATTAAGGTCGGCCTGTTGTTAGGACTATGTGGCTTGCGAATCGAATCTTTCCGCCAGGTTACCCGAAACACTGAATGCGCGCCCGCCGGATACAGTGTAAGTGTTTGAAGTCCCCAATAAAGCGTGAAACGTCTAATACGACTAACACATTGCCATTGACAGTACGCCATTCCTTTCGTAATCTCCCTCTACGACTTTGTGCGCAACCAGCGATCACGACAGGCGGAAAAATATGTCCCAACACAGCGTTTCCAAAATCTGCCGCTGCAGATAGTATACTCGGTCTCTCGCCGAAGTTTCTACTATCTTACACAGAGCCGCTTCCGTGGTGTGATCGCCGCAGCCTTTTTGTCGGTCGGTGGGCTCTTGGCTTCGTCCTTCCTGGCTGGCACCCGGTCAACCTACATCTGTCCTGTTGTGTTGAACGGTGCATCGCGACTACGGTCCTATAAAATGTTCAACGTATTGGTTGATTCTGTATTACTCGTTGGGATTACTGAGCTGTGTCGAATTGGTGTTCAATTTGATGACGCGCGGAGAAAGCGAACTTTGACGTTCCTCGGAGCCGGTCTCCTTGTGAGTACATTGCGAAATTATAGTAGATGGTGTCTTGATCTAACCCGTTATCAGGGCGTTTCTTTGATTTGGAGCATTCTATCATACCGGTTGCCGGATCGCTCTCCTGAACTCGCCGGCCAACCCACGCTGGATCTGGAGTACTCTCGCGGGGCGTTCAGTCAATCTGTTCTATTATTGATACTGATCGTTTCGGCCTGGCACATGGTTGGTGTCTCTTCTTTGAAATTCCTGAACAACTACTAAACTTTTCTAGTTACCGCACTTCGACATACTTGGAGTGTCAATCATCGGCGGTTTCATGGTCATATACTTCTCCTCTCTGTCCGCCCTTACTGGTGGACAGGCTCCTTTCCCATTTGTTTCTTTGACCCACGCCGTTTTACCATTTGCAACCTCGTTGACTGGGGCTATGCTCTTTCTTCTTGCGCGCGTGGTTCATGATGAAGAGCCGAGGCCATTATACCTCACTAACATCACCATTCAAATATTGTTTATCTTGCTCAGTGCGATTGGTCTCGGTTTTGCAGTCGGCAAACACCGTTTTGCCCATATGCACCCAATTGATTTCCTCATTCACGAGGGCAAAATCCAACATAACAACTTCATGGCCCAGGCGGCTAGCAGTAAGACCCTGGCAGATGCTGTTCGGGAGTACCACAGGAGATATGATCAGCATCCCCCGCCGTAAGTCTACTGTGGCTGTGATGAAGGAACAACTTGGCTAACTCCCCTAGTGGCTTTGACAAATGGTATCACTACGCTACCAGCCGATCATCGGTCGTAATCGATGATTTCGATCAAATCTACCATGATTTACTCCCTTTCCGAGCTTTAGCCCCGGAGCATATACGCGCGATGACCCACGAATTAGCAACAAATCCTTTCAACGACCTTGGTGGCATTAGAATCCGCAACGGCACGGCTACGTTGCAAGAAGGAATCAAGCCAACTCATGCATGGATGGTACAAGGTGCTGCGGACATGATGGAAAATTTCGTTCAACACCTCCCTGACATGGACATCGTACTCAATCTGAATGACGAGCCACGAGTTGCGGTCCCTTGGGAGAAAGTATCAGGATTGAAACGACAGGCTCAGATGCAAGAAATGGTGTCCGAAGAGCATGCAGTGAAAGCCTGGTCAACCAACCGAGACGAAGGATGGGCCCCGATTGATCCTGCCGACCAAACCAACATCACGGTGTTTACTGATGGAGCTTGGAGGGGAGTCTTCGATCCTTATGTAGGCGCCGTCTGTCCGCCTTCGTCCAAGGCGCGCTCCCAACGAATCTGGAACCGTCATGACATCTGTCTTGCATGCACAGCACCTCATTCCATGGGCCAATTCCCTTTGGACTTCAACATCGCCTCCGACATCTGCCACCAGCCTGACCTCGCATTCCTGCATGGTCTTTTGATCTCGCCTGCTTCATTCAAGGTGTCCCAGGAACTCATTCCGGTGTTCAGTCAAAGCGCTCTGTCTGGATTCAACGACATCCTCTTCCCAAGCCCCTGGAACTACATCGACAAGGTGAAGTACGAACCTACGCATGAACATCCAGATCCCGAATACGAACACAAAAAGAATGCCCTTTACTGGGTCGGCAGCACATCAGAAGGCGTAAGTCGTTTCGGGGAGTGGAAAGGCATGCCCCGACAGCGCTTTGCTCACCTGATCAACAACAACACAAACAACCAAGTCTCCGTCCTCCTTCCCGCAGGTGGAGGCTCCTACCGCTATGAAATAATGGACGGCTCCGCCCCAATGGAAGAACTCCATCTTGAAACAAATGTCCATCTAGCCGACCCCATCGTCCGCTGCGGCGATTGCGATGAACAATCTACCGAAATGGGTACAGTAGGCTGGGCGGACTTCCAAGCCCACTGGTCCAACCGCTTTCTCTTCGATCTCGACGGCGCAGGCTTCAGCGGTCGCTTCCTTCCTTTCCTGCACAGCCACAGTCTCCCTCTAAAGACAGGCCTCTTCCGGCAATGGTTCGATACTCGGGTCACCTCGTGGCTGCACTTTGTACCGATCGATATTCGTCTTCATGGCATGTGGAGTACCCTTGCTTACTTTGCGGGCGTGCCCGCCCCCGCATCAGATCAGCATGGTCCCAATGCGCCGCACGTGCGGATGAAGAGTCATGATGAACAGGGTAAGTGGATTGCAGAGGAAGGGCGCAAGTGGGCGCAAACCGCGCTTCGGAAGAAGGATATGGAGATTTACTTTTTCCGTCTTCTCCTGGAGTGGGGACGTCTGACAGATGATCAGCGGGATGTGCTTGGCTTTACGCCTTGATCTCGGAATTTTGCATGGCTTGGGTGTTTTGTTTGGAAAAATAATGTTAATGTCAAACGGTACATATCTTCAAGTATATATTCACATGTTTCTTATCTATTCCAATATCCTGTTCGCATGTCGCCACTTCCAAGACTGACGAATCAATTTCCTTGTTAATCGTACTTTTGTCATTTGAGTGGCGCCCTAGTCCACTAGAGTCTCTTTTGGCTCGAAATTGGACCCTACAATATAGTGAATGGACGGTACCTAGTGGCAAACACTTGGCTAAAACTTGGCTAACACTTGGCAAACACTGCCTTGTTCCCCTCACAGATCCTTGTTGAGTCGCAGTCGACTTTCAGAAGACTGGCTATCTGTAACATGCAGTTCCTCCCATGGACCCAAGACAGAATGTTTCTGGCAGCATTATTTCCTCCAAGATCCCATCACTGCTGCCATCTTCTCCATCCAGACCGACCACTCCCCCCAAAAGGCCGGTCTCATAATCTGCGCATACTCCCAGTATTCAGGATACTACCCCGCCCCTTCCCAGTCTAGAATGCCGATGACATCTTTCTGTTTGTCCACCATGACATTGCGCGGCGCAATATCTGCATATGTGAACACCGAGAGGTTTGACTGTAGAAGCATGTCTAGCAGTTGATCCTTAAACCGGCTTCCTCCACAGTGGAGATACCGCTCGTGGATTCTCTCACGTAACTCTATATCGCTTATATGTAATTGGTCGAGCGGGCTGTTGTAGATCTTTTAGCATCGGATCTTTGGATTGAAAGCCTTCCGCGGCACACTGATGGGGTCCCTCAAGCTCTTGCGGGCGAGCTAGTTTCCGGATCTTTGAGATAATTTTCTAAAGTTGAAGGTAGATTCACTCTTCAGCCCTGTCTTCTAGACCATCCCAATTATGCTCTAGCTGTATTCCATAGATAATGGGATAATAGTCATCCAAATCAACCTTCAGTTGATTGAAAGTTGGGCTCAAACACATTTTTCCAATCCGTTCTCCTCATCTGGAAAATCAGTGAAAATCACTTCCGGGACCGGAACATCGGTATGTTTATGAGACAAGTCTCCTTGCTTCGGCTTCGGCAGATCGCACTCCAGACCCTGACTTACTCGCCCAAGGAAAGTCCCATTTAAGTACAGGTCTTCCTATCTGTTATCGAGCACAATAACCGGATCTTAATTAGCTTGGAGGTTGCCTAGATCCACAGGCGACGGACACGGTATTTAAATGTCGCCGTTCGTGATGTATCGGTGCCTCTTATGAAGATTCCGTTGTACAAAGAACTTCAGGTAACATTTCGGTCATTTCGAGAATATCTTGTTGATCCAGCGGCGATCGCATTTGACTGCATACAACAACAAGGTAGTGAAGCTCTAAGAGATAGCTTTGTCTAGGTGAAAGAGTTCTCATCATCCTCTGCCAGGTCTTCAGTGGAAGTTACGTAACCTAGGCACCTGCATATGTCCACGGGTAGCCGTCTTACCATATGACAAATGCTGCTTCCGTTATATGGTCAGACGGCTATGTACATGAATATACATAATGTATGTAGGTACCTAGGTAGATCAGGGAGCGGCCCTTTGCTTCACCAGACTAATATGCACACCCACGGGCCCTGCTTATATTCTCGAATTGGTTGAGTTACCTAGGTACCTAGGTAGCTCGGCGTAATATTGATGACATTATGCCTAATTAGGGATAGTCAAATCACCATGCATAAGCGTGTCCTTGTTATCGTCAGATTCACCCCGTATACAGATCGATTTGCTCTCAACATTGCATTATCGGCATTATTGAGCATATACTATCTAGAGATAATTTTACTCAAGTAATAGATATAAAAAAAATGAAAAGTCATGAGGTCATCTTACCGATGACCTCAGGAACATGCAACGTTGTACGAGGCAATATTAGGCATCAAGCACCACTCAGCACCACTTGCGTAGTTGCCAAGAATCCCCCGCTCCTCCATGTCCGCTCTTGTCCACTAAGTTCACAGCCCCAAATTAAGATCATGACGCTATTGGAATAATAGGGGTTGGTTTTGATGTCGTCTAGATTCATCGTTCTCCTACGCAGCAACCATGTCCGCCGTTGGATCATCGCTCGGGAATTCAAATTCCTTTTTAATTGCAGAGAAAAGCAAATTTGAGTTAGAAAACAGAGCAGACCCAGAATCCTCCGCCACAGGAGAAACAAAGACCGACCGTCATCCTCCAAGTGAATCTTTAAACCAACTGCCAAGTGACACCCAGCCGCCCGACATGGAATTTGACAACACCCAGCAAAACACGACTCACGAAAGTGATTTGAATCTCAGTCCAACCAGCAAAGCTTCATTTGTCGACTTTCTGAAGAGAGGAAGTTATCATTTGCGCAGATCCAGCAAGAACGACAGCCGACGACCCTCCACAACAAGTCTGGCGAATCCTTCAATTGCGCTTAATGAGAAGTCAATCCCACCAACCGAGGACCCTGCTCCCATATCAGATGAGGCTGTCACAGATCTGCCTCCCTTGGATGTGCACACATCAGATGACGTCTTGTCGAACACATTGCCCTCCGACACTCCACAAATCCCAAATGAATCAATTCTGCGAAAGCAAAACCAATTCAATCTTGATTCGATCATCTGGGATGATTCTTCCAGAGATGGCTTAAATCGACGAGCCTCTGTTGATCTAGATGATATGATTTCACGACTCCTTGAAATGGGTCATTCAAAACCGACTAAGAAGTTTTGTCTGGACAACACAGAAATCCTATCTATTTGCTCCGCTGCCCGCAACCTCTTCCTTTCACAACCTGTTCTCCTAGAACTAAACGCTCCAATACACATAGTTGGTGACATCCATGGCCAATACACTGATCTTCTACGGATTTTCGAAATGTCTGGAGACCCTTCTACCTCTAATTATCTTTTTTTGGGTGATTACGTCGACAGAGGAAAACAAAGCTTGGAAACAATCCTCTTGCTTCTGTGCTACAAATTGAAATACCCCGAAACTTTCTTTTTACTCCGCGGCAACCACGAATGCGCCAATATCTCCCGTATCTACGGCTTCCACGATGAGTGCAAGCGGAGATCCAGCATCAAGGTCTGGAAGACCTTCACCGATGTTTTTAATTGCCTGCCCATCGCCGCCGTAGTGGCGGAGAAGATCTTCTGTGTGCATGGCGGTCTTTCTCCCAGTCTCTCGGATATGAATGATATTCGAAACATTGTGCGCCCTACTGAAATACCCGGTCAAGGCCTGCTCACCGACCTGCTATGGAGTGACCCGGCAAATATCAAAGACTGGGGTCCCAACGATGATCGGGGTGTGAGCTGGACCTTTGGACGGAAGGTTGTTGCAAACTTCTTGAAGCGATATAGTTTGGATCTGGTTTGTCGCTCACATATGGTTGTGGAGGGTGGGTATGAATTCTTTGGAGAGCGCAATTTGGTTACAGTTTTCTCTGCGCCTAATGTGAGTATTTTCTTTCTGGATAAACCTGGCCACGGACCTTTACTAATAAGCCTTGTTTAAGTACTGCGGAGAGTTCGATAATTTGGGAGCGACAATGTCGGTTTCTGAGGAGCTGCTTTGCAACTTCGATGTATTAAAGCCGTCCAGCCTGGGTCCATCTAATAAGAAAGAGCGGAGATGGAGTGAGTCAAAGGCGTGGGAAAAAGCATTGTAAGTGTCATCCTTCACCTTGGCTCCGGCGTCGATCTCAATAAAAAGGCGACTAACAATTGTTCAGGCTCAGACAATGGTATGGAAAGACTCAGTGGAAAGGATCCTAGCCTAGAGATTGCTTTGCTGTTTTATGCAGACACGTGTAATCATTTTGCACATGAAGCGGGCAGGGTTAGCATATGCTTGAAGGCCGTACTTGGAGTATTACTCTGATCATCTTTGAGAACTTGCACAAACTAACAAATCGAAAAAACACATTCGAGTTAACTGTGGTAAAGGCCAATGTAGCATTTTGTAGTATGACTTTGGACAGTGCGACTGACTCTGATACTGAGAGTTATATTCTTATTTGGACGAGTACATATCAACATCAAGGACTATCTACATGGCGAAACAGAATCACCAGACCCTTGGAACTCCGGTCCACAGGCTAACGTATAAATGAGAGTCGAGCAAGCGCTTGGGCTAGATATGGCTCCTGATTGTTGGGTCCCTTATTCAGAAGCATGGCCGTTGCCGTTGGATAACATGGTATCGTCTCGAGACAACCCAGTGTTCTTCTCAATAGGCAGAGCACGTCACAGACTCGTTGGCTGTTGTCTTTCACAAATTGCGGGGATATGGATGACCAGGAAGCTCGAACTGCACAGTTGTCGGCAGAGCATACTGGAATTAATTTGATGTCATCGCCGGATCTGTCATACGCGAATCGTCAACATGATATCACCGAGCAACAGGATTCTGAACAATGAAATGCCGAACCGTCTGTATTGAAAGGAAGAAAAAGAAGGAAAAAGGACAAAAAAAGAGGCTCAGATTAAAGTTGACACTGAACCACGGAACTGAGATGCGATCCATGGATGACTCGGTCAAGTATCCAACCGTGGAATTTCAACTTGCCGAGGTCGCCACTCTACTCAAATTTCATTCTCTACGAATATTCACAATTTGTGCAAATACATTTCATTTCGAAGCTATTCACAAATATAAAAGGTCTCGGACCAAACATGACGCATAAAGCATAAGCATATCAAATGCATTCATCCCCGCCGTAGACTAGCACAGGCCAAGGAAATACACCGTATGTAAATCATCAAATCGCACTAAATGCAAAACAAATCGCTGTGTTAAAAAAAATTCACATATATAGCCAATACCATCTAGGCATGACCGTGTCCATGGGTTTTGCCACGGCGGTGCTTCCCATGAGGCCGGGGTCCAGGACGCAGGTAAGGGTAAGCATCAGTCCGAGCAGTCTTCGCAGTCTTCTTTCCAGAGAGATCAACGTTCAGATCGACGTCGATTTCAAGGCCGGAGCTGGACTCCTGGTACACCTTCAATGAGTTGAGTTGCCAGTATGTATCCTTGAATGCGGAGGGGTTGTTCTGGACGTAGTCGTTGCAAGTGCTGGCCTTGCTAGAGCACGATGATCCCCCCAGACACTGTCTGCGCCAGCCCAGTCGCCGCAGAAGGTGATGTCGAAGACGATCTGGAGATCGTTGAAGTGGCTGTCGATGTCGCAGGATCCGGCGAACTTGGCAGCAGGGGTACCCCAGCCGGTTGGATCTGGGCTTCCGGATGAAATGTCGGATGGGATGGAACTGGAGGGGAAGAACCAGACTGAGATTGCGTCACCGGTCCATTCAGTTGCGTAGACACCACCACCGGCATTGTTGAATCCGCTGCCGTAGGACTGGGTGTTGCTGTTCTGGATTGCGCAGCCGCTGTTAGCGGACTGGCCACTTGCGTCGACGTAGCAGTTGCTTGTATCGAGGGTGCCGGAGAATCCGGAGTTTTCGATAGAGCATCCGTCGCTAGTGTGGAGGGTCATTTGGTTTTGGGATTGGTCGTTCACGCCTTCGATGATGTCGATTTCGCCGTTAGAGGGCCAGTTGGAGCCCAGCATCCAGAAGGCCGGCCAGGTGCCGCAGACGCTGCCGGGCATGTGGGCTAGGTCGAGGATAACAAGGCCATGCGTGTAGGTGTTTGTGCTTTCGAGGCGCACGCTGTTACGGCCAGGCTTGCTGGCTGTGTTGCTGTGGTCCACGCCAATGTAGACTCCGTTGCTGGAGGAGGCATTGATAAGACCGTTGCTTTGGGCCGTATCACGGTTGACATAGTTCACGTAACCGTTGGTTGGGTCGGTGTCCTGGTGGGATTAGTATGGGAGGTAAGGTTGTTTGTTCATGGGAGACATACCGTGTAGAAGTTGAACTTGTCAAAGAAGGTGCTGCTGCTATAATCATCATGCAAGCTGTACTTGGCCGAGGCCAGAGAGCCGAACAGGCCCACAACAGGCAGGATAGTCGAAATAGCGTGCATTGTTGATATCTGCAAAAGGATTGGTAAAAGAAAAGGATTGGAAACAGTCTGTCAAAGACTATGGTCCTGAATAGTATCACAGATACTCCAGCAGGACTAAAAAAGAAAGAATAGATCCGAAGATCAAAAAAGGAAAGTAATAATGCAGAGACAATGCAAGACAATGAAGGAAGGGCTTGACAATCAAAAAGCGGGAGGCGGGATCATTTTATACATGAGACCTCTCCACTTTAGACGCTTTGAATAAGAAAAAAAGAAGAGAATTAAATGAATAAAAAAGGAACCCTATGAACGAATCAAAAATCATCAGGCACCAGGGCCACGCCAGGGCCACGCGGATGGATACATCCACCAGACCCGATCGTCAGGGACCATGTGAGAGTGTGAAACGGTAAAGGGGAGAACGGTGGGGTCTGAAACGGAGGTACCAGCAGGATGAGATATTATCCACCGCCCAGAGGCATGGAAGTACTCCGTACATGAAACCTCCATGTCTGGAAACTTGAAGCTGACATTTGATATCAACTGGCTGAAGCTGTGGAGCCCGGAACCAGTAAATCATGAAATTCTCGGGCTGAGATAAGTTGATCTTGCCGATCGAACCGGTCCAGCCCCGATATTGATCAGTCAGGGTTTTATTGTAAATGATACTATAGCGTGACATGTATATAGGGGAATGATCTGTGGAATGACTATAAAACTCCATGCAGATGCATATATGCACCACAATATGAAAAAAGCACACATGCAGCCACACCTATCATGGTAATCGGTACAAAATAACCAACAAAGTGGAAAACTCTACAGTAGCGCCAAATCAAACTTTTGAGATTGTTTCGGATCCAACGAAGGATCGGTACCATCTTCTCACTGGCCAGTACTGTAGGTGCTGGATAATGAGAAAAGCGGGAAAAGAGTCAAAAAGATAGAGAAAAAGGGGGATCCAGCCATGTCACTGGTCATGTCCAGTGACACAATCACCAATCACATTACTTGCCGCAAACATTGCGGCAAGGTGGCAAAGCGATCGACAAATGATAGGTCACGGTTACTGATGCCGTTGGAAAGACTCACGGCCAAGCTTTCTTTGGGTCTGATTTTTTTCTTTGTCCCCAGAAATGAGTGTTGTCGGGTTAATCTTCGGCAGCTGATGCGTCTAGACTTCGAGAAGAAAAAAAGAATCTGACTTGACGTGGAAGGGAGACGTCAAAAGAGAGTGGCAAGTTCGGGGAGTGGGTGTCGTTTCCGACTTGATTCCAAGGTTCTGTGTGCAAAGGTACTTGGTCGGAAGTACCCCTTGACTGTAGATGACATGTGGGAGTACATGCCAGCCATGTACTTTACAACCGGTTCCCTTCTATAAGAAAAAAAAAACTGCTACAGAAGAAAAAGTTAAACCTCTGTCGTACGATAGCAATTGACGCACGCAATTCACGAACAATTACTGTTCTTTTCTGCTATTTTGTTCAATATGTGCTATCTCCCGCCCCTACCACCCTGACCCGCTCATATTCGGTCAAGCGCAGATCAAGACCCTCAAGATCCACTATTCATCACACAGTCCAAAATGCTGTACAATATTATAGTGATTGTGTACTTTGTCCTTTCTACGAGGTACAATGTCGCATTTCGGTGAACACTCAAGACTAAATGATAATCCGGAGGGGCAGGAATGATCCTCCGCGGTACAAATATTGCACACGGAAAGTGTCTTGAAGAGCTGAGCGGAGAAGGCGGAGTACAGACGGGTGAGACATCACACCGAGATGGCCATGATCAACTTACCTGGCTAATCCACTACGTGTCCTGAAACTGCGACGGTAGGCAGGGGACCCTGGCTAGAACATAAAGGTTCGAATTACCTACAGCGTAAGTGATCACAGGTCGGAAAGTGACTTTTTGGTTTGAATAGTTCTATTTTATTTGTCCATGATGCGGCATAGGCCAGGGTAGTTTGTTTGTGTATTCGCCCAATAATGTACGGAGTACGGAGATGAAGGCTCTACAATGCACCCTTTCCGTAACTTTAGCTTCACCCCCGCTATTTACAGGGCATAATTTATCGGACTTCAGTGTTTAGTTATTCTGTAGTCTTGTATTTGAAATCACATTTGCGATAGTATCTCATTCAGAATTGATGGATTTTCTCCGCATGTTAGTAGCCCATTGCACCTTCAACAAATTGGTATTAACAAAACAAGCCCAATCGAAAGCTCCCATAAAGACTGGTGGTTCGTCCAACTACACGGGGTATTTGATACATTCTTTCAAATGTAGGTAGGATGTATGAAGAGCAAGTACAAGTAAACATTGCATATTTACATTGTCCAGCAGACTTCCAATACTGCTTCAAAGAGCAGATAGCATAAGACACCCAAGCTAGAGCAAGGCCTAGTCTTGAGAGAGGTCGATAGCATCTGGGAAGTACCGTTAGTATGTTTGTGACTAGCATGGTACGCAAAATGACGGCTAAGACTTACTCATAATCAGGGTTAGGACAGAAAGAAATCCATCAGTAGCCCCAGCAGCCATGATCGGCTGGACCAAAGCCTTAGCTTTGACCGGATTTTGACTGCTCACCATGGTCATGCCAGTAGTCAAAACACCACAGCCGGTTGCAACGAGTTCCATGACATCTACAATGCGGAGCATCGAGGCACCTTTGCTAGTATCACTCCATTCGGGGATGAGATGCACGAGGACGACATCGCTAGCAGCTCCGACACTGAGTAGCATATTGCCTGTACATTGGGCAGCAACTGCTGATTTTGGAAGGCCCTTGCTGTGATGATACCAGCCGAGGAAATGATATCCAGCACCAAGGGCGGAGCAAACAGTGCTGGCAATGTGACCGGGAAGCTGTAGCGTCAGTTAGCAATGTCACTATTCTTGAGTTTCCTTTGATTGGATAGACAGACCATGTAATCGAAATCATGATCCAATTCTTGTTTCACCTCGTCAGAATGCTCGCGCGCCTCTAACCACAGGGCAAGCTGTGTAAGACTAGCTGCAAAAGAACTGACAGAAGTCAAAAGCATGAGATTCGGCAAAACTCTACTTGTGTGATGCCCAGCATCACCAGAAGCGAGGGCTACTGTGGTCCCATGGTAAGCTTCCATCAGCACTGTCACGCTTCTGAGTAGCCCAAGAGAAGTAGTGCACCACTTTCGACGATGATGATATGCCTTCAGTGCATCCTGAGAGTTATATCAGTATTAGAGCATCATCTCAGCCTTTCACACCCGAACATACCTGTGCGTTTGTAGAGAGAGAGCTGTGATGGTGATCCTTCTTTGCAGCTGTCTGGAGCAGATTCAGAGTGACTGGTGGAGCATTCTCAGTTGTGCTCACCATTAGATTGCGCTTTGTGATCTCGTACTTCGGGGAAGTAACGCTGTTGGAGAAAACAGCTTTGCCATCCAGAGCATCGACCGTGGGCACGCTTTGATTTGATTGCTGCTTTGAAAGACCTAGAAGAGGCTTCATGTCCAAATCCACGTTCTGTAGTTTGTTTGTGATGTCTTGAGGACGGCCAATTGAGTCCCAAGTGGAATCGCCATAAATGAGATATATTACCTGAGCTGCCACAAATGTGGTGACATTCAACAATGAGAAGTCCTGCAGAGGAAGCGCATCAGTGAAGAAACAATTCGACGAGAGTATGGGAGCCTCACTTGTTCCGCGTACCACTCGAACAGAGAGGTGATGAGAGGTAACTTCCATTTGCCTTTGAAGAATTCCATGGCCTGCTCAATGATACCTCCCATGATATCCCATACACCTTGAATCATGAGCTTAATAGCATCAAATAACGTCCAAAACACGTTTTGTAGAAGATCCTTGAGCACCGAGAAAGTGGTGGATGGATCTTTTATCATTGGTTGCAGTTTCTCGGCCATGTCCTCCAAAAGACGAACCAGGTTAGCAAGTTGCGACTCGAGGATTCGAGGCAACGTATCGGTCAGAATATCATTGAGTGCAGCAAAAGAAGGAAATTGAAACATTTCGCCGAGCTCTCCTTCCTCGAACGCCTCACCTGCCGCTTCCAAGATAATGGACAGGGGGTTGAATTTCATTAAGAATTTGATGACTGGGTTATCAAAGAGCCATGCGAGGGGAGAATCACGAAGAAGAGATCTTGGATTCTCATTAGCTGCTTGAGGGGCCTTTCTGGTATCGGCAATATAGGCCTCAAGCTTTGCTTTGATAGAGTCGAGGCCTTGGTCGAGTGTGCTCCGATTGACCTTTGTGAAGCGAATAGACATATCACCGATTCCATTCACCATCTCAATCAGTTCCTGTAGATACGGTCAGATATGAGGTCTCGTTGGGCGAGGATTTACTCGAACCTTCTGTATTGCCTTTGTCTTGCTAACATCAAATGACAGACCAAGCCAGGAAAAGAGCTGTCCAAAGTCTACTCCCAAGACATCGCGGAGGAAGTTGCCTACTGCTCTCACTAGAGGCCCAACAGTACTGACAACGAACGAAAATACTTTTGACCCAATGTTGATGACGAAAGACACCACTTTACCGACAATCTTGAAGGCGAATTTGAATACCTTCTTGACCATACTTCGCAAAAACTCAAGGGCATCGCCCATATATTCTTTGCCGAGTCTCACGGCTTTATCAAACCATCCTTCATCTGTCACAGTGCACACGCCGTCGGCGGTCTTTTCCACACAGACAGCGATATCGCTTGAATTTCCTGATCCAATGGGCACAATCTGCTTTGTATCTTCATCAACGGATGAAAGCATCGTCGAAAAATTGGACAATAGATTTGCTGAGGCTTCAAACTCTGCCTTTTTTGAACTTATCTCATCCTGAGAGAAAATGGCTTCTCCACTACTGGATTTCGCGGCCGCCAGTGATTTGACGTCTTTGATGTTGCTCAGAATTCCCATAACTCTTTGAGCTGCGTATATCTTGGTCGAAAATCTGACGCCGGAATTGTCAATCTCAAGGTCGTAAACAGGCCCATCGAGCTGGTCGGTAACTGCTGAAACAATGACAATTTGTCCGTGGTGGTCGGTTCGGATGTTGGTGGCTTTCTTGCTTAGGGCATATGAACGGTCGTTGACCAAAACCATGGAAGATTCTGATTTGATCTTGGCCGGAAAGTCCTTCCCAACACTTCTGCCAGTAGACTCGGTGATGCTCACAGTCGTGACATATGCCTTGAATTGTTGCAGGGCAGTTGGAGACGCGAATTGAACTGTATTTTCACTCCAGCAAGTGGTCTGGGGGTCGCGCAGTAGATGTTTGACATCATTGCCACCCCCTGTCACGAAGATCAACTCGCTTGTGTCAGTGGTAGCATTGTATTGGCAGGATATACGTTGGACATTGCTCCGAATTGGAAGGCCAGAGGAGAAGAGCTTGACTTGGTTGCCTTTGAGTTGTCGAGTACCTTGAATAAAATACAACTCGTCATCATCGCTGACAGCAAAAAGCGTCAATTTGGTCTGTACATTATTGCTGGTTTGGTCCATAGCTTCTGAGCAAACAACCTGCTTGAACCTAATATCTTGAAGCCCGTCGACCAAGACGGGAGCACCAGTCGGATTTGCATAATTCACAAAGCCAACTCCTTTCTCTCCAGCTACAACTAGATCCGTCATTCTGTGAAAGGACAATTAGTACACGTAATTCAGTGTCAATATTCGAATAAAAGGAAGCTTACCCCCAAGGATTGGAGTTTGCACAGATTTCTCTCAGCTCTCCTAGGCTCTTCAAAAGAAGGGTTCTCAGATCATGCGACCGTTCACCGGTGGTAGGGTCAAAGATTGTGGTGAAGCAATCGGTACAGCCATGTTGTTTGAACAAAACAAAAACCCCATTGCCGGACTTCAGTTTCGCAGGAAGAATTTGCATGATTTCTCCTGCATCACGAGGAATTTCAAATGGCTTCCACGGATTTGGAAGTCCTGGGGTAGGGTCGATTGTATAATGAGTGGCCGTGAAATTCTGGGTAGCTGACGTGCCCACCGTGAGCAAAATAGAGGACTGGGTCTTGTCTGAGGCTTTGCGGGGCCCAATTGTGAGATATGAGACCTGTCGCCGCCCAAGGTTGTCGGATATAGTAGTCCACGGAATGACTATACCAGGTAAGCACTGCTGAACAGACATTATACATTCAGGCTTGACATACCACTCAAGTCGAGTTCGCCTGCGACTTTGCTCCGGTCGGGAGTATCTTTTTGAGGAAGGCAAATCAAAGCGTGATGGACGGTGGTCATCCCATCGCTGTCCAGGGTAGCTGCTCCTATGTGAAGCTTCTTGGATGAGTCCACGAACACGTCAAATGCAACAATCCTAGTTTTGATTGGGCTGATATTGTGCATCTTCCATCCTGCGGAGATGCCGTTGACATGAGTCAGACAATATAGTTGCTGATACAAGTTAGAATCACATTATGCAAAGGTTTCATTTTTTACCTACGTCGTCAGTCCCGATGGAGAACATAACAGGTTGTCCATTCCCATCCTGTACAACCCCTAGCTGACCTTTACCACCAAAATACTGCACGGCAGTTGCATACTGCAAAAGCTCAGAGCACACCTTGAGCTGGATGGTCGGTGGGTTTACTTCTGTCTTCTCTTTGCTAGAGTCTGACCATGCGATCTCCTCGGGGGCTAGAGGACTAGGGATGTTGGTGTTGATGGTGACCGGCTTGGTTAACCTCTCGGGTGAAAGCATGATGACTTGGGAATAGCAAATTGATCAAATCCTTAATGGTGATTATCAGACAGGATGATCAACTATGAAGTGGAGGATGAAGGATCTCGAGCTTAAAACCTTGATTCGAGAAAGAGAGCACTCACCTTGCTTTTGACATGGTAGACTACAGTTCGGCAATTTTGACCGTATATGTTGACTTTGTTATTGACACAGACAGAGCTGACAAGTGTTGCGGGCCAGTTTCGGTGGTTTTTTGAGTGCAAGAGTCTCGACTCGCATTACTCTACCGCGTGATGCACGATAGTGCTGAGGGATTCATTATGTGTATTACACACCTTATTGGTTACAACGAACTAGAAATACTATTTCCGAAGGGACGCTTGAACTGCATGATTGTGGATTCTCCCTGTTGTGGAGTTAGCCCAACGTGGCGAAGCTCAACACTGTCTTGGCCTAGGCTCCTTCCGCCACCATACTCGCTGAACATGTTCACACCTGATCTCTTTAAACACATTCTAGTACGATTTAAGGTCGGATTAGCCGAGTTCGCCTGGCTATGTCCGCACCAGTTCTTAGTAGCTTCTAGTTAGTTTGGACAGTTCATCCACGGCGAGGCTTCGGAAGAGTAGCTCGGTAATGATTGCCCTGTCCCTGTTTTTTTTTCTTGTGCGCGAAAGTGACAAGACTTAGGGGTTTGATATCAGTTTCTACCCTCAAATCACTACATTATTCACCAAAAACAAAAAACCAAAAACAAGGTCAGCTGAATGACGAGGGTAAAAGTGCGCCCATAGGATAATCCATTTGGCTTTGTGAAGAGAAGCAGTCGAAAATAAGCGATGCGACTAAACCAGGCCATGCCGTTATATTTATCTCTGCTCTATAATCCATGAGATGCCTTTTCCCCAGAGACATCATTGTTCATTCCAAATTTTCGACCCTGATATACTTTCTCGACTTCGTAGTTTTACGAAATGCATGTTACTCCTGGAACCCTTGCAGAGTTTGATATCGTTCTTTCGATTTCCGAGGAGGCAATCAACAGACAGTTGAGGCTTCTCTACGACAAGAAGATTGATGACGATGACCTCCCTGTTCCAACTGAGATCGAAGGTCTAGCACCTGCCGCACAAGCAAAATATCTCATCAATCACGATCTCGAGATTCATACCAGAAATGATCATGGTGAAACTAATATGGAAGGTGGCATTTCGGGTCATATCACTTGCCCCAAAATCAGCTTCACAGATGTTCCATCACCCAACGACTTTCACACTGCTCGAATCAGCTTCCAGTTTGAGTGCGTTGAAGGTGCTGCGAAGCCAAACAGTACCTACACCGAATGGAGTAACATGATGCCCAGACGCACCACTATCGACGGTTGGACCGTGTCATGGCTTGTTGAGATTGGGCGGAAAGAGATCAATAATGTCATGGAGGGTCAGCAACCCCAAAGCACTGTTCACCAATTATCGAAGATAGCTGACAGATCTACAGACTTGATCACACCACATGCAAACAACAATGACTCGACAAAGCTTCACCCAAAGGCAGTTGAAGAGTTGAAAAAGGTCATTGACAGTCGCTGCTACTTGGTCTCCTCAGTCTTCTGTCTACTCGATGCCTCTCATTCTTTCGAGTTTCGAGATCCGAACGGCAAACTCGCCAATGAGATACTCGGGCAAGATTGCGTGGATCTCGTGCGCAATTACTTTACAGGGTGAGCCAAGTGTCTTCATAAGCTATATATCCTCACCTCCAACTAAATCGGAGTAGTCTCAAAGTACCACAGGGTACCGTCACCCCGGATAACCCCTTTGTGCTCGGCTACGGTATCTCGCAGCAAGTGCCAGATATCCGGGAAATTTACCCCCAAGCCAATCCTGACCTGACCCCACGCTTCTTCATTCCCAAGAAGTTTCAGCTGACAACGACCCCCGGTAATGTGCAACCAGATGGAACAAAGTTCACTAATGGCACATTAAACTATTGCATGTTGACCTATCGCGACTACTTGCCCGGAACCAAGACAGAGAAGCCAGGACGCAATGAAGGAGATGTGGATCCTGAACGGAATCCGCATGCAGGACTCTTGCCCGAGACCTTTTTCGACACGACTCGTACAGGTGCCCATGATGGTGTGATGGGATTCTGCAAGGATCTAATCATGGATCAATTTATTTGTGAAGTCATAGGAAAGAGCTTTTATGCTGATCCAAGCCTCATTTTCAAACAACAAGGGGGCGGAGATTTTAGAGGGTCTGCATCATCATCGTGGACTCCTTCGACCGCCGGACGTCCACCCTCATGGACTTATGGGGGCGATTTTAAAATCGAACCGAAGGATATCGAGGGCACAGGGTATTTCAGAGGCTTCTATAACGCAATGAAGTGGTCCGCAGGTAAGATAGTATAGCAAATTCATGAACCTTCCGTGTCACTACTGACGAACGAATTGATAGGACATTCTAGGGTCACTGTCAGCATTGAGTCCGACCTCTTGGACAACCCAACTAATGTGACACGCATTGATGCTCAGCGGCGATCTTACATCACACTTATCTCGGACACCGAGATCAGAACGATGGTAAGTCTCATTACGGTCAGGTATATATGCATCTTTTGAGCTAACGGTGGGTAATCTTTCAGCACGAAACTCGATCCTCACTGGGAAAGCTCACTAATGAAACCTGGACTGAGCAATATTTGGCAACCTTGTACATGAAGTACAAAGTGCGTCTGATTCTGTCACCGGGCAATGCTGGCGTTTGGGATGTTATCGTGGACCATGCAAACACCATTCTGCCATCCTACGGGGGTGGAGGGAGCCATCTCGACGTGAAGTGGGATAATCCCAATGGCCGGTTCGGAAGTTTCGTTACTGGACAAGCCAGGAACAAGATCTGGTCGATTTTTGGATCTGAAGATGATCTTAAATCGCGCATGCATCAAGGTAACGTTATTATCTCGCCCAAAGATGATCGATCTAGAACACATTTTAACAAGAAATTTAATTATAGTTAGCTATAGTGGTGATGCAGCGGCTGGGAGCTTGTCGCAGAAGCTGACGGCCATGTTGAGCAGCATGCAGAACCGCGTTATCATGCCTGCTGGCGACGTATTCATGTTCACGGGCATTGACATCGACGGTACTGGAAATCTGTACTCGCATGTCAGCTATGCCCAAGGAGCTGAAGGGGCGAGACGGATATGATTTTTCGGGAAGACATAAGAACTCATCGCCCACTGGGCTAATTAATTATTCAATGTACAGCAGAGTACTAATGTGCATACCGGCCAGGGGTTCGATTGAATTTTTCTAGGATTGCTGCCTGAAGATGCCTGACTAAAGCATAACAGAGATTGAGGTGTAAAAAGAGGTGTAAAAAGAAACACAAGGGATTATAACCTTGATGATGTATAGAAACTACATTGTCTTTGATTGCGAGAATTGGTTACAGTACGCCGTATGGAGCAGTGAATATGCACCTTCGCAGCAGTGTTTCACGATTCAGGTTCTTATCATGCATTAATTGAAGACTATGTAGATGTTCTCCTCTAGGAGGTTACAAAACAGCATCACATGAAAAATAGTGGAGTTGGCTGTGCACCAGGGATATTCCCAGACAAAAAAAAAGCAAATGTAAAATCCCAAACAAAATAATCATCGCTGCAACCGCAGGAAAAGTAAACTATGTACAAGCTGGACAGAACATTTCAGAATTATCACGCCGGAACGCAGTTTCAGGTCGTCCACCCGAGCTGATGGCTTTCAGCACGCATCTGCGATGGAAAAGGTGTCGGCATGAAAACACAACCACCGGTTCTGGAGGAATCGGTCCAACCGGCCGAGACACTGCAGTTTCATTCTCGTGTTCTAGGTCATGTTCATGTTCATGCTGATGGTGCTGGGCGTGCGCATCCAAACGAGACGGATGACTCCCTACGTCGGCGGCTTTGCCTTTCCCTCGCTCGGAGGGATTGTAGCCATCCTCTGTGCGGCGGGTGAGGCGGCGCGAGTGTGAATATGCTTGGCGGTCTTGCCAGGCGGTCCAATGGGCGTCACCAACGCTAGGACCCCAGATTCGGAGATGACAGATTTCGCAGACGTGCCCGCGTGGTCGCCAGCCTTGTTGGCGGAGTCGGGTGACTTCGTCTACGTGAACAAAGAGATCGCGGTCGAGCATGCCATTTGCGAGGGTTAGGAGAGATTTCTCGTAGGAGTATGCTGAGAAGACAGATGCGAGGACGGCGCGGAGCTCAAGGAGTGAGGAGGACCAGGTTGCTGCTCTGGTGAGGAAGGCGCGGAGGATGCGAAGGAATGACATATCCGTTCGCTCTGTAGTGGTTTGGTTGGATTTTACCGTACTTGCTAGGAGTGCGGTGAAGACTTGCTGGACGAGGGTTCGGAAGGAAGTTGTAAGTCGACCGTTTTCGCCGCCGAGAGAGGTGGTAGGTTGCGAGGTAATTTGGGTGTTTCCCTGCATAAACGCGAAGACATTGCTAGCGATGCGGACTACGGCTTCGATGTGATCAAGCCAGAGGGTTTCGTCGAAGGCGAGCGGCTGATCGAGCGCCGGCGAATTTCGTTTGCCGTTTGAGCTGCCCGTACGCGACTGGTTGGCCGTCTTGCTTTGACCCTGGCAGAGCCAAGTTCCAACACCTGCGTACTTTTTGAGAGATTCAATTAGGTCCTCGATTGCCTCGGCAGTGCTGGCTGAGTCGGGACTGTCGCGCACACTTTGGAGGATACCTACCAGCCCTGACTCCAGGGTACTTAAATGTGCGACAAGACGGTCGAGGGCCTCGCGGACTTGGCCCTGTCGGGCGAGGAGAATAACGGCAGCATCAATGGCTCCACTCTCTTCGATGAACGGCAGCAATTCTTCCAAGTGGATATCGCCCACTCGCAGGCCATCCACGAATTCCGCCACATGGGAAGGATTATACTTGCACAGAAGCTGCACGTAACGCTCGATCATCCAGTTCTCTACAGTCGGCGGGGATCGGCCTTCAGGTGTTTGGGCATGCGGCTCAACCAAAACCAGCAAGTATTGGTATTGCTTCTGAGGATCTTCTTCCAAAACACGCAAGAAGGTGGAGTGGGTTTCCGCGGCCAACTCTTGCATCGCCCGGGCCGTCTGCGTCACATCGATTGCGGCGATCTCGCGAGCATGTTTCTCAACAATGCCAATAACATCTCTTCTCTGCTTCTTGCCGAGCCCCGATCCAACACGTAGACAATCATGCAAGCAGGTGAAGATAGCTTCACGGTCATTCGGATCTTCCAAGTAAGTCGTGACCAGCTCAGCGTACTGTTTTTCGGAGCGGTAAGTCGACTTCAAAACGCGGAAAAAGCGCGCCTCCTTGAAGAGAGGGATCATGCTCTGTATGTCGGGAGGGTGATACAAAGACAGCAAATACTCTGCGCTCAGCTCGCAATCTTCTGCCATTTCCTGCTCGGGATATTGACATATACGAACCAAAACCTGATGAAGGGTCGTGCCGGAAAGGAGAATGTACTGGGGGTATTTGGGCAGATTGCGCGCAACAAACATATCCAGGTAAATGGTGTCGAAAGGCGTGAAGAATGAGTCGGACATGACTTGAAGCAAAATGCTAATCAGATATTGTCGATTGATCGACATGCCTGGAGTGGGCACATCTTCGCTGTCGGGTTCGTTCAAGAAACTGTCTTCGAAGGCCTCGTTGAGCATACTCATGAAGCTAGATGAATCGAACTTGAGCATCGCTCGAAGTGCAGAGAACGAATCTGTTTCAGGGTCCCCACGAGAAGCACTGGAGCCACGTCCTGAGAACATGTATTGGTACACATCTGTTTTCACTCGCGAGGCTTCAGCCCCAACCATATCGTCCCCAGTGGGATAGATGCGACCGGTCAAAATGAATGAAAGATAGGGAAACATCTTCATCGCATTGTTCTGTCGTCTCATCTCAATCGCATACTCACCATTTACCAAAGGTTCAGTTTGAGATGGAATGAGGCCAATAAGCTCTTCCAATGGCCCGACATAATCCATCAGACAGCGGTTCCAGACATATATAAAAGCATCATACAGGTTATGTTGCTTGCACAGCGTGGTCACCTGGTCAATATCCATCGTGGTTGTATCAAGTAGGCAGATGATCTCCTCCAAGCGGCCAGCCGAATGGGTTCCAATGAAATGGTTTATCAAGGCTTTGACTGCCGTGGGAGGCAGTGATCTCAGAGTCCCATCAACAATACGGGGCTCAAGGGCATCGAGGAATACTCCTGGAGATTCTTGCTCCTCGTACCAGTTGAAAACCTCCTCCCAGAGGAACTCTTCGTCAGACATGTGGATGCAGGCCGCGATGGACACTTCCGCTAGTTCCTCTAGTTGCTGATTCTCAAGCCGGCCATTGCTGGCTTCAGAATTGCGACCAAAAGCATACTTCAAGGACGCGGAAATCATTTCAAGAAGCTTGTCTTGGACAACTGGTTGTCTTAAATCATCCTCCTCGGGAAGCCCAACCGTCAGCTTCTCCGCATTGCCCGTGTAGTATGAGGTCGCTAGTCGAATTGCTGCAATGAAATCGCCTGCCTCCATAAGAGCGAGCAGTCGGTCGGCCCAATTGGATAGATTGCCCACCAAAGCCTCGTTATAGCCAAGCAGGAATAAACGTCCTTTATAGGACCGGAAACTCATGTGGAACGCATCAGCTATTACCCCATGCATTGAGTCGTCTTCCTCGTCAAGCTGCTCAACCAGTGAATGGAGCTGTGACGAGAACAAATCCGTGTGGTAGATGTGTCTGTTGGCAAGATCGAGTGAGTCGGTCACATGCATGGAATAATCTTCAATGATCAGAAGCTGCTGGGTGATTGTGAATACCGCAAGCACCGAGCGACTCAGCCATTGAACAGCCACAATGGCTTCGTCTGCCCTCCACCTGCTGCGTGCCCTGAAAGCAAGACTGGGAGGCTTTTCTTTGTCCGCAGGCTCGTCCGACTCAGCTTCCGTGACTTCCAGCACAGTCAATACATTTGACCAGCAGTAAACAAGCTTTGTGTTCGAAGTCTGGGAGTCTTTGCCCTTGAGCCGGATAGCTGGGAACCACGCCAGGGCACCGGTCATAGCGCTATGAGCCGGGACTTCTTTTGGTCGGGGAGCTTTGTGCTGTGTTTGAGCCACAGGTGTGGTGGATACAATGACCAAAAGGTAAGGTGTCAGCATGGCAACCAGACCCAACGAATCAGTGGATTGTTCTACATTGCCGAGAGGTAGGGGCGAGAAAGCAAGGACCGAGCTGGGCTTTCGCCGTTTGGTCTCCACTGTCGTCTGAGGGTATCGACCCAGGATTCGGATCGTCTTGACCGTTCGCCCCACAGCGCCCATGCCTCTTGTTGCCAGATGGGAAAAAGCCATGCCACGTGTATCAGCCGACACAAGCGCGGTGCGTCTGGTACCGAGGAATCCTATGTGGATGACCGTAGATCCTGAAAGATGGCCATCAGACGCTCGAGTTTCTACTTGATTAGCCGGGATGGGCGGAATGTGAAGAAAAGGCTTTGCTGAGCGGGAGATCTCCCAGGTGAAGATGTCACCAGACTCATGGCCCCCTGCAATCGTAGAATGGTCTGCAGAGAGCGCCAGAGTGCTCACAGCCCCGCATTCAACAGCTACATATCATTAGTACATCAGACCATCTTTTGTGAGCCGCATTTGACAAACCGTGGGTTCCTGTTCCGATAATGGTCTTCAGGCTCTGCTGATAATCGAACACCAAAATGATTCCTTTAGATGTACCTATCACAATCGACGTGGAAACTGCGAGGCAAGTCGGCCGCCCGAAATTGCGCTTCCCGATTTCTGAAAACGCCTGCCCAGTGATCTTCCGCAGCTTTGTCCATCGCACCACATCCCAAGGCCCCTGCACCGGATCGGCTTCTGTTTCTGGTGTCGGCGAAACTTGACTGGTAAATGAGGACTGTCGGGAGTGAAGATGCGCCAGGAATGGCGAGCCAGCTCGAGATACACTCTGCGGGGATGAAGACAGGCGGGACTGGAAGCGAAGATCAAAAGGCCGGCGGGCCGGACTTGGACTGATTCCGGGGGAGCTTCGGAAAGCGAGCGCGCTGCTGCTCAGTGAAGACGGAACGGAGCCCTGTAATCGATCAGATAGCGGTCTTGGTTGCGCGCCAATTGTACTACTCACATGTAAGGACGGGGAATCATCTGGATTTGACCCTGTCCCATCCACGCTCCCGGTCGCGGCCCAGTTTGTATTTCGCAGCGGGGGTGTTTCGAGGAGGTAGGAATGTTTGGGTTCCACCGTTCGCTCAGAATCATTGTCCTCTGTATTGTCTATCGTGTCCAATTCCTCTTCCACCAATTCATGCGGGGAAGGTAATGTGTGGTCGAGGGCGGGTTGGTCGGGTTGATCGGGTTGCTGGTGATCATTTTCCTGGCCTAGGTCAAGCTCATCCTCGCGCGACCAACCCTCACTGCCCTCAGCCATCGAGCTCATGAGCGAGATCGCCGAATGACCATTGCTCCCGTTGTGTGGCTGGGGGAGTCGAATCCGGATACGCGGTGTAGGTAAGCGGCAAGTATGTAGTTCTTATGAACTTTGGGGATGATATACTTCAAAGAAGACTGCCTTGGTAATTGAGGTCGAGCTCGAGGGGTAGTGGAGAAGAAGTTCACAGCTTCATTGCCTGGATCGGGGCCGGGTTAGGGGCGCACTAGCCACAAGTGGCTGTCAGGTACATTCCAAGTACAACACCTATATAACTACTCCGTGCATGTACATATGCACCATGTTTGACACGAAGTTTTATGAGAATATATGAACTTTCCATCAAATTTTAATTGGAGAATCACTGACTTCAATATCGACTTGAAAATACTCGCAGCTATTCATGGATTTCATTAAGAAGTGCTAATGATACTGCAAAGTAGATGTTTTCTGAGCCAGTATCAACGGTGGAGTTCAATCATATTCTCATTCTTCCTCAAAACATAAGCATGAATGAATTTTCGAGGAAATTCAGTGAGCTTCGGATCCTTTCCTGGGGCTGACAACATTTTCGCTGCTTTATTAAGGTATTCGGAACTGAACGCAGGCCAAAGCTCGCGGTCTAACCCTTCCAGATTTGTCGGACGTGGGTAGTATGGATCATTCTCGAAGAATGCAATAGCCAGTTGTAAAATCAGATCGTCCGATCTCTCCCAGCCAAATTTCTCTTGCCGCATATCGCTAAGGTTGAACTCAAGACCCCGCGCTCTAGTAATATGACGCTTGAATTTGGCCGACACCATCCTTTCTATATTTGTGTGGGGAGACATTGAGCTATTTTCTCTCTAGTGAGGCCTAGGGATTGAGAAACTTCCTGAGTATATGTTGTTTCACCTTCACTTCCCAGCATAAACTCAATGTCGTATCCATCAACGTTTGCAGACCAGCGAATGATTGCGAAAGCTTCACCTATGGCCTTAGCGTGTGATGGATGGGAAGACTCAGCTCGATCATTTGATCAAGACAGAGGTTAAAGTTTCGCAAGTAAAGTTTGCGGTTGGTGGATGGTTGATTGCTCGCCGACACTTGAGATAGATCCGAGCAAGACAGTCACGGTCAGTGAAGTGGGAGCTTGCACGGGCTCAAATGAAGCTGGACAATACATGTTGATGAGTGCTTCGCGGAAAATCTTAGGTATCGGGAGAATACGCTCCGTGATCAACCCCATCGCAGATAGATGAGATATTGTTTGGAAACCGAAGAGAGGTAAATGAATTCCCCACTAGTCATGATCGTCTTTTTTGGTTATATAGGAGAAAACTCGCGGAACTCTCGCTTCAGGCTGATGCTGTTGCTGCTGCTGTCGCTCGAGTGCCTGATGAATGGCGAAATGTGTTTTGAAGTCGGCCTAAACAGCCTCCTCAAAGGACGGCTTATCAAGCTTGACCGCATATCATCCAACCAGTCTCTTTCATATAATACCACACTGACCAAACCCATCGACCGAAATCCCACTGCGTCAGTTTGATTTGCTTAATTAGAGGTGGAAAATGAAGATGTACTCGATATCAGGGAGTTGAGTGAGAGGACACTGTTCAGGACTTCATGTGGTGCTGCATACTATTTAAGGTGCGGTCGAAGCTCCACTTCTTCGTTGCGACGGGCATCGAATAATGCAGACAATCGATCGTGAGGTCACTATCTGCACACAAAGTTAATAAGATGCGAGAGGCAGACTCATCACTCGTCTGTTGTGAAACGATAGCAATTGCGCAAAAAAAAGGAAGAACAAGTCAAGTGAAAGATGATTTCAAGAGCCGCTAGACTACCTCACAAACCACTTTCAGCCTACGTAAAGTTTACGCTTTTTTGACGGCTCTGTGGTCCCCTCTCCAGTCTTCGATGGGCATCCGCTTGGAATTGGGTTCTGTTCTAGATTGCAACCCGGAAAGTTTCCACAATGGCATGAGCTTGAACGGCTTGCCGAAGTCTTGCTAAGCTAGAACGCTTTCTGACAGGTCCCGAACGTATGTGTAATTCCTCTCATTTTCATCGAAGGAAACTCGTATCATTTCTCTCCATTCAAGGTATCCTGATCAGGCAACGGCGTATCTATGAATACATGTACATACGTATCTTTAATTAACCACAAGTAACACCAGAAAGGCGCTTAACCTACCCACTTTAAACCACGAGCTTATTTATAGCATAATCCGCAGTGGAAATGTCATCACACAGTTTTCCATTTGCATTCTACCTCCTTGTTATTCTGGATCTTCCGACTTGTCCTCTATGTGAAGATAATTAACAGCATTCAGGCCATTTGGGAGGAGATCCAGTCAAGATAGGCACCGACACGAGCATCAATATCGGGGTAACCTGGTAGAGCACACCGCTTACGCCTCGAGATAATCCCGATCAGGGTATTATTTGAATCAATCACAGGGCCACCATCGTCAAATGAACAGGCACCTTTGCCACCTGCGGTCACACCTGCACAGATATCATCTTCCGTGACAGTGAGAACACCCTTATATGCTGCATGACAGTCCTTGGAACCAACAATATTCTCACTGGTTGTCCGCAGTGTAGCAGTGTAAGATCCTCCATCTGAAGTCATACCCCAACCCGCAATCCTAACGCTACTTCCTTTCTCGGGTGTATGGTCGTTCGAGGGTAGCTGAGCGGGGGCTATGCCGGTATAGGACTTTGTCAAGGTCAACACAGCCACATCGTTCTCAAGTGTGGTAGCGTTGTATTGTGAATGGACGGCAATTGCGGAAATGCTAATCTGAGTGCCGCCACTAGCATGCCTCAGGGAGTCCAGTCGGACCTTCATACTTGACATTGATATGCCATGGACACAGTGTGCCGCAGTGAGCACATGCTGTGATCCAACTAACGTTCCCGCACAATAGAAGCTGGTCCTCGCCAGGGCGACAATAAACGGGATATGACCCTTGGTTGCTTCTGCACCACCAACAATGGCTTGCACAGACCTAGCAGTAGCTAGAAGAAGCGAGAAAAGATGAAGTAGATTCATGATGAACTCTTAAGTTAGAATTAGCAGCTTAGCAAGGAAGGTAGGGTAAGAGAGATATCCTGTTAAGTAGTGAATTTTGCTGCTATGGCGACCTAATTCAGAGGCGTTTAAAAGTGGAAATTAACATATCTGACCCATTTTACATAGTTATTGTAACCTCTTACACCTAACTACATACCTAGTTATCTATATGTAGTTATGTTATTAGTGACATAGAATATGATCCGAAGAATTCTCCGAAAATCATACCAAAGGCAAAACTATTATCAACGGAGTAGACCTTTGTAAACCCCTAACAAAAAGTAAACCCCTTGAAAAAGCAAAAAAATAGATTGGTCCCTTGCATAAGCTAATGTCTGGGGTCAATCAATATTCGCCAATTTGACAGGTCCACTCCCCACAGGGTCTCATTTAGCGACAAAAGCAACTCCCTTCGTTCTAAGGGGCGGGTGATCTACTGTACGCTTCTCTCTGGGGAAGCAAGGTGATCTCTGTGCATCGGCTAGATCTCCTTGGTCAGTCCAAAATGACCTTAATCTCCTCGTAAATCTGAGACGTCACGAATGGGATCCCGCACTATGACTGTTTCGTCTCCCTATTTGGGTTGAGACGAACTCCAACATGCCAGGGCGCAATTCGTTTGCTTCCTGGGCTTGTATTTAATACTTCACTGATCGCCTCTCCCCTCTATACCTATCTGTCACTCTCTACTCCGTACTGTCGCTACATTCTAGTACTTTTTCCTCTCATTGATCGAAAAGTTTCTTGAGATCACTATTCAACATGAAGTTCACCATCTTTGCCCTTTCGGCTGTCCTGGCCCTCGCCATTGCAGACACCACTACCACTGCGGGCTCCTCGACCATTACCACCACACCCGAAGTTGAGTGCGCAAAGCAATGTAAGATTTGCCTCTACAATCTCATCCCTGGCCTTGTTTCTAACCTAAGATTTCAATCTAGGTGACGCGAGGGACACCTGCTGTACTGCCAAGTGCTACCATGTTCCCTGCCCCAGCGACAACGAAGCCGACGACACAAATAGCTGTGTCTCTGCCTGCCCCCAGGGCACTGGCTCTCCTGCTGACACCCAGAGGTACGCCGACTGCGAGCAGTCTTGCCTCAACTCCCATTTCTGGGGGGGCAGTGGTGCAACGGCCACCCACCCAACATCCACCTCAGGTGCCACTGCCACGCAGACGGGCTCCAGCTCGACAAGCACTGACTCCTCCGAGTGTATGTTTCTCTCCTTCGCCATCGCAACGTAAAGCTTCTAACATTGATTCCTAGCTTCGAGCGACTCCAACGGCTCCAGCAGCTCTGACTCTTCAGATGGAACTGCCACCAGCTCGTCTGGCTTCACCCAGCAAACCACCAATGCCGCCCCGCATGTCACGCTCGGTGCTTCCGCTGCTGGCCTCTTTGGGCTGGTCGTTGCTGCCTTTGCTCTGTGAGTGAACTGGGGTCTCGAATTTACTTTTTTGTAATTCAGCAAGGTCGCAAATCAGTCACCGATCTGGATCTATGGTGATGGCTTGCGCACTTTGTTATCTTTCTTTCTTGTGATAGTGTATTGGACATCAATTTAGACCTTCTTGCAAAGGATATTTCAACATTGGGGGGCTTGGACTGTGTGTCCTTTCGGCGTAAGAATTTGTAGAGTAACACTGGGCATTCCTTGCATCGATCACAAGATCATTATTGCAAATCGATTCCCGGTTTGGCCCATCAAGTGTATACTATACAATCAATGGAGCCTTCGATTGTCTCATGATCTTCCTTCGGTTGCTGATCAATTTCGATTTTTATGCCTGGGTCTTGCTTCGTCGCGTAATGCTCTTTGATGAATTTCCCCAGCCATCCACAACATTTGCATACCCATATGTATTCAGGTCAATCAATCGGTAATGACCAGACCCGCATATATTGTAGTACGCTCTGTAGTTGATGCGACAGCTGCCTAAAATAAACATGACATTCACCGCCAAACTTTGTTTACTGTGGGGGAGAAATGGGTTTCCCGCGAACAACAGATTGATCGATCACCAATCACACCCACGATATATCACTTCAAGTTCGTGAAGATAAAATACCAAAACCGAGAGCGTACACCCAGAACCCCAAGGAAAGTCCAAACTCCAGCGCAATGGATGATACAAGCGAAGAGTTCCAAGTACTCTTCAGCGCAATGTCTGCCTTTGTGGCAGACTGCATGTCCGGCCATGACCCATCACACAATCCAGCCCACGTCCACCGGGTGGTAGCACTTGCGAACAAGATCCTGGAAGCAGAGCGGCGCCTGCACCCCTCAACACAATACAACGGTGCAGTCGTCAAGCTAGCAGCACTACTGCACGACATCGGAGACAGAAAATATTTGTCAAAACTTGATGCAGGACCTGGGGGCGAAGCACCCGATCCAACAACCATGGTCGAACATGCGCTCCGTGCACGGGGCGCGGCGCCTGCACTCGCCTCCCGAGTTCAAACCATCGTGTCGCATGTTTCTTATACGACTGAGTGCAAGGATCCATCTTTGATTCGTCGCCTGATTGATGAAGAAGGGATTGTGGAGCTTGGTGTTGTGCAGGATGCGGATCGGCTGGATGCCATTGGAGCTGTTGGTATTGGGAGGTGTTTTACTTTCCTTGGCGCCGTTGGGAAGAAGTATTGTGCTGATGGGAAGTGGGAGATGAATAATTCTATTGAGCACTTTGGGGATAAGTTGGTTAAGCTTGAAGGGATGATGAAGACTACTACTGGTAGGGAGATGGCTAGAGTGCGGACGGAGAGGTTGAAGATTTTTGAGGGCTGGTGGGAAGAGGAGATGGATCTTGTTTCTTCTGCTTAAGAATAAAATATATCAAGGTTTGATATTGACAACAACAATGAAGGTTTGCTGGCCGCGCCCTATGTAGTGTCCTTCACATAATCGTAGCCGTAGAACTTAGTAAATTTATCAGGATTAATATCAGGTAGTCCCTCTTTGTACTATTCTCATCCATGGATGTGACTTGACAGTGAAATACGCCCGAGAAAGAGATATAAAAAGAGATGTAAAAAGAGACATAAGGAATTTTCAAGCGATGAACAAACTCAGGAATTCCTTTGGATCCATACACTAGAACTATATATTGACTTATCACACAGGATTTTGAAATGAGTTTCTCAGTATAGATCTGAGAAGGATGGGTATAGGGCACTGGATTGAAAGCACTACTATTCCAAGGTTACAACTTCCATATGCCCAAGTGCTTCTATCATGGATGTACTCCGTACCTACCTAGGTAGGTAGTTGCATTGGTGATAGCAGTCAGCTTATAGCCATCCATTCATGGATGGTTTGTTGTTGCCATTCATGCTTGATTATTGGAAATGAGGGCTGAATGTTCTCAAATGCCCCAGGTATAACCGTCTGCAAAAGTAACAGAGAAGAAGAATCTGGTAATGTTTGGAGTATACCATGGAATCACTGTGTTTCGTTCCACTGTCAACCCGGAGTTCCTGATATAGATCTATTGCCACACGGCTAATCATCAAAGTGCACGCACCTCCTCCGCCCGAGATAAACACCGCCATCAACCGGAGAAGAGTAGTGCATACAACCAACCCTCGCAACCATGGCTGATGCACAATTCGATAGCGCACTGTGAGTAATCTCTATCTAATTCCCGGGTTTTACTACCAACTCCTTCATATTCCGCCATAACACCTACCATGACAATCCCAGACTCTGACGCAACCCCGCTCCCATGCGGACGAAGACCATTGAGCTGACCACTCCTTCGCAGCGATCTCCTTCGGCGACTAAACCCGCGCGATACAAAGAAGAACCTCCAAGCCATTACCTCTATTGTTCCCGAACTCACCGAAGACCTCCTCTCATCTGTGGATCAGCCCCTGGAGGTTCGCCGCTGCTCGCAGACAAACCGCGACTACTTGCTCTGTGATTACAACCGTGACGGCGATAGCTACCGGTCACCATGGAGCAACGAATTTGACCCTCCGCTTGAGGATGGCACTGTGCCCAGTGAGCGGGTGCGCAAGCTCGAGGTTGCTGCCAATGAGTCGTTCGATGTTTACCGCGAGCTGTACTACGAGGGTGGTGTAGGAAGTGTTTATTTCTGGGACCTGGATGATGGGTTTGCGGGTGTTATTCTTTTGAAGAAGGGTGCGTTGCGATTTGGACCCTCCCTACCGTCCATGGTTGAGATCGAGACTGACTGGCTTTGGAATAGGTGTCACCCCCGGGTCCCAAAGCTCCGGCGAATGGGACAGCATTCACGTCTTCGAGGCGACTGATCGTGCTCGCATGTCCCACTACAAACTCACCAGTACTGTTATCCTTCACCTCGCCAACAAATCCGAGGCTCTTGGTGATATGGACTTGAGTGGAAACATGACTCGCCAGGTGGAGGTTGATATGCCCGTCGAGTCGGATGCTAGCCATGTTGCCAATGTCGGCAGGCTGGTTGAGGATATGGAATTGAAGATGCGCAATCTACTACGTATGTTACTAGTTGCCCGGCCACACATTTTGAGAGATATGCTAACCGGGGGCGCTCATATGACAGAGGAGGTGTATTTTGGCAAAGCCAAGGATGTCGTTGGTGAACTCCGAAGTAAGTCAATGCATACTGCCCCGATCCCACTACTCTGTACTTATACATCCATAGGCTTGGGCCCGTTGTCCGATGCGAACAGAGACCGGGAAACCCAGCGGGAGATGATCGCGTCCATGCAGAAGTAGTCTTTTTAACAACCCTGACATACTCCTTTCGACTAGGCCGACGAACTAGACTTGTCGTTGCGTTTTTTTTTTTGCATAGCTAAGTTCTGTGAACATGCTTGAATACAAGATCATACAAATTTCTCACCCTACAATACGTTGTAGAAGTTCATCATCAAACGAGACTCGTCAATTTCAAGTCTCAATGTCAGTGGCTAGAGCCCGGGGTATCATAAATGCATAGTTAACACCACCAACCGCGCCCAATGTATCGATAATCATCACTCAATCCAATTGCATGTTGTCCGTGTCATTGGCTGGCTTGTCCAACTGCTCAACAAAAGACCGAGCAGCAGCCCACAACTCAGCCTCCTTGTCCTTCCCAACTGTATCCTTCCGGCTATTGAGCCAACTGATATCAAGCGGATTCTCGGCAACAGTTGCAGCGCCCGCACTTGGATCATTTCGACTAGACTTGCTATCACCTGCACGCGAGGCTGTCTCCCGTCCTAGTAGAGAGGCTTCCTGCAATGCATAGACTTGACGACGTAGACGAACATCAATTGAGGACAATAGCGCGAAATATTGAGCCGTCGCTTCTTTGAATCGCGTCTTGTGCGAGTCTAGTGATCCGTCTGGTGCGGGGGAGGAAGAATCCGGTTTGGCGTTGGTGAGAGCTTGAATTGCTAGTCCCGCGGAATGGATTAATCTAGTGACATCCTAGAGCATGTATGTTAACAATTATATTTCTCTTCAATTGACTCGGTCGGCGTACCTTATCGACCTCATTTAGCTGTCGGATGCGATCGGCCGACGTGAGGGTTTGGAGCTCCTGCTTAGGAGCGTTTTCATCCATGATTCGACGTCGCAGTATGTATGAATCAAAGCACTGGCTGCGCCCGTGAGAATTGCAACGATCAGATCTTCGCAGGTAGAATGTCAACTCGGGATCGCAGAAGCAGTTGTAATTATCATCACGTGCAGAATCTGGGGAGCTTCTTAATAAGCGGTGAGGTCGCGCGGCCGCAATATCAAAATGATATTAGGATCAAATTCATCCCATCGTCGAGAATAATAAAAACACCATCAATCCATTCAATTACCGAGTAGAATTCGGTACATAATTGTTGTCGCTACCCTCGAATAGGAGTATTGCGTACGAAATCCCGGTTCAGCGCCACGCGATCTCACGATAGTCGATTATGTCGGCGCCAGGCGGGGCTCCCAGCCCTGGTCCACGTAGTGGAAGTATGGGACCTGGTGGTGCAAACGGTAATGGGATGAATATGCCTTCCCAAAGCTCTCTTCCCGGTACTCCAGTTCACTCTGCACCAACTCCTGGACCCAGTGCACCACCGAGTGGTGCTATGTCCCAACAGAACCTCAATCAAATCGTAAGTATCATCGTTCTTGCTTGTCACTTGTGCTCCCCTGTTCTGAATATTCCCCTTTGTTACCTTGCGGGCGTTGTCCCTTTGCGTGTTCTTTCTTCGCATCCCCCCATGCGTGCCTGGGTTGAGCGGACTTCATAAACGGAAGCGTGCCCTGCCGGACCCGCGTGCTATTACATCCCGTGGACCGTGACCGCATTCCAAATTGGCGGAAATGAGGTGTTTCCAATCAACACCGACGATATAGGCGGTGCCATAACCCTTGAGATCCCTCCCGTCGGCCATTGCAGCCCGTGGACCCGTGGACCGAAACCAAGGTCACCCACAAAGGAGACGAGGTGTTGATATAAGCGAAGAGAGCACTGCTGCTCCTTGAAGCCTACGAATCCCATTTGATTGGCCCGAGTGTATCTTGGGTTGGCCATGACAGCCGATAGCAGTCTATGGACCGTGATTGAAGTCTCCCAAATAGCAAGAGGCGCTTTGTGTCGACACCAACGACATGGTTACTGCTGTAGCCTTGGAATTTCCATTGGACGGTCTAGTGATCTTTTTGATTGGCTTATAGCAACCTATAGGCTGCAATCAAGGTCTGCCACATAGAAACAGAGGTGTTTCTGAAAGGCCAACGGATATTTTGATGCCATATGACCTCGATGATGAAATCCAGTGCCGATTTCATCCAGCGCACGTCCAATTTGATCTGTGGCTCAGAGGGTGTTGCGTTTGACCCCAAGGCCGAAGTTAGGCTTGGTACCACAAGGCCTGGAAGCTCTTGAGTCATCGTCCGTTCCAGCTCATGCCGTGTGGAGGGCGTGAGTGCCGCAGTACCACCGCGGTCACCGCCGGCGGGCTTCTTTATATGAACACCAAGCATTCGAACCCTTTGTGTAAGCTTCGGAGCTTGCTGTTCCGTCACCCATTACAACCTATGAGGTGTGAGCAAGGTTCATGATGCGGAGGAGGCAGATGGATCACAACTCAAGACAATGTCGTCGGAATTTGCGATATCAAACCAAATCGCTGTCGATATTATGCCCTGGATGAAACATTGGCTCGGGGTTCGAAATCAACATCGTCGATTCATCGTCGAGAGATACATGCGTCGAGCTTAAGAGAGTGGGGGTGGTTGCATGTTGGCGCAAGCTATCGCATCGTCACGGAAACATATCGCATCGTCACACGCATTGAGTCGCCCGACCCAGTGTACCTGGCCATTTATTGTTTCAACGTACACCCGACCACACTTTTTTTCTTTCCCACCCATTACCTCTCTCATCTCTACTTATCTATTCTGCTTATCCTTCTCATTCTTTCTTTTGTCTAAATATTCGTTCCATCCATTCTTCGGTTCACGTTCCATCTACTTGCATCCGTCTCAGACGCTGGGCATGAACCCTGTGCTATCTCGGTGTTTGTTTACGCAGGCCACTCTCTGGGACAAACCTGACACCCACTGCTACAATGGGGAAGAAAAAGAGCCACAAAAGCCAAGCTCAGATCAGGCGCGAGCAGGAAGAGTTTGAACGCGAGCAGGAATATTTTAGGCGCCAGCAGGAAGAACGGATCAAGCTAGAGCAGAAACAGGAACGAGAAGACCCTTCATGGAGCTCCTCTGGCACTCGTCGTGCTTCTTCCCGCCGCCGCCGCAGCACTGCATCAGAAGCCGTGCAGCCTTCCAATTCCTCAGCAGCACCCGAGGCGTCTTCTCCTGCCTTGGCCAACGCCTCGCAGTCTCCTGGTCCGGCTGACCCAGAAACTGACCACTCCACCCGGCCCACGCCGGATGAAGAGGTTTTGAAACAAACTATTGGTCCATTCGCACTGCGATCTGGATTCACGCTTCGAATCCCTACCGGAAGAGAACAATCTCAGCTTGGGTCAGATGCTGGATCATTCAACTCCTCCACTCGAACTGGCCACTCTGTTCTTGGCCAACGTATGAGAGGAATTGGTTATTCCCCTGGGTCCAATCCGAGACTATCATCATCATCTGGTACTCATATAACACAACCAGGTATTGGGCGAGGTGCCGGAAAGCGTCTGCCGGAGTCCTCCACACCATCTCCTCCAATTGCTGAAACGCGTCGTCAATACTTTAGCTCTGCCGCAGTTACTGCAGTCCTTCTCCCCAGCGAAGTTGCGGAACACCCTCGCTTTGCAGGAAAACGTCTCCCTGGTTACTCTCCGACTCCGATAGCTTCTCTTCGACCTGCCACTACCAGTTCGGTTGCTTCTCCCGCTCGCCTTGCTGTCAGCGAAGTTTCAGTTCCAGTTTCGTCATCCGGACATCACCCTTCTTCGACATCTCTTGAGGTGGAAAGATTTCATCCTCAATCTCAGAGCAAGTCTCCCCAAAAAGCTCTGGAGTCTGTCCATGAGCCTGAGGAAGCATCCTACGAGAAGTCGACTGAAAACGAATCCGATGAAATTTTTTCCTACAGCAACTCTCCCAAAAAGCAATCACCTGAGCCTCTCACTGAAGCCGAGATGGGCTCACGAACACCACGAGGACCTCGCGTGCCGGCATACCCTCGCCAATCTGCACCTTACCCGCCTGAAGCTCCGGCTCCCGGCGTGTTGCCTGAAACCCAGGCCAACCGTGAAAGACGCGCCCGAGAGCGCCAAACACGGGAGCGCCAGTCCCAAGAGGAGGCTCGGGAAGCACAAGCCCGCGAGCAGCAAGCTCGGGACCAGCAGGCCCGCGAGGCCCAGGCTCCACCTCTTGCACAACATGCGTCGGGCCTAGCATTCCCGGCAGGTGGATCAAATATTAACATTGTGGCTTCCGTTTGTTATTCCGCTCAGATTTTCCTCACTTGCCCTTGTCATGTTTTTTATCTGCTTTTTACTCGATTTCATCTTTAGATCAATTACTGATACTATGTCTCATTTAGGTCATCGACTATCTAGCGAAGAAAGGGTACAGCCGTACCGAGGCCATGCTCCGCATGGAGTCCGCCAACCAGGAGATAGATGGGCGTCCTCTCCCTCAGCTGGGGGAGGATTCTCGCCCGAAGACTCGCCAAGGATTTGGTAAGCCAAGTGCTCTACTCGTCTGGTTTAACATGTACACTAACATTATTTAGATTTGCTGAAGAACTGGGTCGAAGAAAATCTCGACCTCTACAAGGTGGGTCGAACAGTGTCCAATTTGATGATTGTTTGTTAATATTTTCTCAGCCAGAACTGCGTCGCGTTCTCTGGCCACTCTTTGTGTACTCATTCTTCAACATGGTGACATCATTTTACCCTCAAGACGCCAAATCCTTCTTTGAGGCGAACAAGAACATGTTCCTTCCAGAGCACACGGACGATATTCGCCACTTTGAGCCTATCAGTTTGCCTGAACACCTGCAGGACAACTCCGTGGCTAAGATTTACCGCACCAATAAGTACCGTGTCGTCCTGAGCAACCCGGCGTACACCAACCTCTTGCAGTTCTTGGAAAGCAAAGACAAAGAAGGAGGTTCTGTCATGAATGCAATCCTCAGCAGTTTTTGCTCCGTCAAAACTCTTGATCGAGCCGCGGACGCCCGTTTCAGCTTCGCCTCCATGTTGAACCAAATCGGAGCTAGCCAAACCTATCCCGCTGAGGATGAAGGTATTCCAGGTCATCATCCTGGCTCTGCTTATACTGGAGACAACCCTGCTATGGCTGGAACTCTGCCCCGACTTAAACTCGGAAAACTTCCCATGGAGCCACTTCTCGAGGAGGATGTGCGAGCTGAATTGGAAGAAGAAGATGAGAAAGAGACTCAGATCCCTGGTCGCAACACACTTGTTCAGGAGTTCGACAATATAATTAAGAGGGAGGACGACGATGAGGCCCCTTCTCGTGCTGACATTCCGTACCCGGCGTCCACTGCCCGTGACGTTCACATTGAGGTGAAGAAGGTCATTGAGCACCGCGATCGATTCAAAATTGAGGGTCGCACTGGTGGTGTTGGCCCTGGCGTCAGTGTGTGCATGTTTACGTTCCACAACACGTTTGATAGGTATATTCCCCCATATTCATCGGTTGAATGACTAGTTATACTGACATTTTCACAGCATGAACTGCATCGAGATCTCTGATGACTGCATGCTTATCGCCGCCGGATTTCAGCAGTCTTACATCCGTATTTGGACTCTTGATGGCAAGAATTTGCCCGTACGCGAGGAATTTGCTGATTTGGGCAACGCCAACTCTCGCCGTTTGATCGGTCACTCAGGTGCTGTCTTCGCAATTCAGTTCCCACCGTGCTCTGCCATTCGCGATAACGTTCCAGACGAAGATCGTGTCGATACCGCTCCTCGCTGGCTACTTTCCTCCTCGGCAGACAAAAGCGTTCGTCTGTGGTCCCTTGATACCTATCAAACTATGGTCATTTACAAGGCCCATGATCGCCCTGTCTGGGATTTGCGTTTCGGACCTTTCGGTCACTACTTTGTTACCGGTGGCAGCGACCGCACCGCCCGCCTCTGGGTGACTGATGAGATTCGCCAGCAGCGTATCTTCGTCGGCCATGATCAGGACGTCGATGTAGTCTGCTTCCACCCTAACTCTGCTTACATCTTCACTGGCAGCAGCGACAAAACTGTTCGCATGTGGGCTGTTTCGACTGGTAATGCTGTTCGCATGTTCACTGGCCACTCTGGTCCCATCACTGCCATGGAGTGCAGCCGTGATGGCAAAATTCTCGCCTCTGCTGATGACCAAGGAGTCATCATCCTGTGGGATCTCGCTCCCGGTCGCATTCTCAAGCGTATGCGTGGTCACGGCAAAGGAGGCATCTGGTCTCTCAGCTGGAGCGTTGAATCTACTGTTCTAGTCTCCGGTGGAGCAGATGGAACCGTACGCATTTGGGATGTTGCTGGCCCTCAGGAAGGCCCTGGTCGTGTCATCGGCGAGGGAGGTGCCGGAGCCAAGCTTGACGCCAATCCCTCCAGTCAGAACAAAAAGAAAAAGGGCAAGGAGACTGATGTCACCCCCGATCAAATCAGTGCTTTCCCTACCAAGAAGAGCCCTGTTTACAAGGTGAAGTTCACTAACATGAACTTGGTTCTTGCAGCTGGTTGCTACCTCCCCAATTCTTCCTAGATAGCATCTGGAGATTCATCTTTTCTTGACCCGCCTGCTTTTCTTACTTCCAATTTCCTGGTTACGACCTGGTTACGAAATACCCCTACAATTCTTGTCTTAATACATACATTCTCAAGATTCGCGCGCTAGAACTTTGTGTGGCGGAATCTCGGCGGCGTTGGGAATATTGAAAACCTCATCCTCGGTGTTTTTCGTGTTATTCGGTGGTGTGGCACGAGTCTTTCGATCTGCCTTGGAGCTTTTGCTTTCATTTTTTCATGTTTCACTCTTTAGTACCGTTGGGACTGCTTTGCACTCTCGGCCTGGAAACAGAGTTGCTTCTCGTTACTATTCTTATCTTCACATGGACCACTCTATAGTGGTATGGTGCTTCTTTCGATGATAGTTGGACTTCTCATTGAAGAACCGGGCCTGATTGAGAAGCTCTTTCCATCCATGATAACCAATTCCAATTACTAAATCAACTTTCTGTGCCAACAACGTAAAAGAGTGACTCATATATTACAGTACACTCATCTAGTAGATATGGAAAAATATGAAATACCCCTAACAGGGAATGGGCGCTGGAACAGGGCAGATTTGATTGAGAATTGAGTATTTATATGGTCTTTGATGTCTCTGAGTTATTTCAATTGTCCTGGGAAGCCAACAGGACCATTGTTCCCTTTCTTCATAGCAGCAGATGCCTGCATGTCAGCAACCTTCGGTGGAAGTACCAATGCACTCCGATCATTTCGCTTGTAGAAGTCTGCTAAAATCTGGGCAGTCTTCGTAGGCTGGTCTTCATGAACAAAGTGGCCCGCTTCAGGGAATACTTGGAGTTGGTATTTTCCTGGAACAAATTAGCCTTCATGAACATATGCATGGGATTTTTCGGGGTGAAAGAAGCATACCTTGCATCTGACCAATCATCAGCTCCTTATCCAACCGGTCCGTCCCGGCAAGCAACAGAAGCTTGCCGCCTCTCGCGTCGAGGAACTTTCGACTCAAACCGACAAACCAATTTTCCCAAAAGGGCTTAGTCGCGGAGAGATTGGTCCGCCATACCCAAGGGCGAGATGAATTGGAGGGTTCGATTTCTTCGTATAAGAGCGAGGGGACAGAGGCGCGAGCAGAAGTGGTGTTGCGAAGAGTGCGGGAACGAGTGCTGTGGTGTTATTAGTGTGACGGAAGGATTAAGCACTCAACAGAAACATACTGCCATTCGATTCCAGATTGAAGTGATGGGAACCGAGTCGGTCGTGTTGAGAGATACATCTCCATGCTTTGCAGAGCATCCATCGCAGATCCTATCAAACTGGGTTAGTACATGAAGGTAAAAGCGAAGATTTCAGCTTACCTTCTACCACATCAAACACCGCATATGCCAGCAGCTTCTGACCTAGCTCCCCCTTGATCGCCACATCTGCTATCACAGCACCGCCCAAACTGTGTCCTACAAGGATGATATCCGGGAGATTCTCCCAACCCATTCGGGTCTGCGTTCGGTGAATGACATAGACCAGATCCCGACTCAGAGTCTCTAGGCTGAGGTCTAGCTCAACCAGGCCCGAAGCTTCGGTGCGTGCGGCATCTCCAGTTGAGGGGGACGTCTCATCGATCTTTCCGTCCAAGGTGGTCATGACAGTGCGGCCATGACTTCGAGCATCCAGGGATAAGATACCCGCCTTGGGAAGGATCTTGCGGATCTCCTCCGCGCATGTCGCGAATGACAATCCTGATGAGCCAGCTCCATGATGCATAACGAAGAGTGGGCCTTTTTCAGTTGGTGGTGTTAAATAGACATGGTGAACGATGTGGAGGTTTTCCACGTCATCGGGAATGAATAGCTCTTGTTCAAAGAAATCCGTCCATGTCAAAGAAGTTTGCGACGATTGCCTGGAATATTGCGTTTAGCTTATTGCATATCATAAATACTGCTTTAAAACAGAACGATGCGGAGGGTGGCATGAGAAGTAAACGAACCGTCGGCCCGCTCGCGCAAATAGCTGTCGGGTGGGTGATGGGACCATGGTGCCAGTTGATGAGACCGAAGAAGCAGAAGAGCTTTCCCAGACATCCTCTGGATTCATTGATTCAGGCATGGGTGCTTCAGATGGAAATTTGGCCAGTTTGGACTTGGCGAAGGATTTCTGGAGGTCGCTCATTTTGAGTGGATACTCGGATGTGTCGATCAAAATGAGGGGGATCACTTCTGGCTTTCGATGAGTATTTCGTGTTCTTTCTCAACTACAGTCAACAATAAATGTCAACAGAAACGAGAGTATACACGACTTAAGTACTTTTGCATCGGGTAGTTTATGTGTCGTCAGTGTTTGAAGCTCCGGAGCCGCTGACTAAGAAACTTGCAAGATCTCCTGTCCAGATAAAAATGAGCTGGAAGAATAATCTTTTGATTGGGTGAGACATGAACTATTTTAAAGACTTTGATTGTGAGATCATCATACCATATTGGCTATTTTGCTGCTTCATTGTTGGGAATTTCTACAGTAGTACGATCGATATAAATGTCAACAACACCATGTATACAACATAGACCAAAGCGTAAAAAGGAGCGTACATCTAGCATTATGTCAGAATATACCTTGCCCTTGAACTTTATCGGGACAATAATCATAGTGTTTCCCGTTAAAATGGGTATATTGGAATTGAAACTTGTAGTATGAACCTTGCTCTTCAATTCCTTGAAACCATGACCTCAGGTTCTCCTCCACTCCACGTAGCGTGCATTCCCAGACGAGCATTCCCTCATTCGAAGATCAAACTAATCCCGAGCCCCTGCCTGACCAGGCCGGAGTTTCAATCTGTAAGCTTATTTGTCGATAATAGTGTGTTTGTGCTTTATCGCGGCGTGGAACTAATCGCCGACCTTGTGGAATTCAAAATCCTACATATGCCTAAAGGCTAAAAGACGAACAAATTGCGGCAGCGGAAGGATACTCTGAGAGAGAGAGAGAGAGCAAAAGGTCAAGCTCATTTATAGCTGGCGCAGGCATGGCAAACACAATTAAAGCTATGGTGACAAACAACTAGCGCACAAACAGTAGTAACCGTTCATGTGTATTAAAAATTTGAAAACACCCTGGGAAATAGTTTACTCCAATCGGCTTTCGTATGATGAATGCAATCAAACTGTGATAGGGAGGGATAAGTCACTGAATCTAACTTGCCGGGGCCACAAAGCCAGTGACTTGCTATAGCCTAACACCTATTTATCAAATGGTGCCAGCTCTTTTTCTGTAAGCGATAATGGTTACGCAAAACTTTGTTTGTACAAATGAAAGAACTGATTCTGATGCTTTCCACAACTATTGCTGCATATTGTTGAGCGATTCCCAGAAATTGAAAATCGAAACTTCGTCCATCAGCGCATCAATGGCATCCTCGCCGATTGTTATTCCAGCCATGGGGTCCTCCGCAGAAATATCCTGTAGCAGCGACGATTCCGAGGTAGCTAGGTCAGGTATTGTAGATTGGGCCACATAACTGGGGAATATGTAGTGGATAGCTTCTAGGAAGATACCTCGGAATACTGAAGAGGATGGGTGGGTGTGTTGCATTTGTTCCAGAACCATCATACATAGTTCCAGTTTGTTGAGACCTAGGCGTCGAGAAAGTGGATCGGGCGATTTGCAGTTGAGTAGGTGGACGTGCATGGCTGGCACTAATAGCGGCGGCCTGGTGAAGTTGTCAGACATGCGCTTCATGCGGCTGATTTGTACTCACGTCATGGGACCCGAAAATTCGAGCAACTTGTCGCGCACTAGACTGTCGAGTACGGCATTTGTCTGGAGCGCAGCTGTGTCAATTGAATTTCGGACGTGGGTCTGCCATGAGTTCTGGTGGGATCTTGGTAGGCCTTCTGGCGTTTTCGTAATGAACGGGCGGTAGAATGTGATAAGGAATGCTCTTTTGACTATTAGAGCTGTCTGCAAATGGGTCGTCTACACTCACTGGTAATGAAGTTGAAGGTGATGCAAGTAAAAGGTTGACAGCGGATTTGACACTGTATCGTGGTTCTCTGGGAGCTGGAAAAGTAAGACCTTTCGCTCAAGTTCTTCAACTTGCTGAAAAGACGGACTGGGTCCAAAAGGCTGGTAGCTCAGGGTGAGGGCCTCCCCCAAAAGCTGAGTGAGTTGGATCATTGTAACCCAATAATCTGCCAACTGCGGCAAGTCCTTCGGGATGTATGCTGCAGACATTGATTCAGGTAATTCGACAAAATCACTTAGCATATCATCTGCGGAAGGCATCATCGTATTGCAGTCATTCATGTGGATCCTCAATGGGCGGCCCATTGTCAGACTAAGCCATCGATCTCGAAAAACACAGGTCCACCAAAGACGACGCCACAGACGCTGCTGCTGCTCGGGGATAGGCGAAGTAGCACACACTGCACTAGAACAACGATGCAGTCCTATTGACTGACAAAGACTAATTGCTACCCCAAGCCAATGCCATGGCTGTGTGTGAGTATCAGCCTCAGAGTGATAAAATCCCAAGAGAAGTGCCGATTGTAGGAGAACTGTTTGATCTGTTTCACCACCAATATAATGCAGACACTAGTAGTCACTGTTAGCATGAGAAACTTGAATGTACTGCCAGATTTCTAACCTTTGCACGGGAATACATGGAGTCTTTCATATCTTTCCTAGATGAAAACCCTTCCATTCTCCAAGTATCGGTCGAAATATACTAGGGTTGTGTTAGTTCAACTGCACTATTGACCGGGAAAGATATTGGCTTCACATTTGCCGCCACAAAGAAGATGCTCCATATGAGCAGCAAATTATGTTGTTGGTTATCTCCGGTTGGGTACAAATGTGGAAGTGTGGTTGCATCTACCACCGGGGTAAGAGGATGCACATGATGAAAGTATGCCCGTAGAAGCTCATTGCAAGTTTCCCTCTGAGGCAAGCTGAAGACACCCTTGTACTGCAAATATTCTTTGTCTTCGGGAGACAAGAATGTTGATGTTTTGGAGGTCAGTAGGATGTGCCTTTGTACAGGCTGCCGGGGAGACGAGCATATATCAAATACGCCACCAAACCCAGGAGAATCCCCTAGCATACTAAATAAGCTTCATATAAAACAACATCTTTGTTTAGTACAAACCAGTGTAGAATGGTGCTTGGCCGGGTTTGCTATTTCTCCCCAGAACTTTGGTGGCGATTTCAGCGCCAGTTTGCTCTTCATCGCGACGTTGAGGATACCCCGGGGGATGAGAGGCACTTCCCATACTGGCTGCACTAGGTTGTTCCGAACGTTGCCCCTGAGATAAATTTGGATATTCATTCACTGAAATCGAAGGCCGAGGGATAAACTCTGTGTTGACCGGGCTGGTGATTTCTGATGCAGTCTTACGGGTATGCCGAGCGCGTACTCTGAGATCATTAATAATGACTCTGCATTTTGATAAGAAGTGAATTCTTACGTCTGGGCTTTCGCAGGGGGCAGGTGGCATTCTCTACCGTCTTGCGTACACCCGACGCACGGTATCCCGGTTAGCGTTACGCTACAGCGAACCTTGCGCTGCCTGCAATTCTGACAGGCGGCGGCAGATCGGTAGCGGCGCGTAGACATACTAATTCTGCCAATTCTCACTATCTCAGGTTGTGATGAAGCTCGGAAGATAGAAGTGTAGGAAAAGAAACCGAGGTAAGCCTACGTCATTCCTTGCCGAGGTATCCGAACCTTCGTGAAACGTAGTCGTAGTCTTCATAGTTTTCGTCTATTTTAAGCACAGTTCACTTCAGACTGATTGAAAAAAAAAAAATACAAAAATTGATATTCTAGGTCTATACAAATAATATAACACAAGTTTACAGAAGAGCAATTCCTGTCAACGCCCGGTGATCCTCCGAGTAAACCGTCTCTTTATGTTTGCCATCCAAATCGCACCGGTAGATACTTCCTCCCAAATCGGTGAGATAGATCTGAGAATTGATGGAGTCCAACTTTAACCCGATCGCTTCATTGAGTCCTCTGGTGATAGTTTCATATTTTCGAGGAGAGTCAGTCGGCAGAGGAAGGCCGGTTTCATCCAATCCAATTCTGTTGAGCGAGTTACCCCAGGGGATTTCTCCGCGATCAGTCCAGTAAAGCGTTCGAGAAGTCTCATCGACCTCAAGATCAATCGGTTCAGGGAGGTCACTCAGAATGCAATGAGCATCTGCCGACTTGCCATTAGGTGTTGTAATATCGGCACAGAATATGCGGCCTTTGCCACCCTTCGATGGCCCTTTTTGAGTCCAATAGAATTTACCGAGAGGGGGGCTGACAGCAACTCCCACGCACCAGTCCATGACGCTTTCTTCGGAGGCAAGATCATGGGCAATGTTATCGACCAAAACTTCCAAGTTGGAGCCATCGAACGCACAGCGGTAAACTCGGCATCCTTCGCGGTCACAGAAATAAACCATTTGCGCCACGGAATCGATGGCAAGTTGTTTTGGGGTGTTCACAACACCTGGAGCAACAATTGTCATGATGTCAGTTCCATCAACCCTGGCAGAGTACACTGCTCCATCGGACTTTCCTGGAACCCCCATACAAGTCCAGAACATGCGGCCAGATGTTTGGTCCACGGCCAATCCGTCAGGCAAGGATTGGGCTTTTAAGATTGTCTCTTTGTGCTTTCCATCTGCGGAAACCTTGAGAATTTCTCCGGATGCCATGCTAGGCGTGGCAGCTGACAGCCCGACATCCAGAACCAAAATCTCGGGTTCTCTTGGGTTGACGTTGGTAGCACTTGATGCATCACGAGGAGCATAGAGACCACCATGCGAAGACTTGTTTCCCAATTTGCCATGGTCCAGATAATTTTTTTGCAAAAAGTCAACTGTCTTTTCCCCGGACAGTCCACGTTCATGCACGTAATGACTCTCAATGAAAGCAACGGTGTCCAGACCAACATCTGAGCAATATCTGTCAGCAAAAGGTACTCGAAGACGCAGAAATTTATAGAAGACTTACTGTCCATCATTTTGCAGGGAAGAGAAGCTCCTTTGACAAACATCTCAAGCCACATAGCGTCGATCTCTTCAGGAACCGAAACACCCTCGGCGAGAATCGTCAAGACCTCTCGTTTCACGGCAGCCCACAGGCGGTTGAAGATAAATCCGGTGGACTCCTTCCTGGCAACGTAAGGAATTGTAGCAGCTTCCTTTGATCGTTCAACCATGAAAGGGAATATTTCAGGAGACGTGTATCCATCAGTCATCAGCTCAACAATCATACACTGAGGTGGCATATAATAATGCATGTTCAGAATGCGCCTTTTAGTCGCATCAGACACGTTGCTGATCATCTCTGAGGATTTGTATGAGGATGAATTGGAGGCGAGGATGCAGTCCTCCGGAGCAAGAGCCTCCAACTCTGCAAATGTGGCGATCTTGAGTCCAATCTTCTCGGGGACAGCCTCAATGACAAGCCAGGCGTTCGAAACCGCATCTTTCATATCTTCAAAGGCTTCAAAGGACCCGGGGACCTTTCCGGTTTTCGCGCAGTATGCTTGCACATTTTCTTGAATGTATTCGATCCCGTCCGCTCGCTGTTGCTGACTGGGGTCTCGGATTCGGACGTCGTAGCCAGCAGATGCCCAGATACATCCTGGTTCAACTTGTGTCAGCATTGAGTTGGCAGCAAAGCAACATGGAATACGTACCTACTCGACGGCCGAGTACGCCAGCGCCGAGAATGGCTACAGGGCGACTGCGGTAGTCTCGTGATGGTTGCCAGTTTGGTCTCATGTTGGATAACAAATAGTATGGTTGTGAAGGTAGCTAAATTTTGATGAGCAGAGTGTTGAACATTCAGACCTTTGGAGACTTTCGGGATCGTTTTCTTTTATGTTCCAACGTTACCAGCCCCATGCCGTTCATCCTCGGAGACCCAATAACACTGGCACCAAAGCCTGGATCAGGGTACCGGTAGACCGATTGATCGGGATAACATAGATGGCGAATATTGCTCGGGTTGTCGATACCTCGGAGTCTCCATTCTCGGGCCGTGGGGATGGCAGAGACCAGCAAGTCCATACCGAAAGAGCAAACTGGGATATCGGTCTCCACTTGCTTGACGAAGCTTTATTGTGGCTGATCAACGGCCTGTGTTGCTGTTGGCGGGCGTGTCATGTCGTGGGGCACAATGCCGAGGTAGTGTACCTCGGAAAATCTGACAAGTAAAGTCCTCATGTTAGGTGTTTGGTAGGACCATCATTGAACAAAGGAGATTAATTCAAAAAATTTCCGATGAGAATATAAATGCATTTGACGTCGGATTAGTGTCCAAACAAAATTACCTCCCTGATCATCGATCTCACTCACAGTCATAATAATGGCATCTCTGAAAGAATTCAACGTTAGCGAAGTGGCAGTTCATAACTCCAAAAATGATCTGTTTGTTATCATTCATGGAAAAGGTATCTCTCATTCTTTCAAGAAAAATGACATTGCAAGGTTCTGACAATTTTAGTCTACGACATCACAAGCTATGTACGAGACCACCCAGGGGGCGCAGACGTGTTGATCGATGTCGCTGGCGGAGATGCGACAGCTGCATATGAAGATGTCGGACATTCAGAGGATGCAAACGAGATACTCGAAACATACTTAGTCGGCACTGTCAAGGACGCGCAACAATTTGTGCAACCCAAGACTGTTCGTCTCATCCAACAAACCTCCTCCAGCGTACAGACAACCAAGAAATCACCATCTGTTACAAAGTCTATTGCTGCACTTGCTGCCACGCTTGCTGCCACTGCGGCGATCTACGTTTCCACCAAAAACCATCGAGCCCTGGCCGACTTGGTCGCGAAATACTCTCCGGCATCCTGGCGAATTCCCAATGCTCATCTTCCATACACAAGTATTTTGAGCGGTGGGTTTTCGAGTGGATTCGCCGCTGCTACTCTAGCGTGTGCGACTGTTGGTGGGACTATCGGAAACAAGCTTTCGAGTTTCACCAAGATCGAGTCCGGCTTCACGAAGTACCGTCCCCACGTCAAAGCTGCTTCTATGAAAAAGCAAAACCCGCATCTTGTGAAGGGTTTCCTTGAGCCCAAGAACTACAAGAAACTCCTACTGGTCCAGAAAGAAGAGTTGGCGCCCAACGTGTATCGTTTCGTGTTTCAGCTTCCAAGCCCGCAGGATGTGATTGGACTCCCCATCGGCCAGCATGTTGCTATCAAAGCAATGGTCAATGGGGCCTCTGTGTCGAGATCTTACACTCCAACATCCAACAATTTAGATCTTGGGAGACTAGAACTGGTCATCAAGTGCTACCCAGACGGTCTTCTGACTGGCCAATATCTCGCAGCTCTAGAAGTGGGAGAGAAAGTTGAATTCCGAGGCCCAAAAGGCGGAATGAAATATCACAGCGGTCTCTGCAAAAAGATCGGCATGATTGCCGGTGGAACTGGAATTACTCCCATGTACCAACTCATTCGAGCGATCTGCGAGGACGATCGAGATACGACTGAGATCAGCTTGATCTACGCCAACCGATCTGAGAATGATATTCTTCTTCGGCACGAGTTGGAAACTTTTGCGCGGGCTTATCCTAAGAACTTCAAGCTGTGGTACATGCTTGACCATCCTTCTGAGGACTGGGCTTATGGCAAGGGATATGTCACACCGGATGTCATGGCTGCGAGGTTGCCTGGGCCAGCACCGGATACGAAGATCATGCTTTGTGGGCCGCCAGGTATGGTTAATGCTTCGAAAAAGAGCTTGGTCGCGGCAGGATTCAAAGCACCTGGTGCTGTTGCAAAGATGACGGATGAAATTTTTTGTTTCTAGATTCTTTGCTGTGGCTAAGTGCTAGTTTGTCATCCCTTGTCTGGATATTTGTAAAATAGACCTGTGTGAATTCAATGTTTTCAAAATTTCCATTTTCTTATCTTGGAGTGCTACGAATCAGTATTGGAATCAACATCTAGATAGCCGCAACTCGTTGGAATATACGATAGGCAGGAATTATGCACAGGATAAAAGCATAGTGTCCCCTAAAATGAATGAAACGAGTGTCAAACTCATCAATAACTAAGAACACATAGATGAAACTGTATCCTATCTTCTGAAGGGGGTTTTCATAAAAACTCTCAACCTCGACGACATTGACTGTGGGCTTAGTGAGGTTTACCGGTGGAAACAAAGTTCAATGCACAACTCATCAAGGATATTCTTAAGGGATAGGAAACAGACAAAATCAAGGCCATAGATCAAAGTAAACTCCACCTTACATAGCATGATGCCACATTAACAATAGCAAACAATTCCTCGGACTGCGATATTCAATATATGGTTTACGTTCCATTCTTAGCAGACATATAAGATTCTTTGCTTTTGGAAACAACAGCTCAAACATTCACAGCGGCAATTGTCTCTCAGCTTGGCTTCAACAAGTTGATTCGCCTCTAGTTCAAATCCTAGCTCATCATTATTATCCTGCCTACTCTCTCAGTGCAACGAGTTTCCCGTCGGTGCTTTGGACAATTTTGACGCTAGTACTCGCCAAGAACGAACATTACCTTTCGGCATTGGCGACTACGCATACGAGCCTATTACACACAAACTTTTCGCAGTGGTTCTTAATAGACCATCATTTGTCACACAGCTAGGCATTTTGTTTTTCACTGTCTTGAATGAGTTGCAAGAAGAGATGGAGCCGACCAGGGTCAACCTAATAGATGTCAAACGTAGTGCGGGTATCCCCGAAGTCACGAGGCAGCTTACTATGCTTGCTGTAGAGGAGGGGCTTACCGACAAGCCTAAGAGAACACTAACGCCCGAAGAGCCTCGATCTTCAATGACTGTATCAATATCATTAGAGGAATATCAGTCATAGTTAGATATAGCCCGTAAAATTAGTGAATCATCTAGCCCGCGGGCAGAGTGATCGGTCCAACTTCACCAACTTTAGTCTCACAAGCACTAGATAGGCATTTAAATGCCATCCAAAATAACCTATATACTTTGTCTAATGCTGACACTAGTACTAGAGTAGCGTAACTAGTTTAACCTACTTAATGTTAGATAATTTCGATAAGAAACAGCCCTTTGTTTACCCGCCCAGGAACTTCATAGCCACTAGAGCATCGATCCCATTGCAACAGTTGCAAGTTCCATATTAATCACCGCTGACCAGAGCTTCGAACATCATCCAGGAAACACCGTCCTTCAGTCTTCTTGCGGCTGATACCGCTCGAATGTCTCAAGCTCAAACACAGGGGCCTAGTACTAATCCAGCGAAAGGCCGAATATCGAGCGATACTTATCGGTTACAGAAGATGAAGGCCAGCCAGCGAACGCAAGCGTGACAGCTACACGTATGTAGAGCAGTATTTTCGGTGATGACATAACTGAGGGGTTGCGCCTTAGACTTTGTAGTCAGTGAGACAAAATGCCGGATAGACCGATGTTTATCTCCGTCGGACTGGATAGCCTTTTATAGTAATAGACATCTCGAGCGGAAAGATAGGGAAACCAGCACTATCTAGGGACAGGAACGTATTTGTTTAGGTACCAGCTGGTTTGAAAAGAAGACAGACCGGATTCTTAGTGCAGGAAATGTATAGGTCATCCAGTCCTAAAAATCCCGGTGATCGTGCGTGTTTCGATCTAGAACGACGGTAGATGATATGTATTAAGTGGTGCTTCTCCTTCTAGGGTCAATCGCAACGCCCACCGCCTTGCCCCATGATTGACTACATCTTTAAACTTCTATTGCTATTTCATTTCGGCAGCTGGCTTGATTCTTGTCTCTAAGACTACAAGTAGTGACAAATTTCAGAAGGACGCACGTAATATCTATCCCATTCACCATGCTCGCCCATTGTAGAAAATCCCTCCAGCCCGGCGCGACAGAAAGCAACTTTCATCCACCCAACGTTCTTCACGGTATATCCTTCGATAGGATCGTAACTGTTGAGCTCCAGACGTATAGCCTCCAAAACATCGTCTTCTAAATCTTCGGGATCGTGGTCATCAAGTGACTCTGCTTTCCACCACCCATTAAGCATATTAACGAAAGCATGTTTATTAAAGCAGTCCTCAAGAGGTGCTTGGAGAACACTTTTCGCTAACAAAGAGACAGAACCTATAGCGCGCCGCTTCAACGTTGGCGAAAACAAGCATATTAGGCGAAACGCCCTGCTCTTCCTGAATAGCAATTGTTGCCCATTGCTGGAAATGTTCCCGGATCGTAGCTGTACCTTTGCTTATACCTACACCTTCGAATAGTGCTTGATTCTAAAAAACGGTCATCTTAAAACTCTCAAGGAGGTCAAGACCGTTCACGTGCTTAAGAGAGTCGGCGGCATGACACTGGTAGCGACGAAGGAACTCTGCCCAGTCAGAATCACTTTGGTATGTTCATCGATAGATAGGAAAGCCCCAAGATTGGAATCCAGCCTCGTTTAAAGCTTTTTCAAGGCGATCAGCGGTGTTACTCGTAGAAGAACGGTCAGGTGTGCGTTTAGATGGGTTTTCAGGCGGGTCTCCACTCCTCAATCTGGCCAGTGCCGCTAAAGCTTTTTCATGGAGACTTGCTGAATGATCTGCTGTCATCCTTTGGATTTGATGCTCTCGTGTAAAATCCCGGCGCTTTAGTGAGGGCCGTTTGATGCCAGTAAGAGGAATCGCACTCTGTCGAGTGGAGAATTTCAGGTTCCGGACCGAAAAAGTGAGTGTCTGGGGTCTGAATAACATATTTCTAGTCATAGGCACCATGCTTCTGTTTAGAATTTGGTAATCAAATCATATCTGTCCGAGGTTTGGAGGTTTGACAGGGTCGATCTAATTCTGGGAGGATGAGAGACAGGTGAAGAGGAGGGGGGGAGAGGCAGGATGGACAGGATGTCAAATATTGGAAATTGACACAAATCTGTTTGTACGGCAATGTATGGATAACCTCAGGGGTAGCTGTCTTACCATGACCAACGGGCTACTCGCCCATTAGCCTGTTTCACCTTTTGCAAGATTGTCACCTAGTGAAATATATATATATTGTAAGTATACTTTGTAAGTGGCTTACATATAAAAGGTACTTTAAAGTACACATAAAGCATCCTCGAATATCTTATAATACAAGGTAGATAGAAGTATATAAATTCAGTTATAGTTATGTTTGTTATATCATTATTGTAATTATAATAGTTCTAGAGTATAAAAATAAGCAGTATTATAGTTCTCATAAGTAGGTAGTTTTCGGAGGCTTTTTTCGACCCTCCAAAACGAAATATTGAAGAATATTCGAATAAATCGATATTTAAAGCATTAAAAGATAATAAGACCTCTACTCTAACGTTATAGGCTAATTTGATTACTCTATAATAATCTGTATGATAAGATATTCGAGGATGTTTAATATGTACTTTTAGGTACCTTTCATATGTAAGCCACATACAAAGGATACTTATAATATGTATATTGCATTAGCTGACAATCTTGCAAAGGTGAAGCAGACATCATGGTAAGATGGCTACTATGAAAACTGGCCAAACTAATTGTATCGCACTAAACAGGTTGTACTGTAACTAGAAAATACTGTCTTCTGGACCACATTTCATCCCGGAAAGTGTAGACATGCGTAAGCTCAGTGATAGATCCAAATGAAGAAAACCATTGCATTATCATCTCTACACCCAAAAAGAGAAACTTTTCTTCTGATGGAGATCTATATTTTAGTTTTTACCCGGGGTCTGTGAGGCCTCGGTCCTAGAAATCTATGACCAAACAATGTCTGACCTCACCGAGCCCCTGTCGGTGCAATCCACAGTGGCGCCATCACTACCTCGGAACCTAGCCGTCATCTTACAAATGTATACTTGTTGAGAAGAAAGATCCCCCATCGCCTTCCGAGGTAGTGTCGTCGATACCGGCTCACCAATAGGAAATCCGGTGGCTGGCCCACATGCCGAGGAAGCAGGATCCCGAACTAAATGTATGCAATCACCGAAATAGGATTTTTTTGTAGATGAAACTATGTGTTGATATAAATGTTTGGATCGGTGCCTGGATAACTTGTCTAAGTTTCTCAGTATCTCAAGCATCAAAGCACAATGCCTGCAACGCAATTCTATCTCCTTGGAGAGGATGTCTCCTCTGCTAGGAACATTGATATCGATCCAAAGAGTGATTTGGAGGATCTTAAGCATTTGATCGCAGCTCACTTCGCAATCGTTGAGCCAAATGGTACGTCGAATATATGACTCGGATTTTTATCAGACTGCTGATCCTCTCTAGGTATCGGTTTCCATGCTCAAGACAACGAGCTTCAAGATGTTTCAGGAATCACCTCGGCGGACACTCCAATTGCTATTACTGTTGATGGTCACGCGGTTCGTGAGCCGCCAGGACCAAAAGGTCTGCCTTTTGTCGGAAATTTCTTCGAAATATACCCGGATCACCTTGGCAATCACCAGCGGCTCTTTGAGCAATATGGACCGATAATCAAGACGACCAACCTCGGACGCACGATTTATTCCACCAATGATCCAACACTCGCCGCAATTGTTTTCTCCGAATCAGACTTTTTCACCAAGGAGATCAACGAATCTCATCCTCTCTATCCGCTCAAGCAAAAGGAGGCTGGTGTTTTCCTGGGAGACACAGACACTCCTGAGTGGAAAGTTGCGCACAAATTCCTGCCACCAGCCCTTGGTCCGAAGGCGGTCCGTCATTACGCACCTATGATGCAAAAGACGGTGGAAGATTCGTTTAAGGTTTTTGATGCACTGGACGAGCAGGGCGAAGCGTGGAACGTCTATCAGTATATGCTGAAATTGGGGTCTCAAGCTGTTGGCAAGCTCACGCTTGGTTTGGATTTCCAACACTTTACATCTCCAGACTCAAAGCTACACGAGATGGTGCATTTGATTGCGGAGTTGCTTTCTCTCAATAAGAAAGTCTCGTCAAAGGGAGATTGGTACGGTCGACTACCATTCGGTGATCCGCAGCGGCTCAGAACAATCAAAGCCAGAATCGAGGAATTGGTGACTGTCTCAATTAAAGAGGCTGAGAGTGGTGGTGTCGAAGACCTTCCTCTTCAAGATGCAGCCCTAAAAGCAGCCAACATGGTCGGTGAGTGAATATCGCACGTAACTCTATTCATACATATGTTAATAATCTTGCAGACTATGCAATTCGTGCAACCGACAACAAAGGTGAAAAGCTCCCCAAGGAAAGCTTGATTTGGGCTCTACTTGTCGCAACAGGAGCCGGCTTCACAACCACAAGTTCCCTACTGTCCTGGCTCATCTACGGATTTGTTACATACCCCGGGATGCAAGACAGAATTCTCCAGGAATTGATCGACAATGACATCGACGAAAACACCGAAATCACAGCAGATGTCACTGAGAAACTCTCCTTCCTCGACAAATATATCAAGGAGATGCAGCGTCGCCACAACCCAAGTTTCCAACCAGCACGAACCGCTAGGGTTGATCTCGTGCTTCCGGGGGGTTACAGGATCCCCAAAGATTCAGTGGTTCTCCCGGCACTGCATCATATTCACAACAATCCTGATCTGTGGGATAATCCTCACAAGTTCAATCCTGATCGCTGGGACACCGATGAAGTCAAGAACAGACACAAGGCAGCATATATTCCGTTTGCGACGGGTCCGCGCATGTGCATTGGGTTCAATTTTGCTTTGCAGGAGATCAAGGTCTTTATCCCGAAGCTGGTTTATCGGTATAAATTCATCCGGGATGGTGATGGAACGATCGAATATGACCCTATGTTCCAGTTGATTCGGCCTAACAACCTCTATGTCAGAGCGGAGAAGAGGGTCAAGTGGCCGCCGAGAACCGATGCTTTGAAAGGAGAGAATTTCTGAAACTATCAGAGCATGAGTGGCATTGTATGAATAGAAAATAGATTGGTTGTTTTTAGAAAGGTGTTACTTAAAATGAGAAGTATCTAAATTTTGACCGACCGCATGAAGTTATATTTCTCTTCATGTAACTGAACAACGCATTTCTTCATTACTCCATACGAGATTCGCAAGATCACCTTGGTGGTACCAAAATTTCTATTTGTCACATCGGCCGCAAAAATACGCGGTAAGGCATCACATCAACCAAAGCACAACAGACCTTCAGGTTCCTCTATCTTTCTTCATAAATTTTAGGCATTACAATGCCAACGCCACAGAGCCATGATGTGGCCCTCCTACCAAGTGATATATTTTGGATGATCATGACATATCTGGAACCAAGCGAGATTGTCCGTTGTCGTCGCGTCTCACGCGCTTGGAATGAAGCATTTAGCAATCCATCCATTCTCCTCCCACTTTTGAAAAGACATTTCCCATGGACAAAAGAAGTCAAAAGCATAAACACAGAATCCAATAATCAACATCAAAGTAACGGTCTTTCTCTCTTTGACAAAGTCGCTTCTCGATACATGTACCTGGAACGAGGAAAGCCCCGCTCGATCCAAAAATATCGACTCTGCAATAACTTCGGCAGGACTGAAAAGCGCGAATGGTACGAAGTGCAGCCATGGGAGTCTCACTCAGCCTCCTCCAGGGCGCTTGTTGAACGGCCATTTCCCGAGGCGCGCTGGACCGTCGAGAATAACCTAATAGTTTTCCCCAGCGCCGAGCACGAAGTTCTCGTGCTGATGGATTTGGAAACGGACCGGAAATTCATGGTACCATTCATAATCTGCGGGAATATTATTCGTCGCATTCGGCTGGAAAAGCGGCTACTTGTTATTGAATGGGCTGATCCAAAAGCATTCCACTGGCTAAATGATAGTGACGGCGTGCACCGCCACTTTGCATCCTCGTTCGATGTGACGAAAGGAGTCAACGATAGCTGGAGTATTACTCCACGAAACGAGTGGAAGATCATGTTCCTGGGCCATCCGCTCAGCGAGCGGGATCGCTTCTTCTCTGCACATAGCAACACGCACTATGTAATCTATATCTGGCAGCCGAATCGCAGTCTGTACACTGCAGATGAGGATGCGCCCATTGAATCTTTGTTTGTCTGGGATATTTCGAAAACGTCATCATATCGACCATCATTGGATCCCGCAGGACGAAACGCACCGGACGACGCCCCGTGCATCGTGTCAAGGTTCGGCTTCCAGGATCTAGAATTTTTCGGCGTCCGCCAACGGGGATATCCCAATTTCCAGCGATTGGAAATCACAAAGAACTCTCAGGCAATAGAAATTACAGAAAACTTCGGCTCTCGACCAGAAGGAGGGCTACCCCATGCAATCACTACAAGCATTCCATTGACGGGCTACGGGCCTCATTGGCGCCGGGATCGTCAGCGTGCTCTACCTCCTTATTGGGGGAACTCTAGTCTTCATAGTGAATTCATGAGCCCTGATGATTTTAGTGAAGATTTTTGGAGTCGGGCCATTTCCCAAGTCACTGATGGAGATCATCTTCGATTTGTTCTTCATTTCCAGCAAATGCTCCGGATGGGTAAACGCGTTACTGATTTGATTATTTGGATACCTTGGTCGAAGGTCACCATTGAAAATGTGGATTTCACAGGCCAGGGGAAGCTCGCTGGTTGCGAGAAGTATCTTTTGGGAGAAAACAAAAGCCGAGAGCTCGTCATCTACCGATTTGATAGGTGACGCAGAGCCTCTATATAATAGGTGTTCATGATTTCTACCCACTCATACAATCACCAGCAGGGCGAGGATGCCTCTAGCCTCACCTAGATATATGCCCGCTCGCTCATCTGCTCACTTTCTGTTGTCTTTCTCTCTCATTTGTCTCTATCTCCTTACTTCGCACCACACCCTTACGGCAGCGAGCTGTTCCTCTCCTATCCTCAGCCACTGGCTTAGACTCACACAGGTTTCTGCCTACCGACTCCCCAGGTCCCCGGGAGACCACTGCATTTCTGCGTCCTAAGACTACCTGTTTTCGATATCACCGAACACTCACTCTGCTTAACTCACACATCGAAGACGGCTTCAGACGACTGGTTCCATGCTTGCGCTCCAGGGCTCTTGCGCAAGAATTGCTTCTTGTCATCGCCATGTACATAATTTCATAGCGTACCACATCCTCATGCCACACTAGAGGTCACAGGGACATAGGCTTCGTTATGCCCGGCCGGACGTAAAATACTATTAGTTTGTCCATACAGATGCTGGACCATGATGGTTGTGTAGAAAAAAGCTGTAGCTACGAAATTCCTACTCGCTCTCTGTCAGATCTCCGCATGGCAGCTGCCATCCATGGCTCAGTCTACAATTAAACTAGTTCTCGAAAATGGCTCTTTATTCGATGAATCCTCATGAAGTTCCACGATCGGTAGCGGCAAGTAGGAAATAGGAAGCTCAATTTGCGTTAAATGGCAGTTCACACTCAATCAGACTCTGAGAACCCTTGCCTCCGCTCCAAATCTTATTGATCGTAAGGCCTGCCCTCGTTTCAATGAGGTTATACCAAGCTGTACAGGTGCGTTCTTGAGCAGACATAAGTGTCAGCATGACCATGTCGAGCGCTGTAGCTTCCCAGTAGGCAGCTGTCTCTGGTATCACATGCTCATGAATCAGTAGCCTGCTATATCCGCGTTTCATGGCAGCCTTGACTTGCGCAAGAATGTTTTCACATACTTCGTCGGGCCAGTCATGCAAACAATTGTGCAAATAATAGGCTCGGGCGCCTGGTAGTGTAAGTATGTATTTTTGCCTCCAGAAGAACAGCTTGTGGTGCCACATGGGCCTTACCATTGACGGGTTGTTTCGTATGAAAGTCGTAGTCCATACGGAGGATAGACGGTTCTAGATCCTGGATTTGACCTATGACCACGGGTAGATCTTGAAGGATCAGCTTCCCTGGGACCTCGGGATGAAATTTGTGAAAGATCTTTAGGTCATGGCCCACGTTTCCGCCAATATCGACGAGAAACGGAGCCTCCGGATCCGTGTCAGCGCCGTCGATCAGCCTCTCTTTCACTGAGTAGAAGCCAGGAGCCATCCAAGGCAAAGATCCAAGGGCGTAGCCGCTCATGTGGTCACTAAAGTGTGACCCATAGCCCAGAGATTGTTGCCATGTAAAGGTATCCATCGCCGTTCCGTAGGCGTACATCATTGCCGTGTCTTTCGCGTTGGTTGGGTTCACCCAACCTCGTTTTCGGGAAAACTCGTGGAATCTCATAGGTCCGGCGCTTGTGCAGGAGAGCCTGGGGATGTTAGCAGCTAACCAAGAAAAAAGTGAAGCTAAGAGACCGTGCTTACATAGCGAGGTAGCTATTGCCAATCGCCGGAATGCTCATCGCCTTCATGAAATTCGTCAACCTGTATTCGTCCACGCCAGTCTCGATTAGATACCCCATGGCACTGAGATGTCGCATTAGTCGACCTCATAGGGCGTCAGCTAGCCTGACCAGATGGGCTGGCGCGGAACATACTCAGAAGTACATGATCGACCCCAAGCTTCTCGGCTATTTCTCCCACTTTCTGTGGCTTGTCACCGTTTTGCGCCATGAGTTCCCACAAACCTGAGTCCACACCAAAGTTCAGGCCAGCCATTGCACCGGTCTGTCTGCCAGTTAATCTCGCTGGCTTAACAAGGCACTAACAGCGGAGTACTTGCATGTGCCCAACAATGATAGATCATGGTCTCCCGAGGAGTTTCCAGAGCTTGAACCAAGGTGCGACATTTGGCAAGCAAGTCTTCTCGTTCTCCAATGCTGGTAGTAAAGGCATCGAAGGCTTGCGTTATCTCCTTTAGCAGTGTGGGAACGGCTTCGATGTCATTCGGCTCGGTAGCGATGGAGACATCAACGTGAGACTGGCCTTGCTCTGTCTTTCGGGCTGGCATATTGCTCACAAACAAGCATGAAGATCTGGGCTAAATGGGAATAAATTTGATATATAAACCTTGGGTACTGCTGCAGATGTAGATGATTATGTTGCAGGTAGTCCCAGGTGTACTTGCCAAGGCCAAATGTACCCGATAGTGGCTGAAATCTAGACTCTTCACCCCAGTTGAAGCACTTTAGGACAGGGCCTTGATGGGTTGCTAATGTCTGATTTACATCCCGATCGACGTTTGTGCTCACGTTAGCACAAATTATGAATGTTCGATCATGCATATGATCACGCTGCTGGACAACGCCCAGTGTTGATGGTTCGACTATTCTGGACAGGTCATGCCTCATGCAAGAGGAGATTCTAGCTTTGTGCCCTGCCCTGTCAAAAGTAGACATTAGGAGGAGATTGGTTCCCCATGGCTTCTACCTTTGGCTCAAAGTCAAAATCGGGTGGGGCATGCATCATTATCGATCAGGAATAGCGTTGAAAGCCAATGAACATCTGAGTTGTACGATCGCCATGCAGTATGTAGCTGCGACTGAATATCACCATAAGTTGAGGAAGGTTGGTGAGTCGAGGGCATGCCATCAGGGTTGATGTGCTCATTTGGTCGGCTGGTGCATCACGTCAGACCGCCACTGTCAAAATCGGTGAAGGACCTTGGAAAATCACCGACTGCATCCAAATTGCCTTGCTTATCTGTGTTGTAGTCGTTGGAGTCATGTGAGACATACCGTGGCCGATAGTTGGCCTTGGCATACCTGCCTTGCTCCACTCCTGCCTTCTAGGGCTGCTTAGCTTCCATGTTTTCTACACGTCTCAATTTAACGCTGCCATTTGTCCACCCCGTACGGAGTAAAATTCATGCCAAATTCCAGCGTCCTTTGCGCCAGATTTGCAACACCAAACATGAGTCCTTGCGCCTGTCCGATACTCGCACAATCAGGCTTACTGTTTCCTCATTGACCTTACTCCCAATCCAAACCATCAGTGCTATCTGACCAGGTCGTCCACATGGCTCTCCAAGCGCCAAGATACATGAATAATGTTGTCCAATCTTGGAAGGTTCCAGGCTAATGCAGTCTGCACTGCAGAAAAATTGAGTTTATGCCTTCTACAAAGGTTGAGACCATTTAGTGATAGCCTCGAGCAGCCGATGGCATTGATTGAAAGTGTCCAAATCAAAGGGGGTTGGGTCGCACGGACCGGGTATTGTCCCCAACCTTTTTGGATTTGAGGCGTCGTGAACGAGGTACTTTGTGATTTTGGTGCAGTTACACTTTGACAAACCTACCACGGTTACTATTCCCGCGCAGAATTGGCTCGCAGATCTATGAGCCATAGAAAACATAGACTGCAGAGTAATAACCACGACAAGACAGTCAAGTAGGGGGGGGGAGAGGGCTGCAATTACAGTTAGACGAGAAGGCAACCACATCCCCATCTCACTGGAAAGGATTCAGCATTCCCGTACTGACCCAGGTTATGTACTCGAGCTCTCACGTGCAGAAAGTTGAAGGGATTGGATCAAGTCGGCGGTGTCGGCTCACGGTACTTGCCCAGAGGTAGTGTAGATAAGACCATCTCAATAAAACTCAATCCGCGATACTTTCTTTTTCATCGACTGTCCACACCCAGGAACTCACAGATATAATGATCTTGCACAGGTATTTTCACCTAGCATCACCGCAACAACGGCATGTCCTGAGAAAATGCCTTCCAACCAAGGGCAAATTGCACAGTTTGCCTTGGGGGAGTCGTCTCTTCATGCATTCGATTTCATCTCCTGGCTGGAGGCAGTTAGACATCGCTGTTGTTGGCGGCGGGATAGGAGGAATGTGCGCGGCGACCGCTCTGCGCCGTGCCGGCCACAAGGTGTCAATTTACGAACGTGCCGATTTTATCGGTCAGCCCGGTGCTTCTATTTCGTGTGCCGCAAACGGTACGCGTTGGTTGCACGAATGGGGTGTAGATGTCGCTAAAGGCGATGGGGTAATTTTACAAAAGCTCATTAGCCGCGATTGGACGACGGGCAAGATCCTGACTGAGTACGAGCTGGATGATTATGAGGAACGATGGGGATATGTGTACTACATGTTTCAGCGGCAATCTATGCACATAATGTTGAAGAATTCAGCATTGGGGGAGGGAGAGGGGGTGCCGGCAAAACTCTTCTTGAATCACAAGGTAATATGTCAAGTCACTATGAGCATCTACTTGCCCCAGTCCCCTCTTCAGCGGATCTAACAGTCCCTATCAGTGCAAGAACATCGACCTCAACACCGGTTTGATTGAGTTTGAGAATGGGTTGTCAGTCAACCATGATCTCATTGTCGGCGCGGATGGCATTGGATCTGCCGTTCGTGGTGTTCTCGGTATCTGGCCTGAGAAGCGACCCGCAGAGTCTAGCTGCCTACATGCGAACGTTGTTACTGAAGAGGCAATCGCCGCTGGTCTTCCTGACTTTTCTCAAGATAACGCCCTGCAGTTCTGGGGTGGTCATGGGGAGATCTGGGACAAGATTGTTCTCTCTCCATGCCGTGGGGGCAAACTGCTGTCATACTATTGCTTTTTCCCGAGGGAGAAAAGAGACTACATGGATCATTCCTGGGGGGGACCTGACCGACCAGTGGAAGAATTGCTTGCGCCGTATCCTCAACTCGACGCGCAAGTCCGCGGGTATTTGGCCCTTGGAAAGGATATCCAGCCATGGCGCTTATGGATGCAGTGAGTTCAGCCCAACGCATAAATTGGCAATGAATTTACAAACCCTATTCTCCACAGCGACCCGTATCCGTATATTGCAAGAAACATGGTCTGCCTGCTAGGTGATGCAGCTCACCCAGTACGTCAAACTGTGACATCCCTCGGGGTCAAGTGTTGAAACTAAAAAAAACATCTAGATGATGCCTCACCAAAGCCAAGCCGCCTGTATGGCAATCGAAGACGCAGCCGCATTAGGCATTATTTTTAACAAGAAAGTTTTCACGGGAGATATATTCGAGTCTCTATCTACTTATGAGTCGATTCGTCTGCCCAGAGCAACCAAGGTTCAGGCAGCAGCGGCACGAGCCTCGCAGAATATCAACGAGCGAATTGGTGAATTACAAGTACTTAATGTTCTCCGGATGTATCCGCACTAACATCTTCGCAGGGTTCTCTAGCAATATTGACAATCCTGTATACGTGATCAAGAGTGAGCAGGGGAAATTGACAATCGAAGAGATGAATGCGTGAGTCTCTAATCCCGTCAAATTGGTCTAGTCTGATAAGTAGCAGCTACGATATGCACATGCACATTGATGAAGTAGTCTGCAGACGTGACGGGGAATCGTATCCTCACAAGTATACCCGGGGTCTGCCAATAGGGTTACGGTTATCAAACGGATATACCGTTGGAGCTGTAGATTGGTCTTATGACTAGAGTATCCTCAATGCGAGCTAGACTCAGCATCTACTGCACATCATTGTTATAAAGTCTTTTTCCCAGCTACGTATGCGATATGAAAAGCATGGACTCTGATTTAAGCCACGAGAATGCATACTCCTGCACATTGCTTTGGTTCAATCCCCCGGAAGGGGGGGGGCAAGTGCTGGTAGTGGCGCATTGGCCTTGCTGGATTGACTGCAGAATGTTGAACTGTTCACCGCTAACGTACTAGCATATGAGAATGCTCATTTTCAACATCTGGCCCGCACTTAACCTTTGGATATTGAATATAGACTCGTACATCGCACCAAGTTTCCGTGAGGCAAGGTGTATGTCGGAACGTAGTGGGGATGTGAATACGAGGATATATGCAGTGTAATACGAATGCATGCGGCTACTGAAGTAAGTTGCATGAAAGGAGTTCGTAGTTCTATCGGAGACAGTCTAGGCGACTGAGAAATCAGGGGAAAGAAAGCGCGTGGCTTGCAAAACCCCTCTGCTTAGTTGCGTCTGATATGCCTTCACCACCTTCCCCATCAGTCATGATGCACTTCCCATCACGTCCCATAAAGAGCAGATTGCACCTGGTCAGGTGGTCATACCTTTATTCTGCCAATCCGCGCTCTCTCCTTGATTATGTCTTTCTGAATATATCTTCCTTCGTCTATCATGACTCTGGGTGGGATCAACACGGCTAGCTGTACGCGATATTTGGGCTTGTCATACTCCTTACTTCGAGCGTCGCTTGCTGTGCATTGATTGGAAACCAAATGAGATGTCTGAGAGTATACAGGTTACTTCTGCACGAATTCAAGTTTTGGTGGATTTAGATCCACACCATGCGTTTTCTTGCTCAAGCCTGCACCAAATGCAGTTCGCCACACATATCGGCTTTTCCGGGTATCCACTGTCCTTTTGCCTCCATCCCAATCTCGATTCGGCGTAGTCCTTCGATCAGATTCTTCCGAGGTAGAGCAAATGTGATTCTGAACCAGCCCGGTTCTCCACTCTTGAACCTGGAGCCAGCGCCAACGGCCACACCTGCTGCTGCAAGTTTTTCAAATAGGTCTGCGTCTGTCTCCTTTGTTGCTAGCTCGCCCCCAATCCGCGCCCACATCACGCAACCAGCAACCGGTGAATAGAATACAATCTGATGAAATGACAGGAAATCTTCAACTATTTCCGCTGCTTTGCGCAGGCGAGGTTTGTTGTGGTCCAACACATTTTCAACAGTCTGCAGATTTGAAAAGAGAGAAGCAACAGCTATCGACGCCATATTACACACCTTGAACCTGTTGAGGACCGCTAGTGCTCGGCGAAGCCCGGGATTGGACTGCGTAATGAGATAGCCCTGCGGATGCGTCAGCGTTGGTCTGCACGTGCATACTCATTGAAGATTCCGGCATACCAGTCGAAGTCCGCTGCTACCCAGATCCTTGCTGATACTGTAAGCTACATGGACACGAGCGGGGTCGACGCCAAGTCGCTTCAGGTCCATCGACAACACCGATGTGAACTTCGTTTCTAGCCCGATCACAGTATCAGGACTGGCATATCGACCGCATTTAGTCGCCCCAAAATTCGAAAGAGCGTATATCTCGTCTGAGATGAAATGAATGTTTTGTGCTTCGCAGAATTGAAGCAGCCCCTCTAACCACAGAGTAGGATAAATTTGACCAAGAGGGTTGTGGGGATTGCAAACGATGAGGGCCCGAATTGGACACGCTGCCATTTTCATCGCTTCGCTGTAGTGCTGTATAAGATCAGCTGCATTTGTTGGTTGTTTCGAGTATCGCACAGGAACTATGCGGACGTTGTTTCTCAGCGTTGACGTGACAGCAAACCCATCCCACATGGGTGTTTCCAGTAGTATACCATCCCCAGTATCGCAAATCGAAAATATAAGGGTCTCAATAACCGATGAACATCCTGTGCTTGTCACGATGTGCTCTGGTAAAATGGCAACTTGAGGAGAGAAGAAGCGATTGAAAAATGTTGCCGATACATGCAAAAGGCCTGGAGGCCCACCCAGCTCTTGGGAGTATGAGAGATCCTGCTGTTTCAGGTCCAATGAAATTGCGTCTTTGATCAAAGGAAGTACGTCTGGTCGAATGAGCCAATTCTCCGCCATGTCCATTTCCAGTACGCCCTTTGGAGGATTTGGCTCGGCGGAGGCATGGTCTGAGAGCCAGGATAGACTTCGCTTCATGCGGCCTGAGAGCATCATTGACGGAGAGCAACTGATGGAAAAGGGGCTTACTTGCGGGGACGCAACGCGTATGACCTTCCATTTAACTACTAGATTGGACCGATTTATGTCTTTAGTATCAGCAGCAGTGAAATCGGTCAGATGTGGCTCAATTCACCGCTGTTTTGCTATGAAGCCCCATGCAGGCACGGTACTTTATCAATCGATTGAAATCACCTGCCATTCTCCTACTGAGTTCGTTAGATGTAGCTGAATTGGTTTAAGTTGATCGTCGCTGCGCCCAGAGCATGCATGTAGGCGGATTTCACAACGTGTCTTTCCCATCTCCGCCAAAGAACAAAAGCCCGCTGTTGCTCGGGGGATGACTGCGGAGGGAACGAATGCAGGAAGTTGAGGAAGGGAAGAACTATTGCGGATGGAGGAGTGCTATAGCTCCTACCTCGCTCTAGCTACCGGCAGATCCCGCTAAGCCAACACCAGTGACATTCTTCTCCGCCAGTTCTCGATAATGTTTACCACATGACATGGTTCAAAATTGTCTCGTATTATAGTCCGGTTACTGTCCAAACTTGTGCATATGCATGGGGTCCAGGTGGGAGAAGAACTCACCGATTCTCCTGGGCAGCAACAAGCTTCTCCGGTTTTGCACCAAGATCGCCCTTTCTAAGTTATGGCGAGCGACCATCACGATACATTGGTCAATCTTGCCGATCTAGACTCACTGAGAGATGCATGTGAGAACTCTGGCATCCACACATCTCGGTGTGCAGAGCTGCAGAGGGAGAAATCCTGCATCCTGTTAGGGTCTTGCCTTCGTTGGACCACTTCACATCTTAGAATTGCCTTGGGCCATGCACTTTCTGCCTTCCGACCTTGTCACTTGTTGCCTTTCAGCTGATCGCTGTGCCTCAGATTGAAATTACACGACTGTGAGTTGCTGAGTGAGCCGACGACGAGGCGAAATCCTATGCATGCAGGAATGATATAGTCTTATCCTGCCCTACCTATATCTTATTTAATCACAAGTCCCGACTTACAAAGAGGGGTGGAAGCGCAGTGATATTCCACATTTAACCATCTACAATTACCACTATTACCACTGAAGATGCTTTGGGAGTCTCTGGCAAGGCAACAGCCACTGGCTGTGCTGATTTTTGGAATCACCACAATCCTCGTTTACCACCTCTACCGCACGTACTCGAAACTGCAGCACATTCCCGGCCCTCTCATCGCAAAATTCACCAACTTCCATCGCTTTCTCCTCGCGCGTCGTGGCCACCTCCACCTATACCAAGACCGCGCTCACCAACGATATGGCCCCGCCGTTCGTTTCGGGCCCAACCTAGTATGCATCTGTGACCCGGAGGCTATTCAAACAATTTTCAGCCTGCGGGGTGGATTTCCTAAGGTTTGCCAGCCCAATATTTATGGAAAAAGACTCTCTTCATGTTCATAGATGTTGATATCATGCGGCCGATACAGAGCAATATGTACCGCGCTTTCCGACCCTGGACCACTGATGGGCTACTCCTCTCCGTCTTCACCGCAGAAGACGACGCGACAAATCGGGAAATGAAGCAACACATCTCTGTGTATTATTCGCTCTCGTACGCTGTATCCTCTTTTGAGCCAAGAATGGACAGTGCTTCGCGAATGTTCTTCGACGAGCTTGATCGCCGATTTGTGCCCACGAGAGCACAGTTCGACGTGACACAGTGGATGAAATTTCTATCATACGATACCATGGGCTTGATGACATTCTCCCGGCCATATGGTTACGTTCAGCATGGGAGAGACTTACACGGCATCATGGAGGACGTGAAGAGGGCAAACCTGAGTATCGGACCCGTAAGTTATACATGACAGAAGACTTTAACATCGAGCAAGACTCAACTATTTTCAGATGACGCAGATACCATGGGTCGATTGGCTCTTGCATAAGAACTGGGTAGCAAATCTCTTTAAACGCGAAGCCATTGCCCCTCTGCTGGACTACGTCTTGGCGCGTATTTCAGAGCGTCGGGAAGAACGTCGGAAAAATCCCAAATCACCCTCCAATGCAAATATCGACGGACCCATTGCCGATGGTGACTTCCTCGGGTATTATCTCAATGCTCAGGAGCGAAAGGATAATGTGCCACTTCGATTTGTGTCAACCTGGACTTTTGCCAATATTCTGGGAGGGGCGGACTCCACGGCTTCCATGCTTCGATCTGTGGTCTGCTTTTTAGTAGAACACCCAGACGCACTGGAAACGGTACGGGCCGAGCTGCGGGATAAGCAACGCACTGCCACCGGGCTCACTCTACCTTTCCCACAATGGCACGAGCTGCAGAACCTCCCTTTCCTAGACGCCTGTATCAAAGAGTCACTTCGGCTTGACTCTCCATTCTCTATGCCTCTTGAACGAGTAGTTCCAGCAGAGGGAGCTACAATCTGTGGTCACTTTTACCCTGGAGGCACCGTCGTTGGCATGAGTCCATATATCACTAACCGCTATAAGCCGACATGGGGTGATGATGCGGATCAGTGGCGTCCTCATCGCTGGTTGGAAGGCGAACCGTCGCATATCAGAAAACTTGAAGCCAGTCTGCTTAGTGTAAGTCAAGTCTAACCAACTTCCCTAGTACGTTCAATGTCTGATTGTACTAGTTCGGGGCTGGGACACGAGGTTGTCTGGGCCAGCACGTCGCCCTTTTTGAAATCAAGAAGTTTGTCACAGCGCTCTTCATGAACTACGATGTGAGTACTTGAGCATCAATTCATTGATCTATACTTATGGTTTAGATCGATCTTGTCGAGCCTCGAGCTAAGTCCAATCCGTACTACTGGGTCGTATACCCAGAGAGCGTGCATGCGACGGTTAGAAAACGCGAGATCAAACAGTAGGTAGAACAATCCCATTGAAGGACTACAGGCACTGAAATCTTTCTTGCTTTATTGGTCCTGAATGAATAGAAATTATGCCGTGGAATTGATGCACTGTAACCTCAAGGCTGTCGAAGGATCTTGAACATTAAATTTCATTGTTGCTATTCTGTGATTTGCAAGCTTGAATTGATGGGATCATGACTCATCCTCAACATAATGAAGCCCATATCCACATATTGTAACATTTCTAGAGACAGTCTTCCAAGACCAGAACCGGTTATAAAGGGCTGGCCTGTATTTGCCAGTGGTAGACATGCATCAAGATATACATGTATTAATCTATCAAACTCATGATGACCACGATCAACAAGGTGTTCGGTTGAAGAAACTGAATAGAATGGGGAATAAACAAGCAAAGGCTTTATCTCTATTAAAGCAAAAAAGAACTCTGGCACGCAAAAGATTGGCGAGCAAAAAACATACACCAGCCTGAGGATGTGGTCATCTAGCGCACGATTCGGGTGCTGGCAGCTCGCCGCTCTATTCAGCCCTCTTCATGGCAATCCTGGCGGATATTCACACACCTAGTTATTCAGCCCGTGCATCAAAAAGTACATTCTCGATTTTGAGGTATTAAAGCCGTAAGTGGCCTCTCTTTTTGTTTCTCTCTCTCCCATCTTTCCCATCTCTACAAGGCCGCTTCATCACCAAAGCAGGATGCGTGCTAAGCATGAGTGAAGGTGAAGGGAACGCAACGCATGAGGTAACGTAGAGTTGAGCTGCTGGCTTTCTTGTGCAAATTAAAGGAATCGAGTAGATCCTGAAAATTGCAAGCACTATAGCGACGCGGGATCACGCCGTCTCTGGACCCCAGGAACACCATTGCAGCGCGGCGACCATCGGAGCAGGTGAAAATTCAGTAGCCAAGACGAGAAGTGAAAGGACTGATCAGGGGAGAGCAACGGAGCGAGCGATCAAGATACTCAGTGAGCAGCTCTGGGTCGCTCAGCGGGAGGCTTAGGGCGACGGGGTAACTAAATCACCCTGTTATCCGGGAGCCGATTGCAGCCCGAAGCGGCAATGTTACCGTCAAGATTATTACTGTATAAATTGGTGGAGAGAAAAGGCCTGGAAATCGGCACTTTTCTCTGGTGATTATAGAAGTGCTTCAAGACTTATTGACACCTGGGCAGGGGATGTAGCAGAGCTCTGCCCTGGGTGGGTCAAACAGCTATCAGAAAGGAATCATCATCTGTATCATGCTATGTATGTATCTATCCATGGATATAGAAACAATGGACTGGCCTGTTGTTAGATGTGAATCAAATTGTTGTTGCATTGATTCTCCTCCCTATGTAATTTTTTTTTGTATTTTAAAATTTATTCAGCAAAAGAAATCAAATCGATCCTCTCCATCAGTAAACCCAATTGATATCCCACTTATTAAAGCATCAAAGCATTGAAGAGCGAATTCCTGGGTTTGCGACCGCCAGTCATACAATCATAATCATAAGCTTCGTTATCGTAAGCTTCCTTCTAATCCATCATATCATAAAATCCTCATTGGAAATATTGGGCAAAATTGATTCATCAATGCCGATTAATAATAAATGCATCACCGGTGAATTTGCAACTGACGCAAGCCTTGAGACCACAACCAGGGCAGTTCAGGACAAAAAGAGGCATCCAGAAGTTGCAGGTATCACACTTGGGGAGGCAGTGGTCCTTGTGCCAGGCGCCGAGATGAGCACAAAGCTCAGGATTGTTGCGAACCCCAATAGGAGTTGCATCGGGGATTGAAGATCGAATATTTTCTATCCAGTCGTTGTAAATCTCGGACACAAAACCGTTAAGCTCAGACGCTAGGTCTTCGAGTTTGTATCGCCCCAAAGGGTCGGCAAGCTTTTGCTTGAAAAATGGAACGAGAGGCTTTAGGCTCGCCTCATGGCTGACCATATGGATGCCAATCATTTTGTCGGCGGTAGATTCCAATCTCTCGCTGAGAGTGGGGCGGTCCGAGGCAAATTTTGCTGAGAGTTGGTCGGCATCAGAACAGCCAGTGGAACAGTTGCTACTCGCGCGGCTGCTGGCTGGGGAGCTGCTGGCTGGGGAGCTGATGTTGGAGGTATCGCCAACAATATTTTTCGGGCTGGAATTGCTCTCGAAGTAAATGGGGTCAGAGTTGAGTTTGTTGAACTTTGTGCTTGTAGATTCTACCCTCTCAAGGTCTCTGGTGCTTTTGTAACCAAAGCTACTAACAAAGGGCTCGGGGTTGTGAAGCGATGGGGTGAGAGGGCGCAGGGGAGGTGCCTTGTTCTCTGTTTGTTTCGTCTTGCGTTTGGCTTCTGCATCAGCGCAGAGCTTCTCATCCAGTTGGCGTTGGAGGTTGCGCAATGTTTTCTCCGACTTGAGGCGTGCTTCGCGTACTTTTTCGAGCTCCTCCATGGATCTGCGAATCTGTTCTTGTTCAAAGATGCGCTGCTGCTGCTGCTGCTGCTTCATTGAGTCACGGGCAAGTCGAGCTTGCATTTGGGTAATGCGTAAATCCTGTTGCGCTTTTCCTCGAGCTCTCTCCACATTAGGATCAATGCCGGCCCTTTCTTGTGCCCATTGGACATTGTCTGCTTTGAACTGTGCTTTCCTGGCCTTTGACTCATCCGAGATTGTGTCCATGTGCACACTGTTTGAGTAGCTGTACATGTAGCGAGTGTAGCTATATTGACCTCCATATCCGTAGGGACTGGGCTGCTGTTGGCGCTGCCGCTTTTTTTGAGTGTCGGACCTTCCGAGGAAGGCGTCATTGAATGGTCGTTTGTGCTGTCGATCGTGGTATCCTTGAGTGTCATGGTGAGTCTTGCCATCGAAGCCATAGTCGTGGAAGTAGTCCCGGCGTTCTCGTTTGGTCTCATGACGTTCTCGTGTGTTCGATGGCTCCGAATCGTTGTCGGTTGCACAAGTAGACCAATCATCGTCAGGGTACTGAGATCGAGACTGACGCCGCTTTGCCTTTGCATCCAGAGACTTGTCAAGTCGGCTGCGGCGTGAGGGGTCACGAAGCAGTTCGACAGCATCTTGAACCTATTAGTAGGACCTTGTCAGAAAATTTCAATTCATTTAAGCCACATAGGATGTCGCAGGTTGGAAAGGAAAGAGAATAGAGAAAACACACCTTTTGGAAACGTACAATGGCTGTACTGTCGTTTCCTGCCTTGTCGGGGTGCAGCTTCAAGGCCAGGCGCTTGTAGGCAGCGTTGATATCCTTTACGCTGGCATCTTGGGCAACGCCCAAGATGGTATAGCAATCGATGGTGGCGGTGGGCATATTTGCTAAGGATACACGTTAGTTTGCAAACAACGGTGTGAAAGAGAGGGGCAGGTAAGAGGTATATGAAGGAAGAAAGGCCCAAAGCCCGGCAAACAGAAATGTGTGTTAACGAGCAGGTAGGTGTCGAGGGAGGCAGTGGGAAAGGGACTGTTGCAAGATTGCATACATAGTAGATATCAACTCACTTAGAATGAACGCTGGTGTGCAATCACGAGCAGGTTGTTAATAGAAAGCGCGGATTGGTGAATAGTAGAAGGGCAGAGATGTAGAAGAGTGTTGTAAAGGAAGGAACCGCCAATCGCAATTTAGCAACCATATCAATATATGAACAATCAATAAAGGAGAAAAAGATCATAATACCGAGTAATTGAAGAATCGCGAGATGCTTAGGAAGACATTTGGGAACATGTTTAGGGAGAAAGTGGTGAGAGAGAAAACAGTTGCGTGGGCAAAGACAGTGAACTTGAGCCTGAAGGAATCATGTAGGGTTTCACCTTAACAATACCCTTATGGAACAAAGGAACAAAGAAAAAAATATAACAGGATTAGGGCTACAACATAGGGTAACAGGCACATAAGAAATAGAAATGGATTGATTCTGATTTTACACAAGCTGAATGTCGATCTAAATATGAACAAGTCTACACTATAGAGGCGACTTCGTCTCACAGATAGAAGCCTCTACATATCAGCACTGGCGGTGGCACCAGTGATAATCTCAACAAGTTCACCGGTAATAGCGGCCTGGCGCTGACGGTTGTACAAGATCTGGAACCTAAAGAGTTGTTAGAATTGTTGAATCTTCAAGGGAAACGGGTTCGACATACTTGTTGATCATCTCACCAGCGTTCTTGGAGGCGTTCTCCATGGCGTTGCGGCGAGCGGAAATCTCACAGGCGTGGCCCTCAGCCATGGCCCAGAAGAGGTTGTTGGCAAGAGCGTACTCGCGGAGGCTGGACAGAACCTCATCGTCCACCTCGTAGGAGGAGATGTTGGCTAGATTTAATGTCAGTATACATTCTACCAGCATTTATGTTGTGATTCCGACTCACCGGACTGGGTGATAGCCTCCTCGGAGTAAGCCTCAATGGAGGTAGCCTCGTAAGTTTGGGCGTTGACGAAGGTGTTGTAAATGATGCGGACGCTGGCGTAGTCCTCGGGGAGGAGGGCGATCTGGTCGGCGATGGCCTGGGCATCGGCGAAGGTGGGGATATCCTTGCAGACGTTGGCGAAGCTCAGGACGAACTTCTCGGGGGCGGCACGGGACAGCTGGGCCTTGGCCTTCTCACCGAGAACGGCGATGTCGGCGTTGGGGTTCTCGGCCAAAATACGGCGGGTGGCCTTGCTGAGACCGGAGTGAATACCACCACAAAGACCCTTGTCGGAGCTGGCAACAACCAGAAGAGTCTTCTTGTCGTCGAGAGGCTTGGTCTCGGCCTGCTCGAAAAGGGTGTTGGAGGTCTGACCGTAGACACGGGATTCGTCCATAGCCTTCTGGGCGCGGGTGAGACGGGTGGAAGCAACAATCTTCATGGTGTTGGTGATCTTCTCAATGTTCTTGATGGACTTGAGACGACCCTCGATCTCACGGAGAGTTGCGAAACCGGCGGCATTGGCGGGGGCAGGGCTTCAATTGGCATGTCAGCAAATTTTCTTTTCAATTCCTTTTCATGTCCAGCGTGGTTTTCAGATTTGACGAGGTCGAGGTGGTTGCGTCGGGGTACATCGGGTGGAAGGGTATTGCACGAGGTATCGGATGAAGACTTACCGAGCGACGGCGGCACCACCAGCCCGCAGAGCCGGGCGGACGGCACGGGAGAACATTATGTGAGGTGTTGTAAAGAGGAGAGTAAATAGGCAGGTAGTAACTGCGGAGAGGAGGGGAGTGACGAAGGTTAGACGCAGATGCCTCGCTGGTCGGGAAGTGCGAAGTTGAGAACTCCTGGTTCTGTCCCAGCGCTGCCGCTAAACCCGAAATGGTAAGCATCTACGGTGTACCATTCCGACTTCCGGCGCAAGTCAATGGCCTGAGGCATAAAGACGGTAGAGACTGGCACAAAACTTTTATATTCCTGAGGCATCAGTTTGTTTGCTTTTTTCACGCTTTGCCCTTTTTAGACCCGGCAGAAAAGCGGCAGATTCCGCATGATTGGGCCGAAGGGTGCGGCCCTGTGAGTGGGTGGAGCTGCTGTCCATCATGTTTGTTTGTACCCCGTATTGAGTAAGCCTGTATGTCATTGAAACATTTTATCTATACCTCAGAATGTATGTCCAAGGACTTACATAAGATAACTTGCATTGTTCTACTGTGATCCTATGTGCTTCGGTTGTGGAAACAACTTTTTACTTGCAGTTTATATATCCATTTTCATTGTTGTTGTTTTTTCATCGTTTAACACAGGCCTCTTTTTTTTCTCACTTGTTTCTTTCATAGGGCTTCCTCGGAGATTTGAATATCTCTATCCGCAGGTGTGGATGGTGACCAAAGAAACGAATCCTCGAATGGTATGGTTCGAGGGTGGTTGGTCACAGTTATCCGGTTTGCCACTTTGATGATCTCGATGATTTGAGTGCGATGTGGTCTGTCATTCCGAACGTGCCATTTCTCAATGCGGATCGTTGGCTCAACCCTACCGATCCGTAGAGTAAGGCATATTCTTGCGTCGCCTTCATTTAGATTGAGCCAGACCAGAATTCAGTTTGGAATCTGACTCCGAGTAGGCAACCTCTAGGGTGACTGAGAGGCGCTTTGGGTGTCCAAACGGTGGCCTCCTAGGGCCCCAGCCATGGTTTCCCTGCTTGCTCCTATCTCTTCCTTCGATATTTGTGCCCGAATATCGATGTGGGGCTGCATGGAGGCTCATTGGCCTCAGGGCTTCCGTCGTGGCCCAGTTTATACCGCTGGATGCAGCAGTATGCTCGCGAGACAGCATTTTTGCAAGAAAAAGGTCTTTTTATTCACATCGTAGGATGAGCAGTAGGAGGTGATCTCACTTTCTTCTTTGATTGGGGAAAATAAGCTTGCAAACGTTTCACGGCTCGGATACAACTTCGATTTGCTGTATAAAAGCTGTAGCCGTTACACTACAGTGTACTATCCTTAGTACTTCTTCACTTCTTTCATATGTGCTTTTGATATTATCTTGACAAACCTATCATTTTATTTTCGTTAATTAAGAAGCCTCACCTATATAGCCTATGACATAGGATACAGTATATGCTATGACACAGTCCACATGTCTCATGCCATCAACATATAAATGTGCTTTGAGTTCGCCTATCCTCCTATATCGCTTATCTTTGGATGTGTCTCATCCCTCACCGTCTGCTTCTTCGTCATCTACTCCTCCACCATCTATTTTCATCTGCTTCTTGATCCTTCTGCTTTGTCATTTGCTTCTTCGCCATTTACCTCTTTTCCTAGCTTTTTATTCACCTGTGAGAATTGATATGATGAGCGGCAAGAGGAATTCGTGATTATTCTGTATAATAAGATGTACTAATGGCGATCTGCTATGATAGCTCCGTCTATTCACGAGAGCTCATGGGGTCGCCTACCTAATTCAAACTCCTGCGCGCACCAGATGAGATTAGCGCAGGAAGGCCGCCTGATTTTCTACAATGGCACATCGTTTATTGGCAAAGCCTGCCAATGGAGCGCCCTGCAAAAATGCTTTTGGGCATCAAGACTCAAAACTGGCGGATCTCCAAGTATTGAGGCCACTCAAGAAAGAGACACCTCTCCAACTTTTTTATCATCGTACCGATTATGTGACCAATTACCATGTATACCAAAATCTGCAACTACAGCAGAGCAACTTCGCAAATAGCCATACGTGCCCTCGTCCAGCATGGACGAACAAACCTCATGATATCACGGAGGGAATATATGAACTTGTACGCGAGCTATCTGATCTTGTTCAAGTTCTCGATGGCAGAGGTTGAACGGGATGGACCCATTTTTTAATTTCGTATAGATGTCTGATAGTCAAGAGCAAAACTTTCTTTCCTGGCCTCTATATGAGTATAATCTATCCTGTCAATAGTGATGAAGCTTGCCACTATTTTCTTTGTTGATCAGCTACTTGCTTCTAAATCTGCTACTTTATCCTCATTATGACGCCTCTTTTATTTCAATATTTTTGGTATCTGGTATCGTCATAAATCTGCCTTCTTAGTTTCTTCCCAGGAGTCACTAAGCCATAATTTACTTTACTTATATAGTTCTTTATATTGGGCAAGGTACCCATACAAGATCACATTATACACAAATTTCAGGTTGCTTTTTGCGAACATCTCATACTTTGTTTAAACTTCCACTATCTCACTTCTATCTCTGTGCCTTCTGACTTCTATATCTACTTCAAACTCTCTATCCTCAATTGACATTTTACCTTCTACCATCTTCAACCAACTTATACCTCAAATAATACTCACATACGACATGTCCGGTGAGAGAGATCCATGGTAGACTTTTGAAATAGCCTGCACTAACTGCCGTCTTACAGAACGAACCTACCTTGTTATCTCACAAGACAGAGTGAATGTGTGGCCATTAATAGTCGCATGGGAAACCTTCGACTGGAATGCCCTGCAACAGGGAGATTTCGCCCATAACTTTATCCACGCCATGAACCTATCCTTCGAACGGTTTGGCGTGACCGCCATCGAGCCAAACGAAAATCGTGACTACTACTACGGGGTGGCTGATAGCCACCTGCCCAAATGGGCCATAGTCTGTCCAAGCTGGACTGACAATAAATACCGCATCCGCGAGGGGGAGTCGCATTTGGTGTTGGAGTTGCTCGAAAGCCTTCACCGTGCCGGTATGATGGTAAGCAACTCTGCGATCTTTGAAATCGCAGTGGTCCTCAAGTTTTAAATCAGGGATCATGAGATTCTGCGAGCAACCTGAAAAGACACCGATGGCATGAGCGTAGAGATTAGTGCAAGGAAAAATAAAAATAGGGGACGATTCATTGCAAATCTTCAAACACCAGCATCTGCATATTGTATTGTAAATTTTTAGTCAACTATAGTGGTGTTTAACCATGAAAATGTATCAGATTCTAGATGGTATTAAGCAGAAAGGCTATGCCAAACCTGTCCTATTGTGTGAATGCTATCAGCTGTTTACTTCAAGATATTCGAGTCTTGTTCACCTGTCCCCATGTTCCACTCGGGACCTCGAAGCGGTACCTGTTGTACATAGACCTGCTAGAGGTGGGGTCCTCTCCACATTGACAATGAAGTATTTTAGTAAAGTACAATACTGTATGCCAAAATGAGTAATATATGGCAATTTATCACTATGAAGATAAGCTTGGTCCAATAAAATGCAATTTGGATGTTTTTCTATATGGGGCTGCCGAGGCCAGTATTTCCCCCCTTAATCCGTATGGACCCCCGCTTTATATGATTAGTATTTGAGAATAGAGGGCTACTTTCTAACATATTTGATAGGGGTAAGAGAATCCGAAGAGAAACTCAGATATAAGTGTAATAAAGAAAGGGTGTAGGCGATCTATAAGATCAAGCCAAGGCTGGTATGGTTCGGGTGATCGGAACCAGTACCATGGGACTCGGGCACAGGGATGTTTTAGCTTTTCTACTGTACTTCCATCGTTTCCATGGATTGTGTAATGGCCTTGGTACCTTACTTGTACCTTAGCCATACCTTTACATACGTACTTATAGTGTTGCTTTCCACCTACGTATTCTACACTACTCTACGCTACTACACACTAACTACACTAAACCCACTAGCCTCACTAAACACGCCGACGTCACAGATTCAGTCTCTCAAAATTGCCTCAAATTCTAGTGTAATAGTGTAAAAACCCACTGTTGCTTGAACCGACTTGGCAGGGGAGAACCGAATCCCGAATTATCTTTAGATAATACCTAGCTAGCACGTATATTATTACTATATATATTATTGGAAGTTTTGAATTTGATTTCTTCTTCAAATTTCTTCCCAATTTTTCTTTTCTCTTCTCTGTTTCTTGTAAATTGTTTAGCCCCGTTTATTCCGCCCCCCCTCCTTTCTTCCGTCCCTTCAACTTTCCCCCCTTTCATTCTCCTGAACCTGCGGGGAGAACTTCAATATTCAACAATGGCCGACGCCAAACCAGCCGTTCTGATTGTCGGTGGTCTCGGTATGTCCCTCTCATCCCCTTCCCCAATATCCCTCGCTAAATATTTCCAGGCTTCATCGGTCGACACCTCGCCCTATACATCCATGAAAACAACCTAGCTTCGGAAGTCCGCCTGGTAGACAAAGTCCTCCCCCAACTAGCCTGGCTAGCCCCAGAGTTCGCAGAAGCATGCTCAAAGGATAAATTCGTCCAAGCCGATGCCAGTCGTGAACGTGAGTCCCACATTCCCAATACCCGCCCCCCTCCAAATTCTCACAAATGCCAGAACACTTCCCGCGCATCTTCGACCGAACCAATGGCCAACAATTCGACTACGTGATCAACTGCGGCGGCGAAACAAGACACTCCCAACCAGACGACGTCTACGAAGTGCGCAGTTGCCGCTTAACAATCGCTCTAGGTAAAGAAATCGCCCGTCGCCGCATTCCCGCCTTCATCGAATGCTCCACCGCCCACGTCTACAAGAGCGGCTCCACCCCCCGAAAGGAGGACGACAAGCTCGCCCCCTGGCACAAACTCGCAGACTGGAAATTGAAGGCTTCAGAGGAATTGCGCAAAATCCCGGATCTGCAGTACTGCGCCCTGCGCTTGCCCCACGTCTACGGCGAGTATGACCCGGGCTACTTCGCTACGGGCATCTGTCTCTCGGCCGTCCATAAAGAACTCAAACAGGATTTGGTCCTGCTGCACACCAAGGACTTGAAGATCAATACCCTGCACGTTAAGGACGCAGCAAGTGCATTGTTCGAGGCTGCCAAGTGGCGCGCGAAGGCCGGGTTCATTGATATGAGCAAAGGGCCGATTGCGTTCAATGTTGTCGATAAAAATGATACAAAACAGGAACATGTGGCTAAGGCTTTGACGGAAGTTTTCGGCCTCAAGGTCTCGTTCATTGGGTCGCTTGCGTCCCAGCTTGCGAAGTTGAACTTGGACGATGTTGTCGATGAGATGAACGAGGTTAGCTTGCAGATTTGGGCGGAGCTGATCGAGAAGGCGAATATCACGCGCCCGGGCCCGATTAGTCCGTTCCTGGAACGGGATGTGCTCAAAGATCAGGATATGTCGATTGATGGGTCCAAGTTTGAGAATGCAACTGGTTGGACGCCGGCATATCCCACATTTGGCGCGCACAGCATTCTCGAGATCGTCAATAGCTACAAGCGCATGGGCTGGTGGCCCTTATGATTTCGTTTTCTGTGGTTTTTTTTTACTTTTCTTTTCTTTGTCTTTGAAGATATCCCGTCCGTCGGCTACTTTACTTTTCTTCTTTTTTTTCTTGTGGCTCCTTTTTATGATTCATACCGGTCTTCGATACATGAGGAGAATCGGTCATTGCTTCGCATTCGCATTTGAATGTTTTGAATCCCCCCACGACATGACCCTCTCATGAAACATACTTTCTCCATTTTCTCAACTGACGCCGCGAAATCTACAGCCATCCACAGACAGACCGGTCTAGCTATGCGAGATGTGGATCGACATTGTACTGTAATTGATCATCCCTATTCTTGGGGCTTTTCATTACTCGATGCCATCTTTACGTTTTGACTTTTTTGCATGGTTCTGCATTGGCATATCGAGCCCTTTTCTTCGCCGTTCTCATAAACTTCAATTCTACATTCCCTATATATTTGGATACTCAAAAAGAAATAGACATGATCACTTCTCTAAACTTCTTTCCGTGCTAGTACTATACATGAACCGCAAAGAGTCCCACTTTTGACATGCATTATGCATACCAGCTGCAGGGATGGTTTGTTGTGCAGGTCCCACAAAGGACCTCCACTAGGTAGAACTTGGTAAATGGGTTGATGCTTTGTAGTACTATTGTCACTAGTGCAGTCAAGTGGATATTGTTACAGCTAAGACCAATTAAACATAAATGGAATAAATTGCTATCTGGCTTCTAACCCACGACCGAAATGACCAAGGGCAGCGGAATCGAACTGTGCAAGGTGTCCGACTGCCATGCATTGTATGCACATAACCAAGTCACTAAGTCCAAATACAAATGGGCATGTTTTTGTGTTTTCTAATCTGTGTTCCTCTTTTCTGGCATTTTGTATACATCCATATACAAAACCTATCGTACCCACGTTCGCCACTAACGCAAGCTCATCATGAGCCAATCCTCCAACAACGAAAAGCGAAATGTCAGTGTAAAATCTTGTTCATTGGTGCGAATGGCCATGATTCGTTAGGATCATGGCGGCATTGGAGAAACCAGGAAGGGGAACAAAGTTATCTTGTCTCTGTTGAGGAGACGGCCAACTGGAACCAAAAATATAGTACGAAGAATTTAAGACGAAAGATGAGAAAAGGTAAGAGTCCGGTGAGGGATTAAAATTCCCAATCCTCTTCCACGGACTTGATGGCCCACTCGAACTTCTCGCGCAGGGCTTTCGAGAAGAACTTCTCAATGGGGACATCGAACTTCTTGCTGAAGACAACAGTGAGTCGAGGATCGATGTAGTTCTGATGAGAAAGAGGGGTTAGCAGATGAATTGCGATACTAAAAACACTGAAACTTACAATTTTCGAGGTACCCAGAGCAACTTCTTTGTTCTCCTCCTTGTCCTGGGCCTGAACGGACATGGTCTCAACACGCTGGTCGATTTTCGCGATTTGACCATCGAGCTTTTCGACTGAGGCACCGCGGGCCTCCGCTTCGACCTTGCCGGTCTTGTTCTCCTTCTTGAACTTCTTTTCCATATCCTTGACGGACTGTAGGCGTTCTTCGAGCTCACTCGCTTTCATCTCCTTCTCGCCATCGGCGACCCGCTTCTCGTTGTCCTTCTCGAACTTCTTGTTGACCTTGGTTCGTTGCTCCTCAATCAAGAAGGCCTGGTGCTCGTTGATCCATTCTTGATCAAGATCTTCATCGATCTCAAAGAAAGATGCGCCCCTCTTCTTCTTCAAAGTTGGATCCAAATCAAGCATCATTTGCTTCAGACGCCACTTCTGATATCGAAGTCCCTTGATCTATTGAGAAAGAGTTTGGTCAGCTGTCTGTCCCACAGTCCCGAGTAAACTCGCTTAAACTTACCCGTTCGCCCATCTTCTCCATGGCATTGGCATGGCCAGCAGTAACAGTGCGCTTGTGATTACACAGGATGGCGACCTTACGGTTGGCATCGTTGTATGCCTTAACCTTCTCCGCAACGGTAAGACCAGTTGCATTGATCTCCTTGAGCACAGAGCCCATGGTGTAAGAAGCGTTGTAAGTACGGAACACCTTGGCGGTCAAACCAGTCATGTAGTTGGCAAGATGCTTGTTGAGCGCGGATGTCTTTGGAATGTCAGCAATGTTCAAAAGTTGTATCCGAGAGTAAACCATACCGTAAGTCGATCGAAGATCTCGTCGCCATTCTTCTTGGGTGCCTTCTTGAAGATCTTCAAGTTCTTGAAGACCTGCAGGTCGACCTGTACTTCATCGTAGAAACGAATACTATCCTTACCCAAGAAATCGAAAACAACGGTGTTGGGTGGCTTCAGCGTGACGTTCTCATACTTGAGAGAACAGCAACCAACAGTTTCAGCCTCATCCTCACCCTTCTCGTTACCAGCACGCAGAGCGAATTGATCGATAAGGTAAACAGCTGTGGCCTTCTGGCGCTCAACCATCATCTCGTTCTTCAGGTTCTTCTGGTAATCCTTTCGGATCTTCTCGATGTGCTTTTTGAGTTCACGAGCCTTCTCAAACTTCTTGTAGTCGCTCTGACCCTTGACATCGGAGTTAGCAGCCAACATAACGTACTTGTAGTTGCCGTTGATGTTTTCTTGCCACATGGCAAGCCATGTTCCTTCTTGGTCGTGCTTGACCTCCTTCCAGCGGTGGCCCTCAGGAGGCGCAGGAACCTTGGCATCTTTTCCAATATTGATTGTGATCTGCTCGGGCTGCACGCGCGTCTTGACATGACCGGTTTTGGGGTGCTCTCCACGTCCACGGAACAAAGAGGGAGGCTCAACTCGGAAGTTGCCCACCTTCTGCTTGCGGCCATCCCAAATACAATACTGGAAGGGTGCCTCGAGCGCATCTTTTTCAGCCTTAGCAGCCTTCTTCTCGGCCGGCAACATTGCGCGCTTCTCGGCGCGCTGAGCTTCATAGAAATTGAAAATGTCTTTGAAGTCGCATTTCGCAAATTCTTTTATGTCAACTTTGTTGCCCTTGAGGTCCTTCGCTCCACCGGACTTCTTGATGATATCTTTGAAGTCGGTAAAGAAGTTCTTTTGGAAAACGGGATTTTCCACGTTGTGGGCTGAGTTGAGCATAGTTCCAAAGAAGCTGGCAACTTCTTCCGCCTCAGGTTCAAGGCTGACAGGAACGCCATCGTACCTCATCTTCACATTCTGAGGTAGCACTTCGTACTCCGGGGGAAGACAACACCATTGTGTTCCAGCGTCGTCCACTTGATGGTGCCATCGCCCTTGCTCTGATCTTCCCACCATCGGTATTCGTCTTCCTCTTCTTCCTTGTCTTCTGCATCCTGGCTTTCTGCCTTGACTGAGGTGGCCTTGGCCTTGCCCTTCTTGGCGGCAGCAGGCTCGGCCTTCACCTTCTTAGGGGCAGCCTTGCTAGCGGCCGGTTCTTTCTTGACGCCGTTGGTGGCCTTCTTAGCTGCCGTAGGCTTGGCTTCTTTCTTGGCTGCAGCCAATTTGCGCGCATCTTTTTCGGCCGTTAGCTCGATTTTTTTCTTTTGCGCGGCGAGTTTTCGTTCGATGGGAACGTCGGAATCGGATTCTTCCCCGATGGCTGTTTCGGAAGCTTTTGGTAGTTTCCGTCCGTTACGGGCTAGAGGCACGTCGTCATCGGTTTCGGGGTCTTCATGCTTGACGGAAGTCCGTCGGCGCTTGCTCTGTCGAAAGGTCAGACGCTGTAACCGAGGTCGAGGGTAAAATCACCCCGTAATTAGGTGAGGCCTACCAAAGGCTCATCTTCTTCACTGCTTTCCGCCTCTGCGTAGGACTTCATTCCGCCCACGCTAGTGCGCGACTTGCGCTTGCCGGCGGTAAGAACGTCATCTTCTTCATCTTCCATCTTCACATCCTCGTCTTCCACAGGGCCGAATCGGATGGAAACTCCGGGGTCGACATGGCCATTCGTAAGTGGAGGGCTGGAATTGTCCATTGTGGTATTGGTAGGCTTCGGAGTAGCTAAGTGATGGATTCAACGTCAGAAGATGAGACTTGACTATGTAGTTGATGGGTACAATTGTGCATGTGATATGGGAAACTCTGAGGTGAGAGAGACCAGAAGTCTTAACATGAGGTCCTGCGACTACAGTGTAGGGTTGTATAAGGGAGCCGAATGACCCGAGGAACTCACCTATACCACGCCCATTGGCGCGCACGAGCGGCACGTCCTCCTCCGAAGAGCTCATGATTGTAATTCGAGGTCTAGCGAATGGAAGGCGAGGGTAAATAGTAACAAATCGAGGTCTTGGTACAGAAAAAGGTCCTCGTGCGCTGAGTCGGGCAAATCGAGCCGTCTGATAGAAGGATGAGGTGAAGGAAATGTTGACCAATGAAGTGTACGAATAGTCTTATAAGATCTGCTGCATTCACTAACGCATACAGAGAGAGGGGGTTGGGGTGAAACCGGAAGAACAGGGAAGTGAGACGAAACTAAAGAAGGAAAAGAGACAAATAAGTTGGTAAAATGAGGAATGGAGGAAAAGAGGTTCTTGAGGGCGCGATGCCTGAGGCAAAAAACAAATAATGATGCCTGAGGCCGTGACTGAGCTCACCAGGCGGTGGCGGAAATTTGTTTTCGAAAACCGAAAGGGTAAACAAATCGATGCCTCAGGAATGTTAGGTGATCCCTATTAAAGACAGTTCGTTACAAGACGAATTGGCGGAATGTGATGATGATTAACAGTTAACATCACAATGGTCCCATATAAGGGCATTTAATTTAAGCGGACCGTACACAGCCATCGCTAATGATCAGCCACTGTTGTGTCTAGTCTAGGTATCGTCGTCTGCGACTAGATTAATCCGTGGATTGCTTTCTTGTGTTTTTTCAAATGGTAGAATGTATCGAATTTCGCCTTACGACAACTGGGCAATCGACAGAACAACTCTCCTCTAAATTGTAGGGGGGAGCCTGGATCAACGATCAGAAGTCGAGCCACGTCCACAAGGCTCATTTCTGTGTATCTCCGGCAGATAAACAGACTATCAGACTAATTCTCTCTGCCTCTGATAGGATTATGCGCAGACCTGGGTACAGACTCAGTTGCCACATAGTCAGGCTAACGCGTTTCCCCTACCTAGCAGGATAAGGCAGGCGTAGCGGAAGGGCTAGCAGAGCTAGACGTAGAAGGCCGACTTGCAGAATTGGTGGCGGGCGTAGTAGAATGGCCAGCAGAGATGGACGCAGAAGGCGGGCTTTCCGAGGTGCTAGTGGAGGACACGCTTGTATTATACGACGTAGAATTTGACGTAGTAGAACGGCCAGCAGACCTACGACTGCATCTGGGGAACCAGTTCCTTCTGTCTTCGCGAGAGTATAAGTAGTGGTTTATGAGCATCCATCAACATCTGATCATGATATAACTAGATGGGCTTACCTGGCTATGGCTAGCTGCTATAGCTGTTCGAACATCATGTAGTTCGCCAAACAAGCGGACCAACAGATCGGTTCCAACGTCCAGCTCTATAAAACGATCGCCTATAGTTTGGATGTTATCTAGAGTTGCTTTGGTCTCTATGGTGTCCATGTCATGGAACTTTCGTAGGTATGGGTAGTGTGGGTTTTGTAAGATCCTAAATAACTGAATGGGGAGGCTAAAGGGGGCTGGAAACATGCATCTTTCGCTCTACAGATGGCGATTCGAACCATACGAGGACTAACCATGTGAGGATTCGATTTCGATGGTAGGCTATGTCTTGGTGGTTTCGGTAAGTATTCGTTCGATCAGACGGTAAATATTAGGCGGCCTTTCTACCCGTTGTGTCATGACTCGGGAGTTCCTCTCCCGAGAGAAGTGTGATTCCACTACCTAGAGCTTTTAGATACTGGTATATTGGGCGTTGCCCAAGATGGCTCAGAAATCGACGGTCGCTTTCACAGTCGACATTTTGCTAAAAATTCAAATCAGTTTTGCGTTCAAACATACATCATGTTAGCTGGAACAGACGGAGTGAAAGATAGGGAAGGTAAGAATTATATGAAGGAGATTGTGTATACCCCGTCGATCAGCTATGCCGTCATGCATCCTGACTGGGTGACGAATCTATTCAGGATTCGCTCGGACAACGATGTACATAGCTTGATTAGCATGATGGGGCATGCGAGTACCTGGTACCTACCTGCAAGAGCCGCAGCGAGTAGTTCTACGGGAACGGAATCTTCGAGATCGAGGTCATTTTGAAGTGCTAGGGTAAGGCTGTTTGGTGGTCATGCATCCACTTCATAGTACAGCAATTAGTTAACATCCATACATACATCTTCGCATGCAGGTGCAATTCAGACCAACGTAAATCTGATATAGAAAAGACAAAGAACACAGTCGCATTGACATGCAGAATTATTCTTGGAGAATATGACATAAAGGTAGATCGAGGTATTTTCATAGTGCTCTAACAAAAAAGACAAACAGAAGAAAAGCAGCAGCCGCAATCAAGCAGCACCAAGGTATTCCAAAGATTTTCTCAACTCCCTAACAGCAGTATCAACATCATCAAAAGTCAGCGCGGAAACCGCCCAACGAGCATGCTTCTGCGCCAGCTGGACAGAGCTATCATCGACACCATGAGACGGCTGGGGCGGAAAATAAGGAGCAGGCGTAATGGGCGCATGAGCAGCCGGGCTCGGCACAAAGGTCGGAGCAGCGGGTGGGGGCGTAGGAGTACTAGCCGGGGGATCGTAAAAAGAAGCCGGGTCCGGCGCTGTGGAGGGTCCAGCTGGGGGCGGAGGGAAGGACTGGAATGCAGTGGGCGTATCAGGGAGGTTCGGGACGGAGCCGATAGTCGCAGGTGTGGAGGGGAGGTTCAAAGCGCCTTCGGAAGCTGTTTGCGCTGGGGGGAAGCCGGGAGCATTTGTAGGCACGGAGGGAATCTCTGGTACGGAACCTTGAGGACGCGGGGCAGACGATGTGCGCGATGGATGGAGAGACTCGTCGAGAGTAGATCTGCGGGCAAGGTCGCGGCCAAGGCGGTCCGACTCATCTGGGACTTCTTCGATAGAGGCTTGTCTTGGTTTAGAGGCTTGTTCTGCGATGGAGTCGTCAAAGGCCTGGACGTCGGGGTCGCCGACGAGTTCTTCTTCTTCTTGCTTTGGGGCTGGGTTTGTTTCGTTTGGGTCCTCGCCGGCTTTGAGCGCCTTGACGATTCGAACTGCGTGGAATTTGGCGAACTTGATTCTTCCTGCGATTTCGGGGTCCAGGGGTCCCCAGATGGAGCACAGTTCGAGGAATGTAGCTGCTGCTTGGAAGGTATCTGCGGTTTGCCTTGGAATACAATTAGTCGTTCGTATTCTCCTTTGCTGAGAGGAGCTCACTTTGTGACTTTGTTAGCGTTCATGGCTGCCTCGGCACGACTGAAGACCTCCAATCCGAATTGCTCGACATAGGCGCTAGCCGCAACTATATCCGTAACCGTCTCATTCTCTGGGTTCTCAACTTTGAACTGTTCACAGCAATTCATTCAGCTACAGTTCGACGAGTGTGTTGTGCGCGGAATGGTGAGCGATGGGGAGAACATTGGCGCGGCGAACTGACCTGTTCCAGCTTGTCGACCAGATTCGTAGTATAGAGTTTGATCTCATCATCTGTATTATGAAGACCTCTTTCGATGATTTGGTTCACGATATGAAAATTGCCTACATCATTGGTTGAATCAGCTCAAATGTTCAATTGCACGCTGCGCGGGGTCCTCAGACTCACACCAGTAGGCCACCACCGGTTTTGCACTCTCGACCTGAGCGGCTCTGATCGCAAAGCGACCAATATCTGCTGATCGCAGTCCAGCTGGAATACTACTGGCCATTATTGAAGTTGTGTATTTTAGAAAGGAGGTGAACAGATGACGTTTGGAGACACCGCCCGTGTGCGGGGGCACGGGATCTTATCTTACGGAGATCTATTCGTGTGCCTTCAAGGCTGCATCTTGTTGATATTTCAAAATGTTTCAACTATTTAAGAGTATCTGGGTATCATTCATCTTCAATCGCCCATTTTCCAATCTCCACTTTCTCTTCTGCCAGCGCCTCAACTTCAAAATGGTCCTCTATTTGCCCTCCCGGACCCCCAATGCGCTCAATAACAATCCAAACATTTCGTTCCACATTGGGGTACAAATCGAAATCCTCGATTCGCACCCCTGATGCAGTATCACTGTGAGTTCCATCCTCAGAGGTAGCCAGGGTTTCCTTGTAAGGCCCCTGGCCCAATTCCACAGTCATCAACACGGGAGACGGAGCAACAGCTCGAGTGCCGATGGTAGACCGCTTGTTTCGCGCAATGAGTCGGATCCGCGTCAAACGAGATATGCGCAGAGATGTCAACATCCTGTCTTTTCCCGGTGGGAGAATACCGATGTCAGATAGGACAGCACGTCGCCCGGCAGACTCGGAGGCTAATTTCTGGACCACGCATGGAATGGTGGATGAAATCCACAAAGTGAATTGACCGAGTTGGTCAGGCGCAAAGGTGGAACAAACGATTGTGTATGTGCCTTTGTCCAAAGACTTGGTCTCGGCCAGGGCACAGCCGCGGCGGTAGTCACCACTGTCTGCGATGATGTCTCGGCTTCGCACGCGCGAAATGCGCTGGCCGTTGGACCAGAATAATTTCACGTGGGTTGCTAATTCTGCTTCTTTGGTCTCGAGCAAGATGGAGACGTCTGTCTTTTCCGAAATTTGTAGACTGAATTGTGGATTGGAGTGGTATCGAGGTGACTCGGCATTGCCACCGGCTGTCATTCCTGTCCAAGAACCAGCTGCTTTGGTCAAGCAGAGATACTTATCTAGCGAAGGTGCCACGGTGACAGGGGCTGTTGAGAACGCTGACAGCGTGAAGTTCTGGCTAGACGATGGGAGCGATTGCTCCGAGACAACTGCAGTATATATCGAGTTGGGAGGCATTTCCAGCCTCATGAGGGTATTAGGTGAGTCGACGTATGGTCCACGATGAAGTGCACCGTCGCTGAGTGATACCCTTCGACCATCCGCTTGAAAGATGTAGATGCTAATGAACCCAATTTCACTTTCTGGCTGACCAGTCTTGAGCTCTTGGTCGTCTGTCTTGAAATGTTTTCCAAGTAGCAGCCAGACCGTTCCTCCTGTCTTGCTGGAGATAGAAAACTGGGGATTCTTAACAAAACATCCAGCGATGAGTCGACCGTGTGATAAATCCCACGTGAAATGAATATCCTCGCGATATTTGAATAATCCGGGATTCCAGTTGAGGTAAAGATGCTCAAAATTTAGGAGAACTTGTTCACACTCCATCCAGAATGTGCCTGGTGAGAGGGGCGATTTGCCATTGGTTTGGTCGAGATCAGCCGTAGAAGTGCTTTGAATATTGGGTTCTGCGCCGGCCCAAGGATTCTTCAGAAGAAACTGGCGGCGACCCTGGATCTCTTTCATGTCCAGAATAGCATAATCATGCTCGCCCACCAAGGCCAGGCCTTGTTCTTCTCGTTCGGTCAATTTTCCAGTGCCAATAGTTAGCACCACGTCGCCGTGATAGAAGGCGTTGTATAACCGCCCCCAAATCTCATCCGATGTAGAATCGTCATGGTGTAAAAACACTTGCTCGGGAATCCAACCAGTCAGCACCCACAAGTCAGTACCCGAGTTACTGCCTGGAAAATCATAGCCTCCGCGAACCTTCAAGTAAGCTTTTTCCACGAGAGCAGGCCACAGAAAGTTGGAGTCGTTGCGGTCGATCACATAAAGTGACCGCGAAGTCTTCGACGATGGCAATCGATCATCGATAATAACCTTTCGGAAAGACCCATTAAAGTAGAAGCGGAAAATATACTTCCCGCAACGTGATAATATTGGGGTTTTCTCCTCATTGCACGGGTACATCGTCGGCGACGCATGCTACACTCTTTAGCACTCACCCAAAAATAGAAAGATAATTCCATACCTTTCCAAGACCTCGTTCCGATCGAGATGTTGTAGCACAAAGACTCGCAACAACCGAACAATCAGTCAAGACATCCTGCACAAGATCCGTCTGACCCGAAGCCGACATAGACGGAACGATTGCATTATTAGTCGAACCAGCCTTCGCCTGCAACAAATCTCGTGGCCGTTTCCATCCTGCAAAAATATCTCTCTGGCAATCAGAGAGATGCAGATCAGGCGCATCTCTGTATTCAATTAGAAGCGGTATATTGATGTGTCTGTAACCTGCAACCTACGTAAAAGGCGGCCCTTCATAAACAAATTCATCCTGGTGTGGATCCCGAATCCACGGCGGAAAGATATAACCATTCAGCTTAGCGCCTTCAAGTATAATGATTTCTTCACGGGTGGTGAGCTTCCGCGTGGATGCAGGCGGCCGCAAGGCAAAGGCATTCTGAGGCCCCGCACGAGCAGCAGCCTTCCAGTCTGTGGCGCCCTTGATCTTTTCAGCTTTGATGATCAGTTCCTTGCATTTTGAATCGAGATGCTTCTTATCATCCGCTGGTGCTAGACGCAGCGCTTTCATATAATGTTCCGCGGCATTGATAGCCGCATTCAATGCCGCTTTCTGGGAGGTTGCTGCTGCTATCGCTTCTTCGGCGGTCTATTAACCTATTAGCTTTGTGTAGCTTATAAGAAGAGACGATCGGCTCAAACTGCACATACTAAAGCTTCCGACAAATATGTGGAGCGGGATCTCGACATGGTGGTTGGAGTAATCAGATCAGATCAAGTAAATTACCGGATTTGGTTCAAGCCGAGAGGGTCCCGTAATTAATTTCACGTTCATTTCGACGTGTTCACTTGGTTTACTGGATGTGAACCATCATATCTAATTATATACACCATGAAACCTACATCTGAACAAACGATATTTCCATTCAAAAAATACTTCAACAAGTGAACAAAATGAAATTAATGAAGTTATAACAACATTTGAACTTGAAACGTGATGTAATTGATGACATAAGTCGATACCGAAAGTGGACCTCGGCTCATTTTAAGGTGAAGCGGCCGAGGTGCATCTGCCAAAGATCACATATCCGATGAGAGAGTTACGCTCTTTTTACACTTTGATCTCGGGTGACTTCGGTATGATCTAGGTCAATTATCCTAGAACACCTTTCTCACATTCTTGCCGTGCTTTTCTACCTCTCTCCGTGATTCGGAGCAATAGAGCCCCGCTAAATATTTCTCCTATCCACCGCTAAATCGAGCTTTTTCTTAAAATCTTATTCTTATTTGTTGAACTCCCTTGATTTCGAATACCCTTCACATACAACATGGCTGGTCAATCAAAGCCAGCCCTTTCGCCATGGGGCAGTGCAGTCGCAGGCGCGACAGGCGCCGTGCTCGCAAACGCGATGGTATACCCTCTTGACTTGTGAGAACCCAGGAGAGATCCAATGATGAACCTAAAAGTCATGCTGACTAGATCGCTCCCATCGCAGGGTCAAGACAAAACTACAGGTACAAGTTAAGGAGAAGAACGGCGCTGCACCATCCTCCGATCTCGAGCACTACGAATCGACTCTGGACGCCATCACCAAGATCGCCGAGAAGGAAGGTATCAGCGGCCTATATTCTGGAATGGCAGGATCCCTCCTCGGCGTCGCCTCGACAAACTTCGCATACTTTTACTGGTACAGCGTCGTAAGAACGCTGTACATGGCCTCCGCCAAATCACTAAAGCCCCCTGGTACCGCGATCGAGCTATCTCTCGGTGCTGCTGCGGGCGCCGTAGCCCAGATTTTCACAATTCCCGTGGCGGTGATCACGACTCGCCAACAGACACAGCCGAAGGGCGATAAGAAGGGATTGATTGAGACGGGTCGGGAGGTTGTCGAGAGCGAGGACGGCTGGTCCGGCCTGTGGCGTGGTCTCAAGGCTAGCTTGATCTTGGTCGTTAACCCGGCCATCACCTATGGCGCGTACCAGCGTCTAAAGGAGGGTCTCTTCCCTGGCAAGAATAACCTCAAGCCCTGGGAGGCATTCCGTGAGTAGTATCACATCTCTGGAATTCACCCATCACTCTCTAACGGCATTTTAGTTCTCGGTGCTATGTCCAAGGCTTTGGCTACCATCGCTACCCAGCCTTTGATTGTTGCTAAGGTCGGTCTGCAGTCTCGTCCTCCGCCAAGCCGGAACGGCAAGCCCTTCAAGACCTTTGGTGAGGTCATGAAGCACATTGTTGATAATGAGGGTCTACTTGCCCTTTTCAAGGGAATTGGACCCCAGATCTTGAAGGGTCTTTTGGTCCAAGGTCTTCTGATGATGACCAAGGAGAGGTATGTTCAATATGTTCGTTCAACCGAAATATCTGGTTCAGTGCTAACTTTCATCAAGGATGGAAATTCTCTTCATTCTCTTGTTCGCCTACCTGAAGGGCGTCAAGAAGCAGAAGTTGGGCAAGCTCGTGGATACAGCAGCGGCCAAGGCTCAAACTAGCATGCCTGCTACTCTGAAATAATTGTCTTTTGGTCCATAGCTTTCCCCTTTCGGTTCATACTTGGTTTGTCACTTGGCGCGTTGGTGCCCGGTAGGCAATGTTGGATTATGAACAGTCTAGACAATTTTCGGACTTACTTTCTGTAAAGACTTGATGTGATAGAACCCTGTGTCTAACTTGAATATATAGATTTGTATATGCTTATCACATTCTACCTGGTCAATGAGGCCCTATTTTAATCTGTACTTAATTCATAAAACTCTTATTGTGAAATTGCCCAGAGATAATATGCATTAAAACGATGGTGTGTGTAACAGGCCGTTGTGGTCAATTCATTGAAAGCCCTAGCTTAGTGGCGCTGACCGAGTATACCCGTGCAACGATCATCGCGCCCCAAGACTCACCGCGTTGATCGCTCTACCCAACCATCACCACTTCTAATCATAATAATTGGGTACCTCTCACCTCACATCCGCCATAGAAGTGGCATGGGACGTGATGCGATGGCCACCATGGAGCACCGAGTCGACCAATGACGAAAAACAAAGCTCCATCCTCGACTGGCGGGCCTACACAGAACCGCGAACCCTCGCCTCAACCCTCGTCCTAACGAGCGGCATTCTCCTCGCAGTGCGATTCCACCGATCCTACCTACGCAGAATCCCCGACGCACCCAGCATCTCGGCATCATACCTCCGCCGCCGCAGTATCCTAGGCAAAGTGACCAGCGTCGGCGACGGAGATAACTTTCGCATCTTCCATACGCCCGGCGGTCGTCTAGCAGGATGGGGCTGGTTACCTTGGAAAAAGGTTCCTACGAGCAAGAAAGAGCTAAAAGATAATACTGTTCGTAAACCCCATTTCCAACAAATAAACAGAACACAACCAATACCGCCACCACCACATTGTCCAGCCAACTAACAAGCAAATGCTCAGATCCACATCCGACTAGCAGGCGTCGATGCCCCCGAACTTGCGCACTTCGGCAAACCCGAGCAGCCGTACGCGCGCGACGCCCACACCTGGCTAACGAGCTACCTGAGCGGACGGCGGGTGCGCGCGCTTGTCCATAGGCAAGACCAATATTCACGGGTAGTAGCAAGCGTGTACGTGCGGCGGGCGGTGGACTTCCCTCCATTCCGCCGGCGGGACGTTTCATACGAGATGCTGCGGCGGGGGCTGGCGACTGTGTACGAGGCGAAGGTTGGGTCTGAGTTTGGGGGGGAGAAGATGGAGAAGAAGTATCGGAATGCGGAATGGTGGGCGAAGAAGAGGGCGAAGGGGCTTTGGAGGGACTATGGGGTTGGTGGTGGGAATTGGGAGAGTCCGAGGGAGTATAAGAATCGGGTTGGCAATGGGGATGTCGAGAAGAAATAGAGAGCGCTTGAGCGGGTTATGATTATTTGCGTTTGCATGAACATGAATTGAGATGACTACTGCCTGGATTTGGCACCTTGCAACTACATCTTTGTGTATAGTTGTGAAAGATAATGATTATGGAACGTATTATAGCATGTGAACATTATATATGATACACCGAGATATGCGTTAGCTATACATGCGTAAGAGGGGTGTTCCCCGGAGCTCGGATTGCTGAGCGGGCATTAAGACTCGAGCGGTCTTGAGACCGCATAGATAATTAAGTATACAAGCATCAAGCAGGCTAGCAGAAGCGGCGCTCAATCTCAGCGAATAATCTAGGCGTGATTTCATCGGAGCTATTGCCCTCAGCGCGGAAAAGACAGCCCCGACGATCATAATGCTCCAGGAGAGTTTTGCTCGTCTCCTCGAACTTCCGTAGGCGTTGCTTCCATGTATCGAGAGAGTCGTCTTCGCGCTGGGTCAGCGGCTCACCCGTGATATCGTCTTTGCCTGCTACTTTTGGCGGGTGGAAATCTGTGTTATAGACGCGCCCTGAAGGCTCGTGGACCCAGCGGGATGTGATACGGGCGAGAATCACCGAAGGCGGGGTGAGGAGGTGCACGACGAAGTTCACTGGGACGAGGCTGTCTAGGCTTGTTGCCTGGGAGGAAGTGCGTGGGAAGCCGTCGAGGATGAACGAGGCGGAAGGGTCAATTGATGATGCGGGAGTGGTGTCTGCAGAAGAGTGCGAGGGTGGAGATGATGCCGATGCTGGGGAGTCGGGCTGGCGGAGCCAACCTTTGGATTTCATGTCGTCGGAGATGAGGTTCAGGATCATGGAATCAGGGACGAGATTGCCGGACTGCATTGCGGCTTCGGCTTGCATGCCTGTTCTTGTTAGGGATGCATTTTCAGTGCGATGTGGGTGCTTGTACTCACCGAGCGGTGTTCGTCGGCGCACATTCTCTCTCAACAGATCACCCGAGCTGATTGAAGCCAGCTGTGGGAATCGGGAGAGGAGTCGCTCGGACTGCGTGCCCTTTCCTACTCCTGGTGCACCGATAAGGATAATGCGAGCTGCCTTTTTCAGCTGCTTGGTCGCGTGCGACATTGTGATGTGGGAGCTGGCCGAAACCCTTGAGGCTTTGGTTCCTGGATTGTTCCCAATTTCAACGATTCGAATGCTGGGGCGCGGGAGGAACCGTGGGTTGGAATTTTATGCGGGTCTATTGCGACATGAAGTTCGAGGCAGATTTTTACTTTGAGGAGAAGCTTGGAAAGCTCAAAAGATAAGCAGTCGCATATCTCAGATCTCAACGTGATCCTGTGGGGTTGAGGCTTGATTCTTTCGGTTGCCGGTGAACGACACTTCCGAGGAAAACTACAAAGTCCGGGGACAGGTTGAGTGTTGATATTATTGTATTTGTACTCTGCAAATTTGTGTAAATAATTTGCATACATATGTGCAAATATATCAAAGTAATGCTTATATTCGGCATAAACGTCTAGTTTCACATGCTTCGACACATGTCTGAATCCCCGGGTTGAGCGCGACCTGAGGTGTCTTGTCGGGGAAACTTATTATGTAAGCGAGAACGTGATCAGCGCGAAAAGCACGCGTCGCGTTGTTCAATTAAGTGATGTTTTGTACAGAGCAGTGATGAAACATCTCAGTAATTATCTACATATATACCTAAGTAGCGACCTGGTTTCCCGCCTGGTTTACAATTCAAGCTAAGCTAAAAGATTATAAGGCAATAACTAGAACATCCTATCAGAACAAGAACATACATATGTATATACGTAGTAGTTGTTATAGCCAGTTGTCCTGATAGGTCGGAATGTCCCGGGATCCACTCCCACTCCATCCGCTTGATCACGTAATATAGGCCAACATCTGCTGGAGGGATTAGAGAGACACCACTTCTGCTTCAAGACATACTACTGCCACGATCTGGCCGTATCTTATAATGGGGATTTTTCAAGAGATTATTGAGAGCAAGAGTGCTGAGGTGTGGACCGATGATACTGAGATGTGGAAGCTCCTTGGCTACGAGGCAGTGAGTGGCCCCTCTTCTGAATCTTTCATTGGCACAACTTTATTCTAACACCCACAGCTCAGCCAGTTCGTGTGGATCTGATGGAAAGGATATGTGACCTTACAAATTTAGCGGTTGGCGTAAAGTTCTCACCTTCTCTGCAAGCCAACCCGCCACCATTAGTTCCTGTGGAACGGATTCGAAAGGGACTGAACATTTGCCCCCACCGACTCAATGGTTGTTATTTGTTACAGCTTGATGAAACTACCATGCTCAAAGTCGGAGTAGGTGTTCAAATGGGAGAAGCAGAAGCTATGATTCTGGTCAAGAATCAAACATCAGTCCCTGTTCCTCAGGTTTTCAATGCTTATTTGATCGAGGATATCGGATTCATTCTGATGGAGAAAATAGACGGCATCCAGCTCGGTCAAAGCTGGCCAGAATTACCCCGAACGCTGAAGGAGTCATTCGCACAGGAGCTACGAGGCTATATACAGCAATGGCGCCAGATAAAGGGATCATTTTTCGGGACGGTCGATAATGGCCCATGCCGAGAGAGTGTTTTTCAACACCCCTGGGAGAACAAAGTCTACCACTATGGGCCGTTCACTTCCCGTAAAGACTTCAATAAGGGGATGGTGGAGGCTTTGGCGAATTCTAGGCCGAATCAAAAACTAGAGACAGAGCAGGATAAGCTCTTTGCAGAAGAACTCCTCATGTCTGGAATCGACCAGGAAGAAGTCAAAGTACTTACTCATGGCGACCTGGACCAGTCTAACATCATGGTTCGGGACGGGAAAATCACAGGGATCATTGACTGGGGCGCTGCAGGTTACAGTGTGCCAGAGAGGGAGTACTACGCCTTGCGGTGGCCAGCCTTAGATTCAGACTGGCGCGAACTCTCTACATCTATTCTACCGCCAGATGGATACGATTATTGGTATAACATCAACCGTCAAATGATGCTATACACATGTATCTAAGACTGAGCCATCTTGCCGTTTTCAAAGCTCCGTCCCACTTTCTCAGAGCGATCTCAAATCTACCCAGTTTGCCCCCATGGCGGTTTTGATGTATTCTGCTGGCTTTCCAATCATCACCTTCCAAAATCCAGATGTCCCAGCAGGCACGAGTTCCTCGATCTCAAGCGAGAGCAATGCGCTGAATATCCAGTCCTGGCAATTTCGTTTGCCATCGGTCGGTGCTTTTTCAGCGGTAATGATCTGCGCGGCTTGCCGTCGTTGTTGATCGCTGAGCCTCGACAGCGCACAAAGTCCGTATGCTTGCTGGGTAACGAGCTTTGTGCCGAATCGTGGTTCGAATTGGAAAAAGCCCCTCATTGGGTCGAGAGTTCGCACATGGAGGAGGTCGCCAATTTGGCTTGGTGGTATGTTAATAACCAATCCCCAGTGAGATGGCTCTTCTGGGGTTAAACCGGCTCCGAAAATTTCAACTGATAGTGCATACGACATGGCATGTCTGAGACTGCTGCTGTCTGCTCAATTTGGTAAAGATTTGTTATAGTCTGGTCTGACGAGGCTTTCAATATTGGTTGTTATTCCTGCGTCTCACGGGTAAGATTATTGTCTTGATAGCTTTTCTTGATTTACTAAAGGTAGGCAATAGTAATAAAGCATGAAAGCAGTTCTGGCTGAAAATAAAATGTATGTATGAGAAAAATGAACCAAATTATCTACAGCCTAGAGCTGGAACTCTGGACATATTTATGCCTTTTCTCTTAGTGTGGTTAGTTTATGAAGAATCACACTGAGTTTCGACCTTTGCACCACATTTCAGTAAAGAAAGGATCTCTTCCAGACTGTATTGCAATATACAGGGATCAAATTGCAATTTATGCAGTTAGACGCTACGAGCGCTTTTATGAACCCCGAAAAGCAATTGATCATAAGCAAGGAGTGCGCAGTGAAATCCGTAAACCTGGCGCCTGAATTAGTGCATACATTCTGGAGTTGCATGAATGCATGACACTTCTCAATAGCTTTCTCCGACAATAGTGGTTATGGCGCATGAGCCGCACTTTTTCATAATCGGAACACATTTTCTTTTTGTATGGTATTTTTGGGAACAAATATTGGACCAGAATAAGCAAGCGAGGCAACACAAGAAAGACATAAAGTTAGTTGGCGCTTCAAGAAAATGAGGTGAACTCCACAATCGCTGCACTGCGCCATTTCGGTCTTTGGTGTGAGACATATGCTAGATGTATATTCCTCGAGCGAGAGGTTAGGAGCTTATAGGATCCAAGGAGTAAGAAAATTCGTATCCGGGTTCTCTACGGAGTACTGCCTGCCGTCATAGTCTCATTTCTGTAGTTACTTCCCGGGTTTCTATGCAATAGGCTGCATAATGTTTATTTTAAAAAAAGCCCTAGAGAGCCTCAACAGTTGATATTACCCGCGTATTATCCCCGAGCGGGGAAATTGAATTACGTAAGGAGTCACGTGAGCAGCGCGTGAAGGACGCGTCGCGTTGATCAATTAAGTGATTCTCTTGTACGAAGAAGTGACGAAACATCTCACAAAACACAACAACCGCCGTCATGATCCGACAAGATGCCAATCGTATTGATCCAAAACGGCGGACTATCATCGACCACAAGAAAAGACAATTCGCAACTGCAACATTCAAGCAACAAGACTATCCCCATCGCATGAACATCTATGATACACCTCCTACTGCGGAAATTACCCTCGAACAGTTTGAGCAATGGGCCATTGATAGGCTGAAGAGTGCGTGCACTTGGAATTTTGACGCATTTTGCATACTAACCTTGAGCAGTTCTGGCTGAGATCGAAGCATGTTCTTATCGCAACAAATCTCCCGCGGAGACGTCGAGCTACATTACGCCTCTCCTCCAGAAATTCCTTCCTCTTTCCTCAAATACCTCCTCCTCTTCCGGTTCGGCAGACCAGCGTTTGAAAAATGAACGCCAAAAGGACCACTACTCCCACTTCATCCTCCGTTTGGCCTTCTCCGCCACGGAGGATCTCCGTCGACGATTTGCACGCGCCGAGACCATGCTTTTCAGATTCCGTTTTCAGGCAGATGATTCGAGAGAAAAGCGTGCATTTATTGACAGTTTGAACCTCGACTGGGAACCTGTGAGTGATTTTGAGAGAACGGAGGTTGCTGAGGCTCTTATGAGTTCCACCCCAGGGTTGCGTCGAGTGGACGATGAAACTTGGTATAAGGTTGACTGGGAGAAAGTTCCTGAGTTGATCGAACGGCGTTCAGTTTATCTTCAGAAAGGAAAGGCCTATGTTCCCGGACGAGAACAGCTGAGCATGATCATGGCTGAGTTTACTGCTCGCCTGGAGCGTGCACTCGAGGTATGTTTTCTATGGTGTGGTAATGGAAATTGTGGTTGCTCATTAGTCATTAGCTCACAAGTCGGGCACTCCCTCGATTGGACGAGGACGATCGTCTGACGCCCATTTTGAACCATCTTTCGAAAAACTTTGGCAGCGCCGAGTCGGTGTACTCGGAAGGCGAAGGATATGTGGATGGAGCTCCAATCACAGCCGGCTCTATCGATCAATTAGCTCAACAGCACTTCCCGCTGTGCATGAAGAGCTTACATGTGAATCTGCGCAAGAACAACCACCTGAAGCACTTTGGTCGACTTCAGTATACGCTCTTCTTGAAGGGTATTGGTTTGTCCCTGGAAGAGTGTATCCTGTTCTGGCGTCAGGGATTCAAGGGCAAGACTGACGACGAATTCAATTCGCAATACAAGTACAACATTCGCCACGCCTATGGTGAAGTGGGTGGAGACGTCAATCGCCGCGGAAAGGGATACACACCTTACTCGTGCCAGAAGATCCTCGGTGATTCAAACCCTGGCATTGGTCAGACTCACGGTTGCCCGTATCGTCATTATTCTGTCGATAACCTGGTTGGTTTCCTCCAAGCTACCGGTGTTAATGACAAAGAAGTCTTGCGGGGTGTGCGCGAGGATGTTGGCAAGATGCGTTATCACATTGCTTGCAACCGTGTGTTCGAGGCAACACACAAAAATGAGATCAAAAAGGTCAAGGAGGATGGAACAATGAGCGCAACGGATCTTGATACCATTGTCCACCCGAACACCTATTTCAAGCGGAGTTTCCTCTTGAAGCAAATGTACAAGACGCCGAAGGACGCATGAGGTGAATGGCTGGCTTCACATGTCAATTTTTATGAGCTTATGTCTGTTTTCTTATGTTTTCCATAGTCGGCGTTACCGGAAGCACAGGCTTGTACAATGCATATTTCATACCAATCTAATCAAAAGCTAGGGCGTGTATTCATATTTTTTTGTTATAAAAAAAATTATCTAGGTCTAAGGAGTGTGACCACAGCTGATTCCCAGAGAATCCGAAAGGATCAGAATGACCTCTCAAATCCAGGTGCCCAGCAACGGGTCGAATCAATCTCCGCTCAACTAGAAGACTGCTACATCATGGAAGAATGAAAGCTGTCAAAAAATAACATGTTTAAAACACATTGGAGTCGGCGTGAAGTTGAAAGAAAAAAGAGAGAAGAGAAGTGCGGATGGCCGAGTTTTAATGATGTTTTGGTACGGGAGGCGGGAGTGTCCAACTGTGCTGCAACCTGGCCTCACTCGCGGACCAGACACTCCACACAACGTACTTCTCCATCTCGATCAATCATTCCCTAGCTATTAACAGGGGACTCTACTTCATTTTGGGGAATTGGATTATGCTCCAGGTGCCCCTATAACTTGGTTTCTTTGAGTAGACACTAATTACCGAGGCTCCCCTTTCCTCGTGACTTCTCATCTACCTACCCCCCTTCTCGTCAACACAGAACCGGAACATCCAACAAGATGGATCTCGAGGCGCTGAAGGACAAATGGAGTGATAGGGAGGACAATGATGGCATCAGGCTCAGTTGGAACAATTTCCCGAGTACTCGAATGGTTCGTGATCGTGGCACCGTTTAACCTTCACCGCATCAGCAGCTAAGACTTGATGTAGGAAGCCTCCCGGCTAGTCGTTCCCATTGGCGCCGTCTACACTCCTCTTAAGCAGAAGCCTACTCCATGGCTCCAGTATGAGCCCGTGAGCTGCAAGCAGCCTTGCCGCGCTGTACTCAACCCATATGCGTATGTGATGCATCGGATTTGATATATCCCCGGAACATGAGCTGACCTGCGGATAGCACCGTCGATGTGCGCGCACGAATCTGGATTTGCCCTTTCTGTCTCTCTCGCAACCCTCTTCCTCCGCATTACAAGGACATCACGGAGAATACGATACCCCCAGAGCTCCACCCCACGAGTACCACAATCGAGTACCAATTGGCACGGCCCGCCCCCGCTCCCCCGATCTTCGTTTTCGTCGTCGACACTTGCCAGGAGGATGACAGTCTTCAGGCTGTCAAGGATGCTCTCATCCTGAGCTTGTCGATCCTGCCGCCCCACGCGCTGGTGGGTCTGATTACCTTCGGTACAATGGTAGGCAACGATGATATCCAAAACAGAATAGTGGCATGATATTGACTTTGAAATACAGACCCAAGTCCACGAGCTGGGCTACACAGAATGCGCCAAGTCATATGTGTTCAGAGGCAGCAAGGATTACAACGCAAAGCAGGTCCAGGAGATGCTGGGTCTGGCCGGCGGTATTCGCCCCGGTGTTCCCCCGCAGCAGCAACCTGCCCGTCCCCTTGCCCCTGCTGCGCGCTTCCTCATGCCCGTTCAGCAAGCTGAATTCCAGATCACCAATGTCCTCGAACAATTGCAGCGTGATCCCTGGCCCGTGGCCAACGACAAGCGTCCCCTGCGCTGCACTGGTGTCGCCCTGAGCGTTGCTGTTGGTCTGCTCGAGAGTTCCTTCCAGAATTCAGGAGCTCGCATCATGACTTTTACTAGCGGTGCCGCCACCGAAGGCCCCGGCCACGTTGTTTCGCCTGAGCTCAGAGAGCCCATTCGTTCCCACCACGACATTGACCGGGACAACATCAAGTACTACAAAAAGGCTGTCAAATTTTACGACAACCTCGCCAAGCGCGCCGCGAACAATGGCCACATCGTCGATATATTCGCTGGATGCCTCGATCAAGTGGGTTTGCTGGAAATGAAGAATCTCTCTAACTATACTGGAGGTCACATGCTCCTTACAGACAGCTTCACATCCTCACAATTCAAGCAATCGTTCATTCGTGTATTTGACAAGGATGAGGACGATAACTTGTTGATGGGCTTCAATGCAAACCTCGAGGTGCTTACAACCAAGGAACTCAAGGTCACTGGTCTGATTGGTCATGCGATTTCACTGAACAAAAAGTCCAGCTCTGTTGGCGAGACAGAGTGCGGCATTGGCAACACCTGTTCATGGAAGATGTGTGGAATCGATCCATCCTCCAGCTACGGTATTTACTTTGAAATTGCCAATCAGGCAGCTGCCCAGCAACCTGGCCCTCAACAGGGTATGATGCAATTCTTGACATACTACCAGCACTCATCTGGGTTTTACCACCTGCGGGTGACTACTACCGCGTGCCCCCTCAGTGGCCCTGCTGGTGATCCCGCTCTGGCGCAGTCCTTCGACCAGGAGGCTGCCGCTGTTCTCATGGCCCGTATCGCAGTGTTCAAGGCAGAGGTCGATGACGGTCCCGATGTCCTCCGCTGGGTGGACCGCATGCTGATCAGACTTTGCTCCCGCTTCGCTGACTACCGGAAGGATGACCCGACATCATTCCGATTGGAGAAGAACTTTACCCTGTATCCTCAGTTCATGTTCCATCTCCGCCGAAGCCAGTTCTTGCAGGTGTTCAACAACTCACCTGACGAGACTGCTTTCTACCGCCATGTCCTGAACCACGAGGACACCGGTAACTCTCTGGTCATGATCCAGCCCACCCTCGACTCATACTCTCTTGAGCAAGAAGGTGCTCAACCAGTGCTGCTGGACTCCGCCTCTATCCAGCCTGCCCACATTCTCCTCCTTGACACCTTTTTCCACATTCTCATCTTCAACGGCGAGACCATTGCGGAATGGAGGAAAGCCGGGTACCACGAACAAGAGGGCTACGAGAACCTCAAGATGCTGCTCGACCAGCCTAAGGAGGACGCTAGAGTTCGTTTCCACTTTCCCCACTCCTCTACACTGTGCCTTGACTAATCTGATTTTAGGATCTTATTGCCGATCGCTTCCCACTACCCCGTTTCATCGTCTGTGATGCCGGTGGCTCTCAGGCCCGTTTCTTGCTGTCCAAGCTGAACCCGTCAACCACCCACACCACAAGTGGCTATGGTGGCGGTGTCTCGTCACAGACCATCTTCACTGATGACGTGTCGCTCCAAACATTCATGGATCATCTGATGAAGCTTGCTGTATCTGGAACCAGCTAGATTTGATGGGACATGACCATCATGAGAGCAAAGGGCGGTCTGTCGTCGACCCTCGGGTCTTGTGTATCTTTAGCGGTGATTTAACTCCTTTGACGCGATATAGTAGTAGATTGAATGGATTGATACCATGACAACTAATCCTGGTATTTTTCTTTACTTACATTACACTTATATAACGCCTCTAAATACAATTATGGCTCGAAATGCGATAGCTCCAAATAGTTTTCCTAAACAGGCAAGTGTCTAGATCAGGGCTGTCACGTCACGTGATAATGCGACAAGCCCTAATATCCCAATTTGGCCACTCGCTTAGTTAGCTCTGGAGTGGGTCCCGCTAGCACTCTCGACTGCTCAAGTTAATTTCTTCGCTCCTTTCCTTTTCTCTTCTGTAACCAACTTCTTCGACAACCAAGGAAGATCGACTACCTTTCGCACTCGCCATGCGTAAGTATCATCTACTTGGCCTCCTGCAAGATGGCGACTAACATTCCCTCGTGATCAGCTCCCAAGTTCGATCCCAATGAGGTGAAGATCATGTAAGTGAAATCTTCTCAAGGCTCTTCTTTGGATCAATGGAGCCACATCAAGTCAACAGGCACTAATAAATATTTCTCTAGCCACCTGCGTGTGACTGGTGGTGAAGTCGGTGCCCAGTCCGCTCTGGCCCCCAAGATCGGTCCCCTCGGTCTGTCTCCCAAGAAGATTGGTGAAGATATCGCCAAGAACACTGGCGACTGGAAGGGTCTCCGTGTCACCGTCCGCCTGACCATCCAGAACCGTCAGGCCGCCGTCTCGGTTGTGCCCTCCGCTTCTTCCCTCGTCATCAAGGCCCTCAAGGAGCCTCCTCGTGACCGCAAGAAGGAGAAGAACATCAAGCACTCCAAGTCCATCCCCATGGACGACATCATTGAGATTGCCCGCACCATGCGCTCCCGCTCTATGGCCAAGGAGCTCCGTGGTGGTGTCCTTGAGATTCTCGGTACTGCTTTCTCCGTCGGCTGCCAGGTCGATGGCCGCAGCCCCAAGGATGTCTCCGATGACGTCAAGGCTGGCGAGATTGACAGTGAGTTTTGTCTGCATTGTGCGTGTATTGGTCATTGCTAACGGTTTCGCAGTTCCCGAGGAATAAATTATTCACTCTTGGAATGATCAAAAAAGAGGAGGCCTATCTGATTTCTAATGCGTGCTCTCTTAATGCTGAGATGCTAGTTGCAGAATATGAACGGTTTCCCAAACCACAAAAAATATTCATGAGTCATGACCTATGATACCATTTCTTAATTCGTGAGATGTTCGATTGGAAAAAATTGATCAGCTCGCTGTTTTTTCTCTCCGGTTGTATTTCTCCATTCCATTTCCTGACGCCTTTCTTGTTTTCTCGCCTTCCTTGTGGCGATGAGAATATTGAAAGGCCATGCCCGGCGCAGCCGACAGTCCGTCTTCCGATGGAACCCCCACAACACTCTGGCCCTTACTGTTCTCTCCCTACGGGGTTTGATCATATCAAAACGTGGTATAGGCTTATTTTAAGTGGGGAAGAAGAAACCAGTCCCATTACTCACCGCGGTATCCTTGGAGCTTGCTCCGTGGGTACAGTGGTCCATATTTCGGGTCTACATCTCTACCAAAGAGATTCAGCTTCGTAGGCTGTAGTTAGCTAGCGAACAAATTTAAACAAAAATCTATATCTGAACCTCAAACTTTCTCTCTGAAAATTCATCCTATCGTATCTTTTCTATCCCTGGAATTAGTACACCCAGACTACCAGGGGTAGCACTAGCGGTGTAAATCCAACCAACGTCCCTCAACATGACCAGGCTACCCTGCATATAGGCAGCATGCATGTACACGACATATATGCACCGCAATGCTATCAATACATGTACTTAAGTATTATGGATATGATATGAGTGGCTATGTCGAAGAATCACTTGCTTCAATTAATTCGCCTCATTTTCGTGCAAATGAAACTCCATCATTCAATATATATATATATATATATATATATATCCCGATATACCCACCACGTGACACCTTGTCTGCTTCGTGTCACCCCATCTGTACAGTAATCAGGCCGGAACATACAACATATATGATGGAACAGGGTAAATAGAAGTTTCTAAATTACACGTGAATGTGGCTAGAGAATATTTGTACAACGCTGCTATTTGGGTCTGAAACATAACGGCCTACATTGCCAACAAACGGTGTATCCGAGCGGTGCGCACCAATTAAAATTTACGTGGGTAATATGTGTGTTGGCTAGATCAGGCTGTATAGGAATGGGACTATTTGAATATTGGACCTGTAGAGTGAAGAGGATGAGATTTCTATATGTACATATAACTTATGTAGGTATACAAAATTCAAAAAATAAATAAATAGAAATTGTACCTACAATATCAGCGACAATCTTAGCATATGCACATCCACAGTGGGGGCTAATTATCTTTGAAATGCTTTGGCACAAGTGGCTCTGCGATATTTAGGGGATTATCAAGTGGAGTTTAGCTTTTTTTTTTCTCTTTGCACTTGTTAGCTTAGTAGATTGCGATGTGGATTATACCTGATTTAATTTGTAAAAGAAAGGCGCTAAAAAAAACAATAATATCAATTACTCAATCAGCTCCTGTATCAAATATTTAATCAATACTCTGTTGCCTCAACAAGGCTGAGCTTTAGTAATTTAGGGACAAGCAGCGGCAGCTCGTACCACCCGACCGTAATAGTGCCAAGAAAGGATGCGACACACGGTGGAGTTAGATATGTCGATCTCTGCGACCTGTGTCATGGACGTTGAACCAAGAAGGGTCTGGAGGATTACAACCGTCTAGGGATGTAGATCAGTGCAATGAGAATATTAGAATATTACAGAGAATATGCTGTGTATGAAATATTAGTCCTACGGTTCTTACTCAGTACAATGTAAAGATATGGAATATAATCGTTGAAGGTACCTAGGGAATTATAGTAATTATGATAATCATAATAATCACCGTTAATTACGAATATGAAAATAGATACATATGTATGAATCATCACGGATACATATAATGACCAAGTTGTACGAATCATAGCACAACCTATCCTAGGGAATTTATAACCCCCCAAAGCTAAGAAAAAGGCCGCAGGGATCGTGGTGGGAATCCCGGTCTAGTAACCCCAGAATCATCCCAGATAGGCAAGGATCAGAGGCAGATGAGGCGGCCAACAAAGGGGGCCTGCGCGTGTCATCACAGCGGCTAGGATCCCAAGTACTACCTAAGGTAAGTCGAGGTGGCGTTTGATCCAAGATAACGATGCAGCAAGTGTGAGTATATGCAGTTATGCAGCTATGCAGTTGTGATGTACTCCATTTGCCGAATAATATCAGTAGAATAGAATGTCAGTAATATCAGGTAGGTTCAGCCAAGTCTCAAAGCCCACTGAAACCGAGAACGGGCTCGACTCGATCACCGGCGGGGCGTCACCGATCCATCACTAGTCGCCGTGATGGGACCAATGATCCACCAGAAGTTGAGTTCGTATGGAGTCCTCCAGCCAGAAGGAGGGTTCAGCCGTTGGAACGAGTGGATCTAGTGGATAAGTTGAGTTGGTGAGTGAGGTGAGGTGAAGTGTTTGTTGAAGGGGAAGAGAGAGGGTGAAGGGGGATTTCTCTTTTTCTATAGTTAGGGTCTATACTCACTCTCTCTACAGCCTCATCTTCGATACTTCTCTATATATTTCTCCATCTGTGTATATGTTTATACATTCTGCATATGAAATAATTAAATCAAATTAAAATCTAAAGTAAAGTCACCAACTAAAATATACAAAAAGAAACAAAAAGAAAAAAGAAATCCTATATCCCCCACTTACATATATCCACCGTGTCCACTCACTTCTCTCTGCTTTGCGACTCAACTTCTCACATCACCTTTTCTTAATCTTATTTTTTTTAGGTCTCCTTCTTCTCTCCTTCTCCTCTTCCTCATTCTTTACTGATATTGATCGATCCGCAATTCCTGCCAAGATCACACCTTATTGGCTAACGAAAAGATACATCGTGAACTGGGACATTTCCTGTCTCCCCTTGCGTCTGAACCTTTTCCAACTTACACTTTTCCCCTTTCGACATTCCTAGCAAATATTGTGTATCTTGATCTATCCTTTTCCAACTCGATGATTTGAGAAGCAAGAACTTTACCGATCTGGTTTGCGCCCACAATACCTGGTTCACATAATGAGGTGTCGGAAACGTTTCAAGCATGCTTGTTGAATGTTTAGTCTTAACTTGAGTCGTCATTCTGGCTTCAAGGTCGCTCTTTGAGAAGAAAAGAGGCAAACATGTATCCGACCGTCGCACCTTTTCCTCTGGTCCAACCACACCATCGCATGCCCTACGACTCCCACCAAATCTACGATGCGAACGAATCCGAACCTTTCTTGAATCCGATCTCTCGATCCCGTATTCAACTACCTCACCCCGTTCAACGACTTGATCACCGCGATGGGTCCGGTTCCAGCTCTAGCGCGAACGTGGAACATACCTTGAGAAGGAAAACTCCCAGCGGAACCCTGGCTGCGGGGTACGATGGAACACCTGTTGATACCAATCAACCTCCACCAAAACACATCTTGGTCTCGCCGGAGTCCGGCCAATTCTTTTCTCATCCAGGCATGCAGGAGAACTGGCAGATCCTGGACCAGACCGCCTTGAAACAGGTGAATTTTCCACCCGTTTTCAAAAATGATCCGGCCGGCAATGCGATTCCCAGTGAGGTGGTTCAAGATGCGAATGGGACAAGTTGGGTTCGTCCAGTCAACTATCCTCCGGGAGTTGACTCGATGTTGAACCAAAGCTTGCCCCTACAAGCATCCCAGCGCATCTTGCTACAAAATGGGGCCTATGTCCCAACCGTCCTACCTGCCACTCTGCAGTCATGTCTAGGACCGACGGCTTCAGCTGGCACTGGACCCTTTGGCCCCTACTGGCCGAATGGTGTATATATCCCATATCGTCCAGCTGCATTTCGCGACGCGCGATTCGAATCTCCGACGCCCTTCACGAAACAGCTAAACACCGGCCAGCCATTCTATGATCTGAACCAGCCTGTTTTCAACCAGGCTCAACCTCCAATTGATATGCACACAGACGGGTTTCCATGGGGCCACTCCATGCCCAATTTAGCTCCTGATCCTCTGTTGAAGCCACACTTCCCACCGCGTCACTCCGAGCAATTACCTTTTCACGTCCGTGCCAACCGCCCTATACAAACCTTCCCCCCTCAGCCATTCAATAACGAGCCCGCCTGGTCCAATCGCCCGCCAGCACATGGATTTCAACCGTTACCCACAGTCGTCGCGAACGCGGAGTTCAAGGAGAAAGCCCTGTCATGGGCTCACGGTGTTTATGTTGATCTCCTTGCAACTATCCACCAAGCTCGCCGCAATAGCATCTCTAATGGCGTTGCGGATAACCGCTCCCGCCCCATAATTCCCGCCATATATCCCAAGCCGCCACGCCAACCGGGTCTCGACTTTTCACAAGCCCATCCCCCCGACCTAACCCGTCATAATAGTTATCCATCTAGTCAGTATGATACGCAACGACAGAACCTCAATGCCTTGGGCAATCAGAAGGCCATTGACTCTACACATCCCGCGCCTCTTCGCGTGCATGCTCGACGTCCGTCTTTGAACCAGTTTGCCCAAAACAGATCTGATACCCACATGATCGGAATGCGAGAGACAGGTCTTCCCGGCGTATCGCCTTTCACAAGGGCCCGTGGATCTCTCTTTAATGAAGGCACTCCCGCGGCAAATGCTGCTACCGCATTAGACATGCTGTCCCATCTGTGCAACGAGAGTCATTGGGAATGGATCGATGGAATGCTCCTTGGAGGCTGCCTGGCCTATGGATTGGGTGATTACCACAAAGCCACGCGATGGTACTCTAGAATCATCGCCCGTGACGCCACGTAAGTGTCCACCAGCCCCTGCTCGGCAAATAATATTAACAAACAGCAGACACGTGGAAGCTATATCAAATCTCGCCGCCACTCTATTGGCGCTTGATCGACGAGAAGAGGCACTACAGAATTGGCTGCGAGCAGTGAAGTTGCGCCCGAGTTTCTTCGAAGCTGTCGAGCATCTGATCGGGTTGCTGTGCAATAGTCACCGCGGCAAAGAGGCCGTCAATATTATCGAGTTTGTTCAGAACTCCCTGCGTCACCCTAAGGATGGCGATTGCTTCAAGACAGATGAACACGCCAGCGAGCCCGAAAGCGATGCCGAAAGCAACCACTCCGATGTGAACATGTACGACAAGGCGTCTTTCGAGTACGATGATGACATTGGTAGAACTCAAGTGGAACCCGGGTCCCCAGAGGCTAAGCCACCTGGTTTTGCGACCAGCGGATATGCAATCTCAGGTGCAGAAAACGGCAGAATGCTGGCATTGGTTCATGCCAAAGGAAACATGCTCTATGCTCTTGGGGATAATGTGGGTGCAGCAGCTGCCTTTGAAGACGCGGTTCTCATCGCAGCTGGTCGAAGGCGCCATGGCATTCAAAGCATCATTAAGCAGATCTTTGCTGCCTTCTCTGGGCCAACTAATGGCATTCCCCAGTCTGAGCATGAATCAAAGGAAAGTATTCTGCTGTACCCAGACAGAGCATTGAAGACCGCCAAGCTTGTTTTCCCTGGTAGCGGCATGCCACCAGGTCTTCAGTTTGTTGCCGAGGGTATGGCTCGCAACGCGGCGACTTCCACAACTAGCAATTCTCTCCTTTCCTTGGCCAAAATTTACCAGGATGGCATGTCCAATGTCTCTTCCTCGGGTGCACCGAGATCATCACCTGGCGTTCGGGATATCCTGGCCCTTTACTATCTTTCTCTCTCCCTCCAACCCAGCCCATCTACCGCTAACAATGTTGGTATATTATTGGCTGGGATTCAAAACAACCCGCCAGCTCGAGGCCTCATTCGTCCGAAAGGTGAGGTCCAACATCCCGAGATCCCAGGCGTGTTGCCTGGAAGTGGAATCTCGTTGGCATTGGCATACTACAACTATGGCTTGCATCTGGACTCGCGCCATGCCCATCTGTATACCAACCTCGGCAGCTTGCTCAAGGACATCGGCCAGCTCCATGCTGCCATTAAGATGTACGAGCAAGCAGTGCAGTGTGACGGCAACTTCGACATCGCTCTAGCGAACCTGGCCAACGCTGTCAAGGATGCAGGCAAGGTGAACGACGCAATCACCTACTACAGGCGTGCCGTCAAGGTGAATCCCGAATTCGCCGAAGCAGTCTGCGGCCTAGCCAATGCCTTGAACTCCGTCTGCAACTGGGTTGGCCGTGGTGGGATAGCCCACGCCCGTGGATTCCGCGACCGATGGCACGTCGACGAAAAAGGCATGCTTCGCGACTCTGTCAGCATTGATACAGGATCTGGATGGATCAAGCGGGTCGTTGAAATCGTCGACCGACAACTCAAAGAGGGCGAGTATTGGGGCCGCGGCATGTTGACATCCAGCACGGCCGAGCAGCTGTGTCTGCAACTCGCTCCGGCCTTGGAGTCTACCCGGTTCTCATCTTCACATCGGATGTCTCTGGCCAAACTCTTCCAGTCCTGGGCTGGGCAGAAATGGGAAGGATCTCGTATCGTGCGCCTTATCGAGCGTGCTATCAGGTCGCTTACCTGGCAATGGTATCAGGATCGTTATGTCCATGGCAAAGACTTTCCTGCTTCTAAATATCGTAGGCCGCAACTGCCCGGAGCGCTTTCTGCGCCGAATGCCCCCACAGTCCTACCCTTCCATACCTTCACTTGTCCTTTGTCGGCGAAGCAAATCCGCCAGATCTCCCAACGCAATGGTTTACGGATTTCGACTTCGACTTTGCGACTCCCTTGGCTTCCACCAACTGTGTTCCCGCCACCGGCTCCGCCTGCTCCGTATCTTCGAGTAGGATATGTCTCGTCGGACTTCAACAACCACCCCCTTGCGCATCTGATGCAATCAGTTTTCGGATTGCACGACCCCTCCCGAGTTAAGTCATATTGCTACGCCACGACAGTAAGTGACAAGTCAGTGCATCGCCAGCAGATCGAAAAAGAGGCGCCCGTGTTCTACGACGCCAGTGGGTGGCCCGTCGAGCGACTAGTCCAGCAGATTGTCGACGACGGCATCCACATCCTCGTCAATTTAAACGGTTACACTAGAGGAGCTCGCAACGAGGTCTTCGCTGCACGCCCGGCACCCATTCACATGTCCTTCATGGGCTTCGCCGGTACCCTTGGTGCTGAGTGGTGCGACTACATCCTTGCCGACCAGCTGTCGATACCGCCGGAGACACTCAGTCCGGGAAGACGTACCACACGCATCGAGGATCGGCTGCTGGAAGAAGACAATGGAGAAGAGCTTGAAGATTGGGTTTACGGGGAAAAGATTGTTTTCACCCGTGATACCTTCTTCTGCTGTGATCACCGACAGAGCGCGCCCGACGCAGGCGAGAAGCACGTAACATGGGAAGAAGAGCAATCGCGGCGCTGGAGAATGCGTAAAGAACTATTTCCCAAACTAAGCGACGACACCATCATCTTGGGTAATTTCAATCAGCTGTACAAGGTAAGTTGTCTCCCCTCCTCTCCCATTCAACCCAGCCTAACAAACCCCAGATTGAACCCACAACATTCCGCACCTGGCTTCGAATCCTAGCGCGAATCCCCAACGCAATCCTCTGGCTCCTCCGCTTCCCAGACCTAGGCGAGCAAAACCTACGCGACACAGCCAAAGCCTGGGCGGGCGAAGAAACCGCCTCCCGAATAATCTTCACTGACGTCGCCCCAAAAAACACGCACATCGCGCGCGCCAAAATCCTAGATTTATTCCTCGACACCCCCGAATGCAACGCACACACAACAGCAACAGACGTCCTCTGGAGCGGGACGCCTCTCCTCACGCTCCCGCGCTACAAATACAAAATGTGTTCCCGGATGGCAAGCAGCATCCTCAGCAGCGCACTGCCAAAGACCGAGGCTGGCCAGCGCGCCCGCGAAGACCTTATCGCTTCCTCGGACGAAGACTACGAGGCGAAAGCCATCCGGCTCTGCCTTGACCTACAGCATTCATCTAGCGGACATGGCCGCGGGCGATTATTTAGTATTCGGGAGATGTTGTTCCGCGACAGATACCGCAATAAGCTGTTTGACACGGGGCGGTGGGTGCGGGATCTTGAAAATGCCTATGAGGCTGTTTGGGCGCAGTGGGTTGGTGGCGAAGAAGGCGATATCTGGTTATGATGTGCACTGCGAATATACCCCTTGAGCGATTTTTCTATTTTTTTGCATGTGGGATTGATTTTGTAATGGATATTTTGGTTGTTTCTTCTTCTTTCTGCATTTTTTTGTGCTGTACACGTACAATTAGCGGATGAGTGTTGGATTGGCGTTTGGGCTTTTCTTACTACATTGGATATATGTTTTGGTGAATAGATTGAATAGCAGAGGTCTTACAGATGTTTAGTCTGAGGCTATGTTTAACGTCATGCTCTTCTTATTGGGTTTTATCAAGGTATCTGATTAGATAGTTACCTTCTCTTCTAGGATGACATTGCCATCTAGTTTACATTATCTGTCTACCTCATCCACGATATCAGCTACCAAGGAATTTTGAATTGAAGCATGCTTGCTGTTCTCCTGCCTAGGTGGTACAGGTCACTTTTGTGCCCTAACTACATATAGCTACATATGTATGTAATAAGAGTGATCAGTGCAGAACGCTGTGCCGTTTTCTTTTCCGTTATTTTCCTACAGCTAGTGTAGCCAAGCCTACTTCAGACCTCCTAGCTCTGTTTGGTGTTATTTCTAGCTTACGCAGCGCAGCGTGGCAAGGCCTATCTTATGACATTCTGTGGTCATTTTGGAGCCCAACACGGTAAACGCCAACATAGCTTTTGTTTTAACGCACTCCTTTGGTGAGTATAGGGGCTATATCCCTGTACCCCTAAGCTGTATCCTCTGCCTCTTTTGAACCTTTTTCTTCTCTAAAATTTCCTTGGATATCTAAGACATATAAAGCTATAAAGCTAAATCCGCATTAATAATCCTAATGGCAGCCTTTCATGGAGAGAGAGCCAGAGGGCGCAGGGGGTTTAAGACGTTTGTTCTCTTATTCCTCTTAAAGGATTTAGCCTCAAATTACCATGTTTGGCTATGAGCGTGGATACGGCCTAAGGCAGTGGTGAAGTTGGTATGGTACCTAGGTAGGAGTGCATCTGTGACAGGACGGCTGGTTCATATATAAACTAAAACCGCAGTCGATTGGCCATGAAGGGCTACATGGGTACAGAGTATGAGCGTAAGAAGGCAGAGAGGGCAGAGCTAGAGCGCAAGGAGGCAGAAAGCTGGAGAAACAAAGAAATAGATCGCAGAATAGATTGAGGTGTAGATTGGGCTTTAGGTCAGACTAATATAGCCTTGGGACCCATAGAGCAATTGAATTTTATATCTGACTTATTTTGATTCAGGTCTAAAAACCGTTGTTCACTGAATGCTACAAGATGCCAGGTTCTTGTGCTGAGGCTGAGTTCTCAAGAGAACTTCTTGTAGATACAGATACAGTCAAGGGCAGTATGAAGATTTTGAATTGATGAACTGTAAACGATGGGGAAGAAGGAGAGAGAGAGAGCTGGAGAGAACTATCCATCTATATGAAAGTGTGTAGGATACTATCCCATAACATCTCAGCAGCGTTCGATCAGCCTATTACCTGCCAATGACAAGCAACCTCTTCTACCGAACTCAAGCTAGAGTAGAAGGCGCCTAGATAGCAACAGCTATGCTAGATTTTATCCGCTTGAAGTCTGGTACTGATGGTGCATAAATCTGAGATGCAGCATATAGTGACTGTGTCTTGATCCAAGTTCGCCGGGGATGAATCGCACTTCTCACCACGGCAATGATACTGGCGGGTGTGCTTCTCTCTTCATGGTATGAATATCCAATCAAGAAGAAAACTCAATTTCGTATAAATCATCCTTTGTGTTATTACTTGTCGTGCGGCTTGAGACTTAGTTTAAACACAGATTGGAGTCATTATCTGGTCCTGTCAATAGAATTGTGGAAATGTCAGAAGAGATGAGCAAGCATCATAACTGAAAGGATAGATGATGTGAGTGGCGATTGTTTGCTTGCTTCTTTGCTCTCTTTTTCTCGCACGTGGAAGTCCGGCTGATCTCGAACCCCTACTTTGTTTCCGTCAGGAACGTGCCGAGGCTGTTGCTCGCTGCAGCAGGATCTCAAACTTGTCGGTTAGACCTTGTGCAATATCTACAGGTTGCGGGTCTAGAATGTGAACCTGCAGGGACAATAACACTCAGGTCTAGTCAAGAACCCGATTTCCGAGCCGGTTACCCATCCTGTGAGGCAGGGTTTTTGAGGACCTTCTTTCCCGAACGACACGCCTAAGTCCACAGGTGAGAAACTCGTATAAGACGAGCAATGCAGGAACACATCATGCAACTGCATGAATTGAGTTTCTTACACGCATAGACAACGCAGTTGAGCCCTGGGGGCTTACGAAGCTGGCCACATGGAAGCACGAACCTTTGAAGCCTCCTCATACACTCTCCAAGACTAAGTATGAAAGTAAAGCAGCATCAGGCTACTCATGTCTATCATGCCTGTTTCACAATTGACTGTATGCAACGTGATAGCAGCATTATGAACTACACGTTGCAGACGCATCTAGATAGAAATTTACCAAGCAAGTATCAGTCACATTCAACGATAATACACAGCCTGGTACTTTTTAATCCCCGTTTTACTGTATACAGTAGTGCCAGGCACAACCCTGTCCCCAGTATGCAGTTGATATCTCTCACAACGCCTATTAGATGTCCGATGTGTTCCCCGAGATAAGACAATGAGAGCCAAGACAACGATTTACCACCCGACGCAAGGCAAAGATATGGCCTGTTGAGGACACCCGGGGTTCTATCTCTACATATTGGTAGGATTATAGCGTTGAACGCTAAGGCAATGCCTCTCTTTCTCATTGCTCTGAATTTTGATCTTTTGACTCTATATTCTGATAACGCCTCGATCCCTAGGCACCAAGGTACCGCACGCAGGGTGACACATCAACTCCCTAAGTAACGAACTATTAAACCCAAAGCATCCGAGCCGTGAGAAAGAGACCAATCCCACGCACTCCGCGCATGACGGCTGAATCAGGATATCTGCATACAAGCGAAAGCATATGCATGCGCACATTGCACAGTACAACGAGAATATAACTGGACAGGGAAATGACAAGGGTTCCAGGTCAAGCCAGCCGACCACATCGGTATCCATGGCTGGTGCTAGTCTAGGTCTGTATCTCCACAGGACATGTAACCAGCCATACAGTATGGCCGATACGGCATGGCAATTGTCACATGCGGGATTTTTGATTCAATGTAAGACATGCGCATAGCCGTCGTTTTATCGGCCTGCGAGCTGCAAGTTTCCAGACGAGCTCCCACATGGCCCTGTCCACGAGCGTCGGGGATTTATTAAAATTCGGAACAGGGACAGGGGTATCTATTTGTTTGCAGCAGAGATGGAAGTTATACAATACTATCATACAATATTATAATACAATAGATATTGAAGAGTGCAGAAGTGGATAACTCGACATGTAAGAATCTCTAATGATGCACCATGCATAAACTAGTTGATCAACCGATGAACCTTAACCTCTTGAGTCAGGAAACCAAAAACAAATCCGCCTTGGCCTTTTCTCTTAACTCGTGCCCCCCTTGAGCGGAAATCCCTTACTTCAACCTCGTTGTCGTTGCCGTCTCGGCCAAGTAAGCCCGTTCGCTTCGTAACTCCCACGAGAGAACCATGCAGCCTAGACCCCATGTGCGGCATCATATCCCCATATGGAAAATGGTTACAGAGTATAGTGATCGGTTAGAGGAATCCGGTATAGCTGAGCTGAGCTGGTCATGCGGTGATGTGACTGGTATGGTTCGGGTGGAGGTGCGCCACGGAGATTCTTTGGCGCTGGATCGGTCGATTAGCCGCTGCACATTGATTTATTAATTTACAATTTACATTGTATTTTTCTAGGGCTTTTGGTTTGTTAAATGGTTAAAATGGCAGTTATTAAAAACTTTGACCTTGGAATTGAATAGTGAAATCTACGTTTGGTGGTGTAGAGCGAGGTGGCTTTAGATGCATCGGCGTCGGGAATATATATCGCACAACGTATACAGAGTACTACGTAAGATATTGTATGGAACCTGGATGTGGCAATACATGAATGGACTATTTGGGCATAAGATTCGTTAAATGTTCTTGTTTAAGAACGATTACTTTTTTACTCGATATTTGTATATATTGTTATGACTCTGCGTAGGGAAAGACTATTAATTAGGCAATTGCTATACTTAGACACAGAGCATATAAGCTCATAGCTTCAAGTCGAACACTTGGACTAGGCACGTGCCTCGTTTGAAGTAAACAATAAATCTATTTGTAATTTTCACGTCTTGGATATAATCCCACAATATTGTAGACGATAAAACGCAAGATCTCCTCAATCTTGGGCCTTTTGATCATCTGGAACCTGAATTTGCCGGAAACGCCCTCGCAAAAACGATCCCAATCAGGGCAAGGTACTTTAGTGAGTCAAGCCTCAAACGGGATGACCGTTGGGTGACGCGCTTTCTCACTCTGCAAGCCCACTTCCTAGTCTCACCATAGCGCCCCTGAAACGAGGCTCAAAAAAGGAAAAAAAAGGGGCTAGAAGGGCAGAACTTGGTTTCCGCCCCCATCATCGTTTCATGCCTATTTCCATACGGGAAATGCTTGGACTTGGTGTGGGTTCTAGATATTTCGTATAGAAATTTGCTGTGGTTTTTGCCGTGGACGGGCAGGAACTGCTCCGTTCAGGTTCCACTTTGATACTCATGGCCCCTCTTCGCCTCCCGGGTCATGCAGGTGTCTAGAAAGAGTGCTGCTATGACCAACTCAGAAGACGGGTTTTGTTTCTTAATTTTCTTGATTTTTCTTAAAAGACTTGGTTTAAGTTTCTTTGTACCAGTGACTTGGGAAAAAGAAAGCATCAAATAATTACCAGAACACAGAATCAAAGAAACCTCTAATAAAGAAATAGTTATATACCAATCAGCTGGGTTCTTTGTCCCTTTGCCGTGGGACGATTGAGTTTAGACCAGATAGATAGGGTTGGCGTTGGGGTTTGTCGTCATGTTGTGTGGGATTATTGGTTAATATTGAATAGTTCATATTGGTACTTACACATGAAACCATAACCCGGAAGCTTCAGAGTTAGTGAACTGGATCTTCCTCGGACGGTTCACAGGGCGGGGCCCTGAATATGGCCCGTTCTCTCCGTACTCCATACGTAAACTGCTTCGGTCAAGCTTGGAGCCCGAGTGAGACGTTCTGATACGCTATAATACCGGGTTCCTGAATGTAGTATATAGTACATACAATATCGATACAACATACCATATGGATATAGAAATAAATAGTGTATAAGTATATTGGTAGATACATATGTCGTTCAATAGTGAACTAGTTAAGTGTACGAACGTTTCAATCTAGATCCCGTTAAGAAAGTCAGTACAGTGTGACAGCCTTGGCCCAAACGGTTTCCCACAGATCGGGCACCATGGGAGTGGTCCCCGAGATGTAAAGCCCGAGAAGGTGGCCCACCAATCACCGACGCAGGCCGCGGTGTCAGCAAATTCAAATTCAAATTCAAATTCAAAATTCGAATCCCCTCTATGTATGCATGCATACTTCAGTGTCAACCGTCTATCACTTCATCGTATTCATGTACTACACTACTACTGTAACCCCGGAGACTACGGGTTAAATCCTTATTATTCCTTTGCAATGATATATGGCGTACATGTACCTAGACAATCCTGGAACTGTATCTATACAATGGTATCTACAAGATGTACGATCTAGCAATCCACACCTTGTGTGGCCATGATACAACATATCATAAAAGTACAGCTACCTAAAAGGGTAATAACTAGACGACATGAGCTAGTGTTGACCCAATATTTACATCTACAACCAATTATATAACTAAAAATGAGACTGAGTTATTCACAGCTATACGTGGTAGTTTCTCCATCTCACTCTAACTATCATAAACATAAACTAAATAAAAAAAATAACAGCATCAAGAATCGAAATGATATCAAGCCCTAACACGTGACTCAAACGGCGGAAAAGGGGGTGACAGGAACCGCTCGTGCTCGGACCTTTCCTGCAAAGCCATGCGTGAGAGGCCCGACAGTCAGGAAACAGCTGCGAGACCGTTCGCTCCACTTTTACTGTTCAAGTTTCTTTGTACGAAGTATATACATTGTACTTTTTAGGCTTTAGATATCATTGTGATATATGAAGTAATCCTAGAAACTCTGAGGTCCATTGTCCCCTTTCTTTGATTCTATATCTCTAGCTCTATCCCCTTACAATCAGACTCAGTATCAAACATTCAATCTAAATCTCGAGGCGTGCACGGGACTTTGATCAGCGATGATCCCTGCAGACCGACAAGGATCTATCTCAAATACTTGCCGTGTCTCTGATTGGCGAGACTATTGTCTATGTTGAGTAAACAGTAAAGGGAAAAAAGAAAAGAAACAAACAAAAAGAATTGAAAAAAAAGAGGTGACAGGTCAAATCTCGGGTATACCCTAGTCGATATTGCATCCCAAGACGACGGGTTCATCCTTTCAGCAACGGCTTTTCCCAGGAATATGGAAATCCGATCTGACTGTCCACACACGAGGCCTTGTCCACATGGCTACACAAAAGGTCATGGTATCTCAACACATACCTACAATGTAGAATATAGGATGTAGAATACTGTTTCACACCCCGGACTTGAATTTATCATTAAAAAAGGGGTGAATACAATATTGTAGATTAATGTCTCGTTTCTCCACAACGTCTCTATAGATAGATATAGGGAGGTTGTCATGGCGGTAAATCATTAATCTATATACTACTAGTATATACGTTGTAGACGCGGTACAAGATTCTATACGATTCGTACGACATCTCCAGCTCCATCTCCAGCTCCAGCTCCAGTGTGAAATAGATTAAATCCAATAGAATAGATTAAAGATTTACGAGCGACGCATACCCGCAGCTTATCTCTACCCGAAGTAGTAAGCTCGCTAACAATGACAAATACCTGGGGACCAATAAGAACGCTAGTTGACATAAGGATGTATGCACGTAAGGCCCTGAGAGTACCTTGTATGGTAATTTTGCCATATATACCTAATTACGTAGTATTTACACAGTTACCGTTTACCACTGGACTGGGAAAAAAAGCAAAAAAAAGGTGTGGCTTGCGTTTCAACGGTTTCCACCGGTGGAGATCTCAGCTGCGACATGCCTAACCAGGTAGTCTGGAAACTTCGCACACGTCGATCCTTCCCTCGATCCCGATCGCCTTCTGATGCATCCATCGTTTCTTTTTGGTACGCCATTGTTTAGACCGGAAATAGTTTGTTGAAGGGACGGGAAATAGATTGACCTATACGGATTCGACCACGGAAGCTATACGTTAGGTACACAATATGGAGCTAGCTAAGCTATAGACGTGACGTCCCGTGTCTTTGCCGACTGTATGTATATTTATATTGATTAATTATTAAATTTCTGATCTACATCTGCCACTGACAGTTGGCAGGTGGCCCCTGCTTTGTGTTTTCCTATTTTGTATGTCCGGAATTGCATTCCGTACAGTATATTGTGTACACCATTGTAGATTCAATTTCTATTTACATACTTACATAGGTATATTCTCTAAGCGAACGTTGATCTTCACTGGGCATCCACAGAATGGAATATTTGGAACATTTCACTTTCAAGATCATAGTACATTGTATATAACTATCAATATGGATATGATCATTGTTAACGCTGCAAGGTAACACAAAAAAGGGGAGTTCTCTCAAAAAGCCAATAGTTCAAATAAAAGTGAAATCTGAAATTCAAAACTCGATCCATTTAATCTGTTCGGTGTTGTTCGGGGGTCGAAGCTTCCTGTCATCGAACGGAGCCACCGATTTCCCCATACTATTGAAGCCACACAAAAAAGGATATGACAATAAGAGTTACCGAGAAAGAAAAAAAAAGGGAAATAAACAGAAACCTCATCTTCACGGACAGAGCCCGAGTAGAATTTGTCAATGATCCTGACCAAGTCCACCTTAGATCCACATAGTGGATCAGGGCAGGGCAGAGCTCAAGGAGCAACCCCGATTTCGCCAATTGTATTTCGGTATTGACCGATTGCACATGGATCGGAAATCATCGAGCTCTAGTGTTGTGCATGGGCATGGCTGGCTGAAAAAGAATCTACGTCTAACCGCTTGTCACTCGGAAGCCAGATCTACCCCTGGCTTTTTTGTTCGCTTCTTTCTTGTTGACCCCTGTTCTGTGGATATGGTTATTCATGGTCCATGGTTTGTGGTATTATAATGTGCTTTTCGAATATGGGTTGGAGACAGTATGGATGAGGAGACATAATTTATTTTCATTCTGTTCATATCTCATATTCACATTTGTTTACATTTCTATACTTCCATACTTGCTGCTATACTTCTATATAGATTAATACTATACATTCTACGGAGTATACAGTATGAACTATATAAGTTCTCAATTAGCCTACTGTACCTCTCAAAAAAATCAAAACTAACACCTAAATTGGATGATTTGGAATTCCAGAAACGGGGCTCAGGGTCGATCACTCCGATCTTTTTTTCCCTTCTATTTTCCTTTTTTTTTCTTTTCCTTCAGCCCGGATTCCCGGGTCGTACTGACGATCCCAACGGAGCATTTTTCTTCCCCCACGATCTATTAGATTACAATAGTGCGTATTATAGATTTAAATAATTTAATATTTCAAATATGTAATATACAATAATAAATATTATATTACATATATTATATATTATTTTATATACATAAACAAGAATAAATAATAAAAATAACGTATTGTTCCGAACTGTCAGCTCCGAGATCTTGGATCGTGATCTTCTTCCCATAGCGGGACCTGGTTAGTATTTTCTTTTGGATCCGTTCCCCTGGTACACTTCCATTTCTTTAAGTACTTCTCCCCTTCCTGAGGTACTTCTCTCTTATATCTATTCTCTACACATCATCTCACCACTATCACCATCACCATCACCATATCACCACCCTCACCACACCTCTACAACTTTACACTTCAAACTATATAATGCCTCCCTCACATCGCCGTGGACCCTGGGTCCCAGAGGAAGATCAACTTCTTACTCAACTGGTCCGCGAACAAGGCCCTAACAACTGGGTTCGCATCTCGCAACACATGCACTATCGTTCACCAAAGCAATGTCGGGAGCGTTTCCACCAAAATCTTAAGCCTTCCCTGAACAGGGAACCTATTTCAGCCGATGAAGGTCTAATGATCGAGCGCATGGTCAACGAAATGGGGAAACGCTGGGCAGAGATTGCTCGCCGCCTCGGCAATCGCAGCGACAATGCCGTCAAAAACTGGTGGAATGGCAGCATGAACCGCAAGAAGCGCGGTCTCTCAACTCCTACCACCTCCCGCACATACTCCGGCCGCATCGAGGCCCCCTACACCCGCGCCTCGATGATTAGCCCTTCTCGCTCTTCCTCTCGCCCATCATGGACAGATTCCATCGAATCTGCCATTTCTGAACAGTTCTCCCACTCGCGCAGAGAGTCCATGGCTTCTATCCGCCAGCTCTCTCCCATCTACACTCTTCCTTCTATCAACCGACCGATCGAAACCCCTCTCACCTCGCCTGTTTTCTCGGACGTCTCCAACGCAACCTCCTGCGAGCCGCCATCCATGGTCTCAGACCACAACTCCGTCTGCTCCTCTTCGCCCCGCACGATTCCCTCTCCGCAGCTCCTGCCTCTGCCAGTCGACCTGCGCTCGCAGTATGAGAGCCGGATGCCAAGCGTGCACGTTGTCGAGGACTCACCCAGCTACCCTGCTCGCTCGCTAGAGTCTCTTTCTGAGATCGCCTCTAAACGCTGGATGGCCCACCAGCCTACCATGGCTTCATGGCACCAGCCAACTGACTTGCCCAAGCCCTGGATGCCCAGAGCTGAGCCCGCTCGTGATACCCGTATGGGTGTGAACAGCCTGCTCAACTAAAAAATCAAAAGGAAATCCACACCTTCCACATTCCCCTACATTATCATGATTCACGAGTCTCATTTCTCACCCTTTGTTTATAATCATTTTCCTACTGTTCTATACTTTTGATTCCCCTTTGCGCTCGGGTCTCTGAAACCCTGTTGTACATTTTGTTAAAAGCTTCGCGCTTTCTTTGTGTTTATTGGGAGCTATTACGATTTCCTTTTGTATACTCTTAATGTGTATTACCATGATACGGATCAAAAACTTGCCACTGTTGGGCTCACCCTCTCAAATTCTGTAATTGCTGTGTTTTTTTAACATTATTTTCTGGAACCCGGACCCTGTCTACATTTGGGATGGCAAAATACCCTGCTTATAGCAATTATTACAATTTGAGACTAATATTTAACAACGACCAAAATCCATTTAGACTATACTATGCTATCCCTTGGTACTGTGGAACCACAAATACTATAGTTGTACACGTAAGTACCAACCAGAACAGGGAATGAAACCTGCACCCTTCAACCGTTTAACCCCCCCCCCCCCCCCCCCTTTGCACGGGTCCCCATGAGGAATGCGCCACCAGACACGCCGTGCTCACGAGGACAGACGCAAGGGAGGCAAGGCCGGATTTGGGACTTTGGGCCTAAGCACGGAAGCAAGGACCCACCGGTTTGTCTGACAAGAGGTTAGATGGAATGGTTGGACAAGGATGGCCAATTATTTCATTATGATCCTTTGCCCTGGTATATGTGGACGTCCTAGCAAGGACAAGCATGTTATGTAAAAGGAAAGGAAACCCCGTGCTCTGGCCATGTGTCCAGACCAGGCCGAAGATAGCAATGACAAAGAACAAAGACCAAACGCAAAACGTAATGCGTAGTACCTACATATACGGGTGCATGGTGCAGCATGAACCTAATGACTGACAAGCCGATCATTTCATGTTCCTGTATGATGGGCCCGTTTGGGAAAAGTCTAAAGAGGGTTCATGGATCAAACGGCCAGCCCGATCTGTAAGATTCACCAAAACGCCTCTATACAACGCTAGCGCCAGCGCCAGCACCAGCGGATAAACCCGATCTAACACAGACAGAACCTGGACAACTTGCAAAGCAAACCCACGACACTACCATATTCCCGCCTACCCGCCTTCTTTGTATCTATGTACATGTATGTATGTAACATGGAGCCAGCCTCGGCAAGCGCAAACGGGATGGGAACTGGACTGGAACTACCAATCAGCAGCGCAGCATCCGAGGCTGGTCAGTGGCGGGATGAACGGCGGGGCTGTGAAGTGGGGGGATTGGATTCGATTGGTTGGATTTTCATGGATCTGGAGTTCGTGCATGTGTAAATACACGGTGTTTTTTAATTTCTTACGCCCGGCATGCTTTTCCGCTACCCCCGTTGGGCGTAGGATCGGGCTTTGGCCGTTGGGAGGTAATATTTTTTGTTTGGGGTATGGTTTAAGTGGCTGCGTGTCTTGGGTGTTCTTGTTCTGGTTTGTAGTTTTGTAAGGTTTGAGGTATCTACGTATTGGTGTTATCTTTTGGCCTTATTCCTGTTTTGAGGCCTTGCATATATGCAAATGCAACACAAACCATGATCGATCAAGATCATTTATTAGTTATATACCATAATCTATGATATCGAATTGTCTAAGATTCATATCAGCTCCACATTAGACAGGAATACACTCCGTACAATATTGTGCAATATATCAGCCAGCCATGTTCATGATCACACGGCATTGTGCGGCTCGACTATTGAAGTGATGGGTGCTTGTGTACCATTTGCCGACCAAGATCTGCGAATCAGATCCCGTAGATGGTCATTCAGAGTGATCAACTACAAGATTGTAATCAATAGCCGGGAGATTAATACATTAATCAGTGCAATCAACATACAAAGTATCAAAATCGACCCTAGTCGACATTGGCATTGTGAGATCTGCAAGCTATTTGGAATATTTTAGCTTAACTCCCGCTGCATCTGCATAGTACTTTGGGCGTACGGTGTGCACAGCAGCACAAACATGAATGTAAAGGGGAGTGGATCGAGCGGGACGCGGACCGTGGAAACTCACACGGGAGAAAACTCTGATGTCATTTCACGGTTTTTATTATGTTGCTTTTCTTTTGACAAATATTTACTGCAATGTACAAGTATATTGTACACGCATATGCACAATGATTCTAGCAAGCCTTGAATTTGCACACCCGGAAAACGACCGGGAAACTCTAGTGATACAGCTCCAAGGCAGATCAACCCAAACAGAGTTCAATCGAATGCCGCTAGCTGCTTTGACCACTACCGGGCACCTGCGACGAAAAGGAGAAAACGAAAAACGGCGCCAAGCCCAGATCTGATCGTTAACTGAAACAAGCCGTTGGCATCGCTTCGCTGGTGTGGGTACACTCGGTCCATGGGAAGGCTTAGGATGGGTCAGGGGTATACCCTCATTTTGTGACAGCTAAAATCCACAGAGAAGTTTCAGGTGCGTACTGTGTTTGTACACCATCTATCGGTGGTTCAACGACTCAACGGTAGATACCGACGCTATAAGTACCGACTATATGTACACTCGTATGTACGGAGTATATATCGATCCATTAGTGCAACTTGCCGTTGGGTACCAAGCCACCGGAACCGATCGACAGCCACATATCCCTGTTGAGTACTCTAGACGCCCAATTTTGAGGTCCCCGATCGAGATCGCAATCTAGGGACGTCATTGCATTGATACATGTTCCAGTAATATGGATCCTATGTGGTATAGGATAATTCTTTGTAGTAAGAACTCTTGATCATATAGTATGTATGTAGGAGTAGGTACATATGTACCTAGCTATCGAGACCCATGACACCGATCACAGATCACAGGTTCGTAAATGCCAACTTGTACTCCACATGTACTATCGATTTCGAGTTTTGATTGGGTTAACGGAGAATCTCGGTGTAACAACACACTAAACTCAAAACAGCCTTAGCGTCAAAAGGTACCGGTCTGTCGGTTTGAACCTCCCCTGAATCGGTTTTCCCGAATGCCTCAATTTTCGAGCTCTACCAAGTTCTAGACATCTCCATTTGCCATATTGGGAGCTGGGGCCGGTGGGCGGTGTTGCCGGGATTCTGTCAGGAGCGGCAGGTCACGGCATATTGTTAGCTTGAATCCTGGTCTTCCTTTTCTCCATCCAGGGATCTTCATTTGTTTTGCTTTTGGGGTTCTTTTCTTCTTAGGGGCAATACCGAGTTCACAATTCCAAGGTCCGCGTGATACCTCATTCCAGTGATTTGAGTTTTGGATCCGCATAAGTGGAGTTTGTGCGTTGGTCGTGCTTTTGTGGCTGCCTTGGGCATCAATGTTTACGCCAGGAGTAACTATACGATGTTGACATGTAGATTGATTAGGGGTATTTATGGTGGCAATTTTGGAGAATCTATTGAGGGCCTTCCTAATGCAGCATCGGTGCTTGACGGGGTATATCCCTGGACAAGTTTTGGGATTCGGAGGTTCGGCCCTAAGGAAGTCCGGTTGATTTCTAGTACCAACTTGGAAGGAGATAACAAAAAGACTTGATACTATTCCCATGCGACCGACGATTGGTAAATTGATACCATCGCTCAAAAAAGGGGAATGGAAAAGGAGTGAACGACATCTTGACCCAAGTAGGAAGAAGAGCAATCTGATATGACCCAGAAAGAAGACGATGCGTTGTGGTAAGCCCTATGTTCGAAGCTCCAACGGCCATTTACTGGCGGATGAAGACAGGCATACTCTCAATCGGACACTCAACCTCAATATCCCGACCTCCGTCAAATACCTGAGTCCCATCCCACAGCCTCCACGATGCCCCAGCCGGCAGATAGACCATGGTCTTTCGCTGCCCTGGCTCCAATACAGGCACCACCAAATACTTGGCCCCAAACATATAATGCGTCTCAACGTCCCAAGCCCTCTTATCTCCAGGGAACTCATAGAACAAAGTCCTCATGACCGGCGTCCCCTTCTCATGAGCCTCACGCATCAACCCACGTGTATACTCTCTCATCTCCTCCCTGATCCCAATATACCTCTTACAAACCTCATATACCTTATCGCCATAGGACCAAATCTCATTATCCGCCCCGCTAGCCGTAGGCATGCCCTCAGGCTTCGGCTCGCGATCACCATGAAGCCTCATAACGGGACAGAAAGCACCCCACTGGAACCACCTGGTAAACAGCTCCCGAAAAGCAGGATCATCAGGATTCCCACCATGGAAGCCGCCGATATCCGTCGTCCACCACGGAATCCCCGCAAGGCCCATATTCAAGCCCGCCGCCAGCTGGTTCCGGAACGAGCTCCACGAAGACGCGATATCGCCGCTCCAAACGAGCGCCCCGTACTTCTGGCTCCCGGCCCAAGCACAGCGCAGTAAGTTGACGATGTTGCTCTGCCCTTCTGCTGCCATGCCCTCATAGAAACCGCGGGCGTATTCTTTCGGGTAGATATTGCCGATTTGGAGATTGCTGCCGGCTTGGTAGCGGTATATGTCGAAGTCGTAGATCGAGTATTCCGGTTCTGCTTCGTCGAGCCAGAACACTTTGATGCCTTTGTCGTAGTAGTTCTTTTTGGCTTGTGCCCAGACGAATTCTCTGGCGGAGGGGTTCGTTGCATCGAAATGGGTTACGTCGCCGTCGCATTGCATTGCGACGCGCATGCCGCGGTCGTGGCGGATTAAGAGACCTTTTTCGAGCATTTCGGGGAAGTTCGTGGATGCGTTTTCGACGGTTGGCCAGATTGAGACCATTAGTTCGACTTTGAGCTCTTTGAGCTCTTTGATCATGGCATCTGAATATGTCGTCAGTGGACTTGTCATATAACAAGACGAAGAGACAATTGAAACATGATTGTTCAACTCACCAGGATCAGGCCAAAACTCGGGATCAAAGCTCCATTCACCCTGGTGCTTCCAATGGAAGAAATCAACAACAATCAGATCCAAAGGCACATTGCGACGCCGATACTCACGCGCAATGTCAAGCAGCTGTTCCTGATTCCAGTAGCGGAGCTTACATTGCCAGAAGCCAAGGCCGTATTCCGGCATCATAGGTACATAGCCCGTGACCTTAGCATAGGCCTCCTCAATCTCAGCGGGGGTATCGCCCGCCACAACCCAGTAGTCCAATGCCTTGGTCGAATAGGCCTCGAAGCTCATAACATTCGTTCCTAGAACAGCCCGCCCGATGCCGGGGTTATTCCATAAAAAGCCGTAGCCAAGAGAGGAAACCGCAAAGGGGACGCTGGCCTGGGAGTTACGGTGGGCTAGTTCGAGATCTGATCCTTTGAGATTGAGGTAGGGCTGTTGATACTGGCCCATGCCGAAGATTTTCTCTTGTTGATCCAGAGACTCGAATCGCATTGTTAGGTGGTAGTCGCCGCCTAGGATTGGGCGCAGCTCGCGAGCTTCAATTGTCAAGGCGCTGCATTTTGGGTCCTTGGGGTCTTGTCGGTGGCGGGCATATTCTTCTAGCAGTTTTTTACCGTTCGAGTCGTAGATTATTATCTTACCGCGGCGGGAAACGGTTGCTTTGATTTTGCCATTGGAGATGCTTGCTTCCTGGTCGAATATTTTGATTGTTGGGTTTGGAGTGGATGGCTTAGAGGAGAGGGCCCAATCTTCAGTTGGAATTGAGGCTTGCCTGGTTGCTCGTATACGGAAGGCGTGTTCTCCCCATGGTTGAATCCAGAGGATGTGGTCGTCGAAACGGAAGATGAGTTTGTCGTCCTCGGCATATAGCATTTTGAAAGGACGTGGACTTGAGGAGGTTGCTGTTGTCAACACAGCAAAGCTCGAGGTTATTTATTCTAGACAAACAAATAGTCCAGTTCAAAACGCTGGATTAAGTATCGGAAAGAGGGAATGTACCCCTCACCATGCAATACGGATGCCGAAACATGGCTATTTTTGAACAATTGACGTAGTTCCACAGCAGGAAGTACAAGAAGCAAGTATCATTTGCTGGAGAGCTGCTGGAGCTCGCGGATACATTGCGGTGGAGATGCTTGCCTTTAAACGCCTTTGTATCATAGGTAGCATATGCTGCAAGATTAGCCTAAAGCCGTACTTCCAAATGCATCACGGACACGTCTCCGTCTGACCAAAAAAGGACTGAGATTTTGATTGGGTGATATTCCCAAATGGACGATAAAAGATAATATTAAATGGACGTAAGGGTCATTCAATCCCGTCTTCTATAGAGTGGGCATTACAACTGTTAACAGTAAAATGTAAGAGCGATGCCAGAGATCAGAATTGAGAGATGAAGTGATGTCTGATTTCAGTCTTGCTCACATATGTCATACAATTGTGTCAGTGACCTGTATAACCCATAGATTTCTTTCACCTCTGTTGCCAAAAGTACGCCGAACATTTTCGATGTCTACATTGGTCGTCCATGTGCAGAATTGATGGTTGGGACACAAAACTCAACGTAAAAACCGGCATAGTAATTTCGCTCATAGTATCTATGCTCCCATGCCGTATGCCACAACATGTCTATATTTGCAATTTCCAATGTAATCCAAAGTAGAAGACAATATGTTGTTTAAGCGTAGTGTAGTATAAGAAAGTGTGGCTGTAACTTACCAAGCAAAGGTAGAAAAAGAAAGCTATCGAGGCGAATCAAAAAGGCCCGAAATAATTTTGAAGACTTGCTGAGGTTTCGATACCACTCTGCAAGATAAGCAAGAAGCATAGTCTATGTTAAGGGGAAGTTGTTGCCATTATCAATATGATGATTTACCAGCTTCGTCAGCGTATTCTCGGCCCTGCTATTGTGGCTCCGGTAGAGTGTACTGTTTGATATATTGCCGTTGCTATGGCTAGCACGTAGACTGCAATTTAGGTCTTCTTGCTCTCTGTCCCAGACCCTCAGCATGTTCGTGCCATCGAGGCAGATTTTGATGAGATTTTGATGGCACTCATCTCATCCTGCGGAAAACTAAATAGTACGATATGACGCAGTATGATCCAAAGACTCTTGCATTATTGACCCGATGGTGGTATGGAAATCCTACTGGAGATCTTACAGACCTTACGAAGGCACTGAACCCTAGTTCGAAAGCGTCCTTCATAGTTTTAGTATGAAATCTTGTTGTCTATAAAAGAGGTCAATTCACATTATCCAAATACGAAAGTAATCTTTATAAATTGAGTGAAACTGAATATCAGATGTTTTCAATTGACAATATAGAGAAACTGATTATTGACGTAGCAGGATAAAATCCGTCTCAGTTGTCGGTTTTTAGACACTGAGTCTTTGTGAGCATAACTAGCAACACCTTTCCAAAGAAAGTGACGCACTTAACGAGTATTCAGTTGGCTCATTACGTTTCAAGTTGAAGATAGCTCACTTCATAGAGAAAATGCGCCAAAATGCCAATATAAAAGCAAGTGCCTAACCAAGAGATGAAATGAAGTAACTGACTGTAGAGCAAGTTCAGAGTTACCGTTCCCCGGAAAAATGACGCTAGTCCTGATCGGGATAGCGAGTGCTCGAGCTGCCGCGGGCGATTTTCACCTTTCGTGTTGGTTCCTACATCGTACCCTTTGCTCCTTACTATTTAATCATTGATTGAGATCTGACTTCTCTTTCACACATCCAAAATGGCGCTCAACGGGACTGCAGTTCCTGTCGCAGACATGGACATTGACATGGATCTTGACCTCGGACCTGAGCCTGAACCAGAACTCGAATCCATTCAGCTGGTGAGTGCTGTGGATTGCATCGAATTCACTGATAACTAACATATGTCGGACACTAGGATCAAACACAAACCTCGAACCAGGATAATACTCTTGACCCTCTCACGGAGGAAGCGGTCTACGAAAAGGTGCACGTTCGCGGGGTCGATGAAATGACCACAGAGAATATAAAACAATTTGCTCGTGAATGTTCTGGCCAGGAGCCAGTGCGCATTGAATGGATTGACGACACTTCCGCCAACATCATCTACCCCTCCACCGAAATCGGCCTCCAAGCTCTGGCAGCCTTCACCCAAGTCCCTGAAGAAGAAGACGCGTCTTCCTTGCCTCCTCTGCGTCTCCGATCTGCGAAGCTCTTCCCATCCCATCCCGACTCCGTCATACAAGTTCGATCGGCTGTCAAGTCTGACCGCAAGCAAGCACGCGCTCATGAAAAGAGTCGCTTCTACCTCATGCACCCCGAACACGACCCTCGGGAACGTCTGCGACAAGAATTCAAGGACAGGCGGCACAGTGAGGATTCAGGAGATGGCAATTACAGCAGACGCAGATTTGATGATCGGGAGCACCGACGCCGCCGAGATCGGGATGACGACGACAACTTCAATGCCGACATGTACGGCGACGATGTGGGTTCCAGTAACTCCGGACGACAGCGGAGAGGCCGCGGCCATGGTCCGAGAGAACTCTTCCCAGGAGAAGAAGACCGAGCGAGTGGACGCCTCCGTAATCGCAGTGCATCACCGGGACGAGACACACTGGAGGAGCAACTCCAGGCCAATAAAAGTGGTCGAGATGACAGCCGGCGGTTCCGGGACAGGTCGCCGCGCCATTCTCGCCCGAAAAAAGATCTCTTCGCAGGTGACGGCGACGCGCCAGGAAACCGTGAGCTTTTCCCGAACAAGCCGGCCTCCAGCTATATCAAGAAGGAGCTATTCCCTATCAAACCCAGCCACCATCGTCGCTCGGATGCGCTTGACGCATCCCGTCCTTCAGGAAACTCGGAGAACAGGCGCCAAAGCAACATCGAACTTTTCCCTGATTCCGATGAGGGCGCCCGCATCCGCGGTGCAGCCGGCGCAGCCGGCGAAGATCAAGGGTATGCCATCCGCGGCGGTGCATCGCAAGGCCTGTCAATCAAAGGCAGGGGATCTTCCGTGCGCGAACTGTTTCCTTCCAAATTCGACCATGGGACCAACAACAATGCCGGAAAGGAATTGTTTTCCGACACGTTAGAGGGACGTGGTGGTCGTCGACGTCGGGCCGAGGATATGTTCAGCTGAGGGGACGAAACAGCATCAATGGATGAAAGTGCATTGTCGTTATTGTTAGTACTTCATGGGTAGCATGGGTAGCCGGCGTTTTGCGAAATGGAATGGGGAACTAGTTTGTTTGATAGGAATTTCATAATCACACATACTCTGCTCTGCGTTGATCTGTCAAGTCTCCTAGCGAAGTAAATAGCCTGGAAACCGCTTATATTAGATGAATTCCGCTATATATTCACGATCGAAAAAGATATTTAAAAAAAACAAACAAAAACAAAGTTGAGATGGAGACAAAACTTATGTAGAAAGCGTATAGGAATGTAAAAAAAGTCCAATTGATACTTTCAAGTCATGACAATCCAGTATAGCTGGAAAATTGGATGTATAGAAAGAGTAGCGGTACTAGTCGCGCGTGCCACGTCCTGTTCTCCTTCGCCGCACTCCGCATGAAAAGCAACCATGGCTCCCTCCGCAGCAATAGATGCTCTAACGAGCATTCTTGTCGCACGTTTTCTACGCAGCTATGACTATGCCGAAACATTGGAGGCATTTATCCGCGAGGCTGGCCTTGATGCCGACGCGGGGCAGAGCTCAGGCGACGACACCGATGAATGGACTATCCAGAGCCTGCTCGAGGAAAAGAAAAAATATGATCAAAATGTGAATTTTGAGCGATACGGTGAAGAGAATCAACAGTCGACTCTATGGAGCGAACCAGGTAAGTGCTAGTTTATTCTGTTCTGCTGGCCCGCTGCTAGTAATGGGTTTTCATAACAGGTTGTTCCTGCGATTGATATGTCTTCATGATCTGACAAGCTCTTAGCACCGTCAAAGCCTGTAGTTGTCCAGGCACCCACATCGGCGAATCCTCTTGCTGTATCTGTGGAGCAATGGCAATGGCAGAAGCCTGGCGACGAAGACGCAGCGCAGTCCTATATTATCTCTACGGGTTCAGACAAACAAGTCCATCTATTTAATACGAAAGAAGGCAATGCCGTCGTCTCATCCTTATCGAATCTATCTGATTCACCTGTTCTGTCATTCGTGTCAATCCTTCAAGGCCGATATTGTCTCATGACCAACATGTCCGGCAAGCTGATTCTCCAGTATCAGTCTCAAACACTGGACAGCAGGAAGGACCATAAAAAGTACGCGGTGAAGGTAGTCGCCCACCAAGATAGGACTGATCAATCCAAGTGGTGGGTTGCCACCGCTGGCTGGGACGAGATGGTTATCCTTTATTGTCTCAATATCCCGGAAGGCGATGCATCAACCCTGAAGATCGGCGAACCATTTGCGCGCATTAAGATCGAGTCAAACCCACAATCACTCTTGTTCGTACCGCACGTGGACACAAACGAGCTTTCACTTCTCGTCTCACGCGAAGACTCGCCCCAGATCTACTACTATGAAGTCAAAGCAACCAACGAACCTGACAGCGAGGGCGATGGCGATGGCGAACCCGTAATGTCACCCCGAGGAGCTCCGCTTGTGGGACAACAGAGCCTAGCTCCCCGTTCCAATTCCTGGGGTGCGTTTTCGCCCGCGCATATGGTTCTCAGCCCACACGACCCCAGTCTCCTGGCCGTGGCTACTACATCCTCGCTTCATCTGAAGGTCATGATCGTGCGCCTGCTATTTCCACGCGACCCACCAAAAGTCGAGCTAGATTTTTCTGCTCAAACATCACAAGCGGCTGATGTGATGGAGCTCCTGTCAATTACAAACCGCGAGGATGCCGCCATTCTCGTGCAGGCAAATACGTTCGCGCCGCAGACCGCTTACTCTACGCCGCAGCTGGCATGGCGGCCTGACGGGTCTGGAGTGTGGGTGAATGGTGACGACGGCGTTGTTCGTGGCATAGAGACCAAGACTGGAAAGGTTGTTGCTCTGCTGAAGGGTGGTCATGTAGAGGGCTGCAAGGTGCGGACTGTTTGGTCGGGATATGTTACTGTTCCTCAAGAAGGGGGTGATCTAGTGCGTGAGGAATGGGTTATTAGTGGTGGATTTGATAAAAGGTTGATTATCTGGAAAGTATGACGGCTGTCGTCAAGGTCCAGAGTCTACTCACAGTGGTACCGTGCAAACAAGGAAAATAAAAGCGAATGTGAATCAGATGCAAATAAATTGAATTGAGCATGGGTATGTAAAATTGACTGTTACGGTTTACGGAATGTAGTCCTCCTGACTATGAACCCTGTCGCGATCGAAAAGAATCAAGACAGGATGTATAGCAATCGAAGACCTGGGGGTCGATCTTGGCACGTTAAGAAAAAATCCTTCAGCAATCGCGCATGAGAAAAGCACGCAGCTGTACACACATATGCCGTTTGGGGAAAGGGAAAGAAAAGGGGAAAAAAGAGTCTAAGCTCTCGGGCCGCAACACGGTCGAAGTCGAACCCTCGAGACTGGGAAAGAAAAGAGGATATAGCAGAAGAGATTCCGCTTGGGAAAGTGGCACCGCTGTGCACATCGAATTAAGCCTGTTGATTTCTCGATATCAAATCAAACAACTCGAGACTCGCGTAAGGAATAAGCAGAAACCAGGCCTATTCGACACAGCGGACCGTCCTTGATCGTCGCACACGTTATGTTCACTGAACCTGCGCGTTCGAGTTGCGTTTCATGTTTCCCATTTTTTTTAAGACTGTTCATAATCTATGCGACCTCACGCTTTCCCTCCTTGCGCTCCTTCTGTTCAATGGATTAGTATTCGTTATTGGATGATTCGGCTGTGCAACGTACAAGGGCCTTCATGGTGCCGTGGAGAGCGTGACGGTGGTTGCGGCGGAACTTGGGGTCAACACCCTTGAGGGAGGGGTAACGGTTGGTCTTGGGCTTCTTGATACTGTTCGAGGAGATATATCAGCGACTCGGTTCTGGTGCAGAGTGGTGGATAGGGGCGTATGGAGTTGAGGAAATGATCCGAGCAAATATTCGAGATATGACCCAAATTATCACACCGAACAAATCATTCAACACTGCCATCCGGCCCCCAAATCCATAGCTTCGTTCGTGGAAAAGCGAAATTGTGTAACGGTAAGACGATCGAGGATTCTCAAGGGCAAACGTACCCGTTACGGTGAGCCTTCTGGCTGTTGTGGTGCTGGGACGCGTTCTTGGACTCTGTGGGTGAAAATCATGTCAGCGACATCGCCTTTTTCTCTTTCGCCAGCTTGCAAGCGAGTCGAAATCGTAGATTCGAAGGTAAAACGTACTGGCCATCTTGTCGGATGTTGTCGCTGATTGACGGTGAAATGGATGGGGAGGAGAGGGAACTGGAGACGTCAGTCCTAAGAGGCTCGGCTAGGGCTCACGTTTGTGGGATCTCGCTTATCGGGCGGTGTACATACTAGACTCTCTTACAGCGGGCTTTCACTTGCGGGCTGCGTCTAGAACAACGTCATAAAATTGTACTAGGACATGGGGTACTGTGGTTATTTCTACAATTCTTTTATAAAATCTAAAATCTGAATCGTTTTGTCTCCCTATTTGGAAGTGGTTAGTTTTTGCAAATTTCTTCGCTGCTTCCATTCTGCCACTCATTACCACGTGACCTCATTTCGATATCACGTGATTGTTATACTTACAAGGCAGAGGATAGATGTATATCTTCTCCGTGTAACTGTTTTGCTCGAAAGTCGTCAAACTAAACCAGAGGTATTATCACTGAAATATTGCCGTGGGAATGATCTATGTTCCAATCAAAGACCAAGTATCCTCAGCGTTGATGCTTCCACCTTCGAAGTCAAACTCAACTCAGAACATTGGCGTTTTGGAGCATCTCGCTGGTGAAGATAAGAAGGTCATTCATTTCAAGAATAATGCCATTATTTGCTCTAAAAGAAAAGCATAGAATAAAGTAGTAAACAAAATTCATACTGGCCATAGTCCGGCCGTTGGATTCCCGTGCCACGTGACGAGCCGCTAGGGAACAACCGGCATTCCGACTTCGACCTTTGCAACGCAACTTCAAGAGGGATAACCCAGCCTTGCACGTCCACCACCACTGCAAAATGAGCTCTCTTCGTTTCGCCCGCTCCGCCCTCCGGGCTCGCCCTTCTTTCCTCGGTGCTCCCGTCCAGCGCCGTGGTTACGCTGAGGCCGTCGCCGACAAGATCAAGCTGTCCCTGACCCTTCCTCACCAGGTACGTGAAACAACTCCGGCCGTCATCTCAACATCGAACTCCAAGTGCTGACTAGGCAATTGTTTTATAGACCATCTACCGCTCCACTGGCGTGTATGTTAAGCTTCCACTTGCGCCCCTCGACAGCGCTTTCGCCCTTTTCATAAATACTGACCGACCTTCGCGATTACAGTACCCAGGTCAACCTCCCCGCCGCCTCCGGTGAGATGGGTGTCCTTGCCAACCACGTTCCCTCCATTGAGCAGCTGAAGCCCGGTCTCGTTGAGATTCTCGAGGAGAACGGCGCCACCAAGCAGTACTTCCGTACGTCCGATCCTAGCACCTGACACATGCCGCAAATCTGGTCTCTTGTCAATAAGAATAAATTCGCTAACCATAATGCTGTAGTGTCCGGTGGTTTCGCCGTTGTCCAGCCCGACTCCCAGCTCAGCATCAACGCCGTCGAGGGCTTCCCTCTCGAGGAATTCAGCGCCGACGTACGTCTCTTCCTTTGCGATGTTGCGATCAAAACTAACTTGCATTCTTTTGATAGGCCATCCGCGCCCAGATTGCTGAGGCCCAGAAGATTGCCAGCGGCAGCGGCAGTGAGCAGGACATCGCCGAGGCCAAGATTGAGCTTGAGGTATGGATTTGTCCTACTTTCGGACTTGCACAGTTTGAATACTAACTTTTCCCGAATAGGTTCTCGAGACCCTCCAGGCTCACGTCAAATAGATTTGATGTACATAACCATTATCGCACCCCCCCATGAACCTGTAGAATTATAGCAATTCACTATTTGCCCCCTAATTATACTTGTTTTTCCTAGATTTTGCGATATCTACATATGTACCTTTCTACTGTGTAGATGTGGGAGTGCACCTTCCAAGCTTGGACACGGAGCATGACTTCCATCTCTTTCACTTCCACAACTTCCATTTTCTTCAGTTTCAGCTCTCACTTTTCATCACTTGCTAACTCAACAGATATGATTCCCGCCAGGTCATTGAAATCAGACCCCTTTGGCGTCATGGATACTCGACTGAGGGTGGCTGACTCTTCTGATGATTTGATTTCTCCCCTCCTTCCCCAGTTCGCTAAAAGGGACAAACCTGCCGAAGCATCACACCAGATGGAAGCTGAGACAACTCCGAGGCGAGACTATCGAATCCTCCAACTTCGCGAGTCATTCCGCGAATTCGATCCTGGCCATAAGGGCCCTCGACTAGAGATTGACGCTGCTGTGGACAAGTACCACTTGCTTGACGGCCTCAACGAGCCCTGGGATCCGCAAAATACCCCGGCTTCAAACAGTGAACGACAGGGTACACCGGAGCCCAGTAAACACCACACGGAGAACCTGACGACAAGTCCTGTGGCCCAGACTGAGAAGCCCAATTTTGACTGCTTCCAAGATTCGCCAGAGAATCGCTCTCTTGGAAAACCTAGGCCTTCGAAGTTGCGCCGCCTCTCTGGCAATGAGAAACGACCCTTCAATGATTCGGCCATCGAACTGGGTGATCAACCACCGGCTTCAAATGTTGACAGTCTCGGAAAACCCCATCAATGTACACCGAGCTACCTCGATAGCAATTACGGCGGGTGGTTCAAGGCTCCGACCAACGGTCTCTGGTATTCTCGACCGACTTTGAATACGAGCACTTTCGAGACATCCAGTAATACAGGCTCGGGGGTGCGATGCGTTCGATTCTCTACTCCCTCAATTCCGCCTTCACCTTCACCCCCGCGTGCAATGTGCCGTCCCATGCCTTCGACTGAACGAAATCTGGATGATATTGCCTTGTATCGACGTAAGAAGTACGGGAAGTGGAGAATCACCCGTCCCAAGAGACATATCCCGAATTCCAGCCCTAGGAAGGGGGTTTATCCTTCTGTGCCCCGTATCCCAGCTGGCACCGATGTGCGCCTTTCATCACTTTCTAGCTTGCCGTCCCGCGAAATGAAGCAAACACCATTCTTGGCCCTGTCTGACCAGCACAAGGATGCCGTGGAAATCGCAGCCGAAAATATTGCAGAGATCCCTATTACCCATGATTCGAACAATTCTCAGAGCATTGAGCAAGGCAACCATTTTGTCAAGGTCTCTTTCTCGCTTTACAGACTTCAAGAGGCGCTTCGGTCATCTCCTCGGAGGACCCAGAAATATGCTTTGGAATTCCGAACAATTGAGACAGAGATCAAAAGTCTGCCTGGAAACATTTTCCCACAATTCCCTCCTGAGTCAAAACAGACTACCGGCCCAGCTGTCGTCGACGACTTGTTGTTCCATGCCTGCTTCATCTTTAGTTCGCGGGCTGTACAGCTACCTTTGGCCGCCTTCTCCACGGCAACAGGGCTTTTGACAGAAAACCAAGTCGGCGCTGTAATTATATATCTGGCCAGGGCTCTGTTGTCACTGATGGCACACCTTGTCGACATTTTATTTTCTATGTGTGGGGTGTCTTTTAGCTGTCGGTGGTACCCATCCACTGGCCATTCAGATTGAAGAGTTGCTAGTACTACACGTGGTGAGAATCTGAGGACAAGGGAAGTGCATGTGATATTCGGCCCAGAAGGTTCCGCTCAAACATTCCCCGGTTTGTATTTATGAATTACATCCCTGAGCCAATTGTTTATGCTGCAAATCTGGGCTGGTTGTGTGCTATCTTTATCTCCCTGGGGTCGAAGAGTGGGCTACAAGTGCCAAAGAAACAATATAAACTAAGTATCGGATACATCAATACCGTCTTACAATATCATAGCCTGACAAACAAAACCTAAAGATAAGAGCACATACGATGTAAGCTCCAAAATCAACGCAATGCATACCATAGAGTACAGAGTGCTGCTAGATCGAGCGAAGAAACGGACGAGCGACAAATTCCAGGAGGTGAAAACATTAATTGGTTCGGATTGTTTAGATTTCCTTTTGGCTTATGAAAATACCAAGCCACAGCCACCCACTAACATATCGCCAAAAGAATAGGGCAACCAATAACAAAAGCAGGTATATTGGCAAGATAAAGAGAAAAGACCGGTAAAGCCAACCGGCAACCCAAAAGATCCGTACAATCGCTGGTATGAGGAAAGAAAAGCTAACTTATAGATCATGTCATCGCCACAAAGCACATTCAGGAAAAGAAAAACATATCAAGAAGACATAGTACCGTCAAAAGGGGATCATCATATCAACATGGTGCTCAAGCACATAACTCATTTTGTACATGTCGTAAGGTGTGTCCGGAGCGAACACAAGAAAGGAAAAGGAGAAGGAAAAGGAGACAGACAAGGCAATCAATCAAGTAAATTCAACACCATGCTGCTGTTGTCTCTCCTGTCGAGTGCGGGCCCGCTCCGCGCGTCTACGACGACGGTTATTCGCATACGAACCACTCATCTCAGTAGCGGTATATGGAGGCGAAGTAACACTTCCCGGCCCGTAGGGCATACTAGAAGGCGCAGGAATAGGAGGCGGAGGTGGCATCTGGCTGACCTGGGATTGTGGTGCAGCCCATGAAGAAGCAGGATGGCTACCAGAAGGAGCAACCTGTGGAGGGGGAAGGGGGGCAGCGGCGGCCTGCTCACGGCGCATTTGCTCTTCTTGTCGGCGCTCGAGCTCTTCAACTCGGCGCCAGCGGTCATGGCCGGCATCTTCGTTACCGGAGAGGGAGCCTGCGCTGCTGTTGCGACGGCGGGAGTTTCGTCGCTCTCGGCGACGGGCTTCGCGGCTTGCGGCGGCCTCTTCTTCGGTTAGTCGGCGGAGTGTGACGTGGCGACCGTCGTTGTGCATCTTCACTTTCACGGATACCGGTGGCGAGGCGACGTCGTCTTGTCGGCGTCTGCTGCTACTTCGGTTGTGGCGGGAGGCCGCGTCTAACGCTGCCCCGGCGGCTGCCCCAGCGGCTGCACCCGAGACAAATTCTGATTCGTTATGGGGAAGGGACTGACGCGAATGGGGGAGTTCTGATCGCAGATCACCGGAGTACCCTTGGTGGTGCACAGGCGGCATGGGTGGCATCTCTGACACAGAGCTATGAACAGCGCCCGAGGCAAGAGGCTCCGCAGTGAGAAGAGACTCCCCTTGCGAGGCATGTCGGGGTGGTGGTGGCCGAGACAAATCGGTTTCAGTGAGGTCGGTCTCACTCCACGAACTGGTTCTTCTTCGTGGGTAGAAACTCTCTCCTGCTTGAGGCCGCCGTTTGCTGTTTGCCCTCTGAAGAGCCTCATCCTCGTCGTCGCGACGTTTGATATCCTCCAGCCGTTCCTTCTCATCGACCTTTTTACCACGACTGAACAATCGCTTGACAGCAGCGAAAGCACCAGCACCCACAACAGCATCCCGAATTCCATGGGAAGCACTTCGCTTGGGCGGCTCGGTGAAATAGGCACTGCTGTATAAGTAAGACGAGCCCGGGCTTTGCGACCTGCTTGGTGCACGACTCGGTGGTCGATTGAGTGGTGTGTGATGAGTGGGCTCTGGTCGACCATCCTCCATCCTGCTGAGGGACTCATCCGTATAGCTGTTACTGCGGGAGTGTGCTGGCCTATAACGACCGGACTCGGTATCATCTTCTCTCTTCTTTCGACGATCCCATAACTTCTTGGCCATCAGACCAGCCCCGGCCAATGCGCCGATTTCGAGAAGCTTCTTACCGAAACCACCGCCGCCAGCGCCATGATGCCGCGAAGACTCATCGGAATATTTCTCATCGGAAATGGATGTTCGTGATTCTTCGTATACTTGGCTAGCGTGTCGACTGCGTGGACGTCGTCGGAACATGGAAGCTAATCCAGCTCCCATAGCCCCGGCAGCAAGAGCTTCTCCTGTGTGGTGGTCATGGGTTTCTGAAACTTCCGATGGCCCTGTATAATGACTGTGTCCGCCTCCATGGTCACTTCCCATGTGATATCCCTCCACATCATATCTGTAGGACAGAATGAAGTAGAGGACCAGGTAGCCAAAGGCTGCTATGGCAAACAAGATGAAAAGGACCTTGGGTGAGCCATAGAGGGTGAGCCCCAGAGGGATCTGGACAATGCCGAGGATGACAAGAGCACGACCCAGCCACCGATGAAACTAAAACCTGTTAGAACATTCCAGGCATCATTTTTTCGTCAAGACACCACCTACCACCAATTTCAAAGGCACATGCAATCTTTGCCGCTTGCTCTCCTTCTTGTGCAAGAACCAGCCCCACAACACTTGGAAAATTACTAGAACATAGATTGCGAGGCCAATGCCATGGTGTGGGTTGGTTAGGCTTCTTGCTGGCCCGACGGCGAACCAGCCAAGAACAAACACGACCGTAGTCAAAAGCAGGGTCAGCACCTGACACCAGGCATGTAACTTGAAGGCCCAATATGGATTCCAGCGGGAGTAATATCGAATTATGAGGGTGGATGTAGGGACGATGCCCAAGAAAACGATGGTTGCAATGACGCCGTGCGCGATAATTATGGCATGGTACCCGGCCATATCTTTGAAACGATTACCCATACCTATGACATGTCAGCAGTGTGCAACTAGACCAATGATAGACTTTTGTTCTTAAGCTCGATGATTGGTGCATGGGACTAACCGTTATATCGCATCGTTTCAAAGTTGACGCCCATTAGATTGGGCAGCAGGAAGGTATCCCGTCCCGAATCCCAGGTGCCATCTCCGACATGGAGAGTATTCGAGGAGTATGTGCTGCTCCCCGCAGCGGCTAGACCTGAGTCTGACATTGTGTAGATAATTGTCGAAATACCATGCGATCTTCAGTCTGGAATGTCGGATTTACCGAAGGAGATCTTTCACGATCTCCCGACCCGAGGAATGCACCATGCGATAACAATATCGGTAGCTCGATTGGAATGCTTGATGACAGGTGGTCAATTGGATGTTGATTGACCAGTCTATAAGTTGAGGAATGGATGTTTCACAAGATCTAGGTAGGATTCGATATGGAGATGAAGAGGGGTTCGGGATGAAGCGCGAGGAGGTGGGTGAAAGGAAGTCTGCCGTGCAAGGTCGGAAGAGGGTGAAATTGGATTCAAAAAAAGACCGAGACTTGAGATGGTAAAATGCACGTCGCACAGGGAAGAGAGGGATCACAACAAGAGGCTGACCGAATCCCCAGTCAACTGTTTGCCATTTTGGGTTTAGTGCGACAACACATAACCCGGACAACCAAACTATATTTCACCGCCAATTGACCGCCTTCCCTATTCAGCTTATCTTATCACATCATCGTCAGCTGATCTTATCAAGATGGCGTGCGAAAGGGTCTCTAAGCGTCACGCGTTGTGCGCTGTCTACTTGTTTCCCCTCCTCATGATCTTCGGGGCAATGATTCCTCATTCAAGTTCTCACATTCAATATGACTACACAGCTAGAGATATTTATTAGAGCATTGTCCCGGTTTGTTAACTCCTCTCCATAAATGTGTGCTTCCGATGTCAACATGCCAACATGACTAACATCTATTTCACCTGTGGGCAGCCTTTTAGGATGGGCATAGTAAGTATAAGCTCCATTTTACAATATCGAGGGATTTTCGAATTCAAGGCTAAGTGAACCGCAGCATGCTATGCTGGTCAGGATCCTTCTATCCTCAACCCATCACAAACTGGAAGCGCAAGTCTACGGTCGGCCTTTCTATAGATCTGTCCACCATAAACCCCCTGGGCTTTGTTTGCTATAGCATATATACATCGGCTTTCCTCTTCTCGCCTCTCATTCGATCACAATATGCGGCCCGGCATCCTGCGTCTATCGACCCGACTGTTCGGTTCAATGATTTTGCATTTGCGGCCCACGCGGTGGTCCTGTGCATTATAATGTATACACAATTCTGGCCATTTATCTGGGGTTTCCATGTTGGACGCTTCCAAAGGATCAGCTGGACAATGGCGTGTATCTTCTGGGGCTCTGTTTTGACACCCTTGTTGGTAACGGGCATTGTGCTGTCGCAAAGTCCAGATGGAGGGTACGATCCTTCGACTTGGGCATGGATTGATGTGGTAAGTAGGGTTGCTATATGCAGCAATTATGCAGAACCAAGACACGACATGAAAACTCCAAAGCAAGCTAACATCCACCAGATATACTCATTCTCATACATCAAGCTTCTTATAACCATTGTGAAGTACATGCCACAAGTGTGGCTGAACTATGAACGGCAGTCCACTGCTGGCTGGAGTATTGGAACCATTCTTCTAGACTTGGCTGGTGGTGTACTTTCCATGGTTCAATTAGTGCTTGACTCCAGTCTTCAGAGTGACTGGAGTGGAATCACTGGCAACCCGGTCAAGTTGTTGCTTGGAAATGTTACCATCTTTTTCGACGCAATTTTCTGCATTCAACACTACATCTTATACCAAGACACACCTGACCCAAAGAGAACGTTTGGCCCGGGCGTGGAGACGCCACTCTTGGTCGGACAAGATGATGCTGTGGGGGATCGGGTATGACGATGGCTACTTAGAAAGACAAGCATGATGGACCCCGCAACTTTGGGGGCCAAATCCAAGACATTCGAGGTCTCGCTCTATTCTTGTAAAGTAAGCGGCAGCCGATCGTGGGGGCGGAAGACAGGTGATTTTGTTTCGAGGCGTTTAAGCCACGATTTACATGCACGATAATCCGTTGTATTTGGAATGGGATCTTGGGTTTCTTTTTGAGACAATTTTTATTCTTAGATTCAAGAGATTCGGTCTCACAAACCCCTCTCCCAGCCTTGGTGTACAACGTACCATTCTAGAAGCACGTAGGCCTGCTACCGTTTCTGGAAAAAGCATTGCTTGTCACACAATGCAATAGTTACCGTTCAAACAATGGCTGCATAATATTCCCCAACCATACCATATTGTATGAGCCTCATGCAGATCGAAGGGACACAGCTTCGCAGTTTGAAGGGACCCCGTATCTCTTCCCTTGTCGAACGATTTAAGTGGTCAAGAACAGGGATTAGCACAAAGTCATCAACTTCGGCCAATCATTACACACACTACGGCTTGTCCGGGTCCCATCAACGGTCTTGGCCGTCGGTGTCGGACTTTGGGGGCTACAGACTCCGCCTTGGCCGTCGGTGTCGGACTTTGGGGTCGACAGACTCCGCCTAGGCTGAAGGTCGGATGTATGCATCTTATTTCCAACTAAATTCTGAATTCTAACTGGATCTACTCGGAAATCCACGCTGATGATTTGAGTAATGATCAACGAAACAGACAACAATCCTAGCACCCCGTAAGACACGCAAGAGATGCTACCTCTTGCTTTAACGTTACCTCCAAGCTGAGTCAACCAGTGTTAATACCCAGGGGGAGTTCAGACATTATATCATTATGAACAAAGAGATCTACTTGTGCAATGAGTTCATGAGGCTCTGAATAACTATGTGAATCTCCACGTGTTTGAAAGGGAAATGTACAAGTAAACACTGTTGCAACAACCGTAAGGCTGGGTCAACCCCGGAGATCCGGGCGTTTTTGTGGATAATTATAAGCACCAATGACATCAGTGTATATTTGTACATTTATTATAATGCAAATACTCAGAATATCATACCGAAACATGCATAGTGACTCATAGAACACCATACTCTATGGCATTCCGGGATGTACCGCCCCGAGTATAGCCAGCATCTATCTCATCCGACGGCGTGGCTTTTCAGCCCTACTACAAGAGTTGATAGCGCGGCATATGCCCAAAAATGGCAGACTAGTGCCTGCAAGCTCTGACTGGGGTGTCGATCATGCCAAGAATACAGCAGCCCCGGCCCTGGTTATCATTCCATTCTGAATCACACTTGAATCATTAATCCTAAATCTCGAGGAAACCCTATCAGCTGTCCAGTATGATGGCTAAGCCGTGCAATTACCAATTTTATAACGAGTTGACGCAGATCCATCAACGTTTCAGTTTCAATTGCGGAACACCTATCGTTCTTACAGCACTGCCTCATCCACTTAAGATGACCATAAGTCCAACCTGCATTTTCACCCAAAACACGAGCTCAGCTTAACTTCGACCGAAAGCTTATAATACTTCGGGTTCTCGGCATTTTCGGGCGTCTTTAAGTGCATACACAGCTGTTCATATTCACTATACTACAAGGGACTACACCACACACCAATCGATATGGGAAGACCGTTTCTCTCGCAAGAAACACTTGATCGTTTTGACCGAGAAACCCAAGCCATATTCTCATACCCTGAAAGATTCTCATTCGAGATTCTTCCTATTTCCAAAACGACCAACATGTACCTCAGTAACCAGCGACCAAAGACAAGGTACAGCACTGTACATGATAGCGCAGGTTACCCAGACCACCTAGAGCCTCAAAATATGGGACGCCTGACCGGCGTCGCTACCAACACTGCATCAGACTCTCATTTATCTAGTCTTCAGCAGTGGGATTTTGTGGATGCCCCGCCAGATCAACGTGCATTTCTGGCACCGGAAAACTATTCTACTATGAGAAAGGGATCGCTAGGAACAGACACAGTTAGCTCACAATTCGCATGGTCCACAGCCTCCAATGCAGATGTCCTCTCAAATTCCCCTCATCTGTCTTCTTTCGGTGCTTCCATTGGCTCCGACGCCACCACCCCCTTCATGAAAGCATACGATCCATCAAACTCCTTGCAGCAAACTATGAATAGCTCCGGCATGTCGGGATACACTTCCCAACAAATCGACCAATGGTGCACCGAGAGCGACCCCACTGGAGACTTCTACCAGTTTCCGCCATTCCCAACCATAGGATCTATAATCCCAGAGCCCTACAACGCCTTCAGCAGCCCAAACGAGCAGTGGCTATCTGTGCCAGGCCAAAACCAACCCTTCCCCACCGACCCAATCCCAGAAACCTTCTTCTCAGTGGCACCACGCTCCACCCCATCCCAAAACACAAGTCTTCACCACTCAACCACAACAACAGTCTCAATCACCTCTTCACCGCCACACTCATTTTCAGACCCCGAATCGCCGCCACCGCCCAGCTCAGCCTCAAACGCAAGCGACCTAAGCAACTACGGCATCCCTACAGGTGACGGCACCTGGCGCTGCGCACACCCAGGCTGCTCCTCACAGTCCACGTTCCGCCGTGGCTGTGATTTAAGGAAGCATTTCAACCGCCACCAGAAATACCTCTTCTGTCGACATGAGGGATGTCCGCAGTCCATGCAGAGGGGATCTCGATCTACGCAGAATGGATTCAGCAGTAAGAAGGACCGCATTCGTCATGAGGCGAAGCATAACCCCGGTGTATTCTGTGAGTGGGAGGGGTGTGGGCGGGTTTTTAGTCGGGTCGACAATATGAAGGATCATGTTAAGCGGATTCATCTGAAGGGGGAGGCTAGGAGGGGCTAATGGGTGTGTTTTGATGACTGTGATGAGTTACGTGACGATGGGTTATGGAGATGTTTGGTTTCGGAATTTTGCGTTTGTTTATGAAGCGATGTATACGTACTAGTCGGCAATCTTGGAAAAAATGGTTTGGGATGGCGAATTTGGAAGATGGGTGGGTATGTCTCCTGGCGAGGATTGACTTTGTTTCATCAAAATATAAAACCATACTTGAAGTGCGATGAGACAGTGGAATGCTATATGATATGGTCTCTGCTCGAAGCTATATTTACTAGACTTTGTGTATATTGGTATCTACTGTGGCATTATGCTATTAGAGACACATTAAGCGTATTTGGACTTCAAGTTGAACCATCAGGGTAATGATAGTACTCGCTCTATACTCTAGGAGATACATCCCTCCTAGGGCGACAGTCCAAAGCCGCTTGCTTGGTAAATCGGAATAAACAAGGAAGTTGGAATTAGCCTTACCGCTGATATCAAGCATGTATGCATATCAACTTGTCTCGATTGAAGTGCCGAATATGCTCAACTCTAATTTTAGCAGTACGAAAAGCCTTGGGCCAAAGCAGATCATAGCTCACTGCAAATAGAAGTACCTAGGTAATTCGAAATAGGCCTACCCAGCTACCCGCCATAATCTATGTGCCATGGCCGTTTATACGGAAATAGACTGGATGATATTGATATTCCCATGAAAACTTCCTCTAATAATAGCATAAGCGCTTCTGTTCTTTCGTTTACAGATTTAGACAATTCTCAGCCCATCACACATATCCAATGGCTGCTCTTAAGATAAGGCCATGTCCTGTGGGGCAGGGCTATTTTAGACATAACCTAATGCAGGGATCCCCCATCGACGGCCTCTATCCAGGGTATACAGGGAGCAAAACCAGCGTCGAGATGCCACCAAAGCTTATGCCTCGACGGTTGCATTTCCTTTCTTTTTCCACTGACACGTGGAACGCTGCCCAATGCCACCGTATATGGTCCATAACTTTGGACTTATCTTTCTTGGAGGCCTGATCATAATTGTAGCAGTGTGAACAGCATCCAATTTACCCAGACAATTCCATTGTCCTGCTCTCCAAGGGTAATGCTCGACGTAGCTTAACCTGGTAGTTCCTTGTGTCAATCCTCAACACACTTGGCTTTGTTTGACATAGTGCCGCCCTTTGTTCTTTCTGCGCTATGGATGCCTCGCCTAGCTGTAGATTTCTCACTTCCCTTTAGAGACCATGGGCCACTCTCCCCTCTCTTCCCTTCTCTTTATTTGGCTCTTTATTGCTTCTATATATGCGAGTCAATATCGACTCAAGCTACCATCCTGAATCTACATACTCAATACAATCGCTACCCTCGTGCATAGGCCATCTGCGCGTGATGAAGGCAAGAACAATGCCATTGTCGATCAAGACAACCCTGCAGAGGAATAACAAGCCCCAGATCCGGCGATTGAAACAAATGCCTCCTACAGATATGACTTGATATCGGTCCATGGTCCATAGACAACAATAACGCCCATTTAATCACACATACCATACATTCTAGCTGAACGGAAGGCCCTCATCCCCATTGAATATCCCCATTCATGACATATTTCGCATTGATGGCCCCTCAAAAGTAATGGGCACCTGCATTTCAAGTCCCCAAAGCCAAGGCGGAGTAGACCGCCCTCCGTTATCGCCGGCGGGTGATATGTTTGCGGAAGGTTCTCGGTGAGGCTCTTGCAGCCATCCCATAATGACTGACCGGACACTAAAATAGCCCTCATCGGAATTTCCACCGAACTTGACCATATCGAAATGATTCGCATTGATTCTGCCATTGTCATATTCCCGCAGAACAGCAGCCTGCCCTTCGACAATCTTGCCGACCTCATTATTCATCACTATGACCTCGTAGAAATAGAAGATCTTGGGCGGAGAGTCAGTGTGCAGCACGGCCCCGAAATCATCCTCGATGCGATGCAAGTAGTCTGAGCCCAGACCGCAAGGTCCAGAAATTTCCCAATTTGCTGAAGGAACTATATCCATGCATTTTGCAAGTTTCTCTCCGTATAACGCGAGCGCGGATCCGCCATGCGGCGTGCCCATGAAGATTACCCCCATACAGCTCGAGGAGATTTGCCATAGCCCGTCTATGTTGTTGCTGAGTATCAATGTTTGTTGGCACACTAGGCCTCCTACGCCGTGTGCAATAAACAAGATAGGTCTGCTTGGGCACTCGTTTCGCTGGCTGACGAGGGAATAACCCATATCCTGGCCGAGGTCGTTTAGGTCATTCAAGAAAGCGGCTGCTGAAAATTCGTCTATATCGATGTCGTAGCCGTATGTCATGATGCGGGCTTGGGGGAAGTCCTTGGCGAGGAGGTCTCGGGGCCAGAATGTGTTGTTTTGATGAGTCCATGTTTTCTCTCGGTGGCCGGTTAGCCCGTGAACGAATATGACACTAGTCGTTGATATTAGTATGATCTGAAGTGGATTTTGAATCGTTGATTCCTCGGCTAACAACTTACTCCAGGCCAGCTTTTTCAGAGGGAGGATCCGAGACTATTTTCATCCCCACAGCGCCTTTGTTAGAGTATCTTGGAATAGTCAGCCTGTTTCTGAAATCTTCTGAGTTAGAGATCTTACAGATACTTTTTTCGCACATCGGCACCACCTTTCGGCTTCCTACTGAACAGCCTCATGTCAATATGTGAGATGCAATCAGAGGGAAAGGGTAGAACGCAAGTAGAAATATGTAGAAAAATAGGAAAGGTCCATCAACGAACTACATATGTAGTTGAAACACTTGTTCATGCTTGTTTAGCGCCGTTGCTGCCCAGTCGAACGCGTACCCTGGTCGGGGGCTGAGCGCGCACTGTATCAAACAGCTTCCTCGCACAATCCGTCCACATTGGAATAAACAAAACAGTCATACAGGTGCCACTGTATTCTCATAACTATGGCTTCGAGTACCCAATTCCACGAGTCGATATCCGGCCGCAATGTCGAAACACAAAATTATATTTTCACAATGTTGGAAAGTGTGGAACAAGCAGCGTTGCAGACGTTCATAAAAAGACGAGTCTCGGGAGGACCACAGGGGAGAACGTCCGCTATTTATAGCGCGTACAAACAACGAGCACGACGATGACAGCGAAGATAGCCTAGTAGAAGAAATTAGATTAAGCAAGTTTACATATACTTCAAACCCCCGAGCCCAACCCGAGCCCAAGCGTGAATATTGTGAGAAACATCTGCTGCTCCGACATTTGACGCATAAACCGAGAGCTAAAATGAAGAAAGAGGGTTGATCAGTAGCAACATGGAAGACAAAAAAGAAATGTCAGCCGAGACCCTAGACTGCGCAGCAAAACCCTTTATAAGATGAGTGGTCTCCCTTCGCCAGTAAAACGAGGCATCTGATAGGTTAATCAGGGCTTGCATATATGATCTGTGCTCGGAGATACACAAGTGGAATGCTAAAGCTGACTTTTTTTGTCACTCTCATTGTATTTAATCACTGTACATTTCGTCTTGGAAATCTAGCAATAACGTTGCAGCAATACTTTCTTCTCCCGTTCTTCTTCTCCCGTTCTTTTTCAACTCTTTCCCTTCCATCCTTGAGTGTCTCTTCCAATCCACTTCCATCTGTATATATAAATAACAGCCAATACCCCGCACAACATCTTCAAATAATCTAGTCCCAGCCTTTCAACCCCGAGGCCAACACCCGACAAAATTAAGCCCTTCCTTCAAGCTTGGCAAAAACTACAAGTATACACAGATACACTACCCAAGAAATGTAGACGATGCGAACACCCCACGGGGCAATAAATTGATCAGACAATATATATATCAGGCCGCTAACGAATGACAGGAGGAACATATCAAGACTCTAACAAAGGACAGGTGGTATCATCGGCACCAAAACCGCAGCCCAGCGCGGTGTGATCGGGGCAAAGAATAGAAGAAAGGAAGAATCACGCTCAAAAACCCCAGGGACGCCGGATGTGAAATGTCGCGATTGGCTGGTATGCGGGTACTCGGTACATGAAGATACATACATGTACATACAAAAACACATACATACATATGTAGTTATGTATGTAGATACGTGGGCGTGCTCAGTTCGTAGAATTTCGGTGCTAATCTGCAGCACAGGGCACGGGGCACGGTGCAACAGTAAGCGGAAGACGAAGACAAGACGAACTGGAGGTGGTGCCCGAGTAAGTAAAGTACAGTACAGTACTGGCGATATTGGCCCAGGCGATATGATTATAACGAGGGGACAACGACCTCGGGATTGAAGGGTAGGGTTGGGTTATGTTATGGTATGTTAAAGGGTTAGGTATTATTCATTCTCCGTTTCCTGCCTCGCGCGCTGCCCATAGGGCGCTGGGCGAGGACTTGGCGGAGGATGGGGTCGTCTTTATTTTTGTCGACGTGGTGGACGCGGACATGTCTGTGGAACGTGAGCTGATGTCAGACTTACGGGGGTGTGGCTGGCTACATTGGTGCGATGCCAAGGGATGGGACTTACCGTTGAAGATTGTCGGGGCGGGGGTATTTGTGTTGTTGGTCTGGACAGAAGGGACAGACGTAGCCTGGGGAGTTGTGGACGAGGCCGTGGCGCATCATTTCATTTTTGCGCTTGAAGCCTTTTCCGCCAAGGGCGCGCGGACAGCCGTCTACGGGACAGAAGTGAGGGCGGTCTTGGGAGTGGACGTTTGCGTGGGAGCTGAGGGTGTTGATGTTAGGGGGTTCGCTTTTCTTTATTTTTTTCTTGTGTGGCTTACTTTAGTAGATACTGGGTTTGGAAAGGTGCAGCTGTACAGCCGGGGTGGGTGCACTTGTAGCTACCTACTTGGCCGTTCTGGAGGGAGCCACGTTCACCCATGCCCACGCCGACTGGTTCTGTTGGGGTAGGGTAGTTAATTGCTGGACTTGCGGCGGTCATTGAGGAGGTCTCGTAAGGCGTTTGTGCGGAGACCAATTCTGAGGGGCCGCGCCAGAACGAGGAGTGAGAGGCTGGTGAGGGATTGGTGGAGGAGTCTTTCATGCTCACGGGGGAGATATGTGAGTATGGACTTGCCGGGACGGGGAATTTGGCCGGGAATCTATCGAATGGAGAATCGTTGCCTGACGTGGTTGATCCGGGACATGAGGAGAACGGGTATGGAGATGACATTGTGTTGACCGATGGGCCAAAGTCTGACAATGCGCTGAGAGCTTTGTGGATGGATGGCAGCGTTTGACTATTGTTGCTGGTGTCTGGAGATTTTGCCAGAGATGATTCTTCTGGCGATTTGATAGGTTGTAGTGACAGTCGAGACTTGAGTTCTGGGGATGATGCCTTGTTGAAATCTTGTGAGGCTCTTCGGCCGATCTCACTTATTGAGTGAAGGCGACTTTTTGGAACGAATTCCGATTTAACATCTATCATCGGCTGTATAGATGGTAGAACTTGTTTAAACTGAATTTTTCCTTCCACATTTGTAACTTCAATGGGAGGTTCCGTCTCCGTAGGTCGAGCGATATGAGAAACCAGAGGTTCTCTAGGTCGAGCGAGATTAGAAACCACAATGGGCTTTAGTTCCCTGGTATCAAAATCCGCTGGCTGGGTGGGCCTTTTGCCATCTCCGGAGTCCAAAGGACAATGCCTTGCAATTTCCGCAATATATGGTTGATTTGGTGCTAGATGGCCCATCAGCACTCGGTCGCCTTCATAGGTTGAGCGCGGAGGTTCCGGTTGATTACGGGACTGACCCGCAGGAGTTTCATTCTCAAAGGGAGGTGGTGACTGTTCATCCTCTCCATAATTGGGATTTGTCGCTACCAAAGGTGGCGAGCGATTACAGAGATCATCCGAATCATACATCACGGTCATAATAAAAGTGGTGCATCAGGCACCTCGGCTTATACTTGATAAATTGACAGTTGACGATCACACATCAGGGTAATTAAGAAGAACAAGAGACCTATAAATGAAGTTAGAAATGCATTGTTTCCGATAATCGGAAATGTTCCTGAATGGTGAGAGAGAGGGTGTGTATTGTGACTCTTTCTGCAAAGCGTCAAGATGGGCAGAATGAGGGGTTCACGCAGATTAACCCGAGAATAAGAACAATATAAAAATAAAATAGAACCGAGCAATCGAAGCCAAGGGGAGCGAGGTCAGACGTAAAAGTCAGAAGAACAATTACAAGCTAGAAGGGCCAAAAACAACAACAACCAAAAAGCAAAGAAAAAAGCAAAAAAAATAAGAGGAAAAACCGAGTGAGGGAATTGAAGTAGCCTAAGCGCAGAACCTCTTCCTTCGGGGAAAAAAAGCAACTTACATATAGGAAAAAGGTGAACTAGGTTGATGGGTCCCGGGATTGAGGCTCAAAGTCCGAATTGTCACAGCGCCATCTGCAGATAATTGCAAAGTTGGTCTCGAGGAAAAGAAAGAAAAAGGTAAAGCGGAGACCTTTGAGAGGGGAAAGGTGATGGGGAATGGGAGGGGGAAAAGAACAATGATCACACGTTCTACACGTGAACGAGGATATAGGCGTTAAATTCGCAATAGCAGGAATCGACACCTAGTTAATAGGAGTAATCAAGATATACCAAAGGGAAAAAAAAAAGGAAGAAAAGGAGAATAATCGTCGTTTGGATTTCGGGGGGAGAACGACCATGCGGCTCTCGTCGACTTTGGGCTCCATAAACGTATTACCCGTTTTGGTGTGACGGGATTATTACTTGGTATTGGTGTTTTCTAGTATTTATGGTATTTGGGGTGTATTTTTAATTTAGTTATTCAAAATGTTTCTATTTAAGAATCTAAGAATCCTGAAGTACCCTACTGTATACCTATTTCGGCCATCCGCGTATATCTCTCTATATATGATTCTATTATTATTCTATGATTCTATTATTTTGATCACTATCTACCTATATAAATACCAATCTATACCCTCTACTCTTCGGAGGATTTGAAGTCCATCCGGTCGCACATAAGCCAAAAAACAAGAAAGAAAGAAAGGAAGGAAGAAAAAAAAAAGGAAAACTCCACCGCTACTCTCCGGAGTCACTAACGGGGAGAAACTGGATTCCCAGTTGCTGCAAGTGTCAATTATTCCCCTCTCTTGTCTTTCTCTCCACCCACCCCCCAGTCGAAATCTCCAGGCCCACAATCCCTTCACTTTCTCAATTTATTTTCTCCTTCTGTGCCGTCTTTGACGTGACTCCTCCATACATATTGTAGTGATCAACGTTTCTTTTCTGACAATATTCAATATTGTCATTATGTTTCACTCCAGGGATATATGTTTTACCTGTTGGACCAACCTGGCATAACCCCTCGAACTCCCACGTCAGACTCGGATCATCCAGTGAGGCGCTGACTGCGGCAAGGAGATCGACCCACGTTTGTTTCAGAGCCTCGTCCAGAGTTATGCACCATGCTCTCCCGCTCTTCCGCCTACCCGCCATATACAAATATAGGTATTCCTTCGATCAACACACTATAGTCATACTACATCCTTCTAGGTAATAGTGCTCCGTCAATAATATAAATACTACCCTGAGATCAACGCACAGCGCCCGAACTCCACTTGCTGAATTATTATGCCTAAACTGCATTACCATACCATAACAATAACGGCAGTAACAGCAGTAACAATCATAGCCAACGTAATGGGTAACGGTATGGTAAAGTGGAGTTCTTCACACCTCAGCCTCACTTACACGTAGAGAGCCGCAGGGAGCCTCTCTTTTCTGTTTACCAATCATAACGGGAGTCCATGCACTTTGTTTTGTCTGTGTTGCAGCAGCCGCCTTGGATATTACTATGTATATTAGGTACCATTATACATATTATTTGAGGATAATACTATATTATACTTCTTCTAGCCTACATTTGTACTTATGTGCTTATATACATACACACCCCTACCGAGCAAGGTAGCGTATTTTACCAACTCGGGTGAAAGGGCGTACATAAACGTGATATGGTCGCATATTCTCAATACGATGCCGATGATGTTCTCGAGTTTTTCTCCCAATCGGGCCAAGTGCTTACTGACCACCACGTCAGGCGCCAAGAGTTCTGCCATTTCTTGCCTACGACATTACCTACATGTAGGTGTATGTAACTATATTATATCCTGGGAAGGAATAGGGTCCATGATTGAACCCTGCATATTAAACTTGTACCAACACTTCATCTGCAGACGGTTTCAAACGCTGGCGACTTGGAAATCCATTCCAGTCCTGTATCTCTGCGCCTATATCGGGCCTGGCAAACATCGTCGCATTGAAATCCACCCGTGGACCTATTTATGTGTACACACAACGTTACTCCGTACGTTCGTGCTAGTTACATGCAAGCCACGACAAATCCAAACAGACAGGTCCAAACATACAAATGTAGTCTAGTCCAAACGTAGCATGAAGTATATACAACACGAAAAAAAAAGAAAGACGAAAACGAAACCTTACGGACCATCCGGCCCCTACAACTTCCCTTTGACCCCAGCATTGCGTACAGCCTTAACTCTCTCCCATGCGCCCTCAGCAAACGGCTTAGCCCGCTTCGCATAATCCCCAGCACGCGCACTACTCGCCTGGCGCGCCGCGAACCGGGCCGCAATGCCTTGCATAATTACGGAGCCTCGGAACGCAAAGAACGCATCGCCCCACGCAACATCAGCCCCAGTCTCGTACCCGGACGTCTCCGCGTACCAGCGAATACAGTCCTCGCGCGCAGGCAAGCCCGGCAGCACGCCGGGGACGAACTGCTCGAGCTGGCTGTCTGCGCCATCCATGATGTAGGGGCTGGTCAGGTTGCAGAAGTCGGAGAGCGGGTGGCCGATGGTGGCCATTTCCCAATCCAGGATGCCGATGACGCGCGGCTCGGTTTTGTGGAAGATCATGTTGTCGATTTTGTAGTCGCCGTGCACGAGGGTGCCGCGGTCGCGTGGCTGCGTTGCTTTCTGTGAGAAGAAGTTTACCATGTCTGTGAAGTGGGGGAGGGCGCCGACGGGTTCGCGAGTGTCGGCATCTAGGACGGCGGATTGGGCTTTGGAGATTGTGGTGAAGGTTGCTATTTGGCGGTCGAAGAAGCCGGTCGGTTTGCCGAAGCTCGAGAGGCCGACGGAGTGCGGATCAACGCTGTGGAACTTGGCTAGCGTTTGGACGGCGTTCTTCCAGCTGCGATAGGGTTAGTTTGGGTGGGGGTGCGTTTGAGCCTCAATTCTTGTCACGTACAGTGCCGTTCTTTCTTCCCCGCTCACGCCGGGCATGGCTGGATCCGTGAAATGGCGTCCGTCAAGGAACTCCATGATGTAGAAGGGCGTCCCGATCACGCTGCTGTCCTCGCAGAGGCAGTACGCTTTGGGGACTGGTACATCTGTGTCGCCTAGTGCTCGGATAATCTTGTACTCGCGCTCGACCTTGTGGGCTGTCTTTGAGAGCAGCTTGCCTGGGGGCTTCTTGCGCAGCACGACTTGCTTTCCATCGGCGGCAGTAAGCAGGTATGTAGGGTTCGATTGACCGAAACCGAACTACAGAGACATATAGGTTAGTTATGGTGCTGTTCGACGGTTGGGCCAGACTCGCCTGCTTGACATCAAGTGGAGTCTTGATCTCCGAAACATGCTGGTCAATGTACCTCTCCAGCGAGGGAATGTCTATAGGTTGGCGCACTTCACCCGCCATAATTGCAATAAGGAAAATAGAATACAAGGACAATGCAGTGAAAAATATATATTCCAGTGAATACGATCTCGGCAAATATAAAAGTACAGGGGAAAGCAAGCACTAAATGCGACCATGTTACCGGGGAACCTCGGCCCCAGCATGTCCTCGGCGTCACCGCCAAAGAGCGGGGAGAAAGGCGAAGACGAAACAAACAGAACAAACACACGCGTCCCACGCAACGCGCCGAGCTCACCGCAATTTTTGCTGAAGCTAGGGATGAAACTGGTAGTGAGTGGGGGGGCATTTGACTAGTCCACTCTACTTCAATTTAGATTCGATTCGATTCATTTTATTTCACATTATTATTCTATTCTACCATGACCACCGACACCGACAAGACCTCCCACAACCCACCCTCCCTACCACCCTCCCCGATCGCCAAACGCTCTAAGCCCGACATGACCGCCGCCGTGACCTCCATCCAGCAGCCGCTGCCCCCACTTCTCGTGAAGAAGCTCGTTCCCACCGCGCAGGCGCCAACTCGCGGCTCGGCGTTCGCGGCTGGGTACGATCTGTACGCTGCAAAGGAGACTGTCATTCCCGCTAAGGGTAAGGCCGGCGTCGATACTGGCATTGCCATTGCTGTACCAGAGGGAACTTGTATGTCGATCTTCCGGTTTTTGATCATTGGAGATACCCTGGAAGGGAGAGAATGGTGCTGACGAACACAGACGGGCGCATTGCTCCCCGCAGCGGCCTTGCTGCCAAGCACTTCATTGATACTGGAGCTGGTGTTATCGATGCCGATTACCGGGGCGAAGTCAAGGTTCTGCTGTTCAACCACTCTGACGTCGATTTCCCCGTCAAGACCGGTGATCGCGTTGCCCAGCTGGTTCTGGAGCGGGTGAGTTGTTCTTGTTTCTGGGTTTGGGCATGTGCGCGGCTGACAATTTAGATCTATACACCCGAGGTGAGCGTCGTTGAGGAATTGGAGGAGAGTGTGCGTGGCGCTGGTGGCTTCGGCAGCACTGGTATCTGAAGGGAAAACAAAATTATATGATGATTAATGCGCGTTCGCTATGACGAGAAGAAAAGAATATTCAAAATATCAAACACCTATGCTTGACCCAGAATTATCCGAAATAATCTATGTACAAAGGCCGCCTCTAGACTCTAAACATATTCCATGCGATAGCCCTACTGCAGATCCACCGGAAGGTCCTCCTTCTTCCAATCCAGCACCTCAAACAGAATTTTCGGATTCCTTAGAACACTCGTGTTCCTTACAAGTCTTACCTCCGCCGCCTTGGTCCTCCGCAAATACTCCCTCTTCTGCCTCTCCTCCTGACCAAGCCCTGCAACATCGGGAACTTCAATCGCCAACTCGGCCTCCCTGCTCTCAAGCGTCTTCTCCAGCACGCTATGCATACTCGACAAAACCTTAACAGTAGCCTTAGCGAGCGGTAAATCCGTAGCAGCCACCTCGTCCGGTGAAACCCAAGACTTGGTAGTGCGCAGGTCACAGTCAGCGACGGCCTCGCTGAGCCGCGCGACAGTCAGGGCAGCGAACATGTCGCCCGTCCCGCTGAAGAAGCAGTCCAGGGCGGGGACATCGATGCGGAACAGACGCGGGGTGCCGTCTGATTTTGTGGTGGAGCCGATGACGGTCAGGGTTTCCTTTTCTGTGGATGAGTTTTCGAGCTGCGCGATTTGCACGGAGGTGATTATGACATGTGGGACTGAGTACAGCTTGTGGATGACTGTGATTGCCTGCGCTAGGGTTGCCAGAGAGGTTATTGTGATGCCGGAAAGGGTTCTGTCTTTGTTAGCCGGCTCGCCAACAAGTGTACAGGGCCACATACTCTGCCTCGAACTGGTTGGGCAGGATCAAATCTGCAAATGGGATGATCTTCTTATAAGCCGGGACGACGTCGTCGTTGACGTATAGTCGGCCTTGGTCACCCATGACAGGATCAAGCACTGATATATTTTATCAGCACAACTATAACGAATCGCGGGACATATCATGTTCAAGGCATACCCCAGAAAAAAGAACCAGGGTTGCTTTTTGCCTTCTGCTGCAGGTCAATACCGATAGTGCCCACTGCCTCGACGGCCGCCGCGCTGGGAGCGTAGCCGGATAGCATAACGTCGAAGTCTGTCAGGTTACTATTACACAGGCCCTCGTAGAGGTCCGATATTTCCTGCGCAGTAGCACGGGTCCCTTTGAACTGGCGATAGCCAGTGTGGTTACCTGAAATTTCGGTGAGCCGGGCTCCGGAGGGGAAGTGAGCAACGTACTGAAGTGGACGGTGTTTAAGGCGGCGACTTCGCAGCCCAGGGACTGCATGACGAAGGTGGCCATTGTGTTGCCGACATGGCTGGGTGTTGTTAGTGTTTGATCAAGACATGCGTAGATATAAAGTGCAACGCTATAGCGTTGTCGGTGTTGTCATACCCGTAGACGACCTGTGATGTTAGTTTGTTTTGTTTGGAGAGATGGTGGGGGTTTACTTACATGGCTTGCTACAGCGAGGACCCTGGTTTCTGGTACCAATTGGTCTGACATTGTGTGGGAGTGGGTGTATTCAAGATACAATCTACAATATTGTACTCTGTATATATCAAGATGACTCCAATTGTGGGGAGAGTGTTCCAGGTTGGCCGTTGCCGAAATTCCTCTTACCTAATTGGCTTATCGTGAAATGTCACTTCGATGTGATTCTATTACCTACAATATATGTAGGTAGAATTGTATTATATTTATAATTGAGTGCATAGATTGTATAGCATAGATGTTGGAAGTATTCTGGATTAAAACATATTATAATATCAGGAAATATTAATGTACAATGAGTTAGCCCTAGAATAAAATGAGTAAATCGAACCCGAGATCTGCAATCTCCATCCTTCAACTCCAAGACTAAGCTTAGGATTGCTCGTGTGTTACAAAGTCCCTTGCTTCACGCCCTCCTTAATTTCATCCTGCAGTTCTACATCCTGCAATCCCCATCTACTCTAAGTCCCACAGATCAGTCTCAGATCGAGTCACACAGCAAAAGGCAAAGAATAATCAACATTGACATTAATCTTAACCAGTACAGATCGACACCAGCCTTGACCACCGAATGGTCTCGACTCCCAGAGCTAAATCCCACACTCGACCAGCAAATCCAGTCAGTACTCCATCCCTAACCCGGGTAAAGCAAAACAATAACGGAAATGACGACTAAAAATATGCACCCCTGAGCCGAGAGTTCCACCGAACGGTCTAGTTCCGGGCCCAGAGTTTGTTTCTGGTCTTAGTGCTGTAGTCCATACTCAACTTGGGCTAACTCGTACTAAAACGACTAAATGTGGCTGTTGGAGTTTGGTTCTCGGCCTTGGCTGCTGTTTATGCCCACGTTTTCACCTTTAGCTTTGACGTTCTTTTTCCAAGGCCTGTAGGCTTCAGGGCTGTTAGTGCCGATTCCTATTAGACCTTAATCCCCAGGATTTTCTGACTTCCTGACTTCCTAGTTGTGGCTATATCTCCGACGAGCAGGAATTATTCACTGCTCTTGACGTTCTTTGAACTCAATTGCTAACATGCCATAACAAAATAGACCGCTTCTTTGTTCACTCGTTACCACACACTCGTTTACTTGAAAGAACTCAATTGCTTAATTGTTGAACAAAGAACTTACTGTCGTTTCTGATTTCGGCTTTTGGCTACCGCTACTGGCTACTGGCTACTGATTGCCAGTACTTCTGTCATTTCAATTCGAATTCGATATCCACGTCTCCAGGCGCAAGGCGCAAGCAACCCGCGAAAATGTCGCACATCCACAACATCTACATCTACATAATCCTAATATCAATCTTCTGCCTCTCAATCACAAAAGCCCAAGTGGAACCATACACATCCTCGGCTCACCATCCGAGAGCGATCATCGCAGATCGCCAACCCAAACAACATAAACATGAACATGGTGCAGCCCGCCGAACAATAATAACAGCAACAAGCACCACGACGACCTCCATGCCAGAGCCCTACGACACCCTCGCCTACAACTTCGCCAACACAACCTCCTGCCAAAATTTCTACAAAACCTGGCGCGCAAACAGCACAATAACAAATTGCCACGCCATCTCCCTCCTCCTCGAGAACTCAAACGCCTTCTTCCACACCCTCTCCTCAGCAACCAGCACCTCCCGTGTTCTTGACATCGCCTGCGCCGCCAACGCCGCAACCTGCAGCACAATCATGACCAATCTAGCCGCAGACCTAATCAAGCCCTCGAACTGCGGCGCCGACTACGCAAACAACAACGCCGTCGTCAAAGGCACCTACCGCGACCTCGTAGCCTACGAACCCATGTACCGCGCGACGTGTCTGACGAACCCGCAGACGGAGAGCTACTGCTTTGCGGACGCGGCGACGAACACCTCCTCGCCGGCTGACTACGATGTGTATTTCATGCCGCTGGGGAGTGCGCTGGGTGGCGGCTCGACGCCGTCGTGTACGCTGTGTTTGCAGGCTACTATGGAGGTTTTTGCGCGGTGGGCAACGGTTAATGGGCAGGCGCTTGATAGGACGTATTTGCCTTCGGCGAGGGTTGTTAATGCGCATTGTGGGGAGGGATTTGCGAAGACGAATGTTACGGTTGGGGTGGAGGTTGTTGGGGGGAGTGAGAGGGTGGGGGTTTCTGGGGTGGGGGTTTTGACAGTAGCTGTCTTGGTGTCGATGGTGTGGCTGGTTTAGATGATGTTGATGTTGATGTTGATGTGTTTTTCTTTTCTTCTCAAGGTTTTCTTTTCTTGGTGCCCGGCTGGGTCACGGGCTTTTGGTCAGCGAGAGCGTTTGGGCTGATCTGTATGTAATCTTAGTGATATTGTCTATATGTATGAGTTGGATTACTCTTTTGAACCTCGTTTCGTGGCGCGTGAAAGATACCCGTGGTAGAAGGAAGTTTAGAAGGAAAATTTAGAAGTGCATTGGGAATCGTATTGTGGGATATACCCCATTTTCATAGTCGTCGACAAGATCAAGATGCGACAAGTCTAGCAAAGACAAAGTTCAAACGAGAAAGACGCTCACATAAACAGCAAAATACCACCCGAAAGAAAAGAAACTCAACTCCTCCTCGACATACTCCCACCCATAGCAACGCCGACAAGACTCTGCGGCTCGCCACCAAAACTAGCACCAGGACTGGTAGGAACAATCGGTGACCCAGCACCAGAAATAGGACTCTGCGCAGCAGCATCCCGTTCCCTCCGCACACGAATATACCCCAACTTCGCAAAGCGCCCGACATGAGTCCAGAAATGGCGACCGGCCGGGTGGGCCGCGATGCGATCTAGCAGATCGACCGTCGCTTCGCGGACGACTTGGTCAGGGTGGAAAAGACCCATGCTAACATAGAAGAGACCGGCCTGGTTTTCCGGCGCCACGCACAGCAGCTGGCAGATGCCGGCGTAGTCCTTGACGGAATGGGACAGGGCGAGGTAGATAGACGCAGCCTCGGCGTGGGAGAGTTTGAGAGAGCGGAGCCGGTCGTGGTGGTGATGGATGTCTGGGCGCTGGATTGGGCGCGCGGGGAAGTACATGGCTGCGAGATCCTGGATGTAAGAATAATAGGAGCGGGTATTGCGCCAGCCTTCGATACGGGAGACGGAGGCGGAGAGCTCGCGCTGTTTGGCGGTCTCGTCCGTCCAGACGTAGCCGTGGCCGCGGAGGGAGGTTGGGTCTGCGGCGTCTGTTTGGTGGCCTGTTGGGCTGTCTGGGGAGATTTCTTCGCCCGGGGCGATGATGTAAAGATTTGAGGCGCCGTAGACGGCTTCTTCGAAGGCTGCGGCTACGCGGACGAACTTCGTGATGTAGGCGCGCCACTTCGCGCGGATGGCATTTTCGCCGTGCCGCTGGCTGATACTGCGGAGGATGTCTTCCATGAAGAGGGTGTCGCCTGTTGGGTCGTGGGTTGTGTTGGAGGTGTTGTTTGGCAGGAGGGCGTTCTGTTGCTGGAAGAACAGGAGACCTTCTGTTACTGGGGCAGTCTCAACGTGGCTGGAGATCTTGATGCGGCCGGTGGGGAGGTCACACATAACGTCCCACCATTCGGGGTGGTTGGCGAACGTGGGGTTTGTGACGCCTGCGATGAAGCCGGGGACTTTGAGGAGGTCGTCGATTTTGGTGAGATCGGTGTAGGGGAAGGCGTGGCGGGTGAATCCGCGTAGAATGCCCCCAGATGCGAGGGCGCAGGCTGCGAGCACCGCCTCGGCGACTTCTCCTGAGGGTCGATTGTGTCCGAGGAAAATTACTCGCTTTTGAGTGAGGATGGCGTTGACGAGAACGATAATGGGATGCGTGAATGGGCCGCTCGTCGTCAGATGGGGGTGGGCTTGGAATGCTTGCGGGGAGGTGGCATGGGGCACGGCAAAGGTCTGGATGAGCTTGATAAGAGAGAAGTCTCCAACCGTCTCTGGCCAAATCACTGTTGGAATCTTGACTGGAATGGGGATGTCGTTGTAGACCACTTTCGACTCGTACTCATGTGTATCTCGCGGCAGGGCGTATCGGCTCATCTTCTTTGGCGATGGTGGACATTCACTGTCTTGACTTTCCTCCTCTTCGCGTTGGCGGATCATTTGTTCAAACTTCTCCAAGAACATATCTTTTGTGTTGCTAGACTGCAAGATGTGGCGCTCCAGTATGGACATTTTGGGCATCAACGAAAGGTCCATGGCATTGACAGCATCGTAGAGAGACGCCAGCGTTTCGGGGTATGGTGATTTGAAGTAATCCTCCAGCGCCAAAAGAAGTAGAGGCTGTACTAGTCAGAATCGTCTCCCTAACAGGGTTGAGAAAGCTTACTTTGTAGATATGGAGGAACGAATGCCGCGTGCAAATCGCCATGGCCTTGACTACTGCACCTCTGTTCGCTATTAGCCCATGCAAAACAAGTATGAAGATTGCTGTAGACATACCTTCGGACCGTGTTATCCTGCTTTGTGTTGACCAGATTCAGCACATACATCAGAGGTGGGCCCTCACCACCCTCATCGTCACTGCTGTCTGGGTCATCCGTGCTCTCGTCCGGGGTTTCATCCAGAATATCCGCCCCTTCTTGGTTCCCGTGATATTTCGACTTGCGCTTCTTCTTCTTTCCACCCGCGGAATCGGTCTCTTCCTCACCACTAGTATCTTTGTGCAAAAAGAACATGGTCCAATCCTGACTCCGCACATGTGTCTGATCCGGCAGCATCAGCTCCGCAAGCATACTCTCGTCCCCACTGATGGCGGCGGGGTACTGGTGCTCCATGATCGGACCCCGATCAATATGGAAGGACGCAACCAGGATGTATTCCACATGTCGCTCGGGCGAGTCAAGCGGGTACTGCGCTTTACAGCGGCGGGGTTTGAACGACGACACCGCATTCTCTGTAGACGCTCGGTGGTAGGAGCCGTGGGAACTGCTGGGTGATCGTCCGATGAAGGAGGCTGCCGGTGAGAGCCGAGGAAGACCTGTGGTTTGGCGATTCGACGCGGAGAGGGAGTCATTTGACGGTCGATATGGCAGTGTTGTGGCCATCTTTCGGAGTATGTGCTGAGACGATTGCTCCGGGGAGAGGGTGTCTATAAATCGAGAAGCATATCGAGGGGGAACACAATCTGAAACTCAAGAGCCAGACTCAGTGAGCCAATGGTCAATGCTTAAGCCAATGAGTGTAGCCGATGGCTATTCAGGGGTTAAGAAAAAGGACGATCTCCCCGCTGTGGAGAATTACCGATAACAGATGCGATAGTTGACTCTTTTGAAGGACCGAGAGATTATGGGATACAGAATATGATACATACAAAAGTATGATATATCTGAATATTATTCTTGTTTGGATATCGAAATATGATACGTCTCTTCTAGGTCCCCGGGGATCTGACGTGATGGTACATGCATATATAGACCATGAGGCCATTGTATCTTGTTCAACGAGCGCGAAATCGAGAATATGTAGACTGAAACAAACGACAGCTAATGTTGAAGATATAAGCGGAGTGTGATTATCCAAATTATCTCGAATACATGTTATGGAGGGAATATAGAGGGAACCGCTGCACAGAACACTGTAGATGCACACGAAGAAGACCAAGGCGGTGAAGAAGGCGGTGAACTGAATGCTTGTTTACATCGGCGATAACAGCGTCATTGTTTACAATTCGCCAATTGATCGATTCAACAACTGTCAGCCATGGTATGTTGAATATCTCGAGCTAGATGGGGTATGCAATATTAATTTCATTTAACTTGCTCTAGGCTAATAATCCTACTTTCAAACCATCACCATTGTCCTTTGGGTCGCCAAGGGCATCGCCCTTCCGGCGACCATCCACTCCGAATTCCCCGCCCTCCGCCAGTCGTGGAGGAAATACCCCAGGGAGCTCACCGAGTCGGGCGTATACTCCCATGGTATCGCCCAGCAAGCTAAACCAAACATACACAGTGGAGGATGGCGAATCGCGGTCACCAAAGAGCGAGCCTCCAATCCCTCAACCCAACTTTGCCAGAGAACTTCCTCCCTCCCCAACAAAGGGCGCGCGCTCGCCGGGAAATCTATCGCCGATCGCAAGTAGCAGGACTACAGGGTTTGCAGGCCCCGCCGGCGACGCTGCGGGAAAGCTAGCCCCGCACCAAGTAAGGGAGATCAGAGAGGCTTTCCAGGTCTTGGACCGGGACAACGATGGACTAGTCAACAAGGATGATGTGATTGATGTGCTTACAACTTTGGGTACGAAGACTTTGTCTGAGGAGTTGGCGCCTACTAATGCAATGTTGTAATAGGTCAAGACTCGTCCCCATCTACGCTTTCGCGCTTCTTCCCACCCGCAGGAAGTCAGACTATCAACTTTCCAAATTTCTTGAATACATTGTCTGGACTCATGGCATCAATGTCACCTTCTCATGAGCTTCTCAATGCCCTAGCTGCATTTGATGATGATGACAACGGACAAATAGACGTGGCAGAGCTTCGTGATGCTCTCTTACATACTGCTCCAGAAGATGGAGAGACACGGTTGAGCGAGAGAGAGATTGATGAGGTCTTCAGTGGATTTATCGGACGACGAGCGTTTACCGGTCGGGGATCCAAGACCGGGGGTATGACTAAGAGGGGTGAAGTCTTCCAGTACCATGACTTTGTGCGCAGTGTTGTTGGTGGTGAGAATGCAAATAATGTGAAACGGGAGGGAGATGCAGCACAGGCATGATATGATTCTGGGTTTTGGATCAAGGCGTTAGGGGGGGCTCACCTCTGTTTCTAGTTGGTACTCTGAATATGTTAGCAATACAGACCATAGAAAGCTTTCTAAGCAATGTTGTACTATTCACAATCAAACTGTTGATGAAACATGTGTGCAACAATACAAAGTACACGGAGTTAAGGTCGGCCGCATATTATCGGCAGAAAAGCTCCAGCCACCAGATCTGATCTCCACCCGGCAACTGTTGTCAAGCTCGTACATCTTTCGAGATGTTCGTCCATGAAACACAAACTTGAATCAAAATGGCCAAACCCCAGCCCTCCTGGAATCTCGGTATCCCAGGTCCCGAGACCCCCGCATCACCACGTACCCTACGGACACTGCGAAAGATCCAATCTCACCAAGTGCTGTCAAGCTCTAGCGCACTGATTGCCCAAACACAGGCCTCCCACCAAGGAGGTGCCCATGACAGTGACTCAGCAGGGCTACCAGGCGCAGCAACACGAGCGCGCGCACACCGTCGGGCTCGATCGAATAGCGACGCAGCAGCCCGTGAAGCTGCCCCAACACCATCCGCAACCCAGAGACGACCCGCGCGCAAAACCGGCTCAGGCATTGGATTGAAAAGATCACTTCTGGAGAATTTCTTACGCGATGGTCCCCCCAGTGGCGATCCCCGCGAGGGTCTCCAAGAGCTCAAGTACCTCGTGTTATCCAGCAGAGTGGACGCCGACGGAGATGGAATGGTGAGTTTCAATACGATTTACGAAATTGTCATACTAATAAAACGAATGGCAGTCACCGTACCGAATCTACCTTTGGCTGATTCTCCTCGACATCCCACCTATGCCAACCGATGACTACCTAGCTCTTATCCACCGCGGCCGATCACCCGCATATGCCAAAATCCGCAACGACACCTTCCGCACCCTCGCCACAGACCCTCTCTTCAAACGGCGCGTCACAGAAGCAAGCCTAATCCGCCTCCTCAATGCCGTAGCATGGAAACTGCACGATTCCAGACCGAAACCCCGGTCTCGACCGACCTCGTCTCGCCGCCGTGAGATGGAACTTCTAGTAAACACGCCACCCAGCATCGCAGAGGAGTCTACGTTTGGCGGGGAGTTGGAGAAGACCAACGCGCCCACCACCGACTCGGCGATGTACGTCCAAGGCATGAATGTGCTGTGTGCGCCCTTCCTGTATGCCGCCCGCAGCGAGGTCGAAGCTTTCGCTCTGTTCCATTACTTCGTCACGCGCGAATGTCCAGGCTATATACGCGGCGCTATGGACGGGGTGCACAAGGGTCTTCGCCTTGTTGACCGATGCCTTGAGATCGTGGAACCAAAACTTGCAGCATATCTTTTCTCCAAGGGTATGCATGCCGAGTTGTACGCTTTCCCGTCGGTATTAACTCTCTGCGCTTGCACACCCCCCTTGCCGGAGGTCTTGCATCTATGGGATTTCCTATTTGCCTACGGCCCGCATTTGAACATCCTCTGCATCGTCGCCCAACTAATACGTATGCGCGATATGATCTTCGAAAGCCCAAGGTGAGTCCCTTCCCAGGTTAGAAAATATAAATCCTGACTGGTGCAGCCCGAATAAAATCCTCCGCTCATTTCCTCCCCTTGACGCAAAAGAGATCATTGCGTTGACTGTTCTCCTTGTGCGGAAGATCCCTGAGGATCTTTATGCCGAGATGATCGCCCATGCGAAATAGGGATTTGATCTTACTGGAGCGGCTCTTTATTACTCCGGTTTTGGCGTTTGGTTTGATTATTGTAACGATTTGTCGTACTGGATATGGGACATGAGGTTTGTATTGGTATGAACGCCTAGGCTACACGCTTGTTGGAATGAATGATGATTGTATACAAATGTTTGATTGCAAATGAAGTGAGCTGTTCTGTTTATTATTTGACTCGAGTTCCGAGTATACCTGAATATGTGAATAAAATTATACGCGGGGAACCTGGGAAGAACCCAAGGAAACCCCTTAATCTCGTCTTCTCAAGCCACGCGATCACACATTTCCCCTGAAGATAAACGAAATGCGACCTCAATATATCATCTCCGGTGCGCCAACAACATTGGGAAATAATCGACAGAGTTGAAAGTCAAAAAAAACATGTGAACAGAAGTGAACAGCCGATAAATTGCATAGGTAAGCTTGTGATGCACTTTAAACCTAACTACATGCAACTAGGTGGTTCTTCTATTGCTACATGAGTGAATACGAGAACGGGGTAGATTCTGATCACGCGAGCAGACAGTAGAATCCAATTTGTACTAGGCACATGGCTCCGTCGCAAGGCCCCTTTAATCTATCTGAGGTTAATACTACCATCGTTGAGTTACATTCACTAACCATATCACTTCAAGTCTATTTGATCTTCAGGGTCGAGTACAAGGTAAGCGAATCGAGCAATACAAGGTATATGGTCGATCAAAGTATGCCCGCGCGGAAACGCAGATGACAATGTCACTCACGTTCAGCATTCCTCAGTGCCGATTGGACGGCAATGACCTCCAGCTGCAAGTCTATTCACCCTGGGACAAACCATCGCATGCCCCCACGTTGTTCATGCACTGTTACACATTCCAACCACCACGCCTATAGCGGCTCATGGCTTTCCACGGCCGCATACTAGATAAGGAGATATCCGGAATGTGGCGCTCTTTAACTCCTAGCCCAAACTCCCGTGATGAATTCAATCACTGTTCACACTGGAGGCGCACGGCCAATTTCCTTTATCATCTCGAGGGTCGACGGCTACCATAGAATCACACCCCCGACGGGGTGGAATGTGCCTTGAACCCATGGACCCGTCCTGTACAGTCACTCTGCAGGGTGTCGCCCGGGTCTGCGGAGAACTGGGAAGGCTTCCAAGTGCCTGGATACTGGAGTTATCCGAAGGCAAATGCACAATGGCAGAGTAGACGACCTTCTCTGGCTCAACTACAAATTGAGGTCATTTCCTCAGTATTATCTTCATAAGTCGCCGGAACGACCACATCCAGACAATACTGCAACACTCCTTCAACAATCCTTCAACACTCCTTCAATAATGAGATCTGTCCTTCCTTTTACTCTAGGCCTGGCATGGCTCGCCCAAGCCGCGGTCATCCCTAACTTGGGAACTGAACTTGCAGCACGCGATGCCGAAGTAACCACCGAAGCTACTACTGGATACCGCTCTGTGGCCTACTTCGTGAACTGGGTGAGTTTGCTTCATGTTGGCTGCATTGATTCTACCGGCTTTGATCCACTGACACCCAATCCAGGCAATTTACGGCCGAAACTACCAGCCTCAAAACCTCCCTGCCGACAAGCTCACCCATGTCCTGTATTCCTTTGCCAATGTCCGCTCTTCCACTGGAGAGGTCTATCTGTCGGACACCTATGCAGATACTGATAAACATTATCCCACTGATTCCTGGAATGATGTCGGCAACAATGTCTATGGCTGTGTCAAACAGTTGTACCTGCTCAAGAAGGCGAACAGAAAGCTCAAGGTGCTTTTGTCAATTGGTGGCTGGACTTACTCTGCCAACTTTGCGGGACCGCTCGCTACCGATGCTGGAAGACAGCTCTTTGCTTCCTCTGCTGTGCAGCTTGTGAAGGATCTCGGGTTCGATGGGTTGGATATTGACTGGGAGGTAATGATCACCAGAGCAGTCATTGTATACAACACCACATACTAATTCCTTTCGAACAGTATCCTTCCGACCCAACTCAAGCTGCCAACATGGTATCTTTGCTTCAACTCGTGCGCTCGGTATGAACTCTTAATATCCGAGATCGGGAACAAACGAAGCTAATATCATTCAGGCTTTGGACACCTACAGTGCAACATACGCTCCTGGTCACCATCTTTTATTGACAGTCGCATCTCCAGCTGGTTAGTAGAAACTATATAAGATACCCCCAGAAGCCAACTTGCTAACACCAACAGGCCCATCTCACTATGAACCAATGCTCCTGGCCCAAATGGACAAGTACCTCGACTTCTGGAACCTGATGGCCTACGATTACTCTGGCAGCTGGGACACAATTGCCGGCAACGATGCGAACATCTACGCTTCCACCGCCAACCCAGCAAGCACCCCATTCAACACGGACCAAGCGGTAAACTACTATATCGCGCACGGGGTTGCCGCAAACAAGATCGTCATGGGTATGCCACTCTACGGGCGCTCATTCACAAACACGAATGGTCTAGGCCAAAGCTTTAACGGTGTTGGCAGCGGTAGCTGGGAGAACGGAGTGTGGGACTACAAGGCGCTGCCCCAGGCGGGCGCGACAGTTCACAGTCTCGATCAGGAAGTTGCAAGCTACAGTTACGATTCCTCGTCTAAGACACTTATCAGCTACGATACCCCTGCGGTCGCGCAGAAGAAGGCCCAGTATATCAAGTCCAAGGGACTGGGTGGTGGTATGTGGTGGGAGAGCAGTTCCGACAAGACTGGAGCCGACAGTCTGATTACTACAGTATGTTTGAATATTCATACGATACTGCTCTATGTTAATTTGCTAACTTGTGTCTTAGGTCGTTACCGAATTCGGCGGTGTCGGTGCTCTCGATCAGAGCCAGAACCAGCTTAGCTACAAGGGCTCCAAGTACGCCAATATGGCTGCTGGGTTCCCATCCAGTTAGATATGTCGCTCGTTTGAACGTATCTGGATGTTGTTTGATTCCTGTCACTCGTTTGAATGTCATGTGCGACTGCACACTGCACATATATACATTGGTCCATCTGCTTGGTCGGATGACTTCTACCAACTATGTACACTCGCTGTTTGTCTATATTTTGTTATTTTATCGATAGTTTCAATGTGAATAGCCGGTCTAATTTCTTTCTAATTTTCTCTTATCATTTCTCCTGAGCCATTTCAGTATCCAACAACCATGACAGTGTACACCCAATGATATCCAAACACATCAACCCTGGCAGCCCTGGCAAACAACCTGCCACAACTATACATGCACACCCAGGTGAATTTATCCATGCAATACCGTCTGCATCCAGGAAGAAAATGCGACGCGATTATCACGCCAGCTCTTTATTCCCCATGCTTCTTACTTTCTGTGGATTATAAGTACCTAGGTATGGACAGGTCTACGTGGACTTTGCACCAACCCGTAAGTAATACCATACCTCGAGGATGTCCCAAAGCCCAATTCTATCAGAGCTAGACTGCGCAGTATGCATTCTGCTACTCTCCTTTATTTTCCATAGCGGGGTATGGCTGAGAGGGCGATACATGCGTATTAGAAAGCAGACACTTACTAACCCTCACGCTGGTCGAGCGCCTTTCACGGAGCCTTCTATCTGCCGCCTGATAATAGGAGGGAAATTCGAGCTCCAGCAGGGCCCCAATATGCTCTCGCCTCACGAATCAAGGGCCATACCAAACCAGCGCTTGAGAATTTTCTTCGGCATCGACAACGCCTTCACCCGAAATGAGAGCAGCCATGTCGCGCCATTCGTCGAAATGGCAAAAGATTTGATCAACGTACCAGCCAAAAGATGGGAAGAGCTATCCATGTTCGCCAGAACAACCGCGACAAACTGGACGATCAACGGCTTTCCCGATGATAAAAAGAACGCAACGCAGACCGACAAAAACCGCATCAACATCACCAGCATGGTCCAGATCCTCACCATGCGCTGCGTGTTATCCATCATCTTCCCAGATCTCGATCAAGCGAAGGTCCACGACCTCAGTCTCCTCAACCTAGCCACATCAATCACCCGCGTCTGGCTAGCTTCTAAATCATCAGCAAACCCCCAACACACCTTCGCAAACGACGTCGACCTCCAACAATCCCTCATGGAAGTATTCCCTCATCTCGACATCAAAACCCCCAGCACAAACCCCCTCAACCTCATCCTCCCCTCCTTCGAAACAATCTGGCGCGTGATCTTACGCGGCATTTTGGAAATCGGCTTCGCAAGCGGCTCCGCCTACCCATCCTGGAAAAAAGCCATGATAGCCTTCGCTCAGAGTCCAACCAAAGAATATTTTGAGTTGAACCCGCCCACGACGCGCTCGAGCACAAACCCCACTGTCAAGGACGACGGGGCCATACCCGCCTTCTCGCCGTCAGCAAATGACCTCGTACAGGAAGCGCTGCGCCTCTATGTCCCGACCCGCCGGGTTCACCGCGCGTACCAGCATGCGGGCGGCTCACTCCAGCTCCTCGCGGCTGATATCGAGGGGTGTCATCTAAGCACCGATATATGGGGTAGTGATGCAGAGGTGTTCCGGCCTGATCGTTGGATGGATATTACGAGGGCACAGAAGAAGGCGTTTATGCCGTTTGGATGTTCACCTTTGGAGTGTCCTGCGAAGGCGACTTTTGGGCCGAGGATGGTTGGGGTTGTTGTTGGGGTTATTTTGGGGGTTTTGGAGGAGCGTGGGGGGATATTTTGGACAGTGGAGGGTGGGGATGGAAATGGGTGGGATGGGGTGAAAGGTGGGGGGAGGTTGGATGCTGGGAGGATGGCATACGCAGATTTGTATTTGGTTAGGGGTCAGGGTTCTTGATGGATGTGTATCAAATCTTATCTGGATCGATGAATTGCAGACCTGATTAGGGCTAATGTAGAACAACACTATGTACGTAACTAGACCATGGTGTTGAAATTGGATAGGCCACATACAGAATGCACTCAGTCCAACAGCAAATTACAAAGTTTTAAAGGTGCGCAAAGTACCAGAACAGAAAGATAAACTCAACATATATACTGGCTGAAAACAAAGTCTCTAAGTCGGCGCCGCACAAATCCCATCGTGCCTATTCAGCCCAGATCCATCAACAACCAAAGGCTTACAAGGCACCTTCTCCGACTCAAATCCACTCATCTCATCAGCCCAAGAGCCGAGCTCCTCGTCAGAAACAGAAACCTCACTCGCAGATGCAGAATCAAACCCGCCCACCGCATCCTCCACACGAACGCGAATGCGTGACCCCCCAAAGAACAAATTATGGAACATGCTCGCCGCGCGGCGCGCTTCCTCGCCGCTCGCCATGCTAACCTTCGCGCGGGTCTGCGCACCCTCGCTGAAAACCTTGCAGGAGGCGATGGTTCCCGCTGCGCTAAGCAGGTTCTTAATGTCTGTGGTGGTTGTGGCTGTGCTGAGGTTGTCTAGCGTCAGGGCGCGGTGGTCTGGAGTGAATGGTGGGGAGTGTGGGTTTGGTTGTTTGGGGTGGGGGTCTGTTTGGGTTGCGTAGACCCAGTGCTGGTCGTAGGGATTTGCGAGAAGGGGGGAGGTGGGGTAGTATTGGAGGGGGAGTTGGGAGAGGTCTGGGTGCATGGGGATGAATTGTTGCATTTGGAGGGGGAGCGGCATGATATTGTAGTCTGGGTATTGGAATGTTGGGGTTTGGGGGTGGGACCTGGGGGTGTTAGCTTTGGTTTATGTAGATATATGTATTTATTTGGGGGGTGACAGGGTGATGGGTGGAATGAGTACTCACTCTGGCGAGACGGGAGATGGAGGCATTGCCATGTTTCCATGTGCGCGGGGAGGCGTTGAGAGGCCGGAGATGTAGCCTTGGATCATTGCTGGGCTTCTCGTTGGACCTGCAATGGGTTTGGTGGGTGTGCTTGTTCGCGAGAGGGTGACGACTAGGCTTTGGCCCTCCCATCCGTTTGTTGAGAGGCGGTCTGTGGATGGAAATTAGATGGAGGTTGGGGATGAGATGTTGGATTTGGAATGTTGATACGCACGGTATGTTCGCCAGGCCTCGTCTTCATTTTTCACGATAATCTGGCCTATGCCCGTTGGGAAGCCGTGGCTATCGTCGTATACTACTGCCTGGCGGATATGCAGAGCAGTTTGGCGCACGAGGTCCTTCAGTTCTTGCCAGCGGCAATGGGATGGAATCTGCTTTTGTTAGTTTGGTATCGGTCATTCCGATAGTGAACGTACACCTTGAAGGAAGACGACGAATTCATCGTCTGATCTGCGGGATCTGGAACGACCCTTATCACGACCGAGTAAAGGCATGGCTGATATGTCGAAGTATGCAGGGCGATATCTAAGCGCCGGATGTGCGCTAGTTCGAAAGTATGAATTTAAGAGAATATGGAAGCTGGTGGCAGATATTCGAGACGTTGTAAAATAGTCGGGGCTCTTGTCCGACCAGGGTTTTTGGTCGAGTCCAGAAGGTAATTGTCTGCAAGAGGCCCGTGTTAGCTCTTATATCAAGGTGATACCGTGTCCTGCTGGGAACTGGAATTGATGACAAGTAACAAGGGAATGGAGAGACTTACAGTAATGCAATGCGACTAATCCAACACGGAACACAGAATGAAAAAGAGTGAAGCAGCGAGCTGGGCGATTACAAGATTATTATAAGATGATTTCAAGAAGAATAAAAGAAGCAAAAAGGAAAAGTGTAGGTTTCACAAGAAATCCTCAAGTTAATTAATTGTTAGGGCTAATAATGCAGAGGAGTCCTCATCATGGCTTCTTAGCAGACTATCGGACCCAGAATACTGCAGGATCTGGACGAATAGTAATCCTAGACGACGAGTCAGAGCCAGTCATAGCAGAGAAAGACATTGTTTTTTTCTTTGGTGTTATGCTGCGATATGTCATTTTCATGTCCCCATGCCCGAGCTCAGCTCTGCCATGAAATGAAATGAATGCAATAGAGTGGTTCTCCGTACCACCCTGTCGGGTACAGTTCTCCTCCACTTTGAGTGTTCCTTTTCTTGATGAGTATTAGTCAATATTGACACTCTATATGTATAAATTGTTGGAGAAATTTCAATCTTGATCGTCTCCGGGTATACCCGTGCTGATTGCAGTGGGGGAAAATCCCAGAGAAACAAATCAGTCTTCGAATTGCACTTACAACTTGGTTACACCGCTAGATCCGGATCGGACGTGCAGTGGACCTGCGCATGTATTCATCACATTGACTGCATGTCTTTTTCTATTGTCAGATCTGAGCAAAAAAGAAAAAAGCAAAGAAGGATTACTACTCTGTAAGAACGAGAGGAGAACCCCCAAAAAAGAAAGGAAAGTCCAGGGTGAGAAAGAAAAAGAAAAGAAAGTTGAGTTAAGAGATCGTCGATCTAAGTGGATAATCGACCCTGCAACATGAGCAGTCATACGAACTGCAGTTGGCTATTGGTCTTAAGATTCGGGGCTATCATTTACATATTACGTTGCCACTATTGAACTAGAGTACCTGCAGCGGCAACTAGATAAATAGCACCATAACTATAGGTTTTGATCAATTCAAATACTATAGCTATATGCAGTGAGTTATATGTAGGTGACTCTATACTCCGTATTGTAGAATAATGAACACCGGTCACACTGCAGGTCCCAACCGCATCGGGGTTTCTTGCTATTTACGGTGTACTCCGTACAGGTTATTCAAGTCTCACAGATCTTCAAATAGATCTCCTTTCGTGTTCCCATTGTCGACAGCATGGGAATGAGGATACTTCTGGATCAAGTCAAATGACATCTGCTTTACGCGCATTACTTCGTATGCTAGTTGATGTAGCACAGGGCTGAAGTATGGCGACGCGCGACCAAAGCACAGGGGAGATCATCTGACCTTTCCTGTCTTTGCGCATATAATGTGAACGTCATGGTCTATATATCTTGAATTCGATGTCTGTACGGAGTAGGGAGTAGGTTATCTCTAGAATAAGGATAAAATAAGAATAAAAATACAAAGGAAGGCTCCAAGGCAGGCCTCGGACATGGTTAAGCATTAAAAAGATCTACATGGCCCGAATATGGAAATGTCGCGAATGCTGATCATCCGCGGAGCTCACATACAATATACAATATCGTACGAGGGTCGTTTCAATAAGAGATTGATTTGAATGTATCACTCTTGGCGTGTGAAGATGTCTACTCCGTGCTAGCGATACTGAGCCTGGCGATGAAATGCTATTCGCACTATTTGACCTACAAAGTATACAATATTATGTTCAGAGAAGCAAAAGAGAATTAGTTACTTGTAATGTATCTGATCGAATATATATAATATGGAGACAGTGACAATGAATTGAAATAATAGAAACAAGACGCTAAAGAGATCCAGCCCGCGCTTCAGTATGAAAAAAAAGAACACCCCCGATAATTCAAAAACACCACCCGCTCAAATAACATTATAAGAAATGGAAAACACCAAAATGCAAAAGGTCGTTATGTCCGATCGTAAAAGGCCGACCGGGGATTGAAGCGATGCTACTCCGTTCTCCGTGCGTCCCCCACACTTCGGGCCTTATCGCAGGTCTCAGGAAAATCAGGAAACCAAACCCTCATATTCGCAGTCAATACAGTGCCAGCACTGAGAATACCAGAGACTGGGAGGGTATCCAAGGCAAAGCGAAGGAAATGAAAGTGTGTCCAAGGTATACCGAGTGGTCGGAGTACTCCGTACCGGGTTTCGGGTCATGGGTTGGTAGTTAATGATTGAAGAATTTCAGGATCGGATTGAAATTGTAAAGCGAATCTCGTCAAAAGACATGCTTCATCCGCTGAACCCGACTTTCGAGGCACAGCGATTACAGTAGTAGGAGTTCATGCCGAATTGGACGGCGGTGGAGCCTGATTGGCTCAGACTGAGAGATTGCTGGCAGCGGGAACAGCGGACGATGTCGAAGGTGGGAGATGTTGGGGATGTCTGGGGGATTCCTGGGGGAATTTGGATTGGGGGGCTCATTGTTGATGGAGGAGGAGGAGGAGGGAAGGAGAGCATTTTTGAGAGGTGTTGCCTGGTGCCTAGTGCCCCGTGATGTGATAGTGTTTGGAGTGATGATGGGTTGACTTGGTTTCTGTTTTTTCTTGGGTTGATTCTGATCTTTGGAAAGAAAGGAAGAGAAAGGAATTCCTTCGGGTTATGAGTATTTGAATATTTTCTACTCAGGTAACAAGGTAATAAGGTAAAATACGTATTCACATTCCGATGATAGTACATATGTGGGCGTCTTGGGCTTGCGCTAAATACTGCCTAACCATCAAGACTGCTTATACCGTGCCTGTTACCATATAATTAACCAGTACATATGGATTTATATGCAATCTTAAATCTATTTTCAAGCTTCATAAGGTTTAAATCCACTTTACATTGACTTGTAGATTGTTTGAGATCAGCTAGAGGAAGATTGTCAGATCGTGGTTATCATTCACGTTAATAGCAATGCCATGCACGATGCCGTCATGAGAAGATCGACCATATGCAAGAGACCCAAATAGGAAGTATTTCATCAAATGTGGAAAGATACTGCAGATGAGTGTCGAATAAAGAGAGAACGTATGATTGAATGCATTGAATATATGTGAATCCTATATGGAGGTGTGAATGGGTGATGAAGGCACAGATAAGATTTGGCCGTCGACGTCATATCCTCTCCTTCCGGCCTTCATTTCTTTTTCATTTCTTTTTCATTTCTCAACATCACTTCTGAGATCTACAGTAATCAAATACTATTACGGATTACCGTGCCAGTGCTCGGCATTTCTATTTCCGAGCTTCAGTTCAGCCTAAACCCCTCTCAATCTCACCCCCCACCTAAAAAACCGAAACACCAATCTGCCCCTCACCAAACAACACACCATCATGGCCACCGGCAGCCCCAACCTCTACAGCTTCCCCAACTCCGACGCTCTAGCCACGCATCTGCGCAGCTATGTCTTGAGCGCCCAAAATGCCGCCCTAACCCGGCATGAGAGCTTCCGCATCGCCGTCTCCGGCGGCTCCCTCCCAGCCGTCCTCGCCAAAGCCCTCCTAGCTCCAAGCAACGGCACCCCCCAAGACACGCCCCAATTCTCCAAGTGGCACATTTTCTTCGCCGACGAGCGCGCCGTGCCCCTCGACCACGAAGACAGCAACTACCGCCTCCTCCAAGACGAGCTGGTGACGAAGATTCCGACCGAGCTCGGTGAGCCGGTCGTGCACGCCATTGACGAGAAGCACATCGGCGACGACGACCCGCAGGAATTAGCCGACCTGTACCAGGAGGATCTGATGCGTGAGTTCGCAGCCAAGGATTCCGTTAAGCTTCCCGTTTTCGATCTCATCTTGCTGGGCTGCGGGCCCGACGGACACACTTGCTCTCTGTTCCCGGGTCATGCGCTGCTGCGTGAGAAGGACGCCTGGGTTGCTGCCGAGACGAACTCGCCTAAGCCCCCGCCAAAGCGTATTACGCTTACGCTGCCTGTTGTCACGCATGCGGTTAAAATTGCTTTTGTTGCGACTGGTGGCGGTAAGAAGGAGATTATGAAGCAGATCTTTGATCTGGAGGAGGGCTCGAGTTTGCCTTCGGCGCTTGTGAACCACGGTGCTGGTGAGAAGGTTAGCTGGTTTACGGATCATCCTGCTGTTGAGGGGGTTTCGTTTGCTCGTCGTGGAAGTCTGTGAGGGGGAATAGAGTGGGCATGTCTGTTCTGCGATAGTGTTGGCCGTGGGTTTTCATGGGCTGTTCAAAAGTGAGGTTCTTCATGATGGGGGCTTATGGTTATTAATTCGGTAGACAAAATTAGCAATATAGATTTCACTTCAATTACTATTTTTCGATAAGAGCGAATGTCGACAATAGTGAATGTTGGTTAGGATTTACTCGTTTACTCTTACTCTCTTACTATTTTCAAAGCCTACTTAATTATTTACTTATGGAAGGGCCCATCCCTCGATATTTCTTCAAATCGCAATCGACCCATCCCCATTTAAGCTCCTCTTTGCTCAATTACTTGTGAACTCAGCAATCAACTTGGTACTCAATTCCAAACTGAATTGAGTGAGTCGATCCTCAAGTTCATCATTTGGCAGCAGGCACTGTTGCCCATGAACCTTTCGATTCCTTCATACTTCATTCAGATCAGAATCGACCACTTCTATCACGAATAAGCACCTGATAGCGGCCAAGAGCTACTCGAATGATCGGAGCGAATTCACACGCCACGCGTTCATCTTCAGAAAAAGACCAGGGATGGGTGGTGACTCGCTCAACTGAGATACGATTAAATCACTCAGTTGACCCTGACTTATTCGAACGTCAACATGAGCAAGAGCACACACTCAGTACGAGTGTGAAATGGCACAACTATTTGTCGGGGCTAAGAAAACAGCGTAAGTTTCACAATTATTCCTTATGAGTTTTGCCACGGACTCGACGTTCTCTTATTTGATTGTGAAACGCAATCTAACCCGACCTCACTACTCCATACAAGCTGCAGTCTGATCCACTACCCAACTAAAAACATTGAGTAACTGGCCCACAACCTTTTTGTTTTTTCACTTCATTGTGAAAAATATCTCCGGTCAAGACAGTGGAGAGTCAATATGAATGGAGGTCAAAATACAACCATAAACATCCTCAAAACCCCTTTTCTCGGTCTAATGTGAAGATGCGACAAAACACCATCTCAACTGAACGCATTATCATCAAAAATTTACCTCAGTGGAAGAGCGTTGCAGGTTCCAAATCTCAAGAGACAAAAAAACTATGTGCGAAGCCAAGAGGGATTTTGTTGCGTCGATGAGATCCTTATAACCGAAGGCGTCGGACAAAGAACATCCAGTTCGAACATACACATGAGGCCAAGATAAGTGCTAGTTTCTCACTCTCATTATACATCAATTGTCTGGCACAAGGCCGGGAACCAGAAAAAAAGCTACAAACCGCCGTGCTCATATTTCTTATTGTTGACGGTGGACTGATCGAATCCAAGAACACAAAATAGTGGAAGTCACGATGCAAGCCCTTAATCATCCAACGGAGTGACTGATATCCAGAACAAATGCAAAAGCAATCATTCGCAACAACTTCTAATTTTATTTCCCAGACCGACCATCTCGAACATCTTGATAGCGTGTCAAAATTCGACGTTCAAATCTCGACGCGAAGATAGAAATTAAACGCAGACTAAATGAGACTTTGATAATGCAGCAAGGGTTGGAAATACTTGCGTTGATAACTGGACGGTGAGTATCATGGAGACTGGGGTCCGCGCATCTTTATCTCATCGCACATTCGCACACTGCTCTAAACATGTTCAAACATGCTGTTGCGATTTGCAACATCGGGAGACCTGTATTGGCCGACAATACGGCCGGATGGCTGAGCTAAACTCCTCATGGGCAATGGGGATTGTTCTAGAATCATGACAACCTACGACTTCTGCATGACGCTTTTTAGCCAGCCAACAGGACAGGAGACTGTGGAAATCCCACAATCTGAACGATGTGAATGACTCTGCCGAAATTGCTCGAGCGGCTAGAGCCAATGACCCGGAAAGCGATCGGAGGCCATTTCCGTGTCTGCGAGGAAATGAAAACATTCTAACGCAAACCGTCCCTCAAAGTCATCTGAGGAATACGTGTGTTTTTTTCCACTTCTTTTCGATCGCGTCATCAACGGGTCTAGAATCCAGGTTTCCAACGGTCTCCCGGTCGATGAAACCGCGATCATGTGCATCGCCGATCATCAAGAGAACAAATGAGAGGCATGCTCGTGTGTGTACATCAATGATTATCATATTGATGGTTCTAGCGAATAGAATCTCGATCTGAAGCACCAAACCTAAACGATTCCAAGAAGTGCTGACAAGCCAAAACACGTTACAGTATGTCCTGTCTGCGTCTGTGCCTGGGAGTCAAATTGAGATGTGATTTTAGAACCGCTGGCTGGCTCGAAACACCATTAGTTCCCTTGTGCGTGCTGTGTGTCCTGGTGATATCAGTCTTTAGGGCAATTCGGTGTCCAAGATGTGGGTACCGAATCACACGGTGAAGGCACTAGTTGGGAGTTCTTTGTTCATTGTTCTCTGGACCTGCTTCAAGTCGATCGCATGGGAGCAAGTGCCATGGCCAGAAGTGAATCGATACTATGGTATTGGCAGCTAGCAAAAACGCTGGGTTATTTGACGTTTCGGTACTGCAAAGAGCAGAAACCCAGGTCGCTCAGACTACGGGACCAGTTGACAGGGAACGTCAGTACAACAGACTCAGATCTGGGTACGACGCCCGCAAATCGCATATAGGTACATTCAGGGCTCTGGGAACTTTCATGTTTGCAAGTTTGAGAATGATACATCTGATTTGCATATGTTCCAGGGTGGATGAACTAAACCCCTGCCCCGTATCTTCTGACAAATAACTAGAACACCGCATAATTATTGCATCATGTAGCAAACTTGATTCATCAGCCTTTGGATAATTGTTGAATGCGGGCACCACAAGAACCTCTCAATAGGCTTGCCAAGTCCTGCACTATTCCATTACGGTGCTTAATTACGGTCAAATATGTCAAGAGCCAGAGACATTCACTTTAAATGGAATAGTACGAGGCTACGAGTCGTCCCCGGTCCCTGCTGAAATGTCACACTGGGCCAGGGTGAACCGGGCGACTACGCTTTGTTTCATTTTGTGGGGAACCCATTCCAAATCTCGTTCTTTCTTCCCATTCTCAACAAGAAGATATGACAGCTCCCTTTTAAGATCTCTCTGGAGATTCTATCCCTCTGGAGCAAGTCCTTGGATCTGGAACTTCAGCAGTTGTGGTGTTACGTGACGGTGTGGCTGTCAAAACCCTCTTGAGATATTGTTGGAGCACAGATGTAGACGTTGAGATAAACATTCAAGTCATCCAACGTGAACAAGATGGCTATCGTAGTCTCCAATCGTCCAATTCCCAATGCGGCGGCAATGTCAACTGCCTTGGTTTCTCCAAAGAAGCTATCCGACTCGTTTACATGGCAATTGGAGATCTTCGCAAGAAGTTAGCAACCAATCAGTCACCCCAACAACCCCAACTCTCATGGTTTCGTGAAATGGCTCGCACGCTCGAGTATATCCACAACCAACGTTTGCTTGTGGCAGACATTGCCAGTCGTAATTTTCTTTTCGATTCAGATCTGATGATCAAATTCTGCAAATTCTCTGAATCATCTCTTCTACCCTTAGATGCCAACATGGATACTGTCGATGATGACGGACACATGACTCGAATAGACCTCGAATTTCTTGGTGCTGGTATCTAATACGTTGTCACGGGCGAGCATTGCAAGATCGTTCTCTTCAAAGACAACCTTCCAACTGATGGTCGGGCGACCTGGCCGCGGAGAGAATCCCTTCCTAGAACTGAGAATGTTTGGCTTGGCTCAATTATTAAAGATTGTTGGGTTGACGGAGGGGTTTGAAATGCCGGTCGCTTGCTACGAGCACTGGATTCAATCGTCTTACGTTCACCTGCTCCCGAGTCTCTGCTGCACGAGCAAACGTTGTTGACAGAGAGAATTGATTTAATTCAAAAGTCGATCGACGAACGGCCGGTGGTGCCCGCTCACTCTGCATATTAATAGAACACAGCCGTGAGCTGATCGCTACTGTGGCTTCTTCTCTCTCGGTGTAGCTTACCTTGTGTATTCTGATGGTTACAATACGTGTCGATTCTCGATAGAACTCTGATTTTAGCCGTAGATCCCCTCCCCTTGTGGGCCCCTTTGCGTATCTTTTGCGATGGCGTTTTTTCTGGTGAGCGAAGACATCCACAGACTTATTTGTCATCCCTTAATTATGAATCCAAATTAATATGCGTTTTGTAAAAGAAAAATAGACAGCTCTGGTTAGAGATGCAGAATATAAATTGTTTGAAGCAAGTGGCAAGAGATGTTTGTAGAAGTAAAGTGGAGGTGAAGAAGAAGTGGGTAATCTCAACACAGCTGTGCTGCGGGATCTTCGATCTTTCTTAACTCAGCTCTCATCCTTTGTATAATGCCCTTTCGTTGTTTATGACCTTGTACGATGCCTATTCCAACGCGCTCGGCTTCGCTGCGCGAGCCCCGTAAACAAGTCAGTCCCCTGTTACCCCTGGCTTGTTTGTTTACAGTGGAGAGCTTCCCCACAGCCGTGTCGCATTCTTGAACTGCACAATTACCGAAATTAAAACATGCAACATGAAACACAAGCTGACTGCCGAAGACTTCAAATATCGCACGACCTGCTACGAACATATCTCCCACGACCGGCCCGAAAGAACCTGCTCGCGTGAGCAATGACAAGAATCGCTCTTCAAACCCCTCGCCGGCCGAGGGTGCCTTGAAAGACAATGGCCCGACCGCTCGAGGAAGAATCCCACTCCCGCAGCGCAGCACTACTCAAGATAATGCCCGTGTAACCAGTCAAGTACGATTTCAGCCACCCGGTAGCAAGCCGAGCACACGCGATTCCTCACCGACACGGCAACGAGACATCTCCCCGGGAAAGAAACAAGCGCAATCAAACTCGACGGCAACTAAGACCGTGGTGCCGCCTACCAGGCGGCAAAGCATCGTGCGACCAAGTCCGCTGAAAATGGCTGTGACTAAAACTACGGTCCCTGCATCGAAGAGCTCTACGCCCTCATTTGCACCTCCCTCGCCTCGCAAGCTGCCAGGTCAGCGGTCGCCTGTACAGCCTCCTGTTACCAGGAGACCTCCCTCACCTAAGAAATCAGAGATGCTACCCCCGCCACGTCCGACGAGGTCCGCTTCCCTGAGACAGCCTGTCAGCGCAGGCAAGATTCCACCAGTGGCGGCCAGAGGTCATACACGGCACCGGAGCCAAATGACGCAAATTACCAAGGCAGTTGATGCAACACCGGCAACACAACGGTCTCGCGCAATCTCGGCCTACCAGCGACCGGGGTCCCCCAAGAAATTCTCCAAACCTCCAACGCCAACCCCCGGAGCTGCTCCACAGCCAGATAACCTGCTGATACCCTCGTCATGGCCGGATATCGCAGCGCTGCAAACAGAACTACTCCAACTGAGTTTATTCCATTCGAACTCCCTACAGCAACAAGCCGAATGGAAATCCGACTCAGAATCCCGTCTACGCAAAAAATACGACGGTGTCGCCGCCCAATATCAGTCCATCCTGGCCGACGAAACCCAACGACAGTGCCAACTGAACATTCACGCACTGGGCCTCTGGCTCTCCAATTGCCGCGAACACCGCGGCCACCACGACTTCCCCGAACAAATCCAAATCTTGTCTCAAATCCTGCAAGAAATAACCGACACAACCGCCAGAGGAGGGAAATACACCTACGCTCTAGCGACTTTTGAGTCCTGGCTCGGCCAATCAGAGTTCATTCGCCAAAACCGCGGATCGGGATGTCTTGATATCGCATTTGTTGACCCTCTGCCTCCGAGCTGGAAGGAACTAGTCCATGCTTTGAGTATCAAGCTCGAACACTGCTCGCGCCAGCTTCTGGCGCTTGATATCCTTGGTTTCGGGCAGGTGGAGCGCTTGGAGCAGTCGGCGCTTGCGAGGGTTGCAAGGAATCTGGCGGACTTGATACAAATGATGGTGCAGGAGATACGCGCTATGCGAGTGCTGGAGGCGCAGGTTGTACGATCCGAAAGGGATTCTGTTGGTTTGCTTGCTAGTCGGATCACGGCTTCTGTAGAGGAGTCGAGAGCTCCACGGGTTGGGGCTTGGAGGAGCTAGGCTTTTGGTGGCTTCGTCGGGTGAGTGTTGATGGTTACTCTTTTACCTGTATCAATGTGAAAATGCAAATAATGTCACGAACTATATTGAGGGCTTGTCAATATCAAAAACTGTATAATACTGTAGCTAAATTCGTATTTTGTATGTTGCTTGATGCTTGAATTAAACTTGATCGACATCCGCTCAAGAACCTCATCGGCGAACCAAAGCTTGTTCGGTACCTGGCCCGAGGTAACCCGATGAGTCAGCACAACGTCATGCCCAGGTGAAGCCTTTGGAGAGAATAGTCTGGATTTCGTGAACATCGAACTTTGCTTGTTCTCTCAGCAACTGGATCTTTTGTGTTTCTTTTCTTTCACTTTTCCACAAGTCTTTGCTCAATACACTAGTCACCTGACTTACAACAATCGTGACCCAGCCAATGTGACCTCCATCCTGAGCTCTACTCTTGACGTCATCTACAGCTATCTAACAGACAACGAATTCGCAAAGTCACAAGTCTCCACTTCCGTACCTTGTACCTTTCACGATGATCAATCACACCTAGCGGAAAATCAGCCTGAATATTCGCCATCATTTGGTCCAACGACGATGAAAGACTCGCTCTACCATCGCCTCTGGCGCCGGGAATGCGGGGAACAGTCGCAGTATGCTGGGCTTCGGGGCATTTACGGATCTAGGGAATGGGTCGACAACCTCGACATTGTGAACGAGCTCGGTGGACACACAGGGTGTGTCAATGCCCTCAGGTATGCTTGCACAAGACCTGGTTCTTACGGACAGGACCACCCGCCGATTGGCATGTGCTAATGATTTCACAGTTGGTCACGATCAGGACGTCTTCTGGCGTCTGGCTCCGATGACCAGTACCTCAATATCTACTCCTATCAACCCGAATCCTCCAATTCCCAATTCGCGCTCAACACAACCGTCTTCACCGGCCACAAAGCCAACATCTTCTCCGTCAAGTTCATGCCGCATTCAAATGATGGGACTCTGGTCACATGCGCCGCCGATTCAACAGTGCGTGTATTCGATATCGAATACTCACGTGGCAAACCCGGCGTTGACCCCTCGGGGTGGGAAGCGTCCGTGCGTAGCCGCCGCTTTAGTGAGTTCTTCACTGGCGCGCGGTATCTGAGTGACGGCAATACCAATACTAGGGTGTATCGCAGCCACGCCGATCGCGTCAAGCGTATCGTAACTGAGTCTTCCCCGTACCTCTTTCTCACCTGCTCCGAGGATGGCGAAGTCCGTCAGTGGGATTTGCGGCTGCCGTCTAGTGCATATCCTCCTCCGCGTGGCGGTCAGGGCTTCATGTCATACCGACCAGGACGGCAACATGATGACTCGAATGTACCGCCCCCTCTTATCTCCTACAAACAATATAATCTTGATTTGAACACAATCTCCTGCTCACCAAGCCAACCGCACTATATTGCCTTGGGTGGTGCGCACATGCACTGCTTCCTGCACGACAGACGGATGATTGGCCCGGACAGATCCGCCGCAAGGGGCAGTGCTACTCAAGTGCGGGGAGTGTTGCCGACGAAGAAATGAGCAAGGCAACACGATGCGTGCGAAGATTTGCACCAGGCGGCAAACATCGCGTCAAGCATGCCGCAGACGGACACATCACAGCCTGTAAAATCAGCGATGCAAACCCCGATGAGATTATTGTCAGCTGGTCGGGAGACCACATTTACAGTTTTGATCTGATCCGCGGTCCGGATGCCCGCGAGGGCCGCTCAGAGAAGGCAACACTCAAAGGCAAGAATACACGAGCTCGACGCAGTTCGAAGAGCCGAAAACGCAAGCGCCAGAAGCCCACGACGCCCTCATCGCAAGAGAGTGGCGGTCCGCAGCACTCTCGCTTTCGTTCTGAAGATCTGGATACTTTCAGCAGTGATGAGACTGGCGAGGAAGAACACATTGACTCTTATCCTCCGTACGATGGTCCTGTTCCAACCACTGCGGAGTCTATACTTGAGCAGGCTCGGTTTGCTGTGCTGAACGATGCGCAGCGATTGAGTATGCAAATTGCAAAGGGACTGGTGAAGCTTCGCAGAAATCTTTTCAGCCTTGAAGCGACAGTCCAAGAGGCTCTTAGGACTCCTGGTGTCACACCTGCATCCTACGCGGATTTTTTTGCATCTACCTTGGAAATGGCAGAGGATTATCTTCCAACGATGGAAGAGGTCATGCGCCAATGGAGGTATCCCTTGAATCCTTCTCAAGATACTGTTAATTTCCAGATGTCACTTCGCCACAATCGCGAATCGGCGTGGAGATTCGTGCAAGCTTCTGGGGCGATTTCCTATGCGTTGTCGAATCGACCCATAGATGTAGAATCGGTCTTCCAGTCGATCCAACCCGCACCAGGCGAAGAAGAAATTCCCCCAGGATCCAAATTCGGCTATGAGTTCCTCCGAGCAATCCTACTGTGGCTACAGCACGGCAGGGCACGTCTGCTTGAGGGATTCCAGCGCCGCAACGCTCCTCGACGATCGCACGACCGGTACCCAATTCCCGATGAGTCCGAGGAAGATGCCATTGAAACGATCCTGATCCCCTACTTAATGGACATGGCTCGTGATACCCCCGTTGTGAACCTCGATGCCTCCAGCCAAAATAACAGCGCTCGCAATTTATTCCCTACCCAGCTCGCTGCCGTGGCGACCTTTGGGAGAGTTGTTCGGCTGCCCTTGGAAGATCTCGGTGACCCGGCTGCTAGGGTCGAGAGGCGCCGTGCTTCCAATGTGCGATGTCTGGACCGGGACTGTTCGAAGCGGTTCTGGGTCCTGCGGGTTGGGAGGAGCCTTCTAATGGAGGCAGCCAAGGGAGTCAATTACATGTTTGTCAACCACGCTTTCGGCGGAATGCGCGCTTTACCGGAGTCTTCGGGTAGTGAGTCGGATGTGGAGATAGAACAGGCTGATATCGAACCTAATGCGGAAGAGGAGGGAAATTCCAACGTCAACCTGGTTCTGGATGGTAGGGCTCCGCAACAGGCCGATGCGGAGTCTGAAAGTTCTCGGGGAGAGGCGAAGTCTTCCAATGACGTCGCTAATCGAGGAGAAGGTGGCAGTGATGACAGCCAGGCAGAAGATGATAGCTCAGATGACGAAGAGGATGATGACGATGATGTCGATGAATGGCCATTGGGTTCATCTGACGATGAAGATAACGCGGAATACGACTCAGACGACACTACTACCTCGAACTATGCTATCCCAAGAGTCCGCCAACGAGATGTCGAGCGACACGCTCCCTGCTCAACTCACATTCGCAGCTATCGCGGACACTGCAACATCAAGACCGTTAAAGACGTCAACTTCTTCGGTCTGAACGACGAGTACGTAGTCAGCGGCAGCGACTCCGGCCACATATTCATCTGGGACCGCAAGACTTCCCATCTAGTCAACATTCTTGAAGGCGACAGCGATATCGTCAACGTCGTCCAAGGTAAACACTTTCCTTCTCACTAACCAGCTACCAAATCTGACACCACCCAGGCCACCCCTATGAACCAATGATTGCCGCCTCCGGAATCGACAACACTATCAAAATTTTCTCATCAGACCAAAATGCGCAAGAAGATGCCCGCAACGGAATCAACATCCTCGACCCCGACAATCCTTCCAACACTCTCGGTCGGAATACTTCAATCGGCGGCCTCGAAAGCCGCAAGCGCATCCACGAAAGTTATCGCATCATGAGCCAAAATGACGTCGAGCGTCGCGGCGGCATGAACGAAGCCCAGATCACTGTACGTTGGTTCCACAATATCTTTCTCTGGTGACCTGGCGCGCACTATGTTGAATGCTTATTTGACTTTTCCATAGCGCGAAATGCTAGGCCGACTTGCTGCTAATTTGCGGGATCGGAGAGGTGTATTGGGGACTGGGATGGAGGGGCTTGAGGCTCCTGGGGAGCATGCTACTGTTGTTCTTGACGATAATTGCTCGGTAAGTATGCCTCGACTGATTTGTTGTCTTGTTCGGTTGGATGTGATGCTGACTAGGTTGCAGGTGATGTGAGTGGATGTGAGTGGATGGATGGGTTGGAATGCACAGCATGGCGTCTTTGTCTTCTTTCATTTTTGCGCTAGAATGACTTTACGTATTTCTTTGCAGTCCTGCGTACATAACAAGTTGTATGTCGCTCCTTTTGACGGGGTTCTGGCAAGCATAATTTAATCGAACGATGAAGGGAGTAGCAACTCCATGGAAACTATGACTACCGCTCTTCAAAAACATGCCAACTCTGACACCAACAATAGCCTGTACCAAAATGATTTCTTGGCTAGTGTTGGCTGATGTTGGGTAATTTTTGTTAAGCTTTTAAGGGAATTCTCAAGACGGAATGTGATTGGTACATATGGAGCCAGAAGCGTTTCGGTTGTGGGTGTTACATCTAGATATCTATCACCAAAGACCAATAGTTGGCATTCATCATCCTCCGGTTTGAAACGGGCGCTAAAGTGATCAATGAAAGACTACTCTACCATTCAAGTTTAAATTCAAATCAACAAGACCCTTGCTTACCCATGTGTTACCGCGCGCGTAAATTTGTTTCAGTTCATTCGTTTTCTACTTATATGGCGTCGAAAGCCGAAGAGCACAGTGCCTTTTTGTCTATTTAAACAGCATCTATTTCTAATTACAACATTTATCTCTTAACAGATAAATATCCATAATTCCAGATTCCAGATTCGAAAGCAGCATTCGACCCTTTATCAAAATGCCAACCAAGGTTTTCATTCTTGTCTTCGTTAGTGAACCTCTCGACTATACCAAGTATCGCCATACAGCTCTCTTTTTTAAGTTTCCTAATAGATCTACATATGCGATGCATATAGAGGGTGCACCTGGGTTTTTCGAATTCCAGCCACTCGACAATTACCGCCCTGAACAAAGTCGAAGGCTTGCCAAAAAATTCCCAGTGGCGGAACTCCAAGATTTAATCAGTGAAGTCTCTATCAGAGGAGTCGTTTTAAGAACCCCCGTGAAAAACAGACCTACAGACGCGGATTGGGACTGCCAAAGTTGGGTGGCAGATACCCTTACCCGGATGGTGAACAATAGGTATTTGAATGCGTCTTAACGAGCAACGGCCAATAATCAAATGACCGATGTGTGCTTGGAAGCTAAAGATGAGTAAGGGTGTTTTGCATACCACAAAGCGTCACATTGCCGGTAAGTAACGCACAACGAAAGATATAAGCGGATTTTCATTACTTATATAGAAGTTCTAGTACTTCGATCTAATCAAACAACATTAGTGGTGCTTTCTGCGAAGAACGGACGGGGAGATATACTATTTATATGAAGGTTCCTTGAACGTTCGAGAGTATATTCATAATTTCTTACTTGATTGATCTTTATCCTAAATGTCTGTATGATACCTATAGTAGTTATATCCGCTAATGGCGTAAGAGACGAGCTAGGAAGGACATGCCTATATATTCTCTCTCGAACCGGGGTGGAAGAATACGTGACAGATATTCTGGCCAGTCGGGCATCGGCTTCAGTTGCCGAAGCGCCTGGATATATTCCCAGTGTTCCGGATACCAGCCAGCATATTCCCAGTCAAGGATAGCTGTGACCCGGCCTCCTTCGACAAGGATATTACGCGGGGAGAAATCGGCGTGAGTAAAAACAATCTCATGGTCATCCATAAGCGCAAATTTGGCATAATGTCGCAGTATATCTGGCGCTGACTTCACAATATCTCCTAAAATAAACTCGTTAAACTGCTGCTCGGTATCAAACGGACCGCCTTCAATTGATGCAATCTGTCCAATTACAGCTTTGCCACGATCAATAGCTCCGATATAGCTACCCTTTAAGTCGCGAAGTTGATTTATGTAGGAGTGAAGCTCAGAGGCGATTGAGAGCTTCTGATCTAAGTCTAACGTATCCCATGCTTCATCGAGTCGCTTGCCAGGCATGTAGTCCATCACGATAGCCACAACTTTGCCATCTTCCCAATGGATATCATGGACTTTAGGCACAGGGATTGTCGTGTTTGTCGCAATGAAACGAAGTGTTTCGGCTTCGTGGGAGCGGATATTGCCCGATTTCACGACGAGATTGTTACCGACTCGGATAACCGTGCGACCGCATAACGAATGAAGGGTCGTTCTTTCTTGATTATTCATTATATTCATTTTTAAGAATAGAATATCTGCGTCTTCTGTTGCATTTCAGAAATTCTAGGGTAAAAAGTGAATGAACGGCCGGACAGAGAATTTAAGATAGTAGCGCTGACAGGCTAGAAGAGGGGAAATTCGATAGGGGAAAATGATGATCCGTCAAATGGCTACCCCTTCTATCAGCTTCCCTTTTACCATGCGATTCTAAATATGTAAGGGGAACGTGCGCAAAAAAGATTGTGTGATAAATCATGCGAAAGCATGCGAAATAGGGAGAATACGTGCGGATTAATGATATTATATGCAATAGAATTTGCTAGGCGAATAAAATTTCACGCCTAACAGAACTAGACAAACCGAACAGTCTATCCCGAACGCATAACACACAATCTATTGTTACTAGTCAGCAAAAGAGATAACCCAGCTCAAGGGAAAAATGAGGTCGGGATGGTCTTATTGGACAAACTGCAGGAATATATTCTCAACTATGATGTTCATATAGGAAAGAGAAAAGCAAACACAAACGATAGACCTCGCCTGGAGCGGGCACGTGTCCATTTTGAATATTTTGCTTGAAAGGTGCGCTGATCCAAACTGCAAGGACAAACAGGGTCGCACCTCATTGTCTTCGGCAGCAGAGTACGGGCACTTGCCAGTGGTCGCGAGCCTGCTTGAACAAGGAATTGACATGATCTTCGAGGAGGATATGTGCCGTAAAAATCCATTGGAATATGCAGCGTCGAACGGTCACGACGAGGTGGTTGATTTGCTGTCAAGCATGGGGTGTGTCGCTCAAGACTGCAAATCCAAAGATATTGAGAGAGCTCGTGAGAGTCAGAGCATGATTAAGAGCTTTACGATAGAGGTTTGAGCTTGGCTACTCAAAATTGTCTATGAGCTCTCTATATAAGCTCTCTGTATAGATAAATCATATCAAAGTACCTTTGGGTCATAATGCCGAAGAGTCTAGTTTCAAAAGCTGCCAAATGAGCACATCCAGCTGGCCTTCACGTCCAGTGAATCAACAGTTCATCATAGCGGAGATTATGTTGTGGGCTGTGAATTGCTCTTACATACAGCATACCTGACATACCACGTGGAGACTTTCATAAGTCAACGATTGAGTGCTTTGCTATGCTCGCTCCTTGTTGCTCCCTGGCTTGCTCCCACCCTGACAAGGTAGGATCCTCGAGGCCACGATCTACGTTACATCGGAAGTGCTGGTCGCCGTCGCCCTACCGATCATCCAAGCTGATGTCTATGTACTTTCTGAGATGATATTGTCTTTTCTTTAAAGGGTCTAGTCCACATCCGAACGTACTCGATGGCGGAAAGTTCGAGGTAAAGACCTTTTCACAGCTTCACATCATACGTAATAATGTGCTATAACATGCTGCAAGAATACCGTCGGACGTCACACAGACTGGTTGGAACGCGATTGAATGCATTAGTTTGATTATAGACGAGGGAAAAGTAAGCAGCTGTATAGAAGAAACCTTGGAAATCGATACACCATTTGAGAGAGAGAATCTGTTAATACTAGGGTAACGTTCAAGCTTTGAACAGCTGTGGCTGTGAATCTCTTTCCTTCCCGAAAAGATAAAGCATGTCCTAGTGTCGAGAAATATCATTCCCGTAATCTATCATGACTCATCTAGGGCACATCGGTTGATGCAGTGAGCGAATATATTTTCCGATTGGATGTAGTAAGCTTATAGTGGGGCGCTCATAAAGACTACGTGAGAGTATGGAGTTTAAACCTGACTTCGGATATGACTGTAAAGGCCAGGAGATGCATCAGAGCATACGGTCTAGCCAGCGCCTTTTCAATCTCGCCGTTGGATGCATAGGTGACATTAGAAAGAAGTCCCTGCTCGAGGTTCTTCTCATCTACGATGAAGGAGTAAGCACTCGTGTAGTACAGCACCGCTCCGGATCGCGGCCTAGAGATGTGGCTGAAGTCTGCATTTTCTAGATACATCCAACGTGCTGCGTCTTCTTTGCTTAGTGGAGAGGAAGATATCTCTTCGGCAAATACTAGATGGTTGCGGTCATTATCGGATAAAATATTCTCACGAGCACTATCAAAGCGGTTCAGTAACACAAGAAACTTTGTTCAACGAGAAAGATTGACAGGGTTATTTGGGTCTACCCGAGCCAAGCACATGAGGGAATCATCTGGGAAGCTGTCAAGTTTGGCAGTAGCTTCCCGGCAAAATTCCACCGGAAACACTTGTGTCAAACACACTTTGAACTAATTGGGATATAAACAAAGCCTCTCCCGGATGCACAAACAAGGAATATTACTCGGTATATAGAACTATATCTCCCATTGGCAAAATGTGCCAAGTGCTTAAGTACCTCTATAATCACCAGCGAAAATTGCCGATATAAGGCCTATCTCTCTCCACGTAATGATCGGTACCAGATTACCAGAATGTCTCTGTTCGACTGTAATTGTGGGTGACTATTGAATGTAGCTGATTGAAACCCATCTGTCAATGTGTATGTTAATTATATTTAGTGAGGTAGCGGAACCATAGACACATTACTATTTTGCGGGTAGCCTGAAGCAGACCTGAGCACTACTAAGTAAGTTCAAGTCAAAATGAGACAGAGAAGTATTTTATACCATCCAGCCTTCAATCTCGACGATAAACGACTACTTCCACCCGATGCCCGGTTATCTCTCTTCATACCCAAATTGGTTAAGCATCTGAGGAGTCCGAAGATACCGGACGGGAACTAGTAGAACCTTGCAAACTTGGCGGGCGCGTGCAAAGATACCCGGACGGGAGATTCCCCTGGCCGCAACCTAACTCTCCAATCACCAACATAAAGGCTCTCTCCCCACGCCGTTATAACCTTTCCCCCCGCGGCTCTCATCGAAATTAAATGATTGACGTTTTCTAAAGATGACTTGTCGGATAGCAATTCAGCTAATTGTATACGGCGTAATTTGCTGCATGGGTGTTGCCGCGCTAGCTTTGATCATCTCCGCCACATCCAATTAACCGCGTGCAATTGCCGCTTTATTGTTCCTCTCTGAAACATGTTCTAATTGCGGTGGCCCCATTTAACGTTCTAACATGGCCAATGATAGGAAGATACTTAGCACATATGGACCACAGGCTACATAGATACCAAAGATCACGTAGGTCTCCTTCTAATATTGAGTGCTTTTCCTCGACCGTGGAGACGATTTGGGGGCTAGGTCCTCAACTAATGCACAGTGGGTAGGATGAAAACCTGACCGACAAACATCCTTGCTCGCTTCATAGGCGGGGAAAAACCTTTTAAATGCTGAGTGAGTTCCCCTCGGGAGGCAATAGCATTTGTTGTTGATTTCCTACCGTGTTCTTGGTTTGGATCGGGTGTTCATCATTATACTGAGGGATCATTTTCCGCTATGCATGCCGGCCCGTCGGACGATGAAGGCCAAACTCTTTTCAACTTCCCGTCCGTGCCAGGAGAGAAGTATCCAGTAAAACATCGACGACAAACCGCCAGATGTTGTGGCGAGCATCTGATCTTTAGCCTCTTATTTATAACACTCTTGATTCCCCTGACGCTGAGCATCCTTCTCGTATACGGCGATGCTATCGACTGGCACTTACCCGGAAACCTATATACGGTTGTAAATGAATATCGAACATCAGTCCAAACCGGGGTGCAGGTTATTTCAGCTATCCTTGCGGGCCTCGAAGTCTTCGCACTTTGTCGACTTATCAATCTGGCAACACGAATCCATTTCACCAAAGCCCCCGTTTCGCTCAACATGCTTGGCTTCTGGTCAGCGCTCTCCACTCCTACAACAAATTGGGGCCAGCCCTTCTGGATGATCCTGATCACCCTCTTACTCAGCAACGTTGCAACCGTTTTCTCTGCTCTATGGACGGGCGCCCTGACCCCAATCAATGCCATCGGCACTCGAAACACCACCATTCATGTCCCCGACTGGTCCAACATCAGCCTGATTCAGGAATATCCAAGTCAGATCGATCGGACAGGCTTGAACGTCCGCAACGCAGATGGCCACTTCACCTTCTCCGTCGGAGTAGGCCTCCTCGGATCATTGCTCGCCTCGGCCAACTCAGCCTCGCCGGTCGATGGCGGCGTTCGGAGCCACAATAAACTCGACAACACCCGCTACACCTACTACGGCCGCTCATACAGCGCAGGATCAAGCGTAGGGCTCCTCGATCAGTCCGTGCTCGACATTTTCCGAGCGACCAATTACACCTACAGTGAAATCGGCTTGTCAACCACCGTCTCCTGCATCCACAACAGCAGCTCAGAGTTCATCCTCTCGGATGGACAGGACGTCGTCTATCCCGCCCAAGGCAAGCTTCCAGATAGCACCGATCGGGAATACTCTAGTTACATAGGCTATAGCACCAGCGCGATCGTCGCAATCGGCGTTGCAGCGCAACCGTCCACGCACACTGCAAAACGATACATGGCGTTCGCAGCAGGCGACTACTACAGCGATCTCGACAAAGTTCAATGCGCCGTTACGTTTGTTCCGACAAGATTCAATGTCACAGTGAACATCAGCGATCGCAACATTACCGTGCGCAAGGTAATTGAGTCCTCGACATCAGTCCACGACATCGATCCGCATCACAACATAACGCACGTCACGATGCGACAGCTGGAACTCATATCAAATGACCAAACGTGTTTCTACCGCTCGACGGTTGGCGATACATTCAACGCGAGTATCAGCGACTATCGAACCTCTATCACGAATTCAACGAAGGGAAACATCACCGAGTCGGCAATCATAATGAAGGGGGTCGAGAACGCCCTTACCTCTTTACTTGATGATATGCTGGTAGCTTATGCATCTGCACAAAGCATAGTCGCTGGGTTCAAGAAGCCCGCGCCAACACTTGTGTACGTTGCTGCTCTTCGTGTTGGATCACGAGGATACATCATTTCGAGCGCGTCTATCATAGTTATAATTATAGTTTTGGTTATTGCCGAGGCTATTCGCATGCGTGGATGGAGGGAATTGCCTATATTTGATTATCTGGACGATCGGATGCTAGTAGTTGGGGCATCAGATGGTGGGCGAGGAATAGCGGAATATGCAGAGCGGAATGGGAATGCTAATTTGGATCATATTCCTATCGTTTGGAGGAAGAAAGGAGACGGTGGTTTGGGTGAAATCTCAATAAAGACTACTGTAGACGAAGACACAGGTATTGTTTGTGTACGAGGGAAGGTTGTTGACCAAGATGGCAATGGTATGCTTTGATTGAGCGTCGGTGCAGTATACGTTAAAAACTGCAGTTAGTTCAATATTTGCTTGCCCTATCAAGGCAAAAATAGTACGTATATAGGCTTCCATCAGAGGAGCTTTTCATGTTGGATTGAAGATTTGACCCTAGTAACAAAGATAGTATCAGCTTATATATGTGTAGTGGTTGCGCCCCGAATTCCCATAACATATAATTAACTCGTAGTGTTATAGTTTCTACTAGTTAACCATTTGTTAACTCTCTAGAGCTATTAAGGCAAATATAGTAAGTATCTAGGCTCCCTTCGGTGGAGCTTTTCTTATTGCAGTATTAATGCCTTAATGTATTTCCGGATTAGCCAACATTCCTTCCAAGGTTGTTTAGAAAATTCAAATACCTTTCGAGTGTAGAGTGGGAGCGAGACCTGATCTTTTTTGTTAAGACATTTAAAGTGTCGGTTAGATTTACTACTAGTAGACAGTCTCAAATAGTGCTCCTAGGAGCTGTGGACACGAAAAAACTAATAGTTAAAGACGATACGCTAAAAGTGTGTTGGTCTTGTATATGTCACTATCATTGGTAGACCTAGGTAATGCTGAAGCATTTCTAACTAAGCTAACCAAGTCTAACACCCCTGAAAGCTTACCGAAATCTCAACGAACGGGGGTACATATTACTAACTCGACTACATGGACTTTACGCAATGTAATAACTAAAAATCATACTAAAGAACTCTTTCCTTAAGCGGTAAGGCCTATAGGATCATAGTTTGTGCTTTTTTTCCCTGACTCAGCCTAGATATCAGCAACTCTCAGAGATAGAAATGCCCCTAATCAATAAGAACTATTAACGTTCGACGAGCAACAAACTTCACAAAAGATCTCGTCTACAGACTTAGTCTTTATGGCTCTTTTCTTCGCGTTCTTTGGAAAGCCTCAATCAACTATCAAGTCAATCGGAAGATGTTAATCGAGTACCAAATACTTTCTTTGAAAACCCACCCTCGGACGCCAATCTTGTATAGCCTTTCTCCTTCTTGGCCTTAGGGCATTAGATCACAAAATGCTCACGGTGAATCTTCTTTACTTTAACTTGGCGAATTGAGCCACACTTTAAAAGGATGCAATCAAAGACTATACACATATATGCCTATAGTTCAATCCAAGTATACCTTTAAAAAGTTGTACCATCTTCGTAGGTAGGCATACCCACCCCTTTTAAAACATCGCGTTACCTTTCTTTCTTCTTCTTCTGAGGTTTCCTGTATTGTTACATACGTTACAATTAGATATTCATACCAGTCTCCTTTCAAAGATAGTTGCAATGCTTTAGCGAATTAGCAGTCACCGACACAAAATTTCACCCTAAACCAGAGCGATAGTGAAAAAGGTGTTGGAAACCAAAAACAAAGAGCAGACGTGTGTTCGATTTGATGACCTCCAGTGGCAGGTCATCCAACATTCACTAAATTAAATTAGCTAGGTCATGGACATGCCATGTCACTTGTAAAGACATGGTCGTGTTTCCGTGAATTATCTCGGCAACGTTGCAACGTGATAGCTGGTGCGTGATAAATGCATAGCGCTTACTCCTGCACCACTTGTCACGCCAACGACGCTAATTCTGATCTACACATCTAATTCTTACCCATTAATCCCGCAAGCTACCGTCAAGTGCTAATACGATTGGCTCTCGCGTTGTTCCGAGAATTTCCTCACGCTAATGCTTGCCTGCGTTGCTTGATTGAGTTTGTCTTGTGTGTAAAGATGTCAAGATGTCATCTGAGCGAGGTGTACATCTTTAGTTTTCTTGTCAGAGGTGTCGAGCCAATTGTCAATGGTCTCCTTGTGCGGTGAAAATGCTTATTGAAGCAATCGGGATCAACGTGTCTCAGTTAACTCAAAAGTCTAATTGGAAAATACGCACGCTTCTCAGCACTCAGCAAATGTGACGGATCTTTTGCAACATTTAATCACCACCTGTTTGCCTAATGAGAAGCGAAGGATAAAAGCCAGCAGAGATGAAGACAATGGAGCTAATTAATCAACCTAAAGACTATTCCAGTTGGTTTGATTCAATTTGTTCTGCTTCAAAAGACCTCCTGTAGTGATTTCGAAAGGCCTCGGGGGGTTAGTCATGGGTTTCATTTCATTGTCCTTGATTCTAACCGTGACTAGCCAATTTATGAGTCTCTAATTTAATTATGACCGTTTACCAATTAGCATATTCCTTGATGAAAAGTGTCCCGGGAGCTAGAATCGTCTGCCATGGCTGTCAGGGTCCGTGACCGACACACTGAGTGTGACGAAACGTGCCGTGTGTGACCAACCATACTTATACAAGACCAAAAGGTGAATATCTCATGACTGCTGACTGGCTATCTGTTGCTCCAACTATTATTTTATGTCGTCACCGTATTGCTAACGTCTCAGATTATGATCCAGATACATGTCCAATCTAAGCGCTTCCAAACTCTCTCATTAGCCAGAACTTCATTTCACGGAATAGAAACGATGGTTTCGAGGGGTCAGGTTGGAACGGTTGGAACTGAAGAGCCTGTTCATTGGCTAGAAACCCCTGTGGATGGCCGTCACCAAACCCACATTACCCACAACGAACGCCATCAGACCCGCTAGCGCCCAATCAGCACAACAAAGACGAAATGATGCAGAATGAGACTTGGCATTTTAATTTGCCGGAGCACTATAGTGTTAGACTTCCTATAGATACCCCACCCCGAAATTTGCTTGAGTCTATTTCTTACCCCGTCTGAGTCCAGTCCTGAACATGCCAAAAGGATCCTCTAAATTCAAGGCGCTCTTGAATCTTCTAAGTCGACGGGAACAACTCTACTGGCACTCCGCGACATCAATACTTCTTCAACACTTCAAACACAATCACCTAGGATGGAAGAAGCCGATCCGTGTATGGACTTGTATCAAGTCCCTTCTTTTGTTGGAAGAGAGGAGGAACTGGGGGAGATTGATCGTGCCGTGGATGGCAATAAAAACACAATGGGGTCAGCGGTAGTGATCCTAGGTATGGGCGGTTTGGGAAAGACGCAACTCGTTCACGAATACTGCCGACGCTCTTTGGAATCCGGCAAATTCCAAGCCACTTTTTGGCTCGATGCCTCTAGCCGGGAGTCTCTGCTGAGCAGCTACGAGAAAATCGCATCTCGAATGACCCTTCCTGGAACCAGTTCCGAACAGGCAGAATTAGTAGACCGAGTTAAAAATGAAATATCGGGACTGGATATTCCCTGGGTGGCGGTGTTGGACAATTTCGACTTCCCATCTCGCATTCCTGACATCGGAGCATTTATACCGATGGTACCTGCGCAACTTGGAACGGTCTTGGTAACAAGTCGCCATCGGGGTGTAACTTGCTCGAAAGGTACCACCATACTCCTGAACCAAATGACGCAACAAGAAGCTTTGGACCTGTTTTTCCAACGACTAGGCTATGAAAGAACCGAAGCCAGTCAAGCCCAGGCGATTACCATTCTTGGCCGATTCGGGTCCTTGCCCTTGGCTATAGAGCAAACAACCACCTTTATCAAAACTCGACAACTTTATCTCGCCACCTTCTTAGACCAATACAAAACATTCTCCAGAGATGAGATGTGGACGTCTGTCCCATCTTGGTGGTGGGATCGAAACACGCACCAAAGGGCAGGCTCAAATGTATACTTCAGTGTTCGGACAACTTTCGAACTTTCACTCCAGGAGACAGAGAAGGTCGTTAGTGGCTGTGAAGATATTTTGTCATTTTTTGCATTTTTTCACTCGTCCAAGCTTTCCGACGAGATGGGAGTCGCGGCGGTTGACGCTGCAGATGGTCAAATGGAGCATCTTTCATGGGCGCAAAGTTGTCTGACAGATGGTCTTTGGGACTCCAGCAAATTTCGTGACATGTTGTACTCGTTGCGTGCAATCTCCCTCGTGCAGGAATTCGAGGATAGCTCCGGTTTCGTGTGTTTATCTCTTCATCCAGTGATCAGAGAATGGCTTCAAATGAGACTTGGGGCGTCCCGGCGAAGTATGTTTCTCAAAGCGGCGATTGACGCCCTCACTGCCCTACTCCGGAAACAATTCAAAAATATGGATGTTTTGCCATTTAGTCGCCGGCAGTGGCTACTAGCTCATATTGAAACCCTCATTGAACACACGAACGAAACAATCTCACAAGAATTGAGTTACGATTCAGTTGACACAATGCTGATGTTCGCCGCTTTCCTTGTCAAATTTGAGCGATATGAGCTTGCTGAGAGACTTTATTGCCAGGCATTAGCGGCAGCCCGGGAAGAAAACCATGAACCGTCTTATTCCAATCCCAGAGTGGCCTACATATATGACCAGCTTGGTGGTTGCTTTTTCGATCAGGTGAAATATCCCGAAGCTCGAGATATGTTTCTTCAAGCGATCAAAACAAAAACATCCACTCAGGGCAAAAACGATCCTTCAGTCTTGAAATCCATGAAACAGCTTGGCACAGTCTACCGAAGGATGGGACTACACGCAGCAAGCGCGAGGCTGTTGGAGTATGTGGTCAAAAGAATGTGGGAACTCAACGGATCCAACGACACCCAGTACCTACAAGCAGCAAGCAATTTGGCCGCCTTGTATTTTGATCAAGGTCACTTCCAGAAGGCGATGGAACTTGTACAGCAAATACTGAATGCAAAATTGGAGAACTGGGGAGAATGTAACTCGACATGCGCCACGATGCGGTCTCTTGCACTCATCAAGCTGGAAATTGGAGACGACATCGAGGCGGAGAGCCTTCTTTTACGTGCGTTATTTGGACAGGAAAGGTTTCTGGGGCCAATGCATGCCAGTACGCTTTACACTGTGGATTTGCTCGAGAATCTGTATGTGAGATTGAAGAACGAGGAGGGCGCAAAGAAGATGCGGGCCAAGTCTCAAGGGGAAGTAGGCTCAGGCATTCTTCGATCTTCGAGATATGGCACCATTGAAATTTGAAGACTTTTTAGTAAGACATGGTCACCCTTTCCCAAGTCAGTTGATAGATCCAGGTTCTTTGCTTGTTGCTTTTGCTTTCAATGTATGGATCATACATGAGACTGGAGATCTTGTTGAAGTTATTGGAACAAAAAATTTCTTCCGTTTATCTCAGGACCTACTTTGACACAAGTTCTGACCTTTGACTACCTTATTTTTCCACTCAAACTAAGATTTTGAGAAAGTCTGCCATTCGCAGACTCTGCCTTCTGCTCCTCTTGAGAAACAGATATACCATTGATACAGATTGGCTCAAGGGAGATAACTCGAGGAATCTACCGCGCTCTACGGTCATTCCTATGTGCCCATGGCAGAAACGGCGTTAGGAGTTGATATCAAATGGTTTCTCATTGTTGCGGATAAAATGATTTCGTTTCCCCATGCAACGCAGTCAGCATTTTCCAGTTACAGTGATGTTATAGCTGTGGATCCATAGCAGAGGCTTCTGTCCCAAGGAACATAACATTTATTACAGCATATACTGGCTGTTGAATGAAAAAAAGTCAATGTTGTAACCCAGAAGTATATATTCACGTGACTGTTCTTATCGTAGAAATTTTCGGCGATAAGAAGAACCTGCCCGCATCTACAGAGGGGCAGAGCAGATTCGATTTTGAATAATACTCGTTTTGCGTTGTATGAAATCGTTCTAACTCATTGTAAATGGTGAATTGATTCCACCTGACTTTTAACCTGTTATTTGATACCGAAACCAGATGCTGGATACATATATCACTTTGATCCGGTAGAAACCAGCACATAAAACGGCAATATCTCTTCTAGCAAGAGAAAATACACAATGTCTGCCTCTCAAGCCCTGCAAGCTCGCAATGAGGTCACCGCCAGGCTCTACGCTGACCCCCACAATCCCCACCACCACCTTGAGCGAGGCCTCATCTACCAAAAGCTAGGCTTCCCAGACCTAGCCTCCGCAGACGCGTACCGCGCATTGGCCCTACTGGAGTCCGTTATTGACCCAGATGAGTGTGAATTCCACGCCAAGCGGAAATTAGACCCCTCCAAGGTCGAACAGTCGAATGAGTCCGACTCCGAGTCCGATGAAGAAGACAATACAGTCCCCATCACCCAAGAAGAATACGACGCAATCATAGACAAGGTCTACACCCTCCTAGTCTGCAGTCTAGTCAACTGCGGCTGCTACCGCGATGCCTTTGAATTCGGCGTCCGCGGTCTAGCCCTGCTCCAAACCAACACCTCCGCAACAAAAATTCTAAACGAACAAATGAACCGCATCAAAGAGATCTACAAATCCCGCACCAGCACAGAAACAGACCTAGATCTCTCCTCCATCGACTCAAGCAAACTTCCCAGCCAAGGCTTCGCCCGCAGAATCCTCTACCCCTGGAACGAGCACGAGCCAGATCGCCGCTCCCCAGAAACCTTGCAGCTCTTAAACTCGCGACTGGCCACAATCGCCCCAAAATGCGAAGTCCGCGCCGTCGCCCTCCCAGTCCTGCACGCAACCGCAGACGAAAACATGGATGTCTCCGTACAACTGGGCCTCTTCGCCAAAGAGGACATCGCCCCAGATGAGATCATCCTGCGCGAATCATCCCTGCTGACAGCGACGAACCGCCTGCACGACGATCTCTGCGACGCATGCAACGCGCCGCTGCCGGATCTCTCAGCCAAAAGCCCGCCCGTCGCCTGCGAAGGCGACTGCGTGGATATCATCTTCTGCAGCCAGGAGTGCCATGACACCGCACAGGAGGTGTACCACGGGGCGATCTGTGGACTGGAGGATGGGCTGGATTCTATCGGAAAGGATATTGCTGATCCGACGGATAAGGCTGATTACCTGTACCTGCTTTTGGTGGGGCGAGCGATTGCGATGTCTGCGACGCAGGAGAAGCACGCGCTGGAGCTGCCTGAGGTGAAGTATATCTGGGGTGATTTCCACGATTTCGATATCGAGGGGACGGAGACAAGTGCGGAAGCAACGCTGCCGTTTTCGTTCCAGCTGAATGTGCTCCAGCCGGAGAGGATTCTCGATGAAATGGGTCTTGATCCGTATGTGGAGCTGTGTCGGTTTGATACGTGGGTGTTGAATACGCTGTATGCGAAGTTCCGGGGTACGGCGTCCGGCAGACTTAGTACTTGGGACGGTGGGCCGGAGTTGTGTGCTGTGCATCCGTTGTGGTGTTTGGCAAACCACTCGTGTGATCCCAATGTGACGTGGGAGTGGAGTAGTGAGATTAATTTCCGGGCGAGACGGGATGATGAGACGGCTGTTTGGTCTAGGGAGGGGGAGGTCAGGGAGTTGAGGCCTGGAGGCATTAAGAAAGATCAGGAAATTCTGAATCATTATTGCGACATTGGGTTGCCGGTAGTTAAGAGAAGAGAGTGGGCTTCTGGCGCTTTGGGAGGCACTTGTTTGTGTGATCGGTGTGTTTGGGAAGCTGGGGAGATTTAAGGTTGGTATGGCCTGTATATAGATGTTTATAGAGAGTATCTTTTGACAACATAATATGTTTTGGATGGCTTGGACAAAATGAAAGCGTAGAAGTACACCATATGAAATTGCTAATGATTCCCTATATTCCGAATTCCAGGCACCGTCAAACAACAGCCTCATATTTTCGCTCCAAAACTGCACTATTTCATTATCAACAGTTCGAGATTTTGACTGTTCAACTCCGCGATTAAAATATCACATCACAGTAATTTATCTACGACGAGGTGGTGTCCGGGAGGAGCTTCGACCCCGTGATTCGTCCCGACGCTTAGGAGGTGGCGAGCGAGAGTCCGAAACATCGCGTCTCCGACGGGGGGCAGGCGACACAGACTCAGAGGTCCGCTTTGCTCCCCGAGACGCAGGCTCGCGACGAGGAGGCGTGACAGATCGTGACATAGATCTGGTGTAGCTGCGGTTCCGGCGTGGGCTTTGGCCGCGACGGGGTGGTGTGATAGACCGAGAAACCGAGCGGCGGCGATAGGGGCTGCGACTACGACTCGGGCTCCGCGAGTCGTAGGAGCGAGAACGGGAACGGGCTCGGCGTTTGGCAGGAGTGCGAGAAACCGAGCGGGAGCGAGCACGTCCTGCGGGAGTCCGGGATCGGCTGTAAGATACGTCACGACGGCGGCGGACTGGGGACCGAGATCGGGAGGGAGTGTAGCTCCGGCTCCGGGAGGATGGGGTGAGTGAGCGGGTGTAGGAACGACCACGGCCCCTGGAAGGAGACCGGGAATATGATGGAGACCGGGAGCGGCGAGAGTGTGGGGATCCGGTACATGTAGAGCACATGGAGCGGGATCGATCGGATGGAGTGCGTGACAAACTTCGAGAAGCCCGTGCCTGCAGGGCTGGCGGTGCGGGGCGAGGCGCGTTCTTGAGTTGCTCGCGCATGTCTTCTGTTAATACACCCATACCGATACTGGTGAAGTAGTTGACGGAGAACCTGGTGTGCCGGGGGTTCTCTGTTGGGAAAAGACCCTCGAAGCTGGGGCGGAGGATCTCATCTCTGAAGCGGGCCTGCAGGCCGGGCAGACCGAGGTTCTCTGCAAGGTTCTGGAAGAGGATCTTGATAAAGATACGACTGCTAGAAGTGGTCTCCTCTTCGTTGAGGTGGATGACGGACAGGACGTGCCAGCCAATGGCATCATTGCTAATCAAATGGCCGAAGAATTGAGCGATGTTGCGGAGTTTGTTGGTTTCATAACGATGGATGGTGTCATAATATTTGGCGAAAGCAGCCTCGAACAGGTCGGACCAAAGACGGTTGATCTTGGCAAATCGTTCTCCGATCAAACCGTAGAACTTGGAGTATGTCCGTTCTTGGGAACAACATTCAATAATCATGGACGGAAGTTCGTGCTCCAACCCGGCCGGCAGGTTGATCTTCATCAGTTTGTGACAGCATTCTTCGAAATCAATGCTGGACATGATCGTGAGATAGATGGTTCGTCGAAGGTTGACTAGATCAGTGTTACTCTGATCCTTAATATCCATCTGGACTTCTTCGGTGTCCGACTCTTCTTCCTCGCTCTCATCTGAACCATCCTCGCCATCCTCGTCGCTATCTTCACCTAAGATTTCAGCCTTCAACTTCTTGTAGGCTTCCTCATGTTCTTCCCATTCTGGGTCAAACTTGAAGATATTCAAGGTGTCCTGGGTCTCGAAATCATCGTCCAATCCAGCGCGGTGGGTGATCTGATCTTCCTCTTCCACAAGATCCAATTCTTCCTTGATAGCTGGGTTGTTCTTGTAGCGATCCTTGCGCACCTGGAAGAGCACTTCGATCATATATTGCACACGCTTGTCAATATCGGCCTCGTGTAGGATGTTTCGGAATTGGTCGAACACGGCGAGTGCGATCGGGGCGTTCATTTCCTCCAAATGCTGACCAACTTCTCGGGTGAGTCCCACAGCGATTTCAACGCTGTCGTCCGTTGGCTTATGCAATAGAAGCAAGAGGATCTGAGCTGCCAGCATCTCATGGGCAACTTGCTGGTTGCAAAGGTGTGCGATAAATGTCGTAGAGGAGATGCAAACTGCCTTGTCGTTTCGCTTGAACGCTTTGCGGAATTGAACAATCAATCTGGAAAGCAATAAATCGCCGACTTGTGGGAGTTTGGTATTGACGATTGCTGCCATCGTCGCGTAAATCGGAGTGAAGGGCAAACTGGCCGCCTGCGCCTTCATGATCGACCGACAGAACAAGCCTCGACCCCTCACCAAGTTTTCCCCAAAGAGTTCCGGCACAATATACTTGATGTTAGAAACATTGACCTTGTTGATCAGACCGTTAATCGACTTCTTCAAAGCTTCCCATGCCATGCGCTGGTACTCTTTGCTGGTCTTATCCGTGATCTGCGCTTGTAACGCACGGAGTCTAGCCGGGGGAATGTAAGTACCACCAGATCGCATGTTGAGCAATTTTTCGTATTCCGCCTTGGCCGAGGCTTGCTTTTGTTCCTCGGTCATCGGTTTGCGCGCTGCTTCGCGCTTTTCGTGTTCGCGAAGGCGCTCAGCGAGTTGCCGCTCCCTTTCATCGAGGTCGCCAGTTGAGGCACTTGGGCCATCTCTGGTGGAATCTCCGGGAGGCGAACGGCGACGGTTCGGGGAGGGAGAACGAGAGGGAGGAGAGCGTTTCCGAGAGGCTGCGGCTGGTGAAAACGACGCGCCCGGGGGAGGCGTGGGCACGCGCACCGCAGACTGAAGAACATCCGAATCGGACATTTTCAATGAATACAGAAACCTCCAAAAAGGACTTGAGTGCACCGGAGGGTGGTTGCGAATCTCGACCGGATTGAAGTTGTAAGAAGATTCAAGGATCCAGAAGGAGAAAGCTCTAGCAGCACGTGACCGTGGACCCAGAGGCCAACTAGCAACGGAAGCTCCTGAGATTCTTAGTAGTTCTGTCAACAGGATTCATCGACGCTCTTTCAATTTCGCTTTAATTGCTCTTACTATTCACTCTTTATCAGAATGGTGAATTGATTCAATTCCATTAAATGTGGTATATCTGGCTAATTTTGCTGTAGCTCGGCCAACTCGTGGGATCCGTCATGCTCTTGGTCGCAACCGCGGTTTTCCTCTACTACACCGCGTGGACTTTATTGATGGTATGCTATGCTAATTGATGGTTAATGTGGCCTTTGCTGATATCCACTACTCAGCCCTTCGTTGACCCCGGCCACCCTCTCCACGACATCTTCCCTCCCCGTGTTTGGGCCATCCGCATCCCTGTTATCCTCACACTCTTGGGTTCTGCCGTGGTCGGCACTTTTATTGGCATTGTGATGATCAACAGCAACAAGAAGAAGGCAGCTAAGGCTAAGGCCGCAGCCAAGAAGAAGACCTAAGCGATCGACGATATTATATCAGGAGGAGAGGGCGACCTCTGACAGCACTGTGTACCACGAGCCATTTTCAGCCTTGCGGCTATCAAAACTCCATCTCAGTTAATTAATTTCGTTCTGTTGAGCGTCTATACCCTTTATACCGTTGTGATTTGCGTACCGGTACCCTTGATGTTGAGTATCGTTGAGAACAATACTTCCTAAGCGGAGGACTGTGGGGTATCCAACGCATACCAGGCCACGTAGTTTCGGCAATCAAACCAAGCCTATGTTTCCCGAATCTTGTGGCCAATGATATTCATATCGCATTTTGCCTTCACGCCTGTTCGGAACCATCGTCATGGCCATACCACGCGAAAGACCCGTGACCTCGGCTCAACCAACGATGACGCTTCCCAGCCACGCCTCAACGGTGAACCAACTTTATTGACCAAAACAAACAAGGAATGACTAGGAATGACACATGGTTTGGACACGGTCCTTTATGAAAGCAAGGAGTAACAGAGTAATATCAAGGAACAAAAATTATAAGGGAAGATAATGAAGATACTGAGAGACCATGGAAATGGGTTCTTCATTTGGGCCATCACGGGGTCTAGAAGATGACTAAGCCGGGGCTTATCGTGGTTTGCACTGTTTGCCTTTCCCCTCATATGCAGAGACAAAGCACAAGGGCTATTGTAGAGTCTGGATTGGAGAAAAGAAAGAAAGAAAAGGTTAGAAAGAATGTCCGAGAATTAGTTATGTTCGATCATGCTTCCAATCAGAATGACTATGTCAGAGGATTAGAATCCATTTTCTGACTCAGAAACAAATTACCCCCCTAAATGAAATACTTCTAGCCTACATAGGCAACCCCGTACCTGACTGGTGACCCCGGAGTCAGCTCCCCCCCCCTCTTCTTATCGCGAAACCATAACATCATTCTTCTTCTTTGACTCATCTTCTCTCAACTTATTCAACTTGCTTCTATAGATGCAAGTCATTTTGGATTACTTTTATTACACAGCTTGAATCTCATCAAGCTGTTGTGTCATCTCTATCATTCTTATCAAAGCTTCCCCGCGGGTCTAGAGTGATCTCCGCTCTAGATACGCCATAGGTGGTATTTGCTTCCTCATCCTCAGGTTTGGATATTTGTGTATCCAGGTATGCATGGACATGAACAAAGATGTTTGATCATAACTGATCTTTAGAGAAAGACCCCTTAGTGCTATCCTTCCCCCAAGGTCCCAGCTAGGATCCCTAGAGCGATCCTGCATACCCGTTCTCAGACCAAACCAAGGTCCTGAGAGCGGTATCGTCTTTTTGCCTCTCTATCGCCTCTTCTCCGAGGCCTAATCTTTTGAATGCCCCCGGCAGCACCTGACGATCTCATCCGCCAGCACAGCCGGTCTCTTGAAGACGAGAGTTCCTGGGTTCCGGAACCCCGAGCCATTCCAGAGCATGAACCAAGTGGGAAGAGCAAAAAGAAGAAAGCCAAGAAGAATAAGGCAGCCAAGGCAGCGGCAGAATCTCCACCGGATGAGTATGTGCCCACCGGTGATTGCCGTTCCGATGAATGCGCGCCGTTAACGTCTGATTACATGGATAGCATCCCGGAATCCTCTCCGCCCCAGGTGGAGCCATCATTCCCAGTACCAGAACCCCCTAAGCTTGAATATGAACCTGAACCTGAACCTGAACCTGAGCATGAGCATGAGCATGAACCTGAGCCTGAACCCGAACCCGAACCCCAACAAGAACCTGTTGAACATGTAATCCCACCTATCACGTCACCTGCGCTCGACGCGTTTGATTCGCTCGATGAACCTGCAGGTGACGATCTTGCTACCCGCACCGATACGTGGGCACAATCGGTGCCTTATGGGAAGAGTCCTCCCACCGATCTCATAGATGGGGATATTCCTAATGCTTCGCCCCTGAACTTCCCTACTATTCAAGGAAGAGGCGGTTTCATGCACCCCTCCTCCGCATCACCTCAGACTCGAACCTTACCATCTAGCTATGGCAATGGCTATGGTCATGGATATCGAAGCAGCATGCAGTCGAGACAACAGTCTGTGGATAGGCGGAAGAGTCATTCCTATGGAAGCCCAATGAGCAATCAAGCTCCCCTGCCTCATCTTCCTCAGGCTCACTTCTTCGGAGCCCCAGAGATCGACATCCTTCCAAACCAGAATCGATCACTCACCGACAGAAATTACACTTTCTGCAGCTTTGATACATTGCCCAGCTTATCACCCAAAGCCTCGCGGACGGGAATGAACGTCTTGCTGGTCGGAACAGATGGTGCATTGGATATCATCGCTATCGAAGATCGTCGAACCAGGCTAGTGGGACAAATCACCGGGCTCAACGGCCGTGTGACAGAAGCTAGAATTTTGTCCGGTCACTCCTCAAGTGATCCATTCGTATCATCTAGACCCCATGTTGCGGTCATAGTCCACGGCCCAATGCCCCCATCTGAGGAGGAAGGCCGTATCTCGTCCGCAACATCAGACGCCAACGAGATTGCTCCCTCTGTAATCCGAGGTCACTCCAATGATAAGCGTGGACGAGATGAAACCCACTTCTACCAAACTCGCGTTGAAGTTTACTCTTTCCGGACTGGTGAACATATTTCAACCTTATTCACAAGCAAGCCTGTCCCATCTCTGGAAAATCTTCCAGGTCTCCCGTCATTTGCACCCCCAGCTGTCGGCAGTTTGAAACTATTCATATCGGGGGCGTACATCATTCTGGCCTCAGGTGTGAGTGGTGAGGTCTATGTTTATCGACATGCTCTGTCGCGCGAGGGAAATCCTTACCAGTGCCTAGGTAAGACCTGGACTGGGGTTCAATCAAAAGAAACCCGTCGGTACTCGACTTCTTCAAGCTCGACTACAGACCCAGAAGGGGCTCGCTCAGACTCCCCTCACCGTGCTTCTGCCCTAGAAAGGCCGATCTTGGCTGTCCAGGGAAGATGGCTAGCATTTGCCCCTCCATCCTCGTCTTACCGAGGCTCGATCCAGGGGTCTATCCCTGCAAGTTTGATTCACGGAAAAGTTCCAGGAATCGACACTCGCAGTCCTCCCACCGTGCCTTCAGTGTCGTGTGCGACTGATGTAGGCGAAGGTGAAAGTTTTTTCGACAAGATGGCTAGAGGCGTTGCCCAAGAGCTTGTCAGGGGTGCTCGCTGGATGGGCGACCAAGGCATGCAGGCATGGAACAATTATTGGAATGCTCAGCAAGCAGGTGGTACATCTCCACGCCGGGCGCCCCCGGGTCCGGATCCCCAAACGCAAGGATACGGGCTGTTCCCGCCGACACACGGTCATGATACACAGGCCTCGGCCACTGAACCTGATACTGTCTCCATCATCGACTTGAAGCGATTCGAGGACGGCACGGATATCCGAAATGTCCTTACCCACCCCGTGTCAACGTTCCAGGTACCCAACGGATGCAGCTTCTTATCGCTTTCCCCAAATGGCTTGATGCTCTTCACAGCCAGTAAGAAGGGTGATGTCCAGTATGTGTGGGATCTGATGCAACTCAAACATTGCCGATCCATGGCTTTTATGGCCGATGACCAAACTGGTCAAAATCCCAATGTGCGCCAAGTTGCCAGATACGCACGCTTGACTACTTCCAGCATTGTTGATGTGATTTGGACTGCACCAACGGGTGATCGACTGGCTGTCATTACACGCAAGGGTACTATTCACGTTTTCGATCTGCCCCGAAGTGCTTTCCAGTGGCCTCCCTTCCGCCGGGGAAAGGCTACTAAAGCTAGGCCACCACCGACTGACTCCATGTCGGATGACATGGCCAGTCAAACTGCTGGTGGCAATCCACTATCAGCAGCGATGAAGTTGGTAGGTGGTAAGACGCAGCCCTTCTTTTCTGCTGTGCGAGGTCGGGTTCCGTCCACGGGTGCTGCCTTCCCTAATATGAGCGGATTTGCGCTCCCATCTGCTGCTAGCGTGAAGAGCGGAAAGGTTGTTGCTGCCGGCCTGAGTAAGTCCATGGGTGCCGCCACAGGTACTGTCAACACCCTACGCCACGTGGGCGAGAACCGCCTGCATTTGCCTGGACTCGCTCGAGACCCTGCTCCTTCTCGAGTAACATGGATTTGCAACAAGGGAATGATCTTCCTTGGTGTTGTAGATGGCGGGTTCTTCAAACTCTACCGTCTCAAGCGCGCTGCCGTGTCTGGTCACAAGAACCGCCAACCTCACTCCGTTGTCGGTGGAAAGGAATCTCAGATCAAGCTACCAACCAACCTGCAAAGTCCCTGTGGACCCGCTCCCATGTCTGCCTTTGACCCAGACCTTGCAATCCACGCTACCATCTCACTACCATCTGCCAACTCTCAACCCAGTACCCGAGCCCTCTGCCAACCCCTCTCGCAAGCCGAAATCGAGACAAACACCCCCTACCAACCATTTCACACCGACCAACGGGTAGGCTTGAGCGTGTTCACCGCCGGCAGCGGGGGAAGCGAGCCAAGCGGGCAATGGGTCTTTGGCAACGATATCCCCATGACGAAAGTCCATCTCCGGTCATTCAACAGCAGCATTGATGACCATGTCGACGAGGTCGAGCACGCCGCTATACACGGCAACTCGCTTGGTGCAGGCGGGGATATCGAAAATCTCATTACTCTCGGCAATAGCACGGGTAACGTGGAAGAAGTCGTTATCACAACCCGTCGAAAGAAGAGACACTCGACTCCTCTCAAAGCCGATGATGGCTTCTTCGAAGACGACTGCGAGGTTCTCGACTTCGCCCGAGACCGCGTTTGATCTTCGTCCGTTCTTTACTTTTCCATTTGTTCACTCTGATTAGATGTGCTTTCGGCAATGGAGCTCAATACTTTTTTTTTTCTTCTTTCTTTCTTTCTTTCTTTTCGCGAACGTAATAAACACCTAACATATGCATAAAGCCATTCCTTTGTTGGGTGGTTTTCTCGGCTTCATTTTCCTGCTTAAACGCTTGATATCGTTCACAAACTCAAATACCCAAATACCCAAATACCCCCTGGTTCAGCCCCGTTTGGCGTTTCGATAGATGGTTTTGATTTTTCGTTTAGGTGTGGGCTTCAACATGAGATATGTCCTAGTTTAGAATTCAATACACTCGCTAAGAAATTGACAGCTGCAAAGCACCAACAAACTACATTTGCTTACACATCCCGTCTACAAAGTCTGGCGACATGTCATATTCAGGTATGATTTCTTGGCCTTACTTACTGTCCCTCTTTCTACCTGTCCTTTTTGGCTATAAATTGAACTTGGGACCTCCTTCATCCTTTCCTTCTATAACAAACTGCGCAAGTAGCTGTTATTGGAAGGAAGTGCAATTAGGGTTCACGTTGTAAAGCTTTAATGGACCGAACTATATCCTTGCATTGGAAAGTAACATTAATCCAACCTTGGACTTCTATCAACAGATTATCCAACGCTAATATGCATCACTCGTCACTATCCTGAAGAACAGCAGCACTCGGTTTTCGAGTACTACTAAACAAAACACTCGCATCGAGCAATTCAAAATCCGAATCGTCATCAAAATCGTCATCCAGAAAGTCCAGATTCGACCTCTTCGGTTCTGGATCCGGAGACAATAGCGAAAAGACCTCCCCGCCAGCAGGGAGTACAGGTTGTTTCACTGGAGCATGCTTGGAAGTCGCTTTGGAAGGTGTTTTCAAATGCTTGCAACTGACCTTTACTTTCTCGGCCGGTGGTTCGAACCAAAGACTATTTTTGTCTGAAATCGGCGGTTCACGGGCAAGAATTTCCTTGTATCGACTATCACAGGCAGGGTCGGCCTCGTCCATCTTTTTCAATGCAGCTATCATGCGCCGCGTGTGAGATCCATGTTTCACTTTATTTGTAGGTCTGGGCACGAGCTGCAGGTGTGGGAACGCGTCATTTCGAGGGAATCGAATGAACTGCGGAGACGTGGCTCCGACATTCTGGTAGTTTTTCTCTAGATCCCTTTGTGCGCTCGAGCTGAGAACTACATCCTCGATGGGTGGGATGTCCACGGGTTCAGGTGTGGGGGTTCGAGCGCGCTTTTGGGAAGTAAAATTTTTTGGAGTAGGGTTTTTGGGAGCAGCTTTCCTCTTAGGTTTGTCGCCGTCCAAAGTCGAAGCTTTCGTAAAGCCTGTCTCCACGCCATCGGGCATGTGGAAGACTTTGGGGGGTCGCTTTGGCGCTCGACCCTTGCGTTTCGGCTCAGGAAGTTCTTGCTGTGAGTTCTCTGGAGGAATCTCGATTTGTCGTTTGTCAGGCACCGGACGAATTCCCGCGGGCAAGATGCGGGCGGAACGATCGTCGTGGAATGTGAACCGGGAGCCACTGGCGATCATTTGTTGCATCTTTTCATAGTTGTCTTTGGCTTTGACGTAGGAATCTTCTTCTTTACCTTTCATCAACAACAATGTGATGTTACCGGCTCTCTTACGACCCGTTCGACCCATGCGCTGCAGCATACGAATTGGCGATGCTGAGGAGTCGTAGCACACAATGAGATCCACTTCTCCAATATCCAATCCTTCCTCGCCAATCGAGGTAGCAACGATCGTGTTGTATGTGCCTTTCTTGAATTGATCAATTATCCGCAGTTGGGTTTTCTGGTCCATGCCCTCGGAGCCCTTGGCACTTGATTGACCGACGAAGACATGGGGCCGAATCATAGGTCCGTATCTTTTGAGCACTCTCGTGACCTCTTCGGCGCTGTCACGGAAATGAACGAAGATCATGACACGGGTTGCTGGCTCGGCCATGCCATCGGCCGTCTCCTTTCCTTCGCCTCTGTCCATGAAATGGTTCAGGATTACTGACTTCAAATATTCCAATTTAGGATGACCAATGAATTCCGGGTTTTTGCTCCAAGGTTCAAGATGGCCCATTAGTTTCTTGAAACTTTCATCCTGCACAACTTGCTTTTGATATTTGCCACCTCCACCCTTTTGTCCCTCGCCGCCAGACTTCCAATGGCTGACGTGTTTATAAAATGGCACAATGCCATGATACTTAAGCAAATCGATGGCGTGGGCCAAGCTAGCAAGGACGCTGAAAATGGCGTTGACTTTGCCCTTAAGACCAAAATGGGCATTTCGCCCAGCATCGGATAGCATCCATTGCTGCCTCGCTCTTGTGAGACCGTATGCAGTGAGTCCCATTGGGTCACGTCCCCAATAAGCATTGAGGGTGTGCAGTTGATCAAGCAGGGGCTTCAAAGCCGTAGACATGAGATCCATACAGAAAATCATTTCATCTGTGTTCTCGAATGTTTCGATTTCAATATTGCGATCATGTACATACTCACGAATGTCAATCGAGTTTTCTGTGCGAATCTCAACTCGCGCTATATCCAGACCATCGATAACTGCCTGCACCGATTCGACCGTCGAGCCCGGAGTAGCTGTGAGGGCGAGAACACGGAAGCTGTTATTGTAACGTCGAAGAAATTTGACTACTTCCACGTATGCATATGCACCCGTCGCGCGATGAGCTTCATCAACGACCAGCAAGACAATCCGCTTTGGGTCAGCAATTCCGGTCTTTAAATCGTTGATCAGAGTCTGAGGAGTCATGAAGAAAACTCGCTTCGATTTCCACTCTTCGGCACGAATACCGGGTGAAGCACCTCCCGTCAGCATGGTTGACGCTGAGCGCGGTATTCCGGCGATATCCAAACATGCCGATACTTGCTGGGAGACCAGGGGTTTTGTAGGCGCTACGAATATAATTTGCGAGTCTTCCGTCCAGCGAAACCAGTTGAGCATGATCGTAGCTGCGATGAAGGTCTTTCCCAGACCAGTTGGCAAGGCCACGAGCAAGTTATGAAACAGGCCTGCTTGGGTTATGTTGAACTGATAATCTCTCGTTTTGCCCAAATTTGTGGGAAAAATCCATGTGCCCATAGCCTCCTTCACAAGTTTGTGTTGGGTCGGCGGTTCATCCTTCTGTGGGGGTCCCCAGTCTTGTTGGCGTACCGAGGGTTCGGGGTCTGCAGCAATCATGCCGTACAAGGTGCTTTGCCGTAAATTTTGTTGACGGATTGGAGCTCTGGTTTGGCTGAAATGTGGGGCGACGGGTTCAAACGTTCGTGGTCGTGCTACCGGTGACAATGCTGGTGAGGAATCAAATGCACCGTCGGGTATTTCATCCAAATCAAACGGAACATCTGCTGTGTTGGGCATGTTTGTCGTTTGCTGGGGAGCAGATCTCATCTGAGCCATATTCGAAAAGCCTTGGGCTTGGAAACTTGCTCGGTTTGTTTTCTCTTCCTCAAAGGAATTCAAGGAAGCCGCAATAGCAGCGCTGAACCCCTCATCATCATCATCATCATCATGGACCAAATTCTGTGCCTCCCTTCCACTATGTTGTACTGAGTGCTGATCAAATTTCGGTGGGGGTGGTTTCGCACTAGGCTTCTGCCATCGTGGACCTCTTATTCGTTCTGGACTCGAGGAGGGCTGTGTGAGTTGTGTGACAAACATTTCATTCTCGATATGAGCATTTCTCAACACACAGCTCTTGTTATTGGAACGGCCGTGGTGTTCCTCAAAGTCGATAGGTGAGTCCCGACGCCGAGATGGTAAATCATCATCTTCCATATCTGAAAACGAATCGACCGAGGAACCGTCGCCTTGATCTCCCCGCTTATGTTCAACGCGACGGCGCTTTGGGGGATGGGTGGAGGGCCCATCCTGGCTTGAGGGAACTACGAAGTCGTCATCATCAAAATAATCCGACTCCGAATCTGTCGACATCGCCATAGTTGATCAGCAATGACATGATGCCATGCAGTTAATCGCGTCGCGTCGCGTAATCAGGTGACCTCAATGTTTGCCGGGTTTGCATCTGAAGTATACATCTCGACGGAGTACTCCGTAGTTTCTACGTATATTTTTACACAGTTGTGTATCTCAAATCTAATCTTGATTGAACAAGCTTCTTAATCGTACTCAATCTTAAAATTTCTGACAGCTTGGAAAAAGCGTTAAGGTATGTCTGTATATATGCCTCTCGTGCCAGGACTGATCTGCGAAGGTGTATAGCGGCCAGCGATCAAATGCATTCTTTGTACCCAGACATTAATATACATAGATTGATATAAAAGATTCCCTAATAAGCAAAGTACAGGGACCCTCAGGCATTGATACTAGAGATCAAATGTATCTGACCCCTGGCCGCTAACACCTCCGTACGTTTCTAAGCCGGACCCCTGTCGTTCGTTATAAAATGTCGCCTTGCCCCTGTCTAAAGCCAAAATTTATCCCCGGTTTTATTAAGCTTGCGATGTTTCGTCTACATGGTCGGCCGCTTAGGCATCTTTTTTCCCTGCGATCTGCCTCCTTCAGACGGCTTTTCACTCCATCAGATAGCCAACCGCCCGATCCAAACGACAAGTTGGAAGAAGAATCGCTTCCAGAATATCTTCAGGATCGATTTTATCCTGTAAAAATCGGTGAAACGTTCCAGACTAGGTACCAAGTCATTGGAAAACTAGGATTTGGTGTCTGTTCAACGGTGTGGCTATGCAAGGATCTCACGTATGTTCTCTTGATGCTCCGCACAATTGAATCAAGAATTGACATTGTGCAGACAGCACAAGTATGCCACTTTGAAGGTCTTTGGGCGCGACTTGCTTGAAGGAAAAAGAAGACTCGAACTCTACGATCGCATTAACGCGGCTAATACCTCCCATGCTGGCGCCATGCTTGTTCGCACAGCGCTTGATAACTTTCAGATCGCCAATGCGAAAGGGCGTTATCAGGTTATTGTGCACCAGCCTCTAGGCATAAGGCTATATGACCTCAGACATCGGTTTGTTGACAAAATACTACCCGAAGGAGCAGTGAAAATGACTTTGATCCATCTTCTACTCGCTCTTGACTACCTACATACAGAAGCTGGCATCATCCATACTGGTATGATAGGAACCTACGTATCTTTCGCAGCTTACTCGTCCTTCCTAACGCGCTCTTAGACATACAGGAAAAGAACGTCATGCTCGGTATTGAGGATGAGTTAATATTGGCAGAGTTTGAGGAAGGAGAGAAATCCAATCCTAGTCTCCAGAAAGTCGTTGGAAATCGGGTGATTTATGCATCTCGCAAACTCAATAGAACAAACGACTATGGCCGACCTGTTTTATGTGACTTTGGCCAAGCTCGTTTTGGATCTGCCCGTTACGATGGTGACATTCAACCATATAGATACCGAGCTCCAGAAATTTTGCTACGTACGACTTGGGATGAAAAAGTTGATATATGGAATCTAGCGATTATCGTAAGTGGGCCGCTTAATCCATTTCTCAACAATGCAACTAACTTCTCCAGACATGGGACATTTTCCAACAGGACCAACTGTTCTACGCTAAAGATTCGAATAATAAAGACTCGAGTGCTCATCATATCGCTGAGATAATTGCAATTCTTGGGCCGCCACCTAGAGAAATGCTACAGAACAACGACTATGCTACACAATTCTTTGATTTAGAGGGTACGCTCTCTCTCATATTCTACACGTCCTGTCACTAATCAGTCAATTCAAGGCAATTGGAAGGGAGCGGCTCCCATTCCATCAACTACCTTGGAGCAGAAGGAGGGAATTTTGCAAGGTAAACCGCAACAGCTCTTTCTTGTCTTCATGCGCAAAATGCTTCAGTGGCGGCCAGCGGAAAGAAGTTCTGCTAGAGAGTTGTTAGCGGATGAATGGCTATGCTCACCATAATTGAATATGACCGTGAACTGTCGGGGATACGAGCAATCCAACAATAGATCAGTGGACCCAGAATTATCTCCACTCAGCAATCTAGAATCAAGGCATGCAAGTCCGAACAGCTAAAGCCATGAGCCGCTGATGAAAACAAAATTACCGCGGTTGAAGCCAAAAGCTGATTGATCTCCACTTAACCAGAACATTGAGCGGAAATGATCCTATCTTGAACTGTGAGGTAGATTAGCCTGGGCTTGGTCTTGTGCTCGAAATCAGCTAAGAGATAACCGCAGAGACCTATGGGTTACATACCGTTGCCAGCCCAAAAAAGAGAACTCGAAATGTAAGAATTTGAAATGTATCTAAAAACTGCCGTCCAGCAGTTCAGGGTGCTGCGCAGTCTGGAGGGCAATATCATACCGACATTTGAAGGTCTGGGACGACCTGATTTTATTGGTGTCTTACCCGCTATTAGACGCTCACAGCCCCTATGGTGGGCTTTTGTGAAAAGAAAGTGCGTCAGAAGGCTTGAGTGTTTTGGACTTGATCACGGCTCAGTATCTCGGCAGACAAAATCCCCGCCATGTCGATGATGTACCTGTCTGCATTTTATGTTTACACCACCACAAAAAAAAAGTCCAATGGTCCTTTTTTTAAGGCCTATTCGAAATGCCTCATGAGTTTGGTGGTTTAGGTGTTGCCTGTTAAAGTAGAAATTATCGTTGAAAGGCTCTTGGTATTCCAGACCATTTCAAACCCGAATCATGTATGTTGTATAATAGTACCAAACAATTAATATTATTGATTTTGTGATTATGTCAAATATAGATAGTTTCTAACTCCTATAAAAACCCCCTGCAGCAAATAAGACACCCAGTTGGTTTAGACAGCATGAAAAGATTGCCGGGGTTGAAACAGAGGGATGACCTAACACGGGTCACGAGGAGATTCATCCAAGCCCTACCCCGGTATAAAGTCTCACATGAACTTGATCAGTTTTTGTTTTCTCTAAATTCTTCATTTGTCAATGATCAACATGTGGAATGTGAGAACAAGCGTGAAATCATCACCCTGTCGAGATCAGCGGTCGTGCCTACGTGACCGATAAAATCTGCTATACATCGGGCTACAGGGCTGCGAGAATAGATAAAGACGCGAATAAGGGGTACTTTTATCTATTTTTTCTCCAAATATACAACAATATTTCACAAGTACGAAACGGGACCGCAAATACCATGGCCTCAGCTCACTATGGACTGACACGGGCAGTGCTGAGCCTCATCCTGCTCTTCCACCCTGTGCTTGCATTGCAAGGAACAAGCACACTTGTACCGCAGGCATCTGTTTCGGTACCAACATCTTCAACCGCCTCAGCGTCAATGTCAACGCTAGCGGCGGCAGCCTGCAACGGCCGCTCCGAGTACTGCACGCGATCCTATTCAAACATTACATTCGTAGGATCGCACGACTCAGCATTCGTCGGGCCTCTGCCCCAGCAGAACCAAAACATCAATATCAAAGCCCAACTTGACATGGGGATCCGATATCTGCAGGTTCAAACCCATCATTCCATTATCGACAAGAATACCTTAGAACTATGCCACACATCATGCTTCCTGGAAGATGCAGGAACGCTCAAATCATTCTTGACAACCATCAAAAAATGGCTAGATGCAAATCCCAACGAGGTCGTCACCCTCCTCCTAACGAACGGCGACTCGGTATCAATCACCGAGTTCGGCGATACTTTTACCAGCAGTGGGATCGTCTCTTACGCTTATAACCCTTCTGCAAGCCCACTGTCAATCGCCGACTGGCCGACACTAGGCGATTTAATCTCGATTGGAAAGCGACTAATCGTGTTCTTGGGTACGATCCTCCAAAACTCAACCTGAAACCGGAGTATAACACTGACTCAAACAGACTACGGTGCCAACACCAAACAAGTAAATTACATCCATGATGAGTTCGCCTACTACTTTGAAACAGCATACGACGTCATAGATGCCTCTTTCTCAAGCTGTAGTATTGATCGACCCTCTGGCGCCTCTGCTACAGGTCGCATGGGTCTGGTTAATCATTTCCTGGACATTGATATCCTCGGTGTGAAGGTTCCAGCTAGGGATAAGGCGGCAAGAACTAATGCTGCGACGGGGGTGGGCAGTATTGGTGCCCAGGCGAGTTTGTGCGCGGGGTTATATGGGCGTGCGCCGAATTTAATTTTAGCGGATTTTGTGGATAAGGGGGAGGTGATTAAGGCACAGAATAATTTGAATGGGTTTTAGAGATCGGGCGGTCTGGGGGTTTGTTGTAGTTTATATCTGTAGGTTTAGGGAAATAACCGGATGGTATTAGCAATCCCCTAGATATAGGTGACACCTGTAGTTCGCGAAATGATCTCTACTCTAAATAAACATTCTTTGATAATTTGATAATTTGCTAGAAAGATGCCCCGAAAGTTATAAACGTATGACTTATTCGACTAGAATTCGTTTATAAAAGAAGAAGAACTAGAAGTCGAGAGATGTTTCGCCAGCATGACGAAAGGCTATCTACGTTGTGTCATATCAACCCGTGTACCTAGAGTGCGCTGCCTTTAGCGTTCCACTCTTCACTGAATATGTATTTTATCGTCTGAGCCCTGGCTAGAGTTACAAAAGACTAGCAAATTATAGTTGGGACTTCTGTTTGGTCATATGATATACCAATGTATAATGTACAGAATGCTAATAGAGTAGACACAATGAAACCCCCCGCAGAGCCACCCTAGCAGATTTGTTCGATAATGATGGTCGTTTTGCAGAGCTTGGGGTCAAGGGAATTGATGTATAATCGATTGGCTCTGATCGGGGGTCCGGGACGTTGACTTCAGTCGAGTCAGCAGTTTGTTGAAAGTGGAGGGTCCATAATGAAGGTCAAGGTTCAAATGGTTGAAGATTTCGATTCCGACTCGTTCACCAGGGCATTGATGCTGCGCAACTGATTCTGAATCGATTCCAAGCATTTTACCATGTCGGTGAGTATTTTCGCGATGAGAATGAGATCATTGTGGTGGGTGGGATCATCCGTTGATCTAGCTTCATCGATTGTGTCCAATCGATTGTGAATCAATTGGGTGAGCTGCTCCCGGAATGAGGTGTTGGTCGGGGTGTTGAGTGTCAAGCACTCCTCAAGATGCCTCTGGAATGCGGTGTTGATTGTCTTGTCGATCATATTCTCAATCGATTCATAATCGGTTGCTGATTGAGTTTTGCTGGGTTTGGGGATCAAGAACCAGAATATCTTCTTTATCCACTCCGCGAATAGAGGTTGAATTGGGTTTAGTTGCGGAGCAAAGTAGGTGTGTATGCTGCTCCACCCTGACATTTCGGGCAATCGATTGTTAATCGAATCTTGATGCAGAAATTTTGGGACTTTGGCAAGGTCAATTGTGATGCCAATCGTTGGATTGATGAATTGAATATGAAAGGTCCGGGCAGGGTCCAGGGATTCTTTTTCTGTCTAGAGCTAGCACGTTATTACAGGGAAGGTGGGCTGGCCCCCGAGCGTACTTTCCTTTCTTAGAATGTATGTAAGGTACATACGTAGGTAACGGATGAGAGTATTGTGTTTCTTCTTCCTCTTCCATCTTTGCACTTCTTCAGACCCACATCACCCGGAAGCGATTCAATATCGATTATTACAAATGAACACACCACGATCTACCCCCGTTTTCCTTAGCGAGTGTGCCGCATACCTGCGTTATCTCCAACACGTCCCATCGGGGGCCCTCAGCCTTCCTAGGTATGAGGAGGGGAGTACACTTTCACAAATATGAAACCTGATGAATGATCGTTTGTTAACCAATATATAGAGCCTGCAGGGTCTTGTCGTCTACCATGGCGAGGTTTTCTGCCGAATTGGTGGCTGCGAGAAAAGCAAGGTCAGTGAATCGAAATCTTAGTACCAACATAACTGATTCCTAATCGATTTACTATAGAACGCCTTTTCCGCAACAAATAACCTCCGCGCTCACCTGGAGCGCCACGGCAGGGCCGTTGCGCCCACTCCCGCGGGCCGCCTCACGCAATCAGACAAGGATGACGTGATGGCCTGGTATGAGAGCCTGTTTGAGGAGGATGAAGAGGATGAGGATGAGGATGAGGATGAGGATGAGGATGAGGATGAGGATGAGGATGAGGATGAGGATGAGGATGAGGATGAGGATGAGGATGAGGATGAGGATGAGGATGAGGATGAGGATGAGGATGAGGATGAGGATGAGGATGAGGATGAGGATGAGGATGAGGATGAGGATGAGGATGAGGATGAGGATGAGGATGAGGATGAGGATGAGGATGAGGATGAGGATGAGGATGAGGATGAGGATGAGGATGAGGATGAGGATGAGGATGAGGATGAGGATGAGGATGAGGATGAGGATGAGGATGAGGATGAGGACGAGGATGAGGATGAGGATGAGGACGAGGATGAGTAGAGTAGGACAACATAGTTTTGCAGATATTTTTGTGTACACAATAATATGGCCCTGAAGTCAGTTTTACAAACTAAACGCCTCGATAGACCTTGATACAATTGCTCAGATACGCTCAGTATCTCTCCCATGCCATACTTCTCAGGCATCCATTTCACTGACTCTCTCGCTTCACTCTCTCTCCATAATTCCCACATCCACTAGGCATCACACTAACATTCCAATAACTTCATTCTCATCGACGACTAACTGTACTCATTGGGGAGCCCTTGGTGTCATGATATACACATGAGAATCTACGATTGGAGTATGTTGGAAAGAGGCAGTCTGATTTTCTTGAAGCAGGGATATACCGGACAGCGAGATGGAAGTAGAAATCCATGAAGAACCAGAGATAGGGTGGGCTACCATACCATTAAGTATTGCAGTCTCTATCCGAAAGGCAAAACAAAACAGTTTCTTGATGATATTAGGGTTTGGTGCTTATGGAATCATGTAAGTCACTCGTGGACACTTTCTAGTGATCAGGATGACGTTTCGAAAAGTATAATCAGCACGTTTCTACATACCAACAGAGCAGTTGTTCTATTTCCTCACGATCTCAGCTTGCAACGCAAATCAGATATGCTCTCACGCCTAGTATTCACGGTCTTCACGGCAAGCATGGACGTGATTATGAAAATCCCCCGCCTTATTCCCAACGAAAGGCAGTCCCACAAGAACCGGCTCAATAGGAAACAATCCAACAATATACCAGGTCTATCGATTCTTGATCTTTCACCCGAGATCGTGGACGAGGTTCTCTCTTACCTCCCAGTCGTGTCGCAGGCTTGCCTAGTTCTAAGTTGCAAGAGACTGTACCTTCTGTTCGACTTTATTTTGAAAAATCCAACTTTCGAGTATCCTTATTCTAATGGGCTAGACATATCACTGGATCTTTCAAATCGAACTGAGCTCCTTATCGCTCTCGAATCTCAACGATGGAGGTACTGTGCTGCCTGTTTAAAGTTACACCCGTTAGGAGATTTTGATCAGACTTCTCTTGGATACGAGAATCCGATTCTCCGTGTCTGTCGATGGCCGGGTATCATCGTTCTATGTCCCTGCTTAAAGCTCAGAGCGAAGAGATTCGGTCATCAGGCCTCTCAATATGTTCTTACCTGGCACCGATGTAGTTATTCAAGTCTATCTGAAGGATTATTCTATGATTTGAAAATATCTCTATCAGTTCAAAAATTTGGTTTTTTTGTCTTCAATTTCCACTACTTGATTTATGTGGACTCGGCAAATTGCTACAGAGCTCGCAGCAGAATAATGCTATGTCCCCACAAAGATGCGCTTCGGCAGATCAAATCAAATGGTCGAGCTTGTGTCGGCTCAGCATTGATGGATTGCCCGCCATGCAGCATATTCGCCGACATACTACTATCCGATGATTGTGAAACATACGACATTCAATTCACAAGAGAATTCAATTTTGGCAGTTTCATGCGGACGAGACCTCCTTTCACTGATCGAACCGCGGATTATAATTGGAGACGGTATACCATCTTTTTTATATTGCTCACACAGTTGATATTGACTAACGTATTTAAAGGCGTAAACAGCCTTTTCTGGCCCCCTGGAATTGATTCTTTGCACTATGATAGCTTTTCACATTGCGATTGTTGCTAGGAATGTGAATGCTATCATATTGCTCAATTGGTTTGAATGCACGTTGTACACGAATCAGGCTTTCGACTGATGTGTACGTGAGTCTAAACCTCAAGGATTTTTTTTTGATCACTTTGACTCTCTCGATTATGTACGTATCTAGAAACAGAGACCTCTGATGAGGAGTAATGATGTTTGCTGGACTTGAGAATGAAATCGAGGTGTGGAGGTACCTGAGTCCTGATATATGATGTCTGAATTTTTAATTCCTAGATCACCAAGAGGCCTACAGACAAGGCACCCTAGCCCAAGCCCGCTCAAAAGTTATGGATTCGCAAGACTACGTGAATCACTTAAGAAAGTAGATCCACCGCTGCAATGATTTGGAAAAGCGGTTACACAGTAGAATCCACCGAGATCAGAGGAAAGGTCCGTTTCTTTATCATTAGATAAAGAAAGTATAATAAACAAGATACAAATAACGCCTTTATTAAACTTCTTCTCTTTCTTCTTCTTTCCTTATTGTAACTCTTATTGTTTGGAAAATCGCATCTCTGTAGATCAAGTCTTTGTTTGATCTCTTTTATAGAGTATTTTAGGAATATCTCCTCGCCAAACAATAATTTTCATTCTAAGTCCCACTGTAAATCCCACCGCACAGTTCTTAGGACTTCTTTGGTGTGTTCTGACCATCCGACCTATCATCATCATCCTGGGATTTGGTTCGGATCTGCAGCCACAATCTTAGTTGACAGATCTCGATAAAGAAAACAAACAGCGGTCAAGACTCTGATGTATATCTCTGCCGAAACCATGTGTAGAATTAGAGCGGTGCCCAGGATGCTATGCAGATTCCCGCACGGCCCTAGGCAGTGAGCTCTTCAACAGACCCACTGAGATCAGCCGGGGGCTAACCTAAATCAAATGTCCTAAAATGTGCTGAAATGCTCGAGTATAAAGACAACAGACAGGTCTCAAGTCATAAGTCACAGTAGAAGAGAACAGTGGACCGTTGAAAAACTGATCTCACTTGAAGGTAAACCTCTGTCAATGAGTGAGCGTTGAGATATAATTAGTTAGTAGGTTATGAGACTTTCGATCTTGGAATACCGGTTGCACAATAAGACGCATAGTTACACAAGATAAGGGGAAGTGGAGAAGTTTTCAGCTTAGCCACCTTCGCTGAGTGATTGTCACGATGTAACTAACAAACTAATAATTAGCTTTTATGAGACTTTATCTTTATTGATCAGGTATCGAACCCGCCTGATTTGCCGGTGATATAGTGTCTACCAGACTTGATTCGACTGTATTACGTGATTTCGGCTCCTTGCTAGTTGGATGATCATGATGTGGTGGAGCAACATACACTCTCGCTGTGTTCTCTATAAAATACTTGATTAATTTTTATCGCCAAAAAGGCCGCTAGTTGTCGTGGATATCCTCCAATGAGTTTGGCTTAAACAGAGCTCTAAGTCATTAGCCAGTAATCCCTGATACGGAATGAAATTTGGGATACCCTCCCCTCTTGCCAGCCATCAAGTCCTAGTAATGGGAGCTTATCCAAGCTTTACGGTGAAGTAGACGAGCTCACAGGCCATCCGTGTCTGGAGCTAATAAATCGAAGGAATGGATCGAATCCAATACACGTGGGCACGTGAATACAGTTGGTTAAATAGCACGCATTAGCTAAATACAACTGTAACCGGAGTGATAGCTGATAATAACTGTTAACCTTACATCTGTCGCAAAAAGGTGATTGTTTTCATTTGCCAGATATGTCCTGCTGATTGGTAAGATAAGTGCGGTCGCGATCCACAAACTTCTGGCAGATGAAATGTCTTGTGTATCGTGGTGAAAATCCTGCATCTTTTTCTGTGGATGTATCAGAGGGGAGTTCATCCTGTATTCTACTTTCGGTCTCATGAAACCATTCAAACATTTAAAGCTCTCTTCTTTTCCAAGTCAAGCATGCATGTATTAACTCTCTAAGCGACGAAGGACCGCCGTTAATCTGAACTTGTTTGCTTAGGAGCTAAATCTCTAAGCCAGTGTGCTCTGAATCTAGGTGATACTACTTCGATTCTTCCGTTATCGGATGCTCAGTCGCATCAATATTTTCTGTTTACCAAATAAGGATCAAGCATGATAGCCTTTCGAAAGACGCCAAACCTTATATAACATCATTTCTATTGCTAGGAATTTTTCCCAATAGAGCTAATGCACGCTGCCATCAGGTCTTGTAAATCCCTTTCACCGATGAGGTCTATGTGGTGCTAGGCTGGGGGGCTTAGACTCTTTTTCGGAATTCGCACTTGGCAACTTCATGCGATTATGACTGAGTTTTCGAATGCACAGTCAGTGTCATCTCACATATGCCGCCCATACGTGATGCACCTGATATGTGCCGTGACGAAATAAAGTAAGGTTTACTTACCCCTACAAGCGCTTTGTAGGATGGGGACCAGTATCACCCACACGCATGACGTATCGCCGTTTGCCTGCTCTTTATACTTTATACCAAAAGAATCGGTCGTTCCATAGATTGTGTATATCGCTATCAATCCCGCAGAAACTCGATATCAATCCTGACAGGAAACCCGACTGCTCTTTAGGACAAACATTATGTCTTCAATTGCCTCAACTACCCCCGTCGACAGATTGCTTCAAAAATGCACGGGCAAGCGTGCTTATATACCTAACCTATTCTCTCTCTGCCCTGGGTGGCAGCTGTCTCCGAATTCGAATTACGGACGGAGCGTTGAGGGTTTCCTTGATTCGTGGCGCCAAGAGTAACCTCAAATGAGATCCCTTCATTTAGTCGATATAATAACATAATATGCAGATGGATAAGAGACCCGACCAGCTTCAAACGAAATAAAGAAGTGAAAGGTGCCCTTTTTGCTAGCTTTATTTATCCTGAAGCAGGCAGGACAGAGCTTCAGACCATGGCTGTATTGCTTAGTTGGGTAAGACTCTCCATAAAACATTGCAGCTAATGACGCAATTAACCAATTCCCTCAGATCTATTTTTGGGACGATGGTAGTTACCATCTACAAGGAACTATGCTTTACCAATAAATTCTTATTGTTTCATTTGAAAGTGCTTGATTTGGGAGAGGTGAATTACAAAGCCGATGACGTGGAGACAATCAGGCATCAAACCCTTGCCAGCATCCGTCTGAGTTTATTGTCTGAGTCGCCCAAAGACATTGATGCAGCTCTTATTGCACCAGCCATCTGGACAGCACAATCACGGTATGAGATTGGGATGAGATTGCATCAGGGTATCAAACTTCCTAGGTCTACATACCTCGGCACTTTAGTTCTAGATTATCCAGTACCCAAGTACGAGACAAAATATCAAACTGACATTCAAAAATTCATCAGGCTCTTCAAAAATTCTCCTTTATGAGTACATGCAAGACTACATCGACGAAGCGATCGAATTGCAAAGAATTTTCATCTCCTCGGAGATTTTGGATATTGCGAACTACCTTACTTTCCGAATGAATTCCTCGGCCGTCTATCCAATTGTGTTTCTTACCCTGTAATCATATTATCTGCAACCTATATTCAGCATCTGACGCGTTTTAGTTATGCAAACCAGGTCGAGTTGCCGGAATGGATATTGTCCCATACCCTCGTGAAGGAAGCATTGAAGCAGAGCAACTTGATCATCTCCCTGTAAGTAGAATCTTACATGCAAGGCACAGTATATCTGATATATTAGTGCCAATGATATTGTATCTGCACGTCATGAAATTGTAAGACATCTGCATGGCCTTCCAAAGCTCATATAATGCTAAATTGATTTACACAGATGTGCAACCATGTCGACAATATTGTTCCCTTACTTGTCCACCACAATGGATTGGATGTGTAGGATGCAATCAATGACGCAGCTCAGATGGTTCATAAAGCGTATGAAGAATTTGAGCATGTTGAATCTCAGCTACTTGACTTGGGCCGACAGGAAGAAATCGAACGGGAACTGCAAATCTTTCTAAATGGCTGCAAAAATAGTTGTATTGGCATTTTTAGATGGTCGTGAGTATCATCTTTGGACGTCAGGAACTTTGACTACTGATAGTTTCTCCCAGTTATGAAATCAAACGGTACTTCGACTGTGATCTGACTGAAGGAATATCAGAAGTGCCTGTTTTCCTCGGCCATGCGCTGTAAAATGGGTCACTCTGTAAAGCTTTCCTGCATTTTAGTTAGGTTTCAACCGACGAGCCTTGGCGTCTTTGCAATAAATAGAGAATAGGTTTTAGTAAATAGAAAGGCTACTTTTACGATCCAATTGTCCGTTCCATACGACAAGAAATAAACAAACTCGACTCTAGGTCATTGCAATTAACTAAACACTGCCCGTCATTCTAATCTCCATCAAGCCGATAATTAAAATCATCATCATCATATATCACCACCTCTGTATAGAAGCTGAACTTATCAGCTACTGTGTTATCGCTTTCCTTCCAGCTTCACACTTTTTGCTCCAGCTCAAGCCCATGCGCACTGCCAAAAGAACGATATTCACTGCAGATACTGCGAGATTGATTGTCTGGTGTAAGGGGCTTTTCTGGACTGCTCGAAGAGTCGGCACGAAGAGGGCAAAACGGATAAACAGCAGCGCGGTGGCTAAAAGTGCTTCTGCTTGAGTTGGTATGTGTATAAATGCCTGCATTGTGGTCATAGCGTAAGTAAGAAGACGATTTTCATTGGAATTATGTTCAAAATACCTGCTGCGTTCTCGCTAGATAGCCTTGGTTGCATAAGCTGTAGATTCTGACGCCATGTAGTCATCTACTTTGCACTATATAAGTAACAGAGCGCTCAAAATGCCTGTGATGTGCTCTGTATTCGTCACGAGTCATCCTGACTGATTGAGTGCCCTAAGAGAGAGCAGCCCGGAGATTACTAATAGCCAAAGGTTGGTGAAAATACTATCAGTTCGACCACCTGGGTCTATCAGCGGCCAGAACGAATGTTTCGGGTGTTGTTGCCGCGGGATGCTAGGTATTTTTAGTCAGTAGTGAGCTCTAGGAGCGGAGCTAAAAAAAGTTTTAGATATATATCTAGATTTGCAGGGCTCTGCCCTATGTGATTCATTTTACATGAAAGAAAGATGGACATAAAGCCGTCTTTATATTCTATCTACTAAAGGTATTATTACCTGCATTACCCTCGCCTGTCGCCTTAGAACGAATCTACTATCAAACTAGCGACTACGTCTTTTAATAGAGTATAACTAACCGTTAACAATTATAGTATAGTACCAGCTACATCTAAGCTAGATACCTACAAGAGTGAGAAATTTCGTAGGCGGGTGTATTGCCTATATAGTTTCTCGTGTACCATATATATGAATATATCATTAAACAGTATGCGTCAGCCCCCCAAGAGCCCCGCGGCCATAGAAGTATTAGAATTAGGATAATACCTGCCGACGCCACTTTTCAAAAAACAATTTCCCCCCTGTCCACCGTCAAAGGAAGCAGTCAAGTTTGCAGAATACACAACTCCTTTGCATTGCGGGTCGTTTGACGTATCCTGGTTCCATTGGACGCATTGAGCAATGCAGGACTTCAAGGTATATTCAGTTGCTGGAAGAGCGCTCAGATCTTTGACTGTTCCATTGCCGTATGCCGACTCCACGCCGCTTGGCCAGTCCACGGCACACAACAATGTAAATATTGACCCATCAGATCCCGTCTCTGTTGTCAAGTTTCGTCCGGGACACGGATTTTCAGCGACACCTATTGTGCCCGATGTCACAGGGGCTGAGGATGTAGTGGATGCAGTGGTGGTGGTAGAAGAAGATGCGGTGGCGGTGGCGGTGGTAGAGGATTCTGGTTCCGTAGAGGTTGTAGAGGAAGATTCGGTGGCGGTGGTAGAGGATCGTGGTTCTGTAGATGTTGTAGAAGTGGTATCGAGATCTGGTTTCCTTAACTCGGCGCTATCACAAGATTGTATGTTAGGCTGATTTAGCTTGTGACAAGTGAACCCTAGAGGTTAACATACGTGGTTTTTTTGTTTGCCAGCCATCCTCCCACTCCGCCACTAATAGCACCACCAATGACCAGAAGCGCGACAACTACCAGCAACCAGAAGGTCTTGGAAGCCACTCCACATATCTTCTTAGGTTCCTTCGGAGCTTTTATTTTGAGGGAACCATCTTCAAGTGAGCCGTGGTTTGTCCTTTCTGGTCCAGAAACGTAGTATAAGTATCCAGTATCCTTTGTGACTTCTTTTTCCGTGTCGGGTGCTACTTGAGGCCCGCTGGTATATCTTCGTGCCCCCCTGTATTGTTCTGGAGCCACCTCAAGCCCATCCATCTTGAATAGGTTGGAATCAGATTAAGCGAGGCGCAGTCGATCGCCTGCTGGGGAAAAGAGCCTTTTAGCCAGAATTTGGGTGTGAAATAAGCCAGAGCCAAGTCCAGCGCGAGTTTACAATCAAGAGCTCATTTGTATTTCTAGTGGGCGATTGCTCACAACTTATAACAACTAAAGGTCAGAGCTAGCATAGTCAAAGCACATTAAATTAGACAGGGTGGACGAGACGCCGAGCAAGACAGCGGTAGTTTCATACATGCAGGCATGCATACGCATTTAAAATTAGCTGTAATTTGCTTCTTTGATTGGCTCAAGAGGAGTGGAGCCCAGAAGACGTAGGTGTATAACAATCGTCAAAATCCTTGTTCACGTGTCACTGGTTCTTTCCATGATCACTTAAAATCGTCGTCCGTATCCTAAAAGGCATTACCGTATTAGTTATATTCAGGGGAAGATATTCGCCAGCTAGTTGTGAATCTGTTCATAGAGGTCAACATAGGAATTTAAATGCAAAGCTGGTTGCAATTGACTATTCTGCAGATCAATGTCAATGCTGCCGTGCCTTACTGATCCAAGGTCTAAAAAAGGATCACTCTATTCTTCTGTTAGCACAAGATTTCTCCAGGCAGTCCTTAGAATCAAAGGGCGGATCGTGATCTTGGCACAGTCCACGTGACGTGATTTGAGGCTGAAGCAGAGTTCAGGCTTCTCCAATCAGAGCTTCTTTTTACCCGCCGGCGACGAACTAGTTGCATAGCGTCGGAGCAGTAGACCCTTCAGGAGCTGCTAGTGTCTAGCGTTCTTTAGTGTTCAAGGACTTGAAGCGAGAGCCACAGTAGAGACCTTCACTGTTGCTGATAATGAATTCCTTGGCTTGTTTGATTCACCCTCTTCCGAGCATTGCATAAATGTTAAATACTATGCGTAACAGCCAATAAGTAATCTCAAGAACTCTGGATTGCATTACCCCTAGTTCTGGCAATTCGCATGGGGCGGTAATTAGTTACGTGCTTAGTACGGAGTAATGACAAACGGTCAAAGCAAGAATACGCACAAATACACCGTACTTAAGCCTAGCTAAGGAGGTGTGCGCCTTTTTGGCCTAGCGGTCACGAAACAGGCGTTTTTTCTATGCGACACAAACGATTGCGGATCCCTGGATTTTGGCCACGACAAGAATTACTCAACCTTTCCTTTTCATTCCCCTTAGCACTACAGATATTCACATCGCCGAAGATGGATCCCTTCGCAAAATTACCAACCGAAATTATTTGTCAAATTCTCGAATCTTGCTGCGACTTCACCAGCTTAGACGGTCTTCAACAAATATCTCCCCGAGTGAAGGAAGCTTTCAACGGCTCGTTTAAAAAGATCACCGAGCACGTCCTAAGAAACTGCTCCCTTACAAAGCATGGGCTTTATCACTATTTTACGCTCTTAGCCTCTATTCTATCGATATCCTTCACTCCACAAGCCCTTCTAAAAGAGCTCGCTAGCTCACTAGGGGATGTTATGCGACCTATCTCCCTTTCTACCACCCACTCATTAGCTGCGGTGCATCAGACTATAAAAATAGCAGCGAAAATACATCTTACTGCCTGTGCTTGTCTTCAGTGTTTAATCAATCGTCTCGAGTCCGCAGAGCCCCGCCGTCCTATAGCTTCACATGCTGATGTTATAGATTGGGTAAATGGAAAATTTCCACCACCTAAAGGTGGCGAGCTTATTCAATTCGATGTTGATCCACCATCATGGATCGAGTCTTATCGGACGCATCGGGGCCTCTGGAAACTTGAACTCTTCTACCAAATCTATAATACGGGAATAAACCACTGGCTATGGTCTACAGATGATCTAGACTACTTTATTGAACAGTATCTAGAACATTGTCACTATCCGGGGGGAATAGAAGAGCTCCAGACGATTTCGGAGTGCGTGGTCAATCTATGTTCCTCTGAGCCAACAATTCTCAGCCATCGGGCTTCATATCTAGTTGCCGTTCCATCGCCAACCGACTTAACGGTACAGACATGTCGGCCTCTACCAGATGTTCAGGATACACAAGTTGATTCGATATGGTGTCGGAGTCCGGATTGTGCGAAGGGCAGAAATGCTGTGCTTGGTTCTTTTAATGCCCTTCGTGGCGGTGAAAAAGGCCGTAGTTTTCACCCTCTCTGGAAAGTGGATTTCAAAGCATTTCGACGACTTGGTATACCTCTTTGGGACATGTGGCGATTGTACCAAATGAGACTTATGCACCAATCTCGCAGTGTGCTTTCACCACGGGGCATCTTGGTTGGCGGAGAGTCAGAAAAAACCGAATGGCACCGTTACATTGAAGCCTACGTATGGTTTAGTCTAGCAGAGGAGGGTGATGTGATTGTACAGCTAAGAAAATAAATCCTGAAGTTTTGCGCATCGCATCCGTGACCAACTTCATCCAGCATTAAACGGGTTCTGATTAGAGATGATGATGGAAGATGCTAGTGAGATGAGGCAGTCAAATAAGAAAGAACTTATTTTTGACTCTCTGAACGCAACAGTTTATGCTTATATGAGACCCAATACGATTGCAATTCACACGTATATGGCAAATAGGAGAAGATATCAATAATCTGGCTTTAGCCCTTGATTAGCACCAGCCCGATGTCACAAGAACACAACAATTCGCATAGCAAAGCCATTATACTTAGAATGGGGGTCCTCATAACACCTTACTTACAAATATGCCATAGAAGGGGAGGTTGAATTGAATTCAGAACGACAGCACGTGAATTGACAGAAACGCATAGCATCTTGAGTAGATTTTGAGCCTGGGAGAAATATAGCAAATGAAAAATAGACTTTTTGCAAGGAAAGGAGGACAAAACAAGAAGAAAAAAGAAAGGAAAAGAGATGGAGAAGACTTAATTCAGTTGACTCTTACATGGGATGCTTGCCAATGGTCAAGAAGTGGATGATCCTCCATGATGTTCATTCTTTATCCTCAACTCATCCCCTTGAAAGGCTCCCTACAAGATCTATAATTCGGAGCTTGTTATTTGTGTCGACAAGAAAGTAATGAACAGGAGCGTGCTCAGTTTTGGTGAGCGATAAGCGGCAAGGGGTCAGCACTAAAGTAGAAAGGGAAAACCATCTCGCTCCTAAAATTTGGTGTAAACATGCCGTTGAGATTGCAATGAGAATTAGAATCTTCAAAATCAACAAATTCATCCGGTAATCATCAGGTCTCCCTTATTTTAGTTCCATTCGATGTATCGTGGGTGTGGGATTAAGCATCCCTATCTATCCATGGATGACAAATAAGATATTCACCCCTTGCTTGATTCGAATATATATGGAAGCATGGATATGGTACATATACGGAGTATAATAGATAAAATAGCTATCTGGATGGAGAGCGGCCACTCCACTCTTATTGCTCGAATCCCTCGACTTGGCTCTTAGTCTTGACAGAATGCTGCATCCCGTCCTCGATATCAGTAGTATTAATGCTGTTCTTTCGCTGACAGGTACGCCACAACATTTCTCTTTACGGTTGCTTTCTTCGAATGAAAGATTGTATCTCCAGATTAAAAGAGAAACATTTCTGAATGTCAGACAGTGAAAGCAAACAAATAAACAGTACTTCAAATTCCACATAATAAAGTCAAAGCACACAGCACCGAGTTTCTCATTGAAATCCGTCTCATATCATCCAGAAGGATACAATTTAGGCATCACAATTTAGGTGCATAGCCCCCACTAAAGGAAACATCAACGTGTGCGCTCCCTGTAAAGCTCGGAATTGCAGTCATCAGTCCCTCCACTCTATCCATAGAGAGCATTGGGGCTGTACAAAAAGATTCAATATCCAAATCTCTCAGGTGCTCGTCCAGTCGTGGGAGCACCCCATCAAGCGCCTTGCGCTCCAGCTCAAATTGAGCTGCCCGACTAAGCCCTTGATTCTCAACATACCAACTAGGATCCGATTTTATCGCACCAACCTCATACAAAGCCAACAGAGAAGGATCGACTCCCGCGTTGGCAGCAGCTTCATAGGCCATACGCTGACCAATACCCAGAACCATCGGACGACAGTGGGGCAAGATGTAACTGTTGTATTCAGCGCTTCGATGGTCTTTGATGCTTCTTTGAAGGTCCTTGAGCTCGACTATAATCCCGGCCTCGTGCTGTGCTAGCAAGCAATTAGGCATTGTGGCCTCTGGGATTTTATACCTCTCAATAAGGAGCTCCGTGGCAAGCCCTGGTAATCGTCAATAGACAGAAAGCGTGAAAAGTGGACAAGGGCATATATACGGATAGATAGTACCAAGACTTCCCCTTCCGCGATACCAGTGGCGCGAGCCAAGCTCTATGCCAATTAGCTATCTTTATGCTTACTATGGAGTGATCATACCTCGAATGTTGTCAGCTGATTGTGAGGGTACATTCCCTGCGCGCCACTTCGTTCAATGAGGCTGGCCAGGCTTCCCTGGCCGTTGAAAAGGAAGACATTTTTCAGAATGACCCCTAGTCCATGCCTAGCTCCAGGGTGAAGTGATACATCATTGCTGAACACGTCAGTAAGCCAATCAGCAAACGGCTTCATTACCGCAATCTGTGCCAAGGAATGCATGATTGGGAGTTGCTGGGTCCGGAAGGAGATGATCGGAGCCCGTTCACCCTTTGCACCTTGTTGGACTGTTCGGCGCTGACTATATGATCCAACAATGAACGTAGCGCACTTGAGGAACGGGATCATCCACAAGCTAAGAGCCAATGCACCAGTTCCCAGGCGGCCAATAGTTGATAAATATTGATCTCGCAAGTTGTCAGGTTTTGCAAGTTCTCCAAGCATTGAATTAGCAGGTAGCCGGACATGCTGGAATGATGTCAAGGCATGGTCTAACATCTTTCCACCTGCGATGGAAGGAAGAAGCCTAATAATTATAGCTCATATCAGTATGTGGAGCTTAATTTGAGCATCCTCCATACATACCAAGAGTGAACACCTTCGCACATTTGCTTCCCGTCATTGATTGGGACCACAAACGGCCGAATGCCTCTATTCTCCCCCTTAACTAGAAGACGTGCCATAACGATTGCTATACGGCGTATACCTGCAATAGGCATGGATGGTGGCATAAATCTGCCATATAGTCAGTATTTCGGGATCACAAATTAACTATTATGTATACTTTATTGCTTCCGGATTTGGAGTGTTCAAAATGAAACCCCCGTCAGTTTGCCAAGTTGCGGTAGTCTCTAAGTTCCGCGCATCGCATCCGTGGCCAACTTCATTTAGCATGAAAGGGGCTCTGATTAGATTACCTGTTATTATTTTTCGCCTAACTCATATAGAGCAGAGATAGGTCATACGTAATATCAAAATTTAAAATCTCCTTGAAAAGGGGCTCTAGATCTGGCCTCTTGAAGACAAAGGGAGCAAGTGTCCCTGCAACAAGGTTAAGCTGAATAGTGAACAGAATCTGGGCAGTGGTATCGCGAACGATTATTCTGTCTTGGTGGCATTCCCAAAATTTTGGCGTGAGATGAAGAACATCTTCAAGGGTCAGACCTGATGACAAACGTGTTATTTTGGGACTTGGTTGAGCCTTGTGGTCTCAAACTGACTGTGCCATCTTCCAATCGCTCTAGCGCGTGCGTACGAGCGTTCTAAGTCCTTAAGACGTGTGGTATCGCCATAGTGATGCTCAAAAACGCGATCAGAGAGAAGGCTAGCTGAAGAGGATTCCATTTGAAGTAGCAGTGGAACAGAATACTTTTAGACCACGGGATTCAATATTTGGTATTTAGTCACAGAGAATAAGAAGACTTAGAAGGCCATAATTATATTCCCCTGTTAGTCTCCAAACTCGTCATGGCCTTTCCGAAAGCCGGTTTATCATCATGACTAGTCGATCTTTCGGATCATTTCTGCATCGCTTTCTAGAAAACTTGCAAGTGAATCTATAAGTTCAGACATTGATAAATCAGGTGGAATAGATCGACCCCATTACATTTAATGTGGAACTCGCTCCCCCTCTACAAGAATAAAAATTTCGAGAAACGTGTCACCAATAAGCATATTGAACTTACTCATTTTTTCCCTTTTTTCCCGGTGCGTCAGAACCATTGCGATGCAAACTGGCCACGTGGAGATCATTGTGTAACCACCGCTAGAAGATCCTCCATCATTCTTAGATTCGTGTGCATTGTCTATGTCATCGTGTAACCCACTGATCAGATACGAATTACTGTTTGGGGAAGCCGACATTATAGTCATAAAGTGGTTGCGCTCTGTTGAGCTGATAAGTTTGGCGGCCATCGGCCACCACAATAGTATAATTCATATGCATGGTTAAAATAAGGTTTGATTGAATTCTGGGAAAAACTATGGTTTGGTTGGCGGACCTTCCGAAGGAGAGTCTATTTTTTCCATTAAAGGATGGTAAGGCCCGGTTATATACTGAGAACATGGGACGATAACTTTATAAGTATACATACACTCAGGACAAATTCCATCTTATGCCGAAAAACAATAATTGAAGCCCTAGAGACCACTGATGGATGTAGATAAGGGTTGTTATAGTAAATGGGATTCTTTTTAGTGACTTACCAAATGCCATGATCAGGCCTTGGGATATCAAAGAACCATTACGAATCACCTATCTTAGAGTAACCTGGAAACAATACTAAAGAATGCGGGAATTTAATCATTTCGATTGACTTATGAAACATTGAGCAAATGCAGATAAACCGCCAGATACACCGGTGAAAGCTAGAGAGAAACCGGTCAACAAAATCCTTGAAATCCATGAAAATATCGGATCAAAATATTTGCACATCCAAATCCAAGGCAAAAAGAAGAGCCACAAAATAAATATCTCGATAGGGAAAACGGTGTTCAAAAACGACCAGACAGAAAGCAGGCACCGGCACCAAGTCACAAATAAACGCAACACAATCAACCAAGCCAAACCAACTTCACCCCCAAAACAGTGACCTAGTGAGGCTGCGCCTGCGGACCATCAGAACCACCATAGTGCGCATACAAATGAACCATCAAAACATCAGAATCATTCTCAGCAACAGCATTGAGGAAGCAAACGTGCTTGCGCAGCGGCGCAGAGACATTGGCGTAAATAAGACCGACAGCACAGTCGCGAATGCGCTGATACCAGATGTGCAGCGGGTGATAAGCGGCCAAAGGCTTGATATCATTGATGACAACTTCCCAGATGCCATGCTAATGAAGAGCATCTGCATGGCGCCCAACCATTCGAGCCAATTTTCTTCGCCGCGGAGCGGGTCGACAGGAATTGGGATGAAGTGCTTGTCGTGGGCGTTTTCTTTGAAGAATCGGACGTGCTTCTCGGTTTTGGCTTGCTGAGCGCCGTGATCAAAGGTCTGGCTATCGGATTCGGCGGCCCGACGGCCGGAGAACAGGTAGTCTGCCAGATCGGCGGAGGTGAATGCTGGAGGTTGGGTGGATTTCTTTGGCTTTTTCTTGGCCTTGGAAGCTCCGTCGCTCTTGAAGTGGTTAGTCTCCTTGGAAAGGAAGGAGTACTTGGTGGAAATGTCCTTGGGTTCTGTAATCATGTTAGAGGAGAGAAACATCCAGTCCCAGTATGCGCTTTTGGAAGTGAATGGGAGGTCAATTATTGGATTTCTGTTGGGGTATAGGGTCACGTCGTCCATGGTACAAGGAACTAGGTCGTGGGGAATGGCTATATCATGTCAAAGTCACTTTCTGTGTCCTTCGCGCAGTCGGTCGAAGTGGCGTTGACAGAAACAGAGGAAGATTGCCGCTCTAAAGCGCAGATGTTAGACTGAACCTAATACCAATCCAGAGGCCATTTCGAGAAACAAATGTTGGGCTGCTGAACCGGGTCGGCAGAAGGAGCGTAGCACAGGCTTAGGTCGTCTTCGTTGCAGGGAATTTTTTTCAGGCCCATAGTCTCAGGATTGAGATCCATTTGTAAGGTAGAATGATCCACGATAGATTCAGATTGAAAAGGGGACGAAAAAGTAAACGGAAGATCGGCAAGGAGGAGTCTCCTTCTTCTTCTTCTTCTTCTTCTTCTTCTTCTTCAAATTTGATGAATGAATCGGGGGTTGCCAGCTCCGACTTGATAGCTGAGTTGAAGAAATCAGAGTTAGAATAGTGACACAAAATAGAGCCATACAGAGGCGCGTCTTGAAACGCGTGAAAGTCCACAAGTGAGTTGTGAAGCGTGAATAGATCCCAGTACTCACTTGGTGCTACGGAACTAGGGCCGCTTGAAAATTCAGACTTGCGAAGCACCGCTGAAACAGTGTTAGATTGCTCGACGAATGGTCTTTTGAGGTTCTTCCTGATGAGGGAAGAAGATGGGTGAGGTGACAGATGATCAGACGTACCCTTCTTCTTGCTCTTGCTTCCAGAAGGCATCCTGATGACGCGATGAAAAGATCAATGATTGATGAAATGGTTGATGAAATTTGAAAAGAAGACGCAAAGATAGTGGGAAGAGGAAGGGGAAAGCCCATGTGCAAATACAAGTAGAAAGTTGATGTTCGCTACGAAAACCAATACTCTTCTTTCTGGATTTATATCTGCACTCTAGCAACTTCCACAGAACGTCATTATACAAAGCACAAGCCAAATGAAGGCATATTAAAGATCTTTAAAATGAATTGGCAGTGAGACATAATATGTAAGATACCGATAGGTGTATTTATACCTGAAACCAAATGAGATGACGGGATTTTGACCCATCAAGGATCATAGTCCACAACTGGAATTATCGTATCATCCAAGCTGACAGAGCCCTTAGATCCAGAGTAGTGGTTAAGCCATCCCAGAACCTGCTGATGCCAGACAAGACTGTTCTCCTTATTAACAACCCTATACACAAAGCCATTGAGTTAGCCCAAAACGATCATAAAGAACCAGGAAAAATGCTATTGAGCTTACCAATGGTTCTCATCAGGGAAATTCAGGAGTCGGCTAGGAACACCACGCTCCTGCAAGACATTGAACAAGGCCAGTCCTTCAGACTCGGGAAGTCGGTAGTCCTTTGAGCTGTGGACGATCAGCTGGGGAGTATCGAATTGCAGGATGTGCTCAGGAGCTGATGGATCCCAGCGGCGGTAGTTATCGCGGTTGTCCCAGAAAGTGCCGTTGAACTTGGAAAATGTCAGTGTTAAGATATCATAGAGATGGATTATGGTACTTACCTCGTGCTCCATGAACCAAAGTTCTTCTGTCGAGATCTTTGCATCGGCAACGAATGTTCCGTCGTGGCTAACCAGAGCCTTAAATTTGCGGCCCAAGGGGTTACCCTGAATCCAGTTGATCATGAATCCACCATAACTAGCGCCGGCAGCCACACCGCGATCAGTGTCGATGAAGTCAAAATTGTCGCGGACATATTCCCAGCCCTTCACCAAGTCATCGTAAGGGTAGCTACCTGTGGATTGTGAGAAAGTGAAATCACAGCGATGGTGATCGTGACATACCCCAGTTGTTGGCGATCGCATCAGTCAATTTATCTCCAAATCCAGTGCTACCAGTTGGGTTTGGTGCAACGACCACATATCCTTGATCAGCGAAGACCTTGTAGTTCCAGCGAGTACTCCAGGAATCAGCCCAAGCGCCCTGGGGACCACCGTGGATATAGTACAAAAGCGGGTATTTCTTTGACTTGTCAAAGTTTGAGGGGTAGATGATCCAGGAATGAATCTATAACGTTAGCATGATACTATTGAATAAGAAACCAGAATCGCAGGCTCACATCTGTCCAGTTGCCCTTGTAGTAAAACTCGCTGATATCTGACGGCCCCAAATCCTTCAATGCAGCGTCAACAGCGTTGGCCGAGAAGACAAGTCCAGTAATACCCTTTCCTGGCTTCGCGGTGTATACAACGCGACTAGTCCAGATGGCAGAACCAGAAACCAAAAATTCACCATTGGGCAGGCTATAGTAAGCAGCGACAGAGCCGCCGTCGGTGAAATTCTTGGGCTTAAAGTCATTGTCAGCATTAGCGGGCAACAAGAAGAGTCGAGAGCGCGCAAGGTCCTCGGTGTTCAAAACCAAGTTCTTGCCGTCAGCAGTCCACTTGATGGCGCTTGGTGACCGGTCCCAGTCCTTGGCTAATGTGCGAATTGTCTCTTTTGATTGGAGGGTGTAAACGTAAACAGTACGACGGTCCGCCTCGTAAGCAACATCCTCCATTTGAAGATATGCGATGCGACGGCCATCCGGAGAGAAGACAGGGCTGCTCGAGTCACCCTTTATATCTTTCGGTGTACCGGGGCTTTCAGGACCATTGATCGCGACGGCCTTCTTTGACCCATCGTGAGGCGCGAGGTAGATATAGGAAGCAGTGTTGTTTGCACGCGGCAATTCAGGGGCCTTGCTCTTGAACGCGACCCATTTTCCATCGGCAGAGATGTCATAGTCAGACGAATCGCCGAATGGAGGATATGGAGACTCAAGGTTCTTGACCCCTGCGACTAGGTTCTTCAGAGCTCCGTTAGAAGTATAGCTAGCGGCGGCTCCTGTCCGGCTCTCTTCTTGTGCAGGGTGCCAGAGAAGATAGCATTGAATCGCGTGGTCAGCCAGTAGTCCCAGTGACGAACGTAGATGCTGTCGTAGATGCGGGCAGAGCTCAAAGGCGTGACAGCCAGCTCCTCGTTATAGGCGGTTCCATTAGCATAGGACTCTCCGTATACCAAGAAGTTGATATCGCCAGATTTGGTGATCGCTGTCTTGAGACCAGACAGCGGTGCTGGCAATGAAGCTGCCTTGTACGCACTGAGCAAAATTTAGCAATTGATCATCCACACATGCATGGGAACTCACGATTTGGTGAAACTAGAGGTATCTGATACCCAGATCTCCACACCTCCGGGAATCTCGGCATTAGTGCCGTTGATGTACAGAAGACCCGAGTCACTAGACCCGGACCAAATCAACTCAGAGACATTGGTGTCATTGGTAAGCTGAGTAACTTTTCCAGTCTTCAGATCTAGCAAACTCCACCACGAAGATGTGGCATGGGTATCCCATGAGTACTCAGAAGTGGAAAACAGTGCGACTTCCTACACTTCGTTAATAGCAGTAAACGACCACATTAATTCGACTTACTCCCGATGGATTGGGAACAGCCTCACTCCGTCTCGGAGCAGCAATGAGTTCTCTACAAAGCGATCAGCAAAAAGGCAGATAAACATGGCCGATCACTACCAACTTCGGAGTTAGAGCCACTGCCGAAATCACCAACGACCCGAAGGCCGACCATTGGAATGTGCGCATATTCTAAGCACAGCTCAGGGAAAACGTGGAGAGAGCTAATCAACATGCACAGGCATTGCCGCAATATAAATGGCAGGCGCTCGGAGGCATCGGCAGTTTCCCGAAGGGGGGCATGTTACATTCCTCAACGCCAAGACAGATATGCATGATGTTATTTCACGGCAAGTCTTGTTATCCGTTGTGTCCAAGACACTAGTAAGGCGTGCTGTGGACTAGTGAAGGCGGAGGCAAGGTCCGCGCAGCGATCGGCTGCTTGGGTTGCAGCGCCAAGCATCCCGGAGTCCGCTGTTAACCCCGTTGATATCCGGGCTTGGGGGCGCCCATCAGCATTGGCATAATTCTAGGGTTTGAGTATATTGGCTTAGGCGGAGTGATATATAGTAATGTAATGTTGCTCCGCGTGTTGTACAAGATCTGGCGGGGGCGCGATTCTACGAGTGGCACCACGGTAAGCTCTAATGACGCGCCCCATCTGGGCAATGGTGCGATTATTGGAAAGAGCAACTGAGACATAAAAACCATCCAATGATTGAATTGCACGCTATAGTGACGGAATCGCTTCAATACTCAAAGTCATCGTCCACACCTCCCTTGCCCGAGGTCTCCTTGGTAACTGCTTCTTGTTTCCGATACATCTCAGCCACGGCACGGGTGGTGGTGGCCTCATCTGGCTTCTTGTCATCACGAGATTTGATATAACGCGGGAAACGCAGAGACACACCCTTTCCAGCGTCGGTTGTTCCTTGGAACTCATCGGCGGCGGCTTGGTAACGGGGACTGAGAGTTAGATCTGCTGTCTTCACCTCCCATACCAGTCTTGGCTCAAACCAGACATCGGGTTGGTCCTTGGGGACAGAAGAGTGTGTGTAGAAGGGCTTTGGGCGGTCAATGACGAGGGGTACTAGCGTGGAGTGGAGCTCCTCGAGGAGCACCTCGGAGAAACCAGTACCAATGTTACAGATGGTCTCATATGTGTCACTGTTGGGGTTGTAGGCAGCGAGAAGGAAGGCACCGTAGACCGAAGTACGTTTTCCACGGCCATGGTAGGCACCAAGGACAACAAGATCCAGGGAGTCACCAACACCAGCGAGGTAATCTTTTTTGACCTATGTAGAAGTGAGCAAGAGCCAGACCAGGTGCGTATCTAAGAAATCCTACCTTCAGCCAGTTGCGACTGCGCTTGCTAGGCTCATAGCCACTCTCGGCCGTGTCCAGCATTTTCACCATCAGACCCTCACAAGAGGCCTTGACACTGGCCTCGAGCAATTCTTGGATCTCATCAAGGACATTGGAGTTGCCATATTGGGCAAACTGGAACTCGCCCTCAACGGGTTGGAAGCATTCGTGCATAAGCTCCCGACGTTCTCGGAGGGACTTCTTTACGCAAGGCTGTTACAAAGTCAGTAAAATGAGCTCGATAAATAATCGGATACTCTTACCTCTCCATTGAAAAACAGCAAATCGAAGGCGTATACGCAAACTTTGACCTTAACATCTTCGGCCTTCACGTCCTTACGTTTACGGGTCATCAATTGCTGGAACGGAAGAACCTTTTTGTTTTCCATGTCCCATGCAACCGTCTCGCAGTCCAGAACAAAGCTCTTCACGTCGTTCTTCACCCAAGTGTCAAGCTTGCCCAGAACGTCGGGATATTTCTTCGAAAGATCTTCCGAATTGCGGGAGAAGATTGAAGAAAGTCCCTTGTTGTCTTTCTGTAATGTGGCCAAAGCTCCAGGGAATTGGTCGATCGCATCAGGCGACACAAAATGGATCTGGGCTCTTTCTCCGTCATACTTATATTCGCATGTGAACTCTTTGCCTTCAAATCGGTCGAGGACTTCAGTAATAGACTTGGTTGGTTTGGCAAGCATGGGCTTGATAGGGATTCCGGGCTGGAGTTTGCAGATTTCAGGGAGCTTAGAGAGACCGTGCTCAAGCATTGCAGGAATAATGACTTCATAAGCCGGCAGCTCGCTGTAGACGGACTTGAATATATTTTCTCCCGCCACCATCTGCTCCGTCGACGGCATCTTATTACCGCTTGATTCGGCCTCGTGGGCCAGAACTGCACGAGAGACAGCAACAAGTACTGTCTTTTCTGCAAGTCCCAATCTCAACTTTCCTTCCAGGAAGCGAACAATGAACTTGGCTTCGCTTGGTCCGCCTTTGTTCTCAGTGATGTCGATGCCCTTGCCTCCCTTGCCAGTAGCGTCGGCGTCTGCCGCAGACAGCAGTTTCTTGATTCCTGAAATCTTCTTATCCTGGGATCCATGGCCCTGGACCTGGGCGATTCCTAATAAGCCTGCATGGACACCCCGAACAGTCAAAGCTTTGGGCTTGAACATGGTAGGCTGGTTCGACCTGCTTTTAGCAGCTACCAGTCCCAGGTCTCCAATTTCCCGCTGGTCGGCTTTAATTATAGCAAGGCTGCGGCCAGTACATTCGCCAATGGCCTTCATAATCAGTGACTCTCCAATGCCGAGTTCAATTCCCGCGTAATCTGCGGCCAATTTGTTGATCATGAGTTGGACAGTAGGGAGGAAATCGGCAGGGGTTAGACGTAGAACTTGTCGAAGGAAGAGGGAACAGTGGTCTGTGATCTCCAGACGCTTTCTAGTCATTTCAATCAAGGAGAAGGTAGTGCATAGCGCAGCGTACGGTACAGGATCACCTGCTTTCCAGTCCGGGTATGGGTCTTTACCAGATCCTTTTAGTTTGGCCTGGAACTTCTCGATCGACTTCTTCTTGGCCTCAGGTTCAAGGTCTTCCTCTTCCTCGCTCTCTGATAGTTCTTTTTCCTCCTCTGGCGATGGCGACTTTTCCTCAAATTTTACTTCTTGGGTCTTCTTCGCAGCCGGCATTGGTGATGGCGATTCAACCTTGGGCTTCGTAGCCGTTGGCTTTTTCGGGGAAGGTGTTTGCTTCTTAACAGATGGCGATGATTCGGCCGACGCCTTCCTTCGGCGCTTAGAAACAGGCTGAATATCAGATCCGTCGCTTTCATCCGCCTCGGCGCTCTTTTCTCGCTTTATGCGTTTTGTGGGAGAGGCACCGTTGGAAACAGGAGCTTCTGCTGTGTCGGCATCGGGTTTGACTTCCGTTTTAACATCCTCTGTAGTTTCCTTGATCTCTGCGTCGGCAGCACCACTACTTTCTCGCTGTCTTTTCCCGCCAAAAGCTAATGTAGTCTGTTTCTTCGGTGGTTGATTGGCATTGGAACCGAAGAACCTCCTGTGAAACGATAACAACGCGTTAGCCGAGTGATCCAAAAATCAATCCAACAAGTTCCAAGACCAAAGAACGCATGCGCCATCAAAAAACGCCCACGCACCCGATAGTCTGCTGTCCGTCCTTAACATACCCCAGGGTAGCTTGCTTTTCGCGCTTTTCGTCAGCCATAATTCGCGAGGGTGATGTGGAAAAGCTGCTCAAAAGATAATTTCGCTGAGTTGGTGCGTAATTAAATATTGAAGCGGATTGTAGTCGCAAGGTTGATGTGGACGGTAACCTTAAATCGCGTCCCAAACCAATGCAGATGCTCGGTGTCGATCGCAAGAGCGATAAAGGCGCAAGCTCTGAAATCCGCAATATACGCATAGACGTATCCCTTGAGGGTCAGATTAAGTGCGAAAATTAGCCCAATAAATAGTCTCAGCAGACCAAATCCGCAATTGACATACCCAAGGCAGCACTCGTCTCTACCCTTGGTTGTAGGCAGCTGTCGGGATCTCCAACGCGCCTCAACGCGCTAGTGGATAATCACGTGTATCGTCATCTTACCCGATTAAGATAATACTGGTTCCACCGCTTTATTCTCCCGGCAATACATAAGGCGGTACGGTTTATGTGATGCAGTCCCGCCGTCTTTCGATCTTGGTCTGCTCAAGCTGTTTACAATGAGGTCGGAGTTCAAATAATCTGATATTATACTGTTTGCCATCTAGCTGACCACTTTGCACCCCCGACGCTGCTAAGTGTTGAACAGCTGCAATGGACAACCTCCGGCAGGAATCATTCAAGCAGGTATGATTGGCTTGATGCGTCTCTTGACAACTGAGCATAGTGCTAATGCCTGAATAGCTTCGAGCGCCATGTGTCGAGCTTAGCTCTGTTGGATTACGTTTCCGAGGAAATCAGGCTTCCGCCACCGAGGTTTACAAGGTACTTGAACCCGTGCACAACTGTTTGAAGGAACTCGCGGCGAACAACACATTGGACGAGAAGCTGGCTGAATACGCATTCTTCCCACTATCACACATATTTAATGAGACCCAAAGATTACCCGCGCGATGCTTGGAAGCCGCCGTACATTGTTTGCGGATATTGGTTGCAAATGGATGGCGGCAACGGCTGTCCCCGGCGATGGGCAAGCAACTCATAATTTTGTTGACGCTTATCGTGGGGGGATCTCCGGGTAAAGCAGAAGAGAAGCAATTGCCAAAACCTAGAGTCTCGGAGGAGCTCTGTATCGCTGGGTTTGACTGCCTCACTGCCATCTTCACAGCTTTGAAAGGTCCCACTGCCGAGCGAACAATTTATCATGAGATCGGCACGGCGACAGTCGTTGATCAGACGGTATATATCTTGCTTGAAGGAATAGTCGATGATAGATCTGATGAGCTCTGTATATCGGCCGCCAACGCTTTGCAAGCTCTTTATGCTCGCGTCACAGACCGCGTGGTGCTCGCCAGCATCATGCCCCGGACTGTATCGGCACTGGCGAAGGTTTTGAGGCCCACGACACAAACCCGCAGATCATACAAGCTACTTCAGGTTTCTTTGCAGATTCTCACAGAGCTTCTAAGAGCTGTGCTTAATGATCGGGTGGTTTCGGAATCTTCCCCACCAGAGCTGGACAGCGACAAAATGGCATTGGACGAATCTTGGTTGAAGGCCACTACAACACAAATAAAGCTAGCTTTGGCCAATGTGATCCAGGTTCGCCGCCATCAACGACCGGAAGTACAGTCTGCCATCCTGGAGCTGTGTTTGATGGTCATCGAAGAATGCCAGACTAGTCTTGCAGATTCACTCCCAATGATGGTTGAAACTGTCGTTGTGTTGGCGGATAAAGAGGATGAGGGGACCAATGAGGCATACCAAAATGTGACACACCTTGCCACGACGTACCCGTCGGTGCTAGATTCGTTAAAGGAATCGCTACATACATGGCTCACCTCCTTCCCTCGAATCATGCAAGGCAACGACGAAACAGCCAAGCAATGGGGGCTCCGTCAAATTTCGACTGTCTTTCAGGTCTTGTCTCAGGTTCAATCTGGGTCAGATCTTCTGACCACTAGCCTGGCATCTGGACTGTGTGATAGTGTCGGGGCCGTGGTCAAGCAAAGTACCAACGCTCTCCAGCCACTTGCTTCGATGGACGCAAATATCAATTGGGAGGTGCTCAACATAGACGGTCGATCTAAATCCTTCCCACCAATCATCCTTGAACACCAAAGCCAACAGCAGACTCTCAGAGATCTCCGATCAATGATCACAAGATTAAATTTATCTGAGTCTGGAAATGAGATAACTCGCTCAATTGTCAATCGCATGCACACAATCTCAAGCGATTCTGCAATTGCGCCCTTCTGGCTAGCTATGACTTTCTTGCGGGATAGCACAACAGCCACGGCTAGCTTCGACGATTTCATTTCTCTAGATGAAGTTGAAGGGTCCATTTCATCTGCTCGCGGCGGAATGATTGAAGAGCTGTACTACATCTCGTTGAATATTTTGAACGAGCTGCCATCAGATGGCTCAGGTGACTGGCGTACATTAGCACTTGCATTGGAGTCTGTAGCCTTGCAAGCTCACCAACAGGGAGAAGCTTTCCGACCTGAGCTTATGGACGCCCTTTATCCAACTTTGCAGCTACTGGCGTCGCAAAATCCCAACCTTCAGCGCCATGCCATGACCTGCCTCAATATCTTGACCAGCGCATGTAACTACACAGACACCAGCTCTATGATTATAGAAAACGTGGACTACCTTGTGAACTCGGTGTCTTTGAAGCTCAATACCTTCGACGTATCACCATATCCCCCACAGGTCCTCTTCATGATGGTCAAGCTTTGTGGTGCGCGCTTGATCCCATATCTGGATGATCTAGTTGACTCGATCTTTGGTATCTTGGACCTATACCACGGCTACCCCAAGCTGGTGGAGACGATGTTCAAGACCCTCGCCGCAGTTGTGGAAGAGGGTGCCAAAAAACCATCACTGCTTACAATCGACGATGGCAAACACCACTCCCACGATACCCGCAAATCGCAATACCAACACCTCTCTATCTCAAGCATAGCGGCCGACATCGCCAACCGCAAAGCCAAGCGCATCCAACACGACTCAGAAGACCAAGTAATCTCCCACCCAAAGAAACCATGGTCCGAAACCTACGAAAAACCACCCCCAGAGCCCTCAATCGAAGAACTCCTCAATCAAGTCGACTCCGACGAACCCCCTCCCCCTCCAAAAGAACCAGAAGACACCGAAAAACCACTCAGCAAAACCCACATTCTCCTCCTCCACATCGTCAAGTCAATCCCCTCCCACCTAAGCTCCCCATCACCCTACCTCCGCCGGTCCCTCCTCTCAATCCTAATCGACATCCTTCCCGCCCTCTCCAAAAACGAAACCACTTTCCTACCCCTAATCAACGACCTCTGGCCAACAGTCGCCAGCCGCATCATCTTCCCCTCTTCCCAACCAACCAAGCTCTCAACAAACCTCTCCAACCAAGAAGACCCCCAACCAGACCACCAAGAAGAAACCTTCGTCACAGTAACCGCCATCTCCGCAATCGAAAGCATGTGCAAAGGCGCCGGCGATTTCATGTCCACACGCATCGAAGCTGACTTCCCGCGCTGGGAAAGACTGTACCGGCGCGTGTGGGGGAAAGTGCGACAAGACGCGGAAGCCGCGAACAAGCGGCGCGCGCGCTCCGCGCCGCTACTGCAGGACGAGCCAGAATTAAGGCTGCAGATGGCTGTTTCGTCGTCGTTGGCATTGGCGCCTTCGACGCCGGGCTCGAAATTCTTCACGTCGCATCATCGGCTGTGGCGGGCTTTAGTATCGTTGTTCATGACGGTTTTGGAGCACGTGCGGCTGCCTTTTGAGATTGGGGATCGGATTTGTGAGGTGCTTTGTGATTGGGTTGTTTTGTTTGTTGGGCCTGAGTATTATTTCTTGCCTGGGAGGGTGGCGGCTTTGGGGGGCGTTGGGGGTGAGGTTGAGGATGCTATTCGGGCTATGGAGGGATGGAATGGGGATTTGACGTGGTTTGTTTTTATGAGGCATCGTGTTGGAGTAGGTGCTGGGAAGTGTGGTGATGTGAAGGGTGAAGAGTTTAGACTTGCCGAAGTGGTGTTTTAGGGTTTTGCTTTTGTTGATAATAGACACGTGTATATTGATTGCATGGTGAAAAGTAGATCTTTACATTGTATGTTTGTATAGATCTTGACTACGATGAATGAAAATCCAGTGAAGACTATATTTGTATAGCTAAGGAGTGGCGATGGGTCAGCTACTAAACATAGAGGAACAGATCTATCCCTAGGACAGATTGGAATGTCCAGAAGTTACAAAGCGAATCCAAGTTCGATCCAAAAATGAATCCAGAAAACAGACGGCCAAAGAACATAGCGTAAACGTCCACCATTTACTCGCTCTCCTCATCACTCTCCTCCTCTTCGTCGCTCTCAGCAGTCTCAAGCCACTCGAGGAACGGCTTGGCAGCCTTGTGGATTTTCTTGCTGATCGAGACATCCACGTACTTCTTGCTAGTCTTAGCACCCCAGGCCTTGAGGGTTTCCTCAGACACGAGATCGTTCTGATAGTAGGCGAGCAGGATAGCGGGAATCTGAGCAACCAGATCGGGGTGGTCCACGCCGACAAAGCGCTCAGTACCGCCGAGGAAGGCCTTCTCGTGGCGGTCGGAGCTGATCATCTTCTTGAGCAGACCGGCACGGCTCTCGACTTGCTTGGCAATTTTCTCGTCGAAGATGCTCTGCGCTAGCACAGCGCAGGTCTTGTGCTTGCTCTCAATGCCGAATTCCTTGGCCTTCATGTAGATCTCAACATCGCCGACTTGGGTGACATCACCCTTTTCGGCGGCAGTATCGACAATCCAGCTGCCCAATTGCTCGTAGGCGGAGCCACCGTCAGCACCCTCGTCGTCGCCATTCTCAAGCACGAGAGCGCGCTTAAGGTCATCGGGGAGATCCTTGGCACGAGCCTTCACGGCTTCTTCGGATACATCGACGGCCCATTCGTCATCTTCAATCTCAGCCTCAGCCTCGATGGCCTGAGCCTGGCGGGTGACTTCATCGTCACTGTGGGCCTCGAGGGCCTCGTCGGCATCCTCTTCGGAGTTGTTGCTATCAGCGGGGCTGGCATCTTCGCCGTTGGCAGCCTTCTCCTTCTCGCGTTCGCGACGGGACTTCTTCTTCTCCTTCTTGCCACCCTTGGGGTTGTTGCGAACAATGAAAGTGCTCAGCTTAAGGCGAGGGTCGACGTCAGAGCGCTGACCGCAAGCCTTGCAATCCAAGGTGATTTTGTCATCTTTGATGGTGACATCGGTCTCGGGGTTCTTGCACTTCTTGCAGAGCACAAACTTGGAGATAAAGCCATCGAGGTAATCCTGGAGCTTGGAAGGATCGTGGGAGCCGTTAATGATCCAACGCTCATCAGAAGGCTTAGCGTTGGCCTGGGCACCGAGCTCAAAACCGAAGTACTTGATGAGGAAAGAGGGAGGACGGCTCAGAGATTTGGCGACCGAGTCAAGGTTGACGATGACGGTCTTAATGCCGTTGCCCTTGCCTTCGACCTTGGACTGGAGCTTCTCCATCTTATAGCGGTAGAAGGGATCGGTGACATCCCGGCGAATGTTGACGGTGACCATGATGACGGTTTAATTGAGCGAATGGTTCACTAGAGTGGAACGATGTGCGTAAAAGGTAGCGGGAGGGAGTCTGAATGGAAATTTTTATGACTGTAACAAGACATGCGTGTCGAGTTATTCTTTTTGTGTTTGGTATAGAATTGTGATTTCTCAAGAGATGGTCACAAGGATGTTAGAATAGATCCGGTTCAGCCACAGGATCTAAGGTGTATGCTGCAAGGTTCCGACGAGCGAAACGTTTGCAGCTTGGGCGGCAGGTGATGTTCGAAATTTTGGACGGAGGACGAATACATAGACAAGTTCGCAGGAAACTTCTCAACGTGGTGGTTTCTGAGACCGATTGTGATTCTTTGGGGAAACCGAGTCAGAGGTCGGGAACCCTTTGGCGGACGGTGAAAAGTGATGATGGCGATACCAAACTAACCAGGAAATAAAAGTGTAAGAGCGTAGATGTATTCCACGCAGTAAGATAGAAGGCTTCGTTGAGTCGATGCCTGTGGAGTGTGTTGAAGAAGAAAGAAGAGAAAAACAGTTTCCGATTTTTTTGACAAATCATGTTTATGTCAGCTGGCACGTGCCGGAGATAACTCGGAGTAAATCCGTGTGAAACATGTGAGTCTTGTGAAAGAAGATATTTGGGTGGGAAGATGTTGATTGTGTGAAATGTTTCAAATGGTTTGATTGTTTCAATTTTTTTATATCCATGGGTATAAACAGCAGAGAGTCGGCTCTAGAGAACAGTATATCAAAACAAAGGTGTAGAACCATCGTGAACACCGAACCTTACCTTTAAAACCCCACCGCGGGCAACCGCAACCTTCGTCCGTTGTTTTAATATTTACATTGTACGGGCATACAACTTTATAGAGCCTTTATTCACTCATTTCAGTTGATTCTCTTTGCGATTTAAGCCTTGGATTCTTTCATACTTGGTGGAATTTGCAAATCCTGGAACCTCCATCATGCCGGTAGACTTGTCACTATATCTGGTGACGGACTCTACTCCGGCCATCCTCAAAGGCCGGGATTTGTGTACGGTAGTGGAACAAGCCATCCAAGGGGGTAAGTGCTATTCCGAATCTTTCCACCTAGGTACATATGTGGCCACTTGACTAACCCCGCAGGCGTAACGGTGGTGCAATACCGGGACAAATCCAATGACACCAATGCCCTCGTGGAAAATGCGCGGAAACTTCACCAAATTACCAAGAAGTACAATGTTCCTCTACTAATTAATGACCGGGTCGATGTGGCTCTCGCTATTGGAGCCGAGGGTGTGCATCTTGGGCAAGATGATATGAGTGCGTTACCAACTTCCACGCAAAAGATGCGTACTAATATTTTTTTAAGAATTCGAGCTAGCAAAGCAGCTCCTTCCTAAAGATGCCATCATCGGCATCAGTACTTCTACAATAGCTGAGGCCAAAAAGGCCGTCGCCGATGGCGCTGACTACATCGGAATTGGGACTATGTTTGCGACACCCACGTAAGTCGCCCGCCCTTGTCCAGCTTCAGAACTAACCATTCATAGTAAAACAAACACCAAGTCCGTCATCGGGACAGCAGGCACTCAAATCATACTGGATGCAATTAGCGATTCCTCCGTGGGCACCGTTTCCATCGGCGGTATCAACCACACCAACGTGCAGCGAGTGATCTACCAGTCTAAATCCCCCAAGAAAGCACTTGACGGCGTAGCAATCGTCAGTGCAATTGTGGCAGCCGAAGACCCCAAGGCATCTGCAGAACACTTCGTCGAGCTAATCACAAACGCTCCCCGATTTGCCATGCCTGCCAACTTCCCCCGCGCAAACGAGACAGAAGCCCTGCTGAACGATGTGCCCAAAATTGTCCGCAACGTGGTAAAAACACATCCCCTCGTGCACAACATGATCAACTTCGTCGTGTCAAACTTCGTGGCCAACGTCGCTCTCTCCATGTAAGCAATCACCAACCCACCCCAGATCCACCTACGTACTAACCATGTCCAGTGGCGCATCGCCCATAATGTCACCATACGGTGACGAAGCCACAGATCTGTGCAAGTTTGATGGCGCGCTATTAATCAACATGGGTACCCTGACCAGCGACAGCGTCCCGAACTACCTAAAAGCTATCAGCGCCTACAATCAACGTGGCAATCCCGTAATCTACGACCCTGTGGGCGCGGCCGCGACACAAATCCGCCGCAACGCAGTCACCCAGCTGATGGCCGGTGGTTACTTCGATTTGATCAAGGGTAATGAGGGCGAGATCCGACAGGTGTGGGGCAGTGGTGCTGTTCAGCAGCGCGGGGTCGATAGCGGACCGAGTGCGCTGGACGGGAAGCAGAAGGCAGCGTTGGCGCGGGATTTGGCTCGTAGAGAGCGTGAGTCGTATTCAGATTTATGCGATTTGATGGTTTCTGACATGTTCCAGGAAACGTCGTGCTCATGACTGGAGCCACGGACTACCTCAGTGATGGCGAGCGGGTCATCGCTGTCGAAAACGGTCACCCACTTCTCGGCCAAGTCACCGGAGTAAGTTTTCAACGTATTTATTATGACCCATCTAACTGAAGTCCCAGACTGGTTGCGCTATCGGTACGATCTCCGGCTGTTTCCTTGCTGCCCACCGCTCAGACAGACTCCTCGCCGTGCTGTCTGGTATTCTGATGTACGAGATCGCTGCGGAGAACGCTGCGTCGAAAGATTATGTCCGCGGACCTGGCAGCTTTGTACCTGCGTTCCTTGATGAGTTGTATGCCATACGCACAGCCGCGAAACAGGGCGATGACGGTTGGTTTGCTGGCCGGGCTAAGGTGTATGAAGTGGAGTTATAGATATTGATTTGTGACCGAATTATGCTGTAGATATCAAAAGTTTCAATTTTATTTTCGGTAGAATGGCAACAAACAATATAACATAGCCATGAGATATTCCTCGGCCAGTTCCCCGCATCTCTTCTCCGATTCCCCGCGTCGGCATCCCCCGCTACTTATTCATCTCAAATTTATCTCCTAGACTTCTCTCCTCGACTTCTCTATTACATCAACCTCAATTCCAATATAGGGCACTAAAACACATCACAATGTCTAATCCACGCGCATCCCGGATTCGTAAGGCCCCCAACCAACCCCAAACCCCCAGCTATTTATATACCTAACACCAAGCAGGCAATCCAGCCCTCTTGTACGAACCCAACATTTCAACCCCAAAACAAAACTAACCCCCACAGCATCTGCGACATCCAGGAAAAATTCCGCGGGATCCACGAATTCCCTTCCCTGTAAGCCTCCTCCCTCCCTGCGCCCAACCAAACCAACCACTAACCCAAGCCCAGCATAACCACAGCAGACAAAATGCTGCGCGCCGCACAAACCCTCAAAATCCCCGTGTACATAAGCACGCAGAGCCGCAGCAAGCTAGGCCCCACCGTCTCCGAGCTATCGCATCACCTCGAGAACACAGACCTACAGATCCGCGCAAACATCGACAAAACGCTATTCTCGATGGCGACGCCGGAACTACTATCTGCGCTGCCTGCAGCAACGGACGTGATCCTCGTCGGTATCGAGACGCATATCTGCATTACGCAGACGACGCTTGATTTGCTTGCGCGCGGACATAGGGTTTACGTGCTTGTTGATGGGGTTAGTAGTATGAATGCTGAGGAGAGGGGTGTTGCGCTTGCGCGGTTGCGGGATGCTGGTGCTATTGTTACTAGTAGTGAGAGTATTTTGTTTGAGGTTCTTGGGGATGCTGGGGGCGAGGGGTTTAAGGGGGTGAGTGGGATTGTTAAGGAGATGAAGGAGAGTACCAAGGTGGCTTTGGGAGGGTTGGCGAAGATTTGAACTTGACGGTGAGGCTGGGCTGTTGGGGTGGTATTAGGCTAGATGTAGGTAGTGTGGGTTTACTTTTTATGGGGCCGTAGAAGGTAGCGGTGATTTCTTTATTTCATATCTCATGTCCGCTATCGAATCCTTTGAAAAGGCAAGCCGGTCTGTCTCTTCTGCCCTCGGTCTCCATGTCGTAATTCCCAATCGTTCCAGATTCGGGGATAATCAAACATAGACAGCCGATCCTAGTTTGTTTCATCTTGGATCAGCTGCAACAACCGGGTCAAACCGGGTTCAGCCATGGAAAGGCCGACGCGCCACCGATGGGATTGACACCCGAAGGCGTGGTCGGGTGAGAGACGCTAGGAAGAGACTTGTCGCCGTTTTCAGTGGTGGCACTGGCAGGGGCAGAAGCCGAATTATTTGAGCTTGCAGGGTTAATGTGCTTGCCAGCTCCAGTTCGGAAGACTTTCATTTCACGCTTGTCGGTCTTCGGGGTTGTTGAGGGCGTTTTTTTGGCGTTGCGCCAAGAGCTCCAGGCTGGCATGTCGTTTTGGGGGGGCTCAGGGGTCGGGGTGATACTAGCAACAGAGCAGTTCTCGTTTGAAATGGCAGCCTGTGCATGAGCTTGGAGGGTTTGTCTGGTTCTTTGAGCGTCGCCGTTTTCGGCAGGACGAGCTGGCGGTGCAGAAGTTGGCTGGCGCTGGATATTGCTGAGTCGGCCAATGATGCCAACGGGGGCCCCTTCGTTAACGCCAGATGACAGCGAGTCTCCACAACCGGGGGTGCAGGGTGAAGTGCAGAGGGACCTGAAGACCGTGTCCTTCTCCGGGCGCACAAGAGGAATCGAGACGCGCTGATGCTCATTGTCGACCATGATAAGTTTATCCTGAGAGAACAAAATGTCGGCATTTTGAGCGCGGAGAACATCACTTCCAATGATGATCTGAATGGAGTTATCGGCGACTTCAACGTCACGAACCACAAAACGAACGGTGACCGCAGGAACCTGGTGGGTAGGAGTCCCGGGACGCGAGGGAGACGGATGAATCAGAGCTTCAGGAAGGTATACCGGAAGCTTTATGTATTTCATATTGTCCTCGCGCACAATCTTTTCCTCCATGTCAAAGCTGCGAATCATAGAAAGGCCCACGCTTGAGACGTAAGACCCCGAGCAAATGGCAGCATAGAGAAGTGAGTCATTCGTGAAATGATCAGTGAGCCAGCAACGGATAATTGACGGCACCGGGCCCAGCAAAAAGAGTCCAGGGGGCGGGATCAAAGGCGATTCGATAGGTGTAGTCCCAGACAGGCGGGCAGTATTCAGGCGTAGGCTGTTAGTTCGGGCAGACTGATGTGAGTGGCCAGACGAACTGAGCCGACCATCAGACTGATGTGAGAAAGTGCGCTCAAGAAGTGGATGAGAGCCTAGTCCACTACCGGTCCGAGAAGGAAGGTCATTGCCAATGCGGCTGGCTTGGCCGTATCCATGAATGGCACTTTCGTCAAAGCGGACACTATTTGCACGTGAAGCACCCCGTCTGGGCTCATCATAACCATCAAACCCCACTGTAGAAGTAGCCATTGCAGAAGTATGACCCTGGTCAAAGCCTTTGAAAGCGTCTGGGGGAGAGTGGAAAGTGGGGTCTGTGGCGGCTGGCTTGTTCAGTGGTGAGCTGATTCGGGAAGGCAAAGGTGGACTACCAGGGTTGATCGCACCAACTGAAGACGGAAAAGGCGAAACAGGGCCCCAGGGACTTCTCAGTCGGGCATCCTCCTCTCGACGGCGCTCCAGCTGGGCGAGGCGTTCTCCTTGCTCGTACTGGGCAATGTGTAGCTCCTTCAACTCGTCAAAAACACGCCAGATATCGTCTCGCGAGGCAAAGGGGTACTGTGCGTCCATAGCCAGTGGTTTTGTTCAGATATTGAGGAAGAAAACAAAAGAACGAAGTAGCAAAACTGACGTTGGTCGATATCCGTCGTCACTCGTCACTCGTCACTCCACCCAAAGGGCTAGAAATCAAAAGGCCTCACTTCCGATTGACTGCTTCGTTAATTGTTGCTCCTGGTTGTTTTCTCCAATGACCTCCTTCCTCCTGCAATCTGTGAGACGGCCCACCGGCCGTCCACCCTGTTCACAAAGGTCAGATATCCCGTAGCTCGTTCAAAATGTCCAGCGACGAATTTCTTGTAGGCAAACAACGATGGCACAGATAGAAGGAATGAGTTCTGGGATATCAGAGATCAATAGGAGGGGTGTTGTCGACGAGGCGTTCAAGGGTTTGTGGCGACGTGAAGAGCGATGTTGTGACGTATAAGCGGGGGGACGAGCGGCAGAGATTTGGAGGGTTAGGATCGAGACGCGATCAAAGTGTGAGGAAAGTGCGAGCTTAGTAACGGGAAACGGCGAGGTTGGTGACGTGAAGTTATTATTGGGAAGTAATGTTGACGAAGAGTAATGTGAACGTTAGAAACGTGTGGTATGCGGAGGCTAAAGAGGCCAAAGGAGCTAGACCGCTTTGCTCCACTCACTCTTATACTTCAAGTTCTTGTCTTGATACACGTGTGTACACAATATTGTATTTACATATATATTTACATGTTATAACTGTACTCTTATTCCAAGTGATCCCGCTAGCACGGATGCTGGATAAAAATTGCCAAGTCAATTAATTCACAAATTCCGCTAAATCAGATCATTTCGGTGCCTCAGTCCACGAAGGGAACACCATCGGAAGGAAATCCGGAGTTTGATCCCGCCAATTGGTTTCAATGACCTTCATAATCTCATCGTAGACAATGCGATTACCAGCGGGCGACAGATGTAAACCTGTATGACAAGTAAGCACAACAAACATCATATGTATAAATATCAACGCACCATCAGTGAAAAGACCAGCAAATGTCTCATTATTCGGAGCATCGCGAGACCCAATCAACGGTTGTCCCGCTTGCCAACCAGCGGATTTCGTAAAAGCCGACCACAAATCCGCTACTGGAACATTGAGAGCCGCGCCGACTTCCTTTGCAGCAGCTGCATACTGCTTGGCCAGGATGGCTGTTCGGCTGGGGTGAGCGCTGCCCTTTGAAGCATCGAAGCCCTCCAATTGATACTCATTGACGGGAGGGGGAGTGATAATAATGATGTGCGGGTTCTGTGCGACTGTTGCTGGGTGCTGGATGATTGTTTTCAGGTTTTCCTTGTATTTCTCTACGGGCACATGCTGGTCGTGGCCTGGGACGCATGCATCGTTGGCACCGAAGAAGATGGTCTGTCCGACTTTAGGTTAGCATTTTTGGGCAGTGGAGATTGAAATCGGGGCTGTTCACCATCAACCGCACATTGGCAATTTGTGGAGGTGGGAAGACCTTGTCAAAGACTTTGATGGCGTGGGCGGTTGAATATCCGCTGTTGTCTTTAGCATGATTCGGTCCTAAGGGTTGGTGATCTTACGCTAGGCCGCGATTGATCACATCCAGTCTCCGGCTGTAGGCTTATGTTTGATTAGAATAGATTTGACTCTTGGGCTGAATAGTGACTTACATTCTTGGAGTGCAGCAAGAAAGGCAAATCCTAGCTCCTGGTTGCTGCCCATTTGTGTGATGGAGTCCCCAAACAGGATAAATTGATCATATGGCTGGAAAACCTCTTGAATGTCAGCCATAGTGAATATGATACAAGTCTAAATGATTTAACTGTCTGAAGTTGGGGGAGTCAAGTGTTATAAAAAAGAATCAAGTGGGGGAATTCGCTCCGCGGACAAAATGGAAGTGGATCTTGAACACATTCGAACCAACTAGTTATAAAAGGACTTTTCTAGGTAAGATCCAATGCAATCTATTGAATCTGTTAAATCTGTTAAATTTGTCACGTAGGAAATTCTAGATAAACGAATAATTTATCCACCAATTGTTTTGCTATTTGTGATTGTTTGTATGGTTTGCACTAGCTTTACTACATCGCGGACTGCATCCATCCCCAAGCTATGGAGTACACCGTAGCAAAAAGCTTGTCAATCATGCTTCTTATATTCAATTGATATAATCTCTTCCATACATTCTTTTAGTCTCATTGTAAGCACTTTGCACGGGACTTGAGCTATATTACAGTGCCCGATACATCGAATTCAACGCAAGTTGCAATAGCTTCGACTTATCCCAATCGACTCACAAATATAGTGTGATTTCACCAAGGTCTCAGACGAGCAAAACAATACGTCCGACATTAACGCTGCAGGAATTCACAGATATCACCCCTCAGGAGTTTCAGAGATCATCAACCGCAGTAATGAAAACTTCATCGGTTTGATTGATGAACCAACAATTCTGAAGTATCCTTGTATCCCTGGCAATCTCGAAACCTTCACATAGAAGCCAGACTTCTCGGTGTGGTAGGAACTCACCCCCGGATCATCGCTTCAAAGGGTCTGACCGACCACGGTCTCGTTCTACAGCGCGCATCAAATGTATGTTTCCGTGATTATATCATGTCGCAATCTGTTTCATTCGATAGGAAATTACATTGGTGCAAACAGGCTGCTGAAGTTGTTAGTCATTTTTATGCAAAACATATTATTCATTGTGTTATCAATTTGAGGAATCTCTTTCTTGACGAGAAGCTTGATCTGTTACAGGAAAATGTTGGACTAAGCAGTAGTTTTGTGCTGATAGGATTATTCATGATCTTTCTCTTGTGGGAGCTGCAGAGTGTGGCATTTTCCTATCTTGAGCTTTGTAGAACAATGTATAATGCATATCATGTATAGAAGTAAGCTATTGGACCTAGAATAACCAATTCTGGAACCAAAGCTATAGACAACGTATCGGAACCTTCCGACATACGATCTACGATGTATGCACGCCCTAACGTTTGACGTTTGACAGCAGCGAAAGCTTATCTCTTGTTGGATTTCTCTTATACCCTCGGGCCAGTTGTATTCATAGTGACCGAAAGAGGATGCTGTTGTTTACTTTATAGCATCATTCTCCGAGTCATACCTAACCCCTCACAGTGGCGTGAACTTCATACAGTATGCCAAGAGATCAGCATCAGATGCCGATGGGATTGGATGAATCTACGAAACCCCCTTTCATTTACTGCGACAAAGAGAATGTTGAGAATGTCGATAATTCAACCTAGTCGATATATCATAACACGAGCTGTGTTATACTAGCTCCAGTGTTGATTACGACCCTTTAAGACAAATGCATACACTTCCAAAATTAGTATCCAGTCAGATGAGCTGGAATAGTCCTTTCCGATGATATGCACATGGTAGACTTGAGCGCAGAGTGAACAAGGTTGCCTCGTCTAAGTGGCTGCCTGCCATCAAATCAAATATCAATACTCCGTATATTATTCACAGGCCGTTTAATGACAGAACCTTGCCACTACCAAGTGCTTTATATCCTCCGATCTGCAAAACGCGGGGCAAGAATGCTGCCGCGATCAAATCATCAAGATCATTCAAGAGCATTGAACATAAATAAATGAAGGATAAGCAAAAAAATGACTTGGAACGGTTGCTGATCGGTGGAGTTAGCACCGATATCCACCTGACGCGTTATTGATCATCTGGGGTCACCTCATCAGACACCTCATCAGAAACTCTTTTGCTCTCATCTTTTCTCCTTTACTCTTTTTCCCAAATTTCATATGTTTTGCATCTCAAATCTCAACATCTACACATGTAGAGGTATGCAACTTGGTGAGTTGTTTACTCGCATGATCTTTACATCCGAAGTGGATCTTGCATCTCGGCATTCCTACCATGTGCTGAACTGACCGTTGCAAGCCCCGCATACCCCATTGTAAAGGCATCTCAGCATGCCCAGGTCACTACCAAAGTTCGCTTCTCGCGAAGAGAATTTCGAACCAACCACGCGCGAACAAACCACCCGAACCGCTCCCCCCTCTCCATCAGCTTACCGCCGATCCCAAAGCTACCTCTCCGAAACCCACACCGAGTACCAATCCCTCGATGCACCCCTCGAAGTAACAGAAACCACCAGCCTACTGGGCCCATCAGCTCAGGGGCACCGTCGAGCTCCGCGACGCTCGTACACCAGCACCTCTGGTATATCAGGTGCCGGACCGGGCCCGGACTCCTTCCGCCACCTTCTGGCAGCTGGCAGCCTGCGACGGACGCGCAACCACAGTCGTGCGAACTCGGTCGGGCAGCGGATGAGTCGGCGGGGAAGTTTAGATGGTGGTAGTAGGCCTGCTAGTCTTCCTCCGTCTACGAAAGACAATCTCACCGCTTCTTCATTTTTGGATGAGAGGACGTGGTACGACCAGTTTACTTCTACGGACTGGGTGCACGATAGTATTGCCGATGGAGCGCGGCTTCGACTGCTCCGCCAGCGGAAGGATGTTCGAGGTCGACTGCTTGCTGCTTTTGACGGTGCGCAGGGATGGATTCTCGTTGCTTTGATCGGGTGCATCACGGCGGCGATTGCGTACTTCGTTGATGTTACCGAAGGCTCGATCTTTGATCTGAAAGAGGGATTCTGCACGACGAAGTACTTCCGCGGCCGGCGGGGCTGCTGCGATGGGGAGCCAATCTGTGATTCGTGGCGGTCTTGGTCTGGGATCTTCCAGGCTGAGAATACCCAGTGGATTGACTTTGTCATGTTTGTCTTTTGGGTTGTGCTTTTGGCGCTCATCTCATGCGCTTTGACTTTGCTCACGAAGACTGTTGTTCCTTCGTCGATCTCGCTCGCTACGCTTGATGAGAATCTCGGCGCGGACTCGCGTGGCACAAAATCTAATAACGGTCTTGGTGATATGGCCTCTCCTCTCTCGGAGACAGATACCAGTCCACCACCGCATGGATCTTTGCCTAATAAACCGTCGCGTCCGGCTATGATATACTATTCTGCTGCTGGCAGTGGAGTTGCGGAAGTCAAAGTCATCAACAGTGGTTTCGTCCTTCATGGATACATGGGGTTGAGGACCCTCGTCGTTAAAACAATCGGATTGATCTTCAGTGTATCTTCTGGTCTGAGCTTGGGCAAAGAAGGCCCATACGTTCATATTGCTACATGCGTGGGCAATATCTGCTGTCGACTTTTTGCCAAGTACAACCAAAACGATGGTAAGCGACGAGAAGTATTGAGCGCCAGTGCCGCTAGCGGTGTTGCTGTTGCCTTTGGTGCTCCGATTGGCGGCGTCCTCTTTAGCTTAGAAGAAGTCAGCTATTATTTCCCACCCAAGACACTTTTCCGAACATTCTTCTGTTGCATCGCAGCGACTCTGTCCCTCAAATTCCTCAACCCCTATGGAACTGGCAAGATCGTTCTCTTCGAGGTACGATATCTGTCAGACTGGGCGATCTTTGAGATCTTCATCTTCATCGCACTTGGCATTATGGGCGGCGCAGCCGGTGCGCTGTTCATCAAAGCCTCCAACTGGTGGGCGCGGACATTCCGCCGCATCCCAGTCATCAAGAAGTGGCCCATGCTCGAGGTCTTCCTTGTTGCTCTCCTGACAGGCCTGGTCAGCTTTTGGAACCGATACACCAGACTCCCGGTCACCGAACTCCTCTTCGAGCTGGCCAGTCCTTGCGAGTCTGATGTGGAGAGCACGGGGCTGTGTCCACGCGCAGAAGGTATTCTCGATATCATCAAGTATCTCATGGTGGCCTTTGTTATCAAGAGTTTCCTGACCATCATCACATTCGGTATCAAGGTTCCTGCGGGTATCTACGTGCCGTCTATGGTGGTTGGTGGTCTGATGGGGCGAATTGTTGGACATTTGATCCAATACTGGGCCCTCAAGCACCCCACCTTCTTCTTATTCGACTCTTGTCCAGCTGTTGCTGGAATCGAGTCCTGCGTGACTCCAGGCGTATATGCACTGATTGCGGCCGGAGCAACCATGTGCGGCGTGACTCGGTTGTCAGTAACACTAGCAGTAATTCTTTTTGAGCTGACAGGAAGTCTCAACCACGTTCTTCCTTTCTCCCTGTCTGTCCTCTGCGCCAAATGGACGGCAGATGCCATCGAACCCCGCAGCATATACGTAAGTCTCACCCTCTCCCAATCACCGCAACATACTAACCCTTCGCAGGACCTCCTTACCGACATGAACTCCTACCCGTTCTTAGACAGCAAACTCCAGCCAACATCAGACGCCGAGCTAGGCGATATCGTTCGACCAGTGCGGAAGTACCGCATGATCGATATCTCCGAATCACCATACGTGGCCGCCACAGATCTCCGTGCAAAGCTAGAGCATCTCTTAATGGCCGGCGAATTAGACAGCGGGCTACCGATTCTGTACAACGGAACCCTAACCGGTCTCATCCCAGCGCCTGATCTGGAGTACGCGCTTGACACGCTCGGCGACAACGAAGAAAATACAGTCTGTCTGATGGCCATGGACGCCTCCACGGCCATCTATGACAGCGATTACGAGGATGTCGAGCAAGAGGATTTCACCCGCTATATTGATCCAGTATGTTGACCTGACCCGTTAAAATGTTTTTGGCTTTTCTGACTTTTCCCAGGCTCCGGTCGCTCTCGATGTCCATTCGCCTATTGATTTGGTCTACCAGTGCTTCGCCAAGCTTGGATTGCGGTACCTATGTGTCACCAACAAGGGTAAATATGCTGGACTGGTGCACAAGAAGGCATTCGTCAAATTTATGAAGGAAAATCAGGACTAGCGATAGCCTTTTCTGTTACCGTAATATTTGCATTGCCGGGCGTTTTGAGGCACCTTTTTATGACTTCTGCATAGCCTTGCATATTGTCTCATTTATGTCTATATTATCTGTCTATATCGTGTGAGATCATCCATCATTGGCACTATGCATCACCATATATATGTGAGGGTCTGTAGTGATCTGTGGGTACAAAAATTGAACATACTGGGTATCTCCAAGCAGCCACCTTTCAATTCCGTACACTGTGTAAATCCTTGGTCAAGTTCAGGAAGAATATGATAAAACTGGGAAGAAAGAGTGTGGATCAAGAACGAGGCCACCTCTTATGCCCAAAACACATAGCACGTTACGCAGTCTGTCATTTCTCTTCTTTGCCTTTTCATTGGTGTTCATCTTCGCTAGTTTTATGAACATAGTTTTCTTCTGCTCTTCATATCAAGACTCAAGGGCCGGTTTTTGCGGCTTCTAAGTTGTATATCATGGTTAAACACAAATGCTAAGTAATTATTATCTCGTATACCTCGATCAATCAACAAAAACTAAACCTTCTCAAACCCAACCATCTGGACCTTAACATCCCCATCGTCCTTCCACTGCCCATCAACCTCCTCCCCAACCCACTCAGAAACCTCCTCAGAACTAGCAGCCCGCCACCCCTCAAACGAATCCACCGGAAAGAAAGTATCACACTCAAACGGTTCCCCATCCTTCCTGACAACATTCGTCATAACAACCCTCACCCCCCTCTCCAACCCAAGCGTAGCATTATAAATCTCCGCTCCACCAATAACAAACACCTTTCCAACATCAGCCTTAGACTCCAACGCCCTCAGCGCACCATCCAGACTGCTCTCGACAATCGCATCGGTCACAGGCTCGACATTCTCAGTCTTTCCAGACACCGCCGCAGCCTCCGCGGCCTTGGTGGCAATTTTCTCCCTCCTCTTCTCAAGTTCCTTCAGAACACCCTCTTTGACAGACCCGCTCGTATCCCGCGACACAACAACGCTGATTCTCTTTGCGAGCGGACGCAGCGACGCAGGGACCGAGTCGTATGTTTTGCGGCCCATAATAATGGCGTTGGTTTTTCCGGCTGTTGGCGGGCGCGAGGTTACGCGCGCGAAGAACGACATGTCGGTTTTGATGCGAGGCCAGGGAAGTGTGCCTTTCAGGCCGATGCCTAGGCGGGTGGTTTCTTCGCCGGCTGGGAAGAGGGGCGTTGTTGCCACGATAAGCGTTAATGGCTTGGGAGGCTGCATTTTGGGTTTGGCTGAGGGTTGTAGATTGATGTCTGAGAATTGAGTAGAAGTGTAGGTGGGGGTGGGTTCACGAGTATGACTTGGAGTCGCGTCGCGAAATTGTTTATCGGGCTTATCGCCCCGCATCTATTTTGCTTCGGTATTTGGAGGGCGAAGATGGCATTGCAGCAAAATGATATAGTGCATTTAAATATTGAATCTTTGCAAGCTTTATTCTAACCCGCTGAAAGGAGAATTGGAAGAAACCATTGACGACAAGCCAATTGCTTTTTGAAGCCAGACCGCCACATAAATCGAAGAAACCTCCGTTTAACGCCAGACGCAATGAATAGCAGGTATCGAACGACGGTGAACAAACGCCGGGAGCCTAGGTAAATAGCTCATATGCAACATATTGCGGGAGAAAAGATCGGAGAAACAAACTTATTTCTCCTTAGGCATCAACAGCCCACCATCGATAGCCCTCTTAACGACCTGCGCATCGTCCTCAAGCTTCTCCCTACGCTGAATATCACGCTCATCTTCGCCCAGCGTATCGAGTTTGCCAAAGAGCCAGGTTTCCTTCATGGTACGGGTAAGTCCGAGGATATCCTCTGCGGCACGGATCTGCGCAAAAGCAGAATGTCAATTTTACGCCGTTGTAGATGATTACGAGATAGCAGATTCATGCCATGCTATTGCATGTTCTCTGCTGTCGCGCACTGTATCAACTTACCAGCGCAGTCGATTCCACGTCTAGCTGGTAGGTTTCGACAGCTGTGGAAGTGTAGCTTGGATTGTCGACCTGGGTATGTGTTAGGTGGTTCAATGAGGAAGACCACAATCGGGACAAGACTCACTGTAGCTGTGGCCATGATATTCTCGAATCGCTGCAGCAGCTGCGAGACATTGGTGTTGATGCGATCTGCCGAATGGCCGTATTAGTGGGGATAGTGCGGGGTGGCGGAGACATGGCTGAAACGGCTTTAAGCTCGATCGTTGATCGGTCTGGATATGCTTACTGTGCAACGCTTTCGCTGTGGGTTGGGAATCCATTTCTGGGGTGTCGTCTTTTTTTGGATTAGAATCCAACATTGATATCGGATCGGATGGATAAGCTCGTGAGGGCGGTGAGGTGAGGTGATGAATGCGAAATTGGTCAAGAGAGATACATTTTCTTCTTTTCAGGGTTGTGCTATGCTACTGATCATTGCTGGTTTCGTCTGAGAGTAGCATTAAAATACAATTCATTCGCTAAACTGATATATCTAACAGGTGGCATGGCGCCAGGAAGTTCTACCGCACGTATTTGCCCTTAAAACGTCATGTTAGCCTTTGTATAGAACGAGCGAGAGTCGAGTACATACCATGAACCGCTTGTGGAAATCGGAGCGCAGGAGATCCTGTTAATTGCGTTAGTTTGCGTTCTCGGCAGTAAGGAAGAGAGTGTGGACATACGTTGACAAACTCTTTGCCGTCTCTGTTTTCCGTTCCGCGAGCCTGGTTCTTGAAGACAACGTCATCGTCCCAGCGGCGCTTCATGTTGAAGTCCTGGGAGTTGAGCAAAGGGTTACCGCGCGCAATATCGACCTCGCGCTGCTCTTCCTCCTCTGCTGCCCGTTCGCGTTCCTAGTATTTGTTAGCCGGGGTACCAAATCCAACTGCAAGATAGTAAATACCTCTTTCTCTTTTTGCGCTAATCGCTCCTTTTTGATCTTCTCCAACTCGCGCATTAACTCAGCAGCTTCATCTTCGTCGTCACTGTCATTTGTCAGAACGACCGCCCAGAAAAGAGTCGCTGGATCAAACCCACCTATCTTCATCGCTGCTATCTTCTTCTGATCCATCCGAATCGGCGTCTATATCACGCGACTCCTCCAATATGCGACGGCGCTTAGCCTCTGGGTCTTCTTCTTGGACGCCACCGTCGGTGCCTTCTGGTGCGGCTTCGAGCTGGCGCTTGGGTGCCAACTCCTCAATTGTTGGCTGCTCGGCAGGGGCTCCGTTCTTCTTAGCGAAGTGTGCAGCCTCGGCCTTGAGGAGCTCTGCGCGAAGGTCACGAGGAGCTGCATCCGCGTCGCCGCCTTGTCCGGGTTGACTGGAATAGAATCAGCGATCTGCGCGCCCTGGTTAAAGATTGTTCTCCATACCGAGTTTTCAGGTGAGTGTGCGCGGGAAGAAGTCGCTGGTGGTATGCCGGGCCGCGGAGGGCTTCTTTACCTTGCGCCTATTTAAACCAGTTCAGTACTCAAGGAGTCGTATTGAGAAAAGTTGTCGTACCGGATCAAAAGTAGGTCTGTGAGCTGGAAAAAGTCAGATAATTTCATTCGCACGTAGATAATCCATTCCTAGTAACATACCTGTTGTCATCTTGTAAAAATTGGTTGAGGTTGGAGTGATGTGCTATCAGCAGTTTCCAGCTTTGGATATACGTAGTCGCCTCAGGCGCCGATCTTAGCTTCACCGCCTCTTCACCACGTGATTCAATTGGCGCAATCCTCGGATCAACAATTATCCTGACTCCAAAATGCGTCCCGCACGAGCGGCAGAATGGCCCTGGTCCCGAAAAGAAAGTCTCGCTGCTGCCCACATCGGGGCAAGACCTCCTCCAACCTCAACCATGTCGTCCAAGGAAGCGCCGCTTTCAATTGCTGAGCGCGACTTCATTTTGGAGGCGCTCTGCCAGGATGTGCGTCTGGACGGCCGCAAGGCTGATGACTATCGTCCTCTTGACATATCTTTTGGAGAAGAATACGGACATGTGAATCTGCAGCTTGGAAAGACAAAGTGAGCTTCAACATTGTTCACTGGCCATGTATGACACTTTCTAATTGTCTTGTCTTTAGAATCATCGTCCGCATCTCTGCTGAGGTCACTAAGCCTGAGGAGAACCGACCTTTTGATGGTACATTCAACATTAACATGGAGCTGACCAACATGGGTTCACCTGCTTGGGAAAACGGCCGGTATGGATAACTCTGTGATGCGCTTGCATAATACATCCTAACAACGTCTGCTGCAGATCCAATGATCTAGAAGCTGCCACTACCCACACTCTTGACCGTGTCATCCGTCACTCTAATGCTCTCGACACCGAATCCCTCTGCATCCTGAAGGGTGTCAGCTGTTGGAGCATCCGCGCTGATATTCATGTGATTGACTTCGATGGAAACCTCACTGATGCCGCCTGCATTGCAACCATGGCGGGACTCCAGCATTTCCGCCGGCCCGATGCTGTGGTACGAGATGGACGGGTCATTGTCTACAATGTTGATCAGCGTGTGCCTGTCCCACTCAACATTACTCACAAGCCGCTCTCCGTTACCTTCCACACTTTCAATGACAGCAAGAATGTCATTATTGATGCCACCCTCAAGGAGGAGCAGGCAGCAGAAGGCGATCTCGTGATTGGCATCAACAACGCCGGTGATCTCTGTTATGCTTCCAAGATTTCAGGTGCCCCGGTTGATGCTATGGCCATTATTACCAAGACAAGTATTGCGTGGGAGAAGGTCAAGGTTCTCAATGCGGCCATTGACAAGGTCCTTCAAGCTGATCTGGCAAAGCGTGCAAAGATTGGTATGGCCGACGAGTCTCGTGCAGAAAATGATCGGGAGATTCAACCTGAATGAACGACATGTACCACTACTGTTTTGATGATCTTAATGATCTTGGGATTGGAGTTCTGCATTGCGTTTACATCAATGATTTTATGGGCATCTACAGCGGCAGCTCATTCAAATTAACATTCTTGGGAGTTCTCGTAATTGCTTTTCAATCCTATGTGTAGTGGCTAAATATCCCCAATATGCTTGTAGCAGAACATCCTTAATGTAAGCTATTCTTATACTTTTTGGACTATATTTAACATGCATCTGACATATGTGATATAACAAAAAGTACATTTAAAGTGGACCGTTTCAGCATACAAAGTGGTTAATATATTTCCGGCCGCCAAGCAGTCCCTTGTTATTAGTCCTCGATGCAAAGACAATGAAATTAGACTGCATTTCGATCGTAGTACAAACCCCAGTTATAGATTTAACTTAAAGATCAAAATAATTAAACAACGAAGGAACTACCTAGGTATATCCAAAATTCATTCCATTGTTGTGAATCGCTTTACCGCCTTACCAGGCCGATGAAACCAACATAGCTTAATTGCTGCCTTCACCCGCTAAGCCACCTCACTCTCTCCCACATTCCCAGCCAAAGCCTCTCAACTTAATCCCTCCCTCGCTATTCCCTCGTTTATCTACAACGTTTCCGACAGATCTAGCAGCGCGCTTTCTGTCGACCTCAGCATTGGATCAACCTCAGGGGCATAACGACTGCGCTATAACGAGGTTGTCAGCTTCCCCGCGGCACCATGGCCAGCGGTAGGCCTCCGGGGTCGCATCCAACTGCAGGTCGCGATGACGACCTGCTGTTAGATTCCGGACCTACATACAACAGTGGTCAAGGCCCCCCCGTGAACGACGAACACCTGTTAGAACACTTCAACATTGACGACTCCGAACAACCGTACGAGCAACACCAACCGCGTCCTTCCGTCTCCTACGATAACTTTGTCGGGTCCCGCGCGCCGCAGGGAATACCGCAACATCTAACTCCTGGAACATCGCATCCGCCGGTCAACCCCGGAATCCACCCAAATGACCCCTACTCCACCGGAACGAGAGATCGGAGCTACTCCCAGACTTCCGGGCTGGATAACTACCGGCGTTATTCTTTGGACGAATTTGACGATGGACATTCAGGATACTACGACCTCGATGCGGACGAAGATCGCATCGCTAGCTCTCACCATGTTCGGAAGGCAAATCAGCGCAATAGCGTGCTCGGACTTGGGGGTGGCTTGATGGGCAAGGCGAAATACATGTTTGGCATGGGGTCAAATCAATACTCGGAGATGGATCTCCCATTGACAGAGGCAGGCGCAAGAAGGGCGACAGTCGACAGTACTTCATCTCCGGCGCCACCGCCGAAACAACGCAAGAAGTTCAGCGCGTCTGACCTCAACATCTTTGCGCGACGCAAGGTCGACCCGTCGACTATGGGCCCGCGTATGATCCAGCTCAACAACCCACCCGCCAATGCCGCGCACAAATTCTTCAGCAATCATGTGTCGACAGCGAAGTACAACATCTTTACCTTCATCCCAAAATTCCTCTTCGAACAATTCTCCAAATACGCCAATCTTTTCTTCTTGTTTACTGCTGTGCTGCAACAAATTCCCAATGTGTCGCCGACAAACAAGTTCACTACGATCGTTCCGCTGGGTATTGTTCTGGCGGTATCGGCTATCAAAGAATTGGTGGAGGATTATAAACGCAGAAATTCCGACAAAGGCTTGAATAACTCAAAAACGCAAATTCTTAAAGGATCTTCTTTCCATGAATCAAGATGGGTGGATGTTAACGTGGGCGATATCGTTCGAGTCGAGTCCGAGCAGCCTTTCCCAGCTGACTTGGTTTTGTTGGCCTCTTCTGAGCCAGAGGGTCTATGTTACATTGAGACAGCAAATTTGGATGGCGAGACCAACCTCAAAATCAAGCAAGCCATTCCGGAGACTGCGCATCTGGTCAGTCCTAGTGACTTGAGTCGCTTGAGTGGACGCGTTCGATCGGAACAGCCAAACAGCAGTCTGTACACCTACGAAGCGACGTTGACTATGAGTGCTGGGGGCGGCGAGAAAGAGCTGTCCTTAGCCCCAGATCAACTTCTGCTCCGTGGTGCAACTCTGCGCAACACTCCGTGGGTCCATGGTATTGTGGTTTTCAGTGGTCATGAGACAAAGTTGATGCGAAATGCGACTGCGACTCCGATCAAGCGGACAGCCGTGGAGCGAACGGTCAACATCCAAATTTTGATGCTGGTCAGCATTCTCATTGTTTTGAGTGTTATTAGTTCCGTGGGTGATCTTGCGATTCGCAAAACTAGATCCTCGCAGCTTGCCTACCTCGATTACGGAGATGTCCACGTAGTGAAGCAGCTCTTCATGGACATTTTCACATATTGGGTGCTGTATTCGAACTTGGTTCCTATCTCCCTCTTCGTCACCATTGAAATCGTGAAATACTTCCAGGCTTTCCTCATCAACTCCGACCTCGATATTTACTACGATAAGACTGACACTCCGGCTACCTGCCGCACTTCTTCGCTGGTTGAAGAGCTCGGCCAAATCGAATACATTTTCTCTGACAAGACAGGTACACTTACTTGCAACCAGATGGAGTTCAAGCAAGTTACCATTGCCGGCATTCAATATGGTGATGATGTTCCGGAGGACCGCCGCGCCACACCGGAGGATGACGCTGGAGTTGGTATCCATGATTTCAAAACCCTTAGGGAGAACATGAAATCACATCCAACCCAGAATGCCATTCGCGAACTCCTCACTCTCCTCGCAACCTGCCACACAGTCATCCCAGAGCGAAATGCCAGCGATCCAGATGTGATTAAGTACCAAGCAGCGTCGCCTGACGAGGGAGCCCTGGTTGACGGAGCAGCCTCGCTCGGGTATCGTTTCACCAACCGCAGACCGAGATCCGTTCTTTTCGAAACTGGAGGCCAGGAGTATGAATATGAGCTGCTGGCAGTTTGCGAGTTCAACTCTACCCGAAAGCGAATGTCCACTATCTTCCGATGCCCAGATGGAAAGGTTCGCATCTACTGTAAGGGTGCCGACACGGTCATCCTTGAGCGTTTGCACCCCGACAACCCTACTGTGGAGGCGACTTTGCAGCATTTAGAGGAGTATGCCTCTGATGGTCTCCGAACATTGTGTCTGGGTATGCGGGAAGTTCCAGAAGACGAGTACCAGCAATGGCAGCAAATCTTCCACACGGCAAACACCACTGTTGGTGGTAACCGTGGCGAGGAACTGGACAAGGCTGCTGAGCTGATCGAAAAGGATTTCTTCCTCCTTGGTGCCACAGCTATTGAGGATCGTCTGCAGGATGGCGTCCCAGATACCATCCACACGCTTCAGACTGCGGGTATCAAGATTTGGGTGTTGACTGGTGACCGACAGGAAACTGCAATTAACATCGGAATGTCTTGCAAGCTTATCTCAGAGGATATGACGCTTCTCATTATCAACGAGGAGTCAAGTGAGGCCACTCGTGATAACCTGCAGAAGAAGCTGGATGCGGTGAAAAGTCAAATCGCCTCTGGAGATGCGGAGCCTCTAGCTTTGGTTATTGATGGGCGATCGTTGACATTTGCTCTGGAGAAAGAAATGGAGAAGTTGTTTTTGGATCTGGCGGTGATTTGCAAAGCAGTTGTTTGCTGGTAAGTGTTATGGAAATTTCGATCAACTCTCTTTTATTCTAATTTCCCTTTAGTCGTGTTTCCCCTCTTCAGAAAGCTTTGGTTGTTAAGCTTGTCAAGCGTCACAAGAAGGCTCTTCTCTTGGCTATTGGTGACGGCGCCAACGATGTTTCTATGATTCAAGCCGCCCACGTTGGTGTCGGTATCAGCGGTATGGAGGGTCTTCAGGCTGCCCGATCTGCCGATGTGGCAATTGGTCAGTTCCGATTCCTTCGGAAGTTGCTTTTGGTTCACGGAGCGTGGAGTTATTCTCGCATTAGTCGAGTCATTCTATACTCGTACTACAAGAACATCACGCTATACATGACTCAATTTTGGGTAAGTTAGATCTTTGGGTGGTTTTCGCAACGATATCTAACCTCTTACAGTACTCTTTCCAAAATGCATTTTCTGGAGAGGTTATCTACGAATCTTGGACATTATCCTTTTATAACGTGCTCTTCACGGTTTTGCCTCCGTTCGCCATGGGAATCTTCGATCAGTACATCTCCGCCCGGTTGCTTGATCGCTACCCGCAAATGTACCAACTCGGCCAAAGGGGAGTCTTCTTCAAGAAGCACAGCTTCTGGGCATGGATCTTGAACGGATTCTTCCACTCCCTCATCCTCTACATTGTCTCGGAGCTGATCTTCTTCTGGGACCTCCCAATGGCTGACGGCAAAGTCGCCGGGCACTGGGTCTGGGGCGAAGCACTGTACACCGCCGTACTCGCTACCGTCCTAGGCAAAGCAGCTTTGATCACGAACATTTGGACGAAGTGGACCTTTATCGCCATCCCTGGCTCGATGCTGCTCTGGCTCATCTTCCTCCCAGCGTACGGTTACGCTGCTCCAGCCATCGGTTTCTCCCGCGAGTACTACGGCACCATCCCTGTCCTATTCAAATCCCCCATCTTCTACCTGATGGCCGTCGTCCTACCCTGTATATGTCTCCTTCGTGATTATGCCTGGAAGTACGCCAAGCGCATGTACTACCCTCAGCAGTATCACCACGTCCAGGAAATCCAGAAGTACAACGTCCAGGACTACCGGCCGCGGATGGAACAGTTCCAAAAAGCCATCCGCAAGGTCCGGCAAGTGCAGCGCATGCGCAAGCAGCGCGGCTACGCTTTCTCTCAGGCCGACGATGGTGGCCAGATGCGTGTTCTTAACGCTTACGACACTACGCGGAGCCGCGGTCGTTATGGTGAGATGGCTAGCTCGAGGCCTATGGCGTGATGATTGATTCGCCGTGGGTTGCATATATTTGGAGTGGTTCTTTGCTTCTGTGCATCCTCACAATGTGATTGGTAAATCTGTATCTTCTGTACCTTATGCTTTTCCTTTTTTCCCTCGTCTTCTCTGAGGTGTTCTTATAGCCATGTTTGGTGTGGAGGCGGCTGTGACATATTACTTTCTTTCCTGTTCACTCGATACCGGAGCTGAGTGTAGCGAACTAACTGAACATAGCTTGTAGCTTTATACTTGAAACTACAATTGACCATTGGGACTAGTAGGGCGTAAATTCAGTGAAAACAAGACTGTCGTACATCCCGTTTAGAAAGTCTGGCGACATGTCATATTCGTTTATGCTCTTCAGGCCTTTTATGTATTTTTATTCGTCTTTTTGGGGTCTTCATTGCGTCCTTTGGTGTTTTGCTTTAAACCAGATATAGCGGCTAAGTACAAGGGCCAAATTTCGCGCGACGGCTTGTGAGCTTTCAATGTGCCCCGTTAGGGTTACAGCTTTTAAGCATGACTAAAATTTCGCGTGACAGAATCGAGCCATTCGTCTCTCAATTCTGAGCTGTCTGTACCAACCTTCAGGCACTGCCCAGGTGTCTCAATTGATGAGTCAATGATCCGCCGTCATGAACGTACATAGAATATGTATAAAAGGCTCATCTTCAGTGCCACTTTTATGGAGAAATTCAAATATATTAGCCCGCTGCGAATGGACTCCGCATCCGCATCTTCTCGCCGTAGAACCACAGTATGACAGGGCTCGGCCAGCCGATAACGATCGCCACGAATGCGAGCAGCGAATTACCCCAGCCCAGGCCCAAGCGATCGTAAAGGCTCGATGCGAATAGTGGGAACCCGAAGCCGGCCAGTGAGCGCAAAACCGTGGCGGCGCCCAAAGCACTTGCCGCATAGACGGTGTAGGTGTCAACAAGAAATGCCTGGGTGCACTGTGCTAATGAGATAAAATGTTAGCGTTCCGAAGGTGACACAGACACAGCTAGCATTCTTCTAGCATTTTATCCTTGCCGAAGGGGGACAAGAAGAATGAAAACAGACCAAGGATCCAATCATGATACCAGCGGCTATCAAGCATGCTCCGATATTAGGCCCTATCCAGTGTGTCTTGTACTCCGCTGTCCAGCCGTAGATGAATAAACCCAGAGGAACTAACACGGCACCAGGTAACATCATTGGGACGCGGTACTCTGGCCGTCCAGGGCTTGAATGCCGTCGTTTCAATGCAATATAAATTCTATCCTGCAACGGAGCGACTACCTGTGCGCCGATGAAGAAACCTAGTCCCAGAGAGATGTAGTTCAGACCACCAATTCCGATGCTCTCTCCGTATCCCTCTGGCTTGGGCGACGAGAATAGATCCGGAAATGACACAAGCACCAGGTACATAAGTCCGTACAGGAAGGTCAAGTATAATGCAAGCACTTGCAGGATGATCTGCGTCCCGAGCAGCCGAAAGGGGCGCGTCAAAGCAATCTGGAGGGTGGTGAGCGTGGTGCGGTTCTGGATATCGAATGCCGTATGCAAATTCGTGTTCCCGCTCGTCTTGATCAATTTATCGCGTTTCCAGGCGAGCAAGACGGGTGCGTAAGTCTCCCGGAGAAAGAGAAAACCTAGGCACTGGACCACGCCGTCGGCTATCGTTGTTGCGTAAAAAGACCATCTCCACGTTGTATTCTCCGTGATGAACGCTCCAGCTAGCCCCAGGAGGTAAGATCAGTACTCCTCCTCTGATAAATATGGCTTACATACCGATAGGACCGATAGCAGGCCCGAAAAGCGGCATCAACGAGTAGATCGAAATCGCCTGCCCGCGCTGCTCAGCGCTGAAAAGATCGGACACAACCCCTCCTCCAATGGCTAGTGGAGCGGAGCCGCCCAACCCGGCGAGAAACCGAAAAACGATGATTTGGGCTTTAGTCTTGGCGAGGCTACAGCCAAGATTGAAGAACAGGTAAAGGAGATTTGTTAATTGCAGAACCAACACGCGACCATAGATCTCGGATAATGGCCCGACGCTAGGAGGCGAGAAGAAGAAGAGAGGTTAGCTGAGACGGTGGAGCATTGGAAGATATGAATGATGAGGCACCAACAATAAGGGACCTACAGCGTAGGCGAGGACGAAAACTAAAAGCCAGAGTTAGTTAACTCGATCATCTTTTTATGAAATTCAACGCTCACTGGACATAGCGACTGCCTGCTGAACACCCGCAGGTATATCTAGATCCTTGCCTATAGCAGTTAGGGACGGGGCGACCATAGAAGAGGACAATGGCGAGATGAGCGAATAGGTCGAGACAATAAGAACAATCAGCCATTTTTTTTTCATTTCCCAATTCTTAGGATTCTCTAAGTCGTCAGGCCCATTCCAGTTGACGAGGTCTGGGTCCCTTGGGTCAGGGCTTGGAGCTAGGTTTGTCGCCTCTCTCATCCGTGCTTGTTTTTCGACATCGGTTAAAGAAACACTTAACGCCTTTGTACGAGTTTGAGTATCCTGTAATTGATCAGAGAGGTCGGCAGGTCCATTTTTTTGTTTAGAAGAAGCGATATTCATTGCTCGTGGCTGAATTTCTTGCTGAGGTCTAAAAAGGAGGACTCGAACCTTGAGAACTGTTCTACATCAGAACGTCAGTCCGGAAATCCACCTGCATATAGGTGACCCACTGTTGAACCTGCAAAGTTGCCGCCAACCCCGAGCTGTCGGCAAAAAACAAGTCGAATCAGGGGTCTTTATTTGGACACCCCGGGGCCGAATCGGAGACCGTGCCCTAGACTAGACTTCCGCGTAAACCAACTTTCGACCCAAATTTGTGGATACATATACATAAAGATGCCAAGAACTTCCTCGTTGGTAGTCCTAATTATGCTTATTCATGCGTAAAGTTGGGTCGAAACTGGGTCAAGACCCTCGACCCATATTGGGTTTGACGGAAGACTACCCTAGACTACACCATCTCGAGGTCTGTCCTACGAGAGTCATGAATCAAGAGTTATACATAGAAAAGTCCATTTCACAAAGTGCAGCCTTTTTCCGCCTTCTTCTGCCTTCTATGTATGAAACCAAAGAGGGCAGGGAAAACAGTTAAAAAAAAGACGTCTAAAAGGACGACCAAAAAGATTAACCAAAAATATATTAGTCGGCCGCAAACGCGGCCGACAATTTACGTTTGACATCCATAGATATATTGGTAAATGACATAATATGCTTTCCAAATGGGATATCAGGAGTTGCCTAAACAGGCTATTGGCCACATAAACAGCATTTACCAGATTGATCTGAACAATATGCAAGACAGGCGGTGTAGTAAGCCAACAAGCGACCCTGCATAAATATATCTAGGTAATTGTGTGTCTCTCTTCCTATACCCTAGGTATAGACCGATTAAAGCTTGTCGGATGTAACCTTGATCTTTGCGGATCGGACCGAATTGGAGAAGATCCATGGATCACATCATTTCCGTCATATATGTCATATATGTCATACACGTTACGCGGAGCTACTCCGGAGTCCGATCTCACATGCAATCCATCTGTATTTAAACCAGCTAAATTCTGCCCCCTATCGCTAGAACTAACCATTTTGGCAGTTTACTGCCTAGCTTTTATACCTCTAGTATTATATACTAGGTAACTATGTTACGGCAGCTGCCGCCTGCCAACATTCTAGTCAGAATCCGTAGCTTTTGTAATGTATTTTGCCGCGAGAGATAATCACAGTACAGAAAGAGGAGTGAGAGACGTATTACACTGTAGTTCTCTTCTTTATTAATTTTCTTCGGAATCTTTCCTTCTATCCCCCTAAATTTATAAAAGTGTACGGATAGTAAGGGTGGAGACCAGGTGAGACGCGGCTGAGACCCTTGTTTTTAGGGCGGCGAGGGGCTACAACTTTGCCAAAATTAAGGCACGACTATTCTTCATATCTCACCTATGGTCGGAGTCGTGACCTCCCCCAACACCATCATGAACCGGGATGAATCACACAATGATGTTTCTGAGTCCTCTCCCCTTCTTCGCGACCGACTTGAGGTCGCAATACAAGAAAAGAGGTTATTTTGGCAGAAGCACTGGATCAAGCTGCTTCTTTGCGCATTTTCTTTTATCATGATGCTTGGTGACAACCTCCAGCCGGCCGCCCTGACTCAAATCTTAGAGACCGTCATCTGCGATGACTATTACCGCGTGCATCCCCTACCCACAGGACCGTCAGCTCAGCATTGCAAGATTCAACCGGTGCAAAAGGAGCTTGCTCTGGTGCGCGGGTTTCAACAGCTTGTTCCTCTCTTTCCAGGACTGCTGTGCACAGTGCCGTACGGCCTGCTGGCTGACCGAATCGGACGCAAGCGTGTGCTAGTTCTTACTGGGGCTGGTCTTTTGGCTGCACTGTCCTGGACCATGGCCGTATGCTACTGGCGAATTGTCTCCATTCGCTGGGTGCTACTTTCGGGGGCCTTCTTGTTTGTTGGCGGCGGAGACGCCGTACTTTCTAGCATAGTCCATATCATGGTTACGGAGACAACCGCTCCAGGCGAATGGGCGCAGGTCTTCTTGTACCTACACGCAGCCGACGTAATCTCAGGCTTCTTTGGCCCTGCGATAAGCGCCCCCTTGATGGAGAAAGGACATCCCTGGGCCGTATTAATGCTGGCCGCAGTCGTGCTCTTCTCCGGCACATTTCTGCTGACAAGATTCATCCCGGAATCATTACACCTGAAGAAACAGGATCTGTCACCTGGCAACACTCATTTGGGCCCGGGTTCTCCAGAGGCCCTTCCGCAAGACACACTCCTCGGCCATACACGATCCTCGACTTACCCTAATGCTATAACTGCAAAATTCGCGAAACATCTTCCACGTCGAGTCGCACGCGTGCTGACTCCGTTTCTGAACGTGTTGACCTCCAACCGACAAGCCATCCTGCTTCTAGTGCTGTTCGCCCCTCAAACGGCCGCACGCGAACTGTTCACGGTGATTGGCCTTCAGTACTCCAGTGCTAAGTTTTCCCTGTCCTATGCCCGAGGGAACGTGCTTCTATCTATCTTTCAAGGCGCTCAGGGCCTCTTCGTCCTCGTGCTTTTACCCTTGATCACCCGCACTATCGCCGAACCCCGCGGCTGGACGGCCTGGGCGCGTGACCGCCGGTATGCTATTGCCTCCATGGCTGTGACGGCCTGTGGTCTTATGACAATTGGCATAGCGCCTGTGCTGTGGGTTGAGGCCGCTGGGCTTCTATTTGTGGCGCTTGGGAGTTGTTCAACGGGGTTGTTGATGAGTCTGTTGGGTGGAGCTGTGCAGCCGCACGAGGTGAGCACTGTCTATGGTTTGGCGCTAGGCGCCAGTATGGTGACTCGGAGTGTCACTGGCCCAGTAGTTAGTGTGCTGTTAGTGGAAGGCTTCGAGCTGGGGTGGAATTGGATGGGTCTACCGTTTGCCACGATAGCGCTGCTGATGGCAGGTGTCACATTTGCCAGTGGGTTCATTCGGTCCGAAAAGGTGGAGGAGGATGAATACCAAGAGTGATTGGCTTGAAAATCTTTCAAATGAGGGCGTTTGTTTCGGTATAGAATAGGACAATGGTGCGACTCGATGTAATTAGTAGTCCTGGACAGCGACTAGCGATAACGGGCAAGAACTTATTTTAGACTGCCATAATTGATTACTACGTTTAAGATCCTAATATACTCAGCATTTTCTAGTATTTACCGCCTGATTATGAGACTAGTAATCAATGGGTTGATTCATGCTATATACCTCCGGGGTTGGTACGGAATCTGACGAGCGAGCAAACAGGCATCAGGGCCAACAAGAAACACATTCTCAAGAAGCATACCCACTCAGATATAATCAGTACTTTGAAAATACAAACACTCTCGCCTCAATACTCTCCCGAGGCGAGGATGAGGTGACGGACTCAATTTTGAATGCGGTATGCGGACATCCCACTACACATATTAATAATCAGGGCCTATATATTTCACCGGGGAAGGGGGCCTTGACTTACCAGTTTCACCAGCAGTATGATATGCCGAATCAAAAATTTTGAAAATACAGACATCCTGGTTGGTCATTTTACTCATATAGTAGAAGCGGTGTCGCTCATTGAACTTGGCCAGGTAGCTGCTTCGGACGAACTCCTCAGTGATGTACTCCATCTCATCGAGATCATCCATTGTTGCAGTTCGCGCATCACAGATAGTCAGGGGCCACTGTTCGACCACCCCTTTGACAGGACGCCAGACGCTGAGGAAGCCGTTAGTCCAGATCGTTAGCCCGAAGCAGGGTACCGAATGGAAACTCACTTGAAGATCTGCACTCGATATCTTGCCGTCAGCTCGTCAACTTCCTCCTTGGGCAATAAGTGGTTAAGACGGTCGAAAGCCCCTGCCGAGCTTTGATCTTCATTTTCGTATTAGCGTGAGTATAAAGTGTAATCCTTACGTCTGCACATACCTATATGTACCACATCGGCGGGCCTGATTTTAGTCATCCGGCCACCTTCGATATTTTTGATACGTTCGGGAGAGTCGGTGTTTCGAATCTTTTGCCTTTAGGTGAGATAGATATCATATATAGCTGGAACTCTCGCAACTTACCCGCCAGTCAAACACTTCGGACCGGACGAAATCCTCCCCTAGATTCAGCTCTTGCCGGACCAATTCCTGTGCTTCTGAAAGATAGGTGTTCACGATCTGGTTCTCATCGGTCCAGTCAATCTCGGATGGAGACCAGGATCGGAAGGTGAAGCCCTGCTTCGCCAAAGTAAACTCCTCCGTAGAACCACGCACGTCTTCGATCAATTGCTCTGGCCCAGGCGCGAGGCGGTAATTGCACGTCGGGATAGTTTTCAAGAAGCCTGGGCCAACCATATAAGGCTTCTGAGTCCTGAGCAACGGCGAGTCGCGGAGATAGTATAGCTTCACGTGCAGATCCATCTTTTGTATATTAGCTAGATGAGGGTTGAGGGATACCTTTGTTATCTTTTCTTGTTAGAATTCTCTCCGGAGATGAAGTGCACTCCGACTTCTATAAAGGACTGTCTACGAGTAACATGTCGAGTTTCCTGTAATGGCTAGAGGGATTACCAGATCACCCTGTGCCGGAACAAGCAGTAAGATTTGATATGTTCCGTTGTATGTTGTAACAGACCCCACGAATGGCGCATAATATCACGTATGATCATTGCTGTACTTGATCGGACTCCGGCTCTGATATTACTCTTGAAGTCTCCACTCACTATCTCTCTTCTTTTGCTTCCAAACTAGACACTTGGCGATACCGTATGGTTGATACGCTTGATGGCCGTCATTAGCCGATACTACGCCATGTGAAACAGAACTTGAAAGGAACAACACTTCGACAAAAGGGGAAAATGCACAAAAATATAAAGTCATATATATATATATATATATATATCTGTATAGCGCAAGCAAAATAGTAGCTCGGTTATTCTGTATTCTAACCGCCTCCAACCCGGACTCGAGACTTAGTGGGAACATTTCAGATCCTCTGGTGCCAATCAAGGTGAGAAGTCTAGACAGCTCTCTCGTTGAACCCAGCTAATTCCCTATAGAGAGCTTCATCATACTCCATTGATTCCATCTCGTCATGGACCGCAGTTTGGACCAGAACGGTGAAACCAGCCTCTGGGCTCGAGCGCTTGAGCTCGCAAAGCAGTCTGACGCACGAGAACAGCCATGGAAGGCTGCTTTGGCAATTGAGACCAAGGCAAAAGAGAATGATACGTATGACCAGCTTCCGGACAAGTCGAAAGAATATTGGGAGGATGGCAGCGGGGGCGATGGAGGAGATATTAGACCATGCACTCATTGACACTTGCTGTGATGACCTCTCAATTTTGATTTTCGTTTCTCCTACAAGAATCAACACCAATAGTTATTTTATCTGAATAGCACTTTTCTACTACTTGATTCCGTTGCGCCATATCAATTAATCATCGGTATTTCATAGTTGATAGATACGGCTTCTCTGTCAATAGTCCTGGGTGCAGTAAACGTCAACGCAACTTGAGGTTACAATGCCGCAGTTCTTCGGTAATTCAAAATTACAGGCAAAAACACATTTTGTCAGAGGGCAGCGTCGTCTTAGCGCTCACAAAATTGATTGATTTGAAACACGTGGCCAGACCCCGAGTATCGGGGCTATTACTGAGACATCCTCACAGTATCCGGTGTTGAAGATTTGCAAACTGATATTATCCGGGTAGAAAATATCTAACTTCATTTGGCTTGATGATAATGAGAGCTAAATAATATGCGCGCATGCCTGTCAGACTTTAGTCTACTTGCTCATTTAGCCCCCAAATTGGCACTAGAACTCAATACGCGGGGAAGCCAGTCCGGAAGCTTATTAGATGCATGTGGGTAATGATTTGTACGATCTGAAACTCTGCCAAAATTGTGATTGGTGACCAATTACTACCAAGTAATAGTATATATCAATCCGTCCGCCGATCGCCCGGGATACCGTCTGTCATCCATCCACAAAATGAGACCTAAATGACGAAATTAGGGAAATGGTGCTACGAAATATACAGGTACAGGTTAGATTAACCGATAGGTTACATTGAGTACCTAACAGCTGCCCACTCCTTCGCGCTTGCGCTGTAAGGCACTTCTGCTCCGAAGCTACCAGATCGCCAACGAAGGGAGCCTAGCAAGTGAGCAGTCAGGGACTTTAAGCAAGGAAGAGGAAGGATCTTCAATTACGAGGGATGGGATTTGAAGTATTTAGTTCGGTGGGATTAATAAGTGAACGTGCCAACCCAGTAGAATTAAGCAATTGAATCGATACAGGGTGCGAGCAGGTAAACTTATTCAAAGCGCTTACCGTTAGATTGTAGAGTGTGGCAAAATTTGCCCCCACATTGCGATATATTACAGGCAAATGAGGGATTTGCTCTCATAGACCAATTCATGCGATGGGGTTCATCCCGTCTTTTCGGTGCCCCTAGTCTCTAGCTGTATCCATGTCTTTCAAACCACTGCTAGATCCTACAAGCTTGGCATAGTGGCCCCTTCAGGATATTCCACTGAACTAGTTTAGAAGCCTTGCATACTCTTCTTATACTGTAACTATCTAGCCTATCCTAGAGATGGCATAGTTTGTGAAGGAATCCACGTGCTAGGACTAGACTTTCACCTCGGGGTTTCCGATTGCTCTGCCTCTCTTATGCGCGTAGCATGAAAGACTTGATCTTACCTGCTAGTGACACGGGAGAAACGGAGGACCGTATGTATGTTTTAGGCTTATGGTAGATAGTATGGTGACATGCAATATCATCTTTTCAGTCGCGATGCCACCCCCACAATATAAAGGTGACTTGCTGCAGGCGCATCAACGAGTATTGAGCTCGACTACTGCCTTTTTGTATAACGATGAAAACCCTTTTACATAACGTCGCCACCGCTGGTGGCCTATCTAGGAAGAATGACACTGTGCTACCCCGTGCTCATTCCAACCTCTCTGTGCCCTCTCGCAATTTTTCTACCCCCACGTCCTACAAATACGAGGAAAAACACACTGTTTTCGATCAATTCATCCCAGACCTCGGCAATGGAACCACAGCAATTGCCAAGGTGTGTGCATCCTGGGCGGTGCTTCTCGCCTCACACAGAGTTGCGGGTGAGTATAGGATGATGTCCCCTGAATCAGGCAATATAGTGGGCTCTTTGAATGAGCCCTTCCAATGGAGCTTGCGTGTAGGCGACTTGATCCGCAAGGTTGAAGCGCAGTTGGCTGGCTACCTTCCGAGTACATCCCACACAACAGCCTTTCAGGGGGAGCTGTTTATTATATCGATTGCCCGTGAACAACCTAGCTTGAGACACATTACGCTCGAGTGCCATGTTCAACAAGACAAAATATGTGTCAAGACAGTGGATCTCGGCAACTGTTCAGATAAGGCTCTTTTGCTGTATCTTGGGAGTCAATATGAGAATGTTATTCGTGCTATTTGTATGCCTGGAAGTATTGAGACACCTGTATCTGATTTCAAGGTTGTTTCAGTTTATGATCTTGACAGGATCTGGACTTGGAATGCCCAAGCTCCTCAAAGTGTCGATAATATCTGCATTCACAAAGCATTTATGGCGAGAGCACAGCAGCATCCAGAAATTCTGGCGCTCGAAGCTCATGACGGTACGCTAAATTATCGCGAACTGGATGATCTCTCCACTCGTCTGGCCCTCACGATTATTCGGCAAGGTATCCAGCCGGGAAACATTATACTAGTCTTCATTGAGAAGTCGCTTTGGGTTCCAGTAGCTCAGATTGCTATCATGAAGTGTGGGTGCGCCTCCACCATTCTCGATGCGTCACTTCCCTTGAAGCGCCAGCAGGCGATCGCTGAGCTGGTGCAGCCATCCGCTATCATTACCTCACCCGGATGTACCGATCAGGCGCAAAACCTCGGGCTGGGATGCCCGAATTTCACCCTGAATCATGATTTGAGCCATTCATGGTTGAGCGCCACGCAGGAGTCTCTGCCTATCGTCGACCCCTCGGCCTGGCTGTATGTTGTGTTTACCTCCGGTAGCACAGGCACCCCCAAAGGCGCGATTATCAGTCATGCCAATTATGCTAGCGCAGTGGCTCTCCAGCAGGAGCGTCTCGACTTCCGAGAATTCGACCGCGTCTTTGACTTTGCCTCATATGCCTTCGATGCGGCCTGGTGTAATATGATCCACGCTTTAACCATTGGGGGCTGTCTCTGCATACCCTCAGATGAAGAGCGAAAGGGAGATCTTGCTGGCGCTCTGCGGAAGTACCAGCCTAATTATGCCGTTCTAACACCTTCAGTGGCATGGTTCCCAGCGTCGGAGCTACCCAGCAGCCTGCGGACCTTCCACTTCGGAGGCGAGCCCCTCAAACCCGCAATTGTGAAAGAGATGTCATCTCAAGCCACCGTCATCAACGCGTATGGTCCGGCTGAATGTTCAACCGTGAGCACCGCCGTGACCACGGATCCCGAGGACGAAGACGAGCCTACTATCGGTACGGGGGTAGGTGCTTGCACCTGGATTGTCAAATTAGACGGATCAGACCTGGTCCCTATCGGAGCAGTGGGAGAGCTCTGGGTAGAAGGCCCAATTGTCGGACAAGGCTATTTGAATGACCCAGTGAAGACCGCAGCGAGCTTCGCGTTTGGTGCATCATGGCTTGCCCGCGGATGTCCTAGTATTGCGGGTATCAAGGGCCATACTGGAAGAAAAGGACGCCTGTATCGAACAGGTGATCTGGTTCGTTACCGAACGGATGGATCTCTGGAGTTTGTCGGCCGCAAGGACTCTCAGGTCAAGATTCATGGACAGCGAGTGGAACTGGGCGAAATCGAGCATCACCTCGAGCAAGCGTTGACAGACGAGGCTCAGGAGAAGAAAGTGCAGATCATTGCAGAGATCATCCAGCCGGAAGGCAGCAAGGTGGCTACGCTCGTCGCCTTTCTGTTTCTGCTGGCGAGCTCGGGTGCATCGCCCACAGAGGCCAATATCATTCTTCGACAATCTATAGAGGGCATCGAAGAACGACTAAGCGGGCGAGTTCCCCCGTATATGATCCCATCAGCCTTTCTCCCGGTGGAACAAGTACCTATGACACCCACCGGCAAGGTTGATCGTCGACAGCTTCGAATCCAAGGCGCCAAATTGTATTGGCAGCAGCTGGGCGACGAATCTGCGACTGAAGGGGCAGAGGCGGGGTCAAAACTAGAAACGGGCATTCGCAGAATCTGGAGTGAGGTATTGAACCTACCCGCCAGCAAGATCAGCCTCGACTCAGCCTTTACCCGTCTTGGGGGGGACTCAATCACTGCCATGCAAGTTGCTTCGCGTGGCCGCTCGCAAAATCTTGCCATCAAAGTCACCGACATGCTTAAGCTTCAGACCATCCGAAAAATTGCCCAGGTGTGCGGGGTTGCGCACGCGAAAAAACCTGTGAACCTTGTACAGGAAGATGAAAGCAAGCCATGGCCGTTGACACCGATTCAAGAAATTTTCTTTGGGGACAACCCTCAGGGTATCAATCACTACACCCTCAGTTACATAGTTAAGCTAGCAAGGCAGACAACGTATCAAGAACTGGCCTCCGCGTTACTGAGCCTCACAACTCGCCATAGTGTGCTGCGTGCCCGCTTCCGCAAACGAACGGATGCACCGACCTGGGAACAGTTTGTTGCGCCAGCAGGGCCCAGCTCATTCCTTCTCACAGTGCATAAATTTGTCGATCGAAAAAGCATGCAACAGGTGGTTGACGAGCGCCAGGCCTCCATTGACCTGATTGATGGACCTGTCTTTGCCGTGGATGTCTTCGAGGATGATACTGAGCCACAATCGCTGCTAATGAGCGCGCACCATGCGGTGATGGATCTTGTTTCCTGGCGTGTCGTATGGCATGAATTGAGTCAGTCACTATCGGGGACCACTTCTCTGCCTCCACCTTCTCTCTCTTTCCAAACATGGTGCCGCGTACAGCTCGAAGACGGCAAGTTGCTCCACCCAGCCACCGTTCTGCCTTTCGACGTCCATCCGGCAAACTTCGAATACTGGGGGGTGACTCCAGGGGAAGTATTCTATCGAGATTCGGTTGGACATCTCTCTGTGGTCAACTCCCAAGCAACTTCGCTTCTGCTAGGAGCCAGCAATGACTGTTTCCGTACCGAGATACTAGACATCCTCCTCGGTTCGCTCATCTTTTCCTTTGCTCAGACATTCCCTGATCGCAGTCCGCCTCCAGTCTTCATCGAAGGCCATGGTCGCGAGCCTGTGGACGGAATGGAAGATTTAGACCTATCTGAAGTCATCGGATGGTTCACTACCTTCCTTCCTCTCGATCTTGGCGGAACACCAGCTGACTCGATCATTGATATGATCAAATTCGCCAAAGACATTCGAAAGAAGGTCCCCGGGAAAGGTAGGCCTTATTTTGCCTCTCGGTTCTATAGCGAGGCTGGAAAGGTGGCATTTGAATCCCACAAACTTGTTGAGCTGCTTTTCAATTATCGAGGCTCTTTTCAGCAGCTTGAGGACGCCAGGTCTATTTTCAAGCTTGAGGACAGGATGGACCGCAACCTCTCCATTCCTGGCGATGGCCCGGACTACCAGCGACCCTCGCTTGTGGACATCAATCTTGTCGTCCAGCAAGGACAGTTGGAAATCCGAACACGATCCCACAGACATATGCGAAACCATGACGCCGTCACTAGTTGGATGGATCTCTATGCCAAGTCTCTCAGCAGCGTAGCATATGACCTGGCGAATCGGTCGGCAGGATTTACGCTCGCTGATTTCCCGCTCTTGGATATCTCGTATGCCGGGCTCAAGGCGCTGATGACGGAGCATACGGGAATCCAGGAGACTGACGTGCACGATATCTACCCTTGTACGCCCATGCAGGAAGGCATCCTAATCAGTTCCAATATTGGCACAGCCTCTTATCACAGCGTCTCAATCTGGCAGGCAGTCTCGGAAAGCACAGCCGTCTCGGTCACCCGTCTGGCCGCAGCATGGAAGGCTGTCTTTCGCGTGCATCCTGTATTCTCGACTATCTTCGCCACTCATCCTGACACCGGGAGATATATCCAGGTGGTATTGAATAACCCAAATGAGGTTTCAGTCTGCCAAGCACCACACTCGGTGACTGCGATCGAGCACCTAGGCCAGATGCAGAGTTTCCAGGCCTCACATTCGCAACCCGAGTGTTTAGTCACAATATGTTCTGACCAGCAGGGCGAAGTCGCATGTCGCCTTGAGATAACCCACGCGCTCATGGATGCCCTGTCATTGCCTGTAATCGTGAGGGATCTTGAGCAGGCTTACTCTGGGCAAGTTCTGTCATTGCGGACGCCATTCCGCAACTATGTGGAGCACATTCAGCGAACACTGGCCAAAGATCGATTGTTGTACTGGAAAAAGTATCTTACTGGCGTGAAGCCTTGTAATATATCACAAGACAGAGCATCCGTTAGGGGAAAGTCGGACCCAACCGGTCTCTATGGGTGGCTCACCCTACCTACTGCTGTGACAGCCCCGATTGCGAAGACTTCCCGTGAGATGGGTCTTACTCGCTCCGCATTCTTGCACCTTGCTTGGTCCCTAGTTCTGTCATATCTGACAGGAATGCGGCAAGTCTGTTTTGGGTACCTTTCGTCTGGCCGCGATACCCCTATTGATGGCTTAGAGGAAATTGTTGGGCCCCTACTCAATATGCTAATTGCACGCGTGGACTTGGAACAGCCTTTGCCTGAAATTATATCCACGATCAATGAGTACAACATCGAACATCTGGGAAATCAACACGTCTCGTTGGCTGAGATTCAACATGAAATTTCCACCAATCGTCTTTTCAACACAAATATTACAGTTCGTGAGGCTCGATTGGACTCTAGACCCGTGGATGGTAGCATGAGGCTGGTGGAGATCTCTGAGGTGGATCCGCATGAGGTAAGTTCATTATGGCTACAATAAATATGCGTGATTCTCCATCTAACGATCTACAGTACGACATGATATTGGCTGCCACTCTCAACAATGATGATACCGAGGTCAAGATCCAATATCGAACTAGCTATATATGCTCAGCCAACGTCGAGGAAGTCCGAGCTTATTTAGAGGGTGCTATTGAGTTCCTCTGCTCAATCACACGCCGGCAGTCAGAGATCAAGCACTGCGACTCGCTCTATGATGCTTACGTCTACCATATCATTGGCACTGATGAAGCTTCCGCGCTCGAGGAATGGAAATCGCGCTTTACGGACCTTGATGCTGGTAGCCATTTCCCCGCCTTGCCCTACCCGGCTCACAAATCACATGTCGCCGCCTCCGTATCTTATACGATCGAGAGCCTGTCATGGCGGGATGACTATCAGACAAACACGCAGGTCCTCGCATCCTGGGCTCTTCTACAAGCGTCCTATCGAGGTTCATCTGACGCTCTAATCGGAACTGGCCCGCTGGGCTCTGAATATGGAACTAAAACCGGTGCCATCTTGCCCATGCAGATTCCTGTGGCCCTTGATCAGCCAGTTTCCTCATATCTGGATGTGGTGCAGTCGACTATCAAGACTTACCAGGCCTTGCCAAAACTTAGTCAATATCGGCTGCGCGACCTCGGTGATGATTTAGCACTAGCATGCGACTTCCAGACGATCTTGTCCATCGACAACGAACCAGGCCCTACCGTGCTGCCAGATTCCGGTCGAGCACTTTCCCTGCAAATACATGCCTTGGCGTCCGGGGCTCATCTGGTTGCGAACTTTGACCAGCGCAGTATCAGTACTGAGCAAGTTCATCGTCTTTTCCCACAATTGGAAACGGTGATACGCCAAATTTGCTCCTCCGCCACTACGTTCACAACGGTCGCTGAGATTGAAACTGTCAGCAAAGGCGATCTTGACCATATCGCCAGTTGGAACCAAAAATTATGGCCGAATGCTCAAGATCTAGTTCATGATCTGATCTCGCGTCGAGCAGAGACTATGCCCGACGCCCCAGCCATTTCCTCCTGGGACGGAAACCTCACGTACCGACAAATAGATCGTCTGTCAACTCGTTTGGCCCACCGGCTAGTGCAGCTCGGGGTCAAAACTGAAGTCGTCGTGCCGATTTACTCAGAAAAATCCATGTGGGTGCCAGTGTCGGCCGTAGCGGTCTTAAAAGCTGGCGGGACTGGCGTCATGATCGACTGCAACGAGGCTATTGAACGAGCATGTGGCATTGTCAGCCGTGTCAGTGCAAATATCGTTCTCACCTCTCCTTCCAGCTATGAGAGAGCGACCGAATTTTCAGGGACGCAACTGTTTGTCGTCGATCAAGCGCAAATGGACCTCCTTCCAGACCCCGAAACAGGGCTTTCTCTACCCCGCGACGTTCAGCCGTCAAACCTCGCCTATATTTCCTTCACATCTGGGAGTACAGGACTCCCCAAGGGGGCGATGATCACGCACTCTTGCTTTACATCCTCAATCAGGCACCAGCAACAATCCCTGGGCTTCATAGCCGGCCAACGCGTCTATGACTTTGCCTCATATGCGTTCGATGTCAGCTGGTCCAATCTCCTGCACTCCCTCACCTCGGGCTGTTGCTTATGTATCCCATCTGAGTTTCAGAGGAAAAACGCCCTGTCTGACTCTATTCGAGACACTCGGGCTACTCTTATCAATGCAACCCCTACGGTTCTACGCCATCTCGACCCCAAAGAATTACCTGACTTGGAACAAATCATCATGGGTGGGGAGGCGTGGGACGAGGCGGATTTTGTGGACTGGATCGACAACAAGAGGTTAATTAATGGCTACGGCCCTGGAGAATGCACCATCAAGGCCTGCTTGCTGCGTGTCGTCCGAGGAAGAACCCCCAACACCATTGGCAAGGGAATTGGGGTCACAACCTGGATCGTCAGAACGGATGGCTCGAACCGACTGGCTCCCCTCGGATCAGTGGGTGAGCTCTGGCTGGAAGGGCCCCAGGTGGCTAGAGGCTATCTTGGAGATGAGATCAGGACCGCTGCGTCTTTCGTTGAAAGGCCCCGTTGGACACAGGCCCAAGGCCCAGTTTGTCGGTTCTACCGCACAGGTGATCTGGCTCGTTATGATGCTGACGGCGCGTTGATTTTCGTCAGTCGGATCGACTCCCAAGTCAAGATCCGCGGTCAACGGACAGAATTGGGCGAGATCGAGCACAGCATTCAGAGAGCACTTCTAGCGGGCGACCTGAAGGCCCAGGTTGTGGTGGATGTCTTTAAACCCCACAGGAGCAATAATCCAGTCCTTGTCGCGTTCATGCAGACCGAGGAAGAGGATGCTTGGCAGAAGCTGATGGGCGTGAACGAGCACCTTGCCCGACTTGTACCTGAATACATGATTCCCACTGTTTACGTTCCCGTCGACACGTTCCCAATGACAGCGACTGGGAAGATTCACCGCCAATCTCTGCGAATGATCTACACAAAGATGACGCTTGAGCAGCTGGTGGCACGAGATGCCTTACGTGTGTCCGCTCATCGCATGCCGAATAGTGCATCCGAGAAGCTGCTTCAGGTCCTGTGGGCAGAGGTTCTCCATATTGATGCGGATATAATCTCAGCCGAAGACAGCTTTCTCCGAATTGGTGGCGATTCACTGGGCGTGATGCGGTTGGTCAATGCAGCGAGACAACAAAATATAACCCTCAGTGTCGCCGATGTCATCCAGCAGCCCAAGTTGAGCGCTCTTGCAAAGTTAGTCGAAGCGCAGAGTCCAATGGTACAGCCTCAGAATGTCCCTATTGAGGCGTTCTCGCTCCTCGGCGGGCATATTTCCCGCGATGAAGCCAAGGATCAGGCCGCATCCCTTTGCAATGTTGAGATCACGGAAGTGGAAGACATTTTCCCTTGTACACCATTGCAGGCCGGACTGATGGCACAAAGTGTCTCACATCCCGGAAATAATGTCCTGACAGAAACCCTGGCGTTGAGAAAGGATGTCGACATAGTCCGCTTGGAAGCCGCATGGCAGAGGGTTATTCAGGCGAACCCGATTCTCCGAACCAGAATTGTTGATTTTGGGCAGCAGGGCCTTGTCCAAGTGGTAATCTGCTACAAACAGGGTGAGATCGAAGCAGGGCAAACCGCGCAAAGCTTTGGCCTCGGTACGCCTCTACTTTCCTACCAGATTGACGCGTCCGGCTTTACCTGGAGTATCCATCATGCTCTGTATGACGGATGGTCTCTTCCGCTGATCTTCGAGTCCCTTGCGCAGAGCTACCAATCAGAAACCGTCCAGGGACCCCCTCTCTTCCAGGCCTTTGTGAAGCATATACAGAATGCCAATAAAGCTGAGGCACAAGAGTTCTGGAAGGACCAGTTCAGTGATTTCAATGCCCAGGCATTTCCTATCCTTCCTTCTCCCACCTACAAGCCGAAATGCGACCAAACCCTACAGCTTGTTATTAGGGACGTCGCCTGGGATGGTGACTACACTGCAGGAACCATGATCCGACTAGCTTGGGCTATTTTACTCGCCACCATCATGAATTCCCCTGATGCCTCGTTTGGAACAACTGTCTTTGGCAGACAAGCCAATATACCCGGTATTGAGAAGATCACGGGACCTACGTTCGCTACAGTGCCCTTGCGGATTGCCATTGATCGTTCCAAGCCGGTGCGTGAGTTACTGCAGCAGGTACAGCTGCAGGCAGCCAATATGATGCCATACGAGCAATTTGGCCTGCAGAACATTCAGCGGATCAATGAGGATTGCAACTTGGGATGCCAGTTCCAATCCCTAATGATTATTCAACCTGGAGGCAAGGATGTCATAGCAGAGACCTTGTTTGAGCCCAAACTAGTGTCAGCCAGGGAGAAGATTGACCCATTAAAGCTCTATGCTATCTGTTTGGAGTTCGTGCTAGCACCAAATAGCGTGCTCTTGCGCGCCGACTATGACTCCAATGTCGTGTCTCCAACTCAATTCCGTCGCCTGGCAGCTCGTTTCGAGGGTATTTTGCGACAACTTTGCTCGGGTCAGGTCCGGGATCAGCCTCTCTTTTTGCTGAATACAAGTAGTTTAGAGGATGAGAAAAAGATCTGGAGCTGGAACAACACCGTCCTCGAAAGATCCAGCCAAACCGTTCACGCAATTTTCAGTCAGGTCGCCGCAAGTCAGCCTGAAGCCCCAGCAGTTTGTTCCTGGGATGGCGAATTTACCTACGGCCAGGTGGAAAAGTTTTCCACCTCCATTGCTCACGAATTGCTGCGCGCGGGCCTCCCGCAAACCGGTCAACGCATTGTGCCCTTGTTTTTCGAGAAGTCGAAGTGGACTTCGGTGTGCCAACTCGCCGTTATGAAGGCAAATGGCACTTCGGTAGGACTAGATATCACGTTGCCTGTGGGCCGTCTGCAGACGGTGATAGACTTGGTCCAACCTCAAATTATCCTCGCTTCATCGGAACAGGAAGCTAAAGCACGACAGATGGCACCCTCAGAGGCACGGATCATCGTTGTTAGTGACGCTCACTTGTATAAATTACAACACATACCCGATCTACTTCCAGCAGTGGATCCGGATACATGGCTCTATGTGGTCTTTACTTCGGGCTCGACTGGCACTCCTAAGGGGGCGATCATCAGCCACTCGAATATCACCAGCGCGCTGAAGTATGGCCAAGCGGTGATGGAGTTTGGCCCTCATTCGCGTACCTATGACTTTGTCTCGTATTCGTTCGACGTCTCCTGGTTGAACGTGCTCTTTACCCTCTGCGCTGGCGGCTGTCTTTGTGTTCCCTCTCAGTATGAGATTCAAAATGAGCCTAAAGAGGCCATCGCTCGTCGTCGGGCCAATACCAGCGTCATGACACCAACGGTGGGCAAATTGCTCCACGGGTCCGATTTGAAAGTCGTCAACTTCGGGGGCGAGAACCTCCCGCGAGAGGAGATCAACTACTGGAAGGATCGTGCTCGAATCTTCCACTCGTACGGGCCCTCAGAATGCACCCCAATTGTCATCTCTCACATCCTTGACCCCGAGCGCAATCAGATAGTTATGGGCAAAGGTCTCGGGGTCCGGACCTGGATCGTTGAGCCTGAGCGTGGGCAATCGCTAGCAGCGGTGGATGACATTGGCGAGCTTTGGCTCGAGGGACCTTTAGTCGGTCAAGGCTATCTAGGTGAGCCCGAGAAAACTGAGGCGGCATTTTTCCGAAACCCCACCTGGCTCACCAAAGGTGGACCTGGCTATCCTGGCCGTCCAGGCCGTCTGTATCGGACAGGAGACCTAGTTCGATATGATGAAGATGGCAGCCTCCGTTTCATGGGGCGCAGGGACACTCAGATCAAGATCCGTGGTCAGCGAGTGGAGATTGAAGAAATTGAGCACCATCTAAGCAATTCAATTGAAGATGCGACAGCCACTGAGGTGGTCATTGATGTTGTCAAGCCGGCCCAGTTAGTGGAATCGGTCCTAGTCGCCTTCATCCTACCCACCGATAAGACCATCATCCCTGACACTCCACGGGCACAGGCCTACATACAGGAACTCGCGGTATCCGTGAGAGACCGTCTATCTCTCAAGTTAGCCCGATATATGATTCCACAAGGCTATGTGGTTGTAGATCACATTCCCAAGACGACATCTGGAAAGGTCGATCGGGGGAAGTTACGCAAATTGGCATCTGCCATGCCAAAGGAGTCGTTGCTCCAGGTCGCACGTCGTGCTCCTGAAACGCCAGATGAGCGTAAGCTCCATGGGATTGTTGCCCAGGTGCTGGCTCGTGACGAAGAGACATTTGGCCTGAACAACAACTTCATCCAGCTGGGAGGTGACTCGATCAGCGCCATGAGACTCGCTCGAATGGCGCGTGAAAGCGGATTTAGAGTTACTGTTGCGGACATTCTTGCGAAAGACCGGCTGGCTGAACTTCTCCAGGACGACGGAGGGGCTGTCTACGAAGGCGAGACCCCCCATGTGCCTTTCGCTTTGGTCGATGTGCCACACCCGAGCACCTTCATTAAGGAAAAATTGATGCCACAGGTGCAAGCTGGTCACGGTACGCTGGTTGATGTTCTGTTAGCGACAGACATGCAGTCTACTTACCTCCGAGATAACCTGCATACGCCGCGGCGCTCCTGGTTTTACAGTTATATTGACTTTGCGCAAATCTCCGATGAGCCCCGTCTCATTCAAAGTTGCAAGGCCTTGGTGTCTCAGTGCGATATCTATCGAACAGCCTTTGCCCACTCGGAAGGATCATTCTACCAACTCGTCTTTGATTCATGGGAGCCTGTTGTAAACCTCATGGAAGACGTTCCCAGCCTTGAAGCTGCATTTGACAAACTAGTAGGAGAAGAGATGCGTTCTCCGGTCTCGCTCGGAGCTCCGCTGCTGCAGTTGACGATCATTCGCGCAAGAGACAGACAGGCCAAGCTCGTCTTCGGCATGTCGCATGCCATCTACGACGCCATCAGCCTTGGCCACACCGTTCAACTGCTAGCTGAGATTTACCGGGGTGCCCCGCGGAATATCCAGCCCTTCAAAGACTATGTTGGCTACTTACACTCGCGAAAGGCTGACAGCTACACCTACTGGCGGAAGACTCTACAAGGCTCCTCCATGACCCGAATTCCATCCATCGCTACCCCGGATGGCCCACCTACCGTCATAACCCGTTCGATCCCCATGCCCACACCCCCATCAGGCATCACACCCGCATCTCTCTTCAGCCTGGCCTGCGCTACTGCCCTCCGTCGCTCGACAGGCTTTGAAGATATTGTCTTCGGTCTGGTCGTCTCCGGTCGTGCCAGCGTGCCTGCATCTGTGGCGAACGCTGTTGGCCCATATCTGAACCGCGTGCCAGTGCGAATCCAGTTCACAGCCGGGCAGAGCACCACTGAACGACTCGCCACAATTCAAAGACAGTACACGGAGAGTCTAGCGCACGAGGGTACTGGCCTATCGGAGATTGTGCAGCACTGCGCCACCCACTGGCCACGCGACACGACCGACTTCGGCTGTTGGGTCCAGTTTCAGAATGTTGAGGAGCATCCCATGGCTGATCTACCAGGGGCTATCGGGGGACTTGGGCACAAGGAAATGTGGACCATCCCTTTCGCAGCTGATTTCCTAGAGATCTTCGCGATTCCCGGTGAGGAGGGCACGCTACAGGTCAGGCTGATTGCCGGTCCCGGGTATGCCATGGATTCGATCGTGGAGCTTTTGGAGGGCGTTTGCATTGGGTTAGAATAGATCTACACACTGTCTGTGATACGAACCCCCGCGTGAGATGTTACTGTTCTAGAACAAGATGAAAATTGAAACGGAAGATTTTCATAAAATCTCCGAGTGTCCATACAATTTCAATACTAAGAGAATACGTTAGTAGAAATTCGACTGTCGCTTCTGTAACTTCCTGCCCTTCTTACCCACGGTCGCGCGACCGTAAAGCGGCGCTCACCACTTTCTCACCCGGGCGGCACCCACCGAACCATTAACCGTATAGTTAGTTATAAGCCACACACCGGTGAGTTAGTAGTTGGGTGAGTGACCACCAGCGAATTCTCGCTGTTGTATTGTTTGCTGTTGGTTTTGGTTTACTTGATCTCATTCATACTTTTTGAAAAATAAACTTGCGGCCACGGAAAGTCACATACAGTGCTTGCGAAAATAGAATTGAGTTCTTGGCATGATGATTGGCGGCTTTGTTCCGTTAGAAGCCTTGCCTAAGGTTAGGAAATTGGGAAAAGTCCCATGTGAACAGCGGTTGGACAAGGGTTAGTCGATCCTAAGGCTTAGGGAAATTCCATTTGAAGTCGATGGACAATGAATCAGGATGAACTTAGGAACTTTTAGACTTATAGTTCAGTCGTGCAAAACATTATCCCGCGGATCTGAGTTAGGAATTTCTGATATTTTCTCTATGATGCCCTTATCCCTAAAGTTGCCTCATCCTCCCAATGAGTCCATGTGAAAGAGTAATTTATTCATCACTGGATCTCCAAAAGAGCTTTGCGCCAAACTGCCAAGACTTCGTCGTTGTATCCACGTTGCCCCTCATCTTCTACTCAGAACTCCCGTCTACCTTGAACTGTAGGAAATAAGTGACTTAATTGTTTCCAGGATCAGTTTGCTCCTCATATCCATTCAACAATTCACTTTGGATTTGGTAATATTGGTCTGAGCTCAGTATCCACACAATGTCATCTCCATCTCCCATCCAAGCTGCACCGAACATACTGGAGCTCCTCACAAAGCTCCATCGAATTTCATTGGAACAAGAAGCCAGCATCTCTAAAACAGGGAAAGTCTTTTCCTCGGATGTCCTAGGCGACCTCGAGGATCGTCAGCCAACCAGCGATCCTAAGGATAAATTCGATCTTCTCATGCTAGACAAGTTCATCGCGTTAGATGAAGACAAATGCCAATTCACCTACCAATTGATCAATGCCATGGGTGCCACGAACATCGTCGAGGCAGGCACGAGCTTCGGTGTTAGCACAATCTATCTCGCTCTTGCTATTGCCAAAACGAAGGCTGCGACTGGTAAATCCGGGATTGTCATTGCGACAGAAAAGGAAAAGGAAAAGGCAGCAATTGCTCGAAAGTACTGGGCCCAGTGTGGTCCTGCTGTTGAAGAGCAGATTGATTTGAGAGAAGGTGATCTTCTCGAAACTTTGAAAGTTGGGCTGCCACAGGTCGATCTTCTTCTTCTCGACAGTGAGTTTCCTTCCCTCGCTATTTAGAGGTTGTATGTCTCATCATACTGATCGATATAATAGTCTGGTCGGCACTATCTCTTCCAACATTGAAGACTGTACTACCCAGTCTTCGACCAGGAGCTGTCGTGCTTACTGATAATACAATCTCTGGAGCGAAAGGCTACGCAGACCTATTAGCTTATTTACGAGCGCCCGAGAATGGGTTCCAGAACATGACGCTTCCTTTTACCAACGGGTTTGAGATGAGTGTTTATAGGCCGCAGTCCGTGTAGACCGTTCTCTATATGTAATAGCTGGCTGGGAAAATGCCGCGACATCTTGCCTATTCTGCTGCTTTAAAAAGTGGCTTATTTGTGCCAGCAATGAACCAAAGCCATTTTGCATTCACTGAATTGGACTTTGGCAGATTCATCCCGGATTGAAATCAGAAAAAATGTGTAGAAGAATAAAATACTTAAATTCGGAACTAGGCACCATACTAGGAGCAGGCAGCCCCCTACTATATTTGGCGCTAGAGCTACAAGCTCGAAGCCACCAAATGAATAGTAGCAAATGTCTCAGATATTTTGGGGGCCAAAACAGAAAGAGCTATGCATAAAAATCCGATGAACCTAACCTGATTATCGCTCTTGTACTCTCTCGAAAAAATTCAAGCTTCATTCTCATTCGTGAACTTCGGATGATCTTCTCATCTGCCTGCTCCACAGATCTTGTGCCATTGACGAATTGCTCAAGGAGCTGATACTTCAAGATGAGCCACCAACTGTTTACCGTGATCCCAAACCGGATTCTCAACATCTTAATCAGCCCCGGGGGACGTGGAAAACTGGGCCGGCCCCTTGATTTCAACGAAGACCTGGATCTGGAAGGAGTAGACATGCCACTACGTCTTATCGTCCCGTTAGCTCTCTACATGACTCTTCCCCTTCTGGTATGGTTTCACTTTTTCTTGTTTCCCTGCTCCTACTACTGGGAATAACTAACCCCAGACTAGCTTCGCTACATCCTCGGGCATGTCGCGTCGACACTGTTGATTCTTGAGGCTTCCCAGCAAGACAAGGCCATGACAGAGAAAGAAGAGAGAATAATCAAAAAGCGCTCTACTTTCCGAAGTGTCCAAGATGCCTTTCGACTTATTTACCAGACACAGGGCATATACACCTTCATCCGGGCAATGATGATTGGCTCAGCATATTTATTTACACACAACTTTGTCGGGTTAATACTAGAAACGTTCATATTCCGATATGACTTGATCAAACCTCTAGCGTTCGGCTGTTCCTCGGCACTTCTTTGTGAATTCCATCTGGCCTTTACTTGCGCTACTGTCTCAGCGAAGCGCGTCCCAATTCTGCTGCGGAGAACGCCTGACCAGAGCCGGTGGAAACAGCTAGCTATACCTGCTCTGCTGTTCGGTCTTACGGAGGCTCTGATGAACCATCTATACGATTTCGTGGCAATGGCGCTCATATCTCAGGAGGAGGCCCTCACAAGTAAGCGAGCCGCAGCAGAGGTCTTGGCTGTGGTGATCATGCTTGCATTTCGACTGATCGCGCTTCTCCCGACATGTATCACACTTACTCTCGCAGAGGCGGCGTTTTTGCCTGTTGATCTAGAAACAGTCGTTCCTTCCCCCACCAAGGAACGTGGCTTGAAGATTGGAGAGTTGGTTGGAGAGAAGAAACCATCAACTGGTCTTCGGGCACTCACTGGTTTTCTCGAGCCTGTTCGAACATCCAGGTATATGTGGCTCATCGAACTCCATCTCAAAAAGTGTTTTATTCAAATATGTTTGGAGGTCGTTCTCATCTCTTCTCTTGTGGTAAGTTTTGCCTTAACGGAGTTCGACGATTCGGAATGATGATCCGTGATTCCTCCTGCATTACAATATCAGCGCTTGTCAAAAACATGATTTTTTCATAGTAGATCCGTAAGTTTGCAGCTTTGGCTGGCGAACTAGCAAGGGTATTGAAGACGCAGGACATGGCATTTGGCGCTTCGGAGAAGTACCGGGGATGTCCAAATTCACTTGACATTAGATGACTGCTGTTAACATTAACGTTGATATCCTCGACGATGGGATGAGACTAAGTTTGAATTAATTTATTTTTGATACCCTGCATCACTGTCTTTTCCGGCTGAGGATCTGAGAGGTTCTAAGAAACAGTAAGTAGAATACATGTCTTTGGTGATCAAGACGGACGCCCGGCGCGCAAATGGAGTTTTTGTCCATAGATGCCAATTTGCCCGATCCTTTATGTTTACTTAAATAGCTCTTTGTCTACTGGTCAATTTAGTATGGAAGTGGCATAGAGAAAGGCCAAAACAAGCCTTACCACCTGCGCATCAGTCAAACTCCATGGCGTGAGAAAGTACCACGATCTATATAGATGATTTTGTTCAATGTCAGATTCAAGTAATTGATGCATTTAAGATGGAACATCAGACTGGGTCCTGAACCCATTCTCAAAATCATTTGGACAACATGCCCGTATTCATTTTCTCAGTTCTGCTATTTACATCCCTAGTTCGGTTATACGCTAAGGCAACGCCTTTCCGTTGGATCCTATACCTAATCTGACCAAAAAGATATCAATGACTCTCTTATACTGTATTATACACTTTTGTGCAGTATGCCTGGTACCAGTTGTCATATCTTCTGGGTATAATACCTTGTCTCCACCATGTATTCAGCTTAATATTCGACACAGCCTATTAGGATACCGGCTACATCACCTGCAATGTTGACTAGCCGGTAATTTCACGTTGTGACCTCTGTTTATTCTGTCGAATTTCCCACTTGAGCTGACAGCAGGCGGAAGTCCGATTGAAACACTAGTGTAGTTCCGAAGAGACTCCGCCAGAGTGCCACCAATGTGCCGTTAAAGAGCAGATCTACAATGCATTACCAACCAAAGAAAACAATTCCAAATGATACCATTTAATCTAACGCCTTGTCCTTTTGCCATATAAATTATATATATAGCCTGATAAACGTCTTCCATAAATCCATCTTTGACTCTTCTTGTTAGTTACTTCCCTTTTCAATTGTGAGAGTATGTTCGTCTCCTTTGGGCTGTTGGTAGAATTCCGAGACTATTGTTGTACCTGAAACTATATCAGTTTAGTGTAGAAAGATACGCACGGAACAAACGGGCCGGAGGGGAGGGGTTGAATCCTGAGTATACCGTAAGTGAGACATGAGGAAGATGATCCTTTCCAAATTCCACACGGGAGGAGGTTACAGCAATTCTATCATATGGTCCTGTTGTCTTAGATATTGAATTGTGCATAGTGTCTATAGTATCGAATCACCATTATAAAAGGAAGCTGTTAGTCCCAAAAATGTCATGGTTCAATCGGAAATTCATGATTCGGCTCTTTTAGTACATGCATGGCCAAGCAGCATGTCTTACAGCATTGATGTGGCCATGTGTCCCAATGAGGCCTCAACCCCCAGAATAGACTGTCCAAGAGGGCAAATCTAGCGGCAAACTCCTGAATGCACTTAGGTTGGCCAGAGCTGTGAAAATCAGTTGTTCGGATCTTCTCCAGAAGACAACCCGCTTTAGTTGGGCTGCAGATACTGAATACCTCCAGTGGTAATCATGGAGTTCACCGATAAAGAAAGCTAGTGCTCGTGGATAACGTATCATCACTTACGTCCTCTCGCAACTGTCGCATGTTTCGCACGAAAGTGGCCACCCGAAGGCTCTTGTTCTTTCATAAACCGACTAGCCCAGCTGGTACCCTTCTTATGGGCTTTGAAATTGAAGATCAGTTTAGTTTGAGTCTGCTTTAAGACGATTTCGTGGTGATTGCAAATCGATCGAGATGCCTATTGTCTCCTTTTTGTGGCACGTCATCTTCGTTGGGGGACACCTCTGGGGACGGGGCGGCTGATCGTCGTGTGCTTTCCGATTCAGAAGCGGCGGCAGGTATATCAGGAAGAGATTTTGAACGGCTGGGAAAGGAGTCTGCAAATTGATGTTGAAGCTGCCGCTTAAGCCCTTGGAAATGAGAAAATACCTCTTTTTTGATATATCACCATTGTCTTCGCGCTCTTGGTGTATGAATAGAAGACTGAAAGGATGGCAGTTTTAGGAATGGGTAGAATTAGTAGGTAGCTATTCCATCCAAATAATTATGCGGAACGGGATAGAAGAACATGACTCCGGTCGAAGGATTTTAGCACCGTCGCCGGGGAGAAGCATGGGTGGTGATCTGTAAGAGCGAGTGATATTCACTGCTTCAACGTCGGTTGCGATGTAGCAATATTTGAAACGGAAATAAATGCATCACCACCTTTCTGTTCTTCCCGCCTCGGGTTCACTTCAACCTCTTGTTCTCCGGTGTCGGCGTTTGGAGATACCCAATTGCAACTGATCCTTACAGCGTAGGTGAGTACAGTAAATGTGATATGACTGAACTGTTGACTTCAAATGTTGTTTATCGAGATAAATTCTCAAATTGACTTTCGGGGGATCGTTGGCCCACCTTGAAGAGTCCGCGTTATCTCCTTCCTGGCCTGTGCGGGCTTCTCGGAGGATTGCCACCCGGTTCTCCCACCTTCATTCTCACATTATCGATAGCGTCACCTTTTCGACTCCGGATAGTTTATCTTCCTTTCTTACACATTACCTGGTACATACGACCATAGGGTGTGGAAAACAGGGATTCCTGGCCTCTCAGCCGCACTTAAGTCACACGCCGGTGAGTTAGTAGTTGGGTGAGGCTGGCCACCAGCGAATCCTCGCATACACATCCTGTTGTATGTTTTCGGTTTTTTTAAATGAAAATTTCCCAATGATTTGGCTGAGACTGAAATACACAAAAGGTGGTAGCGGATCAAATATTAAGTGTAAACATAAAATTTAGTATTCGACACTACGTTCTAGGTATCCCGATAATCCGTAGGGTCTAATTTGTGGCCGTCCCTTCTGATCATTCACTATTACTATCGAATTCACCTCACAGCACAGAATTAGCCTCTGTCATCTTCTTTCTCGGCTCTCTAATAGAGTAGAATAGTTCTGAGAGCTTGTCTCTTCCCTCCTTCTCTGGTCCTTCGCCTTGTGAGCGATACAGTCCATTCTAGATGGTGTTTCATGACTGATACGTAGCACATAGTCTGAAGTAATCTCAGAATATAGTCTGATAGGAACGTCAGCCCATAGCCATGTGAATTGCATTGAAACACTCGACTAAGATATTATGACAGGAATCTGTGGTATGAGGATATAGAGTACAATTTAGTGGTATATAACTAGCTAGAATGACTAGAATGACAAGAACGAGAATTTCAACGGACAATTTGACTGAGTAGACTATGCACTTTCGTGTGGGACTCGCCAATTGGTGGTTATATGAGTTTCAAGGTAAAATACCCTTCAACTATGTATTCCACTTATGGTATTCGACATATAATTAACAGTTGACGGTGATCCAACGCATAATTGGAATAGCATTGATGCAGCTATCAATAAGAGATGAATTTTCTGCATTCGGTCGTCGTGTACTAGCCGATGACGTTTCACCGCGAAAAGAAAATTGTTCATCAGGCAGAAGCAAAGTTCCAATAAATTCATTCGTCCTAGATGTCTTCCCGATTTCATCTTGCTTCAACATTCCCCTTCGTATGACAAGCTCTCCGGGGGACATAATCAACTCCCATCCCACAACCTCGGAGCCTCCCCGGCTTCCCTCTTTAACAAAAAGCTCATCACTAGCTACGGACTCAACAGCAGCAGTAAACAGCCACTGTCTAGATAGGAGTAACATCCACCCAAAACCTGGTATCATCGGATTTGTAAGCTGAGTTGCTGTCAATCTGCTCCTGGATCCAATACACGGCATTCTTATAATCTATATATGACGTGTTAGATTTCCTATATGGCAATAATAACCACTGGAATGGGAATAAGCATACTGTTGATATCGGCTGTGTTAGGATTTGCAAGCCCACTTGCACCATTACGGTGCCCCGCGAACCATTTGTCTACCCCATAATATTCCTGGCAGTCCCAGCGAGAGGCAACATCTGCGTAGACGTTGTTACTAGGCCCGTTAGTGGATTCGTCTTGTTGATACAAAATAACGAAGACATACTTGAGTAGAGCTCCATTATTCCATGAGCTCTCCGGTTGGCCCGCCAGTCCGTATCGGGTTGCACACACTCGAAGCATTCCCCAGTTCTGCTTGAAAAGACCAAAATTGGCTGCGTCTTGAGTCTTTCCGTCACCGTAGGTATAATCGATCGTCATTGTTTTACTGTGCCCGTTAGTAGTTTGTATCTAAAAGTGCAAGCCTCCGAGGGAAATAGGTGTTTACGTTTCAAGCATGGCGATAGCAAGGTCCAGAGTATTACCGCCAGCATTCAGAATGGATTGCTTGCGCGAGCCAATACCGGAGACAGTCTCAGACCCGCGGTCTGCTCTCTTGTCGAGGGGGTTTGCAAGAGCCCCCAAGACAGACAGAAAGGTGAGAATAAGAATAGTAGCTTTCATCGTTGAGTAAATTCTGAAATAGTGCAACAAGGCCAGCTTAAGATAGTTGATATTCAGTCCGGTTGTATGGGCGATTGTTGATTCATTAACCGTGAGCATGATGCCTTTTATAATCCCCCGCAAACTTAGAATTGACCGTTGTAGGCATCGGCAACGGCCGTGCCATACCCATCATCCCGTTCCCTTTCTGGAATCCGGAGCCCGGAGCTGCTCCGGGTTGCTTACTTCTGTCCTGGTCTCATGATATTAGCCAAAATCGTCCTCAAGTCAATTAAGCGTTGTGTTTACCACCCCGTTCCCTTTCTGGAGGCCGGAGTCCGGAGCCAGTTGCTTAATTCTGTCCCGGTAGTTCCGAGGATATAATCGAAATGTTCATCAAACAAAAAGCAGATTCCGCGCGACCGTGGGTTCACCTTTTTTCTCTAGCGATAATACGCAGTCTAACATTGTTGATTTTTCACTAAGTGACTCAAATGGCTTAAGTCTGACAATTAGGGGCGGGGCTATCATGCCGAACCGCCATCCACCTTCACCACCTGCCCAGTAATCCACCTGCTTTCATTCTTCCACAGCAGACTTACCGCTTCGGCGATCTCATCTGGGTCCGCAGTTCGATTGAAGGGGTTCCCACTGGCAATCTTTTGTATGGTGTCGACACTATTGGTCTTGTTAAAGAGCTCGGTCCCCGTTGCTCCAGGAGAAATAGCATTGACCCGAATGCCCTGCGTGGCAAGTTCCTTGGCCATTATTCGTGTCATCTGGTTCAACGCAGATTTCGTGGACACGTAAAGTAGAAGCTCTGGAGGCGCCGAAGCAGAGTCTGCAAGGTCGGTAGAGATGAAGATGATGGTGCTGCCCGATTTCATGTACGGGACAGCTTCCTCTTAAAAGCAATTAAAATCTACTCCAGAGTAAAGGGCAGAGAAGTATATCCACCTTCGCAATCGAACAAGAATACAAACTTGTTGAAGGCCCAGGAGAACCAGAAGAGCCCTCTGTTTGATAATTGATAATTCTGCATGGTCAGTCAGCCAGATATAACTCAGCCAAGTCGCCACCGTAATAACCTACAGTCGCAGTCGCTGGCCAACATAGCCCCTCACATACTGTGTCGTTACTAGCTCTCCATCAAGGTACAACTTGACGCTAACGTCCGACCCATTCTCATCACGGAGATCGGCCTTGACGGAATGCCAGTCCCTCGGATCTGAATAGTCGAGGTCCAGCGCGGTGACCTCGCTTGATGTATTGAACGTGTTGAACGAGACCTTACCAGAGCCTTTCCACTCGGCAATGTCAATCTCCGGAAGCCATCCGCTCGCCGCGTTCAGCCATAATTCTGGCCACGTCCCCTTGGATACAGGCGCCATGAACTCGGCGTTGAGGTCTAATCTGCCACCTTCCTCAACTGCGAAGGTTGACTTGGCGTGGATCGCCCCCGGGAGGTAATGGATGGGCGAGGGCTCACCTGAGACAGGCTCGGCCGTCAGAGTGAGAATACCATCACTCACAGAGACATGGTCGGCATCCATGCGTGAACCGCCTCTGTGGGTGTTGCCCCTGCTCAATGTCAGATCACTCTCCAAATTGAGGACATATATATATTCTCGGTACCTGACGTGAATAAATGGTCTTCAGATTGTAGCCCTGTTATGCTTAAACAACCCTGGAAAGAGTTGAGATATAATAGCTATAAATCCATCTACATTTCATTTTTGTTTCCCAATTCCAGAAAAACGTGAAGACGTTCTCTCAATGTTCTCCTTACAAAGCGTGGCATTATGCTCTGGGTGTTTGCCATTCTTATGTACCATCAGTTTGCATGCCCCTTCAACAGCCCAGGCCGGGCTAGCTCAATCGGTAGAGCGTAAGACTCTTAATCTTAAGGCTGCGGGTTCGACCCCCGCGTTCGGCTCTTCCTAAAACCATCAGGTCTTTAAGATTTCTTTTTTGCTATTTTTTTGTTGCATGAAAATTCTGTCTTCATACTTGATGTTGAGTGGCTGGCCTAACCCTGACGGTGCCACTAGCGCTAAGTTCCGATTGGGCGGAGTTTACTTTTGCCCCACACGGATAGAATGCCAAGCCTCGATCTACAACGTAGAATGAATTTGTGGTAGGAAGAAGTAGAGTGAGAGGCAGTTGAGATCAATCAATACGATTGCTTTAACAAGAGAGTAAACTAAATCTTATCTCAAACCAGCATTGTCTTCTTGGATTGATGTCATGGCCAGACATGGCTAGAAAAACGAGGAAACTACAAGCTCGGAGAAAGGCAAAGGATGGAAATTTTGAGGCTAAAAAGGTGTTGATTAATAAGTTAAGTATGGAGAGAATAAGAAAACACGTGGGTTTATAATAGAGAGAGTCTCATAGAGAGTAGGGGAACAAGAAGAATAGCTATCTACAAATGGGGAGACATGGAACCATGCACATTCGACCAGTACATAGCGACAGTGCGCGATAAAAGACTCTGCAGAAAATGTGAGAAACGGAGAAAGAGAGTATCCAAAAGAAGTGTCTCAGACATCATGTATATGGGAGTTGGGTTAAGGTTGGGAACAGATACAAGGAACCAGTAAAAGCTTGTGTCATCTCGTACAACGTTCTTCAGGAGGCCTCCAACCAATCCCCAATCCCTCCATAACAAGCCTCTCTCTTTCCTGCCATGTCTCCCCACCAGACTCCAAATCAAGAACGTGGCCACCAGGACCTCGAGCACGCACACCGCTCGAATCAAACTTCCACGAGCGAGTTTTCTTCGCGTGTCGTCTCAAGTCCCGTTGAAATGTTGTATCGCCAGACCAGCCGAGAACCGCACAGCCGATAGTGCGCCACGGGGAGATAATGATATCGACCCGACGATGAATATTGGTATTTTTCTTTCCGTCCTCGGAATGGCTAGACCCATGATCAAAACGCGGATCTTGCCAAACAACAAGCGCCTTGTCAAGCGTATCGAACCCCCTCCTCGAATCATCACCACGAAAAGGTAAAGTCTGCTGCTCCCGCATTGAAGAAGTCAAATGCAATGACAGCGTATGAGTGATATAATGCGCTTTCTCCAAACTACTAACAAGATCAACAATAAGATTGTGAGTAACCGAATCATCACGATGAGTCAAGATAACATCAACATCACCAGAAGACTCCTTCCCCCGACGATACCCGCCAACAATAACACACTCGACCAAGCCCGCAGCAGGCCTTACCCGACTCGCATGATCCCGAATGACATTCGCAATCGACTCCGATTCGCACCGAGGAATACCTTCTTGGAACTCATCGTAGAATTTCAACCCGATCTGCTGCACCCGCGATAGGCTATTCCACCCATGCTCAACAATATCATCTAGATCGCGCCACCCACGAGCATAATAAAACTCCCTTGCCGTCTTCGCGCCCACGCCCCAAATCTGATAGAACGAATTCAACACCCGCAGTACAGGATCCGAGTCCAGCGCGTCAGCAGCAGCAATGGCACCATCGTCGTCGGTATGTGCGCAGCCGCCGTGTTCCTGGTACTGCGCGAATAGGTCTGCGATTTTGGCCTCGCACCCTGGCAATGCGAGGACTTCGCTCGGGCGCCGGAGTGCGTGCGGATACGACACCAGAGAGGCGATTGAAGTGCTGTATGCGCGGACGCCGATCTCGTCGAGTGTGAGCTCGCGGATGCGTCGGATTTTGACAAGTTGGGAGATGAAGTCTTCGTTTGGGGGGTGGAGTGGGGCGGAGCGCATGCATGCTAATAAGACATGGTTACGGACCCAGTCTGGTTGGGGCGGGGGGTCTTTTTCTTCTTGCTCGGATGTTGTTTGGCGGTGGAGTTTCGGGCGGCGCGGACTGGTGTCTGGGGGCTCTTTGGAGCGTCGGGTGTTGATGTGTTCTGATTGGGTTAATGGTGGTGGATGGCTGGCGTCTTGTTTTGCGCGCTGAATTATTTGGCTCGACATTTGGTCAAATTGCTTTTTCTCGGCAGCTGTTGTGGTGGGAGAGGGGATCTTGCGTCCATAATATACCATGTACGGCTTTTGGGGTAGACATTGCCCTGCCGCTATGGAAGCCTCTAGCCACTCGAGCTTCAGGACAGTGATTGAGTTATCGGATGGAGGCGCTTTTGTTACAAGGTGTTTTGTGGGGTCATGTTGAGTTCTGATTCCATCCTCCTCGCTTTCAGACTCAGTACTGAGATCGACGACCTCCACCGGAACGTCCCTGGTTCCAGTACGAAGCTCAGTTCGTCTGCGCTTAGCGGGAGGCTGCGCACTGCCAGCGGATGACACCGAGGCCGAGACTGAGGTACTTTCTTCTGTCCATATACCGCGTGAGCGCAGCTCCAACGCAGCACGTTTTGGACGATTAATCTTTCCTATGATCAATCCGGCTTCGGCGATGTCGTAAGTCAAATTCCCTCCATTCTCAAGGAGCCGGGCTTCTGCTTCGTCTAAGGATTCAAGGGATAGATGTGTTGGCAGAATAAAAATTGGTGGCTGGGCAGAGAAGATGGAACCTTGACGAGGCTTGTCCTTCAAAGACAAGCCTGGATCATCAATCATGTTTACTGGGATTGCCTGTTTTCAATAGGCAGTGCAAAATCATCGTATAGGCAGAAAGAGGTCATTTCCAGATGCCTCACTTTCCCGTCATCTGTCGACAAAAGATAGAATTCGACCACACTACTCAAGATTACCGAGGAACGTTAGTGTCCACACTCTCATCTCGTGGTCGTGAGTGCGTCCGTGCGGCGATGTTTTGGAGAACGCCTGATCAGATAGCAGATAGGACAGTACTGCCTGAGCCTTCAGGGTGCAGCGAAACCTTGAAAAACCTGTATTTTTGCTTATGTGAGAAATGTTCCGGTATTGAAATCTGTTGATACCAAAATCATGTGACTATCTGTATTTCGTATTGTGATACTTTAAGGATCAGATGGTTTTCATTGGATGCCCGAGGCACCGGGTATATAATAGTAAATTACATAATAATGCCAAGGCATCGCTTAGTGAGAAACCCAGTTTTACTTGTAGCAAGTAGTGCCTAAGGCATCAGAATGCCTTAGGCCCACTTCCGCTCCCAGGTTCTGCTGACACAGCAGAACCTGGAAACCTTAGGGGATCACAGTATGAGAAGGGCCGTTTGATACAATAGTCAAGAACCTTGAAGTGGAGGTAATGTAAAGGGTCGCTTCTAGTATTCCTACCAAAATTGACTAGTAATATAAAGAATGAAAATGTAAATACAAAGAGAGGTAGATAATTAAGTTGCCTGAGATGGGAAATCTGTTATGAAATGCTTATACAATATGAATTTGCAGAAAAAGCACTAATTTGTGAATACAAAGGTGTGTTTTTTACTATATAAAATAGAACTCAAACCTCAAAAATAAGTTCAACAGAAAAAAGACAATGGGTGCAATCGTGACAAAGTCAGGAAGAACTCAAGGCAGAAATCAGGCAGTGTCACTGCGCTAACTTAAACATATGGATCGACCTTGACACCGATCCCCTCCCTACACCCATTACAACAGGGACTTCAAACAAACTAGTATATCACTTATTGCCGCCCAGACCGTCATCAAAAAGCTCAAAATTATCGCATTGCAGCTTATTTTCCTCACGACAACAGCCTTGATGATCATCTTCGTCACGACAAGGCTCACACGGGATTTGGCCACCGAGCTCTCTCGCGCGGTTACGTATATTAGTCAAATGAACCTGCATTTGTTATTTATTAGTAAAATATAAGTAGAAAACTAGTAAAATGACTCACAGAACCATCGGCCTTACGAGGAATCGGAGGCTTAGTATTAGCTTCAGCGGTGAGGCGATTATTGTAAGCATTGTGCAAAGAGATGTACCAGTCTGTTTTTATTAGTAAAATACTAGTAAATAACTAATAATTATGTAGTTGCCGAGTGTATCCTGCTCTTTTTGGAATGTAGGGCGGCCGTCGACAGCAGTCAGCATGATATGCGGATGCTTTGCAGCATAATGCTTTCGGAGGTTATTAGTGGAGGTATCAGGGGTCTGAAAATACTAGTAATTAGCCTCTCTTAACTAGTTCAAAACAAAAGAAAAGAATTAAAGAAAAATCAAAGAGAAAGATAAGCGAAAATCTATCACTTACATCCTCACGCAGCCGGAAGCGCGACAAAATAGCTCTCCGCAGTAAAGGGTATGACAGCCAAAGGCCTGATATCTATCAGTTCTGCTTTATTTTACTAAAAACCAACTAGTAAACTCACATCACTAGTGATTTTAGGCAGCTGGAGTTGTTCTCTGGTCTGATCTTTGTACCAAAGATATGCAGAGTGCAACGAGCGCTTCTCATTAGTTTTCATCATCAAAAAGGTTGATTTCATCAGTAGGGACTCACGCAGGTTTTATATTTCACTATAGTGATAGCTAGAAGTAAGGGTTGATGCACCAGAGAGAGGAATGCAGGATGTTATGGGATGTATAGTAAGGTAAGAAGCGGAACTCAGGGGGGTCGGGTTCTGTAAGGTAATGTAAACAAAGAGATGGATGATATATGCCTCAGGCACAACTTCACACTGAAGGCTCAGCCAGCTGTATTCACTCGGACAGTGATGTCATATAATTCATGCCTAAGGCCACAGATAGTATTAGATTGACAGCCTAGAGGGAGGATCGGAATCTAATAATGAATCTCAGAAGTAAGTTCCTATTTGACATGAAGTAGTGAGAAAGACCCTGGCTCCAGAGAGCTTGAGAGTATAGACATGGACTATATGAACTGGCCTCGTCCAAACCAAACAACCGACTCGTGTTGTAGATTTCTCAATAAACTTTAGGCGCAATGAGTTAAGAAGCAAGCTCACCTAAGTATATACCAGATCTAAATAATATGCTCTTCAAGTGTCGGCTCCCTCTCCTGCACAGCAACCCTCGCCGAAGCCCCCTTCCCAATAACCTCAGTACTCCCATAAGCAGCACGACTCTCAGCACCAACACCCGGACGATCATCCTCATCCTGATACCTTTCCTCATCAATAACAACATTCTTACCATGCTTCTGATCCATCCACCTGCGCCAGGGCTTATAAACCAAAACACTCAACCCACCAAAAACAATAAAACAGCCACAGATACCACCACCAATAGCATCGTAGTAATCGCCTGCGACCTGCACTCCGTCCCAGAACTTGCCTTTTGCGTCCGTGACGTTCAGCACGAGGGTCAGGAGTTGAATGATGCCTATGACGATTGCCACAATGACAGTCAGCGTCGTGAGGACAATCGAGTAGTACAGAAAGGCCACTGGGTCGCGATGGTTATTGTGTGATTGGGGGAGTTCATCCGGGTCACTGGCTACAGAGGCCGAGTCTGCTGCGCTTGGCTTTGGCGGGAGGAAATTGGCGGCTGGTTGGATGTACAGGGAGAACATGAGTGCTCCATCAATTGTGTCGAGGAGACACATTCCAGCTAGTTGGTAACATTAGGAACAGAAGGAAAGAAACGATGAGTTTGGTGAAACGAACCGGTGAACAGAGCGGGTAGGATGAGAATAACCCAGAACGAAGTGCCCTTTGCTGCTTCGATGGATGAGATTCCAAGAAGGGCGATCTCGGACGAGGTGTCGAAGCCGAGGCCGAATAGGATGCCTAGTGGGTACATTTTCCACGGACTAAAAATTAGCATAAAGGTTTCCTGCAGTGGGGATGTGATATATACCGGTCAATCAGTTTGAACATTTTCTTCAAGACGGAGAAGAGAATGCCTCCGCCTTCGATTTTCCACGCTTCGTCTTCTTGGCCTTCGGGGAGATTGAAGACCTTTTGCATTTGCTTGATCAGTTTATACAGGATATAGGCATTCATGAAGCCGAGCAAGATCAAAAAGGCAGCGCTGACGCCGCTGCCGATGATACCGCCAATCGTGCTGAATTTGTCGAAGCGCGAGGAGACGGCTGCTGCGGTGGCTGCTACGACGATTGAAGTGATGATGACGATTCTGAAGGTGTTAGATGTGGGGTTTGACTTTTAAGATTCGCGCTTTGCTCACGTTGAATGACCAAGCGAGAAGAATGTGCCCACTGTCACGGGCTTTTGTCCCGTTGCCAGAAGTCTTCTCGTCATGAGATCGATAGCCTGTGAATGGGTGTTAGCAATGTTTCTCCAAAGCAGTAGATGACCGTACAGAAATATGATCTGCATCAAATGCATGTCTCAGCCCGAGGGAATAAGCAAGGGCAGCTGTTGAAACCAGAGACCTGAGCCTGTTATCAGGAGTAATTCAATATCCGCAATATCAATAAACTCACGGATGATAGCTCTAAACACAGTTAGTTAGATGTTCCATATCCCAGTATTATTACCATAAACATACCAGCACAATACCCGCCGCAACCCAAACAATAATATTCAACAGCGCAATGAACGCAATAATTCCAATAGCCCGCAGCGGAATCTTCCTAATACCCGGCATTTTACTATGCGAGCGCTCCGCACTGCGAAGTAAAGGCTGCAGACTCCATTTGCGGTCGCCGTCTAGACTGCGCTCGTCAGGCGATTCTGGATTAAAAGAAGCCATCGTTAACACAATTCGTGCGGTCGAACGTTGTCGCTATATGCAGGAGCTTGAGACGTGCACAAACGCCAAAAGAGGGGTCCCAGGGCTTATAGGTCTCCAATTCCCCAATTTTCTTATCGCCCGCGCCAAGGCCGATTCGCTCACCGCGTCAATCGGCGTGGTTCTTGTTAACAATAACGAAATCTTGATGTGACCCCAATTGAGAGTAGAATAGAGTGATATCAAACCAAACTCGCAAGGTTGCAACCTTGAATGTTCGAAATCATGTGATGGCGGGGCGGAGGAACGCGGAGATCCCCGATGATAGGTAACGCTCACGCCGAATTACTCACGATTTGGATTCCCGTGTGCTAATATCTGAATAGTTTAACTATCCTCCACTATAAAACCTTTGCCGGGGACGTGATTGGGCGCTTTTTGGTGTGTCTTCGCCGGTCGCCGCGTTTTAGCGGGGCTCGGCAAACGAGGTGCCGATGGCAGTCCGGTTGGGGATTTTATACTTGGCTTCGGGAAGGGATACGTGTGCGGCTGAGATCTATACTTGCGTTGTACGCTCTACGTTGTAGGAAGGTCATGATTGCCGATCGTATCGACTGAATTAATATCCGTTAACTTGGAATTATCGTGCATCATACTCTACATAAAATCTCGGAGCTTCTAAATGACCGACATGTCCGTTTTTCAGGATGTGGGGCGACTACCCTTTCAAGATAGTCTTGCATGAGTATACATGTACCATGTGCAGGCTCGAGTTGATGATGGAAATGCATAGAGGTGATCAAGCATGCTATATTAAACCTCTCCGGTGCCGTTCCAAGCGATGCCAGCGATGCTGATTAAATTGGGTCGACAATTATCCCACAATAAAAAAGGTGTTAGTTTCAACATGACGAATGCATGTATGGCGAAACCACACCTCACGCGGCAGCCAGCACAGTCGGCGAGGGGACCCAGTTGGTCACCTTGGGCTGGGTCGGAGTGACCCCGCGAAGAAAAATATTCCACTCGTTACTTGTGGTTGGGGTAACATCCGAAGGGGACATCGGGGTCTTCGGGGGCCTCGGACAGTAAACAATTTGGAGAGATGGCCTCCGCGCCTGCCCGCGAGGTTTTTCAGTTCTCGCATGCACGGGGGAAGGCACAGGCTCGACTGCCTTGGCAGGGAGAGGCTGCTCGGGCTGGGATTTTTGCTGGAGAGGAAGGATGATAGCGTCTCTTTTGTGGACGCTTTTATATGCAGCTGCGACAATGGTGAGATGCACGTCTGGGACGGCGAGCTGCTCGTAGACGCGGTGGAAGAAAGCCTTGCTGAAGGGGCGATTGGAGAAATCGGTCACGATGCGGTGGAGGAGGCTGATACAGGATGAGAGGGCTTCTTCGTCTGTACGGGAGAATGGGCGGGTAGAGAGGATGCACATTCTTCTTTTGAAGGTGTAGATGCGGTCCATTGTTAGGACGGTGAGGCCTTCTTGGCTGAAGACGACTTCGTTTTGGAGGATTGATTGCTCTATTAGGTATCCGTTTGCTTTGCGCTCGTGTTGGCTGCGGCTAAGTGCATCTGTCCAGATTTGGCCGAGGGAGAATTTCCGTGAGGCTTTTGCGATGGCTCGTACGAGAATGCTCCATGCTTGGGGCTGGGTTGAGTCGACAGGGATGAGCATTAAGTCTGAAGGTTGGCCGGTTGGGTAGGGCTTTCCGCGACCGATGAGAAGGGTTACGTGGATTGATCTTTCTTGAAGTATTGTGGAGATGTATTCTAGGACTGGGATGAATGATGGCATGATGCTTTCAGAGTATAGACTGAATTCAGGGGAGAGAGTCGGGGCGACAATCTCGTGCGGTGATTTGGATACGTAGATACCCGTTGGGCGAGGCAGACGCATGATACCCATATTGAATGTGAAGGTGATTTTTTCCAAAGCAGATGGAGAAGCTCTGATTTGAGAAATGGATGTGCAAAACTGATATAGGGATCAGGTTATAATGAACTCCCCGCATCTTTCACTTTAACACCTCAGAAGAACAACTTAACTAGTTAGCCAACGGAAGTAAAAAAGGTACGTGATGATAATTATGGAAGCACCTATCCAATGATGATTTTTCCATATGCACAATAAGAATCCTTGTAACCGCCGCGGCGTTCCATTGACCAATGAAAAGCATATACAGGACGGCACCCCCAACACAATAAATATTTCACCAACTTGAGCCCCCATCACCGGGTTCGTAGAAAAACGGCCCCCAAAGCCATCACTTCCACCACCCAGGATCCCGGTACGCCAGTCGCACTTGATAGGCTAAGAACATCTCTCAGCATCAAAAAGTCCACCAACGGCGGATAATCCAAAGCCATGACTGGCCTGGCAGGTTCCCTCTGCATAATGAGGCCTAGAACAAACACTCCCCTGTTCGTAATCTCATTCCGCTCAGGTGAAAATGAGCCCACCAACTTCTTTGTTATACGAACTTGACTGCACCAACACCGGCCCACAAAAACTCTCAAAAACCCCGGTTCCTACCCGAGGCTGAACCCGAGGCTGAACCCGGCGGCTGGTTCTCAATCATGGGAGGCAGCGACCCACCACCCTTATCCTCAGGCTAGCTGCGTTGGCAGTGCATATGGTCCAGCGACACTGCTGAATCGTTGGGTTGAGATTAAAAGGTTCGATGCTGTACCACATTGTAACGCGGCGACCTTCGCCTCCATCTGCGGCTCTTGCAGGACCAATGAGTAGTTGCCTTGACAGGTAGAGTCCTATCTCGCGATATTTCCATGATGAGCCCTGCCTCACCGCTAAGACCTCGGGAAATTCTTTTGTTTCTTTTGGTGGCGTTTGACACGGCGCGTTAATGGATCGTGGTGATATTGATTTTGGTGGCGTTTAAGCTTTGTGCCATCTGGTTATGGTCTTAATTGAGCTTAATTTGCCTGATTGTTGGGTTGAAAATGCAGCAAGCGCGATTTTGATTCTGTTTTGAGGCTCATGGGTGTGGAGACATGACACTAAATTCTTCCCGATGCATGCGCCTCAGAGTTGATTCCTTATCTTCGCTTCTAGGTCTGATTCATACAGACCTCTGGAATGGCGATAACTGCTATCTCATGAGATTTGAAAATACGCGGTGAAATTGTTTGCCATTCCACACCACCCCTGCAGTCAATGTCGAGCAGGCAACTTCCGCGACTCGAGCGAAATTGTACAACCCTTGTGTAATGACCGAGACCGAGACCAAGACCTCCGTGCCATTTTTTCTGTCTTACAAATGTTTACCCTATTTTGGAAGAGAGCCCTTTTTCATTTGGTCCCATGTTGCGGCCTTAGAGGACATCGCACCACGGGTAAGACACTCATGGATCACATGCTATGAACATTTTCCTCAAGTCGATAATGTATCGATTGTGCGATAGAGGATACTTCTCCAATACAACTGGGGTATATAGAGCTCGGCTCCTGAAAAGAATGTCGAGTGAAAATCTGAAACGTGCTCTGCATTATTACTTCCTAACTTGAAAGGAGACTCTGCTTTGGGTTTGATATGCAGTACTCATCGGCGCGTTCTCATCCCCTCTTAATCCCAGTTTCTAGTTTATAAATCGCTACAGACCACTCTAGTGTGAACCACTTTTGGCTTTGATCTTTTATCAAGCAGAGTAAAACCATTATGTAAGCATGCAAGAGGTCCATGGGTGATCTAACTTCCGAACCTTCGATTCAACCGTAGTGTATAGCCGCGATATTTAGACCGCGGTCACATCTACAATTCTAACCTCACAACCCCTTGTCATCTCATTATCAAGTATGCGACGCTTTGAGAGGATCCATGATGTTGTCGAATCGGTTTAGAATTATCGAATTGGCGGATATCACTCAGTACATTTGGGTGATCTACTGCACCAGAGATACGCAATCATCAGCAAATTGGGATACGGCAGATTTGCTACGGTGGGGCTTGCAAGAGACCACGAGCTAGAGATTGACCGATCTAAATTTACGCATATGATGATACTCTTACCCTCTAGCCTACGAACAGATGGCAGTTTAAAAATCCTCAAAAGCTCCGCTTCGGAGAATAGCCAAGAGCTTTGTGATCTTAACTATTTAGTTACTGCTTCGACAAAGGCTCAGGCCGACGGGAATCATGTGATCCAGCTTCTATATCACTTTAAATACGAAGGCCCCGATGGCGTTCACCGTTGTCTTGTGTTCCCTTTAATGCTGTCAACTGGTAATGCAATGATCGTTAGTTCGATACCTCGAAATGCAAACTTCGTACGGGAGGGAGGGGGGGGGAGGTTTCAAGACAGATCATTCTTGGCTTGGATTTCTTTTATCGGAACAACATTATCGTAAGGGGTAATATCTTTTACCAAAATGCTAATAGAAAGAGGGGATACTGTCCTTATTAATTTATGATTAGATTTACAACCTGCTAACGTCCTGTTTACCGTGAACGAAGGCCAAGATACAGAATTTTTGCAACCCCTACAGGTTAGTTCTCCTCGTTGGCTTCCTGGAATTCTACCGGACTCTAGGGCTCCGCAAGATTTGATGGCCTCGTGGCGGCCCCGTGGTATGCTAGATGATGCAAGTTCCTCATCTTTGATTGTCAAGATAGGAGATTTAGGCGGAGGTAAGGTTGTGGTCTGCCTTGTAGAAATTCTTACTCACTGTCTCAAATCGCAAACAGCCATGCGAAAGAATGATTTTAGTTCTCCTCTTATGACACCACTAGGATTGAGAGCCAGCAAGGGCGTCACACAATATCACATTTCTTTTTGTCTCAACAGTAATACAACATTTTTATCACTTTTCTACTTGGTTTAAAGACCTATTCACCCATTTATGAAATCATAGAGGAGATTCCTGAGCACGAGGATTCGCCCGAATGTATAATGGAGGTGAATGGACCTACTAGATACTTTTGCTCATATGGCGGGAATCTCAGGGTAGCGACGGCGGTAGACAAGCTGTAACCAGGCTCAGACCCGTGTGTAATCAGCCGAGCCACATAGATGTGACTTACTTATTCCTAATCTGTCAAAGCCCTGAATTATTCGGAGAATTAATCAAATTCATCTCCCAAAGGAACCGAAAATTCCTTCCAGAAAATTCCCCTCCCCAAACTGACCCCCTAAAGCACAAAGTACCTAAACATCACCCGGTCGCCGCCAAGAAAGATAAGTAGAAATTTAAACCGGGCGCTTTCAACAATTTGCGGTACCCAATTGGCCAAAGTACAGTAGTGTGTGTGGTCTTGGCGTGGGCGCTCAAGCCCAAAAGCGTTCACTTCGCCCGGGTTAAGGCTAGCGTCGAACTGCCAAGCTGCATCCCGTCTTGGCGGGGTCTGACTTTATCTCGAGGGGGATGTTGTGTTATCAGCTGCTTAACTGTGCTGGAAGGGTCTGGAGGCTGAGCCAAAGAGGTGGTGGCGGGCTTGGGTTGCTTTTTTTTTCTCTTTTCGTAGGGTTCTCCGCGAGTTGGGACATGGGTGCGTGTCTTTTTGCGTTATCCCCCGAACGAAAGCGACAGATCTGAGGCATGAATGAAGCTTTATAGGTTACACGCGAGGTGGAATTTCAACTATCCATAGGTATGCAGTTGTTTACAAAGTGAAGCGCGTGCGAATAGTCGGAATCCGGGGATAAACATAAGCCCCGCAGCGCCATAGCCTCGAATGCTTGGCGCCAATATCTCCGCTTGTTTTCTTATCTACGGAGTACTTGCAAATAATTTATCTACCAGGTTTGATTATCACTTGCATTGTGAATCTCATTACTCTATAGGGAAAAATCACTTGCATATACCTAGCAACTACGTATGTAAAGTAAGAGCCTCACCGCAAGAATACGAAGCACCAACAGCACAGCCCTAACACGAAAGCATCAGCCCCGGACGCAAACCTTTAAGCTAGACCAGAAATGACTATTCGCATATAAGCCAAACTGTAACCTCCCAACTGGGCAAAGCATAGGCTTGGCCATCAACCCTGTCATCTAATGGCCTGAATTTAGCCCGGTCGTGTTCCTTATCTGCCAGCACCTGCCTTGGCTGCAAATACTTAAAATCTGAGACCCCCCGTATTCCTCATCTCACCTCACCTGACCTTGCCTCTCGACAATTTTCTTCTCCAATCCTAGGACTTTTCCAGCGTATCATCCACGCTTAAAGTCATGGAGAAGTCTGAATATTCCGAAAATACAGTTGCGAAGAAGCTCAGCGGGGAGGATCCTGAGATTCAACAAGGTGGTCTGAACGATCCTAATCATGTCGAGCTCACTCGCGCCCTCAAGGCGAGACATATTACTATGATTGGTACGTGGTGTCGAGGCGAAATCTGGACGCGCTGACAGTTTCCAGCTATTGGTGGTGCCATTGGTACTGGGTTGATTATTGGAACGGGAGAAGCTCTTGCCAAGTAAGTCGCCACTTCTACCTCGATATCGCATTTTGAATCCCGACTGACAAAAGTTCTAGGGCAGGCGTAAGTATTCCGCTGATCAGTGTCGATGTTTCCCACTAATTGGAATAGCCCGGCGCAATCCTCATCTCCTACGCGTGGGTCGGTTTCATCGTATACCTGGTCATGTGTGCTCTGGGAGAAATGGCAGCCTGGCTACCTCTGCCATCTGGGTTCACTGGTTATGCGGTTCGATTTGTGGACCCTGCGCTTGGCTTTACGCTCGGGTGGACGTACGTACTCTTGCTGTGCTGGCAGGACTTCGCTGACAATGCGCCAGATACTGGTTCAAATATATCATTCTCTCGCCGAATCAAATGACTGCCGGAGCACTGGTTATCTCATATTGGATACCGCCCGAAAAGGTGAATCCCGGAGTATGGATCACCATATTCCTAATACTGGTGGTGGCGATCAACTACTTCGGCGTGAAATTTTTCGGTGAATTTGAGTTCTGGCTCTCATCATTCAAAGTGATCGTCATCCTCGGCATAATACTACTATCCTTCATTCTTATGCTGGGCGGGGGACCCGATCACGATCGCAAAGGCTTCCGCTACTGGAAAAACCCAGGCGCTTTCAACCACTACGTGATGGAAGGTCCACCGGGACGCTTCCTCGCCTTTTGGTCAACGATGGTCTCAGCCACATTCGCCTACCTAGGCACAGAGCTAGTCGGCGTAACAGTCGGCGAAGCTCAAAACCCACGCAAGACAATTCCCAAAGCGATCAAACTCACCTTCTACCGAATTCTGGTCTTCTACGTCCTCAGCGTACTCCTTGTCGGCACCTTGGTCCCCTACAACTCCCCTAAACTCCTATTCGCTCTAGGAGACAAGAACAAAGCCAAAGGCTCCGCCGCTGCCTCCCCCTTCGTCGTCGCCATCGAACTAGCCAACATCCCCGTCCTCTCGCACATCCTCAACGCCTGTATCCTGCTCTTCGTCTTCTCAGCTGCAAACTCAGATCTCTACATCGCAACCCGCACAATCTACGGCCTCGCCCGCGAAGGCAAAGCCCCCAGGATTTTCGCCCGCACAGACCGCCGCGGCGTCCCCGTCCCAGCCCTCGCCATCTCCTCCATCATCGCCCTACTGGCCTACATGAATGTCAGCGGCGACTCCCGCGTTGTCTTCAAGTACTTCGTCAACCTAGTCACCATCTTCGGCCTCCTAACCTGGATCTCGATCCTAGTGACGCACATCTACTTCGTGCGCGCACGCAAAGCACAAGGCGTGCCGGAGGAAAGTCTCGCATACAAAGCGCCGCTCGGAGTCGCGGGGTCGTACTTCGCGCTTGGCTTCTGCATCCTCATCTCGCTGACGAAAAACTATGATGTTTTTATTCATAAGCCGGCTTCGTACGGCGACTTCGATTACAAAAATTTTATCACTGCGTACCTCGGTATCCCGCTTTATTTGATTATGATTGCCGGTTATAAGATCGTTACGCGGTGCAAAGGGGTTAGTCCGCTGGAGGCGGATCTGTTCTCTGGGAAAGATGAGATTGATCGCGAGGAGGCGGCGTATCTTGCTGCTAAGGAGGCTGATGCGGAGAGGAATGCGGATTCCGGATGGTTCTATAGGAAGTTTGTTTCGTGGCTTTTCTGAGGCCGTTCATGGCTGGAACGTGCATTTGTGGTGCGTTTATGTCTTCCAACTACATATGTAGATATTATATTCATGAGAGATTATCTTGTTGTCATGTGTCGTAGTAGAGGTCCCTTCGCTGTTGAGTCCAAGGGAACCTTTCTCGTGCCCTCTGTAGTTCCCAGATTAAATATCGAATTGTGAATTTCCAGTATAGAATTTGACAGGGGTGAACAAATATCCTCGAAACTAGCATTCGTTCCGTGTCAAAACCCAAAAACTGTTCTTGAGAGTGCAGCGGGGGGAAGGGAAATAAACTGAAAATCATACTTACAAAATATTGAATACTATTTGCAGCCTTGGACAAGCTGTAGTATGCTTTTCTGTGGTAGATGCAAAACTGAACGGTATATGATTGCGCACGGATAGACCAATACTCTGCCATAGATATACTTGGCGCTCTATCTAACATTGCTGTTCTACCCTAAAAGATACTTAGCCCCGACTTGCAACCATACAATTGAGAAATATATCGTCCACGTTGGTAGCACAAGACATAAAGCAAGTATAATCCGGGAAACGTCCAACATAGCGAGGATCATCAATATCCATTCGGAGTATACTCCATGGAACTCTTTTAGTCATCCACTGTGTGATGCGGTTTTAATGACGACTTTTCCGGGTTGTTCTTCAAGCCCTCGTGTTCGAGCTCATTCATAATTTCAACAACCTACCCGCTCATGAGATCTTCATCACTGTCATCCGTGAACTCACCGTCCCAAATTCCCGTCAGCACATCCTCCATAAAGACCTCGATATCGGTTCGGTCAGAGTCTCTCGGTTTTATGGCCTCCATGCATTCCTCTTTGCTGTCCCAGTACATCTGCCATCTGTCCGCTGGCTCCGGGCTATCCTCAATCCTCAGCAGAATCATGTTAGAATGTTCCTAGCCGAATGAAATAAGAAAATAGAAAGATAGGAGACTCACTCTTGCGGGTCCACCCATGCAGGATGACCAATATCATTCCCGATTCCCTGGGCTACGTTTACCCGACATTTGTAATACGCAGAGTCACCAAAGCCTTCGTTCGCCACCCATGTGAAGCAAAGCATGCGCCCATATTTAGTCTCGTCATGGATGTAAGGTTCTTGGTCGAATATGGAGTCTTCTGTGTAAATGTTGTCGTCCTTCACGTAGGTCGCAACCTCTTTTACCCTTTTGTATATACATAAAATATTCTAGAAAGAACGAGGATTCAAGGAATCGTGCTCAGGGCCAGACGAGGAAGAGGTTGAGTTATAGAGGTGACCGCACTGCCAGCCCATGTTCCGCCATTGATGATGCCGATACCGTTATTGAGATCGAGCGAGGAGGTCACCTCATTGCGGTCTTGGTCAGGGAGGACAGCTTCGAGGATACGATGACCCGCTAATTCGTAGCGGATAGCATCACAGAAGAAGCTTCGTATGATGATTTTAGGAGGAGTTGATGAGATTATAATGCTGGAGTAAACAAAGGAGTTCGTCCACTGTGGCGGTAGGTGGGGTAGAAGCAACTTCGATCTATTATTTAATCAACACAGCCCTAAATAAGAGGTTGTGATCTACCGGGGCATGCGCACCCCAGCTTAGGGGCTCAGGGAATCCATAAGTTATGGCGATGCTGACATACAACATAAGTTGGGTGCAAAGCTTGTTTGGCTGCATGATCGGTATGGGTTGCAACCCAGCCCTAACGTATTGTCTAGCCTAAGCCAAGTTTGGAAGTCTACCCGCGGATTTGATCACGAACTTGCACGCTAAATTTCTGGCTTGAAACCAAAAACATACCAGATTAAAATTAAATTGAACGAGCCGAGTATCATGTGGTAAACATCTTGCTGAGCAATGAATTCTCAACAGCCACATATGATTGGGATGGGTAATTAGTACGAATACGGGTGGGTCTAGTAGCACTGGTATTTAATTGGCTGCTCAATAAGCTAAATGGAACAGGGCCCACTTAAACCGTACGATTCAGGGCCCAGTCAAGTCTAAAATCTAGAATGCACATATGCAACAAGGAACGTTTTTTTTGTTCCTTGGCGTGGCAAATACCTAGGTACCTAAGGAAATGACTGCAGGTCACTTTTATAAACATATACTTGGGTACCGCCCGCCCTTTGGGTCAGTCAACTGATGAAACTCCTTAGTTTTTTCATATCTCGAGTTTGCGAAAATGGATGAAAGATTGATAGGAAATTATGATGTGATAGAAAAGAACGATACTAGCATCGCTAGACTTTCACTATCTGAAAGCCAGGTATCTCTCCAAATTCTCTTATCGCCTAATCTCAGAACTGTCTTTGACGACTTCGCAGACAACTCCCTCCCCTAATATGAGCAGAAATATACCGAAAACCTCATGGGGAGACAGGTGTCGCGCCTGTTTCTGCTGGGTATGCACCCCTTTGGGAGCTTGTATCACCCTCTACGGCCTAAATGTGATTGCATGGGGAGGAATGCTCTTCCTCCTCATGTGCAATGCAGCCCCCGCAATGTGTCACCCAAGCTGCGACAGCATTGACTCACCACGTCGCATCTGGATTGAGATTGACTCTCAAATTTTGAACGCTTTGTTCTGCGTCACTGGCCTCGGACTAGCCCCGTGGCGTATTCGCGACTTCTACCAGTGGTGTCTCTGGCGATTGGGCCGCTCGAAAAGAATTCGACAGAAAGGGCTTGATCGCTTGGCCGAGATTCATAAGAATTGGTTTCTCAAGTCCCAAGAACAGAGCACACTCCCCACCAAAGCTCCGCCAAATGATCCAGCAGAACAAGCCACGCCCACCCCACTATGGAAAATGGACGTTGTGGTGTGGGGTAATGTCCTTAACACCATTTTTCAGATCTGCTTAGCCGTCTGCATGTGGGCGTGGAATCGATTCGATCGGCCGAGTTGGGCAACTGGTCTCTTTGTGGGCCTTGCTTGCGTTGTCGCTGGGGTTGCTGGAATTTTGATGTGGTTGGAGAAAAAACGAGTCAAGAAAGCTAGTGAACACCCCGGTGCTCTTCTTTTGATCCCTCGTGCTATGTTTTCAACTTCACCAGGCGAAAGAGGTGGTTAGTATACCTTCATGAAGCAGGAATTGTGAAATAGCATAAATCGATCAATTTCGAACGTGTTTTAATGAATCCAAAATTGATAATGGAATACATGTTTTCTTTCCAATAACGAACTAGGATTGTGGGGTCTCGCATCAATGTAATTGAGCAAGAATGATTTGTAGGGTCTCACCGTCCACGAATATCGTTTCATTGAAATAATTTCGAATTCTACTGTTCCGGACTCTTTTGACATGTAGAATCAGCAACAACGGGGTATAGGTATGTTTAACAAACGCGAAAACGTAGAAAACAAAGTCATCTAGCTATCCGAGGCCCACAAAAGTCTATCAAACTTCTGCAAAACCTCATGGCGCTCTTCATCAGTCATATGCATCCTGCTAATTTCAAAATGTCCATTCTTCAGCCGTGCATTTACGACTGCCTTTCGTGCTTTTGACCGAAACGCCGCTTCTATGCTTTTAGTTATCCCCTGAAAAGGATAAGCCACCAAGCCAATGCCAGCTTCAAAAAAAGATGAAGTCAGCTGTTGTCCACTATAAGTATGAAAGAAATACTTACCTGACGGAACCTTGGTAGCAAGACCAATTGTTCCCTTGGCAAATCCTTTAACCGCTCCCAAAGCCCCTTCCTCTCTTGCTCCATTGATCGGCTGTGTGACAAAGCCAGTGAAGCCATCGGTCATGCCATCAACGAAGTTCTTGCCGCCAAAGATAGCTCCAGACTTCCAGTCCTGGATCGGGCCGTAATCTTTGGGTTTCTCTCCATATAAACGAGGGACCTGGCGAAATCCCTCTGCTGCAGCATGGGGTATGTCGACCACTATCCCCTTGAAATATGACCCCGTGAATTTGCCAAAGCCTTTCATCGTAGCTCCCACCATACTTCCCGCAACTAGAAGTCCGGCTCTACTTTGGCCGGGCTCAGATCCAACGAAGAGTGATAGATGATCATATGAGTCTCCTCCTTCCCTGGGAGACATCCTGGTCGAGGAAGGATCTCGGGAGAGCGAGCTGCCGGGGAAGGCTGGGGATGGCAAGCCTCTGGTAGACGGGTTCGGAGAGCGACCGCGTTTGTATTCTTTGTAGGGATTGTAAATCATATCGGCCGTTGAGTGTAGCATATTAGATCCGGTAGTCGTTGTTGCAGCCAATATTCCAGTTATAGGATCCCAGCGGCGGTGCTCAATGATAATTGGATTGACAAGATGGCTAATTGAGAATGGTTAGTCAGTGGTAAAGTTTCAGGATTAAATAATCGGGATACGTACAACTGAAGATTCTTTTCATCAACTTTTTGATGCTCTAGTAGGAGTTGCACCGCTGCCTTTGATATCCTGATCGACCTTTTGCCCTTTTTATATTTCCAGACTGCAATCTGGCTGGGCATTAACATGCACTGCATTTTGTTCAACGGAAGATGTTTATGGAATGACTCCACAGCGGCTTTTAAGCCGTATTCACTCCGCATTTTGAGGGCAACGTTTTGTGCAGCAACAGTGGCTTGTGGCGTGAGACAAAACTGTATTGCGGCAGTCAATTGTTGAAAATCGAGAGATGCATATGGGATGGGCTTGGGGCCTGCACCGGCCCTAGCTATCATGTTTCCCCAGAAAGGTTGGCTGGAATGGTCAGTTTTATATGTAGATAGCACAGTTAGATTGATCGATGAACTGGGAACTCACTCGCCAAAAAAGGGTATTATCGCGGTTGGTTTTCCATTTTTGAGACCACACGCAGTGGTTCCAGCACCTCCATGATGGACAACTGCGACGACATGCTGGAACAACCATTCATGCGGACAGTCGTCGATATAGTAGATGTTTGGGTTTGGACTTCCAAGTAGACCACTCCAGCCTTTCGAAACAATCGCACGCACACCTGCCCTGACGACTGCAAGAACAACGGTATCTATGAGCCTTTGGGGGTTGTCAACCACAATACTGCCGAAGCCGATGTAGACAGGAGGCAGGCCTGCTTGCAGAAATTCTTTCAGCTCGATGGGCGGGTTATATGATGGGGGATCCCTAAAGAAAAAGCCACACACATCTAACGACATCAATCTAAGGTAGTGTGAGAGGGAGGTAAAGTTCGACCATACCGATGTGCGATGGCCAATCTTGGGGTTTCGGCACTAGAGCAGGAGACCAACAATAAGTGTAAGGTACTTTTAGTACTTCAGCGAGACATGGTCCTTCCGTCGTAGGAATAGGCTCCAAGTCTATTGAGAGCCGCCACCGATTTATCACATCTCCTAGCCTGGATAACCATGTCAGTTGGTAATCTCATTCGTTAGGCGTATGTGAACCTACCCTTGCCATGTAAGCCACTCTACAACCCCATATGAGACCTTGTTTGCGGTCCGAAGATCCATAGATGAAGAATTTAAGTTTGCCAGAGGGTGTGGAAAAGCCTTGGTGCTGCTCCACGGCATCGTAAACATTAAATGAACAGGAATGCTCAAAGCCTGAGCACAGTGAACATGCGCAAAGCTAGGTGGGTTGGCAATAATAGCATCTGCAATGAAAGGCTCATGAGTGATCGGGTCATCTTCAATACAAGACCTCCAGCAACCATCAAGCATTGTCGCTACCATAGCCTGCTTTTTTTGCACCTCCCCCTCACGCAGTGATTTCATTTGTGGTATCAATCCAGGGTTTTTGACCATGAATGCCATCAACTCTGCAGGATCTCCGCCGATAGGATAGAACTCCAGCCCTGATTCGTGTACGAAGTCCTCGAAGACGTTGTGTGTCGCAATTCGGACGCGATGACCATACTTCTTTAGTGCATTTCCGAGTGCGATGAATGGCTGCACATCGCCACGACTTCCCACGATCTGAATGACAATATTGAGATTGAACGGACACTCCGTGGCTTTCTTGGAAAGATCAATATACTCGGGGGGTGGATTGTGGATGTCTTCCTGCTGTAAGTCGATGATTTTGGCCAGCGTTCTCGCGAACCTGGACTCAAGATTGACATGGATACGGCCATCCGCTATAGCAAGTGTCAGAATGGAGCCTTAAATTAACACATCATTCGAGACAACGATCGCCATACCTTGCACATTCCCTGATTCTGCCACGAGCCCACCACCGTCGTCAACCAATGAATATGGAGGAGGACCCGACTCCTCGGCCTGTTCGTTTCCGGTACCAAGTTGTGTAGAGGCTCCCATGTTTCCCTTGTTTGAATCGAAGTTGGTATGATTAAATTTCGGACGCAAGAATTTGGGAAAGTTGATTTAATAGCAACCAGCAAATGGTGAGCACCCGTACTCGTATTCTTAGGCAGATAGAGACTGGTGTGGATCCAATTAAAGATGCACAAGTGTGGTCCGGATTAATCAGCTAAGCCATATTGGGACATCTAGCCGTGGATTCTAACTTTTGAGTTTTGGTCCCTGGAACTCACTCAGCCAGCAAAAGTACATATAAATTGCCGGCCTTGCTCCCCGGTTGTGGCGCAGTTCATGTTCGGTGGCAGATAATCGGATAAATCTGCAGCAAGAAAGTGATCAATTCAAAATCAATCGTGTGATTCCTTAAATATTGATAATGACTGTCCTTTTGTAATGTTGTAGGGTTTGGAGCCAGGTAAAAACAAAATAGCAGCAGGAAGCATATCTAATAGTGTACCTATATGTGGGACCTAAAGATTAACCTAGGCTCCACAACGATCGATTTTTCCCTTGCAAGCGCTATATTTAGCCAGTATCCTGTGAATTGCGTTGCCTGCGCATGGAGTTCGCTTTCTGAGTTCCAATCTCAACATTCTAGGCCTTGAAAAACCCCTACCGACAATTCGGCTCCCGCTTAACAGTTAAAAGCACAGATCCCTCTTTCGTGTTATTTCACAATACTTCCCATCTTCACGCTCACTCTCTGCATCTACGCTATCTGTTGAAATATCGGCTCGTTCTTTTTACTCCGCGCTAGAAGCAGAATCAAATGTCTTCACATTCATTCCCCACGCTTGGAGAACCGAAATATGAACCCTCCGCTTTTAACCCATCCTTACCACTTTCAAAAGGCCCCAATGACATCAACAAACGCAGAATTCTGCTAGTCTACATCCACGGTTTCATGGGCTCTGAAGCCAGTTTTTATAAATTTCCAGCACATGTCCATGAGTCATTGATGAATGTTCTTGGGGAATCGCACATTATATACACCCGAATTTATCCCCGATACAAATGTCGCGGCGAGATGAAGTCTGCCATTGACCAACTGAGCACTTGGTATGTGGAAGGCTAAAAATTCGCACTGTTATCAAAAGATGGGAGGTTTACATACCAGTTACTAAAACACAAGAAAAACAGGCTGTCGCCTCATGAAGCCTCCGATCTTGATATCATTCTGCTCGGGCACTCGATTGGCGGTGCTCTCGCTGCCGGATTAGCACTACTACAAGATACCGCCCAACCGTCCAGATACCTCAAACATCGCATCATGGGCCTGGTCAATTTCGATGTACCATTCCTAGGACTACATCCATATGTGATCCCATGTGGTATTCGGAGCTTGTTCCGAAGGAAAAACAACACAATTGAAAATATACCGAAAGCCAGCCAAGGACTAGAGGAGATGGATGTGGCATACCTTCCCATCGTGACCAATCCCAACTTCGACCCTGCATTCAGTAATGACGTGCGGCTAATAGAGCGCGGAAGTTTGCACGGTGTGATGCACTTCCTTCGCAAGAACATGCGCCACCTACCAAGCTCGATATTTGACAGTGTTATGTCATATTACAATTTCCCGGGCTACTTGAATAGACTACCCCATCTGCGTGGCCGGTATAAGGACTTGATGCAGTTGGAAGCTGGTGAATTTGCGGCGAATCGAGTGCGGTTTGTGAACTATTACACAGAAAGTACTGGTCACGCGAAGACAAAAGAGAAAACAGACACTCCACATGAAAATGTATACCAAATTGACAACCGCAGCACTCTATACGCTGGGTCATCACTGGACAGTCGGAGTGACCTCGATGAGTTAAGGCAACAGGTGTCACAGTCAAAAAGTTCAACTCTAACAACAACTCTGATTGAGTGGCAACTATCCGGTTTCTCTCCGGCTACCAGCTTTGATTCCTCTACAAAGCACAATATTTCTGAAATATTCTCCAATAATTCTTTGCCCCCTTCATCCAATCATAAGTCCAAAGCTCAGACCAAGTTTGATGAGAAAAGGACTCGCACTTTTGTTTTGAAGCCATCTCATCACTGGAAAAATGGTGATGATTCCCTCTGGATACCCGTACGGATGAAAGACATGGACGAGGTTGAAGCACATCAGTCCATGTTTCTTCCACAAACTGAGATATACGATCAGCTAGTTGGGGATACCGTGACCAAAATTGAACAGTGGGTGCAGGACGAAATGAGCGAGCACAAGACCCAACAAGAGACCCGATAACACGGACTGGTTGGCCTTTTACCTATAGGCCTTCCATGGGGTGTTCTAGTGGTGTGTTTTCATGTCATTTTTGGTCCCGCTGATCTGTCACAACAACATTCTTTCTGTGTATACTACTCTCTATCCCCACCGATCTAAATTTGAAGCCGTTATCTATAGTTCTCTTGCCAGGTGACACGACAGAATATAACTCCTCCATATATTGTCCTTCATCATACCATTCTTCGTCCACTATTTCACTCACATAGTGAGTCAACATCACAATTCCAATTCTTTCAATGTAGTATTGCTGGTGTAGATGGAATTTTCCAGTTTTGCGAAAAACTAATTTTTGCTTTGATTTGGGAACAAATCAGAATTTTCTAATAATACCGATAATATGTCATAGCACAGGTGAATGCTTCATGAAGCAAGGGGCCCGGTGAAGATATTTTGGGTTGCACAACATGATTCTCAAAGTTACGATTACGGCGCGATTATGCAGCCATCAATTTATGGTGAGATAATGCCATATTTAATAACATCCTATCTAGAAAGCCCGGCGAAATGTCACATTTGGGTATAATCGCTATCTTTTCGTCTGTCTTCTTTCGGCTCTTTATACTGTTATTCGATGTTTCGGCATGAATTACCAAAGGATACTGACTGAATATTTCATAGCAACGTTATATTGGAAGACATCTAATATGACCAGATTCAATCCTTTCAGACGTCATAATAATCCACAGAACATGTGAGTATATAATCTTCGATCCCATCTAGTATTTAGTGGGAACATCTGCATTCGAAGGTGTTGTTCAACACTTCCTTATCGAATTGATCTCCCATCGGTTCTACCAGACACCATAATCAGCCTGCAAAAATGTGGATCTCCGCGGTGAGAAATACCCCTATACGGTCCATTAAAGGCGACGATGATGAAAGTCTGATTTTAACATATTCCGTTTATGGACAAGCCTACTTGAAAGGATTCGAGGTGTTTAGAATTGTGTAACAAAGACCCGCCCCTGTACAGATTTCTCAGTGCGTCGCATATAGCAGCCTGGAAACTACGTTTTCTATCTCCAACATGACGCATTTCATCTGCGCAATTACGTAGCGCTAGGTAATCCACAAAAGGTAATAATTGATGAATCACATTACGAGAACTGACTCTGATAGCGCTTACATAAATAGCCCAGTAAGAAATTCCGAGATGATTTGTTGTATCAGCAAAGCAATCGAATCTTTTACTTAGTACTGATTTCCCATGATGTGCGTTGATACTTTTTTGTGCAAAATCTTGGATTTCCGTGTACAAACTTTCTCAAACAGCTCAGAGATCAATCCAGAGTCTTTGATTACGTCGCTGTTTAAGACAAAGCCACACCATAGTCATTTAGATGTCTTGTCCAAGATTCTGACCCAAAGTTCGGCGCTGGATGAGCGCGTAACCTCATTCATTGCCGAGGCTTAGAGCCGGATATGCCGAAGTTATCTTGGGATAACAAAATACAAGAGTCTCAGTGAATATCATTAGATGTTTCTTTTCCATTGTAGATTGTGTATAATGCTGAAAATGTAGGCAATCCCCAGAATTAACTTATTGTGACATTCCTGTGACCCGTCTTTGTCTCTGTCTATATCTCATTATGCAAATTGGTAAATTGTGCGCCTGAAACACAGAGAAAACTTCAAAACACTAATTTCCAGACCGTAAGTTCCGATCTTTCCAGACATCACAAAAGTTCCTCGCTTTCCCGCAAGATATAAGGCAAGGTGAATCGGGGTTTGATTACAGTCTAACAGTCCTTCGTCTCTGTGAACTTTGATCGCGCACGAAGCTTAGCACCATAGAAATAGAGTCCTATCATCCCAAGCTGTACATATGTCAGTATCCATAAAGTTGCGGCGAGAGAAAAACCAGTTTCTATCTCACCCAGGGGAGGAATAGATGCCACAAAGCACACTTACAATACCCAAAACGCTCAGTCCAGCCAGTACTGTAACTCCTTTACCGATACCCAAGTTGATGAACATATACCGTGAGAACATAATAAATGCAAAGGCAAGAGACGAACGACTAAAGTCATTCGCAGCGAATAGAGAAGCAGCGTAACGCGGATATACAAGTGGAATGTAGATAAAGACGCATTGGAAAATGATGAAAATCGAGGCTGAATATAGCAAAATCCCGACGACGCCCACACTCCAGTGAATAGACTCTCTAGAAGTCCATGCTGAATATAGTTGAAATCAGCCTCGCGTTCCCAAAGACTAAACGTTTCATGATCTCGGCAATGGCAGAATTCTTACCGAATAGAGCGAGTCCAACAGGTGGGAATATAGATGCGATCAAAGCAGGAACAAGGCGGTGCTCATGCTCTCGATGACCATGTTTTCTGAAATCTGGTAACAGGTAGCTATAAATATAGATGATGTAAACCACCATTCCAATTCCGCATGCAGCAGCCAAAGAAACGAAGATGAGCCCAGACTGGCCTGAACTGAAGCCGTACATCACTGGATAGACCAATGGAAAGGCTTCAAAAAATGAATAATATATTCCATACACCAAGGAGGTATAGAGATTGGTGAAAAATATTGCTGGGTCTTTAGCCATTATCTCAAGAGGTTTGACGAGGGAAGAAGAAATCCTTCGCCCAATAGTCTGATCGCCTTGATCAATCTCTGAAGGCGCGTGGATATTGGAATTCTGTGTGATCCTGCGCAGTCGCTGGGCACGGCGTAGAAGAATGGTATCTGTCGAGGTTTCAGGAAGAAACAACAGCATGATAATAAGAACTGGTCCACTCATCCAAATGATTTCCCATAGCGCCCATCGCCATCTGATATGGTCAGAACCTATCATGAATGTAAGTGTAGCTCAATGAGAACATACCCTTCTTTGGTTACTGAATAGGCCGAAAGAAGCGGGCCAAGGGCTGGGCCCCCATATGCTGCAGCAACCCAGCCGGTCAAGGCCAAAGGTATATCAATACCATCATACTGCAGTTCATTATATAGTTAGCAATGACCGAGTCAAAGATACAGCTGCACATTATCGGGAAAACAGAGTGTTGACAAACCATATCTGTCATTGAGGCGCCGCCACTCGCCAGGCAAGGGCTACCAAAGAATCCTTGGAGGAATCTCAAAACCATTAGGCCAGCGTAGTTGTCCACGAGCGCGGTGGGGATAGCAAGAATAACAAAGATGATAAACGAACTGATGTAAGGAACATTTCGCCCGCAAGCGGGAATTTCACTCATTGGTGAGAAAAGGAGCGGCCCAATCCCATCTATTAGATGGCCAAGTTAGAGCTAATTTCATATTAGATGGGCTTATACCACACCACTCACAGCCGAGTACATAAAGAGCCAGCCCTAGCGAAGCCTTAGTTTGGCCAACCTGGAAGTACTCCATTATTTGACTTGAAGCATGTTAGCAGAGTAACGACGACTAAAACCTCACACAGGGACGGGTAGCTCACGGCTCCGCTGGAACGTAAATCGATGACCCACAATATACAACAAAGGTATAAATACTAGGTAACAGTGTTAATCGAGAATATCCACGCTATGAAACAAAAGTGGAATGCAAGTTATACCATATTTGAAACGCAACCATCCTTTTCTTCAACGGAGACCAATTTCTCGGGCATGACGGGTCATCTGCTCCATACCAGTCCGCAACATATGTCGCTGTTGTGTTTGGAGCAAACGAGCCATCTAAATCAGCACGCGTTGAGGAGCATAAGGAGTCTTCTTGGCTCTCATCCATTCCGTTCCTGGTGATGCCTTCTCGATGGGACTTCGATTTTTCAAGGCGATGCTGCTCGGCATCTTCTTTCTTGAACACAAAACATGGTTTCTCCTCTGGGTATAACAAAATTCTGTTTCTCGTTACCCATCGCAAGAGCTGCCCAAGAGACGAATCGCGCACAGTGTCCATTTTGAAGTGTTAAGGCGAAGTTTGGAGGATCGTTGGGAAGCCTTTGCGATCAAAGTAGGAATGCAGATATCTTTATAGAACAGATTTGTCAAAAGACTGCTTTTACCAAATCCGCTTAGTCCGCCATATCTTTATTTTAGCTGTCAATGTGGAAAAGAACTTTGGTGGGAAGGGCGCATCATGCAGCATTGTTCGTACAGCACGCGCGGAGAGTCAAATGCGATTGAGATCTTCAGTCTGTGATACCCAAATAACTTCTGTTGAGGACCGAATCGACTAGATCTACAAGGAAAGAGATGATTTCGGGGTTCAACGAATTAGTTCGTGAAACAGGCAAAGTTCTGCCTAAATCGCAAGGAATTAGCAAATAGTGGTCCTGGTCCAAGTAAATTTATTAACGTTAAACGAAGGAACTACATGAAGATAGTTAACTCAATAGGACATTGTACATTAGCTCTTGTTGATAAGTCGCACAGACCGAATTTTTACTGTAAAATTCTCCAACACAGTCACACGATAAGGCTGATTGGAAGTATTCGGGTGGCATTACTTTTAGGTAGGGCGCCCTTTTAGGTCCCATGCAGGTAAGCTATTTCTTCTAATCAAGTTTTTGCTTTCCAATATAACCAACCAATCATGAAAATATAATGCCAAATATTTATTTGATCGGCGATTTAACATCTCCATCACCCTGTAGAGAGACAAAATAATAGATAAACTTGTAAAAATGAAAAAATGCCACCCCTGTATGTGTCACTGGAATATACCGTGCACCACGTCGAATCCACCACATCGTGGTCTTAGCAGCCCAACGACCCGAAAACAGCGCATACCCAATGGACGAGGGAAACGAGGATGACACAATATGACGGTACAGTATATCAGGATCATCAAAGAAGGAACGAGCGTAAGGGAGGAACCTTCTTTTCGACTCGGAGTACGGTTCTAATTCCTTATTCCCCCAAGATGGACGAAATTCTATCTCACTACCAATATACCAAACTTCCGGAAGTGTCGGGTTTGATCTCTTGTTCTTTCTGTGCTGCTTGAACAATTGCACGAGTTGAGCAGATGAGTCACAATTGAATTTCACTCCATCACTGCTCTCTGTCCCATGAGCCATGATTAGGACATCACACGTGGAAAGTGTTGGAAGAGCCTTTTCATAATCATGATGGTCCCATTCGTAGCCGAACTCCAACTTGTGAATGCTCTGCACCCCTTCACATTCCAGTTCCGTTATCATAGCTTGACCAAAAGCCCCACTTGCACCCGTGATCACGAATCGTTTACCCCGGAAAGTATAGGCTGTGCCCCATATCCAGTCGAAAAGCTTGATGAAGGAACCAATATATCGATCAGGATAAACGTGGTGAAGGGAGTGGAATTCAGGGCCGACGAATATCCAGTTGGGATCCTTAGGTACGGTTTGGTATGTGAGGTGGTTTGAGTCGTGGCCACCGGTAATAATGACCACGATTGTTTTCAAGATTTGGATACCAGTCAAACACCAAAGATGGCTCTGGGTAATCCAAGTCTGACGATTCGACATAACCAAAACGACAACGATATATCCCAGGATGCTTCCAAAAACTTGAAGTCCTAACTCAAGCGGCAATGCCTGGAAAAGATTCTGGTGCAGATATTTATTGTCGAATCGCATCTGCCGGTTGTAATAGAGATGGTGGAAACGATGGATACGCGCAAGGCGTCGAAGGAGAGGATGGGATGTTTTGTTGCATCGATGGAGCATATGGTGAACAATGTCAAAAAATAAAGAACCTGTGCAAAAGAGATAGAATAAGGGTATCAAAGAAGAAAATGCGTGACCCAGAAGAGTATGTAAAGAGAAAATTGATGTAAAGATTGCATTGATCGATATCATGATCAGTGACTGCATCATGTTTCAACAAATGTACTTGAGCAAGACTGATAACTTTTCTGAGGGACTTTCATAACACCTAAGGGCCCATGTATTTCTATAAGAAGTTCAGTTTTAGGTGGATTCATACTGGATCGTAAATCGAAGGCAGCGATATTGCAAGAGTTCACTTTCTCTTGAGCCCCATAGACTATCTTAAGAATTACCCAAATTGGGTTTACGGACCCATAGTCAGAATTTTCGAATGAATTGTATTAAATGTCGGAAAACTGTAGAAAAAGTCGACACCAGCAGGGCTCTGTCTTTTTTCCTGACTTATTTGCTGACTTTTCTTCTTTCTTTTAACGCCGTTGGTCTCGCATGTATGTGAGTAGGATTCCATTTCATAACTCTTTTTTAAGATAGCAATCATGTTTGAAATCTCGTAGGCAAAGATGATTATTTTAAATGATGTTTTTGAAACCATCCGAAGTGTCTAGTTCTTGCGCCACCGACCCACCATCGCGAGCGGACCAGAATACGAGTACGGACAATGGCTATTTATATTTTAGGTAGAGAGATATATGAAACCGTTGAAAAATTTGGCAACATACTCGCTGGTTGATAGATGTAAACGTAATCTGCTCGCAGAGGCTTCATAGTTGAGCCGCTCATATCGAGACGGGGAAAAGGTAGCTCGAATGGAGCTCAGCCGCTTTCACCACGCTGTCGGTGACGCTAACGATCGAATTTCTCAACACGAACATTATCCGCTCTAACGGTGTGGCCAATCAATGGTGATTTAAATGAGGATGCTACCTTAAATTAGCATTTCTTATAAAAACAGCACTCGTTTCTTGATAAAGTGCAACATGCAGCAAATTGAAGGGGAACCAAAAATAAAAAAAAAGATACTCCGATAGGGGGAATCGAACCCCCGGCTGTCGTGTGAGAGACGACGATGTTAGCCACTACACCATATCGGAGGGGGACAGTGAATTACGCTTTGTAGTTTAGTTTGGCCACTTGTGGTTTAGCGCTCTTTGTCCTTGTGCGTACCCGTGCGTGGTTCTATAAAGTCCCTTGTCCCCTCCCCCCAAACCTACCATCTTACATTTTCTTTTTCGCCCTCCTCCCCCCTGGTCTCTGCAGATGAGGCATTTTTGCTATTGATCCGGATCACCGAGCTCCTGAGCTCCGCCACCCCCTTTTCCTTGGGTGACTCATCATCACCTCCTCGCTGCTTTCTTGGGCTCTCATCTTGTTTCTGATCAGGTGCTTTCTCTGAGGCCCTGACGCTAGCCCCCGAATTCTTATGTAACTAATTGTCCGTCGGTCGCTCGGAATCCTGTTATCGACGTGCCTTCCTCTCTCTGGATAGTCGCATACGCGAAAGGGTCTACGAATCGCAGGATACAAAAGAACGGTTTGACAGGGCCTTGTTGTTCTTGAGTGATAGCGCTTGCTCTGTGCTTTGTTTACGATATGACTGAAATCCAACGTGGCTTATCTGACTAATTGAACTGCCCAGCCGCGTACTCCGGTACTGCACGACGTGGCGAAGGGTGATACGTGTTAATGTTCGACTTCTCCAAAATATACTTCGTTGATGCCTGGATTTCTTGTCTAATATCTGTGTGATCATCTACGTCCAAAAATAACCAAATCTCTGAGCGAACGCACTAAAAATCGAGACTTTGCGGATCATCGTTTCACCTACTCCAACTCATCCATCCAGTACAAAAAGCTCAACAAACATGATTTGGAGCTTCGCAAGACTTTGAACAAACCCTAATAGACGCCTTGCTCATGAGGTTCGGCCGCAATGAGATGCTTCAATGTCACTAATTGAAGACCAAGAATTGAACGGTAGACTAATTATGCACTTGTTATTTCTCAAATTGTGATCCTTTTGTTCTAAGCGGGTCAGCTGGGCAGGGCGCTGGCGCTTAGCCATTTGTCATGTGTATTTCAAGCCGCTTCGCAATTACGCCTTCATCTCTTCTGACATTCTTTATTTATATTTCCTCGATATAAATTGTGAATTCGGCAGACAGATAGTCGTGCTTTTATCCTTATTTCTCTTTGACTCAGTCCGTCAGATCTGCTCCGAAATGAAGATATCGTTCCCTTTTTTTAAAAACACCCCCGGCGACAAACACCAGACTAGAATGATTGATTCGGCATCGAGCAGCAACAGACAGCAAACGCTGCAGCTACCTCCCGACACCGTCAGATGTATAACTACAGACAGAAGTGGGATATCCAATCTGCATTGGGCGGCTTGGACAGGAGACGCGAAGAGAGTAGCAGAAATCCTGCAAATCCATCCCAACTTTGGATCTTCAAAGGATTTCTTAGGGAGAACTGTGTTGCATTATGCGGTGCAAGAAAACCGAAAGTCTGTTGTGGAAACAGTCGTCGGACAATCTGGTGTTGAAGTCGATCTCACTGGTCATTTTGGTCGAACGCCATTACACTGGGCCGCAGAGAAAGGATTACCGCGCATCATGTTGTTGTTACTCAAAAGTGGTGCTGCTGTTGATGCTCAAGACTTATTCAGGCAGACTGCCTTATCTCGAGCTGCGTGGCGAGGATGGCAGGAATGTGTGTCACTGCTGCTTGGACAGGAAGCCAGGTCTGATATTCCAGATCTTCATGGACAAATGCCTCTATACCTAGCAGCTGCTAATGGGAGGATTCAAGTGGTCAGCCAACTATCTAAGAGGCAAGGCCTCACCGCAACCGACGATCTTAAAACGTGTCTTTACCTGGCAGCTAAGTGTGGCCATAGAGGCGCGGCATGTATATTAATGAAGGAGTTGGTTTTTACCAACGCCAATGGAAATAATGATTTCAAAACATTGGAGCAAATCGATGGATGGCAAAATGACTTTACTGATATCGGTCGTGACGTTGACTTGTTGGTCTGGGCAGCTCTGAACGGAATTGAGAGCATGTCCAACCGGTTCATTGGGAATGGCGTGAAGATTCAATCGTATTCTTTAATCTGTAATATGACTGCGATGCAAGCCGCAGCAGGTAGTGGTCATATCGAGATTGTGGACCTACTTCTCAGAAAAGGAGCTCAAGTCAACGCTGCAGCTACTAGCATAAACGACCGCACAGCTCTCCAGGCCGCAGCAGGTGGTGGCCATTTCGACATTGTGGAAATGCTCAATGCGGCAATTGCATAGATCTCCAAGCTGCAGTCGCGAGAGCGTATCGTTGAATCTTGCAATCAAATTTGATGATTGAGCCACATGTTCCGACTGAAGGAAAAGGGGTTCAAGGCTGTATATCCTTTCGGCTAAAAGTACTGGTCGTCTTTTCAGGAATTTTGATTTGGGGCTTGCGGCAAGGTCACCTTGCATACTCAAAGTAGGCAATTTAGAACCTGGTCTCCCGGGCTTTTGAACTGGCAGAAAGCCATTTTCCGGAAGTAGTTACCCCCCACATGAGCAATGATCTACAAATAGGAGGACAGGGGTCGTCCTCCTTGTTCATACCCTACTGTCAGTGCGAACATTCAGTTTCTGTTGAGTATGCGTATTGCCTGCCGTCTTGTTTTTTAACCTTTTTCTTTCCTGTGTTCATAAGTATGTTCACTGCCCTGAGGTTGAATTTCAAGAACATCCCACTAGTTGTGCGAGAAGTATTAGCAAATTTACCCTTCCTCAACACCCTCGCGCTGACTCTCAAGCTGAGGTGTCAATAGCAACCAAGAATCGTTAGTCATGAATTAAAATTTTGCATTTATCAGAAATTCATAAGGCTATACCCGACTATCTTGTTCGCCGAGTTGAAAGTACCAAAACAGCTTCTCCTTGAGCACAACTCGTAGGAGATTCTCGTAGGCGACTCCGCTGCTTCTTTCTTTCACTCAAAATCAATCTTTGGCGAATGCTATAACGAAGTTTTCGTAAAGACATCAGCGGAACGAGGGTTGCTGCTTGATTTATGTTCTCCCTCACCACTTTGACCCAGAATAGACTGTCTTGCTTGGAGAAAAAGCAAGTTTCATGATGCTGTAGAACGGATGAATGCAAGTTCTCTTCTTCTCTGATGCGGATAACGGCAGTCTCCAGCGAAAGAATGTGCCGACATTCCGTTGGAGTTTCGCTGCACTTCACCTCGGCTGTCTCGAAACATTCCATAGTAATATATGCAAAGGTTGCACAGTCATGAGAATCCTCTAGAAACTTGGTCCATGCGCTATCATGCTCCACAGGAACTTTAAAACACTGTGTAAAATTACCCTCGAACGGCCAGGCAACACAAAACCACTTTTCTGATTTATCTATTCCAGTGTGTCGAAGAGTACTCAGGATGCTGAAGATAACATCGAGGAAATTTGCGCACATATCTGGTCCCAGATTATGCAGCCATCTCCGAATTTCATTCAGTCGTAGCGTCTCATCCCTCATCATCGCTCCGAGGGTTTCAAGATGATTTGTCGATCGAGCAGAAAATTGCGGTATCAAGTCTGCGACCAATTTCCGTAAACGGACTCGCCTAGCTACTCCGGTGCAATAGCTCACTTGGACTCCCCAATAAAAATCCAGGTAATGAGTGATCTGAGGTGGATCTGCGAGCGCTTGGTCTTTTGCTGGGATGCCTCTCTTTTTGTTCCAAGCTTCTGTAGCTTGAAAAATAAAATAATAGCCTCCTTGGGCTGCTAATTGGCGTTGTGACCTTTCCCAGTAGTCGGGACTTGTTCCCAATATTTCCAAAAAGATTGTCGATCTGGTACGAAACTCGGCCTCAATACGGTTGCAATCCGCGTTGATTGTGACCACTGCACCGATCAAAAGTGGCTGTTCGATATCAATTGAGCGCAGGCCCTTGACATCCGGCATGGCTTGGGCCCAATGAAGCTTTTTACTATCATAAGCAAATATGAAGCCATCTCCAATCTTCAGGGCGACAGGTGAACAACTCTCATCTTCTCGAAATATCAGGCTTCCTGGGCCCCAAGTATCCAGTATATCTTGAGCATGACCTAGGATGTCATGTTTCTGCGTGGATCGTTGAAGTCGTGTCTCCGGGGGTTGGCCCTCTGGTGAAGCTTCGCTCGCGCAGAACAATAAGACTTTTCCGCGAGTCATACTATCCAGACAAGTGAGATTGACAAGTTCTGCTGCCAAAAAGGGATATTTTGATTTTCTTTGAAGACCTATCAGTCTCACCCGCTGTGGAAAGAAATCTAAGAAGAAAAGTTGGAGAGGCTCGATGTGCGCCTGGCAGTATGAGAGAAAGCCAAGACACAAGAATTGAACTGCTAGCGCGCAAAGATGAAAGCACCACTCAAGACTAGATCCATATGAATCTTTCGATACGCCTGGCCAAACAAGAACTAAAATTTCTTTGGATGCAGAAAGAAGCTTTTTATGATCAACATACTCCGAGGTTGCGTTGATGACCTTTTTCAGTTCATCAAGGAGGTTACAAATGGACTTGAATGAGACCACGATGATTTCGCCCCGAGTTGAAACTCCCGGTTCGTGAGCTCGTGATTCTGATTTGAGAACTGTGAAAGAATTGCAGCAAAGGCCGATTTTCTGTATCAGAGCAGCGGCTTGATAGAGCCCTTCTAGAGCTCGAGAGATGCGAGACCAGATTGTTTCAGTGCTGGTCAAATTGTGTTCATCAGTGGGCAGCACATATGACACCGAAAGTTCTTGGCCATTGTCATTGAAATCAATGCATCCGACCCAGTCAGTCAACATTCGCGATGTGGGCCGTACTCCAGCCAGACCACAGTGCTCTTGAACCTTGTGGATTATTTCTTGATCGTCAAAACTCTTTGAATGACTCAGAATGGCATCTGAGATCTGTGCTTGACGCGAGTCACGGGATGTAGCGTAGTGACAACATCCCGGAAGATGTTGATCAGGCTGGATTTCATTGAGAGGCAAGTAGGTTGGCTCGAAGAAAATCCAAGGCGAATCACCCTTGTCTTCCAAAAGAAGATCAATAACTTCCTGATAACTATAACCTGCTTTCAGAAGTTCCCGTACCCAGATACATCCCTCCGGGATCTTGACACTGCTCTCTAGAAGAAGGCCAATTAATTCGACTCCGCTCTTATTTTGGGCGGCTGCCATCAGGACTTCGCCTGTGATATTGAGCTTGTCTGCCTGGTGCGCGAGAATAGTATTCATCAACTGAACCGCGTTCGAACTTTTTAAGAAGCCTTTAAGAGAGTTCTCAGTGATCAGGGCATTGTATCCTTGTTTCTTCAGAAGTATCTGTGCAATCTCTGAGTGTCCACTCAAGGCGGCAAGGTGGAGAGGAGTCTCGTTGTTGCCGTCTTGAGCGTTGATGTTAGCGCCTCGCTTAAGGAGAAGTCGCACGATCCCCTTGTTCCCTCTAAACGCGGCGGCATGGAGGACAGTCTCGTTGTTGCCGCCTAGGGCGTTGACGTCAGCGCCTTGCTTGAGAAGAAGTCGCACGATCTCAATGTGCCCTCCAGAAGCGGCAGTATAGAGAGCAGTTTCTTTATTGTCGGCTTGAGCATTGACGTCGGCGCCTCGCTCGAGAAGAAGTCGCACGATCTCAATATGTCCTCTAGAAGCGGCGGCATAGAGAGCAGTCTCGTTATTACTGCATAGGGCATTGATATCAGCCCCTTGCTCGAGAAGAAGTTGCACGATGTCTTTGTTCCCTCTAGAAGCCGCGGCATATAGAGCAGTTTCTTTATTGTCGGCTTGAGCGTTGACGTCGGCGCCTCGCTCGAGAAGAAGTCGCACAGTCTTAGTATGCCCTCCAAATGTAGCAGCATGAAGGGAGGTTCTGTACCGATGGTCCTGAGTGTTAACGTTCGTACCAGACTTAAGAAGAGCCTGTAGAACCTTTTCATGCCCGTTCAAAGCGGCGGCATGGAGAACGCTTCCATAATGGCCGCCTCGGGCATTTAAGTCTGCGCCACTATTAAGAAGTATCTGTACGATCTCTAGATGTCCTCTTAAAGCGGCGGCATGAAGAGTAGTTCTATACTTATCGCTTTGGGCGTTGACGTTAGCACCGTGCTCGAGAAGATGTCGTACAATCTCTGTGTATCCTCTTAAAGCGGCAATATGGAGAGCAGTTTCATTGTCCATGCCTTGAGCGTTAACATCCGCACCTTGCTCGAGAAGAAGTCGCACAATCTCTATGTACTCTCCAGAAGCGGCGGCATAGAGGGCAGTCTCGTTATAGCCACCTTGAGCGTTAACGTCAGCGCCTTGCTCGAGAAGAAGTCGCACAATCTCAATGTGCCCTCTAGAAGAGGCGGCACATAGAGCAGTTCCTTTATTGTCCTCTTGAGCGTTAACCTCAGCGCCTCGCTCGAGAAGAAGTCGGACAATCTCTTTGTTCCCTCCAAAAGCTGCGGCATAGAGAGCAGTCTTTTCATTGCTATTGTCGGCTTGAGCGTTGACGTCAGCCCCTCGCTCGAGAAGAAGTCGGACAATCTCTTTGTTCCCTCTAGAAGCCGCGACATATAGAGCAGTTTCTTTATTGTCGGTTTGAGCATTGACCTCAGCGCCTCGCTCAAGAAAAAGCCGTACGATCTCTTCGTTCCCTCCAAAAACTGCGGCATAGAGAGCAGTCTGTTCATTGTCGGCTTGAGCGTTGACGTCAGCCCCTCGCTCGAGAAGAAGTCGGACAATCTCTTTATTCCCTCTAGAAGCCGCGACATATAGAGCAGTTTCTTTATTGTCGGTTTGAGCATTGACCTCAGCGCCTCGCTCGAGAAGAAGTCGGACGATCTCTTTATTCCCTCTAAAAGCCGCGGCATATAGAGCAGTTCCTTTATTGTCCTCTTGAGCGTTAACCTCAGCGCCTCGCTCGAGAAGAAGTCGGACAATCTCTTTGTTCCCTCCAAAAGCTGCGGCATAGAGAGCAGTCTTTTTATTGCTATTGTCGGCTTGAGCGTTGAAGTCAGCCCCTCGCTCGAGAAGAAGTCGTACGATCTCAATGTGTCCTTTAGAAGCGGCAACATAGAGAGCAGTCTCGTTATTACTGCATAGGGCATTGATATCAGCCCCTTGCTCGAGAAGAAGTCGCACGATGTCTTTGTTCCCTCTAAAAGCCACGGCATAGAGAGCAGTCTCTTTATTATCGGCTTGAGCGTTGACGTCAGCCCCTCGCTCGAGAAGAAGTCGGACAATCTCTTTTTTCCCTCTAGAAGCCGCGACATATAGAGCAGTTTCTTTATTGTTAGCTTGAGCGTTGACGTCAGCGCCTCGCTCGAGAAGAAGCCGTACGATCTCTTTATTCCCTCTAAAAGCCGCGGCATATAGAGCAGTTTCTTTATTGTCGGTTTGAGCATTGACGTCAGCCCCTCGCTCGAGAAGAAGTCGTACGATCTCAATGTGTCCTTTAGAAGCGGCAACATAGAGAGCAGTCTCGTTATTACTGCATAGGGCATTGATATCAGCCCCTTGCTCGAGAAGAAGTCGCACGATGTCTTTGTTCCCTCTAAAAGCCACGGCATAGAGAGCAGTCTCTTTATTGTCGGCTTGAGCGTTGACGTCAGCCCCTCGCTCGAGAAGAAGTCGGACAATCTCTTTTTTCCCTCTAGAAGCCGCGACATATAGAGCAGTTTCTTTATTGTTAGCTTGAGCGTTGACGTCAGCGCCTCGCTCGAGAAGAAGCCGTACGATCTCTTTATTCCCTCTAAAAGCCGCGGCATATAGAGCAGTGTCTTTATTGTCGGTTTGAGCATTGACGTCGGCGCCTCGCTCGAGAAGAAGTCGCACGATCTCTGTGTGACCTCTAGAAGCCGCCCTATAGAGAGTAGTTTCTTTATTGTCGGCTTGAGTATTGACGTCGGCGCCTCGCTCGAGAAGAAGTCGCACGATCTCTGTGTGTCCTCTAGAAGCCGCCGCATAGAGAGCAGTCTCTTTATTGTTAGCTTGAGCGTTGACGTCAGCGCCTCGCTCGAGAAGAAGCCGTACGATCTCTGTATTTCTTTCTAAAGTAGCAGTATAAAGAGCAGTCTCGCTGCTGCCACCTTGAGCGTTGACATCCGCACCTCGCTCGAGAAGAAGTCGCACGATCTCTGTGTGACCTCTAGAAGCCGCCGCATATAGAGCAGTTTCTTTATTGTCGGCTTGAGCGTTGACGTCAGCGCCTCGCTCGAGAAGAAGTCGCACGATCTCTTTGTTCCCTCTAGAAGCCGCAGTATAGAGAGCAGTTTCTTTGCCCTTGCCTTGAGCTTGGAAGACCGCGCCTCGCTTTAAATCACGTTGAATAATGTTCGTATTCCATCTAGAAGCGGTGGTATAGAGAGGACTTTTATTCCTAACGCCTTGGGCATCAACATCCGCACCTCGCTCGAGAAGAAGTCGCACGATCTCAACGTGCCCTCCAGAAGCTGCGGCATATAGAGTAGTTTCTTTATTGTCGACTTGAGCGTTAACGTCAGCGCCTCGCTCGAGAAGAAGTCGCACGATCTCTGTGTGACCTCTAGAAGCCGCCCTATAGAGAGTAGTTTCTTTATTGTCGGCTTGAGTATTGACGTCGGCGCCTCGCTCGAGAAGAAGTCGCACGATCTCTGTGTGTCCTCTAGAAGCGGCGGCATAGAGAGCAGTCTCGTTATTACTGCATAGGGCATTGATATCAGCCCCTTGCTCGAGAAGAAGTCGCACAATCTCTATGTACTCTCCAGAAGCGGCGGCATAGAGGGCAGTCTCGTTATAGCCACCTTGAGCGTTGACGTCAGCGCCTTGCTCGAGAAGAAGTCGCACAATCTCAATGTGCCCTCTAGAAGAGGCGGCATATAGAGCAATTTCTTTATTGTCCTCTTGAGCGTTAACCCCAGCGCCTCGCTCGAGAAGAAGTCGCACGATCTCTATGTGACCTCTAGAAGCCGCCGCATATAGAGCAGTTTTTTTATTGCCGGCTTGGGCATTGACGTCAGCGCCTCGCTCGAGAAGAAGTCGCACGATCTCTTTATTCCCTCTAGAAGCTGCAGCATAGAGAGCAGTCTCTTTATCCTTGCCTTGAGCTTGGAAAACAGCATCTCGGCCTAAAAGACTTTGGATTATGTTTTTATTCCTAAAGCCTTGGGCATTAACGTCCGCGCCTCGGTCGAGAAGAAGTTGTAAGATCTCTGTGTTTCCTTCTACAGTAGCAGCATAGAGAGCAGTCTCGCTGTTGCTGCCTTGAGCGTTGACATCCGCACCTCGATCGAGAAGAAGTCGCACAATCTCAATGTACCCTCTAGAAGCGGCGGCATAGAGGGCAGTCTCGTTGTAGCTACCTTGGGCGTTAACGTCCGCGCCTCGGTCGAGAAGAAGTTGTAAGATCTCTGTGTTTCCTTCTACAGTAGCAGCATAGAGAGCAGTCTCGCTGTTGCTGCCTTGAGCGTTGACATCCGCACCTCGCTCGAGAAGAAGTCGCACGATCGCAATGTACCCTCTAGAAGCGGCGGTATAGATATCCATTGTTCACGGTTCACTCTGTTCAGTGTTCTTGAGATAGTGCTTGCGTTAGAAAGATGCCCAAGCTGGAGACAAAGCAGAAGTTTCGTTCAGAATCGGTATGAAGAATTCACGTTCTCGTCGGATCGAAAGAGTATAGATAGCAGACCCGGGAGATTGCTGCGGCGGAGAGGCCCTTTTTGTCAAAGGATTAAGAAGTTACTAGTAGGCAGCGTGGTGATGAAATTTACAAGTGAAGGCTTCGAAATTCTTGAAATTAGGCTCTAGTGGACAGTGCTTTGCAATAAAATAGGTGGAGTTCAGCCCAAGAAATTGGTGATTGATGTCGTGCTATAACTATAATAAGGGTATCCATTTATCACCCCAAGGTACCTGTTGTTGATGCCTAAATAAGCCAGGTGCCCATACGCCTTCGAATTATAGGTAAAACTTCTGATTTACTCGGAAATTTCGCTCCAGTCATTTAGCGCCACGCTTATCGAATGCGTATGCAGTAAATTCGAACGACCAGTGGGCCTAAGCTTAATCTGGTCGAGCTCGGTGATCCGGATCAATAGCAAAAATGCCTCACCTGCCAGGCGTAAGAAAAAGCAAGGCGAAAAAGAAATCGGGGCTGTTGGCATAAAGACAAAGAGCGCTATACCACAAGTGGATAAACTAAACTAAACAGCGTAATTCATCGTGGCGGTCCGATATGTGAAGTATCGTTTGTTGTTAGCCATATTATAGCTCACGTCTATGGGACTTTAGTCCTGTTGGAGTGCCACGACCCTCTAGTCCCGCCATACGAGTACTATTGGACTGTCAAGCTTATCTAAATTACAAGTGAACATCACCCGCGATCTGCCCTAATAACTCTACGTAAGAAGCAATGCCCTGAAACGAACGAAGTGAATCTGCCTCAACATGCAGGCAGAACATGACGTAATCGGTCAGAGGAGAGGTATAAAATCATGTATTTTATGCGTAGTACTGGCGAGAGCAGCAATAAGACTTCGGTTAGATCTTCTCTTGTAAAATCTCTCGTCCTCAGATCATCACGTGACGGAGGAATGTGTCATCGGAGCTTAGATTTTCAATAATAGCCAAGCGTACCTCAGAGACTTTACTGGACGCGCTTTGCCAGCCACTTCACTTCCAGCCTCAATTAGTTCGCACGGGACTTGAGGTGATAGCCCGTGGCTTGCTGATCTCCTAGTACGGTGTTATTGGCGTGGAGACCCCTCACTCTGCACTAGTACCCAATAATATGAAACACTCACAATCTTGGCATATGCACACAGCCACCAGCTGATTTGTTGGTGAAGAACAGTTTCAAGAGACGACAACCAATACCACTTTCGCGCTAATCCTGTTAAAGTATGACATACGTAGGAGATCGATTGGACGCAGATAGATCGTACAAAACAAATACGACTAAGAAAATGACAGCGCGAATGCCAAGGGTGAGTTTGAGCCTTGGTTCAGTTTTGTTTTTTCAACGCTGCACACTTTTGAAACAAAATGTTGAACAAATATGTTAATTTCAGTTCAAGCGATGAATATAGAACTGCTCTCCAAGATGCAGCACGCCTTGGAAAGCTGGATGTTGTCATGCTGCTCCTTAAGCGGAGGTTCGATGTGAAAATCCATGGAACTGCTCTCCAAGCCGCAGTAGAGGATGGAAACGTGGATGTTGTCAAGCTGCTCCTTGACCAGGGGGCCGATGTGAACGTCCAAGGTGGTGAATATGGAACTGCTCTCCAAGCCGCAGCACGCTTTGGAAAGCTGGATGTTGTGAAGCTGCTCCTTAAGCAGGGGGCCGATGTGAATGTCAAAGGTGGTGAACTTGGAACTGCTCTCCAAGCCGCAGCATATGATGGAAACGTGGATGTTGTTAAGCTACTCCTTGACCAAGGGGCCGATGTAAAAATCCAAGGTGGTGAATATGGAACTGCTCTCCAAGCCGCAGCACGCTTTGGAAAGCTGGATGTTGTGAAGCTGCTCCTTAAGCAGGGGGCCGATGTGAACGTCAAAGGTGGTGAACTTGGAACTGCTCTCCAAGCCGCAGCATATGATGGAAACGTGGATGTTGTTAAGCTACTCCTTGACCAAGGGGCCGATGTGAACGTCCAAGGCGGTGAATATGGAACTGCTCTCCAAGCCGCAGCACGCTCTGGAAAGCTGGATGTCGTCAAGCTGCTCCTTAAGCAGGGGGCCGATGTGAAAATCCAAGGTGGTGAATACGGAACTCCTCTCCAAGCCGCAGCACGCTCTGGAAAGCTGGATGTTGTCAAGCTGCTCCTTAAGCAGGGGGCCGATGTGAACGTCCTAGGTGGTGAATATGGAACTGCTCTCCAAGCCGCAGCATACGATGGGAACCTAGATGTGGTAAAGCTGCTCCTTGACCAGGGGGCCGATATTAACGTCCAAGGCGGTGAAAATGGAACTGCTCTCCAAGTTGCAGCATACAATGGAAAGCTGGATGTTGTAAAGCTGCTCCTTCAGCAGGGGGCCGATGTGAACGTCAAAGGTGGTGAACTTAGAACTGCTCTCCAAGCCGCAGCACGCTTTGGAAATGTGGATGTTGTCAAGCTGCTCCTTGACCAGGGGGCCGATGTGAACATCCAAGGTGGTGAATATGGAACTGCTCTCCAAGCCGCGGCATACGATGGAAACCTGGATGTTGTTAAGCTGCTCCTTAAGCAGGGGGCCGATGTGAAAATCCAAGGCGGTGCATTTGGAACTGCTCTTCAAGCCGCAGCATACGATGGAAACGTGGATGTTGTCAAGCTACTCCTTGACCAGGGGGCCGATGTGAAAACTCAAGGCGGTGAATATGGAACTGCTCTCCAAGCCGCGGCATACGATGGAAACGTGGATGTTGTCAAGCTGCTCCTTGACCAGGGATCCGATGTGAACGTCCAAGGTGGTGAATATGGAACTGCTCTCCAAGCCGCAGCACACGATGGAGACGTGAATGTTGTCAAGCTGCTCCTTGACCAGAGGGCCGATATGAACGTCCAAAGTGGTGAATACGGAACTGCTCTCCAAGCCGCAGCATATGATGGAAACGTGAACGTTGTCAAGCTACTCCTTGACCAGGGGGCCGATGTGAACGTCAAAGGTGGTAAATATGGAAATGCTCTCCAAGCCGCAGCACGCCGTGGAAACTTAGATATTATCAGGCTACTCCTCAACCTGGGTGCGAATGTTGGAATTCCTACACTTGACTCACAGGGCGCATCATTGCTACATTCTGCTGTCGCTTGCGAGGACAGAGAAACCCTGAATTTAGTTCTTGAAGCTGGCGCACATTTTTACATAGCCAAAGCTGATGCTTTCAACCAGACGCCACTTCATATCGCTGCTTCTCACTACCTAGAAGCCTTTCAAATCCTAGAAAACTCGTTGAACTCAGCTGCCAAGAACGAAAAAGTGGACGCATGGGCCCTCATGCACGTTGCTATCAACGAAAAAGACATTGATGGATGTACCCCTTTACACTGTGCTGTTGAGAATCACGCTTTAGGGGCTGCAGAATGGCTTATCAATCATGGTGCTAATGTTGACATTGAAGATTTCAACAAGATCACTCCATTTCAGCGCGCCTCTCAGTTGAAAGATTTCAGAATGATGAGCCACCTTTTCCCTTATGTCACCAAAGGTTTTATAAAGGCAACAGACTGGAGAGCTTGCGTCCCATCAAGGGCAGAAAGAAATATCATTCTAGCCTTGGGCGGACCAGAGATATCTCCAGTGCAAGTGAAGGATGATCAGGAATTAACGCAATATTTTAATGCGATGTCATATTCCTTGGCTTTCTCCACATCAAGCGTATCAGCACAGGGTGATAAGTGTGTCGCCACTGCTATTTCACAGAGGGCAGTCGTGTGAGCTTTCCGCATTCGGATAATCAGAAAATTAGCTGATCTTTACAGGCTTCTTGAAAACGATAGCCTTCTCGATCAATCTTCTTCTGAGGGGGTCTCCTGGCGATGGTGGCGTAAAGCCATGAGGAAACGGAAACTGGAGGAGCTGAGAATGGAAAAAGATAAACTTAATGTATGGCATTGGAAAGTACAGCTAAATGGAATCCCAAGTGCTGTTGCTCTACGTCAGCCTTCTCGAACTGAATGTTAGTACATATCACCTTCACCCGTCTTAAGACCCCGATACTAATGACTTGAAAGGTTTTCTCGAGTGCCGTGTATCGCTACCCTCATATAAACTACTCCCTCCATCTAATCAGCTGTCAGCTCTGAAGATAGAACGAAAGAATCATGCCATAATTTGGCTTTTGGTTAAGTCCAATCAGCACCACCCGGGATCGACGTCCGGAAATCTAATGCTTGAATCCAAAATTTTGTTTACGATACTGGAGTATTGCGAAATTTCAAACTCACCGGCTGAGCTTTTCTGTCCTTGTATCCAGCAGCTAGAGGATGAATGGAATGATATTTTTGAAGCTGCAGAAGATCATCTTATCAACATGGTATGGGAGCTAACTACATGTTTGGCTAGCCTTGCTGATCATTTACTAGCGGAGGGAGACATTTCGTTCCAACGGAAGAAGCACAGACCTCATCAAGATCCATTTAAGCGATGCAGAACTGTGGACCGACTTCAAAAGGGTGCTTATGATGCAAAGGGAAACCCTTAGATCATTGTGCGATGAAAGAAGCAGACAAATTCTCCAGGAAGACAGCACTACAAAAACGAGCACCGAATTTATTACCAACTTTATGCGTGAAATCGAGAATACAGACAGAAAGGTCAAAGAAAAGATTTTGTCTTTAAATCTGGCCTCTCAAGAGCTGATTCAATTGGTCATCTTCACATCTCATTATATATTGAATTTCACTGACATTACAATAGGAATTCAATCTGACCTCCATCGCAGAGGCTCAGAAATCCACATCTATGAACAGGAGTATGAAACGACTCAGTTGGATCACTGTAAGCTTTAGCCCAATTCCAATTAAATCAGTTGCTGACTGCGAGCAAAGTTCGTTTTCCTACCACTTATGTTTATTGCGGTGAGAATCCCTTATGATAAATTTGCAGACTCGTGGAATGACCGTGACTCATGGTGGCCTTTAGAGTCTATTTGGAATGAACATCGACCTGCTCGAGTCGAACCCGCCTTGGTGGCTATACATTCCATTTGCTGTAGGCACTACAATTCTGACATTGTCTATATGGGTTTTATTTAAGAGCAAAAAGGGCGTAAGTGGCTTGATTTCTATCTATTTCATTTGCTGGCAAAAACCACAATTTTTGAACTGACTCCATGATCTACTAGTTGGAAGACACAATTGAACAGCGATTCAATGCCATTTTCAGACGCAAAAAACTCGGAGACGAGGAAGCCGTGCCGCATGTGAATCACAGGAAGGGAAGAACCATGCAATTTGCAGAATCTGGGAAGAAGAGATCTTAAGTTAGCATTTGAGCTTGTCTTTCTCGCCTTAGGGCCTTTAGTATGGCGTTCTCCTATCTCTTTCCATGCTTAATGCCAAAAAAACGACTCTATGTGAACCCTTGCCTACAGCTTCGGCCACACTATTAAGGATTTTCCACCGCGAAAGAAGCAGCTGGTCTATACATACATGGCTAACAAGTAACTAGGGATTTCAGATTTATTACTATAATTGATGTTGCGCCATGTCGCATTTCACTAGGCCCCAGCCAAAAGCGAGCAAGTTCTGTCCATTTCGCCATCCAAACTGCAGTGCTCTGGTGGGAGTCCATGCATAATAACTGGTGTATTGTGACTATCCAGACAGAAAAGGAAGTTATCTACAGAACCGCAGGGCTTGACACCTAAGGCCTCAACACCCCTTCTGCACCGCCTAAGACCTGTCTATCAAATCCACAAATTCTCACAAAAATCCTCATACCAAATTTCCTATATTAAATTCATCCCCCCTCATCATCGCTTTGATATGGGACCTTAGTTCCGGGGACCTGAAGTCCCAAAAAACTGATGAATTACTCAATTGCGGGTTTTCTAGTACTTCGGTGAAACCGTCAGCTGCACTTTTTCTTGCTAAGATGCACTGAAATCTTGATGTGCAGACTTGCAGTTCTCCAAGAATAGCAGGGACGCGGTCTTACTCATTCTGGAGATATACGCAGTTATGATCCTTGTAACCAAAGGCGCCTTGTGACCGAAATCCTTGTTGGCTTCATGATCGATTGGACACGGGGTTTACTGCTACAGCATCTGCGTCGCGCGGACAGGATTCCACGGGGAAGGGGGTCTCTTATCTCCGTGTTGGTCCCGTCCTGCGTGTCTCGTCCTCTGTCCTAGGTCATGGAACGACTGGCAAGCAGAGCTCAATCGAAACGGTGGCGATGTTACTAGGCGCGGACATTGAGTAAGAGTGCAGTCCCCCTAAATAGCAACAGCGCTATGTGATGTTATTGGGTCAGATGAACGAGATGCTGGTCACTCGTGCGTTATTTCTATGCACTGCGCATTGGATATAGAGACGATTGGCAGACAGGTCTCGTCTGGAAGCGAGCCTGCTGAGCCTTGCCGTTTGAGGTTGAGGCTTGCAGGCTGAACAAGGCGTAATCGGCTAGACGAGAGGTATAAAGCCTTCCATATCGGACCCTTTTTTTCAATCATTAACAATCTGCTTCTACCTCGCTCCAGTCAGTATGAACACTTTTACAAACAATACACGCGGTGCCTATGGTAAGGGATATTCTAGAAGCATTATTGATGTCACTAACTTGCTATTACGAAGCATCAATCCCCAAAGAGCGTTCGGACTTGCCTACACACACACCCGTCGATTCTCCTAAGCCAGGCACGAAAGCCAATCCTATAGTGATTGAAGATGACCTTGCTCCTTTAGGCTCGGCTTCTAACCCGATAGTGATCTATGTTGATAAGGAGCACTGTGGCCATGACAAGGCAGAGGAGCTGGATTCTGATGTCGACACCGAGATCATGGCTACACCAGAATTCTGGGAAAATCTGACTGACGAATGCTTTCCTGTCCCAAAAGACGAAGGTGTAGTCGTTGGTTCGACCTCTGTCCTTACACCGACCAGACTGCTAGGCTGCGAGAACCCAGAACCTCGATTTTTCGGACAATCGTCCGAGAACCATCTTCACTTGGACGAAAAAGCTCTAAAGATGGCTGAGGGTAAATTCCACGTACGGGATTGCCATAGTTCTAAGAATGCACCGTGTGAAAATGGTGCAAAGGGCGAAAGGGGTGAGGTTATGAAAAATGGGTTTTAAAAACTATTTTACTGACAATCTTTAGACAGCGAGCAAAGCAGAAAGACAGACAATATTTCGAAAGCAGAGGAACTCACAATAGTTCACCGCGTGCTTGAAACCTCTTTGGCTGCTAGCGACGCTATCTCGCAGGAACCAAAAGATCATAAAGATTCATCGGATGGCTTTAGCTTCTGTGAAGTAAGATTGAAGAAACGCAAAAGAAGCATGTCTTCTGTCTTCTGAGCTCAGATAACGAGAGCGTTTGGGGAATAGGGCTAGAAATTGAACAGGGTGATATACTCTTTGATTTTATCGCTTTTAAGTCTAGGCGTGACGTACGAATGGTCCTTTTTACTCTCAATCTACCTTGCTATAGGTTTTTCTGATACTATTTTTCCTGTACCGTTATGTGAATGCAAAGGCTCTCTATCTCCAAATTTCATCCGATATTTCCCTACCTCACTTAGACGGCCAACTCTGGAAATGGCCGGGAATCGTTACTATGTCGAGCACAGCCCTAGTCACGAGGATAGAAAGGGCAAGTCTCTAAATAGCTTATAGGCCAGCTCTATAATTACTCACTAATAATAAATATCAAACCAGCGAAGAAGCGAGTAATGAGATGCGTTAGAAGTAGTTAAACCCGCGAATGTCCTGCTTGCTTGAAACCGACGATCAGACCGCTTAGCAAAAGGCTATACAGTAAGCCGGTTATCTGTTCCTAGCGAGAAGTTCTCATGTGATATGATTCAAATTTCTAGTAGCTTCATAGCCGCTACCTGATTGCTATTAACGCGTATAGCACTCCCCGTCAATATAGCACAACAGAGTCATAACCACTTTAGCCTCCCTCCTTTTCTTTTACCAGTAATGTAAGTCGGTCACGAGCATTGTTGACCTGGTTCATTGCTTCTTGAACGGTTTGAGCGGCTCGGGGCTGCGCGATACATCCGCAATTCATGTCGCCTTCATCAATTAATATCGGGACGGAATTTGCGAAGTAAGCTGACCACTTACTGTTAGGGTAAGTGAGTTGTATTTGCAGCACGTATATACTTAACAAGAGCTCCTCTGACGCTCTGTCTAGCTTGCATACTATGTCGACTAGCGTTGGCCATTCGACAGTGACAATGTTACCATCGCGGAAGTCTCTAATGACTTCTACCATACCAACACGCTCAATGACGGACTGTTGAGTCACAAGATCTTGAAGTTCAGTTTCGACATGGGTAAAGTGATGAGAGCAAACGAATATAATGCGTACTGTGCTCAGAAGGTATAGGTGCAAGAGGATTCTCAACATTTTGAGTTCTTAGAACGGAGCAGTGTAAATATGATTGAAAGTATGGTCTCCCAGTGCTATATAAATATCTAGAGGTTGTCGCGTACACCATGAGTCATTAAAGTGGTCGCGTGCATGATGAGTCCGTCTTACAGAATCACATTATTAGCGCGAAGACTGGTTGCCGTCCTTCATCTATGAGTTATCTTATAATGAGTGACTGACACGTTTAACGACAGGCGACTGTGAAGCAGTGGAATTTGCCTACGTCATGTGAGGTATTGGTTTCCCCAAAGTTTCGTTGAGTATGTCTGCGGTCTGACAGAAAACTTCTAACTACGAGATCATTTTGGACGAGGATTGTAACCAAGACAGTGTCGCTAAGACAGGATCCATTTAGCCTCGAGAGCGACCCTTAAGAATTACATTTTATTACTGTTATGGTTGCGGGCGAGAAGGCTTATGTTGGATTATCCACCCTCATGAAGTTGAACGTTCTCGTTTCTTAAAGCCTATAAAATATGGCTCATCTCACGTCATCGAATTGCTGAGCATTAACATGTGATTGTGCAACAACTTGAAGTGTGTGTGACACGAGGACGACGCTCTATATTAACCATGACTGCGATCCCGAGAATCTGCCTCCCCCATAAACGCATACGATCATGGCTTCTGACGCCACTCCCAAGCTTGCTGTCCTCGTTGACGCTGACAATGCGCAATCCTCAATTATAAGGCTCTTGCTTGCGGAGGTTACAAAACATGGTACAGCTCTTGTCAAGCGGGCCTATGGGGACTGGACCGGTCCTGGGCTGAAAGGCTAGAGCGATGCGCTTCTCAAGCAATCAATCCAGCCTATTCAGCAGTTTGCGTACACCCACGGTAAAAATTCGACAGACTCAGCAATGATCATAGACGCAATGGACCTCTTATACTCGAAACGCCTCGATGGCTTCTGCCTTGTCTCTAGCGACAGTGACTTTACTCGATTAGCCACTCGAATCCGTGAATCTGGGCTTACTGTTTACGGATTCGGGGAGCAGAAGACCCCTAAAGCCTTTATTGTTGCCTGTGATAAGTTTTTCTATACCGAAGGCCTTATTCACCCTTCAGAGCCGGTATCGCATTCAACCAAGGCTGAAAGTTATACTACAATTCAACGGGCCCAGCAGAATGATCACTTAGCTAGTCGGTTACAAGATACGGAAGAGACGGCTTTAGATAACAGTGGATGGGCTAGGCTATCTGATGTTGGTCAGCATCTCACAACACACCACCCAGAATTCAAGTCCTCCGCACACGGATATTCTAAGCTGAGCGACTTAATCTCTCATTCGTCTGATTTTGATATCGAGCACCATCCTTTTGAAGAAGGCAAACCCCCAGAACTCTTCGTACGAAATCGGAAGGCTTCTACTGGGTCTACACAAGTCTAAGTTTTTCCGGCTCTGACGATGTTCATGAACGTAGTGTTGTTAGTAGGTAGCTATACTGCCTTGAAGCCGGGTCGAGAAATGGACATTGGAGACCAGTTTCACTTTTCCAATAGCTAGAGTTGGAATCCTGTTGTTTTTTGGTATCGTCTCTGGCTGAAATGAGCTTTTTATGCAAACCCCTTGGGACATGAAGTTTATCTAAATTGCCTCAGTGTCTAAGTTCAATAAATGAAGCTATTCCCACCATGCAAATTGCATGCACCCCCAAAACCTGGCGTTGAGGCCATTCCCAAAACACTCTCTATGTTTGCTCTATTCTGACTCGACCAATAAGAGGGCAGCGTCCTTGTAGGTTTTAAAGTGTCGCAAATAGCGTCAGGGCAATGGCTAAATTTGTAGAGATAGGAATAGCTTCATTTACAATACAGTGTAGAGCGCGGTGCGAAAAGGCGGTCTAGAATCAGGCATCCTATGGCATATCAAGGCATCAACATTATGTCAACTACAGCTAGTATGTGGCCAATCAGGATGCTTTGTCGAACTCTGGTCTGTTATTCCCCTATTTCCGGCAATTTATACTAGGGGTAATATTACATGCTTAATAATAATGCAAATCAACCAAACATTAGTGAGACCAATAATATTGGCCTCGACACATTACAAAATCAGGCATCCGGCCTTTGGCCTCTATGCACCTTCGTAAACGTGGTTTTAAGCAGAGAGAGAGAGAGTTAGAAGTTTTAGAATTCTAGATATAAAAAGCCTATGTCATACTTAAAGTCGAAGTTAGATGTCCCATCGATGTACAATTGGTTATCACCAATGAGGGATATACTTCGACCAGCTTACTATCTGGAAAGCATCCTCTGGTAATCTTCTTAGCCCAATAAGATCCTCCACCAAGATATATGCCCGAGATAAACAATATGCAACAGAAAGAAGGATATTTGGGAGAAGTATTCTCAAAGGAAGGGTCAAGTCTGGATCTCGATCGGGGTGAATATTTCTCAATTTCCATGCAAGTCGAGGGAGTTGCCGTTTTGGTGGGTATTCAAAGAGCTCAGTCTTTTCCAACCACTTAGGAAGAATGACTTCATCAGCATACCCGATACTTAATCCGCCGACAACACTAAAGACGAGTTGATAGACTGCTGCAATGCGCCAGAGAAGCCTTTCCGTGGGGGTAGGAAATTCGAAATTCCAAGCAAATATGAATATGCAAGCAAACAGTAGCACGAATGGAAGAGCAATGCCCTCCGCTGCTCTATCAGGACGAAGGAAGGTATCGGAAGGGAAATGATCGTAAGGCTTAGTGCTCGGTCGGGCGAAAATTGGAATGTGTAAATAGTGTAGGATCTGAACATAATAACGCCACAGGCGACCAGCGACCCATTCATCGCGCGAAAGAAAACCGAGTGGTGTCTGGTACCATCTTTCTTCAGGGTATGGATGATATCTTGAGCGAATAGTAGTAATAGGGGTGTTTGTAGTTAGGATAATGGCTCGTGAAATGTCCTTGGGTTTATCCTTCCAGCAGAACGATGTGACGAAGAAGATTAGAATGAAAGATAGAGTAGTAAGCTCGAGAGTGGTCAAAAAAAGATGTTGGGCTAGACGAATAATACAGTTGATTAAAAACCAAGCTGCTTGCAATACTGCGATCACTCTAAAAAGAGGTTAGAAATGAACTTGCTATCATATCGTAAGCTACACATAAGCAGGAGTTTGGAAAGTCAGAGGGAGAGCCAAGTAGCCTCAAAACCTTTCACTATCCAGATAATCGCAAATAAGGGAGAATAAGATAACTCACCTTGCCATGCCTTCAGATTTACTTTTATCTTGGATGTCCTCGACATCCAACTCTGGATAAACTATGAACCCATCTTTGATCAACCAGAATAGCTGCTCGGCGTCAATTGGAAAAATTTCGCTTCCAGGAGATTCAAGGAGAAATCCACCCATGTCAGCGAAGAATGCATGAGCTATAGTCCAGTTCTCGTATCCTGCCTCGCGGAATCTCTACCCAGTTTGTTAGGAAGCCAACTCATATCCGGGAGGATATTATACATACCTTGACTGAAGCCCGAGCGGATGACCACTGTCCAAGAGAAATGGGTAGAAAAAATTCTGGTCCAAGAAGACCGACCAAGAAGAGATTTATCTTTCCCATCTCTTTCTTTAATGTACCTGCCGATCTTGGAGGAATGTTAGGATAAACAGAAGACCAACAACAAAGGGTAATGGTCAGGATGCAAGTTGAGAGAATAGCCCATGTTCCTCTTCGGTCAGGCTCGTCGACCCAGCGAGCATGGCCTGCTGTACTGTTGGACATCATTCATTGGTATTTGAAAGCCCAAAATCTCAGCTAGCAGGTATAGGGAGGGGGAAATGCATATTTAAAATACTCTCAAGCAGGCAACCACCAAATCCACACTGAGGCTCAGATGCCCACAGTCGGGCGAGCTGGGCATGTTTCGGCCTCGGCCTATCAGGGGTTATGGCTTAGCGCCTACTTATGTTGACTTGCAGCTACACAAATTGCTTTTTTTTTTTTTTGGAAAATATTTTGCTCCTTGGTGTCCTGGGGTTTTTTATTGCTGAGCGTTTCTGATATTCATATCAAGAATAAGATCTTATTTGCCCAAGAGACCGGCCCGAAACTCTCAACTTCAAATTCAGAATAGGCATGCCGGGCGAAGCAAGACAAATTTTCAACAGAGAGAGTAATGTATTGGCGGCTGGGGGCCATAAGCAGTGCCACAATACCATTGGCTCTGCTTTGGCCCCTCCCAGCTGAAGTGAAGTATATTATATCATTGGCTAGTCTACCAACACCCACCTGGACCACTAGTCTACTTGGCATATGCACATAGCCACCTTGTGTGCAGATGAAGGGATGGCGAGTGTGCCCTGTACCCTTAGGACGTTCTCATATGAGCCAATAATTCTGCCAAGATTTTCTTGCTGCTCTAAGGCTGTCGCTGTAAACAGCAGTCAGTGGATGCTCGAATTCACCGCTCCGATCTTGCTTCAAACTCAATAGAAATATGCACACATAAACAAGATGGGTTTGGTTGCTCATTCTCGGTCAATCGAGTGTGCAAATTGATATTATAGAGGTTTTTTGTCGGATTGAACTTGTTGGACAATCAGATATAAGATATTACTTCTATATATCATTGGTCTCTCGTCATCAAACTCAACTTGTAGTAAGAAATCGATAGTCCTCTAGGAATATGTCTTCGCCAAATGGACTCCTGTCGAGGCTTTTGCTGCCTAGCTCGAGAATAGCTCAAGCCTGTCTGCCTTGTTTTGTGTGTGATGGAAACAAAGACTGGATGTTAGATTTGTCCCATAAGTATCGCCGTAGCCTAAGGAGGAGTATGATTGGTTTATCAGTTTCGCACTGGGAGTGACCTACTCATGGAGATCATACAAAAGGGCAATAGAATATGAAGATGATGAATACTGTATTGCGGACGGAGGAGAGAAGGAGAAGGAGAGAGAGAGCGAGAGATATCTATCTATCTACTCTATGGGAGACTATCCTAATGTGGGATGTCACCTGACATCCCCAACACCCCCTTATAGGCTCTCATGCCTCCTCATTTTCATCTTCGATTTGCCGAGCTCCTTCAACCCCGTGTTAGGCGTGCACTTCGAGCCGGGTTCGAGGAGCTAGCACCCCGGCTTCAGCAACTAAGCCTTGTGCCGATCACTTTTGACGGCGGAGGCTCGGCAGCGTACGTCGACCAATTTCGACCAGACACTGCCTTCGTCACTGTTGGGGGCACCTACGCCGACAGCACGAACCGAGCCCCAGGAGACATGAAGGTTTCGTGGAAATGGCATTCTGACTGGCGGCATTCGCAGAATCCCGTATTTCAGGAACAATACAAGCAAGTCCTATCGCAGGTGAATTTCTACATGGGCCAGCACAAAGCGCGCCATGGCTTTGTGCTTACCAACACCGAGCTAATTGGGGTCAAACGTCTCGACACAAACGGCTGTTTGGCTGTCTCTTTGGCAATCCCCTGGACAGCTGGAGGCCATGGTCAACTCACTGTGCTGATGGGCATATGGTATCTAGGGATGCTTGCAGCCGAAGGAACCAACTGGACACTGTAATCTAATTTCGACTTACCCCCCTTGGTATGCTTTTGGTCTGCTTTTGGTCTAAGTTTACAATATAACAACTATATAAATAAAGTAGGTGAGATTACTTATCTTAAAGTACTACCATCGGAAGCCCGAGCTAAGATAGAATATAGCTAAACTTTATGTGTATCGCTCTAAAAAACAGTAGGTCCAGACAATCTAGCCTTGATAATAGAAAGTTTTCTTTGAGCACGACTTATACGCCTTGATGGGGAATGAGTTACGCAATCTCATACATAGTAATGCTAGCGCTGATAGCTGAAACAGCCTCTTAAAAACTTTTGACTTTCTGCCTTTTTTAAACTAATACCCATTCAGTGATTAATGCTAGCCCGAAAGATAGTCTCTCTGTGACCATATTGGCTCGAGGAGGTCACACATATGATCGAGACAATTCTCAAACCACTCGAAAACAGGTCCAAGAGCTCTTGCATGATCCAACCTAGCATATTCCCGTAGGTACGCGGCATGCAACTCCTGGTAGCAAAGAAGTCTCTTTAAGGTAGGATCCTTTGCCTTTTGTTGTGAGACAACCGGATCATCGCTGCTCAATGGAACGAATGATGTCGTCCCATATATCTCCCGAACCCGTGACATACCGGCCTCGCACACCGCAATGTCCACTTGTATTGCCTCATTCGTATTGCCGTGGTCGTCCTGGGCTTGGCTCTCAGAGCGAAGCCTTGGAAGAGGAACGGCAGCAAGAACCACATCATGGAGGCCATTTTTTTCGATATCTTCTATAGGATGAGCTCTACCGTTAGAAAGCAGAATTCGCACGGTCTTATTTAATTAGATCTCGGTGTTAACAACGTAGAAGAAAGGACAACTTACGTGCAAGCGGGTTGGGGTTGGGTCTTTCGCAGAAGCACTAGGGCTTGAAATGGCAGGAAAGACAGGCTGTTCTGTCGACATCGTTGGCATTGCTGCTGTTCGCAGTATCAAGTATCAAGGAGACGACTTTGAATGCGATCTGGGCCTTCAATATTTAAGGCCAAGTTGTAGGCTGGCAATGATAAAGAGAAAGACGAGAGCCCGGGTTGATCGCTTCTTTTTATATGTTAGGAACCCTGGTCGTTCATACCAACATCTTATTCTGGAAGATTTATGTATGCAAAATGTGCATGAACTTGGGACGTAATATCCACGATGTCTTTCTAATTGTCTCTCGACTAGGCCTATACAAGTATGCCAATCTCGGCCGTCAAGCCCGGCATCCTCTCGAAAAAGCAATACATAGGAAATCATAATAAAACCTACAGAATGTTTTTAAGCTGGTGTATTAAGAAAATAGCCATGGCATCCTTATTGATAGCCGAAGGGCAGTTTTGGTAAACTATAATGCCATACATCTAGGGGGGAGGGGGGTCACAGAGAGGAGAATGATCGCGATATTAGATGTCGTATCTTAACCTATTCTAGATTCCTATCATAGTCTAAGATGGAATGATGGCTATATTACTTCGGGTTCAAGTTACAAAAATGTTTTAGCGAGTAATGAAATAATTTAAATCATTCGGCTATTAATCTGATCACGGATTGTGGAGTCCAGACTGTTCAGTCGTATCTTGCGAATTCGGTGATTTCGCCGAGAATTCAATATCTGCACTGTCAGCGGTTCCAAAAATCCCCTCTGAGTTATCCGGCCTTTACTTACAAGGAGGTATAAAATTGAGATGACCAGGTGGTAGCGATTTGTGCTGGGTTTGTCTTTTGAACAACATTTTGGAGGCCCCACAGGTGTCCGGAAGAACAATGGTGGTATCGCTCATCGAAGATCTAGCCGACTGGGTGTGAGTAGGATGACTGGGATCTGAATGAAACCACGCTTAGCATATACAGTGAACATCGGTGAGATGTATCTCGAGCAGCAGATACTACCGTGAATTGGTGGCGCAGTGTTAGGGTTCACAGTTTCTTCTGTGCTTCTGCCTTCTGCGCTCTGCTCTTCTTGGGTTTCTATGACGGATAGGGAATCGTCTTGAATGAATAGAAAAGAACCAATCCAGCTAGGAAGTAGACTTTGTAGCGACAAATTTGGGAAAGTTGGGATGCAATACATAATGGTTCCTTAACAAGCTGGTAGCAATTTCTGGTGATGTAGATATGGAACAGCTGGCTAGCACAGCAACATCAATAGGTTATTATATACACTGGCCAATCGATCTTTTTCACTAAAAGCTCAAACCTTCGTCGATTTTTTCTTTCTTACGCTACAAGGAAGCTAATTTAAGAACGGTACTTTTCTGGATCTGCCTCGGATGGTTAGCCCTTACAGATAAGTATACCTATCAACACTTACAGTTTGAAATGGCGAATTCACTTTATAGCAAACAAAGGTATCACTTAAAACAGGTCATGCGAGGCTCCTGGGCGCCTGGCCCCTAGTATCCTATGGCTCGGCACCGAATCGTTCAACCAGTCCATGTGTAGTGTGGACAGTACCCGCTAGCCATGGATTACGAGCTGCGGATGAGGCCTGGAGCCCTATTCGAGTTTCTAACTTTAAGACCCACACTTCAGTGTTCAACATCGAAGTGTGGGTCCAATTTAGTATCAGATACATGGCGTATTGTCTCTAAGGCTACTGAAAGGTCCATTTTGGCAAAAAGTGGATAACGAGCTGCGGATGAGGCCTGGAACCCCATTCGAGTTTCCAACTTTAAGACCCACACTTCAGTGTTCAACATCGAAGTGTGGGTCCAATTTAGTATGCTTGCAATCATTCGTTTCCCTCCATCACTTCATCATTGCTGTTAGACAATAGAGAATCTCGTGTAGTCGGCACCAAGCGAATAAAATATCACCTAGCCGGTTATCAGTTCATAAACAGCCTACTTCGCCTCGAGCAATATACCCTCCATTACGAGCTTGCTTCCTAGTTCCCAGTTTTCAGCACAAAAAGGTCAGGATTGTTGGCACTTAAGTTCGTTCGTTTTCAGAATGAGTGGACTGCTGACAGAGGAGAAAATAGGTTCATCTACTGAGAGAGACAAGAGAATATGAACGCGGGAATTGCACCGCGATCATACAGACTCCACTGCAGCACATAGATATCGAAAACATTGCATTCTAGATCCCATAAAATACTAGTCACTGAGTTCTGTCAATAATGGCTGACACAGAATATAATTTATTATTATTCTTTGTACCCCAGGCCACATGTTTGTATCTCAGTGGGGTTTTGAGCTGAACGAGTGTGGAATCCATATTTTGATCAAATCTATATCAATCCAAGCGCCTGCCATCCGGTCACGTAGGCTTTGTGATATGGGCTGCAGGGTCACGAGCTCATCCCGGCACACCTAGGATATTATTGGGTGAAAATTTAGTGCTATGCATAAGGTGGCTAGGAGGGGTTGGGCACTATAGGAATAATGGTTGTGGCGTCTCTCACGCTGATGATTGATTTGTACAAATTAAACTGGCCCCACACTTCGATGTTGAACACCGAAGTGTGGGTCCAAAAGTTGGAATCTTGAATTGGGGGCTAAGTCTCACCCGCAGTTCGTAATGTCGACCGTGCGTCCAGGCTTCCAGCAAAAACTAAGGAATGAGCCTGAATCCAGACGAAGGTATTTCTATAATCTACAACTCATCCAAAATGGACCTTTTAGCAGCCTTGGAGACAATACGCAATGCATCTGATGCCACTCTTCACTCGCACGCAGCACAGACCATTCTGACAATCAGGACAATCAGTCAACGTCTTCAGAGTCTAGATCCTGGGTTCCACGCGACTCCTTTGGACCCGGGAAGCGTACAATCTCCCCCACATTCACCTCAATCTTCGGAGACGACAACAAGTAAGGAGCAAGCCGGCGGGTCAGGCCCAAAGTCCCCTCAACCTCTTCAGGCGGCTTGGAGTAGTGATTATCATGCATTTTCCGGGGAACGCCCGGGCGTACCATCTTCTCCACATTCACCTCAACTTTTCCAAGCTATCGAAAGGACGGCACTTAGAGACGACGTCGTCCTGTCATCTTTACAAATACCTCGCGCTCCTAGCTTAGAGGTAGCTCTTACCGTTCCGACCGCCCAGTCTACACCGGATGGAGAATATTCCGGAAGCGCACGCCCGGAATCATCCCGTACTCCTCCGGACCATGTCTCTCAGCTGCTGAAAGGTGTCAAAAAATCAGCAGGTCTGATTTGGAAAGTCAGCCGGGAGTCACCAAGTGCCCTATTGTCTCGCAAGCGAAGCTCCGACGAGGACCCACGATTAGACCATATAAGGTGTATAGAAGGAGATAGATCACTTGGAAACAAGGAAAAGCTTCTGAGGGTTCTTGCACTCAGATCGATAGCTCTTGAGTTCACGAAAAAAGAGCAAGATAATGGAGTCTCTCCGACAAGGCGTAATGCGCTCTACGAGCAGACCTTACTTCCAGTCGTCCCAGATTCTTCTCGCGCCAACGTCTTCAATTTTGGCAAGAAAGACTTCCTATCAAAATCCATAGCGGCTGGTCTCAAGTACATGGTCTTTGAGGAGGTCATTGCCACTCACTGCCACAATCTGCCAAGCATATGCGCTGCCATCTCCGCCATTGTTGCACTGCAGATAGATCAATTTCGGAGACTTCGCTATGACGAAATGCATTGCTTTGCGCAAAGACTGATCTCAGACGATGAATGTATCGAGCTTTCGAATCAGAAGATGCATCTGCTCGATCTTGTACGAAGCCTTAGCCCTTGGTTCAATCAAGTACAAAATGACTACAATTGTGAGTCCACTTCGAAAATCGACTTCTCCTACGCCGTATTAATGGTTCTTGAGTGATCTTCCAGAGTCCGGTTTCGGGGATGGAATCGAGCAGACAGAAGTTACCACGGAATGATCTCGACAGTGCCCCTGATGCTATAAATAATTGTCCTATCTCGATTCCGCAAGATATCCCTAGCAACGGAGCCGATACTCAGAGTCCAGAGTTTGCGCAGCGATTCTATGAACAAATTTTAAACCAACCTATCGATGTTTCTGGGATTATGGATGATATTGCCAACAGGTCTTGTTTTGATTTTGAACATATCGCACTAGACAATGCTACTAGCTCGCCAGAAACTGCTTGATATGATATGTGCTAAATTCCCAGTTTATACCCCCATATCCCCAATTTGGCGTTATCCTCGATGACCAATCGACTTTCACCATACACATGATAGTAACGATCCAACTGAATTTCTTCTTCGCCAAGTGTCACTTTTCCCTTGATGTAAAATGGTATAACTGCCATATAAGGTTTGCCGACTATGTTTACACCAGGGGAGAAAACCTGGATAGCAGGCCTTATTCCGTATGATTTTAGTTGACGTTGTTTTCGAGTCGGGTTGTTCTATTTTGAGTCAGAATCAATCATGTCGAACCTGAATCATGCACCCTCACCAAAGAAAGCTCTTCAATCTTGGTAATTAGCTCCCTGCCGCGGCCGTGCACCAGCATTGTGGCGGATATGCGATCGGAAGGGATTGACAGGGATTCCGCTATAGACCGATCATTTTCGCAAGCCTCAGTGTAGATCGCCTTGATGGATGAAGGTATCTCCAAAGATTCCACCAAGTTTTCTCCCGGACCGTGTGTATCCATAGATATGCGCTTCAAATATGAGATATGAGTGAGTCCGAACGTCGTTGAGCTGCACCGAAATTTGCAGTTTATCAGGAAACGCCTGTTAGGATGATATTGGGCAGAGAAAGGCGCGGAGGAGCGGGGGATATTTCTTCCGTTGTTGAATGAACACCTCTCGTCACCTCTCTTATATTGCCCGCTAAATTCCGTGGTTTGATTCCATCGCTTTCCGAAGTCTTGAGTATTCCTGAATCTGGCGGGGGGTTGTGTCACGTGCTATGCATATCATTTGACCCCACACGTGACTTAGCTGGCGGTTTAAACAGCTCATCAAAATGCATTCCGGCTTGACTACTCTGATTGGCTTCTGATCCCTGTCACAGACTTTCTTTGAATATAGTCAGAGAACATAGTCAGAGAGGCCGTTGAAATTCTCTAGCCCTGTACCAAGCTGCACTTTAATTGCTCTGTATCTCTCATAATTACCGTGGCATCAAACCAAGCCGCGAAAAGTGACGAGGTTGCTTATAATACGATACCAAAAATTCACAAAATGCCCATCAGCCAGGGACCATCATGAACTGTATTCCTAGCTACGAAGACTGCATCCGAGCTGGATTGTTCCCATTCTCTGTATTCAAGACGATCCTCAAGAGCAGAGCGCAGTATGCAGAAACATAGAAGCCGTGAGCCCTACTCGAAATGCACATGACCAACGTGCATTTCGAGTAGGGATTTTTCTTCCAGACCTTTTCTCAAGTCCCAAAAAGGCAATCAGGAATTCGCTGCCTGTTGGACATTACAACTACATAAATCCTTGTAAGTAAAAGCTCGGGGACTCGATTCAGTGCCCAGCTGCAGCGACCAGTCCCAGATTTTCAGCTTCATGGTGGGATCGCTGAATATAAGTCTGTAGGTTTTGTTATAAAAGCACCGTGGCTTTCCCAGTATACTAACGTCTAGAATCTAAAGCAACGCACTTTTTTCTACCCATCGACAGCTATCATCATCGGGATTTCCGCGTACAAGATACATTTTCTACTGGTAAAAGGGCCCCAACTATAATAAGACTCACGCTGACTTGAACTTTTCTGTTATAGTTCAAACGGGCAATTACTGCCTCGCTTATCACTACACCTAAGATCTAGGAGGTATGTGGTACCATTGTGTCATGATATCAGGCACCGAGCTAATATATAGTGCGAATAGAACAGTCGCCTATCATGTGTTGGGATTATACCATCGTATATATATGCAAACACTCGGAAAAATATGAACATAGTATAATGAAATGTCCTCAACGTCTTGACAGGGGCAAATGTGACATGGGACCCATACCCATACCCAAAGACTACCCGTTGTCTTACAAATGCAAAGGTTGTCAAGAGGAGGAGGAACGGCAAGAATCTCTTCGGAATGAACAAGCAGGTGGCAGTGATGGAAGCGCTAGCTGAAGTATAAGAAAACACATGATATAAGCATGACCTGTATTCGGCTCAAAACCACTGTGTAGGATAGAAGTCGAGTACCTAGCTCAAAGCCTAGGAGGGGAAGATGTCTCAGAATGGCAGTAGATGAACGCGGCTTTCAACCCTAGCTGGCTCTTCGCTGTATAGGAATTTGGCTTCGAACAGACCGAAAGTAGCAGACCAGAAGATCTGGCAAAATATGCGATATCATTATTATCTATAAGCACTTTCCTCCCTTCCATTTAGCATTAAGAAAAAAGCTACTTTTGAGCCTGCTTAGTCTAAATTTTTTCGTGACTGATCAGTGTCCCGAGCTGTTTAGACGAGTATCGCTTCTTCAATCCGGGGCACTGCTGTTCTGGATCCAACAAACGAGATCCCATTTCGGCATACTACTAGCCATCCGCGTTATGTGTCTATCAAACATAAGGAATTCCGAAATGCCTACTCAGTCAAGTACTCCAATCAAACTCCAAACAGCCAAATCAAAGGTAAGTACGCCTTCCGGCTCGATTATTCTCGATTGTTTCTGACAGTTCTCCTATTATAGGCCAAGCTGCTAGACATAGGTACACTTAACAGTGTGAGCAAATTCACCAAACATGTGATTATGTACGGTCATAACTCAGTCGGTGTGAGCTCTAGCAGCAAACCAGACCTTGTCTTTTCTGTGGAATATAACGACGGATCTTCTGGCATTGTGCGCTGTGGTCCATGGGTCTACGGGTACCCAGAAAGCATAAAAGAACTTACATTGCTTCAGATTAAGGTTTGCAAGGCGAAAGAACTCGTGAATTGGACTTATGTAGGGAATAAATTTGGACTCAAGAAAGAGGATATGATGCGCCTTTCATGGCCGAAAAGGGCGCAAGTCTCGTGTTCTGATTAGACCTTCTTTATTACGAGATAGGCGACAAACTCTTTAAAAGCATTGCAAGCATAGAGGTTTTCACCGTGTGATAAGTGTCATCGAGGGATCAACAAGTAGTAGAGTGCCCGTGTGATATTGGAGATATTATGCTAAATTTTCGTAGTCCATTTGTCACTTGTAGTAAGAGCACCGCGGAAATCCCGCATATCGCTATCGACATTTTTACATGCCAAGACCAAGCTCGCTCAATCTAGGGCTTCCGACACTTTATAAAGCGTCCGTTCTTTCCTGAAAAACCAGTGCCGGTCATCTGAATCATCATATTCCACCCCAATTTGTGTCGACATTGAACTCCTTTAAACTCCTTAAGGCCAATTAATCATCTACGTATCTCCCGTGCTGCCTATATAGACCACGGTCGTTGATTTCCGCTGCCAAACATCTCAACGTGTGCGATGAAGAGATTTGCCTCAGCCCCCAAAGAGCCCCTAAGCCGTGATGCTTTTGTACGCTTGTATTCTGTGACTGCCAAATTTATGTCATTCGCGCTGACATTGTGATACAGCCCATTCACTACGCAATGATTTGTCTCGATCATAATGGCGAGCTCATGACGTACGCATCTCAGTCTGTTAAGCTCGACGGTGTGTTTACTTCGGAAGTTCGCCAGAATTTTCTCAGCATTCTAGGCGAAAGCATCGACTATCAACAGTCATCTCCACGTGGGCTGAAGCGCCGTAAGAGTGAAGCATCCGCCACGTCTGCTTTTGAAATGGCTCTAGATGAACGGGACATCGAAAACCTTCCTACTGGTTCTACTAAAGCAGTCCTTCTCACAATTGGAGAAAAACGGAATATTACGGAATATTATGTAGGCGCCCTTACGGAGTTTGGGCAGCTCAGCTGCCGCACTCTCGCGAGGGCATTTATCAAATTCATCGAGCCACACAAACGAAGCAAATACCCTTACAATGGAGGCAAGCGCCCCCCAGGATCCACCTCAGGCACTAAGCGTGACCCCGAAAAGACTAAGCCCAAATGGTGGCCCCTTAATGTACCTCATAAGGAACCTGATAACTTGAAGAAAACAGGTAATCTTTTTTATGAGTTGAAAAGACCTTATTTCGGCTAACACCTTACCTAACTAGACCGCATCGAATTGCTACTTCACTTTATTCGCAAGCTCGGTGGTCAAGGAGTTACTGCCGACAAGCTAAGGGAAGTTGTTGTAGCTACCGAAAGGGGGTTAGTGAATGCCGATATCATCTATGACATTCTTCGGGTTCGAAAGTTAGAGGAAGAACTTGAGCGATGCAAAGTTGGTAAGATCTGAGAACTCCTAGAGAGTGCTTTTCGGTCGCTAACAATTATCAGATGCTAACACGGACGCCTACGTCATATACTGTGAAAATGATGAATACGATGAAGATTACGATGACGATAATGATGACGAGAAGAAGGAGTCTTTTGCTGAAGCAGCCTCAGCGGCTGTTGGAGAGCCTCTGCCAAGCAAGCAGGAACTGGCTGCCCTCACCACCACAACAATTGAGCCTCTCTATTCGACACCAGCCTATCCTCCTCCAGGTAGCCTCTCTATGCCCAACCTTCTGAGTTTCGAAGCTAGCAGTCGACCCCAATACAACACTTTCTACCATCCCGCGCTCAGCACTCCCATGACACATTCCATTCGGCACCCTGTCCTAGCATCTACCTATGCTCATAATCAAACTCGAGATCCAGGTTACTACGGGCGCGCAATGAATACAGAAAGCTCACAGGACACTCCGATCTTCTATCATTATCAGGTTGAAGATCCAAGTTACTAGAATTTGATCTACCACTACGCTCTTTGATTATTCCCGTTGCCAGGATACACTTTCAGAATGATCAAATGATATCAGGCTTTCCCCTAGAATTTTTACGATAACAGTATTCCGTATGGAAGTAGTAATAAAAATTGAGCATCGCGAATATCTCCAGATGCGAACACGTTTTGCATCATCTGTTTCTACACGACAAGCTCGCCGTTTTGCTGACCGAGGTGGCTGCAAAGACGGGCGACACTTCAGAGAAGAGCGATGGAAATTGATAATCAAAGCACGACCAAGCTCCTTGTTCCAAAGCACATTTTCACACCGTAAGTCTCCATGAATTACGCCCAAGGCTTTGATTTCTTTATTCGACCTTCGAATTTCGCGGCAAAGGTGCGGCGTAAGATCCATTGTGGCTGTGCATTCACCGCCCCAGCTCAGAATGAGCATGTGGCGAATCTGTCCGGCGCCATGACTATGGGGATTTAGGTATCAAGAATAAGATCGCTAATTAGAGGTAGAAAATAGATTTCCTCATCACGAAGCCCGAAGACGTTTTGCATCTCCTGCCTCCACTTGACATAGTCGTCGTTTTGCGGCCCCCGGTCGCTGCTTAGCCGGTCGGCATCTCAGAATAGAACGGTGAAAGTCGATGATTAAAGCACGCCCGAGCTCTTCACTCCAAAGGACATTGTCTTGCCTGAGGTCTTCATGTATTATCCCGAGAGCTTTTATTTCCTTGTTCGATTTGTGAACCTCGCGGTGAAGCCGTTGCGTCAGCTCCATCGTTGCTGTGCACTTACCGCCCCAGCCCATTACGAGCATATGGCAAATCTGTCCAGCACCATGTAGAAAGTAGATTTTTGCTAAGTCAATCGTTCCCAAAAAGACAGGAACAGCAGATCCTTGAGCCTTGCGCAGGATCTGATAAACCTGCGCTTCGCGTGAAACTTCTTTCCACAACCCGGAAGTGGTGCCTTTACCGATAACCGTGTAACCATATCTTGTGCAAGTCAATTTAAACGGGGCTCCGTAGGAGCCACAACCGCCAAGAGGAATGCAACGATCGATATTTTCGTCCAATTGGCCCTTGAGTGAAAGCATCAAATCTTCAGCCGAGATAGGATGCTGAGTAGGGTCGTCTTGGCCCCGACGGTGATAGTCCACGTTTGGACACAACCCATCCAGTGATTTTCCGGTCTGCAGGCCGAGTAAACATCGCTGTGTGCAGAATTGAGCAGCGCGGCGTCGGGAATAATCTTCCTTTTGGTCATGCATTGACTCTTGCTGGCGACCTGATCGTTGAGCGGACGGTGAAGGCGTGACTTGACTGATCCTCCGCTTATGGCCAGATGTTTGATTGGTGTCGGACCCGGACGAGTTAGGTGACCGTGAACGCGGTCGGATCTTCGAAGGTGCACAGCTGGTTTGAGAGCGTGTAGGCACTCGACGGCCCTCTGAGGGAGACGGCAGCGGAGATGATGACGGTAATTCATAGGACGAACCAGATCCTGGGCTCGGAAACTCGGGGTTAGTACTATCAGAGTGAGGAACCTGCTGTAATTCACTTCTCGGGATTTGCGATCGCGTATGTTCAAAGCTTGTTTCCCATATATGAAGATCGGGACGCAAGCGATTTCTCCACTCTTGCCCACGGGTGGGTGAACGGAAGGCCATCAAACAAAGACATAATACCCTCGCAACAGATGTCTTCGATAGCTGATGATTTATATCGCCTGCTATGTCCACTTCGTTGTGGGGATCACAAAAAAAGTAGTACAACGTGGTTGGATCGTCCTGTGGAACACGAAGTAGGACACGGGCAATTCCATTTGTCAGATAGGAATATTCGAGCCCTTCTTGAATCATCACATGGTATTCTTGGACGATAGCAGAGCAGACAAGCCGCTCTGCATTGTACCTCAGCTTCGCATCCTGGTCGGTGGGTAGTTTATTTGATCTGACCATTTCCTTCCACAGCTCCATTGGTCGTAGTCCCATGCGAAGAGTTGCGACAGGCAGTTTATGAGGCGGCTTGTACTCGACGGTCGTCAGCACGGTAGTCGTGTTGCCGTCGACACGATGAATACAGACCTGGTCTGGTCGTGGGTGAGGCGTGCTTGACAGCTGACTTGTATTCGCTTCAAAGGTTTCATTCCTGCTCAAAGAATTTGTGTGATTGCTGAACTGGATTCCATCACCGAGGCCAAACTCGTCACAGGCCGCCGGTATTTTGCACAACTCGGCTATTATATCATGGACATGATCTTCCACTCCAAACCGCTCATATGCCTCAAGATCTTGTTCGCTACTGAGTGGTTTGCGAGCAAACCGACGGCCAAGTCCTTCTAACTCCGGTAGAGACGAAAATAAGCGTGGCGCCTGCCCTAACTCCGACTGTAGATACTGGCAGGCAGACTTGTAGACACGAAGCAGCTGCTCTGGGCAGTCAACCCAATGTTCCAATCGAGTTGGACAGTCTTTTCCGGTCGGAAGGGGTATTTTGCCAGTGGTTGAGCGAGACGGTGTCTCGACTCGCAACTGGCGGGAGAGAAGGTCATGGCAGTGCTGCAAGAGCTCTGTGAAAGAGGCCTGTTGGTTGCGTTCTTCTGCTTGTCGCCTCCTTTCTGCTTCCTGCCTCTCGCGTTCTTCCGCCTGCTTCTCGCGTTCTTCCGCCTGCTTTCGTCCTTCTTCTGCCTTTAGGTAGAGGTCTTTATAGTTTGGAGAGCTGTGGTCGGTCATCGATTTGTTGGAAAGGGGGAGTCAGGCCTCGACCCAAGTGCCTCCGATCAGCTTTCTGCCAGCAGATCCCGGATCCCGGAAATTCCATTATTCCGAAAATTAACTTTGGCCCACAATTCAGGCATGCTTACTGACTCAAAGCGATTAGGGCTTGTCTTTACTCTACTCTCTACTCAGAGTCGCAACGCTCCTTCCTGAATCAGTCTTTCATTCAGTAATGCAGCTATCCCAGTTTAGATCAAGACGTTCAACACCATGGCTAATTAGCCTTATTGAAACAACGGCGCCCTCAGAAACATCTTCCAACCGATGATTACATATCGTATTGCTGTCCCGCGGGTTAGCATATCGAATTCCTCACGTTGACAAGGCTGCTCAGGATACACACCCGTGTAATAATGTTGTCAATATCAGCGGCAGTCAAGTTCAAAAGTCGGTTCACATGGGCGAGATCGGCCATGGATTCATAGAGGTATTCTATAACAGCAGCTCGGTTCCATCCCTCTTCTTTCAGCCAAAGGTGAGGGTTTTGATCTCGAAGCTCGTTCAATTTATTGCGAACGGCAGAAACTGTCCGCTTGTATGATGGTGGCATATTTGTATAGAGTATTCCCCGGATCTCCGCTCGTCGATTGGTCAAGATATCTGCGATTGCCTCGTGCCTGTAGTCCCACATTGAAAAAACAAGAAGTACAGCGGTCTCCTCTTCCGTCCACGGAACGCCCGTCATCAGGTCGATTTGATGTTTAATCTTGCAGAGAACAAAAAGCAGGCGGAACGGAGGACTATTTATCAAGCTTATTAGACGGCCTCTCCGAATCGCGCTGCACTGATGCGCAGGAGCTGAGCAGCACAGTCTATCCGTAGTGCCCGGAACCAGTCCTTGACTAGCACTTACGCATTATGCTGTGGGCGAGGGTTAGGGATCTAGTTTCCGGGGATGTGAGTTTATCATATTTCAATACTATTGGTTGAAACCTTGATAAATTGTCCCAAATCCAGACAAAGAGAAAATCCAGACAAAGAGAAAACTCAAAATACAAAACAAGTAGTTCACAAATAGTGGAGCAAAAGAAAATGAAACCAAAGACAAAAAGCAATAAATAAAGTTAAAAAGAGCGCCAGAAATGGATGAAACATTGATAATTGTCTCCTTGGTGTGCTTACGGAAAATCGATGATGTTAATGTCAAACTCTCCATCGGTTGCGGAGGCCGGAGGCTCATCCTTCAAGTAGCCGAGAGCCTGAAGGGCATTGTGCACCTCTAAGACCCAGGGGTTCAGACTTTCGACTTGGTATTTGCGGATTTGTTCAAAGGTGCTATAGGATTTTATGATCAGTAACATATATAGGGATCATAATATAGAATGGCTCACGCTTTTAGCTTATCCAATCTAAGTTGTTGTTAGAAATGCGGAAAATTACGATGGGGCGTAATAACTCACTCCACCTTCATGGCTTCTTGCTGCGACCGCTGCGACTCGACTAAAAATTTTGCCCAGTGGGCTGTCTCCAACGCTTCCTTTATCTCAGGCCCAGAATTCGGAAAAGAATGAGGCGAGGGTGATTCATTCGATGATTGGACAGGTGGCGTATTTGGAGAAGATGCCTCTTCTTCAATTGGTGGGAGCGGGGGGAAGGAAAGAAGGCTTTCTGGGCCCTCACTGATCATTGGGACGAGGGTTGGGTCACAAAAAGAACTGAATGCCGCGATATCTGGCATGTCCTCTAGGTTGCCAAGAAAATTTTCAAACGGTTCGATGTCAGTATTCTGACCCAGGCCTGCCAAGAGGCGCTCAAATTGTTCGTCGCTGAAGCTTCCCATAGTTTATAGGGAAGTGAAGAAGCGTTGTCAATCAGCTGAATGCAGAATTTCCACCCTTTAAATCCTGTTGAGCCACGATTCCTAAGCGGCCGTGCCGCGAAGATCGTGGTCTTTACAGCGGCCCCTTCCTGAGTCCAACCTACATGCTCTTCGTCGCTACAGCGGCTCCTTCCTGAGTCCAACATGCATGCTCTTCGTCGCTATAGCGGCTCCTTCCTGAGTCCAACATGCATGCTCTTTATCGCTATAGCGGCTCCTTCCTGAGTCCAACATGCATGCTAACATAAGCCATTGGCACATCCCTGTCCATCACATGCAGTTGTGTATCACATTTCACCACTCTTAAAGACGAAGCGCTTTTATGAGTCCAAACAGTTTCCAGAACCATTCTGTACACCTTCCTGGAGAGAAACGCTCCCCTCAAAGATTACGAGCACATCCACGGATTGCTGAAGGTTTGCATCTCGCAGTCCCGATGTCTTCTTAGAGATTCTGATTCCTTTTACAGCTATAGACGCCATGGATCCAGTGTGTGAGCTCCAATTTTTACAAAAAGCACATGTGGAGGACCAAAGAACTATCGATGAATTGAAGAAGCAGATTCAATATCTGAGACAGACATTGGAGGACTATAACGCGACACTATCGCGATGTCTAGTTGCACTTGGGCAGAACAAGAAGTAAATCAGATATCTGCATACTTCCTTTTCCTTGGCCTCCCGGCTTGCTGCCCTTCACATATGGGACAACCTCCACGAGAATTTAACTTATGATTAAGAGATCCAAAACTCCATTCCAGTCCTTGTTGTTCAGTGAACCATTGTATCTTGTTTGGAAAGGCACTCAGTCGGTGTGGCTCGCCACCAAACCGAAGTGATAGTGTGAAAGTGTCTTTCACGTTCCGGACGATGAATCGCACTGGTCGGAAGTATCGATCGCAATGCTGGCAAATATCCTCAGTCGTCAATTGAAGACCCAAATTTATTCCATCTTTATAGAATTCCTTAGCGGTAGAATCAAGCTTGTCCAGGCATCCAATTACATGCCGCGCTGGGGCTCGACACCGAATTGAACCAACACATTGGATTAGACCAGAAAAATATTTGGGCTTGGCATCGAGGCAAAAGAAGAAAGACGTCGTAAGTAACGAGATGACTGCATCTCTCTGTGTTCGGTCACCTAATGGATTAGCCCGGACAAGCTTCGATAGCCTATCCATGCATTCGGTATCGTCTAGTCTAGGTAATCCACCTGTGATAGATAGGTCAAAGCGAAAGTAGTCATCTCGATGGGTATCATCGACCACCCCCAGAAATTCCTTCCAGTTATTTTGACCGTCGAAAGATGAAGAGAGAGACCGATAGATACGCGGAAGCCATCCGTCCAGAAGGACGTTGCGAAACCGCGGGACTGTCGAAGAGATGTTTTCAGTTTCAGACCCTGTCCCAAGGGAAATAAAAACATCGGGATTGGGGCAATTCGGCCACAGATGCTTTGCCTCTGAGAGAGCGAGGTTGATTGGATTGTTGTGTCTTCTCATGCCGCCGTCTTGGAAGGTTCCAACCTCGGGAATATCAATAGTAGGAAACAAGCTATAGAAGTTAGCACTTTATAACTACGCCAATACCGGAATTTACTTACCATGGAGCAGCGGCAGTAGCACGAGCTCTGGAATCAATTGAGCAGCGATCGCAGCATTAGGAGATTGTGTTACTTACACTTGCCAAACAAACGGTTCGCTTGCACTGTCAGGTCGAAGCCTCCCATAAGCTATGTATCTGTTAGTGCAAAGGACGACAAGATATTTCAACCAGAAAAACAAACCTGACTGAGCCCTATGAGGCGCTGCCCCGTTGTAGTTGGTAAATATGAATGGAGTCCCCATTTTGATCTCGCTCGCGGATACAGCAACCTTCCCTGCCGATATGCAAGCCTGCGGTGTATCAAACATGCGCCTTGTCGCTCCATAATGATCCTGTAAAGCATCTTCAAAAGCCTGACCATCATACAGACCATCTGATAGCCATGAGCGAAGCAATCGTTTCTTCCTTGCTGGCGAAAGCACCTTTTTAGCTAAATCCTGAAAGAGGGCATTGCAAGATCTGATGTCCATGCGAAGCATAAACTTTGAAAGTGCTACGAGCCCACCTGAACTGCAACCAACTACAAGATCAATCATATCACAAAGAGATAACTCGGAACCCAAGAATTCCTGCAGGATCTCGAGATTCCCAAGTGGGATAACAGCCCGCGGTCCACCCCCATCAATGCTTAAAACCCGAGCGGCGCATGTGGCTGGCTTTATGCGAACCGTTAAACGCTTAGTGGCCCCACAGAGAGTACAGCGTGTAATGATATACTCATCCTCTGCCGACAAAGAGATGTCCCCAAATGTCATAGCACAGATATCACAGATGGAGTGACCGCAAGGAAGCACATGCTCTGGACTTCTTCTGATGCACACGAAACAGGTCTTATTGGATCTCAATCCTCCCCAATACCTATTGTGAGGTCTCAAATTGTCATCATGGACTTGCGCGTACTGAGCAGATTCGAGCCTCATGCATTTAAAAAGAGTTTCGAACCGTTTCCTGATTCGCTCGCATTGAAATCTCGCGAGCTCCTCCGTGATATATACTTCTCGGTGTGCTAGATAGCAGATATCGTAGTAAAGCTTTTCAAATAGTGCCTGAGGAGAGAAAACTGTCCTCTTGTTAGTAAGCAAACAAAGTTATAATGAAGAGGCGTCACAAACAATGCATCCCTGGCGGATAAGCATCCATAAGGATAGCTGAAGCAATGTGGGATGTTATGCCTTCATACGGCAGCGTGGCCTTTCCGCTCACTCTGAGAAAGTCTATAAGATGGGAACTGAAAGCTCCATCGAGAGGATTTTGCTGTCTTGTAGCAGTGATGAAGTCAAATTGATCAGTAGGGAAAAGGCAAACATTTTTAGTGGCCAATTTGAAAAGGTCGCTTAGATGGGCGGCAGAGAACATTACTCCATTTTTTATACGGGTAGAGCGTGTGTTGTGCAGCTGCTTTGAAATATCAGCACCAAGTGAAAGGAATCGAGCTTTGGAAGATAGCTCTTCTGACGGTAGACGGCAGAGGCGGACATCCGAGAATACTTGAAGTAAGTCTGGATGAGCAGAATTGAGTTCAAAAAAGAAATCCGTCTCGTCAAGTATATCGTGAGTCACGCTGCGGACTGCGTTGCTAACAACAATAATGATCCTTGGTCGTATGGCGCATGGAAGGGAGGATGCAGATCCAACGTGCACCCACTTTGACAACATATCGCGCACAGCATTGAGCCCCCCAACATCGTCTGCAAAAATACAAATCACGTCAACAAACATAAATAGTAACCGGCTCATAATAACATCATGCGTCGAGCAATTCGGGGGTAACTGGCCCACCGACAAGACATCGTCTTTATGGCAACTCCTTGTCCCCTCTATAACTGGCTGTAGGGCCTGACATGTTGGGTCACAGTCAGCGAAGAGCCGGGGATGCAAAGTATGCAGTGTGCGATTATCAGTTCTGATATTCACGGCATGTCTCCGTCGTGGCCCTTTGTAGTTGCTTTCACAAAGGGAACGAAGTGCTTTCTCTTTAAGGTGACGACCTAAAAAGAAAGTGATCTGGGGTGTTTGCTCCGAGGGGTTTGGCAAGCTCTTCGTAATCTGTGGAAGCCTCCAGCCATGGTTTACTAAAGGCCCTGCCTCACTTTGCCAAAACTCAAGCCATGCAGAGTGATCGCATCTCGCCATAATTGAGAAAAAGATATGAGGTTGTATAGAATACAAAGAACTTTTTCAGCGAGCAGAAGCTGCACCTTTTATTTGTTTCCTACCACAACTTTCTCACACCACGACTTTCTCGCACCACGACTTTGAACCTCGCACCACGAGTTACGCTGGAATCTTGGAAAAATAGAACAGAATAAATTTTCAGCCTTTTCTCAGCCTTACAATCAAACCGAACCAATAGCAATCCTCATTCATACTAATTCAAGATTGGCCACCCTGCACACTTCTTGAAAAAAAGAATACCGAATGTGAGAACGGTTCCCTGTATGATCTGATAAGCGATCCAAGAGTAAGAGAAGAAATTTGCGCTTTATACCTTAGGGGTAAAAACGATTGAGAGTTTCCCCATTTATGTGCAAGGGACTATGTATTAGGTTAGCAAGTAGCTGGGCAACTAGGCAGGCGGGAAGGCCGGGTGGGAATGTATACAGAAATTGGATTGATTTCTTCCATTTCTTTTTTAAGCCATCAGAAGACCTTTGTCGCTCAACAGGAAGATAGGAATTAAATAAGAACGTCAGTTCCTCCCAAGTGTGATCTGGCAACTGAGTTCGCAATGAGATCAAAAAGCTCGTTTCAGAAGCTGACCAGTATTTTTTCATCGTGCTATTCGAAAGGAAAATAGATTTTCTTCTGGCTAGCAGGTCAGCCCTGGCCCTAGGGGTATCCTGTTTATAACACACTGGACTCATTATGAGCTTGGCGCTAGCGCCGTAAAAAGGAAAGGACTAAGAGCCTATGACGCAGGAAGATATCTTGGCCTCGCCCGAGACAGCCGGCAACCTATCGGGCGCATCCCAGCTGAGGTGATAAACCGGACTAGCCATCATTCGCTGGTAGCGTTGATTTTCCCCTCAAACTAGCGGCTCTGCATTTAACGCTAGCACGAAAACAGAAAGGTACCAAAAGCCCCTACAAGGGTAGATGCAAGCCAGACCCCTGGCTCTTGGGACTTTTGCCATCTGAAATCAGTTGCAACGGGGTAGGCGCATGATGATAGCATCATGTGACCACGATACAGCAATACCTACATACAGCGTGGCTTCCTAGGGCTTTAAGACCAGCTACTGATATCCCTCATCTCTCAAACCTAATGGCTGGTTATTCCTGGACCGAGGAGGAAAAGGCTCTTGTAGTCTGGTTCGCATCTATCGGGCTCACTCACTCAACTATATCCCAACTCCTCCGGCACCGCAGCTTTGACAGATCCTTGACGGCAGTCCGGAACAAAATAGCTGAGCTCCGCAAGGAGTTTGGACTTGGGTGTGCTTCTAATAAGCTAGACATTTGGGCGGTCGACAATTGGATAAGACAGTTACCACTTAACTGTGATCCTCCTTACTTGCTCATGCCTACACTGCTTGACCAGCAAATCATTATGGAGGTACGACTTGTGATATTGATTCAAAAATGCGAACTAAGTCTAGTATAGTGCACTGGAATTGAAGTTCTTCCCATTTATTATCTCCGCTATGGCCTCTCAGAAAACCACCATCTCTGATGTATTCACTAATGAGCTGATATAAAGAGGGTTGGTGATTATAATGTGGCTGGTACCTAAGCGTATTGTCCGAATCATCGAGGCTCAGATCTTGAGAATGGGTGGCCGGGACACTCTCATAGCATTTTTTGTTCGAGCTTTTTTGGCTTCTGCTGTTTCTTTTTGTTGCTGAGTGTCATCAAAGCTAGATGGGTCCCAAAATTCTGGTCTAGGCCAGTGGTTCCACTAATTAAAATGAATAATGTGGTTCTTCAAGGTAGGAGCTATTTGATCTTACCACGTCTTCAACATTTGGAATCCATTCCAGCTCAGGGTTGGAATCGTATGTTGCGTAACGAACCTTGGATTGCTTCGTGGTCATGACCAAAACATAAACACGCCGATCACAGCCAGTATCTAAACCGTCAACATAAATATCATTTGCTTTCTTGAATGAGGCCTCCTTGGCTCGATACCAGCGCATTCGATCCGCCTTAATTCTCTTGTGAGGGTCTGGCTGTGACCCGCGCTTTCTTCTGTTCTCTCTCCAGACAGATGAGTTTTTAGCTGGTTTTGGCATTGTGATTGATTTGAGTCTTGATTTCTTATTGAGCCTTCTCCCTCACTTTATATCCTCCAACCCCTTCATCGAAACACGACCGAAACGTACTTGCTATTTTTGATATCAGCGTGACGCCCATACCCCTAAGGCGTGACGATCATGAGTCTATCGGTGGGTCTATCATGAGTCCATTTATTTCAGAGTCCTGTAGCAATGATCCACTGAACAGCACTTGAAAAGTCGTGGTGCTTGAAACCTATAATAAGTGATCTTGCAAGGTCAGACTCTCACACAATTCCAAGAATTCTTGACGATGCCTGACGACATAGACGATATTGGACCATTTCGTGTCAAACAGTGGCTCCAGCCCATTGGAGTGGGCATAGGTAAGCCCACTTATCTTTAAGAGGAACAAGGATTCTAATATTTTTAAGGTTACCACAAAGAGACATTCGAAGAAGTCTTCATCAAGACCGAAAGCATGACTTCAACCCTGGAGCAAGAGGCCACAATCTTGCAAACCTTGTCCGGGGGCATTGGAATTCCAACACTTTATTGGTTTGGAAAAGCTCATAATCAAAAGACTATGATCACCGATGCGCTCGGACCTTCCTTGGAAGATGTATTTGATCGATCCAATCGATACTTTGATATGCCATTGGTGCTAGAAGTTGCAAGTCAACTTATATTTCGGCTTGAATGGATGCATTCATATCATATCGCACATGGTCAGCTTAGTCCATTTTCATTTGCTATGGGAGCCTCCACATGGCAGACACCACAAGTGATTCTTGCGGATTTTACGAATGTCAACAAATATCAATTTTCAATAAAGAAAGACCTCCAAGCTGTGACGGACATACTGGTTTATCTCGCCATAGGACCTCCGTCATGGGATCTTTTCCAGGCGCGAAAGCCGAGTTTGGCAGAAATACCGTCGCCTCTGAAGGAGTTCGTATCAATAACCTCAGACAGGGAGATGAATCCAGCCGACTATTCCCTACTTCGGCAGTACTTCCATACAGCACGTCAGAGTCTACCAGGCCGCACTATTCTTGGTGGGCTAGGCTCTCCACAGGGGGAAAATCTATCCTTGAAGTCTCTTGCAAGCAAGAGTACTGGTGACCTTTTCGAGAATCTTGGTTGCAAATTATCCACAGTTGGGCATACCGCCGGCGACCCAGAAGCACCATGGGGCCGAGAGCAGGCGAAATTCCTACTGGGATCTTTGAATGAGATAATGGCCATTTATTTCGTTCTCTTGATACGGGAGAAGCCGTCTCAAAAACGCAGACGCTATCATATAGGCGTATATCATCTTCCTAATAGGCTGTAGAGAGACCTTCGCTGGTACCTATGCATGGCAAAATGTGGCTCCCTCCCTTTGCAACAACTTATCGTCCTCACTATCTACAAATATGTGGGAGTTTTACTAGAGGTAATTCCAGTCTATAACAGGTATTGGACCAAGATTTTATCGGATGCCGCCTACGAGCAGATGAACCTTGACGAGGAATGTCGGCGGATGTGGAGAGACGCTTGGATTTACTGGAAAAATTGTGCCAACCTTCTGGCGAAGAAAGATATGTAGTTTGTGTTCTGTTTGATCTTATGAATCTCGGCGGGAATGTCGCGACATACTAGCTAGTATGGTTAATCTCGCTTCACCTTGGATACTATCTGGTCACGACTAGTCTATTCACTTCGAACATCGCCGGCATGGAGAACGGGCAGCTTAGGTATGAATTTGAATGGTACATGCTTCTATAGCAGTTTTATTTTTCAAACACATATTTTCTATCATAATAGAGTGACTTATTACGCACCACCTGAAATTATTCAGTTAAATTACTGCTAACAAATTATAAGCAAAAACGTTATCCAGGTGATTCGGCCTTCTATCACTTACCAGTCACTTTCTTTACAATTCGATACATAGAACCGAGCTAAGCCTAAAATGGATCGGCGTGTTTCAGAACAGGGTACGAGAAAGATTGCATGAGAGCAAAGTGGTACAAGTATTTTCGATCCATCTTGTAAAGTCACGGATGGAAAGTTGCAATAAATTATTTATCGCATTTTTTTATGATATAAACAGTACTCAGAGTCAAAATTGTGGTTGTAGATTCTAAGTGTGGTTCTAGGTTAAAAGCGTGGTTTTTGGTTAAACCGTATTCTCAAATTTCTATTTAAGACAAAGCCTATCCCTCTCTTTTCCTACCATTCATACCCAGAACGAAACATCAAAAGGAAAAAGAAAATATGTCTGACTTACACACGAGGGTCGAGGCGCTTTCCGGCCGGGCCGAGTCGAATACCTCTACGATAGCACAATCCTCTTCTGCCCCAGCGCCAGGGCACCCTCCTGAAGCTGCACCTCATACTGTCAGCAGCGGTGGCGACGTGAATATGGAATCTCAGAATTCCAACCATGCGGACGCACACCCTCCTGAAGCTTCCCGGGAAGCTGATGACGACAAGGACTCGGGATATAAGGATCTCAGCCATGCGCAAATCTTGGATTTAATCCAGGCGATTAATAATGCTCCAAACGACGCCAGTGAAATTAGGCGTGTATGGGAATCAAAGATCCCTGCGAATATGTCCATGACGTACAAGCAACTGAAAAGAATTCTTCATCCCGACAGTCATGCAGATCCAGAGGAGAAGAAAAACGCACAAAACGCTTTTCAATGTGAGAGACTACCAACCGGTGCATGAAGCTTGCTGATAGAGTTTAGTGGTACAGTGGGTTGAGTCACAGGCCGAGCAAAACTTCCCAGGGGAGGTCAACAGGAACGACCAATTTTACCAAGGAAGCGCTGCAGCTGAGCTGCACGTTGAAGGAAAATTATCCTCTTATCATAAGCAGCTTCATAAAGCAGCAACTCCTCATCTGAAAGTCCTTTACTTTGGATTTCAACAAAATCCAAATCTTGATATTAAAAACCAGGATTGCCCTAAGAATATCAAACTTTCTATCAAATTCCTCCAGATGCTTAATGAGACTATCAAGGAGAAAAACACCGAGAAAGGAAAAGATGTCGACCTTGGGATTATTCGTTATGAGAGCTTCTTAGGACAGTGGGGCGCAGCCGCTCGTCAACCAGAGCTAGTGCCTAACGTAACGCGAGCCATCACAGATCTATGCCAGCAGCAAAGATATCCAAGTGACTGGGCAAATTTTTCTCAGCAGGAGCCAGTACCACAGCCATATCCGTCAGGCTTTGCGTCACAATCAAATAATCAAACAGGGCTTCAGCTACAGCATGCATCTGCAGGAGGTCAGATACGCACAATTGCATTGGTACCACGACAGGTGGGCCGTTCAATCAATCCCGGATATACGTCTACTGGAGAAAAGATCCGAATGATTCAACCCCTTGGGATGGCCGGGATCGGCGCACGGTTTGTGACCGAGGATGCGAATGGTAGGGTACGTCTTGTGTCAAGTGCAGCAGCTGGAGGCCATATGGCCCTGGAGGGAGCAAAGTCTGCCGGTGTTCCTTTTACCATGCGAAAGGAAGAAGAAGTGACAGCCCTCCGTAACTACATTCGGAATATGACTGGAGGTACACACGGCCTGACTTGGGTCGCAGTTGGGGAAATATGCCCGGAAAAAGATAGATGCCCAAATATCGTCGTTGGATTCTATTGTCAAGAGGCTGGTGGGGGTTCCGCATCTACGGTTGGCCTCTCAAGATCAGCTCTGAAAAAGGTTCTCTCACCAAAAGAAGCGGACAAAATGATTGCGGAGGCTATGGGCTTTGATCCTGATGTCTGTTTAGAGGATGCATTATCAAGTTTGTCTGGCCTGAGCTTGAAGCCAAAGAGATACCAGTCGCAGCGTGGTCTTCCTATGGCGGGAGATGCCAAATATTTACTTGACTCGGTTCCCAGCATGACCAATATGTTGCCTTTACAGCAAATCGCACAGGATAATTCGCAAAATGGTCAGCAGTTGAACATACAGCAGCCACTCAATATGCAGCATTTCATGCAGGAATTCATGCAGCAATTCATACAGAAATTCATGCAGCAACCAAACCTGCAGCACCCCAACATGCAGCAGTATCCGGTCCAGCAGCCTCAGCCAGTCCAGCAGCCTCAGCCAGTCCAGCAGCCTCAGCCAGTCCAGCAGCCGCAACCAGTCCAGCAGCCGCAACCAGTCCAGCAGCCGCAACCATTCCAGCAGCCGCAACTATTCCAGCCGCAACCATTCCAGCAGCAACAACTAGTCCAGCAGCAGCAACCACGCCAGCAACCGTATCTGATACAGCAGCCGCAACAGTTCCAGTTGCCGCCTTTCTTACAGCAACCAAGCCCGTTCCAGCAGCAACCGCATATTTTACAGCAGCCAAGCCTGTTCCAGCAGCCAAGCCTGTTCCAGCAGCCAAGCCTGTTCCAGCAGCAACAGCTCCAACAGCAGCTAATGCAGTATCCGAACATGCCACAGCCGAGCAATGATGATATGGACGAGGAATATTAAATGGATTTAAGAAGTGATGTTGGTTTATCATGTTTACGCCTTGGAGGGGGGACAGAGACTTAGTTCAGACAGAATGAAGAATGCAATTTCGGCTGTGACTAGCCTAAAGAAAACAGATATCAGTTCATAATTATTTGATGCTCGCAGGAGATAGAATCGCAATGCAAGCGAAAGATATGTTGAGGTAATGTCGTATATTTTATGCCGGGATAGAATTACTTGCAGTCGAATCTCTCTTATAGAATGATGCATAGTACCATAATCTGGGGAACTATGCTCAAGACTTGGAGCTAATATAACCCTCCGTATAAGTGCGGCCCTTTCTTTGGAGAGATATTGAGACTAACTAAATGATTGATTTGACATAGTATAAGGTTTTATCGAAAGGATAATCGCATCTCTCACTATATAGCCCTATTGATCTAGATTCTAGCAAGGATCCTTATGGTCTGGAGCGCTGCTAAAGCCCTGTATGCGGTCTTCATAAGGGATAGAAAGGTGTATATCGACCTAGACGCGTATGTAAGCTTTCAAAATCCTCACGAAGGTATGTTACAGGAGTACGCGCGGAATCACCGGTTTTCACAAAAATGTTTGAGGGATGTTTTCGAGAGTCCCAGCAGTTGACAGCGGCTCTGGAAGAGTTGAAGGATGTTGTCTCAGTGCGCAGTCTTGAAGCGCTTTTCCAATGGCTATATCTTCGTGTTGTCAGATTTGATATTGAAGATCCCACGGAGCATATTTCGGCTGCCATGGAGCTCGTGAGGCTTGCAGACAAATATATAATCGCTGGGTTGGAAATTGAAATGTCCAAATACATCAAGGACATCCTTATTGCCAATCCCCATCCAGAGAAAAACAACTTTAGCCAACCTGTCAACACCAACACTTACTACCTGACGTCTGATCACATTGAGTCGGCAACCTTTCTACGCCGAGAGCATCCGGTACATCGGATTCTGGCTGCAGCCTCCGTCGAAGGGTATCTTCGAAGTGAAGAGCACAAGTTCGCCGAGGAGACTCAACGCTATCCTTCCTTCGGAGCTGACCTTCTCCAAGAGGTGAGAATGACCCTACACGGGCTATCGCCTCCTCGGACTACCACTTCCGAAGACCCTATCAGCGGAAGAAGAACACCTTTGGACTCGAATATATTTGTATAGGAGTAATTAGTCGTATCCGCAAGGATATTGCGTTGGTAGTTAATCAATCCATGCATCTATTAAAAATCACCGTGTGCCCGAACGGAGTTGGGGAGGCTGGGGGAGTAGAGTCTCACTGGCGGATCTGTCGAGTGGTGAATGGCTGTAAGTAAGTAAGTAATTTCATTCGCGGATCTGTCAGACGGTGAAACCCGATTTGCTGGCAGTGCACTACAAGATAACCTGGGCAACTATATCACATGACGATGGCTATTTTCTTCACTGTTCCGCGGCTCTCCCCACACCACTCTTCGCCAATCTCAACTTCACCTATATAACTAACCAGGTCTGGTTATCCAATGGAAAGTCCGGCGCCGTAGAGATTGGCATTTATAGCCAGGGAAATAGGGCGAAAACCGCCATTCACGTCTTTTGTCGGTCGCTTTCATCCCTACGGAACCGAAGCTCAAACTGTCTAGTAACTCACGCGGCAAGCCACGAAGGTGATCAGCCACGCAGGGGGGTACTCACTGTAGTACTGGTGGCCCAAAACGGTGCGTGTGGCCCACCCATACCGTGAAGCGGTGTGGTGGGCGTCCCGTGGCTGGCTGCTTTTGCCGCCCCTGGACGAGCAGTGTGGATGTATGTTGGCGCATCAACATGTCCCCTAAAAACGGAAAAGTCGGTGTAGTTGTCTAGGAATAAAACCCTAGGAGTAGTGTTACACAGTTGCAATTGCATATATGCGTTTATAACAATTCCAAAATTCTGTACTTCAGTTACATATGAAAGTCGCCTGAACTCCCGCTTCCCATCGGTAAATATATCATCGGCGCTGAGAGCTTGACGATCGGGCCCGCTAAAGATTGTCATTGGATATTCGTCCAAGGGAATAAAACTAGGAGGTCCATCTGCACCCGAGAAAACCGAAGTTGATGTATCATATTTGTCTATGACGAACGTACAATATTAATGTAGCTAGATATGCTTCTTCTATTGGTTTATACAGGTCATACATATTTTTACTTTCAGTTCATAAATGTGGGAGGGGCACTTGTTCGACTTGGGATTCCAGAAAGAATATTTCCTACTCGAGCGAAACCCGCTGAAAATATTTAAATTCCACGGCTCGATAACTTCGCATCCTCTAAACCGCATTTCCATTGTGTCGGCATAACCAAATCAAGCAAAGCCATCGATAACTCACGAGAAAACAAGTGGCTAGTCCGCTGCAATGACTGGCTGTCTACCGACTACCGCAGGTATGTGTGATGAGTCTTGTCCTGGGATCTGGAGATACCTTGCCCAAAAAAAGCGCAAGAAGCTAACGAGGTCTCAGGCAAGAGCCTGAAGAGTCCCAACGCCTTAGCTGAGACAAAAAGTGCGAGGAACGTCGTCCCCAAGGGAAGTCTTCTCGGCGATGCCGACATGCTCCAACTAAGAGAATGGAACAGCACAGTGCCAAAGCGAGTAGATCGATGCCTGCACGAGCTGATTGCAGAACAGTCTCAGTCTCAGCCCGACGCACCCGCCGTATGCGCGTGGGATGGCAACTTCACATACTCGAAGCTGGAAGAACTGTCGTCAGTGTTAGCAGCACAGCTAGCTGACCGTGGCGTGGGACCCGAGGTGTTTGTGCCTATTTGCTTCGAGAAGTCCCGTTGGACGTCGGTAGCTCTGCTGGCGGTTCTGAAAGCGGGCGGCGCGTTTGTGTTGCTGGATTCTAGCGAGCCACTGTCACGACTACAAGAGATATGTGCCACCGTGAATGCTATCCTGGTCCTGTCTTCCCCTCAAAATGAGAGTCGCAGTAAAAGGCTGGCGGATTCCGTGATTGTGCTGAGCAGCGCGGCTGAAATTTCTTCATGCTGCAAATCACATGATAATTACGCTACGGCCTTTGCTCAGCCACACCATGCGGCCTATGCCAGCTTCACCTCTGGATGGACAGGAAACCCCAAAGCCGTTGTGGTGGAACATTCAGCATACTGTTCTAATGCCCTAGCTCACATGGGCCCATTACAGCTTCACAAAGGTTCTCGCGTTCTGCAATCCGCTTCTTATGCGCTTGGAGTTAGCATATTGCAAATGGTGACGACATGGATGGCCGGTGGATGCGTTTGTGTTCCGGCAGAGTCTGCATGTTCGGGCGATTTTACCGCGGCAGCAAGCAACCTTGCAGCCAACTGGGTTCTTGGGACGCCTTCGATGCTAAAAGAATTACGACCCAAAGATATGCCCCATTTAAGGCACGTCGTCCTAGTCGGTGAAACGCCCGTACGAGACGATATTACGGCGTGGCCAGATCGCGTTCAGGTCATAAAAGGGTACAATAACGCCGAGTGTTCGATGTGTTGTAGTGTTGCCCAAAATATAGGGTCACACTCCAATCCTCAATTGGTTGGCAATATGACAGGAAGTGTTGGATGGATCGTCGAGCCACTAAATCATCACAAATTGACACCTTTGGGCATGGTTGGAGAGCTGCTCGTGGAGGGGCCCAGCCTGGCACGAGGTTATCTACACGATATCGGGAAGACCGCCAAAGCCTTCATAGATCCTCCACGCTGGTTTTCAGAATTTTGTGAGCGGTACAACAAGACGCCAGAACGCGGCTATCGGATGTACAAGACAGGCGACCTGGTCAGGTACGACGCGGATGGCAACCTGCTCTTTGTTATGCGGAAGGAGTCGCCCGCCAAGGTTCGTGGCCAACAGGTGAAGCTGGATGAAGTTGTGCATCACCAGAGGGAGAGCCTAGCGGGTGACACCAGTCCACCAGCACCAGCGATGGAGAGACACTTGCGCGGGTTGTGGGCCGGCGTGCTCGGCCTCCCTCCCAACAAAAGGGATGCTGACCAAAGTTTTCTACAGTTAGGTGGGGACTCCATTGCCGCCGTCCAGCTTGTTGCAGCTGCCCGGGAGGAAGGCCTTGCATTGACCGTGGCGGACGTCCTCAACGCGCCGCACCTCAGCCAGATGGCACATGTTGCCAAAGCAGAATGGTGTGTCGAGGACACTCCTGCTCCCTTCTCCCTCCTCCAACCCGGCATCACCGAAAGTTTTGCCCGGGCCCAAGCGGCGGCCCAGTGCAGGATCGCCACAGACCTAGTGGAGGATGTCTTCCCATGCACGCCGCTGCAGGAAGGGATGCTTGCTATGACAGCCAAGCGCTCCGGTGACTATGTCTGCCAAATTATGTTTGAGCTTGGGATCGGCGTCGAACTGGAGCGCCTAGAACGATCGTGGCGAGAGGTTGTCGTGACGACGCCGATTTTGCGGACAAGGATCGCGAACCTTGCCGGTCAAGGATTGGTCCAGGTTGTGGTAGCAGGACAGTGTTCTTTCACGGCCTGTCAGGACCTCGAAGAGTATCTGCAAGTGGGCAAGCAGGAGCCTATAGGGCTGGGAGCGCACCTTACCCGGTTTTATACAATAAGTAGCTGCAGCGGCCAGCGCCGCATGCTGGTGTGGATGGTACACCATGCACTGTTTGATAGGTGGTCCATGCCACTAGTGCTCAAACAAGTGCAACAGGCATATCACGGTCTTATCCGAGACCGCCTGGTTCCGTTCCAGGGGTTTGTCAAGCATATCCTACAGAGCAGCGACGGTAGCTGCGAGTACTGGCAGAGTCAACTCAGCGGGTCCGAGGCGGAGCAGTTTCCTAGCCTTCCATCGCCCGGCTATCAGCCCCAACCAGATGATGGCCTGGATCATCAAATTTCGGGACTACAGTGGCCACAGGGAAAATTTACCGTTTCGACGATGGTCCGCGCTGCTTGGGCGATTGTACAGGGCCATTACACGAATTCACCGGATGTGATTTTCGGAGCCACCGTGACTGGACGGCAAGTGCCAGTCCTGGGTGTGGAGCGCATAGCGGCCCCAACTATTGCGACAGTGCCGGTGCGGGTCAGATGGACCTGGGAGACGGATATTCAGGATCTGTTACAGCAGGTACAGATACAGGCGATTTCAATGACCGCATACGAGCAGATGGGGCTACAGTATATCCGGCAGATCAGCCCCGACACGGAACTGGGCTGTCGCTTTCAGACTCTTGTGGTAGTGCAGCCTTTACCCCGAGAAATCTTAAAAGGACCAATAGAAACCGATGATATACTGTTAGAAGTTCTCACCAAGGTGAAAGAGGACGATGGCGGCTCTGCGGGGCTGAACAGAATGAACTCATACGCGATGATGATTGAGTGCCAGATTAGCACAAATGGCCTGAATGTACGCATTGGCTTTGATTCACACCTGGTTGAGAAGATGCAGGTGCAATGCATGGTATGTCAGCTGGAGCATGTGCTGCGAAAAATTTGTGCGGAGCGGAACGGACCGCTAGCCATAAGGGACGTGTGCGGGGTGAGCCCAGAAGACTGGAGACAACTGCAGGAATGGAATGGGACAGTGCCCGCACGGGTCGACCGGTGTGTGCACGAGATGGTGGAAGAGTGGTGCCGCGCACAGCCCGATGCGCCTGCCGTGTGCGCATGGGACGGCGAATTCACATACGGCGAGCTTGACATGCTGTCTTCCGCGCTGGCGGCGCACCTGGCAGAGCACGGGGTGGGGCCTGAGGTGTTTGTACCACTATGCTTCGAAAAATCTCGGTGGACAACAGTGGCAATGATGGGGGTTATGAAGGCGGGTGGGGCGTTTGTGCTGCTGGACCCGTCGCACCCGCCGGCGCGGCTGCGGGGGATCTGCCAGACAGTATCAGCCGCGCTGGTGCTGTCATCAGCGGCAAACCGAGCGATGGCAGCTGAGCTGGCGGCGGTGGTGGTCGTAGCTGGCGGCGGCGAGACAGTGTGGCGTAGCCCGACACAAGCCTGGCTGGGATCGGCTGTGACCCCGGATAACGCGTTGTACGCCGTCTTTACCTCGGGTTCGACCGGCACACCGAAGGGCGTGGTGATCCAGCATTATGCCTATTCTTCTGCTGCCACCTCCCGCGCCGCCATTCTTCACATCGATAGCTCTACTCGCGGCTATCAATTTGCATCTTATGCGTTCGATGTCAGCATATCAGACCACCTCGGGATGTTGAGTTTTGGAGGATGTGTCTGCGTACCATCCGACGTGGATCGATTGACGAATATATCAGCTTCATTGAAGACCCTCAATGCCAATTTCGCGGGCCTCACTCCCAAGATTGCCAAGCAACTGCAACCTGAAGACCTGGCTTCTCTTCGGACCCTGTCCCTTGGGGGAGAAAAGTTGGATGCCTGGGACAAGACCCTATGGCCGCAACATTTACAGATGTTCAACGGATACGGACCAGCTGAGTGCTCTGTCAACTCAACATATCATAAATTCACAAAGAAAGGCGATGATCTGAGCAATATTGGCCATGGGGTTGCCGCCGTGTGCTGGGTGGTTAACCGGGTAGACCACGAGCGGTTAATGCCGATCGGGGCGGTAGGTGAGCTGCTAATCGAGGGCCCTATCGTCGGGCGCGGGTACCTGAACGACCCAGAACAAACAGCTGCGGCATTTGTCGCGCCTCCAGCCTGGCTGCGCCAGTTTCGAGATAGCGGCGGCGGATGGCTGTACAAGACGGGCGACCTGGTGAAGTACGCGGCGGACGGGTCGCTGCATTTCATGGGGCGCAAGGACACACAGGTCAAGCTCCGCGGGCAGCGCATCGAGCTGGGTGAGGTGGAGCACCACACACGGCAGTGCTTCCCAGGCGCGCGCGACGTGGTGGCAGAGGTGGTGACGCCGGCGGAGGCTGGGCGTGCGCCAATGCTGATGGCTTTCGTCTCAGTGGACAACCCGAACCAGAATGATAGGTATGATGACAACGAGAAAGACGAGAGCAACGAGGATAACAAGGTGAACAACATCTTCGCCGCGCCCACCGACGGCTTTCGCGCGGCCATCCCGGTGGCTGAGGCTAAGCTGCACGACGCCGTACCGGCATACATGGTGCCAGCCATTTTCCTGCCCCTGGTGGTTGTGCCACTGGGTGCCACCGGCAAGACCGATCGCCGCCGGCTCCGCGAGCACGCTGCCTCTCTTACCCGACCTGAGATTCAGGCCTATTGTAGCCTTTCGACAGCCAAGTGCCCACCCACCACAGCCGCGGAGCAAAAGTTACAGCAGCTATGGGCACAGGTCCTAAAAATCGAGCCTGACTCAATTGGTGCGGACGACAGCTTCTTCCGCCTGGGCGGCGACTCGATTTCGGCAATGCAGCTCGCCAGTTTGGCGAGGTCTCAAGGCCTAGAACTATCAGTTTCAGATATTTTTGCCCTAAGACAGTTGAGTATGCTGGCTAAAGTCCTTGTCAAAAGCCTGAACGTCAAAGCGAGCACGAATGTTGAACCCTTCTCGTTTCTGGATCCTGAACATAAGTCTGCTCTCTTGTACTCTCGGCCAGGAAGTCCATATTTTACCAAAGACACAATACTTGACATTTTGCCAGTCACAGATCTGCAAATTTTCTTTTTGACCCGAATGTCTCTTACCCACTTTTCCTTCTCAATCCAAGGGGTAGTTGACGTCGATCGGCTACGCTTATCCTGTCATTCTCTGATACAGGCTCATTCTATCATGCGCACGGTTTTCATCAGACACCAGGACAAGTTCCTTCAGGTTGTTTTGAAGTCGTTGGATGTTCCATTTTATCATACTCACACCAAAGAGTCTCTCGAGCCGTTTTGGAGGTCCACCTGTACGGTCGATTCGAACGAAGAAGCCATATCGGACAAGCCGCTTGTTAAGTTTACCCTTATCTCGCGGTCAGAGACAGAACACATCCTCACTGTGCGACTCTCACATGCCCAGTATGATGGCTCTTCGAAGCCAGCTCTTCTTCGCGATCTTGTGGCTGCTTACAACCAAGATATTCAATCTGTCCCAGTTTGCGCAATGTTTTCTGACTATGTGTACTACTGTGGTAACAACCGCTCTGAATCTGCATTTAGATTTTGGAGAGATTGCCTGCAAGGCTCAGTGGTGACCAGGCTTCCATGTTCAGATCAACAAGGGCATCATGTTTCCACGGAGATCGACGAGAGCGCTTTCGGAGACCTCCCCAGCACTTCGGAGGATACTACAATTCCAACATTGATCAACGCAGCTTTCTCCTTCGTCTTGGCTGATCTCACCAAGGAGGACGATGTTGTGTTCGGAGTGGCGACGACCACGCGTGCAATTCCATTGCCCCAGGTGCAGACGATTTTCGGGCCCTGTATCAATTGCAACCCCCTTCGAGCTCGTTTCGCGCAGACCTGTACGGTGAGAGACCTATGCAGGCTATTAGGCGACCAATACGCACAATCTTTGCAATTTTGTTACCTCGATTTCTCCGACATACGCGACAAAAGTACAGATTGGCCTTCGGATACCAAACTAGGATGCATCTTGAACCACCTCGCTGTGGGTGACAATAAACCCTTACTTTTAAAGGACGGCGGCAGTATAACGAATTCGTTGACAATAAGTCGGGCCATGTTGCAGGATCAGCTTATGATCCAATCCTTTTCAGGAAACGGAAAATTGCGGGTTCAAGTTCGCACATCCAGCAGAATTATGGACTCGGAAAAAGCTGGGTTGCTGGCCAAACGACTGATGGATACGGCAAATGCGTTCGCCCGGTCTCCAGAAGCACCACTCTCTTCGATGTCATACCTTCACGCCTAGATCTTCGAGGTGATTTTTCAATCATTAGCCCTCTTCTTCCAATTAAATCGTCATCACGCGTGGATGTTTGCCTCTGATCTCCAAGGCGAAATAGCCTGAAAACTGCTCTGTATTTGATTCTAAACCATCAACTAGTAGGCTGAGTATGGTTTCGTGTTTTACCTAGCTTGGTGATTATTCAACTTTAACGAAGGGTAGGAAAAGCCCGAGATTGTGGGTAATCGGTTAGCTTTATGCATGCCACTAATATGGCTAGGTCACTAACCTATGTCGCCCCAACCTCATTGCTGTCGACATTGTCGTAGCCTTCGCATATCTCGACATAAGCTTCGGGAGTCAGAATATCCGTTCTAAATCTCTCATAGTTGCGTATCGCTGGCTTGAGTTTCTTCATATTCGACTACTCGGAGGATAGTAAAAGAGTCATGCCCGAATGTCCCAAGTAATTGAATCCTAGGGTTGGTCCTATTTATTGTCTTAGGTTCTACCGTGGGCCAATGATTTTGGCTTCCAGGAAGCTGACTAAACAAACTGGTGCACCACTGACGTAGTTGTGCAGGTCAATGCTCAATGCCATGTTCCACACAAAGCTGCTTTGAGAAGCAAAGTATACCTCCTTGCATTGGAATAGAAGATACAAGCCCAGTCTTAGAGATTTATGTTGGAACGTGGTCGTTACAGTACGGACTAGTACGGCCATAGCCAATTGAGTACTTGAGAGTGTGATTCTTATATACTATAGAAAGTGCAGAATAAATAGGGGATGAGCTTAGTAAGGTCGTTAAGAGCCTTACGATCATCAGCAGAGGGGGTGTTGAATATTCCTCGGGCGCACTAGTAAAATGGCGACACTCTTTTGTTGACAAGATCTTACACTGTTGGGCTCAATTTGTCAGCTGATCAAGTAGCCTATGTAAGCTTTTGGAGGCTGCATTGTCGGTGAAATTCTCAGATAAAATGGTGAGTCATTTATGTTTTCCTACAACACCACTTTTCACGTTCTGAAATCACCTCAACTGTCTAAATTTGCGATATGGCTCGTGGGAGTTGTTTCTATGGCAACATTCAAATTGAATATGTTGGCCAACCAATGATCGCGGTAAGTATATCTCAAAATAAATCAATGGTTGCTTGCTCTTACTTTTTTCCCCTAGGGACTATCTCACTGTTTTGATTGCCGGAAACTGACCGGAGGCGTCTACTCTTACAGCTTTGTCGTCAAAAGTGCTGACCTGAAAATCACTGGCAAACCCAAAGAGATCGCAAAAGTAGCAGATAGTGGGAATCAAGTCAGAAACTATTTCTGCCCGGATTGTGGTGCGTAGTGCAACACAACCAAGTCGAGGAAAAAAATACTAACAAACTACTAGGGACGCCAATCTATGGAGTGAAACTTACTGCTACTGGAGAGCTTGGTGAGACTACTCTCTTGCGGGCGGGAATCTTCGATGACATTAAGATTCTGAATAAACAAAAGCCGGTGGCGGAATTATATACCGTTGCTCGTGTGAAGTGGGTTGATCCTCTTGAAGGCGCTGATCAGTTTACTGGAATGGTCCCTCTTCCTTGAGAGGCCTGATTGCCAAAGTGGAAGCAAATTATCTCATTGGCCAAGACTGTCAGTTTTCTTCTTAAAAGACAATATTAATGAAGTCAAAGGAGAGAAGTGTGTGCTAGGCTCAAATTTGATTCAAGATTCCCAAGCATTTCCCATCGTGCCATGTCTATGTTTGAAATGCGGCTGCTCGGCAATTACGACTTTAGGTGAAAAGTACAGAATGAGTGAGGACAGTTTAGAAAGCTTAATATAATTTCGGCGAGTCACTGCTCAGCTCTCCCTCGATCGCAATTATAAACTAGAAGTCAAGGTGACGGTATAATATAAATGTGGCGATCACCTCCGGAATGTTTGATTACATCACTTAGAGGTAACGGCCGATCCTTTGTTAACCCTATCCAAATCTTGGACAGTTACAAAAGTTGGTTTGGGGTAGTAGGCGTACTTGAAAAAATTAGCTGCCTCTTCTGTGGATAGCGGAGCTCGTGGCATACCAATTGTGAGGCAAGGAAAGCCCAAAACCCCGAATCATCTGCAGTCAAAATATGTACCTGACCCGTCTCTCGCAAACGAATGCCTACGCATACATCTGCGTCGCACATCTTGCTGTACTCGGACGCCTTTTTCATCAGAGTTGTTTTGCGACGGCATTTTTTATGTCTCTTCGATCTCCTGGGGCTCATGGAAGAGACGGACTTAACAGCGGCCATTGCGAACTGGAGCCTTACTCTTTGAGTAGCTAGCGGTCGGAATTTATCTTGATAAAACTGAGATCGGTACTGTTCTTATAAAAATTGATATCTCAACTATGTAATGCATGAGAAATGGTATTGCTGAAAATATTAGGTAGAAAATTGGCCTTTGTACATGCTCTGTTCATCATTGAAAGAAAGACGATAGTGATCATTTGCAGGCACCAACTAGGTGTGGCAACGTTGAAAGTCACAGCAGATTTGTAAATCCTTCTCAAATACGCCACAAGATTGGTCGGGAATCAACGTAAAGATCATATATTTGCGGGTTGTAAAATTTAAGCGTTGACTCTTAATAAGAGGCTGTTGATTGCCGATCCGACGTTAGATGAGGTTGGCGCTATTATGTTCAGAAATGAACTATTATGTGAATTGTTAAGGTACGTGCAAACCCACCTCAATAAAGAGACCGCGATGAATCGGCGACCGCTGTGAAGTAGGCCACCACGCCAAATGTTCGAAAAAGGCGAGCAAAGAGGCTCAGCATTTTCATTCAATCGAATCTGTTATGAATGGAAGGCCAGCAGGTCTCTAACAAGTATAAGTAGAGTGAATTACCAATATACAAGAGGAAAGAAATGTCACGATTTTTATCAATCAAAAGCGCAAAAGCGTAGTGGGCGCTAAGCTTGCCCGGTGCCAAAAATTCCGTGACAAATGCAATAACAGGGTAGTTTTCCCAGAGCCGTTGTTCAATTTTTGGGCGCTATGCCGAAATCAGTTTAAAATCCCAGACCTAACCAACCGGCTCCTCTAGCAATGGGTATGTGCTCTAAAATAAGCGTTGAGTCCCAAAAAATAAGTGACAGCATCATACCTGTAAGGGCAAAAGTTTATCAAAGAGTACTCTTTACTACAGGGAGTGGAGATGGTTTAGTAATTCTAATTCCTATACATTTATCTATGTAGATCAACTTTAGAAGTACTCTCAATGAATATATTTCTGGAGCATCGTAAGGTATGTAACCGAGCCCTATGTAACCAAGGGAATATTATCATCCGACAAAAAGAAGTTTCTTCTTTGCTTTGGAGGCTGGAACTCATGCTCAAAGTAATCGACACGTTTTCCTTTGCTCAAGGAAAAGCTTCTGCAGTCATCTCTTGTGTCGGAACTCGCGGACACTTCTAACCATTAGCAAATATTCCGATATGTGGTAGCTGTGGTCTTACCTGAAAGTAAAACGTTGCCAGAGAATTTCTCAAATTCTTCTTCCAAAACCGTCTTCATATGTGGATTGCCAAATACCATGCGTCCACGACGCGCAACATAAGTTGTATCTATCTTCGTCTTGGAATAAGTGGTCCAGTAGAAGAGCTTTTGAATCAGTTTTAGGCCCTCGGTAGATCTGAAAGGGAATGCCTGCTTACCATGTATGCCGAGTCCACATCTAGCAAGTGCTGCACCTCATCGGTTACCCAATCTCTATACTCTTGATTTATTTTTGTCAGCGCTTCCCTCATTTTGGGAATAAAAGCAGCGTACGGTCATCCTCAACCACCCAGATGATCGAAACTCTACTCAGACGGCGAGGATGCCGCTGTAAATCAAGCAGCTCTTTTAAGTAAGGCATTTGCGCCGATATACCAATATCTGTAGCAACAAAAAGGAAGTTGTCCCAGTATCTTGTGTTCAGAGCGTTCCCATAAGGGCCGTCCACCAGCACCCTAATTGAGCTGTGCGAGATCGCTGATAAGTTTTTGGTAAATCCGGAGTGGACCCTAGAGATAAGCTGGATCTTGCTTGCCCTACCAGATTTGTCTTGGTCCCACCATATGATATTAAAAGGATGAGACTCTGCGAAGGATAATAGGTGAACTCCTGGCGCTCTGAGATAGACGTAGTCACCTGCATGAACTTCCCATGGACGAGGGGGCGTAAACTCTAGCCTCACAGCACCTGCTAAGGGGGTGCGCTGGGCAACAGCCATAAATTGACTTCTTATGATGTTGCGAAACAGCTCGCGAGTGCCATAAAAAATAGTGCTGATAATGAGTATGCAAATAGCAGAGATCAAAATCCTGCCATTCAAGCCATATCGGTCTTTCATATGTACCCAAACCATCACCACGGCAAATACCCCTATAGAGAGATGCAACTTCATGCACACCTCGTAAGCATGACGACGGATGATTGGAACCACTGCCAGCGTCAGGACTCCAATAGAAATCATAGCCTGGTCATGTGTGGTTAGTGCTACCCGTAATCAAAATAGAATTGCTTACAATCAGTCCGTTTTTCTGCTGCACTTCTTGTAAGTCAAATGGGGATGTCTGAATGGACAATATTATGTGCAGCACGCTCTGAAAGATAGCCATAGTACCTATCGCTCTATGGATCTGGTGATAAGTATGAAGGGAAGTTCCAAAGAAGGCGGCACCGAATACTAAACGAGGGACCACAGGCAAAAGGGATAAATGTAACAGCGCAAGTGATCCAGCACGAGCCCGAGCTTTATCTAACTCTGTGGCCCTAAATACATTGCATGTGATAGTGCCACCGATGTAGATGGAGTATATCACTGCTTGTAGTCTTGTTATAGGACCCCATGGTGTTCGCCTTCGGAGCAAATAGGGGAGTGTTATGTGTCGCCTAAATAGGCGGTATATGCGACGGATGCGAGAAGTCGGTCGAGGATGGAAATATTGCTGAAGAAAAAGTAAGGACAATAGTGCTGCCACAACATAGAGGTAAACTAAGAAAATATCCATTTGGACGAACATATATAGTTAGAAAAAACAACTTTGGGAGGTGATGACATTTATTTAAAGCATACCGTTTGGAAAGTGGGGCAAAACCACGATTTTAAACCTCAAGCATTCCTCGTGTGTCACAGATAAAAGCCCAACATTTCCTTAGATCTTTTCAATCCAAAGTTTCAGCGAAAAATGTCTGCCCAGGAGGCTACCAAAGACAAAGCCTCCCATAATCGGGTCTCTGTTTTTCCTAGGTCCGGCAACCTTTTGAAGCGGCCTCTGGAGCCTGAATCGACAGTCCAAGGAACAAAACAAGGTGCGCCAAAACTCCAGAAGCAGCGTCCATGGGCTTTCAATGCACTGCCAAGGACAGCTTGTAACCCTTGGAGTCGATATCAGAAGAGCTTTAAGATGAACCAGGCAGGACGCGGGTGGGTTGTTTATAACAACACATTCTCCGAGGCTATTATTAAAGAGGTGAAAACCACCAGTAAAGATCTAGCAAGACTGATCACAAGCCCTCACAAAAATATTGTTGAACTTCAGGAGGCTATATATCATGAGGGTGCCATATTTCTGGTCTACGAGATCATGGATATTTCATTGAGTCAAATTTTCAGCTCACCCCTTGGTCGCCTTCAGCTTTTCGAAGTGGCTGCCTTTTCACGGGAGATTTTGACAGGCCTCGAGCATATTCACAAACATCTGAAGATAGCCCATGGAGATATATCCTCGAGCTCTATCCTTCTCTCAGTAACGGGTGCGGTCAAGATAGGTATGCTGTCATGATAAGAAAGGTTAATCAAAAACTAAATGAAATAGGAAATGTCGGAACCTCAATGCTTCAAAATAACGATATTAGGGACTCACAAAGTGACATTGAGTCTGTTGGCAAGATGATCATTGAATGTCTTGAGCCGAGTACATTCTTACGAAAAGTCGGCTCTCTCGTCTCTGATTGGGGATCTAACGCGATGGATTTTGTCGAGTCTACCAAATCACAGCCTGCTAGCCAGCTCCTGAAAGTCAGTTTTCCGTCTTCCTTTGGTATTAAGTCGGGTTTAACGACGACCAGCATGATTTTTTACAGCTCTCTCCGGGAGCCACGTGCCTCAAACCATATATTCGGTTCTCTCGAGAGGTAGCTGCCAAGGAAGTAGAAGTTATTTCGGAACGCAAGATTAGTTAGAAAATTCATGTTATTTTTGTGTTTTATACATCTTAGTTAAATCCTGATATAATTATTAAATGACCCTTTTTTCATACGTGGGATTATCAACATGAAAAACTCGTATCTGATAATGGTGGTAAATCTTAGGAACGGTGTCATCCTTTGATATTTTGAATCCTGAGATTTTTGACATGAACAAAAATCATGGTGCTTCTTAAGATACCGGTAGTCTGACGGGCGCCTGATTCTGAGGAAATCCTCTAATGTTTCCGAAGAACCGTGATATTTCTTAGGATAGCAACTGTCGTGTTATCTCGCGGTTCGTGAGAGTATCAAAGCTCGTGAAACCGTAGTCTCTCCTGTGACAGATATAGTCAAAGGACCCTCAGGTTCACGGGAAGACCATTGTTTTCAGAAAACGTGGTTTATCCTATGACAAAGTTATTCGGGTGATCCTTTATTTCACGGGAGCTTAGTGCGCGCGGAAAACCGTAGTGTTTCCTAGGATCTACCTAGTCTAACGATGTTTAGGCTCACCCGAAGGGTTTTAGATTAAGAGGAAATCCGTGGTTTTTCCTATGATATAGATGTTCAGAAGAACCCTGCCTTCGCATGAAATTAATGTTTTGCGGAGACCGTGGTTTTTCCTACGATGAAGAGAATCGGACGTTTTCTTAGTTCATAAGATACTATTGGCGCGTAACCACCTAATCTAATTGGTCCATGATTGTGCGGCCTTTAACCACGACTTTGACTGGAAACCACAGCTTTCGCATCTCAAAATGAGATTTCTCCTGTCGTAGGATACCCTAGGCTCTTAGTTATCGCACAGCGCTTTTCGATTGAGTATTGAACGCGGACGTTCTGGCATGGCGACTAAAGATCTAGAGACTGCTCGCAAATTGACCGCCGCCCGTATCGGCTCTTTTAGAATCAGAGAACTAGATCAACTTTTATTTGATGGAATTGACATCTATGGGGCTCGAGCCTTTCGACAGTCGCAAACTGATCGTCTTATTCATCGATTTGAGCATGAGGGGTGTCGCCGACTGGACCCTCTTACCTGGATCCCATGCGAAGTGTCTTACATAGGCGTAAGCCAGTTACTTGGTGAAGGCTCACCCATCGGTTACTTCAAGAATTTAGAGCTACCACAGGGTCAGAAGCTACGTTGTTTCCAGGGGTAACACCGGATTGCTGCTGCGCTTCAATGGCTTGACCCAGGCGATTACTGGTGGACTTTCGATCTATATGACACTGCAAAATTAGACGATGACTGTCGAAAGAGACTGCGCGAGTGTGATCAAAGCTCCTAGAGCTTTTCAGATGGAGAGATCTTTCGCAACACTCGCCACTACCAGCAACGGGGAGAGACAGAAGCCGCTAAGGAGTGGCTTGCAAAATGGTCACCTACCAAGTGTCGCGAATTCAACAGAATCTATCATCCCAAGGAGAACAAAGACGCTTTTCTCAATTTAGGACAGAAGCTAGACTTACTTCTTCAGTTCCTAGCGCTATGGAAATCTTGGTTCATGGGGACACACCTCCCTAGCCTCAAATGCCCCGAGGTGAGACATTCCTATAAGGCATCATCGTCAAACTAATGTTAATAGGAGCTTGCAGATTCATTAGAAGAGATATTTAAGGCATGGCAGTCACTGACGTGCCTTAATCCCGTGATCCTAGATCTAACCACCCTCACATTATTAGAAGGCAGATGCCCACGATTGTCTATCGCCGATCGTGAGCATATCGATCAAATATTCCAAGATGGGAGGGCCTTTTAAGATGTTGAAGACCATGCCATACGGTCTCAGCTCCGACAAGCCGCTTTAGGATACCCAAAAATCATACCTTCACTTCGAACGTTTCTCGAAAATACTAAATACCTCAAGGCTATGACTGATGTTATTAAGAGGGTGCTCCCTCTGAAACACAAGGGCACTATTAGGGAGTTAATGTTTAAGTACTACGTCTATCCTTAAGACTTGAAATATCAACTTCAAATTACAGAAAACGATTATGTTCAAAAAGCAGGATCAAAGGAATACGGATTCTGGGCAGCCTACAGACAGTTGTTCCTTTTCGCTATGCGCCATTTCTATGGTCTTACAGATTCTCGGCCGCTTGGCGTAGGTCAATCTCGTTTGAAGGCAAGGTTCGACAATTCTGAGCTATGGAAGCGGTTTAAGCTGTGTGCGGATAACGTTGGATTTGTCTTTCTAGGATCAAAATCCTCTAAACGCGCTCATCCCACAGGTTCTATTGAATTTGCCGCTATACACGGAATTTTGACTCGACTACGCCCCCTAGAGCTCTTTGTGTATGATGAGGCTAAAGTCAGGGAATGCAGTAACCATATTGCCACCATCCTTAGGGACATGGTTCCACGCAAGATTGACAACCCACCAGCAATCCAAAGTCTGGACTACCAAGACGACTGGTCTTTAGAGCAACGCTGTGGGATGACAACTTCAAGCACCTTCCTTTCTGACCAAAGATACCTATTCCTATATAATATTTACTCGGTAGATCAGCCTGCTCGCGCTAGCATGACATCGTTCGCCGTTAAGCGCGACATTTTCAGGTCATTCTTTCCAGATTTCAATGATGGAAATGCTCTAGAGCTACCGATGTCTACTATGCCTGGGCCTATAAACGGCGGCTTGACTACTGAAAATATTGATGGTGCAGTTGTACTAGTGCTACCAATGGATGTTACGCCAATGGATGTTGCACTAATGGATGTTGCGCCAATGGATGTTACGCTAATGGATGATGTGACAATCAATGTCGCGCGAACAGATGACTTGCCAACAAATGTGCCGATGCATCTTGCGCTGATAAACACTGCGCTAGTGGTATATGAGCCCCAGCCTATGCCTCAATTAACTTTGCTTCTTACTAATGATGGGGCTACTCAAAATGAAATAGCCATTACCCGGCAGTCATCGAATATCTGTAGGTGTCAACTTAATATGACCCCTGAGTCATTCTATGCTTCTTTCCAGCCACTTTCACGTACTTGTTAGTTCGTTGTCTTCTTCTTTCCGTCGGTTGGTATCGTTGATTTTGTCCGTCACTATATAGACGACGTGCTCGCAAACATGCATCAGGACGATCAATGGTTTGCCGAAGCCCGCGAAGATAAACAAAAGCTTTAAACGATTTCCATAAAGCAGGTATCAGATAGGTGTAGCCAGGGCCCTTGTCTGATAGTTAGTGGGAAAGGCTATTTTAATAGCACGTTACAGCTGGGTTCTGTTGAGAAGCTTGTTATTCCGATATACAACGAAAACATAAATTTATGGGTACTGCCAGATCAATGAGTCGCTTAAAGCCAATCAAGAAATATACATTTAGTAGCATCTTATGAAAATCGATGAGGACAGGGTTCCCTGTGTTTCAGTCATTTGAAATTTGATCACTATGTCTTACTTATAATTGCAATCGAAGTTTAAGAAAACGAATGACTAAAGGACAAAGGCGGACTGTTTAAAGCAAAAGAGATGCTTTTTTCTATATTTTAAAATGATAATTTCCGTTGGTTAATCTATAGTGACGCTCTAGAACTTCCGCAACAGTCAAAAACTAGCGTTATCAAGTAGCTATGCGCTTAAAGCAGGATGGAAAAATTTCTGGTTAGTACATAAATTTGCACTAGAAGCGTTCAATAAACTTGAAAATGACACTGATTTTGTTGCAGCTAGAAAAAGGAATGATTCAGAATGTATGCCTTAAGCTCTGTCAAACGCAATAAGATTGAAAAACAGGAAAACGTCATTCACGAGATACATCTTTGTTGTCTGGGCTATGGCCGAGGTTCTGTTCGTGATACGCGGGTGGAAAGGAGATGTGCATATCGACCTGTTGATATTTAGTGTGAGCGAGATTAATGAGGGAGGGAACGTATATCTATGAGTGTTTCAGGAGGAAACTGAGCCTCGATCACACGAAGCGAGCCGGATTTTTGATAAACCACTGTAACATGTACTGCTGTGAGCAGGCCGAGCTTTCGAGCAGCACGCAATAGAAGACCAAACATAACGACTCAACCGGACAGCTTATAATCTAAGGTGAAAGACGAGCTGGAAATCGGAAATATAAATACACTTATTTACCATAAGCGTCTAGGAAAAGCCACGATTTTGGTCCCCAAACGATCCTAAGCCGTGATCGTTGAGTGTGAAAATTCAAATAGCGTACAAGTAGAGTGATCAAAAGATAAAAAGAAAATGGATTCAATAGAACCGTAAGAATGAAATCAAACGAGCTATGATAAACAGTAAGACCGTGGCCTTCAAAACCGTGGCCTTCAAAACCGTGGCCTTCAAAACCGTGGCCTTCAAAACGCCTACGAAAGTTACAGTTCATAAAGCGTGGAGCTTTCGGCCATCAAATATTCTAGCTTTTGACTTCTAATTTTGTTTCACCGCCACTCATTCTTGGCTTCGTTGACGCGCAATGTCCTATACATGGGTTCTTGCTGGTACGCTGCCTCCTGGCCAATGGGTTTTATTGCCCTCTGTTCCTCCGGCAGCTAGTCTGCTTCCTCCTGGGAATCGTCTGCTTCCCCCCGGAAATGGTGTTCTCCCTCCTGGGAATGGTAGTACGTTTGCACCTAGCCCTCGATCTGGGGCTCATTATCCACATCTATCCCTAGCTCCTGGATCACGGTTAGAAGAAACAGTCTCTTCTCAGCTACCTACCGCTATTTCAGCCACTAAGACCGGTGAGTTATCTAGACAATTCCTCAGTGAGCCCTATGCATTCTCTAGTGTATCTACTTAATCGACTAGTCACCAACACTTCGCTAGCGCTTTAAGGGTTCTCGCTTCCATCGGAAAAGATTAGTGTGAGTCATAGAGCTAACCTTAGGGTATGCAATAAAGCTAACTATCTACAGACTTTGAGATCAAAACTGCGATATGATTACCATAGATCAGCATATCGCCAAGCGACGGAATATTTGCGTACAATTTATTTTGGATGTTGGGAAGGTTCAATCTGTATACCAGAAGATATCTCCCGAGTTTCAGACGCGGAGCGCAGAAACGCTATGAACAAGGTTGACGAAATTAATGGTCGTCTAATGGACCGAAACATTTCTGGAGAGCGAGATATTGGGCTAGGCCTTGTTCATTGCCAAGAACTTATTGATAAATGGAAGATGATTATTACTACTCTGGATCCACGACTCTAGGCAAAGGGGGATGAGCAGACGAGAGAATGCATGACTGCGCTTTCTGATGTGTGCAATGAACGTTAATATCCAAGAGGGTGGACCAAACTGCCCCCTAGCGATGAGGAATTGTAGTCTAGTACTATTAATACGATTCAGACTTTGAAAGCGTTAGCTATTTTAAACAGATTTGTTCACGTCTTATATAAAAGTAAAGATTTCTGACTAATAATTTAGGTATGATGGCCTAATAATTTGATGTAAATCACGACGGCCACTTTCGTGTATTCTTGATATAGTAAACCTACAGAGAAAAGCATTCCTTGTCTATGAAATTCAAATCGATGCTACATTTCTAGCATACTAGATCAAAATAATATGGTAGATATGCCATGAAGAGATAAATTTAATTTTCTATAAATTTATTTTATAGACGTCTGCAAGGTGCTATTTATATTGTGAAAGTGTGGGGAGAACTTGAAGATAATGAGGCCAATCACACTTTCGACCAGGCTTTTGAAAAAAGAATGGTAGGCGATGAGTTCTAAAATGAACCTGAAGTACATCCTTTCGTGAGTACTTATATCGCCTAGCGGTGGGATCTAAGCGAGTCCCCCCTAGACATATAGGACATTCCAGTCCAGATGAGCTTTCTATTGGGACCACTGCTTGTCTTGATGCTCCCTTCTGTCTATCTTTGAACAAAATCCGCTTTTTCAAGGCCTGAGGTATATGGAGGCTGTTCAGTTTCAGTCGTAGCTTAAGGGATCGAATGCGGTCCTCAATTAATTCAGTATCATCGATGGTATCGACATCCCTGTTCTTGAATTCAAGCTCAGCAAGGGCTATTCTCTCCGGCTAGATATGGCTGACGTCTGGAGTGAAAGTGACCGGAGTCCCTTGCTGGTTTTGCTCGATGATCCGGTTTCTAATACTATCAAAGAATTCCTTCCGGGCTGTCTTCTGAGCACGGCGTTCTAACATCTTTCGTCTCGTCCTAATCTTCTTTTGTAGTTGCTTCATTTCGCTGAATCGTGGGTCGGAAGCTCCTTCCGCTTTCTTTAACTTATGAAATTCTGATATGAGTTCGTCTCTAGTCGACTTAAGTGCCTTTTTCAAATCATGGAGTTCGGCTTCCGTTTCGATAGCCTCTTTTTGCTTAGTATTCAGTTTTTGTGGTGCTGATGCATCTCGTGTCAGATTTCCATAGCATGCTAGATTCAATAAAGAATCCCTCGTCGGAGTTTGCATAAAAATGGATTAAGTGTCATTAAACATAGACATATAATTCGAAAAAGTTACACTCTTTCGATGACCTATGATTATATTACGTGAGTGTTCGTTAAGGTTCCCTAAATTCATTAGTATGAGAACCATTCGTTCAAACTCTCCTAGCCATACTTAAGTTTTCAACTACGCCTTTGCGGTACTTGTAGAGCGATCCCTCATCTGCGAATCCAGCCTTTACGCTAGCTTTTCTTTCGTACTCCTGCGCCTGCTTATACGAAAAGCCGACGGTGCAGTCAGTGACCCAAGTCCCGTCTTCTGCCTTTACAGCGCGCCTGAAAATGGGGATATTTTTCACGCTATCCTTGAAATGGATAGGAGTGCTGTGGCGATGTTCTGGAACTTTTGTAAAGCGCCAAATATCTCGAGGGCATTTGATATGTGGGCTTGCAAATGCATCGTTAAGAAAGGCATACATGAGTATGTCCTGAATAACACAGAGTCCTAGATTATCATTTCTTTCGGTATAAGTGAATGTAGGCCTAGAGGTGGTTAGATTTACCTATAAATGATGGCATAGGACTAAGACTCACGGATTCCCCTGGTTTCTCTTTCCCTTGTTGAGCCTGTGCCTCGCCCTCATAAGAAGAACTTGGGCATCAGAATATTCGGGGTGTTTGACCATATACAGATCAATATCTTTCCACTTTAGCGCATCGTTTTCTTTCTCGTAACAGGAAGATAGTATAAGGGTCCTAGGTCGGGCTGAAGTTGATACCATCATTTTCCGCAGGGTGTTCAATTGGAAAAGAACCCGGGCCGTAGGAAAGGCTATATCGCAAGCGGCCACCAAATGATGCGTGATAACGAATACCTCGTTAATGCTAAATGGCGGCTGTTCCTTAGCAGTCTTGTCAAGGTCGTATTCTGTGGCCATTGATTTTACTAGCTTCTTAAGTCAATTGAGGACTAGTGCTAAAAACGTAGAAATCATACCGAAGTGATATCCCTCCCAAATTGTAGAGGAAGGTCAAGACCCCTTTCCTCCATCCAGTACATTCTGAAAAAACGCGCCATTGTTAAGAAACTAGACCTGTAGTTGAGGTTATGCTCATCCAAATACCACTCAAAGAAGCCTTGGACGATCCTTAACGTGATATTTTCAAGCCAATATTTATAGTCTTTGTTGTCAAGTTCTTGTACCCATCTAAGTACTTTTCGTTTAGTCAAAGCATATAAAGTAAATGGGTAATGGTATAATACTTCTGAAAATTAAGATGGATTCCTCTTATCCGCTCCTTTGTCGATCCAACTTTATCGGTCGTGACCTTTGGATCCGGTTGGCGAACAAACGCATTCCAGTCTCTGACCCGCTTAGTAGGCTTAGGAGGAAGCATTTCGATCATGGTAGGCTTGAAGAGGGAAATCTTGAAGGGGGAGTGTGCGGTATTTAACCACTATCAGCCAAAATAATGATAATGAATTTGTAGTGAACATCTAATCAATGGCCGCCCATGATAAAGCCGCCGGGCTATTTTAACTATGTAGGAAGGGTGGGGACAATCACACGCTAAACCCAGCTGGCCATATGACACTAGTCCTAGTTAAATCTATAAAACCGCCTATACGGAAACACCACGATTATTACTCTCAAAACCACGCACAACCATAGTCTTTCCGTTGTCCCCCAGGATTACTACACCATATCGGATGAATACAGAGAATTACTTCGTTAAGTTTAGTTTGACACTTTTCGGTTTAGCGCTCTTTGTCCTTAGTGGTTCTATATAGTATCCTGTCCCCCCCCACCAAACCTTCTATCTTACATGTTCTTTTTCGCCCTCCTCCTCCCTGGTCTCTGCAGATGAGGCATTTTTACTATTGATTCGGATCACCGAGCTCCTAAGCTCTGCCAACCCCTTTTTCCTACATGACTCGTTGTCACCTCTTCGCTGCTTTCTTAGGCTCTCGCCTCATTTCTGATCAGGTGCTTTCTCTGTGACTCTAACGATAGCCCCCGAGCTCTTAGTCCCTATAGTTAACGTGTTCGGTAAGCGGATGGCCAGTGTGAGCGAGTGGCCGTCTTCAAAACATATGGTAAATGCGATAAATGCTACATCAACATCTCAATAACCACGTTTCTATTTTACTTTCTTCTTTGTCGATGGCTTTTGATAAGAGCTATTAGATCTATATATAAGTTTAAAGGCAATAGAGAAGTAAAATTATTACAATTTCCAAAATTACTAAAAATTACATTATCATGAGCTGGAAATATTTATACTTTATTCGCCCTTATATCATTACAATCCGGTCGGAATAACCAGATCCATGGATTTGGTCTTCAAATCATATTTAGACCATATATAAGAAACGCTCCTTTACTCGTTATCTTATTAATATACGGCACTCGAGAAAATCTCATGCTGTTAGTATTAGGGTCTTAAAGCAGGGTGAAGATAATACACACTAATATTCAATTCGAGAAGGTTAACGTAGACCAATAGTACCTAAAATTCTATTTGGCTATACTTTCTGATACTATATACGAATTTTATCGTTTTCTATTCTTACCTCCTCCGGTTTCCGTTTCCTTATAAACTTACGCCACTGTCACTAAGTAGCTCCTTTAGAAGAAGATAAACTAAGAAGGCTATCGTTTTCAAGAAGCTTAGCTAATTTTCTAATTATCAGAATAGAGACCTATGAAATAGCAGTAGCAACATATTTTATTACCCTATGCTAATATGCTTAAAATAGAGAAAGCTAAGGATTAAACATTAAACTGTCACAATACTAGAGATATCTCTAGTCCGCCTAAAGCTAGAACGATATTTCTTTTCTTAAGGGGACGCAAGCTCTCTTGTCTGTTGTCTTCATAAAACCTTTGTTGATATAGAGGAAAAGGTGGCTCAATATTCTGAAGTTCTTCAGCTGAGTGGCGCGCTGAAATAAGGTCATCTTTTTGAAATTCTCAATGTCAACATCCATCGATTAGCACTATGATCGATAAGCCATTCTGCATGTGCCAAGAAAAAAAAGAAGGAAACAAAAACATGTCTATCCTATTGCCAAGTTTAGGATCTCAATGCTTAAATTTACTACATACAGCAAAATATTCACAACTACAAAGCTTTGGCCACCACCTCATCTGCACTTTCATTCTTCACCCCCAAGAGGGGGGAATCCGACGCCTCCCACGAAGGAGCCATGACACATCGGGCCTGTCCTTCATCGTACATCTGCGCGACCACCAATTCCAACACCCAGCCGCCCATGCCCGCCTGAAACTTCTGCTGTCCGCTCTCGATCAGGGTTTGCGCTGAGGAGCGCTGCACCGACCATTGTCGGCCTGTAACGCGCTGGAAAGCCTCCAACAGCTCGGTCTGGTTAGTGATGATCGACAGGACCTTTACGAACCGGTTCGCGGTCTCGTCGGGATGGTGCAGGACGCCGACGACCGACTGCCCGATGCCTGCGAGGGTGGTGGCGGTGAATTTCTCCATGCCAGAGTCGTAGATAATGGCCGAACACTGGGCGATATCGAATCCCATTAGAGGAAACCGCTTCATTGCCTACACACGACAGAAAAACAATGAACCACGAGTCAGCACGATATATTTCTCTCTTCTCATACACACCAAAAAGAAAGAAAAGAATAGCCAAGCCTTACCCAGTCAATTGGATTACCCGAAGTGATACCAGTGAACGTAAAGTTAGGATTCGCCTGAGCCTTTGCTCTAGCAAGATCCCATCCGACGCGGCGTTGAGCGTGAATGGCGCTGAATTCCGACAGGCCGCGGATATCCGGGCCCCAGCCGAAGTCGTCGATGATAAATCGCTTGACGCCGGCGGCTTCGGCAGCCTCGATCATGGTGGCCTGCGCACTGATGCCGCCGGGGCCGACCACGCAGATGGCGGCATCCTGGCCTGCGAGGGCATTGGTCAGGTCCTCGAGGGTATAACTAGCGCGGATGACGGGCAGGCCGGCGGGGAAAGTCGAGGTGGACTCGGTACGGGTGATGATGGTGATGTTAAAGCCGGCGCGTTGGAGGGCGGCGGTGATGGGAGTGCCAAAGTTGCCCGATGCCCGTGCGGGGGTCAGTTTCAAATGAGGGCGATTTTTCGATTATAGAGAGGGTAGTAGACATTGAACATACCCCGAAGATAGCAACTTTTTGGATAGTGGTGGTCATCTTTGTACTCTTAGTTGATATGTTGTTGGTATCGATGGCGGGTAGATAGGGTTAAATTAATTATTTGAGGGGAAAAAGAGAAAAATAATCGAGGGGAAATTGCATTATAGCTGGGTGGTGTTGCAACCTGAGGCAAGTAAGTCTATGGATAGAACAAGAAAGAGCATTGGGACAACATTAGTAATCCGATTCGAGTCATAACAAAGAGATTCCTTTCGAGGCTCTGCTAAGATGAGCCCTTGGCCGATGTTTGGGATGTGATAGGTGCCCGGCTCGGATCCGACATTTAGTGGCGGGCGCGGATGATTCTAGGCAAATGGGCCCATGGTCTAGTTTGATACTTATTTTGGCCTAGGCAAAGAAGAACACCAGAGTGGATCTGATCGAGTTTAGTTTCTGGGTTGTGGGGTATTTTCGCTAATCTTGAATTTATCTGGATCAGACGGCGTACTTTTAGGCGCGGGACGAGTCCGCCATGGCCTCGAGTGCCTCAAGTGGGTAGGAGTCCACTGTTGTCTGGACTCCGGACACTTACTTTTTTCCTTTATTTGTCGGAGCGAGCCTCTCAATTGCCTTGTAGGAATAAATAGGAAAGGTATCAGAACGCATCTTTGGCACGAAAAACTGACTAAGTAGCGATTGGTTTGCGATGCTTCCTGGGGGCCGGAATACCGGCTAGCGGGGGCGCATCCTTGGAAGTGTACCAGTCAGTGGACATAAGTAATTACGCCCCTAGCCGATCTAGGAGGCGCCAAAGGGGTGTAATAATCACTTGTTCGATTATTATCGTCTTTCGTTCGAAGCGAGACGAGATTGATAAATAGATCGACACGGCAGGCTGGTCTTCCATAACGTTCACTACTTTTTATTCATTTGTAGCTTTTTTTAGAGGTTACAAGAACCGCAAAGACGAAATGCAGCCAAGTACAAAGCCTGCCTTAATTCACCGAGGTGCGAAGCGTTTTGTGTAATGCAATCACTTCTAATTTCTTGTACGACTATTGGTGCTTTCGTCTCAATGTTCGGGGCTAGCGTGTGCCTGTAACGGGAGATGGCGAAACGATGTTCGCGTGGATTTTGAAGTGCTATCTAGTAATTATCTTCCTATATGATATGAAATTACAGTTTCTACGAGCCACGAATACATTTACTCTTCATATTGATTGATTTTTCTTCATTGTTATATCATACTAGTGTAATATCCACGTAGGAACGACTCAGCAATGAAAAGAGAAATTCACATTCCGCGTCATTATTGCGATAGCAATGAATAAGGGTTCAGATCAAACATTTCAACAAAGCCTGATGTCAAAAGAAAAGATGACTCTCATATCGAGTGTTCAGAATCACAAGCGGACATTCCTTCTTCTTCCAAAATTCAGTGAACGACTCAAATAAGTTATCACGCCCCATTTGCTTTCTTCTCTAAAAAACCATCCTCATTTGGACGGGCATTTGCAACAATGGATTTCCGTCTTGTTCCATTTAAAGACATGCGACCGATCGTGGGACTATTTGGCTTTTTATTGATCTCCTGCTCTGCTTGGATGCATAGCGGATGGGATTTCGTCAGTTGAGTGACAAAAGTCAACGGATGCCGTCTATTGTCTTTAACCTGAGATATGCGAGGAAAGATTGTCAGAAGAGTGTCACTGGCAGTGCCGTGGGCCGTGGTGTTCTTCTCGGTATTCTCGCCGGGGAGATTGAATATGGCCCATTCATTGTCATTCCAGTCAACTGGATCGAAATCGGACTCATACTTTTGTTGACTACGCTGTATAGGTAACCAAATATCAATCGCCTTCTGCACGATGTTTGCGACGCTCTGTCGAAACTCATTAAACTGCTGATCCGAGAGGAAGTCGTGTACGCAGCTTGACACTTTGCGAACAAGGGTTTGAATTCTGAGCTGGAGTGTCTCTTGCTGACTCTGTTGGTCAATCGAGAGAAGCATTGATCGACAGAAAGATTCTTTATCGCCATCGGTCTCAGCAAGATGGCTCATGATGTTCCGCAATTGAGCATCTTCCGGAACGAGATAATTGGGTTGAAAGATATGCTTGTCAATTTCCTTTGACAAGATAGCTAGGATCACAGCAAGTCGCATTGCTTTGGCAGCGGAACTGTTTGAAAGGGGCATAGGGACATTTCGAATCGAAACTTCACCCTTTTGAAGGCATCCCAATGAAAATTTATTCTAAAATGTATGAGCAAGAGTTGTCGAGAGATCATATGCCATGCTTACACTCAAAACTGCGCTATCGATGTCTTGCATCATTATGTGGTACAGTTGATCTGTAGCATAATCCCAGAGACTTGAGAATCCGTCGACCCTAGAATAGTCTGTTAGTATCATATATTCACATTTCCAGCTGGTAATGGCTAACATAGAGTCTTCATCCATTTGGTGGCCGCGAAATCCATAGCCTTCCAGCCTCTGAAGTCGATCTTGAGACTCCTGAGCGATGCTCTTCATTGAAGTGAGCTCTTTTTCTAGCTCCCCGGTTTTCTTTCTCTCCGACGATAATGAGTTGGCTATTCCTAGTTCAGCGGTCTGAAGGCTGTCGATGGTTCCATTACTTTCTTTGAGTTTCTTTTGTAGCAAGGTAATATCCTGGGAAAGCTGATTGACTTTGGTTTTCTCATTGACATGCTCTGATTGGACTTTCTTCATCTCCTCTCCGAATTTCTTGATCTTCTGAGCTGATTCCGCGAGCATGTTGTCTTTTTTCGCAATAGATTCGCGGAGTGATTGTATCTGCCCCTCGGCGGCTTTGAATTTGCTCTTCTGTGTTTGCATTCCAATAAACCATTGATCCATCGCAATGGTTTGGTTTTCCTCCTGCTCTTTAAGCTTCTTGCGAACTTCCGACAGCTCATCTTGCTTTTTCTTCATCTGCTCCCGTTGGTTCTGCATCTCAAACATTATCGTCGATGCGATCTTCATCTCAGAGCTGGAAGCAAAGATGCATATCTGTCTCACAGTATTTTCAAGAGTTTCGCTGGAAATTGGTGTTGCAGTGACACCTCCGTTCGTGGTGTGTGGAACTTTGGTTTCCGTAGACATTCTGAATGGATGGCAAAACTCGATGAAATAAACAGTGCTTTTTGAAATTTTTCAGGAGTGAACAGTTTAAATTTATAGCTTCTGTCGCCTATGATTGTATTCCCATGCGGCCTTTATTAACTTGTATTTCCTGATTTCCACGTCATGGGTAGCATTTCCAATCATATAAAATGAAGCTACCAAACGACAAGGATGAGGGCGCACAGTGCGTGTTTAGCTCGTTCTAGTTCTTGATTTAAAATTTCACAAACAGAGAATGATTGTTTTTCAGCCTCATTGTTGCTGGAAAGAAGGGGGGGTGAGCTGGCTTATGCATGCAAGACACAGGGGTACTTTGCAACGTGTTCTGGGCTGTAAGGCTGCCCGCACTGCGGCAAAAGCCGAATATCAGTGATACCCATTATCAGACACATGCTATGTGCATACAGCCAGTCAAAGGTTTTCCGTGAGATATGCGTTTTATTAGGGCGGCCTATAACTTGCGGAATCGAGCCCTCTCAACAGCAAACGCCTTTTTAGCAAACATACTAACGCAACAATATCCCCGTTCACGGGTGATATCATCGACAGGGGCTGCGCGCCGCGCGGTTGCAGCGACATGGCAGATAATGAAGTTTCTATGTCTGAGAAAGCAAGATATTACGGTAACCTTGAGCCGGTGGAATGTATTGTGGGTCGAGATGGTAGGTTATACATGCTACTACGAATCCTTTCTCTGCCAAAAAGGCATATTAGCTTCCGTTAATCTGAGTGAATTGTTAGTAGATAAAGCGGGGTATTGGGAAGAGTATAGGAGCTATTTTAACATCGGATAAATCTGGTTGATCGAGTATACCTTCTTCATCCATTAGATTGGAGGAACAACCAGGACGGGCCAACTCGGGCATTGTGGATTAGTAGTATTCCCGTTTCTACGATATTTTTTGAACAAATAGTGGCTGAGTAAAATTTGCAACTCTATTGCCCCTTGTATGATCTTCATGAGGTTATGAGCCTCTCTCTTTTCGATTCCTCTATTGGAGCTCTTTCAAATTGGGGGCGGCGAATCTCGGCAAAAATCTAACCCTTGGCGAAAATACACTGTGGGCATGAAGTAGAGGAAATTGTCGCATAGAAAAAACGCTGTTTCGTGACCGCTAGGCCAAAAAGGTGCACACCTACTTAGCTAGGCTTAAGTACGGTGTATTGTGCGTATTCATGCTTTGACAGAAACCAATCATCACATATGTCATAACTATCAATTAAGGCTTGTTCCTTAAGCTTCTCATTTGATTGCTTTGATTTATACGCAGTGTATAGGATACCTAAGTAATATTGGCAAACTAAAAGTAAATAGCAAAAAGGCTACACGTAGCCATAGATATGTAGATGTACATATCAAATTATATCCTAAGAAGTATCACTGGATGGCATGATACTGGTTTTGGTATCAGATGATAAAAAGTTCGGCTCTAGGAACTAGCGTTAGGAGAGTTTTCGCACAACGCTAGAGATGCAGGTACTTCCGAGCCATAAATTTTAATGAATGCAGTCTTGAATCTACACTTGCTCGATAACGGATCAATCCTATATGCAGGAAGACCAAACAACACTGATAAGTTTGCTGTGAGGAGACAATATAGCTCTTGTGGCAGAGAATCAAGAGACCGCAGATTATCAAATAGCGACGGTGTCTCCCCTAAGCCCAGACGATCTAGAAAAGCCTCAATTTGAGCGTTCACGCCTACTCAGTCGCCAACTTGGAGGCCGGTTTAACTTGCGATCCAATTCGTACAATTGCTCCGGCGATTTCATGTCCAGTGTAACAGGAATATTTGGTTGGGAGCTGCTTTTGAGGTTACTTTGAAGCCAAAAATCAACAAGAGAAGGGGGGTATAACAATACTCATTCCCGTGAACTGTGGAACGAGTGCTCACGCGAGCCACAGATGCCGCAGTGGCCGACCTTGACGTCGACGTCGGTTTCCTCCCATTGTTTTGGGGAGAATCTCTGCCAGACCGTTTTGCCATTGGCCGCGCTAAGTCGACACCCATTCACCCCGGGAATTGATAATGGGTAGAAGTCATTTCAGCCGTTGACTAGAAAGAGCCAAATGGATTCAGTGCAATTTACGTGTGGTATTTTCGCGCTATATGTAAACACATATATCTCATGATGCAACATCATGAAATAGGAAATCTAGGCTCACTAGTATTTTGACGCTGGAGATGGCGCACTGACCAATGGACCGATTTCGATCGGAGGTTGCGAAAATTTTCGGGCCTTTGCTATTCAAACCACGAGCGCTTCGATAGTTATTGGGAATTTAAGAAACTAGTCGATTCTTATAGTTCACTCTCGGAGTTCCCGCTCACCCTTTGATTGAATAAAGATAACTCTAGAATGAAGAAGAAATTCATGATTATGGCCTTCATATTTTCATCATGTTGATGCAAATTTCATATCATTATGTTTCGATGTTTACCCCAAAGATACCAGGCTTATCTAACGCGTTTCTGGGATTAGGATTTGCTGCAAGGCATACTCGTTTAATGAGAGCTGCCTGACCGGGGCTCCTGCAGTGGGCCCCGATCCCCACATTTTCCTGTTCATGTCGACGGCAGCCATGCCACAGCGTATTGCTCTGTGTGACACCCTCATGGTGGCAGCATGTTGGACCGCTGCGGCGCGCAGCCTCATCATGTGAAACGTCAAGGTAGATTGTATTACCTAGTAGCTCTTTGCTTTCGCCTACGTTGTCGCCCTAATTTATGGTTGCATTTTTTTAGTCATAAAAGTGTACGAGGAGATGGAGGCCAGTAAATGATCGTAGCCGCGATAAATGTACATATGGGGTTGCCGGAAATGGGCGGCACGTACTGATATTGTTTGGTCGAGAAACCTTTGACCCTCACGCCATTGCATGATTTCCTCTGGCGGATGTGAAGGGACGAGCTATCTTTTGGAAAATTCGGCGAGTCAAGTCAGCAAGAGCGTATGCTTCCCGGTGATTCGCGAAGGGGTTGTGCTCGGGTAACTTTTGATGTTGTGCCCACGGCTCCATACACCCCCTGTCAATAAGTATTTACCCACTGCTGTAATCACTAGCAAAGTGTGCCGATAGCGGGTTTATTAATCCACGAATTTATATGGCAACGTATTTTTCAAATAGCTTTGAATAAACTGTAGTATTTTATCAATAAAATAACTCCTTCCAAAAAATCTAATGTAAATGGCTATTGAGTGCAAGTTTAATTTTCAGTTTGAATCTCGATTATATTTGCAGACATGTGATAGCAAACTAGTCCTGATACAGCAAACATCTCGATGCATTGCCACTGCGCTGATCGGGAAGGCGCCTACGCTCCCGGTATAGACTTGATGTTGATGCTATCAAAGGGAATGCCCGAAACCACGGTGTGTGTGAACACCAATTCAAGGTCCCAGCCTCCCCGGTTATGGAAATTGAAACCCCACTTTTCAAGGAGCTTGTCAAGGACCTAAGCAGTCACTAATAATAACGCCAGAGAAATGGATTCGATGGTTTGATACCGCATTGGGGCTCTGTCACCTGAAGATGCCGGATTTTGATCTTCATCTTTGAGAAAGGGCCGTGTTCCGGCCATTCGGCTCGCTAATGACGGTTAGGCAGATGATATCGCGGATCTTCTGTTGGTGCAGTGGATTATGACCCTAATATTGCAGCCTTAGAACATACGTGAGTGTACGAACCGGACAAGTCCCAGCTTTTTGTTGCAGTGAACACGCCTTGTTGCCTAAAGTACCCAAAAATTGTGTTATAGGCTTGTAAGTGAGGCTCAAGAATATTGCGTTATCGAAAAGGAGAAAGGACTAATGCGTGGGTTCTAGTAGACATCCGGGATTTGGCTAAAAGGTTGAACGACAAAGGCCGAACAAACCGTTCCAATTCAAGGAAAATGATGAAATGAGCCCTCGGGCCTTCCATTTATTTTGCTGCCTCGAAAGATTGAGGTTCTGTATCAAACATGTTGCCTAGGTCAGGCGGGGTTGAGCAAGCCACAGTAGTGCTTATCTACAATTTAAATGGCGTCTTTCCCGCGTCTTCAACGCTCTGTTGCCATCGATCTTTTTGCTACTCTCGCAGAACCCCTCCAAAAAAAGCAAACACAACTATGGAGGTCCTTTTCGCACGGGCGACCATCGCCAACAACTCCACGATTGATGTGCAGAGCCTCCAGTCATTCGGACCCGCAGAAGCTACCGGTTTCGACTTCACCCCACTGTTCGAAAATACAATCCTGAGCATAGTTCCATCAGCAATACTTCTGCTTGCATTTCCCTATCGCATTTTTGATCTGCAAGGAAAACGACCGAAGGTCGCGCGCGGGGGCGTCTTGCACGACAGTAAACTCATCTTCCTGATGGTCTTCGCGGCTACAAATCTGGCCTTCCTGGTACTGCAAGCGCTCGGACCCTCTCGCTCCACACCCGCAATTATCGCTGCAACCTTAGAATTGGTATGCAGTCTGGGTCTTGTTGTCCTCTCCCACTTTGAGCACATTCGATCTTTACGCCCATCACCACTAATTAACGCATATCTCTTGCTGACTTTGGTGTTCGACATTGCCCGTGTTCGAACTCTTTTCCTCAATGGTGTCAGCGGGCCCTTAGCCGCCTGCTTTTCGAGCATGATGGGCGTCAAGATCATGGTGTTGCTTGCTGAGGCCATCGAGAAACGTAGTATACTTCTGGAGCCGTACCGCTATCTGTCACCGGAGGAGACCAGTGGACTCTACAGCAAATCTTTCTTTTTCTGGTTAAATCAGCTCCTCACTACTGGATCGAGTCGCCTTTTACGCAACAAGGACTTGTACCCGATTGACCGCGATATGAAATCGGAGGTTTTGCGAGAAAAAATGGAACTAGCCTGGTCAGCTGCGTCCAAGGGGAAGCCAAATGCTCTGTTTGGGGCTATTCTGAGGGCCAACTTCAAAGCTCTGATGTACGGTGTCATTCCAAGATTTGTTCAGATTGCCTTTCGCTATACCCAGCCGTTTCTTCTCACTCGTACGATTGCCTTTGCCAATGACCTTTCGCAACCTGATAATGTCGGCTGGGGTCTTACGGGAGCATTCTTCGTGGTTCTCCTCGGCTTGGCAGTCTCTAACGGACTTTATTACCACATGGCATACCGCTTTGTTGTCAGTGTTAGGGGAAGCCTGGTAAGCATCATATACTCGAAAACTGTTGACCTTAGCATCATGGCGCTAGACGAGTCCGTGGCCGTCACACTCATGTCTAACGATACTCAAGCCATTTGCTTTGGCTTTGAAACAATCCATGACTTTTGGGCAGTACCACTTGAATTGGGGATCGCGCTTTATCTCCTCGCACGTCAACTGGGCATTGCCTGCGTCGCACCTGCTATTCTTGCTATTTTATCGGGAATTGGTATCTTGATTGTGGCTAAACCTATGGGCCAAGCACAAAAGACATGGATGCAAAGTATCCAGACACGAGTCAATGGAACAGCTGCTATGCTAGGCTCAATGAAGTCTGTCAAATTGCTTGGCTTCACCGACTGGCTCAGCGAGATAATACAGGGACTAAGGGTCAGGGAGCTCGTGATGGCAGGATTGTTTCGGAAACTGCTGCTAGTTCGCGTGTTTCTTGCAAATACCATGACCACTGTGGCGCCATTTGTGACTCTCGCCGTTTTCACCCTTCTGGAAAAGTTCAATGGTCGCGCTCTAGACGCCAGTTCAGCATACACGGTTTTAACCCTTATCTCACTCATTGCAAGCCCAGTCAATGACTTGATTCGAGCGGTGCCCGCGATGAACGCAGCTATGGCCTCCCTTACTCGTATCCAATCATTCCTCGAATCTGATGCAAGAAGAGATCCTCGTATCTTCCTGAGCCAAGCCCTGAGTCTATCAGATAGCAGGAGCTTCCCAGATCAAGTCGGGATAGATCTTAATGATCAGCCAGAACCTGACTCGCCGGGATATACTCAGGTGGTGACTGCTCAAAATCTTAGCTTCTCATGGATCGAGAGCGAGAAGCCCGTTGTCAACAACATCAGCTTTGGTGTTTCGAGTGGTGAATTCTGCTTTATAATTGGGCCCGTTGGTTGTGGTAAGAGTACGCTCTTGAAAGGTGTCCTTGGCGAAACTCTGTCAACGAAAGGGTTTCTGTACACCAAATATCGCGAAACGGCATTCGTGGACCAAACACCCTGGATCTCCAACACTTCTTTGCGAGATAATATAATTGGTATTTCCCCTTATGAAGAAGAGTGGTACAAAGAAGTGGTTAAAGCTTGTGCTCTGGACCAGGATGTCATCTTATTACCAAATGGGCACTGTGAGTCGATATATCCTTCATGACGGTCAATTTGTTGACTTTTTCCAGGGACAAAGGTAGGAAGCTCAGGGATCTCTCTTTCTGGTGGACAAAAACAACGTCTTGCGCTCGCAAGAGCTGTATATGCACGGAAACGTATTATCTTATTAGATGACATATTTTCCGGACTGGACGCCGATACGGAAGAGCGCATTTTTACGAGAATATTCTCACGGAGCGGTCTCTTCCGCAGAATGGGAACTACGGTATTGCTGGTTACACATGCAGTTCACCGACTGGCCTATGCTGATCACATTATCGCCATGGGATCAGATGGTTCCATTACTGAGCAGGGGACTCTCGAGCAGCTTGAAGCTGCAGGGGGCTATGTGGCAATGCTGGAAGGACGCTACAAAACCGAGAATGATGGGAACGACGCAACCAGAAAGCAAAGACAAGAGAAAGCAATAGCCAGTGCGACCGCCGGTCTAGAGGAAGATGTGAACGACGAGTTGAATGCCGCCGAGAAGGATCTAGCACGACAGACTGGTGACTTCTCCCTGTATTCATATTATCTTAGCTCTGTCCATTGGTCCTCGACATTGCTGTGGGGAACTTGCTTCATAATGTGCGGAGTGGCATCAAAACTGAGCGAGCTTTTGGTCAACTTCTGGACGACTGCTATTGAGAAAAATGGCAATAGCGTTAATGGCTTCTACCTAGGACTGTACGGCATGTTGGCTATCCTGACAACCATAGGGCTCATGGGAGGAGCTGCTCACTACATACTCTATTTTGCACCGAAAAGTGCCAGAGTCTTACATGAACGGCTCCTCAAGTCAGTGATGAACGCGCCGCTATCCTTCTTTTCTTCGGTGGATATTGGGACCACAACGAACAGGTTCAGTCAGGACATGACCTTAATTGACAACGATTTGCCGTATGCCGTGACGGATTTCATGTTATCGTTGTCCATGGGCTTCATGTCCGCAATTATCATGTGCATCTCAGCGCGCTACTTTGCTGCTACAATGCCGCTCGTGTTCCTCTTCATGTGGCTGCTGCAAAAGTTCTACCTCCGAACCTCCCGTCAGATGCGTCTCCTCGACCTGGAGTCCAAATCCCCTCTGTTCTCTCAATTTATTGAAAGTCTGTCTGGGTTAGTGACAATCAGAGCATTTGGGTGGGCGTCAGCTTTCGAAAAACAAAACCAGGTGCTGCTGGACGCATCCCAAAAGCCATTTTACTTACTATTCTGTATCCAACGCTGGCTTGAGCTGGCGCTAGATTTGACAGTCACTGGACTCTGCGTTGTACTTATGGTCATGATCGTGAAGCTCCGTAGTGAGATTAGCGCCAGTTTTGTCGGCCTGGCCATCCTCAACGTTATCACGTTCAGCCAGTCCCTCTCAACCATCCTCCGCAACTGGACTAACCTTGAAACTTCCATCGGTGCAATTGCCCGTGTTCGTGAGTTTGTGCTCACAACTGAAAATGAAAACCGGCCCGAGGAGAATGTCATGCTGCCTATAAATGACGGCAGTTGTGTCGTTGATTGGCCTGTTAGCGGAGCCATAGAGTTTCATAACGTTTCTGCGTCATATCATCCCGGAGAGAACCAAAATCTCGTTGTCCGCAATCTGAGTATGTCAATCCGCGCTGGAGAGAGAATTGGAATATGTGGACGAAGCGGTAGCGGGAAAAGCTCGCTGCTGGCGACGCTTTTCCGCATGCTTGAAGTTCAACCCGAGAGTAAAATCATTATTGATGGTGTGGATATCACACGAACCCCGAGGCAGCAGCTACGCACTGCTTTGAATGCCATTCCACAAGAGCCATTCTTTACGTATGCTACCGTACGAGAAAATGCGGATCCCTCAGGAACACATTCCGACCACGAGGTCGAAGAGGCCCTACGGTCTGTGGAACTGTGGGAAACTGTGCAATCGAAAGGCGGCCTGGATTCTGAGTTGGATAGTAGTTTCTTCTCACATGGCCAACGGCAACTTTTCTGTTTAGCGCGTGCAGTGCTGCGAGGTGGGAAGGTCATTGTGCTTGACGAGGTGACGAGCAACGTTGATGTCCTCTCTGATGCGTTGATGCAGCGAATCATCCGAGAGAAATTTCAGGATTGTACAATTCTAGCTATTGCGCACCGGCTGGATACTATTTTGGACTTTGATCGTGTGGCCTTGATGCGAGATGGTGAGCTCGTGGAATTTGATGCCCCACAGACCTTGCTTTCGCGCGAGAGCGCATTCAAAGAGCTCTATGATTCTCAGTGACATGTGCCAGGGAAATAACGCCAATAGTGGTCGCTAGCGGAGGTCAGGCCCCTTACCCTGTTTGCTAGTGCCTCCTTCTTATCTTGCATTGGCATAAAATAGAGATAATTTCTCCCATGGCCTTGGCCATCATCTTTATTTCAGCCTCCAATTCTTCTGACTCCATACATTTATAATGCAAATCCCTTTCACATCTTAGCTGAAAATCTGGTTAGATACATTCTACCTTGTCAAAATGAAGAAAAAGAGAAAAAGGAACCTACAGAACAACAATCAAATTGGGTGAGGAGGCCAGATGACGTCATGAGTTGGGAGTAAATGTCATGTGATACTATCAATGATCGGCTGCAGTTTGACCCCGCGATCGTCTGGTCGATCCTCATGTGGTAATTATTTCATATATTCCATCAAAAATATCAAATCAAATTGAACTGTCGTCATGGGCTTCTTGGGTCACCACAATCTCGCCCCGGTCGTCGAGCCTATCGCCATATTCGACCAATTTGTCTCGCAGGAGCCGCAGACAATAGTTCTGAAAGAAAAGGTACTCTCCGTCTCTGGGGATAGCTTCGAAATCAAATTAGCCAATGGTCAACCATTTTTGAAAGTGCACGGAGCCTGGATCTCAATTTCTGGTCGAAAGAAGGTCGAGGACGCCAATGGCAATCATCTATTTGATATTGTCAAGGAGCTTCTACATATCCATACGACGTATGCAATCGAAGACACCCATCGGAAGAAGATCTGTGAGGTCAAGAGTAATCTCAGACGTAAGTACCGTATTTAATGGGTCAAGATCATTTAGCAAACGACAATCCATACATTTTATACATCACTGACTGCACTAGTGCTCGGCTCCAAAGCAACCGCCAGTTTTACTGATCGTGCCGGCAAGGCCGTGGCTCTCAAGATGAAAGGCGGTTGGTTCGATCATACTGCCGATATCGTCGACGATAAAAGCGGCCAAACAGTGGCTCGCATTGACCGGAAACTGCTTAGCGGCCGCGACCTTGTATTTGGCCAGCAGACCTATGCCGTTGTTGTGGCACCTGGTGTGGACGCTGCACTGATTGCCGCCTTGTGTATTTGCTTTGATGAGAAGAACAATGATGAACGTGGCGAATAGTAGTATGGAATCCGGTCATAGGTCGAACTGGGCCATACCCATACGCATGTTTATAGGTGCCTTATGCACAGAAGATCTATCTCTTCTCGTGTAAGTATTCAAGTATGATTCGCAATCTGAGGAAAACAAGATAGAAACCAATAGAGCTCTCGGATAATGCAGTAAGCGGGTCACTTATATCAATCGCCCAGTCGGAATGTGAAAGGTACGCTAAGTTAACGAATGATAAGTGGATATATTTTCGTGGTCAAAGCCCATCTTCACACAACACCTAGAAAACAAGGAGGAAAGCAAATTGATTTAGATTCCATATAGAGAGGACAAGCTATCAAGAGCCAAGGCAAGACGTGGCGAGCAAATGATTCTCAAGCAAATTAAAGAAAGACATTCTTATGAGACGTACCCGTCAACCTGACGTCCTTCCAAAAATCTTCTGCAATCGGGACTTTTGTTTCGGAACCACTCCAGGCTGTAACTTCTTCTTAGACTTGGATGGAAAAAAGAACCAAGTTGCCATGTTCATAAGAAAGGGCGAATTTTCTGGGTCAAGCCTGTCTTTGATTTCACTCCTGATATCCTCCTTTTCTTTCTCTGGTAGGTCGAAGCCGCGAAAGTTAATACAGCACCAGCACTCAGAAGTGCAATGTCCTCCACCTTTATTAGGTTTAGAACGATGCCTCTCTGCGCAGCATCCACATTCCCGGCTACAACATCCACCTCGATCCGAGCAATCTTGAACCATTCCTTCACCCATAAACCAGGTATCATCACCTCTCATCCTATCGTATAGTTCTCTATTAAACGCTGGAAGCATAGACTCCGCTAGGTAAAGGACTCGCATCTTTCTTGAAAAATCTCTTTTTGCGGTTTCAAGTTGTTCGTTTGTCTTTTCGAGCTGTCTGTTTGCTTCTTCAAGTCTGGCCTTATCGGACTCCACGTATGTAGACTTTTGTAAGGCTATAGCCCTGTGCTTCAGAGTTTCCTCGCGCTGGATTTGTTCACGCAGAGCGTGCTCAGCAACAATCACATCAATTACCCTGGTCCGGGGAGGAAGTCTGACCCGTTCGTTAAATATTCTATGCCCCATCTGCACTGGCGCAGAAGTTTCGGACGCTTCCCGGTGGATTCCATACTTATTTCGTGAAAGACTCAGTATGAGAAAAGGTACCTCCAAACTGTGTGAAGATATGAAAGAGGGGTTGGAATGTGGACTGAGTACGAAAGTTAGAGTGTCCAGGTGTCAATGCGCCAGTCATGTAATATTTAGTACTAAAAAATGCCTTGCTTCCGACCGCCCTTTTGACCGCTTCATTCCATGTATTGTAATTTCGCCCGCCAGCGTCTGCAACGCCGGTGGGAAGCGTCCAGGTTATCACAACATCATCTAAGCGAGGTCGATACCAAGCCCAGTATCCAACTGCTCCGCTACGTCGGAGACAGAGGAAGAGGATCTGGATGTGAATAAGACTCTGTATGGTAGGAATATATTTGATTTTCTTTTTTTGGGCCCGAGGTAATTTCCAGCTAATTCCAATGTTTCAAGGCAAGATACTTTGCCGAAGAAGGCATCTGTCAGAAGTATACATGTTTATGTACGGGCATTCTAATTTCTGCCAGCCTATAGGAAGGCATCTTTAGGCAGCTATGTTGCGTAACTAGCGCATATGACCACTGGTGGGCACCTTGGTAGACTGAGTCACCCGCCGCCCAAATCACATCGGCACAAGAAAAGGACTTTGGCTGTCCCAAGGTTGTGTTTTTTTGTACTGAAGTGATTTTTTTGTTATTTTTCTTGTCATGTATGCTAATTATCGAACCTAGGAAATAACACATGCAAACTTGGAAGAGCAGGAAACGCTTAAGCTATCATAACCAGTAGAGTAGAGACTAGTGGCGATGTATGTATAAGCAGTGATGTGATAATGTCTGTGTATATGTCATAGAGCATGGAAAGATTCTTTGCTTCAATCATGAATCTACACGCTTGCGCCAATTCTGTCTGCCCTCGTAATTCGGTGATTAAATGAGCGTCTGAAAATTGACCAATCAGCGTGAATAAATCACTCAGGTTGATATTCGTTGTCTCACTATGATTACTGTGATTGGCTCTTTTCTTTTTGACAGCTCAGCTTATTTGAGCCTCATTTTTATTACAGAAAACTTTTGTTGCTCTGAATCTTGAAAATGCTCGAAAGATCAGAGAAATACCAACTTGCCATATTGTCAAATTAAATAGATTTGTGTTTTTATGGTTTTGCGGTTTTTGTTTTTCTTGGTTCGCGTTCCTCCCCCCGTCTCCTACATTATTGTCGGCCTGAGGTACCTCTCTCAGGGAGTGGACTGCCTGTCTGCCAGACTCCTCTTCGCGAATAGTCCTCTTTCGCTTTCCCATTACCGCAACTATAATTAGAGCATATCCTGTTTACATAAATGCTCTCCAGTAGCTCAATTACCTTTTTCTCCTACTATTCTTTGACATCTCTCATTACACATGCGTGTTTTTCGGTTCCCGAATAGCAACCAAGAGATGATGAGCCTGAGCTGTTACATCCAAATCTTCTTCTTTGCCGCAGTACTCGTTTCTCGGTGCGCAATTCGTACGCCGATTGCGAACAGCCTGCTACTCGGCCATCATGGATCGTCGCGAGCTTCGCTCCAAAAAAAACGACTTTGATCAATCTAAGCAATTCTGAAGCATAGCTGCGAGATAATGAAGGTAGGTTCAGAAATAGCGGGTCTTTCATGGTGTCTAACTGATTGAAGGTATTCCAAACCTCGGAAGTAGCACTGAGCGATAACTAAATCATCTGAACTGTAAGAGAGAGATGATGAAAGGGAATCTGAAGTGGGAGTGAGAGATAATGAAAGGAGACCTAAGAAATGTAGGACGCTTACATTAAGGATCGGTAATTTGTCGAAGATGAAAAGACCACTGCGAATTCAGTGGAAAGACATACTAACACTGACTAGTGTTTCTGAGGTGGGCAGGTAAGGGATGAGCAGAGGAAGATTGGCGGCACGACTGATTCCCAATAAATCCGTATTTGCTTTAGTAATGTACTACACCAAGAGACCATATCTGCACAGCTCTGGTGCGATCTAGTGTTCCCTGCAGGGGGGTATCAGACCGCGCATAAGTTTAAAAGCCGAGCAACTCATTTTCTTGGCAAGTTTGACTGATACATAGTTAGATAATCCGTTGTTGACAGATTGAGCCACCACTAAGCCCGCACTTCTGTAACAATATCTTCTCATAATTCTTTACAGCCTTGTCTTTGAGTGTGTAGGATTGAGCCGGTCCAGCGAGTTGTGCACCGCGGTTTCTCGGCCACTCTCCTTCTCGGATGTCCTATCAACAAACAAACCTATAACAAGCTACCAAATTAAACATGATATTCGAATGCCCAAACTCCCCACTGCTACTTGAATATCATCGCTTTTTGACTTCTTGGAACCTGTCTGAGGCTATTCTGGCCTGGCCAATCGAAATGTGCGAAAATTCTGCATTGTACTATCCCTGGTTCTGGCAATTTATGGGAATTGAAAACATGAATTAGAAGTGACAAATAGACAGTGGATACCCTCTGGAAATTCACCTGACAGAAACCAATAACATCAAAGCTCTATAGCTCTGATTTGTTTGCAATTGGGGTCACTGTAGCATGCCGAAATTTAGCTGACTCTGCCTTGATAACATTTGGAGGGGCATTATCCTGGATAAGTGCTGTAGTAGGTCTCGGAGTATCAGACATTTCTTGAGTAACCTCTGGGACACACGCAGAGGTGTTCTGTGTGACGTCGGCGGGAATGTGGCTTTCCCACCGAGAATAAAGATCCTCTGGGAGTATCTTTTTTCTCTCGACCTTTTTGACCACAACTTTGTCTTTCAGAGGATCATAGCGAATAGTTGAACTCCCTCCCCACTTTCTGGTAACTCGTAGTATGCATTTGATTAATGCAACGAGTTTCGTGATAGCATCCTGGTGGACTTTTTCCCAAACCTTCAACGCAGCAGTGACATCTTCCACTTTAGGCGTCGGGAATATTCCACGTCGATGATAAGCCCGGACAAGTTTGGGCGTTTGAGAAATCCAGAGCTGAGCTGCAACCTCTGTTAGCTTCAGAGATTTGTGGAAAACTCGAGTTTTGATCTCTAGAGTCGACTCCCGTGATACTGTTCGCCCTTCCCTCTTAATGGTCAACTTGGATTTGCTGGAGGGCTCGTCTATAGAGGTTGTTTCCGGCGTGAGGGATAATGAATTTAGGATGTCAGCAAGATTGTCCCCTGTTAATTCGGCATCCATTACACTGGATTTCGAATCTCGAACATATCCGTCTGTCTCATGGCGCACGAGGAAACTCAGACCACCTAGTCGGTATGAAATTATGCGATGGTGCCCAGTGCTTTCTTTGACCTGGTTAATCGTATATGCTTTTTCGAATTCGTGCCCAAAGCCCCGAAATTCGTCTGACCCAATAAATTCAGAGGTGGCGGTATCTTTACGGGAGAAGATTGCTGTCTCGGCGGTCATATCCACCTGGATGGTAAATGATTCGAGATCATTTTTGTTCAGAGTCGGCTTGACAAACGACAGAAGTTTACGAATGTTGTTCCTGTCGGTCACGACATCGATTGATTTTATGTCGAATGAGGGATTCTCAAGGTAAAGGGAGCGAAATAACGGTTCCAGAGGGCTATCCGGATGACGAGCGGCATTCTGAGCAATATAAACGAGCCCACTATCTTTGTTTACTTGACGGGGCCCTGGTGGAGCGGACCACTGAGCTGGACATCCTGGAACAGCAATGGTGGGTGTGGATGCTTCGATCCAGTTATAAGACGCCAGATGCTTCACATCAGTAATTATTGCTTCTGCTGGAGCGAAAGATGCGAGGTCGAGACGGGAGATCTCCTCAACCCCCTCGGAGGTAGTTTTCAAGTCTGACATTCGATGTAATACCTTGAAGATAGGTGATATGGCAAGATATTTGGTTTGAGCAATAAAGAGGGTCATAGTCGACTAATAAGCTACAGTTTAGTAGATTCCAAGCAGTATGTAAATTACCACGTCACTTGATTATGAATCAGCCCTCCGTTGGTGCCAGCGCACACTGACAGGGGTGTACTTCAGGGGTGGGGTGCAAAATATCTGGAATGCAAAAAATATCAGTTATGACTATAGATACATGTAAAATAGCACAAGAAGGCAGTGACAGTTTGGGCCCAATCCTGGAACTCTTTACTTGCTTCGTAAGACCAACTGGTCCGGCATTTTTAATTTCCTCTATTGCCCTGCAAGAACCCACAGTGCGACTGTAACATCAATGGATAACTTTCTACAGGTTTGAACACAATGGCTACTATTGGTTTAGGACCAGGCGCCTGCAAAGTCTATTGTTGTAATATATAAGATGTCAAATTAATTGTCAATTTAATGTGCCTATTTCGACTATTAGGCCATACATTGGCCTTTGTTAATCAAAGAAGGCATTAAATGCCCTCACATTCTGCAGTAAATCGTAAACCACAGTACCAGGGGCCTTTTTAGTCCACCAAATCCCATAGTAAGTGAATATAACCATTTATTAATCGAATGACACGCAAGGGAATCGGCGTTGCTGGGTCTTGCTGTTGGAGGAATCGATGTTGCCTTTTTGGATATTCTGTGATATCTATGTATTCATAGCATGGACTGTTCCACAATCTGTGGCAGGTGAGGGGCGATGTATCATGACATGCCGTGCTCCCGTTCTCTGCACATAACTGTGACAAAAGTCTGCGCATGTTCGGGGACAGCATGAGGCGAAGGTTCTGAGCGCAGGCTTTCGAGGTTAAAAAGAGCAGTGGCGTAACCACCCACCTGCATCTTCACCCATATGTTTTCTGTACTACTGTATCCTCACACATTTGCGTAACACAAATTTAGACATGAATTCCGCCACGTCTATTGAATTAGCTGGAATTGAAATGATTTTTGTGGACACTAAATGTCTATATGTCGAGTTCAAGGTAACGTTAATCGAGATACAAGTGAGATGCTACAAGGTCGCACTCAGATCTAATTCAGTGAGTACGCAAGGCAGATGCGCTGATAGTTATTGGGACAGATTGAACGAAGCAAAACCTGTTTCTCCATCGGCATATCTTAATCAAGTTTAATCCTAACCCGGGGTGCCTCAGTTGGGCCTCCCTCCTGGGTGAGATATTTTGTCTGAGTGGCCCGGCGACATGATAGTCGCCTTCTGGAATTTGATGACGAGGAAAGCGAAGGCCGTCTGGAAGTCTTCATTATGAACGGTTACCGTGAACTCAAACCTTGATCACATGTTAGAGAACTCATGTTAAAGTGGTTGCTTAGTTTGAGCTACAGAATCTGGATCGTTGGTGGCCAGAGCATAGATAGTGTAGTCTCGCCTGTGATGCTCGCTCGTGTCTTTCCCGATAGATTCAGTCTGTCGCATAAGTTAGCCGTCAGATATATAAACTCTATGGCGTCTCTAGATATTTATACATAAAGCCTAAAGCCGGTGCCTTACCCGAGTCAATAATGTTGGTCTTCCTGGCTTCCACGATCTGGATATTGAGGCATACAATCTCATCCACCTCGTACCAGACTTGATAGGCAAATCGCGCTGACAGACCACGCTGACAGACTCACTTCCTGTTGATTCGCCGCTCGAACTTGCGCAGAAGAATAAGTACGACGCTCTTAGCCGCATGGAAGTCCAGAAGAAGGGCAAGTAATGTCATGACTTATCCCCGTCCAAGGGATTTGGTGAGTTCAGCGACAACACCGGCTAGACCGGCGGGCGAATTGTGGCCATCAGAGCCCCCTGAGAGAGAATCGGGGGGTAAGAGGAGGTCAGGTTTCGTTCAAGAATCTCTTACTCGTATTTTAGATTTCTCTCGGTTATCTCTCATTTCATCATTAGCATTCATTCTCAAATTGCAATTTCCACACCAAAGTCGCGAAATCGACGAGTTCTTGTGCTGGAAACACTATGTCGCATTCTTGTTGTTCTCCGCTGACCTTTGGAAAAGAACGTCGAAGGGGATCAGTGGTGGAGGCTGGTCGGGCTCCAGGACGATTTGACCATCTGATTTTGTTATGGCCAAGTATGACTTTTTGATGGGCCGGGAGCGCTCAGAGCTCCACTCCCACCGATCGATGTTGATCTTGGGTTTTGACATGGACCTCGACTGCGATAGTTACATCTGCCTGCCTTCTTTCTGGATCTACCCAGTAGTGGGCATCCCGGCGAAGGCTTGCGGAAGTCTCTGACGAAATGACTTCCAAAACCACCGAGGGTCTGTTCGATGCTCCGTGAAGTGTTTTTCATGGACTTCATTCTCCGTCTGCCTCCTTGGTCGTGCCATCAGCGCCGGTCAATTTCGTAGATCCCCAGACACGAATCCCTCTATTAAGCCTATCGGCTGAAGAGTCAATTTGAGCATTAAGTCAAAAGCCCGCGGCGCTTGTTCGTGCGCTGGATCAGGCATCTTCCCAACCAGGATGTTTGTTTTCGGATTGAAGGATATCTTGCCACGAAAAGAAAGATCTTCTGATGGGTTCAGGGTGTCCTGACTAAATGTGGAAGGTTTAACGATGAAGATAATGGGATCGTTTTGGGTGTGTTCTGTCTGTGACAAAGTAAGCGGATGGCCTTGCCGACCTTCGCAACTTCCGCCATTGTCTTGTGGTCTTGTATTTCGTGCAGCGCGGGAAGAATCGTAGGGACGAACACACTCAGGAGAGATGACCTGGAAAAAGTCATCAATATCCTTGTAGTGATAGGCTTCTAGCGAGGTAGCTCTTCGATATCCTGTGGGCCATGTTTAGTGGCACTGTCATAAAGATCGATCATCCTTGTCTTTAAAGATGTATCTGTGTAGGAGGAGAAGCGAAGAAAGTAGGGAATTATCTATGAAAGAAGAAACGTGGGCCGGAGATACCCACGCAGTGGACTTTCTAAATACAAGCTTAAAGATGCATATGTAATGGGTTGTGGAGAGCTGGAAGTTAGTTTCCTTTAAAGGACACTAGTAGTGGTTCGGAAAAAATTATCTCATTATGACTGTAGTAGGCTCCCAGGTCCCTATGGCGTGAAGTTGATTTGGGGCTCAAAGAAACTTTGGGTTCCAATCTACCCGATATCAATGCAAACACTACAAACACCGATAAGGATCGATGAGCACCCATTTTATCATCAACATTGAATCATAACTTTGAAATTACCCTGCACATCTAAAAGAGCAATTGAACAAATCACCAAAGGCTTTAACATTAACCCCTACATTATCTTTCCTCATCAAAATCCCGAAAAATCGAAACATAAAAAGAAATGCTCCAATCCCGCATCAGACCCCCCCCCCGCGCCAATCCAACCAGCACAGTCCCAACACCGGATCTGGACAACAATAGCGAAGAAATCGACGAATCCCCAGAAGATATCTTTGGTGCCTACCTAGCTCATCTCCTCCCAGATGATGCCCCCTCATTCCACGGCGATCCAGGTCAACACCTCCTCTACAGCTCTCCCCGCTATGGAGATCTAGACATTATGGTCCCGAGCTATCCAGACTCAAACGCCAATCGCTCTGATGCAGCGCGTAGGCTATTTGCTCATTTTGTTTGGAGCGCTGGTCTGGTTGTTGCGGAGGGTGTCGAATTAGCTGATCAGGCTCAGTCGAAGAGTATCTGGGCTATGGAGGGTGAGACGGTGCTGGAGTTGGGAGCTGGTATATAATTCATTCTCTGCTGGTGTGGGATAGTCAATGACTAACAATACTATTAAGGTGCCGCTGTCCCATCCTTAATCTGCGCGCTGGCCAAGGCCAAGGCCGTAACGGCAACAGACCATCCCTCCTCACCAGCCCTAACTGGCGCTATGGCATTCAATATCAAGTACAATCTTTCGAACAGAAATCCACCACTGAATGGAAATGTTTCCATGCAGCCACATCAATGGGGTGTCTTGGACGATGAATTCTCAATCCAGAACAAAGGCTCTTTCACACGGATCATCGCAGCAGATTGTTTCTGGATGAGAGAGCAGCATGGTAACCTTGCTCGGACGATGCAGTGGTTCCTTTCGCCTGGTGGACGGATTTTTATCGTTGCAGGCTTTCACACTGGGAGGCCGATTGTGGCTGGGTTTCTTGAGACGGTGCTTGAGTATGGATTTGTCATTGAAACGATTTATGAAAGGGATTTATTCGAGACGACTAAGGACGGAGCGGAAATTAGGAGGGAATGGATGCCGCACCGAGAGGGAGAGGTTGACAGGAGTAGGTGGTGTGTTATTGCTGTTTTGAAGAGGGAGTAGGTACTTCTTCGGGTGGCATTGCCCTCTGTGCTGCTCGCCATTACAAGCACGCGCTGCCTCTGGTAAAACGTGGCTAAAGTTGGGAAACCTGCACTGAATCTGACGTCGGCATATACTACCTGCGCAGTCCGGAGTACTTTGCATGAGCTACAAAGTAACTGCGGAAACGATCTGTCCATATGATACTTGCACCTTGAACTTCTATATAAATGTATGTTATGTACACGGATATCAACAAATAGACTCCAGACGCCATGCACTCACTCCACGTTCTCAATGCAACGTAAATTCCTCATCGTCTACCAGGGATTCCAACCGGCTTTCTGACACTAGGATCAACATTGGGACTGGGGGATCTACCACCCTGCAATCTAGCCCGCAGTCGATCCTGAGCAGATCCACCACCAGACGCAGCACGGTCGAGCTCCGTTCGACTGGAAGACTGAGACGATCCAGATCGCTGACTGGGCAGTGGTCGTGCGCCATTAGGGTGAAGATTACCCGACGATGCGGGTGAGTATGCAGGCGAGTGTGACTGGGAGTGAGTGAGTTGCGGTGTAGGCGACGGGGACGAGCCCGACGGCGCGCTATTGGCGGTGCCGAGTGGCGGTGCCATGCCACCACGGCCACGACGTAGACTGGCTGTTTGGGGCATGTTTTGTTGTTGTGCTGGACCGGAATCACCCCATAGATCACCTAGACCGCTACTCCGACCGGGGTAGGCAGCTGTTTGACCTTGGGGATGACCAGCGGAGGGAAGTTGTGACGTTGCGATTGTGCGGGACGGGGCCGGGGCTGGGCCTTTCGGGTCTTGGGGGAGCCATGGGGGAAATGGTCGGGCTTTTTCTGTGTAGTAGGCTCGGAGGGCGTTGGAGATGTGGGAGCAGTCTTCGTTGTCGGGGTCGTCTTTCTCGTCGCCTAAGGTGATGACGCGGCGCAGATTGGTGAGCCGAGAGCCAAGACCGGAGATCGCAGATGAGGATGTGAAGGATGAAAAGTATGAGCTCATCTTGTCTGTGGTTGAGCGATGTGTGGTTCTGCAGGATGGGAGCTTGAATCCAGGGTGGCGTTTGGAGCTTCAAGCTAGACTTGTGGGACCCAATGCGAAACACGATGAATTAGAGATTATAATTAGTTGAGATAGTCCAAGCCCGGTTGGAGACAACCATGTAATTTATTCAGCAGAAGAGCCAGCTCCTGAAGATAATTGTTGTCAACCTTGAAAGTGAAAAAGGAAGGTATACAAGGGCCATAACAAGCCTCTCCCCGCTGATAATATGGTGTATTGCCGATTCGTGATCCATGGATGGGTTGCGATCCATGCACCCCAAATTATGTCAGCATCTACAGTAGTTAGTAAAACCAACAAAACAGCTCGGATCTCCCTTCAAATTAGTACTTTTTTAGGGGTTAGACTGGCTTAGGGATTCTGGTTTGGTATACACCGAAAAATGCCTATTAATTATGAGAGTTAGTGATTTTACTAAATGCTCATATAATTCGGGATATAAAGTGCATTTCATTATGGTGCATGTCATAACCCTAAAATGACTAAGTTTATAATGAAAAGGGATATACATGTACCAGGATCCCGAAAGAACTCTAAACGCCCTAATTAATGTCCTAAGTCCCAAGGACTCAAAAAAAAAAATTGAAATGACAAGAGTGGGATTCGAACCCACGCCATTACTGAACACGGTTTTGATACCTAAACGTGTCGCCTTAGACCACTCGGCCATCTTGCCATTTGATTGTTACTAATATTGTGAGAAAACCCTATCAATCTTCAATTTAAGACTTTCTAGCTCGACACTGCCTGCTTTCCATACAATTAATGCTATATACCTGTGAACGGCAGAGGGCTATTTCAGGAATTCAGGGTAACAGATTCGGTCAGTCCATCACAGCAGGTTTGATCCATAAGAAGCACTTGATACCAACATATAGCTATCACGGAGCTACAGATGTAATTATATATTTATCGAGCATAGCGATAGATCAATCTTACTTGATTCTCTCCCGCTATTTTTTTTCTCTTCTTCTTTTCATAGATTCTTTCTATCTACCACGGTGAATTTCATCTTATTCTCAATCAAAGCCACAGAGCTCACTACGCTACCTACAGCTTCTCTTCTATGTGCTCCCAGACCATACAGCTTACCTGAAAAATGTCACGTAGATCCTGTGCATATTCAGTCTTCCAATTCAGCTAGTCTCGTGTGTTTAAAATGATCGACTCACAGGAGAAAATAATGGGAAATCTGAACAGCTTGCTATATCCACTAATGGATGAATTTGCCTTTGACCCTTGTGACTTTGATGATTTTAGCCCCGACGACACCGATGAAGCTGGACGAGGAAGATAGCGAAGACAATGACCTTTGGCGCAAAGGAATCGAGCATGGCCCAAAGTATTGCAAAAAATCGAAGAAGAAATACAAATCATCTTGAAGAGATGCTCGTTTATCTGGACCGTCGTACAAAAAACTCATGCAGATTATATTCAAAGATTTCAATCGTCTTCCGCTCTGACATCAGGCATTCGGGTATCAATTGACCCTGCTTGCTATGACTCTTCACAGTTTGCTCTTTTCGCACGCACAAAGTGATACGTTCTAATCCATCATAACGTCAGCAAAGCTTCGATTTTTTGGACAGTGATCTTATTTTCTCCTCCCCTGTGAAAGGAGATGGCACAAGAAACGAGTTTCTCCAGAAGGACAGGTCCCTAGTGGATGAATAAGACCTGGGGCATATCTGACTTCGAATTCCGCGGTACAGCTTTCCGCTATGCGAAGTCACATAGTAGGTAGTCAAGATAATGGACGCATAGGGAGAAATCACGAAAGACAATAGTATAGGAATGATTGTAGGGTCAGATGAATCACCCGAAAAATTACCTTGGAACGAGCGTATATGAGCCACATATTTTGACAATTCAGCACTTAGTTGGCACTGGTCAGTTCTTTCCTATAATTGACCAAGACTTTCTCCCGCGGCGTTGAAAATTGTTAAAAGGGAAAGGCATCCATGAAAGGAATGTACTGTCGCGGGCATGTAATGTTGGACGATGGAACTGTGCCTTGGAGGTATGCCTGAATTTGTCCAAAGTAACAGTCTGACGCCCCCTGGTCGATGACCGTATGCTGAATTCAAGGGAAACATCCCGCGAGTAAGTCTAGACTCTTGGTCGAGATGACTGTGGGATTGAGAATTAACATCAACTTACACCAACGGCTTCTTGCATTAAAAGTACCGATCCGGCAAACCGAGAAGACATCTTTCGAGCCCTATGACAAGATAATGTCAGCTAGTAACATACCCAGTGGCGATGCGAATTGGCTGAAACGTACGATTCCAGCGGCGTGATAGGATCGATGGTATTACTAGCAAAGAGGATCGGAAACGACGTAGGAATGTTTAGTGCGCTGATTTCATCTGCATCAAACCTGGTTAAACTTTGATTCCAATGCAAATGGTCACCCGTTTTATCAAAGAGGATGTTTATATAATGCCAGAAAAGAGAGAGACAAAAGGAGTGTTGCCTACCTTGAACTACCATGCTATCAGGCAACTGCGGTCGGAATGATCGGCATAAGATACCTTCCAGGTAGGTGGGGTAGATATCACCGATGTACTTGCTCTTCAACATCGTGTACTCCGCCCAGATCCTGAACTCTTCAATGGTAGTAAGCTTGTTTCTCCGATACGAATCGGTGCATGTAATGGCGAGACGGGCATCTGTTATAGAGTTTGTTGACTGGTCATAAATACCCACAAGAGCGGAGAAATTTCCACCCTCGGCCTGCTGTAAGATGTCGGCCATGCTTGGAAAACTTGAAAGTGGAGTGTAGAGTGTGTTGAGAAAAAGAGTCTTCAGGTCTGAATAGGTGACCATTGTCGGCAGGTCTTGATCGCGGAGGCCACTTAGCGGGACTGGATGGTTCTGAAGCTGATGGATGATGCCATTCATTCTCGCCGTGATGTTAGCCGGCGTGGGCCCCCAAAATGAGCACTTTTCAGGCCCTGCGGAATGGCAGAAGGTCGGAAATGTTTCCATGGCCTGGTCCATTTGATCAACATTGTCCGTCCAGTAGTTGTCATAATATTGCTCTGCGTTCAGAACACCATCGAGTATCATTCTCCCAACGCGGTCAGGAAACATGGAAGCGAAAGTACTTCCGATGACAGTGCCATAACTGATGCTATAGCACCACAATTTGGCGTTTGATGGTGACTGACCGGCCATCTCAGCCTCGGCTTCGGTAAATGTGAGCAAATCATGGGCAACTGCTGGCGTAGTCACATAATATGAATGGGGTGACTTGTTCTCCACAGCATTGTTGCACCATTCGCCGTAGATAGAGCTTGAATAGTATTGTTCCTCGAGCGATGTTGATGAGATATTGATGGCGCCTGTCCTGTGCAGTCGATAGAAAGCCGATCTTGCTTTTTCGTTCTTTGAGAAGCAGTCTAGATGCAAGCCACTGTTGTTCACGCCGCGAGGGTCAAAGGAGACGAAGTTGTACTGCTCTCCAAACATCTGTCCGACGAGGTTCTGGTATGTGAGGAGCAGGTCGACACCAGAACCACCCGGACCGCCTAAAAAAGTGTCAGTTCAGTCAAATGAAGTCCAGACAACGCTGATAGATTTGAGATCATACCGGGGTTGATTACAATGCTTGGAGACTCGACGGTAGCATTTTTGCCAGCCAGCTTGATGAAAGCAATCGACGTTGTGCCAAGACTTCTGTTTGAGTAGTCCAAAGGAACTTCCAGTCTAGAGCAATTAAAGGCATCGAAACATGGTTTCCATGTGAGGTTGGCTGATGGTTCGATCTAGATGGTCCGTCAGAAGCTAGGAACACTTGGGCAATATGGTACCATAAGCTCCTAGACTCACATTGTCAAATCCATAGACCATGCCCCGATCATGCAAACTGTGGGCTTTCGATCCCAGGCTCATGAAGAGGATGAGTGCATTCACAAGTCGGCTCATTGTAATGCCTGGGGCTTCTTATTGAGCTTTCCGTCCAGTTGCTTGCAAGAGCCGACACAGTTGCGATATCTAGGAACTATTTATACCAATTGAATCTCCTTAGATACTAGCATCAAGTCTGACGGTTTCTATAGGCAGCTGCATTCTTCCTAACAACTCAAAATGCTTCGTGCTCCGCTTGTACGAACCAGCCAACCAATATGTTTTTGATCACCACCATGTATTACCAAGTATGGTGGGTGCGGGGACAGGATCTTACCTGTGTATGTAAGTGTAGTGGTGTGCCCAAGGCTTTAATCCACATTTCAATTTAACCGTATGCTCTTTTTTGCATGGATGCTTGTATCCTTAGCCCACAGACCCTCAAAGATGACTACTTACAGTCCCCTTCTTATCCTAAATATAGGAAGAGGCTCGCCTTCTCTTGGCGCCCCGCCTGTACGAGATAACCAATCAATACTTATCACGACATGTACTAGTCTATAACAAGTGAAGTTTATGCTGATCAGTTCTCTTTTCAGAAGCCCCACTTGTACGAACTAGCCAATCAATATTTATCATGAGACCCAGTACAGTAGACTCTGTTTAGTAGGATTAATACCAATTGGTCTAGCTTTAGGCCCCAGTCGTTCCTTTTAAAGTGCCCCGCTTGTACGAACCGGCCCATGATGCGCGGTCTTTCTCCCAAGCTTCGATTTTTTACTTCGTACCGTCCACCTTTTCTCACTCCGTTGTCCACCGCATGGGATGTGGCGACAACTTTCTCACTGGCATGCGAACCGAAGAACAGATCATCATCTTAAACTATCATCGGCACCCCATAAGCTCCCTTTCGAAGCCAATACATGCGGGTGGTGGCTTACGGGTCGTGGTGGCCTTGAAATTGACGTCTGCCTGAAACGGTGCGCATTGCAAATCTTAGCCAGATCACCATCATGGATGGGATGAAGAACAAAAATACCAAGACGGGCAATCAAGCCTGGAGAAGAAAGCCTCGCAAGTTCGCTTCAAAGTCAAGACTAGGCTGTAAGACTTGCAAGTATGTCTTGACTCTACATATCGCTACAGGGCGATCAATTGTGCCCAAAGACTTCGAAACTGACATCCCTCAGGATAAGACGAGTTAAATGCGATCTATCTCGGCCTTCATGCTTCAAATGCCTTTCTACGGGTAGAACCTGCGATGGCTATAGTGAAGTACCTCTGGCATTCAAGACCGAGGAGACCGATATTGAATCAACTCATTGTCATAAGGAGATCGTCAACAGAGCAGATAACTGCGACAATTACTACCCCTGTACCACGGTCAGTGCGTGCGATTCAGAGCGATGGCACCCGAAATACCATGGCCTCATTTTGCAGAATCTCGGATCCCTTATGATCTTACCAGTGACTGGGTCAACCCAGGCAGAGCTAATGCGCTTTTTCAAGGATATTTCGATCAAGCACCTGAATCAATACCGCCCTTGCGAACCATGGCGGAAGATTCTCATGTTTTTCTCCCAAACAGTGCCATCAGTGCGGCATGCTGCCATTGCTCTGGCCTTGATTCATCGAACCTACCTTGATCGTCATTCTAATAATCAGGCGTATCAATCGCCTTTCTTGAAAGACCGGCTACCGGATAAGGCTCCTTTGCTTCACTATAACCACGCCATTCAACTTCTGCTGAATCCGGAAGTTGGTGACAGTGCCGTAACAACAGCTGTCACACTTTTGGTCTGTTATCTCTTCACCTGCTTTGATCACCTAGCGGGCGACAACGTACAAGCAGTGAAGCACCTGCGCGGGGGTGTGGCGCTTTCATGCAACATCGACAACGCTACATTGAACAACTGTACCTATGACGATGCCCAATCCTCGGGGGTTCACGCGATTATCTGCCAGGTCACAAAACAGATCCGCCGTCTTGACATGCAGGCCGTCATGTTTCTGGTCGACTGGACTCCAGCCAACATCCAAGAAACATTCATGTCACATCTTGCACTTTTCGACAGTACCTTTCGGTCCCTCGACCAAGCTGCCGACCACCTCCAGGTTCTTGTCGCTCAGGTAATGAGGCTTCGAAACACAGATCAACAAACTTCACCGACGGGTACAATGCCGCCGTTACCTTCTTCACACAAAGACATCGTTCTCGGGCAGTTGCAAATGTGGTTGAGTCTCTTTGAAAACCTCCTGCAACAAGGCAACCCCTCTGAGTTAGACTTTGCAACTGACCCTCTCGTACCACTCCTGCGCTTACAACATACTATTGCATGGATTCTCCTCAGTGGCTACGGGCCTGGCAGAGAAATGGAATATGATAATTTCTTGTCCCAATTCCAGCAATGCGTCGTATTGGCGGGCGAGGTAGCTGCGGCGCATCAGCGGTATTCGGGGTCGTCACGGTCGACTTTTACGCCAGAGATTGGATTTATCCCCGTTCTTTACATAATCGGGGTCAAATGCCGGCATCCTATTGTCCGTCGTGGAGTCTTGAGTATTTTGCGACAACAGCCAATACGGGAGGCGGCTTGGGATAGCATCTATACTGCCAGGGTGATTGAGCGGGTAATCGAAATTGAAGAGGGTACGGCTAGGGAAGAGCAAATGGTACAGTGCATGGAACAAATTCCCGTATGGCAGAGGATCGAGGCATTGTCTTTTACTCATATCCCAAGGGGACAGTCTGCAGCCAGGTTGGATATTACGTATACATTCTGCGCCCGGGAGGGAATACACATTGAGTCGCTCATGATAGAACACAGAGAGTCTAATCATGTCAAATAGCCGACACAGACAGCAGGCTGTGATAAAGAACCAGAGAGAAACCGATTTCCATGAACGTAGCTGGTTCCGCACCCCGGACAGCTTTCTCGCTACAGAATACACATCCTACCGTCTTTCTCATAATGCGAATGCTCTTGTTTACTTCTCTCTGCTCTTCTCTACAGATAATTAAGATGCTGGGGGGCTGCGCAATGGTTTCTCTCCAGTTCGGTATGTGAATTTGTCTATCCCCCTTACAAGCCACTTGACAGCAGGTGAAATCTCTGAAGCATGGCGGATCGGAGACAAGCTTGGTTTTATCGGCCCTGTCACCGAACAGCTACAGTATAACTATCTCACTCGTGCGAAATTTGAATATGAATATCACTGGCTCTACAAGTCACATGGAATGGGATTGACTACCCACTCTCCGCTCGCTCAATTGCTTAGAGGCAATAGTAGTAGATAAATGTTTAGTGCACTGAGAAGAATGAGATCTAGTGGCGAGAAAAAGAATAGAGTTAATTAATCTCGAGTGGCCGGCGACAGATGATGGGTCGGGACTTAGCAAAGTGAAGATTGAAGTTATTGTAGCCCTAAGCTTAAATACCATGGTATTTGTGATTAAACCAATCGACTGAGAAAACCGAACGAGCGAAAATATTGGATGTATATACAACAAACGCCACTCTGGTATATAGGATCCCACTCTTGATTAGGCGTCGGTGTACTACCTCTCTGATTTGCCTCTTACACCCCTATAGCTCACGTGTACCTACCTGACCTATATCTCACTTCTATCTCGCTTCTATCTCGCTTCTATATCACTTCTACCTACTATATTGTGAAGATCTAATCACAGGCTACTGGATCCGTTTAACTAAGGGACTTTAAAAGAGATAAGGTGCTTTTAGTTGTGATTCTCTAAGTCAAATATGATCATTAAAATATAGTGTGACTAGCTAGGACAACAACATCAAGGAAGGAACAGAGAGGAAAAGGAAAGAAAATGATTCTGTTTGCTGAAATCGAGGTGGGTGTTGACCACGACTAATCGGCTATTTTCCTATTTTGATTGGTACAAACATCACAAAAATATTTAACCGGAGTTACGATTCAAATCTCTATAGAAAAACTTTTATAAGAAAGATAGACTTGATGATCGAGAATGAGGTAATGATTCTCTTCTTAGGCGCGATACATGTTTTGTTGCATAAAGCGTAGAAGAAAACCAAACTCGTGGTTCCTGTTTGAAAGGTCCACTACTATGGATTCAATGATATCTCGATCTAAGTCGCATACAATAACTCCTTTTGGAGTCAACCCTCATGAGTCTGTTCAAAGAGACTGTTCTAACGAGGCCGAATATAGTTCCCTGAACCTTGAATCCCTGGCGAGTAAAGCTTTCGGAGTATCGCATTCAACAACCTTGCCTGCCTGAAACACAGCAACACGATCAAAACGATCAATATAGCCAAAACGATGCACAACCGCAATGATAGTATGGTTGGAAAACTCCTCATCTATCACTTTCTGCATCATACTTTCGGTATCTGTATCGACGCTAAACATACCTGGCTATCAGCAAAAGCAGACCAAAAGGAAATGTTCCAAAGAAGAAACCTGGAAGGATAAGACAAAGAACTTACGAACTTGTCGCTTCATCAAGAATGACAATCGGACTGGCTGATGTCAACGATCGTGCCAGTGCCAATAACTGTCTTTCTCCAGCTGACCAGTTCGCAGTCTGGAGATCGGCATCCAGACCGCCATTAAGGGAAATCTTTTCCCACAGGCCAACCTTTCGCAGCGCAGACTCGATCACATTGTCTCTCAATACCTTGGTTGGGTTGAGATTAAATCCCACGGTTCCCGGGAAAAAGAAAGGATCTTGTGGGATGACATTGATTCTTGAGCGGACATCACTGGGCTGTAAGCTGGACAGGTCGCGCCCATCAATAGTCACACTCCCTGAGCGAACATCTATCATGTGAAGCAGTGCCAGAACCAGAGATGTCTTGCCGCTTCCCGAAGAACCGCATATGGCAAGCTTTTCCTTCGATTTGATTGTGAGGTTGACATTCTCAAGGGCTGGAGGCTTGTTCGAACTGTAAGTAATGTAGGAGTTAGTACTGTCAACCGAGATTTTGGATGTGGGGAGTGGAAATAGGCCTCCGAACCGATAGAAAGCAGTAACGTGGTCAAAGACAATGTCACCTCGATTAGGCCAATCATGAAGAGACGGGGTCAACACCCAAGGACGTTTTTCAGAGGGGGTTGTATCTTGAAATTGTTGCACACGTTTTACTGCACCCATGGAGGTCTCAAGTTGCGTCCATGACGATATTGCCTGTGCCAAGGCGTCGTTGAAAGTGAGCACCAGATTTAAGCCGACGCCGATCTCTGCAGGACTGAACTTGTTGTTGAAGAATGTTGCGATGGAGACAAGCACCACAGCCATCACAGCCACCACGAGATCAAGAACAAATGCCAACCACTTTTGAATGGACAGGAGCGTGTAATACGGTCGCTGTGAAGTATTTACATGTTCATCACATGTCTGCTGGAATTGGCTCTGCCATCCATATGCCTTGATTGTAGAAATACCTGCAATCGTCTCGCAAAAGTGTGTGTAGAGTGGTGATTTTGCTTCTATGTCGAGGAGTCGGACTTGCCTTGATGTCCTCAGATAGTAGCGTTGGATGAACCAAATGACGAGTAGGAGGAAAGGCATTGTGATAGCAAAGTATTTGCCGACCACACAGAGAAGTATCGCCTTGACTAGACAGAGGGAAGCGGCTATTCAAGAGAAAATTTCTTTTTAGCCACGGGAAGTACTGTTATTAAAGGAATTAAGTAGGCAACATACATCCGGCGAAGCCAATCGCAAACATGGGAAGCTTCATGTCAATGAGATCCATGTCCTGGTTGAATCGATTGACTATCGTGCCACTATCAGTGGATGAAAAGAAAATCCATGGGGCATTCAGAGTAGTTTTTAAGAGATCCGAGTGCAATGCGTAGGCTGTATTGTTTATGATCCCGATGATGAGAAGACTGTTTTGGTTTCAGTGCTGGATTTTCTGCTGTCGATTGGCGGCACTTACTGGCAACTCGCGACATAAAAGCCTATATTCAAAAAGACGAAAACCGTGTAAACTCCAAGATACAGTCCTGGTTTTGAATTTGGCGTTTTAGCGTTTGCTTCGGACCAGCGCTGGATCCAAATAGCTAGAAAGAAACATGTAAATCTCACTTCACCTTACGCAGGAAAAAGATACATCACTCACTGACGATATTAGCAAACAGGGCACTGGATAGACAGCATACTAGAAAGCACGCAATTTTCCATCGACCCGCTCGATTGATATAGTATAGGTACGTGCTCCAGCTGCCGTTGGACCTGGAAGCATATTGTTCTGGATCCAATGTTGGGTGCGCCGGTGCTTCGTGTTCCGGTCTGATCCCAGCTACTACCGGTATGTCACTAATGGCTGCCCCAGCGTCACCACCGATGTCCTCTCTTATTTCAGCCATGTGTGACGGCAGTCCGTGGGCGGTTTCTGGCGCTCGCGCTATCACATCCTCAAAGGATCCAGAGTCAATAACTGAACCTTCCTGAAGAATGACCACATGATCGACAAATGGAGGCACTAAACAGTATTGATTAGGCAGGCTGCAGAGACAAGCTGTCGTGAATAAGGAAGGGAATATCATACCCGAATGAGCAGTGATTATGACAGAAAGCCCTGCTTTTCGACAATAGCCATTGTCCCCAAAAATATTCTCTTCAATAAGTCTTGCATTTTCTGAATCCAAGCCACTCCAGACATCATCGAGTATCAGAAGCGGTGACCTAGAATAAAGAGCTCGAGCGAGGGCCTGATGAAAGCGGCGCATTGTTAGACGGCTGCTGGAATATTGGTAATCTAACTATCATTGCAAACTTACTACTCGCTTTTTCTGCCCTCCACTCAGGGCAGTCCCATTATTACCCGCCAGGTGCAAATCACCGGTAGGAAAGGCTTTGAGGTCAGACGTGAGGGCAGCTAATGAAAGACAGAATGTATACCAGTTCTTGTCGAACTGACCATTTACACCAACAATATTGTGTCTGATGGTGTCATTGATGATCCAGGGAGATTGTGCACAGTACCCTACGAGACCAAGTGGCATGTGAGGAATGCCCTTCACAACCACAGCATCGCCCATGATGCTACAAACTAGGGCGGACTTGCCTGAGCTGGACCGGCCAACTATAGCAATGATTCCCTTGTTAATAGTCATGTTGAGGTCCTGTAAGATCGGGTCGGAACCCAACGACCAAGCAATATCAACGCCTTCCAGCGACAGAAGAACGTCATCTTCAGGTTGAGATTTCCTATGTACCGCCGAGAGATGGTGTGCTTTTGGCGGCACCAGCTGGTGGATATGGCGCACCGAATCCTCGCTTGTCCGATTTTCCAGCTTTGCTATTTCCGGATCAGCTGTGGAAAGATAGTTCTCAATTCTGCTCAGACAACCCAAGCATTGCATAAACTGCGGCAACGATTGGATGAACGTTAGTAGATGGCTTGTCAGAATCGAAACCAGCGATAGTGATGTGAAAGCCTTTTCAGCGAGTAGTGAGCTGCTTTGAGTTTTCAAGGAGATAATCCCGTAAACCAGAAATGTCGCATAAGGAGCAAAGTCCGACGGCAAATTTGCTGTGCGTGCCCATGGTTAACATTGGTTTATTTCATGCTGTATGATTGGGACTTACAAAGTGTGACAGTGCATATTAAGAGCTTGCGAAAGATCTCAGATGTATTCAACTCCACTTCTCGTAGATTGGAAACCATTGTATCGAAAGTCCCAGTCAGCCCAAGCATTTTTATGGACTTCATGTTCCCCAGCATCTTCAGGGTTGTCGTCATTCGTTGTTGAACTCGAATTACCCATTGCTTCTGTGCCGGAACTATGTGCTTAGATACAGGCATTGTGCCCAATATACATACTGTTTCATAACACCGGTCAGCGTGCAGTTTATGACGAGTGAGAATGATATCATGAACAAACCTAGGGAGACAACCGTTGGCACCACACACGTCACACCAACCTGCCGCTCCAAAAGGTAAACAGCCACCGCTATTTCGATAACAGAAATCCAGCATTCATGGAATGATTGCAGGCTGTTACATATACGCTCCACGTCCGTTCCCATCAAGGTTATTGCCTGCGAGTCGCCAAGTTTATTGTTGTTCATTTTCGTTGTGCATAGATAAATCATGGACATGAGGCCTGCGCGTGTCATAGCCATAATACGATTTACCAATCGCGCATAGACTGCCTTCGATACCTAGAATTACCACGTTAAAGAAAGCTCGATCTTTTGACACAAATTCTCGGCTGGACTTACAGCCATCCCGAGGTATACCAACACAAAAGCTCCCACGAGCGCTTTTCCATAATTATTTGTGGGTGGTGAAGACCGTTGCTCCGAAAGTTTGATCGCAGCCTGAATGAGAAAGGGCTGACAAAATGTGAAGCCGCCGAGAATCAGACGTGGTGGGATACACGTCAGGATCTCTCGAGCATAAGCAACAAATATCGCTTTCATCAGTCGATAGCGCGGTCTGCAATAGCCCCAAGCTTTTTTTAATCGAATGCGGGCTCCATCACCACTTAGTGAAGGGGCTAATTCGGGAAGATCTGAAACCTCGAGGATGCTGGAGTAACCCTGCCTCAGAGTGGGCAAGATCCAAACAAAGAGACCACGTGCCCAGAATCCAAGAGCTTCTTCCCTGAGGCATTTGACATTTGACGAGCCAGCAGAGCAGAGTCTTCTCCCACATGATTCTAGAATGGCAACAAGTACAGTCAAAATATACTGCGCTGTCCACAGATTCCGCGGAAGATAAATATCAGGACTAATCCACAGTGAGCGCAATCGCGGAATATAAGTGATTACAAGAATAACATAGTAAATTTCAAGAAGTGAAGAAGCCCCAAAGCGTTGTGCGTCTAAAAATGACACCAATAGTGCTCCAGCTGTGGCGACCGTGCTGATGACTCCTGCCGCCGTGGATATTGTCGTATGCAACCGCTCATTTCGATTCCCCACGATGGTATACACGATGTTCAAACTGCACAATGCACCGAGACAAGCCTAATAAGAAAGTAAGCATTTAATCTCGTATTTCTTTGCGGTCGGTGCTCACAATCTTGAACCCCCCAACTTGTGGAAGACCCCCTGCACCGGGTGTCGCAAAAGATATTGAATGCGACTTGGAATGAGCAGTAAAAATATTATAGCTGGCAGAGTAATTAAGATTGCATCTTCGAACAGAAAAGTGAAGTCGAAGTCTCGACAATCGACACTGACGCGTGGACCGTATAGCTTGTCGCTACCCGGTACACAAGTGTATCTGACAATAGATTCAGACATCGTCAAATCCACCAACCTACCAACTGGACCTTGTCGGATACCATAGAAATCACGATATAGAATTAGCAAACTCTTCACCCTATACGAATAGGCGTGGTAATAGAACGCATCCCACAATCTGGTACAAATTTTGAGGTGCAGGACAGAGTGACACCCTAGCTGTGCAGCTTGCCAAGCCAATAGTAGGCACATTCCGCGCACCCTATGCAAGGTTTTAAAACACTATGTCGATCACACACATTTCTGTGGAACGTGCAGAAAATTTAGTCCCAGTGCTTTAATACCTCTTGCGTCACCTAGAAATGCAGTTCGGAGCTGAATGCCTACACATTTAGTTGCTTGTTTTCTTTAGAACTGAAAAAGATCCATCGAACCCTATACGTTGCGCTTTTTGGGCTCGTTTAAAACTTTAAGAGACTTTGCATATCACTGCTTTACTACCAAAACACCTTGTTGGGATATACTGTATTTTTAGGGGTCCAAATGAGTTAATTCCTGCCAGGTGAACAAATGGTCAGGGTACATCATATTAGCAACATACTTCTATATATTATACAGGGTATTTAAAGAGTTCTGAAATATCCAGTGTGACAACCACAATTAAACTAGGGTAAGCAAAGACCGCAAAGAATATCAATGGCACGAACAGAGATTAATGACCACAATGTGTAGAGAAGTATAGTATTCAAATCACATTTAGAGTGTCGCCAGACTTTCTTAGCGGAATTGAGACTACTCGTTAATAAAATTTTATCTCAATGATATTTCCACCACAGAATTAATTCCTCGTGGGATGATGATCGTGATTTTTGTGTGGGTCACTGAGAACTTCCCCCTCCTGCATATGATGCTCACCCAATTTGATACCAAGCTCGTAGTCCTGCTTCTTCCATGGCGCAGGCCACACGAAAGCATCTTTAGGAGCCGATACTGCATCGAATTTATCGGGGTCAACGGCATTATTGCGTTGCCAATCCACTAGCGCATTGAAATCGCGACATTTCCGATTCACACTGAAGTCTGGCCAAGGCGCCTGACGGCCTTCCACCCAGTCTAGGGTCAAAACCTCTGTATTTGCATTGCATTGGAGGTTTTGGAGAAGTATGTCGGTACAATGACCAAGATGAATCCACCACATCTTATCCTTGGGGTCCATCTCTGGCTCATAGCCCGGATAATCCTCGAAGGCAGATTTGCGGAGTAAGTTGAGACAATGAATTTGCTACTCATTTCTGATGTCAGCTACTGCAAGGTTTCTTTCTTTTGCCATCTCAATCAAGGTGGCGGGGACGAGAATAACGGAAGACCTTACATGCATCACATCCAACTGGACCATATATGCATCATCTCCCATTCCCCAGTACTCATCATCAAAGCGAGCAACTTTCTCTGGATCTTTGCCTAGCTTGATGATCTGCTCGCGAGTAACAACATGTGTCAAGACCTTCTCATACTGATGCCAAGCTGCGTCATTCTCGGCGCTGGGCTCCTGGCGGGCAATCGATATCTCTGGCAAAGGAAAGAGTGTTCCGTTGAGTGTAGTTTCATATCCTGGAATCTCTATATCGTCAAGGATGGGCGCTGAAACGCAAACGACATTTGTCAAATTTGAGCAGTACTTTGGTCAAGGCACAAAGACTTACACCACCATGAAACGGGTCTGAGAATGGCATTTTTCTGATCACTTGAGAAGTTTCTCTTCCCAGTGAGTACTAGAAAGACGTTGATGCTCAATATGACCACATTCGTAACCGTCAGGAAGATCCAGGCGTTGGAATGAGCCGGCTTTCGTGCCAGACTCCTCTTGTTGAGAAGCTCTTTGGACTCAATACCTTCCTCTTCGTCATCATCAGTCTCGCTTCTGACGGCATAGAATTTGGGCTCTCGTTGAAAGAGTTTCCAGAATTGTGAGAACCCCATTGTGTTTGCGCGGGGTGTAGTGGAGAGCCCGCCCTGGAGGGAAAATTAAAACAATGAACAAGTAGCTCTCACACTTATCATACCACAGCGTACTGTATGTTTTGTGACGACATTGACAATGGATGCTGCCAAGGTATATCAGAAGGCATAACCATAGCATTATTCTGGAAATGATCGACGGCGCTCTGCGTCTATTGCACGGGTCACGCGCTGGGCTGAGCTGAAGATAAGCAAGGCAGAACGTGCATGCCTGCTCTGGTAAGCACACTATTGAAATTTCGCATAACTATTGCTTTGACAAAACTATCGAATACGAATTCGGTGACTTGATCTCATCATAAGCGCTGGCAATTGGGAAGTACTTCTTGGCATTGGGTCGACTTTATCCACTTTGGAAAAAAGGCTGACGGATCCATTCCACCCCAGCGTATAAACCATTGAAGCTACTTTAAACGGTTGAATTCCAACTCCATGGTGGTCTCTAGCGTTGCATAGATCGTGCATAGGTACGGGGATGACCAAGTGATGAAATGCCTAGTGTGCCGGCCGAACTTGATCGGCGGATATGTATTTTGTAAATCCCATTCACACTGGTGCATGTGCCTATTAAGTTTAACAGGATGTTTTGGGCTTCCTGCAGTGTTCCTATAGATGGTCTTTTGGCACCGATCAACTAAATAACTGTATTCAATTTTGATATTGTAGAAGAATGAACTATGGAAGTGTCTGTGATGAGGGCAAAATGAAAGATCCATTTAGAATTACCAATTACCATGATTCCAGGGCATGGTAATCCTCTCAATTTGATTCAACATGCAATTACGGTACAGAAACATACAGTTGGCGGGCTGGAAGAGCGAGGATGCAAGGGCAAGGTCTGCATATGCGGTAGGTCTCGTAGCATCACCGTTGCAGGAGATCTACCATACCAACTGAGACCAACTGAGAAGTAGGATGTGGTAAAACTACCATGCAGATAACAATTGGATACAGTATCAAGCCAGCTGGTTATCACCAAATAGTTCTGAGTAGCCAGCGCCACGGTTGCATGGGAATCAGACGAGTTAGCCATACCCTCAGGCATCTGAGCGCCACTAGAATGAGCAAGGACTGACGGCATCGTGTTTATCTTGGAAGAAAGAGATACGTGATTCGAGGCCGAACATCTGACCGCCATTAAGCATGATGCGCAGGAGCCGGGATCATGATTTTTTAAACGTATAGAGTTTCAAGTAGATGATAATATCGATCGCGGGTCAGAAATTATAAAAAGCCATGGCCCTACTCAGGAAGGTACACATCATAATCCGGAATCACTTTCTTATTCTTTGCTCATCTAGCTACCCAAATTTACATTCAAGCTCAAGATGCATATCTCTTATTTTGTTGGTTTCCTTGGAGCCATTGGGACAACGCTCGCACTCCCAGTCTCCAACAATGACCAGCTAGATTCGGCCCCTCAAGATGTTGAGAAGCGTTTCTACTACACCCACTATGTGGCTCCCGAGAAGCGCGACGAGAACCTTGAGAAACGTTTCTACTACACCCACTATGTGGCCCCCGAGAAGCGTGACGAGAACCTTGAGAAGCGTTTCTACTACACCGCCTATGTGGCTCCCGAGAAGCGTGATGAAAATGCCGAGCAATCTGATGAAGAACTCGAGAAGCGTTTCTACTACACCCATTATGTGGCCCCCGAGAAGCGCGACGAGAATCTTGAGAAACGTTTCTACTACACCCACTATGTGGCCCCCGAGAAGCGTGACGAGAGCCTTGAGAAGCGTTTCTACTACACCGCCTATGTGGCTCCCGAGAAGCGTGATGAGGAAGCTACCAACAGCGTATAATTGCCTCTAAATGATTTCACTGGCCATGGGAGCAAATAAATGTCTCGTTGACGCTTGAAATGAGCTGTTTACTTTGTTCTGGACAAAGCGACTCTGCCCCTTACCCTATCTTGTTCAAAGAAGATACGGGAATCTTGCACGGCTTCAAGCATTCAGAGCGATTCGCAACTGGTGTTATTTTCTAGCTTTTTAGTGTGACTTTTATGATTTCTACGGTCGCTAGCTTACTTTAGTTTCTATGAATGTTTGGTTTCTTGTGGGTCGTAATACATTTAACCCACTTATCATCTATCTCGGGTTTCCAATAAAATGGATATAAATTGTCTTCCACCCTAGGGGATTGATCAAACTCAAGTTTTATCAATGGTACAGAAGAGTTCAAGGAATTGATTTATTCCGTAGTCGATCTTACAATTTCAATACAATGTTCTATAGATAAAGTGGAGCGTACTACGTAGTATCCAGAGTCAAAATTTAGCGCGAGCGCCTTTTTATTTTTGAAAAAACAGGCTCAGCCAATAAGGTCGCCCAATGGATCGGCCCGGCCGGGTAAAAGATTAGTCCACCATGGGTACGCGATATGATCAGGCGGCAAGCTCCACGCCACATTCTTGAGTTATGCAAGGGTTTTCGCAGGGGCTTTCGAATATGATTCATCAGTCAGATTTGAAAGACAATGTAATGTAACACAATCACCGCTGGCTACCTTGTGGTCTTTGAGATCGACAAACCGAACTGCCGATCCTTTTTTCTGCTTGTACGAAAACCCCGCACTAGTTGTGCGTTCCGAGAAACTCGTCATTTGAAGGGTACCCTTTCCTTAACCACTTCCTTCGTATCACCCTCCATGAGCATACCTAGCTCATCGCCAGAGCTTGGCCACCACTTCGATGGCGAGACTGCCCCGTTCCTCTCGAGGGAACCAAGCGACCCACTTGCGCCGAGTCAACCTGAGGATAACGATGGCCAGAAATCAGAGCTATCAAAAAGCACTCGTCTTCGCCTGTTGATTACATTGATCGTAATATTATTATCCTTCGAAATTGGTGGCCAAATGATCACTGGTCCGATGGTCCGGGTGATCGAGACCATCGCTTGCGATAACTATTGGCGTCACCACGACCCAGCTCGGCTACCAGCGACAGGCCATCTCCCAGAACATCTGTGCAAGATTGCACCGGTTCAAACAGAAGTCGCGACCGTCAAAGGATATTCTGACTTGCTAGAGGGGTTATTATGTTCGATATTTTCACTCTGAAGAGAAAACCTCGATGCTGACATTCCAACAGGCGCAATCTGCTCCATTCCATATGGAATTCTAGCAGATCGATATGGCCGTCGGCGAGCCATTCGTCTCACTGTTCCTGGATTTTTGCTCAATGCACTAATCACCAACTCCGTCCTGTGGTTCTCCAATGCTCTCCCTCTCAAAGCTATCTGGCTCGCAGCTTTCAGTTGGGTTATAGGCGGCGGCCCATCAGTGGCGCTCATCGTGATCTGGACCATGCTAGCTGATCTTAGCACCGATGCGCAACGTGCAACGCTTTTCTTCCGAGTTGGACTTGCCAGTCAAATCGCGAGCTTCGTTGCAAGTGCAATCAGTTCTGGATTGATGAGTGTGAACCCTTGGATACCCTTACTGGGTGGTTGTGGGACAGTCATGATTGGTCTATGTTGCGCACTTTCTCTTCCCGAGACCATGAACACAGTATCAAAGACATCGGAACCAGCAAAGCCGGTTTCGGATGAGCCATTTCCGACGTGCGAAACCTCTTTGGGTTCAGAACCCGTACATAGCGTCCTGCTCGGCAAGTTTGTTCGACTCATTCGTCCCTACCTCTTCATATTCAACCGCCGTCTACTCCTGCTTTTATTCTGCTTTGGCACAGTCCAGGTCGCGCAGACCTCTTCCTCATTCTTGACCCAGTACATCTCGACACGCTTCACATGGACCTTAGCACGGGCTCATTTTCTTACTTCCTTCCACATGGCTATCACAATTCCCGTATTCCTCTTTTTGCTACCATTTCTGTCAAAGAAAGTTCTGCAATCTTCATCTCTGCCGAGAAGAGACCTTCAGGTCGCGCGTTTTAGTGATATTGCTCTCATCTTGGGATCACTCGGCATTGGTCTGTCTCCCTCGGTTCTATTTTTGATTCCGAGCATATGCATTCACGCCACTGGAGCTGGGTTTGCTATAGTGATACGGTCTCTCGTAACAGCTTTGGTCAAACGAGAGGAAACCGCGAGACTCTACTCAGCGATCGAACTAATGCAGATGTTTGGAGGTGTAGTGGGTAGTCTCTGTTTTACGAACGCTTTTAATTTCGGATTGAGAATGAGTGGAGTAGGAGCCGGGCTGGTATGGATTTTGGGAAGTCTACTTTACGCGCTGGTTGGTGTTTCACTTGCGTTTGTTCGGGTATAAACCTTTTCAATTCTTCATATTTCAACATATTTGCAATTGACTGCGGTCGGGCTGTCTCCCTTTCAGAATTCATTCTACCATTTTCTTCAAGGCACTATCTAAACTCTCCTGTGGCAGTGACAGCAAATCATTCGCGCTCTCCTCGTATTGCATATAGTCCCCGCCATACCCGTCGACACATGTAACGTAGCCCATCAACGTTGGAAGACCACTGTAGTCCCGTCGAGACAGTTTCGCTGACGCCGTCTGTCGCTGCTCTTCGGCATCATGGTAACTCACCTCCCATTTGTCCTTTGTGAGACGTTCCACTGCAGACAAGATTTTATTCTGTGATACGTTGAAAGATTCGACAAACAGGTACTTGTTGGTTTTCTCCGTGGGGGCTGAGATAGCATTTTTGACCGCGAGAGCAACAGTGCTAAGCGTCGTAGTAGACCAGTGGTGATCACTAAAATCCTTCAAGATCACCGCATGTCTTTTTTGAAAGTCAAAGCTTAAGAGATGGGGAATTGCGCTGAAAAGTCCTGCGTAAGCTCTTCGTCAATGCTCCGAGTGAAGGATAACTCACGTCTCGAAGAATGGTCCAGTCACAAAAGCAGTCCACTTCAATCCTTCTACCTCCTTGCTCTGCAAATACTCAACAATTTGCTTTTTGTGCGTGAAGAAACAAGGGGGAAGCAATTGTGCCGCCCGCTCATTTCGTGTATCATGACCATACTCCGATGGCACGAAATGCTTGACTCCGGCCTTGACAGCGGCGTTGATGATCGCCTTCTGCTGCAAAACAGCCTGTGTGGCGAGCGCGCTGATAATCACATCTTGGCCTGTGAGTATCTCAACAAGTTTTGTGTCGCTCGTGTTATAATTGTTGTCGATACGGTGGACTGGAATGTGCTGTGGGAATTGACTGCAGTCCGATGAAGCGCGACTCAAGATGGAAACCTGGAAATCAGGGTCGGCATCAAAAGCCGACACCAGATAGGGTCCCAGGTTTCCAGTAGCGCCAACAATTATGACCTTCTGGCAAATAGATGACGAAGACATATTTTCGTCCAATGTGGGGTATACGTTGAATCAGGGAGCAGGGCGGGTCATTTAACACGCACCTCTTGTTAAGTCGAGATATTTGGCTAGATCTCATACCCTTCTGACACACTATCGAATCGGAATCACACCATTAGATTGATTCATATCCCTGTTTGTCTTTTGTTTGGAAGGAGTAGTTCAGAACCAAAGTCAACCCTTGCATTTGGTTCGCATATATTGGCTTGGCGCGCTGGTCAGCTGAGTATTACTAGTACTTTGTATTGGTGAGACCATCGCAGATTCAGCAACCCAATATCAGTTTGCTTGCAATCGACTCTAGAAATTTCCAGATTCCAGGGGAATAAGCAGAAGAACCTGCACAGTGTCGAACCTAGATCATCCAGTGAAGTTACTCGGAGCACACTATCAACATCAACATCTCCGTTCCGTATGAAGATTTGTCTGGGTGTATGCGGCGCCAAGCCCGTTTGTCAACTAAACTATCTCGATGAAGCCTTTCTACCCTGACAACTTGAGCTTGTAGCAGGTGACTCGAGCGTGCTTTTAGTTCTGTGACATCAATGTGGCTTTTCACTCTTGGTCTTTGAAGACCGATCAGATATCAGTCTTGAAGTCCGGTTCTTTGGCAACCCTTTTGGATCTCAGTCACTTTCTGGTTGGTGTAGATGATGCCTAGATAGGCAAATTCTTGGTCGGAGAAAGAAACAGTCGTTGGGGTGGAAGATTTATCTAGCTCTGCAGCATTCTAAAAGTGGAGATCCGGTCCAAGTCTTTCAATAAATGCTGTAGCAATGGTTCGTGGAGATGATGGGTAAAATGTTCAACGAGATTAGCTACTCTTTTTCCTGGCCTAAATTACAGTATTAGCCTCTAAACAACGATTCCAGCTACAGTACAGTACCGGCCGTTATTGCCTTTCATGTTGGGAAACAAAGAGACACTCTTCTAAGCCCTAATCCTAATATGGCTGTTTCCATATTTAAAGAACTGTTCCAGTATTGTATGGTAATACAGTACGTCCCGATACTGGTGGACAGCCCATAGCCGACGGGTGAGAATAGATGATACGGACATGGTTTTATCGGTGTACTCCCAACGGGACCTTGCGAAACACTTTGAAGATACTAGTGCTGATTAGACAGCGATAGAGAAATAGCTACTAGCGTGGGCCCATCTATTCCGTTATGGCAAGAAGATCCGGCTTCATATTCAACTACATAGCAGGCAGTGGGCCTCTTCCTTCCATATATTTGATATTTGGAACGCACTGTGTCCCTGGAGATATTGAGGAATTGGATATCGGAGAAGATGAGTCAACACATTTAGGATATCTTGTAGGCTTACGACTCCGGTAGTAGTTAAATACTCTATATGTGTGTTAATGTTTTTACTGTACAGTCGGAGTCGAAACCAGATTCTCCTTTGTGCATTTCCGGAGTCCATCATAGAGTGCATTAATCTGTTCTCCACGGCTGAATCATTTCACGCCAATGAGAATGATTGATTGAAAGAAAAGAGATCTAATGGGAGGCTCTGTTGAAGAACACCCGGCATGACAACGCTGTTGTTACGTTGTCGCCCAAGATACATACAAAAACAATGTAATCGTCAAGTTTCTACTACTCCTCCTCAGTTGTTGCCTCATCGTCGACAGGGTTAGAGAATGGCCTGTATCCTTCTTCGTTGATTTCGGCGAGAATGGACTCAGAAGTTTTTTTGCGCCCCAGTCCATACAGCTCCTGAAAGCTCATAATCAATGGGTGCCATTTTTCGGGATCGATTCGGTTCGCATGCCCTGCCATGCGAATATTTCCATGAACGTGTGTCCGAAGAACCTGGACCTCCAACGCGATAAACCCTTTCATCTCCGCGTCTTGCATCATTTCATACACTCCCTTCAATTCGGCCTCCATCTGAGCAGGACACTCAGCAATGCGCGGAGGTCGAATCAGATCGGAATCCGCCGGTGTCAAGCCTGAATGTCCAAATTTGTCCGGCACATACTTGTAACCATTCGTGCGTTTGAAGTATAGGTATCCTGTTCCCTTGGCTGCGGTCAACATCTCCTTCGACCCAGTTGTTTTTGCTAGAGCATTCACTGCTCCTGCCATGTTGTCCGATGCAAGGTTCAGGACACATTGCTTGGTTCGAATCAAATTGATCGTGGTTTGCGATATGGCCCCTAGGCCTAACATGCATCGATTTCCAAGCCACCATGCTGATGACATGGGCGCGATGTTGGATGTTCCATCTTCGTTCTCCGTCGTTATCAACACGACCGGTGTACCCCAGTAAAAGATGGGTGGGGAAATCGTTTGAGATATCTCGATAGGTATTGGTGCCATGGTGTCTTCGGATGGGAACCTTAGGACGTCGATAATACTTGTCTGTTGCTAATTCAAGTCCTCCAGCTTTGTACTTCCCTATTTATATCTCAGCCTGCTTACTTATATAGTATTAAGTAACCTCCTTTAGCTATACTACCTTGCTACATTAGTGGCCAACGACCGTAACGTATACTATACTTTTTCCCTGGGCCGTTCTAATTCGGCCTTAGTTTCACCTTGGTGGAGCAGAAGTGGCCAACCATCTTATTCCAATGCTTATTATGATTGGTCAGTTCAAACACATACGCTCATAAAATTCCATACCGCCTCCCACACGGCTCTATAAGTAGCCAATAAACACATCTGCTGCCTTAGCTACCCCACTATCTCTTAACTGGCCACTGCCAAGCAATCCGGTTGATATATCGACGATAGAAGTGGCTAATCACTATCATGTTTCCTCTATCATATAATTGGCTAGTTTGAAGACATCTTTTTATTGAATTGAAGTCTGGCTGATCTGGACCCGCCTGTGCACCCTCGGTCTAGGCCAGGCAGGGTTCGCCAAGATAGCTAAGATATATTCAGAACACTGTGACTCTACAGTATTACCTTGCCTCTGCGTGAAATTAGGGCCCATTCAGCCAGACTATTGTCATTCTTGGTGGGCTTTGACGGAGTAAAGTCATTGCTACATAAGTAGCCAATAGGCATTAGCATCCGCAGAAGCCCAGGAGTTGCGTACGGGTAGGAGCAGTGGAAGAATGTGTCTCTAGAAGGTGGGCCCAATTCCGAGGCTTTCCACGATGTATGTACATAAATTTATTCTTTCTACAGCCCGCAGCCTCAGAGGGTCATTCAGAACCAAGTTTCCGCCTAGATGTTACTGTTATTTCTTATCGCACGTTGTTGCTGTTACTCCGGCATCCAAAAGACCTCGACCAAAAATCAGTCAACTGAAGTGGCGATTAAGACTGAGCGAAGAAAACATATGCTATATATACGGGTCTCCATCAATTCATAAAGAAATCTCTCTTCCGCACACAACTGCCTTCATCACAATCCGGACTCCCCTTAAAGTATCTGCCAGCCCGCATTTGAAGTTTGTTGCTGCTCCTATATGAATTGTATCGCTCGCAATGATAAGTTCAAGGCGCTGCAGACACTTGAAGCTTCCAAGTCCTATCTTCACCCATTCGGCCTCGGTATCAAGAAGCCTCAAACCACCCTCTATTAATTGGCCTTCCATAGTCAGGCTCAATTCCCGTAACCCGGTACAATTTGGCCCTACCGCGGCCCCTAGAATGGCGCAGATATCAATCCATTCAGATGCAGGCAGACAACTGCCAGATCCGTTGATAAGACTGCTCTCAACAGCCCGTAAACTCAGCCTTTGAATTGAGCACAACTGCCATTGACACAGACGCTGGAGAAAGATTCTACACGAATGAACTCCAGTCCCACACCATCTGTGGAAGTCGAATTTGTGAAGTTGAAAGCCCAGAACACGGGTTTCAGCATAAATTTGGCGGTTAATGAGTAGGATATTCGATGCAATCTGATGCTTAGGTGTATAAAAGGCATGCGGATTGCGACATGGGCATGTCCCGAATACTAGTTCGTATACTTTCAAACGTAGCTCGATTGGGAGACGAAACAACATTTCAACTCGGACATGTACCAATGAAGTAAAGGGGATTTCGATATATGAACCAAATGCGGTTTTTTTGGAAGTGATCGCTAACATTAAATAAGTTGGACGCTTTCAAAACGGTGAATGTATCCTCATTAAATCCAAGCCCAGCGTTTTCTTCCAGTAGGCCTATATCCCCCGATCTTGCTATTAAACTAGCCAGTAACAGGCCGCTTTGTCCAGGAGTTTTACTAACGCGGCTTAGCTGGTTAAGGCACGTGTCAAGCTGACTCATATCTGGTTTGAACTTGAAAGCGCAGCTCGTTTACATGCGTAGCTCGTTTACTGAATACGTTAACTAACTATGACGCGTATCTTTCGTATTCGCAAACCATCTGGGCAACCGTCGCGTCTTGCAATTTCTGAGATGCGCGCCACTAGATTACCGATCTTGTCTTCTGGATATCCCAGATATACTCGAGTAATTTGCTCGATTAAAGCCTCTCTGGCTGGTCTCAAGAGATCTCTGGGGTATGCCCCTCATATCAAAGAAACATTGCCACGCATCCACGTGTTATGCTCAACCACACACCTCCATCTAACATGCATGAAGCGTCTATACTGCTCCGTGACTAGTTTCCTGGTTCGAGGCAGGCATAGTACTATCCTGCAATCCCCAATCACCCTCTTCGATTTTTCCTGCATAAAATCGAACCAAGAGACCGACCGTAACTGGGCCAATGACGGTGTTTAGAAGAATGGCCCAGACGCCAGTGATGAAACCCTCATCACTCACGTACGGAGTTTCGTTATGTCCGATTTCGATAATCAAAAGCCCAATCTCACCGCGTGCCACCATGGCAGATCCTAAGACTGCCGCCGCGAGCCAGGCCCGGTTCCAAGTGTTCCCCTTCCTATTCTTCCTCTTCTCCTCCTCGTTTTGATGTTGCCTCTGTCCTTCCTGCTTCTCATTTGACTCTTCTTTGCTAGGGGATTTGCCCCCGAGAGCGAGTTGCCATATTGGGATCCAGATTCCAACGATACACTGGATATGATTTTTTAGTCCGATAGCCATCCTTGAGGTATATCTGCATACCTTTGCAAACGCCATGAGGAGGGTATAAACCACACCTCTCCAAATTCGCTTCCCCGTCCACAGCTGCACGAAAGGGATCGCGAATCCGATGCTTGAGAAGAACAAAGGCTCCATCAAATACTGCTGAGGTTCCAACAGATATTTCTCAAACGTATGAACGAAAGTGGGACTTTTATCTGCCTCGCGCTCGCCCTCCTCACGACTCATAACGACAAACGGTCCTTCGGGGCGCTTGCTCGGAAGGTATGTAAGGAACACACCCGCCAGAAAGGCACCAAACAAGACAGATGTACCAGTAAATCCAGCGATGGCAATGAACGCCGAAAGAACAAGGATCATAAGAATGATGTTGGAGACATGGTCGAAGCGTGCAAAATGGTATTCAATGAACTTTCGGAAAAAGGGCGCAAATAACCATTTGGTGACGACGGGGGTAACGATGGCCATGGCTATCGACGCCACAATAGGACGCCCGATAAGCCAGCCCAGATTGACATTCCCGTCTCCTGAAAGCTTGCCCAAGTCACCAATTACACTGCCCCTAGTCAGCTAACGAATTTACCAGAGTTTGTTTGAAATAAGCATCACACCTTAACATGACAAGCCCTACCACATCGTCGATGACAGCAGCGCTCACAAGAACTGATCCTACTCTAGTCTGAGAGAGATTCACTGAGCCAGACGCAGAACTGATCACAGCAAAGGTAGTTCCTAATAGTAGAGTTATTAGCCATTGAATGGCGGACAGTCAAAGAGGAACTCAGAAGGAAACACAGCTCAAATCAGGATGTCTAAGTACTACAACCGAAGTGGAGACAGCTTACCTAGTGAGGTAGCGGAAAGAGCTGCGCCAATGATGAAGGTCTCCACCGCGCCTAGTCCATGTTAGCTTGAACCCCGAAAATGCCGATCACTAAACAAACCATATCCAAAACCAAGATAAAGTAAAAGGTATGAAAGACCGATAGGAAAGCAGACGCCAGTTGCCGCGCCAATCATACTCAAAGTGAAATTCTGCTGAAGAAGATCCACACGAGCGCCAAGACCGCCTAAAATTGATGACATCAGTATTCTTGGGGCCAAGAAGCCAAGCGTAAAAGGTTTTCTTCTTACCTTCGAAAATGATCAAAATCAATCCGACGTATCCTAGAGCGAGAAAAGTCTCCTGCCATGTGTGTTTAAGGATATTGGCCAATGGTACACCGTAAATGATACCGACGGCGATTTGGCCTATAATACCAGCCTGTAGTATCTTCGCGGAGACCCATTTTGCAAGGGAAAGAAAAAAGAAAAAAGATATAAGAATGAGGATATCGATAGCTAGGATTGATCAGTGAGGAAATGAGTAGACGTCAATTTGAATATGCTTGGGTACATACTTCCGGGTTCGTGGTATGGGAGGAAGCCATTGGCCATACTGACGCTTGTTCTATAATAGTGTAAGCCACAAGCCTGCAATATTGCAAGGGGGGATATCAACCCTTAAGTATGCACCACTCTGTTAGAGCTGGGACTCGTCTGTGTTTCTCACAGTCTGGGCAGGCTGGGCATGGTCTGGGCATGATCTGGGGTGGAGGTGGGTTCGTACAAAAAGCGGAGACATCGGATTACCGGAAACGTATATGGCCCGCCACTCACGGCCGACAATGGTTAATTTGTTTTCAGAGACAAATGAAACATCTTATGCTGAGAAATCAGTCTCCTTTCCTCCTTGTATTTCTCTTCGCCGTCAAGTTCAAGCTTAATTAGAAGGTTACAAGTCATATTTCCCTTTCAAGGTTGATATAAAAGAAGAGGATCAATTACTTCAATTGTTCTTTGGGGGTCCAGTGGGAACTATATAGCATGAAGCCTGCGCAATATATTGAGACATCTGTGCGGAATAAGGTTGATTTGAATGTTAGGTTATATGCTTCTCATGAATCTACCAAGACATTGAAACAGTTTGGGTGATTTGAATATGCTGGGAAAGGCAGTTTAACCAGAACAGAAACTAGAAAGGCGTCATCAGGAATAACAACACTCTCATTCTTAGCTTCAGGCTCCACCTAAGCTATATATATTGATTCTTACCTCCCATAAAGCTTTTTCCTTCTCTTCTTCAGGAAGTGCAAATCAACTGCTAGCCCTGCCGCGAGCTTCGTTTTCAATTAGGTGAAATCGGTTGCCTCCTTATTGAGACTAGCGGTGTCATAATCCCTGTTCCAGTAAATGTATTGGGATTCCCAAGATACTGACGCCTCATTTGCTGACTTACTCTTCAGATACATCCGATAATCGAGTTTGCTTGCCCATGAGGTCTTCCGACATTGGGCTTGATCCAATTCCTGCGTATCCCGAGATCCTGTATACCTGTTGGAGATGCGCTGCACTGTTCCAAATGGTGCTGTCTCATTGGCTCCGTTGAATTGATGGGAATTGGGTCATATTTTGAGAGATTCTGGTTGATTTCTTGTGCGATGTTTATGAGCCAGGGTGCGTCAGACACTTTTTCATGCGGATCTGACTCTCAAGTCAAAAAAAAAATAGCATCAAATGGTGCCAATATTCATATAGTTAACAAGTCTATTGTAGGAATTATGCTGCAGGTCTCGTCTATAGTTCTGTTTGACTGCATATCAAACTCTTATTTTTAGTGATGCTAGTCCAAATGTGGTTAGTCGAAAACTGTCCCTACATTAGCGCGCTAGTAGACCGCTCTATAATTCTGCCCCACATCCTGCCCAAAGTGGAAATCCCAAACATCAATCACCCCACTCCTTATGACCCATATCACGTTTGTCTACCCATTACGCATCATAGTTTCTGATATTTGATCTATCCACCATGCGTGGCGAAGTATGTGCTATCCTGTTACCGTTCAGTGGTGACCGTGTTGATTGTTCAGCCTCACCCGGCCTATTTTCGCAGCTTTGAAATGCGAAATACACAATCCGGTCTCGCGGTTTGGCACTCAATACTGTTGTATTCAAGACCAAACCCAACCACCGATATACTTGACATCGCTAATGTGCGGATTCATTAGATCTGTCATATTCACCTTGGCCAGGCTGGTACCCAGCTGGGTAACGCCGCATGGGAGCTGTAAGTCTTACTGCCTTGTGATCCATCCATCCAGCAATGGCTAACCGCTCGATCATAATATAGTTATCTACTCGAGCATGGCCTGTTGCCCGATGGACGTATAAATCCGGATGCTAGCAAGGAAATTCACCAGAGCAGCTCATATGAGACATTTTTCGCCGAGGCCGAAAATGGCAAATATGTTCCTCGTTCAATCTTTGTCGACCTTGATCCTTCGGTATGTGACTAGCAAATACACGCTTGAAATTTGATGTGCTGATATTATGGTGGTGATATAGCCTATTGACGAGATACGCACTGGTACCTACCGCAATCTGTTCCACCCAGAACAATTGATAAGCGGGAAAGAGGATGCCGCCAATAACTGCAAGTTCCCCTCCTATCTGAAATCTATGTGTTCGGGAAACTAATATGTGATAGATGCTCGTGGTCACTATACTGTCGGCAAGGGGCTCTTGGATAATGTTATTGACCGAATCCGACGTGTGGCCGGTGTGTATTCCTTTACTCCATTGACCAGCCTCAAGCTCATATTATAACAGACAACTGCTCTTCCCTTCAGGGGTTCTTGATCTTCCGCTCCATTGGTGGTGGTACTGGATCTGGCTTCGGTGCTTTGTTGCTCGAGCGCCTTGCTGCTGAGTATGGCAAGAAATCGAAGCTAGAGTTCGCAGTCTACCCATCTCCAAGTGTGGCAACTGCCGTGGTAGAGCCATACAATGCTGTTCTATCGACACATAGCACTATTGAAAACTCCGAATGTACTTTTCTCGTTGACAACGAAGCGGTTTACGATATCTGCAAGCGCAACCTAGACATCCCTCGCCCTGGATTTGACCACCTCAACCGGCTCATTGCCCAGGTGGTTAGCTCTGTCACCGCCAGCTTGCGCTTCGATGGTGCCCTCAATGTCGACTTAAACGAGTTCCAGACCAACCTCGTGCCGTTTCCGCGTATTCATTACCCTCTTATTTCCTATGCTCCCATCATATCTAGTAACCGCAGCGGCCACGAAGGCCATAAAGTCAAGGAACTTACCTTACAGTGTATGTGCACTTGTTTCTTTCAACCCGTTTTAAAAAGTCATTTTATACTAATTGTTTGGTAGGCTTTGAACCTAAAAATCAGATGGTCGTGTGCGATCCTTACAAGGGCAAGTATATGGCTGTGGCACTTCTGTACCGAGGAGACGTCGTGCCTTACGAATGCAGCCAAGCTATTGCTCATGTCAAATCCAAGGCCTCTTTCAACCTAGTCGAGTGGTGTCCAACCGGGTTTAAGGTTGGCATTAATTATCAAAAGCCTGTAAGTGTGCCCGATAGCCAACTTGCAGCTGTCGACCGCTCAGTCACTATGCTCTCTAATTCCACCTCTATCGCTGAGGCCTGGGGCCGTCTCGATCACAAATTTGACCTTATGTACACCAAACGTGCCTTCGTCCACTGGTACGTGGGTGAGGGCATGGAGGAGGGCGAGTTCTCCGAGGCTCGTGAGAACCTGGCGGCTCTGGAGAGGGATTACGAGGAGATCGCCGGTGATGCTATGAATTCCGATGGCGAACTAGAGCAAGAGTTCTGAATATGCTTATTTTGTTGTGCAACGATATTCTTAAGATATTTAGTTGATGTGTATCTATCCTTCCAGTGTGTCTAGATCAGAATGGTATTCCTCAGCCATCTTTTTCGACTGGTGAACATGTATTCCGCCCATCTCAATCTGAAAGTACAAATAGAAGTTGCTCCAAGTTAATTTCCTAAGTATTACGCCCAGTATAATTATAGATGTTCTTGTTAGATCTCTGCACAGATTCACCTAATTTATTCACTGGTTTGATGTTGCCAAGAGCTGAAAATTCATAACAATCCAAACTAAAATCATTGGATTAGCGAAACAACAAAACATTCTATATTACAGAACAATCTCACATAACTCGGATTTCACTGGGATTTCAAACCACATCGCTTCTAAAACCCCATCGCTTTCAAAACCTCCTATACCACAAGCAGGGTAACGAGAACATCTGCTCGGCCGAGATCATGATTAATCTCCGCCCCACCGGGTCTAAGGCTCCTACCAGGAGGCAAATTATTACAAGGAGCAGGAATGGTAGTACCAAGAATCGCTACACAGTCTTCTTGAAGTACCCTTTCTCGCAATTGAGATGGCATCTTTGTGATTCAGAAATTATTTGTTGAAGAAATAATTGCCAGCGCCGGACTCATCGAAGTCAATCGATGCTTCTTGCCTATGTTGAATTTGTATGCTCCACCCTTGCAGACAGGAGAGCATGCCAATGGGGGTTAGAATGAAGTGCCTGACACAATAAGTGAAGATGGAAAGAGCACAGAGGGATATTCCCTCTTCAAAGATGCACTTACCTATCTCATCCAACGAAATGGGGTTCTTGACTAACCTTTCCAGAACTCTCGCATGCCCAAAAATGTCCCTCATCGCCATCGCGGTGACTGTTATCTCACAGATCTTTATGATTGTGCGATGGGCAAATGGCATCCAAGGACTTGAAGTATTTTACTGCTTGCCGTGGGCCATTGGATGTGGACTTTTCTTTTCGCCACAGTTCCTCGCGTTAACAATTTGTTCTCCAAAAGAGCAAATAGCCAGTGCTACTGCGGTGTACTATCTGTCCCAACAGGTGGGACATGTCAGCGGCACTAGTACCAGCACCGCACTTCTCCAGCAAATCTTCCGCTTTCGACTCGATATCAGTCTGGACAACATTCCTGTAACTCAGAGAAATATGGTATCTCTTGCCCCCATGGCCTCATTGTTTTGGTATGCTAATACAAGCTTCAGTTGATCAAGAACATTCTCAAAGACTACAAATTTAGCACAACATTGCCACCGGCACTCCAGGCTCTGGTATCATCCAGTCACATCGAGGCCTATCGTTTGATTCTAGGAATGTCAAGTTATTGCCGCTAGCACAAGATAATCAGATCAGAAAAACTGATGTAAATAGCCCTCACCATGATTTTGACCGTAATTTGTGGGGCGCTTATCTTCTTCTCCAAGGAGAGGACAATCAAGCAATAGATGGGGGATATGCTAGTTGCTCTCTCGGTGTTTCAATTACACAATTCGCGCTGTGTTCATGTTCTCTTTTGGGAACTCTTTGATCTTTCTCACATTAGAGCAAAATTTAGGACTTCCCAGTGGCCAGCAGTGGTGAAGGAGAAAGGAGGTTGGCCCAGCTCACTATCATTGACATTCACTCTCTGAGAGGCTCACTGATGGTCTTGGAAAGCCATCAAAGCCAACGCATTTAGAGAATATGCAAGATGATGTTTCACTACTTGCAAAATTTGGTGGATATTTAGACGTGCCTTATCATAGAAACATAATGACATTCTGTAAAGACATCAAACTCTAATTTCGAAATATCGAGCTCACGAAGCGCAAGAGACTTTGATTTCAAGAACTAGGGGAGCTATTCTCACCCCAGGGTCAGACGAAGAAATAGGTAAGACATCATTGATTGACATAAATAAAACCTAATTAGTTAGTTAAAGAGCGCTAATGATCAAAATCAATAGGTAATAACCCAAAACCCATCGTTGGGTTATAGATTTGGACCCAAAATCCATTTTGGGTCGGGTTCGGGTTAGAGTGGGTTGTGCCGAAGTCTAATAAAGAGTATCTATTTTAGAGCGACTCTTCTTTAATCTCCATAAGTTTATATGAATTTGCGCGCATAATTCGTCGCTCGGTACGGCCGGAGATACGATCGCGAAGAATGGACCGAGGTATATTGAAAATACGAGTAGCGAGAGAAACAGTGGCTATATCTTATTTTTTTTAATAGCTTATATTGCTAATAAAATCCTACCCTCCTGCTCTACTGAATTCACGAGAGGTTTGGGAGCGAATTGGTGGCATAGTGATTGGTCGAATTGTATAAGTGCTAATTCATGGTTACGTTTTGGGTTATGTGGCGACTCGGGGATTATGGCGGCTCGGTGGTTAATTACGTTTAAGTGTTCCTTGTTTGTTTTAGATAAGGAGGCTGTTTCCTAGACATCAGATCAGGTTGTTTTTCGATTAACTTCAACAAGGCCCAACAATTAGAAGGCCACCAAGACTGACTATTGCTCAATTAACTCCGCGAGGAATAAACCTCTTATCGCGAAGTTTAATGTGGTCGATCATCCGCTGGTCATCAGCCTCAAAATTAAGGTTCTCGGCTTACTTGCTTGTGGCAAAAGTATTCCAACCCGTGCGAGAAGATAATCTAGAAGGGCTTCCGCACTTGATTCTTCAATTATTTTCTCTGTGAGATATCTCTCTCAATGATCCTAGTAATGTCTTTTTCCTCACCAAGAAATCCGTTCAAATGGATCCAGATGCGTTTAACTTGCGCACGCCCAAGTCGATTGTTAAGCCTGAAACTTTGAATCAAATCTAGACAGCTCCATTTTGGATCATTCGGTAATCCAACCACTTCATCACTATTTGCCATCGTTCGATTCCACAGGTCACTTTCTGAAGAAAGGAATGAGTGAAGATCATGAGTGGCCTAGGACGTCATATTTATTTAACACCTATGAATGTAATCACGCTCCGCGAAAAGACATCATCGCGATTGGACACGGCGTACTGTTAAGTTGCTGGCTTTTAGAAAGCGTCAAATTGACTGGGTTTTCTTTATTTGGTGGTCTTGATGATGCCAAGGTTCTTATTTCTACTGACATCATGTTTTCGTTGACAGTAGCACATCGCTATCACTATATAGAAGAGATTATAATCTCACTAAATCTTTTCGACAATGTACTACTATGCAGTGTGACTGAGCTTTAAATGATTTTCCTGACTTGGAATCCTTCGAAATATCCAGAAGAAAGGTCCCAACTAGAGATCCCACTAGTATTTAATCGTCAAAGCAAATACTCCTTACAAGATGTTCAATATAACGAACCACGTTGTCGATTGTGGAGGAGCTAAGACCACTATCACTGGTATGATTCTAATATCAACTCTTTGTCACTAAAGGAGAAATGGAACCTGAACAAGCTAATCGATTTAAGATAATGGACGGCTGAACATTAAGGTTGAGAAGCCCGAAATGATGACTACTTCACCTCATTGGCGGCGTCCAGCTTACAAGACACGCGATACGAAAGCAAAGATTCAAGAATGTCACGCGACGCCTTCACTCAACATAGTGATCCAAGTTGTAGGGTCTCGTGGAGACATACAGCCTTTTGTTGCCCTTGGACTCGCTCTTGCCCGAGCAGGACATCGCATTCGCATCGCGACCCATGGCACTTTTAAAGAATTTGTCGAGACTCACGGTTTAGAATTTTTCAATATTGGAGGCGATCCAAAAAGGCTCATGGCATATATGGTAAAGAACCCCGGCTTAATGCCCAGCATGAACAGTCTTCGAAGTGGAGATATTCAAAAAAACCGAGCAGATATACGAGAAATCCTTGATGGTTGCTGGCGAGCGTGCTTTCAGAGCACAGACGAGGAGTCGAAGCCTTTCTTTGCCAATGCGATTATCGCCAATCCACCTTCATTTGCACATATACACTGTGCAGAGAAGTTAGGCGTACCTTTGCACATAATGTTCACGTAAGGGATGCGTCGTAGTGTCGAATGGAGTTGGAAATGCTAATAAAAAGCAGGATGCCTTGGTCGCCCACCCATTCTTTCCCTCACCCATTAGCAAACTTATCTGCATCTTCTTCAAAAGGAAGCGTGATGAATTACCTATCATACACATTCGTTGAAATACTCACGTGGGAGGGTTTGGGAGACGTAATTAACTCTTTCAGATGCAAAACTCTGGGACTCAAGCCTCTGGACAGATCTTCTGGACCAACTATCTTATCTCAACTCCGTATACCGTACACCTACTGCTGGTGAGTAGCGCTCTTATTCTACATGTGATTCTCACCTCATATTAGTACGCTTTAGGTCGCCAACTCTGATAAGAAGACCTGAAGATTGGGCTGCCCACATATCCATTTCGGGATTTTACTTTTTGCCCAAGTCATCTGCATACACTCCTCCTCCTGAATTGGAGGAATTTCTCAATGGGCCGTCTCCGATATACATCGGATTTGGCTCCATAATTGTTGATGACCCCAAGAAACTTACTTTATTGTTGTTGGAAGCAATAGAACTGGCTGGGGTACGAGCCATTATCTCACAAGGATGGGGTGAATTGGGCAGTGAAGACTTGGTGATTCCTCCCAACGTTCATTTCATAGGAAGTTGTCCACATGACTGGATTTTTGAAAAGGTTTCTTGCGTGGTACACCACGGTGGCGCCGGTACAACGGCTGCAGCTATGGCTTGTGGAAAGCCTTCAATTGTCGTCCCCTTCTTTGGCGATCAGCCATTCTGGGGGAGCATGATCGCGAAAATAGGGGCAGGCCCTAAGCCTATTCCGTTTAAAAAGCTAACTGCACCTGATCTCGCTGCGGCTATCAGCGCCGCCCTTGAGCCAGAGATCAAGCAGAGGGCAATGGAACTCGGGGAACAAATTCGTAATGAGAGCGGCGTCGATGCTGGAGTCACCTCGTTCCACCATCACCTTGAGCATTCTAACCTGAGTTGTGGAATCGTAAGCTCGCTCCCAGCGGCTTGGAAAATTCGAGGAACAGACATCCAGCTTGGCTCTACTGGTGTGGCGCTTCTAGTTAACAGAGGTTTGCTCAGTACTGACAAAATTGAGCTGTATGTATACGATCAGTGGATATTATCATGGCTACCTGAATTGACTCTGTTGTTTTAGACTTCGACCGCAAAAATATGATTTGAACATCGGGCCTCGAGATCCATTCTCGGGAATGGCTTTTGCTTTTATTGATTCAGCAGCAGAGATCAGCGGAGGCCTCGGCCACTTTGGTGCGTCAACTCAAGAGCTCTTCCGATCAATTTTTGAGAAGGGGTCTGTACACTCGGGCAAGCGATCCGCATTTGCCTCAAGCATGGAGGGAATCGGAAAAGCCTCCATCAATGTCGTTCGAGCTCCTATTGATATTTCCTTCGCGTTTACTCAAGGTTTGCACAATGCGCCGAAACTCTGGGGTGACCACCATGTAGAGTTGCCCGAGACTGTCGAGGGCATACCAACCGGGCTCACAGCAGCAAGCAAGGTAAGATACAATCTGCACCCACATTTCGGAGATCTAATACCATCTAAGGAACTTGTCTTTGGTGTCTACAATGGATTTCACAGCCTAATAATGTTTCCTGGACAATTTGCCGCTCACCGGGGCAAAAGATTTGACATTCTCCCGGGGTTAGGATTCGGAACAGCTTCTTGCATCACGAAAAGTTTATCCGGTAAGTGATCATTGAGACAGAACCCATGACTTTTCTTTCCAACAATTCTAAAAATATGCAGGTTTGACTGCAATCATCACATATCCTCTGAAGGGTGTTGATGTGGAACTTACTAGAGCTCTGTCTACGAGAAAGCTTACCGCTGTTGAGATAGAGCTTCTCAGCCAAGGCTCGAGAGATATAGCCCATATGAACGAAGAATATATTAAGCTGATACTAGAGAGATGGGAGGTTATAACGCATGGTGTCAGGAAAGGGAAGTTGAAAAAGAGAAAATATCATTGGCCTCATATAGGGCGAGGAAATAAGCCAGTGAAATCAATTTAAAAAAATGGTGGGGAATTGAGTGAGGTGTATTTTTTCGAAGATTAATTTTACACCCGAGAAAATAAAATATAACCATGCACCTATTCAGTGATCAGTCAATTTAATGTTTGCGCACTGGGCTCTATCCCCATGGTACGGTGTCCGAAGACGGTTATTTATCTCAAGCGGGTACCTAACGTTTTAGGCCTATATTGAAGATTGGCGGAAAGGTTAGAATACCTAGTATCACTATAATAGCGAGAGAAATCGAGGATGCATGTCACGTCGCCACTAACGTAAGCCCTGTGTTACGGACATGCTAGTGTAGGGAGTGGATCTTGAACCTTCAGAGTCCTGCCCCGCTCCTATCAATGATAAATAGTCCATTCTTGGGAACCTGGAAGTTCTCCAAGAATCATTCTCTGTACTATTCGCACAATACATCTGTTCCGGAGTCATCCTCGTCTTACCTAGTTGACAGGCCCTATCCTGTAAACACTAGAACCCCCCTATACTCTACACTAAAGTATCGTACGAAATAATGATAATATTTTGCTTAGTGTTACGGACATGCTAGTCACTAATAGACCTCGACATTTCCCGTCTATGGGAAATCTTTTTTGTCCATTTCCCATGGACAGTTTCCCATGGGAAATTTCAGCTTCCTATTTCCCTCCCACTCTGGGAAATGGGAATTCCCATGGGTCCTATAAAATTCCCATCCTATGCCAAGCCCTGCACAAATCACCTAAAATGGATGGATAACTTGCTGAGTTATCTAAATTGTTTACTGTTATTTACGCATGTTTTAGTCACTATAGCATTATATGAAACTTTTCTTCACTAACCTCTATATATTTTTATAAATCGCCATGTATATAGAGTATTTTGATTATATTTTGTATAATTACTTTAAAATTTTGTCCTTTTAATCAAAGTGTGCACTATGGTTTGATTTTTAAAGTCAAAGTATTATGTCTTCTATGAAACTATGAAAGATATATATATTTGAATACTAGGTCTATACTCCATAAAACGGATTGAGAACAATACTATTATAGATTAGAGAGTATATTGATCAAGTAAAGTAAAAACATGATTAAGATTATATTTCTTGTTATTCTATTTACTTTCAATAATCAGAAACTATATTGTATAAGTACAAGGGCTCAGAATACGTTAATATAAAGGACTTTATAGGCGAAATTATTCTTTTCACTTCAGCGGGGGATTATGTTGAGCCTGAAAATAAGAAATGTAGGAATTCCTACGGGTCCTATAGGAAATCCTATAGGAAATCCCATTGTTTATAGGAATTCCCATACTTTTAAGCCAATTAGTAGCGATTGCTACCTATATTAGTGGGTCTATTATGATAGATCATTTAGTAACTCCTGAATATGAGGACAGCGCGTTTGCTTTTATTAGGCGACGCGAGCTTAGTTTTATAAAGGTAGGCCTTCTACCTTTATTCCTTTCTTACCCTAATCCCTTACCTTACTATTGATAGCTATGGCTTATCCTTCTTTATATATAGGAGTAGGCGCTTTATTAGACTACTTTTCGGCCAATCCTACTTATTCCCGCGTACCAGAACATCTTGAGATCTTCGACTAGAGTCTTGAACTAAGCCTCGATAGTAGCTAAAGGACTATTACATCTACACCAGATATAACTATCCCCTCCACCCCGGATCTTGACTTCCAAATACCTCCTATTACACCTATTACCCTCTAGCGAATTGGTCCCGACCGAAGGAAATCATACATTCTTTATAACGAAATGACTAAAGCAGAGTTCATTAACTGGTAGCGACAAACTATACATGGTGGCTAAGAAGATATCTAGAAGAAGATCCGGTGGGATCATGTGCTTCGCCTAGACGAAGCTGAGCCTGCAGGGATCATTGATGTAGATCGCAGCCCCGCATGGACTGCGTGGCCCACCCTCGCAGTCTGCGTAGACGTGTGAGGCATATATTATTAGACCTGCTCAGTACTGTGGTCCTGACACGTTACTCAGAGTAGTATAATATCGTGCGGTGAAATTACTTTCATTCGCGCCATATAAAAAGCCATCCACCAGGTCAAGAAGGAGATTGGGCCTAAATTGAGGACAAGTGTCGTATGTTAGCTTGAATTCGGACCACATCCAAGAAAAGACTTTGTAGGCTAGGTGTTGAAAATACAATTTAACTCTTTGAGACATTCCCTCATTTGGCCTCAGCATCTAGCATACCGGCGTATGCCTAGTGCTATGTTATCTATATTGTATGGTGGGATGGACCTTTCCCCATCCAGACAAGAGACTGACAAGTGTGGCAGAGCGTACAGCCGGATGCTTTAAAATGGCGTTGGTTGCCAGACTCATTGGTATTGGCGACTGTCCATTGAAAATCTCTATACTCTCTGTGACTTGGTATGAAATTTATATCTTTGGCGTACAGCATTCGCTGCCGCTTTTCGACTAATGATTGTTGCAATAGTGATACAAGAGAACATCATACATCATGATTGCCCTCGGATTTTCTCGAGTCGTGTTTGTGATCTGCTGCGCATTGAGCACAGTGAGCAATTCATGGGATCTTAGCGAGGAGCACAAACCTGAGGGTGCTCTAGGTGTGAGGCTTGATTACTACCTAGCGACTTCCTGGCCGACACCATTGTTGAAGAAGGGCGTTCAAAATAAACGAGCTTTCGCATGGAGCAGCCATCTCAAATTCGACACAGACGTCAGCAAGCTTGATGACGCACAGCTCTGGCAAATGGCATATGATGGATACGCGGAGATGAAAGAGGATATGAAGCTCTACAGTGTCGGCAAAAAAGGCGACCAACCCAGCGCCATGACTGTTCTTGCTGTTGGCAAAGAGATATTTCTCGCTTCTTCAATGAAGCATTCGGGTAATTTTGCTTTCGAGTATCCGCCGACAAAGGTTTCCAGGATTCTTGAACAATGCCAAATTACTTTCAATGAAGCTGGTGGCGAAGGTGATGCAGGGCACAAAAACAACGCGGATTGTGCCGAGGTGATGAGTGCTCAAATGTACTTCACTACAGACCAGGGCGAAAACACTTCCTTGAAAGATCGGAATGCAAGAATTTGCACAGTCGTCTGGGATCATAAGTTGAAGAAACTGCAAAACAGAGATCCGTGTGGAGACATGCCAGTGAGTTATATTGAATATACTCGAATTTGCGGATTCTCATGACAGGACTAACATTATCGCAAGAAATCATGGGGCTGCAACTTGTTTGTCAATCAGCTGGGTTTGATAGTGCTGGACAAATCTATAGAACCCGAGCCGTATAATTTGAACGAGATCATGGGCAAGCCGGTCATTGACCAGATCCCGTTATGCGCTTCGGCTAACACGGGCCTGGTCAGCCGGTAGGTGGAGCAAGATCTGTTGAAATAGTGTTTGATTACATGGAAGTGATTGATAATGTGAAAAAAACGTTCATGCTAATTATGTTTCATCTGTGTAGATTATCTCAAATAAAACCCCAGCTTGAGCACCTAACTCTGTGAGCTGGTGTATCATATCAGGGTCCCATTCATCATCATCAATTTCATCTCTAGCTAGTCTCACAGAAATGCCACGAAGATTTGGTGTGAACGCTTCTCGATCCTCCAGCCATGATTTTAGCAAGCCTAGAATGGCGTGATCCTTCCACTCAAATTCAGGCCAGTCTGGTTCCATCTGCTCATCATTTTGTAGACACATGTCGTAAGTGATGGAGAGATGTTCAAGATATCTTGGGAGCACATCCTGCAAACGTTTCGTTGTGTCTTGTGCAAATCCGACGAGAAATGCCCATGGAACTTGAAGTGTCCTGAGATTTTCCATATTGACCATCACCTTCAATGAGCCCTCCGTTTTGATACCAGGGAGATTGATATCGTTGCCTCCGAGTTCAACTTCACCTATGATTGTGAGGTCGGTTAAAGTACCTCTAAGACGAGACATAGCATCTCCAATTCGATCAAGATCCACAATAGGCATATTGACTGCATCGCGCAGACCATAATCGTAAAACCATGTCCAGCAAAGTGATTTCAGATGAGGTGTGATGGAGAGTAGGTCACCGAGATAATTCTCCCGAACTGAGTTCAAAATCAGCGACGTGAGGGTTGATGGGACAGGCAATTGCGGTGTAGGCCACTTTATCGCGAGCGGGCTCTCGATGAAGACCGAAATGCGCTGGACATTTGATAGATGAAAGAAGGGCAAGACATCGTCTGTATTTTTGACTTTTTTATCACGCGCTGGATCATGTCCTTCTTTGAGGAGGTATGTCACATCTCGGAGATGCCGAAAATCGGGTAGCCCAAACTCTGCAGGCTCAAAGATAGCTGAACGAAGAACCATACCGATAATCTCACTTCGCTGGGTGAAAGCAGGGCCCAGGTACAAACAATGCAGATTCGGAAGCTGTGCCAAAAGGAGGGCCACAACAGCATCGAGTCTACCATGCTGTAACTCATGTATCCAAAGGTCGCTATACGGGACTCTTGTTTTCCGAATGAATGACGCAGGCTCGTTTAGTTCGTTAATAGCAACGGGGACTGTACGTATGGTTTCCACGAGTGGAGCGTAGGTGGTATATTCGCCGGCGAGATGAAGGGTTTTGATTTGAGCAGCCAAATGAGGCCTGGACACCAAAGTTCGCAAAAGTTTAGTGACTGGGGGAGGATCATAAGGATTCTCCAGCTCCCAAGTCAATTGGATTGTCTTGTAGAGAAAGTTCTCAGCGATTCTGCGAAGGTTCTTATGGACAAGACATAGTGCATAAAATTCGGCGGGTGACAGTAACTCGAATACCGAGTATAGGATGTCCACCGGGCACTTGGTAAGCCTGGCTGGCCCTTGATGTTTCTAATAGAATTAGCAATAATCTTGAAAGTGCCAGAATGGATGACATACAGATCTCATTGTTAGTGACATCTTTGTAATTCCACAATCTCTTGGATTTGACCCGAAGACTTCGGCTGACTGGGAGTCAGGAAAAGTTGGAAAATGAGAAACGTTGGCATTTAAAAGTCCCCTTAGCTTTTCAGACCATACCGTATACAGTGGTATCGCCACTCCGTTAAGCGCTCCCACCAAGCCCGCCAAACTCAACTTTACTGGCTTCGACGCCGTTCCCGGGTCCGGACCAAAAAGCTCTTTTGGGATTAGGAAAGGGAATCAAATTACATTTAAATATCAACACAGACGTGGGCCATTTTTTGGCCCCCGATTTCTGGGTCCAAGCTTCAAGACCCTTAAAGACCCACTAAAAGAAGAAGCTCCTGCTACTAGTCCTAAACAGTCTTTTCAGAATTTTCAATGCAAGATCGAAAACTAGCCGGCAGGCCTATAATTATGACTTAGCTGTTTACCCGCACACGATCGTGTGCGGGTGAGCCAATACCTATTAACAAACCAATACCTGTTAACAAAAAATCAACCATCAACTTTTGATCCTACATTTTACCCCCAAAAAAATGCCAGTTTCCTCCAAAAAAGAAGATACTCTTCTCTTAAATGCCTAAGAAGTCTATAAATCAGGTCAATTTAAATCAATTCAGTCCGCAGCCGCTCATTATGGCGTCTCAAAGTGGAAGCTTCGGAACCGAAAAGATGGCAGGAATGGAAAAGGGCGTACAGCAACCAAAAAAGTCTTAAATCAATTTCAAGAACGCTCACTGATTCGCTGAATCGAGCTGCTTAATTCTGTCTATACTCTGCCGGCTCCCTCAAATATCGAGGGAGCTGCAAATCGCATTTTTAAGGTATTGCGGTTCCGACCGGGAGGTCAGTAAAATGTACGGTGAATTAATTCATTGGTACGAACGAGGGTTTCGGCGAGTTCCTTCGAAAAAAAAAGATTCAGGCCAACGAACTACCCAACTGGGATGAGACTGGGTTCCAACTGGGTATTGGATCTAAGGAAAAGGTCGTTTCCACCCGCGGACAAGAGACTATTGCGACCGGAGGAATTGGTCAAAATATCACTGGCATTGAATGCATTTCGGCGGACGGTTGGGTTATGCATCCATGGTTTTTAATTCGCGGTTCTGAACAAATGGAAGACTGGTACGACGGCGACACAGACCCTTCCACCTACCGGGTGATTAAACCAACCGCCAAAGGTTGGACAGACGATCAAACTGCGACTCAATGGCTGCTCGATTTTCATTTTGCTACTCGAAAACGTATTGCCAAAAACAGACTTAAGGTTTTATCAATGGATAACCATAGTTTCCATGGAATTCCGGAATTTGAACACATTTGTCAAGTCAACAACATCGTACCTTGGTGGTTTATTCCGCATATGACACATCGATGCCAGCCTCTCGATAATAAGGCATTCTCAGTTCTGAAACAGAAATTCCGAAAGAAAAACAACGAGATCGTACGATGGGGTGGCGGCGATGTTAGCGATAAGCGACATTTTCTTCAGTTGATCAAGTCAGTTCGCAAGGATGCATTTAAATCGCAAACCATTAAATCCTCATTCCGAAATACTGGCATTTGGCCTTCGAATTCACATATTGTATGCGATCAAATCGAACCTGGTTGGGAAGATGAGCCGGTTCTTGATATGTATGGTCATACAGTACTCGTACGCCTTCACCAGACGGGAAATTTCCCAGTTCAGCCACAGATTCCTCGCCAAATTTGGATCATCGGTTCTCAAAAATTGAGAATAAACTTACACCGTTATTCCAAGATGCCGAAAATATTCATTCTCTGCAGATCAAACCTCCGGGAACTCGTTCTAATCCACATCCGCCTCCAGAAAGCATAAAGCAGAGACCGTAGAGACGGCAACCTCCCAGTCTACCAATTCGGACCTTGGTAGTCGGAAGCGGCCTCGCATTGAAAAGGGGACAGAGTCTCGACCATCAACCGACACAGGGGCCTCAGAACCACGCAATTCTAAGCGCGAAAGTGACCTCTTCAGCCAACAATGGACTGAACCAAACGATTCGGGGTCCACTGGGACGGAAGACATATCTGCGGAGGTCCGGCAACGTTTGCGCATCAGGGAGGAGCAACGCCTGAGACAAGAAAGCTCTAAGCCCGATAAGCGGAAGCGGGACAGCGCGAATGTCGAACCTGAATCATGACACCATCCGAGAAAGCGACTGAAAGGGACGGATACCCCGGCAGGCGATTCTGCCTCTGGATCCGGGTCTGCTGCGGGTCGTGCGAAGAAGATGAAGAATGGGGAGTAGATCGGGATCAGGGTAGGATCCCTTCTGGGTACGCCGTGTGATGTTGAAACAATACAAGGCGCATTGGTTGATCTGATGTGGATCTCGCAGGTGGAGTTGACTATGGCTGGAGTTTTTTAAAGCATTTAACTTTTTCATAACTTATACCCAATATTATCACGATGCCTTATCACTATGTACCTCTCAAGATGTTCTCGATGTCATCTAGCCCCGATGATATTTCATTTCTTTTTGGGAATTACTACAATCAATCCCTTTCTTGCTAAAATCACTGTAGTGTTGACTTTAGTCGACATTAAGTGCTTTACCCTTTTAGGCAGGATTATTCATACGTTTCCCTCAAATGTTTGTTTTTTTTTCCCTTCTGCTTCCCTTCTGTTTCCTTTAAAATGGCCTTCCACCAGAAAGACATCATTATGGGATGGATTGGAGCTTAGAGTTTGCTGTGGAAGGGACGCATTTGATGGATAATAAAGAGGAGTCTATTGTCGCATATGAACGAAAGTCATCAGTCTGGGGTCTCCCGGTCCCGGCGGTGGGAGCGTAGTAGAGGACTCGGACCTAACACCTTCTTGGTTGAAGCTCAAACCGCTAGTCCCCGGAAGTCTGGTAACTATACGGCCTGCTGGATTGCACATCTCCATCCGTAGCTGCATGATCCATCCTTTGAGTGATATATTCGCCGTTTTAGCATTGAAACTGAAAGCTATGTTCAATGAACGACCCCTGGTAGGATCGGAATAGATCTCTGACCGGATGACCGGATGCTTCGCATTTGAAACCGGCTGCGCATCCGGCTGCCCGCGTTCCAGATACAGGTCATCATGCAAAATGATCTCTCTTCCACGGTAACCAATACTGGACAATTGGACAAACTGCAACTTGGGGCTATCTGCCAAAAACTCGAAGCTTTGTTTCCAGAGTTCCTGGATCTTGTCGATGACTTCGAGAGACAGCGAAGAACCCCAACTACTCCTCTCTTCTGTGAGGGGGCCTGGATCTCGTGCTCCGATTATCGCATCTGTCAGGCTGACGTTCTTCATACTCAGCCGCCTCAAGGTTGGCGCTGCTGTCCGAAGAAAGCGCTTGAGATTTTCCACAGTCAGCTCGACGGAATGAAGATGAAGTTCTTCTAGCTGGGAAAACTGGATGTTCTGGGAGAGATCCTGAAAATAGAGAGGAGACAATTCTTCCAAGGGACTCCATTGAGCGAAGGTCAGAACCTTCAACTTGGGTGCGACTGTGACCAGCATACTGAGAAGATGTTTGAAGGCGCTCTCATCAAATATGTCGTTCTCGTTATCGTTAATGCGAATGCACATATGTAGAGTAGTCAGGTCGGTCAAGAGCGGTAGCAGTGATTGATACTGCGACTCTGACAGTTTTATAGACCCCAACTTCATGCCACATTCTATATTGCCGCACGTGTGGAGGGCGCGGACCTTGTGGCTAGATTTGATTATAGCCTGGACCACTTGTGAAAATGCTAAGCCCAGAGGCATGGATAACATATTCTGCTTGAAGCCCAAGAAGTCTATATTACCACTCATCTCATCGATGTTGAAACGGTTCTTTATTTCACGCAAGCCAAGGCAGCGAAATGATCGAGGGTTAGCTTTTATGAGGAATTCAAACGGGTAACACCATAAGCAGACTGTGGTGACGTTTTTGAGGCGCGGCAGGCATTTTTCAAGAACCACAGCAAGTTCCGAGTCAAGAATAGCACGATGTCCTTCTAGTGCAGCTTGATAAGAGGCAAATAGAGCGTCAAGCTCAGCCTCATCATTGTTCGATGTTGATTCTTCCTTTTCACCGCGTATTTTTCGGAACATCCTCTGCATTTTCCGATGCGACAATCCTGGCTCTTTGAAACGTTCCTTATCATATTCTGGCCACCCCTCGAACAGGTTTGGGATGATCCGAATTTCTCGAACCCAGCCTCGTAAGGTTTCACTTGCTGCAACATCCTCCAGATCGTCAAGGCCTTCACGGGTGAGAAGAAGTGGCAAAACCTTGAAGTAGCGCGTTGCATAGGCTTCCAGTGTACTGCTATGTATTTGGTGGCAAGTGATTCTGAGTGCACCCCACTCCTGAGGTTCCAGATCTTCACAAATATGAGACAAGATCTCTGGAGGCAGACTCGTGAAAGACATTTTGAACGAATAGCCCCGCGAATAGGGATGGGGCTGGAAAGTGGAAGAGACTTGGTAGTTGGAGAAGGGGGGTTTCGGCTCAGAACATTGGAAATCATACACTAATCCTGCAAGCGATTGAAAATTTATGTACTAGTAAATGCCTAGCGCTTTTCCATATCCACAGTGGTTTTTTTTTAGGAATGCCTGTAAAAATATTTGCAACTCGTGATTAATTATCCGGCATAACAGCCGGAACGACACATAGTATCATACCCTCCCCCACATATTTGACAAGTGATTTAACAGCCCATTGCCCAATTCCCAGTTGAAGGCATATCAAGATTATGATTCAAGAAACGGTATCGGTCCATTTAAGTATGGTCCCACTTTTGAAGGAAACCAGAATAAAACGTGGCCGGCGTGTCAGTTAGCCTGGTTTGGGAGTTATAGTACCACCAAGCCAAAGCAAAATGGACATAATTTTCCGTATTTTGATAAGCATACTTTGTCACAGTACTTCCATCGGTTTGGATGACTACCCAGGGACTGAGTGCCAAGCCTGAACACTCTGTCATATCATCTGCGTGTGAATGAACAATCAGCATTTGTTATATAGATCATCAAAGGGTCGTACTCACAAGTATGATCAACAATCATATTTTGTCCGTCTATCGTACCGGTTGTGGTTACATCCCACCTGGTCACCATGTGCAAGATCTCATGAAGCATCACAGTGGACATGGGCTTGACATACGATAGTTGTGTCCTGTCGAGCACATCCGCGGACACGGTAAGAGTTCCAATATCACTCAGCAGGATATTACCAGCCGAGGCATCACTGACCGTGCTGGCCCCCAGCCTATTGGGGCAAATCAAAACAAAGTCCGAGAGTGCCTTTCGATAAACGGGATAATTCAAGCCATTGAGTGTTATACTTTTCAGGGATGCAGCATTGCCAAAGGAGTTAAGCCCTTGCAACCCACTGGTATCGGAACACAAAGCACTCGCACTGAAAGTCGTGGGGGATAGAAGATAGTACTCGCCCAATGATGGAACGTAGTATGGTTGTTGTGTACCTCCTATGTAGGTCGCCCAGTCGCCATACACCTGTTGCACTGTCGCGTAGGGTTCTACCTGCTACCCAGTGCTATCAAACATAACAGTGTTCCATCCTAATGCTTGTCCAAAATCACCGCAGAAGAGATTTGCTGGAGATTTCCAAGCCTGGTACGCTCCGCCATTCGAAATAAGAGATTGGAGACGATCGATGTGCTCTTTTCCGAAATTGTATATTGTCAGTAGCTCTTCTCTTTCCCTTTGAGAATGCAACATCGCTTACCTGTGACAACAGCCCAAGCAGTAGCACTCTCTGCAAGGAGCGCTCCAGTGCCGTCAAACTTAATACCAAACCAAGAGGTGAAGAGCTCTTGAGCCACGATGGTCTGCTGCGTCTGCGTTGTTTGCTGAGCCCATTGAACTGCGTAGAGCATTTAGGTAGCAAGAGTTGAGAAGTCGTCAGTATAATTGTTTAGCCTGGTTGTGTGCGAAGAACAGCTCCCATAGTCAGCGAGAAGGGAAGGGAGGGTGAATATATCAGAGACAGCAAGAGCTGCAACATTGCTGACCCCCAAGCATAGGGGAAGCCAAGAAGCTATTTTCCATGATCCCAACATGGTGCCGGAGAACGAGTGTGCGAAATTAGACTCTCTCAAGTGAGAATGACAGTCTTCGCTGTGATTATAACCTTTTCATGTGATCGGAAAGCTTTCTTTACGCAGGAGAGAGAGCATCGGCTCTTTCGCCGTTCTCGATCCTTCGATTTCTGGTTTTTCTCTTCCTATTTTTCTTTTTTTCCACTCCTGATATCCTCCACTGCCCCTTCAATCTCGCCTATTACGGGCCTGTGGACATTGTGGTAACTAATTCCATATAGTGGCAAGCTATTTTGATTTCGGATTTGTACACTGAACATAGTTTGAACAGAAGTGGGTCCATGTGGGATCAGGGCCCCGCCATATGGCCGAAGCTCGGACAATCCCCGCTTAGCTTTAGTATCTGACCCACTAATCACATCCCCTGGAGCCATTCATTTGCCCCTAGGATCGTCTAGACAATTTTGGCTAAGCTTTCGCCAATCACGGCCAGGACGGATGAACATCGTCGACGCGTCAGATCCACCTTATGGAGAAAGGGGAAACACAGGAACGGACGAAAGTGATTAGACGTCCTAAGATCGGTGTGATATAGATGTCTTTTAGCTGCCCGTAAAGTCTCTCCGTCTTTAGCTACATAGTATGGGGTAGGTAGAAATTTTAATCTATAATAGCCACAGATGATAGTATCAAAGATTGATATTTTGAAATATATACTACTCCAAAGTGAGCATACAGTAATATCGGACAAGGACTGACTGTAGGGTCATGATTAGAGGCTTAAGTCTGGCATGCAGAGTTTTATTGACTCTTGACAATCCCCACCGGCCTACCGTGCACGGTGAGATAAGGTAATATGGCACTTCTCCCTAGGGATTATGATAGCAATATCTCTTTGTCGTTTGATTTTATATGAATGGTCCGGACTTTTAGCAGCAACCCCTCGAAGATGACGCTCAGCCAAGTTGTACCTTGAGCAATATTAGTCCGCGCTGTATAGGAGAAGATTTTGAGCATTACGAAAATCTGATAGATCAATCAAAGCCCTACTGTTGCCTCTAGATCTCTGCTGGCAGGAGCACCAGCTGCTGAACCATAAGAATATTAAGAGTCAATCACTTTAACCAGGGGCTCAGATCTTAAAGAAGACAATCTAAGCGCTTCTTTTAACACGGATAAGATCTAGTTCAGATAAGACAGGCCCGATGTAAAGAATATAGCAAGTATGCGGAGAACTTATTCTCTCCCGTTATAAAAACTTCACGATCGATTTAAGCAGATCAAGGACTGAGATCTAGATATGAATACATACTAGAGCAAGATTGGCAAGCTTACATCCTTAATCTTATAGCAAAGACCTCGGATTCTTATCCTAAACAGATCTAAGGAACTGCTTCTGATTAAGAAGACACAGCGTACGCTAGCGGTCCTAGATGGTTGTCTAAGGGTATTTGGTAGTCACGTTAACCATGTAAGAGGCCTACTAACAACCTCAGTAGCGAGCTTATTGGCTACTGTGAGTTTTGCATATATCAAATGACGTGCCATATACTATAGGAGCCATGAGATGGAACGGCCCATACATAAACTCCGGCGTACAGTATGTTACGAGAACAGGACCGCAGAGTGAGCTTCATGGCTTGTAGTAACGTGATTGAAATTTCAGGCCACGTAGGCTCTAGAGATCAAAGAATAACTCAAAGCCAAACTTGCTAAGAATCTCTTGCCTACGGTAGAGTGGACGTTGTCCGAAAGTCTCCATAATATCGGAGGAAAACTTGACATTAGAAAAGCTATATAGAATTATTAAAAGCACTATTCTTCTAGGCAAGCGTTTCGTCTGTCTTTATGCTTTAAGTGCTTGCTATGTTATTATCAAACAATACGCTAATACGAGGGTAGCTTATAAAATTTACACGTGCAAAACTCTCGAAACTTAACATTATTAACCTATAGATATAATAGTGTTGTGGATTTTGCTTAAGGTAAATACTTACTTACTTCGAGCCCGAGGCACTAGTTCTAAAGTCTAGATAGTGTTACGCACAGCTAACTGGTCACGGTTAGGTTAGATAGAATCGGGAGATACTTCTCTGATTTCCTGCAGACTTCTAACGTCAACGATCTGTCTCTTAACCTTACCGTTGCCTAAAAGGCCTTACTGCGGGAAGAGTCCTATCGAGGGTATCGAGGAACGATGCCAGGTAGTGCGCCGAATAGATCTATACCGAAGTATTAGTCTATTCGTAGTGGTTGATAAGTTATAATCAAGTAAAGAGTCTCTGAAGTTCTAAAGGTATTCATAAGTAATAATATATAGTTAAAGACGAAAAACTAAACTAGATATATGAAATGAGTGTCCTTATATATCCCTGAGTTCTTCCTGAGTAGAAGTGTAGATGGTAGATGAGTAGATCGCAGATACTCTTCTACCGTCGACTGTTCTACTACTTGTATGGCCACGTAAGGCTAACCGTCTCATAGTGTATTGTGGTATTATTAGAGACGGCAAGTGGAGGGCCGGAAACGGCCTTCCCGCGGTAAACCTTGTTTTTGTGCGAGTATAGTTCGTGATTACCAGCAGGGGGCCAGAAATGGCTCCCAAGTCGAAGTGTTTCTCTGACTCGTACTGGGGACGCCCCAGTATAAAATCTTGCACGTGATCTGCATAACAGTTTGATCGATTGGCTCTTGGTGGCCCATCTGTAGGTCGCAGTCCCCACCTGTGATTGGTGACTGGTATGTCCGTAACAACAGACTGCCAGATTCAAACTATTTCCTCAATAATCGCATTTCCGTACCATTCTCCTCCTTAAGCACGTATATTTCAATATGTATTGCTGTCAGCCATCTTATGATCGTTGAACCTAATTTTGCCGGTGAAAAAGATCGGGATGGACTGGGGAAAGAGCGAGAGACAATTGTGAGCAAGATTCAGTGGTACAATGCGTCGTGAAACCGGTGCAACAACTCCACTCTGTCAAGGACTTTTCTGCCCCTTGCGCCAAGACACACTAGTCCCTAATTAGAGTTATTCCGCTAGTTGCGTATGTATTCATACGTACGAAGTGTAAATAGTAATTTCCGGAATGTATTCACTTGTAAATTCAATTCATCTGACACTTTGTTGCCCCTCCTGCGAAGGAGCTTCCCGTCTTTTGCTGGCATAATAATTATTGGCTCGTTTTACATCTGGACAGCATCTCGAAGCAACCACCTGATAAAGCAGCTCGGAATTGTCGAGAGACAGCTAATGGACCATGATGAGAGCTCCGCTTCTATCTCCCAGGGCAGGGAGCTCAGACTAGCAGGCAAGTCACTCGATTCGATGGCACACCCAAAGCTTGACAGGGATCCGCAGACCGTCGGGTCAAGTGAGGACACGGTGTTGTTTAGAGGCCCGTCCCCGCCAGTCATGAGGCCTTGGAGCCGAGTCAGACTAGTTGAACATCTGATTTATATCACGGTGAACTCTGCACTCGTTTTCTTCCGAGAAAATTGCTCTACCGGAACGGCATTTTCTCGGGAAATGAATGGCCAAGGGCGATGGTATCGAGCAATAGACATGAATCCATTGAGACCTCTGCAACTCCATTCAAATTACGCCTCCTCCTACCGAGGCCGATCAAGGTGAAAGCTGGGCAGTATATCAACTTGTGCCCTCAATCGACTCGGGCGCTGGAGGCTAATTCGACCCTGCGACCGCTGAAGGAGTTATATATCGCTAGAAGTATGACAACGAGGATTTTAGGTCCCTTTTAAAGGCCTGGCATGGTATTTCGATTGAATCAGGTGTCCCTAAGTCGGTATTGGCTACTCGCTGGCTCTATTTCCATCCAGCTCTCAGCCGTCTACGCATGGAAATTCGATCATCATCGGCGTAAGCAAGCCACAACATCTTGAAGTCGCTCTTGGGGCGTTAATCCGCTGGGCCTTTGGATTCTCGGGTTGTGGAAAGAATTAATCGGCTCTAACAGAGCAATGATGGTAGCACCAATAGATTTTTATCATGTTACCTGTGAACATCTACATCGTACTGTTTTCAAATTCAATAAAAGGTCTTGCGGATAATACTATAATTGCATACGATTATGGTCTAAGCCTTACAGCCGTTGTTTGATTACTGGCTCGTTCAATTTCTACAGAAAATCGCAGCCGTTTCTTTGGTTTCATCCCTCTCACGTTCCACTTGACCCAATATCATGTGTTTTGAAGTCTCGTCACTGTCGATTTTATTCGGTGTTCTGTCCACTTCGAGGCGATATTGTTCTTCTCACACACTATGTCTGTTGCCATTAGTTTTCCGTTTGGACGAAGCGCATGTGGGGCTCATATTGTACATCATTTCGGTATTTGCCCCTAAGTGGAAGTTGCCATGTCCACAGTAGACTATAGTTGGTGGGAACTTTTTTTCATGCACTACAAAGGCACACCTCGTCGGGTTAAATTCAGTGTGAGTTTCTGATGTAATATAGAGCTATGATGCCGAAAGCCGAAAGCCGAAAGCCGGAATTCTGTTTGCCAAGCCTAGCCTGGTGCCAACTCCGGAATGATAGTGAGACCTTTGTCATCTTGCGACAAAAGTAAGCATCATGAATTCCATAATGTGGGAGATCCAAAAAGCTACATAAGACCTATTTCAAGTCCGCGAAACTTGTAAATCGTGTCGTTTCTGCATTCTTTTCTATTTTCCAAAATGGCTTCTCCAACCAAAATATGGATCACGCCAGAGAACACAGGCGTATTCAGTACTGCGAATTTGAGCTTGGCATCCGCACGCAAAGTTAGTGAGGTTCTTCAACATGATATGGAAAATCACCATCTCTATCTCAACGAGATCCAATTCCATGGTAAGTTTCAAATATTTGCCTAACGCCATGACAGCGAAGATTAACGGACAGGCAGATCACATTGTGCATTTCATGCTCACAATCTGGGCTCTCGGGGCGTCTCCTGAAACTATCCAGCTTCAGTATGAGCGAGAGGACAAGCGTCAGCGTCCTGCTTATCCACGGGACGAAAGTACCATTGCATCTTTCTCTGACAAAAGCGAATTTATGAAGTATATGTTCCAAGAGGAACACTACTCCAATTATCTTGCCTTTTTCCAGCGCGAGATTGCTGCTAAGGGTGTTCCAGCTGTCATGAAAGAATACTTGTTTAGTGGTGACAAGCTCGCTGAATCAGTGCTTTCCCGGATGTTTGCAGGTCTTGTTCACCCGATTATTCATCTTGGCTTCGGCATCGAATTTCAGCAGCCTGCGATTGTTGCGCAGGCTTTTGCACAGGCCTCAGTCCATCAAGACTATCTGGGTGATCAGTTCTTCAACCCTGCTTCAGTTACTGCGGCAGCCAGCCCAAATTCCGCGAAATCTATTATGCAGATCATGAAAGAGATGCGTACCGACGACTTGGTCAGGAATGGGTCTGCACACGGGGACACAGATGCTTTTGGAGATGGCATCCTCACGCGGGCCAGGGAAAGGGTTATTCACTATTGCAGCAAGTGGTCTGTACCAGAGGACAAGATACCCGAAAAGCTTGCAGAGATGATCAATACGGCGAGTATGTTCCTCCGCAGCTTCAAACCAAACATTTCTTCTCTGACCCTCCATACAGTCTATTGGACCGCCACGGCCCAGAACCCGGAAAAGGAGTTAAAGCTGGATTTTTTCTTTATCCATGCTGTTAATCTCTCCATTTTCTTCAAGGCTTTCATGGATCTACCGTATATTGAAACGGCTGCGAAGAGTCGGCTTATAGAAATGAAAGGCCGAATGGATCTTTTGATCTGGGCATCCCGAAAGATGCCAGAACCAAACGACGACGACATCTTAAACTATCCAATCCATTTGGGCTGGCCTGAGGTCTTTTCAAAGAGTTACCTTCATCCTTCGGATGATGGCCATTTGGCAAAATTTGTCCGTACCGTCGCTTTTGCCGAGCAGTTGAGTCGTCCTCTTGAGACGAAGCTCAGGAGTGATAGCCTTCCCGTTTCTGGAGATATGTGGCTGAAGATTGGGAATATGGGTAAGCAGTACCAATAATCCCCTGAGTAGTACCGCTTATTGAAACATATCTAGCTGTCGATACCGCGGGTGTTATCTATTGGGATATCTGGGTCCGGGGGGCTGGATTTTCCGAGGCTTGGACGAAGTTTGGACCTCGGAGATAGACCTCGATGTTAATTGAACAAACGATTGAGACTCAAAGCAGAACAACATAAATGCCACAAACCCGCAATTCATCGTTCATTATTCGCTGACTTGGAGAGCTTATCAGGTGCTTTCTTAGCGGGTCGTCTGTTTCCAGAGTGTCTCGGCTGCCCTGTGCTCTACTATGTGAGCGCACACATTGGAACATGTACTTTGTTGAATGTCATTTGTTAATCTGATGGTTCGCCAAACTAAGGGAGAAGAGGAGGCGAATCACTAGTTCCAAGGAAGATTGGGTTCAAGTCTAGTCTACATTGGCAAATGAAAGAACATGAAGGCTCGCTCAGCTTTGACATATATTAGTTCGTAATATTCTTGTCGGCTAACGTGGTCAATTGGCCTTGAGGACCGCCAGTAAGCCCGACTGAAAAGTCTCAAACATGCCCCGAAGGAATTCTATGGATGGGGTAATAAAATAAACCTTTTGAAAGGGAAGAAGATTCAGGTTAAGTTTGAGAAGGAAAGATACATAGACTATTCCGACAATTTCGGATATAACATCATTACAGTATGCTTCTTTCGCATCTACATGTTTGGTAACTAGTCGGATGACTTGGGTTGAGGGCCAAGCATCAAGAACTTTTCACGTGCAGCTTATCAACTTTCATTTGAACCGATGAGGAAATCTTCTGGATTTGTTGCACGATGAGTTCTACAGCCCAATGGTCAAGATTCTGGTAGACTACGTATCACAAAAGCAATCAGTATTCTATCCGAGTGGCTGCGGGAGAGTTAAAAATGCCAAGGCCTTGTTCTCGCGCCCCCTAAGTGGCACCTTAAGTAGTTAACTAAGCTAGCTAACGTAATTCCCGCATGAACGGGTTCACCCCAAAACACCATACCAAATGGAATATTTCATAACTTCAAATTTCAAAACTTAAGGCTGATGATATATAATGACTTAGAAATATCGCGTTTAGTATGGTGATTTGAGGTGACCCGTTCATGCGGACTTGAGAGTGACTAATCTTGGCGGATGTGAAGCTTTTCGTTCTCCGGGATCCACCTGTAATGCTGCTCCGTTAATTGCCTTCTCATACGTGCCTGCGTCTCACCCTTTTCCTTTCCTTCCCTTTCCAGATAGCTGAGTCCAATTACATCCGGACTGTATGACGTTCGTCAGCTGAAAATTGGGCCCAGTCTTAATGCCTGCTCTTGGAAGTGGAAACGCCGAACTCGAACATACCCTGCGGGCAACTGCGACCTTTTCATTGCCCTTACATCCTGAAGGAGACGGGCGCTTCATAAACTCAACTCAGCACGATCCTTACCATCTATATTCATTCGGTATCACGCAAACAAAATTGACGTATAACTGGTCCGAAATTGTCGGCACCGGGCGGACATTGTCTCTGAATCTGGAGTCTATATTCAAAATTAACAGAAAGTCTCTACACCCCAAATGCGGACTACTCTCGCTTGCCAATGGTGTCGCAGATCGAAAATCAAATGTCGTCATGACGGCACGCCCCCTTGTCGGGCCTGCGCCTCAAACCCCGTTCGCCAGTGCATATTGAGCGTCCCAAAATCTAAGAGAAAACCTCATGAACGATCACAAATTACCCAAGACGCTCGTGCGAGAGTTCGTACACAGGATGGTCCAAGACCTGATGTACATCCTAGAACATCCCTCGGGGATCAGTCCAGCCACAATGATGGAAGTTTTGATGGCATCAACACCAATCTGCCATGTGTTTCTACCATAATGATGGAAGCTTCAGACTCCGCACACTCCTCTGCACCTCACGATGATCCTCTTCCGGAACTCGACCGAAGGCTTATTTTGGAGGCAACTAAAATTTTTCAAGGACGATTTACCATGTTCAGCTTCCTACATGGACCTACACTGCTCAAACATATTTATGGAAACAATCCGCTGGATTTGAGATTTTGTGGAATCATGGCTTTGTGTGCGCGGTTTATCCCCGAATTGATACACAAACACGGTGGTCCTCTTGCTGCATCTGAACACTTTGCCGCCTACCTACGACACAGGATTACCGCTCATACTATAGTCAGTTTGGACTTAAAAATTGCTCAGACTTTACTTTTGCTGAGCTTTCATGATTGGGGTTCTGGGAAAGGCGGCCAATCATGGACGTATAACGGTACGTGCTGCTGCCTCTGCTTCATTACATATTTACTCTTAATTCACTCAAGTTTCCCACGATGTTGCCATATCAAACTGACAGTCGAAAGCAGGCATGGCAACCAGAACCTGCTGTGTAATTCTTTCACGACTGTCTCAATCCAAACAGCACGCACCCGCCGTGCTTCAGATGCAAGTTGAAGAGGCCCGAAGAACACTATGGTCATGTCTTATGATAGAGGCAATGCTAGGATGCGGAGACCTTCGCTCATTGAGTCTGCATTCAAAGCTATACCACGTGCCTCTTCCATCCTCTGATGAAGATTTCAATTTCAGCGTGTACCCAGAAGGCGATTTGAATTATTTGGAGGTCCTTGATCTCGAGTTCTCAGACCCTCCGAAAATCCAAAGACTGGGGAACAAAGGATATGAAATCAATTTTTCACTGATTATTCAGGGATTCAACGTCTGGTCCGAAGTCTCTCGATGGGTCTTCTCTGGGCAAACAACGCAGAGATTGTCTACCTCAAGGGGGTTTTCCTGTCGGGAAGACTCATTCTGCAGTCGTAGTCTCGCGGTGCTTGAAGACTGGCGAGAAGCTCAATCTTCACGCTTACATTTCTCAGCTACGGACTCTCATTTGCCGGCATTTCTATCTTGCGGACAGGGTGAGCGGTATGCTTTCGTGAATTTGATTTATTATTCAACATCTATCTCTCTGCACCGCGAGTGTCTGCCCCTACTTATCAATGGGGGTCCTTTCCAGACGAGATCCGATGATGCTAATACCGTAGAACCAATTCTAGCCAATTGGTGGGAGAAGAGTGCGGAACAATTGGCTGAAAGCGCTAGCAACACCATCCATTTGATCAAACAACTTCTTCATTACGGAATAGATTTACAGGTTCCATTTGCATGCTACTGCGTTTTCAATGCTACAACAGTACTTTATTACGGCAAGAAATGGCCCGAGATCATGCCAGGGGTTTCAAATGCAAGTGAGCTTTTTGACTGGGGCGTCGAGTGGATATCGCGAGCGAGTGAAATTTGGGAGGTTGCACGAGTCTGGCGAACGACCTTGATGAAGATTGATATATCCAGCGCAGTGGCTCACGGTCCCCAAAGTGCTTGGCAAGAGTCGCGATCTGGCTCAGCTGCCCCCTCTGTTGAACGAAACTTTCCAAGTCCACAGAGACCTGATGATATTCGATTGACCTTTGAACAAAACTATGCGGATTCTGATGATCTGAATTCACTATGGCACTCTTTGGTGGCCTGTCCCATCCAAACATTCCCGCCAGTGGATGGCGATTTCCTGAACTTTCGATTCGATTAATTCTGATGTTGAAACAAGGTGATTCTCGCAGCTCACGCTCTAGCTGCAGGAATCGCTTTTTGGTCTAGAATAAAAGGCAAATGAGATTACAAATCGCCTCATTCGATTTTTTCTGTTACGAAAAGTTAGCCTCCGCTTCTAAAATGAACAAGACAAAATGAGAAAGCATTTTTATGGTTGTTGCCTCGTCTTTCCACCCGAAATTTGCTGAAACCCGGCTAATGCGGGAAAAACTTTTATCAGTCGCTTTCGCATTTCGCATTTCGCATTTCGCATTTCGCATTTCGCGTCTAGGCTTCCGCATCTGGCAATCTCTTACTCCACCACATCAACCCACTTTTCATTCAAAGTCATAATGAGAACGTTCCTGATGGCTAAAAGATCGATCACAGCCTGTATTTGGAAGAAGAGCATTGTTTAGATTCATTGAGAATGTACAGTACTATCCGTTGCATCTCTCTCTTTTTGCATATCGAGCTAATATTTACTCAAAGTTCAAGGAGCATTTCCTTAAAGCTGGTACAGCCTAACACGTCATTATACTTCTTATGCCGTGTTGGGTTGGCTTGCATTGGCAGAAACCCCATGGATGAAATTCATTTTCCTATACTGCGTCGCTTACGTGGCAAGAGGTAAAAATTCAGCCGCCAGGAATAACGCATCTGTTGATGACTGGTTGGCCTGACTACCACCATACTACAAGTCTGACGAGCCATCGACCAATTTCCCATTTTTCGCCAGCGTACTAGCCTCGCATTTCGGTTCTACTCTATTAAGCTTATCATCCTCGAATCGTGCTTGCGCCGCGTGATCGGGGTATCGAAAGAGGGTCCATGTAGTGCCCACTGCCAGACCATGGCCGCTATATGTATACAGGTAGCACGGAATGTCCTCGACCTTCTACCAGATAAATTAGACACTCCCTGGCTATATGAGTATTGCCCGTGGTGGTCAATTCTCCACTACGTTATGCAATTTTCCACGCTCCGTATGGTCAGCTTCGCTGGTCAAGTTGAACTTGACGCCCTGCGAGCTGAGGACACTTCGCGGTGTCTTAAGAAGGCTTGTCGATGGTTACAGGATATGTCCAGGACGGATGGATGTTTAGACGTGCCTAGTTATAGAAAGATAATAACATTCTGTAAAGACATCAAACTCTAATTTCAAACTAGTGGTCTCACGAAGTGCAAGACTTTGATTTCAAGAACTAGGGGAGCTATTCTCACCCAAGGGTCAGACGAAGAAATAGGTAAGACATCATTAATTGACATAAATAAAACCTAATCAATTAAAGAGCGCTAATGATCAAAATCAGGTGACCTATAAGTACGACTTTGTCCATCGGGTAAGATTTTGAATGGCAGTATACCCCGGTGGGCGCAAATGTTCTAAGAACATGCCGTATTTTATCGTCAAATTGCATTCGACTCTTGGTCACTATACGCCCTTTGCGAAAGTAGTATATATTCTCGCTAAAAGCATTATCCAGCACATACGACCATAGGGTGTGGAAAACAGGGCTTCCCGTCCGCTCAGCCGTACTTAAGCCCATTATAGTACGCGGTCAATTCTTAATGCGCCCTGAGCTCTAAGATGGCGTAAGATTTGATCTCAGGGTGAGTGTGGGTGATATGGGTGAGAAGTTTGGAGACTAAGGTGACAGAGGTGAGAACAGCGTGAGAGTGGACGAGAACGGGTGAAGATTCTCACCCAGTGATTACTTACTCTCCCGCATTCAATCAAGTCTGAGCCAAATACGTGGGTATCCATGCAGAATTCAAATATGAATTCAGACATAATATTATGCAGCCTAAGCGCTGTGGAACTCGGCCACTAGTTGGCATATTGTAAGATTTTGGAACTAGTCAGCCGGTGTCCAAGACCTTGGAGGCGGGTTTCTGTCATGTTCACGTCGACCTCGATCCATTTGATCCCAGAGCCTTTTCCCCTCATCGTCACGGCCTTGTACTCGGTAGAGCCATGCTAGCCCTTGAGCGGCCAGTCGCTTGAGGAGTTGGTCGTTACCATTGTGCTCCTTGATAATGTGTTGATAGATATATTCTGCCTCGTCGTATCGTCTAAGATGCTTATATGTTCGCGCGAGGTTGATTGAATGAAAAAACGCATCGTGATAGTCATCTCCAAACTTGACCTTCATGGCCTCCAAGGCCTGAACATAGAGTTTCTCGGCCTCGTAGAATTGGCCTTGGTTGAGATAGTCACTCGCTATGTTACACATAATGGTTTCCGTCCCTTCCCCTGGATAACCATTCACGAGCTGGAGCTTCGGAGCGACGAATACTCGCACATAAAATCTCCGAATATGTAAAGGCGGGTAGTTATGCCTCCAGTATTGCCAATCCTGCCAACACGCACGCGCTAGCTCGGCAAAATTGAAATTCGTTGGCGAAATGTGGGCTCGGAATTCAAGACTGCGAGCTTCCATCACTTCCTCATATAAGTTCTGAGCCATGTCCACACGACCCTGCTTCCAATACAGATGTGCAACAATGGACATGGTGCGCAAAGTGGTTGGGTGTTTGTTTCCGTTTTTGATCCTCTGGAAGTTGAGTATCCGTGCATATAGTTCCATGACCTGGTCTTTTTTGCCTTGGTTTAAGTACACCGATGCCAGATCACTCATAATTGACAATGTATCGTCATGGTCCTCTCCGAGTTTGATTTTGAGAGCATCAGAAAGTTGTTCCCAGAATCTTTGACTCTCATTCCACTCACGTCTGTGGTAATGAATCTTGCCGGCTGTGCGCCACCAAAGGTTATTCTGCGCATCTGAGTCTAGGATCTTATCACAGTAGCCCTCTTTGATGCTCTGGATGTGGGTAAGTAAGAAGTCAGGGAAATAGAACCAATACATCTCAACAATGAACTGTTGACAAGCTGCCAACACAAAAATCGCATGCCAACACTTCCATGGGTGATGCTGATTGTTTTTCATCGCTCGCCAGCGAACTAGGTCATGCATAGTGACACCAGCCCAATCGCCACCCACCCTTTGCACAAGGCTGTAGCGAGCCAGCAAATCCAAGGCTCGTCTGTACTGGAAACTATCCCAACTGGCTCCTTCTACAGCTGTAAAATCCCGCAACTCGGAAAATCCGGCTTCGCCCAGCTCACGGTCTATATACGACATTCCATGGCTTGCCAGGCGAAAAAGTTCATTTGGAATAATATTCCCTTCAATATTCGCGAGAAATATGAAGAGCATACCCGCTTTCAAGTCCGCATAGTCTCTATCAATTCTCTCGAGTGTCGTTGTCCAAACCGTCCATACTGTCTTGCCAGATGCTGGAAGACTACGGAGACCGTCGGTCTGTAACACCTGATCGCGGTGCTTCTTGAAGTCTTCCAGATACTGAATGAGGGCTTGTTCAGGGAAAGGATCATTGCCAATATAAGCACCTGCGAGGTCGATCGCAAGGGCTAAGTATCCAAGCACTTCGCTCAGCCGGTCGCAGATAGTTTGAATATCGCTCGGAGTCTTGTCGAAATCCCAGGGTAAATGTTGAAGAAACAGCCTTCTTCCCTCGGTTGGTGTCATTGCGGCGACAGAAATACATTCACAACCTCCTTTGACGAGCATGTGACTCCGTTCATCTTGACTTGTGATGATGAGTGTTCCTTGAGGCCCTTTTGGAATGACCCGCTGGATATCCGAGGACAAATCATCAACATTGTCAATAACAACCAACCATTTACCACTAGGTTCTGTTTGGTCGCGAAACCATTGAAGCACTCTCTGGGTTGCCTCATCATCACTGATGGCGCTTTGGCTTGGAGGTATAATCCCTGTCTGTAAAGCGAATTCAAAAAAAGATGCTCGAATCGAGGCCTCATTTGATGCATCAATCCAAAGAATTGAGCTGTAATGATCCACGTTATTTTCAGTGTATTTGAGGGCCAGCTGAGACTTCCCAGCGCCCCCTAGTCCGTGTAGAGCAACCGCGAATGGAACATCCGCTTCTTTGTGTTGTATCTTCAGCTTCTCTTCCAGTTCACTCCACAACTCATCTCTCTGTGTATAGCTTGACACTGTCCTCGCGGGAATGCGGTGCTGTCTTTTGGCTTGTCGAGTGAAAGCCATGATGACTTCGCATAGCTTCGATAGGACAATCTGATAGGTTGCATCATCTCTCGAACCGAACTTGTTAAGCCCAAAGTGATTAACGCCAAGGCCGATGTTTCTGATTCCAGGCCCATGATAAGTTGCCGAACCCTCACGGACACACTGTACTCGCTATTAGCGTGTTTCATAGTTTCATGTCGATAAACCCACGATTGCTTTCCATTCGAAGAAAAGAGTTGTCATTATTGACACTGGCCTTTCTTCGTAGAAGTTGAAAACCTTCAAGTCATTCCTCGCACTTGCAACAAATGACTTGTGAAGATCGAGTAGTTCTACCGAGTCATATTCTAGGTTAGCAAGGAGTGCGGGATTTGATCCCATTGGGTACAAGACTTTTGCTTTGACCCAACCCCAAAAGCCAAAGTCAGACCCCCGATGAGGAGTTCCAAGAAATAATATTGCTTTCACTTTTTCGGCGATGTTTTGGAATTCTCGGGACGCGTGAGCTTGAATAAGCGCCTGTATAGGTCAGAAGGTCAGAAGGGACTTGGATCCGACAATTCTTAATAAGTCTTCACCTGTTTTATCACAAGGCCCCCGTAGCTATGACCCACAAAGATAAGATATCTATTCGATTTCTTCATTTTCACCATGAGCAGGATTCTGTACGCTGAAGAGACGTTCAACTCACTTTCTGTGATGCCCGAGTTTCCCCATTGATATGTTCAAGGAGGTTGTTCCCGAGAGTTACAAGCCGTGTAGCAGCAGAATCCCGCATCCAGTATGAGTCATAGTTGTAAAAATACAAGCGAATGTTGTCCTTAACCTCAGTAGGTAAATCCTGTGGAAGAAGGTCGCTGACCCAGTTCACGTATTCTTTGTTTTCTTGGGTTTTCCACGCATTAGGGGTGATTGGACCTTTTAGTGCTAGCCATGTCCTTTCAGGATGCGACCCAAGCCCGTGAACAAAAATGATGCTGGAGATTGTTTAGAAAACGCCATTACATAGCTGTCAACATCTAGATGAAACTTGGACTCACTCGGCTCCGCCGGCGCGAGCAGGTTCATTGTGTCTCGTCGCTGGAACAAGTCCAAACCTGGCTTGAGGTCCTTGAGTAGCGCCAATTCCGCTCTTGGCGAGTTGACTATAGATATACCCCAAGATGATCGGAAGGAGGAAGATGAAAGTAGTTTTCATCGGGTTCATTTCGTAGACTTGGCTCTATGCCTTGTTTGTTTATGCCAAAGAAAGGAACTGGGAAATTGTTCAACCTGACCCCTGGATTTTGCCTAACAGGCAGTGCATTTGGACTGGTTCTAGTGTCTTTTAGAGGAAATGAAGTGGTGGGGGCCAAACGAATTGCGCATTCAGGGGTACGGCAAGACTACGAAGGACTATAGCTGCCAAGTCCGCCAGCCACATCAACATTTTACATGCAGTCCTTTCACCACGGCTCTCGTCGCTCTCCTGTAGGCCAATCACATCATGGGGCTATTGTTGGAATACAAAATGTAGCGATTAATAGCGTTTGCCCGATCGCTTTTTTGCATGCAACAGAGTGGTGGCTTTAGCTATTATTCGAACGCGGTTTGGTATGCAATAAAGTAGTTTGTTTTACGCTATTACTCGATCACTTTTTGTATGTAACAGAGTGGTAGCTTTGGTTATTACTAATTATTTTTGGTAACGTGGATCCCGGCGGGTTCGTCATCCCTGCCGGTCCGTCACCCCACCAAAACTTCATATTTTCTACACTTTTTAAACTCCAATTAGACAACCAAAACACCATAAAATTGACTAATTAAACCTTTTCGGGCATGTAGTATACCTATGCCCTTTCCCCATGCATAATGAACATGTAGTTTGCTGGCGTACAGGGGCCAAAACAGGAAGTGTAGGTTCAACCTGGGGTTCTGGAGCAGGTGTAGGGTTAGATATATATCTCACACTAACACCTTCCTCACCACCTATATTGGTAGTAGGGACCGGAAGCTCTGTTAAACTACCCATATTAGGTATCTGCTTCTTTGATCTCTCCCTCTTTTTCGTTTGCTTTCTATTTCCCTCCCGTAAACGCTTGATCTCATCTCGCATTAAGATGTGCTCGTGAACCAGCTTAACCGACATATTATAGAACTGTTGAAGATCACGTTTTGTAGGCGAAGAGATCTTATTAGCAGCTGAACTTAGACTAGAATTGAGCCTAGATTTGCGTTTTTCTAGCTGCTTAGTTGTCCGAGGGATACCGGTAGAGATATTACTGCCTGATGTTGAACCTTGTGAAACTGGTCGATCTGGTAGAGGCGGAGATTAAAGACGAATGTTTAGCTTTGATAACACCCGATCAGGGTCTAATGGCACTAAACCAGTAGCTGCGAAGGCATTCTGAATGATTAACTCCTTAAATGAGTCGTTACGAGCCGCTAGAAAGATATTAAGGAAGTCGTCTTTTTCGATAGAATCGATACCCAACCGGGTATATTCCGCAACCCGAGTTCTATAAGAGCGCTTTAACACAGCAAAACAACTAACATCAAGAGGCTGTAAAAGATAAGAGGCATGCGGAGGTATACAGATTGGTATGATGCTGTTTTCCTGGCAAATCTTATCGAATGTTGCTGTAAGATGACTATCGTGGCCATCGAGGACCAAAAGACGATATTTCCCTTTTGTCTGACTTATTGTATGCGGAATAAAGTGTTTGCGGAGCCAATCAACGCCAATTTCGTTACTTGTCTAACCATTTAGACTAACATTAAGAGCCTAATGCTTTAGAAGGTCGTTAAACTATTGTTCTATAAAGTTTTTGCCTTTAAAGATAACGTGTAGTGGGAGCGCTCGCCCGGAGGCATAGATTGATTTAATGACAGTCACCTATTCACGATTACTAGCTTGTAAAACGCCCCTCCGACCGGTGTAAAATGACTGGGTAATAACCTTCGTCGTCGCACTAACTCCTATCGCAAACCCTGACTCGTCAAAGTTATAGATATCATCCGAAGTGATACCATATTGAGTAATCGTTTTTTCGACAAGATTGAACCACTTAACAATAGTATTTAGGTCTTCTATTAGGGCACGTTTGTAGTTATATTTGCGAGAGAATCGAGTAGTAAGCTCAGGATGTCCTTTGATATATTGTGTTAGCCAATTTTTGCTAACGGTCTAGGGGGCATTATCTCCGCGGTGTTTAAGCAGTAAATTAGCCATATCTCTTAACATCGCGATTGTAAGCGCGGCGCCTCTCTGATCTATAGAGATTAACTAATCCTGAATTGATTCCTCTTCTAGTTGCGTGAATTTATGGCCTGTACCCCTTGCTTTATACAAATTAGAAATGCCTTTCATCCGATCTGCAAGAGTTGTGCGGGGGACATCGAAAGAGCGAGCAGCAGCAGCGATCGTGGTGATTCTGCCATTCTGAATAGCTTTGATAGCTAATAAGATCCTGCCTTCCTGCTCGATTGATTTTTGAGCTTTTTGACTCCGTTTTGGGGGCATGGTAGGCGTTTAAAGATAGGTGGCTAGGTATGGGCGGAAGATTTGAAGTGGGATGACGGACCGGCAGGGATGACGAACCCGCCGGGATCCACGTTATACAACAAAGTAGTGTGTTTTGAGCCATTGCTTAATCGCTTTTTGGATACGTTCTTTTCTCTTTTTCTTTCCTTATTCAACTAATAGTCTATTCATTATCTAATAACAATAGGATAATGCAATACATTTAGCTACTAGAAATAAAAAATATTGGAGGTATATTAAGAGTATGAATTCAGATTGAGTGAGAGTTGGTTTTTCTGCCAGCAAAATTTCAGATTACTAAGTGAAATTGCGACGTGGCGGACTGAGCAGCTATACTGTAGTCCATCGTAAGCAAGACGTTTCCGCGGGCGACTATTAGGTTCTTTATCAATCTCTCCAAGAAAACCAGGGTCAAGCAGGACGATACAAAAGCAAGACATTTAATAATTCCTCGCCTTGAACTCAACCCGCAGTCAAGAGCCATCGGATCAATAACAACTGTCAACAGCTTGAAATTCAATACTATTATTCCTCTGGACCCCTGCGAATTCTATGGCCTAGGATTGGGTAGGTGAACTATTCCATCGATGAGACCCAGTCTTTGGCGTACATTCTATACAATTCAATAAACTAAGCTTTTTTCTTGTTTTTGAGTAAACTGTATCTCAGTTGCCGAAGAAGCTCGAACATAGGTATGAGGAATAAGACGGTTATGGATATAAATGGTAGGACGACCATCACGGCAATCGCAAGTTTCCAGGCTACCCGTTTTGCCAGTTCAAAACTGGAAGAAGTAAGAGAAGAATAGTCCGATGCCGTCAATAATTGTAGAGAAGCCAGAACAACCGTAGTACTCCCAAACAGGAACGATAGTGGCCCCTGCATGCCATGAATAAAGCTCCCTATAGATATATATGGAAGCACATAGAACATCGAAAAATCGGCAGCTTCTGGTTGGGTGAGACGAACAAGCCAGTGTAGTCGAGAAAGTCTTATTTGGCCAAAGTGATAACGTTTCGAGACCTTCCAGTCTTCCAGGTCGCAAAAAAATCTGATAAACATTGCCCAACTATCCCAAGAAACATCTTTGGGAATGAGATAGAGATTTTTCGCCAGTTCGAAGTCAAGGCGATGTTGTATCAAAAAGGCATATGAGCGCAGAAAGCCTGTAGCCTGGGGTCGAAGATTCGGTGGGTCACACTCGGCTAGAGCTACTAGCCAAAAGTGGTAGTTCAAGAGGCATTCTGGAATTGGCTTAAGATAGATCATATCAGACTTCCAGATAAGATGGAGCTTAGGATCTTCAACAGGTACAATTTCCCGACCCATAATTCTATGGCAGTGAATTGCATCAATATGTCGTCCAGACGCACGAGCAAAGACCCATAAATTTTTTGAAAGCTGATCAAGTAAAGGGGTCGCCAATTCTCTTTCAAGGAACTCTCCAACAATCCTAGGGTCAGGGGCCAAAGCCGGTTCTCCGGGAACATGGGAAATCATTGTCGGGATATTTGCACCATGCCCGACAGGTACTGGAGTTCCACAGTTACGCGAAGAAGCGTGAGCATTGAGTGAATCCTTATTTATTGCATAATCCTCAGGGAAAGGGGGCAGGAGCGATTTCGAATGAGACAGTTGCTGTTGTGCCATCGTGTTGTTGGAATCCTGATAGTGTGTGGGGCTAATGGCTGTTTATTTGTGTATAGAATATTATCTATTTTCCCGTTGAAAAAAAGGCATAAAAAGGTAATTGTATAGAGGGCGAGAAGATGCCGCCGAAACAATTTCAAGTAGCGAGCAGTGAAAGTAATATACAGGATAAGAACAGGGAGAAGGAAGTGGCTATGTGCAGATACCAAGAGACCAAGACCTCCAGGGCCGTTTCAGATAAAATGCTGTGGTCCAATAAAATTCAGATTAAGTTCAGCGGAGCGTCATTTCTGGGCCAGTGCGGCGGTCGCGCGACTTGACTCTCACCCTGTTTATAACGCACTCACCCTTATCACCCCCGGTCGCGCGACCGTAAAGCGGCGCTCACCCATTTCTCACCCGGGCGACACCCACCGAGCTACTGGCCGCGTTTAAGCCACACGCCGGTGAGTTAGTAGTTGGGTGGGTGACCACCAGCGAATCCTCACTGTTGTATGTTTTTGTTTTGCTTTAATTTATGTCTTTTTTGGTTGCGCGGTGTGAGAGAGATGGATGACATGGGTGAAGGGTGAAAAGCGAGCAGGGGGTAATTGGTGTGCACATTCTTAAGTGGCCTGAAGCGTTCTCTTCTTCACTAGGTATGTTTAAGATCGACCCTAGAGTCCGTTCAACCTCCGTAAGCAGGTGTGAAATCACTCGAACTGCCATCAACATCTGCAGCTGTCCCGACTATGAAACCGCCACCAAGCCCGGACTCATCAGTCAATCGGACACATAGACTCCCCAGCTCTTCGTACATTGAGTCCGGACTGGCATTTTCCTGGAGACATTCAAAGTCGACAGTTTTTACCCCCTTTTCCGCAACAACAAAGTTGTATCGGTTCACATCCCCATGTGAATACCCCAATTCATGAAGTTTCCCCAAAGCTACTTCACAGATATCCAGATCCTGAATGGAAGCAGGGCGTCCTTCTATTTTGCCCAATAGAAACCCCATGATTCGTCCACTTTCGTGAATATGGCCGAGGAAGCGCGGCGTCAGCCCTGAACACTCAAGAAGCTGATATGCTCTTGTTTCCCGCTCAATGCGAGAAATCTCTCATTCGAAACGAGCTATTTTAGCGATAGCAGTTGCTGGCGTTTGGAAACTGATTGGAAGAGACGGGTGCGAGACTACTTCGAAAGCCGATGCCGTGAGGAGTCTGATTCTCTCTAACTCCAGGCAGTCAACTAGGGTATGGTGCCATTGACACTTGACGCTCGCTAGTGGTCGGTTCCATATAGAAGTTCTCATGTCGCCGCTAGTTTCGTCTCGCGAAATGTTGGCTACTGTCCATTCGTCGTGCCAAGGAAGTCTTGGTAGGGACGGAACAGGGAATGAAAGCGTATCTCTGTCGAAGGTTTTGGGAACTATGGTGATATAGTTGACTTGATTTCCGATTTGCAGTCGGTATTCACTTTCAAAACAATCTTCATCGTCCACTTCCATGGACAGGACAACCGGATGTATTGGCTGCTCTCGAGGTTGATAGACACATATTCGTCGGTTGGCTCCTCACTATGATCGAAAGCTGGGTGGGGAAGGACGGGAGAACGAGGATGGGTGGAAGATGGGGACGACAAATGACCCAGGCCTGTGGACCCTTAACCTCAGCAACTATCAAGTTGATAAGCGGAACACAGGCAGAGGTACTGATCGCGGTAAGAGCGGCGAAGCGCATGCGCACCGACATACAATTCTGGAAATCCGACCTCTCACCTGCGGAAAGGGGGGGGCAGAGTTCGCTGGAGTAGCTAGATCTATCCAATTTTCGGGCTCTCCTTTGTCGAATCCAGGTAGTCTGGCTGCAATATATCATCAAAGACATCCCAAATGATTGTCATTATCTTCTTCAATCGTATCCTTTTGTCCATATCTCCAAGTCCGCATATATAGCTCGAGTGGCCGCTTTTTCCCCTCGCCACTCGATCTCCACAGGAGTTGTGCCTGTTCACACCATCGAAAATGGTTCAAAAAGCCGTCTCGCGCATATAACTTGTTTTGATTCTCAAGCCCCCATTCTGAGTGCCTCTTGTTGCTAATATCTTCTTCAATGGCAAGTTGACACCCAGCGCATACTATTCCGCGCTGCACTCTCCCAGTCTGTCTGTCGTAATAAGGAAGTGCACACGACCCCATGAAGTTCATTTCTATTTCTTTTTGGCCTAAGCTCGCCAGTTGAACTTCCGTGAGTGCAGCCCTTAGTTGGGATTGCGCAACTGTATGCATTTGCAGTCTGCATGATAAAATAGCCTGATGAAGGGAAACGATCGTGAGGCGGGAATTTTGCATAGATTGACTAGTCCGATTTCTTGTTCCAGTTCCACTATCAGGCAAGGACTTAAATGACCTTAGTTGGTCTAATTCGATTTCAGGTATATAAATCGAGTTTTGAATCGAGGCGAGAGTCCGCACCTGGGTTTCTGGAGACTCCCGGAGGCATTTAAAACAGCATCGCTTCCAAACTAGGAGAGATATGAACGCGCCGAATCCGCCACAAAGAGCGCACTCTTTAATACATAACGCATCGTAAAAATCATGTAGAGAAATGTCGAGAGCTAGTCGAGTTCGTAATAAGACGCAGAAGAGGTTTAGTCCATGCGAGACTACACTCTGGTATTGGCTGAGAGAATCTACGATCTCTCTTGATCTTCGATTTATTTGTCGGAATTTGAAGAGAGAATGCAGGTCCACGCGGTACAATGTGTCGAATAACAACTCAAAGGGTAGCTGGTCGAGAGAGCCAAGTCCAAATTTTGAAATACGCCAGAAGGGTGTTGCAATTGACGGGCTAATATCGATGTGTTCACGAGGCGAAAACCAGATCACAGACTTACAGTAGCCATCGGGGTGATAGGTGGTGTTTCGAATAATGGCGTTGGCTTGTGCTTCGTCGAAATTGTATTCAGTGGCGGAGCGATACGCGCGGGGCATGAGGGTAGCCATCCTTGATTTGTTATGTAATGGTGAATATAACAATAAGTGGGTTAAAAAGAATTAACTTATTGATACTATTCATTGTACTTAAGCCGGCCAAGAGATCGAAGGAGAAAGGGAGAGGGAGAGGGAAAGGAGAGGGGAAAGAGAGAGAGAGGGAGATTCAGAACTGTCTACGTGAGAGATGCTATTTCCAAATTGAGAAGTCACATGGCGCCCCAACAACTTTTTACGAACGACCTAAGTGGCTACTTACCTACACACATATAATCACTGTACTGGGACTCAATCTGATTAGATAGGCCTCCAAGGCACAGACCATTATATGGATTATAAGCGGACTTCCACCCGCCCAGTTATCAGAAACCCTTCCCACTCTTATAGTTACATCCAAACAAACCCCAGACTAAGAGAAATGCAACATCCGCTCTCCACTTTAGACCCTCTAAAGTCTCTGATTGCCAACCCCCCATGTCCATCCCCGCAGATACCCCCAAGCCCCCCACGTCTTATCGATAAACCCCACTACCGTCGCCAGATATAAACCCGAGATGGCCCCTGTTGATTTTGATCCAATGACCAACTAACAGCTATGGATCACTCACTGGAAAACCACGCTTCGTATATTGGCCGCCCGGCTAGCGAGCTGCCCACGCCGGCTCTGGTGCTGAGCAAGCCTGTTCTGGAACGCAATACTCGGGCTCTTCTTGAGGATGTGCAGAAGTTGGGAATTGAGTTTCGGCCTCATGTCAAGACATTGAAGGTATGTATGATGTTAGACCTTGGTTTTCAGTGATTCTCTAATGCAATTGATATAGTGTACTGAAGTTACCCGTATGATGCTGGGTGACGGCGTCCACCGACGAATCGTCGCGTCGACTCTAGCCGAGATCCGGGGAAGTTTGGATCTTGTGAAAGAGGGAAAGCTAGACGAGGTAATTATCAGTTGGACTGCTTTCTCCCATTGAGAAACAATATGAACGACACACTAACAATCAACAGTGTCTCTACGGTCTCCCCGTCTCCGCCAGCGCCTTGCCATTCTTAGAGACATTAACCAAATCACTGAGAATCATTCTTATGGTCGACAGCGAGCAGCAGATCGATCTGCTAGAATCCTACGCCTCAAAATCAACCACCGCCGTAGCCCCCTGGCCCGTCTTCATCAAAATCGACGTCGGCTCCAAGCGAGCAGGATTGCTCACCGAGTCCCCCTCTCTCCCCAAGTTAATCCATCGCATTGAAGCATCCTCCGCAGCCAGCGTCTACGGCTTCTACTGCCACGCCGGCCATTCCTACGCATGCCGCACAGAAGACGCCGCGGCGGCAGTCCTCCAAACCGAAGTCGAGGGCGTGGTGGCCGCAGCCAAATTCCTAATCACCGACTCCGACAGAAAGATCGTAGTCTCTGTGGGCTCAACTCCCACTGCACACGTGGTGAAGAGACTTCAAGGCACCTTGCCAGTGGGTATGGAGCTCGAGCTGCACGCGGGAAACTACCCGTCAAACGACTTGCAGCAAGTCGCGACATCGCTGGTTGAGCCGTCACAGCAGGCCGTGCGTATCTTGGCCGATGTATGCAGCGTGTACCCGGAGCGCAACGAGGCGCTGATCAATGCGGGCACTGTTGCGTTGTCTAAGGAGACGAGCGAGTTCCCTGGGTTTGCAATTGTTGTTGATCGACCGCAGTGGAGTGTTGTACGGATGGCGCAGGAGCATGGGATTCTGGGGTGGGTGGAGTCTGAGCAAACGACGAGGCTTGTTGGGATTGCTGGGTCGAAGGCTGCTGAGGGGGAGACGATTGAGGGGGCTTTTAGGGTTGGCGATAAGGTGATGCTTTACATTCAGCATGCTTGTATTACGGCTGCTATGCATTTTGCTTATTATGTTGTTGATGAGCAGGATGTTGTGCGAGAGACTTGGGTTCCTTGGAAGGGGTGGTGATTTTGAGGACTTTCAAATAAACTGATATAGATTTCATAGAGTGGTCGGTGGTGTTTTATGTTCATCACACTGCTCGACTTATGCGCAAGCTCTGTATATATTTGATCAACGTTACATGAATGACGCTTTGTTGTTTTGACTCTATGACAATGAATAAAGATTTGCAACAAAACGTTTCACCAATTGCTCACAGTGATTATCTCGTTTGCCTAAATCCGTGTTATCTCGGAGATACTTCGCAATGCCTTCTTCCAGTTTAGTCTCTTCGTTAGCCTCTTCATTAGCCTCTCCGGCCCCCTGCAAATAAGCATCCATGAATACCACTCAATATCGACCATCTGGCCTTTCTATAACCTGTAAAAAAACTGTTCCCGAATAAAATAACACACCTCCCTACCTAATCCTTCCAACTCCCAACTCCCAAATCCCAAATCCCAAATGCCCTTCCAAATCCAACCCTGTTCCCCACTCGATGCCCCAGGCCTGGCAAGAACAATGATAAGCGCCCGCCTAACAGACCCTCACTGGGCAAAGCTATGGGAAGACCCAAGCCCCGAGCCCATAATATCCCGAACAGCTAAAAGAATCCCCTGGACGCTAGTCCAAAGCGGAGAATCCAAGCGCCTCGAAAAAGTCATCGACGAAACAGGCCAGATAGTCGGCTACGCGCGGTGGATATTGCCGACCCATTTGGCGAAAAGCGATATCTGGCCACACGCCCAGGTCGTCGATGTTTTGCCCGACAAGCACGCTGAGTATGAGGCCATGTATAAAGAAAACAGCCTGGGCGCTCAGCCTATTGGGCTGAGGACTGATGGGATCATGGCGTTTCGGGGCGCAGCGCTGGATAAGGTTGATGCGCGAATTATGAAAGACGGGCCTTTTTTGGGTATGTTTGCACATGGCACAGCACGTAGTCTTGGGCGAGTTACTGAATTGCTTCAGTTTTGGATTATCTGGTCACAGATCCCGGCTTTTGGCGACGGGGGGTTGGTGGTATGCTGGTGCGCAGTGGGCTTGAGATTGCTGATCGGCATCAGGTCAAGACTTATGTTATGTCTTCGTCGGCGGGGTTGAAGGTCTATCTTAATTCTGGGTTTGAATTGGTTGAGAGTGTTACGACTGATTATTCACAGTATGGAGGTACCGAGCCTGTGGAGGACTACTTCTTGGTTCGGAAGCCCACCCCGGTTTGAATATATATTCACGGTCTCTGCTGCTCAGTTTAAATACTTCATGATAACATACGTTAAATGTTTAGATTTTATCGATCTGTATTAGACTTCTCTTCTTCTTTTCATTTCGACTTCTAAACGCAAGTCAATTCCTGAGAAAAACTCGCAAAGACCGCATAGGAATTAGGGCATTCCACCGAGTATTTAGTAGCCCTAGAGCCCCATCCATACAAGTGGATCTCGGAAATACCATTACGAATAAATTGTATTTTCACCAACCCATTGGCCCGCTCTCGTCTATGTGTAGGTATGAGAATGTAATAATACCTGTTTCATTACCAAAAATCTCTGTAGCCACATAGAGCACAATCCGGCTCGAAAATTCCATCAAGGCCGGCTGGCCCAATGGCAAGGCGCTTGACTACGAATCAAGAGATTGCAGGTTCGATCCCTGCGTCGGTCAATTTTTTTGTATCCTGATGTTTTTTGAACCTGCAATGGATCGAGGTGGCTGTCTAAGTAGTAGGGGTGGTTGGTTGGGGCGTTGGAAACTATAGTGGTGTATGGGCAATGCAAATTTTTGGTAGCTAGAAAAACGAAAATGTACCACTACCAAGTCCATCTGAGGATATCAATCTATATGAAAACCGAACAGAATGAAGGAAAAGAAGAAGCAGAGATGAACTATAGTTAGACAGGCGACTGAGTTACTAAACGGCTAAGCTCGTAGCGGACGAAAATAAATTCATAAAAAGAGCAACTGAATTCAGTGTAAGCCCTTTACGTTGGCAACCTACTATGAGATGGCCGTCAAATCCTCTACCAAAAAAGATCAAGCCCATCCAACAGACGATCCCCATCCATCGAACAATCCCCATCCCACGGAGTATCTCCATCATCCCACCACCGATCCTCTTCCAACAAACACCCGTAGGGCTCTGCCTTTCTTGGTGGATGTGTAGCCTCAAACTGCGGCCAATTTCTCGCATGAGACTCGGCACCTCGTGTGAGGTTTTCAAGTGTTATACGGCCTTTCATCCGTGCATGAAGTACAGGAAAGAGGGAGAACACGAAATCACGGCTACAGTATGCCCAGCAAGAAATGTCGCCCACGCACAAGTGCTTCGATATCATGTGTATCAGGTCAATTGGTAGGTCTGATAGAGACGCACGCTTTGATTTGGGTGTGGTGTCCATCGTGTGAATTTGGATTTGTATGAAGTGTCTAGGAAAGGCGGACTGGTTCTTATTGTGAAGCTGGCCAACTTGAATAGACTCCTGGGGCATCTTGATGCTGTTTTTAGATTAATATATATATATATATATATATATATATATATGTGTGTGTGTGTCTCGATCCATGGATTGGTCAAGGGTGCTAGGGCGAATCAGTGTTGTTGACAGACATAAATAGAGAGAGGGGGAGGGGACGTGAAAGAACGAAAGAAAGCAATAAAGAATGAAAGGAATGGAGAGAAAGATATAGTGTATAAAGACAGAATAAGAAATAACGGGGAGTATAAAGGACTACTCTACTATACGAAATCCTAAACTTCTAAGGAGTTTCAAGGTAAAGATATCCCACTACACCCCAGCGTAGGCTCAATGGTAGCTATTCCTAAACGTCTTAGACACTATGTATTAAGTAAGAACGCATCACCTAGATGTATACATATATTGAGGAGTAATCTATCCATGGTGGTGTACTACCAATAAGAGGCCTTACAGAGATGGTATATCATCAGAACAGAGATTGATGCCCATAGAATACACTGGCAGATATAAGAGAAACAAAGTTGCAACCAAGGCAGGTATCTTAAAAACAAAACTCAACCCCAAGTACCACCACCGCCACCTCGTCCCTGCTTCCTCTGGGCAGAAATGCGCCAATCATCCTCACCAGCAAAGCGATTATGCAAAGGCTGGATGCGCTCCGCCTTCTTCCTCTTCGAAAGCTTATCGGTAGGCGCAACCTTGAAGAATGTCGGTGCCGCCTCAACAAGCCACTTGGGCTCGATAGCCGTAATGTTACGCATGTACTCCTTCGTCGTGAGAACAAGTTCATGATAGATAACATGCTCGGAGGGCTTCCCGAACATCGCCGAGCTGGGGTGCATGTAGACAGGTGTGCCTTCGACCAGGGTCTTGTATCCCTCCTGGGGATCTTTGCGAGCGGCGTTGCGGAAGAAGCCCATGCAGAGGGACTGACGAACTTTCGTTGTGTCGCGACCGCAGGAGACGATGCGGTGCTTGTGGCGGGTCATGATGCCGAGGAGTTGTTGGCGGATGTCTTGGGCGCGCTTGATCTGTCGTGCTTGGATGAAGTTTTCGAAGCACCAGGCTGTGTTATAATTTGCGTTTTTCCAACCGTTGTACACGTTTAGGAGGGTTAGGTGGTCCCCATGTGGATCATGGAACTTGGACTTCTTCTGGTCTGCCTGTTGTTGCTTTTCTTTTGGTCGATAGAAAATTGAGGCGATGGAGAGCATGGCAACGATGCTGAGCATCTCGTCAGAGCAGCCTAAATCCACGGATGCGATGAGCACCTTGGCGAGAGCGGGCTCCATGGGGAAGTCGGCCATTTTGCGTCCGAGGCGGGTCAAAAGACCCTCGTCGTCAAGTGCTGACAGGGCGTACAGTTCCTCGAGCGCTGTCAACATGGTGTTGGTAGGAGGCGGGTCCATGAAGTCGAAATGAAGTAGGTCATTGATACCCATTGCCTTCAGCATGAGAATAGTATTTGAGATGTTCTGGCGCTGGATGTCGGGAATGCTCGTTGGAAGCATTTCGGACTGGTACGCGGCCTCGGTGTACAGTCGGAAACACTTTCCAGGACCTGTTCTTCCGGCACGGCCAGCTCGTTGCTTGGCTTGCGCTTGTGAAATGGGTGTCACTACAAGAGAGTCCATACCAAGCTTTGGGTCATATGCCTTTTGCTTCACAAAACCGGGGTCAATGACGTAGTAAATCTGGTCAATTGTGATCGAGGTTTCGGCAATATTGGTTGCGATGACGACTTTGCGTCCGCCTGGTGGCGCTGGGTCGAAGATTCGACTCTGCATCTCACTTGGTAGTGCAGAATAGACAGGCAAAACTACCAACTCGGGAACAGTAGGTCCCAAAGCTTTCATTCGCTCGAATAAGATCTCGCATGCTGTATCAATCTCCTCTTGACCTGTTAGGAAAACCAGAATATCACCAGCTGGTTCCGTCAAGTGAATCTGCATGACGGTGATAAGAGCAGCATCCAAATAATCCGACTCGGGCTCCTTGGAATACATAACTTCGACGGGGAAAGTTCGGCCGGGAATAGAGAAAATGGGACAGCCGTTGAAGTATTCGGAGAATTTCTCAGCATCCAGTGTGGCGGACGTGATAATCAATCTCAGGTCTGGTCTCCGCTTAACAGTCTTTTTCAACAATCCAAACAGGATATCAGTGGAGATTGTGCGTTCGTGAGCTTCGTCAAGCATGATAACAGAGTATCTTTTCAGCTCTGGATCCATGAGAATCTCTCTCTGGAGCATTCCGTCGGTCATGTACTTGATCTTGGTATCTGGGCTGGTACAATCCTCAAAACGAATGGTGTATCCAACCTCCGCTCCAAGTTTGCATCCCACTTCCTCAGACACACGCTTGGCCACGGACATAGCAGCGACACGACGAGGTTGGGTACAGCCAATGATACCGTTGTTTGCATATCCACCTTCGGCGAGATACTGTGTCAACTGCGTGGTTTTTCCGGAACCTGTGTCTCCGACAACAATCATCATTTGATTGTCTCTTACTGCATCAAGCAACTGGTTGCGGAACTTGAAGACGGGCAAACTTTCACGCTGCTGCTTCATGGGCAAAGATGTACGCTTTCCAAAAGAAGTATTCTTGCCCATAGTCACTCGTTTCCACTCTGGCACCTCGTCGTCCGGCTTGGACTGCTGGGCACTCCGCATATCGGAGGCGAACTTTCGCTCCTCCGGCGCAACCATTGGATCCTGCCATTGCGCGTTGAGATCGACATGGGAAGCCTTTTCAGCCGCCTTGTCCTGTGCTTCTTGCTGCTTCAATTCACGTCTCTCCTTGGCAAGATTGGTGCCTGCCATTGCTGAGCGGTTCATTGAGCCATCGGGTGCCTTGACAACACGAATTGGAGAGAGCTCAAGAGACTGCTTCGTTTGGCCAGCCAGGAAAGGAGGCTCCTCGTCTCTGACTTCGATATCAACATCTTCCTCCTCTTCAAAAGTACCTTCTCCAGTAAGAGTTGCATTATATTCTTCGTCAATGTCGGGATAATCCGCTGCAGAGGCAACACCAGATGCAATAAGCTGTCTGATCTCCCATCTCTCCGGTGAAGTCATGCGCTTTCGGTTTCTCATCGGCCGACGACCCGATTCTTCGACGATGGGTATGTCGGAGGTCAAATTACCGTATCTGTCATTGGCTTCTGTGCCATCGAGGCGTTCCATATTGGCACCAGAAGCAAGACGCTTCTGGGGAGCAAGATCCATGCCTGTCATCTGGTCCACTTCCTTCATGGACAGCCCTATGCGAGTGCCTTGGATACTAGCAACTTTGACTTTGACCGGCTGCCCGCGCGAGACCAAATCGGAGGGGTGATTTACCCGCGCTCCCTCCTGCATTGCCGAGACGTGCACGAGTCCGTCCACCTTCCCCTTGACGCCCTGCAGGTTCACGAATGCGCCAAAATCCTTCACGCCTGTGACAGTTCCATCGTATACCTTGAAGAGTACCGGATGATCATCCAGTTCAACAGGCGGAGGACGGCGGAAGTCGTCGTCCCGATCACGCCGCCTCCGGCGATCACTGTGTCCATCGCGACGGCTGTCTCCCCGGTCCTCGTATCTCGAGATCGATCGACCGAATTCATCCACGAGATCGTCATTTTTAGAGCGCCGCCCAGCACTCCGTGACCTTGATCGCTCGCGATATTTGTCCCTGCGTCCTCCACGGTCGTAATCGGTACGTTCGGGACTGCGGCTGCGTTTCTTGTGGTCGCGGTCGGGTCTCGTTGCGCGAGATGTATCCATCTTGGGTTTCCCTGCCAATCCCTCCAGCATCGCAAAAGTGTCGTCCATCGCGTCTTCTCCGGCAGCGGCTTTGTCGTCCACCTGGGGATCGATGTAGTCGTCTTCTTCCCAGCGCTTTTCCCTATCCGGGACGGCGAGGCCCTTAAAAACACGAGACTTCTTCTCTAAAGCATCCAGCAAGGCCATATCGTCGTCAACTGTAGAACCTTCATTGCCGTTCTCCGCTTTCTTGCCCTTGTACTTGGGATGCATGGTGAGCACCATGCGGTCGATACTTTCCATGAGACTTTGGGGAAACTCCGCGCCCATCTCAGTGAGATTTTTCTTGAAATTGGAGAAAGAGCCATTGCATTTGAGGTGCTGGTCGATAATGAACTCCGCAAGTGTCTTCTCGTTTATGCCCAGGTGATTCTGGAGCTCGTTCGTCACTCGCGACACTAGGGACAACAGCTCCAGAGACTCGAGGTCATCCATTCTGAGCTGCGCAACAGAGAAGATTCAGAGCTGAGAGCCGAGAGCGCACAACTAGAGGAATGAATATAAAATTGGCGAGTGCAGAAACGCCCTAGGAAGTCGCGAATCTTGAAGCTGCGGAAAATTAGTACGGCCGAAGTTGCCACCGATAAGAGATAAGACATCCGCCGATCTATACCTGGACATCGATGCTGTGGTCTTTTGGGGGGGATCTGGAGATTCACTTTTATACATCTAATATACATGGTTCTATATTTACAATCGATCATTCCTTTTTGTTAGTCTCCGAGTCATACCACGAGTCTTCTGTTTCAGCCGATGTGTCTTCCTCGGGCGACGAAGGTTCCGTAGAAGAAGCAGGCTCCGTTTCAAACGGCTCCACTTCCCCATCAGACACTCCCTCAGAGGCCTCAGAGGCCTCAGCGGAGTCCGCAGAATCCGACACTTCACCCTTGGAAGCTTGCTCCTCAGGCAGATTGACTTCCAATTCACCCTCCCCAACGGTGCGCGACCAGTCGTCTGAATCAACACCCATACGTTGCTGTTCGAGCATCTGTTTCTGGAGAGCGATCTGGCGCTTGAGCGAAGCACCCTTCCTCAGTCTCTTGTTGGCTGAGAACTCAGTCAGTGCTCGAACCATTCTCTCTTCAACAAGTTCCTTGACATGACTCGCGAGAGTTCGGTCGGTGAATACACCACCAAATCGGAAACTGAGCCACAAATAAAGAATGACGGCTCGGTGGAGACTCTCCAGGTCATGCATGTAATCATTTGAACTGGAAACAGGCTGCTCGAGGACTTCCAGGTTAAGATGTGGGATATCCAAAAGGCGACCAGCGTTGTGGTCAGCGACGCAGTCTGCCAATGCACCTGTGACATCACGCGACCTTGAGCTTTTGACGTCCATTGGTGAGACCATGAACTTCAATTGGTCTTCAATCGGCAGGCCTTGCACTGTGTCGACTATCTCGGCGTTTTCCAGCTGACTTCGGGGATCACACATGAAGAACAATGGGCTGACCTGGGCGATGTCGAGAACACGTTTGACGAGATACTCAAAAGGCACGCCGGGTGGGAAGTAAGCAGCGAACTTTCGGAACACAGAGTCTGAAGGCATGATGCCCGCTGAACTGAGAGGCGGAGGCTCCAGTTTCATGGCCTGATGGATGTACGGGATATCGACCTCTTCGAGACAAGTGATTAGGCCCACATTGGGCTCTTCCTCTTCACCTTCCATTGTCTTAGCATTTGCTGGACGATATCGGCCAGCGCGTCCACCAATTTGTTTGATCTCGGGCACGGTAAGACGTTGAAGTCCAGTAGGAACACGCTTGACAAGAGTGTCAAAGATGATCCGCTTGCAGCTCCTACAGAGGGTCAGTATATAGGCATTTACAGAGTGAGGAGGATGTAGCTCACAGATTTAGACCCATGCCAATTGCGTCACTGGCGACAAGGAAGTCATAGTCATTATCTGGGTCGTTGAACAGGTTCGCTTGCTGGGTCCGGATCTCTGCTGGCAAACCACCATAAACAATAGCGGCGCGTCTTCCAGTAGTCTTCTCGATTTCTGCTTTCATAGCATGAATACCCTTGCGAGAGAAAACGACAACACAATCACCTTTCTCAAGTTGTTTCAGGTTACCCTGCAAACTATGCGGCATCACTTCCAGCGCGTTGAGTCGCTCATAGCGATGAATTTCCAAATTATCACCTGTGAGAGCACACAGCTCCCGAATCAACGGTACTGTACGTGTCTCACCGCACAGGTGTAGCTCAGCAGCCTGACATCCAAGGAACGCACGAGTCCAAGCCCATCCTCGCGATGGATTGGAGATCATCTGAATCTCATCGATAACACCAACATCATATTCCTGCCCGAGACTGACCATCTCCACGGTATTGCTTACAATCCGTGGCACTTCGTCATTCTCGGGAATCTTGACATCATCGCCGGTCACAAGGCTGACCGGAACCCCCTCAGCCTTGAATCGATGATAAACTTCTTGCGCCAGCAGCCTCAGCGGGCCTGCATAGAACCCGTTTTTACTCTTTCGCAGTCGTTGCAAAGCGTGGTATGTCTTTCCAGAATTTGTAGGCCCAACGTGGAGGTGGATGGTTCGTTGCATTGATCGTGCTCGCGGGTACCACTCGGCTGGATATCGAAGATCGGCCACTTGTTTTTGCGCCTCCAAAACAGGCGCTGAAAACCTGCGTGTGATATTGTCCGAGTGCAGCATAAATTCCAGTTCCTCCCGAAGACCCCTGATTCCATCGGAAAGATAGGCCTTTTGTAGAGAATTTTTCGTTTGTTTAAGAGGACCCCAGTTCGCAGAGGACTTGGAATCATCCACTTTGCAGGAGTTTATCACCTGACGCTCGAATTGGGTCCAATCGTCCAAGGTATCGCCGGCTCGTTTCAGCTTGTTATGGACATCTTGCAGAGTTGTCTCTACCACTTGAGCAAAATCTCGGGCAGACGCGATATCTTGTCGAATAGCTCTTGTAGAGGCAGGACCTGAACCTGTCTTGAGTATGGATTAGAATAATGGATTGACTCAGTGGATTGAAAGGACAAACCTTAAACTTTCCTGACTTCACGGATTTCTTGTCCGCCAAGGATTTCTCTTTCGTTTCTTTCGATTTCTTTGTTCGCTGAAGAATAGATGTCGTTGTAAATGGCCGTACGGCGAAGCAGGTCAAGGGTCGCAACGCGCGTAGGGAACTACCTCGGCCGGTCCATAGCTGCATTCCTAGACCAATCCCCAAGGGATCAATTTGGATCGAAAGAAAGTTAAGCGAATAAAGAGGATGGCATCAAAATCGACCTCAAACACACGCACACACACGAAGAAAGACACTGGAAGAACAGAGTATTGTGTGCAACACAGTAACAAACAAGAAAGGAAGAGAAGGCGGAAGCCAAAAATCCAAAAGTTGCTTATCGAATGATAATGATCCACTAACCTCCAGATGGTGGGGAACAACTATCTCCTTCATATACCTCAGACGGCCACTTCTCTCCTTAATATTTGGTCTCTGCTACTCCCAGTATTTTCTTATCTTATTCTTTTCCTTCTGAAAAACACAAAAAAAAGAAGCCACAAGTTGTGGCCCGCTAGCATGGGCTCCTCCATAATTAACATTCAACGCGACAGTCAGTGGCCTCCTGAAGCTGCAGAAGCTGCCGCAGCTGCCGCAGCTGTCTTTCATTTGAGCTCTAACTAATCCATACTTCTCTAAAATAGTTATACTGAAAACCATTCGCAATGCCGGTGGCCACGATGTTAGCCGAACCCCTCCGATTCACCCCTCTACGTTACGGATACTGACGGCACCCCTTAACAGTGGAAAGTCTTGGTGGTGGATGAGACCAGTAGGAAACTGGTGGAGAGCGCTGTGAAGGAGGAGGAAATTCTCAACCTCAATGTCTCTAGTGAGCTCGCCGTGTGCTTTGCGACACTGAGAACATTGGCGCTAATCAATTCCCCGCAGATGTCGAACAGCTCGAACACCGGCGACCGTTCAATGCCGACATGGACGCTCTTTACATCATTTCCCCTGAATCATATGTGGTCGACTGTTTGATGGCAGACTTCGAGGTTGGGCGATACAGAAGGGCCTTCTTGGTGTGGACTTCATGTTAGTGGGCGGCTACAAACCGTTCGCGACGTCATTTCACTGATACTGTTTACAGTCCTCGATCCGCAACAAAAAGCTCGAATTGATCGGTCTCAGATGGCGCGGGATCGCATTGCGGACTTTCAAATTATGAACATCAATTTCTACCCCCGAGAATCCCACCTAGTCACATTTCAAGATCCGTGGAGCTTCCCAGTGCTCTACCACCCCGGCTGCAACAACTTGATTCGGCAGCACCTGGAGGACTTGGCCCAAAAGGTGAATAAAGCTGCTCATACACATGAGATGTCCATCTCGCTGACTCGAAATCAAGGTCGTTTCTCTTTGTGCATCCCTGGGCGAGTACCCTCTGATTCGGTACTATCGGCCCAAAGCTCCCACCCATGAAGCTGGAGTGATGTGCGCCCACCTGGCGCGCTTTGTTCAAACCGAATTGGATCAATTCAAAAATTCCCAGAGGGGATTCCCTCCCCCAACAAACCGTCCCCGAGGTGTCTTGCTCATTGTAGACCGTTCTATGGACTTGTACGCACCACTCCTCCACGAATTCACATATCAGGCCATGGTCCACGATCTACTGCCTGTCAATGATGGAGACAAGGTGACCTACAAAACTGTGATAAACAAAGGAGGCCGGAACGAGGAGGTCAAGGAGATGAATATCGGAGAACATGATCGAGTGTGGGTGGACTACCGTCATATGCATATGAAAGATGTGCTTGGAAAATTGGGCGAGGACTTTGCCAAATTCCGAGCAGCGAACCCTCAGTTTGGCGATGAGTGAGTTACAATAACTTGAATCATAGTTGAGTCCAACTGCTAACGTCGAGCTACCAGTAACGACAAACAGAATGTCAACACCATCAAGGAGATGTTGGGTGGACTGACAGAATTCCAAGAGGGAAAGGATGCCTACGCACTTCACCTCACGATGGCGGAAGAGTGTATGAAATTCTTCCAATCCCGCAAGCTTTTGGAAGTGAGTTCCATCGAGCAGTCCTTCGCCACGGGTCTGGATGAAAATCACAAAAAGGCAAAGAACCTAGCAGCACAGCTCGTCCAACTCCTGGACGACGACTCGGTCGTACCCGCAGATCGGCTCCGACTCCTGCTTCTGTACATCATATACCGTGGCGGGCTCCTCGGCGGCGACATTCGCAAACTAATGGCACACGCAAACCTTCCACCGCAAGACGGCGAGATCATCGCCAACCTCGAACTCCTCGGCGTCCGCGTAGAAAAGCCTCTCAAAGATGAAAAGCCGCCAGTGCAACCTCTATTCAAACAGCGAGCTCCAAGCACCGAATCCGAAGAATTGAGTCTAAGCCGCTACGAGCTGGCCATCAAGCAAATGCTCGAAGAGCAAATCCAAGGCACCCTCGACCAAACCTCTTTCCCCTTCACACGGCCGCACACCGAGACCGACGGCGTCATGGCCGCTCAAGAAATGCTATCCCAGCAGGCCTCACTGCGCAGCGCAAAGCCTACCTGGGCACGCACAAGATCCGTCGACCAGCCGCGCCAGCGCATCGTCGTCTTCATGGCCGGCGGAGCAACCTACGGCGAGTCACGCGCCTGCTACGAAGTCTCAGCCTCATACAACCGCGACGTCTACCTCGCCACAACACACATGCTGACGCCAGGCCTGTTCCTCCGCCAGTTAGGCGATCTAGGCGTCGACAGACGGCGTCTGAATCTCCCATCCGACCGGCCCAAACCCACTGCCCCAGCGCATCTGTTCGAGCGCGAGAAACCGCCTTCGCCGGCTGCTCCACCGCCTCAGAAGAAGCCTGTTTCCACGGCTCACCTCAACCCTCCTGCGCCGCCGGAGGCGTTGATGGCTGGTATGTCCATACGCTCGAATGGGAGTGGAAGTAGTCCTTCCTCTGGTAGTGGGAAACTTGAGAAGAAAGACAAAGAGAAGAAAGACAAAGAAAAGAAGGAGAAGAAGGAGAAGAAATATCGGTTCTTCAAGTAGTCCGAGTTCTCTATCCTATCCAGCGCTGTGATACTATTCTTGTTCCTCTTTTGTTGGTCTATGGTCTGGTCTGGTCAGGTCCCAAGCATTCAAGGCGCTTTTGTCAGCGGTTTATTTCTTTCAATATTAGGAGGGGACTCGAGTCTCGCAATGCGATGCAATCTCTATCTACTAGCATTAAGCGTAAAGCACAACCACAACCACAACAATATCAAATCCATACATTCATCAAACAATCAAAGCAAACGGGGTATCAAAATCGTAAATCATCACCCATCCAACCCCTAACCCAAACCCAAACCAACATAGCATACATTCCATGAATTAATCAAACGTCCTCCCCCAAATACTTCAAAACCTCCTCATTTGCATGAAAAGCCTTCCTCATCCTTTCACCTCTCCTCCTCTCTTCCTCCGCCTTCTTCCTAACCTGCTTAGCATTAAGCAACTTCTTCTGCGCCTTGACAACAGGCACCTTCTTCACAACGTCCCCATCCCGATCAATCCCCGTCCCCAAACCAGCAGTATCAGTCTGCGTCCGCGGCTTGACAGGCTCCCGAATTCCCTCCCGCCCTGCAGCACCAAGACCAACCCGCGCGTCCAGATCCCACCCGTAGCTGGAGAGGTAGCGGAGGCCCGGGCGTGTGCGGTCGAGATGGGATGGTGGGTGCGAGTGTGTGAGGCAGACTTGGTGCGCGATTGAGGCTTCATGGGGGTGTGAATTAGAGCTGGAGCTGGAGCTGGATGTGAGGGGGAGGTTGCATATTTCGCAGAGCGATGGATCTGGGTGGGTGGGTTGTGGTGGTGCGGAGCTTGGGCGTGTTGGTGCGGGGGTTTGCGTTGGTGTGCTTGGTGTTGTGTTTGCTTTTTGCATTACGATTGAGAGGTACTTGTCTGCGATGCTTGTACCAGAGCTTGATGGGGGTGGAGCTGTTGTTGTGTCGAGGTCTGAGGAGCGGACGAACTGTACGCGCTTGCGACGGATGCCGGAGGTGAATGGGCGCTGGTGCTCCGGAGGAAGGTAGTAGTCTTCCTCATCTTCGGGTTCTGCAGCCATGGTGGGTTATTGGCACAGATGCGAAGGATAGTGAAGTGAAGAAACTTGCGGACAATATGTATAGTTATACGGAGCGGCTAAAAGGCGGAATACAATCGGTGGCGATAAGAGATAAGAGAAGTGATAACGCGTACGTGGAGAAAATACTCCTGTGGACAGCACGACCTCTTCTCCTCCTCCACACACCACAATGCCCATCCCCATCATCGCCACAGGTCTCAGGGAGGGCCTCTCGGCCATCCCACATGTCTGGACAATCCTCCGGATAGCACCGTGGGTGCTAGTCGTCGCCGCCCTGAAGTACTACTTCGAAGGCGCCCGCAACAGCTCCGAGCGAATGATGCGCTCGAAAGTAATAATGGTGACAGTAAGACACCCCCCCCCCTCCCTCCTCCAATCAATGCAATGCACCCCAAACACCCGAACTAACAAAAAAAAAGGGCGGAACCTCCGGAATAGGCGCCGAAGTAGTCCGCGAACTCGCAACGCGCGGCGCCCAAGTAATCCTCCTAACCCGCCAACCACCCTCCGACATCTACCTCTCCGAACACATCGACGACCTCCGCAAAAGCACCAAAAACCCCCTCATCTATGCCGAGCAAGTGGACCTAACATCGCTCTACTCCATCCGCACCTTCGCCACAAAATGGATCGACAACATCCCGCCCCGCAGACTAGACAGCATAATCCTGTGCGGCAGCACGACAGAGCCGTCCGCGCGCGCCCTCACAATCGACGGCATAGACCCCGAATGGCAAACGAATTACCTGTCGAACTTCCACCTGCTGAGCATTCTCAGTCCGGCGCTGCGCGCCCAGCCGGCGCACCGCGACGTGCGTGTGATTTTCGCTTCGTGCGCGAGCTACATCGGCGGAGACTTCAGTGGTCTTGAGACTCTTGCGCGGGGGAAGGGGGTGGTTGTTTCGAAGCGGACGGGTGGGAAGCCTGCGCTGTATGCGCGGCCCAAGGGCGTGTACGGACTCAGCAAGCTGTGCGTTAATATTTTTGCGCAGAGCTTCCAGCGGCATTTGAATGGGTATGTGCGGCCTGATGGACTGCCTGCTTGTACAAGGGTGATTGTTGTTGATCCTGGGGTTACGCGGACACCCGGGATGAGGCGGTGGTTGACTGGGGGGTCGCTGTGGGGGCTTGTTGTTTATTTGGTTACTTGGCCTTTGTGGTGGTTGGTGTTTAAGTCGCCTTCGCAGGGGGCGCAGAGTATTCTGTTTGCTGCTATGGAGGCGAGGTTTGGGAGGGGGGAGGGGGCTGGTTGATTAAGGAGTGTCGGGAGGTGGACTACGCGCGGACGGATGTGAAGAGTGATGAGGTTGGTAAGAAGCTTTGGCAGTTTAGTGAAAAGATGGTTGAGGAGGCTGAGAAGGAGGGGGCTGTTATTAGGGCTTTGGAGAAGAAGGCTATGGAGGCTGAGAAGGAGGGTGCGAAGAAGAAGGATGAGAAGGAGAAGAAAGATGAAGGCAAGGATGAGAAGAAGAATGGGTCGAGGAGGAGTCGCAAGGCTCAGAATCAGAAGAAGTAGGATGCATATTTACGACAGCGCTGCGCATATGTGCCTAAAACATTATAGAGATTGCTTTGCAATAGAGCAGAGTATCACAAAAAGGAAATTCGTTTCATATTCTAGATCCAGATCTCTATCAACAAACCGCGATCATCTAACCCAACACCCCAATCTACTTCTTAAGCGCAGCGAGCAACTCAGCAGGAGGCTCCTGGCGGTAACCCTGGGGGTTGTTCTTGGTCCACAGCCAGAGGTCATCACAAGCCTGCTCGAGGGTACGCTCAGCCTTCCAGCCCAGCTCGGTGTTCGCCCGAGTAGGGTTAGCAGTGAGGTTAAGGACATCGCCCGCGCGGCGGGGAGCAACCTCGTAGGGCTGGTCCTTTCCAACGGAGTTGGAGAAGGCACGGATCATCTCGTAGACGGTGCTGCCCTTGCCGGTTCCGAGGTTCCAGGCGCGCACTCCGGGGTTGTTGGCGCGGAGGTAGTTGAGGGCCTTGAGGTGGCCGTCTGCGAGATCCAGAATGTGGATGTAGTCGCGGATGGCGGTGCCGTCGTGGGAGGCGTAGTCTGGACAAATATTAGATCGGATCCAAAGAAATACACATATATTTATCGGGGAGTAAAACACATACCGTCACCGAAGACCATCAGCTTCTCGCGCTTGCCGGTGGCAACCTGCGCGAGCAGAGGGAGCAAGTTGTAAGGCACACCCTGGGGGTCTTCACCCATGATACCGCTGGGGTGGGCACCGGCGGGGTTGAAGTAGCGGAGCAGAGCGCCGTTCCACTTCTTAGCCTCAGCCTCGTTGCCGGCCTTGGTGGCGTTGTTGCGCTGGGCGTTGATCACGTCGGTGATGGCAGTCTCGACGGCGAACTTGGTGTTGCCGTAGGGGTTTGTTGGGCCGAGAGGGCAGTCCTCGGGGATGGGGATCATGTTAGGGAAACGGGTGGCATCACCGTAGACGGTGGCGGAGCTGGAGAAGACGATGTTTGTGACGTTGTTCTTGACCATTGAGCGGAGGAGGTTGATGGTTCCGTAGACGTTGACGAGGTAGTAGTCCAAGGGCTTTTCGCCGGACTCCCCGACGGCCTTGAGAATGTTAGTTTAAGGCTCTCCTGTGTAATACACAGTGTTGGTGATTCATACCTTCAGCGCAGCGAAGTGGATAACGCTGTCAATGTCGGGGTGGGCCTCGAACACCTTGTCGAAGGCATTCTCCTCGGTGACATCGAGCTCGAAGAACTCGGCCTTCTTGCCGCAGATCAACTCAACGCGCTTGAGAGCCTCAACTGATGAGTTGTACAGGTTGTCGGCGACAACAACCTTGTAACCGGCCTCGAGAAGGGCGAGGGTGGTGAACGAGCCAATGTAGCCCGTGCCACTGCGGGGGGATTAGTTTGTATCCCAATTTTTATAGTACAGCATAGAATTGACATACCCAGCAACAAGAACTGAACCAGAAGGCATGATTATGTTTTAGAGAGCAAAAAAGGGAATAAATTGAAGGAGAAAGTAGAAAGCGGAAGAGGGTCGGGTTTTAAGGGGAAATTGGAGGTGTGGGGGGTATGGCTGTTCTCACGTCTCTCCTACCATGACGCGGCCCAGTGATCGTCCACGGCTTATTTCCCTTTGATTTCTGTTAAATTGACCACCAGTGGTGCCATTGACCATAGTATACCAGAGGGAAATTACCCGAGACCCCTTTCTCTCTTCAATTGATGCCATTGACCATATAATATGTTGTTTTTATCAATGTTGACAGATGTTTATACATCTGTATGTTTATATGTGTCTCTATGCAGTGATCGTCCTAGCGGTCTGCAAACACAATATCCGCAGCTTTTTTTTTCTCGAAACAGATATGATATGCATGCAGCGGCGAAATTGTCCGGAAAGACGAAAATGGTCTTGAAACGGGAGATGTGGCCAGAAAGGACCGTTTCAAAGAGGGTCCCGCATTGAGATCATAGACCCATTTCAGGGTCCAGTTCCGGGGGAAATGTCTCGGCAGTCAATATTGACATTCTAAACACCCATACTCCGTACATATGTAAGTACTTACATAATGATATTTTAGAGTAGATCGATCAAAATATAATTGGTATTGAAAATAATAATAAATGGTCCGTGGAAGTGTAGAACCACCTGTGTTCTCAATCATTCATGAGTCCTTCCATTACTCGTGTAGATGTAGAACGACGAGTTGCATCTCAGCAACTACAATACATGCCATATATGAGTGTGGCTTTTGGGTTCCGAAAAAAAAGAGAAAAAACCCCCTCCCATAGTCGATGTACAAGAGCATCGCTAAAACTTAGATCAAAATTACCCACGGCATGGTGATATTTAACCAAGCAGTTCAACATCCAGACCAATAGCCCGCATGAAGAGATTGACATTGCTCAAACGCTGACTGCCCATGTCGGCAGGAAGGGTCTTGCTGTATCCCACAGTTTCCATAACGCGGTCCCTAGGAAAACGATGTTAGCACTTCTCTTCGTCGGATACATAACAGAAATCAGAGAAAAACTTACTTAACGGCGATAACCAGACGCTGTTGTTGCTCAGGACTGGCACCAATACCCACAGCGGCAAGGAACTGCCACACATACATGTCGTCACCGGAGCTGATGGTTCCAGGGAAGATGTCATTCAAACCAAGTTCCAAAGTATCGAAGAGAACGTTGAATTTCTCCACCCATTGTTGCCAATCGTGCTCGGAAGCCTGGCCAGCCTCCTTGACAATCTCGGCACGGCTGAGCAACATAGTCAAGATGCCCAGACCGACCTTGGTCCGAGCCACGGTCTGCACGTGGGTTTGGTTGATGACCAAGCCCAAGAGACCGATGATGATGTTGAACGGTGCCTCGTTGACGTATCCCAAAAGACAGGGCATGACGGCCAGCGAGAACAGATCAATTGCTTCGCGCATGCCGAGCGAGGGCTGTGCCTCGCCGGGCACCGGCTGCGCAAGACGAACCACATCCAGGCTGTCGAGGTGGACGACAATCATGGTAAGAATAGTCACTCGTTGCTCCTGGTCAATGTGGCGGAAAATACGAGGAATAGCCTTCTTGCCCTTAGGGTATGACAAAAAGGCAATGAAGGGGTGAGGGGTCGTCGAGTTGGGCACAATGGGTTCCATCACTTTCAGTGACCGCCACAGCTTCTGGTTGAGAGAGTGAAGCCTCTGTCTCCATTCCATATGTTCCTGGATAGCCTCGGCATCGCCCTCCTCGGGGGGTGGGGGCATCGTCCGCTCCATATCCTCCATTGCCATCAATGCACTGTATACGCCCTCCACGTTGGTGAGAATCGATTTGCGGTCGCTGAGGCTGAGATCCGACTGTAGCTTCTTGGGCTTGGGACCCTCTGAGCTGTCAGGACGCTTGATATTCAACATTGGCTTAGGTGCCTTGGCATTACTAAATGAGATCTTGCCCAGGCTGCCCTCAATGATGAGCTGCTTGTTCTTAGGCTTAGCCTTGGCCGCCTCCACAGCACGTTGAACCTGCTGCTGCATGCGCTGCATGTGGTTATCGGCGCTCTGGAAGTTGCCACGGCGATGTCCGCCGAGCCGGTTGCCTGTTTGGAGAAGGTAGGTTTGCGCGAAGTGACCGAGAGGTTGGTGAGGGTGTTGGCGTGGTGCGCCCCGAATCTGGCTGTAGACCTGGTAGTAGAAGTCCTCGGCCAGCACGGCTTCCGGGTCAGAATCTGCTACATTTCCAGCGGCTGCCACCAGCTGTTGCAGCTGAATGCGGGTGATAAAGTTCTTGTCCTGCGGTGTCATCAGGCCATTGCCTCGAGACAGAAGGAAGATCTTGTGGTTGCGCTTCGCCCGCTTGGCATCTTCCATCAAATAAGCATTGCGCTGTTCGGTCGTAAGATGGCTGAGTTGCTGCGGGTCTGTGATCACAGGCATTCCATTGGCGGAAACCCGGTTCGGTGGCGGCACTTGTTGATGTTGGGGAAGCTGCTGTTGCAGAGGACGTTGCGCTTGGGGTGGGCCGGCATGGCGCGGGCCAGGAGGTGGTAGGTTTTGCGGGGGAAGGTTGGCGTTCTGCGCCATGTGCAGTGGTCCACCAGGTGGCATATGTCCAGGTCCACCGTAGAGTTCCGACATACCAGGAGGTGGGTGGGGCATCTGTGGAAGGTGACCTTGTCGCAGCTGTGCCTGCAAGAACTCTGGAGGCACCGGGTACCCATCAAGAGGCGCCTGGAGGTGATGAGGCTGAGGGGGGTATTGGGGCTCCACCATCGATCGCAGGAAGGCTTCTGCTGCCGGAGTTGTTGCATTATTACCATGACGCATTTGGGCCTCAACCTCTTCCAAGCTCATCATTTTCCGACTGGCGGCAGTGGGCTCGGGCTTTTTCTGCGAGACACCCCAGACGCTAGATTTGGCTTGCAAATCCGGGATATACCCAGGGTCCGAGTACTTCTCATAGCCAGAGCGCTTGGTCTGAGGAGCAACTGGCTGGACGGGAAGCTGAGCCACGGGCTGAGTAACTCGGGGAGCATTGGGATTCTGCAGGCTATAGCGAACCTGCTCCTCCCCAATAGCATCTGAAACTAAAGCAGTCTTTCCAAAGAAATCGAAGTCTCTTCCGGATGATTCGGGGCCGGGTCCGCCAAACGTGTCATCGTTGAACTCGTCCTGGTCATCGTCGAGCTGGTCGCCGAGACCATCGTAGGTATCCTCGAAGTCAATTCTAAACATTTATTAGCTTCATGCACAATGTCAAGACTAAAAGGAATAAGCTCACGCGTCATCATCTTCCAGCGCACTAGCTTGAGCGACTTGCGCAAAGGGATCTGGGTTTTCGAAGAATCCCCTAGCCCCAGAACCATCACGGTCCCTAGGTAGGGTAGTATCGAAGCCAAAGAAAGCCATCTTTGGCTAGGATGATTAGAGATGAGAAGAGCTAGAGAGGTTGGGAACTGTGGTGGTGGGGGGGGGGGGGGGGAGATGAGGGAAAGTGTTCGGGGCGAAGTTCTGAAGTGTGAATGCCTCAGGCCAACAATGCCAAGCCAACTTGTCGATCTGATGCGACACGTTGGATGAGTGACTTGACTATACAAATTAGAATGGAATTTGAATATAGTTATATTATAGAGCTCAATAAGTCATAAAGGAACACTTTATTTAATTATAATTATTAACTGAATACCATTGAACTCACAATCGCACAATACCAATGTACTCGAACATAACTAACGACTTAACAACAAATAAATAACTAGAGTGTATACAGTATAGCAAAAAGAACTTCCTTTTCTTTTCTTTTTGATATATATGCAGAGTATAAATGAAACAATCGAAAACATACCCGAAAACAAGTACATCTTTAGAACCCACGAGGATCACATATAAGATTAGCCCCCTGAAGCATCGGAATGTCTCAAATTAGGTGACACCCAAAGTGGCTGAAAGCGGTTGTCATTGTGTTGCGCGGCCTCTTCAACTTTTCATCTCTTCTTCCCCTACAACCTTACGGGAGATTTCTTTCGGAATCTCATATTTTTCTTCTTTTACATTCCTCATTGATGTCGCTCGCTTTCTAAAAATCTGGATTGGCCTCATCCCGCGCCTTGTGTTCTGCCTTTGCCACCTAACGGGGATTCCTCCTCGTCCCCCTCATCATGTCCGTCACTGTTCGATATGCGCGCTACCTGCTATTTGCCGTCATAGTAAGTTTGAGTCGATTCTCGTTTTACATCACTAACCCGTGAATAGGGACTGGCGGTCTTCTTCGTAATCTCAAAATCCTCCATTCCACTTCCTAGCACTAGCACCGGTTCTACCGCTCCTGCAGCGAAAAACCCGCCGACCTACGACTCAGTCAAGTCGCAAAAACCACAAGTCCTTGGCCCGCACCGCGCTGATCGTGTAAATGCCACCTTTGTGACCTTGGCGCGCAATTCCGACCTCTGGGATATGGTCAAGTCAATCCGGACCGTCGAAGATCGTTTCAACCGCAACTACAACTATGACTGGGTATTCCTGAACGACCACGAGTTCGACGAGGAGTTCAAGAAAATCACAACTGCCCTCATTTCCGGGCAAACCCATTACGGAGTCATCCCCAATGAACACTGGTCGTACCCGGAGTGGATCGACAAGGATAAAGCCAAGGATGCGCGCGAAGAGATGGATCGCAAGAAGATTATCTACGGTGGCTCGGAGAGTTATCGCCATATGTGCCGTTATGAGTCTGGGTTCTTCTTCCGTCACCCACTTATGATGAATTACGAGTACTACTGGCGCGTCGAGCCTAGCGTTGAGCTGTTCTGCGATATCGACTCGGATCCTTTCCGTTTCATGAAGGAGAACAAGAAGAAGTACAGCTTTGTCATCAGTTTGTATGAGTATGTGGCGACCATCCCTACTCTGTGGGATAGTGTGAAGAAGTTCACCGGCAACCACCCCGAGTATGTCAGTGAGGGAAATGCCATGGAATTCATCAGCAACGACGGCGGTGACACCTACAACAACTGCCACTTTTGGTCGAACTTTGAGATTGGCAGTCTAGAATGGCTGCGGTCTGATGCATACATCGACTACTTCACTTCTTTGGACAAAGATGGCGGTTTCTTCTATGAGCGATGGGGTGATGCACCTGTTCACTCTATCGCTGCTTCTATCATGTTGAAGAAAGAAGAAATCCACTTCTGGGATGACATTGCTTACTACCATGTTCCATTCACGCATTGTCCCACCGATGAAAAGAAGCGGTTGGATTTGAGATGCTCTTGTCAGCCAAAGGAGAACTTCGACTGGAAGGATTATTCTTGTGAGCATACACTGGTCAACACTCTTCGAAGTCCATAACTAACTGTGAAACAGGCACCAAGCGTTGGTTCGATATCAACAAAATGCCCAAGCCACACGGATGGGATAAAACATACGACTAAATATCCCCACCGTGGGTTCATGAACGGCCCAGCCGTTCTCGTTATTTAGTCAGCGACAATGCGCGGGTCGGTTGTCCTCGTCTGGATACGAAGCTCTGCACAATTGGAAGGCTCGCAGGTTTCACTTCCGTGGCCTGCAAGAGCCTTGAGCAAGTGGAATCTCATTTCGTTTTCCCTTCTGCTCTGCGGTTGATATATCACCTGGTGCAGACATGCTGTTCGTGAATTACCGCGCTTGAAAAGCTGCAGGACTACATTTTGTTTTTGTTTTTGTCAATTTTGATTCCCATTACCCATTACCCAAGAGTTTTTCTATGCCTGACATGTGTTACTATGGATTCTCGAGCGTTTCTTGGGGTTTCGTTGCATAGGTCCGGAGTAAAGTGATATTCACGGAACCATTTGTTTTCTATACTTAAATTCAATACATTACCGGAAAGGCACTGGAAAGCGTAGCGACACTTTTAAGCGATGCCTTAGTAACATATTCCTGTATGCTTTTTTGCCGCTTTTTTCTCCTAGCTTCGTCCGACTGTGAATCTAAAGAGGCCAAATATTTTCTGATACCGAGGAAGCGACATAACTACAATATCAGCTGTGTCCAGGCTAGCTGTCACACTATAACGCATATAGTAAACCGATGAGCGTTTAGTATCAAAACAAAGAATATGATAGAGCCACAGACATAGTGTTACATGCATCTAAACAGAAAAGCTTGCCCATGCGAAAAGCACCGAGGTCAAAATCCAGAACAGAGTGATCTCTACAGATCAAAAACAAAGTATAATATCACAACAGGTCATTCGTAACCAATCCGAAATCACCTTAGTTGGTCTTCGGCTTCTTAGTGCCGTACTTCGAGCGACTCGACATACGACTTCCAACACCACCCTGAATCGACCAATTAGCAACCTCTCAACAATCCAGAACCCAGACAGGGAATCCAACATACCAAATCCATAGCACCACGAACAAGGGTGTACTTCACACCGGGACAATCCTGGGCACGTCCACCACGAACCTGGACAACACTGTGCTGCTGGATATTGTGGCCTGTAGATATCATATTAGCCAAAGATGCTCTCAAGCCCAATTCCAATTCGAATTCCATCTAAACAATCCAGTCCGTACCTTCACCGGGGATATAAGCAGTAATAACCTTCCCAGAGCTCAACCGCACTCTGGCAACCTTCCGCTCCCCAGAATTGGGCTTCTTGGGCTTTGTCACACCAGTCTTAAGACAAACGCCCTTAAGACCAGGCGTGCCCTTCAGCGCAGGCGAGCGACCCCGACGAACCCGCTGCCCAGTGCGAATACCGCGACGTACTTGATTATATGTAGCGCGGATAATGGGGGAGGTAGAGAACTGCCTCGACAAGGGTGCAGCGGTGCGGAAAACGGGCTGGAAGTTGAAGCGGGTGATCGGGGCTTTGGCGGTGGATGTAATGAGGGTGCGGCGGATGGGCGGTGCGAGGGCTGGGCGCTGGATAATACTTCGGAGGGCCCGGAGGGCCAGTGGGGAGAATAATTGGGACATTTTGGTTCTGTGCTGGTGGAATCGCTCGCGGTTGAAGTTCGCGATAGAATTGATTTGCTGCATGGCGGAGAGCACGTGATTTGCACCTCCGGTGGTTGTCGAATACCGGAGGAGCTGGACGCGCTGCTTCTCTGCCTGGAGCATCATCGTCATCTACATCTTCCTTCTTTTTTCGATTTGACTTTCTATCATTCTTACGAGCTTTGCAAAGGACCTCAGAATCCAGACACTACCCATCTTCCATTCCGTGCCCCGATTCCAAGCCCCCATCCACATCCATCATGGTACGTTATTAAGCTACGGACGACCCTGTATCTTAAGACAACCAGCACCATCAACCCATCACCCCCCAATCCCATCTCACACACCCAGAATAAACATCCAATCCCAATCCCACGTCCAAACTAACAACCTTAGTCCCTCCGCATCGCCCCACCCAGCGGCAACCCAACGGCAACAACCAACCTAACAACCCGGCAACAAGCCAGTGTAACAGCCCCCCGCCCCTCAAAGGGCGCCCCCTCCGCCCCCGGCCTCCCCCGATACCCTCCGCAACAAGCTCACCCTCCCCGCGACGGCCCACGCCTCCTCGACAAACACCAGCGGCGAAACGCCCTCCTCGACACACCCACTCGAAGCCCGCCTGCTGGCGTGGCGATCGACCCAGGACGCCATGAAGATGGAGGGACTGCGTCGGGCGTACGGTATTGCGGAGCCGGTACGCCGCGGGATGGAGCTGAAGATCGTCCGCGATGGAACGTTCAGACCTGCTGTGCTCGGCGGTATGCGGGGTGGTAATGTCCATGAGGATATCCTTATGATTGGAGGTCGGGATGCAGAGGTTCAGTGGGAGGATATTTACACTGGTATGTTCTTGTGCTTGTTCTTGTGGATGGTAATGGGGGTGTGGATTGAGGCGTTTGGCTAATTGGTACTCTCTAGGCGATGACCTCCGTGAGCCGCCTACTTTCCACGACGAGATGGAGAAGAGGCTCAAGATGGATTTCTGAGTTGGGTTATGATATGGTGTTTTTTGTTTCTTTGATATGCTTTGCCTACTGGTCTCTCTGATGTCCCCGTCATACTCTTTATGCCGTCGAATAGAATGGTAGCATTGGACTTGATGCATGGGAATGCTTGTTTGTGACGTTGACACGCAATGGGTGTTCTCTATAATTGAATCAATCCGATCTATCTCATCTCCAGGAAATCTTCCGAAACGTATATCTGAGGAAACCAATGTCCGAAATATGTTGGGTATTTTATAGCGTTGTTGAAACTACAACAATCTGCTCACCGTATTAGCCATGCAGACTTTCAACCCAACTAGAACGTATGTATAGGCACTTTGATAGATGAATATATGACAACGAAAGAAAGATAAAACTCCACAACACCCTGTACACTACGACTCAGCAGTGGTCATCAAAGCAAAGGAATGAAAGCAAGGTCGTAAATACACGAAAAGTCCAGCAGAAACCATACTGACTGAGAAAAGGAAAGTCGGATTGGAGGGGGTATATGAAGAAGATCAGACGGGGCAATAAAGATGACAGCAAATCCGGGGTTAGGGATTCCAGATGATCCGCGAACCGCCTGTATATAGATGAGTGGCTTACTCGGCCCAGTGAAGAAGAACAGGGAACATGGGCGAGCGTGGTTCCGGTCTGAGATTCAAACGCCAGCTCTTGGGGTTCGCATATATTGGTCCTGCATCCGGGCAGAAGGGGTGAATCGCTGCATTGACAGGTGGAGTGAGACATGGGGTTCTGGGATATGATGGTGATCATAGAATCACACAGCGACAGCCGGGACTGCGTTCGCTGGCGTCCCCTTCGCGGCTGTATTGCGCCTTTGCGCCCTTTGCATCTTCTTCGTCGACAACCTCCTGCGGCTTAACAGTCATATGGACGACATTCGGATGTTCCTTACTAAATTTAGAGTCTGTAAACCCGTTAGCGTAGCTTAGCCGCCATCACACCAGCGACAACATACCAGAAACAGGCGACTTGTCATCTAACAACTTCCCAAAAGAAATAAGACGGATAGCACTGGGCGAAGTAGGACGAGTCTCCCAATCTGCGTAGTTTTTTTATTAGAGACATATCATCGCACGCCATGATGTGCAACATACCTGAGCGCCATTCGCGCCAAATTAATTCCTTGAGCGTGTACACGCTCATCAAAAAAGGATCATTGTTCTCGACGGCCACCGAGCGCTTCTTGAGATACTTCCCATCGATAGTGAACGGGTGGCGCGAGCCAGTCGTCAAGAGCAGCGTGATCACCAGCGATGGGCCGTCGAGCTCCTTCCCCTCGTCGGAAGGCTCGGTTGATGTCTCGGGGACGGGCTTGGGCTCATTGGAATCCATTGGGGAGGTGGGTGTGGACTGTGCGACGGCGCTGGGAGATGTAGTCGATGCTGTCACGGGGGCGGATTCGCCACCAGGGCCGGAGCCAGCTGCGGGGTTGGTTTGGGTCGCGGCATTGGCGTCAGCTGGGAGCTCGAGTGGGTTGATGGATAGGGGTGGAGAGTTGGCGGCCAGGCCTGGCTGGGTCGGTGGCTCTGTTGGTGGTGACGTTGCTGATGTTGGCGTTGTTGGTGATGGTGATGGTGACGGTGATTTGGGGTTGGGGGGGTTTGCGTCCGCTGACTTTGGGTTGGCGATTGTAGACATTCTTTCTTTGGATGCCTCGATGGCTGGTTACTCGGGGGTGTTTCCCCGGTTTGAGAGATGGATTGACGGGGAAAGGAGGGTCTTGGTTGGGGGTGGAGAGGAGTTCAGAGAGGCTTGGGGGTGAGATGTGAGGAGTCGATTAAGCGTAGATCGCAAATCGCAGTGATTTAAAGAGTTGAATCTGTACAGTGAAGATTTGCGACATAAACGAAAGACATTTATCGAGTTGAAAGAAGAGAAGAGGAGAAGGTAAAGGGGATCGGCAAAGAAGGACAGACAGAAGACCCTGGTGAAACTGCTGCACTAATAGTCACTCATTTCTTCCCCTAAATTTTTTTTTCAAGAATTCAATCAAAAACAAGATGTCCAAAGGAAATAAAAGAATTCATTAATATGTTATAGAATATCTGAAGATCCGGGGAAACTAGAGAGCTTATAGGTACAGTTCTCCACATGCCGTACGACAGTATGTAGGAGGTTGTTAGACTGTAGCTAATAATTCATATAGTTAGTGAGCTATACACTACTTAGTCAAATAGTTATTTAACTAGATCATAGAACATAACTTCTCTGTAGTAATCTATGTATTCGATATGCTATATTAAAATGTCGAGAAGTAAGTCCATACTGAAATACCTGGCACAAGTCGCACAGGGATACCTCAAACATTGTCTAGAAATGGGACACGGTAAATATGCAGAGTGGATATTGCAACGAGGAAAAAGATACAGTATCCGAGTCATCATTGTGTCAGTCGTGATTTCGTGCAATTAATTCTCTTCTTTTCAGGATCCAGCCCAAGATACAATGGGCAAAGCTTGAGCGAAACAGTTGATTTGCGATATCGCAGTGATAGATCTAGAGCCAGTCGATGTACTGATCCAGCATTTCGATCTTTGCGCCCTCAGATCCGTGCCGTACGCCCAGGAGTCGGACCTTTCCGATTTTACCCCCAAAGTCATCCTCGGCCGCGCTCGTCCAGTTCGCAAGGTGTTCTTCCAGACGCGAAACCACGATGGGATCATCCTGGATCAACAGCGCGATGGCATCATAGCCCCCAGCCCCAGGGACGACACCCCCAATAACACCCTCAAGCTCTGAAACACTGTCTAGCAGCTCAGTCTGAACACTCGGTTCAATGGGGACGCCTGTCTGCTGGGTCATCGTGCGGATATACTGGCGCGTACCCTGAATAAGGGAACGGATATCGGAAAAGTCGCCTTGATTAGCATCGGGGTGTTGAGCGAGCCGCTTGAGTTCCTGACGCAACCGCTCATTATTATTCTGCAGGCTGGCCCAGAGGTTATCTGCCTCCTTGCGGTTATTTTTTCTCCACTCAAGGACCTTCTTGACCATCGAGGGCGTCTGGGAGCCGCAGTCCACGTCGCACAGAACCAGCTGCATCCCACGCGGAAGCTGCATGCCGAAGTCGACGCACTCAGTATCCCACGGGTGGTCGGGATCCGAGTCCTCGACGATCGGGAACAATCGCTCTTCGAAACCAGCAGAGCCGACATCGCCCAGGGATTCCAGAATCGAAGGCGAGAATCGTCGGTAGAGACAGGATCCATAGACCGCGCTGGCAACATCGAATCCAGATCCGACCTTGCCTTGGGCTGCGCAATGGGCTGCCTGAGCGAGATTATGAAGCTTGTCGCGACCTGCGCCGATATCTTCGGGTTGCATGGTGCGGTGGATGACCAGCGCAGAGACAAGAGCTGTCACCAGCGCAGCAGAAGAACCCAATCCCGTCTTGTGAGCTTCGAACAAAGGCACGCCGAAATTAACGAAGCGCCCGCTGTGTCCTTGCGCCGCCGGGCCTTTAGAGGTAGCGGTTTCGGAGTAATAGTCGCTATCAGCCATGATGGTCACAGACAAAGACCCGAAGTCTTTAGAGTCAGCGACGTAGCTGATATAAGTCAATGCATAGCTGAGGGAGGTTTCGACGAAGGGATTGTGCTTTCTAGAAGGAATATCAGTCAGGTGTTTCCACCGAATCACCAAGTAAACATACCCATCTCCTTTCTGGATCACCTTGACACCCCCACCATTGGCACATCGCTGCACGCCATATTCCCAGACAGCGTCAAGAAACTGCGGCGAGCGCACAACGATTGTGTCCTCCCCTTCTTCTTCTTGTGGTTCTGTCCCAGAGCTTGATACCCCGCGGCGGTCTCTTGGCAATTGCTGGACGATAACGTGGATGCGGGCATTGAGGGCGAAGACGGTGCCTGTATAGCCGCGATCGAGACACAGATAGCCACCGGTGAGGAGGACTTTTCCTGGCGCGGATAATGCCGTGACGGAGGTTGGGTGAGCCATTATTAGTTGAGAGAAGGAGGAGAGTGAGGTTCAGATTTCAATTGAAGAGCAAACATGTATTTAGTTCTCCTAATTGGGAAGGCTGAGTGATGCTACAGCGGATTCTGATTCCTGGTTCGATTCCGGCCAAGACCTTTATTTTTCCCTTTCCTTTTTTTACATTATCATAAAATACATAACACAATTAGTATATTGGTTTGTTTTTAGCAGTGTCAGATTTGATGGCTGCAACATCGAGGTATAATATTGAGTGAAATGTATTATCAAAGCTAATTATGTACACTTCTGAATTGCTTCATTAGAACCTGAATGTAGAGCATGTATGAGACCAGAAACCACAAAACTCCATTTGAATCCCAAATCCAAACTCCCAGCTCCAAAACCAAAGCCTTAGCTGTCAAAAATTATGCTTACCGATGGCCATCTAAGCCTCCGGCTTCCGTGCAATGATACTATAACTCGTCGTCGCAAGACGCATGCGATCCATCTTCACAAACGCCTGACCATCCAAACAAAGCCGATTAATCAAAGTCTTGAAATGCTTCGGCAGAACATGCACCTTAACCAGCGCAAGGATAGCCTGGCGCAGCGTCCGGAAATAAACATCAACAGTATCAATAAGCGGCGCCTGCAGCCCATCAATACTAGCATTTTGCGACTTGACAACCTCAAATCCAGCCTCAACAAGCGCAGCCTCCAGAGTCTCCTGCGTCGGCGTCCCAACAGCCCCAATCAATGGCTTGACGCGACGCATCAACTCCGCATGCTCAGGGTTCCCCGCATCATAGGCCGGCAGACTAATCCAGTCGAGCAAAGAAATCCTCGAACCAGGCTTAACAACCCTGAAAATCTCCTTGAACAGCGCCGGCAGATCCTTACACAGACTCAAAGCCTGAATCTGATAGAAAGCATCGAAGGAGCCGTCCTCGAACGGCAGCGGGAGATCATTGAAGTCCTGCGTGACGAACGAATTATGCAGCCCCAGCTCGGCGTTGAACGCAGCCGCCTGCTCGACCTGGTTCGGATCGATGTTCAGCCCTGTCACCTGCGCCCCGGTATGCTGTGCCATATGTGCCGCGACACGCCCGCGGCCACAGCCCAGATCGAGCGCTTTCATGCCCGGCCCCAGGCCGACGTCCTGTGCGATTGAGCGCTCGTACAGGATCTGGTTCTCAAGGACATTCGCCTTGGGGCTCATCCAGGGGGGATGTACATTTTTTCGACGTCACCGAGGGCGCAGAGGTGGTTGAGGACGCCGTAGTAGGATTTGAGACAGTCGCCTACTTTTTCCTGGTAGTTTGGGCCCAGCTCAGCGGTCATTTGAGCTTTGTTGGACCAGTCGAGATTGTAGATGACGTAGGAGGCCATGAAGTCGTCGACTTGTTTCGGGGTTAGGTGCTGGAGGTGGCGGAAGGCCGTCCAGAAGGATTTCCAGCGTTTCGGAGATGCAGAGTCGCTCAGGTCTTGGGGTGTGGTGAGGGCATTGTGTTTTTGTTTCTCTTGGGCGATCTCGTCCAGCGAGCTGTCGCTTTCTGAGCCCCGGCCGCGGATCGGGTCGCGCGGTGTTTCTAGCAGGGTTGGTGATACCATTATGGGTCTTTAAATATAGTTATTATTAAGGGGGATATGGGTTGGTGAAAGGGTATATGTGGTATGTGAGAGAAAAAGCGCATTGGGAAATTGCATCGCATGGGGGAACTGGTACAATTTATAAGCACTGTCCCCGGAAGCATTGTCAGACCTTCTCCGTTAGAAAAATTATTCGCCAAGGGCTGTCTGTCTATGGTTAGTAGCCACATAGTGGATTGTTCACCAGACATGGAAGCTCCTCCCGGCTATTCCGGCAGCGGTTCGATTTGAACGGTAGAGATCCGGCCCTCTTTTGATTTTTTTCGGATGAGTGCCATATTTCCCAATTGCTTCAGTCTGCCATCTTCTTTTTTTAAAAAGATTCTGAGTAATGGTGGGAGCTACAACATGCCCAGGCACGGATGACGCGGGTGCAAGGTAAGGAAATGAGTATCGTCATGGGACGACGATCTAGACCCACTTATATACTTTGCAGTTTGAATACGGTCCAATATTGTATTCTGTAGTACTCTTACTTTGGGGTATTTCGATGCGGTGCAGCCCGACATCATTGTACATATCGATCGCGCAATGGCCATTGTATACAATAGTACTCCGTATACTGGTATACAATAGCTCTACCTAAGTATCTTTTACTTTTACAAGAACCTAGGCGTATACCAAGCTTTCCTCGCTGAAGCTACGGAAGCGATATTAACCAATGTTTCAAATGATTTTTATGCTTGAATGGGATTAGCTGGTAATTCCGCATGGAGTTAAGAAAAACGGCACATAGGGCAAGTAATAGTTGGTACAAAGGAAAAAGACAGGAAAAAAAAGACGGATAAAGACGGGTTCTGATTTCTAAGCGGGAAACAAGATAAGCAGAAATAAAGAGAAAGAAAGAAAGAATAAAGCCCAAAGCAGACCATGTGGTTTCGGAAATGTCATACTGTCCAACAATATTGTCAAACGATATATTGCCCACCAATATTAACCCACAGTGAGGGACTTTATATCGGGACCCACTTGATCGTCCGGTAGGGCGAAAACCTTTAGAGACCCGTGGACCCTGATTCCCGTATTTCCGAGTACCCGCGTCCAAATGCAGTAAAACGCTCCTTTAGGGACTACGTTACAGAGAAGAAAAAAAGTCTTGGCATGGCTTCTATGCTCCGAGGGTGCCGAAATTATAGAATACACAGTATATATTGTGCTAAATATAATGTAGGGAAAATGGTGCATTGGCAGGACACAAAATTGTGGTTCAAAAATACACAACATGTCACTCGTGTATAATACTGTAGGTACGAGGGAAAAAGTACCTACAGACGGGAAGTTGTATTATCAATCATAATGGAATTCGCGTCATGTCAGCCACAGCATACCTAGATAGGATAATAGTAGAGGTCAATGTGTCAGTGATGTGCATATAAAGTACTACGTATAATATTATACGTAAGTACTCTATAAAGGTAACAGACTCATTAACTATACCTGGCTTGCATACTAAGAAACATTAAAGAAACATTAAAGTTCCCTCGGGAACAGCACACATTTAATAAAACCAGACTTGAACAAGCATATCAGGTTTTGTAGAATACAGGTTTAACATAAATCACATTTTTTTAGTGGAGCAGATGAGATTTTGATAGTCAACGATGATGTATTGCAGGGAGAGGCACGTTTCTTTCCTTTTTAGGTAAAATTAGTGTCCGAGGAACAAAATAACCAGTTAAACAGAACTATAAAAGTTCATATGCATACACGTTGCAGAGATGAGTCATAGTCCTTTGGATCCTTTGAGGTCAAGATGGTATTTTATACGCTTGTAATTACTACGTATCGCTCTTATCTATATAATACAGACCATCTATCTATTCATCAACCAAGTCAACCAGCGGATATAGGATCCTTTAGGCATGACCTTTTCGTCGGTCTGCCCATTAGATGTTAATAATAAGCTCAAAGCATTATGCTCTTTGTCAATCAACTCTTGCAACTTAAGATATCGAGAAACCTTTTGTTCTTCTTCAGTATGTTGAACGTAAGGACCAAGTGACTCGGGTTTTTCGTTAGTCGCTGTGTCTTGGCCATTTTTTGGTCAGTCGCTTTGTACAGGTTTCGTAATGAAGAGTTTTGGTGAACAAAACCAAGGTATGATCAAGAGAAATAGAGTCGCAGTGACTCGACCTATATAAATTTCTATAAGTAATGCCACAATGCATTCCCTCAGGTAGGCAGGCAGGCACACCATATACATTCATTGACGCTAACTGTGACAATAAAATTCTCCTACATAGCTCGCATCCCACGTTACAAAAATGAATCATAGTCCCTTTGATCCTGTTAGCTTGGTCCTTTAAAGTCAAAATAATATCTTATACGTTAGTGTCTTCTAGATACTGCATATATTTGCTCTATCATAACATTTGAAATTTTCAAGGTAGCTTTACTAGGGACTAGTTCCTGCATAAATAACGGTACGATGGATATCCATAACCAATAGGCAAACGCTCACGGGCAGACAGGTAAGCTCACAGGCCTAGCACGCATGTTAATCATTTCATACATATGTATCCATTTAGGTATGGTCCGTGCTATACCGGTATTTCCTGGTGAATTCCTGCCAGGTAACATGCACATAATACCTAAGTGAGGCTGATATTAGTCAAGGAAGTAATTGGACATCATTTCCAGGGATCACAGCTCCAGGAACTCAATAGGAGAGCTACTTATATATGGAGAGATAGTAGAGCTGACCGAAGCCGCATTAAAGTATACGGTGCTTCCGGAAATCGGTGCCATCACCTATATACTTCAATATATTTTCGAACCCTAATACTAAGACCACTAGCCTAGATCTAGGATAGTGCCGAATGATTGAGAACTCACGATCAACGACCGATACAGTATTGTACTGTTTGTAGTATTACTAAACACATCTGCGGAGACGCTTTCTTTGACAGTAATATTTACAAGGACTGTCGAGGGGATGAAACCTAAAGAGTAGTGCAGGGATACTTTAATGACATTGTCTCCAGTTACAAAGAACTTGACTTACACTCAGTGCCAAGACGAGCACAGCTTGAACGAATCATTGCCGATATGATTTCTCTTTTCCCGACTTTTGGGATGATGCACCTCAACCTCGTAGATTCTGCGATCATTCCGCCTAGCTATATCATCTACCAGTGAAGTGAACACCGCAACTGAGCCGGCAGTTCAGTAATTCTCGATGGCGCTCGGATAATGCGGCTGAAAGCTTACTGAAGTCTTTGAACTGGCCTGCTTTATAGAGGTATAGATCTATGGCAGCGAGGTGGGCAATTGAGAAACTTTGTAGCTACACTACCCAAGCTTTCCACCTGAATTCCTATGTACTTGATTTCCTCTGCCACTTCTTGGCCTTCCGTTTCTATTTAAGTGCTCAGACCTTGCCGCTTTTTGCTCGCTGCGTATGATCTGAGCATGCATCTGAGTCTGATCAGATCCCAGCTCATTACATAAGGATCTGATCATCGTTCTATTGAATATAGCCTAGCATTATCAGTATAATCTTTAGTCTTAGTGAATTGGCTATTATCAATTTACGTGAAGCTATTTAAATTCAATGAATGAGGTGGTTGAACTGATAACAATGAGTTTACGGTCGGGGTGAGGTTACGCCCGGGAACCCGGACGCCGCCTGGTGGCCGCGTTCGACGACCTGATTATATTTTTTATAAACTCACTTGGCATGATATGGAACTTCATAAGGCGAACGTATTCTAGAGCTGTCACGGCAGCCGAAAGGAATGGTTCACTGCATCCACATCCACACCCACGGGTGAAAGGCGATCAGTACAGACCCCCTCGAAATCAGTTTAACCTATTTCTTCTCTTCAATATTTTCTTGGATTATGTCGATATCCAATTATGTTAACGCCTTATGGAAAGGCAGCTTTCACTTGCATCTACCACATTATTCGGCGACTCAAGATCCCCTAATCTCCAGAGTTCGCTTAACGCACACAAATTCCATATAGCCTAGAAAACAAGTTCTATTTTGAACGAAAAATCCCGATCTTAAGTGGGGCCTATGGCCAAAGTTGGGGTTATTGTGTAGACCCAGTGATCGGCTTAATACTGAAGTATAGGGCTGAAGCAGAGCCCCAGGGCTAAAGCCCTTAATTCTGTGACAGATTTTGGGGAGATCATAAAAATACCAAGATACACATGGGAACTGTCTATGTGTCTCAACTCCTCGTATTGCATGGTTTATGCGTTCTCAGGGTCCTTAACATCCGGTGAAAAACGCATCACATAGATACAACCTGAATGAGAAGCTAAGGCCACTGTTGAATCTGCTACTGCGAAAACCCTCGGACGATACTTCGGAGGTAGCCAAATCAGATTCTGTCCTTCATTCACAATCCATATGCCATCAGCACTTATGCCATAACCAGAGTGGCTACGATCGCGGGGCGCAGCCCTCTCGCTATCGAATATAGCCGTGCCAGAACCAGAGGGGATATCAAAAGTTCCAAGCTCTGTAAACAGTCGGGAATTTGTTTTTGGGTCGAATGAAAGTTGATATACAAGCGTGCCAACAGACAAAGTGTGGAGGCAATTACCCGAAGTGGCATCCCAGATCCTAATGGTCTTATCTTCGGAGCCTGATGCGAGTCGCTGGCCGTCACTTGAGAAGACCACTGACCATACCGAGCTACTATGTCCCTTGAGAGTCTGGAGGCAATCATTCGAAGTGACTTTCCAGATCTTGACTGTCATATCGTCGGAGCATGATGCAAGTCGCTGGCCGCTATTCGAGAAGACCACAGATAACACCAAACTATCATGGCCCTCGAGAGTCCGGAGGCAATCACCCGAATTAGCATCCCAAATCTTGACTGTGTTATCATTAGAACCTGATGCGAGTCGCTGGCCATCATTCGAGAAGACCACAGATAACACCCAACTATCATGGCCCTCGAGAGTCCGGAGGCAATCACCCGAATTAGCATCCCAAATCTTGACTGTGTTATCATTAGAACCTGATGCGAGTCGCTGGCCATCATTCGAGAAGACCACTGAGTTCACCCAGTACTTATGACCCTCGAGAGTCTGGGGGCAATCAACCGAAGTAGCATCCCATATCTTGACTGTCTTATCGTAGGAGCCTGATACGATTCGCTGGCCGTTATTCGAGAAGACCACTGACCACACCGAATCATCATGGCCCTCGAGAGTCTGAAGGCATCGACCCGAAGAGATATCCCAGATCTTGACTGTCTTATCGTCAGAGCCTGATGCGAGTCGCTGGCCGTCATTCGAGAATACCACTGAGTTTACCCAGCGATCATGGCCCTTGAGAATCTGGACGCATTTACCCGAATTGGCATCCCAGATCTTGACTATTTTATCCAGAGAGCTTGATGCGAGTCGCTGGCCGTTGTTCGAGAAGACTATTGACCACACTGGCCCATTATGACCCTCGAGAGTCTGGAGGCAATCACCCGAAGTGGCGTCCCAAATCTTGACTGTGTTATCGTGAAAGCCTGATGCGAGTCGCTGGCCGTCATTCGAGAAGACCACGGATTTTACCCAATCATCCTTGCTGTTAAACGTCTGGAGGCAATTACTCGAAGTAACATCCCAGATTTTAATTGCTATATTTTTAGAGCATGATATAAGTCGCTGGCCGTTATTCGAGAAGACCACTGATAATACCGAATGATTATGGCCATCAAGAGTCTGGAGGCAATCACCCGAAGTAGCATCCCAGATCTTAACTGTCTCATCGAGAGAGCTTGATACGAGTCGCTGGCCGTCACTCGAGAAGACGGCCGAGGTTATCGACCCATTATGGCCCTTGAGAGTCTGGGGGCAACCACCCGAAGTGGCATCCCAAATCTTGACTGTCTTATCGTGGGAGCCTGATGCGAGTCGCTCGCCGTCATTCGAGAAGACCACTGAGGTCACCCCATCATTATGGCCCTCGAGAGTCTGTAGACAGGGGTCCCAAACCGTTCCAACTTTTGGCTTGCCACATATCCATTTTGGTTCTTCTCGATTGAAAAGCTGTTTGATCAGGCTGCCAGACGGACTGAACACGAGAGCAGAGACATACACTTGTAATGGAGCAATCTCTATAGCCCCCTTCTGTGACAGAATGAACCGTCTAGCATCGTTGATAAAGCTGTATAGCTCTCGAGATTCGAGATTCCTCTGTTTATTTTCAATTAGTCCCGGGTTCAAAGCCAAAAAAAGAAAAACTCACGGAGCAAGCCTCAAGTCTTTCCATCGCTTTGACCCCCTCAGGGATACTAGATAGCAAGCTGAGAGCCTCCAGCCAGTAAAGGTACTTGTCTTGTAAGAACTCATGTACTGGACCTCCATTCTTCATGCTTTCGTGGAACTCTCTGGCTGGGAGGCTCAGTGAAACCAGATTATAGAGGAGAAATGCCAAGGTAACGAGTGATTTGAAAATGAGTCGAATGAGGTCGATGTACCAACGGGGGCTTTGTGCATGTACATCTGTCAAAGGTTTTATTTCGACCTTGCCTTCCGGCGCTGATAGGTTCTGGGAACCGGGTGGAGCCAGATTGAGAAGATGGTCAGCCCAGTAAACGCAGGAATACCGGACTTCAGTAAGTGGATCAGGTTTTGGCGGTGACACTAGACTTTTGTGAAACCCAGGGTCTTTCAGTTTGTACATATCTCGCTCTAATGTTCTTGAGAGATTTTGAAGCGAGATTGAAAAGATGCGATAATGCTGATGATCCACATCGAAAGGTAAGATTTGTCTTCTTGCAATTGTATTCTCAAGCAAGAATTCCTTCGCAGATTGATGAACGAAGGATATGACTTCTGTATCCTTTTGCTTTTGCATAGTCAAAAAAGAGCCACAGGATGCAATGATCGATTTGGCTCCCTGAAGGTCAGGCTGTCCCAGCAGCGATACCATTTCGTCCCAATTGATGGGGCGGTAGACAACACAGGCAATTGCAAGGATTTGCTTGCAAACTTCTGCGTCCTTCCGTGACTTGTTGAGGTCTTCCATCATTTTTGCATAGAAATTCTCAAGGCCTGCAGGAAACTTGGCTTCAAGAATTTGGAGCGTATGGCGGGCGAGGACGTCTATGCCCTCGAGGGCTTTGCATACCAATGCTACCCAGAGAAAGGTGCCTTGCGCATTTGACTCCAGATGCTGCTGAACGACATGCCGCAGAGCTTCGTCATACCGTTTCTTATCTGCCAGTTCCTTCACCTTGTGCAATATATAGAGTTGCACAGATTCAGAAATCGAGGATTGATCTGATTCGAGGGATAACACAATTTTCTGCTGCAAAGGATTTAACTCGTTCTCGATGATCTCTGAAGGGCGACTCGAGACCAATACTTTGATCCTGACAGACGATAAATTAGAGACATCCGCGATCAGTTGGAGAAGTTTTTTAAGGTCTTGAAGGTCATGCTGACACTCGTCAAGAGCGTCCACAATCAGGTATAAACCCGGAAGATCTGGGTCCTTCAACGCTTTCATGAGTGTATTGCGTAACATATCAAAGCTATTTAAGTCGAGATGGTAAGAGATGTCCGTACGATTCATCTTGTCGCGTAGTTTCCTATGTTCATCAAAGAGAGACTCAAGAAGGCCGCGTACCAAAGAGGTAGCATTGTTGAATTGATTGTCATTCGCTTGACAGAAGAAATAGATCGGTTTCCAGCCATGACTCATTCCATTCTTGGATTCCTGCTGTAACTTATCGATGATTCCACACAGAATCATGGTTTTGCCTTTTCCGGGCTCTCCCCTGATCCAAAGCAACTGACTAGTCTGTGACTGGTGCCATTGCCGATAATATTCGTCCGAAAGGATCCACTTGAAAGATGGCGGGTAAAGCTTCTCTTTTTCTTCATTAAACTTTGAATAACTAGTAGGGCATTGGCGTATTAAGTTGTGAAGAAACCCCTGTGTAGAGCCTTGTGTGGATCCTTCTTTTTATCAGCACTGGTTACATAAAAGAAGGGCTGTATCTCTCTGCTCTCTCGTTTTATATATCGACAGTGATATGAATATCACGTATATATCAAGAAAGCCTCAGGGAGCCTTACCTAAATTGACTGTGTCAACGCTGACATTGTACACTGGATTAAAGGTGTTCATGCCTCCGCTTGGATTATTCTGCTGTACCATGCCACCAATGTTCACGATTTGGGTGGCCTGAATCAAAGTCTTCGACTCGACAGCCGCATCATCTAAAGATGGCTCCACGTGAGAGATGTCCTCAAGAGCCTTTTTGATTTCCGCAACGTCCTCTTGAGTCGCCAATCTGAACCGCTGGTATAGAGCAAGCTTCTTCATGGCCTCCAGGATATCGTTCATTAGGCTCTCCACGCGATGCCCCTTGATGCCGCGCAAGATCTCGTGGTACCATCCGCGAAGCTTGTCCCAACTTCTCGCATCTTTGTCTTGCTTGCATTTTTTCTCGAGCGCATCAAATATTTGCTTCAGTTCGGTAGCTTTGATTTCGCATTCCCGAATAATTCGAGTGATCGATTGCTGTTCTGCCTTGGTCAGATTTCGCTGCTTTAGCTGAGCACGAACGTCTTTAAGGATCCTCTGAGCCAGAGGAAGATACGTTCTGACATGCTCGAACGCTTTAGGGAGGTTTCTGATTGTGTTGAAGGTCGCATAAGTGGTAGAAATCGCCTGGAGGAGTCCGACGACAGATGCGACGATGCTGAGAGGATCCATGAATCACACAACGGAGACTCTCAGAGTAAGGGGGTTAAAGGCAAGTGTTGGCTCATAAATGGTAGAGGCCAGCTGGCCAAGCTACCCCTCTTTCGAGTTAGAACAACCTAACAGGCTGTGCAGACAGCTACTGTAAGCTAGCGAATCAAAGTATTCGCTTTCTGTCCCCACCGAGTCACTAGACCGGCCGCTCCTGACCACAAAATCGAACCGATTGTCAACGGCCCCAATCAATTGTGCCCCACGATTCACCCTTCAACAGTGCCTGCGTTAGCCGGCGCAGTCCGCTTCGGGATGATTTTGGTTCAGGTTTTCAAGTAGAGATTGTGTCAGGGTGTTCATTTTCAGCGTCCATCTCAACGCCCCCTCGCCTGAACATATCATGCACCAATGTGTTCTAGTAGAAATGCATCGATGAAGCCGTGTTTCTCTGCCATTCGTTATTCTCTATGTCACCATATCTTTAAAATTATATCAACTAGGAGCCTTCATCTGGGTGGCGAATATAACATCTGCCTACCGGTTCAACCCCCTTACTCCATATCGATACATTTTCTGCGCTTCTGTACTCTTCTAGGGTATTTTAGATTGTAATTTTCGATCTCTGAAGCCAGCACCCTGCTCGTTTCAATGCTATGATGTCTAGCGAAATATAAATCCTCCTTAAGCAAGGCCGTATTTTCAACAAGGATGTACTAAATACCAATACTCACAGATCGTCATCCTTCCGAAGTCTTTGATCTTTCTTCTCTTGCTGAAGTCTGAGTCGTCCAGCGACGGACCTGCCTTGGCCAGGTCATTGAGAGCCTCCTCAATTTCTGCGGTCGACATTTGCACGACGCCGTGCAGACACAGCTCCTTCATCTTTCCTAGGATGTGATTCATCAAGCACTCCATTCGAAGCTCTTTGTTCGGCTCCAATGCCTGAAGGTACAAGAGACAACCGTAGCCCAGCTTTTGGGGTCATGATTTTGCTTGCATCTCTTCTCTAGGGCTTGAAGTATGTCCCTCAGTTTGATGACATAATCAGATAAGTGGTTTGTTATGGTAGAAATAGAATGTGATTGTACCATCGTCATCGTTGCCCACTTAAGCTTGGTTTGGGTGGTCGTCAGTCTCCCCTCGACAAGTGAAAGGTCCTTTGTGACTTTGCTAAATGCCTCGGGAGATCTAACGGTATCGATCGTCCCGTAGGAGGCGTGGACAGCAGCGACATTTTCGTGACAGTGAGGTGGACAAAAGAGCCAGAAAGAATGATCATTTCCAGGCAGTGGAGGTTTTTATCGACAGAGACTAACTAATGGACGGAAAAGAACGTGGGGCTTCTGGGAGACATGCCCACAAAAGGGGCAGGGCTAGGAACGGAACGACCCGATCCAAAAAGTCAGATCCAGAGCACCCCCATAGCCAGACAAACTCTACGAGGACACTTTAATTGCATCATATGAAGAGGCCACTTTTTTCCAGTGCTTTCAGGCACACATCATGAGAGCTGCAAGACTGGGATTCGTGATTGCTACAATAGAAAATATGGAGCTCCAGTATTTTCACCTCCTTTTTTGAGGTCCGTAGTCTCGAGAGGGGCTACCAAAAGCTTCCAGGGCAATCAGGCCGCCAAGTCACGTGCTGTTCCCAACATCCCAGCATACCCCGAGACCCATGACAGAAATCTTTTCATTCGCTCCCTGAGCAAAAGGGTAAGCAAGGCTGTGAGCATGGAGAAAAGAATTTCCCATGGTGCCTAACAATGCCCATCAGTCAATGCCTTATGGGGCTTCCGCCTATAACACCTTCCAAACCTTTCGGAAAATGGCGCCAAGGCTCCCTGCATCGAAGCTCGAGATGATCTGTGACATGATACTTGAAACCCCTAAATACGTCGCAGATGACCGAAGCAGCTAAACGTAGTAGGCGTTCTATCATCAACATCCGCAACAACCTCCACCGATTCAGTAAAGTCAGAGCCCCTTCGACTCGTGTCGGACGACGAAGAAGTATCACCCCTCCAATACTAGAGGTCATATGTGATTATCTTCTTTAGGAAGCCTAGGTTATACGTGGATGAGATAGCGCTCTTTATATAAGATGAATTCCATATTCAGGTGATAGATCTAAGTCTCTAGCGAGCTCTTACGTCTGTCCGCTGGTCGATAAAGGTAACTCGACAGAGAGCAAAAGAACAAACACCGATATACAAGACTTCTACCTACACAGCCTATCGGATTTCTAGTCCTACTACCTAGTCTATATAGACGAGTCCGGGTACGATAAACGAATTAATTTCAGACGGACCGGCTAGTCTCCGGTCAGTGCGATACCTTTATAGGTGTCTAAATTCCATCGCGACCAACGGTATTAGCTCCTTACTATTTACGCCTAAGATGAAACCCTGTTTTCTTAATTGTATTAAGGCCCGACTAATATAGCTATATTCGAGAATTTCGTCGCGCAGGTTCTTAATTGGTATGGCTCTTTTTCCATCCAAGCAGACCATTTCTTAATCACTGCGATAGCCTTCCTGGGTGACGTCTCAAAACATTATTCGTGTGTTTTCAAACGGCTCTGACAATAGATGTATGCTTGGCGGTGCTTCAACTCCGCGTGGCATAATTTTCGACACGGGGGGCATTTGGAACGAGTGCCGCCTTGATAGTAGGCATTGGAAACAAAAGGCTTACCACTCCTTATGACGCTCTTCAACAGGGCCCATAGTGTACCCAATCTTAAGGAAACCTATATTTCCGTCAACCCCGTAGACGTAAAGGTAGCTATTGTTTTTTTATCAGCGGCGCTCAGCGTCTTTATCATCCGCCTTCGTACACCGTCGTATGAAGCCTTATGATCATTAGGCCTATCTCTCCTTTTGAAGATGTCAAAAGGAGTCTTATCGTACTGGTCTAGCCAATATGTAACCAGTTTCCTAACTGAACCGACCCGAAATAGAGGGTGGTGTTGAATGTTTTTCCAAACCTGATATGCTTTTGTGCGGTGGAGGTATTGCGAGTTGCCGGGAAGCATGTGATCAAATCCTGTCTTTCACGATCATCTGTGGTTCTGCTTTCCTTTAATGATCTAGGAACCGAGCTAGCCCTTTCAAGGACGTCCTGAATTCTCTCCTTCCACGACGTCAGCTCTTTCGATGATCTTTACTCTATATGAGGATGGCAATACATCTTTGTCGAAAGAGCTCGAAGGAAGAAGTTCAAACTTGTATCGTTTGGGTAGACCTCAGCCTTGGAAAACCTCTTGGTTGCTTTGGTGCAGTTTTTAGTCCTTTGCCCCCCGATAGATTTCTTGCAGCGATTGTTCTCCGGAGTAGTTCCTATACACTGAATAATAAATCGACCAAGCAAAGTTCGATTTCTTTTTCGACTGACGTGCCATGTAAGGTTTGATCAGGTCCAGAAGGTAAGGAGTCCATCCATGAATCCAGTCGCATCTGTTTTACATTACTGCGTCGGTGATAGTGGCAATGCACAATATCGACCAGCTTCTCTAGGTCAAGTTGAAATTGGGCAGATGACGGGTGAAGCACATCGTTGAATCAATGTGATTCTCAATATGGCCACGAAGCTTGTTTGGTACATGTATTCTGCATGGCGTCTGATCTTTTGTGAAGCTCCTACACAGCTAGTAGTCGATGCCAAGGAGACGTTTCAAGGTTGATGCTTTTGGCAGTACTGTTTCGATTCTCGGATCTTCATCCGGGGTGTTCAAATGAGTGACAGGATTCAGGGAGTTAGTGGGACTGGCGGTGCCCAACGACGAGATGGCTGCAGAAGAGCCGAGCTTTTGACCAAAATCCTCACAGGTGGTATGGGGAACACCTTCTCTTTCACGCGTCGAATTTGGAGGGCTTGGATAGGCAGCTAGGAGTGAGATAAACTGGTGCAACCCGGAATAAACCTTTGAACCCTCGGTGATGATTTGGTTCTTGTTACAATAAGATAGGGTGGGGTTGGGCAGAAAGTTGCGAAGATATTTGCTATATATGTATATGTATATGAACAGTAGCCGTCTTACCATATGACCAATGCTGCTTCCGCGCATTCACGGTTCATATGGTAAGACGGCTATAATAAGATACTTGTTCCTATCCGGAATTTCTTTCTCAGAACACATGGGGCTTGGTATGTCATTGATGAGTGTCAATGGTGACATCGATTTTCGGAAGTACTGTATAAATATTGTACATCTATAAGAATGAGAGAGAATTAACTCGCCGTTTGAGCCTGAAAATCACCCAAAATCGGGTTGAATCCCGATTTTGGGTATTTTCAGACCCAAACAATGAGCCAATTACCTCCAATTCTGTATCAGACTAAAGATGATTGAGCAGACTGGCGGAATATGACATGTGGGAAAGCGAAACAATAACATAAGCTGATCCCTGTTGGTTCCGGGAACCCCGTTTCAAGGGTCAAAAGCCAGTCAGAAGACAGATATGGGCTGACAGATATGCGATTGAGGTATGCCCACAGCCCTAACCACATAATCGAATTGATCATATAATAATAGAATTGGTTTGAGGCATACCTTTGAGGCTCAATTGGACGTCATTGACAAGGGTGAAAAGTTCTCACGAGAGAAGAAAGGGGAAAGACGGAACAAAAGATGCAAACACCGTTAAGTCCGAGTCGGCCAGTCGGGACACCGAAAGACCGCCGGGGAAAGGGACTTGCAGCTCCGGAAGACCAGAGTAGTACGGAGTATTAAAGTGAACAAGAAAAAGAATCGGGACGACCGTGACTCACTTCAGGGACAACCCCCCTTTTCAAAGTTTCAACCGGGAATGTGCTTGTTCTGATTGGTTAATGAGTTTTTTTTTTATTAGACACCTGACTTGACAGGACACATTTACTCGTCATTTAGGAAGTAGTTCTTCAATTGTATCGGGTACCTTTCCGACTTGTACAGTCCCTGTTGATTGATTCCGCCACAGTGACAGATCAGATATCCAGATACAATACATCAATGTATACACTACATATGTACATATATACTTGCATATTCAAACACGTATACCGTACAATATTATAGATCTTGGACATGAAACGGGGCGCAATCACAAATTCCTCCGACAAATAGTACATCACATACGGAGTACGGAGTAAGCAATTTATGGTACAAAGTACAGTCCATATGTGACTCCGGAGAGGATCGGCCCTAAAGCATATCGAGGCCCACTGTGAAGGACTCCATCTCTTTCCAGAAGATGATTACTTATTTTTCTCCCTTTCCAGGCTTCCATATTTTACTCTCTTCATCATCCGTGTCCTGTACCTAATAGGACTTTTTTAGTTATACCCTAATACTTTCAATTTGCGCGTTCATTGACGACTCTCGTCAAATGAACCTGCACTTATTCAATAATCTCGAGTGCAAGGTAAGTGATGTGCATGTGACCACAAAAATACCACCACGAAACTGACATCTGCGAACTCCAGCATAACCTCTTTGCTCTGAAGAGGTCACCAATCAAATAAATGGTTTTCAAACCATTCACCCATCTCGCGCGCCAGTCTTTCACCAAAGCCTTCACCCACGGCTATGCCCAGTCCGTAGTTGCCGCTTCGCAGACCTACGCGTCAACAGTCAACCCGCTCGCTGTTCAGCCCGCCAAATTCTCCCGCACAACACAACTCCAAAATGCCTTCTCGAACACCTCTAGCTCGTCTGGCGCTGGCGCCAAGGCCAGCCAGGGCGGTTCTGGAAATGGTGACTTCGGCCTAGCGGCGTACTATGCTGCCTGGCACAACGCCCAGCAGACCGGCGACGAGAGCGATTGGACACAGTATGAGTTTAAGCGGAGGATTGGCTGGAAGGCCGACGAGGCTGATGCCATCACGGAAGATCGCGCTGCCGAGTCTGCCCCGCCGCATCCTACCAAGGCTGCCGTAAACGACGATGTTAGCGCGCAGGTTGAGGAGGCCGTTGCGCGCGAGATCCAGGTCCAGGAGGAGCAAGCGCGGGCGGAGGAGGCGCTGAGTGTATCCGGGGATGTGGCGGAGGTGTCTGATGCTGCTCTTGTCGCGTCGGATGGGATTGTGCGGCTGGTTGCTGAGGAGAATTTTGGCGATATCCCAACTGCTTTTGAGGCGCTGCTGAGGGATGGCCTGACCCCCACCGTTGAGGCGTACAATGCTCTGCTGGTTGCTGCTATTCGTCTGCACCCGGATGCTGCCCAGGCTATTCCCAAAGCGCTCGATGTTTACTCTGACATGCTCCGTCGCAGTGTAATTCCCGATGAAGATACTTACGAGACTCTTGTCCGGCTGCTGGTTACCCGGGCTCATGATATTATCGACGCCAAGTCTGTCCTGGAGCAGGAAAGAGTTAGATTCGGTGGGATGGAAGAGCAGGGCAAGTTCATGCTTCAGTCTAGTGAGTTGGAGCATGCTATTCTGGTTGAGGATACTTCTTTGTCTATTGCCGTGAAGCTCTTTGATACCGCTGTTTCGCGACACAGCCGTCTTGTCTTCCCTATGGAGATGTACCGTCAGCTTATCATTGCCTGCGCCAAGGAAGAGAAGGTTGAAGACATGATTCGCATTTACGCCCACATGGAATCCCAGAAGATGACCCCGCATGCCACTATCTTCCCCTCCATGATCACTGCATTTGCTTCCACTGGGGATCTTCGGAGTGCCGTTGAATGCTATAACGAGTACCGAGGACTCGCTGTCTCCGATGACAGCGGTGTCTTCAGCATTGTGCAGCGCCAAGATGGCCAGGTCTATGCTGCCTTGATCCGTGCCTACCTTTCCTGTGACAAGGAAGCCGGCGCCATGCAGTTCCTCGAGAAGATTCGCTCCTCCTTCGATGATGTGACCGACGGTCGCCAGGACCGGTGGTCCGCGGTGGAAAGCGTTATTGTCAAGGATGCCTTTGTGCAACATTCGATCAACACCTTCAAATATGATCAGGCACTGGAACAAGCAAAGGACCAATTGCACGGTGTGGCGCGTGATCAGGCCATCTCCCGGATCTGCATTGCCGCAGCCGATGCGGACGATCTCCCCACTGCTTCAGCAGCATACGATAGTTTGGCCACTGCACCAGCCGTACGACAGAACCCGGCCATTTCCCTGCTGGCGCTTCACGTTCGCCGGGGCAATGTTTCGGCGGCCCGTTCCTTGTGGATCATGCTGAACACAGTGGGTCAGGCAACTCCGGATCTGGTTCAGCCGACAGCTATGTATGCGGTCGCTCTGCTCAAGAGTGGAAATGTTGAGGAGGGTCTTCACCAGGCCCGTAACATGTTCACGCGTATCCGCAACGCGTCCACTGAAGGTGCCGACATTCGCGAACAGATCACCGAGTCGCTTCACCTCTTCGGTCGCGTCCTTATGCAGTCGGCCGCTGTTCTTTCCCCTCAAGCCTCCATGACATTGTTGTGGTCCATGGTCGAGAACGGCGGTCTGGTGTCGCCTCTGGCTGAGCACGCAGTTGCCAATCTTGGTCCCATCGGTATCTCCCAGCTCAAGTCTGCGGACTTGACCCTTGCCCTCCAAGTTCAGGCCGGTATGCTGGCCAGCAACAGTTCCATGCTCTTTGACGTTGCCCACCCGGTTCGTTTTGCCCACATGCTTGACGTTGCTCTGTCTTCTGCCCTCCCGATGGATGTTTACACCACTGGCCTTGTTGACCAGGCGGTCGGTCGACTCTATGTCACCCGCCCCGATGTTGTCAAGAAATGGCAAGACCACCTGGAGGCAACTTCTCAGACCTCCGCGTCGCCCACACAGGCTTTCCACTCTGATCGTCAAAGCCCAGTGTCCATGGCCGAGACCTCGATTACAGCCCCCTCTGTCGCCCCTGAGTCGTTCGATCCCTACGCGCATGCAACTGACTTCCGTGGATCTGCCATGATCGCAGAGGAGCTCGAGAAGACCAGCGGACGCGTTGAAACCCATCTCAACGAGGCTCTGGCGCGTCTTAACAACATGCGTCGTGCTGGTCGCCACCCGCGTTACATCACCTACGCTAAACTGATCACTGCCGCGTCCAAGGCTGGTCGCATGACTCTGGCCCACGAGATTCACAACATGGCGCGCTCGGACGTGCCTCTCGACATGAACTTCACTGCTGTCAAGTACGGCTGGGTTTCCATCCTCGATGCCATGGTCGCTGCCTGCCTCACTCTCGGTGACCGTCAACTCGCTGCCCAGTACCACCAGGAACTTCTCACTCTGGGCTCCGCACCCTCGGCAAACACGTTCGGCTTGTACATCACCACTCTGAAGGAATCTACCAAGACTTTCGACGAGGCCACCGAGGCTCTCAAGGTCTTCCACCGTGCTGTCGCCGAAGGTGTCGAGCCTACGTCATTCCTGTACAACGCGCTCATCGGCAAGCTCGGCAAGGCCCGTCGCATCGACGACTGCCTCGCGTACTTCGCTGAGATGCGCGCCAACAACGTGCGCCCGACAAGTGTGACCTACGGAACCATTGTGAACGCCCTGTGCCGCGTCAGCGACGAGCGCTTCGCCGAAGAGATGTTCGAGGAAATGGAGTCCATGCCCAACTACAAGCCGCGTCCCGCGCCCTACAACTCCATGATCCAGTACTTCCTCAACACAAAGAGCGACATCACCAAAGTTCTCTCCTACTACGAGCGCATGCAAGCCCGCAACATCCAGCCAACCATGCACACCTATAAGCTGCTTATCGACGCCCACGCCTCCCTCGAGCCGGTCAACATGGCCGCCGCCGAAGCCGTCCTCGAATCAATGAAAGCAGCCGGCCAACACCCAGACGCAGTGCATTACGCCTCCCTGGTACACGCAAAGGGCTGCGTGCAGCATGACCTCGCCGGCGCGCGCAAAGTATTCGACCAAGTCCTCTCCGACCGCCGTGTCCGTCCCCAGCCATGCCTCTACCAAGCTCTTTTCGAATCAATGGTCGCCAACCACCGCGTCGCAGACACAGACCCCGTCGTGGCCGACATGCAAGCCCACAAGATCGAAATGACCGCCTACATCGCCAACACCCTCATCCACGGCTGGGCCGCCGAAGGCAACGTCTCCAAAGCCAAGGCCGTGTATGACAGCATCGGCATTCAAAAACGCGAACCAAGCACCTACGAAGCCATGACCCGCGCCTTCTTGGGCGCTGATCAGCGTGCCAGCGCCGCTGCCATTGTCCAGGAGATGATGTCCCGTGGATACCCGTCTGCCGTGGCGAGCAAGATCGTTGATCTTGTTGGCTCTTCTTCTTCTCTTTAAATTTTGATCTCCATCTTCTGATCATATTCGTTTAATGTTGCCCTACTGCAGGGCTGGATCCCGGGTTCGGTATCCATCGGTCATACCCGTATTTTTGTTTTGCATTCAGCGTTTCATGGCGTTCGGCGATCAAAATGTGCCTTTGGCACTGTATACCATTGTGAATTATTTTGTTCATAGATCATCTCAACTCTCTATGCGTGTAGACGCTAAAATCAATGAAAAAAATGAATGAGTCAAAATTACCTTCCTTCTGTAGCCATAGTCGCAATCTTTTCAAATAAAATAAAAAGGAAGAGCTGCGGAGATGGCATGATCGGGTCTTCTTGCTGACACCCGCGTATATACTCCGGAATTTCCCATTCCGGAGCTCCTGAGCTCACTACACTTGAGTTCTCTCAACCAACTCTTGTTCAACAAGCATTGCGCACAACCTACTCGTGCAATCCAACTTACAATTACATTGATGCTCACCCGTCTACGTCTACACTCATCTTTCCGCATCGCACCCAAGTCACTCGTTCCCCGCCCCCGCCTCACCTCCAGATATTCAACCACAACACCACCAAAAATGGACCAAAGCAATCACCCCACGCGCCCAAAGAAGCTAATCTGTAAGCCTCTTTCCCCCTTCCCCCCCAAATCCACCCACAACAAAAATTAAACTAACACCCCAAAGTCGCACCCGGCGACATCGCTCCGGAACCCAGCACCCCGCAGCACGAGCACCCCTCCCCTTCCGAAGTCTCAACCCCAACCTCAGCAACAGAAGCCCAAATCCTCTCCCACCCCGCCCAAGCCCACCAATTCGGCACAAACCCGCCGCTCACAATCTCCCAACTATCCCCAAACCCCCTCCACCAATTCAACACCTGGTTCCACGACCCGCGTCTCCTCCCCTCCTCAGCACCAGAGACCTGCGTCCTTGCTACCGCCGAACTCCCTTCTGGACGGGTCAGTGCACGCACACTCTACCTGAAGGAGCTCGACGAGCGCGGGTGGGTGGTTTACAGTAACTGGGGAAGTCGGGCAGGGAAGGGGGCGCAGGTTTTTGGTGCGCAGGTGGATCAGGGACAGGAGCCCGGTGGTATGCCTGAGCCGCATGAGGATGGCGGTCTTGAGACCGAGGCTGCTGGGGGGAATAAGTGGGGCGCGTTGACGTTTACCTGGGCTGAGGTTGAGCGCTGCGTTCGCGTTGAGGGACTCCTTGAACCGCTTAGTCGCGAGGAGAGTTTGGTCTACTGGCAGACAAGGGAGCGCGGGTCGAAGATTGGCGGGTGGGCGAGCTGGCAGAGTAGTGTTTTGTGGGAGGCGAGGGGGGAGGAGATTCCTACGTTGCGTAAGGATATTGAGCTTGCGCAGAAGGGAGATGGCTCTGATGGTGTTGAGGCTGTTGATGATGCGGATGGGAGGGGGGTGCTTGAGGCACGGGTTAGGGAGGTGGAGGAGAGATTCCGTGGTGTTGAGGAGATTCCGCTGCCGCCGTTTTGGGGCGGCATGAGGCTTGTGCCTGAGTCTGTGGAGTTTTGGCAGGGGAGGCGGAGTCGGTTGCATGATCGGTTTCGATTTGTTAAGGAAGGGGAGGGATGGAAGGTTCAGAGGTTGTCGCCCTAAATTGTCTGAGATGTTTTTTCAAGGTTATGGAGGTATGAACGGAGTATGTAGATGCGAGATCATGCCGATCATCCATATCAGTCTTATCCTTATCGCTATCAGTCTTGGCATCCCTTTCACAGACGTCGCATCTTCATCTTTCTGTACATATCTGGTGTACAACCCCTTTCTATATACAACACCGAAAACACAATGTCCGAATCACAGCCAAAATCTTCCGCATCGCCCTGGGTCATCCTCGCAGTGACGAGTGGTGCCTTCGCCGCATTGAACGGTGTCTTTGCGAAACTGTAAGCATAATTAATCCTATACAGCTCTAGCTATACCTACCTACATATGTAAATATGTACGTGCAGGTAGCTACAGGCCTATAGTCTCTCCACCCCCTAACATAATAACCCTAAGCCAATTAAGATTATTGTGTAACACCAGACTAACAAACACAGAACCACGGACCAACACACAACATCATTCGCCCAGTCAATCGCCCACATCTTCGGAAAGGACTCATCGCCTTTTATCGAGATGCTCGTTAGAGTAGTACGAATAACTCTATCATCCATCACTGCAACCAAATCCCAACTAACATTATTTCCCAGGCCTGCCTCGGCCTAAACGTCCTCTGCAACATTATCATGTGGGCACTATTCACGCGTGCTCTCACAGCCGGCCCGTCAACGACGAAAGTCTCCATCACCAATACGGCCTCTAATTTCCTCGCCACGGCCGTCCTGGGAATGGTCGTTTTCCAGGAGGCTGTTGGGGGCTTGTGGTGGGTTGGTGCGGGGATGATGGGGGCGGGATGTATTCTTGTTGGGATGAGGGAGGGGGCTTAATTAGTAGGTTTATAACACAATGCAATGTATATATGTCATATATTGTTTGTAAGGAACCAGTTCGTCGAAAGCAGCAATCATCCCATTCCATCCGGTCTTACGCTCTAAACATCCACTGCCAGCACCCGTTTCGTCATTTCCGTGAAGTTCGCCTCAGTCCTTGGGATCACGGAATGCCCGAACCCCTCGAGGAAGGGAATGCGTTCTTCCTCTGTGGAAGATTAGTCCGCATCAGAATTAAAATGAAAACGCAAAGCAGAGCGGCAAAGAACATACCGAAAAACGCCCGAACCCACGCTTTCGGCGCAGCACTCACATTATCATCCCACAGCGTCGTCAGATACAGGGCCGTCGTCCCAGGACTTCCCATTATCTGGTTAGCAGAAGCATTGAAAGAGGGATTAACCCTCTGTGCCTCTTTCACGCGGGCAGCGCGCGCCCTAGCCGCAGTCTCAACAGTGACATATTGGTTATTTTCAGGGCCGAGGGTGTCGTAGAGATTCAGATTATGTGCTACAGGTGTCCAGACGTTGATGTCGAAGTGGACGTCGTCGCCGAAGTAGATGTCGTTTCTGGAGAGGGAGCCGTCGAATTCGATGTCGTCGTGTCGGGCCAGGTCGAAGAGGTGGAAGGTTGAGGCATTGCCTGTTGTTGTGAGGTTGAAGGAGACGGCTTGTGCGAAGGCGCCGTCGAAAGAGGTCGGGATGTAGTTGTAGGCGTCGTGGACGGCGTTACGGAGTGTCGCTAGGTCGATGTTTTTTCCCGAGCGTGGGAGGTAGGCGTGGTTTGCTAGGGCATTTAGGCCTGGGCAAGGGGATCGGCCTGATTTGGTTAGGGTTTCTGAGGGGTGGCGGTGGATTGGGTGTACGGACTATCGGTTGGGAGTGCTGGGTGGTACTCATGGCCTTTGGGATCACGGGCGTGGGAGATGGTTATGAGGCTGAAGAGGACTGTCTTGATGAATGGTAGATACATGGTTTATTGGATTGGTGTGGTATTTTCTTCAAGAATTGTAGAGGGTTGCTGGGAATCATGGGCCCTTATATGCCTATTCTGGTAGTTGTAGTCCCGGGTCTGTTTTATGATTGACACAGCAAACGAGAGTATCTAAGCATAGCCACAGTGCGTATTCTATACGCGAATATGCAGTCATCTACCTGAAATATCCATTCGAGCTCACTGACTGGCTAGCGTTACTTTGTTTGGGGTCTAGGTTATCGTCCGGGGTGTAGATGACCGTGCTCTATAGAACCAAGACCATATAGTACTCAGCCTTATCATTTAGGGTAATGACTACTGGAAGATAAATATCGGCCTTCTATATGGTCCAACTTCCCTTGCGTATGTAAGCCAAAGCCAGTTTAATTCATACACCTGCTATTTGTAACGGCTTCAGCCGAGCATGTTTATAGAATCAAGGCCGTTGGAGCTGAATTATACAAAGACAAGAACAAAATAACTGCCGGCATAATGCTGTCATGCCTTCAGTAATTCGGTATAGAATTTGTCAACTACTCAAGCGAATACGCACTTGCATAAGGGTCCTCTTGGCCCGCAACTACGCTTACCTTGGCAATAAGAGTGGAGATCCCATCTTAATAAACGGTCATCTCGAGTTGAACTTTATAATCAAAAGACTTTGTGGGTATATGTCGCCTCTCAGTGCATAGTTATCTCCCATTTCTGCTTCAGGTTCCATAGAGTTATATCTCACTTCGTCTCACTTCAATAAATTCAACCCAATGAAATATATAGTATTCCTCAGACTTTCTTCAATTATCTCTCTCTTTTGCTTTTGCTTTAGAATTGCTTCGCTTTTGTATTGGGTGCCCGACGGAGATGGCATTGACCATTCTCACTTTTCTACACGCATCACTCAGCCGTCAATCTTCTTCCTCTTCTGTCCTGGATTAAGGAAGTCACTGACGCCGCGCAGTCTGCTGAAGACACAGAAGCTTTACTGGACTACATGGACGTAGAACAGAAGGTCAACACCACGCCGAAGCTGCCAAGATCCTGCAAGAAATCAGAAAGTATTCGGCCACGCCGCAAGTGAAATCGACAAAGACGTTCAGCTTGCCGAACACTACAAGGAAGAACGCGGCCCCACAAAGGACGAGAACTACCATCACATAATACTCACCAGGTTCGTGAAGTACCGGAGCGGCTTCATCTAACCAGACGTCCCTGAGGACGACCTCAATCTGAGTGAATGGCTCGACGAGAACGCCTCGAAGAGAAAGAAGGCTCAACACATCGAAACAAGCACCGAGGACATTGTTGCCTAACTTTGTTCTTAACTCCGGTCACCTGCGAGATCGTTTCTGTTTCTCCTACTCCGTATAGTTTCTACACGGTTTCTCTTCGTTTTTCTTTTCCCATTCCGTTCCAACAACGATCAGTTTTCAATTCGCTATTGCTTTTTCGTTCGTGACGACTGAGGACAGTCGGTCATCTTTCATCGTTTGCCATCATGATCGCCCCTCTTAGCTTGTGAATTCATCATCTTTACGTATCTACACGATTTCCATCGTAACATAAAATGTACGAAAATTTGAAGTGGTCTTATTACGTTTGAATTCCAAAGCCAAGAAGCCTATTATTCCATTGCCTTATTCCAGAAAATTGATCCCAATGTTATCTCTTGCCAAGGATGAGGCGCAGCCAAAGATGCTGATCCTTAATGCCCTAAACTGAAGAAACTGTCATTCACAGCCTCATCTCTGCTTACTTTCGGCTGTGTCCACCAATTAAATCGCCGGTATCCAATGCTAACGAACAACAATTTGGAATTGCCATTGATCCTAGACTATTAAACGTTCAAGGTGTCATCTAGAAGATCATCAAATCTAAATTCCTTTTACAAGACATGGATAAATCATACCAAGATAGCAGCAATACTTTCAGGGCGCGCAGACCACACAGAAAGTCTCGAAATGGCTGCGAGAAGTGCAAGACGCGCAGAATCAAGGTGGGCACTGCCTTCAGCCCTATGATGGTACACATTAACACCGCACAGTGCGACGAACTCCGGCCGAAATGCTCGAGATGCAATAAGATGGGCCTCATATGTCGATACGCTATAAAACCCGACATGCCAGCGCCGGACAATTGCATACAAATAGAGCAACAACTATTCAACCCTCTTGAAACAGCCTATGAAGAAAGTCCCGGCTCATCAATGTGCTCATCGACATTCTCCGAAAGCCCCAAGCCATCACTACCAGAAATAGCAGAGTCGCAATTTAACAAACCTCCCTACGACCAAAAACCAGACCCGTTCCTACAGGCTTACCCAGCACACACATTCACCCCCACAGATTTCGCCTTACTAGAACACTACCTCGAGCACACAAGCAAAGACCTAACCGTCGACAACGGCGACCAATACGCCCTCCAAATCGGCATCCCCAATCTAGCCCTACAAAGCAAACCGCTCATGCGCTCACTGCTCGCCTTCTCGGCAATATGCAAATGCAACGACATAATCAGCCAGACACCAGTATCCCCAGCAAACCGCGACAAGGTCTTAGAGCTGTTGTCCACCGCTGACAGGTACCATATGGAGTCGTTGCGGGAGATCCAGCACACCCTGTCTGAAGTCAGACACTATGACCATATCCTTGCGAATGCAGCGATGATGGGCATGTATGGATCAGGTAGCCATTGCATTCGCATTTGGCTGGCTGGGAGTGCTGCTGGGGGAAAGAAACTGGGTGGCGGGTTCGGGCCGAAGAGTTGCCAGTGGATTAGCTTGTTTCGGGCTGTGAGGGTCGCTTATGGGGGGCTGATGAATGTGAATGGGGCGTGTGGGGTGAATGGCAAGGTGCGGATTAGGCTTGCCTCTGATGCTACGCTAGTTGGTACCAGCCAACAGCGGAGAGAGCCGCTAGATCATCCGCTATACCCTATTCTCGCTGCTACGGTTGCTTCTGCCATGGCGAAGCTCGACAAGAAGGCCAGTGAGATAGCGAGCGATATGAGCAGAGTGCAGACCGACAATAAATTGGGTGGTTTTCGCGACTGGGGTTCATCGGCTGTCCACAGTGACTCTGACTTGCAGGCGTGTTTGACTGCTTTGGAGCTATTCAGAAACATTGTCGGCGAGACTTTTCCGACCAAAAGTGCGAACTCGGTCGCTTTAGATGACCGTTCTCGTCGTTTCGAAGATGATGGTAATCCCATGGACCAGATTCCAAATATATCGCCCTGGATGCGAAGGTATACAGCCAGCATAACTTCCACAGTCCCCTCTCGACTCCCGCGGAGATTCATAATGGCATTTATTCATAAAGCGCCGACCCGCTACTTAGAATTGATCGAAGAGATGATAGGTTTTATCTTAGGCGGAGAACCAGTCGAGTGTCTTTTTGGCTCCGCAGAGCCTGGCTTAGCGCACCAGCTGGCCATGGAGATATTTGTCCACTGGCTTGTCTTGGTTCTCATGTTGGATAATGTATGGTGGATTGGTGCTACTGGGGCTTGGGAACTCGGGCAGATTGTTGCTTCCCGGAGAGATGGGCAATGGCGTGGATGGCTGTTGAATCAGGAGGGCGATTGGTGGCCTGGGAGTATGTTGGAGATCAGTAGGCAGCTTGACAAGTATCGGGAGAAGACGTGAGGGTGTTGAAGAGGATTATATGTATATCAGAATCCGAAGGATGGCGGCTTGGCATTTTAACAAGCGTTGTCATTGCCAGATTTGCCCATTTGGTTTTAAAGTAGGCATAAGCAGGTAGCATCTAATTAATAAGCTTTTATTTGTATAAAAATGCAATGATTGAATGCTTTGAGAAAAGTCACAGGCCATGCGAGCCAAGCTAACAATATCAATACAATTATTGGCTTATCCCAATTTGCGTCAAACGCTTCATCGTCTGTTCATTCTCTCGCCCAAAATGACCGACAGTCAAACCCCATTCAAGTATCATATTAATCCGATCTCGAAGCAGTCAAAGTCGTCTGAACACCGACAAAGTGAAACACACGCTTCTTGCTATTCCAATGGATCCCATTCGCCGCAAGATCAGTCTCGTACCACCGCAAAAATAAAAACTGGTCGTCCCGCATCATATCCCTAAATCGATGATGCAACTCCCGCCCAGCGTTAACATGATCCACCTCCATCCTATCAGCCTCGGCAGCATGCTGCTCCACCCGCTCACGGATATCCGGGTCGTCGAGAACATTGCTCGGCATCAAATCTCTGAACCAGCGAAGCCGCTCTCGAAGATGTTTGCGCTGGACTTCGACGGCGTCCCAGCGCGCAGCCTGCGCGGCCTGGAACAGCTGCGAAGAAGGGTTGGGCGGGTCGTCGGCGTTGCGGACGTCCAGGTATGTCTTCAGGTCTTCTCTATGGTAGATGCGCATGCCCGAGCGGTCGCGGGCGGTTAGAGCGTAGAAGGCTGTGCCGGCGTGTGAGCGTGCGGCGATTAGTTCGTTTTTTATTCTCGAGACTACTTGGTCCATTACTTCGATTAGGTCGAAGAGGTGGAGGCGTGCTTCGCGGCGTCGGAGGAATTCGATTTCTTCGCGGAAATCGCGCGCCGCTTGTAGCGAGTTGGAGAGGTCTACGACATGGCGGAGGAGTTCGATGGCTTCGCAGAGTTCGTCAGAAGGACTGTCGAAGCTGTCGGTGGATGTTGTCTTTTTAAAGGGATTTATGTCAGCTTGTTCCTTTTGATGCGGGTTTGGGATCTTTCCAATGTACTCGAGGCATCTTTGAATGATTTCTTGATATGGTGTAGTTTGTAGATGTTTGAGATCAAACCGTCAACTGAAATGAATAGTTGCAGAAAGGCAATGACAGGAAAGCTTTGGCATCAAAGCAGAAGATGCGAAGGGCCATTCATGAATGGTAGTATAGATCATGGTTTATTTCTGTAGACCCTTTACTTTGTCTGTTTGGTGCTCATTACCTGGTTAGGGTCTCTCTTTGGATATTTCTTGTGTTGAATGTCCGTAATCTCCTACCATATGGGGTTCCTACATTGTAGTCACTCAATTAGGGCAACTATGTTGTGAGTACACGTCACTCTTATACTTACATATACATCGGGTTGTCCGTTCTATGCTAAATCAATCGAGAGAGGTAGATATCCTCAGGGAGGCAAAAAGCACAAAGGCGAAATTACCTAGATAGTGAACTCAAGCTGCTACCTGCGCATTGGCTAAATTTACTGTGCTATAATGTACAGAATTGACAGCCGGGATTTATACTGGTGCACCCACACTATACAAATCTATTTACATTAGACGCCCATCAATCACTGTAAAAAGTGCTTAGGAGCCATCTCAAAAACATTGATAGCTTGCTCCAGTCTCTTCTCATACTCTTCCAGCTCTTGGCTATCCTGATCCTCTATAAGATCTTCCCCTTGCTCATTATTCCCTTCTTCCTTCTCGAGTCCAATCTCCACGGAGTCGCCCTTCCCTCCACGGGCAGTGTTAACCGACATGACATCGCGGTATAATCCCATCGTCATGGGCAGCTTTACATCATCCACGCCACCCTTCGCCATCTTCAAAAAGCGGGCATCGAGCAGACGGAACTGTGCCGCCCAAACATGTGGCTCGGCAATTTCCATCGCCATCTCCCATGAAGATCCTGTGCCCAGACTTACTGACCCTCCTACTGGGACACCAGATAGAGCACCAACCAGAGCGGATGAAATGCCCGTGGATATCTTTGTAGACTGACCTCTGGAGACTATTGTTCGCGCCCCTTCAAGTAGGTACATTCCGGTCAAAAACCAAACTTTTGGACGTCGGGCGAATTTGAAGTTTAGAACATAAGCACTGTGTGCCGCTGATAGCCAGAGTTTAAGCTTTTTTTGAGCTGCAGAGTTGCTGAGGACTTCATTCTTGAGGAATACTTCGGGGCTTTAATATTTTAGTGGGTGACATCGACAGTACAACATTCGGCTTACTCTTTCAGAATAATCCTGGTTCCACTTTCTGCGACGACGATTCGTTCAAGCTCCCTGTTCCAAGCAAGATTGAGATTGACTATATCACCACCTTCTATTCCTACTGAAGGTGATAGCCGAGAAGCCCCATGAAAGCTTGGATTGGTCAATTTTGTGCTGTGGGTGTGGTGGTTAAGTTCTTCATCGCTGGTCCGATGGGTCAATTAGTTCAAATTGAGGCGCAAAAAGCACTCATTCCACGCTCTCCTAGACATACCTCAGCATATCATGTGTGTAGTGTCGTGCGATTAATGGTTGCCAATATTTCTCCAACACCAGCGAACCTAATGTTAGGGCTTCGGGTTTCTCTCCCACGCCGTAGAGAAAAAAGGATGAGTCGTCACTGGCCCTCATTTTGGAACATGAAAACTTTTGATCTCTTGGGTTGACCGGTCAAGATGCTCTGAATATAAGAGTCACTGGACAATGCAGTAGTTGCCTGGCGGGGCAGTGTCATGTAATGCACTAATTCGGTAATTTTTGGCGAGCGATAAACAAGCAACGAAAGTAAGCAAAATTAAGCAATTAAATGTCCAATCATAATATAGAGTGAGTGCACTGTAATCCCGTTAATCCGATGTCTGTATCCTTCCTGTTCACGGAGTACCTTCTCTACATGCTTTTCCATATTAACATCCACAACCCCGCCAACAGCCTTCACTCTCTCTATACACAAAATCATGGAATTTGACCATTTCATCAACCTCTGCGGTCAATCTGTCTTCGCAGAAGAGTATCGAGGAGATCTCGATACCGCATGGAAGCTCCTTCAAGAACAACCAACTAATCTCCCCGTTGGTCCAGAGTACGCACAGCTCTTGCGATGCAAAACAATATATGCGATTTTGACTGGAAATTTGAAGAACGCATATGAAAATCTACACATTCTCTATGGCATTCTCGATCAAATACCCCAAGAATGGGGCTTGCGCTATACCAACTACCTCCTCATGGCGGATTGGACCCGTCGCTATCCCCCATCTCTACGCTTTTACCACGAACGCGGTCTCCCTCGCAATGTCTCCATGGTAGGTGATCTACTCGGACCCGATGATCTGACACAAAAGTTCTTGACAAATTTCAATCAATATCTGCCAACGAGTATCCTGCGAGACCAAGTCTTCTGCTACATTCTGAATACCGTCCAACTTGCTGTTCCTCATCTTACACGGCATTTGACTTCCGTATACCACCCGCTTTCTCCTGGCAGCTCTTACCATCAGCCCGTTGCGGACCCGGCACCTTTCATTGCTGAAATGACAAAATCTGTGGTTAAGTTTCAAGGAATCGCAATTGAGAATGGCGCGACTAGCATTGCATTGTATCTTGACCGCTTGCTTGTGGAATTTTATCTTACTTGCCAAAGGCCTTCGGCGGTTATGGATCTACAAGGATTGTACTCTAGATATGAGGCCAGTGGCGATAGGGTGGGAATGGCAAATTGCAAGGTGATGGAAGGCGACGGCCTCGTCAGCCCTCCTTTCGCAAGCCCCCTCTCTTTGAACATGATTATCACCGATGCTTCTTCTGCTATAGCTGAGGACACGGCATGGGATCCCGTTGAAGTCGACTTGATCTTCGATTATTCTGCACAAGCTCGGCAATGCTATGAGGATGCCCTCGATCTCTTCCAGGAGGCCAACTGCAAGCGTGGTCAAGCAGCGGTCTTGCTTCGACAGGGCTGCTGTTTGCACACTGCAGCACGTCATCAACAAACGAAGAAGGGAATAGATACCGATATCCTCGACAGTGCAGAGGAAAAGTTAAAGCTTGCTATTGACCTCTTCGGAAAAGACGAAGCAAATGTGCAACTTGTGAAAGCTCACCAGATCTTGGTCTCTATCAGCAGAGGCACACATACGAACATCACTGCAAGGGAAATAGGGCTTTGGTGTGCTGGTGCTAAGAACGAACAACTCGGACATTTTATCGGGCTTCTTCTATCCCGCTATGGACGACAAGAGTGGTTCCGATTCTCCCGCATGAACACAGCACTTTCGGCCTGGGACTCCGCATATGAAGTATCAGATGCTCTCGATGATGCAGTCCCCAAGTTCCAGGCAACGGTTTCTCGGGCATGGGTTCATCACGAGCTGTTCAACTCAACAGGCGCAAGAGTCTACCTAGCGGATGCGATAGCCATGGTCGACCAAGTCAGCGAACATTACGAGACTAAGATCCAAGCTGCGCCAGATACTCCGATAGGCAAAATGGATCGGACGTCGTTGCAAATCGCGAAATTCAACACGCTGTGGACTTTCAGTCGTAAGGTGAGCAGTATCTATCTCCGAGTAGAGGACTTAGCTGCCTTTGAGAAATGGCAAGAGAAATTGGTCTATTGGATTCAGCATGATGACAGTTTTCGGGAGTTCCGTGAAAGATTACAACAGAGTCATGATTCCGGGTCGACTCGCTCTGAAGTTTTTTATAATCCGAAGAAAAAGAAATACCTGTGGCAGAAGACCATGGCGGACGATGAAGTTAATGTTAGGTCTGCTGCTGCGGAGATCACTTACCATCGGTACCTGGAAGAAGGGAATGTGGACAAAGCAGAAGACACACTCCGATTGTTCGTGGATCAGGCAGGAAATATGCCAAAGGTCTATACAAGGGACCTCCGCCGCATCCTAGCATGCAAGCGTATCGGCGATTTGACGAAGGCTCGTGAAATTTTGGATACTATAGACGACAATAGCCTGTTCAACGACTGCCTCGAAGACTTCCAGCAGGGTATCGGAGTCAGGTCGGCATTTCCCACGATAGCAGGCAATGCTTTGAATTTCACTGTCTTTGGGGGAGACTATGAGAGAGCTTGTCGGATAGTTGACCTTATCATCGAAATTTCTCCGACGTTCTTCGACCAACTAAACGAGAACTCCCTGGATCACTCTTTTCGACTGAGCTACTACAGCGCAATCATGATGCATAACCACCGTCCAGAGGTTGCATTTTCAAGACTGATTCAAGTCCAGAGAGCAATTGAGCTTCGTCGAACACAGATAGCCGACGTCGATGCCCGTATTGGGAGCTCGTGGGCAGGTTGGACGTGCGAGGTCTTTATCAACCTCGCAACCCTTTGTCTGAGCTGCAGGAGTGCCAACATACCTGTTGGCATCATAGCCAGCTATGACCATGGCCATGCGGCTGGCGTCTCTTGGGCTGAGCATGCTCTTCTATTTTCCGAACGCAGTCGAGCTCGTGCAGTACTCGAATCATTACAGGTGCAGGCTGATCATGGGCAATCTGTCGATTCTAGAACTACTTTCCTCTTAGAAGTAGTCTATAAGCGAAGAACTTTGAGGACATTGTTATCACTCCAAAACCGAAGCCCGGAGCAGGAAGAGGAGATCCTACGTCTTGAGCAAGATATCAAAAGCCAAGAAAGCGAAGAACTCTCCTCTACAACGATTTTTATCGAAAATTCTAATACCATTATCCATCCGCAGCTACTCTATCAATGCATTGATGAGAACGCTGTGGTGATCGAGGCAACATTTGGCCCTCAGGGCTGCATTGTGTTTGCAGTGACTCGAGAAGGCATCCAACAATTGCACCAGGGCTCAACGCGCAATGTCGATATTCGCAGACCCGTCATGAAGATAATGCAGATTATGAAAGAGATGACAGGTTACCACGGCGAAGAAGAGCAAGCCCGCAAAAAACAAATCAACATACTATCGCGCTCGATCTCAGCAGAGCTCTTAGATCCATTCACAGAAACCATCAAATCAAAAACCCACATTATCTTCTCCGTCTCAGACCCCCTCACAGCCTTCCCCTTCTCAGTCCTCCAATTTGACAACGAGCCCCTAATCAAACACGCCGCCATATCCCAAGCGCCCAGCCTAACAATCCTCCACTACCTCTCTCAGCGAAAAGCAACCCAAGGCACACCAAAAGTCTCCGTCTTCGCCAAATCCCCGACAAAAGAAAGTAGCAACACAAACAGATCCAACAAAGAAGCAAATTTGCACATGGCAGGCATCGAAGCAATCAACATCGCACGCCTGTTCTCAACCTGGCCAATCGAAGCATCCCACCTAACCAGACAAGCATTCCGCAAACACGTCGAAGGCGACTCCCTCATCCTGCACATCGGCACGCACGGCGATATCAACCACCGCAACCCGCTCCTCTCGTCGATATCAATCGGACAAGGCCAGGACTTCCGCGTTCTAGACATGTCCGCCATCCACAGCAAAGTCAGTCTGCTTGTGTTTGCGGCCTGTCTGAGCGGGCTGGGCAAGGCAACGACCGGGAACGAGGTACTGGGTTTCTCGCATGTTGTTCTGAGTACCGGGTGTCAGGCGTATATCGGGACGTTGTGGAAAGTCAGTGACTTCGGATCGATGTTGATCATGACGCTGTTCTATCGGTTGCTCAAGGATGAAGTGCATTTGTCGGTGGCAGAGGTACTGCGGCGGGCGCAGTTGGAGTTGATCGGGCTTGATAGTGAGAAGGTGGGTTTGTTGCTCGATGGTATGCTGGAGAATTGGACAGCGCCAGGTGATCAGGGTCGTAGTCCTGCGGAGTTTGTGCCAGACGCACAGTTCTTGTTGTTGACGACGAAAATGATACTGGGTCAGTTGGATTGGACCAGTCCTTTCTACTGGGCTCCTTTTACGTTGATGGGATATGGGGATTTTCGATTTTTACCTGCGTCGACTTGAGAATGAGGACTTGCAATGTGATGTAGAGAATATTAGCGAGCAATGCTTGGTATTTAGCAAAACCTCTATGAACATATAGACACTGCCACCCTATTTTATGAAATCATATCATGGGACGATCCTCTCTGTCTTCCAGTTCCACGATGGCATCTTCTTCCGTGCCATCCAGGATATCTTCGGGTTCCGTCCGCCTGGGAGCATTTCGATCGCGCAGCCGGACCGGCCGGCGGGAGACCTTGCCAGATATAAACCCGGCGACGGTTTGAATAAGACGCCACAGACGCTCTTCTATGGTTTCCGGGGCAGGGTTGTTCAGATGCCCACCAAGCGCGGAGAATTGAGATGAACTTGTCGCTGCCAAGTTGTGTTCCTCGGCCTCGACCTTGAACTGATACTTCAGACAGTCTTTGACAGTCACCAAGCCAGTAAGTCGGCCGCGATGCTCGACGAGAATCACTCGCGGGCCCATCTTCTTGAAAATCTCCATGACTGTTTCCAGGGGATGGCGTGGGTGCACAGTGAGCGGCGTGTGGTCAACATAGCGTGAGAAATCGACAACGGCAGCTCCTACACTCCTTTCGATTGCATCAAATGTATCTGATGACCGTGCGTGATGAGATACGGATGCCCTCCGCGCAACGGCTGCCTCGGCTGCCTCCTTGGTGAAGACGCACCGCGCGTTGGGGGCTACCATTCCCTCGTTCCGGGCACGGTCAATGGCATATCGGAGCTCGGTTCGTCCGATATATCCAACAAGGGTCTTGGAAGTGCGATCCTCCACAACTGGGAATCCTTGGTACTTGTTGTCGTTTAGTAGATGCTCGGCTTCGCGGACGGGGAAACCCGAAGCCGGCAATGAGAGCGGGTCTGTGGTCATTGCATGAGAAACGGGCACATTGAAGACGTGGTCTTCCTTGTTGTCAAGGAATGGGAACCCATTGAACCAAATCATCCGATCGGCGATACCGCCACTACCGAATCGATCGCCAACGGCTTTGGTCACACCAACCACAATCTGTCGAGAAAAGTAAGCAACAGCATATTTACATCAGTGGATTCGGCACATACCATGGTCGGCAAAATGTAGGTTAGAGCACCGGTCAGCTCAAACATGATGACCGTTACAGAAATAGTCAGGTGCATAATTCCACTGAGGGCCGCTCCAGCACCTAGGAATGCATACGTTCCCGGCGTGATGCAGGGGACATCAGGCTCGCAAGAGGCGAAAAACGCAGATTTGGGGAAAGATTCATGTAAAGCCTGAACCATGATTCCAATCATACGGCCGAAAGAAGCTCCGATAGCCATCGAAGGTACAAAAATGCCGGCTGGCACCTTGCAACCATAGGAAATGATTACCAAGCCAGTGCGAAGAACGGTTGCGATGGCTAACGATAGTACCATTGACCATCTGTTCTTAGCTTCGCATAGTCCATGATAGTCGTGGACGCCTTCACATTCGCGGAAGAGAATCTCCATCATCTCGGTCATGTTGATCTTCAAGAACATGTTGGGGAAACACAGCACCGCAGTTAGTCCAGCGAGAACAACAGACTCGGTGATAGGCCACTGCGACAGATATTTCTTGCGAAATGCAGCAACGCGAAGGTTCCATTTCATCACGAATGCACCGTAAAGCCCACCAAAGATACCTAGGCCAATGAAGAAAATCAGCTCAAAGAAGTGCCATGTTCGGTCGTAAGTCACTTGGAACATGACCAATTGACCAGTTCGGAAGGGGTTGACGGCCTGGGAGGCATTAGTCTTCATCAGATTCATCCATCAATGGTGTCGAGTACATACCGCCAAAACACTAGTTGCGACCAATGCACAGAAGTAGCTGCGCCAAAGGGTCTTGAGTGGGAAGTAGTTTGCCATTTCCTGCTGTGGGTCAGTATTCATTCCATCAACTAAGGGATCATGATACTGACCTCCAGGGAGAAAAGTACGCCTCCAATTGGACTGCCGAAAGCGACGGCCACACCAGCTGCGGCCGATGCAGTCAAAATTTCCCGTGTCTTCGATGCATTTTGCTTGTATTTACCAAAGAAGCGCGAGATCACATTTCCAGTACAAACAGCAAAATGTACACTGGGTCCCTCTTTTCCAACAGACAGACCTGATGCGATGGCAAGTGGCAGGGCAATTGACTTGATTATGAGAGTCCAGGCGCCTAGGAACCCTTTCATGACAAAACCAGCAATAATGCATTTGATCTCAGAGATACCAGATCCCGCGGCATAGGGCGCAAATGACTTGACCAGGACTGCAGCAATAGATGAAAGCAACAACTATTTGCAAGCCAGATTAGCAAATCCGTACCCTCTCCAGAAGAAACCCGGTCACAAGCCTACCGCGCCAAAGAGATAGAAAATATAATTAAACAACCAGAATGACGTCCAAGTCTTCCACTCAGGGCAACCTATTGGATTCCGCGATTAGCGCCTGAGCCAATTGTCATTGCAAACCGAACTTACCATCCTCCGCGCCCCAGCAGCAGAAGTTCTCGTTGAGATAAAACGCAGTGGTACAATGACCCAATTTGATATCAGAAAGCCACTCCGTAATAATGTTCAACACAGCCGAGTTCAATCCAATTGCCATGCCCACAAGCGTAACGACAAGCCAGGCCTGCCCAGCGTCATAGGACTCGTAGACTTTCCGTCTCCATTTAAAAATGCCTTCTTGATCCCAGAAACCAGTACCACTACGCCGTTTAGCACGTCGCCGCGACTGCTCATATATGGCATCTTGGACCCAGTCTATCGTGGTGAAATCCTCATATCGCTTGATCTCACTGATCTCTTCCGTGATTGCGGGGGCTTCTTGGTTGTCGGGAACGGACTGTGGGTTGATGGGGGAGGGATTAGAGCGTCCGGATGGCCTGCGCGAATTGCGGCGCTCTGTCGAAACCGAAAGCGACCGGGGAAAGGTCGAGGAGGGGCGCGTAGAGGTCATAACATAGATCGAGGAGGTAGGATCAGCATAGTCGATTTAGAGTTGACTCGATGATGCTGTCGCGGTGGACGCCGCTATGAAAAGAGAACTGTCTGGTTAGTTCCAGCTCTTGAATATCGTCAGTCGACAGTCGGACTATAAGCGATAAATCCAGAACAGTAGGGGTCAATCGAGCTCAGAAAGTAGACAAATGTGACAAAGCGAAGTCGCCAAGTATCGATAACGGAGCCTCCTGAGATAACGCGGCCACGCGTTTTACTCTTTCTCGACTCCACGATCGGGCCCATTTAGTTCTACAACGAGGAAAAGATACCGGTATATGCTGCAAGTTGTATCACTGTGTCTTCTAAATACTTGAGTCCTTGAATACATCGCACTCATCACCATGGTTCCAAAGACTACCGCAGAGTCGGATGAGATCACCGGCCAGAGCGCACTTCCCAGTATGCCCCCAGACACTTTCTTCCTGCTTGGATCAATATTTCTAACTCTTTCCTCTAGTCTCTCGAGTCAAGAAGATCATTCAATTGGACGAGGATATTGTACAATGTTCGAATAACGCAACCTTCGTCATCGCCATGGCTACTGTACGCCGCAATCCATCCCCATGATCCCTCAAGCGCCCACTAACGCCCTATCTAGGAAATGTTTATCAAATACCTTGCCGAACAAGGACACAATGTGGTCAAGGCCGAGCGAAAACCTCGCAAGACTGTCCAATACAAAGATCTCGGTTCGTCATCTCTACGCCTACAGTCCACAATAGAATGGGATATGCTAATGCACCGCAGCTTCCGCGGTGTCACACACTGACAATCTCGAGTTCCTCTCCGACGTGATTCCCAAGACTACAACCTACAGACAGTTCAAGGAAAAGAAGGCGAAGGATGCCGCGGACCAAGGCGTCATGGAGAAGGGCCAGCGTACCCTTAATGGAGCCGTTGCACCTCCAGCACCAGCCAATGGAACCAATATGGGAGATGTCACACCTCAAAGAGATGCATCAAATACAACATCTCCTTCGGTTTCTCGGCCGATGGTTCCTGTCAGCGCTTTGATTGCAGACCGAACAGTGGAACCTATGGCCAACCATGACCAAGACCGTGATGTGCAGATGCAGGATTGATTGCGTTTGAGAGTTCTTTTTCTTTTTGATCGAGTATTTGCATAGGAGTTCTAAGGTCCGTGTTGGGTATGGGTTGCGTATTGGTTTTGAATTTGTATGGTCGCATTGGGTCGGGTTAGACAGAAAAAAACACCAGAATGTAGAGAATTGACCAAATAATTTGAACATAATACCAAGAAACAAATCATTCTCAATGTGAATCCTTTATAATTAAATATAAGTCCATATAAATGGTGTTGTAGTAAAGAATGTGTAGGGAGTGAACGGGAAGCCATCAGCCAATGACAGGCTCCGTGATTCCGATCGCTAGCGAAAGCTCTGGCTCCAACTTCAACTTCCGACTTCATCCACCCTCTATCCTCACCTCGCTCTCCACACTAGCGGCTCAATTCCCTCCGTGGTCAATTGCCTACACAATGTCGCTCTCCTCCGCTTCCAGCACTTTGCTGCGCACCGTCGCCCGGCAGCAAGTGCCTACCTCCCGCGCCGCCGTCACCTCCTGCCAGCGGAGGGGAGTTGCCGATGCGAAGTCGTCCTTCGAGTCTCCCTTCGCCAGCGCCAATGAGCGTGGCTCGACCCTGAAGATCCCTAACTTCAGCAAGTACAAGTCCAACTCTTCGCCTCGTTCCAACCAGGTCTTCTCCTACTTCATGGCCGGCTCCCTCGGTCTGGCTACCGCCGTCGGTGCCAAGGCTACTGTCCAGGGTAGGTTTTTTTTGTCTTCGATTCGAAAGAGATGGGAATAGCAATGGATTGATGTCGAGAGATGGAATCACACACCCGGCCTCTTTTTTGGGGAGGAATCCGCGCCGTTCGGAACAATCAACTGATGTTATTCTTTCTCTCCAGACTTCCTGGTCAACATGTCCGCCTCCGCCGACGTCCTGGCCCAGGCCAAGGTTGAGATCGCTCTCGGTGCCATCCCTGAGGGCAAGAACGTACGTTTTCCCCAATATGAAGCAATTCGGCAATTCCACACCCGGATCGTCTTATCTAACCTTTCCAACAGGTCATCATCAAGTGGCGTGGTAAGCCCGTCTTCATCCGTCACCGTACCCAGGCCGAGATCGATGAGGCCCGCGAGACCAAGTGGGAAACCTTCCGTGACCCCCAGTCCGATGAAGATCGTGTCCAGCGCCCTGAGTGGCTCGTCATGCTCGGTAAGTCCGACAACACATATATACCCCTTCCCCTCTAACCTTTTCCTAGGTGTCTGCACTCACTTGGGTTGTGTCCCCATCGGTGAGGCCGGCGACTACGGCGGCTGGTTCTGCCCCTGCCACGGTTCCCACTACGATATCTCCGGCCGTATTCGGAGGGGCCCTGCTCCTCTGAACTTGGAGGTCCCCGCCTACAGCTTCCCCGAGGATGAGACCCTTGTTATCGGTTAAGCGAATTTGGAACACCCTTTCAGACCACCGCCATCGGGGTCTCACTAGATGTGTGGATAAGATAAAAGATGGATATTCCCTATCTGTCTGTGTATGTGCTTGTGTGTTTTGTTTTCCCCTTTTTTTAGACAGAGCGGCCGTGTGTCTTGTCAAGATTAAGAGACCTGTGTTTTAATATGGACAAAAAAATCAGCCACTTCCTTCCCTTTGTTCCTATCTTCCGGGCCCTTGGTCTCCATGGCAAACACAATCTGTGGAGTTGCAGAGGCTCAAGCCAGGGGGTGTCCTGGCAGTGCAGAGGATGTCCTATGGTCTCCTTGAGTACATACTTATGTTCTTTATTTTAGTGTATCACCTAGTCATGTTATTTCTTTTGTTTAAGTTCAATGTTAGGTTGTAGAAGTCATGGCAATAAGTACTCGACACTCTGACTGATTCCAAGGACAATGCTGCAATAATCATACACTATACTTGACTCTGTCCAAGTATCTAATTTCTCTTCAACTGTATGTACAAATATACCCACCCCAGCTAAAAGGGCAAGTCGTCAGAGAGAAGCATGAGCTCAGACAAAGAGCTGTTTATGCCCTCAATGATATGACAAAATGCTTCGCTTAATAGGACAATGTTCTTTACTGAGGTCTGATCAGCGCAAAGAGGAGACCAGTCACAGCCGCACCAACCGCAGCACTCTGAATCGCCACGGTGGTGAGATCACGCTGGGAAACAGCAATGCTGCGGTCACTGAAAAATTCCTGAAGCGCCAGTCTCCAGTACTCAAGGGACAGGGCCGAAGAGCTAATGTTCGAAAGACGAGTCTGCAGAGACTGCGCCGTCTGGGCATCAGTGTTGACAACACCAGCAGCAGCCTCCTGTTCCACAGGCGCTGGGCTAATCACCACCGAAGGGCTTTCCTCAGAAGTAGCATCAACAACCTCAGGAAGAGCATCAGGCAGCGCAACCGCAGCAGCAGCAGTCTCGGCAAAGATAGCCCTGTTCAAAACCTTCTCCTTCTCCAAAGCCTCGACAACTTTATCCTCAAAACCCTTGACAAGCCTCTTCCTCCGCCACGGCTCAACGAGAATTTGGAAAACAAGGAACAGCAGAACATTGACACCCATCAAGCCCCATGTTCCCCACGTAGACATCCGACGGATCTTATCAGACCAGACCTGTTCCTCGTGGTACCGCGACAGAATACTCTTACTCAACTGCGCAGCGGCCTCTTCAGCCTCCCGCTCCGAAGCAGAAAGAGCTTGTGCGGTCTCTGTCTCGGCGACTTCATTCGTATGGTCATTCCGGTAGAGAAGAGTGAATCGTTCCAGGTCAGTGGAGGACCAGGCGTGTTTGCGCTGGAGAAGCTCATTAACTTCCCGCTGCGACATCGAGCGTCTGTTAATCGCGGCCGTGTATTCCTCTTTAGCATGTTTGACGTGTGCACGCGCAGTGCGGAGGCGGCCCTCTGGCTGGTATTAGTTTCTGGTTTTGGTTCTGGGTGTAGTTGTAGTGTAACTGTAGTTCTGCGGGCGACACACCTTGGAACTGGATATCATTTTTCAAAGCCTCAATGCTCGAGTACCCGGTCAAATCGTTCAGTCGCTGGCCGGCCACGAACACATTGGACTGCAGATTGTCCATGATTGTATCGAACTGCTTTGACCATTTCGACCGCCGGCTTTCCAGGTACGAAGGCAGACCCCCGCTCGTGCCGGACGCAGACGCAGAGCTATCTTCTGCGACAACAGGCTTTCCCTCCTCGCTTTTGTTTTGTGCTGTCTCGGGCTCAGGCAATGGCGGGACCCCATCGAAAGAGCTACCCGCCTCCACACCCGGAATCGGCACCGGGTCACGGGAAGCGAGCTCCAAATCAGCCAGTTCCTTCTCCTTCTCTCTGATCAACCTCTCTGTATCGGCAGAGATACGCTCTCGGTCATTGAAGTCGGCGAACGAGCCGGGCTGCGGGCGGAACTGGCATTGTAGGCAGGCGGAGAAGCTCCGCGGAGCCGGGTTGAAGATTGCAGGGCGGAAGGTCCGTGGCGTTGTACGGGGAAGGTGGAGGCTTGGCCGCAGCGTTTGCCTGAGCAGTTGTGGCAAGGACTGCATAGTATATTGGCCACGGGGTGGCGGGGAGTTGGAGAATGCAAGCGGTAGGATTGTCTCGGGACGGGATTTGGGTTCGGATAGGCTTATCTGATTGCTTCGAGCTAACTATAGCATTTTGAGACGTTGTGTATTTCATTAGATATTTTTAATTTTAGATTCTCTACGTGATTTCATTTTTCAGGGGCTAGATTCGACAATCTCAGGGTTTTCTTGGAGATGTTCCCAACGAATTTTCATTTCCTGTTGCTAAAGCATAGAGATATATAATTGAGCTCTTACCGTCCTGCAATCAAAAATCAAATAAAATTATGCGAAAAACTGTCAAATAACGAAAGCCTCATCAAAGGCAACATTCTTGATATTGACACCCGATATATTGTGCTATATTGAATACCTTCGTGGGATTACAGATGTGCATATCAACGACCGACAAGGTGATAAACAGAATAGCAAAAATGACAGCTACATATAGAAAGATGACATAACTAGCAAATGAAGAAGATGAGAGCAGTATTGGAATGGTCTAATCCTATCATCTTGGTCGAAATTGAAGCAGCGCAGTCTGCCCGGAACTATAAGAGTTCGGGTATAGCTTTGAGCCGTTACATCATCGATCGTATGAAGGAGAAGGAACTGGCAAAACTTAGAAAGAGAAGGATAAAGTCCTCGAAAGGACATCATTGAAACATAACACAAGGTCAGAATTACAGAACATTCCTTCGTCAGTCATAATCGACGCAGTCTTCGGAAAACAGTCATGAAACAAAAGGGTATGAAATACACTCAAATCCGATCCAAAGATCGAGTGAGTCAGTGAGCCAATGAAAACAGTGTGCCGCCACGAATCGCAGTATACAGCCTCTTCACTCCTGACTCTGCACCTTATTGTCCCCCCTCACAGCCTCCGCATAAGTAGGCGGGTTGGAACTACTGCCAGCATTTGCATTTCCATTCCCAGCATCCTGGTTTTTCGATGCATTCTTATTCGGCACCTGCTGCCCCTGCGAAACAGTTCCATATCCCGGATTCGAACGAGGCTGGTGTGAGACATAGTAGTAGGTGACGTTTCCGTTCTCAAGATCCCGGCGTTGGCTCCCGCCACCAGGGATGGGTTCGTAGGCTACGGCGTCATAGTCTGGTTCAGGGTTGTTGGCAATAATGTACCAGGCGTGGAGGAGACCTGGGATGAAGCCGAGACAGCAGAGCGCGAGGTTGATGACTGAGTCGGCGGTGCAGAGGCCCACTTTCACCCAGACTGTGCAAGTTACGTGTATTAGTATGGTGATCAACTCAACTCAACTGTGCAATATTGCTGTGCGTATGCAACTCGTAATGTGGATGGTTGATCAGACTTACCTGCGATGGGTGGGAAGAACACGGCCAGAACCGCCAGGAAGATGTCGGAACTGCACATTGTTTGATTCTGGAATCTGGAATAGATGAGTCTAGTTTATGCGAGTTTTGTTCACCACGGTGTCTAGTGATGTTCTAAAAAACTTGATGAGTCGCAAAGGTGGAAGCCTATGTATCGCCAAATCAGATGATGTCAAGGTCACATGATGAATCATGAGGCCGAAGCCCTGAAAACACTCTTTTCCTCTCATTGAAGAGACTTTTCTTACTTGTACACCACTATAGAGGACCGGTTGTATTATTCTGTGTAAAGTTTCTACACTTCTCCATGTTAAGTAAGGTGACCCATTCCATGAATTGATCTATAACAATTCAGACTCGTCAATTCTGCAAAAGCGGGGGCCCAAGTACCCGGTACGCACAACTGGCGAGATCCAGCCGCGTGCGACCGGGTACCAGATACTTTGTTTTTTAGTATCAAGAAGTAAAGGCTACCGGGATGCCCCTCGCATTGATGGATCTTCCCTTGATAGCTCACATAATGCTATATCCATTCTGTCATGCAGGATGCAAGGCAGTTATTCGGAAACTAAAAGGTATTCAGGTATTTCCTCGGTATTGAAAGTGTGAGACGGCACTATGATAGTGATCGTCCTTTCGGAGACGCTAAACGGGCTAGGACAAACACGCGAGGGAAGAGATTGCAGAGCGGCTGGGTAATTACCTTTCTTGTAGGTGACTGATGAGCTGTTACTTGTCACGCCGTTTGCAATTCGAATCTCGAGAACTAGAAAGTTGGGCAAGCTGTAGAGTTGGGCGCGTAGGGTGAAGAAAACGAGTAAACAAAGCCGAACACAACACACTAGTTAGTATTTAGCTTAGAGTACAATATTGTACCCCCTTTCATCTGTAAGATTTAGGCTTAGGCAATAATAATAATAGCTTAGACTGAAATTGAGTACGAGATTTTTTCGAATTACGCTTAGGCTTTCAAACGTCTTGTTTCATAATTGCCCTTTTTCCCAGCGGTTCGTCGTTCGTCTACCCAGCCCCTAATATCCACAAGCCCAGACCAGCTCCAATCTTAGAACTTCTTGACATTCTCCTCCTTCCTCTCTAGCTTTGGCATTTGTCAAATTTCAATTCAATTCAGAGCGCCTCCGGGGCTCGGTTGACCATTCCTTTCGGGTATTCACCACCCTAGTCACTCGTTTAACGTTCTCTTCTTTACCGCGGGCTTGCAGTGCCGGTGACCTGGCGTCGACCCGTGCAATTTCCCCATTCCAATTGCCTACAGACATGCGATTCGTCCCGACTTGAGACATTCTTCGCAATTGACACATTCCGCGATATATACGGGTTCTCGGTATAGACGGCGATCACAGTCCGAGTCGAATATGTCGGACTCCTGTATCTCTCTCTCGGGATCGAGCGCTTGTCCCGCGTGGAGCGGTTCTTCTGTTTCGACTAATTCGAGCTTGTATGGGAGTTTGTGAGTGACGCGCTGCATCGACTGGTGGCCAATTACTGACGGCTGTTAGCCCATTCCTTAAAGGTATATCGAACCTTACAGAGTTCGATGATTCATTAAAAGACTATGTGTCTGGGTCATACGTCTCGACTAAGTATGTTGGCGATAAACACAGAAGAAGAAAATGCAACTACTAACTTGCTATAGGTATGACGACTTGCTCGGATGTCAGGGCCTCAATACGAGTGCTTCCAACGACTACTACGCGCAATATACGATAAGTGTAATGTGCAGTAGTGTGATACAAAGCTCCATATCCGACTGCGCTCTTTCAACAGATGACTCATTGCCAATTTGTGTCGACACATGCGCTCTCTGGGCGCGAAGTGAGGAAGAGACTATGGTAAATACGGACCTGTGCAGCAGCACCGACAAAGACTATACGAGTCAAATCTACTCCGACTTGGTCATCTGCGAGAAACCATCCAAAGCCCTCTCTGGAGATTGTATCGAAGGAGCCGCAAACGAGCCTGACAACTGTGGCTTTGCATCCAACACCATCGGCCTTTGCACTTACTGTGCAAACGACAACGACACTTGCTGCACAAAATCCAACGCAACAAGCGTCTGCGACGGTGTTTCGGTCCCAACATCAACACTCCCACCACTCACCCCGTCGGCTTCCGCCACCTCCACCGCAGCAGCAGCAGCCAGCCACGGTCTCTCAGGCGGTGCAATAGCCGGAATCGTCATCGGCTCTATCGCAGGAGCCGCCATTTTAGCCGCCCTCCTCGCCTTCCTATGTATCTTCATGCGCCGCCGCCGCAGAGAAAAGCCAGCCGACGGCGCCCTAAACCAACCCAACCCGCAACGAAAAGGCAGCTCGCCCTCGCAACAACCCCCCAGCCCAACGTCGTACAACATGGTCCCAGGCGGACGCGTCACCCGAATGTCCGCACTACGCGAAACTCCCATCTCCTCACCCGCCTACTCGCGCACCTCAGCAGCAATGTACGGCAGCGCCGCCAAATACAGCGATACAGACTCCGAAGGCCGGGGCGCCAGCCCTGGCGCAATGAACAAAAGGATCCCACCCGTGACAGGCAAGCGCGCGGGCTCGCTATCCAGCAGTTCGGCCTTTGCAGGGCTCGAAAGTGACAGCTCGCCGCGTTCCGGCCCAACGAATCAGTACTCGTCTCCGGAACAGGTCACCAGCGGACAATCAGAGCAGCTGTCCTATTTCCGCGACTACTACTCACAAGACGAGATCAAGGCCGGTGACAAGGTCGCTGTGCTGTGGGCGTACTCGCCGCGCGCAGGCGACGAGTTCGAGCTCGACCGTGGCGAGATGCTGCGCGTTATTGGTATCTGGGATGATGGGTGGGCGACTGGTGTGCGGCTTACGGAGCGGGCGGAGGACTTCGTGAACCATCGTGAGCAGCGCGATAGTGGGGTTTCGAGTGGGAGTCGGATGCCCGGTGCTTCTTCGCCTATGCCGTCTGGCGAGATTAAGGCTTTCCCGTTGGTTTGTATTTGTTTGCCGCAGCATTGGCATAAGATCATCGACGGTGGGCAGGAAGATGAGGATGTTTGAGGGTTTTGTTCTTCAAGTGTTTTTCTCGTTTGCTGCTTTACTTACGTCGTGACGATAGCGTTGATCCGGTTTACCGGCTGGCTTGAGAGGTTCGATGCTCTTATACTCGCATTTGATATACCCCATTTTATGACGGCCTTTTCGTCTTTTTCTTTCCTTTGGACTTTTTTTTCTCTTTTTTTCTTTTCTCGTTCTGTTGAACTGGTCGCTGGCGCATCGGACTCGCATAAGTTTTATTCGACAGATCTGGGTCTTTTTTCGTACTACACATCGGTTTGCCACTTCCTACACTCAACGATGAGGGCTGCGAGATTCAGATATCGGACACATATGGTTCGGTTTAATGTATGTACATATTTAGACTCTTCAACCTTATTACATCCTATGTGGTTCATATATTGTAGGTTCATCGTAAATAATTGCCTACATCCCTTCCCGCTCCCCACACCCTGTTCAGTTCTTATCCGCGGACTCGGAAACCGAAGTCGCAATACAATTATTAATCCCCCCTCATTTCGCAATGCTTCCATTGATGGCGTCTTCTCTTGTATATAACTTCCCTTTTCTTACCTAGGAACTCCATACCAATTTATATATTCCATTTCACAATGTCTACCCCGAAGATCATCTTATACACCAACCGCGCCTGCCCCTGGGCTCACCGCGCGCACATCGCGCTCAAGGAGACCGGTCTTGACTATGAAGAGGTGACTATCGACTTAAGCAAGCCGCGGGAGCCATGGTACCTGGAGGTGAACCCGGTAAGTGACAACGATCCCCATCACATCATATCCACATCCACATCTACATCTACACATACGTCTACATCCCAAACCCACCACCAATACTAACTATATAACCACCAGCGCGGCCTCGTCCCCAGCCTTTCCTACAACAATGAGATTATTACCGAATCCGGCATCGTAGCGCAATTCATCGCAGACGCACACCCAACCCACCTCCTGCCCCCCTCCACAACCCCCGCAAACGCCCTCTACCGCGCGCGTCTCGCCTTCTTCGTCGACGCCTTCTTCTCAAAAGCTCTGCCGCACTTCTACAGCAGCCTCAAAGCTGCCAATGAAGCCGAGCGCGACCAAGCAGCCGAGCTGCTGATTGCCGCCGTCGCCAAGGAAGTCGAGCCGCTTCTTGAAGAGGGCAAGGGTCCGTTCTTTGGTGGCAGTGAGAAGATTACCCTTGCCGAGGTGCAGTCGGGATCGTTCTTGTTGAGGCTTTTGGCTTTTGCTAAGCCGCAGAATGGCCTTGTTAGTGCTAAGTTGTTTGGTTTGCTTGAGACTGTTCCGAGGTTCAAGCGCTGGGCGGAGGAGACTGTTAAGCAGGAGAGTGTTAACTTTATTTGGGATGAGGGGGTTGTTGTTGAGAAGATGAGGGCTAAGTTCGCTCCTAAGGTCTAGGTACGATGTAGTGTGTGGCTGAGTGCTAATTTGATGAATGTCGTGTACAACATGAAGTAACTGCATGCATATGTACATACAAACGTACGGAGTACACTTGAGGCTACTAAATAAATATATGTGACGTGCGGACTAATCTTGGACTCTGGCGTCTAATCCTCGGACACGGGTATGAGGACCTGTAGGATTGACGTCGAAAATGACCGCTTTCAAGGCTAGAAACGTCTGCCTTTCCACCCATATGTTTGGACGTCTAGCCGCCACTTAACCGCCAACCGCCCTGTAACACTACTATTCTATACCCGCTCAGGATGTTGCTATACGCCGGACCCTTCCAAGGTTCTCTCTTTTCTCGCGGCCCTGCTAATGAATAGTTTCTTCTCTCCTACCGAATGCAATTTTCATCGATATTAATTAATGTCTCATCGGTCTCTAACTCTGACAGGCTTGAATAGTAGATCGCCCAATTCCACTGAGCTGTAAGTTCAACTTCGTAATGGTCAAGTGCTTCACCCTCTACCAACGGTAGAACAGACCCTCACACATTTCTTCTCATCTCTGAGTTTCCTACATTGAGGCCTCTCATTTCTCAGACCCCGTTCTGACTTTGAATCACAACGATGTCTTTCCGCCGCCCACCTGATCTCATATATGAGCTGTATCAGAAACTCAAACTTCACCCGAACTGGGGAAATGTCACCTATCGCACTACATATTCCCTTGAATCTGACGCCCACTTTTCCACTGCTGTCAAGTATGTCGAGGCCTGCCTCAAAAAATCATGCTTCGAAGAATGTGCCTCTGAAAACGATTATGAAGGGTTGCGTGGTGTAGATTCCATGATTTACGACGGAATCTGGGCCCAGCATAGGTCAACCGTTATGGAGAACTCATCGCAATTCGATGGGGCATCGATTGATTCAATCTGCGATCATTTCCAGGCTTGGGTGGATGCGCAGGGTCAGCGTGATCGCTTCAATAACTACCGAATGTGTATCGTCATTGATAATGAATGTCTCCAGACGCTGCTAGGTACATCGGCGGAGGCCTAGAGCAGGAGACTGAGTACCACGGGGACGAAATAATCCGGTATATCAAGGCCCTTGAAGCACGGCCAATTGTTGACCAATATGATACCTTTCCGGGATGGATGAAAATGTTGTAACCTAGCACTATGGGATTTATGGACGATGATGGGTGATAGTTCCGAGATGAGGATGTCTTGGGAGAAAATCGACGATTTTTGCCCGGAGGTTTATTGTGGATAATATTACTCCGTATATAAAACTACATATGTAACTGCATATGTAGGTACTAGACGACATAGTGGGCCTTGACAAAATTAGGTGACGTGTCCCATGGTTAGACGTCGGAGTCCAAAATTAGTCTGCACGTCACATATATTTTATTTAGTAGCCTCATTGGTACTTTCGTGCATCTTAGGCAGAGGCGTTGCTAGGGAACTGTAAGCATTATCAGGTATACTGTACATGGTCGTAATATTGTGAGGAGAAGAATTGCGAATGTTGGCACCAGATATTCTTCGGAGTACTTCAATGGCAGCCTACATATGTACGTAACTTTTCTATGTACAATGCTAAAACAGGATTCTGATCGGTTATCTTCCTTTTCCAAGGTTGTTTCTTAGGTAGAAATAATATAGATAAACATAACATATTACTGTAAAGGTATATGTACATACATGTAGGACGTCTAAACACTACATGTACTGGCTTGAAGCGTATCACGTGCAGCCACCCCCACCAAGGCAACACTTAGGCAATTCACCCCTCAAACTACATCTTCCCCGTCTCATCCTCCAATTTTTGTCTTCAATTCTGTAAGTCGGGATATACACTATTTTCACTTTTCACAGTTGAGAAGCTGGGCCTGAGTTGAGCAACTCACTGACATCGCGTACCAATTTAAACAGCCCTCCTTTTTGCCGCCATATACATAAGCAAATATGTCGGTACGTATTGTCTCCAATCCAGCACCAGGAAATCTTCAAATGCTAATTTTAGTGTTGCGCAGCTCGCATCAGGGTAAGTCATCGACTTCTTAACATTTTTCGCCGCTGGTTTCCCCTCCTGTGACTGACACCCCTTAAGAGTCCAAATCCAAGATGAGTGCAACCTCGCATTCCAGGAGTTCAGCCGAAGCCACGGCAAGATCAATTTCATCATCTACAAGATCGCCGACAACAAGAAGGAGGTTGTCGTAGACACCATCGGCAAGGACGAGCCGGATTACGAGGTTTTCCGCAACAAGCTCGCCGAGGCCAAGGACAGCCTGGGCAGACCTGCTCCTCGCTTCGCTGTCTACGACGTCGAATACGAGCTGCCCGGCGAGGGCAAGCGGTCCGTATCTGTATCTCACAACCGACCAAGCCCCCACTGACATTTGCCACAGCTCCAAGATCATTTTCATCTCCTGGGTGCCTAGCGAAACCCCCACTCTCGTAAGTCAGGCTCCGTCCAGATCGGACCCAATTACTTACACACCTTTCTAGTGGTCCATGATCTACGCCAGTACCCGTGAGAATCTCAAGAACGCCCTCAACGTCGTCACTTCCATCCACGCCGATGACAAGTCCGATATCGAGTGGAAGACAGTCCTGAAGGAGGCCAGCGGTGGCAAGGCATAGATGATAGCGCCGGCTGGATCCGGACTGCGCGACTAGGGGTGCGCCCTTGACGGCGCGGAACGATCAATTCATTACCTTTCTCTGCACACTGTTCTCCCATTCTCTTCTTAGTTGCAATGCAAGACCGTTACGACTTGGCTCATGCTCTTCGTTTGCATGAGGCCTGATCTTGATTTCATTTTGCTCTTTTTTTCCCTTCTCCTTTTTTTTTGGCAGCCTGGAACATTTATCTCGGGCATTGGGCTGAGCAGCATGGATCATTACTGGGAATTTTGCTGCCTGGTGAAAATGATTACATATGGCGATATTCCTGGTGAAAATGTGGTATTGGCTGTTGCATGTAGAATAATAGGCAACTGGATAGCCTATGTACTTCATGTATTGGTGATGTGGACAAAAGCGGCTGAAGATCCCAGTGAAAAGACAACGACGCCAGATATAAATAAAAGACTGAAGGCCAAGTAACTAGAAAAATAATATCGGCTAAAATAGAATCAAGAATAAATCCATATAAAGCGCTAAATAACTCCGTATACACCCTTAATCATGCCATATAAGAAATGATGATGTTGGTGACTTGGCCGAGTTGATGGCCGGGTTGATCCCTCGACCAATCAGAAGACAGCCAAACCAAACGACGCTAGTCCCTACCGGAACTTCGCCTTTCCACCTCAAACCACAAGAAACGTCTTCAAGCCCATTCTCCATCCACGATCCCCCTCCACTCTCTCCAAAGCCGTGTTCTGGCGTGCTCTGTGGTTTATTAATCCCCCATATTTCTTCAATCACCTCAATTGGACCTGATTTCGACGTGGTGCTTCCACCTCCCGCTTCCGCACAATGTTTCTTCGTACCGTCTCTCGCGCTGTGCCTCGCACCACCGCAGCCATCCGCGCTGCCCCGGTCGCTGTGAACTCCCTGCAGACCCGCGCTGCCTCGGACCATGCCATCTCCAACCCCACTCTCGCCAGCATCGAGAAGCGCTGGGAGGGCATGCCCCCTCAGGAGCAGGCCGAGCTGTGGATGCAGCTCCGTGACCGCATGAAGGTCGACTGGCACCAGATGACCCTCCAGGAGAAGAAGGCCGGTAAGTGCTGTCCCTAGATCGGATACTGGTGAAAACATAATCTCGACTACATCTACCCTGCCACTTCCGAGGTTATCTGCATTCTATCCCGGCCCCGATCATCTTTCCCAATTCGATCGACCATCTTTTCTCCAATTGACCATTCCAGCTAACATATATCTCTCACCTCTGACAGCTTACTACATTGCCTTCGGTGAACACGGACCCCGTGCGTCCGCCCCCAAGGGTGAGGGCCTCCGCATCCTGTCCAAGGTTGTCCAGCTCACTGCCGTCTCCGTCGCCCTCTTCTACGCCGTCCACGCCTTCGCCGGCAAGCAGCCCGCTACCATGTCCAAGGAGTGGCAGGAGGCTTCCAACGAATACGCCCTGGTACATATCTCCCCGTTTGAGCACCCCGATTGCGATCGGGAGAAGTCTCTTCCCCTGTCTGTCAGACCAGCTGCTAACCACCATCCCTTCTGCAGAAAGAGAAGATCAACCCCATCCACGGTATCAGCAAGGAGGGTTACGAAGGAAAGGGCTTCGTTCAGAGCCCCCCTCTTGAGAAGTCATAGGTGCCCGACCGGGTGTAATTTGATATCCGGACATTTAGAGGTGATCTGCTTCCGTGGACTTTGTGTCTTTGTATCGAGTTTGTGTGGCTGTTGTCGTTTTCTCATATCTTTTTGGGCAAGCATCCGAAAATGCGTGTATTCCGTACTGTGCTATAATCACTGTATCTCTTTTGTAGCCATAGAGAATATGTTTGGTGCAACAATATTGTTATTTTGGTGTATGTGTCGAGTATGTGACTGTAGATATATTGATATTGATATACTATATACTATGTGATATATGATGTAGATGTATATAAAATTGATATAGCTGAAGCTATGTGGGTATGTAGGCTCCGACATGGCGTGGTCTACGGAGTGATTCGGAAGCAGTTGAGAAGTGCGGAGAATCCCTGCTGAAACGGTACAATGTTCGATTGCAGTTTATTGAATATTTTATACTTATATTTAGTAATAAATTGCAATCATTATAGAGCTGAATATTTGTATTTGTGTATCTTTTTAATATCTATATCTATATCAGAGTATAGAATAAGGTCACTATAGTCTGTTATATAGTTGACCCGCGGTTGACCCAACAACGTCAGAGATTTTCCGAAGCTTGCAGCTCTCGGACCAAAGGGCCATTGGCCTTGATGATGGTATTCATTTCATTCCTTAGAATATGAGCTTTCTGTCTTAGTGCTATAGTTGAAGTTAATCCGGGGAAATAGGGTGCTATTCTCTATATTTCTATATACATACTAGTATATAGGGTCAAGAAGAGTTGTGGTTCCCTGCACCCGGATGCCAAGCCCCGGTGTGTGTGCGCGAATTCCGAGATGAGCTTCCTCGGTCAGATTACTTCAAATATTATCGTTCATTGTATAATTTTTTGTTGAAAAATGAAGAGACTATGCTGAATATTAGAAGATCAATATAAATTACTCTACATACAAAACTGTTGCGTGGTAAAAATCACAACTGAATTGACTCGGTTCATCACGGGATCCGTCGGCAAAACCGCCCCGGAAAGGCTAAGGGCGACCAGTCCCCATCCACCAACCTCTTCCCTTCTCTTCTTCCCTCTTTTCCCGTTCCAACACCTCTCCCTTTCATCCACATCTCGCTCTTCAACACCTCCATCATGTTCAAGAGGTATGAATTTTTGATCTCATCAACCTCGACAATCTTTTTTTAATTATTGAAACTAATTTTTTTCTCTTTTCTAGCGGTCTCGCCCGGTCCTTTGGACGGGCTGCTTTCGCCCGGACAACCCCCGTTGCCCGCGCTTTCCAGCCCATCCGCTCCAATGCTCTCCCGGCTCTCACTGCCCGCTTCGCTAGCACCGATGCTGGCCAGTCCGGCAAGGTTCACCAGGTCATTGGTGCCGTCGTTGACGGTACGTGTTGTCGACTCCTGACGGAATGGGGACCTCGCGAAAATCTTTTCCCTGGACCCAATCCATCACCAAAACCATCGCAATCAACTCCCAAATCATCAACAAAACCGTATCTGACTTTTTATTCGCCATTTTACAGTGAAGTTCTCCGGCGACAAGCTCCCTGCCATTTACAACGCCATTGAGACCACCAACAACGGCCAGAAGCTCGTTCTCGAGGTTGCTGTACGTGCTCTGATTGGACCATCCCTTCGACCCTCAATAAAAAGCTAACCCTGACCTCACAGCAACATTTGGGTGAGAATGTCGTCCGTACTATTGCCATGGACGGTAAGCTTGAACTCCCCTTGCTCTCACAATCCCCCTTTCCTGGCCACCGTGGCTCTCTTCCCGATCGGGAGACCCACTGCGTCCTACCGCCATTTCCGAGCTTGAACTAACGTCATGATAAAGGTACTGAGGGTCTCTCCCGTGGTGTCGTTGCCACCGATACTGGTGCTCCCATCACTGTCCCCGTCGGTCCCGCTACCCTGGGCCGTATCATTAACGTCACTGGTGACCCCATTGACGAGCGTGGTCCCGTCAAGGCCACCAAGTTCGCTCCTATCCACGCCGAGCCTCCTGCGTTCGTCGACCAGTCCACCTCCGCTGAGATTCTCGTCACTGGTATCAAGGTCGTCGACCTCCTCGCCCCCTACGCCCGTGGTGGTAAGATTGGTCTGTTCGGTGGTGCCGGTGTCGGTAAGACTGTGTTCATTCAGGAGTTGATTGTAAGATTTCCCCCCATTTTGTTCTCAATTCCCGATTCAATTGGGAAATTGCTTGAGTGACGAAACCATTTTTACTAACTCGACCGCTAGAACAACATCGCCAAGGCTCACGGTGGTTACTCCGTCTTCTGTGGTGTCGGTGAGCGTACCCGTGAGGGTAACGATCTGTACCACGAGATGCAGGAGACCGGTGTCATCCAGCTTGAGGGTGACTCCAAGGTCGCCCTGGTGTTCGGTCAGATGAACGAGCCCCCGGGTGCCCGTGCCCGTGTTGCCCTGACTGGTCTCACCATTGCCGAGTACTTCCGTGACGAGGAGGGTCAGGATGTGCTGCTCTTCATTGACAACATTTTCCGTTTCACCCAGGCCGGTTCCGAGGTGTCTGCCCTTCTGGGTCGTATCCCCTCTGCCGTCGGTTACCAGCCCACCCTGGCTGTTGACATGGGTGTCATGCAGGAGCGTATCACCACCACCCACAAGGGTTCTATCACTTCCGTCCAGGCCGTCTACGTGCCCGCTGACGATCTGACTGATCCCGCCCCCGCTACCACCTTCGCTCACTTGGACGCCACCACTGTGTTGTCCCGTGGTATTTCCGAGTTGGGTATCTACCCCGCTGTCGACCCCCTCGACTCCAAGTCCCGTATGCTCGACCCCCGTATCATCGGTGACGACCACTACAACACCGCCACCCGTGTCCAGCAGATGCTCCAGGAGTACAAGTCCCTCCAGGATATCATTGCCATTCTCGGTATGGACGAGTTGTCCGAGGCTGACAAGCTTACCGTCGAGCGTGCCCGTAAGCTCCAGCGTTTCCTGTCCCAGCCCTTCGCCGTCGCCCAGGTCTTCACTGGTATCGAGGGTACCCTCGTCGACCTGAAGGACACCATCTCCTCCTTCAAGGCCATCATTGCTGGTGAGGGTGACGACCTTCCCGAGAACGCCTTCTACATGGTCGGTGACATGCAGGCCGCCCGCGCCAAGGGTGAGAAGATTCTCGCCGAGCTCGAGGGCAAGGCCTAAATGTAATTTTGTCTGCTAGCTAGCGTCTGAACTCTTCCCCTTTCCTTCCCCTTTCTCTCTATGTCGTGTCCCCGAAACATTTAATTTCCCTTGTTTGAAAATACCGGTTGTACGCGACACCGTCTTAGCAGTGTACATTATTACATCTAAGCAAAATGCAAAAGGGATTCAATTCACTTGAGCTGGGTGTCGCGCCAAGACTGGCTTCTTTCATTCTAGACTCGTTCGTTACGAACCCGAAAGGGATCAGAGGAACTGCAGGGAATACTTCGTGTGCTAGGTGACACGGACGAGAGAGAGGATCGCGATAGGGGGAGGGGTTTTGTCTAATTAGCGATGAAGTTTTCAAAGCCGGTCTGGAGAGATACCTTACACAACCCTTGACCGGCGTGTTTCATTATTTTGTGTATTTAGAGTTCAAAACCTGATTCTCGACATCTTTTCCTTTGTGATTGTGTCTTTGCTGAGATGTAAATCGTGTACTGTGTAGTGTAGTGTAGGCGTAGATACTGGCTCACTTGGCCTGCGAGTATCATGACTGAGAGAGACGGCGATATGTAGCCTGGTGCTTGCTATGTCATAAGTGTACACTGCTTGCTCTCTGCTTGGCTCAGCTGTTGGTATTGTGTATTCCTAGGCAGGGCGCTGAATACACAGACCATTGGCGAACACTACTATCTACTATCTACTTGCTACTTTCTACATAGTCTACAAAGCAAATCATTTAACATGGTATAAACAAATGCATTCTTTCGCGAAACCAGGCCAGTATAAATGATAGTAAAGAACAGCGTCTATCAGCACGTCCCAAGACCCAGCTAAACGGAGACGAGGCCGAGATGCATACATATTACAGAGTATTCTCCAAAGCGAGGACCTGCAGAAGTCAGTCAGCAACCTTACACAAACACAACGAGACCAAGTCTCAATCTCAACACATACCAAAGCCGACCGGTTCGGAAGATAGACCTGCACGAAATTCTTCCTCCCATTCCACTCCAAGTCAGTAGTAAAGAACCTCGTCTCCTTGACGTTCCGCCCGAAACCGCCGAACTCGACATCGTCCGTATCAAGCACAATGCGATACGTACCAGGGACTTCAACACCAACGCGGTAATCGGTAAAGCTCTGCGTGGAGTTGAAATTGAAGATCCAGAGCAGCCCTGCGCGCTCAAACGCAAGCACTTTATCGCTCTCGTTCTTCAAACTGATATACGCCTGCTCCGATGCCAGCCAGCCGTACTTCTGCTCGGCCAGCTGCATTCCGCGGTCGAACTCGTTCAGGAACCTGTACCGCAGCAGCGGGTCGTCGGTGAGGTTCAGCTGGCGCCGCGCGTACCAGAAGGAATTGTTGTTTCCTTCGCGCGGGAAGTCTAGCCATTCTGGGTGGCCGAACTCGTTGCCTTCGAAGTTCAGGTAGCCTTCGCCGCCTAACGCGTGCGTTACCAGCCGGATCATCTTGTGCAGGGCCATGCCGCGCTCGATCACGGGTGTGAATTCGGTCAGCTTTGACATGTGCGTGTACATTTCTTTGTCGCAGAGCCACATCATGAGTGATTTGTCGCCGACCAGGCTGGGGAGAGAGTTAGTGTTAGGTCTGGGTCTGGATCTGGGAAGAAGGGGGCGGGGACTTACGCTTGGTCATGGCTCTCGGCGTAGGCAATGGTTTTCTCGCCGTGGCGGCGGTTGGTGAGCGTGAAGGAGATGTTGGCCATGTCCCACTCGTCGTCTTGGCTTTCCTTAAGCAGCTTAATGTACATGTCTGGGATGGCCATGGCCAGGCGGTAGTCGAAGCCGACGCCGCCTAGGGCGTGGGGGACACAGAGGGCTGGCATGCCCGAGACGTCTTCAGCGACGGTGATTACGTCTGGGTAGAGGTCGTGCAGCATTTGGTTGGCGAGAGTCAGGTATGTGACGCCCTCCTCGTCAACAGCAGGACCGAAGTACTCGTGGTAGCCACCGGAGAAACCGCTTTGTGCTGTTAGTTGGGTCTGGGAAGGATGGGGGATTGTACGTACGTTCCAATTCCGTGGTGGGTGTAGAGCATGCTGGTGACGCCGTCAAAGCGGTATCCGTCGAACTTGTACTCTTCCATCCAGAAGCGGAGGTTGCTCAAGAGGAAACGCAGGACTTCATGGTTTCCATAGTTGAACAGACGGCTGTCCCACAGCTCGTGGCGGCCCTTGGCACCTCCGTGGAAGTAGAGGTGGTCTGTTCCATCGAACTCGTTGAGTCCATCAATCACGTTCTTGGAAGCGTGACTGTGAACCACGTCAAGCAGAACAACCAATCCCATGCTGTGGGCAGTGTCCACGAGCTCCTTCAGATCCTCTGGGGGTCCGTAGCGGCTGCTGGCCGCGAAAAAGTTGTTGACCTGGTAGCCGAAGCTGGCATAGTAAGCATGCTCCATGATGGCCATGAGCTGAATCGCATTGTATCCCAGATACTTGATGCGGGGTAGCATGTTCTTGGTGAACTCCTTGTATGTAGCGACCTTGGTCTCTGGTGAGGAGATACCGACGTGGGCTTCATAGATACGCAGGCTGGCGGGCTTCTTGGGACGCGGGTGCTGGAACTTGTAGGCCTCTTCCGCGGGCGGATTCCAGAAGACTGCGTCGTACGCAGGCGAGACAGTCAGGTCCTGGGTTACGTGCTTGATCCAAGCGGGAAGTCGGTAGATACGCTCTCCGCTGGGGAGTACCATTGTGATCTGTAGTTTTTGTTAGTGATGGGTGCGATTGACTCGGAAATGGATCGATTGACCTTGATCTTGCTCTTGTGGGGAATTGCGGCAGCACCGTCCTTTGCGGGAACGGTTACATCCCAGACCCCAAAGTCGTTCTTCGTCATGGGGTTGGCATTGGGGTCCCAGTTATCTGCCAGTCTCAGTCAAATTGTTCCCAAAATTGTCCAAACGGAGACATACTAAACTCGCCGACCAAAGAAGCTTCCTTCGCATTGGGTGCCCATTCCCGGTATTTGATGTCGCCGTTAGGTTGCGCATGGAGGCCAAAGGTTTCGTAGCCCTGATAAGATCATTAATACCGGAACGATCGGGGATTCCAGGTTGAATTCACCTTGCTAAACTTGTCCAGTCCACCCTCGTTCTCATTGATCGTCTTGGCCCATGTCTCGACGACCTGGTACCTATGCTTCAGAACCTCGCGATGAGGTTCCAGCCACGGGTCTAGCCCGATAACACCTATTGGTGCTGGAATTAGAATCAATTGCTATGATTTTTGCCAGTCAGAATAACTTACCTGTACCATCAGTAGGAATGTTGGACATAATTGCGATGATGTGGAGAAAAAGAAGAAGAGAGTACGGAGTAGAGCTCTCCAGATCAAGGAAGTTCAGCGGGGTCTCTCAACATGTGACATTGACCCCTCAACGCTTTGGTCTCTCGTTTTTCTTTTGATTTTTTTGACTTTACTCTTTTTTTCTTTCTTTTCTTTCAATTGCTACTTCCACAACATACAATTGTACAACGTTGTAGTACCATACTGAAACTGCAGTATGCAATTGATTTGAAGCTTCAGTGGAGATGTGGGGGAGCTAGACGGGAACGGGTCCAGGCACTTTGGTGGCCCTATTCGCTGTTTCGGGTCGAATCTTTTTTTTTTCTCTTCTCTTCTATCTTTTTACTCTTTCTACTCTCTATATTCTTCTTATCTCTTTATGTGTGGCTATTCTATTTGACAGAGTCTTGGCATATCGGGGAATTGATGTCGATCCTGCATTGCCTTCGAACGTTAGGCTGTGCTACAATGCATCTGAGCTGCCAGGAACCGGTTTTTTTTTAAAAAAAGAGTCTTAAAAGGGGGAAAATAATTAACATAATATTTTACCATATTTCATCGCAACTGAGCTTGAAATTTCAACTACAAGTTGTAGGATGTTTAGCCATCTGCAAACACAATCAGTTGCTTAGGATCTCTGCTCATGGCCTTGCTTCAAGATGAACCCGAATCGTCAAGGCCGTCATACCATGCAGATACCCCTGAATCGGTTGAAATTCAGATAGTGACAAATCTTCTAGCTATGGCAGCGCTAAGAAATCGTCCCTTTCAGCCAATACCAGCTCATTGAACCGTCAACTAGAATAATGAGTCTCGCGGTGACAACAAAGAATACACAACGACCTTTGTAGCCATATCCCTCTTTGAGGAACATAGCCTTTTCCATAGATACAACCGTTAGCAGCCGCAATGGCATAAGTAGCTTAAGCCACCTTTTCAGAGTATCAATACCGACATACAATAGACCCCTCCCTGACTCTAGATTCCATCCCCAATCCCAATGTCAAGTAAGAAATCAACACCTACTCACTAACCCCATCTAATATCCTACTCATGTCTCGCACGGAGTACTGGGACACCTTCTGGACTTCATACCTCACCAACCATCCAACCGAGAATATGAACCCAGGCGAACAATACAGCGCCGCATGCCACGAGTTTAGAAAAGGCCTAACAGACCAAGTCATGCTCCTCCACATCGCCAGAATAGACCGCCACCAAGCCCCCCTCTACCTGACTAACATGCAGCGCCTACTGGGAGTAATTATCGATGTCGCCAAGAGAATGAACAGAGAAGATCCAGACCATCCAGCTGTGATCAATAGAGGCGTTGATCACTGGGATTCTGAGTTTGGGCGTCTTTGCGACGAGAGGATCATGGATCCTTTGATAAGGGTCTTTGATGAGCTTGACGGTGAGCACGGTGGCAGTATTGATGTGCGTGGCCATGGCAGTGATGATGTGCCCTCGGGGGAAACGGACTTTCACGTTGCTGGTTTCTTGCAGGGGATTCAGAGTGTTGCGAACATTTTGCTTTCGGATGATGAGTTGCCAGAAGATTTTGGATATGTTGATTATGGATTTCCTCCTGATCATATGCGGCTTTCTGATGAGCTTCCGTCTAGTTTGGTGTAGATGATGCTGAATGGAAATCGAGCTTTTCTTGGACCTTTCTTTTGAAATTGGACTTGAATATGGTAGATTAGTAGAGGTTTGCCTTGCAAGACTGTGGATTGTAGCGCTCAACAGCTTCCTTTTAAAAAAATGAAACTTATTCCTGAACCATACAACTCCTGACTTAAGATATTCTTCTGTCTTAATTTCCTCAACTTACTCAATTACAGCCAAATTGGCACATTTAAATGACATCAACCTCAAAAATTTCAAGATTAGCCAACAGGGGGCCAAAACCTAGATTCCATATACATCCATGATATTATCATACGTTGTATGTTAAACTACATGTATCAGGCCTCGTGTCTGATTCAAATGAGATAATCGGCCTAATAGATTGGCAGCATTGTTCTATTCTTCCTCTCGGCGTTGCCGCTGCAATCCCAGCTCACTTCCAGAATGACAGTGATCCAGAATCAGAGATGCCGCAACAGCCTCAGCATGCTCTTCCTTCAGATTGTGACTTTTCGCCTCCATCTGAGCAAGCATGGGTATGAGATACTCATCGCAGACGACTAATACATTTTCTGTATGCTGCTCTTCCCAAACGACCAAATGAAGACCATCTGATGCCACCTTTGATAATTCTGTCATCCTCCGTCAACGGCTATTAAGGAGCGCTGGTACGCCATGGGAAGGATACTCAGTATCGCCACGAGCAAAATTCATTCGGTGTATACGGAGTTGGCCGACAATTGCCGAGACCGGTGATGCGTCAAAATGAGTAGGCTTATTCGGTCGCTCCGGTGGATTATTCAGAGGACATTGTCCGAGAAACCATGGACTTAAATGCTCGTTAAACAGAAGCTGACGTCGCAATGGAACAAGTGCGATATGTCTTGGGTGTTGATGCTCTGGGTTGGGCTCCGAATGATGAGCACGATATTGTGAAAGAAGTGGCCGACGATATGAAGACCAAAATGCTTGAAGCGGCTGGGAGTCCTGAAGATGTTATCGGTGTCCGAGATCATTTTCCTTTTCAAGATTTCGATGAAGGCGCCAGATAGACCTATACTGCATCACTGAGTAATAAAATCGGGGAACATCCTTGACAATGTCAGGTATCCATCTACGACCCCAGCTCTGGCGTTTGGCCACGAGTTCTTGCTTCCGCTGGAGGGAGCGCCTGCATCGTTATACGTCACTAATTAGACTGCAACAGGTTAATTGAACTTTGATTGATTGGTTGATTAATCAAGCATTCGCTTCTCTCACAAATCTAACGAATGAAAGTAAAGCTTCATTGTAGTATTTGAGAATAGGAGCTTGGACAGAAATGGAATAATTGCCAGTGATAAGGGGGTTTCAGGTATTACTACATGCACAATGTCAAATCTCCATAATTCATTATCGGGGTTTAGGGGCCAAATATCCCGTCATGCAGTAAGTTCGTATCCAAACTTACTCAGCCTTCCAGGCTCACAGAGGAATACCCCAATGGGCACTGATCGCCCACTCACCGTTGTGACGTGATTGGCTTGAAGCCCTGATGAATTACCACTGGGCGTAATAATCTTAAAGCCGCCCCAAGGCCAAGGCCTAGACAGGTTATACATTGACAGATCAGGGCTTCAATGAGATAGCTACGTTAATTTTGGGATTTGATAGCAGTAAAAAAAAAACAGAAGTAATGAAATTCATTTGAGAGTACTGTTAGATCGTAAGAGTCATAGATATGGGAACCAACAATTGTAGAATTTGGTCGCCAATGAGCCGCATTCTACTGATTTCCTCGAACCGTGGAATTCCTCGAGTTCTCGATTAACCAGTCATGCAAAGCCATCTGACTCCATACCAAACATAAGGCTGTTTCCACTAATTAACGCGGGGTCTAACATGATTCCGGGCAGTGCTATGAATCTCCACTTAAAAGTCCCTGACTGAGGATCCTCTCTATTTTTATCAACTCAAAACTTCATTTAAAGCTTCGCCCCCAGCTGACAAAACTAAATAAAGAATCAAAACATCAATCTCGAATCTACTTCTCACACATTTCTAAATATTCAGCACCCAACAGAACATAATGTCCAACAGATTCCAACAACCCGACCCTGTCCCGAGTACGTGTCATCCCTATATCTAGCTAGGCGCCACCCAACTAACAAACACCAGCTCCCGCCCCAGAATACAGCGAAGCCCCTGAAGTCTACCCTCCCCAGCAACATACAAACTCCATTCCCCCGCAACATACAGACACCCTCTCCCAGCAATACACCGGCTCCGTCTCAGCCATGTCCCCAACACCCATCCAACAAAAGGAATACCCCTTCCAACCCGACTCAGTCGGCGAAATGCCACACGCACCCATGAACCACGAAAAAACATACCCGAACCAGCCCCAGCAGTTCTATGCGCCGCAGAACCCCCAACAGAACGGGTATGCGAATGCAGTTCCGCTGCCGTTGCACGCTGTGCAGTCGGCGCCGTGTCTGGTTGATTGTCCTGGCTGTAGAGTGCGGCAGATGACGCGCGTAGAAGCGGTTTCCGGTGGTACTACGCAGTATGTGATTCCATTTTCCATTGGGGTTGATCTTCAGGTTAAGGGTGCGCTTGCTAACAGGTTCCATTTCTAGTGGTTGGGCTGCGGTGCTTTGTTTCTGCTGTTGTCTGGGGTGTATTCCTTATTTGATGTCTTCGCTGAAGGATGTCGAGCATTCTTGTGGGAACTGTGGTATGAAACTTGCGGTTTGGCATAATAGTGGGAGGGTGGAGGTTTTGCAGCCGAAGAAATAGGTGCTTTTTTGTTTTTGGATAGATACCACTTTTTGTTTTTATGAGTATGAGTATGAGTATGACTTGGTTTGACTATGTATTTTTGACTATTTAATCTATGCGGCCGATTGAAAATGAATAATGTACCCCGTACTGCAGGTACCGAGACTGCGATAGTGTAGAGCATCTGCAGATGATTCTCGTATCCGATGATGCGGTCACTTGACACTGATTTGATACTCGACCACACATCACTTCTACTTCTATTTCACCACATCGACAGAGTCCAACCACCATAATCCCAAGAAACCCAAAGATCAAAATGCTCCGCTTCATCGTCACAGCAACAGCAATAATAACCAGCTCCTCTGCAATCTACTTTTACATCTTCCACACCCAACTATCAAAAAGAATAGCCCACACAACCCACAACGGAACCCTACAAAAAACCTCAAACATAGAATCAATTCCAGACCCCATATTTACCCCAGAATTCTTCACAATCCATGAAAGCGCCACAAAATCGACCCCCCGCGCCACTCTCCCCCAAGACCATGATCCAGCTATTCTCTTCACTCGCCTGCTGCGCCGCAACATGACCGCGTTCTCGCGGTTCCCGCAGGCGCTAATGCTCGCGCTTGTGAGCAAAACGCCGGAGCAGAAGGCCAGTTTCACGAGGGCGCATATCGCCGCGCTGGACTTCGAGGTCGGCGATTTGGTGTGTGGCGTTTATCGCGTTAAGCTGAGGCGGAGGGATCGCGTGGAGTTCGAGATTAAGATGCAGGGGGTGGATTATGTGGAGGGGAGGTTGGTTCTTAGTTTTGCAGAGAGGGTGGAGGGGGATGTTGAGCAGATTGTGTTTTGTAGTGAGACGTGCATGTGGAAGAGGGCCGATGAGACGAGGAAGATGCCGTTGGAGAGGTGGGCGGTGCGCTGGATGCATGAGACGGCTGCTTGGTGGTTGGTTGAGTCAGGAGTGAAGTATTTGGTGGATTTGGAGTGATGAGATGATGGGAGAGGGGTTTTTTGTTTCGAATATGGCGTTGTTGGAATTGGGACAAGAGACTGTGCAAACTATGCTTTTGGTTGATATCGTGTTCTAGGAACTTGATCTGATTGAGACAAAAAGAGAACCAGTTCGGTCTCCGAAAATACCAATACAAGTGTCTTTGATGAAAATGATAGCCTTTGTTCTAGAAGAGTTTCATACACCATTGTAAACAATGCCCTTGACTATGCGTCTTTGATTTTCTAGTCTTTGTTCGTCGACTCGGCTTTGTGCCTCGACCCGGAGACTCCCTCCAAGCCCTAACTCCAGATTATATAAATTGTGCCACGAGCCTACACAAAAAGGACAGTTCTCTCACCTCATCTCATCTACTTTTACCTTCATAGACTACAATGTGCAAGCACACCTACCACCACTATCCCAGCTGCGGCCACATCTCCAACTGGAGCATAACCAGCTGCAAAGAGTATTCGAACAAACTGCGGCTGGCCGGCCCAAAGTTGATATCCGCATGCGAGGCCATCGACATCTCGCACGAGTTCCTTCTCTCCACGCAGCCGAGCATGTGCGTACAATGTGAGTCTGAGTGGGCAGCCAGCGTTTCATCTGGTGAGGCCCCATCAATGCCCTACCAGGGAATCGAGAGCGCCGATGCTACAGCGCACATTGTCGATATTACTGCGCGAATGGTGAGTATCTCTGTATCTGAATATTATACTGCCAACGGGGACTCGGGGAGTGCTGGCCACAGCGATAATGGTCAGGGCTTCTTGAGTGCTGCTGGCAGCGGCGGGGATTTGGGGAATACCGATCACAGCGATAATGATTGGGTTTTCTCAGATGCTGTCGGATTTACTGATGCGGACACAATTGCTGACCACAGTGACGATGGGCAGATTTTCTCGTGTGCTGCTGATGGTTCGGATTTATTTTCGGGCAAATGTGCTGGACTGAGGTTCATGTTAGCGGACACTACCGGTGAGATGCCATCTCCCAACCTTGAACATGGACAAGACAGCGACTGTAGTAACTACGACTACGAGGAAGTCGATATTTGGATAGATTCGCCGGCCGACGAGTCTGTATACGGAACTCCAAAGAGCCCCTTGTACCCCGAATTCATCTACACGCCCATTCCCCACGAGCCTCTCACCGAAGAAGAATGGGACGAGCTCAACAGCGAAACGTTCGGCATCACAGACGGCAGCATCCTCGCCGAAATAGACCCCGACTCCCTAGGAGAAATTCCAAATTCACACGATAAGTGCCACGAAGAATCCCCCAAACAAACTAGCATCCTCCCAGACCTCGACCTCTTGCTAATCCAGCAGTGCATCGAAGCAACCATCCGCAAACGCATCGAAGAAAACGCCCAAAAGCAATCACGCCAACAAACAAGTTCAGACCTCCTCACCACCGCCCTCCTCCAGAAGGACGAATCGGACCGCCGCGCCCGCAACGCAGCAAACGGCATCGAAGACGACATAACCCTATGGGCCACAGAATCCCTAGACACCCTTTTCACCGCAGCCCCAACCCACAAAAACACAAGCACCACCGTTTCCCCCCGCACAAAGCCCACCCCAAAACAAAAGTCTAAAACAAGACCCCCCTCTCCCCTCCCAGGCCCCCAGCCCGTAATGCACACCTACCACGGCAGCGTCTTTGCAGCCTCCAAGCAGCACGCACAAGAAATGGGCCTCTCCGTAATCAGCCCACATAAGCACCAGCAAAGCGAATGGACGGGGTTCATGCGTGCGTTCTGCGCCGCCGACGCCGCCAGAATGGGCCTGTTTGACGCCGTGCATGTGCGCGGCTGCTGCGCCGCCCGGCCTGCAGACCAGCACCTGTACTACGGGGCCCTGGATGCAGGTAGTGAGTCGGAAGCCGAGGCGCGCGGCCTAGCGGATATCCAGCGTGCTGGGCGCGGGCGCTTCCACGGGACTCGTTGGGCGGAGAGCGAGGCGCAGGCGTCTGCGTTGGGACTTGATGAGCCGCGCCATGTCTGGGGCTGTTGTTTGCAGGGGCGGTTTGAGGTGCCGCCTGCTGTGAGGCATTGTTATCTTGGGCGTATGACGGGAGATTCTTTGGGGGATGTTATGGATAGGGGGTTGAGGGAGCCGCAGGTGGGTGGGGAGGATGGGCTGTTTTATGGGTTTGTGGAGGCTACGTGTGAGTTTGAGGCTTGGGGGATGGGGTTGAGGGAGATTGAGCATGCTGGGTTTTGTTTTGAGGAGGGTGATGATGAGGAGGAGGAGGAGGAGGAGGAGGAGGAGGAGGAGGAGGAAGAGCAGGCAGTGGGAGTGGACATGTTGATCCCTGATGTGCAGGTTACTTTTCATGGGTTTATGTACGGGTTATCGGAACAGGAGGTTGTTGATCGGGGATTGAAAAATGCTCTGCTTGTTCCTGGTTATTCGGTCAAATATTTTGGGAGTCTTCAGGCGGGAAGTGAAGAAGAAGCTCGGACTATGGGGCTTATTGACCCATCGCGTATGAAGTGGAGTGGAGATACGTGATTTGCAACTTATGGGTGTTTAGATTTCCTTGTTCAAGGGATTTGAATAGGGTTACGGAGGACAGAGGATGAGATTGATATATAGGTCGCACTTTGCTTTCCGTTTCTGACAATTAACACCGAATACCCAAATAAACACAAATCTGTTTCTGTGATCTCCCAAAACAATAGTTGATTCAGGATCAGGATCCCGAACACGTCTAAACTCGATTTGGCCATTGTTTGACCTACTTTTGGGGCCAATATACCCGTTCTATGTGATCTATTCTGCAGATATGACTTGATCGCACGGGACTATTATATTTACACCTTGGCTATAGGATTTTGACTCGATCTCAAATATGGATTATGATCTCATGTATTTCTCTGATATAATGTTATCCATGTAATTATGCAGTATAATTGTAGTCGATCCCAATTCGTATCTCAGTCGATTAGGTTCATCTGTATAAAGATGATACATCAACTGTAACTATGAACGTGGTGAGGCACGAGCAGAATCGATAAGAACATGCTTAAAAGCCTCAATCCACACCTTCACTATCTCGAATCTCGAAGCTCCCCGCTGTAAAATGGAATGATGTCAAGCTCAAATTTGTCATTATACCTGCCCCTTAAAGTGAAGATCAACGTTTCGTCACGGAGAGCAACCGAAACGAGGAAACTTTTGAGGATTCAATAGTTCACACGACGGATTCAATAGAGCTCGGGAGCCTTCTCCTGCCAAGAGATCTTAATCTCAAACGCCCCTCTCCACGGTCCAATCAGCATTCATCTCGTTGACAAATACCGCAGAGCGCGCAAGCACCCGCCATCACCGAACCAAACAGTCCTTCGATCGGGATATGAGAGACCCACCGCAATGTCCTAAACGGCAGAGAGGTGGAGATACCTTGGAGTCCTACTGGAGTATAACTGGATACTCTGAGATACTCCATTGATACGTCCTGAACCCATTCCCGATCTCTCACTGGTCGCCCATTGGTCTCATTCGGGGACCCAAAGGGCAACACATGGTAACTTCAGCCATGATCTACATACCCTTACGCCAAAAACGAGATGATACAAAACAGCAAAATAAAAAACCTGTAGGGATCCACTTCCTCGTGCGGAAATGCATGTGCTCCCCATAATCCCGGGTCAGAATTCCCACATAGTGTGAAATCGTAGCGCAATGGTGTGCATTTCCCACATAAAAGAACCCGATCACCCGGGAATCTGGATCCCCCCTCCCCAAGCGCTATCCAACTTCACTCACTTTCCTTAAGCACTCTCTTTATAGAACCATGGGCTCAGAATTCGGTGCCACCGCCGAGTCCAAGGCCCAGATTGATCTGGGCCCGGTGACCGTGTGGTGGGTGACCTGGGGTTGTATCTGGACAACTGTTCTCATCGCCGGAATGGTCTATCTCGTCCTGCACCGCAATATGCCGACCCTGCGAATTCGTGGCCTCGGTCTATCACTCACTTCGATTGTCGTCCTTCATTTATATTGGATCCCTACTCAATTCGGCACTATGCTGGGTGCTGTCTTGCCGGGTGACTGTGGCTATTGGCTGATGGGGACTCTCCTACCTTGTGGCATTGCCCTGTTCCATGGCTCCAACGCTCGCTTCCTCCACGTCGCTAATCAGCAAAAGAAGTTCGCCGTGGATGGCTATCGTTTCGTCGATGCTCCTCCCACCGAGCCGAAGACTGGCTTGATTGCCCGTTTCCAACGTCTCAAATATACTAGCAAGATTCTCTTTTTCGTCGGTATCGGAATGTTCGTTCAGGTATGCTAGAAACCCTATGTATATACATACATATACATTTCCAATGTGTTCAATCCCCCTAACTCTAACAGGTGTTCCTCACCGTCTTGATGTGGTTGATCTCCCGCAAATACCACAGCTCCTGGGGTATCCCCGGCACCGAAGTCACCGGAACCCCGATGGAGATCCTCACAAAACAAGGCGCCGGATGGGAATGGTGGCCGGGTGTGTTCTGGCAGTTCTTCTGGTCCTGGCTCGTGGCCCCTATCGTTCTCTGGAAATCCCGCAACATCCACGACACCCACGGCTGGCGCATCCAGACCATCGGCTGCGCGATTGCCGGCCTCTGGGCCACCCCCATGTGGCTCGTCGGCCTCTACGTCCCCGCCATGGCCCCCGTCAACAAGGTCTGGGTTCCTCCCCAGTGGATCTGCCTGTCCATCATGATCATCGAAATCTTCACCGTCTTCCTCCCCTGCTGGGAAGTCATGCGCCACCAGAGCCTCCGCCAGGAGACCCTCGAGTCGATCGCCCGCTGGGAAACAAAGGTCAAATCCACCTCGGACGAGAAATCCATCCACTCCGAAAACACCGTCGTCGCCTCCATGATCTCAGGCTGGAAATCCAACAGCTCCACCACCACCTTCAACTCCCGCGACAGCATCCTGACCATGGGCGCCCTCGAACACGTCCTCGAGCGCAACCCCGCCCCGTTGCAGGAATTCTCCGCCCTGCGCGAGTTCTCCGGCGAGAACATCGTCTTCCTCACCAGCGTCGCGGAATGGCGCAACAAGCTGCCCGCCGCGATGAAGGACCGCGCCGCCATGGCCGAGAGAAACAACCGCGACATCATCCGCAGCGCCTTCAACCGTGCCCTGCACATCTACGCCGAGTTCATCAGCGTCCGCCACGCCGAGTTCCCCGTCAATATCTCCCACCAGGAGCTGAAGAAGCTGGAGGATATTTTCGAGAAGCCCACTCGTCTGCTCTACGGCGAGGAGCGCGAGTGCGACCCCACCAGTCCCTTCGACAAGTTCACTTTCGATCCGCCCTCGCCTTCGTCCGTCGACTCCGAGAAGACCATGCAGGCTTCCATGGCCGCGTCTCTCAAGGACCGCGTGCAGTACTGGGGCGATATTCCCGCTGGGTTTGAGGCGTCTATCTTCGACGCCGCAGAGGCCAGTATCAAGTACCTCGTGCTCACCAATACCTGGCCCAAGTTCATCAAGGACCGCCGAGGCTCGGTGGAGTCCATTGAGGCTCTGAAGATGGATGTCTAACTGTCTCTTTGAGCGCCATGTGTAAATGAGTATAAGTCGTTCTGATGGGTCGGGCCTTTTGTATACCTTTGCTGTCTTTTTCTTTCATCTCTTTCTTCTCTGACTTTTGGGTACTCCCCCTCACGGATTCCAGGGTCTGTACATACTAATTGGTCATTTGGTTGGTTTTAATATTCTGGATACCCTCACACAACATTTCTCTTTTTGATATCATTATATAAAAATCACTTTCTTTGGCGAGGAGACCTTTCTCAAGGTCGTCCTCTGTTAATATCATTCATCCAACCGATCCATTTATACTGCTCCAAGTAAAACCTCTAATTCTGTTACATGTTCAATCATTTTCTATAAAAAGCTGGTATATCTCCAATGTACATTTACTTCCCAAAAGCCTTCACCACACTAGCACTCCCTTCAGCTCCCAACCCAGACCGCTTCGCCAGGAACAAAACACTCAGAGCCGCATTTCCCAAATGCAAAGGACAATGCAGATCCCTAGCCCTCTGCACAGCCTTTTCAAGACGCGCAGCAGCCGCATCAAGCGTCTCCCCCCCAGCCCGCCCCTCAATCATCTCCCGTCCCTTCAAGACAAACTGCCGACTCGCCCCCGCAGCATCACTAACAAGAGTAAAGAACTGCTCCATATCAACATCAAGATACTGCGCGAATGCAATCGCCTCAGCTGCCGCAACAAGATTCGTCACCTCCATCAAATCCAGCACGAGCTGCAGCGCCTCTGCATCCTCCTTCCCGACCACGCTCATGATCGGCGCCCCGAAATACTGCCGCACCATCGACGAATCATCAGAAGCCCCATACCCCTGCAGCAGCGCAGAGAGATAAACTTGCTCCGCCGTCGAAGACAGCGGAGTCGGGAACTGGCTCTGCCGCGCTGATGTGGTAATAATTCCCTAGAAATCCCAATCCATTTAGCAACTATCGCATTCCGCATTGCATTGCATCACGTCGCATATAATGCAAGCATGCAGTCCTGGAAAAACTCACAACATCCTTCAATATAATAGTCAAAGCACTAGCACCCGGATTCCACTCCTCCCCAAGCATCCTCCCCAGCCGATTCTCATGCATCCAGGTCCACGCCCCAGACCCGCGAATGGCCTCCGCAGTCTCAGACGCCCCCAACCCAAGCTGCGCAGCGAACCCCATCGCCTCACTAGCACCAAGAATATGAATCCCCGCCAACACCTGGTGCACCATCTTCATGTTACTGCCCGCGCCCACGCCCCCAGGAACAAGATACAGCTTGTTTGCATCAGATAGTACCTCCAGCAGCTCCTTACCTGCCGCTAGTGCGTCAGAGCTGGCACCCGCCATGATGGACAACGTGCCGGCTGCGGCACGCAGAGCGCCACCTGATACCGGTGCGTCAATGAGGTTTATATCGCCCCGGCCGACGCGGGATAGTTCTGCCAGGACGGACTGCGCGTAGCTTGCTGCGACGGTGGAGCAGAGGAGGAGGGTTGCGTTTTGCGGTAGTGCTGGATAACAATTGGATGCATTAGCTTGATTCCTTTCCTTTTATTGTTTTCGGTACAATGGAGGCTTGGACGGATATTAAATACCTGCGACTACGCCATTCTCCCCGAACAACACGCTCTGCACCTGCGGCGCGGACGCAACCATGCACACGTAGAAGCTCTTATCCGTCGCTGAGTCCTGTAGTGAAGAGGCGGGGATGCCGCCGGCGGCGGCGAAGCGCTCTACTGAGGCTGGGAAGACGTCGAAGCCGTGGACTGTGTAGCCTTCTTTCACGAGGTGGGTTGCCATGCCGAAGCCCATGGCTCCGAGGCCGACGAAGCCGATTGAGGGTTTGGGATTGGACATTGGTACGTTGGGATTTATGGGAGTGTGTTTAGTTAGGTTACCAGTTAGGTGTTTGAGATTTGGTCTAATTATGTAGAAATATGGGGACTTGGAATGGACGTGGGGGTGAGGGGAAAGGTGTCTGGGGAATCTTGGACTCGGGAGAAGTCCGAGGTGGTTTGCCGCGCTCCCGGCCGAGATGGGGGTTGTTTGGGGTTGTGGATGGCGTAGAATGGAGGTCAGTGTATTTATTTACTTTATTTTTTTGGGTTTCTGGAGTTAAGTGTTTTCGGTTCGATGTTAAGAATTGTTCGGAGATTTGTCCGAACATCTTATCTCCATAGATCGTGGAGAGGGTTGTGAAGCAAAATAACGTCGAATGCTTATACTATACTTAGAATATCTCGGTTTCTATGGGACTATTTACGTATAGGGAATCACTGACATCTTTAAATAGAAAACTCAAGCAGACGAAGCTAGCATGTACTCAAAGTGAGCTAGATCAGGTAGAGAACCTTGGAATATCATGCTATTCAAGCGAAAGCAATTGGCTGTTCAAGTCAGGGAAGTCAGGCAATAGAGATAATCCCATGTAACTCCCAAAATAATTTAATTACATAGTGATAATCTTAGAAATTATTCAATCCAAAAGACTCTCCAACACATCAGCAGCTGTAAGCTTCGGAGCAGCGATCTCTAGCACTTCCTTGCTAGTTGTAGAGGCCGAGCATTTTCCTTCCCATGAAGTCTCCAGAGCATGCTTGATAGACAGAATAACATTCTTCGACTGCCCAGTCGCAGCATATTTCATCTCATACAGCATGTCAATAAAAGAATTGTCTTGATAACTGACTTCGTCGACCTTCACACCAATATACTGCTCCACTAACTCGACAATCTGCTTTCCGGTGATATCTTCGGGCCCATTGAGAACATACTTAGCCTGATTGTGCGCAGAAACATCATCTTGCGCCAAAAGATGCGCAGCAAAGACCCCGACTTCCGACGCATCAATAACGCCAACGGGTGCATCTTTCGCAGCCAGCAATTTCAACACATGCTGATTTCCCGTCTTGCGGTACTCTTTGATCAACTCCGCGGCAGACATGAGCAAAAAGCTCGAAAACACATTCGGCTGCAGCGACGTCCACTGCAAAGCGGAGAATTCGGGCTGGCTGAGGAGATTCTCGATTGCCCAGTGCGTGCGTGCATAGTAGGCTTTACAGTCTGGGCGAACGTTGGCGGCGGTGGTTGAGATTCGCACGGCGTATTTGACGCCGGCGGCGAGAGCTGCCATGTAGAATGTCGACTCTTCGGCGAATTGGTTGGGTTCGTTGTGGGATGCGACGAACGCTCTGACGACTTGGTGTTCGCGGAGCCAGTCGGCGGTTATGTCAACCCAGTTTTTTTCGACAACTTCAACGCCGGGCACTTTGGCGAGCTTTTGGGCTGCGGGACTGTCGGCGGAGCGGGTGAGAGCAATGATTCGGTGGTTGGATAGAGCTTTGCTGGACTTGAGTAACGCTGGTAGGGTCTCGGTGAGACTGAAGCCGGTGTTGCCGGTTGCACCGACAATAAGAACAGTAGGTGCCATGATTGGGGAGTGTAGATGGAAGGTTGTAGTTCTAGATACATTGATCAGTTCAAGTATTGAGGTGGTTATATAGAGTCTCCCGGATGCCCACCGGATGCCCACCGGCGGGTTACACATCTGCTTAGCAAAGTGTATTTCGTCACACGGGAAAATTATGCAAAGCAGAGTCATTTGATTGGATGAGCTTAATAGATCGCTTACCTGCAATTCAAGATAATTAATAATAGGCTTACGCCAACTCCAGAGGTGATGAGTACTGATGAGGTACCGGCGGCATCCCACAAGCGCTGGGCCGAACCCTGTTTCTTATCTCTGATTCTTTTTTCATTACAGGTTCTTCCGAACCAATTGTTCTTGGGGATAGAAAGAACTTCAAATTGAACAGTTTGCCAAAGTAAGGAATAAATAAAATGCTTTGGTGGCGTTTAACCGAGTCAATCCATCTCTCTTCGATTCCGACATGAGTATGCATGATGATGCAGGTGTAAGCACTGGTGCAACAAGTCATTTACCATATCATTCCTGGAGATATTACCATTAAAACCGACACTACGTTGTACTTTGTTTCCAACACATTGTACGGAATGCCCTTGCTGTCATCTTTCTCCCGTGCGGATTGCTCACACTCTTCATCGCTAGCATAGAGCGCCCCGCAGAATGTGTCGAGTGCACATATAATCTTTTAGCCCACTTCTGGGGGGTTGGACTTGTTTGCGTGGATTGTCCACGCCGTGTAAACGCACCCCATTAGGAATTGGCTTTCATCGGCATCATTTTCTGGGTATTGTTCGACACAAGGCAACGACAGGAACAAAAGGTACCACTGCAACCCTGACAGCTATTGAATATGCCTATATACTTCGTGTCCAGCTTTTCATCGACACTGGAAATGTTGACAAACCTCAGACCCACCAATCCCGGAGCGCCAGCCGCCACGGAACGTACCGAACCGGGACTGTTACACGACAGGGTGTGGATGATTTATATTTCATCCTGTAAATTGGACTATTACTTCTCATTTAGCTGTGGCGCCGCATTTTGGTTTCTCGGCCTTCGATTATGGTATTCGAAGAGGCACAATGGAAGGAAGTTATCATGAGCTTGCAATTTACTCACCATTTAGATTATGTGATCAAGTTGGAATATCATGTGTCTATGACGAGTAGTGAGATTGATAGACCCTTGCGGGCCAAAGAAATTATTACGTATGTGAAATGACTTTCAGCTGAACCCGAGATCGTGATTTTCAGCTGAGATGTAGATCGTCTTGGCTGCACACTACAGTCACATTCCAACAAAAGGTCAATTCTGCGCCCTTGGAACGAGGATATAATGAGGTCGGAAGCTTGGCATCTTCAATATTCAAATGAAAATTTAGTCTAGCCATACAAAGCTTCGCCATATTTCGGCAGAATCTTTCCCGCAGTTTAATTCCTATCTAGTAATAAGAAAACTCGTCATGATCCTCAACCGATCTCGATCCAAGGCCAGATCGACCCCCTGCATAATGTGGATCTCTGTATAAGCAAATGCACCTATCATCGAATGGGAATGCTCATATGGCAACATGCAAATCAATAGTGAAGAAATTGGGTGCATGTACAGAGTAACAATTTACATGCATACAATATATCGATAGTTTATGCATGTTTTAGTCCACATCCCCAATCGTTCACGATCACCAAGTCCTCATGCTAGAGCTGCCAAAGTACGGTGAGCATGCAAAAAGCAAAATCAAAACTATAAAGATAGAGGAATTCCAACCCCTACAATATCCATCCCAGAGTCCTTCCCACACCTACGAAGGCCGCCTGAAGCATTCACTCCATCAAAACCTCACCCAATCCTCAAAATGAAGTCATTTTTCGCTCTTGGCGCTCTGGCCACCTTGTTCCAATCCGCATACTGCCTCGCCCCTGGCGCCTACATTATTGATACAGCCAAACAAGACGGCTTAGCTCTGACTCAGGAGGGCGACAATACTCCTCTCCGCTTTACATCGCGGGTTCAATTCTGGGATTTCACTCCTACAAAGGGCGGCTACTTTGAAATCCGCCATGAAAGTGGTGCCTACATCAACTGCGACCAAACGGGTGACAGGATCTGCTTCCCCGGTGACCGGCCCCAAGCTTTCCTCCCGGAGTTCCAGGGAGAAAACAAGTACGAGCTTGTGGAACAAGGCTCGGGATTGTTTTTGCGTTTCGACGGGGAGGGTAACCTGTTGAAGTTGGCTGAGTACGATCAAAGTATTGAGGAGCAATTCGCTCTAATTCCTCTTGATCAATAAATTTACGTGAGTGCTACTCATGACCGTTCAACGAACTTATTGTTGACTTGCGTTTTCAATTAGGTCGATTTATGGGAATTTACGAAAGAGATGTGGTTGTTTGGCCATTTATGTCAAGGTCGCCATCCATATAGTTAGTTTGTTGGGGCCGATCTGTTGTCGTTTGACCGATTAAGGAATTGAACACTCAGGTTTAACAATTAGTGTCACACTCCTCTGTAATGGATAAAATCATCCTGATAGCCGACATTTTCATTGATCTCAATCTAAGCTCCGTAGATATATATGTATATCCGGTGCCGCTGGTGTGGTATGTGGCTCCGAGCACCGCATTATACAACAAAGACCTCATCGTGCCATACAATACAAGACTATGATTAGAGTAAGGAATATAACTTCTAAACATTGCTAAACATTAGTTATGTACATATGTCGTTATCTTCCCCCACGCCAAATCTCACACTGACGTAGTTACACGGAGCAACTCCGAGTGTCGGACGCGAAGCGAGTACTCGGACAGCCCCGATGCGCGAATAGACCCTGGATTATCCCTAATAAATGAGTTACCGAATCCGCTTTCCCCCTTCAATTCCACCAAACAACCACCTCAACCCTATCACAATGTCTCTGAAAGAAAACCGCGCCCTGCGCATCCTAGACCATGCCTCCGAAAACCACTATGCCATCCCCGCAATGTGCTGCTACAACGTGGAAGGCATCCTGGCAACTGTCCGCGCCGCCGAAGCCAAGCGCTCAGCAGCAATGATTCTCCTCTTCCCCTGGGCAATCCACTACGCCGACGGCCTCCTCGTGCACGCCGCCGCCGAGGCCGCGCGCAAAGCCACAGTCCCAATCACAGTCCACATGGACCACGCGCAGACACCCGATATAATCCGCTACGCGGCGGATCTGGGCGGCTTTGACAGTATCATGGTCGACATGTCGCACTACGAGAAAGCGGAGAACCTGGCGCTGACCCGTGAGTTGGTGGGGTATTGCCATGCGCGGGGTATTGCGACGGAGGCGGAGCCCGGGAGGATCGAGGGTGGGGAGGATGGAGTTGCGGATACGGCGGATTTGGAGGGGTTGCTTACGACTCCCGAGGAGAGTCAGGAGTTTGTGGATACGGGGATTGATTGGCTGGCACCGGCTTTTGGAAATGTTCATGGGGAGTATGGGCCGCGTGGCATTCAGCTTGAGTATGAGCGGTTGAGGTCGATTAATGAGGCTGTTGGGGGGAAAGTGAGGCTTGTGCTTCATGGTGCGGATCCTTTTACGGAGGAAATTTTTGCGAAGTGTATTGATTGTGGGGTCTCAAAGGTCAATATCAATAAGGTGTTGAATAATGAGTACGTGCGGGTGCAGGCTGAGAAGGCCGGGAAGGTGCCTTTGACTACTTTGTTGGAGGAGACGACAAATGCGATGCAGAAGGCTGTGGAGGGGTGCATTGATCGGTTGAGATCTGGGGGAAGATACCCTTCTACTTAATTGATCAAATCATGTAAACGAAAATTCGCTGATTCCAAGAGAAACGAGAAATGATGAAAGATGGATGAGGTTCCCACATCTATGAATTAAGATATTCGGATATATAGTGAAATTCCAAGAGAGCCACCGACCCGTAGGCATAGGTATTGAAATACAAAAAAAATGTGCGAAAGTGACCAATACGACTATTTGATAAAAAGGGTAATCATCCACATCGCACATGAGAAGAAATCACTCTGCTAATTTAACGACGGAGACCAAGGCCAGCGATGGGGCCGCCCATGAGGCCACCGACGAGAGGAAGTCCCTCGACAAGACTACCGACGGGACCAGCTTGGGCAGCGGCACTGGCACTGGGAGAAGGAGTGGCGTTTGAAGAAGCAGAAGCAGTAGAAGAGCTGCTCTTAGCAGGCGCGTGAATGAGAGCATGACTGGCAGAGGGCATGGCGACAGGTGCCTCCGAGACAACGGGAGCGGGAGAAGCAACAGGGCCCTGGGAGACAGCAGGGGCAGGGAAGCTCATGGAGGCGTGGGTGGGAGTGGGAGTGGCGATGTGGGACTCCACAGGGAGCTGGGCAGCCGTGCTGGACTGGGTTGGAGTGGGCTTGTGCACGGCTAGGTGAGTGGGTTCAGCCTGCACAGCAGGCACAGCCGGGACGGCTGGTACGGCCGGAATGTCGTTGGTCTTGGGCATGGAGGGCTCTGGGGCAGTGGAAGGCTTGGGGATCTCTGGCTTGTCCATCGTGGGCTTGGGCGTGTCGGGCTCGGCCATGACGACGTGAGAGGAGGGCTTGACGGACATCTTTGCGGACTCGGCCTGCTCCATTGCCTGCATGGCAGCAGGGAAGGGGTTGTCGAATCCCTCATCGTCGGTCTCCTCGACACTGGAGGATCCGGATGGGTTGAAGGGGAAACCGCCAGTAATGCCGCCGAAGCTGTCGGCATTGGGCTTGGGGGCGGCGGGCGCAGCAATGGCGCCGACGGCAAGAAGTGCCAGAGAGAAGTATGAGGCGTGCATTATTATGTTGGCCGGACTGAGGCTTTTGGGATTGTAAAAGAAAGTATAGAGGGTCAGAGGTAAAAAAAAGAAAGACTGGTTCGCGAACGGGAGAATGGGAAACAGAGGCTTTTATTTAGAAATTGAGATGAATGAACTGTTATGATTTTTTATTGTCCTCCATGCCTCACGCTCGCATTGATAAGGATCGGCATCGCTAGGCTGGGGTGACGACGGCAACATAGCGGGCCTGTGCCCTATGAGATGAGAGGGCGAGGGAAAAGGGCTTCAGAGATTGAACTGCCGAGTATGCTGGGCTCCTGCGGAATGATCAGCCAGGAACCTGCCCAGGAAAGCTTGTCAAAGGTTGGGCGAGGTTAAATCAATGCTGATCTGTCGTTTCACGATACAAATGGGAAGATTGAATGAAGTACAGGCATGATATCGAGGCTGACATGGCGTATAGTCTGAGAATCCTCGTGAGGTTAATTTTATTTTTTTTACATCTGAAACAAATATTTGGGTAGATAAAATGCACATCATACATTTTCTTAGGTCGCTGCACTTCCATTCGTATACATGTTGACCCTCCCTTTGGTACAACGAGATTATAGCGATTTGACATGGGCAGGTGCTGTTCAGCCCGACAATAGCGACAATCTCCCAAATCCATAGGTTTCTTCGAAGGGCTCGAAGATAATGTCTAAGGGTGATTGGCACGCGGGAAATATTCCCCTAGCAATCCTGACCCACCCCTTGCAGGACCAGCCCAATTAGGTTCCTGATCCTAGTTCATTTTGCAACTCCAACCCCATTGGTATGCTTACTTCTTCCTAGCCGCATACTCTAGCTATCGCGTCAGATGTGATCTCTATGTTCTGAGCATAATTGTATCCGTTGTAGTCTGTTGGGTTGCATTGAGCATGATCACCCCTCGATTAAGCCGCAGCCCTGAGCCCTAGTTGATGATTGGCTTTTAATTGTAGACATTGTCGGATCACAGCGTATTCAAACGCTGTGGAGGGGCCTATTCTTTTGAAACCCGTTCAGATATAATAGGAATTCCCGGATAGTATGGAGAGACAAACCTGGTCTATCATTAGTCTATAAAATAATTTCTGTACAACCGGCACTTGGACCCTATCGCGTTGACAGGGCACATTATTGATACGAAACGTCCCGAACTTCCAGCCGCATACCATCATTTGGTGTTGTAATGAAAAACAAAAAAGATAAAAGATATTTGGCCAGAATTGAATGAGGTTTCCGCGATTCCTGAGTTTCACTTTTGTCGCGTCGTCATCCCCTTCATCAAGTAGCCCACTCAGACCCCAGTATGAAAAGGATCGCCCCATGGAAAAATGTCTGAGAACCAGCCATCCGCTGGCAGATCAAAAATGCCCTCATCTGCTTCAAGAGTATTGCTGTTCGCATTTTGATCTTTTGCAGGCGGTATAACACCAGCCTCTTCAAAATTTCTCCGCCATAGAGCCTTTGTGGCTTTGAAGATTTCGGCTGCTTGGCTGTACATGTCACTCCCGTCCGTTTCCATCCCGATGACTTTCGGCACAGACGCATAAAGAGATGCGCATTGCTCAATCGATTCCAGGACGTCGATGATGTGTGCTATATCGCTACGGTTCCATGACGGGTCTTCCAGGAGTGACAGGCGGTAGAGAATGTGGGTGCATCGACTATAATGCATATGCAGCATCATGGGATGGGAAAACACTGTCTCTGGAGAGAAAGTGACGAAGTTCTCCATGCAGTATTTAATGGCTTGGAGGCATGCAAAAAAGCAGTCTGTTCTTCCAAAGTCGAAGCTACCTGCCTGTTGAGACGTTTCCAGTGGGTACAGAGGTAGATCATTGATCAGGGCTTCTGTGAAATATAAATATGACAGGACAATTTCTTACAAGTTAGTATGAATGCAACCCTCGAAAAAAATCACTTACTATTCCCTAGGATATCTGGCGGAGTTGACGATTTAATCTTATCCAGAACACCCCGCAAAGATTTGACGTGAAGGGTCCGGTGCGGCTGTGTCTGCGCGCTAGGAGACTCAATCTGTCGCCAAGTCGAGACCTCATGGAGATTGCTCTTCAATTTTGTCAGCTGGGCCAGCACAACCAGTACTCTGTCCCCAGGGACTTCAGGGTGCTCGCTCAGGTCTTGCAGACAGCCCTCCATGTGCGCCGTCCATTGCACCGGCCGATGATTTAAGAACCATATATTCCTATAAAAGATTAGCTGCGATACGCAAGCTCACGGAGATAAAGAAATTAACTCGTGGGGAGCTCTTACGTTGTGCACACTATATAGCATCCCAGTACTGCTCGTCGCTCTTCATTCGTGCGGTGGCTCAATTGAACCTTTTCCTTGATAGGATGGGAATACGCTTTGGGTGCATCCAACTCACGACATGGGATTTCTCGAAAGGACCGGTCAAGTCTCAAGTCGGACAAAAGCGACATGGCGATATTGGTAAAGACGGTCAGAATAGACTTGCCATTGTACTTATCGGATGCCCTGAGCCATTAGCCTCTAGATCGAAGGGTGGTTTATGCTACATTTCTCACCAAGCGAGATAGGCGATCAGCCCAAGGAGAAGGTCCAAGTTTCTTTCAAGATCTACCAGAATCTTTTGCGCCAAAGTTTCACGAATTCTGACCTCAAGGAGGCGCTGCTGTGCCATGGACTTACATCCATTAGCCCAAATGCACAGCCACAATAGCGGACGCTCCCTTTGAAGTTGGGAAGGCCTTTCAAATGATGTCAGCGAGGAAAAGAACATACTGTTCTGAGTTGCAGCTTACGTTGTCGTTGAAGCAATACAGTAAAATGGGAAATTATTGAGGTGCTGCTGGAACGTCGCTAAGTATTGCTCTGCTTGAGATTCAGAAGGCTCTATTCCTGAAAGGGGGTCCGTATTAACCGGTGCATGCTGTGCTGGAAACGAATACTGAGAGATTCGAGGGGCAAGAGGCTTATTTCTGGGCCCGTTTTGGTCGGTTCGATGTTCAGCAGGCCGAGTCACAAATTCCGAGCGAGTCAACGGCACACTATTCACAGAAGCAACAGTAGTGGATGGTTCGCGGCCTAAGGATTTCTCTCTAGGAGTACCAGCAGATTCGTCGGAAGCTTGTGATTCTAGTAACCCAACAAGATCATCAAGCCGCTCTTCAAGATGTGCCGTCCTATATGCTGTTTTCCGGGCAAGTCGCTTCCGCACAACAGTAGATGGCTCACATGCTTGCTGCAGGCGATGGCATCGCTCGCAGCTGAGACCCGGTCCTCTCAGTATGCACTTGCATTTGGCCTTGTGGCAGCCGGCACATGCTCGGCCGTACGAGGCCGACTCTCGAACCTTGAAGGTAGCTTTTTCGTTCATGAAAATGTTAGTTTCAACATTGGTGGAGACAGGGGCAATTTGAGATTCTTTCGCTAGATCTATGGACCTGTTCGATAATCGAACCCATACGCGCATTTGCCAAAGGCAAGGGGGACGGCGGGATTCACCCGGACATTCCTTATTCCGAGCTCCGATCTACAAGCTTACTCCCAAGGACGGCGGGATTGGTGAAATGCAGGAAGGTGATTGGCTAACTTGTACTATATATATTGCCCCTTCCATATGAATTGTCAGATTGAGAGCCCCGCGGCGGATTTCACAGTCGGGAAAAGGGTTTAAGTATTACTTGCGGCATGTCTTAATATGAATCGACAGTGATCGCCCGAAAACATATCGCGAATTTTGAGACCACTGATCTAGTTGTCCTCAATCATCAAGCCAAAATGGCAGTCCCCGTCCCTGCTGATGCCTCCTCGCATATCGCTGAAAAGCACTCACTGAATTCTCAACCTACATCCGATGACGGTGTTCCTGAAAATTCAATCTCTTCCACTGACGGGAGGAAGGAAAAGTCGGAGGAGGGTTCTTCTCCTCCAGAAGATCCTGGACATGAGTATTTGACCAGTCTTAAGCTCTTCTTCGTCCTTTGTGGAGTCACCCTGGTCTGCTTTTTGGTTATGCTGGATACCTCCATCATTTCAACCGTGAGCTCCCATTCGCGTTTCTTCCCTGGGTTTTTTTGACATTCGGCAGGCAATCCCCAAGATGACCACCGAGTTTCACTCTCTTGGCGATATTGGATGGTATGGTAGCTCGTATCAAATAGCTAGGTGAGTTTTGCGAAGCTATCTTATCAATCAGACTATTGATATTTGCATATCAGTGCTTGCTTGCAGCCTCTCGCAGGTCGGATCTTCGTCAATTTCAGCTCCAAGGTAAATCTCCCAAAATCCCTACGCCAAATCCTATTAATCGAAATTCACCATAATATAGTGGACCTTTATGGTATTCTTCTTCATTTTCGAGCTCGGATCACTACTATGCGGTATCGCAAGTTCTTCTAAAATGTTTATCATCGCTCGCGCAGTGGCTGGAATGGGGTCTTCCGGATTGCTGAACGGTGCTCTAACCATCGTATCGTCCGTTGTTCCACTACACAAATCTCCACGTATGTTGCTATCAACTTCCCGTTGATGGGCGTTTGCTAACATATTACAGCTCTCATGGGATTAATGATGGGCGGTTGGTGTCCCTCCATACACAAAGATTTGTATCTCGCTAACAATGAATGTAGTGTCCCAGCTTGGTACTGTCGGTGGCCCTTTACTCGGTGGTGCGTTCACAGAGTACCTTACTTGGAGATGGTGTAAGTAACTCGAGACATCTACTTTGGGCGCTACTAACTGGAGTCATTGAAGGCTTTTACATCAATCTCCCGGTAGGTGCCCTAGTCGCGATATTTCTTGCCTTTATCAGAATCCCCGACCAAGTTGCCAAGCCTTCAATTCGATTAGCGCTCAGCACAATCCATCATAGGCTCGATTTGATTGGATTCGCTCTTTTCGCGCCTGCAGCTATACAGCTCCTCCTTGCAATGGAATACGGACAGCAATCTTCCTGGGGAGATGCGACTGTGATCGGACTTTTCTGCGGCGCTGCTGCCACGTTCGCCGTTTTTCTGCTCTGGGAGCATCGCCAGGGAGAAAAAGCGATGATACCACTTGAGATGGTTGCGAAAAGACAGGTTTGGTCTAGTTGCTTTGTCATTCTAGCTGTTTTTGCCATCACGCTTTGCACCGCCTACTATCTACCCATCTATTTCCAGGCTACAAAGAACGACTCTCCAACGATGAGCGGTGTCTCAATGCTCCCTGGCATCTTATCCCAAGTACTTGCCTCAGTAGCGTCGGGCTTCTTGAGTAAGTTAATTTGGCTGTTCTGGAAATGCGAAAGATTGTTGACACTCTTCTCAGTTGCCAAACTAGGATACTATTATCCCTGGACCATTTTCGGTGGAACTGCCACTGCTATCGGTAGTGGACTGTTATCGACATTGAGACCAGGTACTCCCATTGGCAAATGGGTTGGGTATCAAATAATCTCTGGTGTAGGCCGAGGGTCCGCGTTTCAAACTGTACGTTCCCCTTTCCATATGAAGCATGAGAAACATCATTGATGAAACGCACAACAGCCCCTCATCGCCATTCAGAATAATCTCCCTCGAGCTCAAATATCAATCGCCATGTCGATTCTTATGTTCATCCAGACTCTCTCTGGGGCGATTTTCCTCACCGTTGCAAATGTGGCTTTTGACTCAGGGCTGAAATCATTTGTCCCGGAGTATGCACCGAATGTCGACCCCCAGACTTTAATTTCAGCCGGCGCCACTGGAATTCAAAATGTAGTATCGAGCGATGACCTTTCTGGCGTCTTGATGGCTTATTCGAAAAGTATTGGTAACGTTTTTATCATGTCAGCTGCATTTGGTGTGCTCGTCGTGGTCTTCTCGTTTGGAATGGGGATGAAAGATATTCGACCAGGAAAGTCTGACCCTGGAAACGCTAAGTGATTTGTGTGTGTGTGTGTGTGTGTGTGTGTGTGTGTGCGTGTGTGTTTGCGGTACATAATTCGGGCACCGTGAGCCCTGGGAAAAGCGGTGCCCGATCTGTATAGTATGTGAACCCTTTATCCCGAGCGAGGATCTCCAGATCCTCAAATAGAATGAACATAATCCACATTACAACTAGCTAGTCACAAGGTAGACGCGATTCCAGAGCGCGTAAGCAGCCTGCAAAGACAACAAACACCCGCAGGGTACATACAAGAAGATTCCAATTCACAACGCTCACTCCTCAACAATACCCTTCACGGTAGCTCTAACGCCAAATAACCCCACTTTTGGACACCCAATTCCCAAATCGCGATAAACGCAAACGCTATCAGCAGTGGTTTCATACAGTGCGAAGTCAATGCGACGCGCGATGTGCGCTATAGCAAGGTAGATCTCTGCATATGCCAGACTGAGTGAATGTCAGCATTTAAATTTGGTTGCAAGGGAAAGGTAGGACTTACTTCATCCCTAGACATTGTCTGCTCCCTTTGGTGAATGAGACAATGTACCGGCTTAAATACTCACCGTTTTCCGCTGCACGCACCCAACGCTCTGGGTCGAACTTTGCAGGCTCGGGGAAGAGCGTGGGGTCCATGTGGACGAAATAATTTGACTGGCTGACTGGAGTCTGTGAAGAATGGTGGTCAGCAAATTCGCGAGAGATGTTGGTTTGTACTTTGTAATGGGTCTTGCCCCACGAGAGACTTGAACATTCCTAAATTCAATAAGCCATTATCACTTACTCCTATAGGAATGTTCCAGTCCTTGTAGGACATAGGCTCATTGGGCGAGATACGAGCCAAACGCGCCGTCATGCCATGGCTGAGACGAAGACCTTCATTGACGACACCCGTCTAACAAATAGTCAAGATCAGCACACCCAAATCCAACAAGATCCCAAATTTAAACCCACCAGATACGGCAACTTCTCCAACTCCAACCACGAAGCCTTCGACCTCGGCGTCTCTAACACAGTCTTCAACTCGGCCCTCAATTTCCCCATAACCTCCTTATCCCGAATAAGGTGAAACATCGAAACAGTAATAGCCCTAGCAGTCGTTTCCGTCCCCGCCCCAAGCAGCAAAGCAGACTCGTCCTCCAAGCGATCAAGCGTACGCTCCTGGGCAGGAACATCCAAGCTAGTCAACGCATCAAAAACATTCAACCGATCCTCACCATCAACCTTCTCCACGCTCTTTTTCTCCAGCGCATCTGCAGCCTGCTGCCGCAGCCGACTCTTAAAATCAAACAAATCAGCCATATGTGGTTGCAGCCAGCGGACCAACGCAGGCGGGGAATTCCGAAACACGGTAATAAGAAACGGGAAGAAGCGATTGACATGAAACATGACCATAAGCCCGTTCACCGCATCCACGAGATCGTTGCTGCGCGCCGCCGCGCCGTCCAGATACCCGTAGCTCCAGCCGTAGCAGTAGTCTGTGATGACGTCGGCGGTTAGAGCGGCGAAGTCGAGTTGCAGGTGCAGGACGGAGGCGGCGGCGTGGGCTTCTTCGAAGCGCGCGATGAGCTTGTCGACTTTTTCGTGGATCGAGGGGCCCAGGCTCGTCACGGAGCGTTTAGAAAAGTAGTTATTTAGCAGGTTGCGGCGGAACCGGTGGTGGTCATGGCTAATTGTTCCTACGAGGGAAAATGGAGCGCCGAATGCGACGGCGTAGTCCGGGTCTTTAGAGCGTTTGCGTGAGCTGCCGGCGTGGATATCTTCGTAGTAGGCTGAGTCTCTGATGTGTAATTCTCGGGGGTTTATGCGGACGATTGGGCCTGTTTGTGGTCAGTTGGTGGGCCATCGTGTTTTGGATGGGTGTGCTGGATCGGATATATATAGTTGATCTTTCGATTGACTCTTTATACTTACCATATTTATCGTGCATGCGCTCAATCTCCCAAATGTACATCCCACTCTTGATAACATCGTAATAAAACTCATAAAGAAATGTCGCCGCAGCGAGCTTCGGACCGGGAAACTTGGCCAACGGGTGAAAGTACAGATGATATACCATCCGCAGGGCGAAGAATCCCACCACAAACGCTGCCACCAAAGATGTATATGAAACGAAGTTATCCATTACGAGCGATCAAAGTCTCACAACCAAAGGAGGGAAAGAGATATGAATGCATTTTTAAACCAGAATAAATCACGCCACGATGAAAAAAAAACCCACATGGGAAATCATTTCCGTATTGCTACCAATGCAATGCTACCTGAATCACATCTGAGAGCCGCTAAAGCCACGATATACAGCAGTGACTGACCAGCAGGAGTCATGCGATCCTTCCCCCCCCCCAGCTGCAGGTGCATCGAGCAGTAAAATCAGCTCGAGCACGATGGAAATTGTCCTAAATCTGGCGACTAGGTTGAAATGGGTAATCCTTGAATGTGACATGGAAGGAATGAGGTACAGGATGCATGATATATCCACCTCGTGCTAGTCCGGCGACTAGAGCGGGCCAATTGAAGATTAGGAAAATGCGGCTTGTAAGGATCGAACAGAGGCGGATTCTAGTAGCGTGCTTAGGTGCAGCGAACAAGAGAAAAAGCAAGTACCTAGTGGCTTGAAATTTGAGACAATGGAATCAAAAAGAAATAAGATGGAGTATTTAATCGGATATAGACTCCTGCCCTTTAGGGTTTAGAGGCCCTTAGGCATCAAGGCTCCAAGGCTCCAAGGCTCCAAACCCAATGAGTAATCGACTTACATCATTGGATTGTTTTGGATGAACAAATAGCCGAGTTAGCCCCCACAGGGATAAATGTTCTGGGGTTCGCTTAACATGTATTATGGGGTCAAACGATAGATGTTTATATGGCCAGATATGTGTATGTAGATAGTCAATTATATATGGCTTGTGCGTATGGAAAAAGAAACATCGTTGAGATTGATACAATACAAAGGTATGGGTTGCGCTATCATCATGCAGCCGAATGGACTACCAGTGCATTCCGGAAAGGTCCACAATTTACACCTATGAAAACATCCGTGAAATCGGAACCAAAAAAAAAGTAGAAGAAAATAGGAAATAAAGAAACAGAAGGAAAAGCAACTGGAAAGACATCGGACAGAAAAAGACAAGATTCCGTACTCCGTTTTATATCCAAGGATCTAGACAGCCAACATCTTCTTGATTTCGGCAATTGCACGACCGGGGTTAAGACCCTTGGGGCAAGTCCGTGTGCAGTTGAGAATGGTGTGGCAGCGGTAGACGCTCATGCTGTTGTCAAGAGCGGCCTTGCGCTCGGCGGTCTTCTCGTCACGAGAATCGGCCAACCAGCGGAAGGACTGGAGGAGGATGGCGGGTCCGAGGTACTCCTCGCTGTTCCACCAGTAGGATGGGCAGGAGGTTGAGCAGCAGGCGCAGAGAATACATTCGTAGAGACCGTCGAGCTTCTTGCGGTCCTCGGGGGATTGACGGAATTCGAGACCCTGGGTGAATGTTAGATCACGTCGCTAATGTGTATATGTCAATATAATTATGGGTGTATATAACTCACATCTTCGGTGGGGGTGTCGCGCTGGAGATATGGCTTAATGGACTTGTATTGCTTGTAGAAGTGGGTCAGATCAGGGACAAGGTCCTTGACGACGTAGGTGTGAGGCAGAGGGTAGATGCGAGACTCGGACTTGGTATCGGTGGGAATACGGCCTGAATATGGATTGTTAGCTTTGATCGGAGACTAGTTGGGATGTAGACTTTAGGGGCAAATACATACACAAGCAGGCAAGAGTGTTGACACCGTCGATGTTCATGGCGCAAGAACCGCAAATACCTTCACGGCAGGATCTGCGGAAAGTGAGGGTAGGGTCAAGTTCGTTCTTTATCCGGATGAGAGCATCGAGCATCATGGGTCCGGTCTTGTTCAGGTCGAGGTCGTACGAGGCCATCTGGGGCTTCTCGGTAGGCTGGTCCGGGTTCCAGCGGTAGACCTTGAAGGTCTTCATCTTGGGGTTCTCAGAGGGAGTAGGCTCAACGGTGGCATAGGTGCGAGCAAAGGCAGGGCGGAACATAGGCCGCGATGCTGCGAACAGCCGCGAAGTGGTGCGGAGGGAGGCCATGGCGGGTGATCGGAAGGCGAAAAAAACACCTGGGGGGGGAAGGTAGAAGAGAAAAGGACGAAGAATGATAGGACTTGAAGAGTGGAGAGAGGAATCGATGAGATTATTCCAAAGTGGAAATCTTAGACCATGAACTGGAAACCAAGATTGTTAAACCAATTGGCAACAAAATGAAGTTCTCCAGGGAGTTGCATCTCACTTACCTCGGGTTTGAGGTGGAATCGGCTATGTGCTGACTCATCCACTTGTGGACCAATCAGCGCGGAGGTAATTGTCAAGTTGTCGGGCGGACACGGCGTCAAGGAATTGTCTACTGCCGGCACTGACCTTGGAATCGCAATTATTCAACATTTTAGAAGGGAAACCGGATCTAAAATAGAGGGATACATAAAGAAATAAAGCGCTCCCCTTATTGTCTTCATCATTTTACCACACAACCGTAGAATTTATTCAATTGAATGTCCAAGTTCAGTTGTTGCCTGAGGCTCTCAAGTCCCGGTCTGGGTTGCCGAAGACATGACTCCCGAGAGTCTCCCGCACATGTCATCTTCGGTACAACTAACTACACCTGCGCATAACTAACTATGGGCACAAACAATGAAATCCGACCTTGGAACGCATATTATTTAAAAGCTAACCACTAACTAACCACGATTCGCATAGTTCTGATGCCATTCATAGTTCCGATTTTCCTTCAAAAACCCACGGATAGCCTCCCTAGGGCTCACGGGTTTTCGACCTAACAAATCCTCCATCAAAGGATCAATGATACAAGTCTCCCCCTTCGCAATCCCCTCATACCACAAAATCAACGCCTTGAAAAATGCCACCGGCTTCCCACCCTCATCATCAGCCTTGACCGTCAAAAACTCCTCCTTATCGACAATCTTAAATTGAACCTGCCGATCGGTCGTCTCATTGATAATATCCACGATCTCAGAAAATGTGACAGTCTCCTGCGCAGTAAGGAGCACAATCTCCCGATCGTACCCACCACGCACCATCAGCCGCGCCGTCGCCTCGCCCAGCTCGGCCCGCAGCGTAAACGCCACCTTCCCATCCGCCGGCAGGCACACTGTCGACGAGCTCGGGTACCACCCCATGAAAACGGGGAATGCGTCCACATACAAACCCTCGCGGATAGACGTGAAGTTGAGATCCGTCCTGTCGGGTATCAGTCATGATCAATTGATAACAGATGCGGTCGGCCGACTCACTTTCGCATCATCTCTTCTGTGAGGAGATGCGCCTGCTGCACATCTGCTTTGGAGTCTGGACCTTTTCCGCCGAATGCGAGGGATGTGTACCACACCTGCGACGCGGAAGTTAGGGAGGGTACTCTAAGGGAGGCGGATGACTTGCATGTTGCACTTTTGCCTCCTGGGCTGCGTTGATGAAGCTTTGGTGTTGCTTGCGGCGCTTTTCGACGTCGAAAGTGCTGGTGCTTACGAAGAGGAGGTTCTCAACGTCTTGGAAGGCGGTTTTCAAGGAACTGGGGTCGTCGTAGTCTGCTACTCGGAAGGCGATGCCTTGGTCTTCGAATTGCTTGCGGTTTGCCTCTTTCGAGGATGCTGCAGCGTATTCCGAAGCGGGGAGGTTTGCAACGAAATAGGATAGGACGCTGGCGCCTAGGCCTCCGGTCGCTCCTGTGATGAGGTATTTGAGGGTCATTGTAGAGACGAGTAGATGCTATGTTAGGCAAGGTCCAAGTTGATAGCAGTTAAGGGAACTGAATCTTAATTTCTCCAAGCACCGGAAGTAGTGTCTTATTTTATACCCTAGCTGTCGGATATGATAATGAAGTCATAGACATGGCCCCCTGGGGGCTGACCTAGTTGGTAATCACTCAAATTGATAATCATGCGTTGGAACTACGCCGAAAATAGCCTGGACCATGCATCTTCGTATTTATTCGTATTTATTCCAACGAATGACACGCGTTTCTTCTGGAGCTTCTAGTATATTCAGGATCAGAAACCCGGAGTTGATAGTATAATCAGAGCTCGGCAAGCTGCATCCTCGTGTCTTCACCCTGAAATTACATTCCAAACGTCCCCTGCAACAGCTAGCGACCCACGGCGGCCGACATATATAACCAGCCAAAATTTTGATATTAGTAACTCTATAGTTATTCTATTCATAAACAACGTGAAAAAATACCTACCCTTTCCTCTCCTCCCTCCCCTCAGCCCGCATAACATTAATCTCATTAGTGACTGTAATCCCCGGACTATTGGCCCCATCCCTGTCCCGCTCCCCCTCACTAGATCCCCCCTCACCTCCCTTGTAACCGACACCTCAGAAGGCATCATCTCATAATCATCCTTCCCGATCTTCGACCAATTGATCAGCCGCTTGCTGTCCCGATTACTCGACGCCGCCCCGCTAGCCATGGACTTCGAGTGCCCGACGCCATGGCTGCGCAGCTTCGTCGACCGCGACCGCGTATGGCTGGACGTATACTCTGTCAGGTGGGCGAAGAGCGAGCCGAAGACGGGCTTGAGCGCTGGCACCGAGAGCGCAATCAGCGTCGTTGCGATCTCTGCGTTCTCAACGCAGAGCATGGGGTTGTAGGCCCAGCTGCCGTCGGAGGCCCATTGGCCCACTGCGACGAGCCAGACGCGCACGGCGGAGATGACGATTACGCTGCGCTTTGTTAGCTGTTGGGTCTTTTTTGGGAGTTGTGGGTGGATTGGATTGGATTGGTACGCACAAGACACCCGGGAACATGACGATCGATAGTTTGATCTTTTTCTCCATTGAGACGTGTAGCTGTTTGATCAGCAATGCTGGGATGGCGAACATGAGCACGTCGCAAGCCAGCGAGATGCCGGAGTTTACGGAGTAGACCAGGCCCCATGAGAGGCATGTGTATGTCTTTGGCTCGGATTGCCATTCGTAGGGCCACAGGCCGGTGACGGGCTTGCAGTGGAAGATGAGAAGGAAGATTTGGGGGAGATAGGCGGCGAAGAGGAGGGGTGCGGCGATGAGGATGCTCATATGGAGGATTGTGGAGCGGACGCTGAGCCGGTAATAGAAGGCTAGGCCGGAGAGGCGGCACAGGAATAGAGCCGTTGTGTAGAGAATGTGGGCGACGAAGTCGAGGACTTCGGTGTCGCGGACTGTTGGCAGCGAGAGGACATATTGGATGTATTCGATGTGTCGGCCACTTCCTAGGTTGATCAAGACGACGGATAGTACGACGAAGATTATGTAGAAGACCTAAAAGAAGGGAGTGTTAGGTTCTGAGGTATCATGGTTGTTTTAATGAATGGCCGTTGATGGCTGCTCATGCATAGCAACAGCCTTATGCAATAATGTGGGCGCGTGCAGATCTGGGGGTGGAGAGTGGAGGAGCATACAAAGGTCAAGATGGCCAATGCATCGTCTAAGCCGATTTTCTTAACGATGAAAGCTCGGGCATAAAGACGAACGATCATCAACAGGCCCGTGAAACAGATCATGAATATAATCCCGACGATAGCTGATTTATCCCGAGATTCTGCTAAATATTCCAGCGAGACATTGCTCGGAATGCGTCCTGCTGCATCTGCAGCCAGGATATCGGAAGGGACGGTCATTGCAGTTGTTCAAATGAGTGACATGGCCGAATTGAATGGGGTTTATAGATGAGACATAGTCTTAACAAACGAAAAATGAGGATATCAGACACAGTTCATAATATTGAACGAAGACGTAAACGAGTGTGTACAGTGAGGAAAGTGGAAGCGGCAGCGGGTCTTTTTCAATTAATTCCAAGAGATCATTAGGGCACCTGGCCAACGAGAGTTTGTACCAGACTGGCAAATCGTCGAGGCCCAGTACAAGTGCTGGCCCTGTGGAGCTCGTCCCAAATCTGTATCCAACTTTGGAATCCACAGGCAGATTCAGGAAAAGTATTTATCATAAAGTTTCGGTGAGGTGGTTTTGAGTGTGAGATATCAATAGTCAAAGGTTAATATACGCTTGAAGCGTGTTTAATGAACGATACGAAGTAGGAAAGTTAAAGGCTCAAGAGAACCTGTGAAGAATTCGTATACCAGTGCTGCCTTTATGCAGGGTCAATGTGCGATTTGCTTTTCCCACGTGGAAAACCGACCGTGAGCAGTTCATGCATTACCTGCATGTTAAGACCGTTTATTTGTGCCCACATTGTACAATTATAGGCCCCTATATACGGACTACTAGGCTCGCTCTGTTCTACCATTAATCAATATGACTGCGTAATGATCAAGAGCTAGGCTCGGAGGTGTAACGCCACTCTTATCGTGAAGAGAATTACAACCAGTGAGAAGGTATGTAGTGGGGTCAGGATCGCGGGATCTAACCGATCCAAGTCGATTCCGACGGTACTCGATGGAGTTGCAGATTCTTCTGGATTCAAGCTAATGTGCAATTAGGCAGGTGAGAAATTTACCAAGGTATGTTAGCGTGAAATCATATATTGAATAGCCATTAATCGCGCAAGAAGTCCACAATAATATACAATCTAGTAGGGATGAAGAAAGAAAGCTTGGCCCTAAGTCGACCTAAGTCGACTGAATAGCGCCACAACTTGACATCCGAACTATCCGGCGTGTAAAAGAAGTCGTCTAGAAGCAATATACTGCATAGAACAGTATAGAAGAACCAAAAAAAAAAAAAAAAATTCGATTGAAGACCAACTACAAAAAAAAGATGCGAATAATTCGTTGAACCAATTAGTCACGCGTTGGCCGGCGGCAAAGGGGGATCCACGATCGTTTGCCGGTCCAAGTATAAACATCTCCCAAACCCCGAAAAGATCATCACTTCCACATGGTTTTTTGGTGGGGTCTCTTTTAATCTGATTTGATTTCCGATGGCTCCTCTACTCCAGACATTGGTGGGCGGTCTTGCCCTGGCAACTTCGGTTATTGCCCAGAATGACAGCCTGGTCGATTCACAAATCCTGACCAACCCCTACCAATATGATTTCCCTCGTCTGGGTGCCTCAGGGGCTAAGCTCTTCCCCATGCGCCGTTGCCATGGATTCAAACTGGAAGAAGCTTCTGTCGATCAGATCCAGGAGCGTCTCGAGAACGGCACTTTCACTAGTGTTGAGCTCTTGGGGTGCTACCTCGACCGTGTTCACCAGACACAGCCTTACTTGAAGTATGTACAATAATGCCCGTCCAATTTGTTTGTGACTAACCATTTTCGCAGCGCTATTCTGCAATTGAACCCGGATGCCTTCTCTATTGCCCAGAAGCTCGATGCCGAGCGGGCCAAGGGTAAGGTCCGCGGTCCTCTTCACGGAATTCCTTTCATTGTCAAGGACAATATCGCCAGCAAGGACCGTATGGAGACCACTGCCGGTTCCTGGGCTTTGCTGGGCAGCGTCGTGCCTCGCGATTCTCATGTCGTGCACGGCCTCCGCAAGGCCGGTGCTATTCTTCTGGGCAAGGGTGCCCTTTCCGAGTGGGCTGATATGCGCTCGAACAACTACTCCGAAGGCTTCAGCGCCCGTGGCGGTCAATGCCGCAGCGCTTACAACTTCACCGTCAACCCCGGCGGTAGCAGCACCGGCCCCGGTGTTGCTGTCGGCGCCAACTTGGTTCCTATTGCTCTTGGAACCGAGACCGATGGCAGTGTCATTAACCCCTCTCAAAGAAACGCCCTGGTCGGCATTAAGCCTACTGTCGGTCTGACTTCCCGTGCGGGTGTCATTCCCGAGTCCCTGCACCAGGATACTGTGGGCACCTTCGCTCGCAATGTTCGTGACGCCGTTTACACTCTGGACGCGATCTACGGCGTAGACACCCGTGATAACTACACCCTTGCCCAAAAGGGCCTCACCCCCAAGGGCGGCTACACCCAATTCCTGAGCCGCAAGGACGCCCTCAAGGGCGCCGTCTTCGGCCTCCCCTGGGCCTCCTTCTGGGCCCTCAACAGCGCCGAGCAGAACGCCGATCTTCTGGAGCTGATTGAATTGATCAAGTCCGCCGGCGCCACCATCATCAACGGCACCGAGCTGCCCCACTACAAGACTATCGTCTCGCCCGACGGCTGGAACTGGGACTACGGCTCCACCCGTGGCTACGCCAACGAGTCCGAGTACTCCTACATCAAGGTCGACTTCTACAACAACCTGCGCGACTACCTGTCCGAGGTGAACAACACCAACGTCCGCACCGTCGAGGATCTCGTCCAGTACAACATCGACAACTACGGCTCTGAGGGCGGCCTGCCCGGCATCCACCCGGCCTTCGGCTCCGGCCAGGACGGCCTCATCGCCTCCATGGAGAGCAAGGGAATCATGAACGAGACCTACTTCCAGGCTCTGGAGTTCTGCCAGCGCACCACCCGCGAAGAAGGCATCGATGCAGCCCTCAACTTCAACGGAACCAAGCTGGACGGCCTCCTCGTTCCCCCTGATGTTGCGCAGAGCATCCAGATCGCTGCCCAGGCCGGTTACCCGGTCATCACTGTGCCTGCCGGCACTGACAGTGTGTCTGGAATGCCGTTCGGTCTTGCTTTGATGAACACTGCTTTCTCGGAGCCGACTCTGATCAAGTACGCTAGTGCCATTGAGGACCTGAAGAACGCTTCTGGTCCTAAGTGGAAGCGTGCGCTCCCTGAGTGGAGGGGGTACCTTGAGCGTAACTTGCCTGTTATCATGTAAGATGTGTTGGATTTCGAAATAGCGGTCTGATTCTTTTGTACCATTATATCACGCATTCTTTATGATAGACACTCTTATTAATGGATATGGGACCATTTCCGATTCGTCCTCACTGCCCCTTTTAGATTAAGGAGGTTGTATATACTGTAGTTATTCATCTCCGATTCTTCACTCCTACTCCTTTAGCCGCAGCGCTAAGGCTCGGCGAAACCCCGGCACTTCAAATTGTTCTAGACAAAAGACATTCTTCCACATTCGGTATAGCCGATAATACAGAAGCAGTCTACTCATTAGACTACACTATATAACTATTGTACCACTTAGTGTACTAATTCACCGAAATTACATCTTCAAAAAAGTCAAATAAGTCTATAATCAATCCAACTACATACTATTTTTGCACGGAACAAGACTCCAGGTGGATCGCACCAATTAGCCCCCTAGCGGCAATACGGCAGGCGGACCACACACCTGATCTTCATTGCTGATCATAGTTTGTTTTTTCGCTGGTCTTATCTCATTGATGCAAAATCAGATCCGGACCCGTGGACTTGAACTCTCCGTTGGAGATCTGCAGTCTTCATCACAACGGTTACTGGTACTGTTACTGGTCGCCAAGCCACGTCGGAAGAATTTTTTCATTCCCCTTCAAACAAAACACCTCCTGAATAGAACATCAACGGATAAACTGACCAACTGCAGAAGGGACTCTCGCTGAATAATATTCCAATGGCGCTGACCGGTTGATCAGATGTTCAACTGAATCACCGGAGACCAGCCGGTCCAAGTAACTAATCCGAAGATGAACAAGACCGAGCTAGTCTATACAGTGGGGCACATCTCTAGTTGAAACAAATCCATACACAGCTCTAACACTGGGCTTATTTGCCCTCGGTACTATGCACTATTCACTTCGCGCCGTTGTACTTCAATTCCTGGAAACGTTTGGAAGATAACGCCACTTGCACTGGTGGACATGATCACCTCGCCGATTGGTGCTTCTCTCAGCGCCTCGACTGGGAAGGTACAATATTATTCGAGCGCCAAATTTCTCCTTAGCTGACCCCAAGAACAAGGCCTGCATGCATTTCTCCGCAAACTTGTGGACATAATAACTCCACCCAGACTAGTTGTCTCCATTTAGGGGTTCGGTCCATCCACCCTGCGCCTGCTACTAGCTATCTTCTGGAAATTGAAGGAGATTACCCGGCGGTGGACCGCTGATTTTCAAACGTGCTTGTCTTAGCTTTTTCGAGCTATCCAGACTGGGCCTTGCTCCGTTGATCGCCGTCTATAAAAGATGCTTCGCACCCATGTTTTCTCCGGCTCATCATCATCCAGACTTCTCTGCATTCCTAGGTAATCGATACCAGGTTTCAACATGAAGTTCCTTGCTATTGTTGCAGCTTTCGCTGCTCAAGCCGCTGCTGTCGGTGTTTCTGGCGCTGCTGAGGGTTTCGCCAAGGGCGTTACTGGTGGTGGCTCTGCTACTCCTGTTTACCCTAGCACCACTGCCGAGCTGGTCTCGTACCTTGGTGACTCTTCTCCTCGTGTCATTGTCCTCACCAAGACCTTTGACTTCACTGGTACTGAGGGGTGAGTCGTGACTTTGCTTTGATGATACGAATACAGAACACTCATGCCTTTCTATAGAACTACTACCGGTACAGGCTGCGCTCCTTGGGGCACCGCATCTGCTTGCCAGGTTGCTATCAACCAGAATAACTGGTGCAACAACTACGAGGCGTCTGCTCCTTCGACCACTGTCAAATAGTATGTATAAAAGCATCGTTGTCCGAATATCCACACTAACCAATTCAGTGACAACGCCGGTGTCCTCGGTATCACCGTGAAATCCAACAAGTCTCTCATCGGCTCCGGATCCGCTGGTGTCATCAAGGGCAAGGGAATCCGGATCGTCAGCGGCGCCAACAACATCATCATCCAGTAAGCGTCAGCACCCCCTCACCCATCTACCCAACTAACAACCCACGCAGGAACGTCGCCTTCACCGACATCAACCCCAAGTACGTGTGGGGTGGCGACGCCATCACCATCGACAACGCCGACATGGTCTGGATCGACCATGTCACGACCGCCCGCATTGCCCGCCAGCACATCGTCCTCGGCACTGACGCCTCCAAGCGCGTCACCATCTCAAACAGCTTCATCAACGGCGTCAGCGACTACTCCGCCACCTGCGACGGCTACCACTACTGGGGCATCTACCTCGACGGCTCCAGCGACCTCGTCACCCTGAAGGGCAACTACATCTACCACACCAGCGGCCGCGCCCCCAAGGTCCAGGGCAACACCCTTCTGCACGCCGTCAACAATTACTGGTACTCGAACTCCGGCCATGCTTTCGAGATCGGTTCCGGCGGCAACGTTCTCGCTGAGGGCAACGTCTTCCAGAATATTCCTATTATTGCTGAGTCCCCTATTTCTGGACAGTTGTTCACTAGCCCCGATACTACTACCAATGCCAAGTGCCAGACTTACCTTGGTCGGTCTTGTGTGATTAATGGATTCGGATCGTCGGGTTCTTTCAGCCAGGCCGATACGGCTTTCCTGACTAACTTCTCTGGAAAGAACATTGCTTCGGCTTCGGCTTACACTACTGTTGTTTCCAGCGTTACTGCCAACGCTGGTCAGGGTAAGTTGTAAGTGTAGCCAAGCCGATGAGTTTGGTTTTTGGACATGCTGGGATTTGTCTAGGGGATGTTAGTTCCTGTTGGGGTTATTCGTTGCCTCATATTTAGGTGATTATTTGGTTTGTGTATGATTAGTGGTCTATTCTATTCTTGTCTATCAATTGAACAATATTTATTTTTGGGAATCTTTGCGTAGTAACCACGACCGTGGTTGAGTTGAAATGCTAGGATTAATATCTGGATACACTTTATGGTTGGGAAGCAGCCAATTTCATCATCAGTTTCACAGGTCATGTTCATTCATGTAAAAGGGTTATCTACTCAAATTATATTAGGGAGGCAATAAACATAATTCATTGGTGAGAGAAATCAACTAAAAGCTGAGTCAAGCTATACAATGTATTTCGCACTGCTCATAAGTCATAGGAGTGAGTGTCAGTGATAATGATATACGTATGTCGCGAATTCTTCAGGAGTTGATCTGATGTTGACGTTGAATCAGTTGATGATAATGAGGCCAGGCCCGGCAACAGTTGCTTTGGCCACACTAGATGCATCTGGGAACGGCCCTTCGGTCGTAGTTACCGCGGCGATGGTCAATCCATTCATCTCATGTGCCTCATAGGGGAACAAAGCTTCTGCAACGATCTCGTGTTCTTCGTTGGAGAGCACAGTAAGAGGCTCCACGATGGGCAGATTCTGCTGGTTGATGTAGACAATCCACAACGTACTCTCCTCAACATCTTTACGGTCGTAGAAGGAGACCTTGATGTGATCTGTCTTTGCAGTCGGAGCGGTAATGATGTTCAAAGGTTCAAAAGTCTCGAGCGGAATAGAGTTGATGTTGGGGCATGTTCCGGGGACAGTGAAACTTTGAATTGCAGTGAAGGCAAAGTTGAGGTCGCTAGTCGTCAAAAATGGCAGTTCGCTGGGGACCTTTCCCTGCATGATGCGGAACCAACCCTGCTGCTCACCCTCCTGGCCAATGATGGAAGAAACCTCGCGCGTCAATGCAAAATCACCACCAATAGCGAAACGCTCGACAACATCTTGTAGAGTTCCCAACACCACATCTGTGAAAGTACTGGCGAGCAATATGGCGTCATTGAAGTTGTCGACTGGAAAATTGTACTGACATGGCTCGATTGGCGCGATACCAAAGTGGGAAAGAGCATTGTTGGCGTCAAGAGCATGCAGCTCCTCTTGCTGCAGCGTGAATAAGTCAGTAAATCGCTTGTGGTGTTGGGGGGTTATATCATACAGCTAGGATAACCTTCAAGCCATTCAGAATAAAGTCGTAATCATCCTCGCTTGAGAAACGGTATCCCAAGACCTGATTGGTAACGTTTGTGATCAACTCATGGAAGAAGGCAACCTCGAACAGTTCGTTAAATGCCACAAGCTTGAGGTTGGTGATTCCGTTTTCACTGATACCGGGTGGAGGAGGTCCGTTCGGCAGAGTCCCATGCGCGTTTTCTTCAATGACCTCCAGTTCACTGGGGCTTGGAGTTGGCAATCCATCCGGGAGACTCCTGTGATCAGTCGAGTTCTTAATTGGGGCGGCAATGGCCAGACTGGCTATGCCAAAAAGGATGGGGAGATGAAAGCGCATTTTCACAGTGCGAGTAAGAGACGGAAACGTTGGGGATAAGAGAGTAATGTATTATAAAAGAGTCGTGAAAGAGTGACAAGGAGTCAAGAATATAAGATAGAGAATAAAGAGAGGAAAAGAGAAAGAGAGGAAGCTGGGAATATAAATATAATTCGAATGGAAGGGACAAAGATAGGAAGGCGCATGTACAACGGGTCTCCCAGTTCCACATCGGGCTATTTTCATTGGCATAGAAATATATCAAATAAGCAAATAATGATGTGATATCAAATGTATGGAATGTCAGTTTGAAAATCAATATTGCGTCCCTATTGAGTCCGTGTTTCTCCCACTTTCTGGGGCTTGGAGCCGCCACGCTCTCGCTCTCGCTTTGCGGTTTTTTTTTGGCTTCGATCAAAATAAGCATTTCCAAGGCGTGAATCTTTTTCAAAAGATTATTCGCCGTTCTTTGCGGAAGAGTGTGTCTAAATTTACAACGGTCGGTCATCATAGGCGGCGGAGTATAGAAGAGCCCGCCGACGCCACGTAAGAATCTCGTATAACTCAGCCTAGTCCCATGTGCCTAATTATTTTGCCTGCTATACATGTCAATATTGAAATTCGATGATTCCAAATACCCAGTTCCAGTTGTGAATAAGTTGTAGATAAGTAAATAATTGGAATTCGCTGGCTGTCCCATGACAGAAGTACAACGACTAAGCACGTTCCCGATAGTGAATCGACTCGGTCTCAGTGATCTGGATCTCCTTCTCAACTTGCTGCAAATCAACATGCGCCACGACTGCATCGTCGCCATCGAAGATCTTAGCCAATTCCTCAAGAGTGGGACCACGAGTCTCCACGTAGAAGAAGTACACAAACAGAAGCTCGATAAATATCCAAATCGTATAGATCATGGACAAATTCCAGTGATGAGGTAGGTTCTCCCACGCGATCGGGTTTGTATAACTAATTTGGTTAGCTAGGATAAGGGTACTTTTGTTTGAAGACAACTTACTTTCCAAGAACCAGAGTGGCCTGAACGGTCAGATTCATGATCATGATGCCCTTGGCACGTAGGCGATAAGGCAGAATTTCGAGGGAGTATGCGACCAGAAGACCCTGCCAGGCAATCGCGTAGCAAACGGAGAAGAGCCAGACGAAGACTACCTGTGGGTAGCCGGTTGATTTGACATCTTGGGTCTTTTCGTAGACGGAGGAAACGACAGTCCATGCGAGGAACATGAGGAGCATGCCTGGGAAAACAACGTTAGCATATTGTAAATTTGATTCAAATGCAGATACTCCATACCAACTGTAGAGATCAGGAAAAGAGGTCGTCGGCCAACTCGGTCGACGAAGAAGGCACTCGATACACTGACAACCAGACTGAGCAAGGTTTGTCCGCCGTTTAACTAGAGATGTCAGCTTGGTGATGTACTTATAGAAGAAACAACACTCACCGGAATCTTCTTGTTTTGATCAGTAATGCCCATGCTGTTATAGATCAAACTGGTATAGTTGCTGAACAATGCATTGCCGGAGTATTGAGAGATAATACCGAGCGAGACAAGGATTGCCAGACGGTATCGATTACCCTTGGTCTTCATGAAGTCGAAGTAGCTGCTGTTCTTCTGGTACTGCATCTCCATCTGGATAGTCTCCTTGATCTCACGGTACTCAAACTGGACGGTGGCATTGTTCTGATCGCCATTTCCGTGGTAGTAGGCAAGAGTGGTCAGAGCCTCCTCATATCGCTCCTTGGAAACCAGCCAACGCGGAGATTCCGGGACCCCTGGTAATAGTTAGAGACCAAGAAAACAGCGAAGAGCTGAATTCGCACGACTTACACCAAATAAAGCTGAGTTGAATGACTGCCGGGAGGATCTGCAGAAGGGTCAAGATACGCCAGGACCAGTCAGAGTGAATCTGCATTGTTCCCCATGCTAGCCAAGCCACAACCAATGCTCCCAAGTTCCACAGGCAGTTATAGATACTAGTGACTTTTCCGCGGTGCTGGGGGTGGGCGATTTCGGCGAGGAGGATTGGAGAGGCCATCTGCGCGAGACTGTTCCCAATGCCTAGAAGTAGTCTACCGGCAACGTACATGCCATAACCATTGCAAAAAGCTCCTAACAATCCACCCAGAATCATGAGCAGACAACCGAGGAAGATGGGAAGCTTGCGACCCCATCGATCGGCGAAAAAAGGACTAGCAAAATCAGTTGGTTTGTTTTTTTCTAGCAAGATTGAAGATGACTTACACGAATGGGAAGCTGACAAGACTTCCAATTTGATAAATGGCATTCATCAACCCCAACGACGAGCCCGTGGGCGAATCGAAATAATTCTGCCAAGAGTCCAGGTTTTGGGAGGTGTTAAGCATCATTCTGGAGGGTTTGTCAGCGTTGGATAGCACAACGGAAAATATACCACTCACCCGTCATAACCTGTAGTCGCAGACGCAACGCATAGAATCGCTGCCCAGAAATAGAGCTTGCGCAGACCAGGCTCATGCCACCAGTTCACATTCTCCAACTTAGGCTTCCCAGCCTGCGCTGCATCAGTGTTGAGGGTCGATGCCCCTACTGCAATACCCATGGTATCTAAAATCTTTCAAGAAAATTAGAAAAGAGGATATGTCCACCAAGCTCGTGATGATAAAGCACTGGGGGAACGTTCATTGAGACAGCGGGACATCACAGCGATTTTAAGCAATTCAAATTTGCCATCCTGGAATGCTCAGCTTCGATATTAGCCGGGTGATTTTAATTGGTGTCTTGGCTGGACTACTTGGGTCAAGAGCTTACCCCGGATCTGGCAGTCTAGTCATGTTCTAGAGGATAAAGAAATAAACAAATCAGAATTTCGAAAGACGCTAGAACAGATCTAGAGCAGGGCCGGGACTTGAAATGCCTATTCATTCTAGTCATAGCCGGACTAATGGACTGTCCGGCCCGCCTTACCCTAAATGTGCTAGTAAGGACATGGTTTCAAGTGCAGGCTAATTCATCGGGTTCCAAGCCATTGCCTAGGATGATGATTGGTGCGGTGAAAGACACTAAAGGCAAGTCGTATGCTCTAAGAATTAGCCTCGCTTACCATGGGTGTCTTTGTTTGGGAGACCAATCTCCCCCCACAGCTGGGCAGTCGGGCCGAGGCCCACATGACGATCAACCTGGAGAATGCAAAACACATAGAATCGACATTCCGTGTTTATTCGAGGTGTCAAATTTCATCTTGTCATGTTCAAAGTTTTGCTTTGGATGTTCAAGTCTGGACGAATATGTCCAGGGTCTCAGCGACACTCAGTTTAGCAGTCATGCTAGCCTAGAAATCGCTTGGAGGGAATGACCGGTGATGCCAAGCAGTTTAGCGGGTCTGGGTCTTCTCTTGATTTGCGGGGAATGTGCCTCTCCGCCAGTTTGACTCTCCGTGTCTGACAATAGATGGAGAGCTATTTAGCCGGAATCATGTCTTGGCATGGTCTTGTTCAGCCGCGAGCAACGCGTGTTTAAGAAGAGAAAGGAAAATGCCAATAATATATTTGTCTTAAGTTCCTATTCACCGCCCTAAATCCAACTTGCTCAGTATTCACAAATCACTTCTACGTACCAGAAGAAGAAGTTTTAATCAGTCGACAATGTCCCAAAGTCATGAGAATATTTGCTTTCATTGCCTGGGAGCTTAGCCCCAGATTCTGCTTTGGCTACAGAGAAATGCACTATGATTACCAAGGCTCATTATTCTGCTATTCTTTCGCATGGAGGACGATGCATTTAGTTTGATGGGGGGTTCCTGTAATTCAAGCCTGGCAGGTTAAGTTGGTTCTTCAGTCATATTCTATTCTAGGAATAAAACCACATCCCCGATATCCCTTGCTCTCTGTGCTGGGCTACACCGGCTCCGGAGTTCAAGCATGCAGTAACCACTGCTTTGACTAAGCTGGCCAAGAACTCTTTTGGGACGGGGAGACAACGACAAAGATACCCAAACGTCGTGTTTGGCGTCAATGAGATGTGTTGGTGTTTATCTACATATTGAAAGGCATTATTCTATTTGTTCTCCCGGCAGACATGATCATAAATCCGCTTTTCAGATCGCCGGTAATACAACCCTGAAGTCTAGCATAGCCCATGAGGCCAATCTAAAAGTATAAATAAAGATAGCTGCATTCAGTGATGTTGACACAGGCTTCTCCTTCCATAAAACCCATTCGGTCTTCCTTCTCAGATCTCGGGCTCTTGCCTACGCCGACTTCCTCACTTGCCTCTTTACATCATTTCCCAATTGCGTCTTCCCGTCAAGTCTTCGTGCGACAATCGCTATGGCTTCTCTGCGTGAAGAAATCCTACTTTTTCGACTTCTTTGGTGCATGCACTGCCTCCGTACCTCCGTGCTCGCTTTCTCTGGAAGCTCTGCCGCCTTCTTTATCGATTGCCAATACGCTCACAATCCATCTGTCTTGTGCTATCGATGCTCCAGACGCAAGTCACACTGTCATCGCGTACGTACAAGCTGGTCCGTCATATGTTTGCTTTGGTTAACATTTGCCAGCCGGCTGAAGGCATGCGCGGTGATGCCTGGGACTTGTCCTCGATTATAAAGTGGGCAGACTTCTTCTGGGAGCCTCCAACTTTGGATTCCACACAGCCAGTTTGGACAAACGATTTCAAAAATGATGTCAATACTGCTTTGGTTAAGTTGGCAAAGGCCTTTGATAATGCCGAAAGAAACCATCGCAAGCAACACAGAATCGGTTCGGAGAAGACTGAGCCTGTAGGTGCTCTTGATGAACACATTTATGAATACAGGCTTGCAAATTAATAGAGTCATGCCGCTCAATACCAGAAGTATCTACAAGATAGATATACCACCTATCCAAACCCCCTCCCACGACCTCTTATCACGGCGGCACCAGATGTTTGGGACCAATACAACGCAGAGAGTGGACAACGCCTCCGGGATGGAGATGCTGGCCACTTTACCTGGTCAGTGGGGATGCGAGATTTTCTCTCTGAGGTTCAGCAGGCTGCTATTGATCAGATATTCCCTAGAGATAGTAAGGCCCTTAGGCTTTTGCAGCAGGAGCTTGTCGGGACCTTCACGGTTACTATTCAGCGTATCTTATCCTGGGTATGATTGGAATCAAGCAGTATGTGCTGCCTTCGGTCCGCGAGAAGCTCTCGTTGATTTCTAGGTGATGGAGGATTTGCTCTTTTGTTATGAGCTAGTCATTACCCTTTTTAAATCGCGTTGAAATTGAATAAATCCAGTATACTGGTCGTATCGATCTCCGATCTCTGCATTTGCCAATTAATCTAATATATTAGTATACTATATAGGCCAGAGTTATAAACGTGTAAAAAAGATCTTGAGCAAACTTCATCAAATATTCTATCCCAACTTGCGACTCACGGATCTTGGGGTCAGATGACCTTGTCATCTTCCATCTTCCATGTTGACCGTCCTACTTCCTTCCTTTGATCTATATTTTCTCCTCTTCACACACTTATCTTTATCTTCCATCGCCTGCTGTTTTTGCAAGACTCAATATAACATCCCTAGGAGGCTTCAGCAACGCATCAATCGTCTGAATATCTTTCTCACTGTGGCTTTCAGTCTCGGTGACTCCCTCACTCGTTTTGCAACAAATTGCCCTCGCTCCTCTTTCAGTACTTTCCAAAACTCAGAAACATCTCCGAGACCGCACACCGAATCACCACCAAATTTACAAGATACCTCACCACCGTCATGAATGATACGGAGGGGCTGGTCTATTCTGCGCAGGACGTAGATCTATTCAATGAATTTCCAAAACTGGAAGGCAAATCCAACTGGGAAGTCTGGAAGTATCAGTTTTACGCGGCTCTCAACACAGTGCACCCTATGTATGCCAAGGTCGTCTTTCAAAACAAACAACCCCCAGACCCGCCGGCCTATCTCAGCATTCGACCAAAAGACGTGATTCGTGCCGCCATAGAAGACAAGCTTGGTGTTGGCCAGACCTTCGAAGAATACGGACATGCGTTCACTGTTACGAAGCAAATCTTGAAAGAAAAAGAGGCCGAAATCAAAGAGAAGAACAAGGCCCTGCTGGAGGACTTCGAGAAGAAGAAAGACAGATGGATGAATGTGAATCACAGGGCTTGGATTTTCCTCCATGTTTGCATTCAACGAGGACCAAGGACATTCATCAAGGGTATTTCCGATCCTCGAGATGCGTTTCTCACCCTCGAAGCGCAGTTTGCCCCACCTCACTGGGTATCGACTGTCCGAAGCTTCAACAAATTGAGCGAAATTTGCTATGACGGCAGCAATCCAATGGACTTCGTCCGAAACTTCCAAGAGAAGCTACAGTACTTGACAGAATTCACCGGCAGCATCCCCTCCGGTCTGGAGTTGTGTCTGTTCATCAAAAGCATCGCTGCCAATTCTCGTTACGAGCCAAGTGACTGGGACCCGGAGACCGCTGATCTGGAATCTCTGTGTTTGGATTTTATTCAATTTGAGACAACAAAGCGAGAATAGCTTTGTGTCAAGGCAATAAAAGAGGGTGTCAAGCGAAATCACCTCGCCGTTAGCCATTTGTGCCAGTTATATTCGTTGCTGAGATGAAATGAGGCCGATATACCCATGTACGTTGTAGTCAACTTTCACCATCGGCCCATGATTCTCGCAGAATGCATTCCAGTGTTTTCAAACTGATCCCTTCATAATCGGCTGAAACTATGATAGAAACGAGGTGCCCAGCAAATTTAAATTTACAAACATCTGTAGAAGTGTAGTCTTCGTTGCTCAACCCTGAGGCACCAGGGATGATGATATAATCAGATTGGCACCTGCCCAGGGACGCAGACACCAGGACACGTTGCTACTTTCCCAACGACAACTCCATCAAAATTAAAAATGGGTGCTTGCTGTAGCTCCAGTTCTGAGCCGGAACATACAACCCTCGAGATGGCATCCAATCCGCAATACAAGCTCTCCCATGAGCAGATCGATCATTTTATGCGTCACGGATTCGTGCGCATACCGCAGTGTTTCACTCAGAAAAAAGCAAATGAATGGGCCGGTGATGTATGGAAAAGACTCGGCGTCTCGCCAACAGACAAGTCGACATGGACCGCCGAAATCACGCACATGGGTGATACCAAGCAAGAACCTGTCCGAATCTTTGCGCCAAAGGCGTGGTCCGCTATCTGTGAACTTCTCGGTGGTGAGGATCGCATCGCACCGGAATCGGCTACATGGGATGATGCTTTCATTGTCAATCTTGGCTCGCCTGAGTCTGAGGGTACTTGGCCCAATCCTGCGGATCTCTGGGGATGGCATGTGGATGGAGACTTCTTTACTCATTTCCTCGATTCGCCTGAGCAGGCTTTATTGGTGATTCCTTTGTTTACGGATATTCGGGAACGTGCAGGCGGCACTATGGTCTGTTCTGATGCAATGAAATTCATTGCTCAACATTTGGTACGTGTGCAGATCCTGGCTTTTACTCTTTGTTTTGACTCGTTTCTAGTACGACCACCCTGAGGGTGTGACGCCATTTATGCTTCCTCGCGGTCAAGAACCCGATGGAAATCCCATGGATACGCCCTTCTACTCTGATATTGTCAAGAACTGCAGCGAGTTTCATGAGATGACTGGCAATGTCGGCGATGTCATTCTTCTCCACCCTTTGATGTGCCACTCCATCGCAGTAAACAGCTTGAGGCAACCTCGTGTCATAACCAACCCACCAGTCTCATTGAGACGGCCTTTCAACTTCGATCGGGATGATGGGAACCAATATAGTCTCGTCGAGAAGAAAACGCTCGACTTGCTGAGCAAAGACAGGCTTCCTGGTTGGAGGATTCGGGGACAGCGAGAACTTGTTGTTCCTGAGAGACTCAAATGCATAGATTAAGCGATTGCGAGCGAGATTAAAGTCTCAAGTATCATCAGCAAATGTACGATGGCATGACTTGCACAATGCACACTAACGGCGAGCAATGTAGTCTACAGTTAATCAACAACCTGTAAAATTACATGTATTCATTCATGGCATATCCGTATTCTTCAACCGTAGATTGTAAATACGCATGCCTTGGTGCACAGATCATCATTCAGTCCCATGTCCATCCGACAGTTAGATGCAATCCAAAGAAGGGACCAAGGTCGAAACGCCAGATTTTAGCAGTACGAAAAGGAGATTTTCTTCCGGTGGCATATGGACAAATTTTATCACCTACATTTCTCCTTCTAGTTCCGTTACAGAATAAGACGTATCTATAGGAATCTATTCAATGCAGAATCTATCACATACGACCATAGGGTGAGAGAGGTGAGGTAGTCAGTTACTGCCGCATTTGAGCACCTGCCTGATTAGTGATGGAGCCTTCCTCACCTTTTACTTTGTTTACCTTTTACCACTTCATCACCTTGATTGAGCCCCCAAAAGCATACCTGTCTCGTGCTGTCTCATGCTGTCTCGTGTTTCCTCCACTCTCCATCAGAACAAGCCCATGACGAGCGGTTCATCGAAACACCCACCAACAGACCCGACATCCGCGCCTAGTATGAATCAGTCCACTGGTAGCAAGCGTCGGTCGTCCTCTGGTCGGCGACCGCCCAAGCTCGATGACTATGAGATGAAGCTGGGAGTACCTGGCCGACCCTATATATGGGAGAAAGAAGCAACCAGGGAAACAATTACTGAGCCGGGGCACAACAAACGACATGATCGTAGCCTACCCCTTGGGGAGCGACCGCTGGATGTTCTATTACGAGAGCTTTCGGGCTGGGATTCGGCTTCGAAGATCGGGAGCCAGTACGGTCATTACCTCACCACCAAGATCCTCTGGCAGCATTCCCAGGTTAGAGACCTGGCAGACATAAATACTACGGTCTGCGAGGCCCTCAATCTCCCCAATTGGGCAAAAGCGACGGCTTAGGAGTATCTTTCCGGTTATGGAGATTGGAGTCAGTTTATCGATCACATCGCCAAATACCCGATCGCAAAGCCTGGGAACCCCATTCTCATTGGAGCATTCTCGAATATTCGAGATCAGCAGTCGCGAATAGAAGGAGCTTGTATTGCGTTGTTTGGAGACAGACCACCCTTCCCGATTGCCAAAAAGCGCAGAAGACTCACCAACATGTCTTCCCCCGGACAGCTCGAGACGAGCGGCACTCCCAACACCTCCCCCGGCCAACTTATGACGAGTGGCACTACAACCCCCTTTACCGCGGAAAAACTGGAACAGATCACAAGAAGATTACAAAATCTGAGTCTAGAGAGCAGGGAAACGGCAAATACTGGAGGTTTCACGGCGCTGGTGACATCCATTGGAATAAAGCAGCCGTTTGGCAATTTCGAAGCAAAGAGGCGAACGCATGAAGCGAAGATCAATATGAGCTTCGTCAATTTGCTCTACACGATCTGCTTATTACTGCCGACCGAGTTAAAGTGGGACAGTATCCAGCATCATCTCAATTTGCATGTCGGTGAGGCTAAATACAAAGCAATTGTCGACGGTGGTCTGGTAGATCCCGATGGGGAAATGCAGGTTTTACTTGAAGTCAAGGCTATGCATCTGTCATCGAGTTCGATAAAGGAGGTCTTGATGTAACAGGGACTTGAGATGCTAGCATGGATTACTGCAACGCTCGATATTGAAGAGTCAAAGGGACCAAGAGTTCAAATAATCGATTCACCGATCAGAAGGTAGGTGTGATCATGATCCCTATATCAATGCTAAACAAACATCACTAATCAGCTGCCTATAGATGGGTGATGTTAGCGCAATACGCTACAGAGATATATTTTATTGTCGCTGAGCTGCATGAAGAGTACATCGAGTACTTGGTTACAGGCAGACGCTCTTTGAAAGCCTTCGATAGCAACGCACATCTAGCAATGCAGTTACTGGGGCCCTTCAGCATTTATTCCGCCGAAGAGATGCGGGCCGTTGGTCTTCTTGTTGTCGCGCTTACCGTTGTCCAGCACCGGGATTGGAAGAAGAGCAAGGAGGATTAGATAGGAAAGGAAAGATAAATCCTTAACATAGACTCCCGGACCTTGAAATCAAAGATATATATTCCCCTAATTTGTGCGAGTAAACTCTCTTTGGAAAAAACCATCGGCTAGCATACGTGCTTCCGCGGTCGCGGCAAGAAATGAATCGGCTCCTGGAGAATCCCGCAGATGAAGTTATCTGCTTGCAAGTGTTTGAGAACGGGATAGGAGAAGCCGGGCAAGATGTTGCAGCGAGAGCGAGAAAGGAAACTGAAAATCGAAGGTGCAGTAGGCTCCGTGGATCAAGCTGGCGAAGCTCAACGCGACTTGCTTCGTCGACTGGAAGACTAGAACAGTTGAAGCTCATGAAAGTAGAAGCGGTGTGCTCAGCATATAAACACTGCGCGTAAGATGGAGAAGAATGTGACTGAGTAGAGAGCTGCTTTCACGTTCACTGTGAGAGATATGGTACTGACTGCGAGTTGTTCTGCGATGTATAGAGGATGATTTGCGGCGATGAGGCAGTGACAAAAATCCACAATTCCGAGGCTGTAAGCCCTGTGGAGTTTCCTCGGGGAGTACACAGCATGAACATGTAGGTCACTGGTAGAGCTATAGAGCTGCCGGCATTGTAAGTATGAAGGGCGAAGGTCGAATGAAGATTGTTGTACGCGTGACGAGCGCTGGATATGTTGTTGATGTACGACTCAAGAGCTTCGCCGATAATGGCGGCGAGCTACAGTAGAACAAGAATATTAAATTGCTATTCCACTTGCCGGTCGAGCTAATATCCTTCGTAGTGAGATTTTTGGGAACCTTCGCGGAAGGCATCGCATGAGAGCCGGCAAGCAGATCGAAGAGTTGAGTCCCGCGAAAGTTGAGGGCCTACTTGAGGCTGGTCGACATCGAGTGAAAGTTATCCGCGCCAGCTAGTGCAGGAACGAAATCGGAGATCGAGGGCTCTTTGAAACCGGAGGAGGATGAAATTGTAGTGGATATGAAGGAGAAGAGAAAGGCTGACGCGGGGTCAACAATGTGAAGAGCACTAAAGTGTGTATGACAGCACGGAGCAGTAGGATTGTATGCGAGGAGCATTTAGGTTGGCCTGGCCAGTAAATTTCCGATGAAGAGAAACACTGATTGAAGATCTCAAACAGCCGAGATCGTCGAATGGGTCGTTCTCTCAAGGGCTGGAGATCGGCGGTATGGACGTTCATGGCTTCTGGAGTTCCGGTTGAACTCTGACTGGTGGTGCTTTGGGGGTCCGCAGATGCACCGGAAGTCTCACTGACGAACGACCGCGCCACGGGCTTAGTGCTATTGGGCTCTTCTTGGGGCACTAGAAGTGCTATTCAATCCCTCCTTCTGCCCAGCATCATCATGGGAGACAGTGGCAACCCCTGACCCTTGTCCTAAGGACCCAGTTGACGGGCCTAGCTGAGTCAATGCCTGGATGACGCATAAGCCACCGAGGAGACCATTAAGTCTTTCAAGTCGTGACCATGGCACACCTATCACGGCACAAACTGGCGATTATCCAACTTCCGTAAAGAAATCACAAACTTATATGTTAACCCGGGAAACTGGTCCGTAGATCTCGCCCACCATCCACCTGGGCGGTTCATAGGCAATGTATCCTCGACACCACTCTATCTTTTTCGGCTACACTACCAATTTTCTTTGGTGCAATTACTGGTACTAAGGTGACAGGTATAATGCGAAAGCCATCAAGAAATTAGGATTCTTAACAGGGTGTTCATTTTCTTACAGCAACGTCAACCTTGAAAATAAGCAAACCAGGATATCCAGCAACTCAGCCAAGCAATATTATCCCAGCAAATCAATTGCCGCAAATCCTTGGAACATTTGCTACCGTGCTTCCTTGTATAATAGGCCATGTCCATTTTAGAAGCAGGTTCAACTTCTCCAGAAAGTCTTTTCTGTCAACCATATCAAAGTATTTTTGCCCGTAAGCAGGCACGGCAATCATGTGTCCTAGATCTAGGAGCTCCGAGAATTGAACATGAAGCTTGCCATCAAAATAGGATTGGAACATACGGCATCCGCCAGATTGGTCCATCAGAAATACTAAATGCTAATGATATGTTAGTAAAAGACTAACTATACCTAAGAAGGAAAGACAAACCGGGAAAGTAAAGTAGCACTCGCCCGACCGATCCTTATCAGACCGACTCTCATCCGGCCGATACTTATACGACCTTTCCTGATCAACCCGGGTCATTTCTCGGTGGGTTAATGCGGCGATCGCAAAGAGCTCCATCGAGGAAGGCCGTTTATCACCACATTTTTCTGGGTTGCGGAACCCGACCAGTGAGCGCTGGTGGCCCTTGTGCTTATGGCAGCTCAGTGAATCCAGAGGAAATTCCAGCTTCTCGGTATTTGTACATTCAAAGTCGAGAAACCTCCGGGTGCCTGAGAGTAGTGAATATGTGTCACTAGAGTGCAAGTTAGTATTTGAGAGATATAAGATACTTTATCCACTAACCGGTCTACTTTCCATCCGCCAATGGGGATCCTAGAAGATTATTAGTAACAAGTTTATAAAGGTCAAGACGTGTACAAGCCCTTCATGGTGGAATTCCTTGAATGAAAATCCACTCCATGGGAAGGTAAAATAGTTATATTGATCGGTCATCATATCTGGAAACATAACCATCTCGAATGACTCGAGAGTCCATGGGTAGGAGTGAGAACCTGGCACTTCAGAGAAGCTTGCCATCTCTAGGAAGGGTGAAGCTGCTAGATCTGAATCGAGAACATCTCGAAAATCGACCCGAGGTAAGAAGTAGCTTGTAACCGATGGCGAAGAAATTGTACCGGTGCGGATATCAAACTGATGAAAATCGACTCCGAGGTCTGAAAGCTGCTCGTCTGTCATAGGAAGCTTCCTATTCTCGCGAAGGGTATTATAGATCCGTTCCATTGTTCGAATTTGGTTTCCAGCGTAGTTAGATCTTGGAGTGCAGGAGAAGTAGAGAGTAGAGAGTAGAGAGGAGTGTAAAAAAACGATGGACACAGTATGTTTGCCGCTTTCGAAACAGGTCATATAAAATTCGGCTATGCAATCACGTTTTCCTAACCCATTTTTTCTAAAAAGGTTCAACTGGTATTGATGACGTCTTGGCCTAGAAGGACCCATTAAACAGCATATATCGTAGGTTGCTGCGTTAAGTGATTACCAAATCCACCTTAAAAGGTGTCGGAGCTGTGTCCAGCCCCGGAGGTACCGCTTGTATACGGACCGTGGAACATTTCCATGGTTCTTCTCCATATCAATCAATGCAGAAGTATCACCGTTCCCCAAGGGTTTACGAGCCTTGCTTTTGTGCTTTTGCTTCTTCTTTTCCGTAACACACATCGTCGGTATCTTCTTACACCTCGCTATCGCTATTCATACACGATTACTCGATCCCTCGATATCACGATTTCATCTTTCGGAGCCCTCGCACATCTTCCATACGATTGTAAAATCCTTTGTCTAGCTCCACTAAAGACATCATGCAACCAAAGAGTTTGTGCCTTTACCTCCGATGCAATCGATGGAACTCTATCTTAACCTTTTCGGCTCTAGGTGACACTATAAATGGTAGAATGTTGTGAATAGAATAGCATTCAGAGAAGACAAAGGAAGGGAACAGCATCCAAACTCTTCGACTGATTACGAAATTCCAATCTTAAAGACGATATACGGAAATAATGGCGGCCTTTTTTCACCTGCCATTAAATAGAGTGGCAGGTCTAGCTCGATAGTGCACCCGTTTTCAAGTTTAAAATCGCCTCCGTTAAGAGGCATCCAGTCGTCATCTTTCATTCCGACCTTTATTATTTGCTATGTCAAATGTCTAAAGATCATTCCCTAGGCAACAAAAAGAGCACGGGTTAGCATCTTAAGGATGACTTATTGTTTATCTGGCGTATACTCAAATATTCGAATCTTTTCTCGCTCTATCATAGCTTCGTAGCGACGTAGGAAGTCATACTCGACTTTTGAAAATACTAATAAATCGAATCCGGCCTGCTCGGCGTAAAGCTTTTGGTTACTTAAGACATTTAAAAAGTTGTCTAGTCCATTATAGACAAAATGGATCGCCATAATTTAGAACTTTAATTTCTTCACAAGTTGTTAGGTAAAATATACAACGGAAAAATCGCGAATTCTAATCTTGTTGGACTTGTGTACCACATTCTGGAATCGCAGGGCCATTTCAACAGATCCCATCAGTGAATCGAACTTTCCACCGCGCTCAGCTAGTTGTGCAGCCGGACCGATGAATCGCTCCTTGCGGGAGAGTTTGCGCACCCGTTAACTCCACGCTGATGTGAACTTGCGCTCATTAACTAGGTGGTTTACATGACGGTGTAAAGGCGGTAACTTAGGCGGTTACAATCTATATAGGAATCAGGCCCAAAAGCCGCTGACTATGAAATGGAAATTTTCTATCACTTTCATTTCTCTATTTGGTTTTGTTACAAAAAGATGTGTCTATAACATTCTATTTAAACTTGATACAAGCACATACGACCATAGGGTGTGGAAAACAGGGCTTCCCGTCCGCTCAGCCGTACTTAAGCCACACGCCGGTGAGTTAGTAGTTGGGTGGGTGACCACCAGCGAATCCTCACTGTTGTATGTTGTTTGCATTCATTTTTTTGGATTCGTTGGGAAATTTCATCTTGCCACCCTACTGCGAAATACACGATTTATTTATGACTTAGTTCTGCGCCACCTACATTATTGGATCGTTTACCCAACCATATCGGCAAGCCCACTAGTCCTGATTCGGAAGATTTCCAGATGAATAATGTTCCCCGAACATACTTCGTTTAGTACTGAAAGGACGCGCGCATCGGCCCTGAAACGAAGAACTGGAGAACTTGGCAAGGAAAGGTGAAAGATTGATCTAGAGTTGCATGCAGTTCCAGGTTGACCAGTGAAAGGGCAAAAAGTAGGTGACTAATCACGATAGTCCGTAGTGAGCTATCTGTCCGTCAGCCCTACAAGCTATTCATAAACTGTCGAGGAGTCGGCGTACATTATAGAAGTCCAGAGAAATGGTCATCATCTCTTGTAGCACGTGTTTATTGGTTGTAGTGTTGGAGGGGGGTTTGTATGTGCCACATTCCAGTATTAATTGGGACGGTGAACTGGCCCCTGAAGTCTGGCGTGTCGAACAACATATGAGGCGTAGAGAGACGGACACCAAGTAGGAGCAAGCTGGGCGAGAGACCACAGATGAGAGTGGAGAAATTCACGCGAGGCACAGCACCGACCGCCATCCAACAACCAATGAGACAGAGGCCTTGGGCTGTGTGGGTCGCAGCGTTCTGAGCAGCGCTTAGTTAAGCCAGCATCGCGCAGGCCTACAGTTGTAAACAATTTCATTCTGTTCCTTGGATTCGGGGAATCCTACTACTACTACTACTACTACTATTGTACGTGTCGCTGTAGTTACGAATTGATATAAGCTGTTTGGATAAAACTTGATCGACCTTGATTGTGAATACCAATGACTGTATCGGATATCTGAAAGTGCTGTACAAAACTTATATTGAATACATCCGATAGCTCTCGACTGGCCGCTGGTTATAGATTTCCTCCTCGGTAAACCAACTTCCATGCAGTCCATACGGCACACGCTGAGGCAGCAAGATGCGAGCGACCACCTTCTGCATCCCTTTCGCATCGATGACCCATAGCTCGCTACGAGCGTTGGTGAGTGCATTGCCCTCCATATCGAGCTGAGATTCATCAAAAACAAAGGTCAAAAGCCATCCATCATCTTCTGATGTCCCGTTCTTTCGGGGCACAAAACTACATTCTTGAGCATACCACCCAGTGGGCATCTGAAAGACCTTTATAGCATCGTTGGGATCTTCCGAACCTAGGATATCCAGAACGGATCGGCCATCCACACAACCAGTCACAGAAACAGGGGGTTCTTCAAGACCCTTCTTAATCAAAACGCCAACGTCCAGTTTCACCAAACAATCGATTTTAGTGGCTCGCCCGAGCGCCGCAGTAAATGTGCCGTTCACTACAGAACAGCCATAGACAAATTGGGTTGGAGACATTGCGAGATATTTGGGTACATGCGAGAACTCAAAAGGTATGGCGGAGAGTGCCCATTGGTGATTGATCGTGTTCGAAAAAGCAGTCAAGTCAAACTGATAGTAATATAGTCGGCATTCCTCCTCGCCAGTTTGGACAGGTGCCGGAGGTGAGATATTGCCGGCGCTGAAAATCATCGCAGGACTAGTCATACGACATACAAGCATATTCACAGCTATTATAGTGTCCGTATACTTCCCCAGTTCGTCCCATGTGTTGACTGAGTGAAAAATACAGCAGGATCTCGTTTCGAACCAGCGAACTCGACTTGGTGTGTGTCTTGGGAAAACGCCGAAGCGTGTACATCCCTCAGAGTCATAAGCAATGACCGGTTTATTGAAAAGAAGGTTAGTTGGATCAAGGGAGAGCGGAAGGTCGATAATGACGGTATGTTTGTGAGAGACACCAAAATCATGCATCATCTTAGGAGATTCAATTCCCGGGACAGGCATGTTCAGCAGAGGGTCTGCCTGCTTTGATGGATTATTCTTGAGCTCTAAGGTAGGTATGACCGAGTAGTGTACGAAAGGCGCGAGGACGGTTGGATGAAAAAGAATCAACTCTAGGGTATGCGGGTCTCTCCGAGGCTGTATTTTTCAGTAAATGCATGAGAATAGAAACCGAGAACATTGATCCTACATGTGCAGTAGTCCATTCTTTCATGAAACCAGTCAAACCGAGTCCCCCGAACCCTGACAAAGAAGGAGCTAAGTCTTGTGGCTCTCCCTCCGCTCTCCGGCCGTTAAACCATCCGACTGTTCCTAGGTCTGGCAGCGAGACCCTCATTGGCGGTCCGCTTTCGCACATGGCTAGCACTCGTCCATCATGATAAATTATATTGGTGTTAGCCACACTGATCTTCTTTATTGGCCTCGATGAGTTGTTGAGAAAGGATCGCAGAACATAAAATATCATACGACAGATTCTGTTGACTATCCATCCTAAAGTCGCCTTTGGGTTAATCAATGTTGCAATGCTGGGCAATATTGGGATGCGAAGTTCGGGATCCGCCTCAGCAGCCAGATAGACATCAGTCAAGACATATTGATTTGTGTATTCAGGTTGGATGCCTGATTTCTTATTTGCCTTGAAAAAGACGCCACTGAGCATTCCATCTCCATCAAACCAGTGGGCGTCTCGTCCTAGCTCGTTGTTTGTCACCGGATTGCCCCCGTTGCGGACATATTGTCCGCCAACGAGTTCCTCAGGTATGATCCCGACAAACTCACAGGGTGTGGCAGATCCGATATTGTGTATTGGAGCAAAGTTGCCTTTCAGATACCTAGTTGAATTCCGAACAAGTCAGTTCAGTCCGGAAATCAAACGATTCATGTGCATACTGGTGTGTTTTCGATTCCGTAAACCCATGACTGTGAGATTGATTTACCATGGTTGCGAACATTGGGATTGAGTATTAATGAGAGTACGCAAGGATAGCATAAATTTGTACCGGAATATGCTATATCAATACTTTCATCGCCCATATTTGGAAGTATGTAAGGGCCGAGATCTGCAAAGTATTACCTCTTTGAAGAGAAAGTGGGACAGCGTCGTACGAGAGACGATCTGCAAGCGTACTAATGACTTTACAAGCTTTGGCGTATCCTACATATCTAGTATTGAAACTTTAAATTCGTGGAAGCGGGTCAATGTGGATTTTTAAGTTCAACCAGTTGTTTCTATATTTTATGAACACAAAGAATTGAAACCGACCCATCGGTTTCTTTTCATACACCGCTAAAACTGCATGAGCTGCGCACTCCCATTTTATTTGATTATCGACTCAATGGTTGCTACTTCTTAAAAAAAAATAATCACAATCTTGAATTTCATTAATTCTAGACTTCCATCGTACATAGCCAGCTATGGGGCTTGATTATTTTTTCATGTAAGTTCTGCTGGACACTATGTGAAGAGAGGTGTGTTCAGTTAACAAACACAAGGCATGCAAAATATAACATACCGCCAGCATTGGCTATCACAATATTCTACGGTCCATTTTTCACACGCACAGATATCCAAAAGATCTTGATACTTTCGGTGGTAAGTCTCACCCTATCCATGGATGTCCAAAATTGAGGATCAACCGGTGATAGATAGCTGTCATCTGGACAACTCCATGGGATTCGTTCCTCATTCATACTCGCGTATGGACATATCCTACCGACTCCATTGTCGGATACACTCTTTTCAATATACCACTCGAGGAGGTATTCTTTTTTATCATCCAAACGTATAACACCAGCATACTCTACATTTTGCTTGGTAAACAATTGGTGCTGCCAATCTATTTACTAGGACCGTTTGGCCACCCAGACCACATCAGCCTGATATTATGGAGAGATGTTGGTACCGTTTTCTTTTCAGGAGCGGCAGCTCTGGGAATGATGTGTATCTATTACGGTGGGCTATACACGTATATGGGCTTGATTCTCACCTGGGTGTCCCCAATCATGCTCCTCCAATGGTAAGATCGGATCTAAGAGATAAATACAGTTTACTGATCGTTTAGGCTCTTGACATATCGCTTTTTGCTGGCCCTTCCGCTTGTCAACACTTTGGTTCCTATCCTCCTACCGACCACATACCTTTGGTTGGTGGATACAGTTGCCCTCAGGAAAGGTACATGGATTATAGAGCCAGGAACTAAATTAGGTATCCAGATCTGGTCTGGTCTAGAGATAGAGTAAGTTCATACAATCTCCCAGAATCTGAATATTTGGGACATTTAGCTAAGCCCATGTTAGAGAGGCACTCTTCTTTTTTGTGACTAATCTTATGATTGTTTTCGGCCTTGTTGCAATTGACAACGCAATTGCGCTGCATGAGTACATGGTATTTACGTCCACCAGTCCTGTTGGCGAATCGCCTTCAATCGCCAGTCTCATTTTACCATTTGTCAACGATAATCGGCAATACGACCTTGATTTACTCCAGAATTTTTCCCAGGCTGTTTCAATTCTGCAAAATAAAAGTCAGAGTATGTGGTTGGGGAGCACGACCTTTGAAGGCCAGCTACGAATGGACCTGATTGCATTGTAAGAACACTAAAATATCGAATATTAGACAATGCCATTGACTTCTATCCTTCAGGTATTCGTTCTGTCGCAAGGCGGATGATTTGATTGATGATGCACCTGACCGTGAGATTGCAAAGTATTGGATCAAGGAATGTGCCAGATCGTTGAATGTGAGGTTTGATTCCGTTGGAACGAAAACCGAGGACCCAACTGCCTATCTCAGATTGACGGAATGGATTCCAGCCCCATTGTATGGCCCGCTCTATATACTGCCAGTATCCCGGCTCTTGAGGGAACCACTTTTCTGCCTCCTTGAAGGGTTCAAAACAGATTTGGAATTTGATATCAAAAGGAACCAATTCCCCATTGCAACGGAGAGAGACTTGGAGCTATACGCCTACCGTGTAGCTGGTACTATCGCAGAACTTCTTCTCGATATGGCTTTTCGTCAATATTCACCCACCATTGATGATGCCGACCGTTTTCAAATTATATCCTCTGGAGAACGCATGGGTCAAGCTCTGCAGTATGTGAATATTGCACGTGACATTGTGCAGGATGCTTCCATAGACAGAGTCTATATTCCAACATCATGGCTCTCTGATGTGGAGCTTACACCCTCACTGGTGGTCAAGAATCCCAACGACCCCAGAATTGCTATTCTTCGAAGACGACTTCTTGATAAGGCAGATACCTGTTACAGAGGGTCACAAGCCTCGATTGATAGGCTCCCGTCAAATGTCAGAGGCCCTATTCGAGCAATCGTGATGAGTTACATGGAAATAGGGCATGTCATCAGAGAAAATGAAGGAAAAGCCGGGAACGAGAGACTGAAAGTGTCATTCTGGAGAAGAGCTAAGGTTGCATGGTTGGCGATGGCCTTGTAGTGTCGAGATTGTGACGAGTCCAAGGTGCATGATCGGCTACGAGGATGAGATATGCGAGAGGATCACCCGTGTCTCAGCTATTGGTCTGTCTGGACTCAGTCCTTTCTGGGCTTCATCTTGCTTCGATCCTTCACTGGCTTATTTTATTTATGGTGTATTTGTTAAATCGTCTTGGCTTGTTGAGTTCGCCTTGTATACGCAGGCTCTCGACTATTCTATTGCATGCCTACTTCTTCTCCAATTGATGCTTTCTATGGAGCTAATCTACTAGTTCTACAGCTAACTATACTATCTTTTGTCCTACTGATTACTGATCAGTCTAGCGAAGAAAAAAATAACACCTCTCTTTCAATGTTGAGAAAGCCCATACATAGATGCCATTTTTTCAATACTTAGTATAATACTGCAATTGGTATTGACTTGGACGACATGACCTAGACAGTTTTCCATAAATATTTCAGATTCAGACACCACACCCATGAAGCAACAAAGATAGAGATAATAACACAACTTCCATATACTGACCATCTGAAAGCTTCAGTTTCCATCAAATAGGGCTTTTCCATGTCATGTTGATGACATATCTGTTGACTCACAATCTTGCTGCCTGCCAAACAAATGGGAACACCTGTACCTGGGTGCGTGCTGGCGCCAACAAAGTATAATCCCCTGATTTTGTCATGTCGAGTCTTGGGTCGAAAGCTCAATACATTGAAGAATGAGTGCGAGAGCCCCAGAATTGCCCCTTTGTCTAAGTTGAATTTCTCCTTCCAGCTGAACGGGGTTTCAATCTTCTCAGATAGGAGACTATCACGCAAGCCGCGAGCACCGGTGCGAGATTCAATGGTCTCAAATGCGGCTTCCCGCGCTTTGGATATGATAGTATCAAAGCTCGTGGCCCAAGAACTGTTCTCCGCCAAATGACCGACAGGAATCAGTACCACTACTGCTTCTCTATCGGGTGGAGCAGCCGTTGGATCAATCCGGCTGGGCACGTTCACATAGAAGGATAACTCCGAAGGAATCCCATGATCTTTGAAGATAGAGTCAAAGCTCCCACGATAATCATCGGCCAGGAAGATATTATGTGTCTGGAGCTCTGGGATGATGCGGTCAAATGACCAGAAGAATGTAATACTGCTGCAGGATGTGGGCCGTCTTTTAAGCGACTCAGCAAAGGGAGACTTTGGCAAAAGCTCGTTATACGCATATACAAGATCAGCGTTTACAACAACGGTATCTGCAGTCAAAACCTCGCCAGAAGTAAGGACAACACCAGTTGCTATGCATGAATTTCCGGAAAGCTTGATAGAGGAAACTGGCGCATTGAGACGATATTCCACGCCTAGGCGTTTTCCAACACCTGCCAAGGCTTCCAGGACCTGATACCATTAGTCCAAAAGTAATAAAGTAGGCGAGGGGACATACGATCTGGAACCCTCCGACAGGATACCAAATTCCATTGGCAAGCTCTGAGTATTGAAGGAGGGAATAAGTCCCCGGCGCTTCAAATGGACTCATTCCGAGATACATGCTCGTAAATGTAAACGCCCTTCTCAGTTTTTCGGAGACAAAATACTTGCTTGCTCTGCTGTAAATGCTCGTAAATGGATGTAAAGCCATTGTGGATAGTAGAAAGCCAGGTCGAAGCATACTAGAAAAATTGGGGAAGTTCTTGTTCAAGACATGAATTGCAGATAGATCATAATGATGACCCGATTCTCTCATGAATGATAAGAATCGCATAAACCCCTCTTTGCCTTCATGGCGCTCGATCTCCCCTTTCATTCTGACCATGTCTGTCGATAGTTCAACTGAATCATGATCCCCAAACCATATTCGGTAATTGGGCTCACACTTCATCAATTGGATGCCTTCAGCTTCTAGGGATGTGTTCAGGTCTAGAAAGGTCTTCTCAAATATCTCAGGCAATAAAAGAAGGGATGGTCCTTGGTCAAATCTCTGCCAACTTGTGTTAGTTGGAGATACACAAGATAAAAGGTAGAACAAACATAGCCATCCTCCTGGATGAGAGAGCATCTGCCACCAATAAAATTGTTCTTCTCTACCACGGTTACTGTAAACCCTTCTTTTGCTAAACGAGCAGCGATGGCGACTCCTCCTGCACCAGCACCTACGTAGTAACGATTGTTTGTTAATATAGAACGAATTGAGTATTTTGGAACCGTACTTACCAACAACAATCGCCGTTGGTCTCTTCATTGAGATAAAAGTGTACCCGCGACTCCCTAGCCACGATGTCTGAACATATTCTGAGTACTAGTTTTAGGTATTATCTCTCTGTAACACATCCAACACAACTCTTAGCTAAGAATAGTGATGTATGGGATCTCGGGCAAGAGAACTTGGTAGAATAATACAGTATGTGTGGGACAAAGTGAAATAGAACCTCCTAATTTACGGTGAACAAAATCTAATCTCCTAGTCGTCAAATAGTTCTCGATACCGTTGTCTCTTGTTCCGGTTAGTGTTTTCAGCTAAGAAAAGATCAGATCGATTGACTAGTTACTCCTTGCATTTACATATTGGTTTGATCAAACAGATCCAGTTTATGGTATATATTTCATATTTGATCGGGCCAATTAATTTTTCTCTTACTATAGACAACCTCAATATTAGTACGGAGCTACTAAATTGACTTGCGGTGAGCAAAGTATAATTCCATACTCGTCAAGTAGTCCTCGATACCGTTATCTCTTTTTCCGGTTAGTGTTTTCAGTCAAGAAAAGATCATATCGACTGACTAGTTACTCCTTGCATTTACGTGTTGTTTTTGATCAAACAGATCCAGTTTATGGTATATATTTCATATTTGATCGGGCCAATTAATTTTTCTCTTACTATAGACAACCTTAATATTAGTACGGAGCTACTAACTTGACTTGCGGTGAGCAAAGTATAATTCCATACTCGTCAAGTAGTCCTAGAAACCATTATCTCTTGTTCCGGTCAGTGATTTCAACTAGGAATTATTAGATTGACCGAATATTTACTCCTTGCATCTACCAGCTTGTAAGGAAAAATGTTAGGTCTTATTGAAGGGTTTTTGGTGATTTAAATACAGCGCGAATCATGCTTCTTACGTTCCGATATGGTCAGCTCAATCAGAAGAACACGTTGTACAAGAAGGGGGTCAGAGTGAAAAGTTCGGTGCCGATGTGTCCTTGAAGTCTTGACTTCACCTCTAATATGCGCTCGTAACACTAAATATCGGACTGCATTTGCGGGTGAATGGCAGTATTGTTGATCTCGAGATACTGTATAAAATCAACCTCTCGAATTTTTTGGCTGCCTATATCAATAATTTTCATCTGTGGCTCCCATATGCAGACATTGTCATGGCATCCAAAACCCTTTTTAGAATTTCTGCGACAGTAAATGCTGTCTGCGTTGTCGGTCACCTTGTCATGGGCTTCCAGGCAGTATATCCCGCCATCAGAACAATCTCCACCCCTCAACACCGCGTTGGCCAACGCGCCGCTCAAAACGCCTGGAATTTCATGGCTGGAAGTGTATTGATCGCCAGTAAGGCCACTTTTTGTCCCATTGTCATCTAATTATACTAATTCATGGCACAAGCTCTCTTAAATTGGCAATGGTCAAACACGGTCGGTCCGCAAACAAATGAACAAGTAGCCATTTTCTGGGTGATAGTATTCAATGATGTATGGGCTGGGATTCGCTATCTCCAGGTCAAAGAATTCGCACCCCTTCTATGTCTCTGGTTGGCACCGCTATGCAGTGTTGCAGCCTATTTTATGGCCTGAGGTGGCGTCTCTTGCTTACGTATCTTTTTCTTTGATATCTTTATAGCTCTCGGTTAGGGTTTCTGCCAGTGTTCAAAAAGAGGGAGCTTGGTGTATCTCCATTCATTATTGTTTACAGCACATTGGGATAAACGTATACCTTAACGCCGCTTGCTTAGCTTTACTTAAACCTCTTTCTAGAATGATATATGTAGTCTTTCATCCAATTCTGACACTTGAAAAGCATTACCGATGTCAAGATAAATCAACAGGGAATAGGGAGAGGAATTTTACATTTCAAGTAAAATTAACGGTCTCCTGATCACACCACGCCCAGAGCTTCGCCGCTTTCTCCGATCCACCTTGAATTTTCGACCGCAACGAATCCTCAATATCTGGACGCAGATGACCTATGCGCCCCCATGGCCATATGTACGCACCAGAATGTTGTTCAATGGTCAGATCGGGAGATAGGCCTGCATAGAGCTCTGTATAAGCACCATACCGCGGTGGCCACAATACAAGCCCTTGGAGCAAGCGCTCAACGGATTCAAGATACGGCACCATTAAATGTCGGGTCAGTTCTGTGTTGAGATTCCCTGGGTTAAAGGCCTGGGCTGTATCAGCGCACGAAGTCGATTCCAAGTGGACGATGAAAATACACATAAATCCAGCAAAGAGAAAAGGGGAACACATACAACACTTAACACATTTGCGCTTTTGCATCTTTTCCCAAACTCGAACGCTATTAGGTTATTTGCCGCCTTTGAAACAAAGTAATTGGTATATCTGGTGTTTGACAATATCGGCGATCCAGAGTCATCCATATCAACTCCACCCTGGGGGGACAGTTCTGAAAGAAGCGAGCTGGCCCAGCACACTCTCACGGAGTTCAAAGGGGCGGTCTCGGCCGTTTGTTTCAAAATTTGATAGAGCAAAGAGGTAAGAAGATAAGGCCCGAGAACGTTTGTGCTCATCTGAATGTCATGTCCCTATGGTTTGGCGTTGCTGACTTCAGCAAGCAACACATAGCAGACTAATGAAGAACAAAAGGACTCACCTGCTGTGATTTGATTGCTCCAGATGGGAACATAACCCCTGCATTATTCCAAAGCACATCTAGCCTTTTCTCTTGATTCAGGAACTGCTCGGCTGCTCTCTTTATAGAGCGCAAATCGGCCAAGTCCAACGGTAACCATGACAGATTACCCTTCGAATCGGGGAATGCGCAACAAATATGTTCAATCGCCTCGGTCACGCGTCTTTCTGACCGACCAGCCAAGTAGATTCTAGCGTTCGCGCTGTATAGAATTTTTGCTAGTTGAAGACCAACACCAGCATTGCCCCCTGTGACTATGAATACCTGGCCCATTGTGAGTTCTCTATACTAAAGAAATTCAAATACTGGATCTGAAATGGGCATTTACTTACCTTTCCGCTCTGGTCGACAATATTTTTCTCGGTTATGGGTGGATTTGGGATCCAGGCACTTTGGCTCCAAGACTTGCCCATGTTTATTGAAACTGCTCGGTTGGGGGATGGAGCTCGTGAATATTCAAAAAGGGAAGAGGTGGGAGTTTGTACTGCAGGCTTCTAAGATATATGGATATTGAAATTCCCAAATCTACACCAAACACCTTGAGGCCACCGAGGTAGCTAGGAATTTACGTATCTAATTATTGGGATAGTCATATGCGCAGATACTCGTAGACCCACAGATGTACTGTATATATGCACCTGCAGGTCTAACTTCACATTAAGATCTTTCTGCGGTATTTTACAGATTGATTACACCTTACAATAGTCGCTCGCTCGGTAGCATGGCTAAGCTGAATGGGGTACGAACCTAGGTGATCGCTGCTTACTCCATCGAGAGCAATACGTCATATATAACTGGCGGTGAGAGAACCAGAACATCTTCGATTTACAATTTTGCAGTGCGTTGGGTATCGAAAAAGGAATACCGACAAAAGAATGTAATATTAAGCACTTGTCAACCCACTGTCCATACTGCAGGTGGTTGCCGTAAAGGCTGGCTTAGCCAACGCTATATAAGTATCCCTTGAGAGGCACGAAAAGAAGACTTAAGATTGCAGTCCAATCCTTTCATCTTGATGCTTTGTTCTCATTTCTTAACTCATTCAGGAAAATGTACTCGAAACCTCCGTTCAGAGTCCTCATTATAGGTGGAAGTGTGTCGGGCCTCACACTTGCCAATGCCCTTGACAAAGCAAAAATTGACTTCTTGGTTCTTGAGAAACGGCCTGAAATTGTCTTTGACGCAGGCGCAGCTCTTGGACTGCTACCAAACGGATTGAGGATTTTGGATCAGCTGAATGTATATTCGGAGCTCTTGATAGCAGGCACTCCCATTCATACGACCATCAATCGATGGAAGAATGGTCAGGCATTTTCTAAATCACATTTCACCGAAAGAATTGAGAAGAGGTGAAGTGCTGCAGTTTGTACAACCAACTCATCTAAAGACTCACCGTAACCTGATAGGCACGGTTATCCCTTTCTCTTTGTCGAGCGCGAGCGTTTACTTCGTATACTATACGCCAAGATTCCTGACAAAAGCAAGATTTTAACATCGAAAGAATGCATCAGCATTCGGCATGTCAATTCCGGAGTCCATGTCACCTGTACAGACGGCAGCTCTTTTGGGGCAGACATTATTGTTGGTTCTGATGGCGTCCACAGCACTTCGAGACGAGCCATGCTAGAAATTATGTTCAAAAGAAATTCATGTTTTCGAAGAAACATATCGAACAAAGGTTCCATGTCTTTATCTACAACCACAAAAGTTGACCGCTAATAAGACGTTAGAGATGTTTTCGGACTACTTCTGCATTCTCGGTGAGTCATTATATAGGAGCCATGATCCAGAACTTATCGAAGGCATGATGAACATCACCTGTGACAAGGGGCGTATTTTCATCCTTATTTGCTGCAAAGGCAATAAGAAATTTTGGTTTCTTTACCTCAAATATCCTACCAGATATCAGTATCCAGATATCCCGCGCCTCTCACTCGAAGAAATTCATGTCACTATGATGGAAAACTTTGATATCAAAGTAACCGAGCACTTGTCGCCGGAGACTTTGTGGAATTGCCGGTCTAAATATACCATGGTACCTTTCGAAGAAGGTCTCCTGGATCGCTGGTATGCCAACAGGATTGTTTGCCAGGGAGATGCAGTATACAAAGTACGGTAGCAACCATTTTACGGTATGACTTTGATTTAATAATTTTCGTCTAGATGACTCCAAATGCAGGACTTGGAGCAAACTGTGCAATTGAGAGTGCCGCTTGTCTAGCAAATGTTCTTGAGAAACTGATGCACCAAAAGCACGGTTCCAGTCCACCAGCTTATTCTGACATACAAATGGCGTTCGGAGAGTACGAGAAGTCACGCTATGGTCGAGTTAAAACTGCTTATGAAACCTCCTACCTTTTTACTCGACTTCAAGCCCTGGATAACAAACTATACAAATTCCTCTACACCCAAATTAGCCCTGTGCTGGGGGAAGACTTTGAGATAAACGCCCTCACCAACATTGTGATAGGTGGTCCTCCTCTGACCTTTTACAACTACAAAGGCAAGAAAGGTCTAGTGCCTTGGGAAGGATGGAATCTTTCGGCAAGCTCAAACGCCAGTCAGTCACCAGTACTGCGTACGATAAATTGGCTACTTTATCATATGGCACCAGCGATGTCTGGATGCTGGCTCACTCAGCACCTGGTGCTGGCAAGTGGATCAAATCAAAGCCGAGGTATGGACTCCGTGCTATATCCAGGGCAATGCATTGGCGCATTTGGAAATTTGCTCGCTATTGGAACGGTCATGGCTGTCGAAACCTTTCGCGGGTCAGTTGGCAATACATGGAGTGTATTGTAAGTAGAATTCCCGACAGATGTGGCATTTTATTGACCTCTTTTTGTCTCCCAGGCCATGGATGGTTGGTTTTGGCCTCAGCATCAGCGCATGGAAGGCCTTTACGGCTGTCTATCTCCTAGTTCTGTCCAGAAAGCTGTTCCAATGCAAGTCGACAAGAGCGCCTTTTTCATCTGTTTCTCCGAGTTACGCAGCCGCATTGATCAGCGCATTGATTGCTGTCCCGTCAATTCATATCATTACCGTTACTGTTGCTGCTCATGGTATAGGCTGGTCCACCGGTTTTACCTCAGCTTCCGGTCTAGTACTAATATATCCGATGATTATACCAGTGCTAAGTTGGGTGCTGAGGCTGCTTGGAAATTTTGATGAGCGACAGGAGATTATCATGGGTACCGCAGAGATACCTACATTGCAAGGAGCTTATTTGATATCGGCCGTTCTTTCCCTTATACTTCATGTTTACTCCACTCTCCGGTCGAGGCCCCTACTTGATACCTCGGCTTGCCAGGCCTTTCTCGTCTCGTTGATGCGCCTCATTCTCGGTGCCAAGTATCTGGATGGAGAGACACTTCATTTTTATGTCGTGTTTACGTCATTCTCCATGATAATGGCATACGTCAATGTTGTCACTTTAACAAGGCCCGCACATAAAGTCTTATCCGCTAAAATGTGTTTGACGGTCAAAATGACGCTTGGAAGTGCTTTGATTGGACCAGGAGCAACCATCGCATTGCTGTGGATCTGGAGAGAGGACAGGGTCAGAAAGATAGATCATTGATCTCTTATGTATATATTCGGCTGCTGCTCGGTTCTGTAGCTCACTCTAATCCCAAGACTCAAAACCTTTTCGAAATCCTTTAACCAGCTTGAACCTGATCATATGATTTTGGAACTTTTGCACTATAACACCTCTCATAAGGTATGAAGAGCGAATAGACTGGCCTCACATCCCACTTGATTGACTTGCCAGTATTCCATGTACCTAGAAGTGAAAATAAGCGATCGTTCTATGTGCACTCTGTATATAGTGGTTTCTCGTACAGATCTTATTTAGGTTAATGTAGTTCTTGCGCTTCATATTCTTTTACATTGTATGATCGTCGGAGGGTCTGGTAATTTTTACCGAAAAATTGTAAGGCTCGGTGAATCTAAGCCTATTCAAAGAAACGTTTAGCACATACGACCATAGGGTGTGGAAAACAGGGCTTCCCGTCCGCTCAGCCGTACTTAAGCCACACGCCGGTGAGTTAGTAGTTGGGTGGGTGACCACCAGCGAATCCTCACTGTTGTATGTTTTTGTTCACCTATTTTTTTGATTCTCCAGGAAAGGTCAGCCATGCTCTCGGGGTACCTAGGAAAACTGGGCGTTCGGAACATTGTTCTTGAGAAAGAAGCAGGTATTACCACCGATCCAAGGGGTATCGCTCTCGACGATGACGGCATTCGGCTCGTACAGGGTCTGGGTTTGTATGAGCATATCTTCAGGGAGATCGGGACATGTAAAGAAATTTATCGCGAGGCGAAGGAGAGTACTGATATTATCTATAGGCTTGCCAAAGGCTCAATTTGTTAGTGGAACTTACCACAACCTACATGCGAAACCTTTTCTCTGCATAGACACATCCTCGGTAAAATGAGTCCAGTCTGTCCGAATCTTACAAGCAAAAACTGACTTGGGTGAAGAGTGAGGGAAATACAGGTCATATCGGTGTTCTTGCGCATAAACAACCTATCCTCGAGAAACATCTCCGATCTGTGGTTGAAGGGGTCAAAGTCTGTGAATTACGAAGTAGCTGCACGTTAATTTCGATTTCCGAGGACGCGGATTGGGTCTATGCCATGTACAGAGATGCATCGGGGACAGAGAGAAATTTACGCGCGGGATTCCTAGCTGCGTCCGATGGTAAGACGGGCTTCACGCGAAAGATGGCAGAACTAGCATGTTCCAAATTGTGGTTTTACTTAATGACGTGGAGAAGCTGGCTTCTGCGTTGCATGAGTTGAAGATACTCGACCAGGGCAATGAGCTACTGTCTCCGCGCGACGCCACAGTTTTCGTGCCTCGCACGAGCTGCAAGCCTGATACCGATTATAGGCCTTATCGGTCATTCTATCGAACTGCTACGGATGATGAATTTGCTTCTTCGAGGCTATGCGACTCACGACCAATCCCTCGAGGCTACGACGAAATGTTGATGTGGAAGAGTGGCAATGGGAAGCGGTACTGTGGTGTTGAGACCTGACCGGTTCGAATTCGCGATTTGTACCACGGAGGCCGAGCTGGAGAAGGTTGCTTCACGTCTGGCTCGGTTATTTGCGTTTTAGCCGAAAGGAAGAAAAGGGAGTGATCGAAAGATAGTTTTTTTACGCCCGTAAATTTAATCAAAAAGAAACGGCTTTCCACATAAGGTATTCGGAATGGACCTTGTGTTGTGCTGAAGTCCTCCAAGGACTTCCAGGATTGGAAGACTTGAGTTCGAGATTTGATCTTTTTACTTAACATTGAGCTGACAGCTAAATGAAATCGAGCCAAGAACAGGCCGAACCGGATTCGATTAATAAACCTTGAAATATACTCGTAGTTAGCTTCGGAGGATTGTCTTGAAATTACTCAAGCATCAGAATATTAAATATTAGTCCTTAATGCCCCACCAAGGCCCCATTTACTCGAAGAGTCCTCGAATCCATGTGCCCCAAGTAAGTCCTGAACTTCCCACCGCCACCAGTGCTCTTCTCCAGGTATATCCGTACACGGAAGATCCAATTCGCTGCTTAGAGTGGGCCAGACCTTTATAAAGGTTCGACCTAGAACTCTGGTAAGGAAAATATAGGATCGGCCGTTATGTTCCGCTTGGTGTAGAATATTAGGTGTCTTAAAGCCAGGTTGTTGTTTCTGAACAAATTCTAGTGTCGTGGGTTCTCGATTTGTGTCATTCATTGGTCTTTTAACCTTGCAGAAAGCGCTGTTTCCTATGGACCAGGCGGCTGAGCAATTCCCAGCGTCGTATACTCTAGGGCTAGCGGCGGCTATTTCAGCCTTCACGCGTGATAGACACGATGAACGTAATTGTGCACCCTGACTAGATGCAGAACTTGATGAGGCTAGAGAGATGATGTCGTCGGGTGTTCTAAAGGTGGGTTGGTAGGATCTATTGGAAGGATCCGAGTGCAAGATCCGAGTCTCGGCTTCGGACACCGACCACTTGCGATTGTGCTGATTAGCTGTGCTTAAAGGAGGCCTCGTCAAGTCGCCCACCAGCTTTTTCAACCCGATCGGTATTAGGCGGGGCTTTGGGCGTGCTCCTCGCAACTTCTTCCACTCAAGAGAAAATCGCGGAGGTTTACCCAGCAGACATAAAGTTGAATCGAACGCGGCATGGCATGCTGTAAAGCCCACATGGATTTCTGCTGCTGGACTTACCGCAAGCGACAAGATGAGTTAATTGGAATACCCCCCCCAGGTAGATTGTTGTCGGAGTAACCGCTGATGGTAACATGATACATCACGTTGTGTTGCAGTTCTATATTCCAAGTCAACTCGAGAATTTCCTTGCTCTGAAGTTTGTGATGCGCAATTTGACTATCGGTAGTGGCTGAGTTGTCCCATCTGGTCGTGGTAAGATGGTGGTATACACTATTGGAGTTGTTCACTTTCTGATCTTCAAAGTACTTGTCATTAGTCTTCGCAATTCCACATTGCTAACCATGGTTTGATTTCAATGGTAACCTCACCACTACCTTAGTATCTAATTAGTCTATAATTCCACATGCATCTGATCAATCGCAATTTTGGCTATGACCTGCTATGATAATAGTAAAGTGATCTCTCCTATTCAAGGCAAGTGCGCCTACAGTTTCATATTGGACATTCCACATTCACTTTCTTTTTCTAAGGTGCAAGTTTCTATGAGTGAAGCGATATAAAATGTCAAAGGACAAACAAAATCGGTCCCAGGACTTCATGAATTAAACCACATCCTAGCCACTCGGAGTGGTAGTTCATAATTTACATCGAAGTAGTACCTCCATGGGCTAACAGTGACATGCAACGCGTTGCACTCCCAGTAGAATGCGACAGCACTTTCACGAGAACGCTCGAACGCCCGGAATCCCTCAAAAGTAGTCAAAGTACCAACAATTATACATGCCAAAACTTCACAACTGAGATTGCCGGCAAACCCGAAATCCAGGATAGATATTTTTTTTCTCCATTTTCTAGGAGTCCCCCCTTTGACCATGGATGCGATTAGCGGAAATGCGCCGATGATACATAACTGTATAAAGATAATAACCGATAGCCCTGCAAGAAATATAGTTTGAACCGTGTGTCCATCAATATGCTGGTGCGGAAATTTGAATATCCAAGATCTGAAAAATGGCTCGTTGGAGCAGAGTTGCTCTGCTGAGCATTTCGAGGCTCCAGGTGCATCCAGGATGCGAGAGGCGAGACAGGTGTACGCAGGATAAAGTGAGACTCCATCTTGATCGGCTCGCCAGGCGTATACACAGATGTATACTGAAGCTATCCACTGCAGAGTTGCTAGCGTGTATAGTGTCCACTTGAAAACTTGTGCCTTTTTAGAAGAGTTTCGGATGACACACTGAAAAGGATGAAAATGGATCATGTAGCAATATTTCCATAGCGATATCCAGCCAAGCATGGAAGGAATGGGGTAGTGTGTTGGCATCATGGCAAATCTACCAAGACCAATGCACCACCAGATGAAGGAACCGAGATCCCAAGCCATGATTAGCCAAGTATCCCACTCTATCCCTTTGCATATCGTGCCTTCATCGCTGTATAAGGCATTATGGGACTTGCGGACTTGCCAAAAAGCGAGCAAGAAAGTGATACCAGCCTTATTCCATGCTTCCAGGGCCGACGGCGGGAAGGCCGATGGGCGCGGCGTGGATGGTATCACCTTGAAGTCATTGAAACAGCTCATTACCTCGCACCAGCTGTAAATGGTAGTGTTACCATTTGAGTCGTTAGGCAGTGAAGTAGAGGTATTGATAAATGCCAAAGCAGAACTATTCTTCTGTACGAAGGCGCTCTGAATAGAGGCTTTGACAGCAGAACAACTATACGTTATAGCATACGAGGCCGTGTTGTAACACTCCTTGAACATAGTATTCTTGTACAACGCGTAATCGGAGCTGTTGGGATCGAACCCGGCGTTGTCCGTTCTTATTCTGAGTAGGACCATGAGGACAATTCCAATTGCTAAAAGAGATCCTAATATCAGGATGCCACACCAGATCACGCCTTTTGCGAAGCGACGCGTGCGCCTTCCCGTTCGCGGAGGAAAAGCTGGAAACTCGCAGTCGGTGTGGCCAACTTGTGAATATTAGCATTGGCTAGACATAGAGCCGTGAGAAAGCAAAAAGTGGGTATCTACGTACAGTATTCTCGACTCTCCACAGTAGTATACTCGAACTCATAGGAGTGGTTTCCTGATCGAGGGTGTCGCCTCGGCATATTGGAGGAAAGTATCCGATATTCGAACCCCAAAGTTGGGGGCAAATCCGCTGTCCACGAGATTGATGTCCCCTGTCAGTATATATGTAAAGGGGAGAGAAATTTGAAGGAAGAGCACATATATATAGGGACAGGTTCTCACGCTAATCTTTTGGACCTGATCCCTACTAAATGAGCGGGAGACGGGTTGAGCCTTTCTACGGCCACTCTTGCGCCTCCACAACGTTGATTAGACTATTATGCATACTCGGCCACTCTGTCGGCGTTTAGGCTAAATATAGTTCTGCCAAGAATTGGGAGTATTCAATTATGGTAGAGCACTGGCTGAGGCACAGGGCTAGTGGCAGCCACAGGCGTGTTTCTGAGTCGCGCTTGAGGCTGAACAATGTTTATCGGGGACAAAACCAGAATAGTGAAGCTAGCAAACACTACCACCACCTTATTCTTGGCTAAAAAGGGACCTATGAGAACGAAACATGCTATAGCACGAGTTCGTATAGGCAAGCCCTGTAGGTCTAGTAGTCAGCCTTGTTTTGCTGCGTGTGGTTGAACGTATGATATATATGGCCATGTGCAGATGCCAAGAGGCTAAAGATTCAGAGCAACCTGCCGAATACTGAGTTGGGATACATGGTTGCAACCAGGTATTGAAATCCAGACGGGAACTCAGGTCGCTGCACCTGTGTGGTTGCATAAGAGCATCTAACCAACCCCTCAGCTTGCTCGGCATCGCGGCCAAGCTGGCCTGGGAATATCTTCATTATTCAGCAAGATTTTCCACCTCTAATTCGCCTGGTTTACTCTTACTCTTCCAGACGCGCTTCCAGCGTTCCCCAGGTGACTGATTTCCACCAAGTGAAGCATTTTCACAATCGGTCATGCTGCTGTCTCGACTGCAGCTTCGCCAACCCACTGGCTACCATATTTGCGGTTGGTATCCAGCGAATAGCTATCCGAACGTTTCAACGAGTCAGGAAAAACCCAGTCATCATGTGCCCTGGTTCGGTTGGGGAGGGACTGAGCGACCATCGCGCGACTAAGTGTCACCCTGTCTATTGCGCACTGACCCTGCTCACCCCTGGTCGCGCGACGCTAAAGCGGCGTTCACCCTATTCTCACCCGGGCGACACCCACCCAACTACTGACCCGCACATAAGCCACACGCCGGTGAGTTAGTAGTCGGGTGGGTGATCACCAGCGAATCCTCACTGTTGTATCTTTTTTATTGGACTCTCCTAGGTGTTGTTGGATAGTAGTTTGCTCGCCGCGTTATCCTTGGGTTACTTCATCCTTCAACCTGCAAATCAAGCCATTCTTACCATCTAAACAGTGTGTTCACATCTTGGTAGTCTGAAAGCTGACTGAGATTTATCCTCTATATAGCTCTCAGAGATTCCCATTATTAATGACTCTTGGAAATGAGAAATGCGAAATTGGGCTAGATTCTTTGATTCTGGCAACTCTATTGCTGTTATGTGCTTTTTCGCCACAAGAAAGCCGACGAAATCCCCCCAAGAACTGCAGCACCAGTGATAACCTCCCACAATACCTGAAACGCTGCAACCGAAATAACAGTTACTGCCTCCCGCTGTTTGCTCGTCATATTGACATCTTTCATCAAGATGAGATACCCGTTCGTTGAGTTTAATAGGTCTGGGTTCATTCCAACCTCTGCCAGTCCATCTCCAAAAAAGTTCAAGAAGACAACTCCCCCAACAGGAACAGCAAATGCCCATCCCCAGGCTCTCATATAATATGACATGGTCGTCGGTAGGGTTGAGAGTGGAGTATCCTCGTCCTTGGGTGTATTTTGAATTCGAACATTATAACTCGAAAGCAAAAGACCATGGCCCAGACCAGCTGTGAACAACAAGAACACCCACGCCACGGCCGGAGTTGAATTGTCCAGCAGGATAGAACAACCGCTTGCAAGGGCTGTCAAGACCCAGCCACCAGAAATGATCCACTGGGTACATCTCAATTCTCTTGCCAGGATCATGCCCACGATTGCCGCTGGTCCAATGGCAAGCCCGACCATAGCGAGTAAAGTCACCCCAGAAAGTGTCGTGGACATATAGTGGGTGGAAATGAAGTACAGCGGGAAGAACTGCATGTGGGAAAAGACCTAGATCGGTATATTAGATATGAAATTAGATATGAAACAACTTGGATATCAACAGGAGCTCACCACAAAGCCATGCAAAAAGCATCCCAGATATGTCATGGTCATCATCCTCGACCGGAACACCTTCCTTCCAAATTGCGGATGCAAAGCCCACTGGGACTCATAAAACACCAGAGCAACAAGTACTGCACCGCCCACCGCAATGGGAACAATAGTCTGCCACTCTGACCACCGGTAAGAGCTACCACCCCACGAAAGGCCAACAAGAATACCCCCAAGGCCAAGCAAGGCCAGGGTAGCACCAGACCAGTCCAGAACGTGCAATCTGCGCAGCGGGATATGCTTCGAGATTCGCAAGTCCACCGCAAAAGGAATACCCAGCAGACCCAGCGCACAAAAGATGAGATTGAAATAAAACGCCCACGTCCAGTGCGCATAGTCAACAAACAAGCCACCGACAACAGGACCCAAGATCGCACCGCACATCCGTGTCAGCAGTATATAGCATGAATACCGCGAGTGGATGGATTCGGGCGCTGACTCGGTCATTATCACGAAACAGAGACTCATTGCGCCGCCACCCCCAATGCCCTGTATCATGCGGCCGACGATCAACTCAGCGAGACTCATGCCGCCACTGCAGATCCCTGTTCCGATTGTCGCGAAGAGAACGGCTAATATCCACACCGGTCCGTGGCTGAAGACTTCGCTCATCATGGTGAAATATAGTTGACTTGTTGCGCCGAATAACAGGTATACCGTGTTGACCCAAAATGTGCTTGCCAGTGGCTTGCCGAATGTGTTCGCTATTTTCTAAACAAGGTAGATATTAGTCTTGATCTGGATATTCTAGCGCATTATCAGAAACTCACAGGTAATGCTGGGATCAAAATGGTCGCATTGAAAGAGTCCATCATCGCCAAAATGACAATACAGATGAAGATAAGCCATTGCTGAATGCCGAATCTCCTTTCTTGCTCTTCAACCGTAGGCTCAGTCTCGAAAAGCTGGATAGAACTCCCCAGGCCCAGACCCGCCGGGTGAGAATTCACATCATCGACACTCTTGACACTGTCTGGCACACCGAAGTTGATTTTAGACTCATTGTCATAGATTTCGGAGGCTATTGACTGACGTCCCATTTGATGTAATAATTATGTTCAATGTATAGTTGAAGGTGTTCTCAATCCGAGAGACTTAAATCGTGGTCAAGTCACAAGCTTTAGCTTCAAGAAATCAACCCTCGGAGAAAAATCCATAGCTACGCACGAGCTACCCACGTCAACGGATAGAAGTTGCAGTCATTGTGGATAATAGGAGCTTGCGCTCGGCCCCTTGGATGTCGCAAACCCTGGAAAGGAGCCACTCAGATTCCTGTGGACAAGGGATAAACGATTACCACCACGGTCATTGGTCTGAGATCTGATCTTGTTACTTGAAAAAAGGAAGGTTTGTAGACCCTTCTATCGCGGGGAGAGCTTGCAGCCAAATCCCTGGGAATGATGGGTTACAGGGCTTGTGTGCCTTGGAGCTTTCGGCATTCCAGCCTCCTCATCCCTTGTTTGGAGGATGTGAGCGTGTCGACTTCAGAGCATTCCAGACTTGATGTAAGGAATTTTCCTATGTGACCTTGGCTTTATTGTGTAACGGTTGTTGATGGCATCATTTACAAAGCAATATCGGAGAATTATTGGGAAATCGTGAAGCATACAATATAACATATGGTTACGTTAGCTGAGCCGAGGTGCATTGTAGATATAATATGCAGTTCACACCTTCAAACCTCATACATTTACCTGGGTATTTTCTCGCTTGTATGGCTACCTCAACTCCATTGATAGTACGCTAATACTTAGGAAGCACATATCCTCCGATACTAACAAAGAACTGCATAGCTTTCGCCATAAATCCAGTAACATCTTCTCCTAACCAAGAAGGGAACAGCTTTGTTCTAGAATCCTCCAATTCACGAAGATATTTGCCAGCAACCTGAGGATCTGATTAGTCTTGGGAAAATATGCCTTGCTGAAAGTCTCTCACCAAAACACAATTCCCTTGTCGTTCTGGATCCAACGCCACCAATGCAATAGCCTCAGCAACCCTATCGGGTGTATTCTTCTCAAGGCCTGCCTCATCCCACCGCTTTGCAAAGCCAGCGGTAATATGCGTCGGCGTCAGGAACGGTGCGATAGCATTAATGCGCACGCCGTTCTCGCGCGCAACAATCTGAGACGCCCGAAGGAGGCCTAGGACTCCGTGCTTCGAGGCAATATAGGCAGTTACCCCTGTTCCGCCGAAGTAGCTCGATGTAGATGCAACGAGTAGGATTGATTTGGTTGATCCTTTCGGTTCAGGCTTAGATTTCATATAGTGCAATCCCAAGCGTAGTGCTAAACAATACATTATAAGCAAATACATTACCGATGAGAGGATACCAGGGAATCAGGAGGATTTACTGTTCAATGTTCCTTTCAAATTGACATCAATAACCCTCCCAGCCTCCTCGTTTTCAAGAAGACGCCCGTTCTCATCCACGGCATCTAAGTCCAGAACTGGGTGAGACTCCATTATTCCCGCATTTGCAATTACAATGTCAACACTGCCGAACTTGGTTATTGCTTCTTCGAAACAGGCTGTCAATTCCGCCCAGTTGACGATGTTGACAGAGATAAATATCGCGCGGTCTGGATGTGCTAGTGTTCGAATGACTTCCTCAGCGGCATCTTTCAGCGGCGTAAGGTCGGCAAGAATCACATTCGCTCCGTGGTTATTAAATTGGCGTACAGTGGCAGCACCGATGCCGCGTGCAGCACCTGTTATCAATACCGTCTTGCCGGTTGACTGTGAGAAAAGAGCTTGGTCGAGATTCACTGCCATCGTGCGTATGTTTGTATGTGAGAATTGTTGAAATGTTGAAAATAGGAAGGTTGAGAGATTCTCCATGCAGAAGCCAAAGCCGTCAACTGTATTAAATCTACACAACTAACACAACCCTTGTACACCGATGACCCCGCATTCCCCTCGGCTTTCATCCGTACATTTACTTCATTCACTTTCGTGTGCTATATCCTTGCTAGTACTTACAGAAGTTCATGTACATTTCTTCTTCCTAAAGTCTTTCATGGCGTGGCCTGTCAGCTGCGGATATGATAGTTCACTCGGCATTTCTCGACCTCCACACATTGCATATAATCCTGGTTTTAGGGTGTAACGAGTCGATGCCCTTTTTGTGTGTTTTGTTCGGGCCTTTCAGCACGTCATCTCTAATAATAAAGGGTGATTATCTCGTGGAGAAAGTCCTCAACCGGCTTCTCTATCAACGACTGAAAGGCGTCTCGAGATTGAGCAAACCGTAGTCAACAATGCCCAAAGTTAGTAGGCGATCATGGGACTTATCAGTATTGGTTGACAGCACAGTACATCTTAATGATACATTATTTGAAGAGAATGACCCGAAAGAGGGACTAGCTCTCTAAAAGGTAGACTGCATGTTGACACCCAGCCTAGCTCCATTTGAATCAAAATTCACTTCAGATTCTAACAAAAGAATCAACGGGTTTAACTCAAACATATTCTCCCGAGGTCTGTTTGAATCATCGCTCGTTACCTTAGTAACAACGGACTGAGATATGGATGAAGCAATAACGAACTTGGATGAAGAAAGTCAAACTCGGTGTTTACCACCTTATCTCCGTTGGCGTTAACCAACGTTGAACGTATCTCCGTTGTAGGATTGCTATAAGAGTGTCTTTCATACATCTCTTGAAATTGCATTTCCACTCAGATTTTGTCATATATTACAATTCAATTTGACAAGTCTTCAATTACAATAATGACTTCAAACTACATCACCAAGGTTGCCATCGCCGGAGTACGTGATATCATCATATACCTACATTCTTTACAGAATGCAAACTAAAACATTATAGGCCAGTGGAAACAGCGGTAAAGTCATGACAGAAGCCCTGCTCAAAACGGGAAAACACACAATCACAGCCTTGACACGGGCTGAGAGCAAGGGCAAGCTACCCGACGGTGTGATCTCCAAGCCTGTCGACTATAGCAAGCCGGAGACTATTGTCGAGGCACTCAAAGGCCAGGATGCTCTTGTTATAGCTTTGAATGGATACACGCCTCACGAAATTGATCTGGCGCTTTTCAAAGCTGCTGGCGAGGCCGGCGTTTCGTGGATTTTACCAAATGAGTGGGCGCCGGATACTGCGAATGAGAATCTGATTAAGGACATTATGTTGTTCCCCTCAAAGGGTCAGTAGGACTTGCGCATTCATTTGCAATGATGCAGATGGACTGTTCACTAACATGGCACTGCATAGAAATCAACCGCAAAGCCATCGCGGATCTCGGCCAAAGCTCCTATGTCGCTGTCAGCACAGGCTTCTGGTACGAATGGAGCCTGGCAATTCCATCAGCCTACGGTATCGACTTGATTAATCATACAGCTACATTGTTCGACGAAGGCGAGACCAAGATCTCCACTGCGACTTGGCCGCAGGTTGGTCGGACTGTTGCTGCTCTTTTGAGCCTGCCTATCACGGCCGAAAATGGTCCCTGTCTGGATGATTTCAAAAATCAGCTTGTCTATGTGGACTCGTTTACTGTTAGTCAGAAAGATATGTTGGAGTCCGCGTTCAGAGTCACTGGGACTACGGAGAAGGACTGGACTATCACGAAAGAGTCTGCCAAGGAGAGATACGAAGGTGGATTGAAGGCCATGCAGGAGGGTGATCGAATTGGGTTTGTGAAGATGCTATATACTCGTATTTTCTTTGAGGATGGAGCTGGTAATATTGAGTCTAAGGGTACGGTGAATGAGTTGCTTGGTTTGCCGAAGGAGGACATTGATGAGGCGACGAAGGTGGCACTTGAGCGCTCGAAGACCTCTCCGTGGAGTTGATATAAAATGGATATCGAAGCCTTTTGTCTATGATGGCGTTTCCAACATTCGAAGATGACTATTTGCTCCTTCTTTACACAAAGTAGTACATTTGCACTGAGTCTCAAAAAGTCGGGGCTTATATAATGTTGGCCATCGCCAAGTCACAGTAGAATTTCCAGATAAACTAGACAAGCTTTTGATTATATCCATGGATAACTCCTTTCAAACCCCATGCAAAACCGGGAAATAATGACATAAAAAGAGACATTTACAGCTGGAACAGAGTTCTCTTCTTCTCCATTCCACCCTTCCACTCCCACTCCTGTCCACTCGCGCGCTGGATGCCCTTATCAACACGTCTGAGCTTCAGCGTGAAACGGGGTCCAAGTTCCTGCAGACCAGTTCGGATGCCCTCAGCACCAACCATTTCCTTGCCATTGGCATCAACAACGGCCTTTTCAGTCTCACGTTTCTCACGGAAGACGTAGCGGTGACGACGGACGAAGATATAATCACGCTGGTTGTGCAGTGTGACTACCTGTCGGCCCTCGAACTCCGGCTGAGGTGGGAAGAGAGTGCGGAACAAGTGCGCAGTGAGGAGACCGAGGGGTGTGCGGAAGTTGTTGAGGATCAACTCGGGCCAGTGCTCGGTGGCTCGGCCGTGTCCCGGAAGACGCTTGCCATCGATCCAGTTGCTGATGGTGAAGTGGAAAGTTGGGCCGACGGGCAGGTGCACCATTGTCAGGCCGCTGGGCTTTTTCTGGTCTTCGTTCAACACGATTACCGTTGTGAAGTTGCGGTTTGAGGCGAATTTGGAGATCTCACGGATCGAGAATTTGTGCGAGTAGCGGTGTGCGTTGCGTCGGATGTAAACGCTGTTGGGGAACATATCAGTGAGGGTCTCGGCCTGATCGTGGAGGGTTGAGTTGAGGCCGGTAGTGATGAGGATTTTCGGGGTAGGTGGGGGTCCGTCGGTGAAGAGTGTAGGGAATTTGGCAGCCAATGCTTCGGGTGCAAGGCCCAGGTTTGTGCTGCGGGTGGACTGGGTCGGACTTGTGGCACGCTCTGTGGCAGTTGGGAGCGACTTCTTGCGGCCGCGATTGGCGTCCTTTTCTTCGGCGGTCTTTTCTTCGTCCTCGTCATCACTGGCATCTGATTCAAGCATGCTGTCGACGGACTCATTGTCTGATTCCGGGGCCTCACTATCATCCTCGCCCTCTTCCAATGGTCGGTTCAGCTCATCATCCTCTTCCTGCTTGGCGCGCTTGATACGCTCAACATCAACACTCAATCCCAGTCCAGTTTCGTCAGCGTCGTTGTCGGCTTCGTTCCAGACACGCTTCCGCTCCAGGGTCAAGGGAATATTGCGGCTAAGACGCTCTGCCTTCAACTTGGGGTTCTTCGCTTCTTCTTTCTTAAAGGCGTAACGCTCAGCTCGGCGCGCAGCATCTTTGGCTCTCTTGCGCTTGACGTGGTTCATCTTTCGGCGCAACTTGTTGCCAGTCTTTTCGTCGCCCATGACGCCCGGAGGCGGACCTGATCGACCGATAGGACCCATTTTTGAACGCTGTGGGTGTGTAGCTGCGGTAACAGATCAATTCGAAAATCTTAAGAGATCGCCGAGAAATAAATTATCTCGGAGAATTATTTCTCCGATTACAATCTGCGATTCGACCTGAACTCGGGAGATCTCCTGAATTAAGATATAAATAAAGTATAAAATAAAAGAATTCGCAACCAATTGTTTCCTTTTTTTCTCTCTATATACCCTCCTTTGTTAATTTGTATCCTCGGTGGTGTCTGAGGGTCTGGGTGGATGACTCAATTGCCGCGCCTGCGATTTCCCCCCCGCTCTTTTCTTTCCCCTCCGTCTTTCTTTCGGTCTCAGTTTAGGACTTATACACCTCCCCCGAAGACTTCGAAACGAACCGCCAAGATGGCTACCGTCAACACCAAGACCGGCCAGGCCATCGACCGAGCTGTGCTCGACTCCATGCTCCGCCGTCGCATGTTCTACACCCCCTCCTTCGAAATTTATGGTGGCGTGTCTGGTCTCTATGACTATGGCCCACCTGGAACCGCTCTGATCGCCAACATGACCGACTTGTGGCGCAAGCATTTCGTCCTTGAGGAGGACATGCTCGAGGTCGATACCACCATGTTGACCCCCCACGAGATCCTCAAGACCAGTGGACATGTGGATAAATTCGCCGACTGGATGTGCAAGGACCCCAAGACTGGCGAGATCTTCCGTGCCGATCACTTGGTCGAGGAGGTTCTCGAGAACCGCCTCAAGGGCGACAAGGAGGCCCGTGGTCAGAAGGTCGTGGTGGATGAGGAGAAAGAGGCCAAGAAGAAGAGAAAGGCCAAGGGCACCGAGGCCAAGAAGTTGGACGATGCCCTTGTCAAGGAGTACGAGGAGACCCTCGCACAGATTGACAACTTCGGTGGTCCCGAGCTCGAGGAGCTCATCAAGAAGCATGACATCCGTAACCCCGTCACCGGCGGTGAAGTGCTGCCTCCTGTCTCCTTCAACCTCATGTTCCAGACCTCCATTGGCCCTAGCAGCAACATGCCTGGTTACCTGCGCCCCGAGACCGCTCAGGGCCAGTTCCTGAACTTCGCCAAGCTCTTGGAGTTCAACCAGCAGTCGATGCCCTTCGCCTCTGCTTCCATTGGAAAGTCTTTCCGCAACGAGATTTCTCCCCGCGCCGGTCTTCTGCGTGTGCGTGAGTTCCTCATGGCCGAGATCGAGCACTACGTCGACCCCGAGGGTGGCAAGAAGCACGCCCGCTTTGAAGAGGTTAAGGATGTCGAGATGACCTTGCTTGACCGTAACGTGCAGCTGTCTGGCAGCACTAAGCTGACCAAGATGACCATCGGCAAGGCCGTTGAAACCGGATTGGTTGACAACGAGACTCTTGGTTACTTCTTGGCTCGCATCCAGTCCTTCCTCATGAAGCTGGGTGTTGACCCCACCAAGCTGCGTTTCCGTCAGCACATGGCCAACGAGATGGCTCACTACGCCACCGACTGCTGGGATGCTGAGTTGCAGACCAGCTACGGTTGGATCGAGTGTGTTGGCTGTGCTGACCGCAGTGCTTACGATCTGACTGTTCACAAGGAGAAGACTGGTGCCCCTCTCGTTGTGCGCCAGCCCCGCGCCGAGCCCCTTCGTATTGAGGAGTACCAGATCGATATTGAGAAGAAGAAGTTCGGCCCTCGCTTCAAGAAGGATGCCAAGACTGTCGAGGCTGCCGTTGAGGCTCTCTCTCAAGAGCTGCGCGAGAAGCTGTCTCTGGATCTTGCCAACAATGGCAAGATCGAGGTTGAGGTTGAGGGTGTTGGATCCGGCAAGGTCGAGCTTGACAAGGAGCTCATCAACATTGAGAAGCGCACTCGTGTCGAGAACACCCGCGAGTACACCCCTAACGTTATCGAGCCCTCTTTCGGTATCGGCCGTATCCTGTACAGCATGATTGAACACTCCTACTGGTCCCGCGCTGGTGATGAGACCCGTGGTGTAAGTGTATCCCCGACGATCTTTCAAGTGAATCAATACTGACTACAATAGGTTCTTTCTTTCCCTCCCGCTGTTGCCCCTACAAAGGTCCTGCTGGTTCCCCTCTCCACCCACACCTCCTTCAAGCCTTTGACCCAGCGTTTGACCGCCAAGCTGCGCAAGCTTGGTGTTTCCAACCGTGTGGACGACTCGTCCGCCAGTATCGGAAAGCGTTACGCCCGCAACGACGAGCTCGGCACACCTTTCGGTGTCACCGTCGACTTCCAGTCCGTTCAGGACAACACTTTCACTCTGCGCGACCGCGATACCACCAAGCAGGTCCGTGCTACCGAAGACGAGATCCTGCAGGCTGTCAAGTCGCTTGTCGATGGCGACGAGACCTGGGAGGATGTCCGCAAGCGTCTGCCCGAGTTCACTTCCCAGGAGATCGAGTAAATTGCTTATTAGAAGTACATGATAAAAAAAACTATTTACTTTTTTTTGTTTCCAATGTCTTAAATGTTTTAATATAGTTTTGACGACCATAACTGTTTGTAGATCTATAAATTTCATACATTGCGCTGAAGCTCGGTCTGCCTGATCTGGGCTACCGCGCCAAGATTCCGGGGGACCACCTCCGTCATCCATCTGTCCTCTTCTTCTGTCCACAACAATGGCGCCCACTGTACACTCTGCCAAATTGACACTTTCGTGTCCGCTCTTTGCTGCCGACTTCGACCCGCGAGACAACGGTCGGCTCCTGGTTGGCGGCGGAGGCGGCGAGGGGCGCAGCGGAGTGGAAAACAAGATCGTACGTCCGTCCCACCTTCTCAAGAAAGCTTGGCCATGCGTGCAAATGCTAATTTTGATCATCTCTATAGTCTTTGATCGACACCTCGCATCGCAATGATATCATCGAAGCCGTGGAACTGAAATTATCCCGCAATGAAGACTCAGTGACTTCGCTGGTTGCGGCGCCTCTGGTTGGTGAGGCCGACTCGCTGGTTGCTTTCGCTGGGATAAATAGCTCTGTTGAGCAGCAAAAAAAGAATAATAACCAGCATCTGCGCGCGTTCAGATTCGATGCGCCGCGTAAGAGTGGTGCGACTGCTACGACACAGAGCGCTGGAGAAACTCAACAAGAAAGCAAGTCTGAGGAGAAGGTCATTGCTGGAAGTAGCGCTGCTTTGTCACAAGCATCGCTTTTCCGAACTAAGAACGGGCCAGGCTCTACGGACACGTATCAACGAGTGACAAGGCTTTCGCCATGGCCGAAGGGAAAGGATGGCGCAAAACATACCCGGATTGGAGCTATTGCCACGGGACTGGCGGCGTCTGGTGAGATTGTCTTGTTCGGCGTCACGGAAACTCCCAGCGAAAAGGATGTCATTGGCCGCATCCAACTAGGCGACAATGAAGAAGCCGAAGATCTGGACCTTGTCAGTCTCGAACACGACTCAGAGAGGACCGATGATACGCAAGGCCGATTCTTGCTGGCATATACCAATGGCCCAGATGTTATGGTTGGCGAAATCTCATCTTCCACTCGATCCAACAGCGCCCCCGAGGTCCGCTGCGTATATACTATTCCCCTGCCATCCAGTGGGGCCCCCAGCGCACGACCCAAGTTCCGCGCTCTACGTTTCCTCTCGCCTAGAACCCTGCTCCTGCTGCAGAATGCACCAAACCGCAGTGGTAGCGAACTCGTACTCCTCCAACTCTCAAGCGCGAAATCGAGCAAGCCTCAAATTCTTCGACGCCGCAAGCTCCCTGGAACTCTCAAGATCGGTCTAGGCCTCGACATCTGCCAACTAGGAACAAACCCACAAGGCCAGCAACAAACTGTCATCGCAGTCAGCGGAAGCGACAACTCCATCCCTATATTGACAATAGAATATGGTCCAAACCGCGGCTACAGCAAGTTCCGCCCATTCACGACCATCCGCGACGTTCACCCCTTCTCAATGACAAAACTCACTTTCTCCACCTTCATCGCACCCTCGCACCCCGTGGGGCCAGAAGTCGGCCCGCAGAACATCAAGCTCGCCTCCGTGAGCATGGGCAACACAATAGTCGTGCACACATTCCCTCTCTCTCCATTCCCAACCTCCTCCCGTACCCCGCGCTACGTCCTGGCCGTCCCCGGCCCCGCGGAAATATGGGAACTAGTATACAGCATCGCCCTGCTACTTGTGTCTATGTTCGCTATTTGTCTGTCTATGCTTGCCTTTGCCGAGATCCGCGGCGGTACACCTCCTTTCCTCGGCGCCACAGAGTGGCTACCTACTACGATCCGCAACACCATTGCCAGGGACTACGTGGTTCCTCCCCGTGAGAAGCTCACATACTTCGATACACTGCTCGCGCCTCGAAGCGACATCCCAGTGGCTCAAACCTTCCCCTCTGCCTCAGACGAAAAGATCATTGAATCCCTCCGCGAGATCCTCGACCGCGTGCACGGATCCGGCGCCGCACCCGCGGATATTGCAACCACCGCGCCCAATTCTGTCTCTGTGATTGTGCGATGTGGCGAGCCAGGCCACGGCGCCGAGCAAAGCGTGATTGTTGAAACGGCCGAGTCTTCGCACCACGAGTCCCAGGCGCAGAAGCTGCAAGCTTGGACGGATCTTTCTTCCTCTGAGCAGGCTGCTTGGAAACAGAAGCTCATCGATGCCGGTCGCTGGACCATGGCTGAGGGCGAGACTGTTCTTTTGGGTATCTTGTTTAGTGAGGCTTGTGGTGGACTTGGTAGGGCTGTTCGGGAGGGGTTGCCTTGATTTTGGAGAGATTTGGATCGAAATGGCTTGTTGCTCTTCTCTCTTGTACGAATTGTTATATACTAGTTTTACGCTTTTCAATGATATATAAGATTTTTTTTTTTGGCACTTGAGGGATAAGCTATTGGACATACTAACTAGTAAATGATACACCTGAGCCCCGGAGATCAAAGCAAATCATTATCAGTGAACCAAGCAGTGCAAAAGTGGGTAGCGGCCAGTGGTCAAATGCATTTGATCTCTACTATTGATGCCTGAAGATGCCCTATTCTAGACCGCTGTGTACCATGTACCATAAAAATTCCTATCTTTAATAGGATTGTCCCATCATTATTTACATCTCTCTTTACCCCTACATAGAGATTCGATATTCAGGATCAAGTCTATAAGCTTTAATGCCGCTATAGAACAAGTGGTAAAAAGGTAAAATTGTATGGTGGGAATAGCTTTGTTGGAGCTTAGAGTACTTTGCTTATTAGGGCTATAAGAAGAGATGTGAAAAATTGTAACAAATGAACAGTATTATGGACAGAACTCCCAGACACAGGGGAATAAACAACAAGGGGTGAATACGAATGCTGGAAGCAGAAAGGCTATGGAGGAAGGAAAGAAAAAGCATTCGTGAATTAATTAAGAGTAAACCTCTCCACTTCGTTCCTCGTTTTAGGGCAATCCTCCATCCACCCATCCATCCATCCATCCATCCACTAGTAAGAATGGGGTCCACAATGCTTAACAAGATTATAAGGCGGAAGCTGACAGGATACAGAATATAGTACTTAGATTTGTATTCCTCTTAGTGCTTATACAGTATATGAATCTCCTTCTGACACAGGATCGTCTGTCGATAATTATCTGATATCGTATCGATAGCTCAAAAGCTTTGCCGACAGCGATAAGATGTCCGATAATAGCGCCATTTTTTATCTTTCGCAATAACCCTAGTGCCAAAAATTCAATCCACCGCACCTCCATATCTTTCTCGTTTCTCTCGTTTCTTTGGATGTCCAATTCTTCAAGCGCTTTACGCCTGGGCGGCGAAACCAAGCTGAGGTCCATTGCTGTCGAAAACGACATACTGGCTCTTGAGGAAGATATCACCGAAGATGGAGAAGCCGATGCCAGAGTTGCTCTGGATACCACCGAAGCAGGTGGAGCTGCCGTCGGAAACAGGAGCAAAGTTAATCAGTGAGCCGGGTACCACGGCGGTGTAGCCAGAGATGGTCACGGAGAAGTCGGGCAGAGTGCTGGAGCAATCGAAGGTGTAGCCACCAGCGGAGGAATCATTCTGGGCGCCGGAGACTTGGCTGTAGTAGTCGGAAACAACGCTGTCATCGAGGAGGAGCAGGGTGGTGCCAGTGTCTAGATTCTAGAGGTCAGTCACACCGACTACGCATCGAAAAAGTAAGAAAAAAGGGCCACTAACCAGCAATTCCGGTGATTGAGGAGCCAGTGGTGCTACCAATGGAGTAGCTATCGGCAGTGAAGCTCCAGAAGCCCTGGGAGCTATCGACGGGGGCGTAGGCCAGGGTGCCGGTGTACTTGGAGCTGTCGATGTAGCCGAAGTCATAGGTACCGGGGGCGTTGTGCTTCAGGGTCACAGCAAACAGAGGCGAGTCGAGCTGCGACTTGACGGTGTCAAAGAATGTGGTTTGCGCAGTGGGCTTGACAGTGTTGATGGAGCTGAAAGCCAGACCCAACAGGCCGTCGTTGGCGGTGTCCTGAACGAACTGCGAGCTGATAGTCGCGGCGGCCTCGACGGCCTGGCTGGTGGCAGTGACGCCACCGACGGCTACAGTATCTTTGTACACATCACCGCTGGCAGAACTTCCATCGCCGTAAGAGATCGACCAAGTAGCACCGGAAATCTTCTTGCCGTTCTTGCTGGGAGTGTACAGACTGTGACCAGTCTGCTCCGACGAGGGGAGCTCGGAAGAGAAAACCCAACTATGGAATATGAGCTGTGATTCTGGTCTGGGGGAGATATTTTGCCAACTTACAGGTCTGCGGAACCGGTATCAAAGTCTAGATTCAAGGTGCTGCCGCCAACGCTGACGGGGGTAAGGTACTCCTCGTCGTTGCCCTGGGGAGTGGTCACAGCAGACCCACTGGAAGCAGCAGCCTTGACAGAAGCGGGAACGGTACCACCGTACTTGGCCAGGGCACTGGCGTACATGCCAGGCAAATTGATGGACTTGGCCTTGGTGGCCTTTTTGGCGACCTGGTTGATAGTGAAGCCTTTGCGGGTGTTCTCGACAGGCACAGCCGATGCGATGGCTGTAAGACCCGCGAGAATAGCGGTGACCTTGCTGAAGACAACCATGATGATGGTTTCCGTGAAAGAAAGATTGGACCTGGTAGAGTGAGAGAAGACGACACAGAAGAGAATGATTCTTCTAACCAGCCAGCGACGAGGCTTCTTTTATACATTTCTTGGTAGATATTCCCTTTCCTGGAACATGAGATGGTTTGAGACTAGAGGGCATCAAATCTGAAATGTATTGTAACATCGCAGCGTCCAGGAGAAGGAGATATTGCTCTTCCAGGAAGCTAGACATGTCGATCGTGCGGAACATTTAGGGACTTGGGAAACTAAACTTCAAGATGATAGCAGGCCCTATGGGCCAGGCAGGAGGCACGACGGAGTCCGCTAAGATGGTTAAAGGAGTGGAGAACCTTAATGAGTATGAAACAGAGTCTCGCGAAGCCCCCGCGGTCTGATAGCACTAGCGTGACAAGCAGTCACTAGAGAAAGCTTCACCAGCGCCGGCTTGGCGCCTAGAACGCCTGTCGAAACGCTATCTGAAAGCCAAGTCGCAATTTTATGAACCCCACACTCCGGTCAGGCCGACGGAGGCCGGCCGGGTTGAAGATATTAATCCCGCGGACGTATATCAGGCAGCAGTCAACTTCAGCAGCTTGACCCTCTAGATACTCCTATATCTTTAATTCGTGGATTACTAAAATTTACTAGGAATACATTTTGGGTGAAATCATGTCGATCAAACAGGGTCAGTATTTTACTACTGCATCCGAGGCATATTCACGACTCGTCAGTAGTATCAATACGTTTGTTTGGTTTTTTGCTAATTTCTCGGTATCCTTACGACTTTGGATCGTATATAGCCCTATAGCTAGTGCATATTGCACTGTTGAATTTGTATACGACATGGGTGGGCCTCAGTGGTAATGTAGGACATACAAGGTTCCATACAGGGTATCTCAGGAGACGCCAGTATCTCCATTTATCAGGCGGCGAGGTTCTCAGGCGGTGGTATCCCAACGGAGATTAGTATTCACAGCACGGAACATGATTATGATGCCGACAATTCGAGGGACTGGGGGTCGCTTTGTCATTCGTTGCGTCAGACCCGGACCCCGAAAAGTCTGTACAATTCGTCCATCAAGCATCCCCCCGCTCATGACTGGCTGCTTCTATCGTGATATAGCGGGATAAGGGGGAAGCAGTTCTCAAATGTTTCTTGATGTCGCCGACTGTTGGGGGAGATCATCGTTAAGAGAGGTGACGGTTGGAGAATAAAGGAGGTGCGGGTTGAGGGGTGGGCGAGACTCAACCATTTCGTCTCAGGTCATTCATCTACTTGGGCAGATCTTGGCTTCCCCTAGGAGAATGACACGAGAACAACCGGGGTACTGGTCCCCAGTACCATGTATCTCACGTTGCCAGCCTAGTTACTCATGCTCTGAGTTTTGCCGTGCATATAAGAAGTGTCCAAGGGCCAATTCAATTCTGATTTCATGAGAAAGTATTCTTGTGTTAATCAATAATACCGATCCTTGGCGTTCCCATGCTCGGTTCCTTGTCGAATAGGTATGGTCACACCTTGTAGTCTTGCTGCCAAGTAACTAAAAAGGGTTGGCTCTCTTCTTGCACAGCTAATTCTCGTTCATTATCCTCCACAATTCACACGGTCTATGTGCAGGTCTATAGACACGTGGAAACGCAGCTGACCAATGATATTGGTGGTATCAAGCTTGGGAATACTACAGGGGTTCCCCTTCCGGGCCCCTTCCGAGAGTTAAACCTGAGGGTGCCTGCGCGTCGATAACGACACACCATATTCTAGCACTTATTGCAAGTGTCAACCTCATGTCAGCTACTAAATATTTGGCGACGACACGAATAACTTCCGTCTTGTTCAGACTGTCGTGTTCGCATACACCATTCGATATTAGTTTTGTGTAATGGCTTCTGAGATTCCGTTTTACGCGTCACTCGAAACGTTGTTCGCCGTCACTGTCACGCGCTGCACAATGGACGCAGTGCTCCTTTCCTGATCCAGTCGACATTGAGACCAAAATAGGTGCAAAAAACGTATTCTAACCTGATAATTCCGCGAATTATCCATCCATTCTCGGGAATTTTACAAAGCAATCTGGCTTGACGGGATTCCCATGGGGAAGGGTTACGGGCAATGGGCGATGCCTTATGCCCATGGACGGGAATTGTCCAGGTCTATGGCAGCGGGGGGATTGTGGGGGATTGCGGGGGACATCGTTCATAGTCGTGCGCCTAACCGATTCCGGTATCTCAGCACGCGGACTCTTTCTGTTTCTTGCATATGCGCCTGGAAATTCCCCGAGACTTGCCCTAAATCTACTCTGTTTCGTTTAAGCACTTGATGTGGACCCTCCGACGTTACAATGTGTGATGCGGATGCGGGGAACCTGGAGGATACAAGTACTACCGAATCTGCCCTTCAAGTTTGCTTTTAATTCTCCAGTCCTTACCTCTCCGATTACCGTTGGGTTCTGTAAAATGGCTCCCCTCGCAAGTCTCGGGGCACTTCTCATGGCGGCATCTGTCGCCGTGGCCTCCTACAGCAATAGACCCAGTTACATCGGGCGAGATACATTCGCTGCCCCCTATGACCAATCATTTCAGGAGGGCTACTCAATCCTCAAGCACATCGGCGGATTGGGACCCTATAGCAACCGCATGTCCTTCGGCATCGGACGGGACCCGCCCGACTCCTGCGCCGTTGACCAAGTCATCATGATCCGGCGTCATGGCGAGCGCTACCCGCAAGGAAGCGATGCCGGGAAGATCAATGCCGCGCTTGATAAGCTTTACAGCTCCGGCAAGACGGAATGGAAGGGTGATCTTACATTCCTTAACTGGTGGAAGTACTATGTCGACAGCGAAGGTCTCTACGGGCTCGAGACCGAGACCGGCCCTTACAACGGCCTATTGACGACGTATAAGCATGGTGCTGAATATCGCGTGAGATACGGTCATCTGTGGGATCAGAAGCATAATAAAACTGTCCCGATGTGGACGAGCGAGTTCGAGCGAGTGGTGCAGACGGCTCGGAAGTTTGGTTAGTACTCAAACTTCCGACGAAGATCTTTCTTGACGCTGATCTTTGTTTCCATATCCAGGCGAGGGATTCTTTGGGTGGAACTACACCAATTCTGTGTCGCTCAACGTCATATCCGAGGGGGTAAAAATGGGCGCCAACAGCCTCACACCCGTTTGTACCGCAGATAACAGCACCAAGACATGCGACAATCTCAGCCATGACCTACCCGCGTTCCGCGTGGCCGCTGATCGATTCAACAAGCAGAACTCAGGGCTGAATTTGAACGGGACGGATATCTTCTATCTAATGTGTACGTACCCCAAACCGTAAAGATTGGCTACCGAACTGATACTGATGATCTCTAGTCATGTCGGCCTTTGAGCTCAACGTTCGTGGCTACTCTGATTGGATCGACGCATTTACGCTCGACGAGTGGAAATGGTTTGGCTACACGCAGGATCTGCAGTTCTACTACTGTGCCGGGTGAGTTTCCCATCAATTCGATCTTTGTCTTGGCATGTCCTGGAAAGCTGATCAATAACCAGCCCTGGCGATCCATTCTACAAAGCTGTTGGTTCTGTATACGCCAATGCTTCACTCACCCTGCTGAACCAGGGACCAAAGAAAGCCGGTCCGATCTTCTTCAACTTGTCAGTCTCCGTACCCATTCTCCGTTCCGTTGCAGGCACTGTACTGACTCCCACGACAGCGCTCATGATACAAATATTACCCCCATCCTAGCCGCCCTAGGCATCGCATCCCCCAGTGAAGACCTCCCCCTTGACAAGATCCCCTTCCCATCCACATATGAAATAGGCAACATCATGCCGATGGGCGGGCACCTAACTCTAGAAAGACTAAGCTGCAACGCAACTGTCGCCACAGAAAAAGGAACCTACGTCCGCGTGGTGCTCAACGAAGCCGTCGTCCCTTTCACGTCCTGCCAAGATGGCCCGGGCTTCTCCTGCTCGCTGTCCGACTACACCGAAATGCTCAACAAGATGCTACCTGATTTCACGTCGGAGTGCAAGATCAAGAGTTCCCTCCCGCAACATCTTTCTTTCTGGTGGGATTATAATAAAACTTCAGAGTATAATCATCAAACTGCGGAGTATATTCCTTACCAGGGGCATCATTTCGTCTAGATTTGGAAGGTGGTCAGTCTGGTTTTCACCATTGGCGATTTATGATGTACATGAGTTTGTTTGTGCAAGATGGCTTGACATGTTCATAGCCAGCTTTTCCTACCTGACTCGATTTATTGAGAGATTGTATTTCCATGGTTTCTGTTGAGAATCATATGTTTTTTCCAAGCGTCGGCATTTCTGGCCAGTCCCTCGGCTTCTATGGAACTACCGATTGCCGGCGTACTTAGAGAAATTCTCCATACACCCAGTGTCTCATGGCTTCATGCACCATTAATCACACGAACTACAAACCCACAGTAGTATGCCATCGAAACGTTTGATAAAGCGTATAGTTAATTTTGATTAGAATAATTGTGTTCAACACCACCAATGGCAGGTTCAGCCTCAGGCGCAGGCACAGACGCTGACGCTGACGCTGACGCAAACGAGACCATGCGCCTTGCCATCGCCCGCTTCCGTAGCAGAATGGCCGCCGCAAACCAAAAGTTTCTGCAGGACCGCATCAATGAAACCGAAGCGAAAGGTCTAGCGACTGAAAAGCAGAAGCGTCGCTGGCTCTGCCAGTACCGATACATGGACCAACTCGAATGGAACGACGACGATCCCGAGACGCGCGGGAAGTGCGACGGGATCCGGATCCCACAGCAGACGTCAGTCCGCGACCTGGATATTCCTGCTGTTCTCAACGCCCTGCCTTCCTATGTATCGGTTGATGGTGTAGTCCCACCCCTGCTGCGCACAGAGCAGTGGCGGCAGATGTACCTCGACACAGTTCAGCGTGTGTGTCAGGGGCAGGCGGACGCGATCGTTGCCTCAGACGACGAGGAGCTTGACGATGCGTGCTATCTCCACCACCAAGACCATAGGCCAATGACTATCCCGCGATGTGACGAGCTAGGCATATTCCTAAAGTATGCGCAAGAGGTGATGGACGTTGACTTCCGGCTCTTGGGCATTGCGCCGTTCGCACCGGCTTCATTAATCGGGGTTCAGGACAAGGAATTAGACGGACTTAACGAGGAACAGAGATGCCACAAGTTGGCGGATCCGGAGCTACTGAAGCGCGAGCAAGAGGACTTGCAGCGGAGATTGGAAGATGAACTTTCGAATGGGTGCCTGACGGTATGTATCGACGAGGACCTGGAAGTCAGGGCTGGCTTTATCACCGGCATTGGAAATCACTATATGTACGAATGCCCAGCGTGGTATAGTGCGTATGTGTATTGCAGGCGGTGGACGGATGACGACAAGGACGGTAGCATGCACAAGGATGAAGACATCCAGGATGCTGCCAACATCCGGAACTGGGGCTGGCGGGTGGTTTTTTTTGAGGCCGATGTTGACAGTCCTAGCATTCTGTATGGCCGGAGGGCACGCTTTGATTCTATTCCAGAATTCTTGGATTGGTACGCCAGCTGGCTGGACCATCTAGATGCACGGGGGTTGCTTTCTCTGCGGCGCCACGCTGTAGGCTGTGAGACGGACTGCGAGTCGGACTGTGAGGATCACTGCCCATAGCTGCTGAGCAAGAAAAATCTGAACCAGCTTAATCGTCTGTCTAGCCTTAGTTGCCGGGCGTCAGACTGTATAATGCTACCACGTCCAGATGTCTGCAGCATTCGAGACATAACCACGCTTACCTATTAGCACCTTCCGGTCGAACGTTCAAGTCACGAAGCTCTATGATAGTATAGAGAACGTCGCATTTGCTCTAAGGGCCCATAGGTAGAAGTGTACAATGTCGCGATAGCAGACCGAGTCCGGAAGGTCTGTCACGGAACTTGCTTCGGAAGATCACGAATGTACTTTAGAGGATCACTCTGCAATGTAGGATTTTGTTTGCGCCTACTTGTTGATTCGTTTCCGGGGTAGACTCTCTAGGATCTACGTATGTGTATATGCATGTTTTGATGTATACATGACGATCACTATGGGCATGGATATAAATATCTATCATTCCATTCTAGGAAAGAAGACATATCCGACGTATAACCCGTTTTCCCAAATCAATGAGTCACTTTACAGTTGCTATGTCTATACACCTAGGGAGAGTTTTCTCTACCATGTTCGACATCACAAAGTATCGTTGTTCCAATATACCGTTTGGGAGTCGGAGCTAGTACGTCACAAGATGTAGTACCTCTGACTTATACCGAACATTCCAGTAATATCATCACATCTCACTCCTATTTCTGATCTATATATCAATTCGAAATACCTGCCAGGTCAACACTACCAAGATGGTCCGAACCACGTTTTGCAACTTCATCCACTCAACAAAGTCCCTTATTCCAGGGAAAAAACGTCAGAAGAAGTCCTTAATACTCTTCCTACCGGATTCTTTGCTCCAAAAGATTTACAAATTCCTCTCCCCAGTCGACAAAGTCTGTCTATGTCTCAGCTGCAAAACACTCTTCAACCTATTCAGCACAATACTAGAACACAAGGAATTCGCCTTCCCCCAACTCCTCAAAATCAAAGAGCCTCGCAAATGCATAAACAATCAAGACGTATCGCGCAACCAGCTCCTCCTACGCCTCGAGACAAAAGAACAGCTCTACTGTGGCGCCTGTCTCAAATTGCACCCACGAAAGTCCTTCAACACACCCCAGGCCCCCAACAATCAACCTCTCCAAAGACGATGTCGCCAAAACGCCGGAATCGTCGATCTATGCCCCTGCATCTCCTTAACAGGAGCAGATCGCAGAAACATCATTCGTCTATTAGAAAATTCCACGATATCGGACCCAACTCTGGGTGGTCGATTCGATCTCATAGACGATGATGAGCAGGGCTCTTACCTACTACACCGGTGCTCTTACGCTACAACCAATCACTGGAGAACGAGACTTTTAATGAATGTCTTCATTGGCCTGGATCGCCAGCTGCGAGTCAATACGAAATACACGCTCTCCTCGCAGTCTGTGCCGCGCGTGAACCGCCGCGCTGAGCCTGTCTTTGCGTGTCCGCATACTGATCTGACGATGTTTGCGGGCTGGTTTAGGGATTCGTCAAAGTGCAAGTACTGTCATACTTCGTTTGAGGGGACTTCTGTCAGTCCGGCCACGTTTGAGGTTACTCGGATGTTGGGAGGTTGTACGAGGTCCGAGAGTGAGGTTTGGTTGAAGCAGTCGAGGTTTACTGAGGAGGCTTGGGATGACTATTTGGCTTTTTGGAGAGACTCGGCTGCTATTAGAGATGGGGTGAGGAAGGATTTCAGGAAGAGGAAGGCTATTCTCGCGAGATCTCGTGAGCCAGCGCGTTCGGGCACTATGCTGTCTATCAGCAGGCGCAGACTACCATTGAATGCGAAGACACCGGCGTATATTAGCGCCCAGACTGTATGAGACGCAACAAGCTGTTTCTTGGGAGTTTGAAGGTGGCGCATGATGGGCAATATTTGTATTTATACTGTTGCTTTGGTTATTAGCATTGCTATACATGCGTCAATATGAAACAATTAATTCTTTCTTCTATACTTGTAGCAGATTGCCTTCAAAAAAGCTACTTCCAGATTTTGTAGACACGAGGTATCATTTTAAAACGGCTAGCCAGTGATGAACATAGGGATTGGCAAGAGTTAATACGGCAGGAATTCTTCAGCCTTGTTCTGCCCAACGGTTGAGCATTTATGGAGATGCCCAAGTCGAGTACCTCACTACCATCACAAGAACAGCAAGCTTCAAGTCATCTACGCCTTGCACCAACGCAGCTCGAGACTTCATACTATTAAAAAAAAGAAAATGAGAATTCAACTATTTTTCGCTTTTGTGCAAGGGCACATAACACAGTGCAAGGTTGCAAAATCGTGAACGTCATAGGGGAGAAAGGAAAGGTATGTTTGTGCAAGCATAAAAAAGGGGGGAAACGCCTATTACCCAAAGAAGTAGTATGATAGTTCAGTAGAACATGCTCGAAAACAAGATCTAAACTAAATGCAAAAGCCAGAGCCCAGATTTACTTTCCGGAACCGGTCTTCTTGAATCGCAGCAGTTCCGCAAGTGAGGCAGAGCTGCAGACCGTTTGCAAGAAGGGATGAGCGAGGAGTTCTTTTGATGTGGCGCGGGAGTTGACGTCGACGCAGAGACAGACGCTCAGGAAGCTTTTGATTTCTTTGGAGGATTTTTCTTGTTTCTTTAGGCGGGGGGTACCGTTGGTCGCGATAAGGAAAAGGGCCTTGAGGGGTTCTTCGTTTAGGTAAGGGGGCTCGGATTCGATCATTTCGATGGTCATGATACCCAGGGACCAGCAGTCGACTTTGGGGCCATACTCCTTCTGCTTGACGACTTCGGGGGCCATCCAGTATGGGGTGCCGACCATTGTTGCGCGCTTGTCTTTGGCTGCGGTGAGTTTGGCGCAGAAGCCGAAATCGGTGATTTTGACGTTGCCGATGAGGTCCAGGAGGACGTTGTCGGATTTGATGTCTCGGTGGATGATGTTCTGCTCGTGGAGATGATATAGACCCTTGCATGTCTTGGGTGGAGTTAGTATATAGGTAAAGAGTATGGGAAGACAAGAGGGGGATTTGGTTACCTCGGTACAGATTCTTGCGATTTGATCCTCGGAGATGGTTGGGTTGTTGTCAATAACATCAGTCAATGCACCTCCTTCCATGAACTCCATGACGACCCAGAGCTCATTGTTGGATTCCTGCAGGAAGGAGTCAAGGAAGTTGACAATGTTCGCGTGATGGCTGTCCTTCATGACGATAATTTCATTGACAATCAACTCCTTGCGGGGCTGGCTACGCAGATCCATCTGCTTGATGGCCACCTGACAGCGGGGGCCGTAAGTACGATAGAGCTCGTGAGCGACGGCCGAGGTGGCGCCCTCCTTCACGCGCGCCACATACACGGAGCCAGAAGCACCCTGACCAATCTTGCGCTGTTTGCTGTACGACTCATTGGGGTTGTCCTTGGACACGACCTCGCGCAGTCGGTTCATGACGTCGCTCTCTGACATGCCGGACATGCGCACCTCCTTCTTGGATTGTTCTGGCTTCTTGGTGAGAGCGTTTTCGGCCTGACGAACGCCCTCGGGGACGCTTTGGTTGTTGGCCTTTTGCTTGTTGGCAATGTTCAGCGGCTTCACAGCCTGCACAGGGGCGGGCAGACGACTTGGAGGAGGTCCGGCCTGCTGCGCCTTGGCACCGTTTTGCTGTGGCCGGCTGGATGAGCTTTGGTTCCGCGGGTCATTAGGAGGATACCGAGAACTTGGGGAGCCCTGGCGGTCCTCATTGCGAGGAGCACCGGGTGCTCTCTGGCCGTGGGGGTTTTGCGATGGCGGCGCCGGGGCCGGACGCTGTGCGGTGAGCTGTCGAGGATCCTGCGCGCGAGCAGCGGCACCCGGGGCTTGGGGAGCGGGGCGGCTTGGTTGGTAGCGACTGTCATCCCCACCATAACCGCCGAGCTCCTGCTTGGCTCCCGGTGTACGGGTCTGCGGGATGGACGCATTGTAAGCAGCCTGGTTACGGCGAGCTTCCTCTTCGACGCGACGACGCTCCTGATCAGCCATTTCCTTCATGCGTTCCAATTGCTGTTGCTGCTCCGCCGCACGGTCTGCCTGTCCTACCGAACCAGATGCGGAGCGCATCGAGCCATCGGATTGATTTGACGGCCCGCTATCGAGGCGCTGCATCGGTCCTGGCGGGGGCGGTCTCGGTGGAGCGATGGAGTTTCCGACACTGCTGCCATATGGTTTGGACTGGCCATTTGCAGGAGAGTTTGTCCCTGCGTAATATTGAGGGTTCTGCTCGCGCATTTTGATATCAGAGTAAAACTCAAGAACCTCGATCACCGCCTGGGGATTCTTCTTGTAGTCTTCCTTCGTGATAGCTGAGGCCGTCAGAAGCTTCTCCCACTCTGGTGGCAATCCGACGAATGCACCAGACTGTGGGTCAAATCCAACATGCACTCGGTGACTGAAGTTGGTTGGGTTGCTGACACCACCCATTCCAGGGCAGCGCTCATAGATCTTATCGATCCACTCATAGATCTCATCATCCGACTTCACCTCACAAGTGATGGTCTTGGTGGGAAGATCGCGAGTCAAAAGGGCGGTTTTGGCGGTGGCATCCTTCGGATTCGCCAAACGAGTGACCTCGAAGGCCATCTTGCAGTCTTCAGACCGAGCCACGGAGGTGATCGTGGATAAAGGGAACGAAATCACCACTTTGCCAGATTCATTCTTTAAAAACTCAAGTTTATACTCGCGCAAGATCAAATATCGTGAGTTCCATGTTGCTAAAAACTTGTCTTCCTTACAGCGAACGGTGCCTTCTTTGACAATCGAGATTCCACCCTGACCGGTGTTGCTCCGACTCATAGCCAGCGACGGGCTGCTGGTGTTGGGGAACAGCGAAAGATTTGCGGAATGGGGACCTGGGGTGCTTGGAGAGTCCAGACTCATCTGAGCGAAGGAGGCGGCGGTGTTGTGGGTGGGTAGGGTCAATTTGGGGGGGCGATCGGTAGGGGGGCGGGGAGCTGGCCCCGGATTCATAAACTGATTGGGTCCGTACGTATTGCTAGGTGATCGTGAGTATAATTGTACAACTTAGGAGGGAACAGAGATACTGACTTTCCAAAGGAAGTCATTTTGCCAGGGAGTACAGATTGTGCAGGGGGAAAGGAAAGGTAACGAATGCGCCGAGACCTCCTGAGGCCCCCTCGAGACGGACTAGCGGAACTATTCAATAAGTCAGCTATTGTATTCATTTTCTTGAGGGATCATCCCCAAAAGATTTTCACGTTTCAAGTCGGGATCTTTTCGGGAGACGCAATATGAATAGACGCGATCCATTGACGCCTAGGGTTTAGGGGGAGGTTTTTCGAAGGAGGGGTTAATTTACCTCGAAATAAATCAAGAGCGGTCCTCGCACTGCGAGGAAGGCTCTGAAATAATGTAACTATTCAGAAGAAAGAAAGAAAGAAACAGGGAAGAAAAAATAAACAACACATGAAACAGAGAAGTTGAGAAAGTTGAATGTGAGGGGGAAAGGGAAAGGGGTCTCGCCCCTAAAGCGGATCAGGTACTTCTCCGTACTTAGTACTTTGGAGAGGAACAAGTTCATCTACAGAAAACAAGCCTCTGCCAATCAGAGATGGGTTTGTAATGATATATCCATGGTAGTTTCATATTTGGATCCCCATTTATAGATTTAACTACATCTGTATACATTGTGAGGTTTTTCAGATCATTCTCTATGTATCGATTAGATATAGTCATTCTTTGATCTCTTTACATACAAGTCTAGAGCCATACTAGGTATAGTAGGGCATACTACAATATTCTGTAAGGAACGTTTCATTTCGTGGTTTTTTTTATAAAAAAACCCCTTCAAACCCTTAGAATTTGCAATTAATTATATACAATATACAACAAACATATTTATACCTCCCCAAAAGGATGATTGAACTTTAACAATCCATTCAATCCACCTACCCATCCCTCGTGTGCCTCAGATCCCATACTTCTCCGCATCACACTCGGAACACCACCCTGCCACTCATTCTTCCCATGCCTCATTTCTTCATTCCACACTCGCACTTCCATGCCAACTCCCATCCCTTGACCTAAATTAACCCCGTCCAGACTAACCTCCAATTCCCGCCCCCGGTTTTTTTCACTCAACCGCAGTGTGATAGGCGTACTGGAAGGCAGAACCAGGGGGCGGAAACTCAGACTACGCGCACAGATCGGCGTCAATAGGATGGAAGGCACAAGTGGATGTACAATACTACCCCCACTGCTGAGACTGTACGCGGTACTCCCCGTCGGGGTCGAAATGATGATTCCGTCCGCCACAGCCTCGGTCAGGAACCGTCCACCCACAAAGACATCCACCACCGCCAAGTGTGGTTCCTTGCCACGGTGAATCAGAAGCTCGTTCATCACGTATACCCCCTGGCCCTTGTCGCTCTTGGTCCGGATGGGCGTCGTTTCTGTTCCTTCTGCTGTGAACAGGCCGACTTTGAGTCGGTTGCGCATGAGAATACGAGCCCCGCGCGTAGATCCCATAGACTTGCCACGAACAGAGGACCACCCAGTCGGTCCCATCTCCGGCTCCTCAAGTCCCTCGGTTGCTGGGGGCTGTTCCAGCACGGGAGTGCGATCTCCTGCCCCAGCACCGGACATGTAGACTTCTCGGAACGCTCGCTTGAATTCTGAGAATTTCCATTCACTCAAGAAGCCTAATGTGCCCATGCTGAACGATAAAACAGGTGGAACATTTGAGCAGGTCGCGAATAAAGAGGCTGCATGTAAAATTGTGCCATCTCCGCCCAGCGTCACTGTGAGGTCCACCGTGTCGTGGAGAGCGGTTGGTTTCTCGTCGAGGGAAGCTGCGTACACGGGGAATTGGAGAGAAGAATGTACCTCGGCGGCGGTTTTGGACTCGAGGATCACGGCAGTAGATGGGTATGTAGAAGACACATGACTGGGATAATGTCAGTATGTTTGGTTCATCTGACTCCGCAGGACACTCTTACTTGACAAATTCAATTAGAGAATCAGTAACTGCTGGGGCGCAATCTTTGCGTACTATAAAGATATTTCGTGGCGGTGCCGGCCATTGGAGAGACAGGAGTTCTCCATCGCAGGATTCTAAGCTCTGTTAGCTTGAACTTCAACAGATAGCAAGTCGACCCACACCTTGGTATTTTGGTATCAGGCGCCGAGACAAGCTGCCGATGTCTTTGATCTCGCACCGTGGCGTAGACGTGGAGAAACAGCGCAGAGGAAAGCTGGGAGTGCGGAATTTGGTACACAACATATTGTGTAAAGGATTGCAAGCTTATCAATGTCATGTGTTAGCTCGGAGGACTTGAGTGTTAGGATGGGAGCTCTCACATCAAAGCTCCATGTTTCAGCCTGGCGTTTAGGAACTCCAGTGACCAGTGAGACTGTCTAGAAAAAGGACAAAGATATGCAATAGTCCTAAACTTCCAAAAGTACAAAAGTACAAATGTTTCACTGCGACAAAGACTAAACCCACAGACAGAGAGGCACGTCAACAGTTGACCGCCTAAAGTGACGTTTAGCCGCGAACGTCACTCACGAGATCGATCTGCCTGATCTCCCCGATTTCTTCGATCCCCCTCCAACTCCAACGCTTATAACCTTCTGATCACTTGTTATTATTTCTTCGGAAGCTCGGATCATGATCTTCTTTGTCTCCTAGCTCTATAGCTTTTGTTTATTCCAATTCTCTTGTTCATCATCTACATCTGCAAGACAATGTACGTAAGCATGTGCTCTATACATTTATCTTAAAACCTTACCCCTCAGATATATATCCTAACCGTGACAATCCTTTTTTTAGCAGAACCTTCAGAATATCTCTGCCATCATGGAAGCGACTGAGATTCGACAGCGCAAGCCGGCCGAAAATATGACCGAGCTCCTAAAACTCTCGACCAAACCCCCCACAGAACCCCATCTCAAACATGGCGTTCCCATGCAGCTTTTACGCTCCTTCTTGCTAGGAACATGGATGAACTGCTGTGTTATGGTGATCTGTGTGACGCAGCTAATCGGCTGCCCGTTGTATGTGATCAACAGACGCTACTACTACTCGTATATGGCCTACACAAAACAATGTTTCGCACTCGTCCTCACCGCTTTCACACAATGGAGCTCTCCAACTCTACAGCGAGTCAGTGGTGATGCTAGCGTGCGTGGTCAAATCCATATTTCAAAAGGTGGATTGCTGGAGACCCGCTTCCCAGAACGTCTCGTCATGATCTCCAATCACCAGGTGTACACCGATTGGATCTACCTCTGGTGGGTGGCATATACGAATGAGATGCACGGCCGCATCTTCATTATCCTGAAGGAATCGCTAAAGTACATCCCCGTTCTTGGCACGGGCATGATGTTCTACGGCTTTATCTTCATGGCTCGCAAGTGGCTGGCCGATAAGCCGAGACTTCAGCACCGCCTGGAAAAGCTGAAGACCAACTATACGGGCTCGAACTCGGCTCGTCCGACGTATGATCCCATGTGGCTTTTGATTTTTCCCGAGGGAACGAACCTGTCCATCAATACCAAGGGTCGCAGCGATGCGTGGAGTCTAAAGCAGGGACTGCCTTCTTTCAAACATGTGATTCTTCCTCGCTCTACTGGGCTGTTCTTCTGTCTTCAGCAGTTGCGGGGAACTGTGGACTGGGTGTATGACTGCACAATAGCCTATGAGGGACCACCGTACGTGCTTTACTTGTTCCCCCTCTAGCGGAATCTTACTAATAAGCTTTGCTCAATAGAAAGGGAAGCTACCCGGATAAATACTTCACGCTTCGCTCGACATACTTGCAAGGACGTCCACCGACTTCCGTGAACATGCATTGGCGACGCTTCCAGGTCTCTAAAATTCCCCTCGAGGACCAAAAAGAGTTCGAGGCTTGGATGATCGAGCGCTGGGCTGAGAAAGACCAGCTTATGGACGAGTACTTTGAAACAGGCCGCTTCCCATCTGAGTTGGCCGGTTCTATCAAGGCTGAGCATGCAGTCGATGGGCAGAAGGTTGCTGCAGAAGCTGGATTTGTAGAGTCATATACTCGTCTGTCCCACTGGAGTGAGCTTGGTTCAATCTTTGTGGTTCTATTCAGTGTTGCTGCTTTCTGCAAATTTGTAACTAGCTGGCTCCAGTGAGTCGTATATTTGCCGTGAATGCTTTAGATATTCCATTGCTTAATACATAAATGAACATCTTCATCTTCTCTGCTCATTTAGTTGTATTCACTTATAAATAGCAAGAAAGCGCGTCTATTAGTTGATCACATGGTGTAACATGAAAATTAAACAGGGCGCGGGTGCGGGGGCGATTCCGAATAGAGCGTCGGTAGGTAACGACAGTCTTCAACGTGAAGTGAAATGGAACAATAGGAATAGAACAATAGGAATAAAACAATAGGAATTCATCAATAGGAATGGATCAATAGGAATGGATCAATAGGACGAACGAATTAATAGAACAATGGGAAGAGGACAATATATTTTCCCGATTAGGAAATCCTGAGGAATATAGATACCCTCTCCCTCCCCAAACCAACTCTTCTTTCTTTTTTTTCCACCTTTCTTCTTCTTCTTTCTTCTCTGTGCTTTCACTGATCATGATCCTATTGAATTACAATTTGTTCCATCCCTCATGCCAGACACAGATAGGATCCCTTTCCCAGTCCCGGAGAGGTTTACTTCTCTGATGCAACCAAGCCGGCGTCAAGCCTTACTTAGCTATCAGGAGAGATCAGTCAGCAATTCGTCAAGGCTTTCTCAGATTTCTCAAGAATTGTTGCGCTCACGTACGTCGGATTTCCTTGACGCTAAGATATCTGCACTCGAAGATGAGCAAGAATACATCAGCTGCTTCCGAGATGGCCTTGATGAGATTTCGTCTTCAGGGCTACTCAGCAGTAGTGCTTTCCAGAAAGAGATCCGTCCTATTTTGACAAAATTCCGAGCTACGTCGCAAACACTTGATGTCCTCAAGCGCCAACGGACATTAATTGAGGAAGATTTGCAAGAAGAAGTGGACTCCAAGCGCAAGAGGACCATCGGACCCTTGGACAACGGGCTTATCACAAGAGCATATGTGGATACAATTCTCCCACGCGTTATGGGCGCTGCAAAGACCCGCAAACGGCCCTTCGACCAGAGCAAATTCAAGAAGGAAGTCAATAAATACTATGGCTTGACAACTGCGTCTGTGACGGGATCATCTTTTGTCACGTTCTCGGATTTTACCTGCCCGCCTCGTCGGTCAAGGCAGCCCACCTGGTACCGAAGACTTTGAGCCAAGCAGAGGTGTCCCATATCTTCGGAGTTCAGGAAGGTGTGCTCTCTGACCCACGCAATGGTAAGAACACCCTTTTTGCTTGAGAAGAAAATGAGCTGACAAAAATTTTCACAGCACTGTCATTATACAATCCCGTTGAATCCCTGCTCGACCAAGGAGTAATTGCTGTCGTTCCAATTCCTGGCGCGATGACCGAGCCGACTACGTGGAGATGTGTTGTGTTGGATGAGTCGAAGAATGAGAACCTTGTTTACAAGAGAGAGTCGGGAGAATTGATCAAGGTCAAGGTCAATTCTAGTTTATTTCCGGGCTGAAAATTAAAGAGTACAGGCTAACATTTGTGCAGCACCTCGATGGCCGCAGTTTGACTTTTCTTTCTGAGAAGCGCCCTCGGCGACGATATCTCTATTTCCGTTTCTTGATCTCCTATCTCCACGCGAAGCGACTGGATCTCAAGGATACAGCGGAAAAGGTTGAGGCTCGAAGATTCTGGCCGTCCAGCGGTGAATATTTGAACAAGTCCACCCTCAAAACCCTTGCACGATGCGTCTCTGGATGTGAGCTCCCTGATGAGTTTGTTATGAACAAGACCTTTGAGGATTCATCCGATGAGCCTCGCAACCGAAAGGCGGGTATCATTCTTGGGGCCGATATCCAAGATCATGATGAACGTGATACGTTGATTGACAGCTTGAAGGAGCTCTGAAAGTTTATGGAAGAAATGATCTTCAAAAGCAAGGTGTTGCTTTTTTTTACCTATTATTAGCAAGCTTTCGGCGAATACTGAATATCTTATCTGCTTGTTTGATTATATTTCACTCATAAATAATTGAATATAGTACATAATTGAATAGGTCTGATTGATTGGGCAATGGTTATTGTTGTATATGTGGCGGATGTGGCGGTGCAAACCAGCCACTCTTAATTCTCAACTTCTCCATCGCCGCGCTGTTGGTCTCCGAGATTCACATTCGCGATTTCTCCGAACTAGGGGTCGCTAACCTCACCGGCCCGATTTCTGAACTTTTTGATGGTCTGCTTCACTTGACCATGAGTTGAGGCTCCTACAATCCTATACCTACTCGCAAAGTGGCTCCATCGCTCCCGACACCATGGCGCCTCTTCAGAACGGTCATACCAATGGCCTAAACGGTGATGCCGTACCATCCACGAGCCCCCTGGGCAACATTCGCTTCTCCGATATCCCCGATGCCATCGACATTCCCGCCTCCAGCTTCGACAGCGAAGTCGAAGTCAGCTTGCTCGAGCTCCCCGAAGATCCGACCGAGCTGTGCACCCTCCTCGAAAACGAAAAAGCTGCCAAGAACTTCTGGGTGATCATTGCGCTCGCTTACGCGAAGCGCAAACAGATTGACCATGCCATCGACATCTTGAACAAGGGCCTGGCCTCTGTGGCCCACGGAGCGACAAAGGAGAAACTCGGCCTGTTGGGCTGGGTCTGCTGGCTGCTGTTGTTGAAGAGCCGCCACGCTCCCCGAGTCGCGCCCGATGGTGAGCTCTACTCAGAAGCTAAAACTAAAGACCATTATTTGCAACTCGCGACGTCGACGTTGAACGAGGCCTCGCGCCTCAACCCGGCGTATCCCCCTCTCTTCCTGGCGCGTGGTGTGCTGTGTCTTCTCCGTGCATCGCTGTATGCGCCCCGTGCTGTTCGTCCCGGTGCTGTTGATACTTCGGAGCGCAATGAGTCGCTGCGGCAAGCTTTGAAGTGTTTCGACGAGGCGTCCAAGGCCTTCGGTGGCCGGAACATTATGGCTATTCTTGGACGTGCTCGCGCGCACTACATGATGGGAAGATATGTCGACGCTCTGGAAGGATACCAGAAGGCTTTGGTCAAGATGCCTAACCTCACTGACCCGGATCCTCGTATCGGTATTGGGTGCTGCTATTGGCAACTGGGCTTCAAGGACCAAGCCAAGGTTGCTTGGGAGAGATCGCTCTCTCTGGTATGTTGAATGAATGTTCTTGAAATACGACGAGATAACTGACCGTGGTTGTTATCAGAACCCCGAATCCAAGGTTGCCAACCTCCTGCTCGCAGTTTATTACCTCTACGACAGCTCTCGACGAGCCACAACCGACCCTATGTTCGGGTCGTTGTACAAAGTGGCCATGACTCAATACACACAAAAGGCGTTCAAACTAGACAAGGAATACCCGATGACATGCTCCTTATTCGCAGGCTACTTCCTGCTCCGTAAAACATATCCGACCGTCGAGACACTGGCGCGCAAAGCCATTGAACACACAGATGTCATGTCCATTGCCAGTGATGGCTGGTATCTGCTTGGTCGGAAGTCACACTACGAAGGTGACGCCGTCCATGCTGCCGAGTTCTACAATCGCTCGGATCAAGCCCGTGGCGGCAGCGACAAGGGATTCTTGCCTGCCAAGTTCGGTGCTGTCCAGATGCAGATTAACAACAAGGACTTTGATGGAGCTAAGTTCCGATTGGAGAAGATTGTTCAACAATCAAAGAACCCGGAGGCCATGACTCTACTTGCGGCTATCCATGCGGAAGAAGTCTTCGCTGCGCAGAAGTCCGGTAGCAAGGAGGACAAGTCGAACGAGGCCAAGAGAGCTATCGCCCTTTTGGAGTCAGTACGCTCCATGTGGAAGGACGAGAAGCAGAATCTGTCCCCTGACGAGTCCGTTCTTGTTTATCTCTCCCGTCTCTATGAGAGCACTGCTCCTGACAAGAGCATGCAGTGTCTGACTCAACTGGAGCAAATCCAGATTGCTGGAATCCCCGAGGACGCTCGCCCGGATATCGATGATCCAGAGGAGTTGAACTCTGTTCTCAGGGAAAGTCTCCCGCCCCAGCTCCTCAACAACATGGGATGCTTCCTCTACCAGAATGAGAAGATTGCCCTGGCCCGTGGTCTGTTCCAGTCGGCGCTCAATGCTTGCGTCCAATCTAAGGACAAAGAAGACGGTATTGATCCCGACGCGCTTGTTACTACAATTAGTTACAACCTTGGACGAACCTACGAGGCAGCCGACATGTGGGACGAAGCCAAGAAGGTCTACGAGGGTCTTCTTGAGCGTCACAGTGACTACACAGAAGCCAGTGCTCGTCTGACATACATTGCTCTGCGCCAGAGCCCTACCGACGAGGGCCCGAAGAAGATCGCCAAGCTCTACGAATCGGACAATACCAACCTGGAAGTTCGGGCACTTTACGGCTGGTACATCAGCAAGTCTAAGAAGCGGGTTGCCAACCTCGCTGAAGACAACGAGCAACGCCACTTTAAGCATACCCTCCAGTACCACGACAAGCATGACCGATATGCGTTGACTGGAATGGGCAACGTGCATCTTCTCTTCGCTCGTGACATGCGCCGCGACACTGATCAGGACAAAGACAAGCGTCGCAAGATGTACCAGCGTGCAGTTGAATTCTTCGACAAGGCTCTTCAGCTGGATCCTAAGAACGCATATGCCGCTCAAGGTATCGCGATCGCCCTGATTGACGACAAGAAAGATCACAGCTCTGCTGTGCAGATCCTTTCCAAGATCCGTGACACACTGAAGGACCCCAGCGTCTACCTCAACCTGGGCCACGTCTTCGCCGAGCTCCGCCAGTTCTCCCGCTCAATCGAACACTACGAGGCAGCCCTGTCCAAGGATCGCGCCCGCGATGTACAAATTCTCGCCTGCCTCGGACGTGTCTGGTTGCTAAGAGGTAAGCAAGAAGCCAATCTAGCAGCCATGAAGACAGCACTCGAGTACGCTGAGCGCGCCCGCACCGTCTCCCCCGACCAACTCCACCTCCAATTCAACGTTGCTTTCGTACAGAACCAAATTGCCTCCCTTGCATACGGCCTCCAGCCCACACAAAAGACCCTCCAAGATGTCCAGGACGCCGCAGACGGTCTCAAAGAGGCTATCGAAACCTTTGAGCGCCTCTCCAAAGAAAAGAACCCGCCCTACCCCAGTGCCGCTCTCGAACAGCGCGCCAACATGGGCCGTACAATCAGCAAGCAACTGGACCGCGCGATGCAAAGCCAAAAGGAGTACGAAGAAAAGAATGCCGCAAAACTCCAACAAGCCCGGGAAGCCCGTGAAGAAGCCGCTCGCGTCCGGGAAGAAGAGCTCCGCAAGGCCCAGGAAGTCGAAACAGAACGCAAGAAGCGCATTGCTGAAGAGCGTGCCCAGATGGTCGAAGAGGTTCAACGACATGCTGCCCGACGCGCGGAGGAGGATCGCGCCCGTGAGGAAGCGGAGTTGACCAATGATTCTGAGACTGGCGATCGCGTCAAGAGAAAGAAGAAGCCTATCAGCAAGCGCAAGAAGAAGGGCGATGACTTCATTGCTGATGAGGAGGAGCGTGCTGGCGATAGTGGCGAGAGCGATGCTGAGGCACCGAAGAAGAGACGCAGACTGGAACGCCGCTCTGGGAAGACCAAGGCTGACAAGGCTAAGGCTGAGAAGCCCGGGAAGTACAAGAGTAGTGAGATGGTTGTTGATTCAGATGATGAGCCTGTGTCCGAGAAGGCTGTCTCTGACGATGAGCCGGAAGAAGAGACCCAGCCGCGCAGACGAGGCAAGGCTTCCCGTCGCATTGCTGATGATGATGATGAGGACGAGGAAGAGGAAGAGGACAAGCCGATGCCTGAGCCTGAACAGGAGCTGGAGCAGGAAGAACCGGTGAAGGTTGATGCTGTCCTCGACGATGAGGATGAGTTGTTCGGTGAACCATCGAAGCTCGATACCGAGATGCAGGATTGATTTTTTTTCCTTTGCCCTTTGGCCTACATCTACATCTATTTTCTTTTTTTTACCAGGCGTCTGGTTGCAATTAATTCGGATCTTCCATGTGTAATTATTAGCCTTTAGTATGAAAAACAAAAAGAAACATTCATTCTACTTGAATACTACCGTATGGCACAGATCATACAATATGTATACAGACATGAATGTCACACCGCAATCTATATGGTACGTAGGTAATCTTGAAACTCGGCTAGAATACGAGACATGACAGGATAGATTAACGGCCCAAGCGGGAAATCTACGCATCGCCCCCATCCCGGGGGGAGTCCGATGAATCTCCGATCACACAGGATTGATTAAGAGGCGGCTTACGGGGTCCAGTGCACTGCATATGGTCGTATGGATATGCAGCCCTGGCGGATGAGACTAGTCATGTGTCAGCACTGGATCGAGCTCTGGAGCCCTGGAGCCTTGGAGCCCTGGTCTAGGGTTTTCGTTTACATTTTATGTGGAGGTTAGATTGCTGTGCGCTTTTTTTGTTTTTTTATTTTCCACCCGGCAAATAATGAATCTCTCTGGATCTAGGTTTGAAGCGTCAAAAAAATCAATTCAGCTATTAAGTATACTGCTATATTTATGTATCCGCACGCGGAAATGTCGTTTAGCTAGTTCCTGTGGCTTTGGCTGGCTATAGGCTGGTGAAAATGCCATACAGAGCCACCATGACAACATGGAGAATATTGTCGTGTTGGAGTTGATCGTTCAAAGTTTTTGTACAACGTATAGATCCGAGGAACCAAAAGCAGATATTTTTATATCTCGCATCAAGCAGTGTTCTGAGTGGGCCGTCTGGCAGTCTGTTCAAAGCTATTCGGTATTTGATGTCGATCTTTTGGTATGTCACGGATCGAGGGGATTAAGTTTCATATAAGATTTGATATTGAGAAGATTGGAAGGTTCCAGTGGTTCTATGACGGTTGGCTGAATTGTATACAATTTTATACTTCAGGGCTATGTATGCATGTAAGACAGATAGAAAAATCTGGAAAATTCGTGAAGCTGCAGTGCTCAAGTCGAAATACATTCAAATACGTTATAGTCAGTATAAGATATAATGCTCTATATATTGTATCATAATGTTCTAAAGTAGGGTAGGATTGAAGGTCACTGATGATATCAACGGGAAACAAATCTACGGTTCACCGCCCAATCAGTTAAAGATCGTCAACAGCTCCGAGTCAACGAGTCATCTCTTCCTTGTTCTTTGTATTTGCATATGGTGTATGTTGTGCTTTACCTGACATCCTACCCCTAGACAAGACCAGTTACATAAACTCTATCTAACTACCGAAACACGGGATGTCTACCATGTCTCCCAAATGTGGACTCACCCAGGTTCCTCTACTCTGGCTACCTAAGTAAAGTCCAAAGCACGTCAGGACTTATGCCGCAAACATCAGAACCAGGCACTGAGGCTTGAGTTATAAGCCTGGTCCTCGTCCAGACCAGACAGAGAGTGAGAGACTATCCATCCCTCTATCTTCTTCCACTAGACTCTCAGTATGCGTTACGCACTTGTTGCTCCTGCCCTTCTGGCCATTACTGCCCTTGCGGCTCCTGTCCCCAACCAGGACGATGTCATCGGCACACTCGGTGCTGCTGTGAATGTTGGTGGCGCAGACACCACTGGGGTCTCTTCTAAGCGTGGCACTGATGATGTTATTGGCACCCTTGGTGCTGCTGTCAATGTTGGCGGCGGAAGCACTACTGGTGTTTCCTCCAAGCGTGACACCGACGATGTCATCAAGGACCTAGGTGCTGCTGTCAACGTTGGCGGTGCAGACACCACCGGCATCGCTAAGCGCTCCGAGGAAGATGTCATTAAGGACTTAGGTGCTGCTGTCAATGTTGGTGGCGCAGACACCACTGGCATTTCTTCCAAGCGTGACACAGATGATGTGATTAATGACCTCGGCGCCGCTGTCAACGTTGGCGGTGATAAGACCACCGGTATCAGCCTCAAGCGCTCCGAGGACCTTACCATCGACGACCTCACTGTCAACAACCTTGACGTCCCCCCCAATGTCAGCATCAAGAACATCCCTCGCTCCGAAGATTTAAGCGTGGAGGATGTCGTCCCTCTCAATGCCGGTATTCCTACCATTCTCCGCCGTGGCGATGGAATCGATGAACAGGAGGAAGAAAGCAACAAGGGCATACTAGGCCTCGGAGTTCTTGGTCTCAAGCGGGACAATCCCCTGCTCGTCGACGGCGACGAAAACGATAGTGACGGCTTGTTGGGTCTCGATCTCCTGAAGCGGAAGGAGGAAACCTCTATTGGAGGAGTTGGTGGCTTTGATATCGGAACCCCGGTCCTCGATGCTGCTAACATTTGAACTATACACGTCAAATGATCTACGGTGGGTATTTCTTTCAAGCACGATCAAGCAAAGCTAACATCGATTCTAGATTCTGGGTGGCTTTTTTTGACAAATAATTGGGACAAACAAAGAATGAGCGTTCGGGATTTGAGCTTGGTATCTACCTATAATCTTGTTAATGGGATCAAACACTTTGAATACATGCCTGCATATGACGTGGATCAAAAAGACGGCTGCCATTGATCTACAACTAGCTTCAAATAGTTTGCCCGATTCAATTATACCGAGTTTGTCTTGGGATTCTATGTATCACAACGCCATATGAAAGGATCTTCCACGGGCGCACATGCCCGATTTCTACTCCAACGGGGTTACATCTGGTACCTGAATTGTTGCACATAGTAGTATTTTGCAATATGCCAATAATGATAGTATATAGTATACTATTCGTATTTGAGTTGGGGAAGGATTCAGCCTCAGTCAATTGTATAATATCGTATCTTGTAAGGAATACAACATAGATACTGGATAAATACTAGATTTGATTCCATTCTCCATAGTTCTAACGGGATACTTAACCCAGATAGGCGACCGTTGTGCTCTAACTAGCATTAGTGTGATACTAGTTTGGTGTATTAGAGATGAATTGTAATATTGCTTCTTCTCCTTTTCACGTAACTCTATAGTTATGTGTTAGCTATAGGAGATAGTTTTATACCATATACTGATGATATGACTATAGTCTAGCAACAACGTTTTCTCGGAGCTCCGAGGCAAATTAGATCGACGATCACTCGGAGAACGTGTTCGCTTTGACGCGAACCGAAATGAGTTCTAGAACATGTCGCTCCAAACCTAAGCGTGTTACGGAATGCTACCTAACTAGTTCAGGGTTACTTGCTAGTTATAGTTAACTAGTTACTTCGACATTCTATAACGTACCTGTGTTTCAATTGAACTTTGAGTCTACTTTGACACTCTATCAGTCTCATCTTCCACCCTAAACTATATCCATCACTAGAATTATCACTATTTTAGATCTAGAATTATACCTATAGGATAAAGATTCGATCAGAAACCCAAAACAACATCAGACAGGACTCCAATTTCGGGGCATATTTCTGACGCAGATCTGACCTTCAAGTGGAAAGATGAACCCCGAGGCTTACCGCTTGGACGACAAGATGACGATTGATCATCGTGGACGCGAACGGTGGTTGGAACATGCTTTTTTTTTTTTTCCTCAAAAGAGAAGACATGTTTAGATCTGGAAATTTATACTCGGTATATACTCCGTAGTTGGTATACTATACTATATTATATCTAATACGTACTGTATAGTTGTGTATACATAGATATACCCATTGCAGTACCCAAGTGAGGTATTACTTAGGTAGGTAAGTCCTGGCCAAGTGCCGCACTCTAATTCGATCAAAAGATTCTAGACGAGATCGTCGCCAATACACAGTCCAAACTAGTGCCTGTCCCAGAAAACAGAGTGGAGTTGTATTGCATTTTTTACTTTCTCTGTGTTTCGAATCTCATTTATCCACTTTTTCAAGATAGGAAGCTGGTGCATAAAAGATCGTACATATGCAGTATATATGTAGGGCAGCTTACAACGAACAGCAGAAGTACTATTTGTACGGAGTATAACTGTAGTCTATCGTCCCATATATGCCATATAGAGTCAAAACTAACGAGTTTGTGCAACAAGAACAGATCTCGACTGCGGTACAGAGTACATTCATCAGAAGAAACAACGTGATGCATATGCACATACCAGACAATATACACCCCGCCTGAGACAACGCAACTCTCCGACAGGAAATGTAAGGGACGCGCCGGGGACTCCCGGATACTCACATTCTTTAACTATACCTGCATCCCCGAGGCATGAGATGAAGCTTGTGTTTTGCTTTTGCTTTTGCTTATGCTTTTTTGTTGATCTTGGCTCGGGAGAGGGGACCGGCACCCTCCGCGCCTTACAGTGAATCCTTACCTAGATTTGCAGCATTGGAGAACTACTGGGCACAAGCACCTACGGTTGTAGTTATATGCCACCCAACTACAATGGCCAAAGTGGTTGCAACGGTGGTCTATGAAATGTCGGATATAGGGTACATGCATATAGAAATGTCTATCGAAAAGTACAAAACCATATATGAAATATACCAGTCAGACTACCTAGGTGTGTTAGGTTGACCCCACTGTCGAATACCGAAAGTAGAGGATCTGTGACAAGCCCTAGAAAAGAACACAAATGATCTAAAAATTAGGGCCGGAACCTTTCAGATGGAAAACCGTTGACCGTTGAACCGAGGCTCCGCTCTACGCTATGCGGTATTCGACGCGGGGAAAAGGCGTTCGTGGCTGTCTCAGGCTTCACGCAAGGCACAGAATGTCGAAATTACAAAATTGAGACTACAGTATAGGAGGATATGAGAAACAGTGTATGTAACTACGGGAGGTACCGCACTTTTGATGTAGACTTTCCAGTGTACCATGTTCGGGAAATCAGTTCCAGTGTGCGTTGCCCATTGTGATAAGGGCTTAGCTTCTCTCCACTTGAGTCTGGACTGTGTAATGTTGCTACCTGGGATGTAAGGTACGTAGTCTGCCATATACAGGGGACATTGCAATTGGGAATTGCCATTGGATGTTCATTGAACCATTGTTTTGAACCCTTCGCGAGGATATAGTCTATGCTACCATATTGTATAGTCTATGTACTTAAAGATACCAATAGCTAGTTAACTATACCTCTCTGCCGTGTTAAACCTTGTAAGGAATTAGTTCCCGGTCGGTTGGAATATAATACCTGATACTAGATATTACTAGTCGAGAACGATAATACCCTCGGATAAGACCAGAACGTGATAGCTCTCGCATAACATCGAGGTTAGAGTGATGTGATTATTTGGTAATCTCTGGTAATCTCTGGTAATCTCTGGTAATCTGTTCCAAACAAAAAGAAAAAGAAAACAATAAAAAAAGGCACGGGGCGTATCGGACCGCCGATACTTTCTGTACTGGGGATAGCGTCTCGGTGTCTACCTTGGTTAGCCAATGTTTACTTCGGGTCCCACTGTCTCTCCCCCTCCAGCACGTTCAGGACCCAACCCCCTGGATGCATATGCACACAAATGATACCCGTGGACCTATACGGAGTACCACAAAAAAGAAAAGAGACAGTACATAGGTTTCGGCTCCGTCGCTCGCAACCGTGGGTTATCTCCCGTGTATTAGAATTTCAATATTCTCACATCGTGAAGCAATACTTGTTTCAATGTTTGCTATAATAACTAATTAGTATAGTCCCTGAGATATCATCGGTAATTTGCAAATTCTAGTCGCAATGGCTAGATGCATGTGGTGTAACAGCCAGAATGCAAATATCTTAATAAACATCGTAATAATACTATAGACTCATCGACTAGGATATCCAAATAAAAAGGAAAAGGAAAAAAGAAAATGAAATACACCAAAATGACCCCTGAGAGGCTCCACTACACGCCCCGTGTCTTGTATCGCCCCGTCATCGAGTATTCTATTAATTTATTATCAGCCCTCTGCTCCAACCGTTCCTTCTCGGAGATCTCCAGATTTCATTTATCATGGTGTAACTGTCCTTTCTGTGAACTATGTCATACGCACCATTTCCAATGACGAAGCAATGGGACGACGACGGCAGTGACCGTCCTTCCACGAACTCCTCCAACGAGCAACCAGAATATGCGGCTCATATACGCTCCAGGTCGACTGCCCACACCCACAGTCCCAAGCGTCTCTCCGTCTTTAGCGGCCGCTCAAGGAGTAACACTACCACCTCAACCTCGACGTCGTCACGTCGTTCCCCAAGCTCGTCAATGACATCGACGGATAGCTCCATTCCAGACGAGCGGACGGTGTCCTCGCTGGGTATTCGTTCCGATAAGGACAAGTCCTCCCGCTCCCTGCTAGCGCGGGGAAGCCGTATCCTCCGGAGACAGGGCAGCAAGATCAATATCGTCGCCACGCTGGACGAGGAAGACGAGCTTGATCGTGAAAAGCCCCGGGAAAGAGAGCTCTTTGGTCGTCGTGCTCGCCACATCGAGAACAGTAAGTCCCCGCTGCCATGGAGTGCGAGTATAACCCCCAATTGACCCGAGACATTGCAGGTGCACGCCTGAAGAGCATTATATCTGATCCATTCGACTTTCACCACTTGACTCACACCAACCCATCGCAATTCCAGGCTTTGGATCAGACGCGCGAGAATGATCTGGTCACCGAGTTCTCCGCAATTCGCGCATCGCAACGGCCTCAGACCGATCTTAAAGGCATCCGGGCCGAGGACATTCATTTCCGCAATTTCTCCGCCGACGACCTGGCCGTATTTGGAACTGCCACCACCGTTGATGTGCCTAGCGTGAGCCCGCCTGCTTCTCCTGATGGCTACCGCGGCCATGTGCGCAGAGAATCTCGCGCAAATGAGAACTTCTCCCGCCCAGTCCCCAGATATCCCCGTTCGTGTCCCACTACCCCCCCCGCCTTCAGTGCCGGAAACTCCCCCGCTTGAGAACGTTGAAACAGAGCCTCGTGCCATTGACGAGATTCTGGGGTTGTCCACCGCCATGACCTACCCGGAGTGTCTCCAGTCCACACCGCCAACCCGGTTCTTTAGCCCCGAGCCCACGGATGACAGCGCCAGGACGTCGTCTGTGAGCAGCCATTGGGACCTGGAAGATGTCCCAGAGGAAGAGGAAGCAACCCGCTACTGGGATAGCCCCGAGTCCAGCATTGGATGTCCTCATTCACGCTCGACTTCCCAGGCCAGCCCTGCGCTCAAGGCGGATTCGCCCAGCAAGAGCGAGCACAAAGCTCCCATGTCGATTGATGTGGCCGAGGAATTGACCCGCAAGTTCTCTGAGGCTCTCAGCTCCCCGACTCTTCCCCAACACCTTCAACATCCCCAGGCCCAGGTGGAGGTGACACCACCTGAGCCAATCGCCAGCCTGCACCGATTTTCGTACGACGACGAGATGTACGACTCCTGGGACGCAGACATCGACTACTGCTACGAGCACGCAGCAGAGTCCACTTCCAACTTCGACTGGACCCGCACATCCCTCGACGAGTCTCGTCCCCAAATCGGCGTCGCCTGCGGCGAAGCTCCATGGTCCCCCAAGACCCGCCACCTCCAGCCCAGCCCCCTCAGCACCTCCGAGCTCCAAACCCCAGACCTTGATCCAAGCCCAGCATCCATCCCCACCCACTCCGCCGTAAACCCCTCCACCGAGTTCACCCAAGTCTTTCGCAGCCCAGACTACTTTCCTGTCAGCACCCTGGGCAAGATCTCAGAACCCCTGTACGAGGAGTACATGACCACCGACGGCGAGTCAGACCGCCACTTCCCGTTCGCCGGCCTGCCCATCTCTCCCCGCAGCAGCTTTTCCCCAATAAGCAAATGCAACAGCCAAGAGAGCCTGATGCTCTCCCGTGCCGCCTCCATCGCCCGCAAACACCGCTCCTCAGTCTCAACAACCAGCGTCCCAGAGCTGATTCACTCCCTCTCCAGCAGCCGCGAGCTGATGGCCACAGACCGCCTCACAGCCGGCGAGGCCCTCACGCGTCCGGCATCTGCTTCGCACCGCCAGACAAAGAGTCTTGCTGAAGCCCATCTGCTGCTGCAAAGCCAAAGCGGTAGCAGCACCAGTCTGGAAGAACTGCCGGTCCACGACCGCGCGAAGTCGACTTCGGCCGTTGATCCGATCAATTTGGACGCCCCGCTGCCTCCTCTTCCTCCCAAGAACCCTAACCGCAAGACGAAGACTCGCTCACCCTCTTACTCACTCTTTCCCACTGCTCACTAAGTCATTGTCAGCCTGATACAGATAGTTTCTTAACCCCTTGCATACCTCAACCCTCGCTTTGTCATCACACCCTCTTCAGGGCTCTTCACCTCTCTCTACGAGTCATGATTGCTTTTCCTTTTGTCTGTTCAACTCGTGTCCGCCTATAAGCTGTTTCTTTTTTTTGTGTGTGTCTGTTTTTGGTTTCGGTTTTGTCCGCATGTTTCAACTGTTGTCAATCTTTCTCGATGCATTTCTCAGCGATCTCCAGCGATTATTTTTGGTGTATGGATTTGGGAAAAAAAAAAAAGGAATTGGAATGGAAGGAAAAGGAGGGGATTTGTTTTTGGGTCATTCGCTAGCCCTCTTTTTTTGTTATAGATCACTATAGATTGGCTACGCCCAATACAGCCCATTGGCATGACTGGATTTCATTGTAATAGTAGATCCGTAGTCTTTTGTTTTGATATATATTGTACATATAACGATATACCTAAATCGGAAGTATAGAAGAATTGCCTAAAGCGGTTAGACTCCAATCATTTGATTGCTTATCGCCACTCGTCTCTCTTTCACTTCTTCAACTCCCCGTAATGCCGTCTCCTCCATCGCAAGAGCTGGCCAAGCGTCCTGCTGGCCAGCTCATGCCTCCACCGCCGCCCCCAAAGAGGATCAAACGGCCCGCGACTGTTCTCGACGAAGATGTCTACACCAGTACCCTATCCCACATCATCGCCCGCGACTTTTTCCCCGGATTACTGGAAACGCAAATTAAGCAGGAATATTTGGACGCCCTGGAGTCAAAAGACAAGGCATGGATCGCAAGCTCCAAGAAGAAGCTGACGGATGTCATGCGCACGCCCACGCCTGGATCGAATACCAGACGAAAGTCGGACTCGTCAATGCCGAGCACACCACAGCATTTCGGACGACCCGGAGACACCCCTCACGGTTGGGGAGGCGATACCCCGATGTCCATGGTATCGACTAGCACAGCAGCAACCGAAGTTCAGAAAGCACCGGACGTATCAAACATGGGCCTCCTCGCCTTCCAATCAAAGTACACGAGCGAGGACAACGAATCTTTCAATAAAGTTGTCGACAAACAAAACGAGAAACGACGAGAAAAACACGCCTGGCTATGGAACGACAACAAAATCCCCTCCGCCCGCCAAATCGCCCACAGTCAACGAGAGACAAAGCGCATCACGGCCGCAGGTGGAAATCCAGAAACTGGTCTGGTAAAACACGAAATCAAAACAAATCTCGATGCCCGTCCCGCAAAACCAGATACCTGGAAATTCCGCCCAGACAACACCCTTATGTTCCTCCCCTCTTCAGTGGAAGACACCCATGAAACCAAACCCCAAAAAGCAGAAGCAACATCTCGCGCTGGCCCAAAGCGAACTCTTTACCAAAACACAAGACTGCTAGACCCCCACGCAGCAGCAGCAGCAGATGCTGTGCCTCCGTCCCCCTCTATATCCGCCATCCAAGACGCAATCGCCGGCCGACCGCGTCTCAATGAGTCCGAAGCATACACAGGCAGTGAAACGCCGCGCGTAAACGGCTACGCATTCGTCGATGAGGACGAGCCGGAATCCTTCTCACACAGCTCCAGCTCTAAAGATGACGAAGCCGATTGGCGTCTTCTGGGCCCGTCATCGTCAGAACGCAATCCCTTCCAGCTGGCTGAAACGGGAAAGCGCGAGGCACTGCATCATCGGATGGTTGATCGGGTGGCGAGGAATAAACGTGCGGAAAAGGCAGCTAGTGTTAAGACGCCATTGAGGACGCCGTATGGGAGGGGGAATTCTACGCCTGGGAAGATGCTTACGCCTGCTGCGCAGATGTTGTTGCAGAGGGTTGGGACCCCCAGGGCGAAGAGGGAGATGGGGAGGGATTGGACGCCTAGGAAGTGAATTTTTATGATAATGATACCATGGACTTCTTTATTGTTATTGTTTTCTGGATGCGTGTAGCACTCAATATGAGTTTCTTGTTGCTTAGAGATCCCTTCATGTAAGTAGTCTTGGAGAGTGGTCAATATCGGGACGAGCAGGAATCGGCTCCCGAGTCTTTACCCGGTCCCGACTTCGGGACTTTGACTCTCAAGACTTCTACTTCTACTTTTACTTATATTAATATTGGAACCATTGTAAATAAGTTGCTAATATCCTTGTAATACTCAATCTAAACTCTGTGAGTTTCTCAAAAGCACTGGAGAATAATGCTAACAAATAAATAGATTCCGTCCAAAGATCATAAATTTGATATGTTAAAATGAGCATCGACACGCCAGCCAAAGATACATCAGTATCAACGCCTTCTAGCAAAGAAGGTAACCCGGGAACAAAAGAGAGCGAGAAAGCTACTGAAACACCAACCTCAAATTACTCGGCAAATCTCCTCTCATCCCTCCTCTCGCCATTTTCATTTTCAAAAGAGACGCCAAAAGAGACATCAGAGAAATCAAAAACGCATATATTAATCGGCCCAACAAACCAAAAACCAGAACAATACTACGCACCAGAAGAAACACCGCTCTTCAAGAAATTACAAAAGTCCCGCTTAACAAGGACCCGCACGAAACAGCTCCTTCGGGCCGCGGAAAGAGAATATAATGACCCGCCCCCGCCACCGGGATTGGGTGATTGCTGTGGGAGTTCGTGTGATCCTTGCGTGAGGGATCTTTGGAAGGAGGAGATTGGGATCTGGAGGGAAAGGTGGGGGGATTGGGCGGAGGAGGATGAGAAGGATGGGAAAGAGGCGAAGAAAGAGGTTAGAAATGAGGAAGAGAAGCCGAAGAAGAAAGAATTGGAGTGGTGATCATATATGTTGTTGTTCTCGGTCTTGTCCATTTGCCTTTTATCAACCTCGGCAAAGCTCTGCTGGCTATCCCCAGTCCTCTCTCGATTCGGGTTTCTTTGGCGTCGAACAGGCTCATCTGTGCAGGTGGAGTGGCGATGCATCTATGCCTCCCATTGGGACCTGTAACCCAGAACTCATTGATGAGAGCCGGGCCTCGTGCTCCTAGATTGGGAACTTGGGTTCCTGTGATCACCAGCCGCCAGGCTGATTAATGTAGACATACATCAATGTCTTCCGGACATGACACTAAGAAGTGACAAAGTCTCAACGTCCAGCAGTTCAGCGGAAAATGCATACATCACTTGGCGTTCCTTGGCAAATAAGCACATGGTGTCGAAAAAGGCATGAAGAAGCCTGTTTTACTTGTCTGCAATAGTACAATGTCGTATCGAACAAAAAGAGCCGACGTATAGGCCAATGATCTTCTATCTACCCATGCTCAATCGCGATGTTTGGGCTTGCAGCGAAGTAAATGCACAGAGTAATCACTTGAGACATACGAGACCAGCTACACACGAGGCACCTAGTTGATTGCTTATACACTGTAATCCAGTAATGTTCGACAATTTAGCGAATTGCATATGGCGCAATGACTTGCTTTGCAGAGATGCACGCATTTAGAACGAGACCCTGAATATAAAAGCAGCCTCTGTTCTCGCTCCGACAGTATATTCAGCAGGTCTTCTTTACCTCGGTCCATTTCATAGCCAAAATGCGTTTCTCGTTGCTCTCTATCCTCGCCCTTGCGCCTGTCGCATTTGCGCTAGTCCTCGATGCGCCCACTATCAAATCGCGTCGGACTTGGAACCTGACATGGAGACTTGATACCCCGGAGGTTGGCTTCTTCCTTACTCGAGATTTCAAAACATTCGACTTTATCGATGTCGTTCCGGCTGAGCCGGAAAAGGCTACTGTTAGCGTGCCCAGAGAGTTGCTTCGTCCAGGGTAAGTTATTGTGTTGTCTGATTCTAAAAGAATGTGAAGTTGATCTGGTCTGGCAGTGATGTTTGGCTGGTCGCATTTACCAACGATGGCAGAGGTCCAATCGGATACAGCGAGAAGTTTACTCTGAAATAAGAATCGGAATTTGTATAGACAAAGACCTCTTTTAAATATACATATGTATGAGAATAAAAAAAAGTGCAATTCAACCGCTCAAACAAGTACAAATGCAACCAAAACAAAAACCCACCAAGCCCCAATCCCTAATCTAGACCCAAGACTCAAATGATAAACAGCTCCAAGGTAAGAACAAGTAATATCACCATCCGAATTTCGATACCCATATGAAGAATTCAACCATCTCCCCTCGGGACACGAAAAGCCCAGCGACGAAGGACAATCCTTAACAAGGGTATGACAGATATCTTGACATGGCAGAATCTCCTTATAAGGGCCCGGTTTGATCTCGCTGTCGATAATGGGATTGCGGGAATTGTTTGACGCAACAGATTTTCGATACGGGCTGTCACTCGGCAGGGATGTGCCGTTGATGAAATCTTGGCCTGCATTGCGGACAGCGAGGTAGGAGGCTGTGGCAGAGTAGTCGGCGCAACGGGGGATGGTCACGCTGCAGAGCCATTGTTTGTATGCCTTTGCGCAGTCGGTACAATTGACGGCGAGTGAGTACATGGATTCATCGTCTGTTTGGCATTGAACTTGTTGGAGGGAGTAGGTAAAGTTTTTGTAGAAGGCGGAGGCATATGAGTCGTAGATTGTGCGAAGTTTCTGGACGCTCAGGTCTGGGTTGGAGGGGACTGCATAGGCTACTTCTGAGCAGAAGGATAGGTTGAAGAGCACGGCGCAGTTGTCATCTGTGAGTTGTTAGATGGGATCGGTCGTCGGTCTTTTTGGGAAAATGGGATTGGCTTACCTGCTTTGGTGGTGAAGTTCATCGGTTTCCAGACTTGTCCGCCGCCGCCGACAATTCCGTTCCCGTTCGAGGTGGAATTGCCTACCATTGCGAGGAGGCCGTTGTAGGAGGAACTGGCATTCAGACCTGTGATGTAGAACTGTTCTTTTGGCTTGTTACCCAGTCCGCGACTGGTCATGCCGACCTCGGTGGAATTGCTGATTCGGCCGACCTGCGACAGCGCGTCAAGGGCACAGAATGACCGCTCTAAACCGACCAACGCGGTGTTGTTGATGTTGTGCGCGAACATTGTATATGGGGGTACCATGTTCATCCACTGGTGGTAGTTTTCAGATGTCCTGTTGGACTCCGTCAGGTTATTCGTGACCAGCAGCGCGGCCGACACGTCCGCGTCGATCAAGTACAGATTCGGTTCATCTTCGACAACACTGTGGAAATAGGCGTCGATAGAAGCTGCAATCTGGAACTTGTAGATGCCGGTGTAATCCGTGGAATTAGGCGCCGCGACACCGATGAACACATCGCTGTCTGTGTCCTTCGTGATCCCCACGTATCCACCAACCGCCGTGTATTTGTCCTGCAAATCGTCGTCCTCGCCCGGCCCTGGGTTTTCCAGCTTGTCTGATTTAGAAACATACACCTCCAGTTGCGGGAATCCGTCGTCCGGGTCGGTTTTGTTGGAGGTCGGCTTGGCGCACGTCGTCAGCGACAGGTAGACCGTGGTGGTTGCGCGTTCGGCGAGTTTTCGTTTTCGTAGCTCATGGCTTGTATCGCCATCGTCACCGTCACCGTCGGACACGTACGCAGGGAGTCCTTTCCCGTCGGTTGCGTGAGGACCGTTCACTATGTCCTTGCTCAGGTAGAACCACCTCACAGCGCCTATCTCGAACGATTCGACAGCCACAAACTGATTATTTCCCAGGGATTTCGCAGCATTGGGTATTCTGCGCACAAGGTCGAGCCCGTTAGACTCCCCGGCTTCATTGATACTGTTTCGAAGCTCCAGGCCATTGAACGAGTCCAGCGCGACTGGGAGACCGGCTCCGTCGCTGGCAATATTTAGATTATCATAGGTGAAGGCGCTCGAGACATAGAAAGTAAGGAAGATGCTAATCGCAATTAGATAGCACCGCAGCGTACTGTATTGACGCATGGAAAGGAAGGCACAATATACTGAGGTGGCATGTGGAGATGATCGGAAGTGAACAAATTAGCCGCATTTTTTCTTCTAACAGCTGTTGTATGTACAACACACGTTTAGAAGTTATTTATAGCCATATTTCCCGCCTATAGAATTCAATGGTATTGTAAAGAAGAAGAAAATCGATATGTATTTCAAATAATGTACTTGAGAAGACAAAACAAGAAATGTGAATAAAATCAAAAGAGAGAAAAATCATCATACCAGCCTCTGCCAGCGAGCCAGGCCGATACTAACGACAACAATAGCTCCCATCACACCGAGAATTCCAAAGAACCAGCCAAGTCCTTCAGAATGCACTCCAGGAATCGGAACATTCATACCAAACAATCCACAAATCAAGTTCATAGGAACCAAAATTGTCGCAATAAGCGTAACCTTGCTCAGCACCTTATTGACATGGTTGCCAAGCACCAAGTTGGTAACATTCAACTGAGCAAGGTAGTTGGTATGCGAACGACTCAGCATCTTCTCGAAATGGGCCAAATTAGACATCATAGTAACGACGTGATCCTGGATATCGCCCAGATAAAGACCGATATCGCCACGCGGTGTAACAGAGTACTGCTCGTTACACCGTTTCGAGAATCCACGAATGACATCCGCTTTCCCGCCAAGAAGACGCATCAGACTCATGACTTTCTTGCGCAGGCCTCCGATGCGCGGAAGGAAAGACTCGAAGTCGTCGACTCGTGCGATGAAGACGTGGTCTTCGATTGCCTCGGATTCGACTTCCACGTCGCGAATAACAGGACCGAAACTATCGACGATGTCGTCGATCATGGCGTAACAGATCCAATCACTGCTGAGTGAGACGTAGTCGCGTAATTTGCCAATTCGCTTGCGGACATTCGAGGCATGCGGGTTATCGACGAATGAGAAGGTCAAAACACCATCACGGAATACAACCATGTAGAAGTTGACGGGTTCGAGGTAGTCTTCGCTGGTCTTGTCTTTTTGGAAAAAAGTGCGGAAGCAGACGAAATAGTACTGCTTGAAGAGCTCGACTTTCTCGCGTGCTTCTTGTGTTTGAATATCCTCCGTTGTCAGAGGATGGATATTGAAGGCTCGGGAGATGGCGCCGAGTTCTTCTTCTGTCGGGTTGACCACGTCGAGCCACCATACACCACCTTCGGGGCCGAGCTCGAAGAGGTCCCGGAAAGTCTCACCTGGGAGGACTAGATCACCCAAGTCGGAGGCATGCACGGTGCTCTGGGACTCGGATGAAAAAAAGCCGAAACGAGTGGGCTCGTTTTCATTCTGAAGAATTTGGACCAGCTCCTTTTCGTCTGGGATTGTGGGATGCTTCTCGTCGTCACTCGATTCGTGCGAAATAGTCTTCTTAATTTGGTCGATCTCGAGGCTTTCCGCGCCAGGACGGAGATCGTAGAAGATTCGCGGCTTCTTGCTCTGCGAGCTCACGCTGTGCTTACGGCTTCGATTGCCGACAGCCCTAGTGTTTGGGTTCAGAGCCACGAACTCCTCCAATTCCTCGTAGTCGATGACGGGAAGACGACCGATCACGGGTGGACGACCTGGCTCGTCAAAGCAGGCCTCCTCCGTGTCAAATGGCACATCTCCCAATTGGGGCCGAATGGCACTGGCGTTGCTGAACGTCGGACGGCGATTGTGTGTGCCACCAGACACGGTGCGTTGCAGGATTGCTTCCAACTCGGGAGGCGCAAGGCTATCCAGGGTGTTGGCACGTTCACGGCGACGGGGATCAGCAAAAGCCTCGACGGAATTGGGGGGAGAAGAGGATCGAGCTGAGACGGACGATGCGCAGGAGGCGTTGGCGAGATCTTGGTTCACAATACTGATGCGACGAGGAGTGTGGTAGTTGGCAGCGGGATCTAACGAGAACCGTGGGAGCCCATTCGGCCCATTGATCGATCTATCATCGTCGATGACAACATTTTCAAAGTCTCGGAAGACTGGACCGTCTCTCAGGGCACTTTGTGGATTGAGCAAGTCGGCACGCTCGGGGATTTCAATGGGCCCTTGGGTATCATGAGGGCTATAAGAGCGTTCGATGGAGGTGTCAATTCGTGGTGGTGTTTGCATCTGGCGACGGTGGTCATCCAGTTCTGGTACTGGGGTACTGTACCGGGTCAGGTACACGGACCGCTGGGATCTGGGGGACTCAGACATGATGAGCTCTCGGGGAGTTTTGTGCAAGCGGTTTGGGCGCCAGATTGGTTAGTTAGTTGGGTAAATTGCTCTTTGAAAGCGCGACGGCCGGAGCAGACGTAAGCCGGTATGAGGTTCGTTCAAGGGTGACGGCCCTCCATCCATAAGCCAGACCCTTCACGGGGGTCTGGCGTTACCGACAAACGTCTGACGGCCACAAAAAGGAGGTAATGTAAAGCCAGTTAGGGAGGTCGAGTGTCGCCCCCGCAGAAGACCCGGAATTTGGGGCCTGCAAGAGGGTGGAGGAGAGAGGCCGCGGTGTAGCGAAGTCCCGCCAACTTGAAGAGGTGGTGAGATGAGGAGCTTGGGTGCTCCAGGATTGCAGCGAGAGAATAATCAACGAGTGACGTTGATCGGCGAGTTCCTCAGAGGTCTGAGATAAGTTCAAAGAAGTACAAGAAGTACTCCGCGAGGTGGAAATGTGTGTTTGCGTCCAAAAGTAGGAGTGGCGATAATCAAGTGTGGCCGGGGCCGATTGCTTTGTAGTATGGCTGTCCACAATATATCCACAAAGTAGAAAACCGCTTTCAGAGAGAGGTTTATTGAATTGATCGGTAATAAAAGGGCACCTCAAGGGCGATTTGCGATGGAGAAGAAGGAAAGGGAGAAAATAGTAAGTGGGGGTAAAGTTGATCCAGAGCTATAATGGTATGGCACTTGGAAAATTTTCTCTCAAGCGGGTCTCCGTTTCAAAGAGTCTATACTTAGCTTCGGCATGTATTGACTTAATAACTTCCATATAGTATTGTAGTTGTATAGTCTTGGACTCTATATCTTTTGAGGCATTTATTACCGACTATCTCGGCTTTTGATTCAATTGCACGTTATGTGTGTCCGCTTCTTTTCCTTGAGCGCTTTAATTTTCATTCGCAGGGTCCATCCAGGTATGTTCAAAGGATTTTCATGAAATACTAACATATTAGTTCTAGATCTACAAAGATGTCATATGATTATGATTATTATTTTCTTTCGAAACAAGTTATGCCTTTTGACCGACATCTACCGATTTGACCTACGATTGACGTGAGGTCAGCCTCCGCGGGAAGCATAGAGTTCTATACAATACGTACTTGGTGTCTAAAAAGCAGGGATATGAGACAATTGGCCTCTATGAGGTCATAACTCAGGTTGTATGAGAAGGTTTCTTTGCTCTTAATTTTTTTATAAGAAAAGAATTTGATAAAGACTAGAAAAGATAATAGAATGTGCATAAGATGACATGGCCGCGTTCAACCTTGAACTAGTTATGTAGTTCTTTGTACGGAGTACTCCGTTCTAGACTTGAATAAGGAAAAATTCCAACTACGAATGTTGTCTATTATTCATAAAAAAATTGTCCAATGATCACTCTCTAGGGTAGTAAGTACCACCTTGAACCCTGATGTCGTCCATAATATCCATCATATAGTCTCATCCCAAGGCATAACCTTACTCTCTTTCCGCTTCGCGAGAACCTCAAGAGCCGTATTATCCGCTTCCCATACAAACCCACGCCCAATCTGAGCGAAATCATACTTCGTTCCTTCGCAACTTTCCAGCGGGAAGTAAGCAATGATCTGGATTCCCACTCTGTTTCTTCCAAACAGTGAATGATTCCGGTGCAGGTGTTCGCCCTTCTATTTCAATATATTCATTTGTCCCATGCACAACGGCAAATACTTCACTGGGGGCACCAAGAGAAGGATTTGCTGTGCGATAAAGGTAATGTTCCGTCCGATACATGCTAGGGCACCGGTACTGAAGGGTATGAAAATGGCCCGCATCTGTTTAACCTTCTCCTCATCTTCAAGCCACCTTTCTGGCCAGAAGACTTCTGGTGCTGGGAAAATACCTGGATCGCGATAGGCAAGGTATGTTGGAACGAAAACGATAACGTTGCCAGGGATACTCTCTCTCCAAACTCTGCATGCCTTCTGGTGGTGTCTTCCGCTCTAGCCCTCTCGAAATGGGGGGCGACAATCGCAGCGACTCATCGAGGTAAGCTTTCAGGTAAGGTAGATTCTTCACTCCAGAATATAGTGCAACATCATTTTTGAGCAGAGCGCTGGCTACCTCCTCTTTCAGTTTATTTATAGATTGGGGCTTTTGATGGGGTAGTATATGATATTTGGCAATTGGGGTACCTCCGAAAGTTCTTCGCGTCGTAGAGATAGGTGGCCAACAGCTTCGCAACGCAAAAAACCAAAAAAAAGATGACAACTATTAAAATCGCCATCATCATTTGATACTTTGACAATGTGTTTTTGCGGAAAAATGAAGGGTATGTTCAACAGATGTGATCAGTGGCCCTGGTCGAGTACTTGCATGGGATCCTGTCTCTGCAAAGTGACATAGGGCACATTCGCTAAAGACCTGACTATGTAATGCTATAGAACTTTCCAAGGCCTCCATTGAATTGAGGAGATCATATATCCATAAGGGTATACTAAGAGCGGATAGTTGGTGGTGCTGACATAGAATGATACCACTGACTACAATACGGCACTGCACGAATAGAAGGGCTATGATTAGATTGGCGTATGTTGGGTCAGGGGTTCGTAGATGAATTTGAGAAAGTGTAACGTAAAGCTGTTTTCGAATACTACTGTAACAACAGCAATAAAAACAACAGTTATAATGTAAGATCCAAAACAACAATTGACAAAGGAAATCGTTAATAAGATGTCGAGGGCTAGATGAAAACAGACTCCACTCTTTCCGACGTCGGCCAATTTTTTTTGGTGCGCGCCAAGACATTGAGAGTCATAGAATCGCCAGGATTAAGGTATCTTAATATCTTAAACACAATTGCACAACCACCATGTATTCCAGCGTGATCAAAATCCCTTGTTCCTCCGCCAATATTGGCCCAGGGTTTGATGTAATCGGCCTAGCATTGTCCCTCCACTTGGAACTTCACGTCACCGTCGAGGACAAGCCCTCATCCCAACTCCCATTCAACTGCGCAATTACCTATGAGGACCAAAGCAAGAGTGTCGAGCAGATCAGTCTCGACCCAGAAGTCAACTTGATTACCCGTGTAGCCCTGTATGTCCTCAGATGCCACAGCCAGCGGGCATTCCCCGTCGAGACCAAGGTCCACATTATCAATCCTATCCCGCTAGGTCGTGGTCTGGGCTCCTCGGGTACCGCTGTGGTCGCTGGTGTTATGCTGGCTAATGAAGTTGGTAAACTGTCCTTGAGCAAGGAGCGTTTGCTGGATTACTGTTTGATGATTGGTATGTTTTTAAATTGGTTTCATGTCTCCTTATGGAGTTATCCATGTACTATACTAATGTGGAACAGAACGTCACCCCGATAATGTGGCTGCTTCCCTCTTCGGTGGGTTTGTCGGTACTTATCTGAATGAGCTTAAGCCCGAGGATGTGGCACGGAAAGAGATTCCTCTTAGTGAGGTCTTGCCTGCTCCCGCTGGTGGTGTTGACACCGGTATCAGGCCCCCAGAGCCACCTATGGCCATTGGCCATTACAGGAAGTTCAACTGGGCCCCGGAGATCAAAGCCATAGCTATTATTCCCAATTTTGTGGTGCCTACTGCCAACGCGCGTAATGTGCTCCCACAGACCTACTCAAGGGCCGATGTGGTATGTTCTTCAAAGGTGATTTGATATGTTTGACACTGTAAAACTAATGCTTGGGCAGGTTTTCAACCTCCAGCGTGCGGCCCTCCTTCCCGCAGCCCTGGGCAGCTCCCCACCTGATCCTGATATGATCTTCCTTGCCATGCAAGACAAAGTGCACCAGCCGTACCGCAAGACCCTGATCCCTGGTCTGACAGAGATTCTCCAATTCATGACCCCCGCCTCGCAACCCGGTCTGCTGGGAATTTGTCTGTCCGGCGCTGGACCAACCATCTTGGCGTTGGCCACGGAGCGCTTCGATGAGATCGCTGACCGCATCATCGCACAGTTCGCTTCCAACAACATCACCTGCCAATGGAAGCTGCTGGAGCCCGCCCAGGATGGCGCTACTGTGACCTACAACTAAATTTGGCGTATTGAATGCCGTCATAGTGCAGTTGTCCAGTTGGTTCCTCGTGCTGGAACAAGCACGTCGGCAAGTGCATTGACCCCGGAACCCATGGGATGGGACGAGAACATCCTTGTCCGCCAGTCATGCATCTGGCTTTTACATTGCTCCTTGTATCCGACATCACAGGGTGCTTGTGGGTTTCTCAATGCTGCAAACTGGATTTGGTTGGATTTAGCTTACTTTTGGGCTTGTGTTTGCACAGCGTGCATGAATGCAGGGCCGTGTTTTCCAGGCTTGGTTTCCATCCGACTTGGGTAGACCCTTTATGGCATAGATGACAGATGACATCGAATGAAATCACGATCAACGTAATAAAAAAAGCTCAAACATCTAAAATAAATCACATTTCTCACATACGATTCATTACAATGTGGAGAGGGCGGTGATTACAGGCAGAATGACAGGACACCATTGCGATAAGCTGATCAAGGGCCGTCTGGACTCAACTTAGCCTTGAATACCCATAACTTCACAATGGATGAAATACTCGCACCTATCCAAGATGCCTTTGAGGGTCAAATTGTATGTTCTTTGCTTACATCGTCAACATCCATTGGCATTCCCTTAATCCCGGGAACAAGCTAACATGTTGATAAACAGGACTTCCACGGCCAGCGCCTGGCAGAGCTCCTTTCTACCATTCTATTGATTATCTCAGGAGTGAGTAAAGAAATCATCCATTTTCACTACTGAAGCTAACCACTGTATCTCCCTAGGCTGCCAGTTTCCTCGTCGGATACATCTACAAAGACATTCACCTTACACTATGGACCGGATTGGCGGGCACATTATTCACAGCATTGGTGGTCGTCCCACCGTGGCCGGTCTACAACCGCAACCCAGAGAAATGGCTAGGGTCAGCGAAAGCAAATCCTGGAATAACCGTGGACGGAGTAAAGGTGCAATGAGCTTTGGGAACGGGCGAATAATAAACGGATGGATCAATTGCTCTGCGCTACGGAGACCCAATAAGCTAGAGCCGAAAGTTGAGTAAGAATCAACTACTGCCAATCCGTGCAACATTCTCGTGGAGCGGGGAAAACATTCATAGTGGCTTCAGCCAGATATCGTAAATTGTATCGTGTAGTGTAAGAAAATAAAAAAACGGCATCCACCTCTTTACCGGCCGTACTTCTGGAACTCCCAGTCTCGGTTGTCCAGTGGGCAGACTTGGCGGGTTTTCAGCCATCTCGATATGCAGTGGAAGTGGAATGCGTGCTGGGAAGATGTTAGTCGTGCGTCATGGTATGGATTTGGGGAGGGGGAGGGGTCCTCACGTTGCAAATACCCCAGGCTACAGTACACTCTTCAGTTGTTGATGAGCCTTGGTTAGCCTGACATTCGATGCCTATGCTGGAGGTTAGCTTGGGACACAGTGTTGGAGGGATTGCACATACACAGGTCCATGATGTGATTTCGGCAAATGGCACAGTTGTCAACGACAATGTCCCAGGCCCAAAGGGCAACGGCGTTCCACTTTGACTCAGTTCAGTACTGTTTCTCAATTTGTTGATGTTGGATTATAGGGTACCTTCTTGACCTCAAACTTCTTCTTGTCGCTGCTATCGCCTTTCGCGACAGCCTTTCCCTTCGAGCCGGCGGCTTCTTTCATCTCCACGTCCGCCATTTTGAGGTTTGTAGACTGGGGTTGGAGGGGTCTGGAACGCTTTGCAGGTAAAGGGTAGCTAAGGTGGGGTGTGTTATTGCGCGGGTGAAATTGGTGACTGACGTAAGTAAGTGAGGCTCCGTTCGATTTAGAGGCGGTGATAACAGGATGAAGTGCAGCGATATAGTGATTAGAGTATTTCTCAAATTGAAATCATACCTTTAAAAAAACCGTCTCAAGGTACTCAACTCATATGACACTGACCAGCAGTTGATCTTCTGTTTGACTCTGTTTGGCTCTGTTCGGTTTATCGTGAGGTGACTGGAGCAAGTGGCGTATTAGTCATCTCCGAGATATCCCCTCCCGGTTGTCTGCATTCAATTGTCTTTCTCTTCCAACAACCATGATTCAATATTTCTTTCTTCGTTTGTCCTCTTTAGAGATGATTTCACCAGCTTCTTGACCTTTTCGTTTTCACTCTTCTAATCCTAGACACGAACGTTTCAGCGAAGCGTCTATCCTTTTTTTGTCGAAGTGATAACTCAACTTGCGACCTCACTTTACCCTGTTGATACACGTCACTTTCCCAGCTTCGTTGCCGTATCTTAATATTGTCGACACCTGCTGAGCAGTGATCTGACTGACTTTTTGCTGTGATCTCTTGAACTTCATACATCTCTGCCGTTTATTGCTTCGTCTATAGCGTTGCTTTCTGATTTCCCTCTACAACTACGGCTGCCTATTTTTCAAGCCAACTAGTCGACATGTCGACTCAATCTCCTCATCCTCCGACCCCTAAGGGCTCTCGTAACAACCGTCGGCCTCAGAAGAAGACCATGACCCCGCAAGCTCAGAAACCTGGTCTCCTCTCCACACCTCCGTCATCTCCGCCTGGCAACATGAGTCCAGCAATCCAGGCTGTTCCGTCTAATAACTCCACGAATAAGCAGTCTCAGCAGACTTCGCGGTCAATGAAGAAATCGAGAGACAACAGAGCTTCACCTGCCACACACAATGGATATTACAGCAATGGACACCAAAACAATGGGTACGCGAACGGATACCAGAACGGATACAGAAACGCACCAAACCATGCCAGTGTGACTTCTCCACAGATGAAGGAAAGCGCCGCCTATGCAGGACCAACCTTCCATGCATCGCCTGCGCCCTCGTCTCTACCGATGCCCAAGTTCCTTCCAAAGTCTGCCCCGGATGCAGATCTGGTTCCACCCCTTGAAACAGACAGCGATAGTGCCGATCTTTCACCGTCGGAACAAGAGACAACTCCCTCGAGGCGTCGCAGTCGCATTTCAAATGTGAACCAAGAGCCCCAGCCCACCACCGCCCTTGACTTTATGTTCCAGGCCGCTAAGAAAGCGAAAGAGCGTAATTCCACCAGCAGTACTGATGTGAGTCGGATCCGGTCACCCCAGACTGAACCAGTGGCACGCCACAATTCCGGCGGCATGGGAACTGTTGATATGGATAATTCGCGCTACTCACCTATCGGCCCCTCGTTCGCTACGTCCTATCAGGACCGCATGGCGGCACTGCGCCCGTCCAGCGTGCCTCAATCTACTGAAATCAGCGATGCCGAGCGCAAAGCGAAGACCGAACAGCTGAAGGATTTACTGCTCAACCCACGTCCTCAAAAGCCACCCTCTGCGGCTCCTTATTCGCCAGGTAACGCTGGGGGCTTTGGGAACTTCGAACCGCGTCAGCCCGGAAGTTTTGACAGGCACTCGCCAAATTTTCCACCGTTCGCGACGCCAAGTCGAGCTTCGTCTGGTCCTCCTATGGCACATCATAGTAACCCCTTTGGTAACCCACCACCTCAATCGAACCCTCACCTTCGGAACCCGCACCTTTTTGCGAAGCCCGGCTCGCCACTGCGTGAGGTCAACCCGGCTCCATATCAATTCCCAAGCCGAGGCACTGTCTCGAACGGATCATCCCCGGGTCCTTATCACCAGTACAGGCAGAGCCCGAATCCTCTGTATCCGGGACCTGCTTTCCATTCCACAAATTCACCCTCGCCTTTGCCTTCTCGGTCCATGGACACCCAGCAGATTGAGAACGACATTCGACGTGTTCTGAAGCTTGATGCTTCCACGACATTTGCTTAGTGCCTACACGACTTTCAGACAAGCTCCAATGTGATGTTGGCTATCTTCTCTTTTTTTGATCTTATTTTTCTTTTTGTTTTGATTTCGTTCTTGGCAAATGTTTTTTTCTCTTTTCTTACCTGCCTACTTCTCTTTCTTGACGTTCTTATCTTTACTTCCTCTTACGTCTTTAAACTCTTTCTGTTCCCTTGAATTCTTCCTATTTTTATTTCTTTCCGTTGATTTGCATTGTTATGGGCATCCTTGACTGGTCTAAGGTCCCTCGGTGGGTTTTTTTTTGGTGCATGGTGTTTCTTTCCGTGAGTCTCTCGCGGTAATGTTTACCATGATGATGATACACAGCACTGGCTGCTCGCGGTACATTGATGAGGCGGTGATTTTACCTAATCTTCCATCGTTCGGCGTCGTGATTCTTCCAGTGTTATGTCGCACCTGGTTTGGTGGACACTCAGGCCGAGGATGGCTACGATATGCATACGCTTTGCATTGTTTGGTTTTTGCATTTCTTTCTTTTTCTTGTTTTGTTTCTTTTTTTCTTCCTTGTTAAATCCCACTCTTTTCGCTTTTCTTATCTGTTCGGTCGAACTAGCGGTCAACTCGGATTGACTGATTTTTCGTATCTTTGCGTCCACTGCCCTTGGGGGTTTTTTATCTGGCTTGTACAGTCCGGTGTGCTCTCACGCCTATCGTTCGTTTAAACACCCACAAGTCGGGTTTTCCCATCTCGATATCTCTATCTCAAGCTTCTTGCACGTGTTCAAATATGTAGTGTCTAAGGGTCAAGAATGACCACAACGCTGTACGTTGTACCTTGGTAGTACGCTATGTTAAGACATGGATCATCTGTAGTTCCGAGGCCAAGTTACACATACTCCATACATACTATCCCATATGAAGTATAAGTTCAAGATGGAATGATGCCAAGACCGGCGAGCCACTCGATGGGGCGAATCAAAGACCATACTAGTTGGGAGAGTCCACTCTTGAAGGATACAATATTTTATGGTCGCGCTGATCCCAATGTCCAGGGTCCTTCACACTAGTCTCTCAATATCTGAGTTTTAGAGGTTGAAAGGTTTAGTAAGGAATTCTCTCCAGGACCGTATTTTATAAGAACGTTACGGAGTACGGAGTATGTAGTACTCAGATAGGATGTTCTATTTTTGGCTCTATAAACGTTTCCCCCTGATAACTAACTATACTCCGTACTAACTACTAATACATTGGTTGCTACTTGAATTTGAGATCCACTCTCATGCTGGCTAATTTTACACAATTATTATATTTAAAAATTCCAGAAGATAGTTAGAGGAGATAGGGGAAAGGAGAACTCCGAAACTGCCACATATACGGAGTATATTTCCATAACTAAGTATACTACGTACGTACATACGTGCATACGTCAACTAGTTACAGGTAATCATATCTGTCCCATAGAACTCGTATACGTCTATTCGGCAATTGGAGATCTACCAAAGAGTGTCTCGGACCTGATGAAGCTTAAATTAAACAGCCACCGTGGCGTAGAGGTTACATTAAAACAATTTCCTTTTGAAGCCCTGTACACAAAGGGATCGAGGTACTAATGCCTATATCCGTATGTTTCTTTGTATTTCCACAGAATATACCAAGATCCTTCTATTGTACAATAAACTGCAACGTAGTCATCGATTGTTGCAAGCAGTAATACATACGTGAGCATTCAAGCTCATGGGGCATCGACATCATAGTTGTTGATCTGCATAACTTGTTACGCTGAATGCGGCCAGGGGTTTTGATGGAAATAGAAGAACCACCATATCATAACAAGTCAAGTGAACCCTTTTAAAATCTTGATATCCTCTCTTTTCACTGTTTTCTCCGTTTTATCAAATCAAATCCACTACAAAAAGGAGAAGAAATTGATTCCAGAACAGACAACGTATAGGAAAAAAGGAAGAAAATCCCCACCATTTCGTCTCCAAGGCGTCTCTCCTTCCTTACCTAATTGAACGGAATTCTGGAACTTCGCCCCTACCATCTTTTCTGAACTTCCAATCTCTGCTTTCCGATCAAAATCCGACTGTGTCGGATCAACTGTTCTAGTCAATGATCTTTTCACTACTGATTTTTTGAATTATTGACAACCATGGCGAACTTGTTGGTCCCCCCCCTAGTCTCTCTCCTCCTCGAACGCAAACTGACAGATGCAGGATTTCTTCATCATGGCGCTCGTTTTGGCATACCATGACATCCTATGACCGTCATGCCTCCCACGATTCTCCATACCGTACTGGAAAACACGTCCCGCTCAGTCAAAGCCGCCACGAGCCACTCACATCGATCGCAACCAGCGCAATCGAATCGCGACCGGACCTCTCCAACCCCTACGATGACGAGCCAACAAAAGGATCCGCTAATTCACAAGCAACCGAGTGGACTGGTTCACCCGATGACGTGGACTCTCCAAGTCGCCCTTACTCGCCCGGAATGAGGTCGGTCGCATCTCAAAAGAGACGGTCAAACGACCAGGGTGAAGGCCCACCAGAGATCCAGATGCAGAGTTTCCACGATGGAGCACCACCACCGCCCCCCGTGGCTCACTCTTGGAGGAAGATCGAGCGCTGGTTAGAACAGAATTATGAGGAACTCCTTGACCAGCTCGGTGAAGGGTGTACCCAGAACGACATTAACGAATTGGAGCATGAGCTAGATTGCAGTCTCCCCTTGGAGTTGCGAGAATCCTTGATGCACCACGACGGCCAGGAACGTGGCGGTCTGCCTACCGGTGTTCTCTTCAGTGCCATGCTTCTGGACTGCGAGGAGATCGTTCAAGAATGGCGGAACTGGAAGATCGTCAACGAAGAATATTTCGGTTCCTCGACTTATATGCAAAATCCCGTGTCCAGCTCTGCAGCAAGCTCCTCGGCCGCTCCCCAGCAAACTTCCACCACGTGGCGCTCAGAACTGCTCGATCGTCAAGACTCTCAGCCGCCTGGGGCCGTCCAAAAAGCTTACGCACACCCCGCGTGGATCCCCCTCGCCCGCGACTGGGGTGGTAACCACCTCGCCATTGATCTGGCGCCCGGCCCCGCCGGAAAATGGGGCCAGGTGATTATCTTCGGTCGTGATTACGACTGCAAATATGTCGTGGCCCGGTCTTGGGCTGCTTTCCTCGCTACTTTCGCCGAGGACCTGTGCAGTGGCAAGGTCATTGTCGACGAGGAGACGAATGAGCTGAAACTGAAGGAGTTCAAGTCCCAGAATGTCGAACCCCCTTACCTGGAAATTCTGCGCTGGAGGACGGATCAGAAGTACGGCCGCCGGGCGCCCCGACGGAAGGGCCCTGCCAACGGTCTGGGTGTGAATGCTTCCGGAAACCGGTCCAGTAGTCGGGAATCGCCCTACGGCAGCCCGACCCGAGCTGAAGAGCGTGGCCGCTCACCACACCGATTCTCCAAGGGCGGAAACGCCCAGAGCCCCAAGACGCCATTCGGCATGTCTAGCCCTCTTGCTCGTGTGACGGAAGAAACCACAAGTCCCATCGTCACCGCAGGACCTGCGATCTCTGAAGACCCCAAAGAAAACGGAAAGGAGCCTCAGAGTGACGATCTGATGGAGGTTGCCACGCCGCAAATCTCTAACAAGGAGAATGAAGGGTTCCCCAAGCCCAACGAACTCAAGGAAACCGACAAGGCAGATAAGACAGAGAAATCCGACGCGGAATCCTCTGTCATGGATTCAGAGGTCCTTGGTGAAATGAAGAACGTGGCTATTTGAGATATCCCGTTTTTCCATGATATGGATGACCCTCTGCTTCCGTGTATAGAATTCCCCCTTTCTGGCTTGACGGCATTTGTTGTAATTCTAGGCTGCCTGCGTTCTGTTTTGCTTTGAAATGGTTCTCCATTGATATTTTGCCTGTAATTCTATGATGACAGTGCTTTTTTTTAGTGTCTTCTGGCTACAATCCATTTACATTGATCCTCTAGTCATCAGGTCTTCATGTAGAAGTCTAGGATGTATGTATGGCATTGTTATGCTGCTGACCATCTCCATCGAAGTCGAAATCGATATTAACAAAAGGATCCTCAAACAGATCCATGGATATCTTAAATACATTAATCCCAATCGCCATCATCATCATCACCTCGGTTTCTCACCCGAGGATTCGCACTGCGAATCCCCCTCTTCCTGATTCCCCTCCTCCCACTCTCCTCATCACTCTCCTCCCTCAGATCATCATCATCATCCCCACCTCCAATCTTAATACCCGCCAAAATCCCCTTCATCATCAACCTCCTCTCCAAAACCCGAACATCAAAGTTTTCAACCCCATCAAACCCCCTCGCCTCAAGTCCCTCAAATCCAAGCACTCGATCCACCCCCACCCCATCCTTAAATCCAATCACACAAGGCAGCACCCGAATTCCCAGCTTCTCTGCAATGAACGGTGTGTTGCGCACATCCACCCGCGCAAATGAGACCTCGAAATGCACGCTTGCCAGCTCTCCCAGCCGCATGTCCATCACCGCGCACCGCGCGAAGTCCGGGTGACTGAAGTGCACAAGACATTTGCTGCTGCGGGTTGTGAAGTCCAGCACGGATTGGTCGTTTGGGAGCGTGGGGTAGATGTCGTTGTGGAGGATGCTGGTGCCGCTGTCTTTGGTTGAGTGGTTATTTTTCGTCGCGGCTAGCTCGGCGTTTAGTTGGTTGATTCGCGCGTCGCGGTAGATTGTGTCGGATTCGGATTCTAGGGCGGCGAAGATGGCTTCGTCGTCGGAGTCAGCCATTGTGGTGGGGGTTTTGGTGGGTGGATGTTGTTCGGTGGATTGCTTTGATTTTCAGGGTGTTTGGTTTATTCCATTTGCTTTTTTGGGCCCTTTTCTTGGTTTGAGATTTTCAGGGTGAGTGTGTGGTTAGGAGTTGATGTCGGGAGAGCTCCACTGATATGGTTCGGTAGTTGGTGTCGCGTATGGGTTTTGGTCAATACACAACGCAACTTAGGGAGAGATTGATTTTGATTCAGGATTAGGAGATCAATTCTTTCTTTCGATGGATACAACTGCAATTATAGGTCTACACACAAAGTGAATGTTTACTTCCAATATTCCCAGACTTCCAGAAACGGTCATTGTACCATCTGCTGCCCTTGACCGCCTGCCTGTCTCCACCACCCCCCTTGCCCCTTAGGGTTTAGCGCTTATACTCGTTTGGGTTTAGCGCGGCTTCACCTATGTATCGGGCTCACATAATTACTATGTTACACATAGTTATATAGATCTGACGGATCCCGATAAAGGTCAATTAAGTGCCCAGTAGCAGATTTAAGTACACTATTGTAATAATTCTGTAGTTTCACCCCCATATATCTCATTCGAATCTAAAACTGATCCATCCTGTACTAGTACCAACATCTGGGACGCTAGATTTATCACAAGATAATCCTAGAGTTCCTGCAAAGATATTTTTGACCTATATAGAAGCGAGTGACTTATGATCCTTGAAGCTTTGTTAAGGTAGACTGTTATACTTCGTAAAATGTTTACCTGGGTAGTGCCTCTTAGGATAATCATAACGTTGTTTATAAACCTCAATATATCCTTAGGGTTTGAGTTAGATATTCAACCTCTAGGAGACACAATCAAATGTATCAATTGTATCTACTCAATTGATCCAATCATCATACATATAACTCTTTACTTCTTCTATAAAGAGTACACTGTGCAGTGAAGTGATTCGCTCTATAAATAACTGATTAGTCAGCACCCCTTAAACGCTTAGTCAAAATGTTTGCGGCCGCGAAATCTGTCAAATAATCTCCCTTGGCCCTTTTTCTTTGGTCCACTAGTTACAAGATTGATCAACTGGCTTTTTGACTCCAGATTCTTGTCATTGGGTACTATCTGTCTTTTCAGTTTCCCCTTACAATACCGACAACTCCCGATCCTCCCCTTATCTGCCCTCTCCTGGTTTACTCCTGAATATTCGCCATGGTCGAAGACAAGAAATCCGACTATACAGTCGAAATGTCCCAACTGGGCGAGGACTCAAAGAAGAAACAGTTCGAGGCTGCGCCGCCACCAAGTCCCTCCCCTCGCGCTGGACCCAGCTTGTCCAATAACCCCGCCCTTCCCGTGCTGGCATACTGTGGTTCGTCTATCATGATGACAGTCATGAACAAGTATGTTCTGTCGGGCTTGGACTTCAACTTGAACTTCCTCCTACTCTGTGTTCAGGTATGCTATGCTGTGACTCCAATTCAAGTCGGAGCAGATTGCTGATCTCTACAGTCTTTGGTCTGCATTGTGGCAATCCAAACGTGCAAGTCCATGGGCCTGATCACGTACCGTGATTTTAGCAGCGACGAGGCGAGAAAGTGTAAGTATATACATTCAGTTTCTCCAGATTCGAAGACGTGGTAACTAACAAGACTTTTTTTAGGGTTCCCAATTACGCTACTTCTGATCGGCATGATCTACACCGGCTCTAAGGCTCTCCAGTTCCTCTCCATTCCCGTTTACACTATCTTCAAGAACTTGACTATCATTCTCATTGCCTACGGAGAGGTCCTCTGGTTCGGTGGCTCTGTTACCAACCTAACCCTGTTCTCTTTTGGTCTTATGGTTTTCAGCTCCCTCATTGCCGCCTGGGCTGATATCAAGCACGCCGTCGAGAGCACCGGTGACACCTCCAGCAAGGTCTCGACTCTGAACGCAGGCTACGTCTGGATGCTTGTCAACTGCCTGTGCACCTCGTCTTACGTCCTGGGCATGCGCAAGCGCATCAAGTTGACCAACTTCAAGGACTTCGACAGTATGTTTCTCTTCCAGTCTGGTTCCAAATCTATACTTACATATTCCCAGCCATGTTCTACAACAATCTCTTGTCGATCCCTGTCCTGATTGTCCTGACCCTTCTCGTCGAGGACTGGTCCTCCGCCAACCTGGCCCGCAACTTCCCCGAAGCCAACCGCGACGGCATCTTCTTCGCGATGGTCCTCTCTGGCGCATCCTCCGTCTTCATCTCCTACACCTCCGCCTGGTGCGTGCGCACCACCTCCTCTACCACCTACTCCATGGTTGGTGCCCTGAACAAGCTCCCCATTGCCATTTCCGGCCTTGTCTTCTTTGACGCCCCGGTCACCTTCCCCAGTGTGTCCGCCATTGCTGTTGGTTTCGTGAGTGGCATTGTCTACGCCGTCGCAAAGATCAAGCAAAACTCCAAGCCCAGAACCGGTGTCCTGCCCGCGCCCGTCAGCGCCAGCAGCCAGAGTATGAGAGACTCGCTGCGCTCTTAGATCAAGAGTTTATGCATCTGACTGGTCAGCGCATTTCAAAAAATCCACCGTCCACGGTGTTTGCATGTGACATTATGATTCACGTTTCATTGCAGCCGAAATTGGTTGTCTGGTGCCGGGGGAACTGTCACTTTTGTCGGTGTTGGTGTTTTACTTCTTTTCCTTTTTCTTTTCTTCCCCTGTGCCTTACATCTATGGGAATCTCTGTGGGTTCCCTGGTTTTGGTCTGTAGTATGATTTAGTAATTCTCTTCCTTTCCCCCTTTTCCCCCGGCCATAGCATCTTGTCTGTCTTCGATGTATATAGCTATCCCCCTTGTCGCGCTCTGGTTTGCCAATAGAACGTGTCGTTTGACATCTAATATGAAAATTTGGAAATTTCTACACTGGTAGATTAAACATTGACAGTATTTGAATGCAAGACTATTTATCATATATGTCATATTCTCGACCTCTTAATATCAAATGGACACATAGCAGGCAGGAGACATACATATGTAGACAGGACGTTGTTGATATAGAGAATTCGGATCTTTGATTGGCCGAACTTGACCCGTGATTTTCACATCTTCAAACTTGCGCAACGACAACTGACACTCATGTGTTTTCTATAGTTCAAATCATCAGACGCTTATTCTGATCGAAAATGCCACGCAACACCAAGAGAATAAAGGGTGCCGCTGCGCGCCCTAAGCCAGGCAAGCCATCTGGGCCTGCCAACCCATCCAAGGGCCAAGGCAAGGGCCAGCAAGGCCAGAATCAGAGCAACAATGGCAATGCACAGAAGAAGGGCCCTGTACAAGCAAATCAAAGACCCATTGTCCCATTTTTGAGGAAGGATCGAGTGCTCTTGATCGGTGAAGGTGAGATTTTCTTTGGTTTTTTTTTTCGCTGCCTTTTTATATATAAAAAAGAGCAAAATGGGAATATTCATGATAGTTTCACTGCTGTATCAGCAGTAGAATCCTACAATCCTACATGTTTTGATATTTTCATGTATTCGGTTTCGTTACTCATGCCCAGACCGGCCTGTTCATGATATATGGATCCCAACACCCTCTACCCAAGACAAAACATATCTCAACAAGATGAATCCTTCAAAAGAGCCATACTAACAAACCCCAGGAGACTTCTCATTCGCCCGCTCACTAGCAAAGCAATATAAATGCCGCAATCTCTGCGCAACAAGCTATGACTCCAAAGAAACACTCTACAACAAATACCCGCAAGTGGAAGAAAACCTGAAAACGATCCTGGCCTCAAATCCCAAACAAGAGCAGGACCGGCCCAAAGTCCTCTTTTCCGTGGACGCACGCAAACTCGGCACCCAAACCGGCGGCGGCAAAGAACTCCTCCGCGGTTTCACGCGCCGCGAGCGCAAAAGACCGGCCTGGTTCAACCCTTCCACTCCAGATGAACCGTACCAGCCTGGCGGGGCGTGGGATGTGATCTGTTTCAATTTCCCGCATGTGGGCGGGCTCTCGACGGATGTTAATCGGCAGGTAAGGGCGAATCAGGAATTGCTGGTTGCTTTCTTCAAGGCTTGTGTGCCGCTTGTTTCGAAGCCGCCGCCTTTGATGGATGCCGACGAGGGGGAGTATGAGTATGAAGATGGGGAGGGGAGTGATGATGATGAAGACGAGGAAGAAGAAGAAGACGATGGTGAAGGTGAAGAGGGCGAAGCCAAAGATGATGCAACCACGGGTAAAGGGGTGCGTACTGGTGCTGGCCAGATACTTGTTACGTTGTTCGAGGGAGAACCTTATACGCTTTGGAACATCAAGGATCTGGCGAGGCATGCGGGGTTGGTTGTTGTAACTAGTTTCCGATTTCCGTGGAGTTCTTACGAAGGGTATTCGCATGCACGGACGGTAGGACATATTGAGGGGAAGGATGGGGAGAGAGCTGGCTGGAAGGGGGAGGATCGGGAGGCGAGGATGTATGTATTTGAGGTGAAACCGAAGGAGAAGAAGAGTGGGAAGAAGAGAAATCGGGATGATTCTAGTGATAGTGAGTAGGGGGTATCAACTTCAATTCAAACAGCTTGATATAACTATGTGTGGACTTTGATCCTCTACATAACGGTTTACATGATGTAGACTTTCTTCATTTCGCCTTCACTGAAGATCTCGCCCGTTGTTGGGTCTTTGACCTTGCCTGTTTCGATGGTCCCGATCTTCATGCTGTTTTCGATCAGTCGGTGCTTTCCATAGACTCGGCCATTGGGTAAAACGATTGGATCGCTTTCTACATAACTCTTCGAGTGATGGGCGTATGGCATCTTGCGGGCGAGATCGTTCAGCTCAGTTGAGCAAATCGGACACACAGAGGTCGAAGTTGACTGTGAGTTGGAACTGGATGATGTGTATGCTGAGTGACACAAGGGTGTTTTGAGTGCCGATAGTCCTGCTGAAAGTGCAATGTGCAATAATGGCTGTGACGGCAAGGAAAGCAGCTCATGATGAGTTTGCACAAAGAGATTCGAGAGATAAGTCCAGCGTTCCGGTGAGAAGAGAGACTGGAATATATCAACAAGAGACCTTTACCGGTCATGGGGCAATTGCTTATCTTACCTTGTAAGGCTCGGCTCTCGTGTCCTGCGTGAACACAAGCAATCCAGCAGCTCGCATTATCTCCATATTCTGAGATTGAGGATTTGATACAAGGTACTTCTTAGCATGTATAATCGCTTCAACCTTCTTGAATCTGTCTTGTGTCCGCACCATTTCGATGTACTGTTGCAGCCGAAGCTCAAATTCGAGATTATGCTTGGTCCGGTTAGTCCGAGATATCATGTCACGGAATTGGGATGAACTCACTTGACTCTTTTTCAAGGCTGCTTTATTCTCACCACACCACTGTAGAGCCTCCTTGGTTTCCCTCTTCCGTAGGCTCTCCACCACTCGTTGACACTGCGTGAATACACCGAGATCCACGAGATCCTCAATACCTCTCTCCTTTGCCAGTTTTTGCGCACTATCCGAGTAGCCTGACCGTAGCATATGGTCCACCAGTAATCGATCTAACCGCACCCTTGACCACTGGTCATACTTGACGTCCGCCAGACTCGGGATCTTGTGGAGGGTTTCCAGGTGTTGGATTCGTTTGCGGGATTGATTGTGAATTTTCTTCTCTTCCTCCTGCAAGCCTTCCATTTTCCGCTTCAGGCCTTGCATTCTAGAAATCATGGCATCGAGGGCGGCAAGTGTCTGATCCGGTGTTTGTGTGTTGGAGAGTGAGGCATTGGCGGTTTCTTTGAGTGTTGGGATGACATATTCTTTTTCTCGCTCGACGGCTCTTTGGACTGTTTTGAAGTTCCTGCGAGCGAGTTCGTGAGGTAGTCGAAGAAGTGGTTGGTCCTAACGAGGGTTGTCAGATCAATTCGTCATTGCATGCATTCTGTGCGGAGTAACTTACCAAGATGATGTGGCTCTCTGGGTTGAGCTTATTGGATGCTAATTCTGCCATGATAGCAATATGTGTTTGATCCCAGAATTAAAGACAATCTGAAGGATATATTTGAAGTAACCTAGGGGCTTCTAGGGACTGTAGGGACTGTAGGGATTGGGATTGTAGGAATTTGAGAACGGCGGGGGAATGCGATGCGGAGATGAGGTCACGAGGTCAAGCATGGACCAACTTCCATTTGCGAACATTCCACGAAAAGTCCATACATACAGGTACATATAGTTGTAGCATATAGTGCATACATACATATGTACGTATATGTACACACAACTATGTATAATTCTACAATATAAGTACCATTGAACTTCAAAGAATACATCGAATTATCTAGCGAATTTGAAAAATGAACGATGTAGATTCACAAGCAGGAAAAGCCTTCAATATGAAACTCTGGAATAGACTAACAAATTTCCCTTTTGACCCAAGACTCCGGAAATAGCAAAATATGGTACAGGAAAAGTCTTCCTGGAGTGCATTTAGTCGCTGTCGCTATCCTCCTGCTTGGACTTGCGGCGCTCCTTCTTCTCCTTCTTCTCCTTCTTCCTCTGCTTGCGCTCGGCCTTCTCCTCCGCAGTCTCGCCATCGTGCTTGCGCTTCTTGCTGTCGGTGTCCTCCTTCACGGGCTCGGCGGAAGACTCCTTGGTCTCCTCGGCCTCAACCTTGGCTGAGGGAGCGGCAACAGTTGTGTCCTCGCTGCCGAGAGGGGCGTTGAAGTCAGTGTACTCGCTCTTCCACTTAGCGGGAGTAGACTCGTTGGCGCGGCCGTACTTGTCAAGAGTACCGGCGGACTTCATCTTCTTCTTCTCAAGAGCAGTGGGGCCGAGTCCCCAGCGGCGAGGGTAGAGGTCACGCTCCATGATGCAACGCTTGACCTTGGCAACGACACCGTGGTCGCAGGTGGTGAGCTCAACGGTGGACATCTGAGCGATACCAATGGCGATGGCCTCACCCTTGGTGGTCATGAGGACAACCTCCTCGTGGCACTCAATGCCGGCCTCTGCAAGGGAATCAAAATTAGGGCGAGATTTTTCAACAAGAATAAAAGATTTTGTACATACCGTAGCGAAGAAGACCGGGGATCATCAGCTTGGCACCGTAGCAGACGGCGTTGACAGCGCTGTCCTTAACGACAATACGCTTGTAGCTGGTGAGCAGGGACTCCAGGGGGCTGATGACCTTGCGGAGGTAGGACTCGTCACGGTTGTTATCGTAGACCCACTGGGCGTCCATAACGTCGTGAAGAGTGACCATACCCTTGGACTCATCCATGGCACCGGAGCGGACACGGCGAAGTTCCTGCATGTGGGCGCCGACACCGAGGAGCAGACCCAAGTGGACACAGAGGGTACGGATGTAGGTACCAGCCTCACAGCTGACCCAGAAGACACCGAGGTGGCGCTCGTTGTCGAACTCATAGTTCTTGCTCTCGTGGATGGTACGGATACGGAGCTGACGCTTGACAGCGGAGATCAGAGGGGGGCGCTGGAAGAGAGCACCAGTGAGGGTCTCCAGAGCGCGGACGAACTGAGCCTCACCACCGGGGATCTTGTCGTGAAGGCGAATGACACAGACATACTCCTTACCGGCACCCTGCTGGGACTTAACCAGACGGGTGGCACGGTCAATGCAGACGATCAAACATCCGGTGACCTTGGGATCAAGGGTACCACTGTGACCGGTCTTCTCAGATCTGGAGGAAAATTAAGTTAGCATCACACGATTACGAATAGATCGGAGGAGATCGAGGGCGATTTACCTGAGGATACGCTTCATCCAAGCCACGACTTCGTGACTGGATGGGTTTGAGGGCTTGTCAAGGTTGATCACACCGGAGCTGATGTAGGACTTGAGGTCACGGCTCAGGGGGGGAAGAGCCAGCAGGGATGGGGGTGAAGTGACCGGTACGGACGAGCACTATGGAAAATTGTCAATGTCGGCTAGTCAAGAGCATGGAGTTTAGGGACAAGCGTACGCTTCTCATAGTTCTTCAGCAGAAGCGGCCAATCCGAAGTATCAACGGATGGAACGGACGCTTCAGGCTTGATGGCGTAGTCCATCTCCGAGGTCTTGACAACTGCCATTTTTATGGTTGACTTGGACAAGAATTGCGCGGTGAAGACCCCGAAGAAAAATGTCGAATGGAAATTTTGCGAGTGCGGCAGCTCTAGTGCCTAATCAGGTTTAGCGTCCGCATGACATCACGTGATACATGTCTGGTCTTTCTTCTCTCTTATTCTTATTGAGATCACCTTGATGTTCCTTATTTCTATTGATTTAAAATGTTGACTGAGATGAAACAAAGGACTGATTGTTTTGGATGCTAGATTGTGAATTGTCATGGGCAAGTAATCATTGAACAATTGGACTAATAATTTCTCAAAGGCATCTTTATACTTTACAAGAAGAGGTAAAAATAGGTAACAAGAGCGAAAATCATCACTACCTAGGTATATATGGTAAATAATTGTAGGCAAGACGAAGCGCATGCCCTAAAATCAGAACTCTGCGAATTTGCGGAAAGCATAATCAGAGATTGCTTCAACCGCCAAGTCTTCGACCAGCGCCTCTACCCTTCCAGGCATTCGAAGAAGCCCAGCCCCAGGATGATCCAGATGTCGAACCCGAAGGCTCAGATGATCTGACTGGGGGAACAGCCATTCCATACCCTCTGTTACCGCTATTCACACTATGACGTGTGAAGTATCTCTCCAGGAAACCTGGGACAGTGATGAAATTTCTTCCACCGCCATAGACCGGGTAGATATGTGTGAGAAAGTTGTAAAGATGGGCAGCGAGGATTCCCATGCTTTCCAACACAGCGCTGTACCATCCACCGAGAACCATCGTGACAAGGAGCATTGCATAAGGCAAGACAACGACAGGAATATCAATGACGAAGAACCTGGTTCGCTGTCCACGGTTGAGTTGGGAGTAGCTGTAGATGAAGGCCATAATCATGGCTGATTCGGTTAGTGAGGTCGAGTCGAACCGAAGACGGGATGCTTACGATGTGTGAAGATACTTCCTCCCAGATACCAACCTGCAGTGATCTTAGGAAAGTTAGCTTGGAGTAGACTACCGGGATAACAATAATGTAGAATGTGGATGGTATTGAAACGAATAGTAGATGTATATAGAAATGTAGGGCACCTCCGATACCGACGGATATAGAATCACGCCAGTGTCTCGAAAGAAATCCCACCGTTCCCACACCTGAGCAGCACCTGATTTTGCGAATGTAGTGGTGCCGCACGGATGCAGGGGTGTTCTCCCTCGCCGTCAGGAACCGCATTCAGCTAGATTTCGAAGCTGGGCGGGCAGTTATGGTGAGGGGATTGTAGCGCGAAAAAAAGAAAAGAAAAGAAAGAAAAGCAGACTCTACTGAGTCACTTACCGTCAGGTTGAAAGCTACAAACAACAGATAGATGAGAAATTCACCGGCAGCCATACTGTTCTCCACGGCACTGCCATATTTGTATACTACCGGGACATTAGCACGCTGATCAAGTCAGGCCAATGCAGCAAGGCATCATACTGAAGTAGAGATCAAAAATGAATTGCAGTTGTCCTGAGGTTAGTAGGAATGGCGTCACGAGCCGGTAGAGCTGTGGAGGCCATGCGACCAGCGAGCTTGGTATCCATAGTGCATAATAGTAGTCCAGTAAGCCGCCATGCATTAAAGCGGACTGAATCAGTGCCAAGGCTGTGAGGGTCCTGAATGACACGTCAGTTAAGAAGCTTGAGATCGGCGAAAGGATCATGCATACCTAGAGACCGGGGGAGCTGCCCAGAAGACATCCATCTTGATAATAAATAGATGCTGGTTAATTGATCACGGCAGGGATCATTACAGCTCGAGAGAGGAAAAAAGATAGCCGTGTGATGATGAAGAAGAAAGAGAAAGAGAAATGAAATGGAAAGGAAGAAAACGTGTGCAAAACTAGTCTTCGGTGGAGTTTCTCCGAGGTCCGTGATTACAGCATCGAGGTTCAGAAATATGAACTTCGACTTTCGACTCAATTCTGTGGATTCTGTTCTCAATTATTGGCACTTGTTACTATACATAACTTAACTATAGCTCTCATGATCGATGTGATTTGAAACATACTACAATATCGTATATTGTATATTATATGCAAACGGGTATCTTACTCTGACCTTGTTCGCGCAGTACCTCGAACAGCTAATCCTCCATCGGAACCTTCAATCCATACATCCCAAGCTCCATTGCCGTTCTTAGGCTTTCCACAGATTACCAACTCCTCTTCGACAAAGAGAGGCGCTAGATTCTTATATTCAATAGCACTGATGGACAGATTCAAATGACTCAGGTGGTGCCGCAACACACTTAACAGAAGCGTAATGGTCAATGGCCCATGCACCAACAGATTGCGGTATCCCTCCTGGTTCTGTGTATAGCCTTTGTCAAGATGAATAGAATGGGCATTGAAAGTCAGGGCTGAGAACCGGAATAACAGCGCTTTAGTAGGTACAAGGGCATGGCGGAATGTCGCGTTGGGGGGTGCTACGTCTTCCAAAGTCAGCTCTCCATATTACCAAGCCTAGAGGGTAGGATGTGCGCACGCTTGACAGTCCTGTCAGGCTTTCCAAATTGCGCCTTGTCAGCCTCGATCTGCGCGCTAGATTTCAGGCGCATGAAAATGAGGTCCCGGTTCTCAATAACCGATGCCTCCGCTGCATCTTCTTCATTCTCTGCCCATATCCGACCCCGGATCTGCTCTACTGTTTCCTGCTCAGATACGTTGCCAATGCGACGCTCGATAGTGACAATCACTTTTTCATCTCCTTCGCGGCCCTTGACTACCACATTGCGGATGGATTCTAAGCAGACTGCACGACTACCATCCAATGGAGGACTAGGTGCGGGGAATCTCAGATTCCCACCTGCCCAGAGACGTCGATTAAATGGCTCGCCTGGTGTATGTAGTGTATCTGTGCAGTCTGGAAGTAACTGGGACAAGGTCACCTGCGGCGGGAAGTAGATTAAGTGGTGACCGGCCGGTAATGGGGATGGGTTCTGTATTGAGGGGAGAATGGCATCATCGGAGGACGGAGAGTATGGTAGGAGATCACGGAGCGTCAAATTTAGGAGATGTGATGGCTGAGGGTATAGATAGTCGTAAGTCAACGGGAGGTTCCTTGTGGTCAATTCATCATGCAAACGCTCTGAAAGCGAAGAGTAGCTCCGATATGTGCGTGCTCTCAAAGAGAGCAAACGTAGAGTCTTCATAAGCAAAAGAGTGTGAAAGAGCAACAAGTTCGGTCGGAGCTTTCGAATCTATATCCCGCGTTTGACATGTTTGTCTGTCGCTCTTTTCCAATATCGGAATAGAGTCCACACCGCTCGGCAACTGAAGAGCTGAGAGAGGCTGATGTGGACATTAGAAGAAGCTAGTTGAACTAGTTGAGATTTAAGATCGATTAAATTCGATCTCTCCACAGGACACTTCGCACAAAGCTTTTTACCCCCTTTATCATGGCTTTGAAGGTAGCATTCCTAGGCCCATTGGCGTCTTTCTCCCACCAGGTAGCTCGAACCCCAATATGCAATGTAAAACAATTCTAATCCCTGAAAAGGCAGCTGCAGAATCCTTTGGTCGACTCTCAGCCGATCTGCAACCAAAAGCCTCCTTCAATGATGCTTTTGCTGAACTCCAAGAAAAAAAGGCAGACTACGCCGTGATCCCTTGCGAGAACTCAACAAATGGCTCCGTCGTCCAGACTCTAGATCTTCTGGCAGATCGTGACAATTTATATAAAGACGTGAAAGTCTGTGGTGAATATTACTTGACGGTGCACCACTGTTTGCTTGCGCGCAAGGGCACATATCCCAGCTGGGCGGATTATGATGGCTCGATAACCAAGCTTTACACGCACCCGCAAGCGTGGGGCCAGTGTGAAACATTCCTTGGGAAATACTTCAAGGGTGTCGAGAGACAGGACGTTTCGTCTACGTCTAAAGGTGCGGAAATCGTTTCCAAGGAGAGTTCTGAGCGCGGCGGTGCCATTGCTAGTCGCTTTGCCGCGGAGCATCATGGCACCGATATCTTGGTAGAAAACATTGAGGACCGGGCGGATAATACTACTCGGTTCTTAATTTTGAGAAATGTTCTCGTGGAGCGAACTGCTCAGCTTGAATTCGAGCAGTCGAATCCGCCCACAGAGGGCTCTGGTCTTGAGACTATGCACAAGACTTTGATTTCTTTCACAATCGACCATTCCTCTGCCGGTGCATTGGCCAATGCACTGCTCATCTTCAAGAATCATGGCTTGAACCTGACCAGTATCAACACAAGACCAAGCTTGAAGAAGCCTTGGCAATATATCTTCTTCGTCGAGTGTGGACGGACACTCTCAGAGGAGAACAAGGAGGCTGTTAACAAGGCTCTCGATGATTTGCGAAAAGTGACAGAGTCATGTAGAGATTTGGGTACTTGGAAAGACCAATTGAGTGTTGAAGCTTGAAATGGAGAGAGCCCGTTGGGGTTCCATTTTATGTGGATCGAAAGCGTAATGTCACATATTTTGAAAGATATTTTGGTCTACCTTGCGATTAGAAGAGAAGAACTACATCTACATCTACACCTATATGTACAAAGCGCACTCCGCACTCAGCAAACAAAGAAATTTAATAACATCTATATCAACAGGCAACCCTTCTGGGTATTCTTTTTTTTTCAAAATATAAGCAAATAACGAACGAAGTACTTGACAATGCCATTAGAGAATAAATGACAGAGATCGGCTGAGCAATATCAATCCAACGCCGTCCGGCTTACATGTGGTAAGCGGTGCAAGCAGTGGTGGATGACCAAATGTTGCAGAGAACCGCATCCAACCATTCAAATTGCAATTTAAACCTCATCTTCATCTCAGACACTGAGGTAACCTCAGCGAACATTTCATGGAGCTTGGATGACCCTATGGTTAATAGTTAGTATGTCTCAAGTGCTAGAAGACATTGTAGAGCTTACCTCTGAGCAGCTTCACGGAGCTTGGACCAGGCCTGGTTTGATTATCCTTCACGGATGCCTTGGTTCCATCACGGGAGCCGCCTTCGTTGTCCACGGGGCGAGCCGTCAAAAGACTCGACGCGGGAGCTTCTGGCCGTTCATCCTCGCTCTCTGCGAGGGGGCAATACCGTCAATCTGCGATAGTTAGATACAATCACAGATAGAATGGGAGTACAAAGAGAAACATACCGTCGTAGAACTCATCTTCATCGCTGTAGTCGGCAAGTTGTTCAAAGTTGACCTTGTATCGGAGAATAGCACCGATACCACCGAATCCCTTTACGAACTGGTTTCCTTCACCGGATCGATCAGACACAAACTCCAGGTTGGCACCGAAGTCCTTGTAGGCCTCGGCAAGCCACTCGAGGAAGGAGCCTGACTCGATAACCTCCATCTCCAATCCAGTCTCCTTGTCTTGGAAGATCTCACGGTTGTTGGCTTCCTGGGCCTTGGTAGTGTTGGCAATGACAATGTTACCCTCTGAGTCCTTCATAGTCCATCGGGTGACCTCCAAATTCTCGTGCACGATCAAGATCTCAGCAGCACCAAGTTCCAGTGCCTTGAGGGTATCTTCAATACCATAGCAGACCCTGCCGGTGTCTTGGCTAATCTCCTGGAAGTACTGGCCGATAAGCTTCTTCTCCTGGACGAACTTGACGTTGCTCAGGGTCTCGCCAGCCAATTCAATGGCCTGGTTGAAACCGTTCTCACCGCCGTAGGAAACGTCGACAATCTTGATGACCTTAGACTGCAGACGACCGTCGAATAGGTCGGATTGGTTGAGGTCGTTCTTAAAATCGGCGGAACCAGCCAGAACAAGACCAGCGACGTTGACCTTATCGTTGGTGATGTAGTTCTGAACTGCCAATTCGGCAATCTTGCGGACGTAGTTGTGACGTTTTTCCTCACGCAGACGCGAGAAACGCAGGGCGGATTGACCACCACGTCCCTGGAAAATATCAGTATAAATCGACGTTGTACTCAAGCAGTAGGGTTACTCACGTGTTTCTTAGGCAGATCGACGGATAGACGCTGAATGATCTCACGAGTGTTACCACTGAGAGTACCGAACAGGGTACCGTTACCGTCCATGACAATGAAACCAAACTTTTGGTCGGCCTCGAGCAGTTCGCTCAATGCTTCGGTGTGGAACTTGTTGTCACAAAGGTAGAGTGAAGTGTTGATTGGCTTGAAAGGCTCGAAATCAATGTTAATCTTGCGCTCCTTTCCTTCTGAGGTGATAATTTCACCACAGTACACGACCAGTCCATTGGGGGGGACCTTGTTGTAGAGCTTGAGACGCTGCTGGGTGGAGGTAATAGCCGACAGCACGGAGAGACGGTTCACACGCGACTTAATGTTGGAGGCAGTACCCTGATTGTGCGATTAGACGGGGGTCGGCGCACAAAGGTGGAGGGGAAGTGGGCTCAACGTACATACTCTTCAGCCAACATCTTGGCTGCTCTGCTAATCTGATCCTTGGGGGCTAAATTTACATGTCAGCAGTGGTAAAGAGTGACGGAGGAGGGGAGGGTCAAGCGACGTACGGATGATCAGCGAGATCATGGAAGTTCCATTTCCACGGGCAGCTTCAAGACGCTTGATCAGCTTCTTGACCTTCCAGATCTCGATATTCTTCTCAGCTTCGTTCGGCTGAGGGGCGCTCATCTTGGGCGAGGCGACAATGGATCAGGGGGAAGATTATCGGAGGCCCTGCGCCTGAAGACTCGGTCAGTAATTGGGACGGGTACGGGGAACAAAGATTTGGGCTTGCCTGTTATGCTAAGAACGGTCAGTATATGTGAGGGAAAAAGTACAAAAAAGGGTAGCCAGTAATTTTTAGATTCAAACAAAAACTCCGCGACATAGAATATACATACCTTGACAATATGACGTTCAAACAGTAAATTTGCTCGTGGGGTGGGAAGTACTCAAGTTTGTTCGAGGGGTCGGCTGGCGATGCTGAGGTAAGCCAGGGCTTCCCGTGACGTATCTGGTACTTCTCTGGTTATGATTCAATGCCGGGTCTTCAGGTACCGGGTACATATCTATTTTTTTTGTACATGGGTTGATGTTCTGCCAGATGAAAAAATGTTCTTCTCTTCAGATGTTTGTATGAAGCTTATACTCTAGAAAGTACATATTTACGATACACATTTATCACATATTCACTGTATATTACCTATCTCCCTAACAGACACTAAGTAGCAAATTCATTTGATCCCATCTATTTTGATAAGAATATAAAACCAATTCTAACTCAAATATTGCTATAGTAATGTATGGAGTCAATATGAAAACCAAAAGCTCAATACATAAGTCAAATCAAAATCTTAGTCAAACAATACATCCGCTTATCAAATGAGATCCGCACCCCACAGCGGAAGCTCAATACGCTAGACTATTTTGAATATCGTGGACTCGAGTCGAGTCTCTCTTATCTCCTAATGCTATCTCCTCGTGATAAGTGAGGGGAGTTTTCTGTTTACTCCCTGTCCAGTCCTCTCTTCCTTTCTACAAACTCACTCCAGCTGCGAGTAACAATCTCTCACACGATATATTCCGAGGCAACTGCTCTCGTGTCGGAAACTACGAACATGTCCGGAAGAGTAGACGAAGACGATGAACCAGTTTATGGTTCATCGAGAGTCCCAGCCGCAACACCTAGCTCCTACGACTATGGTCACCTAGATCGAAGGAGTCTCGCCGAGTCGGAGATTGGCGGTCGACAAAGGTAAGTTGTCCAATCCTCAGAGCAAGACCCTACTAACAAAACCAGATCATCCTCCTTCTCAAATCGATTCCGCCAAGCTGGAGGTCCAAACAGTTTGGACAATTTCGCACGGTCTTGGCAGCGAGCTGCCGCCTTCCCAGAAGTTATCCCACGGCGGTCGTCGTTCGTCTCCACCAACGAAGACGATGATATTGCCATTGCAACCGGTCAAGATCACGGTTCGCAATCTCCTTCGTGGGGCCAATCCTGGGGCCGACACTCGGATATGAATCGGGCTCTGCTTCATGGGGACTCGGATTCGGACCGCGAGGATGATGACTCGCGCGAGCCCTCTAGAAGGGCTCTGCCTAGCACGGGGTTGCTTGCTTCGTCGTTTGATCGGAGCTTTGCGACTTCTTATGGGACCATCTCTTCGCGAATCAGTGAGTCGACTAGGAGAAATGCTATTCAATTCCACCGGGAGCTCCATCCTCAGGTTCATATTGATGGATCTGGAGATCCGGATCGGGGACCGTTGCTTGTCAAGCATATTCAGCATGAGGATGGGACGCAGGAGGATATCATTGTTGGCCAGTCCACTGTCCCGCAAACAATCTTCAACTCTGTGAACGTGTTGATTGGAATTGGTCTTCTGAGTTTACCGTTGGCGCTCAAACATTCCGGATGGGTTTTGGGTTTATTGTTTCTGGTCTTTTCGGCTTTGACCACGTCTTACACGGCTAAAATCCTGGCGAAATGTCTGGATGTTGACCGGAGTCTTGTCACATATGCAGATTTGGCTTATATCAGCTTTGGACACCAGGCTCGTCTTGTCACTAGCTTCTTGTTCTGTTTGGAACTTCTGGGGGCTTGTGTGGCCCTGGTGGTCCTGTTTGCAGATAGTCTGTATGCGCTCGTGCCCGGGTTGAGCATCTTGCAATGGAAGATTGTCTGTGGCGCGGTACTTGTTCCGCTCAACTTCTTGCCGCTACGATTCCTCAGTATTACCAGTATCCTGGGTATCATATCATGCACGTCCATTGTGGTTCTCATCTGTATTGATGGTCTTATCAAGCCAGATGCTCCAGGCTCACTGCGTCAGCCAGCTAACACATTCCTCTTCCCTGAGAATTGGGCCACCCTTCCTCTGAGTTTTGGCCTCATCATGTGTAAGTCAACATTCAATGTTCTTTTGACGATACATGACGACTAACTCTCGAAAAAGCACCATGGGGTGGCCATGGGGTTTTCCCAAACATCTACAGAGACATGAGACACCCCCAGAAATACGGCAAAAGTCTCTGGGTGACCTATATGTTTACAGTAAGAGACCAAAGGTATTCAAGATGAAAACACAATTCTGACTTTATGTAGTTTACTTTGGACTGCTCGATGGCAATCATCGGTTGGTTGATGTTCGGTGATATTGTCCGCGACGAGATCACCGCAAACATTCTCACGGTCACCAACTACCCACAGTCTATATCTGTTGGTATCATAGTATTCGTCTCCATCATTCCTCTCACGAAAGTGCCATTGAAGTGAGTTCACACCCTCCTCAGCCCCTGGCGCTGCTAACAAAAACAGTGCCCGGCCTCTTGTCGCCACATTCGAAGTTCTTTGCGGAATTGGAGCTGGGCATGCACCATCCAACAGCAGATCTGAGACCCTCCAGCAGATTTCACGGGCAATGGTTCGTGTATTCACTGTGGTAATGATCGTGGTCTTGGCAGTCATCTTCCCAGCTTTCGACCGCATCATGGCTTTCCTTGGATCGTTCTTATGCTTCACGATCTGTATCATCTTCCCCCTTGCGTTCTACCTCAAGATCTTTGGAAAAGAGATCAGTCGTGGCGAGCGCATTCTGGACTGGGTCCTGCTTGTCATCTCTTGTATTTTGGCAGCGGTGGGTACTGTGTGGGCCTTCTTGCCCCAGGACATGCTCATTGCGAACTAGATAATTCCACCGACATCGATGTGGAGAGTATAATAGCATTTTGTGCAAATAATCACTTTTTGTTGAGAATGACGGCGAAGTTGTTTCTCGTCTTGCCAGACCTCAATTCTTCCTTCTTGAAATTTCTCGGCGAGTAGTCACCAGTATGTTCCCAGAGATGGAAAACCAACTTCGAAGTCCGCTTGCTCTGCGTAAGACAGAAACCCAAGCAATTCATAATCTCGCCTAGCCTTTCTTCGTTGAGGTACCGCGAGTTGTCCACACATGCAATCGGCAGTACCAGGAAGAGCCGAGGCACAAATTTAATGGCAGATTTCGCTGTCAAGAACTTGACGCAACGCTTGAGCATTTCACCTCGTCCCGTTGCCTCAGGTACGTAATTGAGCACCAATGACAAGCTAATCATGTTGAAGCGTTCATCGTCATTAGACGGCAAAGGTCGCTCCATGAAATCTTGCTTGAGGATCCCCGGCTCCTGCGAATTCAAATCGATTCGCGAAACATCCAAAGCGGCGTTCATAGAGCACGCATTCTTTGTGCTTAAAGCTCCAACTTCAAGGACTCGAAGCTTTGGCATTTCCTTATTGAATTGCTTGAGTTCAGGCTTGATCCAGTCAATGAGCACCTTGCTGGAATCACCGCCTCGGTCCATGGATTGACCTAGTTTACTGGCGATCTGATAACTTTCCAGGCCGCCATTGGCTTGAATTTGAGCATCAATGCTGCTCACTCGGGCTTCATCACCGGCTGCCAGAGCTTGAGCCCGCGTTTTGAGCAGGCGGTGGTGAGTGCGAATCAGAGTGCGTGTGGCTTTGGCTGAAAGCGCGGCATCTTTAGATTTAGTGATTGGAGGTCGGCCTGTAGACAACAAGCCGGGCCTTTTGTTGGTTCGTTTTTGGGGAGCCATTGTGATATGGGAAGTATCAGAACGTCAGTTTAGCACGCTCATTAAAGACTCAAGATCCCTTTCAATTTGTTCTTCGGCTGAATAGAACAGTGGTGGAGGTGATCATGTAAAAAAGTAGCTGGTCAAAAAGCAAAAAGATAGAATAAATACAATGTAGATCCTGATTGGTCCGAAAAGTGACAGTATTGTAACATCTGGTAATGTAAATTACAGCCTGACTCAGCATATCACCTGACCCACAACGGGCTAGGGTTTTTTTGTTAAGCGAAAACCAATCCAAATGTTCGACTCTTGACACTGTGATACTCTCCATCATCGACAGCAACCGACGACAGCCATGGCCCCCTCCGACAACAAGACCGGTACGTGCAAACAGCTATGCGCATCTCTATCGCTGCGATTGCAACACCGATTGTGAATTTGTCGACCTAGAGGACGATAATTGGGAATCTCGAAAATTTCGAGATTTGGAGATCACATCGCAAAGACCCGGGAACACGTCGACATGCAACAGAAGCGATCAGAATTGCTATCGAACATGTTCTCCGAAATCAGATCTGTGCTTTGGCTCTCTCCAATCCGAAATATCGTACTCGACGTCCACAAATTTTACAACGGCCGCAATCTCCAATTTTTTTTCTCGTCCAAGACCACTGGCTAACTTCAGCAACAGGCAAGAACAAGGCCAACGCCGCCGCCAAGGCGGTCGCCAAGGGCGCTTCGGTACGTAATGAAAGATGAAGCAGACCAAAATTTTGATTTGTTTCAAAATTTTCGGAGCCTATCGCTAACGCGGTTGTGGCAACAGCTTCACAAGTCCCGCAAGGTCCGCACCTCCGCCACCTTCCACCGCCCCAAGACCCTCCAGCTGTCGCGCGCCCCCAAGTACCCCCGCGTGTCCGTTGCCCACGGCCCCGCTCTGGACTTCAACAAGGTCATCCTGTACCCCTTGAACACCGAGTCCGCCATGAAGAAGATCGAGGAGAACAACACCCTCGTCTTCATTGTCAACGTCAAGTCCAACAAGCGCCAGATCAAGCAGGCTCTTAAGAAGCTGTACGATGTTGACACTGTCAAGGTTAACACCCTGGTCCGGTATGTGGTTCTTAAACTCAAAATATTAAGATTCGTTGAATTTTTACTGATTCGTTTATAGCCCTGACGGTACCAAGAAGGCCTTCGCCCGCCTCACTCCCGATGTCGATGCTCTTGACATTGCCGCTACCAAGCTGGCTATTGTCTAAATGGGGAACTTGTTTGGGTTCTGGCGAACTTTGTTTATCACTACGGTGATTCTAAAATACCAGCCGGGCTGAATGATCAAAAAGATAACGTGTCAATTTTCACGATTCCTGAATATAGTGGACTTGCCGGTCCTGTAATGACTTCACTTGTCCATTTGTAAATTGTAGCGTAGTGATTGGTAGTGCTGCTATTTGTCGAGCAGTCCTCCCGGAGCTTCTATGTCACAATCCAGGAATTCTAAAAGACTTGATATCCTACACTCCCACACTTGGCATTGTATCTTGAACGATCGCTATGCTCCGTTATTTTTTTTGTACGTCTATCTGCCAGTATCTTTTTCTTTTCTTTCATTGCTGTGTACAGTATTCTCAACCCCAGTGACCATTGCCTATATACCATGAGTACATATCTTGAATGCTCTAGATGATCGGACAATCCCGCATTCTACAATGGAAACCAGATGGCAGTGTACAATGATTCATAAATTGATTCTAGTATACAAGAGATCGTTTTGCAATCCGTCTATCCAATCCAAAAACCACCCAACCGTCCAGTCATACCGGGGTAAACCGCAAGCCCCAAACAATCCATCTTCAAATTATGATATGCGGAAACCCGTGATAGAAATGATCCATTCTGTGAATGGAATAGAAGGCATTTAGTGGCCGCGCATATTATCCAGCTTGGTCAGGATAGACAAGCTGGTATCCATCCACCGATCAACGCAGTTCTGTGCGCATGCCTCTTCGGACTTATCGAGGGTACCGGAGGAGATCTTGGAGGTGATGCACTTTTGCCAGCAGACTTCGTTCAGGTGGTGGACGGCTGGGTGGATGTTAGTCAAGGTTCAAATTCAATGCAATGCCAATTTAGATGATGGAATCAGGGGTCATGGGCTCAAAGTATAATCCATAGTGAATAGATACTAAGCTGTTGCGCCGGTCTCGGGGTAGTAAAGTCAAGAACTCACTCTGTTGAATGTTGCTCTTCTGGGCTTCATTGGTGAGAACCTGGTTGAGCTCCTGCTTGTCCTTGTCTGACAGCTTGGTAAGGTCGATGTTCTGCTCCATTGTGTTGTGGAATTGAGATGATATAAGGAATAGGATATCTAACAAAAGTAGCCAGGAACATACAACACGTAGGGACAGTTCAAAATCAAAAGGCGGTCACAGCAGGCACAAAAATGACGCGCAGTTTTCCTATCGATAGCCAGCATCGCTTTCTTCGTTTCCAGTATTTCACCGTTATTCAGGATTGAGAACTGTGTCATACTGAACAGTGGTCAGGATATTGAACTATCTACTACTCACATTTCGCGGCCTACATCATGCCTCCAATCCGCTCCGCCCGCAATCGCAAACCGCCACCGGCGGGCTTTGATGATCTCGAAGATACTTTGTTGGAATTCAGCAATAAGATGAAGGATGCTGAGAATGCGTCGCATGAAGGAAAGAAGAAATATGAAGTTCTCTGGCCTATATTCCAGATCAGTCACCAGCGTACGTTTACTTGAAGACTTCCCGAGAACAAAATCGACAAACACTAACCTGTCGCAGGCTCACGATACATTTACGACCTTTACTACGAAAAAGAAGCTATCTCGAAGCAGTTGTATGACTGGCTTCTGAAGAACGGGTATGCAGATGCCAACTTGATCGCCAAATGGAAGAAACAGGGCTATGAGAAGGTGTGTTGCTCTTTTTACTTATAAAAGGTCTGAAATTCCAAGTAATGCTAACATGTTTCTAGCTCTGCTGCCTGCGCTGTGTCCAGACGAAAGAGACAAATTTCAACTCCACTTGTATCTGCCGTGTACCCAAGGCGCAGCTGAAGGAGGACCAGACGGTGCAGTGTGTCAGCTGTGGCTGCCGGGGATGTGGAAGCAGTGACTAAAGTGCTTGCACTTGGAATGGCTTTCAAGGACTTATATGAACTCGGCGTTTCGGTAATTTGCATTTAAAATCAATCAGATACCCTACATTGTAATTCGTCCAGGTAACTTATTCAATTGCTAACTACATTAATACAAAAAGCGCCTTCAATGTGCGTGATTGCCCTGTATCCAAATCATCAAAAACCAATCGCTTGCATGTACATCTTAGCATCGTCATTAAGGTCGTAACCAGGCCATCCTGGGCTCGGAAATGTCAGAACCGGCTCAGCCCAAAAACTCCCAGATACAAAAGCCGCCCAAACCAAACATCCAACTCCAGAAAGAAAAAAAAGACAATGCCAAAGCAAGACCAAAACAGAGTAATAGGGGGGTAGGTAGAGTTGCAGAAAACCATAAATCCAAGGGTTGGGTCTCACAGAGTGCCCGAACGAGAAAATCAAATCATAATAACGTTTTAAAACAAGGTCGTATTGCTGCGGTGGCCCATTTGGGGTCGCGCGTGAAGGGTTTTGGGCTTCAAGGTATCATCTTTGCTCATTCCACCAATTTTTTGGAAGCCCTGCAGGAGGTCGATGCCGTCGACTTCGCTGGGGCTATCATTGCTCTCATCGAAGAGGTGGAACGAGAAGAAATCTTCCTGGCCAGAATCGCCGAAGCGGTTGGGTTCCGGAAGCTTGGACGGTGACTCAGGGAACATGGCAGACTTGGATCTTTGTAGTGGAGGTAACCCAAGTCTGCTGTTGACGTTCACAGATGTGATGTCCGAGAGAGCGGTGGTGCCACTATCGTTACGTGGGCGTTTCACCGAACGTTTCTCCGGTGACCCATAAGAGACGTGGGCTGATCCTGAATCCGCAAAGACGTCGAAGGTCGTGGAGAAATGGTCATGGGGAGTATAAGACTCGTCCTGCAGGTTGAAGGCTGGGCTCCAGGGAAGAATGTCTTCAGACAGGCCCAAATGCTTAATGGGAGAATTGACCATTTGCTGAATCTTCCGACGATGGTTGCGCAGGTTTGTATTGGGAGACACCGATGGAGGAGGCTTGGCAGGCTTCTTGAACTTGATGATTGGAGTCAAGGGAGGTGGCTGCATGCTGATGTATTGGCTGCGGAGAGGAGACGAACCAACTGTGGGATTGGGATGCTTGCGCACTGCAGGCTGGCCAGGGCTGATATCGTGAGATGAGCTGCGCATGCGCGCAATCTCTTCTTCTGCACGACCGCGTTTGATGCGCGGCGGCTCGATATCTAGGTCAGATGTGAGGATGTGTCCGGCCTTGTTAGGCCGCAAAGCCGATGATTCCAAAGACGAGAAGTATCCACTATCGTTTAGGGTGATTGACTTGCGCTTTCGCGGGCGAGGCGCAGGAGTCGGGCCAAACTGAGTGGGTGTTGGAGGGGTTCCCTGACGGGCGAAGCGAGGAGGAGCAATGGGCGGAGAGGAGCGAATAGTCTGTGGCGGCGATGATCGAGGCACCGCGCGTGGTACAGGAACCGGGATCACTTCATCCGCATCATCTTGGAGGGCAGGGTCAGAAGCAGGTAGAGTAGCATCCGAAGACAAATCATTTTGAACCGGCCTAGGGGCAGGCACATGGTGGGAAGGCGCGTGATGAGCAAGGGGTGGCGGTACCATCCATGTGGTGGTGCTGCCGCTTTGCGATGGAACAAGATCCCTTTGAGGAGCGGCGGGGAGAGGAAGACTGGACATGGTAGCGCGGCGCACTTGCTTGTCCTTGAGGAATTGGGTCTCCATGCCAGGCTCAATGGCCCAGTAGTTGCCCTTGCCAGGGTCATCTTTGGGTCGCTCCTGCTTGATGAACGCCTTGTTGAGACTCAGATTATGACGAATGCTGTTTTGCCAGCCTGGGTCGCTGTTCTTATAGTATGAGAACGTGTCGGAGATCCACTTGTAAATCTGAGCCAATGTCAAACGCCGATTGTTGGCGCGCAAAATGGACATGCCGATCAAGGTGGCGTAGCTATATGGGGGCTTCGACCCATCATCGTCCACAGGCGGCATGTCGTGGGGGTCTGGGAGATAGGCGACCGGCGCGTCGTCGCGCTTTTGCTTCTTGTTGGAGCGCTCCTTGAGCGGCGCAGCTTCCATAAGGGTGCGTTTCATGGGAAGTTTGGAGTCATAAGAGGGTTCTGGGAAATCGGCGAAACTGTCATTGGACGGTTCTTCTGAGAAGTTTTCTTTTGCTTCGTGATTGATACTGGAGAAGGTGGTGAAAAGAGCAGAGTGTGGCATGGAGGATTGAGAGTATATAGGGAAAGGCGCTTTCTTGGCCGGGGAGTCGGTGGTGAACATGGGAGGAGTGGGAGCAGAGATGGGGACGAAACCAAGTTTTCCGTGACCCGGATGCGAGCCCTGGGAGTGAAGTCCTTTCGTCGGCGATGGCCTGTGCGGGCCGGGACGAAAAGACGAGTTCTCAATAGGTTGAAGTGGTAGCGGTGAGGGTTGCAGACGGGGCTGCGATCTGATGATCTCCTGCGCTGGGGCTAGCACTGAAGTAAAGTGTGCGCCCGTAGAACGCGTCGATCCCATAATCTAATTGAAAGGGCCACAAAGTCCACAACGTCAAAAATCACCCCAATAGTGACCATATGACGCGTCGATGAAAGCGCGATTATTGTTGACAACAAGGCCTCTCGGAGGGGCCGAGTTTGCGACACGAGCCGTGTCTAGATGTGACGAGACTGCAGAGAATTCACGCTGGACCAATAATAAACCCGAGGGTAGAGACCAATGGTAGATCAAAAGCAAAGACCAAGAACCTCAGGCCGTCATGCAGAAACCAGATTGGGCCACAAAGCGCTAAGGCGTCACAATCCCTCTGCGCGAATCAGGCCGCACAGATAACAGATGATTGGGAGAATAGATGAGTGATTGTGGATAAGACACCGATTTTGAATTCGAAGATTGGTTTTGAATAAGAATGACAACTGGGGTTGAATATGGAATGAGTCGAGAGAGAAAGAGAGCAAGAGGGAAGGTTGAGAGGAAAAAGAGAAAGCAAGAAGTACAAAAGACAACCTTGGAACGTTTGGATAAAAGATCAGATGAAAAGATCTACTTTAGTCCGAGGTTCCTTGGATAAGAATGGGGTTCAAAGGAGTTCCTTTTTCTGCTTTCTTTTTGAGTTTCTTTTGTTAAGGGAAGATAGAGCCTCGAAGAACAACTAAGTGATATTATATGAGAATCTAGAAGATCAATTCTTTTTCTTTTTCCGCTTTTTTGAAAAAAAGAAAAGAAAGAAGAAAGGCGGGGGGAGGAGAGAAAGATTGAAGATCGATCTGAGAGCAAATAACTGGCATGATACTCGTCATGTATGGTAATAGAACTCACGCGTCACGCGTTTTAGTATGGGATGACGCAGTCTGGTCTACCTAGGTAAGCTGTAAGATTGGTAATGATGTGTTATATACAATATAAATTACCAAAGGGGCTCTTTTCCTCCCTTACTCATTGCTTGTCGATCAGATCTCCACTGAAGACTATGTCGACCTTGATTTGGTTCTATGCCGATATTTCATGTCTATATGCCTGTATATGCCTGTATGTGCCTGTATATGCCTATATTGGTCTATATTGGTCTATTGATGACCATCTAGGATCTTGTATTGCTTATATTGATTGTATTCATCTCTGTTCTATTCTTAGACCATCTACTCTGTACAACTAAGTATACACTCTTCAATATTATAGAGGCCTTTGAAAGCAAGTATGACATGACTCTCGGGCTATTCTTAACTTTTCAGCATTCGCCGTTGGCTATTGGCCTACTAGCTTAATTTGACCGGTATGTCGATGTAACTCTGAAACGGCTTAACCCCTTGATTCTCTTCAGGCCCCGTAATCCCATCAATCACCGGCTCTAATTCATTCGCCAATTGACTTACAAAAAAAAAAGGACAGAAAACCAAAGACGCATATGCGCAACTCTGCTCTGCAGCCGCAACCTAATAATCCATCTTGAGGTGGAACTATCCGAGCTGTATGGAGTACGAAGTAGTTGAGTTGCATGTACTCCAATCTAGGGAGATCCCCTAGTTCCTCACTACCTTCCCTTACTTGTAAATGAGAGACAAATTGTAAGAAATTGAATGTTCTGTATGAGAGTCCTGAAACAGACGCTTGATGACATCTATCTATATTGCAGGGGGGTAGGAAAAGGAGAAAACGCCAAGCCCCATGCATCACAAAAAAAGAAAAATGGAAAAGAGAAAGCATACATCGTATGCTAGGTTTCCCTAGTCCGAGCCCCTTTATCTGGTGAGCTCCGACATAACTTTTTTCTATCACCCAAAAAAAAAAACCAAAGGGATATCTTAAAACAATGACTTGCTCGAACGGGACCGTTTAGTCCAAAAAGGTGAACATGCTGGTATGGATGATATTCAGGGCTCGGTCGGCATCTCGTTCTTCAATGACGCAAGAGATATTGATTTCACTGGCACCTGTGAGGGGGAAAAGAAAAGACTTGGTTAGCTTCAATTGAACGTAAGGAAGGGATGGGGCGGCTGGGTATCAATTATCACTAACCTTGCGAGATCATCTCAATATTCACATTGTTCTCCCCAAGAGTAGTGAACATACGACCGGCGACACCGATCATATTCTTCATCTGCTTGCCCACCAGACTGAGGATGGCCATGTCCGGGATGATGTCCACGGTTCCGTACCTCCCCAGATCATTCAGGGCCCCCTTCAGATCTTCATTAATGACATGATACTCATCATCCCTTCCGTTTCCGTTCAGGAGGGGCATTTCTGAGTGAAGTGCCAAGGACACATGGACCTCACTGGTGGAGATCAGATCGATGGATAGACGCCACTTGTCCAGGACAGAGAAGATGCCCGCAAAGAACCCATGAGAGAGCGATCGCTTGTTGGAATGCACGTTGATCACCAGGATATTATGCTTGATGGTCACTGCCGTCGGCCGCTTCGGCCGCTGCATGAAACTGGGACTCCGCGTCCGGAACAGACGGGGATCATGTCCTGGTGTGGTTCTCTCCAATTCAGCCACAGAGTCAGGGAAGATAATGGTGCCCCGGTTCTTGGGGTTCATGACGTTCTTGATGCGGATGGGGATCTTGGCGCGGATGACTTGCTCCATGGTGAACGGGTGGATAACCTCAGATCCGTAGAAGGTCAACTCGGCGGCTTCGGCGGGGGTGATAGTGGGGAGCAGGCGAGCTGTAGGAACCTTGCGCGGGTCTGCAGTGAAGATACCATCCACCTCCTTCCATACCTGGAGCTCTTTCGCCCGGGTTCCGACGGCGACCAGGGCCGCACAGAGATCAGTGTATCCCCGACCAATCTGGTCGAGCAGACCGCCGGGGATGTTACCAAAGTATCCAGTCATGACAGGTACTCGATGTCCGCAGGCCTCGACCTTGGCTCCGAAAGCCGCTGCCAGTTTATTATAAAAGTCTTGATCCAGACCACTGTTCCCAATGGGAAAATCGACAATTTCAGACAGATCCACATATTGTGAATCCACCCCGCGATCTTGCAAGAGAGCAGCCATGACTCGACAGCTTAGTTTCTCGCCGGCACTCATCACCTTGTCCACGCAGCGGGCACTGATCTCTCCCAAGGTCTGGGCAGCCTCGAGGACCTTGAGTACTCGTTCGCATTCTGCCGTGAGGTCTGCGATCACTTGATCTCTTAATTCGACAGACTTCAATTGTTCCTGGACAACTTGGACATGCTCCAAGCGGACGGCCTCTACCAAAGTCTTGTATTGTCCCGATTGAGTGTTTTCGGCGTCCCGCGCTGCCCGCAATAGTCTATTCAAAAGATATTATATTAGTATTCCTCGGCCACAGAGATTGTCAATGACGTGTCGTAGTGACTCACCGGTTGGTAGTGCCCTGGGCTTTTGTAGAACTGCTTCGTGCAGAACAGACGACGGCCACTCTATTGTCCACGAGGCTGGGTCTGTAGAAGGTTAATTTTTGTCGATTGGTGAAGACTGAAAAGTGCGTCATACTCGATAACCTGTTCAATGATGTTGAGCGCGAACTTGCCCACACTTGTGCCGCCAAATTTTTGGACGACCCAATTGCTGCGAGCCTCGGAAGCCATAGGTAGATCTGAATTAAGGAGAGTAGTGGCCATTATGCGAACCCGTTCAAAGAAAAACAAATATGAAAAACAGAAATGGAAAAAAAATTAAGGTCAAGAAAGAAGAGTCATCGAGTTAAGATGGATCTTGGAGGGGAAGACCGGCGAAAGCGGAGCCTTCCTACAATAATGGGCCACTTCCGGCTCCAGGGCTGCACTCCGTACAATCAAAATCCTGGTGATTGTATAGGTTAACTAATTTTTCCTGTCAAAGTCAGTCCAATCAGAGATTTTGTTTCATTCACCGCCTCTGGATTCGTCCAGGTACCATACGATATCGGCCCCAATCACGCCATTTGCTTACCTGTTCCATGCAAACAGTACAAACAGCGCACACATCTAGAAGTATCCGATGACTCGGGATAAGTGTTATTCCAGAGAGTACTCCATACAATACACATGTATGTGGTGCTCTTAGACATCCCATTATATACACATGTACACGTATATTGATAGCTAACTATACTGCACAATATGTCAGACCTCCAGTAATCCCTGAGTTTGATCATCCATACGTAAAAAGGCCATAGAGAAATCATTGACAACTGTAACGGAAGCAAAAACGCAGTCTACCTTATTTCCTAACAAACAGATTATTTTCATCTATCTTTTATGAAATTTGTCATTTGTCTCTCTTATTCTTTTAAGGCCATATGTGCAATACTTATAAATGTGGTTATGTGTTGTCTATAACAAAAGATTAAAGCATTAAGGATGTGGGGTCCGGGAACGCAACGTTCTGAGTTTAGGCATCAAATTACATTCTTAGCAGTTTTTTTCTATACACCTAACCACTCTGTTTTGTTCGACGTTATTTTGCTTTGCCTTGTCTTGTTTTTGTTCTTGTTTGGTATTTTGTTGTTGCTTCTCCTTCTCTTCCGCACTTCGTACATACATCTCCATTCATGGTTTTGACCAAAACCCCACCTATTAATCTCTCCTCAACATCGGTCTGATACTCATCATGACCGATCTCAACACCATCTCATGCCCATTCTGTCCTTTTATGGACTCGGATGCTGACTTTGTATCCCAACACATCGAGTTCTGTCACCCAGAAGGCGGAGATCCCTTTTCGTCGGATCTAGAACCCGCGACTCAAACCTCACTTCCATCTGACGCAAGCACAGACAACTATATTGAATGTCCACATGGATGTGGGGAAGTGGTGACAGCCGCTGAGCTGTCCATTCATCTTGATCTGCATCTTGCGGAGGACATTGCACTAGACGATGTTGGGGCCACTCCAGCACGCACTCTCGCACGCTCTCCTACATTTTCCCAAGACGATGAATATGATAATGATCTCGATATGGTGGACTCTTACAAAGGTGGTAAGCGTGGAATGCAAAGAGATTCTGCCAGAGCCAATACTGTCAAACCATCACGGCCTCATAGTCCCCCGAGGACAACTAATGCCGACGGTACAAAGAGATTAGGGGTATGTTTCCCCTGCTACGCAAATGCACGGCCTCACTAATATACAAACAGCGCTCTGAACTGGGGCCGCATGCTCACGAAAAGAAAATGCCTTCGTGGCTCAAGAAGATGCTAGAGAAGGGCAGCAGCACCTCAAAGCAAACGCAGATCACATCTGACGGCAAACTGTCACGCAAAGAGGTAGCCGAGAATGAGACAGATCATTTGGTTCCTGTTTTGGCTCGTCTCTGTGAGCAGGACCAATCCGTTCAACGGGCTTTCTTCTGTAGCCCTAAGGTCCGCCATATCTGCAAGATGCGTCGAGAAGGCGGGTTTTGTGGCTATCGCAACATTCAAATGCTTATCTCTTGGTTAAGAAAGTCTCGTGGCTTTGGTCATGAGCATTTCCCGGATAAAGGGCCAACGATCCTTGATCTACAAGATTTAATTGAGGCGGCCTGGGATATGGGATTCAATAGTTCTGGCAGAGCTGAAACGGGAGGCATCAAAGACACGCGAAAGTTCATTGGAACGCCTGAGGTTAGTTTTATCTCCGCCAGATTGTGCACCTGCTAATGCTTATACTTTCCAGGCTCAAGCACTCTTCATGAGTCTAGGGATCCCGTGAGTCAAGCGATTTGTCTTAATATACAATATATACCCTTCTAACTTCTATTCCAGGTGTTCTGCCAGCAGCTTGAGTGAGAAGAACGATCTACGGGCCTGTGATGCACTTTACATGGAGGTCGCCAACTATTTCCGATCAGCCTTGACAGAAGACGAGACTAAAATCGTCAAAACTGATCTCCCCCCGATATACTTTCAACATCAGGGTATTACTCTCTAGCTCTTCAATCCTCTGCCAGGTATCATTCACTCACACAGCCTAGGTCACTCTATGACAATCGTCGGATTTGAAATCCGGGATAATGGCAGTGCAAATCTGCTAGTATTTGATCCTATGTTCAAGACTTCTCCTGCAATGGAACGCTTGACTGGGACTTTTGTCAAACCCTCCGATCCCACTCGTCTTCTCAAAGCATATCGCAGAGGAACGCCCTACCTACAAAAATATAAAATCTTCGAGCTTCTGAAGTGAGTGGTCCAGCTTCATTCCCACACCCTCAATGCTAACGACCACAGACTCTCTATCACCCCCAACCCCCCCACCGCATAGCGCCACATTCATGTCAATAAATGTATCAATATATCAAGATTAATGAAAAAGAACTGAAATGTTTTCAAATCCATGTACGTAGTTTGTATACATCCCAAAGCGGCAATTTACCCCTCGATAAGATAACCGGGACGAAAATTAGTCCGGCGGAATTATTTTATCTGGGGAAGACAACTCCAATTCGACTTTCAAGCTTGCAATTTAATCATTTCTCTATCACAATGCGTACGTCTCCGAACGTGATTATCACCGGTACTCCGGGTGTGGGAAAAACCGTCCACTGCGAACAACTCGCGCAAGAACTCGGCTTGAAGCACTTGTCGATCAACCAAGTCGCAAAGGACCGTGGATGTTTCGATGAGTATGACGAGGAATTGAAGACCTGGGTAGTGGATGAGGATAAGGTACGATTTTGTCCCTGCTGGGTGTCTTTCACTAGGATCGAACCATGAGCTCCGTCGCAGACTTCAAATTTGAGAACCCACCCTGTTAACTTGGACTTGCACAGCTCCTCGATGCCCTCGAAGATGAAATCCCCAATGGCGGATACCTAATCGACTGGCACGCTTGTGACCTCTTCCCGAAATCTTGGATCGATCTTGTCGTTGTTCTCCGCTGCCCCACCACAGACATTCTATACGACCGACTCTCTTCACGGTATGCAACTCGGAACACGATCTACGCTCCCAAGCTAATCTCTAAACAGAGGCTATCACGATAAAAAGCTAGAAGAGAATGTCGATGCAGAGATCTTCGGTGTGCTACTAGACGAGGCGCGGGAAGCCTTCGACGAGGAAATAGTGGTGGAATTGAACAGCGAGCAGGACTCGGACGTGGACTCCAACTGCCAGCGGATCTCGCAATGGATTGATTCATGGAAGAAGACTCAGGCAGAGAACGCGGATTGAGATTAGAACTTTGAATGATCTTCAACCTATGCACAGTCTTTGGCGGTCCTATATACCCTCGATCTACTGGTTGTCCGCGAGCCACTGCTGCAACTTCACCAGCGCCTTGTATCGGTGCGAGATTTTGTTCTGCTCGCTTTTAGTATATGACTTGTTGTATACACGGGTTTCTTACCTTGGCTTCTTTGTCCATCTCGGCATATGTTTGCTTGCCGTCATACTCAAAGATCGGGTCCCAGCCTGTCTTGTATCAGATACAAACCCACGATGCGGAGCTAGGGTTCACTTACCGAAGTTGGGTGGGCCTCGTGGACGTACAATAGTGCCCTGTATATCGATTAGATCTATATAGTTTCGAGTTAACTGGGGCTTACCTCGGTTCTCCCTTGGAAAATGATTGGCTCTTCACCGGGACCTGCGCAGAAAGCGAATGTGCACACAGCTTCGGCGGTTCTATCCTCAAACCCGTCAAGCATCTTGTTCAATCCTTCAAGGCCGAGAGCCTCCATGAATGATTTGCTTGGAGTAGTTAGTATCGCTCAGATGGTCTAGTATGTAACTATAGGAAATACTTGATACTTACATGTATGGCCCAGGAAGATTTTTAAGCGCGTGAAATTCAAGCGAAGTATCTTCAGTCAAGACCGGGCCATTGATCTATATGATTCGTTAACAGATTTAAACATCTATCGAACTGTATCTCGAGAGAACCCACCGCCTTGGCTGCACATTTCGCCTTTTCTTTGGCGATTTCCTCGACTGTTCCTTGGATTTCGGGGACGTCAATTGCCTGGCTGTCTACCTCGATGACATTACCAAGAATGGCTCGCACCTCAAGAAGTTTGTTCTTGTTTCCGGTGATGAAGTTGAGCTTTTGGAGAGCCATTTTGTGATTATACAAAGTAGTTGGTTTGAGGAAGTTCGATTTTCTAAATGCGGGACAAGTTAACCCCACCGACTGCCGCACCGCCATGAAGTTTTTATAGATAGTTTCCTACTACTACCTACAAATTTAGGTACTTAAATAAGTAGATATATACATTAATTATCAAAGGTCTGACTATGAATACAAACTTGACAGGTTCCATACTCATCATATGATTCATGACTACATATATAGCTGCAGCCTGGAAGCATTTGTTGACCCGGTAGATTATATATATCATCCAACGGACACATCAGAAACAGGTTTCTACATCTATGTTGATTTTGAATTGAGTCTGAATTTGAAAAGCAAAATCGCGTTCTGATCTGGTCTATAAGCCCAAGACATATGCAAAACAAATGAAACTCATGCGCATCACTGTATCTCAAAAGGCCATGGATGATCCAGGCAGGTCGTAATCCGTAGCTCAAAGAAAAACCCCCAATTCTAATATACAACAGTACAGATCTATTCATCAAACGCTCCGTTGTCCAATTCAAGTTTCTCTTGTTGTGCCATCGCTTGCGCGGACACAATCTCGGCTAGTCGTTTCAACCGTGGTGTTTGAAGCCCTAGCGACAATTAGCATCTGTAAAACTAAAACATGATAATAAAGAAAGCAATGTCACATACAAGATGGGGTGTAAGTCTCCAGAGCTGTGATGACACGTGGCTCGGCGATCTCATACGGCCCACTGTCTTCCATGTCTACCGGGGCCAACAAGAGGACGTCGCTCTTCTCTGTTACACGAGAGGCAACGGCCTTCATAATCTCGCCATTGATGGGCTGTTCATAATCCGCAACCAGGTACTGGTTCAAGAGCTTTTGTATCTGGTTGGGAGATAGCCTGGATTCAAGTCAGCGACGTGTATAGGGCGAAGACAAAATGTTAGGCTCTACTTACATCCAACAAATGTCTTGAATGATCTCAATGTCATTCAAGGTTGCTTTCTTCAACTGCAGAAGCTTGGTTGCTTGCTGTATAGATATTAGTATTACGGCCGAACGAACAAATTAGATGATGATCTTACCATCAAATGCTCCAGCTTCAATGTCCCTTCCGGCATATCGTGACTCTTGCACCACTCCTCAATTCGGGTGATGTTGTAGTTGATCTGCAGACCGCGCTTCCAGGAGAGGAAATTACGGCGCATGAGGAGGTCGTTGAAAGCAGTGACACCGACGAGGCGCAGAAGCTCCGTGACGGTCTGAGTGACAATGGCATCCTCGAGGTAGAAGGCCTTCATAGCCTTGTACACACCATTCAGAAGGCTGAGAAGGTTGTCCATGCTGTACGCGGGGTTGTTGTTGGAAGGCAGAAGTTTGCCGAGGAAACGATTCGTCTCACTGGTGACAAATCCTGGGAGGGATTGGGACTCAATGATGGCTGGCACAATCATCTTATACAACTTCTTCTTCAATACTTTCATCCAGGTATGATAGATGTTGAACTCCAAGCTCTCAAGGTCATGCTTCACAATCTCCAGCAGACGGTCATACTCGTAATTCTCCGTTTTCTGTGCTTCGTACCAATCCTCGGCCAGGAAGACAAAGGATAGCATTTCATGCACGTTAGACAGCCAGAAAGCACCCGGGTTGATCGCATCATCTCCATCATGCTGCATGACTTCTTGCTGAATAGATTGCATAACATTGGCCAGGAAACGCTCTGACTCCTTGACAAAGCCATTGTTCCACATCTCTGACGTGACAAGGTTGATCAAATATGCCGGGAACAACACTTCCTTCTCAGTTGGCGGAGGGGTTGAGCTTGGGAGGGGAATCTTCAAGTTGCGAATAAGACCCATAGCGACCTCCTCGTTCAAATCCTCTTCCTCAGAGAGCAAGTTTTCAAGTTCGACCTCCACTGACTCTAGGCCAGGAGAGATCGCCGCATTCTGACGAGCAGCCATGGAACCAGGAGTGATTGCCATGGACACAGGACGAGGGTTGTATGCGCCGCTAAAGCGATCAGTCTCGATCTTCTCAGCACCGGCGCTGCGTCTCTTTGGCTTGGGCTTCTTGGAAGACACCAGGTTAATCAAGCCCGGTGTAGGGGTTTGAACAGCGCCACCATTGGGTAGGTCATCAGTGACACCATTAAGTGGCGCAGATTTACTGGCAGTCTCGAGCTGTTGCTCGAGGTCGGAAATCCGCCCCCGGAGACTAGTCTCGGCCTCCTCGTGGGTAGCATCCACAAGCCTGAGACGCGCCAACTCCTCGTTGGCGGTCTGCAAAGCCTCCCGGGACTTGGCCTCCTCTTCTTGAAGGCGCTTGATGGTAGCTTGGGCCTCTTCATGGTTTAGTTTCAGTTTGCTCATCTCCTCTACAATCGCCTCCAACCGGGCTTCGGTAATACCGGCCTGGTTTGCTTGCACCTGGAGTTCCTTAGCGCGGGCTTCCAAGTCTTTGTGTCGGTTTCGCCAAGACTTCAATTGGCCGTCGTAGTTTTCCAACTGTGAAACCAAGGTTTTGTTCTCCAGCTTAAGAGATTGTAGATACTGAGTCAACTCAACGACCTTGTTCTCCAGTTTGTAAGAAATTTGCTTGAGATCGCGTGCATCCTCACGGAGTCTCTTGTAAGCGGTTCTTGCCTCTCTACCCCTCCAAAGGTTTTGAATGGTGATAACCTGGCGGCGATACTGTCTCCAGGACCTTAATTGACGCCATGAGCGGAAGGCACGTTGGATGACTTTGGCCGCATTTCCATTGATAGAGTCCATAATGTTGCGTCGGCACAGGAAACCCTTAGCAACAGATTCAAACAGAATGAAGTTCTTGCGGATCTGGGTGTATCGCCTCTTCTCCTTCTGACCACGCCAGACCCGCTGGATGGTAGTAGCAGCCTTGGTCCGACGAATCTCCTGCGCCTGTTGGCGTGCCAGGAAACCGCGAATAAAGGCCTGAGTGGTGAGAATGGATTCACGAGCATCGAGGTAGCGACGGCGGTAATACTTAGCACGCAAGTTCTTCTGGATCATGATGGCACACTCATTCAACCTGGACGTTCGGAGATTCTCAAGGAAGGCAAGCATGCCAGCCCGGAAAAAGATCTTGGTCAAACCGAGCTGATATTTGACCTTCTTGTCCTGGCTGGCATCTCCAAGGGCCTTGCTAAGGATAGCGTGGCACATGTCCCGAATTTCGGAGGTCCACTGAGAGGAGTGACACAGCATATAATACCGAACGGCAAATTCTTCATAGGTCCATCGAGTCGGGTAGCCAGCGGTGCTGATGCGGACAGTTTCCAACACACCGCATGCCCTCAATTGACTTAGGACCATGGGTCCCTCGAATTTCCATGCTTCCTTTGCTTCGTTGGGTTTGATACAACGGATGTAATGAACCTCCGTGTTGTTGATGGTATGCATCAATTCAATCAATGAGGACTTGAAGATTCCTCCGAGTGTGGGTTTACGGTTCACCGCAACACCAATACGACGTCCAGGAGCTGCCGCAACCGGTTTAGATGACATGGAAGCAGAATCCTTCTCCCGAACAGCAGCGGCAGTGTCGAGAATTTCCTTGATAAAAGGATTGGAGGAGTTGCGCAGCACTTCCAAATGCTCATCTGGTACAGTGTCACGATTCTTCTCAATAAAACCATCAGACTCATAGGTGACATCAACAGCATAGTGGCAGACAGTGAATGCAGACTTGCCGAAGCGAGGTTTCTTGTAGAACTTCTGTTTGTCGGCAGCGAAGTGGTGGTGAAGCTTGGTGACAAACTGCTCATCAGAACCCATAGGAAGTCGAGACTCTTCATCCAAAAGGGCCAGAACACCGAGCTTGGCTTCAATCAAATCGATACAAGGCTGATTATCCGAAAAGTCAATGAACGTCCAATCAATTTCTTCCCGCACATATTCCTCCTGCTCAAGCTTGAACACATGCTGGTTGAACTCCTGCTGCAATTTCTCGTTGGCATAGTTGATACAGAATTGTTCAAAGGAGTTCTTAGCAAAATGCTCAAACCCATAGATATCCAGAACACCAATAAAGCACTTGAATTTCTCAAAGATTTCATCGGTGGCCAAGCGGCGGTTAATTTTGTCCACTAGCCAGTCAAACAGACTTGAATAGATGAATTTGGCGACGGAGTCTCGCACGACCAAGGCCTGTTGTTGTGTCAAATTGGAAGTAATCTTCTCACCACGGGTGATCAGTTGCTTTTTCACGATCCACTTCGCAAATTCGGTAGCATCGATTCCGAGCATCTCACAAGCACGGATAAGAGCAGGCTCGGTCGACGAAACTGAAGATTCCGTGCGAGTGGCTGTGATCTGGACATTGCCAAGGTGCAGTAAAGCCGCGAGCACACGGAAGATGCCAGTCTGATCTTCATGGGCCACACCAATCACAGCCAAAGACTTTCGTGTTGCTTCAAATTCGGCCTTATCGTCGACACCATCAATCACAGGTGTGCCGCCCTGGTTGAGATATTCAAAGTCTTCAACAGGCAAGAGACCCAGCTCCTGTTTCTCTGTATCCGTGGCACCGGCCACGAGCTGATAAAAGATGTGGTAGTTCCGCTCCTTCAAGGGCTGGAACACCAACCTCGACCGTTCCAGAAGATAAGTCCGGATCTTCGCCCCGATAATATTCGTCCGGTCATCAAACATGATCTCAATGTATTTGCCGAAACGGGACGAGTTGTCGTTACGAGTCGTTTTAGCGTTACCGAACGCTTCCATCACCGGGTTGGTTGCCAGGATCTGCTCTTCTGTTTCACTGATCGCATCTGCTCGACTTGTGGTGTATTTTCCAGGCTGGTCGGATGACTCGCGAGTCGCAAAATAACGCATGATATACTTGGCGCTCACGGTTTTACCAGCTCCGGATTCACCAGAGACCACAATCGTTTGGTTCTTTCCATCGCGAAGCATGTCACTGTACCAGGCGTGAGTGAAATAAACACCAAAAGGAGCAAGACTGGAGGTCTCTTACGCGAAAGCTTCCTCCGCAATTGCGAATAGGTGAGGTGCCTGTGAGGCTCGGTGTTTGCCGGCATAAATCTGCACCATCTGCGGTACGTAGAGCGAGTCGACTCGGGCGAAGGGGTTGGTCGCGATTAGGACGATACCACTGTAGGTATATATCTCTTTCTGGGCATATCGAAGCTTTATAGCCTGGAGGACTTAAAGGCCGTCAGCTGCAAGGTAGTACTCGGAATAGCTGGGAAACAAACCAGCAGGTTCGTTCAAATGAGACAAGTTCGTTAAGTCTTCACTTGCTTCAAGCATAGCCGGGTTCATGAGCGGTGGTAGTTTGGGGTTGTTGTCGATCTGCAGTTCAGACTGCGTGGTCTCAACGCTTTTTGTCTATCCGATCAAAACAGCGTCAGGTCATTCAACTCTTCAAGGAATGTATGAGAGTGCGCATCGTGGAATTGTCCATTTTCCGTTGTCCAAAACAAAGCACCTACCTCGCCATTTTCCACCTCAAACACCAGCTGGACTTTCTCACCATCCACCAGCTTCTCCTTCACTTCGGAAGCCAACCATCCTTCTGTCGGGTCGGGCTGCCAGGCCCGTGTGCCAACTTCATAGATGTGCGCCATGGGTAATGTTCGTTAATCGTTTGGAATGCAAAGAAAGCGGGATATTTGCAGAAGCTTCGAGGTTCAAAGGTATCGTGTAGTCCAAGACAAGGGGGGGATTCTCAACCCCTCATCTCATAAGAAAATGGAAATAGGAAATAAATGAAGATACGGAAGAATAAGAAAAGAAAAATGAAAGTTGGACTAACAGCTCATTTAGCGAGAAGCCCCTGAAGGAGCTTAGGACGGGAATATATGGGGGGGCGCTACACCCCACAGCCTGTCACCGCCATCCTCACTTGGTTCTCTGCGCTTTTATGCAAGGCATGTCTTGTTTACTTTGTTGTTTATGAGACTTATTGTATATGATTCTCTAGTATTGTGTTGTTATAGTTGGTAACCTATATTCAGGGCTTAATATCTAGAGTAGTTGCATCTAACTTCGTGAACATATTATATATAGTCATGTTGATATCTATAATTCACATAGTTATACATACATACCAACTGTACATATGTAGGTAGACCACCCATGTCACCTATGTTATTGGCGTTATCCTATCTAGCCATTCTAACAATATTACCGAGGTCAAAGTTGAAGAGTGCACACCGATTATGTCAAGTATTGATTGAGTATTAGAAGGTAGGGATCACGCAGGGGCAACACAAAGGCAGAAGGCATAGCAAAATCAGAGAATACTAATGATCTCATGTGGGAATTCACCACCGGCAACTTTTTTCATTCAGTTTTGCTTGCACTCGGCGGCCTCCTTCTTGGGCTTGGAGGTTCCATCCTGGGATTTGATTAGCATGATCCAGAGCGTGTGCGAAACGGATCTTCCTTACCTCTTCATCTGAGTCCTCCTCGACGTCACGATCCGACCCATGGTCATCGTCATTCTCATCGTCTTCGTCCTCATCGTCCTCATCGTCATCTTCCTCAGACCCAATATCCTCCATGTCGTCGTTAAGCTCCTCGAACTGAATAGCCTCGCCAGTGAACCAGTCGATGGCGCGGGGAATAAGCTTCTCCTTGATATCTTCACCGAGCTGGTAATCGAGCTCCAGACGCTCTTCAATGTCGCTGGCAACGGACTCGTCGTCCTCGGTGGGGGGCTGTGGGGGAGAGAAGAAGTTGAAGAAGGACTCGGTAGGCACACTGATCTTAACAACGCGGGTCTGCTTGGTATCTGGGAGGTAATAATTAGGTTGAATGTCATCGCTGAATATTTGAGGATACTTACTCTTGTTACGCTGTTTCTTGCTCTCCAGACGGAGGGTCAGGTCTTTGTCTTCCTTCCATTCGATTGGTGATCCTTCGGCGTGGTCGTAAATGAAGTCACCAGCGTATCCATTCTCGTCCTTGTAGAAGTATGACTTGGAGATGGTTTTGTTGGTGAAGAATTCGTTCTCAGAGAACTCGAAAATGAGGCGGAATCCGGGGCGGTCAAGGTACTCCATGCGAATGTCGGTGAGGTGCTTCAGTGCCTCCTCATCACGCTCGGTGATCATCTCGTCAAGAGAGATCTGGTTCTTCATGGCAGAGAGCCAGAACTCGGGAATACCGTTAATGGGGGCCCCCTCTTCCTTCTTGGACTCTTTGGATTCCTCCTCGTCATCCTCCTCTTCATCTTCCTTTCCAGCCTCAACCTCATCATCGGTCGGCTCGACACCACCGTTGATAATGGTAGAGCGACGGTTGTACAGCGGAGTGAACTTGGCAAAGTACTTCTTTTCAAGTTCCAGAACTTCCTCCTGAAACTGACCCTCAAGCTTAGAGTGCTCCTTCTGAATACCCTTCAGGCCGGCAACGCGGCGGCGGACGGAAGGAGGGAGAGATTCGATGTAGCCGGAGGAGCGACCGACAAGCTGACCGAGCTTGCCTTGGATCATGGAGACCAGGGCTGGGTTGCGGGCGAAGAGGGAGGCAGCGGTGGCATTGTCAAGGGTTTCTGAAGAGGTAAAAAAAAACATACGGTTAAAAAGAGATGTCGAAGACAAGCAAAGAAAAAAAAAGCAATAACTTACCCTCCTTGATGCTGGAAACACCAGGTTGCTGAGCGTGAGATGAGATAGGAGCATTGTTGGCCGGCGTGTTTTGCGGGGTCCTTTTCTGTAAGTTAGTTTTTTTTTCTTCTTTCCTTCTTTTCTTTTTCTGTGATAATTTTGGGGGGGGGGAATTGAAATGGGGTTGCATACGGTGCGACCGGGAAATCAGCCTTCTTGTTTCTGATGGGCTCAGACATGATGTATTGGGGAAAGAAAAGGGTAGGGGGAATGTGTCAAAAGAAGAGAAGAATTTGATGCAAGGCGAGTCTGGAAGATGGTGGGATCCTTAGCGCCTGGTGGCCGAGGGGCTTGGCGGGATGACTCTTGGTTGAGAACGAATGCAAAGGCTGCAAATTCTCCCAACAATTACCCCCTCTTTATATATTTATGTTGTGTTTTTTTATATTTATATCTTGATATATTTATATATATATATATATATTTATATGATGGTTATGTTGATATTATTGAGTTTTAAATCCTAGAACTTTTGATACATATAGTTATATCGTTAGTACGGAGTAGTTAACTTGTTTAATATGGTACTGTTGTTGTTCCCTTAAATATGGTGGCGCCCTGACAAAAAAACTCTCCCTTCTTTCTACCCCTCTCTCCTCTCTCCAATTAGTCTAAAGAGTATAAGACATCATTGGGAATTTTATACGGTGTACTCAAGATAATATAAAGACTTTATTCTTGATATGATCCTATTAAGATATATATGATTCCAAGTGTGAAACGTTGTATAGATATATTTAGAAAGAGTTGCACACCGTTAGTTTTGCTTGTTTTTCCCCTAGGCTGCATAATCGCCAACGACGTTCCAATTAGTACCCTGTGTAGAGAAGTACAAGGGGTAAATATGAAAAGGTCAGGTCATGTAGATCTCCCCATATCATCTCAGATCAAACCCCGTAGATGACTTTTAGTGACCAATGAAATGTCCGCTGATGAAGCTCAAACATCAGATGCCAAGACTATTCCAGTCTTCTAGAAGGATTTCATGGCAATGGGAAGAAAACATTGAAAACGACTTATCCAAAAACAACCGGAGTCAAATCATTTCATATTAACAATATAAAACACTAGCCCTGAAGGGATTGAATCTTTTCAAAAACTCACCTTTCTCTTTTGGGGGTTGATAGTCAAGCTGAATCACGTGGAGATAGGCTCTCCTCTCCGCTGTGGGACGTTCAAGATAAGGTCCCCCAGATCACACATCCTTCGTCCTTGATTTCGCATTTCGGGAACATTTTGGTGACATACAACCCTACCAACACCATCCTCTCCAGACTTTGAGAGGTTTGCGCTGGTTAAGTAGGGGAAAGAGTGAATCTCTTTCAAAATGGGAAGCCGTCCGCAGTCCCCTTCGGGGACCGGTCCCGTGGACCTATCCATGCCTCGACACGGACTGCGACGTGATTCTATGCGAAGCAGGTAGCTATTCCTTTTACCTCATACTGTGGAGTCCGAGATTTCTCTGACATTATGGTAGCATGAGTGTCGTGTCGGACGTGGAAATGGCCCAGCATGAGGTATGTCGCGCTGCTTTACCCATGTGCAGATCCTGAGCTGACCTCCATTAGGTCTTCGATGGTCCAATCTCGGAAAGTATACCGTCTAGTGTGGTCTCGTTCGCCCACCGCCGCAACCGAGCAGACTCCACCGTGAGCTTCACATACTTCCAGGACGAAGAAGACTTTGCCGAATGGTCGAATGAAGATGCGGTGGAGGAAAGCGACGACGAAGCGTCTCTACGTGGACTTGAGGAGGCGGATATTGAGTCAGTCAGAGGTTCCTTCGCGTCTAAGCGATTGTCTACCTCTCGTGACTCGGTTGAGCGTCCTCTTCTTTCTCGCTACATGTCCGCTAGCTCGTATGGCCGAGATCGAAGGACGGGTAGTCGTCTGAACCAAAAAGTCTACATAGTATCGGAGGACTTGACTGCAGTATTTGCTGGTTTCTCTACCAGCACTGGTGGATTTGCCCTCTATATCGCTCTGTGCATCTTGTCAGGTGGATTTGCCTACCTTCTCTTCCGATGGCTGCCACGATGGCGAGTCAAGTTAATTGGAAAGGCAACGCCGATAGGAAAATGCCAATGGGTTGCTATCGAGGTGAGACCGAACCGTTTCATCTTTATGTCGCACTCGTCTAATCAATAGCAGGACCAATGGAACCAATTCACCATTCATGAAGTTGGCAGTCAGCCATACGGGCGTCCGCTTTCTACAGTCTTTGCCGACTCTCTACTCCACACTCTTGATGAAGATGGAGACCCAACTATTGCGAATTTACTATTTATTGACTATAGGTACATGCGATTCTTTTACCACCCGATTGAGGACAAGTTTTCCCTGATCAATGGTTGGAAAGATCCTTCATGGACCAATGCCAAGGTCATGCGAGAAGGTTTGGATGCCGATGAGCGAGACAGCAGGGAGCAATTGTTTGAACGCAACTGCATTGAAATAATCCAGAAGACTGTTCCACAGTTGCTCGTTGACGAGGTGAGTCTATTTTTGTTGTGTTGATTACTGTATCTGACATATACAGGCCTTTCATCCCTTCTACATCTTCCAAGTTGCAAGTTTACTTCTATGGTCCATGGATGAATACTATTATTACGCTATCTGTATCTTTCTCATCTCGTTCTTCAGCATAGCAACAACTGTGCTTGAGACAAAATCGGTATGTTCTTGCCCATAGATTGGATCACTATCATGAATATTAATTCCAAACAGACAATGAGCCGGCTGAGGGAGATATCCCTCTTCGAATGTGATGTTCGTGCTCTAAGAAATGGATTCTGTGGGTCGACCTGATATATTTGTTTTTGATATGATGTTTGAAGCTGACTGTAGACTTGCAGGGCGATCTGTTTCCTCCCAAGAGCTGGTCCCAGGCGATGTGTTTGAATTCTCCGACCCATCCCTCAACCAGGTCCCGTGCGATTGCATTCTGTTGTCAGGAGACTGCATTGTGAATGAAAGCATGCTGACCGGTTCGTACAGCCTCGCAACCCTCAACATTGTATCGCCAAAGCTAACTTGAACAGGCGAATCTGTTCCTGTGTCTAAAATACCTCTTACCGATGACGCCCTTGGATATCTCGACTTAAGCACCCCCTCTATCCATCCTAATGTTGCCAAACATTTCCTTTTCAGTGGGACGAAAGTCATTCGGGCTAGACGCCCTCAGAATGTTGACGACGATGAAGCAGTGGCTTTAGCAATTGTTGTCAGAACTGGCTTTTTAACCACCAAAGGTGCCCTAGTTCGTTCAATGCTTTTCCCCAAGCCATCTGGATTCAAATTCTACAGAGATTCGTTCCGCTATATCGCAGTGATGGGAGTAGTTGCGCTTCTTGGATTCATTGCTTCATTTGTCAACTTTGTTCGATTGGGTGTAAGTCGAGGCCTTCAGCAAATTTGCAGTTCTAGCTGCTAACAACACGGAACAGCTCGCCTGGCATTTGATCATCATTCGAGCCCTGGATTTGATCACGATTGTTGTGCCGCCAGCTCTTCCGGCCACGCTCACTATTGGAACCAATTTTGCCCTCTCCCGACTTAAGAAACAGAATATATTCTGTATCAGTCCACAAAAGTGAGTAGCCGAGGTTTGTACATCTGCATCTTTCATTTGGATACTAATAGGCCTAGGGTAAATGTGGGTGGAAAATTGGACGTTGTTTGTTTCGATAAAACGGGAACTCTCACAGAAGATGGACTAGACGTGCTCGGAGCGCGGATAGTCACTCGTGGGCAAGGGTTCTCTGATTTGCTCTCTGAGACTTCCGAAGGATTCCTCCTCTCGCCCTCAACTTCAAACTCTGCGTACGATATAGAAAAACAAAATAAGATCATATACACCATGGCAACATGCCACTCCCTCAGGGTAGTGGATGATGAGCTGTTGGGTGATCCTCTGGACGTGAAGATGTTCCAATTTACCAACTGGACATTTGAGGAGGGAGGAAACCATATTTCTGACCAGACAAGCCCCAAATACGATACAATCGCACCGTCAGTTGCGAAGCCACCACCTAGTGCCCGGCAGGATGTAAATGTGAGTTTTTGTTGAAGTCATCAAAAGCATACACATCTGACACACACAGAACCCCTTGGAACTTGGAGTACTGCGCAGCTTCGAATTTGTTTCTGAGCTTCGCCGTGCAAGCGTCGTTGTCAGGCAATTCGGTGATAACGGAGCAAACTTCTTCGTCAAGGGTGCCCCGGAAAGCATCAAGGATATTTGTCTTCCCGGAACCCGTTAGTGTCACGTTCGCCTGTCAGTCTGCACCGCTAATATGTTCCTTGCAGTTCCATCGGACTATGAAGATCTTCTCAACTATTACACCCACAAAGGATATCGCGTGATTGCCTGCGCCGCCAAGTACGAACGAAAATTGAGCTGGATGAAAGTTCAGAAAATGACCCGAGAGGAGGCTGAATCAAACCTGGAATTCCTGGGATTCATCATCTTCGAGAACAAATTGAAGCCCAGTACTGCTGGTGTGATTACTGAGCTGAACGAAGCAGGAATTCGGAATGTGATGTGCACCGGCGACAACATCTTGACTGCAATCAGCGTTGCTCGCGAGTGCAAGATACTTGGACGCAACGAAATGTGTTTCATCCCGCATTTTGTCGAAGGTTTGTTTCTATTGTTCACGTCATTGTTAGTTTCTAACAATAGACAGCACCTGGTATTTCCTCTAAAATTTCTCTCATATGGGAATGCGTGGACAATCCTGACCTCCAGCTGGACCCGAGAACACTTTTGGTAAATCTCCTCCATATATGTTGATAATGGCCACTAATTCAATGGCAGCCCATCCATACTGCGGAGACGGACCTCTCTGTGCCAGGAAGCACCCTCACTGAGCGTGAATACTCTGTCGCAGTGACAGGTGATGCATTTAGATGGTTGATTGATTACGGCAACGAAGATGTCCTCAATAAGGCAAGTATATCATTATGTCCTGTCATTTCTGGCAATACGCTTAGCTAACTACCATTCAGGTGCTTGTATTTGGAAAGGTGTTTGCCAGAATGTCACCGGATGAAAAACATGAACTGGTCGAAAAACTCCAGTCTATTGATTACTGCTGTGGTTTCTGCGGAGATGGTGCCAATGACTGTGGTGCATTGAAGGCAGCAGATGTTGGTATTTCATTGTCAGATGCTGAGGCGTCTGTTGCTGCACCGTTTACTAGCCGTGTCTTCGAGATCTCCTGTGTTCCAACATTGATTCGGTGAGTGGGTAGGACTGCTTGATGTTTCCCAAATTCTAACAGCCATTACAGAGAGGGTCGAGCTGCCTTGGTGACAAGCTTCTCCTGTTTCAAGTTCATGAGTCTTTATTCCGCCATCCAATTCTCCACAGTCAGCTTTCTATACACTTCAGGCTCCAATCTTGGTGATTTCCAGGTGAGTGCTAATTGCTACAAATTCTATACACTTGGCTAACAAATCAAGTTTCTTTTCATCGACCTCGCGCTCATCATGCCAATCGCAATATTCAGTGAGTGAACCTTGGTATGAAAAGCACTACGTGAGCTAATCCTGCTATAGTGGGTTGGGCTGATCCTGCCCCAACACTCTCTCGCAAACGGCCCACTGCCGATCTGGTCTCACGCAAGGTCTTGACACCTTTGCTTGGACATATATCCCTGGTCATACTAGCGCAATTTGCGGTCTTCAAGACCGTACAGATGCAACCATGGTCAGTCGGCCCAATATATGCAGAAAGAAATATTCTAACGAAGGATACAGGTTCATGCCGCCCCAGCTAGACCTCGAGAAGAGCAATATTGTCAACTCAGAAAATACTTCTTTGTTCTTGTTCTCCTGTTTCCAGTATATTCTCACCAGCGTCATTCTCAGCGCCGGCCCGCCGTTCCGGAAGCCGATGACCCAGAATGGTATGCACATGTCCACTCATCGATCAGCCAACCAAAGACTGACCAAGCTGTCTAGTACCGTACCTGTGTACGATCATTATCGACATTCTTATCGCGGCTTACATGCTATTCAGACCATCGGGATGGGTGTCTGAAGTGATGCAACTGACTTTCATGTCTGATGCATTCAGAAGCTGGCTAATGGCACTAGCATTCGGGATTTTCTTCTTGGCTTGGATCGCGGAGAAGAATGTATTCCCACGTGTGGCACATATACTTGGACATGCTCGTGCTCGCTTGCAGCCAGGCTACCGCAAGAAGCGTCGCATGTACAAGATCTTGTTGGAGGAGATGCGTATGTGATGTGACCCACAACGCATTCATGTTGTACTTGTATCGGATGTACATGTGCTACAGATACTATAGACGCCTTGCGAAATAGCGCACCAGGCGCATGTACAAAATTGGAAGTATTGGGAGGAAATGTTTATGTGATGCCTTCCATTCGTGTACTATTAGGTTTACATAGAACTAGCACTACTTCTTAGCGCCTGCATTCAAGGTTCAGGATGGCAGAGGGTCGATTGGTTCAGAGATACCAAGTTGAAAATTGAGAAAGGGTATTGATACAATTCGACTTGGTAAAGGTTATTGTGAACTTCACACTTGGTGCGTTTGAGGTTCGGCAAACAACCGGTTTTTCCTGTATTCCCTTCTTGCCAAGCGCTCATCATTCCAAGTACTCAAAGAACACAATTAGACACATTCACTGTTTCCACGAAGCGAGAAGAAAGAAAGAAAGAAAGTTGACAATTGTATCGCAATCAGTGGTCCCAAGGATGCTTCCAGCCGAGCAGGGCCGCACCATCCTTCTTGGCCCGGTACATGAGCTACAAATGAACCATGTCAGTCCCAATTCCCTCAAGATCTCAAGGGAAACTCACGAAGAACCACATGCTAGCGCCCAATGCAGTCGCCGTGAAGCGGTAGAGCGGTCGAACCGGGTGGATGTGAATAGGGTGGGAGGATGTGCCCGCCATGACTATCGGATTCAGCAACTCAGCAATTAGTTTTTCAAAACGCCAGAGTTCCAAAGGAACAGGATAACACGTACTGTCAATTGGAAAATGGCCGTTGTTAGTTCACAAAAGGTTGAACTTCGAAAGGCGGAAGTGAGTGTTCTGCGACTCCACGAAGATGTTTCACGTGACTCGGTGACGGCAGTCGAATTTCCGCAATGGATTCAACTTTCGTTTGAATCCTATTGATCCTGTTGATTCTTGTGTGATCATATTAATTGATCTAATACTGTCTTTATTCCTTGATAGGGCTGGCTCCTATTCAAAGGTTTATATCGTCTCCATTGATATCTTGAGCCTCAATACGGATTTCGCAGATCTCGACATTTGAGAGCAATGCGACACATGCTTTTGATTTTCACTTGGCTTTCCTAAGACTTCTTTGAAATGGACTCGGCTCGCGACACATCTCCTGTACTTGGCCTTGTCTAATATTATCTCGGTTTTGACTTGACGGACCCTAACCTTTCGCGCCATCTTTCGACGCCCTTTTCCCTGCGTTTCGACGCGATATCAAAACGACAAATCCAGAAATCGGTTAACCGCTTTAACTGACCCTTCGAATCTTGAGAGCGGCGCGGCGCGATATCGAAACAAATACACCCAGGACTTGCTGTGACCCTTTCAATCCAGTCCATCCTCACACGCCGCTTAGCATGGCTATCTCCTTGGAGAAGAATGGCGATGGCCAGCCCCGGTTTCCAGGCTGCTCTAATATTCGTGACTATGAGTTTGTTGGCAAGCTCGGAGAAGGAACATTCGGGTGAGCCATTTGTGCTACTCTTGGAATTTACATGGGCCTTACTGACTGGTGGATAGTGAGGTCTACAAAGCAAGGTCTAAGAAAGACACCGCAATTGTGGCATTGAAGAAGATTCTTATGCATCACGAGAAGGAAGGCGTGGGTTTTCCGGTGCTTTGATAGCCCTAGACGTCATGAGCTCACATTTTGGACCAGTTCCCTATTACCGCCATCCGAGAGATCAAGCTCATGAAAGCACTTTCACACCCAAATATACTGCAGCTCAAAGAAATGGCAATCGAGCGAGGCAAAGGTTAGCATGGTCTACCACTTTTCCCTCCAGATAATACTAATGTTAAGAAAAGGCGAAGGCCGGAAAAAGCCAAGCATGTATATGGTCTTCCCATACATGGAGCATGACCTGTCAGGACTCCTGGAAAATCCAGCAGTCCAGTTCAGTGAACCGCAAATCAAATGCTACTTGATGCAACTCCTCGAGGGACTCAAGTATCTGCACGCTGTAGGATGCCTTGATACAACCACATCTGGAACTTTGCCTAACAATTTTGCAGCAACGCATTTTGCATCGTGATATGAAAGGTGAATTTTGGACTTCCACTTCCAAGAATTTCAGCTGATGTATTTGAATAGCCGCAAACTTGCTAATCAGCAATGGAGGTCTCCTTCAAATAGCTGATTTTGGTCTTGCCCGCCCCTACGACGATGCACCTCCACTACCTGGAAAGGGAGGAGGAGAATCCAAGAGAGAATACACTGCTCTTGTCGTCACAAGATGGTACCGCCCGCCAGAGCTGCTGCTGCAACTTCGAAAATACACTACGGCTATTGACCTTTGGGGAGTTGGGTGAGTTTCTCGTATATATTAGCCAGTTTTGTACCTTTCTAATGCCTCACAGCTGTGTGTTTGGCGAGATGTTCAAGGGAAAGCCCATTCTCACCGGAAATAGCGATCTCAACCAAGCGCAACTGATATTCAGTCTCGTGGGCACTCCCACCGAAGAAAACATGCCTGGGTGGAGTCAGCTCCCGGGCTGCGAGGGCGTGAAGAACTTCGGATATAAACGCGGCAACCTCCATGAATTCTTTAGAGAGTACGTCTTGTACATTTCATCTCTTACTTCTGAGTAAATACTGATTAGACGTTATAGATTGAGCCCAACAGCTGTCTCGCTGCTAGGAGAGCTCCTCCGCCTTGACTGGAAGAAACGTATCAACGCCATGGATGCACTAAAGCATCCATACTTTACTACTCCTCCTCTCCCCGCACGACCGGGCGAAATTCCACAATTCTCAGACTCTCACGAACTTGATCGCAAAAAGTTCCGCAGCCAGCGAGCCCCAGTGCCTCCTGTTCCTCCAGGTGTCCCGGACGCACAATCCAATGGGGCTTGGTCAAGTTCTGGCTCTCGTGGTCCAGATTCTCGACATGGGCCCCGCGGAGGTAGACCGAATGTACCAGGAAATCATGGAAGCCAAGGACATCTCCCACGACGAGGTCCTTTCCCGCAATCACAATCAAGAGACACCGGGCTTCCCCCGCGGCCTCCGGTGCCCTCAAACCCGCCGTGGGATGCGGCACAAGCCAACAGACCTGATGGGAGAGATGATCGACGAAACCAATTCGGCCAAGGCCGCCCAGCAGGTAGGCCAAACAACCTGGACTCATATGTCCCAAACTATAATGATCGCAATGATCGCCCTCGAGATTCTGGCGAACATGGCTCTTCAAATCCCGATTGGCGTGCATCGGGTCGACGCGATTACCGACGTGAACCGGCAAGGAGGAGAAGTCGAAGCCCTAATTTTAGAGATGGGAGTCGAGGATGAATCCAAGCAGCCCAATGCATTGGAGAGCATTCAATTCTACGTAGCTAGTAAGAGCTTGTGATAGTAATTTCCTTGCGAAAAAAAAAATTGAAAAGAGAACATTCATATCGTGACTTTTGTCTAGATGGCGCATGGTATTCACAAAATATACACTCAACGGCTGTTTCAGTCCTACCTTGAACTCGACCCGAGTTGGCGACTTTGTTTGCTGGAGCCTCGTTGAGAATGCCCCATTGAGTTTGAAGGGGCCCTCAATCAGGGCGGGCCCGTCCGTCTTAAGTTGATTAAAGCATCAGCCCAGGGACTGGCTTGTTTTGAAACCCGTTCAGTACAGAACACGGGTCATGATACGAGCTGGGTACCGTTAGTTTTGTTTATGGATCAGTGGAAGCGGGGGATCTTACAAGGAAGGCTCTCGAGTCTTGTGTAAAGATCTTTGATGGTAGCAACGTCAACATTGCTGATATCGGCCATCAAATAGGCAACCTATGCGTCGTTAGTAATAGGTTCTTTCTTCATCTGGGTTGATTAACTTACATCGCCTCTGCTATCGGTCATCTGCTTGTCAACGTTGTGGTCCCCGATGATCTCGTTGACTATGCCATGTTAGCTGGATATATCTTCTTTTGGGGAATATATGTACTGACCCTTGCGCAACACTCCAGGAATGTTCTTGTGGATGTAGATGACACGAGCGTGGTTGGGTTCATCCATAGTCAATGAACGGAGGACAACCTCGGGCAAGTTAACAGCACCAAGAGTGGAGCCCTCGTTGGCATATCGGACCAGAGCCTGAGCAACCTCGACACCAATAGCTTTTTGGGCCTCCTCGGTACTTCCACCGATATGAGGGGTCAGGATCAGGTTCTTGAGCGAGCGCAAGTCAGCTCCCCAGGTGTTCAACTCGCTGTTGAAGTAGTCACCGTTTCCGGCGGGCTCGTTGGGGTAGACATCGAGAGCAGCTCCAGCGACCTTACCGCTGCGCATGGCATCAATCAAAGCGGGAATGTCCACCACAGTTCCACGGCTAGCGTTGATCAAGTAACTTCCCTTCTTCATCTTCTCGAACTGGTTCGGTCCGATCATGCCCTTGGTCTCGGTAATCTCGGGCACGTGGCAGGTAATGAAATCGGCCTGGGCCAAGAGCTCATCCAAGTTGTCGACTTGGCGAGCAGTACCCAAAGACATGATGTTGAGCACATCGAAGTAGATAACCGACATACCCATTGCCTCGGCCAACACTGACAGCTGGGCACCAATGTGACCATAGCCAATAATACCTAGTAACGGAAACCCAGGATCAGCACAGAATCAACACAATCACAATATATCCACATACCAAGAGTTTTTCCTCGGATCTCCCAGCACCCATTGCTGACCTTGTTCCAGGTGCCATTGTGCATCTCGTTGGAGCGATCACCCAATTGGCGGGCAAGCATGACCATTTCACCGATGACCAGCTCGGCGACACTGCGGGAGTTGCTGAAAGGGGAGTTGAATACGGCAATACCGTGATCGGCAGCATATTGGAGGTCAACCTGGTTGGTACCGATACAGAAGCAACCAATGACAATGAGGTTCTTAGCCTCCTTCAAAACTCGTGCAGTGAGCTTGGTCTTTGAGCGAATACCGATAACGTGAACATCACTACCATTCAATTAGAAAGGGACTTGGTTTGAATCCATGGAGACCCACCGAATCTTCTCAATGAGCTGATCTTCCGAAAGGGAAGACTTGAGAAATTCAACCTGGTAACCCTGTTTGGACAGAATCTCACGACCAGTCTGATTGACATTTTCCAAGAGAAGAACCTTGATGTCTTCTGTGGCGAATGGCTTCAGATGCTTCGCATTCACGACTGGGACGGTGCGGCTCAGAGCAGAGTGGCTGGAGGGGGAATGGAAAGAGGCGGATGGCGAGGTAGCGAGGGCGGACAAGTCATCCTGACGAGGACGAATATCTCTTGCGGCTGACATTGTGTGTGTGTATATGTAGATGATTGATGGAGAGAGAGGTCGAGAATCCTTATGAATCACCGTATGACTCTTAATTGAACTTAAGTAAGCCCCTCCGGAATCGGCCTACCATATGGGCCTCTGCTTTCAGACGTCCACGGCAATTATTCACTTGTTCACTTAAATATGACTAATTGCATACTGAAAAATATATAGATAAATGTTTTTATTTTCCATCATACTATTCAAATATAATATACATAGTATACATGTAGTGTAACAAGTGACATGCATTTTCAACTATGGAGGGGCATCATTTCGCGGGGCATCTTTTTTTTTTTTTTCTTTTTTTTAAACAAAAATAAAAAGAAAAAGGTTAAAAAAAGGAAAATCATCAATCGACCAATCAGAAACTATGATTGAATGAGCTTATCCTCTTCAGGCAATATCGATTGCCAATTGCGTGCTTTGTACTTTTTGAGCCTTAACTACTGTATCTTGTACATTGTACAATGGAGTACTCCGTACATATGTATACAGTAAACACTTGGGTTATGCAAGATACTGGTGTTGAATAAAATTTGCAATGCTCCAGAAGACTAGTCTTCGAATGCTAAATCTAAACCTTGAGATCTTCCATCTTTTTAGTAGCAGCATCAGTACCCTTAGCCTTCTTCGTCTTGTTAGATGTGGTCTCCTTAGGAAGCTCCTTGGTGTAAGGAAGGAATTCAGGTTGTCCGGGAATGTATTTCCGCAGAACCTCCGGAACTTCGATGCCCTAAATCACAGTTAGCAGATATATCATAAATCGTGATTCACACAGCACTGACATCTTCTCTTTGGTAGTTCTCAAGCACACAGCAGAGAGTCCGCTCAGTTGCACACAGAGTGGCGTTCAGAGCGTGGACATAGGTCTTCTTCAGATCGGTGGCCTTTTTGGCGCCGTACCGGATCTCCAAAGCCCGGGACTGATAATCAGTGCAGTTGGAGCAGGAGACAAGCTCCTTGTACTCCTGCTGGAATGGGAACCAGGCCTCCAGGTCATATTTTTTGGCTGCAGCGTTGTTCAACGCACCGGACACAATGGCAACAATCTGGTAGGGAAGACCGAGGGACTTGTAGAACTCCTCGGAGGTGCTCATCATATCCTCAAACGCTTGCCACGAATCCTCAGGCTTGGTGAGAACAAATTGTTCGATCTGGAATAGAGGATAAGTATATGAATTGCAGTATGTGATTTTAACTCAAACCTTTTCGAATTGGTGGACACGGAAGATACCCCAAGCGTCCTTGCCATGGGATCCAGCCTCCTTGCGATAACAAGTACTGTAGCCAGCATACCTGTTTCTCTTAGTAAACTCGTATGATCCTTGACGATGGTGAGATCTTACTTGATGGGAAGCTCCTTGTCCTGGAGCCACTCGCTGTCGTGTAGGGCAGACAATGGCTGTTCGGAGGTAGCAATGAGGTACTTGTCAGTGGTCTTGTCCTCGCTCTCAGTGACCTTGTACAGTTCCTCGTCGAATTGCTCGAGCTGGGCCGTCTTGGCCATGAGATCACGGAGCATGAACTGAGGGGGCTGGTTGGGGGTGTAACCCTTATTGAAAAGGAATTCCAGACCGTAGTTGACCAGAGCGAGGTTCAGGAAAAGACCGTAACCAGTCAAGCAATAACCGCGGTGGCCAACAATCTTGACACCACGTTCTGGATCGTATCCATCGAGACGGGTCAGCACTTCGTGGTGGGAGAGGCAGCCTGGCCGTTCCATCTGGACATTCTCGGGGGCCCATGTCTTGATTAATTGGTTGTCTGCCTGTAGATTATGGTGATTAGCGTCACAGTCATGTTCTTGGCGCAGAGAGACATACCTCATCGTTGCTCACGGGCACCGATTCGTGGACATAGTTTCCAATGGTGCGAATCTTTCGATCGCGCTGCAGTTCCTTCTCGACGGCAGCTTCCTCTAGCTCTTTCTTCGTCTTCTCCAGGTCTGTCTTTTGGTCAAGTAGTTTGCTAGCATCCTCCTTGTTCTAGTGATCGGCGAGTAAGCATTCGTTTGTGTTGGCCGAACTGGCGCGAAATACCTTCTTCTTCATTCCAATCTCCTTTTGGACTGCATTGATTTGAGATCCAATCTGTGATACCTCGTAGCGGGCTATACTAGTCAGAATGACTCCAATTGTGGAAATTGCAGAGAGTCGCGAGGATACATACCACGTCGGGCATCTTCATACAGCGCAATCACTTCATCAACGGACTCTTCCGGAGCAAAACGCTTCTGCTGGCTCTCCTTGATCTTCTTAATATCTCCACCACGCTCGGTGACAAAATCAAACAGGTCCAACATCTTGTGTGTTTGTTCGCAAATGGTAAAGTGACTCAAAAGGGAAGTGTGGAGGGGTAAAATCGATGAAAATCAAAGTGCGTATCTCCACGCACCGAGGGGTTACTTAATCCACAATCTAGCCCAGGGCCCCCTCAAGGTAAGGTAATTTCTTTCATGTTCTAACTATATACTCACTTCATATGTCCATGGGCATGTATTATATCTCTAGGTTACTAGTGTCATATTAATATCAGTACTCCCCAATTTGTTTCGTATTGATATTTTTGCGTTGAAAGAAAGTTTTAAAAGAAAAATTCATTACTTTATGCATGGTATTCATGTTCCCTAATTCGACCCTAAAACTCATTATTCATGCAAAGAAGAGAGAGAGAGAAAGACACCAATATTCCACCAACAGTTGGGAAAAACAAGGCATAACTTAACAAATAAAACAAACAGAAAAGGGCCGATGAAACGAAAAGCCTGAAGCCATCGATTGATGATTCCTAATTCAGGCCATCAGATCAGCGGGAGATCGAGATTGAGTGGAGTAAAAAAGAGAATAGCAAATATGTCGATCGTATGACACAGCAGAGTAAATGGTGAGATCCTCATAAAAATTGACGGTGTATCTTTGCAGATTCATAGTTGGACCTTGATAAGTTGCCAGTGACTTACTTGACTTACATCCTTGGCAGCAGATAGCATATATCCAAGGCAAGAAGTCTCGAGCATCACATCAAAGCGCATTTGTTTCCTCCAGTAGGCTGTGAGGGATTTTGAGACTTCTCAACCTCTCCTATCATGAGATCAAAGGCCTTGGCAACGTTGAAGTCAAGGAAAGCACTTGCTTCAGTGAAGGCACAATTGACCTCCTCCGCTAATTGCCGGCCCTCATCAAGTGTGACTTGACGATGTTCTGGCTTGAGATCACTCTTGTTTCCTACTATAACAAGAGGTACTTCATCCGCGCCCTGGAAGATAACGAGTTAATCCTCTGGGTATTTATAGAAACAATGTGATGACTTACAAGATGGTTCAGAATCTTGTCACGAATTGTCCGTACCATCTCGAATGACTGACGCGATGTAACTGAATAAACAATGATATATCCATGGATTCCAATGAAATGCTTGGAATTCAAGATACTATATTCGTCCTGTGGGAGAAGTTTTGATTCAGCTCTTCAATCTTTGTATCGTGAAGGATTAGGGTATTCTACCTGTCCTGCAGTGTCGACAATCTCAGTTGCATAATCTTGGCCATTGTGCTTGATAATTCGGCTGAAAGTATTCTCAATTGTCGGGTAATAGCTGTCGACGAAGTGGTGTTCAACAAAACGGACCGTGAGAGATGATTTGCCTGAGCCACAGAGATGTTAGATTTTCTACCAACAACTATGAGTAAATTGAATGAGTTCGTACCCACAGAACGACTGCCAACAATCGCGATCTTTCTTTGCTTCGGTGCGGCAGGCATCTTGCTAATGCAGTGTGATGATTCTGGGCGTAATCACTAATTTCAATCAATCGTCGATGGAAGTGATTGCGTCAAATAAGGGGTCTCTTAGAGGAACGAAACTAGATCAGGGAATTTCAAAGACAAATGGCAGCTGTTTAGAAATGAGGAAGTTGGGAGGTGGCAAATAATCCCCCTCGAAGCATGCGGAGCTCCAACTCCCCGTTGCCCCTGCAAACATTGCAAACGTCTGATTCTCCAAATGCATCCCAAAGTTGACAACATCGCCGTACATGTGTAGTAAACTATACAATTGGTTTGGTCGTGCTTTCATTTTACAAATTATCCCATTTCGAATCATAGATCATTATTTCTCAACTGAATGTGAGTGGGTTGAGGTCACTTGAGCAGGTTTTTTGGGTTGCTTTTTCGACAGTCTTAATGAAATTTGGAGCAAGCATGCAGAAACCGTACTGTAAATGTTTGAATTGCAAGGTGCTATAGTGGGGACGGGTATCAAGAAGTTTCAAATATTCAACAAATTAACGCCATTGGGGCAGGTGCTGATAGAGGGAACGAAACACCTCTACCATCAACGTAAGGCGTGCAAGGCGTGCAAGGCGTACGAGGCGTCTATCATCGCTCTGCAATTCGAATCTGAGCGATGAGCTCTTGCAGTCTGGCCATAAATCCACTAGCTGATTGTCCTTGAGCTGCAAATGGATAAACTTCTTGTTCAATCTTCTGGTGGTATTGCAGGAATTCGTCCACAGTCGATATTACCGTTGCCAGCCCGTTGGGAACAAATGAATTCTTGATTTTGGACCGAATCGCATCATCCAAGGACAGTGTTAGTAAAAGAACGGCGAGATATCCCACAGCAACATTGTGATGTACCTCCAAGACGGAATGAGCCTGGGGATATCCAATTAGTTTGATAGGTCAGGAGAAGGTAAAACAGAGAGATGACCGAAGATCTTACTGTGGAGATGGAGTCGACATAAGTCGTAAACAAATGCAAGAGACCGTCAAGGAAAGACTTGGTAGAGCCTGGAGAGTGCAGGAATATCGACCTCGAGGATTCGCTCTGTTCGGTGAGATTGATGAGAGCGCCAAGTGCCAATATCACGCTATCCAGCGAATTGTTCTCCTGACCAAGCGCATCTTCGGTCAAATCACCGAAGTGGGCGCAGACCATATGAACTAGCCCTCCGACCATTTCCCGATTTGCAAATTGGTCACAAATGACCGGGTTGCTGTTTGTGACGTTCAAAATCACCCGAATAAACAAAGGTTGTATCTGTTGGCTGACAACGTCTGCGCGGTCACTCTTCAAATAAAACAAGCCGTGGAGTGTAGAAAGCGGTTTGATGATATCACGATGCTCGTTTTTGAGAGACTCAGCCGATGCAGTAAATGCCTCCAATATCGAAAAGACCATGCACAATACTTGTGAACTATATGCGGGCAGTTCTTTCTGGGAAACACAGCAGTTGCTCTCAGACAGCAGTATTTGCATTAAAGTCTTGAAAAGAGGGGTTGAGATACCGCTGGGGCTCTGCCCTTTGGTTTGTATTGTGGGGATGGTCGCTTTCAAGCAATACAACGCCAGGGCGCATGGTGAAAGTTTTGATATCGCCGTTTCTGGAAACAGCAGGTCAGATATCCGTGGGACAATGTTCTGGATCGTCTTTTGCAAAGGCCGAGTGAGGCTATGGACTTGAGATTTTGCCACCTCTGATATATCATCTGGAGTGTCCAGCAACATGGGAGACAACTCTAAAAGCTTCGGCCATGCCGACGTTGCAAGAACATAGGACATGTGTCCGTCAGATGATGCTAGTGCGTAGGCACAAAATGCCAAAATGGTAGGAACCGTCTGAACATCGATGGATAAACAGTCGACAAGTCTTCTGTCGAAATTGCACTCAACAAATTGGCGTTTGAGTTTAGTATCCAATAATTTGCCACAGAGTTGAAGAAAAGCATTGCATCGACCTGATGGTGAGTTTTGCACATCTTCGATATCTTCAAAAATAGATTCAATGGCGCCACGGTAGCGAGCATTTCCCCCAGCTTGGCGGAGCTCATGAATACTTCGAACAGAGCCATCATCGTTCGTATCCTCATTCGGCACAATCGATCGGGCATTGGATGTAGCTTCATAATTCAGTTGACGCTGTACCGACTGGGAGCGATGCTTCGGACCAGAGATTTCTGATTGCGCAAGATCATCTGCCATGGACAGGTCATCGAGAAATGAGCGTTGACGGGCATAAGTGACCCCAGCGCTTCGCAAATGAGATGAGGCCGAGACAGGAGAGCCTTGAATGGGGTTTTCAGTTTGGCCCTCGTCCATAAGTAGACTTGGCGAGGCCGGGCTACGAACGATTGGATTTTGGGGCTGCTGACTCGCAGCAGGACTCCTTGGTAATGTTTCAATGGTAGTTCCCAGAGAGTCAATCAGTCTTTTTCGGCCAGGGGTGGTGTTCTCCGCAGTCGTGTAGCGCTGGTTGGTGTTTGGTGGGCTTTTTTGCTCCGGTTCGGAGACCCCGATGCTCTCTTCGGTTGAGGCCCTCGACACAGGGGCAAAAGCGGATAATTTACCAGTCTTGATTGGCACAGACCTGCCAGCTCTTAAAGGTGGTGATCTCGCAAGGCTCGATTGCGAGTCAGTCCCCTGTGTTGTACCCAATGGCACCGCATCAATAGGTGCATGCTTCTCTACGTTTGAGGACATGGCAACATTCCTGTCATCCATCTCATGCGATTTCAAGCTAGGCGTATCTCTGGGTCTCACAGCTCGCTTAGTCACGGGACTACGCTGGTTTGTATCATGGCTAGGTCGCCTTCGCTTTCGCCGAACGGTGGGTCTCTCATCACCTGATGAAGGTAGATCATACACATTTGAGTCCATAGTGGCTGGTTTTGGCGCAATAATGCGTGCTGCGGTTGTGCCGACAGATCCGGGAGGTTGACCATTCTCATTGTTATTCTGCAATGTAGAGATGGGTTGCCGGGAGAAATGCGATGAGCTTGACGATGTCGCCTTTTGGGGGGCATTTTTGGTGGACGATGAATGTGCAGCTGTGTTGGAATTTGAACGTTGACCTTGGACCGTGGTGCCATAGGTCACAAGCCCTTGACTTCGGGTACGTGAGGTATCCATATTGAATTCTGGATCAAATGGAAACAGATTCTTGGTAAATTTAGATTAGGTAGTCAAGTTCAGAAGAATGAAAGAAGACATGTCGAAGCAGAATTGGGTTAGCTAATAGACTGCATAGGGTCTCGTTTCATTAGATGAATCCATGTCCTTGTTCAATAGAGCGCAAGCTCAAAGGAGACTGATGGTGGAAATTTGAAGAAGAAGCTTCAAAGGAAGAAGGGGAAAAAATAAAGAGAAGAAAGAAAAGAAAATGAATGAATTGGATCAACAAGGAGATCGAGGGAATGATGTGGGTGATATAAAAGCGGAAGTGAAGGGGCAGAATGGCCGAATCACCTAATGCGGTATAGTCTTTCTTCTACCTGCAGATACCGAAATGAGATAAGAGAAAATCCCGATGCTTCCCCGCTCTTAGAGACTTGAGCTACATTTTCCTCTTCCTACATCTGCTTCTTTTTCTTTTTCTTTTTCTTTTTCTTCTTCTTCTTCTTCTTCTTCTTCTCCTCTCTGTTACTTTCCACAAAAAGAATACCTTTGGGGCATTCTGTAAATTTTACTCTGTCCTGTTAACTCTTCGGGGAGAAAAATATCATTATTTTCCATAGCTCTTTGAAAGAGCTCCTTGGAATACAAAGCATGGCTAGCAAACCAGAAATAGCTCCATCTCCTGCGCAGGGCGTTGGCCCTCTGTACCGTCCTGATGGCGAAAAGCCTACTGCGACTGTCTCAAAGGAAATCTCTTATGAGAACGTCCACGTGCTACCTCAGACCCCCCAGTTGATTGCCTTGTTAACGTGAGGAAGGCCCTTATAATATTCTCTGAGATCACATTAGACTCATATATTGTATGTGAACAGGATGATCAGAGACAAAAGAACAAGCCGCGCCGATTTCATTTTCTATTCTAACCGCATCATTCGGTTGCTGGTGGAGGAAGGACTTAACCATCTTCCGGTTGTTGAACAGTCTGTCACAACCCCTGTTGGAACATCTTATCTTGGCGTCAAATTTGAAGGAAAGATTTGTGGTGTATCCATTATGAGAGCAGGAGAGGCCATGGAACAAGGGTTGCGGGATTGTTGCCGATCAGTTCGCATTGGAAAGATTCTCATCCAACGGGACGAGGAGACATGTATGCCTAAGCTGTTCTACGATAAGCTTCCTACCGACATTGCGGAACGATGGGTCCTTCTTTTGGATCCTATGTTTGCAACTGGTAAGTTTGACTTTTGGTTTCTCTCTACGTGCCTCCGGTCGCCCAGCTGATTCTGTCAAGGTGGTTCTGCAACTCTCGCTGTAGAGGTATTGAAAGAGAGAGGAGTGCCTGAGCACCGGATCCTCTTCCTAAATCTCATTGCTAGCCCATCAGGTGTTGCTGAATTCGCAGAGAGGTTCCCTAAGCTCCGGGTTGTGACATCTTTTATCGACCAAGGACTTGATGAAAAGAAGTAAGAATACTGACACCATCGAATTATGCGAGTATCATGCTGATTAATTGGTAGGTATATTATTCCAGGCCTCGGTGATTTCGGTGACAGATATTACACGCTGTAAGGGTGTAATTCTCGATATCAAGTGCTCTGGGGCTTCAAGGGCAAAGGGTGGTTTTGGCAATCTCGCGTTGAATTACCCCCTATTAGCACCCGTTCCGGTGGCTTATCATGATGGCCACTGTTCTAGTTGTCTATATGAGCATACTTGAATGTATTAGAAGAGATAAGAAAATAAATCCAAAGAAAAATAAATTGCGTACATACAATACAAATCCCTAATTGTTGATATCGTGCCCTATGCGCCATTCGCCATCATCGTACAATCAATACTCATCATCGGCATAGGCATCGCCATGTTCTGGAATATCCTGCTTGCTAGCACCTCGGGGCTGGACAGTGTTTGGCGCATCGTATTGAGCGGCAGTGTCCTTGGCGACGGAATCGCATGCATCCACCCAGTCGGAGTACACATCAACGGATGCGGAGAGATCTAGAATAAAAATCTGTATCAGTCAAAGCTTGGTGCTTCAACAGGATGTTCCTCTTACAATTGATGCCAGTCTGGAACTTTTGACCACAGACTTTACATGACAGATCCCCCAGGCCCAATTTCTTATCTAACTTGACAACCACGGAGTTCTCATGGTTGCAAAAGAGACAGGAAAAAGTGGTTGCAAGAGGCTCCCTCTACATTGCAAAGTCAGTAGGATTTCCAAATTATGATCATGATGAAGTTTACCTTTCGGGGCCCTTGGGGTTTGCTGCTTGACTTCTTGCGCTTGCCCTGTGAAAATCAGTAATGTTTTATTGATTCGGAGTATAGTAACACATACCATCCTTCAGGAAAGACCTGCAGCTCCGAAAGAAAAAAAGATAAAGTGGTGTAAGAGGGGTGAACTTGAACTTGAAGAGTAAAAGCAATGCGGAGAGCGAAGGCCATGCCAAGACTGACTTAGCTAATTAGAGAAACGGAAGAATGAGGCTCCAGCTTCCGCTCTTCTGATGTCAGTGCTTACCAAAAAAAAGTTGTAGAGACAACTTCAAGTGTCAAAAATTATTTTCGATCTTGAATAACAATTGGCATTCTGACCTGTCTTTTTATTTTTGTTTGATTGATTTTATTCTCTAATAGTAATAGAAATACCTCAAAATGTATATGCACTCAAGATGAAATGATCCATCTACATATACAATAGTAGCACCTTCCAAAAATCAAACCTAGACCAATCGTACATTGTACACACATAATTATCGTCTGCAGTGGGAAAAGATCTAGAGACCTTGCGATTCTAATTCGATAACAATCATTGACACATGACATAATAACATGCCCACAGGTGCCCGGAGTGGAATGTTCGATCACATGACTGGTGCATGACATAATCATCTAGGGCCCGCGCAGTCTCGCTTAGCCGAGTTTTCTGTGGGTTTTCAACCCTCCCAGTCGAGCGTCGAAACCCTCTGAGCGCGCGGTGCGATACCTTTGTCTGTCCTCCAACAACACACAGATCACGACTCGCAATCATGGCTGTTGGAAAGTAAGCCTTCTACCCTTCTTTTTCTTGCTCTCATCGACTCGAATATTTGCGCATTGTCAATTTCAATTTCCGAACGCACGACTAATTCTCTTCGCTCAGGAACAAGCGTCTTTCGAAGGGTAAGAAGGGTATCAAGAAGCGTACCGTCGACCCCTTCACCCGCAAGGACGAGTACTCTGTGAAGGTATGTGTCTCTAGTTTCCTATCCTCGCTGCTCTGTCCATAATGCTAATCGTCTTCACAGGCTCCTTCCACCTTCCAGACCCGCGAGTATGAGCACCCTCAATTGTGAACAAGTAATTTTCGGGTTGGTTCACTAACGGATTTTTTTTAGTGTCGGCAAGACTCTGGTCAACCGCACTAGCGGTTTGAAGAACGCCAACGACTCCCTCAAGGGCCGTATCTTCGAGGTCTCCCTCGCCGACCTCCAGAACGATGAGGATCACGCCTTCCGCAAGGTCAAGCTCCGTGTCGACGAGATCCAGGGCAAGAACTGCCTGACCAACTTCCACGGTCTGGACTTCACCACCGACAAGCTCCGTTCCCTTGTCCGCAAGTGGCAGTCCCTGATTGAGGCCAATGTCACCGTGAAGACCACTGACGACTACCTCCTCCGTCTGTTCGCCATTGCCTTCACCAAGAGACGCCCCAACCAGATCAAGAAGACCACCTACGCCCGCTCGTCTCAGATCCGTGCCATCCGCAAGAAGATGACCGAGATTATTCAGCGCGAAGCCGCCAGCTGCACTCTCTCTCAGCTCACCCACAAGCTTATCCCCGAGGTCATCGGCCGTGAGATTGAGAAGTCCACCCAGGGCATCTACCCTCTGCAGAATGTTCGTTCTTCCCTACGGTCTTTGGGTTCGATCTATTTCAGTTGCTAACATGTCTTTTCTTTTCTTTACTAGGTCCACATTCGCAAGGTCAAGCTTCTGAAGTCCCCCAAGTTCGACCTTGGTGCTCTTCTGTCTCTGCACGGAGAGTCTGCCACTGACGACAAGGGCCAGAAGGTTGAGCGGGAGTTCAAGGAGCAGATCCTCGAGAATGTTTAAAGGTTATGTCATTTGAAGTCATGTCACGTATTGGTCAGCCTGGGCATACCCTTGTCTTCTGGTCATAGGAAAAGAGAAAAAGTTCATAACGTGCAGACAGATTGAACGTGGGGAGTTAGCTACGCGTTGCCAGTCTTAGACATGATCCCCAAAATCCAAGGGTAGTAGTCCATTTATGTTCAATCCTTTGGTGTCAATGTCTCGTAGTTATGTAGTGAGGCTGAATATTCTGGCTCGGATTGTTCAATGCCTTGCGTACATGTAGGCAGAATCATGAGACTGTTAATTACCTTACTCTCGAACTTGCAATGCCGTTTTGACCTAGATAGAATACCTCAATGGCATTACACCTGAATCGTTGACAAGAGTTGCTATTCTTCAGTCATGGGTTTCTTCTGCGTTGTCTCAGCATTATCCTTCTCTTCAGGCCTCCCGACTGATCCTACAATATTGTAATAAAACCCCCTATAGACCATCACCTTTTCATCACAATATGGCTTGGGTATGCATCAATTTCTTTGGACATGTCAAACCCTATGTCAGACACTATTTACACACAATATATTATTATAAATATCCTTCTCATACGACTCTTCTTTGGTTGTTAGTTTTGGAGTTGTTTTCAGTTTTGGTTTAGTTATATCCCGGTTGCATCTAACTCTACGTAATATGCTAAATGAGCTTGATCGGCTCAATGCACATGTATGATCGCATGCTGGCCATATATGGTTGAGACCGTGCGAGTAAACGAGGTTGATTGCCGTGCGGTCTAAACTGGCGTTGGCGAATTGCAAGCGGACCTTCCCTTAAATATCCACTCTGGGGCGACTCTCAGAAGAGAACGTCAGGTTCGTTAACTCCTGCAGCTGGAATATCGCATGTAGCATGACATTCATCCCACTATGGAAACTTCAATCAATCATAATGACCTCTTAATAAGTTGTTACTAACGAGGATACTTCACAGCTAGTACTTTCATCCTAGACACACTGCCATACCAGACTATCATATGGCATAAGGAACTTCTTTTCTGGTTCTACGGAACGAGAAATTCAAATCAAAGCTGCTTAAGTTTTAAGTTTTTTTTGTGATGGTTACTCTAGTGAAGCTTATCTGATGATGGAGCCCGAGGCAGATTTGGATGATGAAAATTGAAAGCCGATATAGGGCTATAAGTGGGACTTAGCAATTCGCCTAGGAAAGCGGTTCTAGATACTGGTGGTGTCCGTGTTCCCAGGACTAATATCATCCCGGGTCCAATCCCAGATTTATTCTTTTATGCCTCTTTTGTATAGGGCGCACATACGAAAGAAACAGCTTGAGAATAAGTCTATCTTTAGGTTACAATAAGGCTACCTGGGTAATCTTACATGTAATAGCTATTTCCAACCATCTATATGTAGACATGTTAAGGTAAGAGTTGAAGGATAAATTTCCCAGTCCAAACTTTTAACTGTGGGAGTTTTGCTGTGTAAATTCAAATCCTATCAAATTTTAATCCGAATGTTTTAGATAAATAGGTGAGCTTAGTATATGTTCTTCTCTTCTCGCTATCTTATCATCACTCACACTTGTTTTAAGATATGGTTACTTTTTTAAGGTTTGGATAAGTACACCCCCCTCTGCCAAAATTTTCAGGATTCTTGTCTTCTTCCAAAGGCATCTATATACCGTGACTGATAAGTGAGCGGGACACCCTACTAAAACGCATCTAGCACTTAATTAACTTAACCACTCACTATGCCACTAATTCGCCCCTAACCCTCTTGAAATTTAGTAGATTAGGAGGGTAGGATCTTATTAGTAATATATGCTATTAAGCACTAAAAATTGTATCTATTCGCTAAAATACGCTTTTTTTTAGCGTACCGCTTTAAACTTCTTTTTCTCGCTTTCGGTACGTAAATCGCTTACTTCTTTCTTAAGAATAGAAAAGAATAGAAGCCGATTAAATTATAGTTCACCGTATTATTAAATAGACTCGAGGTGCTCTAGGATCTTGTACGAAGTAATACTTTAATCACTAAAGTAAGCTTTAGTGATTATATATAGTTAGAAGTAGACTTCGCTATAATTCCTAAATAGCCTTACGGTTTATAACAATATTGAGCCCTTTTATTAGATTTTATACTATGGCTTTTTAATAGTTTAACCGCGAATTAAGAATATAGTCTATTTTTTATTTGCCTTTACCTCCGATCTATATTAAAATTTTGGGTTTTTGATTTAGTTAGTTAGCGGTTGTTACCCTGGCTTATTGGTAAGTGTTACGGACATGCCAGTCACCAATCACAGGTGGGGACGGCGACCTACAGATGGGCCACCGAGAGCCAGTCGATCAATCTAGTGTGCATATCACGTGCAATATCCTATACTGGGACACCCCCAGTACGAGTCAGGGAAATACTTCGACTTTGAAGCTGTTTCTGGCCCCCTGTTGGTAATCACGAACTATACTTTTAGTAAAAGTCTTTTAAATTTTATATAGCGTTACTAGCGTTACTCAATTTAACATAGTTGATAATACTACTAATATTATTTCAAATATATATATCAAGTAAAGGCTATTATAGGTTTCCTTTTGTAATACTTAAGAATTGGTATTTATAATTCTAGTTATTTTTAGTATTAAAGTCTTTCGTTAAAAGGATATTAGTAATAACATTCCTTTTTTTCAACTAGTATTAAATCTTTATTTAATAATCCTTAAGAAGCTATCTTTATCGAGATTATCGTATATTTAGTCTCTATTTTATCTAGAACTACGATAAAGCTTGATAACTAATAAATACTACAAATATTTTTTATTATTATAGCCTAATAAATTCTACCTTCTGTTCCTAAAACTCGTGAATAACTACAAGTTTTTTATTATAGATTTAGATTTAGATTGTATTATATCTCTAATTTCTAATAAAAATATAGTTTAACACAACTCTTTATTTATATCTTATTATAAAAGGACGGCTCTAATTATTTAACGCGTCTATTTCTGATTTTATAAAAGTATAAAGATTATATATAATATATCAAGATCAATATATCTATTAAAAATTATTTTAATATCGCGAATATCTTATTATAAAATATAGTCTAATTTCATAATATTAATTTCTAGGTTAAATTAAATAACAGCGTTATAATCTTTAATAAATTAATAATAAAAATATAAAAATTAAGAAATACTTATATCCTTTTTATGATAATAAGTACTTACTAATTCTTATTAACTTATGTCTTTAAAAGATCTATCAGAATTCTTAGAATACTCATTATAAAATCAAGGAATCTTATATCTTAAGCATAGAACTTATATATACTGACTAGGCCTTATAATCTTTTAGCAAAATAATACTAGACACTCCGAAGGAGGGTCCGCTACTTACTTTTTAGTTAGTTATGCCTAAATTTTAGTTTTTTCTAGAATTTATTTCCAACACTTATTTTAACCATATATATATAAATAAAATATCTATTAAATTATATAAATTAATTCAATAGCTTTAACCCGCCCTTACCCCTTTTATATATGTCTGTACCTTCTAATCTATATATTAACCTTAGCCTATCTTCGCTTCCGTTCAGAAATATCCTTAACTTTGGTCTATTTAATACGCTTTATATTTATATGCTTTATATTAAATACTTTTTAATTTACTAGTATTAATAATACTAATAATGTATATATTTACTTAGCTAAAATTATATCTAGCGTAGTAAATAGCTCTAATAGCTAAAGTTAAATCTAGTTCTAATTATAATATATATACTAAAGTAATTTTTTATAGATCGAGGTAATTATATATAGGAATTCTTCCTAAGTAAATTTCTAATATTCGGTTATTATTATAGACTTAATACCTTATTATACTAATATTAAGAGGCTATAAGAAGTAGCTTAAATATATAAATAAAAAGAAAAGAATAAAATTATTCTTATTATAAAATTCACTAAATTACTAGATAAAATATAATCTAAGCCGGTTATATAAAATCAATCACTTAATACTATAACAACGAATTATCTATTTATAGAATCTTTAAGTATATCAAAATACTAAGGTACTAGTTATATATCTAGAATTAAATATAGTAAGATATTTATTAATCTAAATAGCCTTAACTATTATTATAATATTTATTTACCATTTGAAATAATGAATAATAGATAGATAAAACCGTATACTAAAATTACCTTTATTACTATTATAGACTTATAATTTATAATAGAGTTATTAAGGTTTTTATGCTTTAGTCATTAAGTGATAATCTAGTAATCTTTACTAATACTAATTTATAAGCTAGTCTTATCAAAATCATAGATATCGTTAGATAAGATATCATTTCTTTCGACGATATTGTTTAAACTACTTTCTTGTTACCCCTTTATCTATTACTTAGCTTCATTTAATATCGAGGGCTTATTAGCGATATTAGTAATATTAAGGATTATATTTTAAAACCTATAAGTCTAATAGTCGCCGATCTTAAGGTATAGAATAACGGGATCGGTATACGCTTCTTTAATAACTAAATTCGCGGTTAGAATACTTTATAACTAGTTTATTATAACGCCCGTTTAATTAAATAATTAACAAATTGATATAAAGTAGATTCTTATATAGAACTAAGCTTCTAACTATTAGGTTAGTGCTAAATAGGGACTTCCTACTATTCTATCGATACTAAAGTTAGCCCTAAGGTACGTTGAATTTACGCGCAGTTTTCGCGATATTAAGCTTAGATTACTAAGATAAAAAAATCTATTTCTTTAGTAATCTAAGCGTGATCTTTAAGTATATAATAAAGAAATTAATAGACAAATATTATAGGTTGATTTCTAGAAAAAACTAAAATTTAGGTATAACCGGGTCGTCGAACTGCGGCCACCGCCTTCACGGTGTCCGGGTTCCCTGGCCTAATTACAAATTTTTCATTTCCAACCATGAATTCATTGAATTTAAATAGCATCGCCTTCTGTATCAACACAATAAAGATCATCTATCCAATCCTGGGCCTTTTCTGCACTAGTACCATCCTCAATTTCTCCTGAATTTTCAATGTCGCCAATTGCTTTTAAAATAGCTGCATCCCGCCATGATTTCTTAGATCGGTTGAACATCTGCAGCCTTTCTCGGTCGGCGCGGTCAGATATGTGTTTTTTACAGTCCTTAACTAGGCGAGGGCCTAGTTCAGGAAGTCTGCGCTTTGTTTTAGCAGTATTAGACTGTTTTTTCCGTCGTAAAATGCGAACATTGTCCTCCGCTAATTGAGCACCAACTTCGGCAAGAGCGAGTCCACCTGCTAAAATGCGAGCAAGACTATCCCGCACCTTCGGGGAAATTGTAGCATCATTCTGTATATGCTTCACAACCTTATTGCTCGCTTTTCGTAGCTTTTGGACAGTTGTAGGTGGTGAATTTGGTAGTGAACTTGATAGTGGTGGGGGTGTAGTTCCGGCAATATCATGAACTATAAACCCGGGCATTTCAGGGAGATCATTGTCTACCAACTTCAATTTTTTAAGGCCTTTGTCTGAATTGACAGGCCAAATTCCAGTTTCTCGGAACCCGTGTCGAATTGTCCGCTCGGTTAATGATCGTGTGCGCACATTATGAATACCCGCGAAGAAATTGGCTTTATGTTTCGCATCACCACCCCAAAAGGCAGTCTCGTTGTTGTATTGTTTGTAGTAATGCTTTAAGACCGAGAAAGGTGTATCATCGAGAGGTTGGCAACCATGTGTTGTATGTGGAATAAAGCAGTAAGGAATAATGCGTTTGGTCTAACAAAATTCAATGAGATCATAGGTCAAATGTGAACTATGATTATCCATTAAAAGAAGACGATATTCCCCCTTTTTGATACGCAATGATGTAAATTCATCGAACACCTGGAGCCATGCAAAACTAATGATTTCATCAGTCCAGCCATTTGGGGTTGGACAAATTGTGTAGTTGTCTGGTAAATTGGTGTCGATAAACCAACTTTCCATATGGAATTGTCCCTTCACTAAAAACCATGGCGGCAAAACCCAACCCGTAGCTGAGACACATTCAATACCGGTAAGCGATTCGGCTTGACCACCGGTACTATTATATGAATTGCCCCGGGCTGAAACAACCTTTTGAGCCTTCCCTTCGCCAATTCGAAACCAGGTTTCGTCGAAATTGTATAGGTTTCTCGGGCTAATGTTGTAGTTTTTAAGCATAATTTGTAGACGATCGTACCAAGTGACAACATAGCCAGGATCTGCGGCCTGAAACCGTGCTTTCTCTATTGGGTTTTGGGTAAGATACTCAAAGCGTGGTGGTAGACGAGCAATAAAATCGTAAGCCCAGTTTTTTCCGAGCGTGCGGGCGGGGTCGTGACGTCTAATAATTTGTAGTGCAGCACACTGAATCTGGGCTGTAGATGGTGGAGAATAGGCCTGATCTAAGGTATCGATCCATAGAGCTAAGGCCTTTTCTTGCTCTGTGTGTAGTGCTTTATTGGGCGCGGTGCGCTTGTTTCGAGGCTGGCGACCGTTAATGCGGCCTCTTAAGACGCCGTGCGAAATGTTGAATTGCTTAGCGATGGCTGAAACGTTTTTTTTTGCTACTAGCATAGTATGCTAATAAGGCATTGGTAATGCGATCTTCTGAATCTGAATCCATAATATAAAGAATTGGAGGTGTAGTGAATTGTTGAAGAATGTGGAAATGAAAAATTTGTAATTAGGCCCGGGAACCCGGACACCGCGAAGGCGGTGGCCGCAGTTCGACGACCCGATTAACTATAAAGTAGGTAGCGGACCCTCCTTTAAAAGGTATTTTTTATTAAAGATTACAAGGCCCGGTTAAGGCTTACTCATTACCTTATTTATTATAGTTTATTAAGTATATCCTTTACTTAGTAAATATAATATTTATATATTTTATTAAAAATAAAGATACTACTAGACCTTGCTAACTCCTATCATTTAGTCCTATAGGAGTGCTAAGGTGCTAGTCCGGTCTTAAAGGACTTTAATAAGACTCCTATAGGACTGTAAACACTATAAATACGTTATATTAATAGGTATTTAGCTTATAGTTAGAGGTAGTATTTAATGATTCTAGATTAATCTTAATAAAAAGTAGTGTAATTATAGTATCTTATAATCAAACGTTTTAGTATAATTATATAAATCTTTATCCCTACGCCTCTTACGATCTCTTTAAAGGCGTGCCTAACTTAGTATAATAAGTAATGGATATAGTACTAAATTGTTATCTAAGTCCTTAGCGGCCTTTTAGTCTATATTAATCTCTCTTACTTTATTTAATTTATTATGATCCTTATCTTCGCTAATTACCTTTATTATATACTTAGGAAGTCCCGCCTCCTTTACTTTATTATCCCTAGTCTTTTCGTCTTAACTTAAGATAGCCTTAGATTAGAAATCCTCTTTAGTTTCCTTATCCTTAATATTAAATTTAAATAGATAATAAATTATTATTAAATCCTAGATTATTAATTCGTTTAATAAGCCTTATTAATAGGGTAGTGATCCTACCACACCCCCTTGGTTGCTGCCACACCCCCCTGCCTGATTTTGTAATGTTTGCACTACATATACTCTTTTTTTGCCGGACTTATTTTTGCAGGTTTGAATTCTGGTTTACATAGTAAAAAGATGCACCTTTATGGTCATAATTTCATGCTTAATTCTGTAATTTTGATGCTTTCTATTCATACATAACCTTCATAGCCTTCATTGATTCATGAAACATTAGCACCCTCACCACCTGCTCCCCGACCACGACCACGACCTCGCTTGCTACCTCGCTTACTAGCTTGCTCATCGCCTTCCTGCGTAGCTCGCTTTGTACCCTTACCTGCTCCCCGACCGCGACCACGACCACGACCACCTTCCTGCGCGAGTGTATACTCAAACGAGGATGGATCTCGGTGAACTGAGCGATCATGTTGGGTCAACGGATCTGGGGAAGATAGGATAACCTGTGTGCGTTGTTGTGTGCTTTGCTGGGTGGTTACTACTGGAGTGCTAGCTGGAGGAGTGCTTGCTAGTTGATTGAAATTGTGTGCACCCCGAGGGCGCCCTCGTCGTCGTACAGGGAGTGGATCCTGGACAAGAAGTCGAGGATCAATTGGTTCTGTGTTTATGCCACGTAAATGCCAGTGAGGGTGGAATAATTCAGGTTCTAACCCCTTGCCCTCATGCAGATACTGCTTGATTAAGTGGATGCATGGAAACCCAGCTGTTTCCTTCGAACTGCAGTTGCAAGACGGCGGGATTGGTGGTTTATCGAGTCCCTCAGGTAGATATCGAGTATACACATCTGTTGTGTGCCTCATTGGCTTGAACGAGACTCTTCCAATAGCTAGTCTGAATAGCCCAGAAGAAGCAAGGATCCCAGTTCCTACCGGGGTTCTGACCTTATTATGCTCAATTTCATCAGCGATCTTCTTGAATTGAAGCTTCACAGCGCGTTGAAAGGTCTGGAGAGCTACTAATAGGTTATTAGTAGATACATGAAGATCTTGCTTTAGCAACCAGTGTGCTCCTTCGGTCCGGGATGTCGCAAATTCATTGAGATGGAGATAATGCGAGGTATGGTAATGGAGAAACTTCTCTGGGCAATCGTTCAGCCATTCGCTCTGAATGTAGTCGATTAACGGTTCGAAGATCGGGTCACGATACTGGTTTTTGAAGTATTCCCACTTCTGGTTATATGCTTCAAATGTTGTAGCATAAATAACCCGATTAAACCGCTTCATCATCCTCTTCCATCCTTCATCAACCTTCTCTCGGAGTTCCTTAGCTTCCTGGTTATTAAGACGACGTCGGTGAGTCGAATCTCTCGATGTAAACTGTGTTGTGGACTGAGTTTGTGCGGACTGGAGTGCTTGTCTGAGCTGGTTAGAGATAATTGGACGTGCCTTCTTCATAATATTCATCATAATATGCCACACACATATTATATTCTTCGTCGACGGGAAGACATCCTTAATAGCATTCATTAATGCTTTCTCCTTATCAGTTAGAATTGTCCGGGGGGGGGAGAGGCCATAGAATTCATATGCTTCGGCCAAGCAGTTTAGAACAACTTCGTAAGTGTCGTCTTTCTCATCCTTCATAAAGGCAAGACCAAGGTGAAATGAAGAGCCAGTAGCTGCGAAGCCAACGATGTCGAGTAAAGGGAGACCGTACATATTAGTCTTGTAAGTACAGTCCATAGAAATCACCCAAGGGTTTAGCTTCAGCATTGCAATGCTTGATTTGTGCATACAAAACAAAGCAGTAACATGATTCTCATCATCAATCTCGTACTTGAATATCCATTCACCGTCTTTAGGAAGCTCGACCAACAAAGCCTGGAGAGGTGTCCGACCAGCTAAGAATTCCATGTGAAGCTTCCTTCGGTAGTTGTGAATATCACGGGCGATGATACAGGAATCAGGATTCTCTTCTCGAAGGGTGGTAAGAATCTGACGGGTAGGAAGGCCGACTTGAAAACCTTTCTGTATATCATCTGCCTTTATAGCGCGCTCTTGGGTACGGTGTATAGCATGAGTAGATGGAGGGGAAGGGTGGTGATTATGACTTGAATTTTCCACAGAAAGAGACCAAATACCTGTGGGTTGGTCTAGACGAAGTGATATCGCGAAGGGGCAATTGATCGCAAGTGTAATTGATTGTCGCTTGTGCTCACCACCCCGGTCTCGGTATGTGCGACCACGATCGCAGCAAATGTAGATTGTCTTCTTTACCCCTTTCTTTGTGGTTTTAGAGCGAAGGGTTGAGACTGCATAACCGTGGTTCCGCCCGAATGCATTGATAGCGGCGATCCCTTCCTCTGGCGAGTTGTATGTGTCTGTGAGCGGCGGTAGCGGCATCGTGATCGTCGGCTGGGCGTCTGTGGACTCGACCATCAATTCCGGAGATCCGATTGGTTGTGGTAGTGGTGATGATGGCAGCGGCTGGGTGGGCGAATCAGCATCGAGTTGGGTCTCCGGAATTCGCTCGGGGTCAGTGAGGTCAGACTCGGACTCGGAGTCCAAAAAATATCCAAGGCCTAGAGAGGCCATATTGAAGAGATAAATGTGAAGAAAATGCGAAAGAGATGGTGTAAAGATTGATGGAGAAAGGTGAGAATTCATAGTGTAAACCTGAATGGTACTGATATTATTTTCATTTTCTTTTCACAATGTGCTAATGTGTAGTGCTTGAAGGTACTTAATTTTGTTGGGGATTTACATAGTGAAAGGGGGTACCCCTGAGGTATGGTACATTTGCATATAGATTGACAGAAAGGCGGTGAGAAAAGCGGTCGGCTGTTGCCTGATCTCTTAGGCAGGGGGGTGTGGCAGCAACCAAGGGGGTGTGGTAGAATCACTACCCTATTAATAATAATAGATATCGCGAGTAATACTAAATAAGCGCTCAATACCCGTACTAATAACTAGAATTAAAAAGATTTTTATATAAATATTATAAGTATCGGAAATCTATATTTATTCTTCTTTTGGAAATAGTATAAGTTTACTACCCTTTATTCTATATATAATTATTATTATTTAAATATATTAATATTAAGATATCTCTTAGGTTCTTTTTATTACTTAATCCTCGGCTATAGTAGTAACTTTAGTTAATCCTCCTTAAGACGGCTTATTGTTATATCTATATTGTATAAGAAAGACTTTATCTTTATAAGTACTTACTTTTTAGACTAACGTTTTAAGTAATCCTTTATATAAGTATAAAAAGATCTTTTATATATATTATACTAGAGGAATCTTTATTACTAACTTTACTTATTTACTTTATTCCTTTAAAACTTAAGCATATACTAAGATATAAGAATTATGTTAATTATATATAAGCTATTATATACTTACTTAGTTACTTTATAGTTTATTAAAAGTTTTTTTCTTGTAGCTTTAAGAGCCTTAAGTATAGCCTTTTAAGGTACTTTCTCTAAAGTCGGGCTTAAGCTTACTTAAAATAAGTAAACATTTAGTTATAGACTTAGAATATATTATAGATTATTATTACCTTAATCTTTAATAAGTATTTGATCTATTATTATTTACTTTAATTAAGCTAGTACTCTAAGCGTTAATAATGTATATAATATCTTTAATAATTATTTAATATGCGATTAATACGCTAAAGTATATGATATATTAAATTTTATTAAATATATATTTCATAGATTAAGGTAAGCATTGGTTCCTTACTTAAAAGATTTAGAAATACCTTTTATTATTATAAGTTAATATTAATAAAAACTACAAAGGCTTATATTTAGTAGTATATAATTAATATTGAATAAAAGTTTTCAAAAGTATTAATTACTTTACTTAATTGAGATATAAATAATTCTGTTTTATCTTTCTACTTATTAAAGAATACTCGCGTTTTCTTCTGACTGTATTATTATTATTTTACTTTTTTTATATTAGCCTTTATAAGGCTAAGAAGATCTTTTAGACTTAATTAAATTATGCAAGTAAGATATAGAATCTATATAATCTCAATAAAATTAAGAAGCTTTAATTATTTAATAGAATTATATAGACTATTAAGTGAGGTCTTATTATTTAATATATTAATAATAATAATAATAATAATAATAATAATAATTACTTAATTAATAATCGATTATTATCAAAGAATTTTAATAATAAGAGCTTATATATTAGTCATAAACTAATATAAAATCTAAGAATGTTCCTATAATAATCCTAATTTATATTAATAAGATAGCTCATAATTATTATAAATACTTATTAAAAATAAGATCTAATAATTAAAAGTTATCTAACGTATTTAACTACCGAGCCGCCATAACCCCCGAGTCGCCACCCCAGCCTAACCCATTGAATTTAAATGCATTTATCTCAACCAAAACGCCATCAATTTTATTCAACTAAGAAATGGTCTATCTGGGCATGTCTCTCTCCTATGCCCTGGCAACCTGCATATTCCACACCCCCTGGGGGGCCGCGTCCGCGGTCGAATAGCCGGTTCCCCCGCTATGTGAGGGCCAGGGGGAGGTGGTTCAATTACTCCCTCTGCCTGCATATTTAATGTTGAGGTATCTAAAACTGAGAGGCCCTCGGCCGAGGGTATATACCTTCGAGAACTAGTCCGCTTCTGCTTCTTTTTCTCGTTTTCGGCTCGTAACCCGCGTACTTCTTTCTCCAGAAAAGCACTCGATTGCATCTGAATTTGGCAGGCCTTTAGAACATGGTTTATCGCATTATTAAGTGGGCTCGGAGGACTCCGGGATCTCGTATGAAGCAATGCTTTGATTGATGTAGCCTGCTTTAGTAATTGTGTACAGTTCGAAGGCGTTTTTGGTTCCCACTCGCTCTCTTGACTTGAGAGGGGGGTCGGGGTTCGAAGGCGAATACTGAGCTTTGTAATTACTCGATCAGGTGAAAAAGGTACTAGACCAGCTGCTCCGAAGCTATTGATAATAGTATCGGATTTGAATGTCTCGGAGCGGGCGGAAGGGTAGGCTTCGAGGAAATCAAGTTTGTCGATATGGTTACTCCCATTCCGCATTTTGGTTTCAACAAGCCGACCGTACGAACGTTTTAGCACCGCAAAACAACCAATATCGAGCGGCTGTAAAAGGTGGGATGAGTGCGGAGGCATGCAGATTGGGATAATGTCGTTTTCTTCGCAGATCTTATCGAAGTTCGGGGTTAAATGACTTCCGTGGCCATCGAGTATTAAAAGTCGATATCGACCCTTTACCCTTAAAGAAGTCGATGGAATGAAAAGCTTTTTAAGCCATCGAAGTCCAATTTCATCAGACGTCCATCCATTCGGACTAATCTCAAATCGCCAGTCATCGGGAAGGTTATCGAACCATCCCTCAATATAGATTCTACCTTTAAAAATCACAGTCGGAGGAAGTACCCATCCCGAAGCATTTATACACTCAATCGTAGTTACCCACTCGCGATTTCCAGGCTGTAGAAGCGATCGCCGACCATAGTATTCACTCCTTGTAATAACCCTCGCGGTTGACGTTAATCCCATCGCGAAACCAGTCTCGTCGAAGTTATAAACGTCGTCGGGGTTGATCCCATATTGGATAATAGTTTGTTGGACGAGAGTAAACCACTCCCCGATGATTTTTGGATCTTCGCATTTTGCACGCTCATAATTATAGCGCCTCGAGAATCTACTCGATAATTCGGGATGCCTTTTCACATACTTTGTAACCCAATTCTCACCGACCGAAGGAGCCGGGGTTATTCCGCGTGATTCGAGTAAAAGATTCGCCATTTCTCGAACTGCAGAAGGCCGAGGGGCTGATCCGCGAGCATCCATAGAGAGTATCCAATTTTGAAGGGAATCTTCTTCAATCTCTGTGAGTTTATGTGAATTTGCGCGTACAATTCTTCGCTCGGTGCGGCCGGAGATACGATCGCGTAAAGTGGAACGTGGTACATTGAAAGTGCGAGCAGCGAGAGAAACAGTAGCGATATCTTGTTTCTTAAGAGCTTGTATTGCTAATAAGATCCTACCCTCCTGCTCTACTGAATTCCGAGAGGTTTGGGGGCGAATTGGTGGCATAGTGGATGGTTGAATTAATTAAGTGCTAATTCATGGACATGTTTTAGATTATGTGGCGACTCGGGGGTTATGGCGGCTCGGTGGTTAAATACGTTATAATTTAGCTATAACTAAGAAAAGAGAAAAAGCTTTTATCACTTTATTTAGATAATTAACTAAAGCTAATATCGCGTGATTTTAAATACTAAAAGAGTAAGCTTTTATTAAAAAGGCTAAGTGTTTATAATTAGATCTTTGAAGCCTTTATAATAAAGAATCTAAAATAAAAGATATAAGTTCGCTATTTACTTTATTTATTAGCTTAAGATAATATAATCTAGGATAATAAGCTAACCTTAGTAGATAGTTTATATTAAGATATTCTAAAATAATAATTTTCTTAAACTAAACGATAGTTCAAGAAGTATACCTTTAAAACCTATCTTAATAATCATAAGAGTCGCGTTTAACTACTAGTAAAGTTTAAATAAGTAATAGCGTAATAATATATTATAAATAAACTAATACTTTATTTTATTATTAGATATGCAACTAACTATCTCTCTATATAAAGTTATACAAAATATAAGGCTTAATAGCCTCGGTCCTCTCTTCTAAGTTATTAGTATTACTATAAACATATTTTCTCTATAATCTCTCTTTAATTAGGCTACTTACTTAGTAATTAAGGCTTTGTTATACTGAATAAATTACCGAACCTACTTACGAGAATGCTTGCTAATCCGCGAGTTTATTAAATTCTATACTCCATATATAATAAAAGTAATATACATGTTACGATTTAAAGCTCTACTTAAATTAATTTAACGTTCTTTAGAATTTTAATAATTCAGTAATTTAATCTATAAGTTCTATAAGGGATCTTAAGATAGTGATAAATTATATTATCATTTTAAAGGTTTAAAAGATATAATAATGAACAATATTATAATAATTCTATATATTTAATATCGAAGAAGGGTAAAATACCGTTAGTGTTACGAGCCAATTCTTAATGATGAAAAGAGTGCATTTGAACGAGAATTCTAAACATGGGAAAGGAAGAAGGAGAGAGAAAGGGAAGAGAGAAGATACACCATATGGGTGCAAACACTATCACATGACCACTCCCCCATCCGATCTCCAGATCGTAACAGTTAGAGATAGTTTTTTCATCACTTTTTCATCACATTTTGATATCTTTAAGAGTCACAAAGAGGAATAATAAGTATAGGAAGAGAATAGGAAGATTTAATAAAGTAAGAAGGTAGTTTAAAATTCTTTTAAAGAGAAATTCTTAGATATTCTATTTTATGAATAGTAAAAATGTTTAGAAAGAATTACTATAGGTTCGTTTTACCCTTCTTTATTTTAGAATATATAGTAAATAAATATTTACAATGAATGCGTATTTATTTAGAGTAGTAGCGAATAAATAAATACCTTGTTTATAAAATAGTAATATTTTATTATTTATCTTTATCTATATAAATAAATATGATATCCCTCC